GTTTCGTTGGAGGTACCTGGTACAAAACAAGTGTACCGGCCCTGCTGGGGCTAAAAATAAGAGCAAAAGAATGGTGGGCAGTTCCCGGCAGAGCCTGATCCTGTACGTTGGACCAGAAGAGAACGAAAAAAGTGACGCTAGCTTAGCGCTGCCTCTTTTTTCTACCCCATTATTGCTGCAAGTCAGTCGTTTTGAGGTGTGACTGAGAGAAAAAAGACGAGGCCCGTGTGACGGCGGGCGGGATGATGTGATGGAGCTAACGCAGCAAAGAGAAGATCCTGGTCCTTGTTCCAAGCAGTAGCAGCAAAGCATCATCAAAAAGACGAGACCGACGAAAGAAAACAGGGCTACCAGTACGTATTTCCCAGCATCACGGGGAGAAGAATGGTAGTCGCCAGAACAGGCAGCGAAACAGAAAGTCAGTCGCCCTCCATTAACCCACGTACCCGGGTCTGGGGTGTGCGGTACGGGAGCTGGTATTGGTATTGCCGCACGGTACCAATACTAGCACGCGGCCCAAAACAGATAGCGCTGGCGAAAAAGTCTATCTGTGCGTTGAATGAAACGGCACGCCTTGGTGCCGGAAAACCCCAGAGCGCCAACTTGAAACAAGGTTGCGCGGACGCCGAGATGTGCAAACTCTCTTTTGCTGCGGCTGTTATCCATTCCATGTCTCTACTCAGCTTGACTACCAACATCCATGGGAACGAAAAAAGTAGTAAAAAAGAAAAACGAAACGAGAATGTAGCGGTACAACGGCCTCTCGTATCGGTAGTACAGATATTACACGCACGCAGCTTCGGACAACTCGAGCCGGTCGCCGTCGCATCCGTTCCAAGCGGGCAGGCTGGTTATTCCCGCCATCGCCCGTACTGCATTGGCTGTTTATTTCCGGCGGTTCGGGGAAGCGACCCCCCTCTTCTTCTGGCGGCCCTCCCCCCTGTACATGCGCTGCCCACCTGAAAAATTTACGACGGCGTGCTGCCTCACCGCTGACGGTGACGAGGGTTGTGATAGCAGCACAGTGCAGTCTTGGCTTGTTGGTTGGTGGGAATATTTCATTGACCCGCCGGGTTAAGCGACCAGCGACTGCTGCTACGGTACAGTAGCAATACTAGAAACGTGATGGTGCTGCTTATTAGCAAGGCGACGACAACCTTGGCCAGGGGGGTTGATTAGCATACCCGGCCGAGAAAACGCAAGATCGGTTCCTACGGAAGGAGAAGACGAATAGCGACCAAGGGGGATTTGGTAATTTGCGGTGGTGGCATACCACAAAGCTGGGGCATGCCGATCGCCAAAGCTGGGTTTTCGGAGGTTGACGCCTCCGAGAGACACTAACCCGACATGCTGGACCCCCGTTGGCTTGCGGGCGGGCGGGCGTGCAGGCCGAGATGAGAATGCGTGCAACGGTTCCAGGGTTGTTTGAAAGCGTTTTGACGCCTTTGGGGAAATAGATCGACAGCCTTGGGTCCCCTTTTTGCGCGCCGGGCGGGATAAACCCATCTCAGAAACGTTTACAGGCATGCGCATCCTCAAGTGCCGAAAGCAAGCTGGTTTCTGGGATGAGAGCGACAAAAGCATACGGCGGCAGCCAGTACAGTACATGAATACCAACCCCAATACAGAAGCAGATGCCTGTAATAGCAGTAAGTAGGTACAGTACATACTTACAGCAGCACAGTATGACGTCCTGTTTGGGGGCAATGGTTGTCCTGATTCAGTCTCCTTCACCCTAAAGATTGGTAGCCCCATCTCTACCAGTCATTCTGGCGGGCACTATTCCCGCCAGTCAGAGGCGACCTTGAACGGCCACTACGAATCACAGTGGTACTGCACTGGCGCAGTGCTAACTGCTCCCACTGCGCTAGGCTAGTTTGTCACCAACGCTACCGATCTTGACTCGCGGGATGCTGCTGCTACTACTGCGCTACGACCTCTCAGCCCTGCCTGCCCAATGGGCGAGCTTTGTCTAGTGTCCTGCAGCAGCAGCAGCAGTAGTAGTAGCACCATCAGCCGCCTGCCGAAAAACGGTTACCAAGTGGTAGTGGTCTCCCTCTCCCAGTGTTTGGTACTGGTCGCGCGCCACCCGAAGACAGATACCACAGATCAGCTTACACAACTCTCTACTGCTGGTGCTTCCCTCGGCTGTTACAAAAAACAGTACAAGACGACCGCTGTCCACGAACAGAAGGGCCAGGTCCAAGCCACCACCGGCGTCTCGGGCCTCGATGCCTGTCTGTTCGCTGGTCACATATCACTTTTGGACCATCACCACCACTCCAACAGCTCTTTGTCGTTACTGGAAACAGCTTCGCAGCTGCCGTGCCCAGGAAAGGGGGCGAGCAGCAGTGGCGCTGTAGCCTCCCGTCTCTGGGAGGGGGGCGGTCGACTCTAGACGAAACGACGGTGGGTTGGTGGTTTAGGTATTGTAGTTTTTGATCATCCGTCTTTCTTGCTATAGGGCCCTTGTACACCCCACTAGCGATTTGCTATCGAACCGCTTGGTCTTGGAGTCTAATCTCCTTGAACACGCCACAATAAAGAAGCCAGGACGAGCTGCCGGGGTGGTTCCAAATACAGATAGATGTCCGTGGTGGCTGCCACATGCTGGCATATGCCGCCGTGACAAGCGATGAGATTCCACACACGCAGGTTCCCTTTCTTTCTACTGCCGGCCGTTGGCGGTGGGAGAGAGAAAAGAAGCTGCTTGTATTCGGCGCACCAAGCTTCTAGATATAACGTTGAGGCGTCACGCTATTGAATGGGGCTCTCTTACACGCACGCGCTGCAAGCATGCTCCGGCAGTTTTCGCATCGTCTGTTGTCCTGGCGGTATTCTAGAACTGCGATTGACGAGAATGCACGATGATGGGACACGTCAAATATTCAAATTTGTCCCGTTTCTTGTTTGTTTCTATACAGAAAAAGCAAATAAAGAGGGCTGCACTATAAAGTGGACTAATTCGAGGTGCGTGGCGACCGTTGAGCGCATGTTCCAGTGGGCCCGGGGGCATCCTGTAGCGTGGATGGGGGGCCCTTAAAGTCCGCTGTATTTTGGCCAGCGGCCCTCTAAAGACAACCCACAGGATCTTGTTGGGTGGTGGTGTGTGGTATGCTGTTAGTGCGCAAACGCAGCGCCAGGTATGTCACTGAAGAAAAAGCAAAGTGGCGGAGAAGCACACTGCAGCTGCACCCGCATCCGGAAAAAGCAAATACACTTCCCTTGGTGGTAGTGTGGAATAAAATAAAATAAAAAAAAGAAAAGAAGAAGAGAAGGAAGAAGCGGATTTGCAGATCTGCGGAGTTGTAAAAACGGACAAGTGATAGAATTCGAGATCCAGCAAACAACAAAAAGCAAATATGCATCTTTGGCTTTCTGCCGCTACTTTCTGCTGCTAGCCGCACTGTAATTCCCGTATTACAGCACCTATAGTGCACCTTTTACAGGCGTGTACACTGTTAAACGCTGTTGCACCTATAAGATACTGCACTGTCAACTTCCACTCTAGCTGACTGCAAGTTGACGTTTCCGCGCCGCTAGCAGCCGTTGACGCTAAAACGCACAGTCCACTACAAAAGCAACCACTCAACAACAATACCAGCCATCATCACCAAGTACACTCACTCACTCACTCAGCGTCTCACTACCATGCCTTGTTTTTACACACTACAGCGGCCTTACAATACAAAAAGAACCAAACAAATACGCCATCGCCGATCCCCTACTAACCAAATGTCTCGCCCTTTCACCCGCGCGCTTCTCGTTTGCCGGCATTCCAACCACCTCCCCTCCCCCAAATGTCTCACGCATCTTGTCTGGCGGTCAAGCGCCGCACTACTATTTTCGAAGAATACACAAACAAACAAGCCCAGGCCCGTACCGTAGACTTGCAACAAAGAAGCCGTACTATCCCCAATTTGACACAAACCGCTCTTCCGTCAGTGTCGCTGAGTGACCTGTCTGACTTAGTTACAGACAGTGTAAGTGTAGCCGGGCCGAAAGGGCCTCTGCGGCGCATTCCTCTTCTTCTCAGTGTTCGTATGTTCCACTGTGACTTGCTCTTTTTGCCTGCTTTGGCACGCAGCCCCCAACGGTATATGTACTTGTGCCGATTGACCTTGTTTGGAGGCAGTATGGACAATCCAAGACAGAGAGCTGCGTGTTAGTCTAATCGTTGTCCGAACTATCCCAAGATATACACGCCCCCTCCTCCTCCTAACACTTGCGCAGACCCCGGAGCGAGAGTTCGTCATGGCCAGATGCGCAATTACAAATTACCTGTGCTTGCTTTCAAACAGGACCCTCCTTACATGAAGCCACATGGCAAAAGAGTAACAAGGAAAAAAACAAATATAGACGAAAGAAAACGAAGTAATCCATCTAGCAGGCTGCAGATTGTGGTTGGGCGCCACCCACCAGCCCGCACGAGCTGCATAAACTTGTTCCACCAGAATATGCTGTATCTGCTATACTTGCAGAAGGAAAAAAAAGGAAGGTAACCGCGGTTATGTAACTGACAAAAAACACCGCATACTGAATCCAAACACGCCACACCACATCAACGCCCTGTCTATATGATCTCCAAACAGATGTTCTAGACGGCTGTCGCACCCTGGCAAGTTCCGTGTGTTAAAAAGGACCATGGCAAATAAGAAATGCCCTCTTGATTGGCATGATACATCTGGGCTTTGTACGACAGAGGAGATCCAGTAAAGTAAGGGTGGGTGTCTGTCTGCCTCCTCTCGCTTTGCTTCATGAGACATCCGTTGGGATCGCCCCCAGCCTCAACGGTTTTCTTTCCCACAGCCCGCGCCGTCCCGGAACCCGTTGACTCCGGTCCTTTCAAGGACAGGATTGAACTTGAGTTGCTTCCAAATGAGCAATTCTTTACACCCCGCGATGCCCTCAAATTCCAAGCAGTTGGTTGGTGTCGTACGTCCTTGTCAAGCCCGGCGTTTACACAAAACATGGCGTTCACTCTCTCGTACCAACAATATAGTCAAAGTCAATATACATCCATGTTTGAAAATATTCAGCGCTACGGGGGGTGTCTAAACGAAAGAAAAAAACTACCCTCCTTCCTTCTCATTTTGAATGTCTTTTATTTACAACAAGTCATTACATGCGTACAAAGTATGATACGCCGCTCGTCCAACCATATCCACCGCCACTCTCCAAGTCCATCAACTACCGGCAACGGCCCCGGATTATCCATTGGTCATAGTCTCTAGGCGGAGGTAGATCAGGCCAGAGGATCAAAGGCCGCCTTAGCATCACCCCGGCAATTTCCTGTGCAAGTATCTTTCGCGAACGCTTCGTTTGGTTGCCACCAAGCACCAGTTTTCCCTACATCGTGGCCTTTTCCAGCTGGAATATCGCTGTTTTGGCCCTCTCCCGGACATCCAGGTCGCGGTCGTGGCATCGTAATATGTCCATCTTGGAATGGAAACCCATCCTCCTCAAGTCTTGGGCACGCTGGGAGCATGCTTGGACTTCGTTGTCGTCGTCCACCCACGTCAGGTTGATTATCAAGTGGCAGACCGCGCAGCGGACGTCCCGGTCCCTGTGGCTGCATTGTATGGCTACCCGCTTGAGTAGTTCTGTCTGTGCAATCACCAATTGCCTGTGTCGCGGCACGCTAGCCGCAATATGCACGAGAATAAAGATGACCGCAACCATCACCCTAGGCTTCGGATGTAGCACTCTCACCTCTCCTGTCGCCGTTGTTCGTTGCCCAAACGGATGAAGCGCCTTAGACTTTAGCTTGGAGGCCAGAATCTCAAACAGGCGGTCTTGTCCAATAGCGCTGAAGAGGTAATCAATCACATCAGTGCTTTCTCCAGACATGGGACGCCCGATAAAGTTGCGAATAAAGTCCAGACCCTGCTCCTGAATGGCAAGGTCGTCGTTACGTGCTCTGCCAGCCGGGTTGTTTTCTGCTTCACGAACGCCTGTAAGGTAGTCCTCTAGCTGGCGTAGCTTCGTCGACTGGGAGCCATCTAGTTCCCGAACGCAGCCTTTGGAGGCATAAAGCCATCGAATAGGCATATCGCTCTGTGATGTCTCCATGTCTTCGTCCAAATCATATCCAATGGGTGCATCTGCTGTGTAAAGATCATTGTCGTCGTCATCATCGTCGCTAATGAGCTGAACCAGCCATCCTGGCTCCAGCTGTTCCAGGCAAGCCTTTTTCAAGTCAGGGCCGACAGCATCAACAAAATGCTTAAGGGCCCAGAGAGAGTTTAATCGTAGCTCCGGGTTATCTGAGTGAGCATGCTCACATAGCACCTTCATTAGGCCATTAGCCGTAAGAACCTATCCCCCATGTTAGCACTTGCCTACTATCAGTCTTATACCGTCCTTCACACAATGTACATACCTCTCGTACTGGGCTTACTTCTACGACAAGGTTAATTATTGTTGCCGTAGCCGCAATCTGTACGTTGATGTCAGGGTGGCGCATGAAGCCAAACACTGGCATAGCAATGGCATAGTCTACCAGCGCGGTCCTCAGGATATTAACCGATCTTGACAGCATTCTGACCACATAGCACGCTGCCACAATGACTGACAGTGGGTTGGTGCCATATCCTGGCGTAGGGACTGTGGCCACTGGCTCAACTGTAGGCTTCTCCTTTGACCGGTCCTGGGCAGGCTTTGGCTTGCCTGGAAACTCGGCCAACGATTCAACCACATAGGGAACAAAGTCTTCTGCGACAAAGGCCTTGCGGTACTCTTCTTTGGTAGAGGAGAGTGACCCAATTGCCTTCAGCGTGGATTCTCTGACCCGGATCTGATGGCAAAGCTGTTGATTTTGGCCACCATCACCAAGCTGCGCCAGCAATGGCGGATTCGAGTCAACGTCCATGCCAGTATCGGGACTAGGGGACCAATATTGGGGCTTGTCGGTTATTGTCACTGGCTGGTACGCACTCTTGAGGAGTCGCGTTAGCACCTTGACGCCGTCGCACTCAAAAGCGCTCTTTTGAAGATAATCGCAATCAGTGATTAACCGCGCCAGGATAGCCGGTGCCTTTTCTAGAACTAGTCTCTGTAGTTTAATTGCTTTGCTTGTAGCATCAGCCCCCTCTACACTGTATTTTGCAATCAACCCGACTAGAACTGGCACGACAAGGAGGCCAAGGCTTGTCTCCCTAAGTAGCTTGGTACCAAGCCCAGCACGGAAAAGCGATGCCAAGACGGACGCAGCCATCAATCTCTCGTAGTCGCCTAATGAGCGAACCAGGTGGACTAGCCATGGGATAGTAGGACTCTCAACGTCTCGTGTAGGATGCGCGGCGCTGGGGGCCCGGAGACTGGTCTTAAGCACGTCTACTGAGCCCCCCAAGACGCTTTTGCCTGTTGTCGGTCGGTTCGGGGTATGTGTTCCTGATCGATTTGGCGTTGAGTACGGCGACTGCGTTGACGACGAGTTTCTGGAATTGACAACAGGGACAGCGGGCAAGATGTACTCCATAGCGGTAAGCCATCGAGGCCGTGAGAGACCTACCGTCATGTATTCTGTGTCCCGAGGGTCTCCCATTGAATCGAGCGAGAATTGCTCAGCTCTGATGGGTGGGAATACTGCCAGAATCGTCGGTGAGTTGACGAATCGCGCAGCTCGGTATTTGGAGTCGCCCAAAACAGCGGCAATGGCTTCAAGTACCTGGCCGATATTCGCTCCAGCGACTGCAGGCTCTGGGAACACATCAGATATGCCGTCCGCACGAGCAACAGCTTCTGCGCCGGGCACAACGTATCCGTCACGCACAGCAAAGCTCGCCAACCTCATGGACAAGAGATCCAGAACGCCACCGCTCGTCAAAGCCTGTCTATGCTTCTCTTCTTTGCAGATGCGGTATACCAAGCCGGTAACAAGGTCGGTTTGGATTCTTGAATTGTAATTTGTCTGATTGCCGGCTAGCATCGCCGTCAGTGATTCGATATGAGTTGAGGTAAAGAGCACGTCGGCAATGGCGAGGACATTCAGCGGGCTGTTTGGTGACGCCAGCAAGGCAGCTTCTGCCATGTTTATAAGAGCCTTAAGCGCAGCAATAACAATTTGCGGAGGATTATAGACGGGTGATAGATTCATGAGAACCGCACCGAGGGATCGAGAGGCATCGAGGGGTTGGAGAAACGCGGGGCCACCTAGTACAGGCTCCGTTAGCGACAGGTCGCGCATCAATTGGCATTAATTCCCCGTTGAATCCTTACCATTGGCAAAGCTAGCAATCAGTTGGAGTGCCTGCAGCTTGAGGCTTTCGACTGGGTTGAGCTGCCGGTGAAGCACGTGTGCAGGTGCATCCTTGCCGTGAATCTTGGTGCTGGAGCGATTGGCACTTAGAGCTCGGACAATGGGATCGAGGACACCCAAAATGACCCATGCCTCCTTCTTCTGGGGATGGCCAACAATCTCATTTTTGAGCGACTGGAGCGCGGCGGTCTGGTCCTCTACTGTTTTGGCGCTGCGCAGCTGGGCAAGGATGGGGGAGCTTTCGGTGCGCGCCATGGAGACGGACAGGACTCTGCACCTGTTATGGCAGCGCTCGTTATTGTTGTGCGCAGTCGGGCGAGTTCATAGAACAAGGAAGCAGAGGCGTAGTAGTAATAGCAAACAACCTGTGGGAGCAGTAGTAGCAGTAGTAACAGGTCCGCTGAAAGATGTAATATCTCGGTGCTCTACGGAGGAGGCGTCGGTATTTTCGAGAGTTCGGCGTCGGCGTCGGCCCGGGGCGGGCTTGAAGAAGGATGATTAAAACGAATGCGTGAGATAAGAGGTGCTGTGAAATATCAATATCGGCTAAAATATCGCAGCGTGGTGATGGACTCGACGCGAGGCGGGATGTTGTGCAGGTCTGCAAAGCGCCCATGTGCCGAGCAGCAGCTGCCAGGTGCATCGACGTTCCGCCCGCCGGAAGTAGCCACCCAGGCGTCACTCACCTGCAAAAGAATTATGGGGCACGTGGTTTGGCAGCGCACAACTACCCGACGCCAGTGCAACACCGGGATATTCTGGGGCAAGAGGATTTCCGTTACGTGTAAGACATAAGCATAATAGAAAAACGAAATACAATTCCTTTTTAAAAATATAGAAGCAAAGATTCAAATGAAATGGTTGCATTTATTTTTATTACAAGATAAGAACAAAAGTACAATGTGGGCAATTCCGCAAATGGGCCGCATGCAAGTACAACAGCATCAACAACTTCAAATAACATTTACATCGTCTCCGTGAGATTATAATACAAAGACACCCTCTCAACTCCAGCCCTTTAAACTCCCTTTCCTCCATATCCTTGCCAAATACAGCCCGTCGCCTTGTGTGCCGCGGGGAAGCAGCCCCTGCGGTGGAACAACCAACAGCAAGACACAAGCAAAAACTCAAAAAGACGAGTGTCATGTATGTGTCAAGCAGCGCTCCAGACAGAACAGCTGCATAGCTATGACTAGAGATACCATGCGATACAAAATAACACCAGAAACAAGCTTCCGCCTCAGATCCGGAGAATGCTAGATCGCTCGCTCGCCTGCCCTGGTCCCCCCAAACTCCGTGTCTAGCAGCGGTTGACGCCAGCTAGAGAGATTCGTGCGAGCACGTGGTAAAAGAAAAAAGACGAAGAATAAACGCAGAAAATGTAGAAACGCCCCATAACAGGTAGTAGGTAACAGCATTTTTCATCTTCCCCTTCTCCCGCCTACGCAGCAACGCTTCCATCCTCTCCGCCGCGCAGCGCAAGCATGGCTCTCACATCGTGGACGTACTGCAGACCTTCCAAGAGAGGAACCAAATGCATCAAATCGTTATCGGTCGGGTCGTTGATCCAGCCTTGGATAGGAATAGCATTATCTGCAAGTCCATTGTTAGTTGCCATGCGGCGAAATCATCATACATGGTCGTCCATACCTTCGTGAAAGAGGTAGCTCAGTGGGCTGTTGTCTAAAATCATGACTTTGCTCAAGTCAGGCTCCACTGAGCTCAAGTCCTTAATATAGGCGCCTTGTCTAAAGGTGCAATGCTGGCGGTAGTAGCGGGCAGAGAAGAACTTCTTTTCAGACTCCAGCCAGTCAATGACGGGATCGGCATATTCTTGGACAGAGGCGGTAAAGACAACCAGGTTGTACCACTTGCAGATTCGGCGCAGAAACTCGTCGCAATAAGGTCGCTTGTTCACCCAGTACAGAATTGGGTGCTGAGCTGTTGCGGGAGCACCTCCACCGCTGCCGAGACCGAGGGAGGCAGCATTGAGGCGGACCTCCACCATGTGCCCACTGCTGCTTCGGCCACCCTTGGACATGCTATGTATCAATGTTTCGTCAAGGTCCAGAATCAGCGTTTTCAAGTGCTTGCGAGAAGGCTCAAGGTTCAGGTAAGATGGCTGGCGTCGCGGAATAAGAGGTCTAGGGGGGGCAGGCGCCTTGGGGTACCTGGTAAGTGCGGCAATGGGAGAAGTCGGGGATTTAATATGGGCAGAAAGCTCTTCATCGAATTCACTGCCCTTGGTGCGCGAGGCAGTGGATGCTGTTTTGCGGTGCTGCTTTCGCTGACGGACAGCGTCGTCGTTGGTGAGCTTGATGCGGATGGAGCGGCGCGACGAGTTTCCGTCGTCGGTAGTAGATTGTAGAGACTGGGATCGGGCGTGCTGGGATCTAATAGAGTGTGTTTCATCGGAGTCGGATTCGGAAACGGAGACAAGACTAGAGGAGGAGGAATTGGGGATTTTGGAATTGGATCCAGGGAGATTTGAACCAAGCGAAGCCGAGGCGCGTCGATGCTTGCCCTGGCTGCCGTACACGTGGTGGTGTCCCGAGTTTTTTCTAGAACGGTTAGGATAGACGCCAAATAGCTTCTTAAGCTGCGTCATTGGAGCGAATTTGCCATCCTCGTCGTAGAAGCAGCCCATAAGATAGACGCCAGGAGAAGCCAGCGTGGCCAGGACCCAGCGGATGGAGTTTACAAAGTTGGATATGATTCGTCTGGGAAGAGAGGCCCAAGTATACGATTTGTTTTCGAGTGAGGGATGGCCGCCAAAGAGGGGTGTAGTTTCGGAGGGTGACGATTTCTCGTCATAGTCGTGGTCATCGTACACAGCCTGATTGATGGAGTCGGCGTCATTGTCTAGGCCGTCGTCGCCAAGCGCGTGGGCCTTTTCGTCTTGCTCTGTAATGCTGAGGCCTATTGTGCCAAAGCTATTGGATCTCGTCGGCGGTGAGCTGGGCGGCGGTGAGACGCGGGAGGTTATCATGTTGAGGGAGTTCATCTTGAGTGGAGGATGCCGGCCATCAGCCAGGACCGGGGTGGTGGGCGCGGGATGATGACAACAACAGCGGGACTAGCACGCAGGCGCTGCGCTGAGATACAACAGATGGGAGGACAAGATGGAAAAATTCGGTGGATTCGGACGAGTTCAGAAAGGAGAAAGCCCTTGGCGGAGGGGAGCGTGATGCCGTGGCTGTGGTGGGCGCGAGAAAAACAATCCCAATGGGTTGGGGGACGAAGGAGCGTGGGCGGATTGTGAGAGACGACCAATTTCCCGCGAAAAACAAGACCAGAGATGGAAAAATAAAAGAAGAGGGCAATTTACCGACGACTGCGAAGAGAAGACGGATTTATTATTTACCTCCTTTTTGGTCGCGGGAAAAGGGAAGCGGACGGCCGGAATAAGGAACGGAGGACGGAGGAGGAGGAAGAGAGAGGAGAGGAGGAAAAGGGAAAAAGGTCACTGGCGAAGTGTCAGACGGAGCAGAGAGCGAAGAGCGAGAAGCAGAAATCGGTTGAGGCGCTACGGACGGACACAGTGGGCGGGCAGCGGAGCCTCGGGGGGTTGTCAGCGTAGCGTGCAGCCGGCGGGCAAGTGCAGCAGACAGACGTACAGCGAGTTTTAGCGTGCGTCGGGCGGCTGTTGGGGGTGGTGTTGAGGGCAGGCTTAGCGGCGCCTGTCTTCGGTTTGGAGGGGGCCATGTGCACTGGCAGCAGGGCGCTGGTTGGTGCAGACGGGTCGATGACGTGGGGTGGTTCGCTGTACGTGCTGTGCGTGTGAAGTGCTGCATTGGGGCGGCGCCGGCAGGCGGGACAGCAGTTAGCAGCAAAGCGGGAATTATGCTGCGAGGCCTGTGATATCCGGCCTTGATGATTGGGTGGTGGCTGCTTTTCTTTTTCTTTTGCTCTCTTTTTTATGGGCATTTATTTTCCTTTTTTTTTTTTACTTCACCATATGGCCGTCCAACAGAACCACCACCACCAGCTATGCAGCCCGCAAATCGCATATTATACAGATGCACCCAATATACGTAGCGTTTTGCCCTTCGCGCTATGCGCCTTGTCGGTGCTGGGCACCGTGCACCCGAATAAAATCTGCATAACATGTCCTTGGGTTACATGGAGAGCTCGCCTCTTCTTTTTATTTTCCCTAGTATTTTCCTAGCCCTAAATATTCCCTGCTATAGCACTCAAGCTCTATAGCACTCATCCGTTTCCCTCTTTGGTCCTGCCAACTGCCCCACCATGGCCACAAACCTCGGGGCGGGGGACCTTTTCTTTTCCGTCCCGAATTTTGTGCTGCCTTTTTTGAGTCATCACCTTTCGCGCCTCACACGCACACCTGCAGCAGCAACAGCGACGCCTTTGGCAAACCACGCCGCGACGCCTCTCCAGCACACGAGAACCCTGAAATCGCGATATTCACGCCTGAAGCATTCCTACAGAGCTCAATTTACCCATCTTCCGCAGCTAGTGCCGTAATTGTGGTGTGCTCTTTGGCCCCCATCCACCACCCCTCCATCACGACTTTTCTTTCTATCAGAGACACACGACCAGCTCAGCACTGCATCTAGCACAAAAGCAAGCCTATTATGCCATCCGCAACCGCGGGCTTCGCGCCTAACTTGGAAAAGTTTCTGAAATCTCCCAAGGGTCAGCCTTTGGAGGCGTCCGTCGAGTCCCTCATCTCGTAAGCCCCCCTCCTCCCTTCGTAGGCGCCAGTCTTGCCTACCATCTGCGCATCTTCGTCGCTAACAACGATCCCTATCTAGGCTCTTGAAGCGTCGCCAAATCAAGGGACCCGAATCCTGCGCCATTGCCACCGCCCACATCCTCCTACAAGTCGTCGCCCGCTCAAAATGGCAAGACGTCGAGACGCTCATTGCCAACGTTTCGCAAACCGGCCGAAGACTCGTCGAAGCACAGCCCAACGAGTTGGTCATTGCCAACATTACAAGACGAGTCCTCAGTCTTATCCGCGATGAAGCCGTCGAGGACCGCAACGACCTCACCAGCGAAACCATGAGCGACTGCCCCATGACGCCCGTCGAGGTCCCTGTCACGGCATCTCTCTCTCAGCCCTTTTCGCCCGCCACCCTGTCCCGGAACGATTCAATGGATGCTTCCATCCCCGGCACGCCTACCGGCCGATCACGGCTGTTGGCCTCGCATAGCAACGCTGGCCTGCCCAAGAGTCTCTTCCACCTGCTCTCTGCTTCGCCACCTACCGACGGCGATGCTCTCAGCTCCGGATCGCCCTACAGAAACTCGGGAACATCTACCCCGACATGGAAAGGCACATCAAGCCAAGTACACGCGCTTCGTTCCGAAGTCATTGACGGTATTGAGGAAATCAAGGATGAAATCAGCCAAGTCGATGATCAGATTGCCGCGCTCGCCGAAGTGCAGATCCACCCCGGCGATCACGTCCTCGTCCACCAGCCCACACAGACAGTCGAGCGCTTCATTCTCCGAGCTGCCCAAAAGCGCAAGTTTACACTGTTTTTGGCCGTCGAGCCTCCCAAGAGAGGCGCCACAGAGCCCCAGTATGCCACGTTCCGCAAGAAGCTCGAATCGCTTGGAGTCAAGGTCATTAGCATATTTAACTCGGGTCTTACTGCATACATGTCGCGCATCGACAAAGTTGTCATGGGAGCCAAGGCCATTGTTGCTAGCGGAGGTGCCCTGGTGGACGGTGGCGGTTCATCTATTGCGCGAGCTGCCAAGGAGCACGGTAACCCGGTCATCATTCTCGGTGGTGTGTACAAGCTCAGCCCCGATAGCCCGTTTGCCGAAGATCAATTGATCGAATGGGGCGATTCGTCCAGTGTGGTTAGCTTTGAAAACGGCCCTATTGTCAACGAAGTGATAGTACGCACGGCTGTGACTGAGCTGGTTCCCCCAGGATGCATTGACACATACATCACCAACCTGTACGTATATTGGATCTCATCTACTATCAAGCATCACGTCTACTAACTCTACTATTTATAGCGGCACGCATTCACGCGACCATCTCTCCAGTCTTATTGCCGACCACTACAAGCAAGCCGATACCGATTTCCATCTGAGCTCGTAGGCCGATGCTTAGCCAGAACTCGACAGAACCCATGCCTTGTATCTACGTATGCCCAGATTGAGGCATTCATGCCTATTTTCGCTGCCTAAAGTGTGTAGAGAAGTTACAGAAGAAAAAGCAACTATTTAGCATCCGTAGAGAGTTGTTATGTGGTAGTGGCTGCATGGAGAGACGTAATAATATAGGGCTGAGGCGCGGACTCGTCACCCCAGACGTAGTTGAGCTGCGGAGGGAGGGCAGCGATGAAAGTTTGGCAAAGGACCGGCGTCCTTTTCTTTATGAAGACGAAAAGTTTCCGTCTTGACGATAGAGTTGAATTACAGCATTATTTTAATACCAGCTTGTTTGTTTAGTTGTTTCGTCTTCACTAGGTGGTGCACCAAAGATGGAATTTATACTGTTGACGGCCCTGTAAACCCCAGACACTTGCTTATATTCTCTGTAAAAATAAAGGTGTTAAAAAGGAAAACTTACACAAGGCAAATCATAGCAATAAAACCATCTTTCAATAAATAAAAATACAAAATACATAGCCCTGTACATCTTGGGCGCCCCCCCAGAAACTAACCCGCCCACCAATTTCGTACCCTAAAAAGCCTAGCGTTCCACCTGGCGGTGCGCTGAAAGGACGCCGCGCGTTGCATGACGCACCAGGTGGCAGGTTGCGCGGCGTCCAGCAACCATTAGCCCGAGGCTGCCTAAAACCACTTACAGCCGCACCACCCCCAGAAAGTCATAAGAAAAAAGATGCGATTTCTCCTTTAACAAAAAACATGTTTTGAATACTTGATGCTTGAGATTTAATCCAAACACTTGTCTCTACATCACACGACAACCGACAACAAAATATCCCCCACGACGCTGTAAGCGACACCCCATCGACATCATGAGCTCGTTACCGCACGACGCTCCGCCTCACGGCGACGAAGCTCCTCCGCCATACTCCGAAAACGACATCTACTCAACCTCCGGCGCTGCCCAGTCCATCGCCGGATCAGCAAACAGCCGAGGCGACGAAAGCCTGGGCACATCCGAGATCATCTACACACCGCCCGCTACTCCCGGAGGCTTCGCCGAGACGAACAACCAGGGCGCCACCCAGTACATTGATTCCCGCCCAGTACCGGCCAACATCCCCGGCGGCACCACAGTGAAGCTCATTACGCTTACCGAAGAGTCCATTGCAGACGATTTCGCATACGACCACAGCCTTGCCAGTCGTGACGTCAACTCCCAGGACTGGGCCACCTTTATCAACTTTCTCCTGCCCGATCACACGACGAGGGGCAACGACGTCATTCTCGACCGCAAGCTTCGCGAAGAAGCACAGAGCGAGGCAGCCAGTAGCAGTGGTCGATCGGAAGCTGCAACAGCACACCTTGAAGGGCTGCGTGAGCGCGGATTCCGTCTCTCGCCAGAAGAGCTTGCCCACCAACGCACAGTGGCTAGAGGTACTGTCCAGCAATGGAACCGAGGCTTCTTCGGTCCCCGCGGTATCGAAATCCGCGTCAATATACAAGATGGCCCACCATCAGATATGCCTGGGTCATGGAATCCTGCTTTTTCAGAGCCACCGCAAACTGCAAGTCGGGCTACCCAACCCACCGCTGCTGCCGCTGCTAGACAGGCTTTCAACGTGGGCGGTCTGGTAATGGACTCTGAAGGCATACGCTGGGGCAATTCTGTTACTATGGACAGCAATGGAATTCGTGTTGGCAATCTAGTTATGGATAGCAAGGGCATTAGAATGGGTGGTGCATCGGGAGGTTCTTCCGCGGTGCCAGGCCCAGATGCTCGTGGGCTTCCCAACCAGGGACACATGCACCATGGCCATCCATCTGAGCGCGGCCGTGGCCATATGCCCGGTGGATTCCCACAACGTCGCCGCTCTCTATCAGCTTCATCTGTCTCCTCAAGCTCTAGCGAGTCCTCGGTTGGCTCACTACCCGACTACGACGACGTCAAGGAGGCTCAGATGCCCGTCTACCTATCCATTCTTCAAGATCTTACCGCAAACCCGGAGAAGATTCGCTCCAGAGGGGATCTAAACCACGCCAGAGCCGCAATCAAGGCCGCGAAAGCCAATCCGGTCAACCCTGCTCTGAACAAAGCCACACTCAAAGCCCAAATCAAGGGCCTGCACCAGGTGTGGAAGAAGATTAAGAAAGACCAGAAGAGGCTCCAGCGAGAAGAGCGCCGCGTTCGTAGAAAGCAGCGCAAGGGAGAACGCAGGGAATACCGCAAGAATAAGCGGGAGATGAAAAAGGCCATCAAGACAAATCCGTGGGCCTATCTCGCCCAAGCAACCGGCCAGCCTCCCATGCCTCCAGGTGCTCCAGGCGCACCACCTCCGCCTATGCCTCCCATGCCGGGCCAATTCCCCGTGCACCCGCCTCACCCTCACCATCCTTTCCACCAACACCACCAACACCAAGACAGATGCGGTATGGGGCGCAGTCGCGGGCGAGGGCTGTTTCAGCCTGGGCCATCAGGGATGCCGGGTCCATCTTGTCCACCAGGGCCCTGGGGACGGGGCCGGCATCAGTTTCCAACACGCGGTGGCTTCCCGTTTGCTGATACTCGCGGAGCACCGGGACCAGGACCGGACCCAGAGAGCGTGGCATCAATGGCCAGGGAGCAGGCAGCAGCAAGCTTGCGAAGCGAGATTGAAAAGCAGCAAAAAGTAGCAGACTCACTTGAAGATGGGCCTCATAAACGAGGTATCGAGAAAGCGATTGAGGCCATGACCGAGTCACTTTCATCTTTACAGGTTGATGGAGATCATACGCCAAACTACCACCAGTAAAGAAGAAGGAAAAAACATCGTCCTTTTGGTTAATAGCATAGCGTTGTGATTATTGTACTTTTATAATAAATAGTCAACTTTTTTGAACCCTGCCGTCTTTCTTGTCCATATACACATAACAAGAGTCATGATGACTCCCTTTTGTTTCCCGCATGACGCCGTACATCCTTTCCCGTCTTCGTACTTCAAGTTTTCATTCTGGTCTCCGGCAAATCACAGTCCAACAGTGACGTTCATCTCACGGCCTTTGCCGGCCTCTGGGTCTCTACCGACCTCGCCGACGGCATCACCCTCATCAAGGTGCTCGCCGTTTTCTGTAGTGCCATTTGCTGTGGCCTGTGCCTCCTCGTCCTTCTCAGCCTGCTCGAGCTGCTTGCGAATGTACTCGAGGTCCAGACGCATGGAGTAGGCGTCCTCGCCATCAGCGTAGTACTTGGACTCCGTCTTTTCGTTCTTAAAGCCGAGCGTCGTTTCGTACAGGTGGCGGGCAGCGACATTGGAGTGACGCACGTGAAGCGAGACGTACTTGGCGCCAAAGGTCTCAACCATGGCGAGCTCTGTAAAAGTGAAGGTCCTAGTTAGCGTATTTTGCGCACGTGTGAGGTTGTAGATGGTGGGTGGTGGTGATGCTTACGGCTCTGTCTCATGAGCTTCTCGGCGATGCCTAGACGGCGATGCGTGCGCATGACGCTCAGACTCGTAATGTGACCGTGTGCAATGCCGTCCGTGGGCTCTTCCTCCATCTTGGCGAGCACGTAGCCCACAATCTTGGGGTAGTCGTAGGGGCCCTTGGCCGGGCGGGAGACGTCGACGGCGACGTAGCTAAGCTGCGGCCATGACAGGGCGTGGTACAGGTAGTACTTGAGGAAGTAGTTTTCGGGGAGGTTCTCGAGGTTGGCGTGCTGGATCAGCGGCAAATCCGAGTTGCGCAGAAGCCGGATATCCATGATGGGTGGTGGGTGTGTGCGCGGCGGCGGAGGAGGGGCTAGCGGGCGATCGAGCACAGTGCTAGAGATTCGAGTCTTGTGTTATAGGGTAGACTCGTTGTTTTGGTGAGGCTGTCGGCGTCGATTGGTCGGGCCGCGCGGCAGATCGTGGGAGATGGTTTGGCTGAGGAAGCGAAGTCGGTGATGGAGTCGAAAAGCGCACTATAGAACAGAGTGGTTGTAGCCCCACCAGACGAAGGTTACAGGGAAAGCATCTGGCGCTAAAAAGAGGGACGTCATTACAAATGTAGTAAAATAGCAGTAAAATAATTATATAATACTAGAATAGTTAATGATAATAATCACGATTCTGCAGTAGTCGATCCCAGTCTATGTATAATTCCACATCGAGGGCATTATCCAAGCCAGCCTTCGCAACCACGCCAAGATTACCCCGAGCCTCAATTAAATACAACGCAGTAAGTATCAAGCACCACAGATATAGAAATGAGACTGACTAGAAAACAAGATTGCAACATGATCAAACGTATGACAATGATGATGAGGGCATGAACTATTCCGCATCGCACATCGCGGGTATAGAAAGTGTATCGCAGCAACATGACGTGCCAGGTCCTGAAAGTATAAGGCTATCTAGTGAATAGATTAATATTTCTAAAATAACTAAGCTACTAATACTTCTATAACGATAATAGGCTATACCTGTCTAGCAGTCAAGCTTAGTACGAGGCAAGAACTTATTATTGATTGCTTTCTTTATGACTTAAAAGCATGTTGTATTCGATCCTTCTGCATAGATAGAAGTAACAATATTATTAAGTAATACTGTGGCCTTTGTTAGTATTTTAAACTAGCTATATTCCATCTACAAAAAGATCTTACAACGACTTAGACTACAGTGTCCCACCAACAGGTGAATCATGTTAGTCGAAAAAAATCATTGCAAAATCTATTTTCCTTTGTAACCCGGGAACAACGTAAAGAGCTGACTGTGGAACTCGGGCAGCTGGGGGCAAGCCAGTCCAGCAACAGCAGCCTTGATAGGATCCAGCACGGGGTCAAGCAAACCACCAAGAAGAGAGAGAAGACCATCCAGCTCATCAATTCCACCGGCCATAGCAGCTTGGAAGGCAAAGCAAGCAAGGTTGTTTCCTTGGAGGAGGGTAGTTGCGTCAAAGACACCGCCAGTGAGGTCAGCGAGATTGACACCAGTAAACGAGTTGGTAGTTCCAGTGTTTCCACCAATGCGGAACGTGCCAGGCTGTTCAACATTGCCAGCAAGCACATCGATGAAGACGTCAGCGAGGTTGTACTGGTCCAAACCTCCAGGGCGGCGGTACCAGTTCTCGGGGATGCGTTCCTGGCCGGGGTGATGCACAAAGTTGTTGTCGTCTCCAGTCACAGCAAAGAAGCTCTTCACAACGTCCTTGGTCAAGAAGCCTCCTGGGTTCTCAGCAGAGTGGTTCGACATGAAGTTGATGACAAAGTTGTGCGCAGCAGGCGCAACGATGCCAGAGAAGGGGCCGGAGAAGTAGTACGGGTTGTTGCTGATGGAGTAGTTGGTGTTGATTTGGGACAGAATAGTGGTTTTCGCAAGCGTCAAGCCGTCGTCGCCAGCGATGTCAATGAGGTTCTTCCACCGGGTATTCTGGAAAATGTCGACGTTGCCGTTGTTCAAGTGGGCATCGCCACGAACAATCGAGGCGTCACCTTCGTACTTGTTGTGTGATCCATAAAGACCTTTTGGGTTGGACAGAACCAATGGCAGCGTAGAAGGGAATCCTCCACCAATAGACCATCTGAGCGATGGGATATCTCCGGAGAGGAGGACGGCAACTGCAGCCAAGGCAGCACCCAGCACAGGGTTCATGTTGTAGGCTTTCTCCAGGCCGGTTGCGGCTAAAGTCCCAATTAGTAGACAGTCTTGGTGTATTTTTTGAAGAGGCCTATTACTTACTCTCAGTGATGGATGGAAGTCCACTGCGAGGCAAGAAGCCGTGGTTGGCAGCAGCATTCAAGCCGGGGCATTGTCCGCGGCGGTCGTTGGGACCAGGAGACTGAAACTCATGGCCGCTGCCAGGAGTAACATCGACATACTGCGCCGCAGCATCAAAAGAAGGGTTTGGGTGAGCAGTACCCGTGTTCAGTCGGCCTCCAGAGGCTGCTCGTTTCAGATGCATGTCCATTTCCATGACGGTAGGCCATGCAGCCACCAAGGGTATAAGTGGAAGTAGAGTAGTAGTAAGCTTTACCATGGTGGTGGATAGCTATGACAGTTTGAATTGAATAAGAGAATTGAGTTTTTTTGATGTTGTATAAAAAGCAGAAGAAGTTGAGTGAGGGTTGCTGGTCTATATAGCTGCGTCCAGTCACCGCAAACTTGTCTTGAAGCTTGGTAGCGTGTATGAGAAACTCCGGCAGCTTGCAATTCACACATTAACTAGGCGATCATTATTCGTCATTCTCTGGCCGATTTGCGTTTAGTACAAGAGCCGTGCGGCACCTGTAGTGTGGTGTGCCACGTCTGCTGCAAAAGACGATAGCGCGGTTCGGAAACGCAGTCAAAGGTAGCCAGCTAAGTAGGGTGAGCAAGTAAGTACAAACACTACTTTTCTCTTTTAGGCAATATAGAAAGTCACACAGGTGGCAATGCAGGGTTTAGACACTAGGTATCCCTTGCCGATGGCTGGCGGCCAACCTTGTAGTCAATTGGTGAAGCAGTGCACGATTGAGCTGGTATAGGAAGACAATTCATGTGCTAACCTCTCAGTTGGGCAATCACTCTGAATGAAGACTTCGTACTCTTGTTTCTCTGGATTAAACATCTACGCCATATCGCTAGTTGACAGCCTAGTTTCGCCCCGTGCACCTGCAAAGTTTAGCTCAACACTTTGTCCCACGTTGTAAGCACACTTACAGCCATTACCAAAAGGGGACATCTGATTGGGTCGAGGCAGGTTGCAATAGTACTGATGGTGTGGTTCATGATTATATGGGGATTGTACGGATCTGAACATCTCCGGTACTTGGCTACGAGAGGCTGCACTTGTGTCTTAGCGTGCCGAGCCGTGAGACACGTTCATTGGTAGAACAGCCTCGTCCCAATCCTTCCGCTGCAACTCTTTCGCAATTCAGAGGTAGGATCACGAAGCCAAGCGAAAATATAGCGTGTATGATGCAAGGTTAGTCTCAGTCTGGAGTGCAGCCGTTCTGCATGGCCTACACGCGCCTCATGTATGCACGCCGAGTCTAGTTGGCCTGGACTCATGTGTGTGTGTGTGTGTGTGTGTGTGTGGCGATACCACAGCCACCGAAAACTAGCAGCGTATGCAATGAATATCCTTGATCTTTCTGCAGAAAGCTGTCCAGAGATGTGCAGGCGGATATCACTCGATCCGAGATTTGTAGTGTCACGTCTTAAGCAGGGATTTTCCCATGATGATCAGCCCTCAAGTACGCTAATACTACCGCACCACTGGAAAAAACAATGATAAGTTAGCATAAGAGGTTTACTAAACCGGTACAAAGTCTTAAACATGGAAATAATGGCTCAACTTGCCCAAGTGCAAGGCATCAACCCCGAGTGGATGGATAAGGTATATGCGTAGCGTAGTTGGCGATGGCACAACAATCACTACCAAACCACTGGGTGGCTGCCCAGTCGTCAAGATCTACTCCACCAAATACGCCACAGGCGGGGGATATGGAAGCGACCAATTGGGATGAGATGGTTATCAAGCAAGTCGGATATACAAGGAGTCCATGCACAAGTAGGCCCAGCTGGGCCAGTGCTGAGGACTGTATTCGTAATCTTGCGTCATTCCGTCTATCTTGAATGCAGGTATTGGCTCATAAACCAGTTTCTTCCCGTCAGATTGAGCTGAATAGCAACATGAAAACTGGGGGAGGGGCCGCCATATCGCTGGATACGGGGTCGATTCTACCCATGGGTTCGGTTTGATGATGATAAGTCCTATTTTGGCACCTTGGCGGTAGACGATGGGACTAATTTCATTTTTCTTTTCAGGAAGGGCTTCTCCCGCTGTCTGCCACCATCTGCTGCATTATTGCGACATCTCGAGCATTGCGACATGGCCTCAATATGAGGGAGACGATGACGTGCTAGTGCGTGCACCGGCGCCTAACAAGACCGTGTAAGCACCATTGGGCATATTGATTGGTTCAGCGATAGATACCCTGCCAAACTTGGAATGAATCACTCGGAAAAGACGGCCCGAGAACTGATTTGGATTTGCCGTTGCTGTCTCGGATCCTGACAACCAACTACACATTGATGTTTGTCTTGGTGAAACCGTCACACTTCCCAGTATTGTAGTGACTATCAAGACTATGACGTCAACTAGAGTTTTAAGTGATATTTTCTTTAGAGTAAGAATACTGTTGATATTGTTGGTATTAAAAAAATACGATGAGTATGAAAGAAGTAGGCTACTGTCTAATATCTAGACCGTATAGGTCAGTGACCCCACCAAACGGCCGGCGTGGGGTCCGCCAGAAATTCTACAAACACCGCCAAGTGATATTCGTCACAACTCAAAGAGTCCGACTCACAGATTCACATTCACCACCAAACTATGCCAGAATCAGAAGATCCCTTTGAAGACATCTTCAACCTCGAAGATGGCTTCTATCGCCAAGGCTACCAGCAGGGCCTCGAGGACGGCGAGCAGGCCGGCCGCATCGAAGGCCGCCAGTTCGGCATGAGCAAGGGCTTTGATAAGTTTCTCGAGAGCGGCCTCCTCGCAGGCAGAGCCACAATCTGGGCGAACCGTCTACCAGACCAGCGACTGAAGCGCGAAGAGCAAAACAAAGCAGAAGGCAAACCTCTCGACGCCTCTCGCGCGCAGCTCCCGGCGTTACCAGCCAACGCCAGACTGGACAAGAACGTCAAGATGCTCTATGCGCTGGTTGAGCCGGAAACACTATCTACTCAGAATTCAGACGAGGCAGTACAAGACTTTGATGACAGAGTCAAGCGAGCACAAGGGAAAATGAAGGTGGTAGAGCGTATGGTTGGGCAGCGGTCTTGAAGGCCGATTTTACGCGCAGCTCCCGGCGTTACCAGCCAACGCCAGACTGGACAAGAACGTCAAGATGCTCTATGCGCTGGTTGAGCCGGAAACACTATCTACTCAGAATTCAGACGAGGCAGTACAAGACTTTGATGACAGAGTCAAGCGAGCACAAGGGAAAATGAAGGTGGTAGAGCGTATGGTTGGGCAGCGGTCTTGAAGGCCGATTTTACGAATTATTTTGCATAGCATGGAGTTTGGGGGTCGGAAAATGTCTTTTTTTTAAATAAAAAAACAGGCGGATTATATTTATAGAGCATACAGCTGGATCATAGCAAAATCATACACTTAAACAGTGTTCCTCGCCATTGCAGGTAGCAAGAGGCACACTACAAAGAGACAGCCTTGATCAATCACGAAAGCACATAGTGGGCATCATGCTTGTTAACAAAGTAAAATGTCTGATGTTAATATTTCCCTAACAAGCGTAGGTTTCTTCTATGACTTCCAGCCTCTCCTCCACTTCTTCCTTCATTATATACATACAGGCAAGCGCCTCCATTTTACTGGAACGATCTAGCAGGGTATCTATCACAAATTGTTAGTCAACACACCCAGTAACACACAACCACATAAAAATAAAACATACTCTTCAGGGTACGACGCCTCGTTGACGAGCTTATACTTGTGCACGTCCCACTTGCCGCTAGACAAAGACTGGCCGCTAGGCGTAGGGGGAAGACCGCCAATGAAGACGTCCTTGGTGGCAACACCAGCCGAAGACTTGGCCAGGAACTTGGACAGGCCGTTGGTCTGGCCGTCTTGCTTGGCAGCAACGAGCTGCTTCTCGCCAGCCTCGCCAATGAGCTCGACCTTGGGCTGGGCCTCGCTGCCGACGGTCAACAAGCTGACAACATCGGCCTGGTTGACGACAGAAAGGCGAGGGTACGCACGGCGGGTGTCGCGCTTCCAGTAGGGGTTTCCGGCAATATCACCAGCGGGCAGCGTAACGGGATCGTCGTACTCGAGGGGGTCGTTGGCACCGGGGGCGGGAAGACGGAAGGTAGGGTTGAGAGGAACACCGTTGGAGCGCTCGGGGTCGAGGGCGAAGACGCGGCGGAGGGCCTCCCAGACGCCGGTGGACTGGACAGTGTGTTTCTGCAGAAGAGGTGGCGGTTAGCAAATGCTGTTCGAGAAATACTGGACTGATTGACGTGGTGCCGGCTAGAGAGAGTTGTAGCGTCGCTGCCGATGATTATTTGTCTCGCTTGTGGTGTGCGGGCTTCGCGGCGACCAATCGAGCGGGTCTATCAATTGGATGGTGTCAGTCGGATTATATTTACCTTGGCAATAGAAACAACGCCGCCAGCGGCTTTGGCAACCGCTTGAGAAGACATTTTTGGGGTATTTGTGGTGGATGGGAAGCTGGCGAGGTTCGAGAGAGGCGCTTGTCGGGCGGAAGTCGAATTGGCATTTCTCTGGTTGGTCAGTTGGTGTTTAGCCGAACATCTGCCGGTGTACTACCCGGGACCAAATCAGTCCATCTGAAATATGTCCTAAACACAGAGGCAACATAATTTTTAATCCTAAAAAGGGTTTAATCAGTTACTAGATAGTATATGGTGTTCAATTGGGTTGTAAAAGGAGCTGTTTCAAGGGATGGTACGTGTTGGTATTAACCATGAACATGATCACGATAGTAGGCGCTACACCAGCACGCGCTTCCATATTTTGCCGTTCTTGTAATTTACGTTGAATCACTTAAAAATATACTAAAAAAGTCGTTAAATCTTAATTGCTGTTCCATTTCACAAGTCCTAAACTAAGAATACAGTACTACACAAAACGTGCAATTGCCAACCCATCAACCTTCAACCAATCCAACACCAGAACGCGTGCCATATACCCATCATTTACTTCTTAAGCTCCTCAACAAGAGCCTTAACTCTATCAACGGTGCCCTGGGGGCTACCAGCCTCAGCGACAAGGACCTTGCCCTCCTTGCTGACAACAAAGACACCGCGCTGAGTGCCGCTAGGGCTCTTCTTCAAGCCAATGGCGGCAATGAGCGTCTGCTTGGGGTCGCAGAGCAGAGGGTACTGGAGCTTCTGCTTGTCCTTGAAAGTGGTGTTGGCCTTGGGCGAGTCAGCGCTGAGGCCGTAGATGAGGAGGCCGTCGGCGGTAAGGGGCTCGTAGGCATCGCGGAAGAAGCAAACCTGCTTGGTGCCTGTTTGTTTTTGAGACCAAGTTAGCCAGTGCGCGCCAACACAAAACAATTGTACTTACAGCCGGGGGTAGAAGCCTTGGGGTAGGTGAAGAGAACGACGCCGGAGCCGCTGGCCTCGACAAGCTTCTTCAAGGTCGTCTTCTCGCCATCGTTGGTCTCAATCTCGCCGCCAAAGGTGTCGAGGTCAATCTTGTCGCCAACAGCAACCTGCTTGCTGGACTTCTTCTCAGCGGGAGCAGCAGCAGCAGCCTTCTTGGGCTCAGCGGCCTTCTTGGGCGCAGCAGCTTTCTTAGGAGCAGCGGCCTTCTTAGCAGCAGGCGCAGGAGCGGGAGCAGCCTCGGGGGCCTTGCGCTTGCGAAGTGTGGGAGCCATTGCTAGAGCTTGTTGTGACGGGGAGTACGTTTCAGAATTGCGCAAGAGAGAAGAAGAAATCCGAGTCTGTCGTTTTGCGCAGAGCTCTAGAAGGCAAGTCAGAAAGTGCGCGACTGACGAAAAAAAAGAGAAGAAGACGAAGGGAAAAATTGGTTGCGCTCGCATATGGCGCAAAATGAGCCCTTGCGCCAAAACGTGGGTATGGAGAGGTAGCTCCAAGACACGCAAAAAAAAGGACAAGTGACAAAACAAGATGACTTACCAGGTAATGCGGCAGAGATTCAACCGGTGGAAGCAAATGCAACAATGAAGCAAAACAACGATGCGAAAAAAAAAAGTGTGAAGAGGGGGAGGGAAGAGGAGAGAGAGGAGGACAGGAAATGCGCAGCGCAGCAACCAAGAGGAGGGCTGGAGCTTGGGCGCAGTGTGAGGAGGAGCTGTGCCTGTTTGCCTGCAACTGGGGCTATAACTGGTGCTAATTACTCCTGCTGCTAGTGCTGCTGCGGCGACGCGGGTGGGCGGATATGCTGCAGTACCTGTGCTGTGGCCAGTAATCGTCGTGGTAGGGCCGACGCGAGCACCTGTTTGGGCTGTTCTGGGCCGCCAGAGGCGCTAAAACGGCTCCAGAATAAGATGCGCTTGGGGGCGGTTTGCACTAGCAACGGGTTTGCTGGCTTTCTTTGCCGGAGCTTGGGCCAATGCTCTGCAGCACCACCAGCGGCAGCTCCTCCACGGGGGAGAGGATCCTCCAGGGGTTCTGGAACTTTGATAAGCGGCGCTGCGTTTCTCGCTTGCGGTTCACCGGGGTAGTAATAAGAGGCTGTTGGCGGCGTGACGCAGCGCCAAAAACAGAATAATAACAGTAGAAGGGTGGAAATGATAAATGCGAAACGGAAAAATTAAAGCGCGACGCGGGTGCTTTTAAAATAAGATATATTCCGTGTAGAAAATAACTGCAGAAGCGGTATAAAATAAGAATCCCATCCCACATGTTAGAAAAGAAACACCAGAAACAGTCTGCATGGGAAAGAAGAAGCATCTTTATCAACACCCGGGTTGTTGTAGCAGATGATGCGCGCAATTTTGAACAAGGAAAAACAGATTCTATTTGTCCATTCCCTAACAAAAGCCCATGTAGTCCAAAAGTTCAGCGGTAAAGGACCAAAGAAAAAGGAAAAAGTGTCCCATGTGATATATATGTAACAGTTCGAAGTGATAAGATAAAGGTGTATTTTGCTGGGCTTGTCGTCCGTCTAGCACTCAAGGAGTCGACGTCTGCTCCTCCAGCAATGCTGCTGCCTCTTGACGGGTCAGTGTCAGCTGGCGCATAATGTATTCATATGTCAACATGGTGACGGTGGCCGCAGGCACCGCACGCATCATGTTGGTGCCTAGTCCGGCGTAAAATGCTCTCCACCCCTCCTCGTGTAAGATAATGCGGAATGTGTGTACAATTCCTCTGTATTTCGGTTCTGCTGGCTTGGGAGCTGATGCCCCGTTGGCTTGGCCCGAAGCTACGGGTCGGCGTTGTGTCTGTAGTCGTGTTCGAATGACTTCGTGAGGATACGTTGCGGTACTAGCAAGGATTTTAGAGAGAATAGACGCGGACAGGATGCCGCTCCAGTGCGCATCCTGACCAGCCGCCGGCGATTCGCCCATGCCTTGGCCGGTAAACGTCTTTTTAAGGAATTCGTATGTAGGGAACTGAACAGCGACGTGTGTCAGGCCGAGCAGTGCTGGTGAGAGGCCGGAGTAAAAGGAAGCCAGGCCCTCGGAGCTGTACATCTTGCGGGCTGCATCTAGAGTCGACCTGTAATGCCATGTCGACTGGGCGGTAGGTCTGGCGGTGGGCGTGTTGGAGGATTTAGGAATGTCGTGATGATAATGATGCCTTGTGGCATTAGGGCTGCTCTGTGACATGAGACGAGTTTTGATGACCCAGATTGGGTTTGTGGCAATGGTGCTGCTGCCGCCAGCAATGATGGAAGACCAGAAGCTGACGATGTGGGGATTATCTACAGACTGTGTTAGCGATACGTGACGGGTAGTATACTCTGCATAGAAAAACATACCGTGATGTTGGCCAAGGTATACCTTGCACTTATTGTACACTGTGAACCAGACTGCCCATGTAGGCAGGTATCCTAAGATGATGGGCCCTAACCCACGGTACATGCCGCGGAGGCCGTCTTCCTTCCAGATGACTTTGGCCGTGCCGATCAGGCCGTTATATAATTGTCGACTGCTCTTTTCTCCTATCCGCAAGCTGCGTTGTGCTTGCAACTTAGTTTTAATGACATCCAGCGGGCATGTGACGACACCTGATGTGAAGCCACCGACGGCGCCGGCAATGGCGTTGAACTGGGAGTCGGACGCTCGAATCGCCCATCGTTGCACCGGCGTCAGGCCAGCCGCTTGCTGCTGCTTTGCTGTGTGCGGCGGGATGGCATATGAAGGCGCTGCGTTCTCTTGCGGCTCGATCTGGGTTTCCGGCGAGTGCGGCTGTGGATGGTGGTCGTGGGACATGGCGGGCAAACAACCTCTGCGAGCCAGCTGCCGGGAGGCGACGGTCTCGATTCTCGAAGCAAATGATTAGGACGGTCGGTGTCCAGCACCAAGTTTGCCAGCTCTGTCACCGTCTCCGAGGCCTTCCGACGACTCTGGTGTTTGTCCAAGTCGAAAACGTCGAAGAAGCCTCGAGGGACGGTGGCTGCGTTACTGGACGGCGGCTATTCGACGGGCCCGGTCGTACGAGTATGCATGTAGCGGTTCGTAGGCGGTACTACGCAAACTGCTAGTCTATGAAGCTGTCTCTGTCTTGTGTTCGGGGCGGCGGGAAGATGGTCCAAGGCGCTGCGGGGGTTTTTGCCAGACAAAGCTCCAAAAAATGTTGCTCCGGTGGCCGCGGAAAAGATTCGCCGGCGGGGACGACTGCACGGGTCTATTTTATTGAATAATGGAGAGGATTCGTCGATTTACTCGAGACCAGCGGGAAACGAGTGCACGCTGCCGAGACAAATGGCCGTGGTGCGTTGAAATTGGGTTTTTGGAGTCGTTGACGTTGGAGTTTTTTCCTCAGCGAGGTGGAGAGGAGCACAGCATAGTATTAAAGTGCGGACCGACCAAGATGAACCGATGGCACCCCGGAGCTGGGCGTGCTTTTTTCTGCGCTGGGTGGGCGCTCAGCGGGTGCTTTGGGGGATTAGCGGGCATCTTTTAGTGGGCAGTGGGGGGAGCAAGAACCGACTGTACCCAGGCGTGCTGTGGGTGAGGTGAGGTGATGTAAGGCACGGTGGGCTGCTTGCTTATGGGTTTGTAGCAGGGGGATAGTAATTGTAGGGTTATGGAGCGTGTTTTGTTGAATATTTTAGTCCTAGATGCTGCTCAATTGGTGTTTACTGTGCACATTGTCACACGCACATCGCCCTGCCTAGCGATGATGCAACGCCTTCTTCAGTAGCATGCGCCTGCTCGCTGTCCGCGGCCGTTTCTTAGTGGGCGCTGGCGCTGGAATCGCCGGTACCGGGAACAACCGGGGCCACGCACCCAGCATCCTTGTTTCTAAGCTTGGAAAACAGCTGGCTTGTGACGTCGGCTGTTTTCCCTTTCATCCAACGCCATTCTAATGAAATAAATTGGGAGGCACGCCTATAGGCTTGCATGACCAGTTGTGTACACGGCTGCAGGGAACAAACATCACCAAATCAAGCTTTCAATAGCGCTGCGTATGCAAGCCCAATCGGCCAAGCGGAACGGGCCAACGCCACTAGTTGTGGTGTTATCCCAGACACACGCGAGCCATGCGACTTGCATTTTTGGATGCAATATGTAGATATTACTGGCTGAGTGGCTTCGGTGCATGTTCATGGCGTGATGTGTGCTTATAGCTCGGGCGTGTCGGCCCGTTACGACGTTTCAAAAGGCTATATGAGACGTTTAAGAGGGTATTTGCGGTATCTCTGCGGTTGCAATCGCCTTGAATTCTACAGTTGTAATGGCAACATCATTTATAGGTATGCTATTGACAGCCGTCTAGTGTTTATCAGACTGTTACTCTGAAGAGAGCACCGTATGACCCGGCAGTGTTAGATGTCCGACGATTGTTCCACCACACAATGCTATTCCTATAAATAATTACTCAAGCCGCTATAAAGACTATTATACGTAACCCATGCACAAACTTTTTATTTATTTTCACTCTCCTTGCTTCCTCTATACGTATTTCACGGCCTCTCACTTACACAGGCAAACGATCCATGTCACGTGTCTTCAAGACATTCCCCTCACGTGACTCGACAAAACCCGCCCAGCTGGCCCAGCAGCCAACCAGACCAACCAGAAGCCTGCTGACGGGGACCTTTTTCATTTTCGCGCAATCCTCTCCCCCAAAGGCATCTCTCTCCCGCCCTACCACGCATCAGCAACCACAACCACCCGCCGAGTCGCCCATCATGCCCGCCTCGCTTGCTCCTTTCGTCCTCCGCAGACCTTGGTTGACCAAGTTGCTCACTCCCGCCGCTTCCTGGTACGCCAATGCCGCCGGCTACCGCAAGCTTGGCCTCAGGTACGAAATTCGACTTTTCCCCCGACAGACCGCGAATCCAAACGACAGCCGATTGCGACTTAGCAATGCCTACAAATGGGATATGCGGTGCTGGATTTGCCTAATTGAGCTCTTTTGGAACGAATTGGGCCGATTCGGCACCACTGTCTTGATGCTGCAAGGCTTGTCCGGCTCGGTTGATCTCGGAATCGCAGGGGGACGAGATATAAAAACAACACCAACCACGACAGCATAACTAACGTGTATTTAGATACGACGATCTCCTTGAGGAGGAATCCGAGGCTGTCCAGATTGCCATCCGCCGTCTCTCCGACAAGGAGGCCTACGACCGTGTCTACCGTCTCCGCCGCTCCATCCAGTGCAGCTACCAGCACAAGCTGCTCCCCAAGTCTGAGTGGACCAAGCCCGAGGAGGTAAATAAAATGCGATTATCAACAGAGGGAATGTAAATTTACTAACGTGCTTGTAGGATGTCCCCTACCTCCGCCCTCTGGTTGCCCAGGTTGAGGCTGAGCTTGCCGAGAAGGATGCCCTCGACTCCATGAACGTCATCAAGAGCCACTAAGCGCTAGTGGATCGAAAATGTAAAGCAGGAGAGATGGATGGAATATTTTTTGTGTATACCAAAGACGGAGGAGGGGAGAATGCAGTGGTGGGAAGCGGCGACACCAGCCCCAGGACGACAGATTTAATTCCTGAGCCCTGCCATACGGACAGACCGGGCAGACAAGACAGGGTACGACAGGGAGGAAAAGCAGGGAGAGGGCATCTTGATTGAGAAGACGATTCAAGAGTGCACCTGATCCCGTGTATCCTATGTATAGACAACCTCTTTTTTAGTTCGTTCGAGCCGCAGAAGCGCGAATGAAACAAAAATCACTTTCAGTTTTTCTTTGTCATAAGGCTTGTTACCTCGCTCACAGTGTTCGAATCAGTCTCTTTTATGTTCTTTTGAAAAGTAGATTTGTATTACTTTGCCGCAAGGGCACAGGGTATGTAAATCTGAGATCCAACTTGAAGAGATCCCATCTGTTCCAGCGCTGCTTTGTTTTCTTTCTAAATGACACCTTCTTTCAGCGGCCGTTTCAAAATACATATGCAACAACTTCATCTCCTTCTCCCCAATAAGTCCTCCCTATTTTCCATTATCCCATACATGTATTCGCATACCACTCCTTCAAAGTCCCTTTACCCAACCAACACCTGACACCAACCATCCCGCAGGCAGTAAGTAGTAATAGCACACCAAAAGTATTGTTCGAGAAATGCTGAAACCAATAAAACTATCCTATCCGGTGTTCGAACCCATTTTTTACATACGTTCATAAAACAAAAGATATGCCACGCGGTTATCTTTGAAGTTGTCCTTGCTGTACTTCTCCTTGCTAGGAGTGCCATTGGCAGACGGGCTGTTGGCAATGCTGCTCCAGCGCTTGTGATGGCCAGCAGAAGCAGTAACCTGATTCCAGCCGCCATCTTCGTCGCCTTCGTCGTCATCGTCATTGATAGCTCCGAATCTGTTGGCAGAAGACGATGAGGTAGGAGTCTCTTTGCGAGTCTCCTTGACCTCCTCTTCAGAGCCCATCTCAGCCACGTCTTCGCTGCGAACGCGTCTCAAAACAGTGTCGTCGAGACGGAGCCATTCGCGGCCATCTTGGCGGCGCACATCAACAGTGTAGTGACCGCCAGAAGCGTTCTTACCATGATGATAAACAACGCTGATGAGCTTGTATCGAGGCATGCGGCCATCACCCATAGTCTGTCTGGTCTGGCGGGACAGGGCCTCACGAGGAATCTCGAGCTCCAATGGGTATCCAATCTTCTTCCAAATCTTGACGGTGCCACCTTCTGCATTAAACTGGAATCGCTTCAGATGCAGAATGAGAACTGGAGGAAGAGATTCGATAAACACCTGCTTCGTGGCAGTGACATCGTTGCCACGAGGCGAGTTGAAGTTACCCTGTAAGCGTTCGGGGCGGGTCAGACCACGCAGAGCGTCCACAACGTTGCGAACTTCGGGTGACCCAATGTCAAGTTGAAGCGGTTGGTACGGTTCAGTAGTAATAGAGTCTTTGAGGCCGGGAACGCGGAACTCAGACCGCAGCAGACCACCAAAGATCTTGGTGATGGGAGTAGATGTGTTCAATCCAGATGAGCGAGTTACGGCAGAGCGTTGCTTGCGACCAACCTCGAGCCAATCGCCTGACGGGTCGACACTGCCATCGACAGAGGAAGTCTCTGATGTTGCGGCAGTGATAGCAGCAAGGTTGTTCATAACTGTGGTACACTCATCATCAAGAGATTGGAGCATGAAACCTAAGAATTCTTCAGCATCTTGCTGGTGACCACGCTATAAAGCTGTTAGCATCTTATGAGAGAACCTTGTCTGCAGTAAACTTACTCTCATACTATCAAAGCGTGAAAGCTGTCTTATAGCTTCATACACAAACTCTGGAGTAAAAGGGTCGCCACTCTTGTCAAATTCTTCGGGTCGGGTGGCTTTCTGAAGCTGTTCCACAGAAGGGGCCGACTTGAGAGTTTTGAACTCGTGCGAGAACATAATCATGGCGTCCAAGAGGGGGGTCTCGCTCTTGAAACTATGGGCTGCGCGCTTGCCGACCTGATCGAGGAAATCGTAGAATGGCACGCAGAACATGAGAACTTGAAGGATCTGGTAGTAATTGTTAGCAAAGCGAAGCCTCAAAGGAAGCAGGGAGTGTGACGTACCGAATTCATGTAACACATGTTACCAGTGTTGATCAAACCACGGGGCTCTAGAAGGGGAATAAGCTCGGTAGCTTGAACACGGAAGGCTTGGATGGCCTCGGCCATGGAGTTGGCACCAGCCTTTGAAAAGCCAGCGCTAACAACGCCGCCCTCGGCGCCTTCGTTAGCTTGGCTAGCTGATACGCTGCCGTTTGTGCTTGCGGCCTGGGAAACAGCACCGCGGGTAAAGAGATTAGCCCAACTTGTAGGCGCCGCACGAGGAGCAGGCGCTTCGACTTCAGCTTCCGCCTCGACAGCTTCAGAGTCTACAGTGGCATTTGTGTCAGCCTGAGCGGTATCGGCAGTGCCGACCGCAGGTTCTTGTGAAGGCGTCGCATCGCTGTCGGTAGGGGCACTGGGAGTGTCGGCGGGCAGGGAAACTGCCTGGTTGTCTTGTGCCAATTGCTTGCGTCTTCGACGCGATCGTGGGGTTCTGGCGGGAAAGTCGAGGTCGGGTTGAGAGAACCAAGGCAGCTACATCAGATTAGCAATAATCATGGCAGTCACAGAACTAAAGAACATACAGGTGGGCGGAAAGCAACTCGAGATACAGGTGCAGGCTCTTCTTGAGGGATGGGAGCAGGCGCGGGTTCGACCTCAGCCTGCTCTTGCACAGGCGGCGCTTGAGGTGCAGGAGGAGTTTGTGGCAGAGGAATCTGAGACGAGTGCGACGAAGAAGGCGTGTGTGATGACATAGGCGCAGGAGCAAGAGGAGGTTGATAAGGTGTCGACAAGCTGGGCGAATGAGGAGAATGGCGAGGATAGTTGTTGGGAGGGACGGCAACTCCGGCCATGGGGACGTATTGATGCATCATCTGGGGAGATCGGCCGTAGCCCTGGTAAGGCATATAGCCGGGAGATGGCATGCCTCCATTCTGGTACTGTGGCGGAACTTGATAGTAAGGAGGCGCATTATAAGGGTTGTAGTTTTGATACATGGGGTTCATAGGATGATGGTACTGCGGCATATACTGAGGCTGCTGCTGGGGTCTCCGTCTAGGAAGACCTCCTTGGGAGCCAGACATATCCATGTTTGGCATCCCAGCAGCTGCGCCTTGCATGTTCTGCCCAGCCGGCAGATGATGACGGTTGCTCATCGTGCCGGCGTTGGGATTGGGTTGATACGGGCGTCGCGCAAAGGTGACGCTACCGCATCTACTATTTGACGCCGGGACGGTTCAAGTCGACAAGAGACTCAATGATATAGTCAGTGGCCTCGAGGGTGATTGCAATCGGTCGATCAGGTTGTGTCGGAGATGACTCTGGCGAATTGACTCGGTGCAGGATTCGGCGCAAGACGTCGTGATAAAAAACGCGACGTGTCTTGCAGTTGCAGATGCGATGCGCAGCTGTGAGAGAATAAAAGCAAATATGCAACAAGGCAAAAAACAAGACGAATCAGAGAAGATGCAAGTGTTGAAAGCCGAACAGAAAAATGTACAGTAGAGAAGATGGACGCGATGATAGGAAGGAAGAGGCAAGAAAGCTGAGTCAACGGATGCGAGGTGTGTGATTGGGGGAAAGGCTGCGATGTAATAATGTTCGGCCCTCGCCCCGAAAAAAGGCTGGGGCAGGCAGAAGACGTGCTTAGATCAGCGAGGCGCTTGTGTAAAAGTGGGTGACAGGGTCCCTGGATTGCGCGGAAGGCCACTGTTACAGTAGGGTAGAGACTGCTGTAAGGGGCTACTTATAGTGGTTATTTTAGCACTCACAGGGGGCAGTGACCAGCAGGAACCTTACCTGTGATAACTCCGCGTCAGTGACACAGAATGCAGTAGAGATCAGGAACATACTCAGTGGTAAGCTGGGCATCATTCACTCTTATATAGAACTCACCTTTCACAGCAAACCCAAAAGTTGTAAAAGTCTGCTCCTAGAGTTTTGCATACACAGCTTCTGTAAGCGAAACTAGACCACGAGGCGACATGGAAACTGTTAGCGAAAAGGTTAATGCTAACCTTACTTGATTATACTAGGCTGTGCAGAAGCACTGGTCTAGTACAATGATGATTGCTAAAACCTTTTCGAAGGGGAGGCAGCCTTCTACCCTCAGCTTGATCCCGATCGATCCGAGAAGCATACAGCCGCGCACCGAAGTTATCGACCAGTCGAGGAGAACGAAACTGGAACAGGATGTAGTCCCTGTCGTCAAGACTGTTGACGTCAACAAAGTATTCAAAGAAATCAACAAACATGTGTAGACGTTGTGGTTCTGTCAAACTGTCCCCAGGAAACATCCCCAGAACGCCAGTGAAGGACGGATTCATCATCATGGGGAGCTCTGGGTACCAAGAGACAGTGCCCGTATAACCATGGCTCCATAATCGCATCTCCAGATCAATATTGATTAGGCTGATCAGCAGGAACACAAGTGGACGTTGGCCTTCGAGCTGCTGCTGCATCTCAATATCGTAGAAGAGCCCAGCAAGCCTATGCACCGTGTATGTGTGGCGGTTCCGCGGATTCTCGTGCTTTAGTTGTTCGATAATGTGAGGCCAAAGAACGCCCTCTCGATTCAGTGGGAAACATTTTCCGTAGTTCCAGCATACAGCTTCCATGGGCCCGGCGAGGAACCTATAGGGAATATCTGGCGCCAGCGGCCAAGGGACCGGTATGCGAAAGCGAGCAAGGGGAAGCCCAACACTCATGATTGCTACCTGGTGTTGAGATGGTTCGTAGTCGAGGCAAGTAAAGCTTCAGTAAATGGTGATGGCTTGCGTGGTCTGAAATGTAATGTGGCGGATACCATACGGCACGTTATATGGGTTTTGTCAGAGGACGAGGCTCGCAACGATAGTCATGGCTATACATTGTGTGTAATTTGATATCGTCTGATATCCGTTTAGTGTGTAGGGTGCTCTCCATGACACATTCTATTCGCTGCATCAGTGACGGAAGGTGCCGTTCGTTAAGCAACGAGAAACTACTGTGCCTTCTCTACTTACATGCAAACAAAGGACCCTACATGTGCTTTGTTTGCACCAATCTTGTTCAGCAACATCTTTCACTTATACTGGTCTTTAGTACAAATGGCAGAAACGGGTGTAATCTGGCTTGGTTGCCTAAAATAGTAAATGCTTGATGGTCCAACTTGACTCATTACATGTTCCGAACGCCATGCGTAATGCATCATTTCTAAAAGCAAGAGTAAAAATCTACCCAAGTAACGCCAAGAGGTGCTTCCGCTCCAGCTGCAACAGTCGCTATGTACAATCAACTTCAACTATATACATCTTCTTCGGTCTATTCATCTCTGAAGATCCATCGACCCCCAGGCCTCATGGCTTCGCGGTATCTTTCGGCAATAGCCTGTCTCTCTCGCTTTGCCGCTTCAGCCCGGTCTGATTCGAGGTCTTGCGTACTGGGGAAGTCAGCATCCCAGAACCCTGGGGGCGAGCGCGCTCGTGCGTAACGATGTCGGTGTCTTCCGTATTTATCTGCCAGCTCTTGTGTCTTGGCTTGGAGCCAAGTCTCCTCTCGTTCTGGCGGCGTCATCATTGCCAGCTTGTAAGCCAAATCACCAAGGTAGTCCTCTAGGAGTTTCTGTTCCTCGCGACGTTGCTCAGGCGTAAGCGGTGGCTTGGGCTTCTGTGATTCAGCAAGAGCACGGAATTGTTTACCGCAACAATGCATGTCTACGCATCCTGACAGACACGCACGCTCCTCCCGGTCTCGAACAACTTCGGAGTATGCGTAATCGTACCCCTCATTGGCGGCGGGGTTGATTCGGAAGTCATCCAATTTCAGATCGGCTATTGAGACACCCCTCAGTCTCGACGTTCGAGCCTTACGCGCTGTTGGTGTTGCTTTCTCCGGGGAGGGATTGCTGATTGCCTTGCGCGCTGATGCGGGCTGTTTGGTGGTGTTTAATCTCGCGGATTTGTCAAACGGCAGCTCTCGTCTCTGCGGAACACCAAGATCTGCAGGGATGGTCGCTGTTGATCGTTGTTGCCTATTGGCTTTTGGTCTCGAAATTGTCTCGTCCGTGTCTTGGACTGGCGTATTGAGCAGCGTGTCCAGCCGTGTCCTCGATGGTGTCGAGTTGCTGTCCATCTTCGAAGGACGGCGATTTTCAGCATCATCCGTAGCGCCTGCTATGCCTTTTGTAAAAAATGAAGCCTTAAACTTGGGCTGGTCGCCCCCCGATTGTACCATGCGTCGATTGATGCTTATGGGTGTCAATACAGATGAAGTGTGGAGCTTCTTGGCAGTCTCTGGCATAGGCCGTAGCGTTGATGTCAAGGATGGGGTAGACTTTGATAGGGATGGTAACGGTAATGGCGTAATACCGACTCCCGAACTTTCATGTCGTTTTCGTGGCGTCATCATTGGTCTGCCGACATCGTCTAGGTCCAAGCTCTCTTGAGATTGCGGTATGACATTCGATATATGTATCGGGCTCGATGCGTCGCGAGGTTCTTGCTTAACTCTGGCACATGGCGTTTCATTTCCATCGTTGTCGTCTCGTTTACGCTTGACTGGTCGCTCCCACATGAGGGTCGGTTCATCGGAGGACGCCTCATCCTTAATTCGCACTGTCTCATCTGAACCCGTCAGTTGTAGAGCTGGAAGTTCTTCCGTACTCGTTGCATCTGAAGAATCCTGTGTCGACTCGCAGGTAGGGTCTGTCTCCGTTTCGAGCTGCACTTGGTTTTCCGTGGCCGCCGCTGTTGTCGACTGCTGTGGCGGGTCCATACGTCGTTGCTGGTTCACTTTGAGAGCTTCAGAGAAGCTATCCATGGCATTCATATTAGGTGCGGCCGTTTCTATGGGCATAGAAGCTTCCATGCCGTGACATGATTCATTAAAGATGGTGATGCCATGCTCGCTCTCGGCCGCCTGGATTGTGTTTTTGAGCGTTGCAGCGAACTTTTTCCAGCGATTCCGCTCGTCTCGGCGTCGATTTAATGCCTCCTTTGCGACTTTAAAATTTTCGTCCAGAGCTTTGTATTGTCGATATAGCTTCTTGTGGGCGGCAATGGGAACTGTGCCGTCTGGGTTTCCCACGGGAGTGGAGGCAAACGGCGTGGACGGATCGGTGCTCGAAGGCGTCGGTGGCACCACCCTCTTTTCTAGTTGTTGACGAAGCAAGTCGTTTTCATTTTGTAGGTCTTTCGATCGTTGGAGGGCGTCCTCGTAGAGAGTTTTATAATTCTGCTGCTGTTCAAGCTCTGCTGCACGTGTTAGTGACATGTTCGGAGAGCTATACATCGACAGGTCTGAATGGCGCACCGGCTGTAAGATCAGTATCAATCTGGGAGCATATTTGATTTAACGCCTCAAACAGCGCAGGCCGGCCTTTTTGAAACCAGCCCGCCATGTTTGGGTTGCACAGAAGTGGTGATGTTGGTGAACCGTTCACAGGAACAATTTGCTGTCGACGAAATGCTGGACGCGTCCCCACACACGCGTTGGACGGTAGCGATGGGGGGGCAGGTTAGAGACGCCGCCACGTGAGGATGACGATGGTTCGTAGGGGATGATCTAGGGGGAATCAGTGCGTAAAAATAAATCAATGTTAATAGAGGGTACAATTTATAGTCAATTCTTTATATTTTATTTTGTTTCCCTCCTTCCTTTATCAGTGCATCTCTCCAATGCTCAACAGTTGTTGTGCTCACCCGTCACCGGCGCCACCCCTCCACGCCACACCTCGCACCTAGCCGACAGGCCGCTAAGAAATGCAGTGGGCGGGCTACACACACACACGCACGCACAGCAAGAACAGGTGCCTGAGCTGCACTATATTCTACTTCCTTTCTCTTCCACACTTTAATTTTCCCTTCTCTTTCTCACATTCTCATTTTGCAGAGTGCACGCAAAAAGTCAACGGCAATTTCATCCTGCTTCCACAGAAGCCCATCGATCTACTGGTAAGCAAGTTCTTCCCATCATCGGACATCTCAACATCATCAACTCCTCCTCCATCCCGTCCACAAGTCAGTCATTCAGGCCGTTGCAACTTCGACTCTGCTCGCCCTCTTCTTCTTCCCTTCCATCGCCCCGCCAAAGGTGGAAACTCGGGTCTCTGCCACATCCATCAACGCAACCGCCGCTACCACCACCACCAATTAGCCCGCCCCGCATCTCTATCCCACTGTGCTAGGCCAGCTAGAGGATTATCTCGTGCGGTCGTTGTCTTCACCAAATCGGTCCCCGCTGTCTCGTTTTTGCACTGGCCCCCGCCGCTACTGCACAATTGGCACGCTAAGCTGTAGTGGAGTGGGTGGCGCACTTTATCGCTGCGAAAAGCTGGAGCCTGCAGTTGCCAAAAAGTTTTCGCGTGGGATTTCATTTACCCTGCTCTGTTCACTTGCGCCTCACTTCACTTTTGCCATTTTGGAGCTGTTGTCTTTTGTTGCAGAACGCTAACTTGACCCTGCTTCTTCTCTTCCTCTTTATAGACTACCACCAATTCTTACAATCAGTCTGTATGTTACATATGCTCGTCGCCGCACCTAGTCGATTTACACCTGCGACGCTGTTTCTGCACGTTGAAAATTCAACCTGACGGTTGCGTCAAATGTCACGAGATCGCTTAGAAGCAGCGCCCTGTATTTCGTCATGATGCTGGTGACAAAAGACACCATTGCAATTGATACTAACCCAACTAGTATAGATTTATATACCAAAAAATGGACTTCAACGGTTCTGCTGCCCCGGCCCCTGCTGCCGCCCCTGCCGCTCCCGCTCCCCGCGCTGCTGGAGCTTGCTACTCTTGTAGGTTTCCCAATTTGAAAGACCCTTGTTTAGGTCGTAAACTAACATAGTCGCTATAGGCGGTAGCACTGATCACCAGGCTCGTGATTGCCCTACCAAGGGACCTGCTAAGTGGTATGTCATACTTGTTCACCCATCTACATAGTACAACGCTAACCATATTATAGCTACAACTGCGGTAGTATGTATACTCTCTTTTGACATAGAAGACTTTTGATATGCTAACCACTTTCTGCTTCAGACGAAGGTCACATGAGTACGTCTATCCGATTATACAACACGACATGGTGCAGTGAATGTTAACCGAGTCTTTCTTAGGCCGTGATTGCTCCCAGCCTGCCAAGGACAACAAGTCCTGCTACAAGTGCGGCCAGCCCGGTCACTTGTCCCGCGAGTGCTCCATGGGTGGTGGCAACGGCCAGTCCACCGAGTGCTACAAGGTACGTCATTTGGAGATATAACAGCGTGGGTGACAGATCTAACAGTTGTTCTCTAGTGCGGTCAGATTGGTCACATTGCTCGCAACTGCACCAAGGCCGGAGGCTACGGCGGCGGCTACGGTGGTGGCGGCTACGGCGGCGGCTCTGGCAAGACCTGCTACTCCTGCGGTGGCTACGGCCACATGTCGCGTAAGTATCACAAAGGCGAAGGCATGTTTGTTAATGGCGGAGTATAGCTAACCAACGAGTAGGCGAATGTGTTAACGGCATGAAGTGCTACAACTGCGGCGAGTCCGGCCACTACTCCCGCGACTGCCCCAAGGAGTCCACTGGCGGCGAGAAGATTTGCTACAAGTGCCAGCAGGGCGGTCACGTCCAGTCCCAGTGCCCCAACTAAGGGCTCGGGATGAAAAGCGCGTTGCTTGTCTTGCCCAGACGAGCGGAGAGACTTGGCGTGGCGGCTGCATGATACCCACGACGAAAAATGTTTTTCTTCTCTGTTTAATTTACGACACGGGTTCTTTTTTTCTTTTCTTGCAGGGGTGGTTTTCATCGCGAGGTATATCATCCCATATACGAGTGATGAAGCATGGCCTACGGATGACCTATAACGGAGTTGGGGATGCAGGCTAAGGGGAGGGAGAGGCGGATGAATGAAAACGAAAAGGCGCAAAAGCTCAATTGAACCATGGCAGATGATGCATATGAAGCAGTTAACACGAACACAGATGGTAGATGGAGATGTATAATCTCGGACAAATGATGATTGACTGCATATACGGTTCTGGTGTGTGTGAATATGACGAAGCTTGCAGGCTTTGGTACAAACTAAAAGATACGACGTGTATATGATTACCGTTACCTGTGATATTGAACATGCTCGTTCTGTTATAGCTTTAGGACCAAGTATGGGTTGCCGTATAGCTCCCCCAACCGTTGTGCATGGATCTTTAAACCTCAACCCCAAATTATACTACCATCCATCGTGTGCCCAGAATTTCAGCGCTGTTCTTCTATTTTAATTGCCTATTCAGCACTAAACTCGCACTTTCACCACCCAAGCCCATTACATTTCACGTGCCTTTTTCTTGGTCCTTTTCGCTAGCGCTAACTAGATTCCCCCGGATTTAGCGTGCCCACCCCACAAGCCAATGACAGCGTCGCTAATTCCAAAGTCCGTTCCCTGCGAAGCCGAGGCTTCAGGTGGGCCCTCTTCCCCAAAAACGCCGACCAGGTTCCTTACAGGCAACGCGGGACAAATCAAAGACCGAGGATAACTAATTCTGGGGTTTGTGGTTCGACTTGTTCTCTCTCTTTACATCCCACAAATACACACGTCTTTCGGTGAGTTGTTGTATCCTCTGCTCCTTCGGTGCATCAAATCGCTGGAGATCTCATCGCTAACAGCCTCCTCCTGACAGATTCAAGTCAAAATAGACAAATAATCACAATGGCTCCTCCCGCAAAGACCTTCACCCGTGACGAGGTGCGCGAGCACACCAGCGAGGATTCGCTCTGGTGCGTTATTGACAACACCGTCTACGACCTGACCGAGTTCGTCTTCGCCCATCCCGGTGGTGAGGCCGTCCTCCAGCAGATTGCTGGCCAGGATGCCACCTCTGCCTTCTACAACCTTCACAGACACGAGGTGCTCACCAAGTACGCCGACCTCGCCATTGGCACCATCAAGGGCCAGTCTCCCGAAGTCATCACTCCCCAGCCCGGCGACCTGTGCCCCGTGCCCTACGCCGAGCCTCTCTGGCTTAACCCGGTCTTCAAGAGCCCCTTCTACAAGGAGTCGCATCACACCCTGCGCAAGGCCATCCGCGTCTTCACAGAAAAGTACCTGATCCCCGAGGCCCAGGACTGCGAAGCCACCGGCCGCTACATCAGCCAGGACATGATTGACCACATGAGCCGTGTTGGTCTCCTGCACATGCGTCTCGGCCCCGGCAAGCATCTCCACGGCGTGGAGCTGCTCGGTGGTGCCGTCAAGGGCGAGGAGTTTGACTACTTCCACGACATGATTATCACCCAAGAGATGTCGCGAACCATGATGCGTGGCTTCATGGACGGAAACATGGCTGGTATGTGCATTGGCTTGACCTGTGTCCTCAACTTCGCCCACGACCAGGCCTGGAAGAAGAAGATTGCCGACGAGGTCTTCAGCGGCAAGAAGAAGCTCTGCCTTGCTATTACTGAGGCCTTTGCTGGCTCTGATGTCGCTGGTCTGCGCACCACTGCCGTCAAGACCCCTGATGGCAAGCACTACGTAAGTAACTGACGACCAGAATTTTCATGAAATTTGGCTAACCTTTGTGTGTATAGATTGTCAACGGTACCAAGAAGTGGATCACCAACGGTGTCTTCTGCGACTACTTTGTCACTGGTGTCAACACCGGCAAGGGCCTGAGCGTTCTTCTAATTGAGCGTGGCGAGGGTGTCGAGACCAAGGCCATCAAGACCTCGTACTCACCCGCCGCCGGTACCGCCTACATCACCTTTGACAACGTCAAGGTCCCCGTCGAGAACCTGCTCGGCCAGGAGAACAAGGGTATTCACGTTATTCTCAGCAACTTCAACCACGAGCGTTGGATGATGGCCTGTAAGTGACCAACAAATAAATCGCAGCAGCAGCGGCAGGGAGCTCTATTTGCTAACTGAGAACTAGGTGGCTCTATCCGCGGCGCCAGAATGATTGTCGAGGAGTCCCTCAAGTGGGCTAACCAGCGTGTTGTCTTTGGCAAGCGTCTCATTGACCAGCCCGTCATCCGCCAAAAGTACGCCTTTTCCCCTCAAAGCTGATTACCAATTGATGTACACATATGCTAACTACCATTTTCTACAGGCTCGCCAAGATGATTGCCCTCGTCGAGTCGAACCAGGCCTGGCTCGAGACCATCACCTACCAGATGTGCAACATGCCCTACAAGCAGCAGGCCCAGCACCTTGCTGGCCCCATTGGTCTGCTCAAGATGAGCGTCACCCGCGCCGCTCACGAGATTGCCGACGAGGCTGTCCAAATCTGGGGTGGCCGTGCCCTGACACAATCCGGCATGGGCAAGCACGTCGAGATCTTCAACAGAACATACAAATTCGATGCTATTCTCGGCGGTGCTGAAGAGGTCCTTGGTGATCTAGGTGTCAGACAGGCCATGCGTGGCTTCCCCAAGTCTATGCTGTAAACTGAGTCTCATTTGTTCTAGCGACTGTATTTTTGGTGTTTGAATTGTAAAAAGATTACGAAAAGATTCATGTTTAATTTGCTTCTATATCATATCGTACACGTGTATGCTCTAAGTCTATTCTCCTTCTAGGTTTGGTGTCTCTGTTTTATTGTACGCTTTGGCGATGCGTTTCGCAACTAGTTCGCCGCTCCAATAAGCCCCCGTGGCAGTACCCAAGGCGACAAATGGTGCAGTATGCTCTCCGGCAAACCACAGTCCGTAGTCTGGTAGCCCTTCGCGCATGATTTCAATGGCCTTATCGCCGTCTTCCAGCCCAATTTGGAAATTTGCGTAGCTGCCGTTCCCAGCAAGCTCGTCGTTGAGCCATTCTGTCGCAAGGAACTCAATAGGCTGGCACTTCGGATCGCTTGCGTTGTAGTTATGAAGGCGAGAGTAGCATGGCTCAAACATTGAGGTCAAGAACTTTTGCTTTTGCTCTTGTGTGTCTAGACTGGCGAGGGTGGAGGTGACATGCCTTGATTGGTCGCCAAATATATAGAACAGCAAGGTGGGATGCGCAGCTCGAGGATCGATGCTTGCCAGTTCTACCATTTCCTGATGCCATTTGTGCGGGTTTGAAGAGGTGGCATATTCTGGAGATATCCATTGGACAAAGCCCTTTGTCTTCTTGGTCTCATCGGAACCCTGCAGCCAGAAGGCTTCTGGGAAGTTGACGTATACTTTTTCCAGGCACCCGTACCCTATTTTGTCGATTGCTGAAGAAAGGGAATGCGGTAGAGGTGGTTTAAAGGCGCTGTCTTTGTTACGTTTCAGCCACCCCAGCGGTGTCGTGCAGATAACTTCGGCAAACTCCAGTGTTTGATTCGTATTGGTAGTGACTGATACTTGGCTACCAGCCTGCTCTAGTCGTGTAATTCGTTGTACAGTAGTATTATACTGAATTGAGGCAGCGTCTAGTGCGGGCTTTGCGATGGTTTGCAAAATTTGTTTGTAAGTTCCCGCACAAAGGAGGTTTTCTACCGCTTAGATTAGTATCTGTTGAGTGTTTGGATATACTGAACATGTACATACCTCCGTCTATGCACTCTTCTAACCAGAAGTACTTTAGACTCTGTGTAGATATCGGACTTCCTACAAACGCACCCCACATGTGGCACATCTGCAAGATAATCTTTCGCTTTGACTCAAAATTGGGCTCGGTGCGCGTTATCTTTTCCTCAACTATCTCCCCAAAGAAGTCTAGAAGACTTCGAGATGGGTCAATTTCTGAACATGACTTGTTTGAATAGGCAAAAGCGTCTTGGATAATGTTCCACATCGTTGTAGAGTAGTTTTCGCCTTCTTCTTGCGAGAGCAGTGCTCCCTGTTCGTCAAAGATGTTGGTCGAGTCGTCCCAGCTGCCGATTACGGTACCTGTATCCTTGGCTAAATCATGTATCGGGTTTTCCTCAGTACCATGAATCCAGTTTGGGCCCATGTCGATATCATGTCCGCTTTTCATCGTCTGCTGGTGGACCCTGCCGCCTACTCTGTTGCGGCCTTCGAGAATAGTCACGTCGAACCCATGACGAAGCAAAACGTCAGCACATCTTAAACCAGATATGCCGGCTCCAATAATACAGACACGGGGCTTCGCTCCGAGCTCGAATGCTCGATACTGAAAGGAATTAATCACAGTCGTTATGAAACTATAAATGAGGCATTCACCTTTTGATATTGATTTGTAGTCATCTTGAAGCGTTCTACCTCTTCTGAGTCTTTAATAGACAGCTTCCCCAACCCGGTTGTATAAAAGAGGTCTTGATATATCCTTGATGTGGATCTTTCCGAAATATTAGTAAAGCATACGGAGAATGCGTCCATGCCCCGGCCAAAGCAGGAGAGTAACGATTGAGACACCCGTGTAGGGTAGATGTATGTCAGGTGTATAGGCTGTTGTGCTAGTCCAACAACTAGCATCAGCGTTGCACTGTGCTGTAATATGGGATAACCCTCCGATTGGATGTTCTTATAGTCGATAGGGTGGTATCAAGAGACTGTGGTACTGTACTGTAGTTACTGGGGAGAGTGAGGCCTTTAGCGGGTCCGGCAAAGAAGTCTGACAGGTATACACGCTGCTGCCTGAGTTTGGATGACAGCAAATAGGTCGTACTAGTATATTGTTGCATATATTGTCCCTGTATATTTTTACAACCACGTATTGTTGGTACCCAAGTTATTTTCTATTGGGAGTTAAGATGACCTGGCAGCGCTACAAGTAAGCCAGTTGCTACCACAGCGTCTGGCACCTGCGCCAGCTGGGCCACCTGACGTCCAGCGCGTGGTCGCCTGATGACGCGACAGGTTAGCCGGCAAGCGAGTCACGAGCCCGGCGCCTAAAGGAACCCACTGAAACGGCCGGCTTTCAGCGACCAGGGCCCCTCCAAAGCCACTGCTGCCCGCCAAAAGCGGCCCAGATTCACCACGCTACCTTGACTCGTGCCAGCTACAACTGCCTGCCCTGCCAGCTTCGCCCGCCTCCCCGCTACGCCGTCATCCCGCTACGCCGACCTTCTCCAACTCTTAGCTTGGCTGTCTGGACGCAGCTCTGCATCCTCCCTTAGCTTGCTTCCGCATCTTCGTTTTCTTCCGCAGCGGTGCCTACGGCCTTTAACTTAAAACTCTAAACTAATCTTTAAAAACCCTCATCACTCGCGCATCGACCACCCTCAAAACCACCATGCACCGCCCCCACGCCAGTACGCTATCCATCTGTTGATATCGCCACCGCTGGATGGCCGTGACCGATTTGGGTAGCAAGGACAACGACTACCCCGATATATAATAGCGGAAGCCGCAGCAAAACTACAATGACATCATTATTCCAGTCCTTTCAGAGCTCCAGCATGCCCAAGCGGCTGCTGCGCTATGCTCTTGCGCGGCTCGATCTGCTGGACTCTGAAGCGTTGGACTTGGACAACCTGGAGCTAGCTCTCGGTCGAAATGCCGTCTTTGAATTTAAAGATGTAGGAATTCAGCTACCGGTAAGCCCTTGCAGGATAAACGATTTCTTTGCAAACATCACTAACAAAATCCCAAGAAACTAGAGGCGCTGCTCAAGCTACCCCCCGCCTTCCGGATCGGCAAAGCCAAAGTTCTACTCCTTCGAGTAACGATTCCGATGGACTTTTATACAAGCTCTATAACAATAGAAGTGGATGGTGTCGATATCGCCGTGAAAGTTGACTCCAACCACGTCAAAGCCCGGAAATCTAGAGCGGACGTCGATCTTGTCCCAAACACTGTCGATTTAGCGCAATCTTTTCTCGAAACAGAACCACAAAATGAGAGAACAAAGCTTGAGCAAGCGTTGGCCGTGGAAAATCAAGATCTGGCTGCGTCAATAGCTTCGACTGATGACGGTAGCGAAGATGAACTGCCGCTTGGCACTGGCGCTCCGCTCACACTGCCTGGCTTCTTATCCAACTTTCTACAGGGCATACTTGATCGCATGCAAATCTCCATTAAAAATATATCCTTTCAACTCCAAGTTGAGGTACCGGCGGAGCCGAATTCGACAGGCCCAGAAGCTGTATCCTTCAAGATTGCCCTCGACGATATTAGTATCGAAGGCGTAACTGCCTCGCCGCCCAGCACAACCGATGAGAATAACGCGAAGCGAAAGGAAGGTAAACGTCATATATCTATCGATACGATACGGGCATATCTTGTTTCCGAAGCGAACGTATTTCCCTCGTTCTCAAGATCACCCTCGGCATCCTCAGCTCTGTTCCCGCCATCGCCAGGGTTTACAAGAGAGTCGTCGTCAATATCGAGTAAATTAGGAGCTAGCGTCGGACATGTGGCTCCGCCATTTTCAGGGTTACAAGAGGACAATAACCATGACGATGATGTGGACTCTCCGCTTGGCGATAGTGAGATTGCTTTAGGCATCCCCTACGAACTACCTGATAATGATGACGATGAGAGTAGTTCTCCTCAAACTCCCAGGGCCTCAGTTTACCACGAATTGGATGCTGGAATGCCCTCTACCGATACACAAACAGCCAGCCAGCAGTCACTATCAGGTTTGACACCTGGCCTATCGTCATATGGCTCGGACATGCGGGCTATGTTTGCGTCTCAGCAAGTACAAGGAGCCGAGCTTCCTGCTCCAGAGCCGGTATCTGACGATACTCCTGAACGAGATAATCAAGACGAGTTTAGTGATGCATCTGAAGATCTTACAGAATCCCGACTCTATTCGCATGAGGAGGCTACAAGTATGTACATGAGCGCCATGTCTCAACGAGACGTTACGCATCAGAGCTCGGCGGCCCTGGATAAGTCGACTGACTTAGCTGCAAATAAACCAACGCTATCGGAGGATAAAGTTCAGCCTCCGAAGCGCCGTGTTGCTATGCCAGGCGCTTGGGGAGAAGAGAGTACGATTGGTGAGAATATGCAAGCATCGGTTCACTCCCTACCTGCTGCTACTGTAGATGAAGCGACGACATTGGATGCGTTGCCGAACGAACCAGACCGCACAGTACCAGATCAGGCCGCGGATATCGAGGATGCACCTACTCCAAAAGGTCCAACCAGGGTTATGAAGCAAGTTCTATACCTGAAAACACTATCATTGTACCTTCCATCAAACCCCAAAGATACAGTTGAGCCTCATGAGGCACCTGATGCTGTCGGAGCACAGTCTATGTACCAATCAGTATATCCACAGGCTCCGGGTGCCTTCTCCGTACATGGCCAAAAAGCTCTGTCAAACACCTCTGGCCGACTCTCAACTGATTCACCATCGACCGCCGTCATTCCAGAGCCATTAGAGATCCAACTGTCACCCATCGTGATAAACTTCGATTCATCATTGGTCTTCTTGCTTATAAATGTCATTCGAACCTTGACAGCTGCCTTGAAACCAGAGTTTGAAGTTGAGAGCCCTACCGCAGCGCCAGCGGATACACAACCAGATGCTCCCGTAAAGCTACAGCCACCTGTAAAGTTTTCCCTTGAAAAGCTGACCATCAACTTCCTACACCGTCTTATTGGTATTGCCGAGCGACCTGGGCGTTCGCAAGATCCTGAAGAATGCTTCGTCGGCCAAGATGTCTTACTCAATCTTACTTTACAGCACTTGACAGCAGAAAACTCTACCATTGCGCTCAAGCCTACCAAGCCTAACACGAAACCATCCACTGGAGTTTCAACGATGATCACGGTCCAGAAATTCCGATTCGGCTATGCTACGGAAGACATTGTATCGTTTGATAGCGGGCGACCGATGAGCACCTCTGTCCGGGATACGTTCTTGTCTGAAGGAAACGATGTTGCCATTAAAATGTTGCAGTCAGCGGATGGCAATCGGACGGAAATCGAAACTCTTCCGCTAGCTGTGCAAATCGAAACTCTTCCGCTAGCTGTGCAAATCGAACTCCAAAAGCTTGATGAGACCTTTAGCTGGTTTGGTGGCCTCAGCAGCTTTTTAAATATGAGCACATCAGCGGCGATTTTGTCACCAGCTAAATCAACAGCCGTGCTTCCACCAAAAGCACAACCTCGAGGCGTTCATTTCGATGCACCCATCAACCCAGACGATAAATCTGTCGCCGCGTCCAACAAAATCAACGTGCGGATTGGTGGTGCATTTGTCGAGCTTCTTGGTAAAGAGTGTAGCATTACGGCCGAGACGAATGCTATTAAGCTGGTCAGCAGAGATGAGGGTATTGGCATGGCATGCAGCATGATGCGCGTGTCTGGCCCCTATCTAAAGAATTCTGCAGCAGATCCATCGATTACTGTTGAGCTGGGCGGAACAAGATTGGACTTTTTGAATACACCGAAAGCGACTGATTTAGAGAAGCTCTTGGAGCTTATTATCCCTTCGAAAGTAAGGTATGACCATACCACAGATGAAATCATGGTCGATACATTGCTACGACAACGACGAAAAGGATCCGTCCTTCGTGTTGGGGTAGATATGGTCAACGTTCGTGTCAAGAACATGGCACAGCTCACCGTTTTACCAAACCTGGGCGAAGAGCTCGCAAAGTTATCAACAGTCGCCAAGTATTTACCAGAAGATGACCGGCCCGGTATTCTCACCTTGGCGAAATTGCACACCATTGCTGCCGATGTTGACCTTGGTGGTGGCATTGGTCGGATTGGTGTCGAGCTTCAGAACACCGAAATTGGTCAAATTAGCATTCCATCACTTGTTGCAGTCGTTGTGCATGATATTTTGGTTTTGAGAAATGGCTCAGAAAAATTGGTGCACTCTGTTGCGTTTGGGTCTGCAAAGGATATTGCAAACCGAGCACCTGCACTGATGGTGAGGATGATTGGCGATGAGATTGAGCCTATCGTCAAGTTGAAGCTTCACAATTTGCAGGTAGAATACCGTGTACCAACCATCATGGATATTCTTGGCCTCTCGGAAGAATCGACACCGCAGGACTTTGACGAGAGTTTAGCTGCTTCTGTTGCAAATTTGGGTGACCAAGCTCACACAGCCCTCGGACGCCAACCATCATCACCTTCGCCTAATTCCAAGCATGATCCTCCCATCAAACTTGATATTGGATTCCAAGATTGTCTGATTGGCCTAAATCCCTTGAAGTTGGATTCGAAGATGGTAATCGCGCTTACCGATGCGAAACTCGAGGTCACCCTACCTAAGGGAGGAGTGATGCGTACAGAGCTAAATATCAACAAAACGTCCGTCCTTCTGATTGACGATGCCTCTAACATAGGACAGGAGGCACCCCCGGGTGCTCCTCGTACCAGATACTCGTCGTCCGCATCACCTCAGGTAATAGACATGTGCGCCCGAGGCTTTGTAGACATTTGTTACATGTCCTCTGCCATGGTCATTGTTAATGTTCAGCCCGGGCCAGACGGCAAAGACCAAGTGGAAATTGAGGTCCGTGATGATCTGCTGGTGCTGGAAACTTGTGCAGATTCTACCCAAACACTGATTACATTGGCCAATGCGTTGAAGCCGCCCACGCCACCTAGCAAAGAAAACAAGTACAAGACCAACATTGTGCCCGTGCAAGATCTTCTAGCGTCAATATCCGCGGAAGCTTTTGGCCAGTCTGAGGGTGACTACGATTTTGACCAAGATTTTGCAGGGGCTCAAGAGATGGCACGAAGCGAGTCTGAAATAGGATCAGAAGTAGGTGATTCGCCTCTTCGAGTCGAGCCAAAGTTTTACCGCCATGAGTCAGGAGAGGAGCTATTTGATGCGACAAAGATGTCTGGCTTATCTCGAGAAACCAGCATGGAAGAAACGCAGGATGGGGTGCTGTTAACAGGGTTCGATGCAACCACCAGCCAGCGGTCTTTCGATAGTGAAGACTTGGAGATTCACGACGACTTCTTCAGCAAGGCACCTGCGCGGGAGGAAACCGTGAAAGTTTGGAACTCAAACAACAATACTTATGACGATGCGCCTGCAGAGCTCGTCCGAATGAGCCCGATTAAAATTAACGTCCGAGATGTTCATTTGATTTGGAATCTCTTTGATGGGTATGACTGGGTGCACACGCGCGACATTATTACCAAGGCCGTCGAAGAAGTTGAAAATAGAGCGCTGGAGCGACAGTCACGCGGGGCTGCTGCATTTGAAGAGGAAGAGGAAGAAGAAACGATAGGCGACTTCTTGTTCAATTCCATCTACATTGGTATTCCCGCAAACCGCGACCCGCATGAGTTGTCACGGGCTATCAACGAAGGCTTAAACGACAATGCCACGGAGACGGAATCAGTTGCGACTACGGCGTTCACTAATACTACTTCCCGCACTGCGCGCCGTCTCCAGCCACGCCCAAGAAGACTGCGTTTAAATCGCAGTAAGCGTCACAAGATTACATTTGAGCTACAGGGAGTTAATGTGGACATGGTTATGTTCCCGCCTGAAGAGGCGGAGACATTGAGCAGCATTGATGTGCGTGTTCACAACCTGGACATTTTCGACCACGTACCTACGTCCACTTGGAAGAAGTTTGCGACGTATGATCAAGATCAAGGCGAGCGAGAGCTGGGCACAAGCATGGTTCACTTGGAGATTTTGACAGTTAAGCCCCTCCCTCAGCTGGGGGCCTCTGAAACCGTGCTACGAGTGACTGTTCTGCCGCTTCGCCTGCACGTGGACCAAGATGCGTTGGACTTTATTACTCGATTTTTTGAGTTTAAGGATGAGTCGATCCCAGTACACTCCTCACCAAGCGACGTACCTTTTGTTCAGAGGGCTGAAGTCAACAGTATTCCCGTCAAGCTAGACTTTAAGCCGAAACGAGTGGATTATGCTGGCCTTCGGTCTGGTCACACTACGGAATTTATGAACTTTATCGTGCTTGAAGAATCTAGGTTGGTGCTCAGGCATGCCATCATTTACGGCATCCCGGGCTTTGATAAACTGGGCTTGACATTGAAAGCCATTTGGACTCCCGATGTAACAAACAATCAGCTTCCTGGCGTTATTGCAGGCTTGGCGCCTGTACGGTCTCTGGCAAATATTGGCGGAGGATTCAAAGACTTGGTAGAAATCCCGATTCGAGAGTACAAGAAGGATGGACGGGTGATTCGCAGCATCTCCAAGGGTGCGGCAGCCTTTGCCAGAGGAACGGGTACTGAGATTATCAAGTTTGGAGCAAAGCTTGCAGTGGGAACGCAATATGCACTGCAAGGCGCCGAAGGACTTCTTGCCCAGCCGCAGGGCGAAGCGCAATGGGAAGAGGATGATCTTGACGAGGAGGACAAGAAGCAGATTTCACTGTATGCTGACCAGCCGACGGGTGTAATCCAAGGCATTCGCGGCGGATACCGATCCATGGTTCGCGACATGAACATGGCCAAGGATGCCATTATTGCTGTTCCTGGAGAAGTGATGCAAAGTCAGTCTGCTGCCGGTGCAGCGCAAGCAGTGCTCAAACGAGCGCCGACAATTGTCTTCCGGCCGGCCATGGGAGTGACCAAGGTGATTGGAAAGACGTTGATGGGGGCGACGAATGCGATTGACCCGCAAAATAGACGACGTGTGGAGGAGAAATACAAGCATTGAGGGGGGAGAGGCGGACGCACGATATGATAGACTTGCATGGATGGTGCGATGACGGATGTACATGGACGGACAATTTGTGTTGACTATTATAACCATCATTGCTGGCGTTTGCGATTTAGAACTGCTTTTTGCATAATACGCGTGTGGTTATTGCTGCTGCTGTTGTTGTCGGTATTGCCACTACTACATTGGCAGAAACAATAAGAGAAGCAGCAGCCCGTCTGCTATTTGTATGTATGTATGTATGTATGAGTGATAGATTGACGAAATGAAATGTACGACATGAAGATTACTTGCTTATAGAAGTTGTGTTGTAAGGTTGGAAGCGGTGAACTGGATTGCTCCGTGAATGCATATGTTGGTTGTGATTGTAGCCTACGCGAATGATGGACATGCATCTAGCGAAGCTTCATCGAGAGATGGGGTGAGATTGTTGGTGAACGAGGGCACCGCCTATACCAAGTGGGCGGGAACGGGTGGGCCGGACGGGTCCAGCCAGCCACCCAGTCTTGTTCGTGATCGTGTTCTGCTAGTATTACGATGACGAAAAGGGGGTGGGTTACGAATCTCGATATCGACCAACGTTGACAGCTAGCTGTTCGAATCTCGAGCATGACAGCAATCCATGGTGGCCTAGTGGTTAAGGCGCCCGGTCACTTGTGACTGGGAACCGCGTGTTCGAGTCCCGCCCAAGGGGTTTCAGTTTTATATTCTTTTGTTTTTGTAACCGTGATTTCGTAGTTTACAGTATAAAATCGGCCAAAGCTATGTTGTTGAGACGGATGGCAGGCCGACGTCGCTCCACCCTCCCCACCGCTGCCCATCATTACCCAACAACCAAAACCAAAGTCCCCTTTCCCACCAGCGGTCAAAGGCAACGGGAAGAAAAACGTTGGTGCACGCGACCCGAAAAGAAAAACGAGAAGGCAATTGGATGAAAACACTTAATGATTCATAGCTTACAGTGCATGCTTGTATTTGTTATGTTTGGAATTGGAATCCAAAGGGACTAGCATTGTGAGACCCCCAAAAAGCTTGGCCTTTGGGGCTGCCCTGCGTGGTAAATCATCACGCCTGGCTGTGTTGTTACTGTTGCCGTTCCAAGACAAGACAGCCAAGCTCTGTTAGCCTGCGACAAATCTCATCAGATCTCCGGTTTCCCTACTTTGTAGGCATGCGTACGGTACGGTACCTGCACACCTTGGTATTACAGCGGGCAGAAGCAAGCCTAGAACGCCTGCCGAGACCTTGGCTTTTGCTCTAGTGCGTCCGGGGGTTGGTCCCCCTGCTGAAAGAGAGAAGAAGATGAGCCACTGGGAAGATGTTCCGGCAGCGTGTCACTGCGTCCCCCCAACAAAGCCTGGCACTGTAGGGGAGCCGCCCGCCGGGGAACATGGACGACCTCCGGAAGCAGTGCAGTGGAAAACACCGGTCCCCTGGTTACCGACTAATTTCACCGTATTTTCAATTTTCTTTTTGTTCTCTGTGGCAGGCAGCCCATTTACAAAATTGCCTATTTTTTGTGTGTTTTCAATTGTTTGCTTGGCGTCATGAATTTGTTTAGAGTAGACGCAGATGCAGGATGACCTGACCGTGGCAAGGTTTCAGTGTTCCCGCACATCGCTGACAATCTTACGCACCATCTTAGTGTCCCTACATGCCTCCGCGGCGCCAAGTAGTGCGGTACCGCAGTAAGAGACCGTAAGAAGCGGAATTAAGCTTAGCTTGGATGCCTGTCGATGGGTCACGAGATTACGCTTGGCGATGGTGAATCCATACATTTCATTGTTTTTTGTCAGTGGAGAGGTAGACCAGAGACAGAAGACAATAGAGAGAGAGAGCCGGTGAGGCATCAATGCAGTGCAGGCGGTATCGGCGTAGACCTCTGTCGGAGTTTATAGAGCCTCAGTGTGCAATGCTGGAAAGGCGCACAGTGAATGAATTGAGGCTTGCTTGCTCCTAAACACATGTTGTGTTTGGCGTGGCGTGGCCTGGCGATGCGATGGATGGCTGGGGGGCGTGTCTTGCGCTGCCTGCGTAAAGCGGTGGAGTCGGGGGTGCATCAGCGCATCTTGGTACAGCAGGTGAAAGATGGGTTCCCTCTTGAGAAATTGAGTTTGGCTGTTCTCGCCAGTTGTCCGTAAAGGTGTGTAAAAACGTGCAGTGTGTGTCTGCGAGTACCGTCTATTTTATAATTTCCATCGTTGTTCTTGCTAGTATTCCCATCATCTTTTGCGCAAGCCACAAAAACACATGAGCATGCCAGCACCTAAAGAAAAACCCCGGGTTTCGGAGTTGCACCGGTTCGTCGCAGTCAGATCTTACAGCGGGATTACAGCGCCTGGCTTGGCGGTACCCGGGGCCCTGTTCTAGCGCCAACTCAGCCCTTCTCGTCTTTTGTTAGTGGGGAGGGCAGTGCTTGTTGCCTCTCTCCCAACACTCAACCACCACCAACACTGTATTGCGTATGCTGCATCCACGCCCCCACCCCGTTCACTCCGGTAGCTAGCTCTCGACCACACCACCATCTTCCGCAACAAGTCAAGCCCAGCTTTGCTTAGCTGCCGTCCACCCCCTCCCCATCCCCTCTTTACATATTTAGATCCCCTTCACCTCCTCTCACTCACCTTGTCTTCTTGTTTTTCTTCCATTTATCCTTGTGCCATCTTCATCGTTTCGCTGCCCACGTGCTGCACCTCCAACTTACACGCAACACCACCACCCACCCCGACCGTATAAGTCATCGCAAGCGCCCACACATCAATTCCATCATCATCATCATCATGACCAGAATCGCCGCCCCCGTCGCCAAGCTCACCCGCGCCATCAGCTCGGCTCCCGCCGTCGCTAGATCCGCCAACCCGCTGCTCGACAGCACCTCTCACAGCGCCAGCGTCACCTTGATGCCCAAGTACGCCGAGCTCCTGCGCAACCGCCACAACGAACACTCCGACGTAAGCCCAAACCCCATCCATCTCATCAACTTTCTCTCTGGAGAAAAACAAGTCTGCTAACCAAAACAAATCGCACAGTCATCGCGTGGTCTCTCCACCCAGCACCGCCCTACTCCCCAGCCCAGCATCGCCAACCGCACAAAGCCTCTGATGCAGACCTTCCACTCGTCGGCCGCCGCCGCTGCTCCCTCACAACACATTGACGCCACCGTCCTGCCCAACATGGACTTTGAGACCGTCGTCTTCTCCGCAGAGCCCCGCGTGCCTATCCTGCCCGACAACTACAACGTCGCTCACGGCCCGGCGTCGGGCGATGCCCCCGTCCACATGCCCGCCATTGTCGCTGCCGATCCTGACCGTGTCCTTCCCGCTACGCCTTTGTCGTCGGTCGACACTGTTGGCCTCGATGGCGTCGAGCTCAAGTTTGTCCATGAGCAGCCCAAGTACCCCCAGGAGGCTGAGGGTGGCATGCTCCGCGATCTCTGGAAGGGCATGGTCGATGATGTCCTGGGCCCTGCCCCCGTCCAGAAGGCCATCTAAATCTGGCTTGTTCGGAACGGACGCTTAGGTGTTGACGTCGAGCCTCGCCTTGCGAGACTTGCTTTTATGAACTATTATCATGACATTTTTCTTTTTACATGTATCCTCTGCGCGGCATCATATATGTCGGCAGAGCACCGCTCAGACTGGGTCGAGAGACGGAAGCATTTTATCATTTGTTGTACTCATATTTATATATCTAATACCATAGGCAGTGCGCCTCAATGACCTGTTGCTTAGAAGCAGCATCGGTTACAATACATTTTTCAACCAACATTTTTTACATCACTAATTGTGTTGTTCAATTCGTTCACGGTAGCAGTGTCCAGTGTGAAATTTCAGTGATGTTTCTTTTTTTATTCCATCCTAACTAAGCCACTAATGATATCATGTCCAATTGTTTGTTTGACCAAACTATGAAGAAAACTCGAGAAAAAAAATACAAAGGATAAAATGTCATTGCCAAATATACGCATTTGGCTGTACATGTCCAACCTACGCCACCACCTTGTATCCGTATGATCCGGCTTGTCCGTCCATAAAATCCAAGCTTCATCTATAGTGCGGGTAGACCTGCCAATCTTCTGTCAACTGTGTCTTCCCCTCTCCCTCTCATGCAGCCACTCTATCTTCTCTTAGCAGGTGCTCTGGGCTTGCACTCGTCGTTCTGGACGGGGTGAAGCATGACCTTGATAGGGTAGCTTTGCGTGTTGTGCTGGTAACCCTTGCTCCAGTCGTAGCTAACAGCGTACGCAAAGATGCTACCAGACTTGTTGAACGTTGTGGCTGTGATGCTGCCTCCGACGGTGGGGTATCCCTTGAGACGGTGCTTAGCATCCTTGTCCCAGAAGTGGAAGGTTCCGTCCGAGCCCGATGTGCTGAATGTGCCGTGGACAGGGTGGAACGAGATGGCGTTGACGGCGTGCACATTGACCGTGTTGTTTTGCACTGGGTCGCGGTGGCACTTGAAGGAGAAGTTGGAGCTCGAGTCCTTATCTTCGACGTATTGGATGGCGCAGCGGCCCTCGATACTGCCAATGGCAAAGCCAGCAGCATCAGTGAAGCAGCTGACTACGCGCGTCTGCCACTTGAGAGGGCTTTGCAGTGTCTTGTAGAATTTGGTGGGTTCCTTGAGGTTGATGACGTTGATATAGCGGTCGGCCGTGCCAATAACACAGAGGTTGTCGCGAACATCGAGCGAGTACACACGCTCCTGGCACTGAACAGTGGCAACGGGGCCGCTTTGGCGCATGTCCCAGTATCTGACGCTCTTGTCCCACGAACCAGAGACGACCATGGGTGTTCCGTTGTTCTCGAAGAATCGGACGTTGCGGACGGCCATGTCGTGTGTACCAATGGAGATGTCCTGCTGCGAGGCCAGGTCGCAAACTCGTACGTGCTTGTCAGCACCGGCGGAGGCTACTTTGGTTCCATCCTGTTTCTTGTTAGCAAATGTTCACACGGTCCGCTCGTCGTCGTCGCGAGCACATCAAACGTACCTTGGAGAAGTCGCAGTCGAGGACGGGCTGTTCGTGGCCATAGGCGTGGCGGCCTTGACTTTGGCCGTTTTGTGCAATCTCGTAGATGCGGACCTTGTTGTCCCAGGAGGAGATGGCGAGGAAGTCGGGGCCGTTGGGCGCGGGAGAGAAAGAAAGGGCGGAGATAGAATCGGTGGGAGGATCACTGAGGGCGATGTCCGACTTAAGGTCGCCAACGGAGCTCGTTGTGGACGCCGCAGCGCTTCCAAATACACCAGACATTGTGATTGCCGCTTTTTCGAGATTCCAACAGGGTCGAGCAAGAGAATATTCAGGTCGTCGGTGATAGTCGCGAGAGCTCAGACGCGGATCGCGGTTTTCTTCGCCGTCGGTGCTCGCTCAAGGGAGTGCGTGCCTCAAGCCCAGAAGAATATTAGGGTAAGGAAGGCCTCTTGGAAATATATACGGCGCGTCGAAAGATTGTTTGTGGTGTACGTCGCGACGCAATGGTTATTTTATAAAATGTTCACCAAATTATCTAGGCAGGTTCAGGCACCACACCTAGGCTGCCTGTTCTACCAGCTTAGGTGCTACCCCCGATAAGTGGGCAAGCCCCCTTACGTGCATTTCCAGGTGCCCGCCCCGCTAACGCGGTGGCCCAGCAAAGCTCTACATGGGCTTGTGTGGATTTCCAAAAACTTTTTTCTTTTCCTTCTTCTTCTTCAACCACCGTCGCTCAACAGATCGCTATTCGAAGCTCACAAACAAAGAGACTAGGTAAAACTGGTCTCTTACCCGTGTACTACGCTTTGGGAGAAAGTCCCCGGACGTCTCTGGTTTTCCTTTTGGAGGGCTAGGGCCTGCGGAAACGCGCCGCCATAGAAGCACTGCGGCTTACCTTGGTTCCTTGGCTCTTTGGTTTGCGTCATGCCCCGCCTGCCGCTACATCTGTATGCTGCAGAGTCGCTTGTTACATCTTGATGTCCTACTGTTCGTCTCGTCGCTTGGCCCATTACAGGATGAAGATACGAGTCCGAGCTGAGTACGGGGTGAGCTGGAGGCTCTTTATGTGCGGTGATTTGGACAATGGATGGTAGATGGACGCTGTGGCCATTCCAGATTGTTGCGGGAATCGAGGGATTGTTGTCGAGGTTGATAGATATGCGATTGCTTGGTGTTCTTTGGATACCAGGTTACTCGATGGGGCTCATTCTTGATGCGAGGGTGGTTCAACCAAACACCTTGTTGTTTAACAACGAGGTTGCCATGTGATGGCGTGTCTCTTTTTTTAAACTCTACACTTCATTGGAAGTGCTTTACTCGAGACTGCCGTTGCATGTCAGTCTTTGTTTTCACAAACAGCTGGTTCAAGTTTTACATGATGATGACCAATATAGAGTCAAGCACCGAGACTTGGTAATACCAGTCGATGTGGACTACCAAACAAAATGTCAACTGAACAAACTTGAACCAGCTGGGTTGGAAACGATTGTAGACGGCTGTGTATGCACAGCAGACGTAAGTCAAGCAGAGATGCGAATGTAGAGCCTCTTTGAATGAGGATGATTGTCTCGGCTCGTCTAGTCGGTGGTCAAGACGCAGCTAGACAATCCGGTTCCTGACAGTGCATTTGCACTGTAACGACAGGTCGTACGTAGTCTGTTGTGTCAATATTTCCACTATTGCGTCCGTGCTTCCTGTTAAGGTCGGCAGCTGAAGAACGCCGGCCAGCCACACCGAACACGTCAAGTGACCTTGTCTGTAGTGGTTCCTGGTTCCTGGGAGTTGATCATGAACGCTGATTGTTTTTCCATTGTTACGAGTTATCAAGCCATAAGCATAACGTTTTTTCATTGCTTACGACATCTCACTTGGTCGCTACCAACGAGCAGCCGTAGACATTCTTCATCGCTCATCTGATCCCTCTGCATACCGCACACTGCATAAACAATGCACCCTCGCAGCCGAAACGTCAATCACCCCGCGTCTCAGCCCCTGCGTCCCGCGACGCCCGTTCTAGAAACTTGCTCCGAGAAAGCCCCAAACTACGGCGCTCGCCATAAGTGGACGGTGCACGGAACATAGAGTAGTCACGTTTTGTCAATGCGAATTGTAGATCTGTATAGAGGTACAAGTTGCCGCTCTCCTCTGACACAAGCCACCGCCAACCAAGCCAGCCAGCAGAGCGCCTTTCTCGCACACTTTTCTTAGTGTGTTTCTTGTCTGTGCTTTGTACTGTACCTGAGCCTCTACAGTAGCTTCGGGCTAAGACCGCCGGACTGCAGGCGGTGGCGTCGCAGCACATGCCAGGCGGCTGCATTGGCGTTATATTGAAGGACCCGTCGTGGTGGATTCAGTATAAACGCCCGTGGGTAGCGAGAAGTGGCAAGAGAACCGGCTATAGTAGTGATTTATTTTCATAAAAAACGGGTTACCCCAGTTTGGCCGTGCGCAGGAACAGGGAAAGGGTTTCTTTCTTTTTTTCTCCCCTTTTCGGATTTCTCTTGTGTCGGCCTGTTGTTTGAATCACCAGTATCACGATGAAGACGACGACACTCTCCACCGCCCTCTCGGCTATTACCCTAGCACCCCTTACACTAGCAGCGAACTCTACTCCAGACCCTGCTGCCATTGCAAAGGCAGAGGGTGCTGCATTCAAGCAGGCCTTTGACGGCATGCCCAAGTGTGCACAGTTCTGCATCAAGAACAATACGGCGCAGGTCGGCTGCAATGTGACGGATCTTGCGTGCCAGTGTAGCCACCTGCGGCCGCTGATTGTCGAGGTTGCTCCGTGTATGATTAAGGAAGGATGCGAGATGGAGCAGATGATGCGTATGTTTACTACCAGTGAAAAAAGACTGGTCAGTTGCTAATGAATGTCACACAGAGGTTGGATCGACAGTGCTCACGCTTTGTGTCGACTTTTACAATAAGACACACAACGGCTCGCTGCCGCCTATGAGCGAGATTCTCGCGGCCGAGGCTGCTGCTTCAAAAAAGAAGACAAGTGCTGGCTCTCGCGTATATGCTGGAGGATGGGTGCTGGTAGCTGGTGCTGTGGCGCTGGCAGTTTCGGCCTTGTAACATTATCTACCACGACCTCGGACGTTTTGGCGTTGATCTCTTTTTTTATTGTCTATTATTAGGGAGCGGATGCCTATGAGAGCGCCGTTGTTTCTAGTTGATACAAAATACCCTTTTGCTTGTCTTGTCTAATAAATTTCCCACACTTGTTACATCGTACAATCTATCTGCGTCGTCGTCGCCCTTCACTCTGAAGATGGGCCATTTAGCCAGGGCCGCAGTAGGCCAGAGCACCATCCTTGCCACCATCAAAGAGGGTGTGCATTTCGTCAACCGTCTTGAAGCCCGTCACATATTCCATGCCCTGGCGTCTCTGGGCCTCGACGCGGCGCCAGTCCCATTCGCCCTCGACGGAGAGATCGACATCACTAACATCGGCACTCTCGTCGCCAATCTGGTTCTCGCCGCTGAGCCAGCCACCCGGTCTCTCGGGCAGCAGGTTGCAGTTCTCAAGAATGGTGGCAGGAGACACAGTCAAGCGGCCAATCTTGAAGACATACTTGCTGACAGCCGTAGCGTAAATCTTCTTCTCAAAGTCCGGAGCGGGCTGGCCGGCCTTGCGCGTGCGCATCTTGGCGCATTTGGGATCGAGCCACTCGCTAGGACGAGCAGTGCCCTTGGGAACAAAGTGGGTGACAATGTACATCCACTTGCGGTCCCAGCTGACGACTTTGCTCCAGAGCTCGTAGCCCTTGTAGGAGGGGATCTCCTTCTTGAAGCTGCAGGCCACAGAGCCCAGCATGATACCAAGGCCGCCCTGGGCGACCTTGCCAGTGGTCGGGTCCATGACCATCTTGCTCTTGGCGTTCTCGGAGAGCTTCTTGAGGCCCGCGCGGCAGATGTAGCTGACGAGGTGTGTGCGGGAGATGTCGAGATCAGTAAAGTATGTCGAGTTGGACTTGTGCAGGTTGTAGTCGGTCTCAAGGAGCGGCGCATGAGTAGGGGTGATCATGGGCTTGAAGAGAGAGCGAGGGCCGAGTTCAGGCGCCCTTCGGAGGACGTTGTGGTAGATGATGGCGTAGAAGACGCGGAACTGTGACAATCCATCCGCGATTAGCAACGAACCACAATCAGCGTTTCGAAGTACTTACAGTCCATGCAAAGGGCATGTTCTTCCAGTTGAAGAACACAAAGACGAGCAGCGCAATACGCGAATTGCGCCCAGGACCGCTCACAAAGTTGCGCACCGCAGTCTGCCAGTCGACGCGCCAGGCAGCGTAGCCTGCCGAGCCAACGAGGACCGGCAGGAAGAGGCGAGCTGTCACGGTGAGCGTGTCCATTTTGCTCGCGGCGGAAGCCATTTTGTGTGTAGTAATGCCGGACTAGATGCGCCGGACGAATCTACTCGTTCGTATTCTTGTCTTCGCTCTTGGTGGTGTCGGGATGGGCTGTGTCGCGACGGGAACCTCGAAGGGCCGCGAACAAGATGATGACGACGGCGGCGATCCAGAGGGGGACAGCTTTCAGGTAGCAGTAGACGAGAGACGTTGCACACTGGAGATTTGGCATGAAATTGTACAACAATACCAGTGCCCGCGTCGATGGTCGAGAGGGAAATTGTTGGTGACGAGGGAGACGGAGATTCAAAAGGATGGTGGGGGACTTGGCCAAGGTCGGAAAAGTTGCAATCTCGTTCCTGAGTCGCTGCCGAGGCCCGGTTGTGGCGGACGAGCTCCTTTTTTTCTACTGTAAACTTTTTGTAGTACTGTAGCTTAACGGGAATGACGCGCTAAGTCCACCAAGCCGGGTTAATGACAGGCTGACGCCGAGTTGGACTACACGCCGGAGAGACGGGAGATTATGCGATAGGGAGCTCCGTCCACTACAAAGGTACAGCTTTACTTTTGGTATTGGTGCAGCTCGATTTTCTACAAAATAATAATTTTTCTTTTAAATATTTTCAAATATGTATTTAAGCAGGCCTAATCATGCTCACAAAAAAACACCGCCCGGCGCTCCCGTTTGTTGGGAAGGCTGCTAAGATCCGCATCCACTAACTAGGAACAGAACCGGACTTTTGCGTTTGCTTGGTGGCGCCGCTCGTACCTTAAACCTAACCCAATCTGGTACTTTCATGCAGCAAAATATATTGATTCGCATTATCATGCTTTACAACTGGCGCTGATTGATACAATGACCCGAGTCGCTCTTGGTCTCGTCCGTCAACGTCACCGCTCCCTTGGATGAATTGTACGGCTCCTCCAAAGCACTGGTCGGGCCCTTCGTTATCTGTTGGGCTGTTCTGCAGCATTGCATGGCTTGCTCTTCACACTAGATATCAGCCTTGTTGTTCATGTTGTATGTCGCACAGATATCAAGACAGTCGTTGAGGCTCGCCGCAGAGCGGTTTACAATGCTCGGCGCTTATTAGCCAGCATTGGCTTCTATCTCTTATGACGTTGGTAAGTACCAGCCATTATGTACAACGCATCTTTTATTTTATGGTCTGCTTATTTCAAAAGCTCTATCGGACAACTTCAGTTCCATTGGCAGGCTCTAGAACCATCCAGCTACATTCCAGCTGCTTGTTCTCATTGTGCTCCTTCAAGATGGCAATAATCTTGTTCGCAATCACTTCAAAGTTGGTCGTCGCCAAGGCGAGAATGGTAGGACCAGCACCAGAAAGGCAGACTCCCAGGAATCCGTCTTGTGTCTTGGGAGACATGGACTCTACAATCTCGTTGAGACCGGGAATGAGTGTCTGGCGGTACGGCTGATGGATCTTGTCCTGCATTGCAAGGTGGATGAGCTCGGGGTTTGGCGGCGACTGGCCTAGGGCAACAGGCAAAAGTGCGATTCTCTGCAGGTTGAATGTCTGGGATTGTTAGCGTCACTGGTGTTAAGCTCATGGTAGCCGCAGCACTTACGACATCAGGGCGCGCGTATTTCTCTGGTAAAACAGCACGAGCAGCCGCAGTTGGGACGATAAACTCGGGAACAATAGCGATGGCCTTGATGGCTCTGTTCCAAGGGAATTCGATATGGTGGCCAATGCCATAAGGAGGTGAGGGAGGCTTCTTGCCAGTGTCAACACCACCAGCCGGGGAGGGGAGCACTTCACTGAGAGGAACTTCGATTCTTTCGGCGTCTTCAGGCTTAAGTGGCATCAAGTAGGTACCAACAAAGCCACCAAAGAGGGCAGCACCAACATTGTCCGGATGTCTCTCTGTAGAATCGTTAGCAATGGCCGCAGCCAGATCTCCAACAAGCCAAGCCATGACTCACCAATCATCAAGCAGTAGTCGAAGAGGCGGTTGTTGTCCAAATGCGTCAACTTTCCAACTTCCTTGCCCAGGAAAACACCCGCTACAACAGCAGCTCCTGAACTGCCCAATCCTCGGCCCAATGGGATAGGGTTCTTGATGTGCACATGTGTCTCGACGGGGAACTCGCGCTGGTCGTGGCATCGGAGGACGTAGAGAGCGACGCGGGTGATGAGGTTGTTCTGTGGATCGAGGGAGATGTCGTCTGATCCTTCACCCTGGCCTTCGTATGTAATACGGCAGTTGAGAGGATGCTCAGACGACGTCTTTGTGCGGTCAATGGTGACTTCGAGCTCGAGGTAGATGGACAGCGCGAGGCCAATGACGTCGAAGCCGGGGCCAATGTTGGCGCTAGAGCACGGCGTCTTGATGACAAATTTCTCCATTGTAGCGATTCTTCTATTTCGGCTCCTTTTTTGTTTCGTTAATGACCCGACAGCGTCAAGAGGAGCTGTTGTAAAGGTTTCGACGCAAGTGTGGTGCTGCTGCCGAATGCAGAAATCTCGCCGGCCCCGATAACCGGAGGGGCACGCGCCAACCCCACCTTCCATTACCAGCATGACAGCGCACGTAGAGGCGGGGGGCATGCGCTAAATTTCAGCGGCTTTAGCTGCTATTACAGTGAAATACTCGGTCATTACGGTAGAAGCTATCAAGGTTACTACAGTGGTAGTGGTGTTTATTATGGTAAGAGACTTTGGAAAGTCTAGGTATCTTGAAATTAAATTACAGGCCTATATAATCAGGCCTTGGAAGTCTCACATCCATTGTTGGTACCAGCAGGCGGGTTGCGATCCATCCATGGCTCATACAATTGAGCGCCCTTAAGCAGACTGCCTACCGTCTCCCAAATAAGCAGGAAAATAAAGAGTGCCACGGAAATACCCATAAACTTTGTACAGTTGAGATGTTCCTCAGCAAGAGGAAGCAAGGCAAAGATGATGCAGACAACAAGACGCATAATCATGCGTATGGGCTTTCGCATCAACAGGATAAGACCGTCTTCATCGCGGAACAACATGCCGTACACCCACAAGCAGAAGAGGCCAACAGCAAAGCCGCCGCACATGAGCCAGGCTTGGCCACCTTCAAACTCGTCAAACTGCACGCTTAGAGCCGCCACATGGCCAGCAATCAAAAAGGACATGGATAGTGGGATGTGCAGCAGGAAGAAGCCAAACGCCGTCGCCACAGATCGACGAATAGGATGTGTTGCTTCCATGCTTCCATCGCCGCTGACATAGAGCCAATTGAGCGAAAACGCAATGCCCAGTGTGCAAATAGCCTTGCCGTAGCCAGCTGTAAGACCCACGCCTGCTGGATCACCCAGAATCACAACGAGCACAAACTCGCCCAGGATGATGATGAAGAAGGCCGCAAGGCGGTCAATCTCGTGGGCAATGTCCACAGCCGTTCCGTACTGGAGCTTCAGAATGCGCTTCATAAAGGGGCTTAACGCAAGCGCCCAGGTTATCTCCTGGTAGACGATGAGGACGGCAACAACTGCAATCTTGGCCTGGATGCTGACCGACTCGAAGAATAGCGGGATGGCGATGAGTAAGCCGATAAACATGAAGCCAGCCATGACACGCGCCTGAAATCGGTGCTGAAAACTAGCAAAGGAGCAGATGATAAAGGTAATCATAATCGTGAAGCGCGCGGTAAGGTATGCGCCAGCAGCGGTGCGCATGGCTGAGATGTCGTCGTCGACCTTTTTGGCAGCGTTGGCGTACAGGACAAGCAGAGACATGACCCAGAGGATGATGATGCGCTGAACCAGGTCGTCAGTGTAGTACGAGTTCATAATCTCACGCAGGTCCGACCAGATGTGCCAAGCCGGGACGAAGATGAGAATGTACTTGGCGAGGTGTTTGCCGTCGGCATGCTCTGCGAGCTCCTCGCTAAAGTTGGCAACAATGGCAACATCTACAAGCTCCTTATTAGCTTTTTATTCTGCAGAATACAATGCATTGCAGCTTGGTACTCACACAACAAATCGAGAAATAGCTCGAAGCGGCCGGCCTGGCGCTCCTCGTCGCTCGCCTTTTCCAGGCGCCCGTTGTTGAACCATTGCAGCGCCTTGGGCCGCTTGATGAGGTACCGCGACCCTTTCGTGCCCTGCTGGATCTCGTTGCAATTCATAATGCTTTGCGTTATCGTATTTCTGCGCGTGCAGAGGGAACACTTTGCGGAAAAGCAATAGGCGGCACGGAAGCAGAAGAAATTATTTTGGTTCGAACGCGTTGGGAAATTGGGACCCTTCGGCTTTAAAGAGGGGGGATCCGGCGTGGCGACGCTAAAATATGGTTAATGTATCGTACAGTAGCATCGGCAGTGGTCCACTGAATCGCACGATGGATCCGGCACATCCAGTACATGGCACCCGTTTTATGTAGCAGCTGAAAAAAACATGACGTAGAGCATAAAATAAAAGAGTAACCGCTAAATAACAGCTATAAAAATCCCAAATTCAAATTCAGATCATATAGTATCATTATCCAAAATCACACAATCTCAACACGATACCTCTCCCGCTAATTGCCCTCTTTAATCATGTCGCTCAGCTTGTAAGCCATGGCTCCAATGGGCGCAGTGGGATGTCCGGAGATCTGCTCAGGGAACACACTGGCATCCATGATTCGCAGGTTGTCCACTCCGTGTACCTTGCATTGCAGATCCACGACGCTGTCCTTGGGTGATGGGCCCATGCGTGCAGAGCCGACGGGGTGGTACAGTGTGAAAGCCTTGGTCTTCATCCAGCGCAGAAGCTGCTCGTCGGTAATGGCGTCGTAGTTGCTGCTGCAGTAGGGCCACCAGTAGTTGTTTTGGTCGTCAGAGGTGGGTACAGTCTCTAGCTGTTCCTTCATCGCAGGCGAGCGGATAATGTCGAAGCCCTTGCGGATGCCAGCAAGCAGGACCTTGCGGTCATTGTCGCCTTCGTCAGTCCAGTACTTGGGATCAATATTGGCTGTTGGAAGTGGTTAGCATATATATCTAGAAATACTTTCTCCTCTTTTGGATATGGTGTTCACGTACGGTGTTCAAAGGGATCGTTGCTGCGCAGAGTAACGGTTCCCTTACTCTGGGGACGAAGTCCGATGGGAACGAAGCTGAATAATTCTTCGCCTGGTATTCCCGGCTCCTCTCCGTGATGGATGTATCCCAAGGCTGCAGCAATGAACTCAATGTCGGGTCCAACACCACCAGAGCCGTGGTCCTTGGGCTCATTGCCCTTGGTTGTTGCATCAAACTTCATCTCTGTGGAACGGACAAAGGCGGCCGACTCGCCAACGTTGCTGGTGAGAGGTCCCTTGCCGGTAAGCAGCCACTGAGCCAGCGCAGGGATAGCCTTGATGTCGTCCTTGAGATAGTCCATGGAAAGACCGGGCTTCGACTTGGCGTGGATGCCTGTGGAGCAGAAATGGTCCTTGAGGTTCTCGCCTACAGCGTTATTCTCATAGACAACGCCAATGTGGTGCCTTCGCAGCTCCTCAGCAGGGCCAATTCCACTAAGCTTAAGAATCTGAGGCGTGTTGATGGCACCGCCGCAAAGAATGACTTCGCGCTTGGCGTGAACCTCGTACTTGTCGCTCGTCTTGGAAGTTTGAAACTCGACGCCGATTGCTTTGGGCTTCTCGGCAGAGACAAGATCGTGGAGAATGCGGGTGACATGCGCACCAGTAGCGACAAACAGATTGCGGCGCTGCTGCACCTTGCTGTTGAGGTATGCGGTGGCCATGGACGAGCGGGTGCCCTTGGGGTCGATGAAGGTCTGGAAGCGGGTAACACCAAGCGAGCCGTTGGGGGTGTTGATGTCTTCATTGTAGGGGATTCCGGTCTGCTCGCAGCCCGGGATCCATCCCTTTTCGATGATTGGGTTGAGGTGAGCGTAGCCCGTCTGCCACTCGCCTTCTGTGCCTCGGTGAATCATGTTGACGGCTGGGCGATCTGGGTTTGGGGTGAACTTTTCCATGCGGCGGAAATAGGGAGCAATATCGTCGTAGCTCCAGCCCTCGCACCCAAACTTGTCCTTCCACTCGTCAAAGTCGGACTTGGAGCAATGGTGGTACATCATGGCGTTCATGGACGAGCTGCCACCGAGCATGCGGCCGCGGGGCCAGTAGAGCTCACGGTTGGCAACACCCTCTTGCTGGGTCGTGTAGTAGTTCCAGTCGTGCTCTCCATGGAAAAGCTTACCAAAAAGGAGAGGAGCCTTAGTTTCGAAGATCTTATCATTGCTAGCACCGGCCTCTAGGACGAGAACAGTGACAGTTGGGTCTTCCGAAAGCTTGCCAGCTAGGACACTGCCTGCGGCACCTCCGCCAATAATTACTGTAAAGAGATCATATTAGTTTAGCTCTGGAGTTCATAGTAGCGCAATTGGATATTGTGTCAGCCATGAATACGCACCATAATCGTAGCTAGGCAAGGAGCGCTCGGCATCAGCCGTAGCAACGGGCGCGCCATAGTTTCGTTGCTTAGCAGCATAATGCAGCGGGTTAGTGAGAGGGTTTCCCTGGCGTCCCATAGTGAGCTGTGCTATGACTATGATCAATTCGTGTATGGAATTGATTTAGAGGAGGGAAAATACAGAGTGATGGAAGAAGTGCTGGAAAAAAGAAAAGAAGAAGAGGGGAAAGGACGGCAGTATTGTAGGTGGCCAGCCAGGTTGCAAGGCTATAGGATTGCCGCTGTGGCGCTGTGCCGTGTCCAGGCCAACACCAGCCAAATAGCCTGTTCGGCGAATACTTTTAGTGCAAGCAGTACGCTGCACATTAATGCCCACTACACAGGTACCAATACCGTATAGAGACTTTGCACAAAACGATTACAACACCCCTGTGATCCCGCCCGCCCGTCTCCAACAGTTGCTCCGATCCCTTTCCTGTAGCAAGCCCCTACGTTGTGCCTAGCGGCTAGCTTGTAGCGTATCTGCTACCCCGCAAATGGGACGCTGAGGGGGGCGGCATAGTGGATCCAACGAGCGAGCTGCCGAGCTTTGTTTGGCCGTGCACATGCAACGAGGAAGGGGACCTGGAGGGTAATTTTGTACTGTGGCTGAAAGGTACTACTTTACACGCATGGGCTTCGGTTTGTTAGTCTACAGTAGGTCGCTCTTATACAAGGCTGTGTTGCCATATCACGGTGATAGAAAGTGTCTGAAGTCGATGAGAATCTAACAAGGTATATGAGGAGACGAAAAAATGAAAAGCGCAAATAAAATGCCAAAGAAAGAAATTCAATATTAATGAATTCAAGTTGCAAGGATATCATAATGCTATTAGCCCCCTCTAGTGGAGGAGCTCATTCAGCCAAATCTTCAACTTACGACCTTGCTGCGTCTCCGTGTTGTCACCCACCAGAATGTTGTAGACGGGAGCAACGTGAGCCTCACCTGGACCAACAAACAGTTCCGTGTCCGGCAATCCCTCTCTAAGCTTATCGGTGAACTGCTCAATCAAGGGCAACAGGACCTCATGCTCGCCACCAAGAACGAGGACCTTTTGCACAGGGAAGGTCTCAAACCAGCTGCCTGGTGCATCCATCGGGTCCGTGTAGTTGTCTCGCTGCTGGCCGCCAAGATACGATCGGATCCAACGGAGACTAATTGGTGGCGAGACAATATCGCCGCCCGAATATCTCGGAATTCTGCTCTGTTCCTCATCCAGCCACGCCCACGGAGCAATGAGGGCAGTACCGCCGAGCTCCTCCTTGATGGCGATCTTCTTAATCTGAGGATGGGGATGTGCCAGATGCGACAGCACACCGACGGCGAGGTTGCCGCCTGCGGAATCGCCGCCAAGGAACACGTGGGACGGCTTCCACTTGCCAGTGCCCAAAATGTAGCGCAGACCTTCAACACATTGGGTGAGCTGCGTGGGGTAGACGGCACCCGGAGCAAGATCGTAAGTAATGGCGAAGACGGCAAGGTCCTTGCCAGCTGCCTTGGCCGACTTGATGACACGGGTAAAGAACTTGAAGTAGCCCGGGTTAGAGGGCAGGCAGAAGCCGCCGCCTAGATATGAAATTAGCAATCAATTAACAAGGGATGATAGAAAATGGTGTTCATACCATGGAACCAAATCAAGACGTTCTTTGAAGTCTTGTCGCCAATCCAGTGGCCCTTGGAGCCGTGGGCAAGCTCGACGGTGTCGGCAGTGAAGCCTGCAGAGCGGGCATATCTATCGTAGACGAGGTCGCTATGAGGTTGAATCAACCTGGATATCGTCAATTAGCATCTTGTTCAACAATCGTTTGCACGTGATATTCCGGGGTAAACGTACTGTAGCTGCTTGGGGGAGAGTCGCAGGGTCGACTTGCGCAGGATGGCATAGGCAATGTGCAAGAAGAGAGTTGGCGCATCCTGTTTGGAGCGAAACGGCGCAGTGATGGTTGAATAGATGGCAACCAGAGCAATAGCAGCAATGCCTGGGAGAATGTCGAGCTTTTCACCCAGCGTCAGAGGCTTGCGATCTGGGCCAACAACTGTCATTTTGTACGGCGATCTTGTGTCTCTTTTTTTTGTTGGTTCAAGTCTTCAAAGTTGGATACCAAGAAACGTGTCGACACAGAGCGGGAACGGTGTAAAATTAAGATACTACAATTGCTTAACAAATCTGTTCGATGCAATGGCGTGTTTGCGTCTGCCTGCCGAGTGCCGCTGCTCGCAATGGTTCGATGGTGTCTTCCAACAGTGAAGCATACATTCTTCTGGGTAGCGACGGGGTCGGCGTCACTTTTGGACGCCCGCCCGGCGCCCATGAGCGCGTCCCCGCAGCGCAAAACACCACCCGCGGTTGGCTGGGCTTAGGGCTCCCAGTTAATGCGGGGAGGCGTAATCAGAGCCACAGCACTACAGCATTGTGGTGGCTGCAGAAGGTGCGCCATGACGCTAGCTGGCTGCCGCCTAACGTGCACTAATTTTGTAGCGTTTACTTGTTGAGTGTCACATGTAATTACAGAGTCCTGTATTGTCGTGGTGGTAGCACACAGGCGGCTGAAATGGAGGGGATGATTGTCGCTAATCGGACAACGTAAGATGGGCTTTACTGAGTCGCCAGGCAGAGAATGGAAAGAGGGGTTGGCTGAGCACATGTCAGATTGCCTGATTGCGCGTCGTTTTATTGGGTCATTTGACAGCAAGGCAGAGACGGTGGTGATTTTATTATTTTAATTTTTTTACTCGTCTTTTCTGTGGTTGTTTGAGTTTGCGCTGGTGCCCAGCAAGGCCAAAAGACCGTTTTGGGTAAGGCAAACGGGTACACCGAGACGGTATCCCCCATGGTCTGACCTGTGCATGACGTTTTGATAATATAATAGCAGGGAAAATACTATACAATACATCTGGTATATAGAAACGCTGCTATTGAAATATTATTAATATATAGCGGGAAATAACTATACCTTCCGTACTCCTAACCATTGCCACTGCAAAACATGCTCCGGCACAGCGCCGGCCAACGCACGCACTCGGGCCAACAATAGCCTCCGACGCATCGGCTGGGTTGGGGTGGCCGGCCCCGCTTCATGGCCCCGGTAGACTCAACCTTGTATGGGCTGGCGGGGGAGCCGAGGTTTTTTGGGGTTTGGTGAGGGGGTGCTGCGACTGGCGCAAAGACATGCGCCGTAAATTCCTGTGATTATTTTTTTTTTATTTGGTTGCAGGTTTGTTAGTAGACGCCAACGCTAGCGCTGTAGCTTAGACATCGTAGCTGCTAAAACATCACTGTAAATAAAACGTAGAGTAAATTTTACAATCGCTGCCAGCTGTGCCAGCTGTGCCACTTGCCACTTGCGGCGATTGATAGCAAGGAATAAATCTCCGTCTACAGTTGCATCAACATTATCATCACCACAACCAATAGACCTCTTGTGCCTAACAAGGAAATACCAATGCCAGCGAGTATTCAGGAAAAGCGGAGCGGAATTTACAAACTACGCTTGCCACATACGTACTCCTTCACTGACCCGAGGTTACGCTAGCTTGGTCGTCCCCTTGTTAGTACTTTGATGGGCTAGCCACACGCAGCTCCAGCGCTACCACCTGTGACCTTCCCCGACACGCCACTCCGGGTTCGCGAGACAAAAAAGTTAAAAGAAGTTTCTCGCCCACACACCCCCGCCGCCATACCCACGGTTCCTTTAGTTTATTCCATATTCTTTCTTCAACGGTTCGTTGCATTGACTTTGGCTTCTTGCTTTCTGCATCGATTCATCTCTCTGCTTTACACAGCCAACCAATTCCTCCCCTCCCTCCCACGCTCCCTTTGCCTGACGAACCACTACTTCTCCCGCACCCGCAAACCTCGATACCGTCACCATGGCCGCTGTCGACTACGATGTCATCATCGTCGGTGCCGGTATTTCCGGCATCAACATGGCCTACCGCCTCAAGGAACGCAACCCGGGCCTGACCTATACCGTCCTCGAGGGCCGCCACGAGATTGGCGGTACCTGGTCGCTCTTCAAGTACCCCGGCATCCGCTCCGACTCGGATCTCTACACATTTGGCTTCGCCTGGCGCCCGTGGATCGAGAAGAAGTCCATTGCTGAGGGCTCCATGATCATGGACTACCTCCGCGAGACTGTTGCTGAGGAGGGCCTTGACAAGTCCATCCAGTTCAACACCCACGTCGACCACATGAACTGGTCCTCCAAGGACAAGAGCTGGACTGCCCAGGTCACCCAGAACGGCAAGCCCAAGAAGATCACTGGCCGCTTCATCTTCTTCGGCACCGGCTACTACAACTACGAGGAGCCCCTCCAGACCACCATCCCCGGCATCGAAAACTTTGCCGGCAAAGTCATTCACCCCCAGTTCTGGCCCGAGGACCTCGACTACTCTGGCAAGAACGTCGTCGTCATTGGCTCTGGCGCCACTGGTGTCACCCTTTTGCCCTCCATGGCCGACAAGGCCGCCCACGTTACCATGCTTCAGCGCTCTCCTAGCTACATTCTCTCCGTCCCCGGTAACGGCTGGTTCGAGGACATTGTCCGCTTCGTCTTCCCTGCCATGATGGCCCACCGCATCATCCGCGCCAAGTGGATTTTCAGCGCCTACATGCTCATTGGCTTCTGCAAGCGCATGCCCACCATCTCGCGTTGGCTCTTCCTCACTCTCGCCTGGCTCCAGCTGCCCAAGGGCACTTCCGTCGAGAAGGACTTTACACCCAAATACAACCCCTGGGAGCAGCGCATGTGCCTGTGCCCCGATGCCGACTTCTACCGTGCCATCCGCAAGGGCAAGACCAGTGTCGTCACTGGCACTATTGAGAACATCACCAAGAAGACCATCAAGCTCCACAACGGCCAGGAACTCAACCCCGACATCATTGTTACCGCTACTGGTCTTAAGCTCCGCGCACTCGGTGGCGTTGCGCTGAGCGTCGATGGCGTACCATACGCCGGTACCGACAAGGTCGCCTGGAAGGGATGCATGCTCGAGGACCTGCCCAACGCGGCTCTCGCCTTTGGCTACGTCGATGCCAGCTGGACCCTTGGTGCCGACGCTACCGCTCAGCTCATCAGCCGAATGCTCAACGCCATGCAGGACGAGGGCGTCAAGGCCATCACTCCCAAGCTCACCGACGACGAGCAGAAGAACATGGTTCGCAAGCCCTTCATCAGCCTCAACTCTACCTACGTCAAGGCTGCCATCAACACGCTTCCCAAGACTGGCGACGGCCAGTGGGTTGCCCGATCGACTTATTACAAGGACATTGAGAGCGCAGCGTTTGGCGACATCAAGACCGGCATTGTCTGGGAAGAATAGAAAGGATCGCCACTCGGCAACTATACATACATCTCTTTTTGCACCGGGATTGGAGTTTTTGACGACTTGATTTCTTTCGTTCCTTTTTACCATTTTTATTAAAGACGGGTTATTTTGTAATGTACTAGTATACAATGGGTTGGATTATATCCTTGGTCATATCCGGCACGCAGTGCCACGCGTAGCTTCTAAAATAGACTGGAAATTATACATATATATACATTTTCATTTTTCACATCACTTCTCCCTCATCATCATGAGCCGCGGACATCTCGAATGACAGACTCGAGCAGCTTTCGGTACTGTGCCATGTCCGGCGCTTCTGCTTCCCAGAATGCAAACTGTGTCAGTACGGTTGCCATCATCCCGCCGATTGGTGGCACATCATCTGCCCAAGAGTCTGTGGGAAGAGGTCCCCAAAGGGCATCCTCGCCTCCCGGAATCCAGTCCGAGTGTCGGCTCTTGACAAGAGCCAGCAGGATAAGCGATGCTGTCATGATGCTGCGCAGATCAAACCACAGACCATGATGGCGGTGGCCACGGCAGCGGACTTCAATCGTCTTGATGCAGCACTCGATGCCAGAGACCACAAGGCTGCGCAAGACTTGCATGTCGTCATCGGTAAGCTGTGAGCTTCGCCCGGTGCTTGGGTTTAGCAAATGGTCGATGCTGGCCTGCGAGACGCTGCCTGCCGTAGGCGCGCTATTGCTAAAGGTGTCGGAATGAATCATGTAATAGAGGAAGGGCTGGTAGAGCCAGGTCTGCATCTCCAAGATTCGGTTATCCACAGCCCATGATAGCTCTCTTGAGACGTGTGATGGATCCCGTTCGTTTTGAAAGCTGAGATGCGGAGCGCGGATGACAGATGTTGTTTCGTAGCGCTGCATAGCTGGTGGCAGATGGGCGGACCAGGACGAGACTTGAGCCTCAAACTCGCGCGCCATGTGTAGAAGCGGCTTGATGCCGGTGAGCCAGCTTGTGCGGTGTTGTCGGAAGAATGTGTTTACGATCCTGTTGCCGATGCGGCGAAGGGCAATCTCGGTAAGGTAGTAGTACCAACTTTCTTCTTCATTGCAGAGGCGAACAGCATGGCGTCGGAGTTCAAGCTCTTCGTTATCTTCATAGGAGCTGCTAGATCCATTGTGGCCATCTGATGGTGTAGAGATTGGTGATGGCGGCGAGGGGAAGAGGTCGGGGTATTCACCGAGACTGATTTCAGACTGGTTGAGTGGCAGCTCTACACGGAACTCGCACTCCGACTTGAAGCAAGACCAGTACAGACTCTGCTCGAGTCGCTTCATTTTGCGGGCAGTCGAAGAACCAGAGTGGTGGTGCGTGGAGAGTACTTCTTCAAAGTTGCCGCCGACGCCATGGGCAGTCTTGAGGTGGACTTGAAAGAAGATGGAGGCGTGAAGGAAGTAGTGCCATGAATCCAACGGCCGAAGTGTATACATTAGATAGACTGTTATTCCATGGTTAGTTGAATGGCTCTACACGACTTGCAATGTGCGGGACACATACCTCCGGCGAAAAAGTAGCACTGGGCACTAAGCATGGAATATTTCAGAGATCCGAGGCGTCGACAGGCAAGAGTAAAGCATGAATCACCCTGTTCGAGCTCTTTGGCATGTAGTCTTGCTGTCGATGGCGTCGACGTAGATACGTGTCTTCTGTCGTACACATGGCTGTCCGGGGGCATTGGTCTAGAAAACGGCTTTGCTACTGATCCCAGCGCGCACGCCATGAGAACAAGGCAGGATCTCGCATCCCAGCCAATACCTCTCTCGGCGCATTGTCGGCCGTGCTTCACCAGCGCCTCGACGTCGAGGATGGGGTTCTTGGTGTGAACATTTTGCAAGAACCTGTCGATGAGCATGGGAATCTGTTCATCCTCCAATGGCGTAATGCTTGTGTTTGTGGTAACCAGGTTATTATGGAATGAGCCTGCCGAGTCTTTGAAAAGGTTACCGATCAGCACATTCTCGGGATACTTGTTGCCAAAGACTTCCCAGCGAAGGACGGTGTCAGCGCTGGCCCTATGCGGGGGGATCTGGAGGAAGTCTCGGGACGACTCTGCGGCAGATACTGTTTGCACGGCCTGGCGGACCTTGACTTTCTCAAAGGGATCATTGCGAACAATCTCGGGTGTCAGACCCTGGGCAATGCTGTCGGCGCTTTTGTCGTAGACTGCCTGCTTTACTGAGTGAAGCTCTTGGCGCAGCTCTTCGAATTTTTCAAGAAGCGTGCTGGTAGCTGTCTCGAGTCTATACAATTTCCGCAGCGGTTAGACCATGTACCAAACCCAATATAAAATATAAAGAAAGGAAGGGCATACGTTAACTTGTCAGAAGGGTCGTTGATGTATTCGCAGGTCTGACCACCCGCAGAGCAAATCGTGCATGTCGGACGCTTCTTATCGCACTTGACTTTTCTCAATCGACACGGCTGGCATGCAGCTTGCCTTCTTTGGGGTAACTATTGAAAAAAAGAAAGAGACCGTTTTATTAGTATGGCTGTCATGCAAGGGCACATTCAAAACGCATGGTTACGTTGAGCGGGGGGGGCGATGGGGTCTGGAACAGCAGCAGCAAACAAACACACTTACATGGGCCAATTCATCCTCTGCTTTTCTGGGTTTCTTCCCGATCCTCTCAGAAGATGCCGGGCTGTCATGATCCCGCGTCCTCTTGTCGCGTGTCGACTCTGGGGAAGACATGACGGGATCGATGGCCGAGTCCAGTGATGGCGGCGAACGGTCAGAATTAAGGACGGGGACGAGCAGCAAGTCCCCGACGTGACAGGGCCGTTATGAGGCGTCAATCAATGGAGCGGGGGAAGATTCAATAAGCGGCGGTAGATGCGCCGTGCGTCGCTATAGCCGGTGGCTGAGCATGGGGTTGGTGGTGAGAGTGACGGCAAATTCGGCGAGATGGCCGGACGGGATGATTTTTTTTAAGGCGCCGGGGCTTCTTCCAAGGAAAGGCGGCGCCCACTAACACCCACTGCTGAGCGCCCTGCGGAGGTGCCTATTTAGTGCTTGTTTGGTGGCTGCTCGGTGGCTGCACAGCGCGCCCAGGTGCCGAACTAGTGGCTTGGAATTCGGGGATTTGGCGGGCCTCGTCCCCGAAAGCGGCATAGTTCGTGTCGTGGGGGAAGCAAATGACGATGGCAAGATTCCCCAGAAAAGCAAACGGCGGGGAAGCCAGCAAGTAAAAAAAACTCGGACGTCAGGCACACACTTGACACTACACACCACACAACTTAAAGAGGAAACACACACGAGGTCGGAGGCTTGGGGTGCTTGGTACTTAAGATCCCCTTTGTTCCCCCCCCCCGGTCTTCCCCAGAAACTTGAATCATCACACAACTTCTTTGTTCGTCAGGAGACTTATCAATTCATCTCTTTTCATTCAATTGAGCTTCACCATGAAGGGCTTCCAGGCCTCACTGGCAAAATACAATGTTGCCAACCAGCTCTATAAAGACACGCTGCTCAATGTCGTCTGTCTTATTGCAGGTGTGTCCATCTTCTTCTTTGGTTACGACCAGGGTTTGATGGGCGGTGTCAACACCACACGCAGCTACGCCGAGCTCATGGGCTTTGGCCACTGGGACGAAGATCTTCAGATTGTCGTCGTGGATAAGCCCTTGCTTCAAGGCGGTATTGTGAGCGGTCTCCTATCTCTCGTCAAGTCTGACTCTTTTCTAACATGAACAATAATAGGTCGCTGTCTACTATCTCCCTGGTACCCTCGTTGGCTGTCTCCTCGGCGGCTGGCTTGGCGATCGCTATGGCCGCATCGCCACCATCGGTCTAGGCTGCATCTGGTGCATTGTCGCTGCCTCGCTGCAGACCGCCGCCATGAACGCAGAATGGATGTTCTGCGCTCGTGTTCTCAACGGTATCGGCACTGGTATCTTGAACGCAATTACGCCCGTCTGGGCCACGGAGACGGCCTCGCACAAGTCTCGTGGCCAGTTCGTCGCTGTCGAATTCACCCTCAACATCTTTGGTGTTGTTGTCGCCTACTGGCTCGAATTGTAAGCTTCTTTCTATCCCCAAATTCCTATCAAAGAGAAACCATAATGTCTAACCAGCTTTTTAATGCAGCGGAACTTCCAAATACCATGATCCTACGTCCTCTTTCATCTGGCGCTTCCCTGTCGCCTTCCAAATCCTCCCGCTTATTATCCTGCTCTGCACCATTTGGTTCATGCCCGAGTCTCCTCGCTGGCTCGTCAAGGTTGGCAGGGAAGATGAGGCCCGCTTCATCCTCCAGAGACTCCGCGGTTCAGAGGGTGAGGACGGTGAGCTCGCTGAGGCAGAGCTGCAAGACATCATCAAGACTCGCGATCTTGAGGCAGATACCTCTGACCAGCAGAGTTACTGGGCCATGTTCTGGGGCATCGGCTCCGGCAAGCTGCATACCGGCCGCCGAGTCCAGCTCGTCATTTGGCTCCAGATTCTCCAGGAGTGGATTGGCATCGCAGGTATCACCATCTACGGTCCGCAAATCTTCACAATTGCTGGTATCAGCGCGTCAGACCGTCTCTGGGTCAGTGGTGTCAACAACATTACATACATGGTACGTACCAAATCATACAAGCAACTAATTTTCTGGTCACTGCTAATACGGCTCTCGTTTGAATAGTTGGCTACGTTAATTTGTGTCTTCACTCTTGATCGCATCGGCCGTCGCTGGACGCTGTACTGGGGTGCAATTGGACAGGGCATCTGCATGTTTGCTGCTGGTGGTCTCGCTCGCGCAACCTTGAATGCTGACGCTTCCAACCGAGCCCAGATCGGTGGTGCTGCTACATTCTTTGTATTCTTGTACACAGCCATCTTCGGAGCCACTTGGTTGACTGTCCCTTGGCTCTACCCGGCGGAGATCTTCCCGCTCCATGTCCGAGCCAAGGGCAACTCCTTTGGCGTGGTCGGATGGTCCATTGGCAACGGCTGGTGCGTGCTCCTTCTGCCCACCATCTTTGAAAGACTACACGAAAAGACACTCTACATCTTTGGTGGCGTCAACATCCTCGCTATCATAGCTGTCTGGGCACTGTACCCAGAGTCCAACCAACGAACACTCGAAGAAATGGACCTCGTCTTTGCCAGCGACAGCATCTGGGTTTGGGACGCTGAAAAGAACTTTGCGAAGCTTAAGGCTGAGAATCCAGACTTGATCACTGCCACAAAGCACGATCGACCCCGGGACACCGAGCACGGCCTGTTTGGATCTCGTCGCCCGAGTCGCGCCGTTGAAAACAAGGCGTCCGAGGACGAAGTGAGCGTTTCTCATAATTAATAAATGCATTTAGCCACATCATGTACATTTTATAGTTTATATCCAAATAGTCCATGTAATATTCCATACGCCTCTTCTAGCCTCAACCAGTGATCACTTGGCCAGCTTGGTAAACAAAAGAACACATCTATACTGAAGTGAACAGGGTGTCTGATGAACCTGTCATGCAATATAACCCAAAAACCATATATACAAAAAGTTACCACAAACCACACGTGCTCCTCTTTCTACTCATCGTCTTCATTGAGATCGCCTTCTTCGTCACTGTCTGTCAAATCGACAGCCATCTTCTGGGCTTCAATCTCCATCATCTCTCTATATGTGCTCCAGCTCAAGGCTAGAAATGCAACCGTAATCATCAAGCCGCCAATCAAGGCAGCAGCGCTGAGCGGCTTGCCAGTCAGGAGCCAGTCGGATATCGCCACAATGAAAATGGTAAGCAGTGCTGCCACGGAAGAGAGAACCGGCGATGTCAGTGAAATAAGAACAAGGAACGAGCCGCTAAACGTGGCATTGGCCAGTACAGCTAGCAAGATGAGAAAGCAGGTTCTGGGACCAGGGATCTCAAACAACTCCCACCCGAACCAGTGAAGGAATGGCAGAGGCAGCCAAAGAACAAGCATTGTAAATAAGCCAATGCATGAACCAAACGTGTTGGCAAAGATCATGCCACGGCCAGGAGAGACGCCGTCAGGTGGGCATGCAAAGCGCTTATACAAAACTTCGTACAGCCCGTACAAGACAGATCCGAAGCCAATGACCAGGTTGCCTGCAAATCGCTGTGCGGCGCCAGGATCGCTGCTAGACTCTGTACCAGGCTGCTCGGGCCCGACGTCACCATACACGACAACTAGTACGCCAAAGATGGCAACGAGCACAGAAAGCGACTTATCTAGACGCAGGGGCTCCTTGAGCAGCGGGACGGAGAATGCGTAGGCAAAGAATGCAGAGCAGTTGTAGATAGCAGTCAAGTCAGACGGGGTCGTCATGCTGACTGCGATGTACCAACTCAGACCAGCTACCGTCAGAGATGTCGTCACAAACGCCGTCGTGCGGAACATGTAGCGAATAGATCGGGAGCTGTACTGCATACCGACGCCAAAAACGTCAAAGGTGCGCAGTTCCACCATCAATGCTGTAGTTCTCAGCAAATTCACATGGCGCCTCCAAAAGACATCCCACGGGATGGACAGCTTCTGCGCCCGCAGAATCATGAGCTGCACTGGCCACAGCACAACCCACGAGCTGTGGGTTACATACATCATACAATACGCCTTGTTCCACCCGAGTTCATGCTGAATGTGTGCGCTCAGTTCCGTCTGGACGCAAAAGGTAATCAGGCTGACGACAAGAAAGAAGGCAGCGTAGGTGTACTTCTTGCGCGCCGTCTCTTCCGCAGCTACACCTCGGGGACTGTGGCCGCGCATCGTCGATCTGCGGCTTAGTGCTGGTCTGACCTGGCTCATCACTGGCGGCGTAGTGTAGCTTTCGTTCTCAAACGATCGTCCGCGCTCAACATCGTCCGCGCGAGAGTCGGGTTCTTGATCGTCAGGCTTGTACAGCAGCGGCGTGCCCGATTTGCCGTCCGATGGCCGGCGGTAGCCAGGGCGTCGAGGAGAATCCATGGTGACAGGGTTATTGGCGCATGAGTTTACTTAGACTCGGCTGGTTAGGGAAGAAGCCGTAGCGAAGGGCGCAAAAGTAGTTCAGTTGGGCGAAAAGGATTGTGGTTGGGTTTGGCGTGAATCCGGGGATTTAGATCACATCGGCCGGTTTCGGGATAGACAGACAGCAGCGGGCCAATGGCAGGCGTCGGCTGATTACGCGAACGTTACGGGTTGAAAAAGCGGTTATAGCGAGTGTTGTCGACAAGAATGCGAGTGTGTTGAAGGAAGAATCGGATGATTTGGTTAAAATCCCATCCGCAGAGTTTAAGGGGCCACGTCGTGTGCCGGGTTTGGCAGGAAGAAGCCGCTAAATTTGGTTTCGTTCCGGGGGACGTGCCCACTGCAACACGAAGTTTTTAGTGGGGTTGTGACGCACCTGGAGGGGCGGGACGTGGGTTACAGTTTGGGTATTTTTAGCGGGCTCCAGTGGTAAAGCAAACGCTGCTACTTCATGCTAGGAAACCGTTTATTACGCTGATGATGCGCCTAAAAGTGAACCGCGGGCCATCGTGATGGTGTCACTCCCGCTCCCGCTGTCTCATCTGATACTCAATCTGCTGCTTTTTGCGCGATAGTCTCTAGTGGCAGGCTCCTCATGTGATGGATTATGCAATGCATCTCAGCAGCCCGCGTGCAGCGAATGACGGCTGTGGCTGCGAGAGGCTGAGACGCAGCGAACGAGGCACACGGGCTGGATGATTTCAAAGTGGCGGTTGATTTTTAGCAGAATTATTTTGTTTTTAACGTGGTTTGCTATCTTGTCACGCAGTAGTGTGGCGGATGATGATGCTAAACAGATTGCTATCTACACAGCTTGTGCCTTATGCGGCCACATCATACAACAGATTCAAGCGTCTCTTTTTTTTCAACGTCTTTCATTCTCAGCCGCAGAATGAGTCAGCCATCCGTCGTTCTTTATTTGGCTCCTTGGGCGAACAGCTGTCGCGTATCGTAACCATACTCGAGGTCGCCGTGCCAGTAGTTGGTCGAGTCGCCCTTGGACACAGCCCAAGCCTCATCAAGAGCAGTAACAACCTCTTCAGGCAGAGGACCCTTCTCAAGGTTGGTCAGGTTATCTTCAAGCTGGCCGACGTTGGAAACACCAATAATGATGCCGTCGCGGCCGTTCTTAATCTTGAGGCCGGAGTGGTGAACCAGCCAGCGAAGAGCGGTTTCGATGGTGGTAAGGCCGTGCTTCTCGGCAGCCTGTTCGACAATTTGCAGCGCCTTGAACGTTCCCTCACGGAAGTAGCGGTTTCGGTTGAGCGTGCCGGTAACAGCCACGTCGGAGAAGCGGCCAGTCTCGGGAACGATATCCTTGGACTTGATCTTGCCTGAGAAGAGGCCACCGGCAATAGGGTTGTAAACGACAATATCGAGTCCGTAACGGCGGCAGGCGACCATAAGCTCAGGCTCAATGTTGCGAGTGATGACGTTGTACATTGCCTGAAAGACCGTGGGACGCACCCAGTTGTTGTATTTGCAGATTGTGACCACTTCGGCAAGCTCGTAGGCAGTAAAGTTGCTGACGCCAAAGTTGACAAACTTGCCGGCCTTGTGAAGCTTATCGATGGCCTCGAGAGTCTCGGCAAAGGGGGTGCCACGGTCAGGTCGGTGGAGATAGAGTAGCTGGTCATTGTGGTCAGCGAATGGAGCAAGACAAAATGAGGTTCCAAGAATCAACTTACATCAACACAGTCGGTGCCAAGCTCCTTCAAGCTGGTCTCAACAGATTCAATGACATTCGCAGCGCTGTTGTCGCCGTGGTTGGCGGGGTACTTGACCTTGGTGGCCAGAGTAAGTCCTCTGTCCTTCCAGTTAGCCGCAGCAGTGTGTGCTTCCTGTGCGCCTCCGACGTAGATGCGTGCAGTGTCTACTTCGTTGTATCCTCTGCTTTGAAAGACGTCGAGGGCCTTGCCAAAGGTCTCTTGGTCAAAGATGCGGGCTCCCTTGGTCTCATCAGGGCCAAAGGTCATGAGACCCAGGATGATGCGATCACCGACCTGATTGGCGACAAGAGGCATTATGAATGGATTACTGTACTGGCTTAAATTGAAAGAATTGATTTGTAGAGACTGGACTTTGGCTAAAGGTCAAGCGGGGAAGCACGCCTTAATATTGTTGGTTAGTCTACCCCGCTGATGTCACTATGGCTGGCCGATTCACGGCAGCTTAGAAAGCAGGATGTTGTTAAGTCCCGTATCTCCGTAGATGTTGCGCCAAGTTGCTTTCTGATGTCGTAGTTTGGCTAAATCGGCTATTTGGGGGTTCTAGCTGTATGGATGAAAGAGTATTTTGTTTTCTGTTTCAATTGGCTGCAGATAGTCCCCAAGTGGCGATACGACTTACATGCACCCTTTTGGGCAGCGTCCTTGTGCAGGACAACGGGCATATGTAAAATATTTATAAGATAAAAATATCAGTGAAATAGTATTTCAACTACCTTTGCTGGTTAACTAATATTATTGGTATTATTGATGCGAAATTCAGTCATGCTATTCGGTATTGTTTTTGTAGGGTATTACACTCGTTGAGCCGCCTCACCACATAAGCTTATAACCTGCTGAGTCCAGTAACGAAGAGCATCCGCGTCGGCTACCACATTGTGAATTTTAAAATAGGTTTAATTACGGTGCAAAATGATAGCTGATAATTCCTCAATTTGCCACATAAATAATTTAAACCCAACAATTCTCGTCCATTTTACAACAATGGCTCTCGTCTTAAGGCGGCAGAATATCGGCTAATCGCTCCCTACCCTTTCAAGCTCCACTAAGAAATGTTCCTAGCAGCAACAACAGAGCAATCGTTATTCGGACCAACCCAGTCAACAGCTACCAAAACAGGCCTGAAAAATGTCGACGAGTGCCTTTTGCTGTTAATATCAAGCCAATTGGTAACCCAGTGCACATTTCGTTGGCGCACCGGTATCCTACCGCCGCAATGCGCGCCAACTTTGCTCGACACGGCCGACGGCTCTTTGTTCATCGACCAAGGGGACCATCCTGCGCGGTCTTTGCAGCACCGGCTAGACGACGACACGTACCGACATCAACAATCTATTATGATTCGAGACGTACTTTATTCAATCTCTTCTTCCAGAAGCCTCCCCGCGATGTCCGGGATCCCGAGTACGAGCCCGGTTGGCAGCAGATTACAGTCTGGACAAGTCGCATGCTCGACAGAGTCCGCCCGCCGCCTCGAAAGGAGCTCATTGAGTCGTGGAGAAAGCTCATGGAGTCAAAAATACGACATAATATGCCCTTCAACAGTACACAAGCACAGCAGTGCCGCGACCTGATAGAATACCTCGCCCATCCCTCGAAATCGGACCGCAACGTCAAACCTCTCTCCTCTGTCGACCTCGCCATGACCCGTCAGGTCCTTCTCAAAATCAACCCTATAGAACGAACAGAACATCATGTGGCACTCGCCCGAACGTTATACGATATCTGGTCCTCTGGGAACTTCACGGGGAAGCCTCGTCCTCAAGAGCTGCAGTGGAGTTTCCTAGTGCGCGCCCTTTCCGAGTACGGTCGATCCGAAGAAGCTCTCCGACTGATGTACGAGAAGTGGGACGACTCGTCATATTTTGAACGCATTACTCAGGAAGACAATCTCCTAGAGTTTGTGGTGCAGGGCCTAGCCCGCGACGGTTGCGACGAGCTTCTGGTGCAGCTTCTAGACAAAGCGGAAAGCAGTGGTATCGCGTATACTGCGGTCCTTCAGGACATTGTCGTCAAGCACTTTGCCGAAAAGAATAACATTGAAGAGACCAAAAAGTGGTTCACGAAAGAGATTCAACAAAAGCGCCGACGACCTACCGTGTATAGAACGGTCGCATCATTTGCCAAGAGAAACGGGCTTCAGGACTGGGCAATCCCATTCTTTTTGGAGCTCGGAGAGTCCCAGCCGCGCAAACAATACTGGGATGTGCTGCTCCAGGCGATTTTACTCATGGGTAAAAGCCTCACAGAGGTGGAAGCGATGATGTCTCACATGGTCGATTTCGACAAGCCCATCTCCCCTGACATCGCTACGATTAACGGACTCCTGACCGTTGCAGCGGAGCTGAACGATGCGGGGCTTAGCATCCAGCTATGTACACTTATGAGCAAACTCGGTCTCAGTGCCGATGGAGAGACGGCACTCCGCCGGATGGCGCTCAACCTGCGCTCTGGTAACTTGGACGACATTCCGGCCGACTACGATCAAGTCAAATATTTGCAACCATGGGACAATGATTCTTCAGCCCATCTCTATGGAGAATTCCGTGAGCTTGTCAATGAGTATTTCATTGCTCTCACAAAACAAGTACCACCCAACTTTCAGCTTATTTCCGCGCTCTTAGTCTCAGTTGAGGAGGAGCTTCTACGATTAGAGCCGTCAACAGTTGCTTCGACTTGCATTCGATTCCTCGAAAACGATCAACACTTTGATGTCATGGATGCCGTTTCCATGCACTGCTTCAAATATAGCGACCCAGAGCGCGAGATTGTCCAGGACGCCTTTGTCAAGTTCTGCGTCGATCCGGGGACCAGCACGCAACGAGCTTGGGATTCATATCAAATTTTGCACCAGTTATTCTCAGACACCAGCTTTGAGCGACGAATGCAACTGCTCTCATCGTTTTTCGCCCGCAAGCGATCAGACATGGCCTGCCAGGTATTCCGTCATATGCGGCAACACGCCAACAAAGAATACCATCCTCGCATGAGCACGTACTTGGAATGCTTTGAAGGGCTTGCCAAGTATTCCGATGCCGAGGCGTTGGAGGCTGTGCACAACATGATGAAGATGGACACGACGATCCAGCCAGACACAAAACTGTACACTGCGTTAATGTTTGCCTTTGCATCGTGTGAAAAGCCTCTGATTGCCATTGATTACTGGCACCAAATCACAGGTTCCAAGCAAGGGCCATCATACGCCTCGCTTGAAGCAATTTTCTACACTCTCGAACGACGATCAGGCGGCCATAAGCAGGCCCGCGAGATCTGGGATAGAATCGAGCGCATGGATCTCGACATCCCTGCCTCGGTTTACAACGCGTACATTGGAGCTATTGCCGGTAGCGGCGTAGAGAAGGAGGTCCGCAATGCCATTACCAAGATGCCGGCTGTTGTCGGTTGCGAGCCCGAGGGCATGACGTAAGTTGTTTCATTATTACCCATTCATAGCATATTGCTAACCGTAACCACAGATTGGCCATTGCCTACAATGCCTTGCCTGGCCAACAACTTCAAAGAAGTTTTATGGGCTGGGCATCGGAGCAGTATCCGGAAACATGGAAGGTGCCCATGAAGATCGGCCGCCGCCAAAACGAACTTGGGCTTTGCCAGTTCAAGATTAAGCGGGAGTTTAAAGCATAAAAAATGCTGGCTAGCCAGCGCATCGCCCGATAACTTTAAAAGGGCTTGTAATTATACATAATGGGGGTTGCTCAAGGCGCGCTATTGTACATATAGGCATTTTGTAACAAAGGAGAATAAAAAGTCATGCGCCATATGTTCTTGTCCCGTATCAAATCGAGGCGGTCTGTCTGTCCATCCGTGCTGATATCTCCATGCTTTTTGCTTTGTTTTACCACACCATCTCTCCTCCATTTACCTTCGGCCCTTCTCGGGGAAGAATTCGTTTCGGATGAGTTCAGGGTGGTCGTGGATAGTAGGATAGATACCCATGCCCTGGATACGGCGAATCATCTTGGCAACCTTGCGCTGGTTCACGGGTCGAAGCTGCGTGACGCTCGGGTGGCTAATCTGGCCAGCGGCGTTGGTGAATTCCTGGACAAGCGAAAAGTTCTGCAATTCAACCATACGTTAGCATATCAAGTCCCTCCCTTTTGTGTTTTCTCAGCGTGACTTTCTCTCACCTTGTACATGTCCAATGGTCGAATGCCCAGGGCATCAATCACGTCGGTGCGGCGGCCTGACCGTCTCCTCCACTTTTGCATCTCGACCGGGCTCATATCATGCGGCGAGTAGACATCACCGGCAGCCCAGCGGCGCGGCATCTGCTTGAGGTAGTCGTCGGAGATCTTGCGGTTGCGCAGAAAGTCGAGCTGGGACTGCTTCTCGCGCAGCGCCGAGTTGGCCTTGTCCTTGAAGCGGGTCATCATGCGGTTGGCAACGGTGCCCTTGGGCTGGAAGGCGTTCTGGGAGGCGGCAGCAGCAGCATTGGCGCGGTCGTCAATGGAAAGCAGGCTGCTTGTCGACGAGGTGGGAGTCGTAGCGGACGCTGTGGTAGGGCGATGGGGGTGAGGAGGCTCACGAGGTGGCGAGGCGACAGCGGCAGTGGAAGTAAATGTGCGGGTGATGGAATTGGAGATGTTGGCGACCTTGCTAAAGGCGCACGGCGTTGAGAGCAATCGTGGCGGCATATTTGTGGTCGTTGTCGTTGGTTTTGCTTGATGAAAGGGGAAAACTAGAGGAGGCCCGTCGTGTGCTGATGTCGCTCAGCGGAGAATTTCCGTTTGGTGATGGCCCCGCATTTATTTTTTTCGAGATGGCCTCGAATCTTTTTTCCCCAGCCAACTCTACTACGAGAACAAGACCGCCTCTACAACACAATACATCCGACAAATAAAAAATAGTTGCCGGTCAAAATGGTCAGAAAACTCAAGCATCACGAGCAAAAGCTCCTCCGTAAGACGGACTTCATCACCTACGCGCAGGATGGCAATCACCGCGACAAGGCCGTCGTCCGCCGCTACATGATCCAGAAGCCCGAGGACTATCACAAATACAACAGACTCTCTGGCGTACGTAACTGTACCTGAAATCCTCGTTGAAACCCCGGTACTAATGTTCTTTTTCACAGTCTCTTCGCCAGCTCGCCCACCGCCTCTCCCTCCTCCCTCCCGACAACGCCGTCCGCCGCAAGCACGAGCAGCTCCTCCTCGACAAGCTATACGATATGGGCGTTCTCTCGTCCACCTCCAAGTTGTCTGCCGTTGAGCACGCTGCCACCGTCAGTGCCTTTGCCCGCCGCAGACTGCCCGTTGTCATGACGAGGCTGCGCATGGCCGAGACAGTGCAGGCCGCCACCAAGATGATCGAGCAGGGCCATGTCCGTGTCGGTGTCGAGACCATTACGGACCCTGCATACTTGGTCACCCGATCGACGGAAGACTTTGTAACTTGGTCTGTTGGCAGCAAGATCAAGAAGAACATCATGAAGTACCGCGACCAGCTGGACGACTTTGAGCTACTGTAAGCCGCCGTACTGGCAGATTAAATTACATGGCGTTTGTAATGGGAATATCGGTAAAAGCTTCGTTTTTGTCAAATTTTGGCATGCATACCACGGCGTTATAGGAGTTCGTTCGTTTTTCGGCCAATGCTTTATGAAGGGGGGACAAGGCGTGGTGGTCACGCCCTGAGCTCCGCGACGGGCAGACACCGCCAACGTAAGATTAGCAACATGAATATATTGTCTATACTTGAAGAAATTCTCTCCGATGCTTTTGATGTAAATTTTATTTTGTTATCTTGGGGTGGTGCTGATTGATGGGAGAGTGTCTAGGCGTTTTGTCGAGGGGCAGTTGTGCGCAAAGGTATTTTTCCACCCCGAACTCTACAACAGGGATATTAAAGATCAGAAAACTTGGCAAATCCATGGCAGGTATATCTTCCAGCCTGTGAAGTATTTATTTTGAGCATTAAGTAACGTTTGTCACCCTTTCAGACTTTTGTTTCAACATCGCCAAACTGGCTAAACGTCACTCGCCCACCAACGAACAAAGGTAGCCCGAATTGGGTCATGACTATACTCGTTCGAATCGCCATGACCCAGAGAATAACATTATGATATCCAATTCTTGTCCAAAAAGTTGGCTTCAGCTCTACGTCGAATTGCCCAGATTTGACCGGCTCGTCGTCTCGCAGCTGGCAGCACTGGCAACCCCACAAAAACGCCGTCAGGCTTCACGGGGGCGTGCGCTCCGTCGCTTCACTCCGGCCACTCCCCCCGGCTTGCAGCGCCAACAGCTTTGCCGCGATTCACCTAAAGTCTTTGGGGGCGTGTTGCTTGTATTTATTTCGGGATGAATCTGCTTGTAGACCAGTTTGCTCCTTCTGTACACCCTCGCTCTTATAAATCATGACTCTATATAAAGCCCTTGCCCTCCCTTCCCCTCCCCTCACCCACACGATCATGTACTTGACCTACTCAAGCTAATCTTCTTTACTTTATTCCCTTCTAGACTGGTTTGCTCACCCAGTAAGTCTTTAACCTTCCCAATACTTGTAAAGGATTTTGCTTACACTCGTGGCTATAACAGTTGACCAATCCCTCCCTCCCCAAGTACAACTACAAAGATGCTTCCCGTCAAAGAGCTCAAAGACAACTTGTTTCGGCCATGGTTCCTCATGTTTTGGGCCTTCAAGTTAGCCCTCAGAACCATTGGGCGTCTTATTGCAGCCGGTGACTTTGCAACTCTCTTCTCCCCTTCTGCCCTCTTTGATGCCTGCTTTGCCAACTTCTGGGGCCTCCTCTCGCCTGGCTTCAAAGACGACATGGCTCCAGTGGTTCGTCCACTTTATGAAGGTCGCCTACACGATGGCAAGGTTGTTGATAAGCCTGTTCATCCTCCAGTCAGTGGTGTTGTCCTGGAGCTCGGTGCAGGCAATGGCAGTTGGATCAAGGAGTTCGCCGAGATTGGCAACATCAACACCACTGGCAGCGATGACAAGCTTCGCAAGCGAGGCGGCACTGGTAAACCAACCATCAGCAAGATTTATGCTGTGGAACCTGTACTACAGTCTGTCGAGGTGCTCCGAGAGCGTATTCAAGAGGCGGGCATGGAGCATGTCTACGAGGTGGTCCCGGTCGGCGTGGAGTCCATCAACGATCCTTCCAAATGGGATGGCAAGATTGAGCCCGAGAGCCTTGATTGTATCGTTACAGTCTTCTGCCTTTGCAGTATTCCTGAGCCTGAAAAGAATATTGCGGCTTTGTATGCGCTTTTGAAGCCTGGCGGTCGTTGGTACGTCTACGAACATGTCCGGTGCCATCGTTCCGTCTTTTGGATTGCAATCTACCAGCGTAAGTGCCCTCATTCAAAAGCTAAAACATTTTCTAACCACCTTTCTAGGCTTAATCGAATTTCCCTGGAAGTATTTGGTGGGCTGTGGGCTTGCCAACCCGGCCGGGCCGCAGCTTCTTAACGCTGGCAAATGGTCCCATGTTGACCTTGGTAGCCCGGACGAAGAAACTCCTTACGAGGTTATACCTCATATAGGCGGTGTCCTCACAAAGTGAAGCAGTACATGCAGGCGAATATGGAATAGAGTCTCTCTTAAGTAGCGTTAGATTGTAAGGGGTATCTTTGGGGGTGAGCTATTTGGCTCAACTCTAATGCTATAGTTCGTCATCATCATCTTCAATCAAGAATATGGAATTCCGCTGGCCTGTGCCGGTTTCTCTCATCATACCACTCTCAGACAAGACATCTTCTTTGTGACCTTGCTCTTCTCTTTTCGCAACCGGCTCCGTCTTCAAAGCCTTGGGTTCCGGTTTAACATGTTTCATATCCTCTTTGCTATCGCTCTCTTGGCCATTATCCAACTTGGGCTTGACATCCTCCTTCTTGATGTCATCAAGCTTGACACCCTCAGACTTAATACCCTCGGATTTCACTCCTTCGTGCTTGATCTCCCCGTGCTTCAGCAGGTCGTCCTTGATGTCTTCATCTTCAGTCTCCTCATCCTTGAAACTCTCGTCTTTAATACGGCTATTAACGCCCTCGCTTTTGACTATTGCGGCTTCGATGCTAGAAATTGGCGTCTCGTCGCTGAATGTAGACCTGTTTGCAGCTGCTAGTGCAGCAAGCCTCTGTCTCCTTTTGTAGAATTTCTCCAGGCAATTGATTCTTGCTTCCTGAGACCACCCTTCGACAATGAGTGCAAACTCACGAGCATTCACAAACCCAAACTCGCGCGACATCTCACATAGCTGCCGAAGACACACATCAGCTGGTGGGTGAAACAATATCGTTCCAGATTGAGACTCGGCGGTTGAAAACAGTGCGCTGTGGCCTTCCACGTCCCCTTCTTCATACGACATTAGCTCGGCTCTCTTGGATAATTCCTCTTCGACCTTCGAGGATCCAACCACTTCAGCATTATCGTGGGTATATTCTACTCCAGCAGACGTTAGGATAGCCTGGATAGCGTCCGTTTTGGGCTGGGCGGATTTTCTCTTTTCAATAAGCCTTTGCTGGTCTTCAGCAGTGAGAAGAGCCGCTAACTGTCGCATACCGCCATCTTCGCCATCAGCCTCTTCTTTCTTGACTAAAGCCAGTCCATCCTCATCGGTAGCTGCTTTGTCCATATCCACATCAACCAAGCTCACGCCCGCCTTGGCTTCTGCAATGTTCGTTTTATTGACAATGTCGCGGAGAAGACTGCTGTCGCTGTGGTATGTGAAGATATTGGACAACCCAAAGATTTCTCCCTTTCTGTCTGCATCTTGTTGGACTCCTCGAAAGTACCGTCTCTCCGAAGAGGCAGTGTAGCCAATGTTGGCTTGCTGCTGTTTATACACTTGGCGAGCATATACAATTTCTTCAACGGTTCCGAGGGAGATGAAACGGAAAACTTCGACGTCTCGGGTCTGTCCAATACGATATGCTCTATCCTGAGCCTGGAGATCAAAGGACGGGTTCCAATGCGGATCCATGATGACCACCTTGTTAGCAGAAGTGATGTTAAGCCCAACGCCACCTGCTTTGGTAGAAATGAGGAAAACGAACTGCGACGGGTCAGAATTGAATGTATCAACGACTGCCTGTCTCTCTTCATACTTCAAAGAACCGTCGAGATAGCTCAATGAATAGCTAGTGTTGTGGAAGAGATGGACCAGGATGCGAAGCAATCTCACGCTATGTGAGAAAACTAGAACCTTGTCGCCATTGCCATGCCAGAACTTGAGCAATTTCTTCAAGACTTTCCACTTGCCGCAGAGCTCAGGATTTACCAAGCTTGTTATGCGGTCTCTGTCTTGGTACATCCTTCTCCAGTCGTTTGGAAAGCATACCTTGAGCAGCTCTAGCTCGTTTTTATGCTTCTCATCTCCTTCTATTGTTGATGGTATCATCAAGTTGACATGATTTGCAAGTTTCTGCAAGGCAAACATGCTAGGGAATACGACACTTTGCCATGTCTTTCCGTTGGGCAAATGGGTTCCACAGCACCATCCTCGTTTCTTCCCATGTTCACATCCTTCCGAGATATTGCGAATTATGGTGATTTCTTCACTGTCGAGAAATGTTTCGTAAGCCTCGCGTTGGAAATCTGTTAGTGGGCAGAAGACAACTCTGTCTGTCTTCTTTGGCAGCTGGTCCGCAATAAGACTCTTCATTCGTCTTAAGAAGAATCGCGGTAAAAGGTTTTGCACTAGCTTCTTCGCCGTTTGGCGAGCAAGGCTAAGCTGTGCGTTTGTTGCTTCATGAGACTGTCCAACTGCCAAGGGCTTGCTGACGCTTCGGGTCCATTCAGTCTTTGTCCCGAACTGACCTGGGTTTGTCCAATCCAGCAACGTCCACAGCTCTTCATATTTGTTCTGAATCGCAGTACCTGTTAGGCCAATACGACAGAGAGCATTGATTTGATTGAGGGCCTTAGTTGTCTCTGAGTGGCGGTCCTTCAGCTTATGGCATTCGTCCGCAATGATAACATCCCACGGCACCATGTTTACATGGCTACATCCATTCTTGTATGTTTCGTAGGTCGTTATCATCACCTCCAGAAGACCAGCTCGGGCTGTCCCTAAAACATCGTCCTTGTTGGGTCCATGGTAGATGTCTGCGTGCCACCAACCCCATCTATCAAGCTCGTTTTTCCAATTCATAATCAACGATCCTGGGCAGATGATAAGAACTCTGGGGTACCATCTGTCGGGGTAATTTCTGATAGCACGCAACCGTCTTTGATCACGATCATCGCCAGTTTTACCGAAAGCAACTGCTAAAAATGCAGCAACCTGGACCGTTTTCCCCAGGCCCATATCATCACCCAATATAGCTCCTTCTTGGTAGACAAACTTGCGATGCAGAAACTTGACGCCGTCAATCTGGTAATCTCTCAGATATTGAGCTATCGGTGCAGGGATGACGCCCGCAGACTGCGGTAGCTCAATATCTTGATATGGTCTCCAAGGTCTGATTCCGCTGGCTTCACTAAATACAGGCCGCTCTTCCGGAACCGAATCAAAACTGCGGCTTTCAAGATCGATACCTTCATAGTCTGGTGGTATCATCAACGCACCAACGTGGTATTTTCGGCGCTTTTCGTCAAATTCTGCGCGTCTTTCGCGCAAATAATCCGGTATATCTGCCATGGCATCCTCATCCTCGCCTGAATCACCGTCATTAAGGGCTTCGGCGTCAATCTTTTTGGTAGACTTGGTAGACTTGCTCTTGACTTTGCGCTTCTTCTTGGGCTTGCTGGGCACCGAATCGGACTCATCAGTCCAGATGATTTTGTAGCCTTCTTCTTCAACTGGTTCTATCTTTCTCTTCTTGTCCGTATTTTCTGATTTGATTGATAGCACATCGTCAGCTTCCGAGGCAGTGTCATCAATGACCACCACGTTATCGCGGTTAGTGGGCGACATGGCGCGTGCTACTGGTTCCAGTGCTGTTGTGGGGAACTGCATGCGATCAGACTGTTGATTCCATTTCGATTATATCTTCGACGTTGTTACTCTTGATTTCTTTTATTAAATAGCTGTCCTTGGTCTTCAATGTATCATTTTTGGTGAGTGATGTGCTGGTGGCGGGAGTTGTAGAGGTTATAGCCACTGTAGAAATACCGTGAATGGTACCTGGCCACCCCCACTACAAAACAAACTAGGCAGAACAGCCAACTTTGACGTTAAAATTCCTGGAGAGCACAACTCAGTAATAAAAGTTTTATTGTAAACTTTTGCTTGCTAATTAATTATATCTGACAGTCTTGGTAGCTTCGCTCTTATTAGTATGATAATCTTCCACCACTCGACCGGCGCCATGTAAACTCTCACAGAACCCCAACACACACAGTCAAAGTTCACAGGCCAAAGAGTACTACAGCAAAAATCGGAACCCATTTTCTGCTGCTTCTCCTGGAGCAGAGTTGATGGCTCCTTCCACTCGCTCGCCTCGATCTAGCTTCTTGTTCAAGCGTGCCAGCATAATACGAAGCACTGACGCTGCGGCAATAGACACAGCTATCATGGCGCAGTTGTGGATAAACGCCGCTGTGTATCGAGGTGCTGCTGTCTTGGGGTACAGATACGGCGTGTATATGGAAGTCAGGTTGGAAACAGCGTTGATGAAAGCCAATGCCGCTGCTCTCTTGGCTGGCGGCCTCGGAAGTGTGTTGCTAATCCACGCCAACGCTGTAGTGTAGCCGCTGTACAGCCCGGGAATCTGTATCCCTCATGTTAGTAAGTATTCTCGCCGCTATGCATTCTTTAGAATCATACCATGATCATGATGGCGACGTAGCGTGCAGCAGTATTGGTCGTTGCTGCAGCGAGGATGAAGGAAGCCATAGCCACACACAGAGGAATCGTGATGTGGAAGAACCGCTCCCCTGTTCTATCGGCATGCCAGGCATTAATACACGTCGTGATAATACCTAACACATAAGGCGGGCTGGTCAGTAGCAGCGTCGTCACTGGTGGGTAGTTGAGTGTTCCCACGACAGACGGGAAGAACGCTGTGATGGATGCCGCCGTAACATTTCCTGTAAGCAAGAAGAGCTACATTCGTTAGTAATTTGCCACTAAAAGAATGCGAAAATAAAGCTCACCAGGGGCCATAGTTTGATATCGCGAAGCGCAGATTTGAAGCTCTTCCAAAAGGTCTGCTCCCCGCTGTTGACCCAGTCATCCTGACCAATATCCTCCTCCAGTCTCCACACAGCCATTGCCATCTCCTCTTCGTTTAGCCAACTCGTGGTACGAGGGAAGTTGGGGAGTATAAAATATGCTGCGATAGCTATGCCAACGGTAATGACTCCTTCAATCAGAAATAGCCATCTCCATGCTCGCAGTCCTCGAACTCCGTCCATGTTGTTGGTTATACCAGCTGATATAAGACCAGAGAAAGCGCCAGATAGCAGAGAACCAATGTACAGGGTCGTGGTACGAAGACCGAGTTCTTTACGAGTGTACCAGCAGCTCAGATAATATAGACAGCCGGGCTATAGAAGATGACAGGTTAATAATTGACGTCAAGGTTTGTTTTGGGCGCAGTAACGACGACTTACAAAATACGCGGCTTCAATAAGACCTAAGAAGAAACGGCATGCAACAAGGCCCCCGAAATTGTTACAAGCAGCAGTTGCTGCTGAAATTACACCCCAAACGGCCATCTTTCAAATGCGTTAGTACGTATTCCAAGGTGCTAACATGATACTCACACAGGCAGGAAGATACTGTCCAGGTTTGCCAATCTTGTTCAACATGAGATTAGACGGAACCTGCATCAAAATATAGCTTTGGAAGTTAGTATTATATATCTGCTAATACTTTTTCTATTACTCACCCAACAAATAAAATGCCAACGGCTGTCTGTATTTGAAGTTAGCTGGAGTTGCTTGTGGTTCTAGATCACGATGCGGACGTACGGAAAATTGAGTTCCGTCCTTGTCAAGCTGCAGTTCCTCCTCTAATCCTGCATATCTGGCGGCACCGATATTGTTTCTAAAACGTGTGAGATATTATAATTTTGAGTTTGGACTGTGATGTTCTTCTTACCTGTCAATGTAGTTCATGACATACATCAGCATAACCATCGGCAAGAGTCGCATGTCAATCTTCTTCCTCACGCTCTGGTTCAATTGAGCGCGTTGTTCAGAATTCATACGCTGCAATACTTCCGGCATTTGCAGTCCTGATGGCAATTCATGCCGATCAGAGGAAACAGTCTTGGCGATTTGTTCCATAACTTCTGTTGTCTCCTTGTTAGACCTATGGTCAGCCACATCGGAGGTTCCCGATGACATTATGGGCAAGAGATGGCTGGCTGCTTTCGGAGGAAAATGTGGTGGGAAGAGGTTAGCTTTTTAAGTACCGGCGGCTAATGGTGAGCCGTTGGTTTTACTGTCTGTGCACCTGTACCTCTCACAAGGCCAGAAGAAGAGATGATGGGCACCATACGAGGCAATCGAATGTTATGTAGTTGACTGCGTTGGTCCCAACATAGCGCGGAACTAAGGGGCCGTTGTGGGGTCTTTTAGCCGTTAATCTGCGGGGAAGTAGGCTATTGACAGCACCGGCTTTGGTCCCGACAGTGATGAGCGCGGACTACTCTCCGCGATGGAAATGGCTTGAGACAGCTCTACTAGAGGTTTTGTTCAAAGACGCCATCCAGGCAGCTAGAATCTATGGTTTCTGGCAAAACTCGTGACGCGAAGTGAACGCAAAGTGATTGCCTGGACTCCAGCCGCCCCAACGAAGGGCGGCAGATTGGTGGGGACACGGGCCTTGTAGACGATGCACTCAGCAACGCCACAGTAATAGACAGATGTTTGGGCGGTAATTTGCGAAATGGAAAGGAACGAAGAAAGACAAGGGTGAACAAGAACTCCTGAAAATCCAACTCTCAACTGGTTTGGGCCAATAGTACTGCCACAGGTTTGCGTAGTTAATGAGCATACCAACAACTTACGACGGTAGGAGAGTCATGTACCTTTCAGTATTCACTACCCTCTCCTTTTGAACAATACCGAATGTCTGCCTAAAAGTTTTGAGGGGCACCTTTGTGAATTACAAAATTGACATGATTCAATATCCCTGTTCAGGCTGCGGCGGTTGCTGCCGAGCCTGCAGCTTAGGCTTGGTTGAGTTGGTCGAGGTGTAATCAATTATTGCTACATCTGCATCTAGTTCACAATTATTAAACAGAATTTGTTCCCGTTATTCAAAGCCTGATTTAAAAACAAAGTATGTCAAGTTCATTTGATTAGCCAACCAACAGACTGTGCATCAGGCTTAGACTCTAAGCCTCAGTTTCCTTTAACAAGCCTTTTCATCCACGCACAACACAGTAACCAACCATCTAGTCCGTGCCAAATTCAAGCAAAACATTTCAAATAGTAAAATTCAAACTCTGAATTTGGAATTTTAAAATTTTCAATCAGTAAGGCCGATCAATTACGCACGATTATACAAACTCCCAATAGCTTGCCCGGTCGTCCCCACGTGACTCGGCGCCACGCTGGCCCGTCATGATACAACAAACTAGCTAATATAGTGGCCATCCATCTTCAAGACGCAATCCTCACGACGCGATACCACAGCTTCGACACGACAAGGCCGTCAAGATGTCTTCCACTGCTACCAAAGGGGCCGCAGATTCCGATAAGCAGGAGTCGAAAACTGTCCAATTGCACATCCAAGCCGTATCCGCGTTCGACTCGCCGCTGGCAAAGGGCTTCGCGTTGGGCCGCCCCGCGATCCTGCTCGCAGCCCTAGCTTCGGGCATGAGCTATCTTGTTGCAGATCCTACATGGGCTCTTTGGGTATCGCTACCTGCTCTTTCGCTGCTGCAGATGGGATATGTTATTACGACGCTGCCTGCGGCTGGTTCAGTAGCTGTTACCAAATCTCGCCCCGGCGAGAAGAAGAAGAAGAATGCAGACCCAACGAGACCATTCTTTGTAGGTGATAATGCGAGGCATGGGTGTTCGCTACGCTTTTCTAACCGTCCTCGTTTTTAATACAGGTCTCCCTCTTCTCCCTCATTATGAGCCTCGTCGCGACCCCGGCCTTCTATATCCTCTTTGTGCTCTTTGGCGCCCCTTTCCTCAACAACACATTGAGCACGCTGCTCTGCGCCATACACTTGATCCTACTCGGCTTCTTCCCCGTCTTTTACGTTCGAGGCCTACATAAGGAGTCGTTCCTGGCAATTGCTGGCGCCACTGCTCCGCTGGACGAAACGTACGGTGCGCTGCTGGGTGCTGTGCTGGGTGCTTGGCTCGGAGCGATTCCTATTCCTCTCGACTGGGACCGCGACTGGCAAAGATGGCCTATTACTATTGTTGTAGGCATGTATGCTGGTTCTTGCTTGGGCAGTCTGCTGTGCGGCACCTTGTTGCATGGCAAACGCCTGGCGTCTCCCTCGACGGAGGACGAGAAGGAGGAGTAGTAGTCGGATTGGCACAGCAAAAAGACGCATTAACGATACCCGGGCACACCGCCTGTAACCATAATCACTTGTAATATAATAGACATTGTTTCACACAAATTAGTAGCTGTACGTTGTTTTGTATGATGACTGAGCATTACATTGGGCTGTCCTGTGGTGGGAAGCAGGGAACTAGTTACAGCGCATATAAAGACATGTCGTGCTGTGTGCCAGTCGTTGTTTTGTGCCAAAAGGATGGTATATGTTCGAGACAATCATAATTCTTCATCTGGGTTTAATGGCAGTCTGGCCTGTCGCTTACCAGGCGCCGTGACGGGAGCGCCAGATGATGGTGGCTGCGCTCGTTCCACGCTGTAGTGCGTCGTACCACGGAACATGGGTGTCACAGCAGGGGCTGTTCCGTGGCGGAGTGGTGTGCTGAGGGAATAGCATTATAGTCCCCTGAGTAGTAATGTGGTTTTTTGTATTGCATCATTGTTTTCTTCGTTGATTTCACTATCGATCACTGTTTGACGCACCTGCATTAACAACGGTCGCAGAAGCAGTCTTGATCAACACTGTGTCTCCAACAAAGCGACGATCGCACAACGGGCAGTCTCAACGGTGACGCTGTGGCTACTGCCCATCGATTGTCACATCGCGATGACCGAAAGAGCCAAGGCAAAGTGTGGCGGTGCGCTGCAGTGTGATGCAAGACAAGGATCCAGTTCACCAGTAGTTACGTCCACCAAGGCAGGGAGCCGTTGGTGTGGCGCATGAGGAGAAATGCTGGCGTCACCATCACACTCTACTAAATCATGACTGGCCGAGGGGAGGCATCCCAAGTAGGCGGTGATCCCGTAACGGCCAAGAAGCAAGAAACAAGAAACAGAAAAAGAAACAGAATGGGGGTCAACCATGCGACAACGCAACCTAGAATTTCTGCAAGGGCTTTTTCTGTTCCCTATAGCGCAGCGCAGCCACTACAGGCCCTCGCCAAGCGTTGTTAGTTTCGTTTCCACGGACGCCCCCAATGACGTAGCGCCATCCATGGCACATGGTCAGCCGGGCGCCGAGATTAACGCTCACTCAACTCGGAGTAGATCGCGAGCAGCGCTAGGCCTTTCTTAGCGTTGCTTTGCATTGCCGTGCTTGCTTGCTCTGGCTGTGGCTTTGCACCTCTTTTACTCGCGGGCCATTGGCCCTACGCGAACCGCCAGCGTTGCACCCAGAGGACGAATGCCGCAGGTAGCGAAGCCACTTTACCTTTTTCTTGTTGCCGTGCGGCAAAGCCATGCCAATGAAATTCCCCCCCGGCTTTGGCTTTTTTTGCGTAGAAGCGTGGGCGTCGTAGTGTTGGAATGGGGGGCTCGACGCTAACCACAGCTCATGTGTTTTGCATGTACCATTGGCCAGGCACCCCTCCCCGAGCTACAGTACAGCTTAGTCGATGGCCAAAACAAAATCAATACAACTACAGGCGAATTTATTAGAGGCAAAGGTAAACAATGTGCGCGTAATTGTTTTCTCGCCTCGCTGAGGCCGGCCAAGTTGTGGCGTAGGCACAAGATGACGCAGGCAGGGCAGTGACTTTGGCGGGCGGTGCCCCAGCCATAGCGCCGTCCCCGGCACCTGCATCGCGCTGCACAGGTCCCCGCTAAAAAAAAAATATAGCGTTGGTGGGTACCGTGCCGGAACCAAGCTTTTGGGGCATCTCAGGCGATTGCTTCCCTCTGTAATTTCCTGCAAACAGCTAGCTGCCAGGCTAACTAGCTGCGGCAGTGGCCTACACATCTCTTTCCGGTCCGCTGTCTCTGCCCGGTGCTGCTCCCCCTTCAGAGTGACTTCTCTGTCATCTCGCGTTCTTTTTTTTATTAATTGTTTTTTTCTTGCGCTGCCTCTGCCAAGGAACAAGCTTTCACTCCTCCCCCCCCCCTCCCCGCTCCATATAATAGCTTCCGTCCTCGCTCTCCTTCCTCCAACTTCTTCTCCTACACACATTCTAACCTCTACCACACAAATCAACCCTTTAGTTTCTTATTTAAAAGCCTTTTAGCTTTTCATCCATCAACATGCCTTTCACCACCAGGTAAGCGCCTTTTCCTTTGCTGAGAGCTCTCGACGCAGCTTCCGTCGCCGCCGCGAATCCATCACGTCATCGATCGGTTTGTCTGGATGCGCTGCCGAATCCACCTTCTGGACCTCGCTTGCACGGCGCTGCTCGGTTGAGAGCCAGCTCGCCCACAGCTCGAAGTTCTTTGCTAACGACGTGTGTTTTTTAATAGCGATATCTGCAAGATCCTTCTTGCCATTATCCTCCCTCCCATCGGTGTCTTGCTCGAGCGTGGCTGCGGTGCTGATCTCTGCATCAACATCCTTCTCACCATCCTTGGTAAGTTTGCGCCTATTAGGCCGCTCTATTCAGACCGGACACGTGTGGGCTAACTCGGAGACCCTAGGTTACATCCCCGGTATCATCCACGCTCTCTACATCATCCTGAAGTATTAAGCAATGGGCGCGCAGCCCATGGCGCCTCTGTAATGTCCCGCCCCTGCTTGACTGCACGATAAAGCTCCTTGCACTTTGCAGGATGCCTTGATCATGCATGTCAAGTAGAGCAGGCATTGCCCCGAAATGCTGAAACGACCAGTCACTCTTTGTCCGCTGCCCGTGGCAGCGGCTCTCTTTCCTTGTGTACACTATGCACACCCTCCGCATCACCGAATCTCGTTAGTTGCCTTTGCTTGGTAAAGCAAACAGGCTTTTTCTGCTTTAGACGACGAACGCTGGCCTTGGTTTACGGTGCCTAATTTCGATACCCTAAATGCTACAAACATTTTTTCTTCTCTAGACTACTGTGTCACCCCTTGCCTCTGCATTGTCATGTAAACGCCTAGTTCCAATCGTGAAGCTGATTCAATCGATAAATATGCTACGCCTTTGTCGTTGAGCTCGGTTTCAAAACGCCAATATCCAAAATAGATGTCGCAACGGGCTATGTAAAGCTGTGCCCCCCATGCTTCCCCAAAACATACATACTTATAGAAGTTCCCCATCTCCTTCCTCCAGACCGTCCTCTTCTTCCTCCCAGTCGATATTGGCCTCCATCTCTTCTGCACGACGCTGCACCTCTGCCAGACCAGAGAGTTCAGCAACATAGTCCTTCTCTTGTAGAGCGCGCTTAAGGAATCCCCACTCGTCCTTGCGATATGCCTCAATAACCTTGGGACTGCACGCGCTGCAGCAATCGTATGACTGGCCGCGAATGACCATGTTTTGGAAGGTGGAAACATAACCTCGGATCTGATGCGGGACTAGGCCAAGGGGATGATTGGGCGGATCTCGCTCCGGAACTTGGCCCTGAGATGGCTGTGGCGCAGGTGCGGCATTCTTCAATGGGTGTTGCAGGAGACTTGTAAGCATTTCGACAAGAAGAGCTGATGCAATGGCAGCAACACCGGGTCGAGTTACAGTGCACTGCTGGTCGAGTGTTTGGTCCTTCATTGACTGTATGGCATATTAGCAACATATTCACAAAACAAAGTATAAAATATCCACTTACATCTGCAGGCGCAACTACATCGTTGCAAAAGTAGCATCCGAGTGAGTTGCCTCCGTCTTGTGCTTCAGCTCCATGGCGCATGACTACATATGAGTCGAAGCCAAGCGCAGCGTTCATGACAATCTTGCCTGCTGCTTTGCCCATCACTGTGGGAAACCAACGTGATTCTCTGGTATCCATCAGCAGAAAGATGACGTCGTGCTGGTCAATCAGTTCCTTGAGCTTGGCAAGGTCCGCCTTTGTCTTGCCTTCGTCCGTAAATGGGTGTCCAAGCATAGGCACTGATAGCGAGTGTCCTTCACTCTCAACTCCTGGGTAAATGCGCTTAAGCATTTGCGCGGCTGTCTCGGCCTTGGGTTTGCCGCCTCCTGTGCAATCCTCAAACTCGAATAGCGGCTGTCGGACTGGATTCGAGTATGACACCCGACCGTAATCAACAAATGTGATCTTGCGGACTCCCCAGCCGAGCAGGTTCCGTGATACATAGCCTCCTAGGGTTCCAGCACCTAGCAAAAGACACTTGGTTTGCTTAATAAGGTCCAGGTCCAGGTCAGGAGCCAGGCGCCATTTCATAAGCTTAAGATTCAAGTCGACGGATGAATCGGCAAGACGTGTTGGATCCATGTATTCTCCAAGATTGGCTTGCTGAGCTTGCAGCTTGCCATTCCGAGATCTCTCCCAACCGGTAACTTTTGGCATCTCGCTAAGCTCCATGGCTGTGACTGCTTCCATTTCAAGTGGCAAGATGATACTCTTGGCTTCATGTCGTCTGGCATGTGTATCTCTATAGCAAAGGATTTTGACCTTGGAAAGCTTGAAACGATGTCTAATCAGTACCAAGAGGTTTCGTAGCGGCCATGAGGGTCCTTCGGGATGTGTTGAGGAGTCGACAAGCGAAACGTATTGGTCCTTGGCTGGGACGCCGTTGAAGAAGCCGTCTTCAAACGCACGGAGCGATCCAACTTCCCATCGGAAAGCAAGTTTAGAGTTCGTCTCTTCATCCTCGGCCGCGTTGGGATCTTTTCCATAAACCTTCTTTGCAAGAAAAAACCCATGTTCGCGACCGTCAACGGAATACCGCCATGTCCCGATTCGCTCAACTAAGGCGCTAGTTTCTTCTGATGTAAGACGCTCGGCCGGTCCGGATCTCTTCCATGTCGGGTCTGAGTGCAGTGCTGGAAATGCAAACCAGTAGGTGAATTTGTACTTTTTAAGATCGGCGTAGGAGAGGATAACAAAGGACGAGAGTAGCGAGGGTACCGAGTAGATTGTACCATCTTTGATAGCGTCCCATATCTACTACAATTAGCACATGACTTTCTATACGTCTTAAGACGATAATACCTGTCGGCCTGCTGTTTTGAGCATAGCGGTTTTGTCCATATTCTTGAAGTCTTCGAGAGTGTTCACATTGCGGATAATGCCTTCCGCTCGGGCTGTACCGAGTGGTGCGCTGGTAATAGTCAGCTTTGCGCTACGCCTTTTATATCACGTTATCTCAGAATAATACCAACCTTTTGCTTGTTAGAGCGTTTCCGAGAATCTGCATCTTGCAGCTCGCATCGGGCTCCTCGCCTCGCGGTTCGTAGATGCCTTGCACCAGGCGCGCCGAGTCGTCCAACTTGTCATAATCAAGCTTGGAGGCAAAGAGTGCCGAATAGAATGGTAGTTCAATCTCAGACGCGAATGGCGCGAACTGTAGAGGTGTTGCCATGATGGGCGTGTTGGTCGTTCCGATTGCGGCGCCGGGAGCTCTTCCAATGTGACGTCGTTTGCTGTGCGATGCGATATCTCAACAAGGGTAGATTCGGATACTAAAATTACGGTTGAGAAGCTAAGTTCTTCCTTGAATGCTATCACGGTTGATAAATATTTCGTCGTCTATTCTGCTGGTTGTGCGTCAGGTGACAAGCTAGGAGTCATTTGGTTGCGACCAGGCAGATGATGTCCGAAGGCAGGTCATCATCCTCAGCCCCGCGGCGGGGCTCAGCAGGCTCTGGGGTGTTTTGGTGCAAGCGCCTGCATACTTGCAAGCTGTCAGCTTGGGCGCGTAGCCGACCAGTCAAAAGAAATTTGTGTAAGAGATAAAAACTCTTCAAAGAGTACATTTAATAATACGGAAGGTAATGGTGATAATACTAATGTAAAAAAGAGCGAAACAAGGTACAGTTGGGCGAGGAAATCTAAAAGGTTGTTCAAGTATACTTTATAATATTAAATAACACCAAAGTCTTCAACAAACATCATCCGGTATGGTGTAGTGGCTAACATCGCTCGCTCTCAAGTAGGATCCGAGCAGCCCAGGGTTCGATTCCCTGTACCGGAGAAGTTCTTTTTTTGCCTTTTCCTTCCCCGACCTGTGTAACCCTCCACTTCCTGCGCACGTATTTTTCCCCTCGAATTCTCTTGTCATCTTCATTGCTGTATTTTGGATTATTAATTTTTGTTCCTGGGAGTCCTAGATCTCGTGAAGTTGGAGAAACGGACGTACCGACTTTGAGCTGTTCTCCAACGACAACCCCACACATTACACGCGCCGAGACACGTCCTCCGCATAAAGTTATTAAACCTTACCAACTACTCGCGACAATCTCAGGAACAAAGGGCCCAAACCAGTGCCTACCATGCTCATTGGCATCTGTGGGAGTAGGTTTTTAGATGTTTAATGAGCGCCACAGGCTAACTGTCAGTTAGGCATCTGCTCCGGCAAAAAGACGGTGGCTCAGTATCTCGTGGAACATCATGGCTTTAAACGCTTATATATCCAGTCTGGGGGAGTAGGAGATTCGTCACTGAGCGTAGTCAAGGCAAACTCTGGGTCACAACCCGCAGAGCTGAACGGAATTAATGATGCCGCTTCAAAGGGGTTTATCAGTCGTTCGCCATCCTCGACAGCGCTGACATTTGATACCACAGCAGCTATGCTCGATTATGTCACTACACGCTGGCAAAACCGGTTTGTTACAACAGATATTTGTACAGAGTCTATTTTGGAGGTCTTTGCACGCAGGCCGTTCTTCCTTATGTTGTCAACCGATGCTCCCTCGACTGTACGCTGGCAGCGTTTCCAAGACCGAGCCAAGCAACGGGGCGAGCCAGGTCTGGACCTTGGAGAATTTGTGCAAAAGAACGATGAGATGCTATATGATCAATCCACCGGTCTCCAATCACTGATATCGAAAGCCGCCATCCGGCTTCTAAACACGTCGTCATCACTTGCACATCTCTACGCTACTCTGGGCAAACTTGATATCCCCAACCCTGATCGCCTTCGTCCAGGATGGGACACCTACTTTATGGCTCTTGCATCCCTTGCCGCTAACCGATCTAACTGCATGAAGCGCCGAGTTGGTTGCGTTTTGGTTGGAAACGGCCGTCGTGTTATCAGCACGGGATACAACGGTACGCCGCGCGGGCTTCGTAACTGTGCCGATGGAGGCTGTCCCCGTTGCAATGACGGAAACAGCTCCGGCGTGGGCCTGGCAACTTGTCTATGTCTTCATGCCGAAGAAAACGCGCTTCTTGAGGCTGGGCGGGAAAGAATCCGTGAGGGCTCGGTCTTATACTGTGATACCTGCCCGTGCCTAACATGTAGCATCAAAATTTGCCAGGTTGGAATCAGCGAGGTTGTATATGCATACGGTTACAGCATGGATAATGAGACAGCGGCTGTTTTTCGTGAAGCAGGCGTCAAATTACGCCAATTTACACCGGTATGTGTTTCGGGAACCCTTTCAATGTGCATGCGGCTAACGGTTTATAGGCACCAAACGGTCTCATTTACCTGGAGAAGATGGAATTGTATTAGTGTAGTTGGTGCATGGCGTAGGCGATTGGGGTATTTAGTTATTGTTGGTGTATAAATGCATATATTGGCGTTGAACTTTTATTCTACCCTCGCATACTCCGTGGTGTAAGCTATGTTACTGTAGGTTCTACACCATTAGCCGTACACTTCTTGCCCCAGTCATTGGACTCAGTCGATAAAGTTCTACATGCACAACAAAACATTTGTTAAATTGCCCCGGAAAGACAAATATTCTCAAAATATTAATTAAGAATTACATATTCCAATAATAAATTACACTGATATTTTTTCTTTTACAGCACTGGCGGGCCGATTTGTGTATAGGGTAAGACCACGATATCCACCAACAAACCCACAACCCTGCAGTCGCGTAAAAATGGAAAAATGCGGTAAAGAAATATATTCCAAAAAATGGATTGTTATTCTCCATATATACGCCCCAGCCCCATGATTGTAGTATCCCATGATCAGCCCCAAAAATCTAAACAAATCGAGCGGTTGGGCGGTCTGATGCCAGACAAGCATCGATTCACCGCAATGTTGAACAAGGTGGTCTTGAAGCGACGCCAGGCAAGCCTGCCAGACAGTTACAGGGGAATTTGACAGATACGGGGGTCCAGAGTTGGTCAGAGAACCGCTAAAAACCAAGCTACATACCCTGTCCCTTACACCGGAAGTTATGCGGCTGACGAGAGCCATCAACGAAAAACAGGCGCTGGATGGGTCCCGGAAATCCCTAGTGGAAAAGCATATACTCAGTCCGGACAGAATAACGGCGGTGACAAGAGCACAGGGAACAGTAAAAAGCGTCCGGCAAGTTTTGCGTGTGATGCTCTAAGACATGCAAGGATATAGCACCGGAATATCACCATGTGAACAAAACCTCCAAGTAGGTCTCATAGAGCGGACTCGCCGGCAGCCGTTGACCCCTATAATAGCATCTGCGTGGCCGTCATTCCAGTGACTGACCCGAGAACAAAGAAGCACGTTGTGTGCTACGAGTCAAACGACGCCACTTTTCATGTTGTAAGACTTGGGACGCTCCTTTCTCCGGACCTCCTAATCCAAACTCCAAAGGCGGGACAGCAAGTTAGGCGGAAGCCACAGGGTTTGCCCCGGCCGCCAGACCCAATTACAGACTCCACAACGGCTCCGAAGCATTTTTTTTCTCATTGTTATGGGCAAGGATCACGCGCTCGCGATGCACAGGGTGGGAGGACGGAAGTAAAGGAAATAGGGGGGCTTGTGGCTCTCACCGGATGGCTTTTCGCTTGCCCACGCCAAGTGGTATTAATTGCCCATGATTGCGAGTAATGCAGGAGCGAGCACCTGCAAGGGAAATCTCGATGTTTGGGTTGGGCGCAGGACTGCATTGGGGAACCCTGGAATAGGGGTGGCGACCAGAGGCAGACTCGCACAACAGGTTTGTTGATGATGTTATTGTTTACTTTACTACTGGTTGCTGTGCTAGAGCGCAAGGCGAACGACATCATGGCGCGACGATGGCAACACATCACCATCTTGGATCTTCACCAGTAGCCTGTTATTCCATAAATATACTACGCTTTGATGTCATTTCTGTTACCGTGCGAGAGGCTGTAACCGCGAATAGACCTCTACCAACAGCGGCTAGCCTAAACCTGTCAGACGGGACGGCTGCGTCCACTTGGCCTAACCCGTCTAGACGCGAAAACTATTGGGCTCGCGCGAGACCTGAGCAAGGATGGCGCCCCCCAGCAGGCGTTTGACAGGGTTTACTGGTTGAAGTGGGCCATGGCCGGGCATGGCCGCCTCCATGGGCTGCTCCTGTGTGTCGCGCTGAATGAGCAACTGTCTGAGGCTGATTAACAGGATTGACTGGGCGTAACAGACTGACGACTCTGTGGATGAGAGCAATTAGAAAACTGGCGCATTGTTGATGAGTCTTGTCTCAACAGCAGTGCAATTGACAGGCTACGCTACAACAAGGACCCTGGATGAGGTAGCAGAGCGGGCAGCAAAGGAAGACGTAGATTGCAGGACGTTGTTCCTAATCTTGTGAGGCCTCGGAGCACAGCGCGATGTAGCTGTTGTATTGTGTCAGTGGAAATTGGCAATTCAAGCCATAAACGGCGAGAGATGAGAGAGGATAATCTAATAATATTACGGTAGTAAGGAACCAAGTGCTGGATGGCAATGAACATGTTTGCATCATCGAGCACGCCAGCAGGACGAACCTGATTGCTGCAACCGTGACAAGCTGCAAGCCCAACGTAGCCACCCAAGACCCTTGAACCGCTCTCGATGGGCCGTAGCGGTGATGGATGCAGAGGCATGAGAAGAACTGGTGGTGCTGGTGGTGGCAAGACGCATGGTGGATAGTGTTAGTGGCGGTGGAGGGGAGCACCAGCGTACGTGGCCCGCGTCTGGAAGCGCTGGGCAAAAAAGAAATAAAATAAGAAATAAAATAGAATATTCCTTGCCCAACAGCTTCCGCGTTAGGCTCGTACCAAGCACAAAGAAATAATAAATAAATAAAAATGGAATACTAATACTGTACACACTGCAAATGCAGACAAGGGCCCTGCTCCCCACCAATTTTTTCTCTCTTTCGCCTCTTGAGACGCGTCCCGAGCGCGACGGACTAACCCGTTTAGGAAGTATTGTAAACAAATGCGTCACTGTGAGTTGACAAGCAGCGCGCGGCGCATGGGGGCGGCTCCACAACCGGCATCCGCAAGATGGCCGGCCGGGACGAGAGCCACTAGAATCAATTAATAGAAAGGAAAAAAAAAGGAGACTTTGTTACGTTCTGGCTGGGTTTAATGGTCCTGCAGCCACCTGTAATTAATCCCTGTCCAAACAGCGATACACTGTCCCGTGCACATCTGAGCGGGTTCCCCCAGCTGTGCCCAGCCTGTATTATCTCGTGCACCCTTTATCCATCCCCTTCTTTGATCTTTTGTTCCTTTTTTATTCATTCTCCCTTACTTTGCAAATCCTAGATTCCCGACATCCTCTTACAAGGGCTTGAGCGCATCGTCATAGCGCTATTTTTGTTGTTGTTCTGGTATACTGGCAACCAACACGGGCGACATCCGCCGCTTACGCTAGCCGTCGCCACGCCACTCCTTCAACCATATCCTCTCGTCGACCGTGAATCTCAGTCACACCTCCACGCACTTTATCCTTCCAACATTCCTCACGACCACTTGACCCATTCGTCACCCGCCACTTTGGTTCCGTCCGAATATAGCACACTGCTACGACCGAGCCGACCACTCCCGATTCGCGCTGCTGTCACGCGCCTCGATACACTGGTTTCCTTGTTCTAGCGCCTTCTTTCTGATTCATAGAATGACCCGCTGTTGACTCCAGGAATACAAGCGAAATATCATACGTCTGACGTATTTGTCTCCTCCAAGACAAGCAATACGGTTCATCTCGCGCCCAGCTAACCCTCGGCGCTCTCACACACATTCAGGGTCTGCTTCAGACAGCACACCCTTTACTGCTGCCTAGCTTACCACAAAAGACGCGATAGTGGGAAAGACAAATTTGTAGGTACAGCCTGCGAAATTATCAGAGTACGGAGACTCGCGTTCGCTGTTCTCAAGGCAACACACTCGCAACATCAAGCGTGTGGCGACTGTCCTTGTGACCGAGCCATGATCTAGGGTCTAGTGTCACTCTGCCAGTCGTCATTTTCTCTCGTCGAAACCCCAAAGCTTGTTGTTGGCTTCGAATAGTGGAGAGTATCTCACATTTTTCAACGCTCAACTGCGCCTTTCGGTGTTGCCTTACTGCGCTTTTGTCTCAGACTTGGGGCTGCGTGGATTCGGTCAGACCCCGTCCCCGTCATCACCGTTTTGCAAAGCAACACTCGTTCTTGCCCTCTCTGGCCGAGTCATGATATCGTGTTGCTAGGCAGACGAGTCAGCTTTCTGCCATCGTTAATCTGCCACTAAAATACTCGCGTGGATTTTATAACGGTTTTCTACATCTTAAGCCTGCCGGGTCGCCGCTCGCCTCCTCCCTCAACTCTTGCTCTTTTGACATTTCTATCATTGTCTCCCAATCATAACACACACATACGCGGGGACTAGTCTTCTGGAACAGCTAGACTATTTTTTTTTTTTTTTGGGTGAACCAGCCGGAAGGTTTCCATTTACCCTCTTCCTAACGATACTCCCTGCGTTGTCTCGATTTTTGTTCTCCCTTGAGCTCTTGGGGATCAGATTGGTAGAAACATTCCATTCCAAGTCCCTTGCTTCGCACATACACGCCCCCCGATCTCATAACATTCCATCTCACAATGTCATTCTCCAATTCGTCCGGAGGCACGTTGGCACTGCCCTCGCCAACACACGCCCACCAAATCGATGTCACATCGGCGGTCCGCACCCTCCGCCGTTCCCTGTCACGCTCTCCATCCAAGTTTTTGTCGCGTACAAACTCACACAGTTCCGATAACAGCTCTTCCCAACTCTCGCCACGCACTCCCAGCCGACGCTTTGGATTCACTCCCCAAAACGCGCAACAACACCGATTCGTTTGCCATCAACAAAATCATAACGAACCTCAGTCAGCGCCACCCGCCGCCCAGCGAGCCGCGCCAGCTACCACAACCCCACATCGCGCGCCGTTGTTGACGCCGCTGCGAGCAAGCGTCAAGCTCTCTCTGCGCTCCGCAAAATCAATCAAAGCACTGTCACCAGCTTCTCGCCACCTGGCACGCTCAAGGTCTTCGCCCAAGAGCCCTGTAAAAAGACCTTTGACCGCGGCGCCCGACGCAGCAAACTTCCAGATCTTTCAGTCGACCACCCCAACCACCTCGCCTATCGCTGAGCGCTCACCTTTCAGACGCATTCACCACACGGCGCCGGGACAGGAAAACTCTTTGTTTTCCTCTCGCTCTACGACTCCCACTGAAAGCGCCACTAAACTAAACCGACACAGTCTGCATCTTGACGTATCAGGAGTTTCTCAATCCGAGTTCTTCAAAGCGCTGGACGCAAACGACCAAACCTATATGACCACAACAACAGGCGCTCTTAAGCGTAATGATGCTACGATGAACCTTGATCACCACAGTCAAGGTAGCCCTGTCGCTAAACGACGGAGCATGTACGGCGTTGCGGGCAACGCTTCTACAGATAACCTCAGCATTTTTGGCACAAACACAACGTCGTCGCAGAGCTTCGATATTCACGAAGATCCTGCATCAGAGTACGAATTATTCGCGTCTCCAGACGTCATGGATCCCGCCGCGTTGGCCTCGCCTAGCCCGTCAGCCAATGTTCCCAAGCGCTCGTCCTCGCTTCGCAAGTCGACCTTGCAACAGCGATACGGAGACAGGGGATCGCTTGGCCGACGCAACGGTGAACGCCAACTCGGGCAGCTGGCTGCGGAGTTTTCTACACCCGGTAGAAGTCGTCCTCGACTCTCTACGGATCACTTCGTCCCTCCACAACCTCCTCGCGAGAGCCCATTTTCGTCTGGAACACCTCTGCCAAATGCATCAATCCACTTTGTAGATGCAAAAAGCCACCAGCCTCATCCGCTGTCCAAGTCGCTCGTCTCTTCCAACTCTGGTGGCAGCCTAACGGAAGAGGAAACAACACCAAGTGCGCCACTAAAGTTTTTCGATAAGCCCAAGGCGCACCCTTTCTCAAAATCTCTACCTCTAAACGCCACTCGACCTACCGCTCGCCCTACTCATGACCATACAAAGGCTGTTGCAACACCAAACCACGCCAACCGCTTGTGGACTGCTGCTTTCAACTCTACCGGATTGATCTCAAAGGTCAACCGCAACCCAGAAGAAGAAGCTGACAGGAAGATTGCCCCTCCAGATACGCCCTGCAAGAAGCACAGCAACCCATTTGCTACTTTCCCCCCTCCTGCCGTTAGTGGACTGAAGAGAAGAACCAATAGCCGCGGATCTTTCTCCGGCCTTCCTTCAACTCCATTCAACGCCACTCCAGCGCGTCTTCCGGAAACATTTGGCAATGGTTCCAAGGGCCTATCAATATTCCAAAAGGGCTCTAACTCTCTGGGCAACCGACGTGGCAGTCTGCTGAGCCTGGATGGAGAAGACCGTAAGCTCTTCGGTGACAATACCGAAAACCTTCCAGTGGGCGACAGCGACGCTCCTCCCACACCCACTAAGAATGCTTTGCCCAATAGCCTAAGCAACCTGAGTGAGCAGTCTCTGGAAAGCCCTAGTACGAACCGAACTTTTGCTCTTCCTGTTTCGGCTGTGAAGCCACCCGCCTTTACAGAGCCATCATGTAAGAAACATCCACTAATAACCAATTGTGATCTCGCCTACTAACTACCTTACTAGTTGCCTCTTCTATTCCTGCAGATGGGCGAAGAACCCCTCAAACTCCTCACGAGGGACTCCTTCCGCTTGACACTAGCCGCCTATCCATTTCTCTTCCCGATAATGCCGACTTCAGCATGCCCCCTCCCGTGACACCAACCACAACGGACAAGGACTTCCGTTCTTCGACAAGCATCTTCGTAACTCCTGTCAATGTTCGTACCAACAACATCGACGTTGATGCTAGTCTTGTGTCCAAGTTTGACAGGGTTGAGCAGGTCGGCAAAGGCGAGTTCTCTACCGTGTACCGTGTTACGAAATTGGAGATCACGTCGCAAGAGAGACGCCCATCTATGACGCCCAGTGGTTCTGACAACCAACTTACCACCAAGGGTCAAGTGTTTGCGGTGAAGAAGAGCAGACACTCTTATCAAGGTCGCAAGGATCGGGATGCCAAGCTTCGCGAAGCCAAGATTTTGCAAGCTCTATCGCATGCGGAACACGTTGTGCACTATGTCGATGACTGGGAGCACAACTTCCATCTGTATATCCAGACAGAATTTTGTGAAGAAGGAACGCTCGAAAGGTTTCTTAGCAATGTCGGCCGCGGTGGTAGACTGGACGATTTCCGCATCTTCAAGATCCTGCAGGATCTTTGCTTGGGATTGAAAGAAGTACATGATGCTGGCTTTATGCATCTGGATATGAAACCAGCCAATATTCTTGTTACCTTTGAAGGTGACTTGAAAATTGCTGATTTCGGTCTGGCTCAATCCTGCTTGACTGCAGAAAGCGTTGATGTCGAAGGTGATAGAGAATACATGTCCCCTGAGATGCTGAAGGGCCATGTTGGCAAGGCAGCTGATGTCTTTTCACTCGGGCTTATCACGCTCGAAGTCGCGGCTAATGTTGTTTTGCCTGATAACGGCCCTACATGGGTGGCATTGCGCTCCGGCGATCTCTCAGAAGTCCCCAGTCTGACCTGGACGCCTTCTATCGAGGTACAGCGCGATTCTGCTGGCAACCCTACCGAGACTGTCCACAGCGGAGACTTTACGCATGACAAGGTTCACAGCGCCGGTAGCTTGTTTGGCTCCTTCAAAGCTACTGAGCTACAGCAACCACCAGAGTTTATGGTTGAAGCCTACCACCCAAGCTCATTGGATTCCATTGTGCGGTGGATGACTGCCCAGGAACCTGGTGAGAGACCTATTGTGGACCAGATTCTTGATTTGGAGGGCTTGGTCTGGGTTTCTGAGCACAGAAATGCACCAGCTACCGTTTTCGAAGGCAGCTGGGGCCCAGCCGAAGTCCGTCCAGTCTCATTTTCAGTCGACAGCGACACTGAAATGACAGACATTTAACTTCGCCCATGACCTGCTGTTTTAGCAGTAGTCAAGAGGCACTATTACATACATAAGTACACATTTTACAACATATGACACGCTACCCATTCATGACAGCGCTGGATGCATGGAAGATCCGTCAATTCAAACCGCATGACTTGGGTAGTCAATACTTGAGGGCATACATAACATGAAGGATATGATATTGGAGGGAAAGGAAATATGGAACTGGCGTTTGGGGTCATGTACGTATACATATATCACAGCAGGCGGCTTGCATTAGTACAATGTTTTTGTTCGGATGGGTAAATTAAGGAAATCTGGAGTACAAGGGGCATAGCCAGGCTTGGCATAGCCACATTACAGATTACGATTGTAACGAAACAATAGTATGAACATTTTACGGTTGAAGTACGTCTTTGTGTCCATCTTATTTGCCTCCGTACCAGTGCTCATACAGTATGTCTGTGGATGCCAAATGGCTCTCTGTCTAGTCGCTCAACATATGTTACGCACCGCCAGGGTATCGTTTTGATTGCAAACTTCTCTAAAGAAATACCAGTTAAAATTGAACCTACGCATTCTATCGTTGTTTATATTTCCAATTATTTTTGAATAATATTTTACGTACTTTACGCGCGGTACAGGCAGTACAACAAGGTAATGCGCGCCCCAGTTTAGCCGACATTTTCCCATACACAACCTGCCCAGCCAATCAAGTGCGATGATTTTGCAAGCAGCTCCCAATTGGCGACCTAACATTTCGCCCAGAGCCTTTGCTCAACCTCCACGCCCGTCTCTTTTCCCCTCGCATCCGCCATCAACCGACTCACAACGTATCTTTCTTTCGCCAATCGATCTCCTACAATGGCGAGCAGGATTACTCCTTTCCTCTTCCGCAGCTGCGTCCGCCCCGCGGCGCGCATTGCCCGTCCCCAGGCTCGCGCCTTTTCTGTCACAGCTGTCCGACCGAGCGGCACACTCCATGTGGTAAGGACATCCTCGCTCACAAATGCTATCAGCAGCCAGAGGCGTATCAACTTGAAATGTCTTTTCTGTCGCTTAATGACGCAATTGAGTGCTCAAGACGGTGCTATACTGCTCATGTCCGCGACCGAAGCTGGGAAGCCAGGGCTAACGTTTTTTTGTTTTAATTTTTGCAGCACCGCAACACAGCCGATAACAATGCCGATATCCCTTTCAAGTTTGACAAGAAGAACGAGGCCATCATCGAAGAGATTCTTAAGCGATACCCCCCTCAATACAAGAAGGCTGCTGTCATGCCCATCCTCGACCTGGGCCAGCGCCAGCACGGCTTCACCAGCATCAGCGTCATGAACGAGGTCGCCCGTCTGCTTGAGATGCCTCCTCAGCGTGTCTACGAGGTTGCCTCCTTCTACACCATGTACAACCGTACTCCCGTCGGAAAGTTCTTTGTCCAGGCCTGCACAACCGTGAGCTCCTGCACCCTCGCGTCACCGCCCCTTTACAATGTCGATACTAACGTCTTGTTTTTGTTTAGACTCCCTGCCAGCTTGGCGGCTGTGGTTCCGATGTCATTGTCAAGGCTATCCAGGAGGAGCTCGGTATTAAGCAGGGCGAGACTACTGCCGACGGCCTCTTCTCCTTCCTCGAGGTCGAATGCCTCGGTGCCTGCGTCAACGCCCCCATGGTCCAGATTAACGACGACTACTACGAGGATCTCACCCCCGAGACCACCGTCCAATTGATTAGAGCCCTCCGCGCCAGCGCCTCGGCCGTTGGCGGTGCCGCCGAAGCCAAGGTCCCTGCCCCTGGCCCTCTGTCTGGCCGCGATACCTGTGAGAACAGCGCTGGCCAGACTAACCTTACATCGAAGCCCTGGGGCATCGAGACCACACGATCGGACCTGTAAACGATAGATGGCGGCAGAGTATTAACAGCAGAATAAGTACGGAAAGACGACTCCTTTACTGCTAGCTTTCATTTGTTTACGGGGATCTAGGAAGTAGAGATGGAAAGATGGGAGGACGATGTATTGTATATAACAACATTCAAGCTGTTCTTTATGCTAGTATTTCTTCAATGCCACAAAAAGTTAATAGTGTAATTGGCTCGCACGGGACAGTGCTATATTTCGTAACGCTTATATCGTGCAATTTTGCCTACAAATAAAAACAGAGACTTGGCTCGCAAATGATAAAAGCAAAACATTTTCATCTGCAACCACTCTTGCATCGTTGTTCATCATGATACTCTCTTACAGACGAACTTGGAAACAGATTACGCAAGACGCAAAATCCAGCCATCACCCATTCTTCTACTGTCCTCGCCAAGACCACCCCAGACGAGCACACCACTTTCTTCATAGTCCGTGATTGTTGCGCTTGCCAACCACCCTCTTGGCTTGGGGAGAGACTGGCTCTCCTCAGGATCAAATGGTGCAGATGCCACCTTGAACCACTTGGCCTCCTCAGGCTTGCGACCAATCGCAGACATTAGTGTAGCTGTGATATGAGCTGTAGTGATGCCTTGAGCAGGGGGGAGTGGGTAGGCCCAGATGTCGCGGAGGAATTTACCAGCGCCTGCGTGGCCTTCAGAGCTGGGCGCAGTTTCTCCAAAGGATACCACGAGGTAGTCTCGACCACCAGGTACCGGAACAACCTCCAAGGAAGAAACGCTTCGGGGGCTAGGCCAGGCATCGACCTCACCATCCGAGGATGCTTCACTGGTCGCAACCACAGATTGCCAACCTCCCTTGGGTCTGATGACGCCTTCGGTTTTGCGACGTCCATCCTCAAACATCTCGGTTTCAATGTCAAGGAAGTCTAATTGGCCGCCAATTTCGGTTTTACCGTCAAAGCCTCCGAAGCGGTACAGGCGGCTCTGGTGAATAGTGATGGAGGTACCGCCACGTGCTGGACCAGGAGCGGCGGGAATTTCAAGCCACTTGCGTGAAGCGATGTCGAATGCCCAAATGTCACACGTGCGATCACCGCCTGCAAGACATCCACCGTGGATGATGAAGGTACCATAGCCCCTAGCTTCTTCATCAACGGCATTCTCGGCGACATAGCCGACAACAGGGTCCTGGGGAATACCCGTCTTTGAAGTATCTCCCAAAGCCCATTCCTGCCATGTCTCGGTTGGCTTATTGTCGCCGTCTGCTCCAAATTCCTGAGGTCTGTCATACGAGGTAGCACAATGGTAACTACGAGCAGCAGGATGAGGAACAATCGCGCCGCCCTTGATAGCAGGTGCCGGATCGAGATAGGACCATGTGTTGGTGCGGGTATCAAAAACCCAAACTCTGCCTGCTTCCTCGAGTGGCTTCATGTCAGGGCCACCGCGGCCGCCAAAGAGAAAGATTCGGGAACCAATGAGGGCAGTAGCGTGACCGACACGGGCTTCGGGAACGCTGGACAGAGTACTGCTCAGACCAAGAGCAAGCGCCTTGCCCTTGTCCTTTGTGACAAGTGGTGTTTCGAGAGTAACATCGTCCATTGAAGAATCCTTGGGCAAGCCTTTCTGTTCGGTAGTAGTGTCCTTGGATTCAGGCTTCTCAACCGCCTCTTTGGGCTCCGCAGCCTGTGGCTCGATCTTGGCGGGTTCAGCAGCTCGGTTGGTCGCCTTGATTTGATAGTAGTCTGCGCTGGCACCGCTGAGAGGCAATCGCACAACGTGCATGTCATTGTCGACTGGCTCCCGTGGGCTAATCTCACCACCAAAAATATAAGCCGATCCGCCGACAATGTTGACGGTGTGCGAGGATCGGGGAATGGACGGGACGTCAATCTTCTCCCACGTCCCAGCGAGCGTTTTGCCCTGTGGACGACTTAGCTGCTGAGCCCACGAATTGGTCCTAGAAGAGATGGATTCAATGGTGGGCATTGGCGGCAATTGGGGCATAGCAGGCATAGCAGGAATAGCAGGAATAGCAGGCATGGTTGGCATACGCTCAATGTTTTTTTGTACGAGCAATGAGGTTCTGCGCTGGAGATTTGTGAACTGCTCTTTGACACTCATTTTGCGAGGTAACTCGGCCATGGCGGATAACGGTCGAGTAGTCGTAGAGTGGGGGAGCTATCGAAAGAAGAGGCTGGAGCTAAAGAAGACGGGATGGAAAAGCAAATATCAATCGTTGAAGCGTTGTCGGAGCAAAACGAAGGAGAAAGAAGCTGGTTAATGTGATGACGTAGGAAACTCGTGTTGTGGCTTGGTAGGTGGGAGGAGAGGAAGAGGAAGAGAGAAGGACAAGGTTGTCAGGTCGAGAGAAGTGTTGGAAGAGGAAGACGAGGACGAGGCGACGGCTACCAGGGAAGCTGACGCTCGGATGAAGTGGGACGCGCCTTTTGTGTTTGCTGGCGTAGCTTTGTCAATGAGGCTGAGTCCGTGGGAGCAGTAACAGCGGCAGCAGCGATCTCTTGTTGGTGCAGCTCTTGCTGCTGATGCCACAGTGAGGGCACAGCCTGATTCCCAGCCTGTGCTGCCCGTAAACGGTCTGGCCCGTCACGGCGCTAGGCGCTGCGCATTTGGTGGATGCTGTCCGCTCATTGGCTGCTGGTCCCAGGCAGCGGAAGGGCTAGTGGCTGGCAGGGCCTGTCGACGCTGTCCGAGCGCTATATTTGGCGACATAGAGGGGACAGGGTGTGCTTGCTGCGGCACAGGTCAAGAGAGGGTAGGTTAATGCGGTACGTACCTAGAAACAGTGCACATTGTACAGTGTAGTTACAGTACGACACCCAGCGCTTGGACTTGTGCTTGCCACAGGCTTACAGGCCGTCTACACCTGGCACCAGCTGTCACACAAAACAAAAAGGAAGACAATTTTTATTTACAGTGCATTTCGCTCTTTATCCTGCAGCAGCTATGCTGCGAATCACAAGCACATACATAACAAATGCTCCCCTCCGATCTGTTAACCTTTCGGCGTCAACATCCACGATGTCGCCCTACCAATCAGCGCTAGTGCTAGCCGCCGCATGACCCTAGCTGCAAGTTTCAGGCGTCGCGTCTACCAGGAAGGAGGGAGTTCAGCTTTCCCCTTTACATACACTGTTTTTTATTGATGCCTGTATTAAAAAGTACATTTATCTGTCCACAAAATGAATGAAATGTACGAAAAGCTGTGCGCAGCCGACCTCTGGCGGATATCTCGACAAGGCAAGGAGACGACATTTGACGTGTCTGAGGCGTGGCTGCAAAAAGCAACAGGCCAAGTGACAATCGAACAATTTCAGGTGGACGCATCGACATTTAGCAGTTGGCTCGAAAATGAACACAGAAATATTGGTGCTGAAAACGAGTCATATCTGCTCCAACGCCTGGTTTGGCTAGATGTTGATGCCGAGAAGCGCAGCATCAAGCTTACGAGTAGCATATACGATCAACTCATTACATACTTCGGCCTGAACCTCGCCAACAAGTTCTTTACATCATACATTACTGGCCTTTCATCTGTCCCGGCAGACTGCCCTGAGACGCAATCGGCATTTACCCTCAGTTACGCGCCCAAGTTCGCTGCGCTCTGGTGCGAGCAGCGTTTTGGACCCGACGAGAGACCGCCCGTGACCAGAACTGTCATGTTTGTACCGGATGCCGAGAAAGAGGCCGCTAGAAAGTTTCTGAAATCGACGTGGGATCCTTGCATGTACTATAACTACCTGTTCCCATTGTTTCTTTGGGCAATACAGTTTGAGTTCCAAATCGATCAGACCCAAGCCACGATAAGGGAGGGAATCAAACAGTTGGAAGGGAGAACGGGATATCATACCTTTGCGAATCGAGAAAAAGACGCTGCTGTTGGCGAACTAGGGCCTCTGGCGGCCCGTGCAAGCGGATACGCAACCAAGCTGGCCAGCGTGGACCGCAAAACAAAAGTGGTCGAAAACATCATTGCATTTTTACAAGAGCAAGCTGAGAAGACTGACTGGACACTGTCAAAAAACGATGGAGGCTGGGTTGCTCTTATTCAGCATAGTTTCAAGCTCCTCAAACATCATATTGGGGTTCTGGGCAAGCGCTCAAAAATGCAAGCGCTGGATTCACAGTATACTCAAACAAGAGTACAAATTCAGATACAAGCAGTAAGCAACTCTGGTTGTATAATTACAGTATAAAGCTGACAAAACTTTTAGCTGTCTAGTCTTATCACACAGAATGACAGCCTCACCAGCATTCACCAGGCTCGACTCACACAAGCTCTCGCTGAGGCTAGCTATCGCGACTCTTCTTCAATGAAGACGCTAGCCATTGTCACAATGTTTTTCTTGCCAGGGAGCTTTATATCTGCAATATTTTCTATGCCTATGTTTGAATGGGATCAGGTCGACAAGGCCTCAAGCTCGATCGGAGTTGGCCTGCTGCCACAATTCAACTTATACTGGGCCATTACTGTACCACTAACCGTCGCAACATTTGCCCTTTACTTCTCATGGCTACTGTTTCTAAAGAGAGAGGCCAAGAATAAAACATCGGCAGCCGAAGGAAATGACTCGTCAGCACCAGAGAAGGGCTTGGTGTCTGTTGAATCAACTCGTTTGGCCCAATGGCGACACCGAGAAACCTCTCTTTAAGGCGTACTGAGAAGTATGCATAAGGTTAAATCCAGACTTTGGGCCTAGTACATGTATATAAATCATAAATAAAACAAGCGAAATCAATTTCCAAATTTCCAATATTTTCTTTGCATGATGTTGAGTATGAAGTTCGTGGTCCCGTGCTAGTCGCCTGGCGGAGTGCCGCATAGTGATTATCTGCCACTTTGCCTGATGGCGGGATGCCTGTCTGCCACCTTCACCACAACAACGACAGCACGCGGCATGAGCGGGGGGTATCATCAGCAACGGTGCTGAAGAATATAACCAGTCTCTTATGAAGGCAATTTAAATCTCAATCTGGACAGATTTAAGCCACGATCATAGCTGGCGAAAGCGTCATGGCTAACCCCGCGTCAGGAGGGGCGGCTCCCGCGCAGCTCGGATTCCTCGCCATATTCAACCCGACTTTGAGCGATAAGGAAGAAAATTTGGATGACCAGATTGTATATTATGCGTCTGTCAGTTCAAATTCTACGACAGGGAAGCGCAGGCGCACCCGGGGCCGGCCTACCGAAGGCATCTTACAGGAAGAACGCAATGAGCGACTACGCCAGATTGGTCTTGCGCAAGGCATGATTAGCTTCAGCCGCGGGTTTTCTGACGGCGCTCCCGTGAATGCCATTGAAACAGAAAAGACACGCGTGGTTATTCACGAGCTGGAACCAGATTGGTGGATTTTGGCTGTAAGCTACTGAGACATACTGTGATCAACGGCCTCGCTAATTGTTGACCCTAGAGCATAGATCTTAACAGGCTACCTTTGCCACCACGACTGCCTGTCAAGGCTGGTGCAGATCAAGAGGAGAAGTTTGATTTCTCCACAAAGGAAATGAAGCCGACGTCTTTAATATTAAGCGACTTGCTGCGTGCGCATAACACATTCATGTTTCATCATGACTCCTCACTCACCTCCCTTCTTCGACGCTTACCGCGGAAGAAATTCATTGCATCATTGAGCCGATACTGGGACCTATTTCTATCAACATGGAATGTTATGGTTCATGGAAATCCGACAAGGGCAATCTTTGGAGGAATCAATATTGCCGCCTCTGGAGAACTGGGTGTTGGCGTTGGTGAAGAGGAACGCGGCAGTGGTGAACGAGAGGTTCTTGAGGGTCTTGTTGGGCGAATAGAGGGTCTGGTCGACTTGGTGGTTTCCAAATTTGGAGAAGAGGGAGATGATAATTCTAATCCCAAGGCCACCAAAAAAGATGCAGAAGAGCCTTGGCTGGGATCTGGCCGAGAGCCTGGTGAAGAGGATGGTGCAGTTTTCCTTGGTACTGGAGCCTTGACACGAGCCTCAGTACGGAACTTGACTCATTGGATGGAAGATATATATTCATGGGGAGAACACGCCTACGGAGTTATTGAGAGTCCAACTTCGATACGGCGGACAAGACCCAGAAAGCCGGTACCGCAAGAACCAGAAGAGAATAAGACAACGTCTTCGAGCGCGACTGGTGAAGTCGTGCCTACAGGGAACGACGAACCACCCAAGGCTTCTGACGACACCGAAACTAATACAGGCCCAGAGGCTGATAAACCAGATGAGGATGGAAAACTTGATAAGATGGTTAGCTATCTCAAGCTCGGATACGGCTCCTACTGGTCTATTCCTGGAGTTGCAGGTAGTTCTGGAGCCGCCACACCACAGTCAGACGCAGCGCAACCGACATCACTACCGAAAGCAGAACGCCCCAAGCTGAAAAGGCAGGCCTCAGAAGCGGCTGGCCACTATCTGATTGGCCTCAGAGGTGATATGGAAGAGACCCCCGAAGGAGAAGAACAAGACCAAAGCGATTCGGAAGATGACAACTTGCGAACCGTCTTGCGCACTGTACATGTTGAACTCCAACAAATCGACCAAGACGTCGGTCGTGCGTACCTATCACCACAAGCCCCAGCAAGCACTCCGCCATCTATAACAAACGAAAAGGTCCGTGTTGTGGTCTATGTCAACAGACCCTTTATTTTCGTCTTCCTCTTCCGCCTACGTACCGACTCGCTGGAATGGGAATCTCTCTACCGATCGCTTCACTACCAGCTAGCACCGCTTCGCAAACCACTTCTTGCATCCATGCGCTTCCGACCCGACCGCCCAGATCAAGGCTCAGGCATCCGCGATGTCATCTGGAACCCAGACCAGCTGACCCTACACTCAACGCTACCAAACATTCCTGACTTCAACTTGGTGGAATCCGTTGGGCCGCTCGCACCACCCCCTAGAACATGGTGGTCGCGCGTAGATGCCGTCAACACTCACCTACAGATTCTCGCCATCTATGGAGCTACGCGACAGCAGTCAACGTCGGACATTGAGCGCACCTGTAAGACAAGTCGTGGGTGGTGGATCGTGTGGACTCGCCAGGCGCCGGCTGGTCATCCAGTGCACGTTGATGGAGGATCAAGCGCTCACGATAGCCGCCCGTCGTCCTCACATGGAGAAGGCAGCCGGGCCGACGAGAGCATTGCAGATGATGCTGCTGCTGCGCCTGGAAAGGAAGTCATTTTGGTGCGCAGGGCGGGCGACCACGCGCGCTCAGGTAGCCTCGGCTCTGCGGTTGCGACTTCGTCTGGCGGAGCGATTGAAACCGCAGGCAAGCTTGCACAGGGTATTGGTGTAGACACTCGACGCTACATCGAGGATTTACTTAGCATACTATGAAAGCTAAAAGTTAATAGACTTTTTTTTCTACTAATTTTTGTCGCATCGCTCGATCAATTAAGGTTTTGCAACGATAACGTTGGTCGGCCCATGTCTCAGCACCGCTACAAAGTTAAACTTTCACAAAATTGGTTGTAGCGGCAAATCGATGTTTTAAATTTTGTTTTGATTTATTCAAAAGTTTTTGTAGATCTAAAATGGCTGCCTTGAAGCTAGCCAAGATGGGGGTACAATATGTACAGAAGAAGTAGAGAAAAATCAAAGCGAGCCTGTTTGAGAGGCAATCTGAAGGCATCCTGTTGGCCATTTCTATATCCATCCATGTCCTGGAACGTACACTTTGTTTGTGCACGTCCACTTCTATTTTCATTCATAAAGGAGTGTGTATGTTCGTCATCAAAGTCTCCTGCTTGCTCTGCATTGCCCGGCGGTCCTGGGCCGCCGAGTCTTGTCCAGACAAGATTGAAGAGGAAAAGCTCTCCAGTGCAATGTGGCAGAGGCGCCAGCCTCGCAGATCGGTCATAAGGTACTCAAAAAGCAAAATATGGACGTTTCGTTAAAGCATGGGCTTGTCTTTTAGTTGAAAGACCAGCTGACCTGGCCACGGCCAAGGCCGAGGTCACCGAAGAGCTCGAGGAAAGCCTTCTCACTGAGATCGATGGCGCCGGACTTGCAGGTAGGGCACATGTCGTGGACAAGGGCCTGGATAGATTTGCCATCAGCGTGGATGGTGATGGTCTTGCCACACAGGGGGTTGCCGTTGGACTGCTTACCCATATCAACACCGGCGATGGCGACAATGTTCTCGGTCCTATCCTTTCCAGAGTCGTCAAAGCCGCAAGATCCCAAGCCAACAGCGAAGTAGGTGGCATCGCCAGTGTACTGCTTGCCACCACCAGTACCACCAGTGGCAGGGGGAGAGTTCTGCTTGGGAGGCTCCTGCTTGGGAGGCTGCTGAACAGCAGGAGGAGTGTAAGCAGGAGGAGTGTAAGCAGGAGGAGTGTAAGCAGGAGGAGGAGGAGGGGGAGGAGGAGGAGCCTGAGCCTGGGTGTTGGAAGGCGCCGCAGGGGCAACGGAAGCAGACTCGAAGAACTGAGCGCGCGAAGGCTTGGGCTCGGCGGTGGTGGCAGCAGCGGGAGTCTCCTGACCGGGAGTGATCCAAACAGTGGTGGTAGCGTCGACAAGCTCAGTGACAAGCTCAGTCTCGGTGACCCAGACGGTGGTGGTCACGACGGCATCGCGAGCGTGGAGGTGGCCGTGACCGCGGGGCTTGGCCGCGGCGGTAGCGACGAGGAGCGCAGAGGCGACAGTAGAGTACTTCATCTTGAATAAAGAGAAAAAAAGAGATTCGAAGTCGTAGACTTAAAGGGTTGGTGGAAACAGCGATTTAGAGATTGAACGAGATCGGCGGGCGATGTGTTGATTTAGTCACGAAGCGTGTGGCTGATGTTACCAAATCTGGTGTTATGCAACGTTAAGGAATGTGCTGGAGTGGACGGCAAGATCGAGAGAGTGAGGATCGAGTGCTGAGAGTCCGGCTCCAAGAAACGAGATAAACGAGGATAGTTTGATTGAAGGAGTGTGTGTGTGAAGAAGAAAGGAAGCAGAAAGAGAAGCGGATGTGCGGTGGATATAACAGGCTGCATCGACGAGAATCGCAAAGGCGGGCGGGGAGAGGCTGCACGACTCACCTGGGACTCAGGGCCAGAGAGAACCATCCAGCGCCTAACCCGCGCCATCAACCCACTGTTTTTCCTCTTGTCGCCCAATTCACAGGCCTATTTTTCTTTGCAGCTCCACTGGGAGCCATTGAAACAGGGGAGGGGGGGGGCCACGCTACCGTTCTGGAGTGTGGTCGAGAATGCGCGGCAAGGGACCTGTCGTGGTACCTGTGGCTGCCAGCCAGTTATGCTGCACGCGCAAAGTATATGTGGCAACGGATGCAAGTACCGATCAACTGAAAAACAGTCGCCCCGCGCCCCTGACTAAAACAGCGCCAGCCACGCAGCGGCCTTTCGGGTGCCTGTCGGTCGCCCCACTTTTGTCTGATTTTTTCTTGTTGCAGGCGGCGATAGCATCTGATTGGTCCAGACATGCCGCTATCACGTTGCACTTTAGCCTTTTAGGTACCTCGACCGCTGTAAACAGGCGTTGCGCGGCCCTGTGTAGGGGCCGTTTGGAAGCGTAACCTGGGCTTCCCTACACTGCGTCTTTTTTTTTTCTTCCAGCGGTGCGGCCGGCTCCACTATTCCGCTGTCCGCTGCGCCCGCTGGCCAATCGCGGAATCGCTGTTCCTGGTGATAAGTGGGCAAGCAGACAAACACAGCACACACACACTTCTCTGTTCCCGCGGCACGGTACTCCCCATTCGGTACAGTTGGGTATTGCTTGATGACTGTGTTCTGTGTGTTTCCTGGTACCTGTATTGTGGCGTGGCTGTTATGGCGGCATTGGGCTGAAAACAGAAAGTACATGTTGACCAACGCAGACTGCAGAAACGCCTCTATTGACTAAAAACCTCGCGAAAACTCTTCTTGCTCTTGCTTTTGGCGCAGCTCCGAGTCGCTTTGCGAGCCCGTCCCACTCACACGCTAATACTTGCGTTTCCGGCGATGAGCCACTGCAACGAGGCCTTCGCGAATGCTCTCGTTTCAGCTGGGCACGAAGCTGCACTGACTGACCTTGTACAGTACTTTGGGTGGGCGCAAGTCCCTGTCCTTGCTCTCACCCGTCGGTCTTCACGAGCTTCGCCTCCAAGCAACGGCCAGGGTCAGGCCAATAGTCAGAATACCGGCCCTGTCTGTCCAAGTAGCTTTCTCACACGTGAAGACTAACAATCGTAAAGAATACGTAGACCCTGGCTGTAGTTGCGCTTTGGGGTTCCCGGCAACGGCGAAGCCTGCTTTCTACTGCAAACTGCATTCTGCATTTCCGCTAATGCACGATGCAAAGCTACACCTCGGGCGGGAATGTACTCTGTACCGCAGCGCTCTAAGGCTGTCTCAACGGCCATAAGCAAATAATGCGCCGGTACCATCTTTTCGCTGCATGTATTGCCCTGACACACGCAGCACGGACGCAATTTCGGAACGGGGCGAGACGCCAAAAGCAAAAAAAAAAAAGACAAAAAAAAAAGGGCAAACAAAACAAAGAAGGAAGTATATTAAGGGAATCTACTTGAATATTGACGTGTAGCATTTGAGATTGAGCTGCTTTGCATACTCCCATTTGCCGCCCTCACCCTCACCGAACTTGCTTTGCCCAGTACGAAGCTCAGCTCCTCGAGTCTCACCACAGACAGCATTGCGGGAGGATGTCTGCCGCAATGCACCCGAATTTTGATTGCCGACAGCTGTAGTATATCATGTATATTCATCTATTGTCATTAATCATCTAAGTTGGTACCAAGGTAGCTGGCGATCAAGTCCTTTTCCGTCCCCCCATCCCATTGCAAGCCAGGTTGCAGACGTTCACTCTCCGATGCTCCCCCTCTAGAGTACTTTACTTCGTTTTGGAGATGCTGAGATATGCTATCACAGCCTTCTTTAGAATTTAGTGCTCGTATTGTTGCAAAGAGTGGCAGTATTGTCTCCAAAGATCGCTGTGCCACATTCCAGTTGGAGGCCGTTAGACAAAGGAAGCCATGCGGATTTCTCGGGACCCCAAGCGTTTCCATTTCCGGCGCTGCATCCAAGACACTCTCCGAGACACGAGATTTTCTAGAGTCTGGCCTTCTAAGTTCCTTCTAGGGGGCGAGAATCACGGCGGCTAGCAGCTAGACTGCAGAAAATGCCACGTGATCCTATCAATTTCTCTGTATCACCATGGCTTTGCGGAGTAGTCTTCGCCAGTGCAACTTGATATTCGACGCTTGATGGCAGCAATCTAATTCGTCTCGACTGCCTCTGGTGTAGGCTGCTTGTTAGTCTTGGCCACCTTTGCCGCCTTTGCCTCTGCCTTTGCCCTTTGAGCAGCGGCGGATTCCCTGCTGCGAAACGTGAAAAGATGAAGATTCAGACGAGAGAATACTGGCCGATCTTCGTCGAATAATTCTTCCACAAAAAACTTCTTTTTAGCGACTTTCAGAAACTGCATGTCGGCTCTACGTCTCTTCTTGAAGCAAAAGTACACCACTGCCTCTGAGTTTAGCTCGAATAAATCTTTGAGCGTCTGCTGCAGTAACGGGAACGCAGGCTCAAAGTATACGCATTCGGCGGCGATAATAACATCTGGCTTCTGTTCGACAATGATATCTGGCAGAGGCTCACCCCTGTGATGATCCCGGTCAGCCCCTAGCGTGGGCAGCAAGGAAGGTGACGCGATAACTCACCAGTTCAAAATCATCCCCTGCGCTCTATCATCCACCTTGTTTAGTGTAATATTGTGCTGCAACAGCTCCAGCATTTCGAGCTGGTCCGTGATGTACATTGTGTGCTGTAACTCACAGCCAACGGCTACTGCCAAGCTGACAAGGCCACCACCGGCACCCAGTTCTACTCTTCAGCAGTAATCACGTTAGCCTACGTAATTTTATAAATGCAACCTGATGAAACGTACATCTTAGCGGACTCGAGCTCCTTGCGGTGGTAGCGCAACAGGTGTTTGCCAAGAACCATGCCTGCAGGCCATGTTTGGCCACCGCAACCTGTTCGCACATCCTCACGGAGGTCCAGAGAACGGGGTAGCTGCCCATCAAAGTCTATGACTGCATTTCCTGCCTCTTTTAATTCAGGCAACGGCGTGAGATCTTCGCTGAATGTAAGCGGGTTGAAATCGGGAGAGAGTGGTGGTGAGTCCATAGTTTTTGGCGGCTGGCTGCACAGTCTGTTCTTCACTGTACGAGCCAAAAGTTTGACACTGGGTAACACAAGCAGAAAATTAACGACAGGTGGTCTAATTTGGCCGTGGCTGCGTCTCCTCACGCTGGCCTTGCGTTTCTCCTCGTTGCTGCTATTTTTTCAAAAGTGCGTCTCCGTTTGTGCGATGCGCGCAAAATGTTACTGCGGATAATGGCAATACTGCCTATAATGATTTTCCTCTTCCCCATTTAGACCAACCGGATTGAGACCCTTCCCCCAAGGCTGGAGCCGCGCTGCAGCCCTTTTCGGCCCGCAATGGAACCCTGTCATCTCTGCATCGTTGCAGCGCCCCAGATAAGTCAATATCACTGGCGTTGCAGTATAATCTTAATGAGCAGCCAAAGACGGCGTCGCGAGAGCGCTGGATGAAAACATGTCGCGGTGCTACTAATAAACCTCGTTTTTGGACGTCGTTGACGCGTTTGAGTGCACCAAAGAAGGCTCCCTCAGGCACTAACTAGAGCTAGTTCGCGGCGTTCAAAGGGAGACGACAAACTCGTCATCACGCGACGCTCAACCATCGAGGGCAGAATGTTCTATTGGAAGTTAGGCCCAATATATAGACTATAAAAGGATTTTCGCGTTCCAATGGGCTATCGGCACTGCCCGGATCGCCCAATATTCGGCCACGCTCCACCCCAATAATCCCGATGATACAAAGAAGCCTCCGATTCAACAGAATGCTTTGTTCAATTATTGAAAATCTCCGTACAGCAATACTAGTCATTTCCATTTCTGCGGCCCCTCCAACCCCGCCGGCCAGGGCAGGCGGCCAGCCTGCTGGGTCTGCTGCCAATGTCTCACCTACCACCAATCTTCACATAGCAACCTCACGCTGGAATGCAATTTCAGTGCCACACCCCCCAGAACGCAGCTCCCAGCCTGGCCCGCGCTCTTTTCTATGGCTTGGTAGTAGCACTTTACGCGTCTAGAGGTGTGAGCCTGGTTACTTCTGAAACAAATTGCCTCGGACCGCAATGAAAGATGACGCTATCTGCCCAGCACAATGGGCGATTGTGTAGGACTCTAGGAATGAAGGGGCTGACATCTCCAGCTTCTACCCAGCCATCACAATGTCGAATTTTGATACACCTTCTCGGGGGCTGCTGTTCCTATGTTCCTCCTTTACTTCTCCCTTTCTTTTGTTCCTTCATCATCATTTTTCCTCCCTGACAATAGCTATCGCTACAGCAAGCATCTTCCCGACAGGCCTGCTCTACAACATCTTCAATCTATCAATCAGCAAGGATAGCAGACATCGCATGCATGCTCAACTGCAACAGATTTCATTTGTAACGGTTCATAACGACAGTCGCCCGGCGCGACAGCCTTCATCATGACCGTCAAACAAGCTCTCATCGCTGGTCTACAGCTTGCGCAGCTCGCAGCGGCTGCGCCGTCTGTATTTTTCCCATTCAACGCTCAACTTCCTCCCGCTGCGCGAATCGACACCTTCTTCTCTTATACTCTCTCTCCTCACACATTCGACGCGGCTGGCCCTGTAACTTTATCTTTTGGTGATAACCATCCATCTTGGCTGTCTATCGAAAGCGACGAACGCCGTATATTCGGTACCCCCAAGGATAGCGATTTTGCTTCAGGCGATATCGTTGGCCAGCAAGTGGACATTATCGCTACCGACCAAAACGGTTCGGTGGCTATGAATGCTACAGTTGTAATTTCTCGAGAGAAAGCTCCTACCATTCAAATCCCACTAAGCAAGCAGATTCAAGGCTTTGGCAACTATTCCGCCCCCTCCAACATCCTTGCATACCCATCGACGGATTTCAGCTATTCCTTCGATAGACAAACTTGGGAACACCAAGAAAAACTCAACTATTATGCAGTCTCTTCAAATAACAGCCCGCTACCAGCCTGGGTAAAGTTTGATATTGCGACATTGACCTTTTCCGGCAAAACACCACCATTTGAGAGCCTTGTTCAACCACCAGAAACATTTGGACTCAAATTGGTAGCATCCGATATTGTAGGATTTGCTGGCTCTAACATTGAGTTTGCCATTGTAGTTGGCGCTCATAAGCTTGCCACGACAAACCCAATCATTACTTTAAACGCGACCCGCGGGTCTACAGTCACATACGATGGACTGGAAAACGGGGTCACTTTGGATTCCAAGCCGGTTCAGCCTGGAGATCTCCGAGCGACTACCAAGGATATGCCCGAGTGGATGACCTTTGACAGCGCTACCGGTAGACTCCATGGTACTCCTGACAACAACGCCCACTCGACCAACTTTACTATTACCTTCTCCGACAACCATCTCGACTCATTGGACGTCATTGTTGTTCTCAACGTTGCAACTGGCCTCTTCAAGACTACCTTTACGGACATGCAGGTTCGACCTGGATCCAAATTCGATGTCGATGTCGCCAAGTTTTTGAAGAATCCCGATGATATTACCATTGACGTCTCGACGGAGCCAACGGAAAACTGGCTCAAGGTGGATGGCTTCAAGCTTTCTGGAACTACACCAAAGTCTGGAAAGGGATCATTTGATATTACCGTCAAGGCAACATCTAAGTCTACAAAGCTCACTGAGACTGAAAAGCTGCATGCTGCCTTCCTCGCGGAGGATGGCACACCAACCTCGAGCGGCAGCTCTTCCCCCACCGGATCATCTGGTGATCCCACCAGCGAAGTTGGATCTGATGGCTCAAACAATGGTGGAGGCCGCCTTACAACTGGCGATATTCTTCTTGCCACCATCATACCCATCTTGTTCATCGCTCTTGTGGTGTTACTTATGGTTTGCTTCCTTCGACGACGCCGAGCTAGACGTACCAGCGACAACAGTGTCTACCATAAGAAGGTCTCCAGCCCTGTCCCTGGGAGCTTCCGTGTTGAGAAGTCCGCTGCCAGCATTGAGGAAGCCGAACGGGCTTTGGTGGATGAGAAGAAGACTGGCCCCGTCGTTTATACCAACGTTGCACCCGTATCGCCGGTATCTACTGCTCGCCCCCGATCTTCAGCCACCCTGGGAAACGCATCTATCGAGCATGATTACATCCACGACAATGTATCCCCTACTATCAGGGGTCTAAGTCGCCAAGAGAGCAACAACAACAGGCAGTCGTGGGAGACAGTCGAAGGGGACATCCCAGTTATGAGTGGAGGCAAGTCTATGGACTATGAAGTCACAGAGGGAGTTGTCCCAATGGTCCCTCCTTCAATGCCTTCAGCCTCTCCTCGTCGTGCCAATAACTACACACCACCCAAGCTCAGAGACTACCCTCAGCTCCAGCCTCCTACCATGGCTGCTTTCAAACAACCTCCAACACACAGTTACAAGAGCGTCGATGTATATTCTAGTATAACGACAAGCTCTGCAGCGTTGCCTGCCAATCTGTCAACATACACAAGCCCTGTAAAGACTATTGGATCTACACTGGCAGAGTCACACGCCTCAGGACCTAACTGGGAAGCATTGTCGACTTCAAGCAGTGCCGAAAGCCGTCTGGGAGAGCTCCAGCGCCCTCAGATGGCTGTACTGCCTGCCAAGACAACAGGAGATCTGCGAACATGGAATTCCGGGCTACAATCTATCGAAAGCAGAAGCATCGTTGCCGACGCGTCGTTTGGATCTTCAGAAAACTGGCGGGTAATTGGCAAACGTGACAACACTGGCCTCTCCTACGACGAACTTGTGGAAGATTCACCCTACCACCCTGCTCGTCCCAGTACTGCGAATCCCGACCGATCATCGAGCCCTGACTTGTTGTCTCCTAGCAAATGGGGCACCACACCTCGTCGTATTGACGACATGCCCGGAAAGATGGGCATTCCCCAATCCATCTCAGCGTTATCGCGAGAGTGGAGGAGGGAAGATTCCGGAAAGCTTTCCGATGGGAGCTTCAAAGTCTTCTTGTAATTAAGAAGCTGCAGCATGGCGTTTTGATACTTTTTCCTTTTTCACGTTTTATGATACCACCCACGAAACATGCCTGCTATGTTATTTATGTGTATTTTTACGAACTGGCATTATGACTCTGTTTTATTATCAACACGTTTATGAAGATCTCGGCAACGAGCACAACTCTATTAGATAGCTTTAATACTTAAAAAAGTACTAATGATTTCACAACCATTTTATCTTACCAAAAAATAAGTGACTATTATTACGCTGTTAGATGAACCCTATTTTAATCCCTCTTGAGCCCAACACGGCCCACAGTTCTCAATCCGAAGATTCCGAGGATTGCGCAGCCAACGAGCATGGCAAACATGGCCCAAAAGCTGGCTCTTAATCCCTCCAAGACAGCGAGAGGTTTGGGGTTGTTTCCATGATCCTTTGTGACCGTGGTGGAAATGATCTGCATGATGGCAAGGCACAGTGCAATGCCAAATTGGGCGCAGGTGTTGAAGACAGCACCCGCGAGCGCCTGTGTGTCGCCAGGAAACACATCTGAGATGACGATGAGGCCAACAGTGAAGAGGATATCGTTGGAAATTGGAGAAAGGACCTGGGCGATGAAAGCATTCGCCCAGTATGACCAGGTGGGTTGGACAACAGCCATGAGGAGAGGCGCCACAGCGCAGGCGAGAAATGAGGCTGCTACAATGGTGCGAGCTGAAACTTTGTCCACGTAGAGGCCGGTCGTGAAGTTGATGACAGTGCCAACTATCAAACTAGGGAGGACTTTAAGGCCGGCAATGAGGGCTGTGTCGCCTTGGACTTCTTGGAAGCTAGATTCTGTTAATTGGACACTCTGCCACAGAAGCTGGGTACTATGACTTACAATAAGCTGCTAAACAGCTCAATGCAGGTGGTTACACCGAAAGAGATTGCTACCGTTATGCAAATGACGGAGAAGGCACGGTTCTTCCACATGGAGAGTGGAATCAAGGCTGGTTTACCGATGCGAACTTGTCTATGCATCCAGAAGAGGAAAGCTGGTAGAGAAGCTGCACAAATGCAGATGAGGGCAATGTTTGGCCCGTCACGAACAGAGTTTACATCTGTACTAATATTTCTGGACAAAGTTGTTAGCATATCGAGGTACAAGGAGATGGCACGTCAACTTACGCAAAGAGATAGGATAGGAGCGCCATGAAGGCAGTCGCAAGGAGAGCACCGACCCAGTCGACCTTTTCCTTAGCATTTCGTAGACTTTCCATGACACTTGGCGAGGCAACTTGCTTTGGTGTAGCAAAGATAGCGACAATAGTGCACAGGATTGTTAGCGCTCCGTAGATGTACCACCCAGCTCGCCAACCAATGGCATTCTGCAACACGCCGCCAATGACTAGACCAAATGAGAAACCGAGGGGTTGGCTAAGACCAAGACAGGCGAAGCCGATATTTCTGGAGCGGCCTCTTGGTAGAATGCTTGTTATGATGGCAACCGAAGAGGCAAGGTGCATCGCATATCCGATTCCCTGAAGGGCACGCATGGCAACCAACTGCGAGCCATTCTGCGAGAAACCGGCTCCTAGCATGAAAGCTCCGCTAACGAAACCGCCAGCAAGATTGATCTTTCTAGGTCCGATGGAGTCTGCAATAGAACCAGCGAGCAGGAGCGTCGACGCATTGGCTAGACTAGCCACCGAGGTTGGCCAGAGCGAGAGTTCCTGTGGGATAGCGAGATCGGCGGTGATGGCAGGCAACCCAACGACGACGAGGCCGTTGACAGCGCTACTGGCAAAGTTGATAGCCGAAAGTTGGATCGTGACCGTCCATTTATGCAAGAGAGAGACCACTGCTGGATCAGGCTCTTGGATATTTATTTGCTGAAGTACAGAGGAGGTATCCTGCTGGTGCGAGAGCGGCGTTTGAGCGGCCTCGGTTAACGTCTCTGTCGACATGGTTGACAAAGTTTCTGTAAAAAGCAGAATCTCTGACGAGTCGTAGGTGAGGAGGAAAATCAGAAATCTTCCACATAGGCGAAGAGATCTCTCCATTTAAATGGCATGAGTCGCCGCGGACGCCGAAGCCAGCCAGGGCTTCGATATGTACAAATTGGGAACCTTAAATGCTTGCGTGACCCACTCGAAAGGCGCGCACGTTTGTTCTACGCATACTGTAGCGGCGATTACTTTTTACGGGGCGCGTAACGGGCGATTTTCGCGGTGAGATGAGAAGCCCATGGGGCACACACATCATTTTGGCCCGTTGTGGGCTTGGCTGTAGGGATTGGCCGTGGGGTTACATCGTTAGGCCAGAGGCGATAGTTTCCGGGATCTGAGACGAATTGGTGGCTGCAGATAGATTATGCCATTGCTGGGTTGCGGGGAGAGGCCTAGAACCCGGCAGCTTCGGCTGTGAGTGAGTGAAAAGGTAGAGTGTCTGACTATTTGTGGTTGGTTGCGTGATTGTGCGGCGGGAGTGAAGTGAAGCGGCGAAGGCGCTGTTTGATGGTGCAGACAGGACGAGGAGTGAGGGCTAGCGATGCTGGATCTGCAGTTGCAATATGTCCTTTGCGCTTCTACGAGGGTTATGCATTTACAGTGAATATATTGAATTTGCCAGCTGTCGCCAGCTGTCACCTGGTGCAAACTTTGGGGCCTGTGGCCAGAACGAATACTGTACATTACTCGGTGTCCATGGTGCACTCACTGGGTTTGCACTACGCTGTAGGCAGCCGGCCACAAGACCCTGCTTCCGGGGACGCTCTGCCCTTCCCCGCAAGCAGACAGCCCACCGCCTAAACAACGCCCGCTAATCGGGCCTGGCCCCTCCTCGTGCAGCGCCAGCACAGCCTAGCGCGGCTTGCGTCTTTGCCTCTGCTTTTGTTATCAGCGGCGATTACGTGCCCTGCGCCAGCGAGAAAATTTGCTTGCGGGTGCGGGCAGACAGCGGCATGATGCCCCGCTAGCAAGAGGACACAGCACAGGCCTGAACCTAAGGCTGCTAAAAAAGAGAAGAAAAAATAGGGAAAAAAAAAGGGCAGTAGTTATTGCGTGGCATATCTACAGCTACGATTAATAACATATTCTCTTTAAACTGAAATTAAATCAGTACATTTTCCTAAAAATAAACGATCCAAATAACACACAAAATAAAAAAATTCACCCACAATGTCCGAAAGCCGACACCTATGCTGTCTTAGGTCGTTCCCCCCAACGGCATTTTCCTCTGTCCCCCCTCCCTCCGCCAAAAAACAACACCATGTCAGCTGCCCACTAAAAGCTAAGCTAACCACGAGCACTGCTGTAATTGCCNTCCTCCACCCTCCGAAAGCCACCACCACCAGAACTCGACCAATTCCTCCGTGACTCTCTCTTTCTCCCATCTCTTTCCCACAACCACCCCGTTACAGCTCCCTTTCCGCAACCCAAGGAGACAATCTGCACCGCTGCTGATTTCTACCTCCTCTCTTCCACCCGATCCGCACGATAGACCAAAGCTGCCCGCCTTGTTCTCTTCGTAGCCCTTTCAGCCTGAGCGCCCGCATCCGTCGTTGGCCCGAATCACGCACACATCTTCCCTTCGCCCTGCGCCCAACATCGCCAGTCACTCACACGACCTGACTTCCTGTTAGCTACCACTATCTACACGCTGCCAAAATCCCCGACCTCGAACTGAAATCATGGGTCAAACTCTCTCAGAGCCCATCGTCGACAAGGTGCGTTATCTCGCCTGCCCAAATCCCACATTTGCCCCTCAACATATTCTCTGCACGCCGGGCCACGCCTACTTTGTTGCTTGACCGCAGCGGTCCTAATGATTTCGAGTGGATATGAATACGATTGAGAATGGCACCTGTCAGCTTTTTTCCAAGCCTAGTTTTCACTCTATCATCACCACGCAAACCGTTGCATCGCTGCGCAAAGGCTCGCCCGCCGCGTGCAAACCCTGCGTTTCCCCCTCCTCGTGCCCCGCTACGACTCTACCTGCGGTCTGACAGCCTAACGCCACGCATTACCTGCCTGCCACAGATGTCTACGTTGTGAATGTAAACCCTGTGAACTGACCATGATTATTGTTTTCTAGACGTCCGACAGTGGTGAGGATGACAGACTCATCTACGGTGTCTCTGCTATGCAGGGATGGAGAATTAGCATGGAAGACGCCCACACGACAGTGCTCGATATGATTGCCGCCACCACTGGTGAAGCTCCCAAGACCGACGGCAAGAGACTAGCATTTTTTGGTGTCTTTGATGGTCACGGTGGTGACAAGGTAGCTCTGTTCTCCGGCGAGAACATCCACAACATCATTGCCAAGCAAGATTCATTCAAAAACGGCGACTACGCCCAAGGTCTCAAGGACGGTTTCCTGGCTACCGACCGTGCCATCCTCAACGGTACGAATATTTCAACCAAACTCTCGCGATGCAAGTACTAGATGCTCTAACAATACATTCAGATCCCAAATATGAAGATGAAGTATCTGGCTGCACCGCTTGCGTCAGCTTAATAGTCGACAACAAACTCTACGTGGTGCGTTTTGTCTCTACGATAACCATCTTACGATTTTACAGTCAAATACTAACATCTCGCCCAAGGCCAACGCTGGTGACTCTCGAGGTGTCCTTGGCATCAAGGGCCGCGCAAAGCCTCTGTCCATTGACCACAAGCCTCAGATGGAGAGTGAGTGACTAGAAGCCAACTACGAGTAGGCATGAGGACTAATCTATTTCTATAGGCGAAAAGAACAGAATCACAGCCGCTGGTGGTTTTGTCGACTTTGGCCGCGTCAACGGTAACCTCGCTTTGTCTCGTGCCATTGGTGACTTTGAGTTCAAGAAGAGCGCTGAGCTCTCTCCCGAAAACCAGATCGTCACAGCTTACCCCGATGTCGAGGAGCACGATTTGACCGACGAGGATGAGTTCCTTGTTCTGGCCTGTGATGGTGTGTAAACTCGCCTGCATCTACACTTGAAATAAGCGCTAATTTATTACAGGAATCTGGGATTGCCAGTCCTCTCAGGCTGTTGTTGAGTTTGTTCGTCGAGGTATCGCTGCCAAGCAGGATCTCGATAAGATCTGCGAGAACATGATGGACAACTGCCTTGCTTCCAACTCCGAGACCGGTGGTGTTGGCTGCGACAACATGACCATGACCATCATTGGCTTCCTCAATGGCAAGACCAAGGAAGAGTGGTACGAGGAGATCGCTAAGCGAGTCGCCAATGGCGATGGCCCTTGTGCACCCCCCGAATATGGTAAGTTGATATAGGCTTTCCTTTGCTTCGTTGATGATACCACAGTTGGCTAATACAGACTGTTTTGTAGCGGAATTCCGCGGCCCTGGCGTCCACCACAACTATGAAGATAGTGACAGTGGCTATGAGCTGGATGGCGAAAACAAGGGTAAGGCATTTGGAGCAGGCGGGCGTGGCCGCATCATTTTCCTCGGAGACGGCACTGAGGTTCTTACTGGTTCAGATGAAACCGAGATGTTCGATAACGCCGACGAGGATAAGGACCTTGAAAGCCAAGTCTCCAAGGCCACGCCGTCAACCGATAAGGACACCGCTGACGTTAAGTCAGAAGACACGCCCGCTGAGGCCGAGACCGCCGAGACCAAGCCTGCCTCCACCGAGGCGGAAAAGAAGGAGACGACCGAAGAGACGAAAGAATAAAGCGATCAACGATTGGCCAATTATCAACTTCTGCGAAAACAGCGACACATACTTTACTCTCAAAAGAACTCTACTACCCCCCATTCTACGAACCTGGGCGAGGACAGAATCGTCTGCGTTACTTTTTATGCACATGTTGAACGATGAAGGCGACTAGATACGACTTTTTGGCAACTCTGCTTTTTCTTTTCTTTCAAGCTCTCTCGCCTGCATTAGCAAGGTGGGCGTCCCTCGTATATCTTTTTATTCTGCTGTCTTGAGGTTTGGCTCTCGTTTTGTTTGCCACGGTTTTTCTTGGGGCGACTTGGAGTTGCGTGCAACAACAAACGATCCTGAGAAGGGAGGTGTTGCATGGATCATTAAAACGGAAACCCTTTTTAAAAAACCACGGTTTGTTTCTTCTAGCGAAGAGGCGGTGGAGAAGGAAGAGGAGACGAGAAAGAAGAAGGACCGGATCAGGTGGGAATCGGATCGAATGTTTTTTTGGACGCACGGTAGACGGGCACAGGCGATGCGGATGGGCTGGACATACTGTCTATAGGAGCATTATTCTGTTTCCTTGTGCACTTTTTTGTCTAACGTGCTGACTTTGTATCTGCGCAGCCTTCGTTTTAGCTGCATGTTACGATGTTATGGAATAACGCTATGCGGGAACATAGACGGAGGACGCGGTGATGTTACTACACAAATATACCACATGTCTTTTGAAAGTATTATGCTGCGTGAAAATGTGTCATTTGAATGATTGCCAGGTCAGTAGGGCCTCGACCTAGAGGTATATTGCTAGTAATACATGATGAGCACATTGGCTCGTCTATTCTATCATACAAAGATAATACAGGGATTGGGGAGTGTTCAGCTTCGTAACGTAGTTGGTAGAGCAGAACTCTAGGTGCCAATCACTTCCGAGTTCTTGACTCAAGTAGTTGTTCCTCTAGATACCGTCGTTTCAGCATTGTCGCCTTATCAAACGACGCATCCAGCACCATGGTCTTTTGCTCTCCCGCCTCGTTCTGAAGCAAGATCTCCAATGCAGGCAACGCTTTAAAAGCATCCGTCTCGTCCTTGCTAGGGCTCGGAAGCTTGCTGTATCGGCGAGCCTCGCCATCCACGCGGTCCGCTGCTCGGCGCAGAGCTACTGATAGCGGCTCGACGGGGTGATAACCATCGTACTCGGACAAGAGAGCCCATTCTACCCCGGCAATCATATGCTGGGGATGCGACACGGGCGATCCTTTCAATCGCTTCGCAGCGCCCTTGGACAAGATATGTGGTGTTCGATGGGCCCATACGCCAGCACGACTGCCTACTCTTATACCAGCAATCATGTTGGCGTACTTGCGGGCTCGGTAGCGCATGCGGCGCTGGAAGATGGCGTAGACGAGTGCGGTCGAGTACGCCTCGAGGTGTTCAGATGTGACGCATGCCACTAGAAGCTCGGCAAAGGCTGAATCGCTTAGCTCGTGGCCGTTGCGCTCGAGATTCTCAACGGCCCAAACGGCACTCTGAAAATCGCCCGGTGTACAACCAGCCGCATAGTGCAGAACCACGTTCAATGTCGACGCGGGGACCTGACCGGCAGGATACATTTTTGCAATGGCCTGGTGCAGCTGCTGATGGCTAGAGGAGCTGTGGTACCGCAGAAACTCGTCAACGATGCGATTAAATGCGCTCTCTGAGAACCACTCCTGGCCGTACCTAGATGCCTGCTCGTCAAGGAAGACGTCAAGGGACATGCCGCTCCTAAAAGCAGCATGTGCATCCGCATCCGCCATGATGTCTGCTATGGCGCGCCGTGTCTCCGGATACCGGAAGAGATCGTGCTCAAACATGGCAGCAATGATGCGGCGGCGCTCAACGTCCCGCTTAACAAGCTCGACAAACAGCAGCCATGTCGTCGCGTTGGGCTGGTAGCACCGCTCGCGCATTTTTTTCAGGAATCTGAAGAAGTACAGCGCATCGCGCTTGTGCACGTACCCGCGCAGCATGGCATTGAATGTGTGCGTGTCGGTCGGGATGCCCCAGCCTTCAGAGAGCGTCATGAGCTTGTCTGCCGACGAGATGTGTCCGCCGCGCGGGGCCATGAACATTATAGCTGCGCGCAGGTTCTGTGGTGTCACAAATGCCCGGGTATCCGGGTCCTGGAAGGCATTCATGAGGAGCTTCACGCGGACACCGTCCGTGTCGGCCGTCTTGTTAGGGCCGGTGCGGTTATACAGCCGCGAGGCAAGTTGCGGCCGCAGGCGGCCCGAGACAACGGTATCAATGTACTTGTTAAACGAGTCCTTTGTCCATGTGGCCGGCACAGGAATCTCTTCATAGCGGCAGTCGATCCAAATCTTGGGAGGCTCGACGTGCACCCATATGCCGTTGTCGTCGGTGGCTGGTTTGGAGCTGCTAGGTGCTGGCCAGAGGCGCCATGAAGTGTAGTCTTCGTCAATAACGTCGCCGAGCCCGTAGATCTGGCAGTCGGGGCGTAGTGTGATGAGCTCGTCAGCTGCCTTTTTCAAGATGGAGCTTTTGCCGCGCAGGATAATGGACGACTTGCTGTGCGAGTCGGCGCCGATGCGCAGCATAGCTACTAGACCGGAGACGGACTCGACAAAGCGAAAGGGTCCGTTTTTTGCATCAATCTCTTCATTTGTAGGTAGCACAACCCGCATGGCTGCCATTTTCGGCCTTTCGAGCGTCTTGGGGGTTGTCTTTTTCAGCAGGTCGAAAATATCGGTCCAGTCGGGCACTTGGCTGGAAAAGCGCTCTGCAATCTTGTCGAAGCCGACTTGGACTCGGGCGCTCCGTACGGCTCGGTCTCTGCTCCTCGTCTTTGCGTCTTCGCACTCGTATGTTCGAATTGGGTCGACAAAGACGGAGCCGAGCTTTTGCTCGACCAGCCGCGCTACCTCTTCGTCGTCTGCGAGGTATGCATGGCGAAAGAAGTTGTTGCGGTCGCGGTTCTGGGCATATGGGGTGATTGGTCGTTCATTCGTCTGGCTCGCGCCTTGTGTTATCGTGCTTAGGCAGCGGAGGTTGAGTTGCGCCAGCGGCAATCTGGCGATGGATGGTGGTTGTCGATGTGCGGTTGTGAAAGAGGGCTTGTGCAATGGGCGAGTCCATTGCATTCGCAGCATCCGCACTGCGCTTTGCCTCGGAGGCATTTCTTATTGAATGCACATCCGTCTCGGCGACCAAAGTTGAGATGGGCGAGGTGTGGTGCTGGTGAGTTGACGTCGAAAAACGAAATCGTTAGAGGTTGGCGGGAAAGGTTCCACCATCACGTGTGGGCGAGCAACCTGTATAAGTAGGTGATATAACACATGGAAAAATGAGAATAAAAAAATATATTGAAATATACATATAATCTATTTATGCTCTCTTGTTCATCAATTAAGTTATGCATTAGTTGTCTGCACGAGACAGAGGCCTTCTCGCTCAACAAACAATACTCTAAGAAATTGACGTAGGGAGTGTCGTGGTGTGGATGATGCGCTTCCCAATTATGCAGCCGTTATATGCAATAGTAATGCCAAACAATATCCAAAAATGCAAATAAGACGGAGGAAAGGGGGTATTTCGGTACAAAAAGAAAACAGACTGTGGTTGTAGCAGCAGGAGCCATTTAAGCCGGCAGCTTGCCCTTGTTTGGAGGCGGCGGGCCGCTATCATCGATGCCCTCATATGTTTCGTAGAAGCAAGCCTGATCGTCTTCCAAGCTGAGCCTGGATTCGCCATTGGCAACCATGTGTTTAATGTCGCTCCAATATGCTAGCTTACGGACCTCTTCGTCGGCGTGTCGAGCGGCTGCGTCAAGTGCATCCTTGCGCTCGCGAAGGTCCAAAGTGTCGTCTTTGGCAAGCTCCGCGCTGGTCTCGTCATGTTTGCGCATGAGGTGGCAGAGAAGGGCGCGTCTCGAGGCTTGGAAAACGAAGAGAGACATAATCTCATGCATCTCCGACTCAAGACTCTCCAGGTCTTTACCGTGCTCGAGGTAATTTTCCACAGCTTCTCGTTTCTCACGATCGATTCTGGACGACCGCATGATCTGCATCAACATGACAATATCGGTAATATCTCGATTCTCCGGTGTTGTTTCGCTATTCGATAGCTGTGAAAGACTGGTTTTGCTGTGAACGCGGCTACTGAGACTGCTGCTTCCACTAAGGCGCGTGCGCTGCGAAGCTGGTCGAACTGTGAAATAGTCGGTATTCAACATGTGAGGATCGGAGCACATTTCGTCTTCTCTCTTCTTTACGCGGCGGCGGATCCAGGCTCTGCGGCGGACAAACGAGTTCCACCACTTTGCTGTGTGCCACGAAAAGCGCTTGGAAAATGCAAAGGAATATTCCCATCCGAATTCATCCATCCCGTCCTGGTGATTTACTCGCCATTCTGGCCAAGCCCATTCCCAAGACGGGTCTGGAACCTGGGCTGTGTTGGTGTCTGTTAAGGAGGGTTTATGAAAGGCATTTGCTACAGATGGTCAGCATCATCCAGCAGCAGCTCACAATTTTGTCACAAAGAGCTTACTCCATGGAGGGGCATCCAGGCCGCCAAGAGCCTTTGAAGAAAAGAGCGCAGCTCCGCATAGGAAGCCGCCTCTCTCGTTCTCGTATAATATGTCTACGGCGGTTTCTCGTCTGTCGCGTGACTTTTTGGACTCGGGGTAATGGTGGGCTGGAGGGACGGGGGCTGGTGTCGGAGCTTCTTGCTATTAGTATATGGTGGTTGTGCGCTTAGAATTGAATATGATCGTACCTTGGACGTCTATCGAAGGACCGACTCCAATGTGAATATCTCGCTGCTCGCCGCTTGGGATCTGCGGTGACGAGGCGCTTGTAGCGTTCGTCTCATTGGCGCTTTCGTTGCCATAACGGTCGGTTTCTGATTCATCCCCGAGATCCTGTCTCCTGGTAGATGGTATAGAATCACGGACTTCGGTTAGCAGGCGCGAAACGGTGCCCGTTCTCGATATTTGAGCCTGGAGGGCGGGGTCCTGGGATGTGGATGACGGCGCATCGTCGTCATTTACAAGGACAATCTCATGATCGTAATCGCTTGGCTTTAAGCCTTGCGATCGGCGAGAGCTCCTGACTTTCATATCCCGAGACGAGGCTGCACCATGACGTTGGTTATCGAAAGGTGGTTGTGTTTGATGGTGACGAAGGGTTGGAGGGACACGGTGGTGGTGAGTTGCAGACGGCTCAAGTAGACGGCTAGTTGCTAGAGCCAAGCCGCAGTGGTTCTCTTAAAGGTGAAAAGACTGGCTCGTAGGATTGTTGCTCGTTGAAACCGTGAGCCCGTTGACGGTGAGTAGAGAGCGAGTCCGAGCGTAGTAATTATGGTGATGCCTGCGAGGCAGCTGACGCTGGTGAAGCTGAGGGCGGGAAAGAGGCGTCGCAGGGCAGCAACAGCGGCCACAAGCAGCACCTGAGACACTGGTTGGCAGAGAGCAGCACGCTGTAAATTACAGATCCAGCTGCTGGAGCAAGATTCAGACGGTGTAGTCGAGATACAAAACAACAACAAAAATAAAAATAGAAATAAAAAGGGACACCGATGTCAGGCCGCAGGAAAAAAAAAAAAGAGGAGGCAGACGCAAGATCTTGGTCTCGGTGCGTGGTTGGCCCCATGTAGTGGCAGTGTTGGCTGTGCCTTGGAAGAAAACCCTGCAGCAGCAGGTCTTAGCGCTGAAGCGAAACAGAAACAGTGGTTGATGGGACCCTCGATTTGGAGGGTGGACTGATGATGATGTCAGCTCAAATGACGCGCTGTAAGTGAGTAACCATGCGTTAGATGGACAAATTCGGTATAAATTGGAAGAAAACAAAAGCATAGATCCCAATTGATCGTTGGAAAGCCCCTGCAATATTCAAGGACCCCTGTTGCTGGTTCAAAGAGGAATGCTGTGGCACAGGTCTCATAGAAGAACATGCATTCATTCACATGTTCTGTACCCCAGTCGCATAAAGAACAAAAAATCACGTAAAATTATCCCTTTCCACATATCGCCAGCAGAAACTCTGCATCGATCTATTTTCCACGCCATCGTCTTGTCCCGTAATCGGGTGCCACAACTCTTACCCATCGCCAATCTTTCTACTGCTCCTCCAGTTCCCCAGGTCGTGGCGCATCGCTGGCGCAGCGCTGGGCTCCACTGTAAAAACCTACGACGTCATACACTTGTCCAAACCGTTCCGCAGCTGCTGCAGAAGAAGCTGGCGGAGTTGCAGTTAAGCTCAGTTTTGTAGCAGCTGAACAGCCGCTAACGGTTGGAAAAGCCAGGCGGAGTGGTCAACTGTAATTTCATTTCGTCCATTACTGATATTTTTGCATTTACTGTGCGTTACAGTACCAACCAAAACAGATGCTCTCTTATAAGGGAGAGCGAGTGACATATACTACACTTACAGATTGGCTACCATAAACAAGCGCACTTACAATAAATAAAATAAACAACAACTAAAATAAAATCAAAAAGATAATCTCTCCCAATTACACCAATTCCATAAACCACTTTACTTCTTAGCTGCCCCCCTTCCAAGTTTAGCAGCGCCTTCCAACCCCCCGAAAAACAGGGCACTTCCGTCCGCCTCCAAAAAGTCAAAAAATCTATCCAGTCAACTGCCGCCCTGCCGCCCACGTTGCTGTGTCCAAGTACATAAACAAGGTCCCGGGCAGCTTTCTTCACACCCTCTTCTCGTTCCTGTTCGCTTCCCCCTCTTTCTCTTCTGCTTTCTCCAAATAAAATTCCCTCCAAATCATTCCCATTCATCTCCAATTCCCACGCTTTTCTACTCCATCACCATGTCCAAGTCTCGCATGCCCTTGATCCTCGGCCTCGGTGCCGCTGGTGGTATTGGCTACTACCTCTACAACTCTGGTGGCAACGCCCAGGCTGCTGAGAAGAAGTTTGAGAGTAAGTCCTTTTTTGTTGCTCTCGTGCAGATGCCCAAAGCGCGCATCGTCCCCTCGAGAATCGATAGAGAACCCCTCAACTAACAACCAACTGTGTAGGCGACGTCCACAAGGCCTCTGCTAGCATCAAGTCTCACCTGCCCACCGGCAAAGACATCAAGGGCGCCGGCGCCGAGGCTGGTGCCAAGTTCGACAAGGCCATCGCCGAGGGCGAGAAGCAGCTCAACCAAGCTCGCAGCTCTGCCGAGAGCTACGTTAAGGGCGCCCAGGCCGAGGCTCTCAAGGCCGTCGACAAGTTCGACCAGAAGGTCGAGGAGGGCAGCGCAAAGGCCAAGAGCTCCATCACCAGCTGGTTCAGCTCTGGTAACAAATAGAAGCCAGACTCCTGACTTTCTCTAACTTGCCTCAACGCGGTTCCCAATTGACCGCGTTTGTGGCAGCTGTCATTTTGGCGTTTACGACGTTTCCGACTTTTGTTTCTACTTCACGAACGAGTATGTCCTTGCGCAGCTCTAATCATCCACCTTTGTAAGGTGGATTTGTGTGTTTTTATTCTTCGTGGCTATTAAAAATAACACATTCTTCTAATTCTTCTCAATCACGGGTGCTCCGCAAAACGTTGTGTTTGACTCTTTTCATGTTATGCCTTTCGATGGATCTACTAACTTACACCGAAAAGGTACTACTACTGCTGCATGCTAAATAACATCGCCAGGCCGACTTCTCCCGACAGACACTCCAGAATTGAAACCAAAAATACAAAGAACGCTCAAATAATACAAAATGGCTCCCTCTTTTTTAACAGAAAATTACTGCTCCAGCTCAGCGGCGACAAGCTTCAAAATCTCTTCCACACCAAGGCTAGCGTTGCACGGGTTTTTATTGATCGACGCCCAAACTTCGCCGTGTTTAGGCTCGTTCGATACACACTTGGAAACAACATCGGCCCGTTTCTCGTCAGTTCCATGCTGCAGCAGGAACTTGTAGTACCAGGCCCACGAGTCGCCCATGTCGGGATCCAAAACGAGCGCCTTCTCGAACCAGTTTTGCGCCTTATCAAGCTTACGATCGGCCCAGAAGATTCGCGCCACGGCCACAAACAGGCCCGCATCGTTGTCCACCTTCTTGATGGCCTCCAAACTGCGCGGCTTGCGCTGTGTACGGGGCTCCAGGTGCCAGATCTGCTCAACCCACAGCAAGCCGCTCTTGGGCACGTCTTGCTGGGCCCTTGCCATCAGCGCCTTGGCCTGTGCTGCGTTGCCTGCGCGGCGCTCTAGGCGCACCGATTCCACCCACAGCTCGGCATTCTTGGGCACGGCCAGACGAGCACGATCCAATACCGAACGAGCCTTGACAATGAGCCCATTTCTTTCCTCCAAGCGCGCGTAGAGTAGCCAAAGCGCAACTGATGAAGGCGCAGCTTTGACGCCAGAAGCATAGGCATCTCTCGCCTGTCCAGTCTTTTCCATGTCCTCGTAGATTTGTCCCTTGAGCATCCAGAGCTTGGCCGCATTCGGGAAGAGCTGTAGCGCCTGTAGAACCAGATCCAAGGCCATTTCACTAGTGCCGTGCACACGTTCAAATACAACACTCTTCATCCAGACACGGTCCGTAGGCGCCTGCTCCCGTGCAATCGCTAGCAGCTCCCGTGCTCGGTCAATGTTGCCGCTTTCCGACTCGAGCTTAACGGCTGACAGCCAGATATCTTCATTGTTAGGGTTTTGGTTAAAGGCTCTCTTCAGAACCAGTCGAGCATTATCCACCTCGCCGGCCTGCCACTTTTCCTTGGCCAGCATCATCCACAGGTCATCGCTCTTCGGGCATGCTTCAACAGCCTTTTCAAGCACCTGCCATAGTGCTTCTCTTGTGTTGTGGTTTCTTTCAAGATCGGCTGCAGCCAGCCATGTTGTCTTGCTGTTTGTAAATACACGCAGAGCGTAGGCGTAGATGGCTCGCGCTGTTTCGTATTTGCCGCGGTTGATACTTCCTCTGGCGTCGTCCATCCATGTTTCTTTGCGATCGTCGTCCTCGTCCAGACCCCATCCAAGGGTTTCTCGAATAATATTTTCACAAGTAATAACAGCTCCATCCTCCTCACACTTCTCGGCTTCGGTGATCCAGTCTTCGCGCTTGGGCATGGCTGATTCCTTGACCAGGACTTGGACTGCGCGCTTCATGACGCTAAACTCGGCTGCCTTGCCAAGTTGTTCCTGCAAACGGGCCGCAGCAATCCAAATCTCGTGCGACGTAGGAACGGCTTTTCGCGCCTTGTTGAGGACTTTTTGTGCGTTTTCGGGTGTCTCCAGACGAGCCAGGGCAAGCCAGAGGTCGATAGAAAGTGGGATAAGCTCAGTAGCCTTTGCAAGCATGAGTCTTGCGTCTTCGTGATTCTCCTCCAAGTTGACAGCTTCTTTCCACAGAGCTTCTGATTCGGGAACGTGATCCAGGGCTTGTCGGATAACGCGCTTCTTGTTGTTAGGGAGATGCTCCAGACGCATAGCTTCTACCCAGAGCTTGACGGATCGACTGTTTGCCTCAATAGCCCGTCGGGCAATAATCTTGGCATTGTTGGATTCGTGGTTAAGTCGGATGTTCTCCAACCAGGCATCTTCACTCTTTGGACATCTCTGACAACCCTGGTCAATAGTTTTCCTAGCTGCACCAATCTTGCCAGCCAGTTCTTCTAGACGGGCTGCGGCAATCCATCCAAGCGCATTGTTCGGGTTCGTCTTGACAACTGATTGTAGAAGTTCTCGTACACGGTTGATGTCGCCAACCTGCGCTTGCGACTCGTTCATCTGCATCTTATTGAGATTCGTAATGTAGCCTTGCGGATCGATGCTTGTTGCGCTTCCGCTGACCGCATCGCCAGAGCTTTGTGACGCTTGCTCCAGCCTCGACTTGAGAACCTTGTCACGAGCAGCACCAATATCTGCAAAGTTGGTCATGGTCCCGTCCTTGGAGTCGCCGTTGCTCGAGGCCATGCCGTCGTCTGCCACCGTCGTGCCCATTTCGCCAGCATCTCTGGCCGCCGCCAGGACGCTATCCGGAACTGCATAGAATCTCTCTCGCAGCGCCTGCTTGCTTCGGCGGTTTTTGCCTGTGAGATCACCAACTTCAGGGAGGTTGGCCCATTCATCGTCGGAAACTGTCGCAAGGGCGCGCTTCAGATCAGTGAACTGCTGCTGGATTTTCGGGTTGTTTCGTTCGTATTCGTCTCGCTCGGCTTGTTCACGCGCTTCTCGTTGCTTCTTTCGTCGATCCATGCGCTCGTCAACCCATTCCCAAATCTTGTCGGCCTCCTCATCGTCCTTGTCGTAAACGCTGCCGGCGAAGAGACCGACCTCGTTGTCGGGATCCTGGTAGCGCTCATCGTCTCCGTCATCTTCTTCCTCTTTGCCCTTCTTTCCATCAATGGCAATGCCAGCTTTGGCGGCACGCTTTGCCAACTCCTCCTTGATCTGTTCGTCGCTGGGACCATCGCGCGCCGGTCCAAGATCCGATCGCGTGGTGAACCCAGTTGCGCCACGACCGAGACCAGCGACGTAATTTTCCGGTGCCGGTTGGCTTAAGAAATCCCGTCGGCCTGACATAGCTCAATGGGCCTGTGGCAACAAAGGAGAGGCGAATTATGGTGATGATTGAAGGTAGTAAGTGGTAGCTTTCAGGCATCAGGCGATAAACATCTAGCCTAGAAAAAGCGGGTACAAAGCGTTGGAGCCGGGTGTCAAAAAGGGTGGCAACGTATGCCCATACACATGCAAAATCCACACCATGCTGGTATAAAATATCCACATGCCTTAGGCTTATCGATAGTCTAGACGCAAAAAAAAGTCTCCCGCCGTAACCACCCCTCCATCCGCCAGTTGATTCAACTCTACTCACAACGAATAAATCAATCATGGCCAAGATCAAGACACCCAAGCGAAACGGAGGTGGCTCGAACGCTCCCTACGAGCGCAAGGGAGGCGGTGCCCCCGGTGCCGGCTCAGCGAAAAACAACGTATTCAAATTCAACACAGGCTTCGGCCAGCACATTCTCAAGAACCCCGGTGTATCAGACGCCATTGTCGAAAAGGCGTACCTGAAGCCCACGGATACCGTTCTGGAAGTCGGCCCCGGTACCGGCAACTTGACAGTCCGAATCTTGGAGCGCGCCAAAAAGTGCATCTGCGTGGAACTCGATCCCAGAATGGCGGCGGAAGTGACAAAGCGTGTACAGGGAAAGCCTGAGCAGCGTAAACTCGAAGTACTGCTCGGCGATGTAATCAAGACGGAGCTGCCAGCATTCGACGTCTGCATTTCAAACACACCGTACCAGATTTCAAGTCCTCTGGTCTTCAAGCTGCTCGCCATGCCGAATCCACCCCGCGTCTCTGTTCTCATGTTCCAGAGAGAATTTGCGCTCCGCCTCACAGCCCGCCCCGGCGATACCCTCTACTGCCGTCTCTCAGTAAACGCACAGTTCTGGGCCAAGATTACACACATTATGAAGGTCGGCAAGAACAACTTCCGCCCTCCTCCCCAAGTCGAATCGTCCGTCGTCCGCATCGAGCCCAAGATGGGCAAGGACCGCCCCAACGTCAGCTGGGACGAGTGGGATGGCCTTCTGCGAGTCTGCTTTGTCCGCAAGAACAAGACGCTGCGTGCAAGCTGGCTGGGAACAAAGGAAGTGCTTGCCATGGTGGAGCGCAATTACCGAACATGGTGTGCCATGAACGGTGTAGCTGTCGACGAGTCTGTTGTCGAGGATGGCCAGGATGACGACGGTATGGACGATGTGGACGGCGAGGAGGAGGAAGTGGGCGGTGGCGACGATATGGATATGGATATGGAAGACGATGATACCCCAGCATTTTTCAAAGAGACCAGCGCTTCGACAATACCAAAGACGAAAAGCAAGAAGAAGAAGACAAAGGTGGCCGAGCTGGTTCGCGAAAAGATCCGCAAGGTTCTCGAAGACGTTACCGAGTTGGCTGACAAGCGAGCTGGCAAGTGTGATGAAAACGATTTCCTACGACTGCTTTTTGCCTTTAATGAGGAGGGTATTCATTTTTCATAGAAGCGGTGCATTCAACCATATGGCGAAAAGCGCATGCATTTCCACTATAGTTACGTTAGTTACGAAAGCCAGTTAAGACGTCACTTTTACAAAAGTCATATATGTTAATATTTCTAAAGTGTTCACGCTGCGAGCAAATCAAGAGCCTTCGCTTAATGCTATATTATGGTATCGTATGTATGGCAGGCTTTAAAACCTGGCGCTATGCTATCTTCAACAAACTTGCTTTGAGTTGACCAGCTCGTCTTCCATCACAGTTACAGTAGCTTGCGGTTGCTACCATATCATATTAGAAAATATTGTGTCCCAACAGCATCGCAATGTGTGATATGTTTATCCATGCGCTTTTTCTTCTTTTTTTCTTTGTCATGCATTTCATGTGTCATTAAGGCGTTACAATTACAAAAGACTACTGGAGTTGCCTCCCAAGTACTCTCATGTCTTCTTCACCAGGTAAACCTCTAATATACTAGATGTCTGTCCTAGTCTCTGTGTAATACTTTCAAGCAAACGTTGCTGTCCCGACATGGGCCAGGCAGACGTTACATTGCTGTTTGGCGTTCGTCATAGCGGGTCGTAACGCAAACAAAGGAAATATGGGTATGACCATTGGCTTACGCAGCGAGGTATTAGCTGCGAAGCTAATGCCAGTTTATGAGGCTGGCTCGGTCTGGTTTGGCTTTTTAACGGGATCATTGGCCGAGTTGGGTTTGACTTTTGTTCGCCCAGAAACGGTTGCGCTGCGGACACGGGCACTCAATGGGAGACTGTACTTGACAACACCCTTGATAATGAGATCAAAGTTGTTTTGATAAATCTTCTCCCAGCGTGCTGCGCCACCAGCCGTTCCGTTTCCAGGATATGGTAGTTTCATTCCGCCAGTATCAGTCGACATGCCTTGCTGGAATAGTGATCCGCCAAAGGTTAGGGGGCTGTCAAACTCGGTGATGCGGCCTAGCAGAATGTTTGGTCTGTCGTCGGCCTTGGCTGATACCACAGCAGCGTCATTACCATCTCCAGGGCCATCAGGGCTGCTCCACCAGTCTCTATCAGTACCAGCGTGGTCCGACTTGGCGAAAATCTCCAAATCTGTCTGATCTATAGTTACGAGAACTATATTCGGGTTGTGGGCTTTGATTGTCACATCAAACATGAGAACCTGTTCACTAGTGACCACGTTGTCAATAGAGACGATTTCAATATTGCTCATGGGCTGCGAGGTGGCAAACATGAATCCAATGGCGCCAGTAATGACAAGGAGAAACATCATGGTCAGGACAAGACAAGCTGCGAATCGGTTCAAGTAAGAGGATCGACGAGTATATGTCTGCGACTCAGCTTGACGCAAGTTGTGCGGCCCTCGTCGTCGGCCAGACCGCCGGGTAGAGTTCATTAGTGGCGTGCGTTCGTCGTCAGCACCACCAGCCTCTTCCATGTCGTAGATAGATGACATCTGTAGAGCAGATCTCTTTGTTGACAGACCACGAGGGGAGGTATGATTGCGTGGGCTTGTAGCGCCCGAGTTCTTGACATGTCCATTGAGCTTAGAGCGGGATGCTGTCGAAAAAGGAGACTCATTATCGAAAATTGAAGCGTGTCCGTTGCCAGGCTGTCGACCCCAGCGGCCAATGTGGTGATGGTGTCGTGTCGTGCCACGACCAGAGCCTCCTGCACTTCGCCCAGTGCCCTTGCCGTCCTCATCGCCAGTAGTAAGGCCGTCAGTGCCGGAGCCGTTGAAGGTATTGACGAACTTCATGCTCTTCTTGGGCACCGGTCCGTGACCTTCTAGAACGCCGTATATGGATCGAGAGTCTTGACGGCCGGCTTGACTGGCCATGGAGGTTGCGCTAGGTGTTCGAGAGTGGAAGCGGCGAGCGGAGCGGTCGCCCGCATCGGGCGGGTTCGAGTCGTAGACAAATGTCTCTTCAGAGTCAGACGTGTTGGCTTCATCGACGGCACTTGCAATTTTGGCTTCAAAGATGTCAGCCTTGGAGGAGCCGGTGGCGTTGCTGACACTGGCTTGTTTGCGCGTCGACTTTTTCTTATCCTTGCGGGGTCGAATTGTCTCTGTACTTTGTTTGGCTTTCAAAGTTCCGTTTGTGTTGTCACCCTTGTTTCCTGTATTCAGCGCAACCTGAGGAATGCTCACAACTGTCTCTGTTTCGACAGTCATATTCTGCGTTGAGCCCTCGGGTTTTGCCTTCTGCTTCGTCGACAGGCTGCTAGACTGGCGGGGCATCGGCGGCGGAACCGAGGTTGTTCGCCTAGATTCAGCTCGGTTTACGCTGCTGTCGCTACCGCTTTCATTGCTGGTAGGGCTTGGGCGCGATCGGACGTTTCGCCCACCATCGCTCATGGCGCCATCAGATTGGCTAGATTGTTCTGGCAGGACCAACTTTTCCTTGACCTTTTCCAAGAGACCTACATCCCGTCCGGGAGTAGCGACTTCTTGAACGGTTTCCAGCGCGGAGCGTACGGGGGTTCTCGTTCCGGAATTTTCTGTGTTGGTGTCTTCGCTGCTCTTTTCCGACGTTATTGGGGTGCTATCCGCAGGTTGAGGAGCTGGACTGGCTTGCTGTATGTTGATAGCTGGTGGTTCAGTATCCGCGGCAGGTCTCGGGGTTGCTGGATCCGAGCGACTTGGTTGTGGAGGAGGAGAGCGAAGACGAGGTGACACGGGCCAACGAGCACCATCCCTAGCATCGATTGAAACTGCCGTCTTATGTGGCGTTGCGGTCGGCGTCGGTTGCTCTTGTTTAGCTGGTGGTAATGAAGGTGTTCCAGAGCTGGATAGGCTTCTGGCCGCGGCAGTATAACTGGGTATTTGAGATCTTGAGGGTCGCGTTGGGCTCAGGTCTTGCTGACTGTTGGTGCGAGAGCGGGTGCCGCGAAGGCGACTTGATGAGGAAGCTTTTCGTGGATATCGGATGGGTGAGGCTGTTCGGGTGACTTCTGAAGTCGCTGCCGACTGGGCGGCTAGTGATGGTGACTGTTTGGGTGTAGCGGCTCCATTCATGACGCTGATGGCAGTTGCTGTCGGCTTCGGGTCGGCGCTGGCGTTGGGCGCCGCTTCTGCGGCCTTAACGCCGTTGGTAGCTGTTGATTGCGAAGCCATCGATCCGTAGAGATGAGGGTAGTCTGTTGAGGAAAGGCGTGGGAGGAGCAGGCGCGGCTACCTGATCGCAGGAAACTAATGACTACTGGTACAACAGTGTGTAGGCTGTATTTTCATTGTGGTTGGGGCGATACAGGGTAAGCGTCTAGATTTCGCGAGGTTGAATATAGTATTCGATATTAAATCCTTCCACACAACTTGGGTTGACTTCCGTTGTTGTTCGTGTTGAAAGGATCAAATGCGCCGAGTGGTTTTGTGGTAGATTTGGTGGACAAGCTGGTGACGATGGTCGCGATGCGGTATCGGGCATATAAGGTGAGCTCAAACGTCGATATTCCTCTTGTATTGTAAATTTCTGGCAATGGAACCCGGTATTGAGAATAGTCTGGAGAGTTGTTGGGGGAGAAAGCTGCAGTTTGAAGACACCAGCGCAGGCAAGGAACCGGGTGGGCAGTCGTGTGAGGTCAGCGCCAGTGACGAGACAACGCAAGCAGCCAGGGCACAGTGTCCGCCGTGCGAGTTAGACGGTATTTGTTGAAACGAGACGAGCGATGGCGCGTGATATGAAACGTACGCACGCAGCGCAGAAAAACAAAGGCCGACTGTGTTTTTGGTGGATGTGTAGGAAGACGACAAGAGGAAGAAGAGGCGGAAACTGGTGTGTGGCATATACAAGAGTAATGCAGACCGCAGACGAGGAGAACAAGGGAAAACAAGCTCAAGCGGCCAGTCAGTGGGAGTGGGACGGGCAGCGCAGTGCGGTTCAGTGCAGCCAGGATTTTGGGAGGTGGGCAATGGCGGGTAGCTGCAAAAACGCACAGTGGAAGAAACTAGAAAAAACACAGCGCGAGTCTCGGTCCCTAGGCCCTGCAGTAGGCGTCATCCGAGCGCCCCGGAGAACCAGGAAGTGGGAAGAGGACCCAACAGAAAAAGGCGACTCAGGCGTGCGGCGCGGGTTTACAGGGAACTGCGAACAGGGCATGGGGGGCGAGGGCCACGACTGGAAGGGGGGGGACAGCGCAACAGCCGGAGCACAGGCAAAAAAAATAAAAGACATGTAACTGTGTGGTTCACGCTGGTGGGCGGGTACTTCTCTCTGACTTTGCTACGCCAAGTCGCAAGTGGCACAGTGCGGGCAAGGCAGTCTGCATTTAGACAGGCCAGGGCGTGGTGGGTGCTGGTATGGCTGGGTGGTGCTGTAATAGATGGGTTGCCAGAAACAGGGCACAGTGGCTTAGCGTCTTGGGCCGGCAGCCAGACGCGGATAGAAGTGTAGCAGAAAGGTTCCCTATACCCACAGAGTGGTAGGTCTTATAGTGGGGGCACAGGTATTCGCTACACATCAGGTTCAAAATGGCACATGGGACAACAGAAAGGGAGACGAGCCAGCCAGTGAGTGCGTGGTGGGTGGTATTGCTGCCAAATGGCCTGGAATTCTGGCGGTTCTCATTTCTCTATTGTCGTCGTGTAATTTCACAAAAGGCAAGTTTGGTTTATTACTCTGTAGAGTACGTCACCTTGTATTTACTGTACATAGACTTACTGTTACCATGGTCACTCTGCTCCTCCTTACCGGCCCATGGCCTGCTTTCGGCTCTTGGTGCTGCTGTTGCTGCACAGTGCGTAAGCTGCACAGGTCCGCCGCGGCTCCCCTCTAACTGCTAAAAAAAAGTCGTTGACGTGCACAGTCTCGCCCCCCAGGGCTTTCCAACCAGCACGCTGCACTGATTGCACAGCAAAGGACAACGCAAGCAAGGCCCTATAAAAATACGGAAACGTAAAACAACAATAAACAAGGCACCCATCAGACCCAGCCTACAGTACATACGGTCTACCCTCTTCTCCTTATTCCAAACCCGATACCCTCGACAAGCAAGGATTCTGTCATCGGCCATAAACAACAAAGAGATGTTCACATGACTGGCCAACCATCCATCCATCTCATTGCCGTCTTCCGCGCCCCAAAAACCTTGTCGCCCGCTAAATTAATAGGCACCGGAGTTGCTTGTTCCCCCATATTTTGTTGGGCCCCCGTTCACTGACGCAGCGGGCTCGGTAGTGTGTCTACAGGGGAGGGGAAACACCACCTAGCACGCCCCAAACAAGCTCCGCCTACAGCGGCCCCTCACCCTTTTACAGGGGGCCCTTTGTACCGAGCAGCAGGAACTCCATTCAAAATATAGGTAAGCTTCTTAGGCTGACCCGGCAGCGCGGAACGACCCCTCCAGCATCCGGCAAAGGCCAGTCTTACATTGTTTAGCCCAGTCTTACCAACGCTAGCTCCACATCGCCCTTTGACAACCCAACACATTGCATTCTTTGCTTTCTTCTGCTGCTTCGGGCCGCCGCGACAGAAGAAAAATCATGGCTCAGCAGCCGTTTATGTGGCAGATATATCAGCTACGGCATACAGAGTAGATCCATCGCCACAACTTGCGTTGGCAGTCGCTCACCACCACCGCCACACGCGAGGGAGAAACGCCCAGCCCACTGCGAAGAAGAGTCCCAAATGTCAAGCCTTACCGCCTGGGGTGGTGGTGGCACACAGGCATTAGTGCGAGCCGTTTACCCCGGTTTTGGAAGTCGACGGGAAGGGCTCTAGCACGAATACGGTCACGCCCGCATTTGCTTCTTTGCAGTAAGTTAGTACAACTCTCTGGTAGCTAAATGGGCAGACGTGTAATCGACTGTGTCTATGACGCCTATGAGCTTTAAAAACAAGGCCAACTTAAGTCGAGTGACAAAACCGCAACACGCACCGTCCACGTCGGTACTGTATGCTCTAGTTGGCCGACATAGCCCTCAGCATAATAGCCTTTTGCTGCAACGGCAACGTTGCCCGATGTATCGGCGTTAAATTGCGAAATAGTCGAGCAACCAGTCTCTACGTCCTGACCGACGTTTCAGTTCCAGACCAAGTTAGGCTCGCATGCTACCAGGCCTTCGCTATGAACCCGAGTGACGTCGCAGAAGGGCTGATCCGGGCCTCGTCTGGCCAATTGCTACCACTACTAAAGCCTTGGGCCGACGCGCGGAAGCCCTTCCGGTAGTAGCCCATCTCAATGAAATGAACCCCGAGGTACACGGTGCCTGTCCCGTACCAAGTTGATGTTTAGCTCCTAATGAGTCTTCAAATTGCTCTTCTCCAATCTTCGCATCATATGTGTGGCTTGGACTATCATAGATGCAACGTTGGGCACCATCGAGCGCGACGGGAAAGCGGATGCATCATCACCATCATCGAGATCGGCACCTTGCAAAGTTCCGCCGCGCCGCCGAGAAGGCACAAATTCCCAAAACAGCAGCAGGCTCTCCTGGCGGACGGGATGCCTACTGCTGCTACAGTAGCTGCAGTATTCCTTCGGCAGAGCAGCAGGATTGGGGTCGGGCCACGTGAAAGAGCCGGCATCGAAAAGGCGCACGCAAATGCAAATGCGAGAGCGCCACAGCCTGCGCAGGCTTGGACAACGAACCCGCCACACTTTGGCCTCTCACAGAGCGACACGACGGCCACTGGCCTTGTCTTGTGGAACAGCTGCAAAGCAGCGTTTCTAGTCTCCGTCTTCCTTCCCACCGCCTGGAACCTTGGGTTGCGACTGTTGTGGCAAGTGGCTGTGGCACATTTACCAGCCTGACGCGTCCACTGATGCCAACACAACATTCGATGTTGCTGCGACCAAGGACTAGGTCGCCCCTGTCTCGGCTTGTCTATCAAAATTATGTTGCTGCTGCTGCTGCTGTTACGGGTGAGATTTGTGCTTCGCCGATGTCGCGGATAGAACCCTCCGAGACGTGAGACTCTGACAGGTGGTTTTACTCCCATGCAGACTCTCATGCTCGCTTAGTACCGATTACTGTATTCTTGTTCCTGATCTCGCCTGCGTCCAGAGGTCTGCAACACCTTTTCACGTTGGGCATCCAGCGTATACACTGTATCCGGCATGGCATGCTGCAGTCGCTTCCCGCCCTTCCCACTGTAGCTATGCCAAGCTTATCTTATTCGCTTCGTAAAACCAACCCGCCATGCCAGGGGCAATGGCATGTCGTCGGTGGTACCTTGGGCGTGTTTGTACTGGACATTTTGAAGGTCCACATACACTATTCCAGAGAACAACAGCGACGACGTTACAGATGGTAGCAGCAAAAAAAAAAGGCAAGTAGCCGCGCGTCTAGGTTTTAGAAAGTACTTCTATTCGTAGAATTTTTGTAGAAAGATTTCATCTACCTCTGCCTATTTTGGTATAGACCGTGACTTCTTCTTTACAACAGCATTTCAACTTTAGTCCTCGCTCTTACCCTATATGAGAAATCTGCATGAATCCCAACCACCTTGACGAGATAAATGATAAAGAATATGTAAATTTTAAACTTCTAAATGAATATCTTCGTTAAGCAGAATTTGGACAAAATAAACAGCGCCATATTATGTTTGTACTTGTACTGATGAACCACGGCTATTCAATTATGCTAAGCCCAACACTCTGGGGCTTCTTGAGAAGACGACGTTCTATGAGATGCCATTATTATAACAAAATACGCTGGAATGTAAGACGCCGGCGGGGAAAAATGTACTCGATTTCTATGTCCATTGATTGTATCATTCCTTTACACGTATTGTGCCACGTCGTCGCCTCTGACAGCAACGGCGACACCATTAGCAAAATGCCCGACTAGCCCATGTATTCCTTCGTCTCGTTTCCCATTATCATATCGTAAATAAGTGACAATACTCCAAAACAGTAAACTCCCGTCCAATGAATACGCAATTCTGTAAAACACAATGGATTGCACAGTCCGCCAACCTTGCGCCAAACATATAATGTCCAAAAGTGTGTATCGAACCGCTGGCTACAGATGAAAGACTCGACAAAAAAGATCCGCCATCGATTGTGCCAGGGGATCTACTCTCGCTATTCCGGATCTTAAGGACATTCAATAGTGCCAAACCCAGTGTAGATGAGGCTGACCTCGAGAAATCATATTTTCAGGAGAGAAGCACCTGGTGCTACACATAAGTTTCCGTCGTACGGTTGAATGCCGAGTAGTCAACTCCGAAGCCAGGATGCCCTCCCTCAATTTCCACTTCACTCGGGAATAGGGTTGCTGCTTGGGGGTGCAGCGTCATCCTTCTTGGCCGCCCAGTTGGAGGTCCAGCCGGTATACCAGCTCGCACGCTTGTTGTCCTTGACAGCATCTGGGTTTTCTTGCACAAGTCTAAGAGGGCGAGGCTTACCGCCCGCAAAGGTCTTGTGCTTATCGCTCTGGGAACGAGGCGGCGATTGTGAGGGTGGTGTTGTGATTTCACCAGAGTCACCGCTAATGCTAGAAGTTTCGCTGCGTACTCCAGGGAAGTTACCCGATGAAGATGGCGCAGCGCTGCCGGAGCTGGGTACGCGCGACTGAGTGCCGCCAGAAACGCTGCTGGGAGCAAAGAAACCCTGCGAGTGGCGCTGGCTACCAATAGTAGGCGAAGCAGGGACGTCTGAGCCTCTATACATCTGGCTCACAAGACTTGAGCCACCAACAATCTGTTCACTTTGTGGTCTGGATCTTCTCACACTGTTAGTGCGGTTGAAGTTGCCAATCGGAATGCTGGGAGCACGCTCTGGGTCCGTGTGCGCCGAGTTGCTAGACGGGGTCTGGATGATGGACATGGGGCGTGCGCGCTTTGTGGGCGAGGAGGTGGCTCCAGCTGCTGTGTTGGCAGTCATGGCCTTTGCCTTTTGAAGGAGGCCGTTAATAGCGGGAATGGCCATTTCCTTGTTTGGGTCTGCGGGAGTAGTAGGCTTTGAGTCGCCGGTTTCGTGAAGGATAGACTCAAAGTCCTGGTGCTGCAGCAAGCGTCCGATGATCTTGTTAATATACAATGTAAGCGCCTTGTTTTGCTCCTTCATGGACTGAAGTTCCATTTCGACCTGTCTATCGCCATCACGCGCTGTCTCGACGGCATCGGCGTCGGACAGTTCATCTGCCAGCGAGGATGATGGGCCCTTGCCTTCGAGCGCATTCAGGGCGTCCTGGTTGACACTCGTGCTCATATAGCTGAAGTCATTCTGGCCAAGGTCACCCTTAAGAGTCCTTTCTTTGAGAAGCAGCTGGTAGCTCTCGTTGTCCTCCAGTAGCCTGGCGTTGGCCATGCGGGTTTCCATGAGCAGGCGCTCGACTTCCTGGAGACGGCCTCCGCCTTGGTTTTCCGATTCCACCAGCTTGATCTGAGCCTCAGCAAGCTCTAAGCGAAGGGATTCGATAAGTTTGTCTTTTTGCAATATCAACTTGGAGCTGCTGCGAGAATCGCTTCTGTTGAGGGATGAAGGAGGTGCAAAGTTTCCGTCCAAGGCGGGTGAAGCGCTCAGCTGCCGTGAGGGGCGATCACCATCCTCAGCGCTGCGCTGCGCAAGACTGTCTTTGAGGCGTTGGATGATGGCCTGCATCTCTTCTTCCCTATTTGCCATCTCCTCCTTCTCCTTTAGGATGGAGCCTCTCTCGGCTTCATAGATGGTTTCCATTTCTCGTATCTGACGTGAGGATTCGCGTTTCTCGTTGTTTAGAGCCTCTACCTGTTCCTCGAATTCATGTACCTTCTCTTCCAGTTTGGCTGACTCCTTTACGGCATCGTCAAACTTGGACTGCAAAACGTCGATTTGTTTTTGTAGTTGTTCGGATTGTCTCTCCTCCTTTTCAAGCCTCTGCTGTAAATCTTCCACGGCAGCGGTAGCCTCAGCTCTGGCATCAGCGTCCGCATTGCCTAAGCCGGCGCCATCTCGTCTCGCAGCAGCAGCGCGGGCAGAGACTGGCGTACCAGATCGTACGGATCGAGTGCGAGTATGACCGTTTGGTGTTGTTGAGGCAGCAGAGGATGCTGGTGTTCGGGCGGTGCGTGAAGGCGATGCATCAACTCCAGCTGGCCTAGCAGCACCAGTTGATGGTGGTTTCTTTGCGACTGTCGACATGTCCACGGAGTCAGAGTCGCCTTGACCGGGTTAATGGTTGTCTTGAAGATGGGGCGGTCAGCGTTGGAGCGGGGGACTCAGTTGAGCATAAGACGCAAAGCAATAACGGATGATGGGCGCAATACTGGTTGGAATATGTAATGCCAGATGTGTTGGATAGTAGAGCGCAATATGAAACGGTTGTTGATAGAAAGGAAAATAGGAGGGACAACAAATGCAAGACAATGTCCCGGATGCCGTTTGGGGGCCCCTTGTCTCCACACCAACGTATCGGGGGGAGCGCCCAGAAGGTCTACTCCAACTTTTTAGCGGGCGGCAAATTAGGTGAAGAATACTCCTTTGCAGTATTACTATTAGCTTGCACGTCGTCCACTCCAGCCGAAACGTGGTCGAATCTACAAGGTTATGATGCGGCTGGGGTTAATTAATTAATTTTTAATTTTTTCCCGCCTTCTTCCATTAACTCGATTTATGTATCGCCCTTGAAACCAGCCTAACATCTGAATCGTATAGGGCAGAGGCAGTGAATTCTCGAACCGAGCCAAAACTCTATTTCACGTGCTCTGTCTCATGCAAGCGGTCCCAAGCGCTGTCGTTGTTCGGACACTTGTGCTTGCAGTCACGTTCCGATGCAGCAAGTATGCAAGTATGATTACTACGCAAACTCGTATACGAGTGTCAGGGACAGCCCATTACTTGTGTGAAACCAACACCAGCTGGCCCTGGAATACTCCGAGCAGGGATTACTATCTCTTCAAGTCACAATATATTGTACAAGTTATGTCATAGCAGGAAGCCAACGTCTTGAGCTGTATTGTTTTCATTGAGATGTCTATCTCTGCGCCTGTTACTTAGGCAGCAGTAGGAAGATTTCGATCATTGATCGAGGACTGTATTGCGCGGGCTTCAAAGGAGCCATCACGCCGCGTCCTGTGGCAAGATTTCATGTCATCACATTGATTGGTATATGTTCATTTGTCTCACATGCCCGTGACCCGAGTTACCCCCAACGCCTTGAAAAAAAATAAGGATGCACTTTTTAGGTGGGCATTTAAGCCTGCTGGTCGCTGAGGATATCGGAGTCACCGGCATCGAGGATAGCCATGGTAGAGCAGCGGAAGAGCTTACCACAGGCGGTACCGAGCTCAATCTGTACGAGAAAATACGAGTAAGCATATGAACCCTCCAAAGTCAAGATAGACTTCTTCGCTGGGCAGAGCACGAGAAGATTGTTGGCTTCTCGGCTCAACTACAGCACCTGAGAAGCAGATGAGAGACATTCCAGGGCCGCGCTTCTACGCACACAGTGTGTGTGCTTCCACGCAGCCTCATCCTGTCGCTACGGATAGAGGAGATTTGGAACTTACGTTGTTGCCAGTGAAGTGGTGGATGGGGGCCTTGGACAACATGCTGTAGTACTCGAGCTCACTCTTGCGGAGAGGAGGAGTGTTACCAGCGATGATGATCAGCTTGGCCTTGCCGGAACGAAGGCTCTTGAGCGTAGACTTGTAACCAAGAGTGACTGTAGAGATTTGTTAGTGATCTTTCGACTGCAATTAGGACCAGGAACAATTCCTTACCCTTGCCGGACTTCATAACAAGCGCCAACTTGGAGTTGATGCTGTTGGCATCCTTCTTGCTCTTCTTAACGGGGGCCATTTTGTCGATTGTTTGCTACTTCGTGAAGATGGTTAACTAAGAGGAGTCTTTCAGATTTCCGATGCCAAAAAGTTTCCAATGTATTTTCGCACCTTGACCCACGAGAGTGGGTGGGGCAGGGCTCGCGCCCCTCCACCAATCATGTTCACGACACAATGGAGCGAGCCCTAAAGAGCCGGTGTTTAAGCGATAAGACTCACCACCGAACGGGATTACCAAGCCTGCTTTGAAATCAAAGTGGTGCGTCTATAGGCAGCCAGGCGACTTTTGCACCTTTTTTGGCGGAAGACCACTTCGTTTCCTAAACCATCACCAAGTCAACAACAACGAAAAATCCGTCAAGATGGCTCGTCGTCCCGCCCGTTGCTACCGTTACTGCAAGAACAAGGTAAGAATTAAATCTACGCAAAATTTCTATTTTCGACGACAGTTCTACGACATCGAACGAGCGGAGGAGGAATCAACATGAATATGGTGGCGATATGCCCTTTTTTCTCTCCGACGCTCGACCTACGAACTGATGAAGACGATGCAAAATTGCTACCGGAAACAGGATGACAGAGTACTAACTCGCCGTTCTTTTAGCCGTACCCCAAGTCGCGCTTCAACCGTGGTGTCCCCGACCCCAAGATCCGTATCTTCGATCTTGGCCGCAAGAAGGCTGCCGTCGACGACTTCCCTCTCTGCATTCACCTCGTCTCCAACGAGTATGAGCAGCTGAGCTCCGAGGCCCTCGAAGCCGCCCGTATTTGCGCCAACAAGTACCTCGTCAAGAACGGTGGTAAGGAATCCTTCCACCTCCGCGTCCGCGCCCACCCCTTCCACGTCGTCCGTATCAACAAGATGTTGTCTTGCGCCGGTGCCGATAGACTGCAGACTGGTATGCGTGGTGCCTGGGGTAAGCCCAACGGTACTGTTGCCCGTGTCAACATTGGCCAGATCATCATGAGCGTCCGTACCCGTGACTCTAGTACGTATAATCCCTTCTATATAATGCAGGTGGCGAATCATTTAGCTAACAATCGCCCTCCTCAGACCGTCACCTCGCTCTTGAGGCCCTCCGCCGATCCCAGTACAAGTTCCCTGGTCGCCAAAAGATCATCGTCTCCAAGAACTGGGGTTTCACCCCTCTCCGCCGTGACGAGTACCTCGAGCGCAAGGCTTCCGGCCGTGTCAAGGATGACGGTGCCTACGTTCAGTTCCTCTCCAACCACGGTTCTCTCGAGAACAACATGCGCCGCTTCCCCGATGCCTTCAAGGCTTAAGGGTTGGACGTGTGTTTGAAAATGGAATGAGGTTGGCGTCAAATGTGGCATGTCAATTACAGATGTTTTAGTCTTATGATCAGTCAATTTAGACTATAGTAAAACTACGCAATACCATGTGTACAGCACGATGAGCAAGATAGACTCAACTTGGTGTCTAGTGAGTGTATAGCAAAATGTAATATGTAAAGACTGGTTGTTGCGAGTAAAACGCGGCATGGCCAGATTGAATGTAGGTGTCCATGTCTTCAGTGTACCACCTGGGTTGATTGATATCATATTCCTCCGCTGTGAATGCTCACAAATACTGAGCATGATCGACCAAAACGGTTGTTGTTTGATCTGGCATCACAATACCTGCTGTTAGCTGCAGAACAGGATAGCCCCGCTAAAGTCGAGTAGCCCAGTTTTCGGAAGTGTAGGATAACGTCATGATATAAATACTCAGAACTTCACCGTGCAGTGCATTATAGACGAAGTTGCCAAAGTCTTGCCCCAAGGCCCTCTATGCAGATGCAAAATCCCCATCGAAACAATCCCCCCTCTTAGAGAGTCCACTGTGTGCGACAAAGCCTTGTCGGGGGAGTTTGCGGGGCCGATCTCGAGCCAAAAGCCCCCAAACAGCCCTGCTAGGCGGCCCTCATCAGGTATAATGCACAGCTTATCTGTATAGACTACCTTGGTTTTAGCCAATTAGGAATTGAGTTTGGTATGCTCTACCAAATTAACCCTCTCCAAAGCTTATAGCACAACTAAACTTATTCGTCTTTTCAATATTCTAATTTGATACGCGAATGATAAAGACGACCCTCTACAGACGCCAGCTGTCTTACATATCCAATATCCGCCGTCTGAGAATAACCCCGAATGTTAAGAACCTCCTACAGGCTAAACACTGAGAAAACGGTTACATGCTACTCCAAATGTTGCTTGCTCCTTGCCCGTTGTCTAGAGTAATTGCTAGGTACATCGCCGGGAATATTCTATTTGCTTTTTATAAGAGCACTATAGCAAACAGGCGCTGTTCGACATCAATTTGGCGAGATATGGTATAGTTTGTCGCATTTCCCGTATAATTTATTGGATGTAACTAGCTAGACGAATAAGAATGAGGCTTGGCATTTTGTTGGGCTTTGTCTAGCCACCTACGACATATCGTTAGAATGGATGTGTCTAGGGCGCATGACCCGCAGCCCAACTGACGCCATCAACACCAACCACTGACCCCTCGTCTAGCAGGCCTGGGCTATTCTCAGTAGGCCAGACAGGCATGCGGTCAAGCGCTGTGACCTGTCCCTATCCAATCAGCTCCCTATAGACCAATATCCTCGCCAGGCTGCGCCCAGACTCGCCAGAATACTGGCTGATGCACTATACCCAACAAGTACCCATTCCCTTTGGCCGAATAATCGAACCCTAGATAATATCTCTCCGACTACGGCACCTTTGCAGAGCGCACTGGCCCATTAGATGGGCGGTCACGTCCTGCGCGTTAGTTGGGCCCCCACTACTTAGCCGTAGATATGCAGTATTATCAGCCAGGTTTAGCAATACACGGTGCCACGCCAGCGCGCGAAAGGCGTCATTTAGAGAAAACTAGGCTGGTGCATCTTTTGGCTGAGGCCCATCAGCGCAGTGACACACACGCAAGCGTTATCGTATGGGGGACCGGAAACAGGCCCGCCGGGGATGCGGAATCATTTGATGAAAGACACGCAGGCGCCTCATTGCGGCAGGGCAAACAGAACAAATTGGCTGAATACTATTACTTGCGTAGGAAAGGAAACATCATTCAGCCCAAGTGTAGGCAGAGGGGGGGTTGGTGGTGGTGGCATGGGGGCACCGCAGAACAACAGCTGATCAGTGTAACCCTCCAGGCGGGTTCTAAGCGCTAAACTAGACCAAAATCCACTGTAGGTCTCAGCTGCAGCGTCCCTCTGGCTTTCCGTATCCGGCACGCGAGCAGCATATCGCACCCCACCCAAGATGCTGGCGCCGCCTCTGGTTGGATGCCGCCAGCCTTAGTGACACTCTCAACAAAGCAATTCACTCATCCCGACCACGTCGTCTTCCCCCTTTGCTCTCTCGTCATCCTTTGGATCTCTCCCCTCTTCTCTATCTTCCCCATTCCTTTATTTTCTTCCACGATCGCTGCATAGCCTTTTTACAGCAACAAATACATCTCCTAACCGTGGTCGTCCTGACCAACCGATGCACACTTGCCCCCGGTAGTTGACCGCCCGATTGTCACCCATCTGCCGCCCTGTCACATCGCCACGACATCACCCATCTAAAACAATATTATTATCACCAACATGGCTTTTCAACAGTCTACCAGGCAGCCAGTGCAACGAGTTGCCCGCCCCATAACCCCCGAGGCCGGAACGCGGACAAGACGCTCGTCAAACTCGCAGCTCGAAGAGTCCCAGACATGGGTCCTCTTCTCCCCGCCGACCGAAGCGACAACTGCATCGTATCTTAGTGGAACCGAACATTCTATAGAAACTCCTGGGCGCTCACGCCTGAGCGACTTGGGAAGTCTCGATACAGTCGCACGCTCAACGCATCTCGGAGACATACCTTCCTCAATAGTAGAGGACCCCTCAGCCGAAGACGACGCTGAACTGGACAGCCTGGATAGCCATCTACCAGAATTTCGATCGCTACCAGACGGTATTGAACCAAATTTCGCTGCTGGACACCAATCACAGCCTCTATTTCCAGCTCACGATGGCTTGGGATCTTTCCGCCTAGACCGCCCGGTTATTGGACAAGAGGCACAAGACCGATTATACCAGTTTGAAAGATTCAACCCTAGAAAGACACATAGGAGATTGGACAGCGCCGAACAAATTACTTTGGAGCGGGACTATTCACACAATCAAGAGGAAGAGAAGCGCTCACGGATCGAAGCTTGGAGGCTGGAACACAGCCGTGTCTTGCTGGACGAGGTGAAGCGAGAGACACGCCGCCGCCGTGCATCGTTGGCTTCGGCCCAAAAGCATCAACTAGAAGAGACTGATGCGCTGGCATGGCATGATGAAGATGCTGTTGACAATGATGTGGAGGATCGTGGATTAATTGCACGACTAACTCGCACTGTTGTTAAGAATGTCCTTGGCATCGACGATAAGCTTCTTGACATCCTTCTCGGTGATGTAAGTGTCGCTGACGATAGCGAATTGTCAGCCACTCCTCAGGTGTCGCAGTTGAATGAGAATTTGCCTACCGATCTTGAGGAACAGTCATGGCAGCTTCGTTTACTAGAGACAGTATCCCGAGAACTAGGCAAGCTTGTCAGTCAACTTTCTCATCACCCTGGTGCCTTTAGCACATACTCAAGGATGCAGGTCATGCCTATCCCATATGCTGGCCTCCCGGTTATCCCGGAAGCTGCGGATGTTGCTGCCCAGGAACCTTCCAGCCGTGCATCGCAGCCAGAGTTTCACCCAACAGCTGGCCAAACATCTCGACCGGTTGACGTTGGTGGCAGAGGTGCGCAAGAGCAAGCCGAAGAGCCGGCGGCATTCACGAAGGAGGAATGGGAACAAGATCTTGACATCAAACTGGTATTCCGATACTTGGTTTCCCGGTTCAAGTCCCGCTCAACCGCCCCATCTGTAAACACGGCGTACACTAGCAACACCGCCCCTCAAGACGTGGCAGCTAGAATCGCCCGCGTTCGCCAATACCACCCGCTGATATCGCGCGCAAGACCTCTGGAGCGACGAACATTCCGACCATCCACTCCGAACAGCCCTGTGGCGATGCGCCATCAAAGCAGCTGTGCCAGCCAAAGTACAAGACGATCCGCTCGTCGCAGCAGCGTCTCATCCCGCCATTACTGGGATATCGGCGGCTCGCTAGGAACTGGATCTGTGATTGCACAACCTGGGCCCATGGGTAGCTGGGGAGAGGTGTAAGAACTGAATTGTGTTGCGGCCAACACGCTGCAGCTCTGTACTATATTATTCCATCATTTGAGGTTGGCGGCTGTAAATGAATCTTGGAGGATTACACGATATAAATGACTCATTTTGCATAGACAACTACATGTACTTTTTGTGTCCAGGCATACAACACATATACAATACACGACGATGATGCTTCGCCATATATTCTGCACAATGCACCTTTGTTAAGCTAGTATTGGAACTAATTATCGTGATGTGCAGATGGCTGCTTATGACGTGGCTGAAGAGTCATGAATGAGTCATTGGAAGCCCGCGTGAAATACAAATATCCCACTGTCTGCCTGATAATGAGGGTATCCAGCTTCATCGATGGTGTGGAGGAGACGGTGTAGGTGACGGAACAGGAAAGGCTGCAGAGTTGGGTGGCTTGTCCCAAAAAAGCAAAACGCGACATGCGTGATGCACGACAGTGTGTTGGTTCCCCTTGACAAGGGAACGACAGCACGCATACGCAAAATGTTTGCGTCGTGTAGTATCTCGTTGTTGATCAACAACAGACGAAAAAATTGCGTATACTGTAGTTTCGTTGCGTGTCGTGCACGCTCCAAGCAGGGTTTATAGTGCATTGAACGCGTGATCTTACACTGAATAGTACGTACGCGCTGGCCTAAGATGCCACGCCAGCGCCGACGCAACAACTGCTTAACGGACGAACCTAATGGGTGCACCAAAGAAGAAACCAAGACCAAAAAGGACGCAGAAAAGTCTATTCCCGATTTCTCTGCAGCGGCTCTGCAACACACATCTAAGGCTGCATCGAGTATGTATGTAGACCCTCTGGCCACCCAAGACGGGCCGCTGTTCCCCTGTTGGCAAGCCCGCTGAGCCAGTAGTTTTCCTCGCTGCTGATCAAACCGCTGACCACTTTAGCACGCTGCAACGCTGAAAAGGCGCGTTCTACAGTGGGGCTGAGCCGCCCTTGGTCCCTCTTTGGCTGGCCTCCCCGCCTGCCGGCTCCACTAAATGGCCTGGCCTCTGTGGCTTGCTGGGCCCCCCTCTCGTGCTGCCTCTTCTTCGCAACGTCGGGTCGCCCTGGTGAGCCTTCTTTCTTCTTCCACACCTCTCCTCCCACCTCTCCTCCGCCAGCATTTTTTTCTTCGCATACTCCTTGTATTTCCGACCTCGTTATTATTTTTCTTCTTCTTACGCCTGAATCTGCTTAATGTTTATCTGCTCGCTCCGCCGCCGTCCTATATAAGCTGCATCGTTCCTCCCAACCTCTCATTTATTCCTCGACCTCAGCTGCAGCTACCCGACTCGACAAGCATTTTCTCTCGAATTCAAGCATTAATTCACGATACAAAAGCACAAAGAGTGAAGCTCACCACCAATACATTGTTTACGCGTAACGCTACAAAATAAAACCATACATTACGCCCCCATTTGCTCTTCCCGACGCTCTATATTGACGATTACACCTGCGGCGGCAATCCTGATACTAATCTTGCACTCTTCAATCACCTGCACCGTCTATCTCTGAACGCTGATATGAGCTACGCCATGCTCTAGGCTCAATATGGTTGCGGCACCATACAACCAGTTCCGGCCGGTCCACGACCCGTTCAATGTCTACCATGACGCCGCCAACTTGAACACTCACCGAGGCAGCCTACCTCAAGGCGGCTGCAATTTCGTCGATTTGACACAGGGAGCAGCAGGAACACGCTGTGGCTGCCGGAAGTATTGGTCACGCCAAACAATCGAAGGCCCCAACCCTGCGATATCCCACCAAGGCTGGTGTATGTGTAATCACCATGCCTGTTTCCACGACGACAGACTGTCCGACGAGCAGGTGGCACCTATTCCTATTGCAAGCGGTCAAGAAAATGAAAAACCAAAGCCACTACGAGAGCCATTATCTCCTATGATTGACGTACAATCTCACATGCCCCAGCCCGCTCAGAATCTAGGGTTCCCTAGTTTCTCTGCGGGTGGTGCACCCTTATCCTTTATTCACGACAACCCTATGGATTTCAACAATGGTATCAGCCAGAACAATACACCTCAGGTGGCCCCTTCACTCCCTGATACTATTCATTGGGGAGACTTTGTCCAATCACAAGTTGAAACGAGCGGCCTTCCACCTATCCCGGCACAATGCCTACTAGCATCACAAACAGCATCAACAACATCTTCGGTTCAAGCAAAATACCTTCGACCATTTGCAGGAAAAGGATTAAATACTCTGGGTCCTCCTGCTCCCAGAGCTCCTATTCCTCCCAGTCCGTTGTCGAACAAATTCAGAACCCCGTTACAAGTGCAGCGCGAAGTCGAAACCTCGGCGATGGTCATTGACCAAGGATCCAGTACCCCAATGACGACGATAACGACACAAATAGAGCCTAGGTCAGCAGCGAAGGGTCCATCGTCTCGAGAAGTTCTAAAGAACGTAACTGAGACGCTTGGATCCCACGAGCAAAGACTGGATCGACTTGAAACTACCTCTTTTGCCGCCCCAGCACACGATGAATGCCATGAAAAGCACGAGCATTTCGATTTGCGTATTACGGATGTAGAAGGGAAGCTGGACGAGTTATTAGAAAAGCAAATCAACGATGATGGAGCTGTTAGTCGCCGTGGCGACAGAAGAGATGATGATGCTACAACTCAAAGCGGTCTCTCTGTGGTCAGCGACGCGACCAGTCGACCAACCCGGGACCACGATCTGCTTGCGCAGATAAAGGCGCTTCAAGACCAGGTTTTACATCTTCAATCTCTATCACCATCTCACAACAACCCATGGGAGATTGAAGTAGTCTTTTTGCCATTCCCTTTGAAGCGCGTCTGGCAAGACATGCATCAGTTCAAAATCGAGCCTAATGCCAGCAGTGATGACTGGACACAGCTTCCAATGACGATGAGCTCCTCGCCCATGCGAGCACAAACTCCAATGTTTGGAGATTGGGCTACTTCAGATCACGAAATAGAATGGCTTTTGCCAAAAGCGTGTGCCGATACTAGCGTTACCGATCAGCGACTTCGCAGCCGCGGCCTGATCAAGACTGTATCAGTGAGGGGGACCGATGCCAGAAGCATCCAAGCCGCCATCAACAACACCTTTGCAAGCGTATTTGAGGAGATGCAGGTTATGCCACGCAGCCATGAGACGGATCAACGCCTATCAAAGTTCCACGGTCTCCAGTCATTCTGGGTACCTCTTCGCAAGATCCATAAGGAGTCACGGCTCCGCTTCCTTAGCCCAGCAGAAATGATTACTCCTGCTGTCTGGGATGCCTCTTTCCTGAACTCCGTTATGATGCGATCTTCTCAGCGCCGACTGTTCATTACTCACCCAGATGCCTACTTGCAGGATCGTACTGCTTACGACTCTGGCTGGACATGGCAGCGAATTAGAGAACTCACGCGTGTCTACCCAGGATCGGATGCATCACAGCGAGTACCAGAGGCCGACGCCCTGGAGGATCATTGGTCCTGGAATGAGCAAATGGATGAACCAATTTCAGCCAACAACTCTGGCAACTTTCGACAGCAGCACCGCATATCACGTTCACCCTCCTTTGCCCAAATTGCACGTATCGAGCGATGGAGGTCACAGAGCCCAGCCATTCTGCGCGACTCAACTCCAATGGGGAGTGGGCGTCGCGGTTCCATGCCCCCTCATCTTAGAACAATGTCGGGGCCAGTTGTGCCTCCAGCCCGGCCTTCTCCATTGGAGCCTCCGCGGAGAAATGCGTCAATGACCAACTACCACCGGTACGCGTCGCCAGCTGTCCGTGTTGGACCGAACGGTGGAATAATGAAACCCCGCCGAACCCGATCACCCAGTTTCGCTCAGGCTACGCCCAGGTGGACAACCTCACCAAGCCCAGCTCCATGGGCCTCACATGAGCGACATGGCCAACGTGGTATGACGCCTTTCGCCTATGCCACTCCGTATAGCGCCACGCCTGTTCAAGACCCACGAGCCACGAGAAGCGGGAGCACTGTGCGTTTTGACGCTCAACACCGTTACTACGACGATGATGGGCAAGGCGAGTACTATGGCAATTTTGGTGCCGAATCGGCTGATGATGAGGATATCGATGTATACGAGGATGATGTACCGATTAAACGGGATGAAAGCGACTCGGATAATGACATTGACGCTGTCCCCATGGCTGAGCGACAGGGCGAAGGCATCCCCGATTCTGGCGACTTTCCTTGTGGTGATGATGACCCATGGCCTGGCATTGAAGATCAGCCGCCATCAGACGGCGAAAATGTCGATCCCAAGGCGGTGGGGCGCGAGAGTGCAGCGAGTAGCCAGCCGTCGGAATATCCCAGCACGCAGCCGGCTTGGCCAGCCGAGCCTGACGATTTTAGCATTCATGAAGACGCATAGTTGCGATCTTGATGACATCTCCATTTATTGTATGATTTTATTTTTTTGGCATGTTTTTCTTGCACGGCGTTATATGGAGTTGGATATCTACATCAACATTTTCCTTTGGAGGAGCACATGTAGGGGAACGTAGGAAACAATTGTATACCATGGGACATTATGTATTGCACAAAACAAGCAGATGCTTGCTTTTAGATAGATGAACAAGAGAATTTCTCCTCTATTATACTATTGAAAAACTCAGTAGCTTTGTAAATGTAACAAGAGGACTAAACTGGTGTGTATTCAGAAACAATTCTATTGAATATATTCCAATATGTAGAGCGTATCTTGGGCATCTACACCATCATCTGGAGGGCTATTTCTAATGCAAGACTGCCTGTATGCTATATGTTATGTACACTTCTATCGTAATGCGTAAAAGTAGTAAAAGAAAAAAGAGATTTGTGAGCCGTTAAGGATAAGGCTTGTACATGAGTAGTGTCAAACTCCATCGAGGGAAGACAGGATCATTGATGCCAGCTGCCCTTGTCGTCAATGTGCTCAAGAATCTTGCACACCTTTTTGGTGCAGAGCTGCTCGCGGGACAACTGCTTCCACTTAGGACCGAACGGGCCGCGAACATAGTGATATTGACCAAAGAAGCGCCACTGGCGGTGGTCGGCAAGGGGAAACAGATCGTCGCCCCAAGCTCCGCTGTAATGGAACCAAGAGGTCGGCATGTTTGGATTCGATGATGCTGGGGTAAGATTGGCAGTGTCGGTGTCTGATCCATCGTCGAGAGCGGTACGGCGGAAGCCCTGCGTCGTCAGGTCCTGGGCTTTTTGCTCGGGAGTAGGGGTGTAGTGAAAGGCGTAGTTGTTTAGAGTTGGGTCCCAGACGGGCCCGTCGTTTGTCTCGTCCTTGAGCATCTGAAAGGGCAGGACATAGGGGTGGTTGCCGGACGTGGCGTACATGGCGTGCGAGCCAACAGCCGAGTATATAATGGGACGCTGGGCGCCGTTTGATGACGTCCTCTTGTTGAGTGCTTCAAAGGTGTATGCTAAGCCGCCTTCGTGCTCAGAGAGGAAGACACCCTTTGGGATGCCGTTCTCAAAACGGATCATGCAGTGCTCCCAATCGCCGACGTGGTTGCCGTAGCGAGCACCGAGTACGGTCTGGCCAAGGTTGTAGGCGTAGAAGAAGAACCAGAAAGCATCGAGGATGTCGTTACCCTTGTCGACCATGATAAGAATAGCGGGAGCAGAAGAGTAGCCACTCTTATCTGGCTTGTGGCCGACGTGGACTGCTCTGGCCTTCTTGTCGTTGAGCTCGGCGACGTGGTACCATGGCCGTTTGGATGGCTTAAAAGGTTTGGCGGAAAAGGTTTCCGTTTCAGAATCCGCTGTATCGTTAAGGTTTGGGCGGCTATCATGACTGAAGAGCCACTCGGGGCGGCTTTCAACGTCTTCTTGGCTAGAGAGGACGACCTTGGAGGAATATGAGTTTAACTCGCCCAGGTTGTCGAGTGTCAAGCTGATGTTCTTGGCGACACGCTTGAAGTGGAGGGAGGGGTCTACGTGATTGATAAATTCCTTGATATCACTGGGCCAGAAGTGCTCTGCCCAGTGTAGGTGGATTAACGGCGCATGGTCAAGCACAAAGCTGGGGATGTCCTTTTGGCCATCCTTGGGCTTCTCGGCAGCCGTGCTGGCGCGGCGACGCAGCTCGTCTGGAAGATCGTCGTAATCCGCATAGCCTGGGTGGCCTGCTCGTCTCTTTTCTTCGTCTGTTTCATTTATTGAGTGCCCGGGCGGGTCTGATCGGAGATGGTGCAGGCCACAGAGGCCAAAGAAGCGGCAAGACCAACGATCTAGCATGTACGGGCTGGAGTCTATCCATTTTCGTTCGGTGATGATTTGTTTCGGTGTCTTCTTGACGGGATCGAGGGCGCTGGGCAGAATCCATACGGCAGCCAGGGCGACGCTAAGCGTTAGACTGAAGATGACGAGGCACCTATACCTTGCGAGACAAGATCGCTCCTTACGCATCCATCTAGGCGTCGGCTGTGGAGGTGCCGGTTCAGCATCTGGAGGGAGGGTGTCGGCCTCCCATGGTCTAGCTGCTGCCTCTTCCTCCTCTATGGGAATCGGACTGAGCGTCTGAAGACCTGTTTCTGACGGCATAGTCTAGTGGTGATATGTATGATGTTGAAGAGGCTGTGGCGCTGGCCACGATCGGCAGTGTCGGAAGGCTCGCGTCGAGGTGTTACGCGCTGAGGGACAGGCCGTTGTCGAGAAGAGAAATCGAGAAGAGAAATTCGAAACAGTTGAGAAGTAGTTGAGGACTCCAAGAACGCTACGGTGTGGCGGGGGAAACACCCTTGTCAAAGCGTGAGGCGGTATGGTTTGGTCGCTTACCAGGGTGTTGGCGAGGTCGTGTGATGCCGGACAAATCGCTGCGGAGAGCACGTAGATGTGCGGTAGCAGACGAGGACAGTAAGAAGCAGGCGTTATTAAAAAAAAAGAGGGTTGTGTAGCAAAGGAGAAAGAGACCAAAATAGCACAGAAACAACAACCAGCGGCGTATTTGGGGAAGATGGCGAGACACGGTGACGTGGTTGCGACGCTGCGGCTTAGGTTAGCGGGAATGCCATTGTGGTGCACGATACGCTAAAAACGAAATCGGAACGTCGGGTTGGACCAATCACAGCGTCGGAACAGGCAGCCTGGCAAATGGCTGCGGTCGGCACTGGCTGACGAATGTAGTGCATGGGACCCGCTAACCTGCAGCAGGGGCGGCGCTAAGGGAGGCCCTGTACTGTAGTGGGTGTAGTCACTATTAACACACACTGTAATTAAGAGACGGCAGACGGGCGGTGGTGAGTGAAAGACGCATGGGTGCATGGAGCTAAGCCGAGTGGGTGAATGGCGCACTACGCTGCTGTACAGTACAGTACATGGGATGAGATTGAGTGTGAGTGTGTGCTCGCTGTAGCAAAGCGCGGCGGTAAGTTGCTGTACTCAAACTGCGCTACTCCGTACTGTACTTTGGATCGCCTACAGCGCATGTCTTGGGCCAAAACCAAACCCGTGGGGCAGCCTGAGAGCCTATCGTTTGCGCACCTGGCTCTTTTAGTAGTCAAGCTGCACGTACTTCTGAATACATTTACAAAAGAAAAACATGTCAATTAATCCACCCTTGCGTTTATTTATTTTTATAGCAGAGCAGAGGGTGTATATAAGCAACGGCTATTTGTCTATCTCTTTTCTTTACCCGTTTTGAAGGCTGCTCACAGGTTCTTGCGTTCTTGCTTGCCCTCCAATTAACTGTGTTAAGCTTGGCATACTTGACGACACAGTCAGCAAGTAGCAGAAGAAGAAGAATACCAAAATAAATTTAACTATCTCTCATAAAGTTGATTCCTACACCACTTGCGGTATTAGCCTCTTTCTAGTGTCTAACGAACTATTGTTCCCATGCCCCCCGCGCGTCCTCCTACTGCTAAGCTGCGAGGTACATTTCGCCAGCTGGCAACACACACCAACTCGACTCAAATAAAAACAACAGTCGCCAGTGCATCGAACATTAACTCCCAAAGCAACAATTATAACTGCTCGTGTGCCCAATTTCACCACGACCTGCGCAGCGAACTGATCTAGTTGGTCATGGCTTATCAGATTGATCAGATAACACTGTTGGTGGGGGGAAGTATACCAAATTGATCATCCTCGACGCCCTTTCAGCCTCAAATTCTAAGCGAATGACCCGCTTGCTCTCGGACTTAAGCGGGACGTATTCAACCATAATATGAATTCATGTGCGAGAGAATAAAATCACGGAAATAGGCCGAGAGATGAACAGAGGAGCGAGCAGACAGCTGAAAGATGCTTACAGATTGCGTCGCATCCCCTCCTCATGTACATGTCCCTTCTGTTCGCTGCGTCGCTTTCCCTCCAGCATCTTACGCTTTTAGTCTCCGACAATTGCAATGCTCGAAAAAGCCCCAGACACCCAGGTCTCCGCAATGGCTAACGATGATACTGGAGCAACGCCTACGCCGAGCCAAGAATCCGCCTCCGCCGTAGCTGCCGGTGTTGCCAAAATTCAAGGTATCACGCGAGCATGGAACAAGGGGCGCTACATTTTCTTCTGGGCGTGCATGATGCTCATTGCCATCTGTGTCAGTCTCGATTATCAGACCGTCAGCGCCTACCAGCCCTATGCTCTGTCCGAGTTCAAGTCACATTCGCTGCTATCGGCCGTTAGCACGCTGCAAATCATCTTGTTAGTGTCTTTCCAATTTAATCTTCATACATTTGTGATAGCCGGTAGATAAGCACTGTATACTAACAATACCTTTGTCCTAGATCTGCATCATCGCAGCCCATCATGTCGAAAGTAGCCGATGCTCAAGGCCGTACCGAAGCCTTTGGAGCATGTCTTGCACTCATGGTTCTCGGATTCGTCATTAATGCGACATCTCAAAGCGTCGAGCAAATGTCGGCCGGTCAAATCTTGTACGGGTTCGGCCTGACTGGCCTTCAGTTTATCCAACAGATCCTTTCCGCCGATACTACATCTTTAGAGGATCGTTCAATCTACAGCTCGGCACTCTACTCCCCTGGTATCTTTACATCTTGGTTTGGAGCACCTCTAGTCAACACGTTAGTGCCAAATCATTGGCGATGGTAAGGTTCTGTGTGCTAGTCCAACACAAAAATTGCTAACAACTTATTATTCTTAGGGGCTACGGAATGTGGTAAGTGATGTCAAATGGCCTATTTACTAGCATACTCTGAACTAATAAACACAAAACAGGGCCATTACCTTCCCAGCTGTTGCCAGCCCGCTTATTGGTCTTCTTGTCTGGTCACAAGTCCAAACTAACTCCGTCAAGCGCAACACGACGAAGAAAACACTTGCTACTATGGCCTCTGAGGCTGACATCTTCGGCCTCTTCTTATTTCTTGTTGGATTGATTTTTCTCTTATTCCCTCTAACAATCAACGCTCGCTTTAAGGGCGAGTGGTCATCTCCCCAAACGATTGCCATGATGATCATTGGAGGTGTTTCATTTATCGGCTTCATTGCTTACGAGCTGCGTGTTGCTACATACCCTATTCTAAGTCTACACTTGGCAAAGAGTAGAACCGTGGCCGCGGGTTGCCTGGCTGAGGCACTCTTCTTCTGTAGTGGAACTTGCTGGAGTGTATACTTTTACTCGTTTCTAATTGTGGCCAACAACTTGTCACCGGCGGCGGCTACCAACATCGTTATATCTGGGAGCGTTTCTACTGCAGTATGTGGTATGGCAGTAGCCTTCCTGTTGAAAAAGACTGGTCGCCCAAAGTGGATAGTCATTGCTGGCACTTCGATCAAGTTAATCGGAGGTGGTTTGATCATGCGATATGCCAACTCGGATGCTACAGTGGCTCAGATATTGATTGCACAGATAGTGCAAGGAGGAAGTTCAGGACTGATATCCGTGATTGTGCAGACAACAGTACAGGCTGTTGGCAAGCATCAAGGTAAGCTGCTGCTGATACGACTGCCTCTATCTGACTCTAACTGTTGTGTACTCTGTAGATGTTGCCAATGTTACAACTCTGTATGAAACTCTCCGTGTCATTGGTTCAGCAACAGGGAGCGCCATTTCCGGTGCCATATGGACACATATGCTGTTGAGTCGCCTGCAAACGCACTTACCTGCCGCAGCGCAAGGCCGTGCCACCGCTATACAGAATTCCTTTGTCATGGCCAGCTCTTTTCCAGTTGGAAGCCCTGAGCGAGACGCTATAAATCAGAGCTACACTGACGTCATGCGTGTTCTTCTTACTATCACCCTAGGCTTCATGGCTGCCTCATTCTTGGCATCTCTCTTCATTGAAGACATCGACCTGAAGGCGGTAGACCGAGAGCGGAATGAGACTATTCGGGCGACGAGCGAAATGTCACCGAGGGAGGATATCAGTCACACAGGCGACATCCCAGACGCGGCAAAGTAAGATGTTACTTAACACATAGAACCCTCAAGGTCGACTGGGGTACTGGCCAAATACTGTAGACTAAACCTCAAATAAATCCAATATGTCCAGAACAGCACAGCCTACATAGCCATGTTGTTGAGACGCCCTTCGCTACCCGCGCTGTCCCGGGCCGGTGGTCATACGGAGCGGGAAGTGGGGCACGCCCGTTGACGACAGCGAAGCTCGGAGCCTTAACGGCCAGAAGCTTACCTGTACATAACCACGATTCCCCCGAAAAAAATATTTAACATTCTCAAATTCTTGCAGCTTCACCCAATATGACTGTCCCAGATCTCCCAGTTGGTCCTCTAGCGTCCAAAGTCGACGCTGTACCTCCGGCCGGCGCCTCTCTTCATGGCAAATACACATCCGTGGTGAAGCTAGCCACAGGCCACGCCCCGGCCCTCTACAAATCTCTCGGAGGCCAAGAGAACGCTTGGCGATGGACATATATGCTTCGTGGCGGCTTTGATACTCTCGAGGAGTACCAAGAGTTCACCACGGATCTGGCAGGCTCAACTGATCCCTATGCATATGCCATCCTCTCGGCTCCCGAGGCGGAGACGAGCGCAAACCCCGAGCCTGTCGGCGTCTTCTCATTCCTAAACATCTCGGCGCCTCAGAGGCGAATTGAGATTGGCTCGGTCAACCTCGGAGATCGCCTGAAGAGGACAAGAATGGCCACGGAGGCTTTCTACCTCTTCATCAAGCACGCCTTTGAAGATCTACATTATCACCGCGTGGAGTGGAAAGCCAATGCACTCAATGCTCCCAGCTTGTCGTCTGCAAAGCGCCTGGGCTTCGTCTATGAGGGCATATTCCGGTAAGCACAGAAGGTCATTGATAATAACACGGAAGCTAATAATTCGGCAGCAAACACATGATTGTGCAGGGTCGTCTTCGTGACACAGCCTGGTTCAGCATCACCGATGATGAATGGCCAGTTGTTAAGCAGGCTTTTGACACTTGGTTGGAGGAGAGCAACTTTGACGCCGAAGGCCAGCAAAAAAGAACTCTGCAGGCGATTCGCGACGAGATTCAGAAGTCAACTTCATAAGCAGATGCTGGTGCTGTATTGCATCGTAGTAACGGTTATAGAAAGGAAAAGTTCATTACATCGTAAAATAGGCGCTCAAGGCACCGGGTATCACATGTTTAATCCTCCATTAAAACATCGTCGTCGTCATCATCTTCTTCTTCCTCGTCCTCATCGTCATCACCACTGTCATTGTTATCAGGGGTGGCCAAGTCTTCCCAGTGAGAGGGCGTTGGTGTCGACGCAGCGCGGCTCCCTCCTCGAGCAGCAACACGGCCACGAACTGTCGTCCGTGACACTACTCTACCTCTTCGGCCGCCATCACTACTAGCAGGGGGCTTTCGACGGCGTGGGCGTGAGTCTGGTGGTCTGGTGTCGTCAAAATCCTTGCCTTCGCCGGGCTGTGCATACACGGTCACATCGTCCGTTTCACCGCGCAGCTTTTTCAGAGCCATTAGGTTTTCCAAAAAGCGAGCTTGCGCTGTGCGCTCTCCCGATTGATCTTTGCCAACAGGAATATGGATACCGTATCCTTCCCTTGCCTGCGCAAGGTCATCATGCACTGGTTGCCGCGGCTTGACTATCTTCTCCTTGGTTATCAGTCGAGCACTACTTGCTGCCAAAAGATCAATATCTCCAGCGAGGTTTCTGAGTGCCGGCAGTGGCTGTTTCTCAGAATGAGCGACAAAAAGCATCTCAGTCCCAATCACTTCCGCCCACTCAGCCTCGAATACCCGACCTTTGTAAGATATTATCGGACGGTCAGACTCGAGCTCGAGTATTTGTATGGTGTTCGACCCTGTCTGCTGTTCCTTTTTTGACGCATCGGTGCGCCCTTCTTCATCAGACTCGATTTGTACGGTGCTTGCTCTGGGAACAGCCGGTGCTTTGCCCTTGGCTTTACGCCGCGCCTCAGCTGTCGCCTCTTTCTCCATGGCTGCGGTTTCGCTGCGAAGCGCTGGGTCCAGTAGCATGTCGTCGTCATTGCCGCCTTCCTGACGACTTTCAACTTCGGCATCGGGTTCGTTTTCGTCGTCATCGTTATCCCCGCCATCGCCATCCTGGTCGTCTTGGTTGTGTGCTTGCTTGGCTGAGGATGCATCTCCATCTAGTGTATGCTGGTCTTGCCAATGCTTAAAGTATCCGCTGCGGCTATGTGGCATCATTTTCGTCGGTGGTTTCTTCAGCCCGTCGTGCGATAAATCGATTGTTAGATAATATGTCTAGACAAGCTATTAGCGTCGTCTGTACACAGGCGTTGAGCAAGATATACCTCTGTCTCGGTAGTGGAGTACTCGTATTCCCACTCGTCCTCATCATTTTGAGAGCCGGATGCCAGATTCGGGTCAATCGGAAGAGCGCCAGTATCTGGCGCATGCTGGGTTGATGAGGCCATGATGTCCAACAACTGCCTACGCGGTTGACCAAACTGCCGCGACGAAGAATGGTTATTGACGATGCATCAAAAAATGTAGTGTTTGTTCCGCGCGGTGCGCTATTCTCCGTATCAAGAGTTATATATATTTAAATTCGTCTTTAATAAATACCGGCGCAACAATTGTAAAGCCGTCACGCGTCGAGCTCTCTCGCGATGGTGTTTAGAGCAGGAAACTCAAAGCGGCAGGTCGGCCGGCATCCAACGCCCCACCAAAAAGTTGTGCCTGCAAGCACTTTTCCCGCTTCTCGGAGCTGTGCAGCCCGCCAACCCAAATCCTGACTCACGACTCCAACAAATTCAACGGTCCTGCCCAAAATAAAACTTGCGACGTGCTCGACCTCGACCGAGATAATAAGCGCAACATCTTGTTCTATAGAGACACCTTTTTCTTGAATCCGCTCCCGTAAAGGCTGCTCAACACTGACTGCATCTGCTTAAACCCCTCCCCCACCACTAGAAACCATGCCCACCGTCCACCTCTTGGACTATGTTGCTGGCAACATTAGAAGTCTAGTCAACGCCATTGAGAAGTGTGGCTACCAAGTGGATTGGGTGAAATCACCCGAGGATGTCGCCAGAGCTGAGGTTTGTTTCAACAATGTGATGTACTATGCGCAGCGCTAACCTACCCGGTAGAAACTGATTCTGCCCGGCGTCGGCCACTTCGGCCACTGCTTGTCGCAGCTCGGCCAGGCTGGTTACCTGCCTGCTATCCAGAAGCACGTTGCCTCTGGAAAGCCCTTTATGGGCATCTGTGTTGGTCTCCAAGCCATCTTTGAGGGCTCCGTTGAAGACCCCGACGTTGTTGGTCTCGGTGTAGTCAAGGCATCCCTCGACCGATTCGACGACTCAGCCAAGGCTGTGCCACACATTGGCTGGAACAGCGCCAACACATATGGGAAGTCCATGTACGAACTGCGACCTACATCAAAGTACTACTACGTGCACTCCTACAAGTGCCCTTACAAGCCCGGTGAACTCGAGGCCCAAGGCTGGACTGTTGCGACAGGCACCTACGGCAACGAGACCTTTGTCGGCGCTATTGCCAAAGGAAACATCTACGCTACACAATTCCACCCCGAAAAGTCTGGTGCTGCTGGTCTGCGCACCCTCAAAGCCTTCCTGACTGGCGAAGGCGCTACCACCCTCGGCCAGCCGTCCGAGGCCCTCACTACTCCCGCCGAGAACGCCTCTAAAGACAGCCTCACACGCAGAGTGATTGCTTGCCTCGATGTACGCACCAACGACCAGGGAGACTTGGTAGTCACAAAGGGTGACCAATACGACGTCCGTGAGAAGGGCGACGACAACAATGTTCGCAATCTCGGCAAGCCTGTCGAGATGGCCAAGAAGTACTACGAAGCCGGCGCGGACGAGGTCACGTTCCTCAACATCACCTCGTTCCGCGACTGCCCTGTCGCCGACGTCCCCATGCTTGAAATTCTCCGTCAAACCTCGAAAACCGTCTTTGTGCCTCTGACCGTTGGTGGCGGTATTCGCGATACTGTTGACACAGACGGCACCAAGGTGACGGCGCTTGAGATTGCCACCATGTACTTCAAGTCAGGCGCCGATAAGGTCTCTATTGGTTCCGACGCTGTCATTGCCGCCGAAGAGTACTACTCGCTAGGCAAGAAGCTATTTGGAAACACGGCCATTGAGCAGATTTCGCGCGCGTACGGTAACCAGGCCGTTGTTGTCAGCGTTGACCCGAAGCGAGTCTACGTGCCTAAGCCTGACGCCACACGCCACCACCTCGTCGAGACAAAGTTCCCCGGACCCAAGGGCGAGACATACTGCTGGTACGCCTGCACCATCAAGGGCGGCCGCGAGACGCGCGACATGGACGTCGTTGAGCTGGGCCAGGCCGTGGAGGCCATGGGCTGTGGCGAATTGCTCCTCAACTGCATTGATAAGGACGGTACCAACTCTGGCTTCGACCTTGAGCTGATCCAGCAGGTCAAGAATGCTGTCAAGATCCCCGTCATTGCATCCAGCGGCGCGGGCAACCCGGCTCACTTTGAAGAGGTCTTCCAGAAGACTACGACGGACGCTGCTCTTGGCGCAGGCATGTTCCACCGTGGCGAGTACACTGTTAAGCAGGTCAAGGACTATCTATCGGAAAAGGGCCTGTTGGTTCGTGAGTTTGAATCTGCAGAGGACTTTTAAGAAGAGGAATAGAAGATGCAAAAAAAGGATGGGATAGGATCTTGCTACACTGGGCTATAATAGACTTGTTTAAAAATACAGCGATTTTTACTTTTTCAATAGACACAGGTTTTTCTTTATAAGGAACAAGATAACATTCGCGTATAATGGCATCAATTGCTGGCTAACTATAAAAAAGATGCATGGGCTTTTATGAATGGCTTGTGGTCGAGAACGACCAAGCCGCCCTACTCAAATTCGCAATAATATCGGTCAACTGCTATTGTATCTTGGCCCTCTCACAAAGAGTTTAGATACAGCAAAGAAGGAAAAAAACGGTTCATCAATAGCTATTCAAGTCCAATCCATTGGATGAATGGACAAGCGGACGGGATCTTAAAGCTCCATGGCCATGAAGACCCAGGTACGGCTCGTTACGTCCACGTCGTTGGCCCAATGGTCCAAAGTCGTCATTTCAAAGCCAACCCACTGGAGGCTCTTGGTCAGCTCTAGCGCTTCCTGCACAGGAATACGGCGGTCGATGCAGCTGACGATGCGAGCGCAGTCCAGTGGCCCGTCGGCAAGTTCAATGAGTGCCATCAGACTATAAATCACAACAATGTTAGTGGGTAATGCTAAAGGAGATGGCACAAATAGGAGGCTGCTTACGCTTTCTTCAAGTCTCTGCTCATCACGCACTCAAAGTCGAAGAAGACGAAGAGTGATTTCTCCTCTCCGTTATCAGCGACAAAGGCGCGGAAGCTCGCACCACCGACGTAGTCCCAGACTTCCATGCAGCTCTCGACCTCAAAGCCTTGGGCCTTGAGATCAGCAGCCTGCCCGAAGGCATTGGAAAACTGGTTGTCGGGTGGTGGAGTTGGCAAGTAAGCGCCGGTCAAGCCGGAGCCATTCATCGACAGATTCCGCTCACCTTGGAAAACTGTCTTCATGGACTCGCAAAAGAATCTCTCACATTCTTCCTTGATCACTAGCGCTGCCCCCCCTCGTCGCTCCTGGCGATGGCGATAGCCAGAAGTCTCGCGCTTCTTCTGCTTAGGAAGAAGAGCGAGCTCGTTGGACGAGGTTAGTGCGGCGAGGGGGGGACTTGTTGGTGGGGATGGGAGACCTGAGGTAGGGACCTCAGGAATACCACTCCGCTCCTAGAAGAACAAAAGTGTTAGTCTTTTTTGCATTGCCAGTGCTGCTTCAGCCGCGAAGAAGAACATACCTGTAACCCCCGTAGTGCAGTAGTGAAGGCCCTTGAGCTGGGCGGTGGAGTCTACTACGTAGCAAGAGGCGAGGACGTTGACGCGGGAAGCAACATCCTCGCCATAATTACTACTACTATTATTCTGTTGTTTGTTCATTTTGAGATTTGCAAGATTCCACGGTGTCTGATTTCTGGTGGGCAAAGAGGCGAGGCTGGGCTGGAGGCGATCGATCGGCTCGTTGGACGGGTGCAGGTAGGCGTTGTGATGAATAGTAGTGTGTGTTTTTTGTTGCAGCTGAGTTTTCAATCGGCAGACTATAGAAGTCGGATGCGATGGCCACCTAAAGAGGCTGGTTGGAATGCGTTGCAGAACTGTTGAGTGAAGGCTTTGTGTTTGTGTGGTGAGCAAAGGAAGAAGCAGAAGCAGAGGGCGGAAAAAGAGTCGGTGGCGACAAGAACATTGGGCCGCACGCACCGCCCGGTGGCCGCGGATGGGCGCTGGAATTCAGCGGCGGCACCAATGGCTCGGGCACCAAAACAGCCACTGGCCTCTGCCAAGCGGGGGAGCACGCAACGCCGAGACAGCCGCTGTAAAAACCAAACTCCACGCTAGCAGCCAGCTTAAGCCTCATCGGTCGAACCAGGTGACTGACTCTTGTGTACCACTAAACCGTCATACTTGCGCCGAGTACCTCTGAGACGTTTGCGTCTCGGGCAGGTATTTTCAGCATGCATCGGCCAATCTGCTTAAATTTTATTTCCGCAGGTGCAGATTCAAGGCTACTTTAAAACAAGATACATCAATCGTAGTCGCTCCTTTCTTGTTGCTGCCCATTTTGCCATTGTTCGTCTTGCGCCATTCATTGGCTTCCAAACCGTGCGACCGTTCTTGAAACTGGATTGGCTTACGAGGCTGCGTGGCCCCAAACTCTCATCTCAACGCTAAGCCGATTACATGTCCGCACCATGGTTGAACGAAATCTTGTAGTGTGGGACGTTTTTATTTTTTTAATATTATCCAAACTCCTTGAGCAGTGTTTATCCATTGCTCATCAGATAAGCTACATAAAGTATCGTGCCAGCCTGTTGGCTAGGCTATGAATTGGGGACCCTGATATCTAAATCGATATCCAGTAGACCATCTATATCAACGTTGGGGCGAAAGCTAGGCTCAATGCCACGCTGGTCCCCACAGACAACTTAAATACCCAGAGTAAACAGTGTAATAGACGAGGATGTATAATGACTGACTCATAAACACGATCAGCTTCACACATGTCTAGCGCTGAGGCTAGCAAAAGCGTCTGGACTATGCCGCCCGTTTGTCCAGGCCATATCTTTGCCCAGATTCATGCTCTCTCTGCTAATTTTTCGTTGGGCACCTGCCATATCAATTGAATTCTGTGCCGGGACAGCAGAGTTCAAATATGGATTATTGCCTGGAATAGGCTGGGAGACGCTCCTGGACTGCACGCTATAGGGGTTACCAGCGGCTGCTGCAGGCGTGTTAACAGCTTGGTTTTCCGGAATAATCGCCTCTTGTGTTTGCAGAGCAGGCTGGAAACCGGTAGTATGTAGGTTATTGGATGGCTGGTTGTATAAGGCCAATATCGAAGCTGTGTCATGCTTTGGCGTGGGATAATACTGAGCTGGCTGTGGTGCGGGAGTGAAGAATGGATTGTTGTTTGGAGATGCTAAAGGCGCTGGCGAACTTGTCAAGTAAGGCGACTGGCCTTGCTCTGGGATCTGCCCTAAAGCCGGCGAAGATACCATTCTCGTCGGGGACCGTAAGAAGGGATTGGGTGTTGTCATGGGTTGAACTGCGCCTGTGGTGTTAATGGCAAGTGGCTGTTGGTAGTTCTGTGGCAATGATTGGTTGGGATTTTGGGCAAAGTAAGGATTTACGTTGCTCCCTTGCATTTGCGTGGCTATTTGATTCTGCATCATTGGGTTTGCATAGGCGACACTATTCATGCTGGCAAATCCAGTGCCAGAGTAAATGCTGGGGCTAGTAGGAGCAGACTGGGGATATAACGTCTGTGGAAAGCCCATGGGTTGAACGTTAGCTGCCACATTCGATTGCTGTGGCGAGACGTTTAAACCATAGAAGGCTTGCTCAAGTTGTGCCTGAGATGCCATGGACGCAAACGGGTTACTTGCAGCCATTTGGAAGGGGTTAGTGTTTGGGAGTGACCCTGTTGATTGCGCTGTCTGTGGTTGTACGCGGTTGATTGCATCATATGGGTTCGTAGATGTCGTGGACGAGGACGTTGGTCTGTCCGTATCGCGACGCTTCGGCATTGGGAACTCGCTAGCAGATGGGGACGAATACTTGGTAGTCGGCGTGAATGAACGAGTTGCGCGTAGCCTTGGGTGGTTGTTGCCCGGGTTTGGCAACGGCTTGTCAAGGCCGTCACCCTCTCCCAGCCGAATCAGCGACTCAACGGCTTGTTCAAAATTGCCATTGACGCCTTTGAGGACCATCTCATTCCGCTGTGCATTTATGAAGCCTAATTCGCGAAGCTTTTGTAGCTTTGATTCGGTATCGTTTGATGGTGAATAGTCAACGGTAGTGCCAAATACCTTCGACGGCTTATTTGTCAACGTTGGTGAGTCGCTTCCTAACGAGGCCGCAGCGGCTGCTTTAGCTTCTTTTCTAGCTTTCGAGGAAAGCGGAAAGATTGATGACGCAGCACGGAAGCCAAATTTGGAGGTATTCTTTGGCGGCAAGGGAGGTGGTGTTCCTTCTGGAGATCTGGGGCTTGACGGTTGGTGGCTACCCGTGGTTGTTGTCGAAACATTGTGTATGTATTTTTGTCGTATAAATCTTTCCATAGCAGAATCAGCCTCGTCTGCATCTACAGGTACCGGCGCTCGTTTGTTGTCGGGGTTGTATATTTGATTCGAGGCGACGTTGCCGACTTTGCGCATGTTCTGAAATTTTACAATTAGTATCATTTGGCCACTTGGACGGGATGCCTTGCATACTTCAACTTGTTCGTTGGACCATGTATCCATGCTCAAAGACTTTACTTTCGATATGTGCGTTCCCAGCTTTCTGTGTATAGCCGCGCAGCGCATGCACAGGAAAACACCGAGCTACGGAGATGTTAGCTTTCAGCATCCGGAGAATGAGGGGCTAGGTGGTTCGTACACTCCATGATGCCCATGCTAGAGAACAAACGTTGTTAGCAACACAAGTTGTACTACTACATTGTCATGTAGTCAGAGTATGCTAAATATTCCTTACCTGGGTTTCTAGCATGGCAGTCTGCGCAAAGGTTATTGCCCGGCACGGACGCCACCAGCTCCTGGAGTTGCTTTTCGTTCCGCGCCTGCTGGCGTTTCGAGATGGTAGCAGCCATGTTGAACACTGCTCAGACCTAGATTACAAATACTTCTGGAACATCGAGGTACCGCAATCGCTTCGTATAAAAAACGAGGGTTGTCAGTTGTTCGAGAGGAGCAGGAACCGCCGGGATGGCTGTGGATTGATAAATTCGTGGAAATAGTGCGATTTAACCGGCCGTCATAATGTGAAGCATGGAGACAAAAACACCGAAACTGACAGAGCGTTAATCCGAAATAGGACCAAAATTGCACCGCTACTCGAGGACAGGAAATACAGTGGCGAGGCGAATGTGGGATGGAGGTGCGGGCCTCAGGAGGTCACGATGTCAGTTGCTTAGAAAAGGAGAACGCCTGCAAAAAGTCCTCCCACCGTTGCGCTGCTACTAAAGTGGGAAACTGGCAGCGGCAGCGGCAGGCCGGAGAGGGGCTTGGTTCGACAGCGAAGCATTGTGTGGAGAAAAGGCCATGCATATGCAGGCGACAAGACGTTCGATGCTGTCGAAGCCACTTAAAAAAGAGAAGAGCGAAAAAAGAAAAAAGAGAAAGATTAATATTTTTAGATCTAGGATGGTATGCACCCCACTCCAAACAAAGAATAACAGAAAATACAAGTGGGATGGGAACAAAAGCTGGTGCCTTGCCTACACCGAACCCCATCAGGCCTTGCGTACGTATTCGCATACGTACAGCGGTTGAGCCACACCCACCACGCTACAGTCGCTTCCCACCCGGTACGGGCTAGGCAACTGAAATTCGTCCTATATTAAAACAACCAGGCTCCAGCCAGCACGGAATTGAATTTTTCCTATTTTTGTTTCCTACTTTTTTTTGTTCTAAACCCCAAGTTACAAACACAGTATCAAAGCAACAACATCTTCCCCTCCCCTTCCCCCAAAGCTAAAACTGTTTGGCAGTCTTCAAACGCACGCTAAACCTGACGAGGAGCACTGTGCTTGTCTCAGGTACCAAAGCGCTTCTATACCTCTCAGTGGCTGAACCCCACCCTGCTGCTGCGCCAGTGCCGCTAGCCTGTAACTGCTCAAGCTTTGGGGTCTCGGCTGGTAATCTGTTATTTTCCCGCTAGGAAAGCACGCCGCAATTACGGTAGCAGGACCCAGCCTCGCCACGGTGAGCCGAAACTACGTGCCAAACAAACGTGCGCATCAATATTACCTTGGAATTTTCCTCACCCTTTTCCATCTTCCATCTTCATCTCTTTTCCCCCATTCTACCAACACTGCCGATTTCCGAATACCACGACCGATAAACATATTCTTTTTTTCCGGATCATCTGTCGACTGTCGCCTTGCGCTTTCTACCCGTAACAAAACAAGCTTCCATTTTAGGGGACACGAATACCTCAACAGCTAGCTACCATGTCGCTCGCAGACGAGTTCCGAACCCGCAATTTCAGTGCGTTGAGACTACAGATATGATGGGAGTGGAATAAGCTTTAACTAACATTTCTGCTAGGCATTTACGGCCAATGGTACGATTCTTTGATTCTCGCAGACTAATGCGGAAGATCAACAACCTCCTTGTAATGGCGCTCCGGACGGCAGAGCTGTTCAAGCCGATGCGCATCACCAAATTCTACGCAGAGTCGATGAGATTAGTATTCGAACATTTATCTAACCCAACTTCTATGTAGGCTCGGTATCCTGTCGATGATTCTGTGCTTTGCTCTCGGCATCTCCAACATCTTCACATCCCTGTTCTGGCCTCCCCTCATTGTATTTTGCGCTTTAGCCCTGTAAGCATCCGTCCAGTCGTCGATCAACGGCGTGTGTGATGGTGTACTAACCTTCATTAGCGCATCGGCTTTCCTCATCCTATTCATTGAGGTACCTCTCCTTCTCCGCATCTGCCCTACCTCCAGCGGCTTCGATGGCTTTGTCCGCAAGATCTCCAGCAACTACCTCCGCGCCGCCGCCTATGGCGTCATGGGTGCCCTTCAAATCATAAGCAGAGTTGCAGGATCTAGCAGCTTGATTGCTGCCGGCGTCTTCCTTCTTCTGACTGCCATCTGCTACTTGATTGCTGGCGTCAGAGGCCAGGACTTTGTTGGCAGCAAGACTCTGGGCGGCGCTGGTGTTGCTCAGATGATTGTCTAAATGATACCCGCCTTTGCCAAGAGTACACCGCCCCGGTTGAACAACAATATCCTTCTGACAGTCCCTTCGGATGTCGGAATGGATGTTACTGCGGAAATGTGGCTCTCTCGTTGGCTTTGGGCATAACAAGAACGACCAGCTTTTGTTTTGATTCAATGTTTGGCAAGTATCATTGCCTAGTATGATCAGTACGATTTTATGTTCCAACTGCTGCTAGCAGTAGTTATTTTGACTTTTCTTTCAAGACTGGTGTGCGCAGTGAGGAGCGGAAGCTTTACAGAGTTGCTTGTATGGCATAAGTGGGATTTGCCTGTGGCGCCATGCATTTAGAATATTTATTTAATTAGCAAGAGATTAAAAGAACGCGAGCAGTAGTGAGAGACTTGAAGCCGGAGCTAGCTGGCTGTCAGCTCATCTACTGCTGCCTTTAGAACCACCTGCTTCGCATCTCGTTGTAGTGTTGTAAGCAAGCCTATCATGCGCAATATTCCAAGATTCTACAGTATCTGATCGAAGCTGTCTCTCCACGGCTGTAGTCGTTAGGCAGTAACGCAACGCATAGCATGCAATGGTCCCAAATACGATGCCGGGTAGTAAATATTATCGTGACAAGTATAATAGGAAATTTTATCCAGCTTCCAATCACTAAATGCAGATCCGGTTACTTTTATCTGTCATCGGTTCACCGTGTCCTTTTTTCGTCATTCGCACCGTAGCAATCAGTGGCGCTAGTCGATGTCTGCGACCGCCCCCGAAGCTCCGCCAATGACAGGCGGCCTAATGATAAAGCCCCCAGAAAATGGTCACTGGCCTTGGCCCATCCCTCCAGCTAAGCTTTAGCATCGTCCGCAAGCATTGACAGGTGCCGTGCGGGACAAAAGTCAGCCATCTTTACCCTTTTGCACCTTCAACTCTGTCTAGTCCCGACAGCCTTTCATCCCCAATCGTCTTCTTTCCATCTAGATTTCCCAGTTTTCCATCATTGTCTGCGTGTTTAGATTCCTTTCCAACAGCAACTGCTCGTCCCTCGGTAAGTGCCCTTTCCCACCTACAACCCGCATTCGGAGACCATCGGAACGGCGCTGTCATTCATGAGCAAAATGCGTGACAATACCCTCCAATGTTGCTTTGTACTGCACATCCTGTTGCGATATATGCGCCAATTGGCATTCTCTGCAAAGGCTGAAGCTTGTCGAATGTATGTTTTGATACACAGTGCTAACACTCCATTGCCCTCCCCAGATCCGACCTCGGCTACCAACGATTTCGAACACAACAGGCCGCCAACGTTTTGAGCACAAAGAAAAAGCATGGAGGCCCCTACAATTCCTGTTATACCTCCAAGACCTTCCAAGCCTCCCAGCAAAGATGCTGAAGCTGCTGCTGCTGCGGCGCCGGCGGTGCCCCAGATTCCTGCTCGCCCCAGCAGGAAGCACGTGGAGCGCTCAGTATCACCCAATCCTGCTCGTTTTGCCCAGTCTCCTCTTCGGGAAGGTTTCTCGAAAGGGTACAAATCGAGCGGATCCAAGGACTACTTCGCTGGCGTCGCTCCCGCTGAACCTATTGAAAGAAGCCCGAGTGTCGGTATGCCCTCTGTAGGTGAAGAAGGCATGGAATACGGGGCACTCGACGAAGCTGTAGCGCTCACCCAAACCGGAATTGTGTCTGATAGCCTCAAACTACATGCACCCAAGCCCTCACTTTCACCCGAAACCGCCAAAGAGCGGGTCAAAGCCGTCACACGAACAGACTCAGACAAGGCAGCTTCTTTTGGTCTCGGCCGACCTAGCTCTAGTCAGGACCGGTCATCCTCTCGCCAAGGGCTTCGTAGAAAGCCAAGTTCTACTTTCTCAGTTGCTAGTGACCAGGATGACGAAGGCATCCCTGAAATTGGACAGCGTGTGCCCATGAACCGACATCTGGGAGATGTTCAGGCCCCATCGCAGGATAATGGATCTGAGGCTGTGACTAGGCACCATCAGCGCAAGCTAAGCAGCCGTAACTTGCCACCGGGAAGTTATGGTCTTCACGGCCACGGCAACCTTGAAGAGGATAAGCTGGAGAAGGCATACTACGAGAAACACCCCGAACTTCGAGAGAAAGAACATGTTTCGTATAGAGACCGTCCCAACGATTTTGCCATGAGCAAAAATGATCTTAACCGCCTGGTTAGAGATACGGTCAACCGACCGTCATCAAGTACGTCTCGATATATGGAACTGCGTATTGTCTATTGCTAACTATTGAAAGCGTCTTCCCGCGAGGTCGTAGGAACACCGACTGAAGAAGTTGCATTCCAGGCAACAGACTACTATGCTTATAGCATTGCAGCTCCCAAGTCTGCACCACCTTCAAAGCTGAGCTTTGAAGCTCCAAAGGCAACAGAATCTGAGGCTAAGGAGCAGGAAGCTGAGGCGAACACTATCCATGTTACGGACTCCAACCACGCCGAATTCTACTCATATGGTGGAGAGCATAATGTGGCTGATGCAGACGAAAAGTCATACACCATTCCTATTCTGGCCTCAGATGAAATTGATATCGGCCCTAATGCCCGTGCTCAACATCCGGCTATTCATCCACAGGACCGATCAGAGCCGTTCGAATCCGACTTCCCCGCCAAACCAGCTCCCGTACGCCCGTCAATTGTACATCGACCCTACTCTCAACCGGAATTTTCATTCACGCGACTGGATGATGTCAAGGAATATGACCCTCTCTTTCCCGAAGAAGCTGCGAAGGATCAGCAGAGCAAGCGCGAGGAAGCCGAGAAGAAAATTCGTCACCATTTTCCCAGCAAGGATATTTGGGAAGATGCCCCCAACAGTGTGCACTACACTGTCGAAGTGTCTACGCCTGATGTGGAAGATGAAACTAAGGCAAGACGATCGTCAAGCTACCTGGCTGGACGACCCATTACAACTGCCCAAGCTTTTGCCCAATACCAAGAGGAGCTCGCCGAGAAGGACTCTCAGGGTCGAGCCCATAAGTTTCTACCATTGCAAGATAACGTACCAAAGCCCTCTTGGATAGAACATCAATCGCATCTTGGCGTCCGCCGACCTGCTGGCCCAAAAAGGTTCCCAAGCAAAGATGTTTGGGAAGATGCACCTGAAAGTCAACTCTATGAGGCGGAACTATCTGAAGAGCCACAAGCTACCATTGACGAGGACAGAGATGCGGACGCCAAGGTAGCACCAGTTGTTGCTGCTGCTTCACAACCGCCAGCCATTCCGGAGCGCCCTAAGCCTGCCCCGAAAGCTGTTGGTCAGGTATCGAAGCAACCCTCAGCGGTTTCCGAGAAGCCCAAACCACAAATACCTGCTCGCCCTACTAAACGAGGCTCTGGTGATGCTTCTATTAGCGAAGCGGCCGCTGCAAAGGCCAAGCCTCCAGTGCCCGTGAGACCCGTCGGGGGCAAGATTGCTGCTTTACAAGCTGGTTTTATGACTGACCTCAACAAACGCTTACAGCTTGGCCCGCAAGCTCCTAAGAAGGAAGAACAGCAAGACTCGGAACCAGCTGAGGAAGTTGAAAAGGCTCCACTCGCGGATGCCAGAAAGAGCAGAGCCCGTGGTCCCCAACGCAGGGCACCCTCAAAAGCAGCTTCTGCAGTGAGCAGCTCAACTAGCCCAGCTGCTGCTACCCTAGCCATATCCGTTCCCCAAACTTTCTGGGCTATCAACCCTGAAAATGGCCGGTTGGCATTGACTGTTGATGAGGAGCATGACGTGGCTGGCGAGGTAGCCCCTATTGTAGAAAAGGCTAAACCTATCAGCATAACCGAAGAAACTGAGAAGGTCGATGAGCCAGGAAAGGCTAAACCTATCAGCACAAGCAAAGAAACTGAGAAGGTCTCGGAGCCAGCAGAGCCTCCTGCGATAACATCACAGGAGGAAGAAACTGCAACAACAAAGGTTGAACCAGAGCATGATGAGACTGTCGTTGAGGAGAAGGTATTAACAGCGGAAGCAAAGAAACTAGTTGCGGATGAGAGCGTCGGCGCAAAGACGGAAAAGACCGAAGTGGCGGACGACAGCACTGATGTTGATAAAGTTATCGAAACAGAAGAGGCTGAGTAATATTTGCTAGGCTTTTCTTTTACTAAGCCTTGTTTTCTCAATCTACCATATATTATATTTGGTTAGTGTAGTACTGTAATTAAAGACTGTTGCGTAAGATGTTTGAATGTTATATGGTTGTAGTGGTACAAATATTATTCGTTGGGACGATCATACTGTATCTAACAAACGAGACCGACTATTTACCCCAAGAACTATTCTCCTGTTCTGAACCCTGCCGTTCCTTCTCTAGCATTGCATCGAACTCTCGCTGGGCCTGGCTACGTTCGCGATTATCATCACTAGCTGAATCTTGGCCCCAGCTCTGCGGTGGAGTGGGCTGCTGTTGTATTTGAGGTCGTTGACCACCGGAGGCTTGCTGACGGACTCTATCCCAGGCCGAAACGTTGCTATTAGCCGCAAAGCTGTCTCTCTGCGCAGCTGGTGCGACCGGAGAGCCATCGTCAATGTCAGATGAGGCCCAAGGATCGTTCGAGTTGGCTTGTTGGGTGCTAATGGGTGGGCGTGCCGACCATGAATTCTGCTGCGGTTGCGATTGCGGCTGAGGCTGAATCTGGCGACTGGGTGAATCCGAATAGTTTTGCGATTCCGAGTCTGTGGGCTGTTGTTCGTAGACGGCGGAAGAATATTCTGCTTCGGTATTTTGTGAATAATCGCCAGACATGGCACCGGAGGTAATGCTAGCGGCCTCGTTTCGTGCCTCTCTCAATAGTCGGCTGAGCCTAGGGTCCTTGTCGGTAGCGAACTTGCGATTCCAAAAGATAAGAGCCTGTAAAACTGGCTGGACGGTGAGGGCACCGACCACGTAGTATGCGACGAGCCGGGCGCCATGGGCCATGGCTCGCTTGAGTGATCGTTCTGGACCAGGGTTTTGGGCGAATGCTGGTGTGAAAATAGGGAACTTCATGGTGCGTCTGCCTCTCCAAGTCATGAACAAGGCGAAGCCTGTGGTTGCAAATGACGCCAGGACATTGTTGTTTGTCGCCGTCAGAAGATGCTCGGAAATAGCCTGGGTTTCGTGATCCTCCAAGTTTCGGTCGTAGTGAGATGCGAAAGAGACAGCCACTGACTCGGCGAGGGCTAAACTGCGCTGCGTAGTTACACCAGTAACACGAGCGTAGAGAGGCGCCCGATAGTCCCGGAAGAGTCGCTGCATTTGCGAATGGACGTATGGTTGGTACTTTTGGCGGTTCTGGAGATCGTGCTGTTTGCGCTGTTCCATTGTAGCCCTCACCCGGCGTGTGTACTCGGCCGGCGAGACATTTCCTTGATCGTTTGGCCCGTTCATAGCGATTGGATTGCTTAATTGATGAAAGGTGAAGTTCGATACGAATGCGTCATTGATGGAGCTGTAGTCCAAAGTGGACTAGAGCTTTATCGATAGCTATGCATAGTGCACGTGATAACAAAGGCCACCCGTGTTTGTGTTGGTGGGGCGTTGCGCTGTCACTGTGGCAGGCGCGCTGCAACTACAGTTAGACGCGTCGAGGGCGACGCTTGTTAAGTGGTTTGTTCCAGGAATTTCACAACTATTTTTGGCCATTATCCTCGTTTTCCCGTTGCTTCATTTTTGGTTGCCGGTGTGCTTTTTTGGATGGATCGCTGGCAAAAATGAGAATTGTTTGCAATGCCACTTAAAAAATCATACTCAGAAAGCATCGGTGCCGGCAAGGTATGTGTCGTTGTTAGTCTGGCAAACGCCGTTAAACATATGCTCATATGTCATCTAGAGGTCATCATGGCAACGATCACATAGCCACCCAGCTGGTCTACAGACACCGAAACCTCGGCCGCCGATACCCGTTTCAGATGCCACGAAAAATAAGCTCAGTAAATTCAAATATGAAGAAATGGAGGAGCAGGGGTGCGAAACCACGGCTCCGGAAGCGACGAGCGCAACACGAATAAAGACAGACCAGGCTGCAACTCCCGCAGCTGCTCGCCTCAACTGGCGTGATCTGGTAGATCCGAGCCCTGCAACAGAAGATGAAGTCACCGTGTCGCCAAATGACAAAATATTATGGGACAATAAACGGCAACCAGTCTTCGCCTCCAGCCTGTCACCGCTCGTCTCGCGAAAAGGCACAAAGCGTGCTCGAAGCTCATCTCCGATGTCGTCACCAGCAACAGAAGCACCTGCACCTCCTTCACTAAATGTACAAAAGCTAGCAAAAGCGTTGAAATCACCACATGCTGATCCGACGCTGGAGTTGTGGGATCGATACTCGATGGCGAGAAACGAGAGCCCAGCCTCAGCAGTTGGCTTTACAAATCCTAGTCTAGCACAGCTCATGGTCTCTTCGTCACCTCGACCATCTAAAGATATCACCTCGTCACGATCCAGTAGCAGCTTACGACGAACGGTTAGCTGCGGTCTACAGGCACCGAAACGTCGAAAGTTTGAAAAGCCGAAGCTGGGAAGCCAGGGAAGCCGGGGACAGCGAGATCTGGAGGCGGCGTCAAAATCATCGCTAGTCACAGCTCTCCTGGAAACAGTAACAAGTAGCATGCAAGATCTCAGCCAAGATGCCTCAACACCGACAGCCGAGTCCCCATCGCCTAAAAAGCCATCTGCAATGGCACCACCTCAACTACCAAACAACGCCACGCAACCCCCAGAGAATATGGACTACTTCGATGATGATTTTGATGACGATGTCTTTATGGAAATGGAAAAAAGCATGAACCCAAATTCACAAACACCAAGTAAAGCCGCCCCAATTTCGGCAACTGTTGCAACCAGTGCAAAGGGGCTTCAGGGCACTGACTTGGATGATTTGGCTGATATTGCAGACGATGACTTCGATGATGATGTAATTCTAGCACAAGCTAAGAATACAGCGGTTTCGGAGAAGACATCAAAAGGAGCACCAGACATGCCGAAGAACGAACCGGACGAATTCGACGACGAGTTCGATGATGATATTGCTGCAGACTTCGATATTGAGGCCATGGAATTTGCGGCGACTCAAACCACGAAGAAGAACTCTAGCAATATAGCTACTGTATGTACATCTGTAATGACATAAAACCTATTTACTAAGCCCCCTCACTAGAGTAAAGCAAAGACAAAGACAATTCAGAGGTATCTTGTGACCCAAGTACTTGAAGGCGAGTTTACCGACTCGTTTGGCAACAGCCGCCCTGAAAAGGTATATTGGATATTGAATTGTGTTTTACTTGTAATATGCTAAACTATTGAAGGTTTTAATGATCGAGGCGGACAATACAAAGATGACGAAGACGCTGCGGCTCCGAGGATCCTGGTTTGAAACTCCTGCGCAACCGCAGGCATATGTCCATGTTATTGGGCAATTCACCTCCAAGGGGCAGTGTATTATCGATGATAACGACAACTTGCTTATCCTCCACCCTGATCAGCTGATTTCTGCAACTGTAGTTGCGGATTCATTTGGATGTACGCGCCGCGCCGTTTTACAAGATCGGGTGAAGGCCACAAGTGATCCATCAGCACCTTTGGTATATGGTACTATGCTTCACGAAATTTTCCAGGAGGCTCTTTTAGCCAACACTTTTGACCGTCTTTCTCTTTCGAAAATCATTGACCGAATTACGGAAAAACATGTTGAAGATTTATATACCATTAAAGTCGGAATACCGATAGCTAAGGAACATCTGCAGTCGAAAATGTTAGAATTGAGCCATTGGGCAAAGGCATTTGTATCGTCTAAGCCAAAAGTAAGTGCAGTCATCTAAAATTCAACCATGAAACTAACAAATCATAGCCGGATGCTATTGTTGAGGGTCGTCATGGAGAGAAGGCGAACATGGCGGTGACAAAGTTGCTCGATGTCGAAGAGCATGTATGGTCACCTATGTATGGGCTCAAGGGAAACATCGATGCCACTGTGGAAGTCGCTATGTTCGACGGAAAACAGACACGCACTTTAACGGTACCGTTTGAGGTAAAAACCGGAAAAAATGCGAATACTAGCCACGTTGCACAGACAGCACTATACACGCTTCTACTCTCGGACAGGTATGACATCGACATTACATATGGTGTTCTATACTATATGGAAACTTCAAAAACCATGCGCGTACCGGCCATTCGTCACGAATTACGCCAGATGATACTGCAAAGAAATCAACTAGCCTGCTATGTGCGAGAGCGAAGTGTGCAGCTTCCACCGATGCTCCAAAGCAAACACATGTGTGGGAGATGCTATGCCAAAACGTCTTGCTTTATCTATCACAAGCTCGCTGATAACGGAGACGGAGAAACTAGTGGCATGGGTGAGAAGTTCGACGAGGTTGTAAAACACCTCACACCGCTACACCAAGAGTTCTTTGTTAAGTGGGAAAACCTACTCACACTGGAAGAAAAGGAAAGCCAAAAGACCAAGAGAGAACTATGGACTATGACGAGCGTTCAACGAGAGAAGAAGTCGAGATGCTTTGCGGATGTCATCATTGAAGAAGGATCATCGTCTGTTGACAATGATACTCCGCGCATTAACCGCTTTAATTATTCGTTTGTTAAGCGTCTTCCCCAGGCCGGCTTTTCTTTCCTAGAATCAGAACTGAGCGTCGGTGAACCTGTCGTGGTATCCGATGAGGAGGGCCATTATGCGCTCGCTATTGGATATGTCACCGCAGTACAACGCAAAAGGATCAGCGTTGCCGTTGATCGTCGATTGCACAACGCCCGTATTCGACAGCCTGGTTTCGATGAGGTTGACAATCAGGTATTTGCGGGTATCATGGAGGTGGCTCCCGAAGGTGCAACTCCTGAACAATCACAAGGCCGTATTAAAGAGGCCCCCATCCGTTATCGCCTTGACCAAGACGAGTTCAGTAACGGCATGGCGACGGTCCGAAATAATCTTGTGCAAATGATGGCAAATGATGTCCCGGCAGCACGGAAAATCAGAGAGCTCATTGTTGATTTAAAGAAGCCGAGGTTCAAAACTGTCGCTACCCAATACAGCATCTCTGGTAAAGAGAGCCTTAATGTTGATCAACAAGCTGCCATTGACAAAGTCATGAGCGCTCAAGATTACGCTTTGGTTTTGGGCATGCCAGGAACCGGCAAGACTACGACAATTGCACACATTATCCGGGCGTTGACATCGCAGGGCAAAAGTGTCCTTCTAACGTCACATACACACACTGCTGTTGATAATATTCTTCTTAAACACAAGTCTGACAAGATGAAGATACTAAGGCTAGGAGCGCCAGCCAAGGTTCATCCAGGTGTACAAGACTTTGCTATATTGGCTGGTCATCCAATGTCGAATTTCGAGGAAATCAAGGATGCCTGGCACGGTACCCCAGTGGTTGCAACTACCTGCCTGGGCATTAACCATACTGTTTTCCAGGAGCGCTCGTTTGACTACTGTATCGTGGATGAAGCTTCGCAGATTTCCTTGCCAATCTGCGCAGGTCCAATCAGGATGGCTAGGACTTTCGTCCTAGTTGGGGATCACAACCAACTTCCCCCCGTTGTCAAAAACGAGCAAGCCCGTACTGGTGGTTTAGATGTGAGCCTGTTCAAATTACTTTCAGATGCTCACCCTGAGTCTGTTGTAAATCTCGCTCACCAGTATCGTATGTGCGAGGATATTATGACCCTCAGCAATACCTTGATTTATAATGGTCAATTACGCTGCGGTACTGAAGAGCTGAAGACTAGGAAACTCTCTACACCGAACATGGCGGCGTTATCACACCGACATTATAACGGTCTTACCCTTTCAAAGCAAGCTACGCCGCGATCGATCTGTCCAGTGGCATCCCCATCACAATGCTGGTTATATGACCTCGTTGACAGTGATGCTAGAGTTCGCTTCGTCAATACCGACACTCTAGTACCAGCGATACGAGAAGAAGCTCACGGAAAGCGAATTGTCAATTCAGCTGAAATTAGCATTGTATCTCAGCTTGTGGATTCATTCCTTACAGTTGGTGTACCTGCTGAAGAAGTAGGCGTTATGACCCATTATAGAGCACAACTGTCCCTGTTCAAAGACAAGCTCAAGTCCTATCCCGGGATTGAAATGCACACTACGGACCGTTTCCAAGGACGAGACAAGGAAGTAATTCTGCTCAGCTTGGTCCGCAGCAATGAAGCTTGCAACATTGGCGATCTGCTCAAGGATTGGCGCAGAATCAACGTAGCGTTCACACGAGCCAAGACAAAGCTACTTGTCGTTGGCAGTGTGAGCACGCTTAAGGGCAGCGGCGAAGGCAACATGCTCAGCAAATTCATTTCGCTTATGGAAGAGAAGAACTGGATATATGATCTTCCAGCCTGTGCACTGGATAACCACAATTTTGAGGATCTTCTGGCGACGCAATTTACAGCAACCGCTCCTACACCAATAACCCGAACGCCGAAGCAGCCGAAACATTCGACTTTGCAATCAAGCCCCTCAAAGGGAAAAGAAAACATGCGACCAACGCCGAGATCAGCACGAGTCGGAGAGAAAGTGTTGCTGAAGGGAAAGCCAATAACACGAGATATTTTGAATGAGATGACCAATGGGGCGTATTAGCCAGTCTTTTGGAAAGGGAAACATGCGTCCTTTTTGTTAGGAGTTTATGGAGCATATGGTATATGATTTGAAATGTATTCTAAATAGCGCGTATATGCTTAATACCAGATGATGTTCCATGTAGAACATCAGTTTTCATGATTCGTAAAATGGTCGTCAAAACTGTGATGTGTTAGCTCCTGAAGAACAACTCGTTCGTCGAATGATTCTACTTACCCTTGCTCTCCTACAATGAGCTTGGTATATTTTTCAATCTTCTCCAGCTGAACAACGCAACCAGTTAAGCTCTGGTCATATGAATACCGATATATCTCGCTCCATTTCTTGTGTGAGCCTAGATTACCAACAGCAGTGCCTTGTGCCATTTGTTCTTCCAGCCGTTGTGTTTCCAGAAGCAATCGCTTTCTAGCAGCTGCAGCACTCGGTATGTATCTGGGAACCTTGCGATGAGATCGCAAAGCCCCGGCAAATATGTATAGATTAGCCAAGATGGCAGCTACAGCATCTCGTTTGTAACTAAGCAGCTGGTCATCCGCTCCGGTACCGCTGTCTTGAAGATGCCCAGCGTTGTGAAAAAGAGCCGATTGGCGGACCGCAATAAGATGCTCAAAGAGCTGTTCGCACGACTCGGCAAGTGCGGAGTATGCTACAGGATCGAAAGGCGCTCGAAGCCTTGCTTCGTGTCTCGTGAGGACAAGGAGCTGTCTTATCCTGACGAATCCTTCCCGTAGACGCCCCTCGAGTAGTTCGGACTGTTGAACGTCGTCTTCGGTCGGAGGACAGCCGTCTTCATAGTAAATATAGGTCGATAGAACCGATCTGTATACAACGCTGACATAAAAGAGTATTGAGGATAGGGCAAATCGCAGCTCGTGTCTAGCAATAAATGGCCATAGAAGCCAATTGACCAGGATGGGAGCTGCTGTGCCAACAAAGAAGACGACGCCTCTATGAACGGCTAACAATGCAGGTGGCGTTATCCCACCATTGTCCAATGTTAAAGAAATGACGACGAACGTTATGCATCCAACTAGGCCGGACCTAGGGTGCGTGCTCTGAGTGAACCGATAGGACATGGGGAAGAGGTACAGTGCCGCAAACACAGCCATGATGTAGGGATTGCCGTCCCCGGCAGCATATGCAGCACCAGCCCATACAGCCCCTAAAATTGCAAACAGGGAGCGGTTGAAGAGGTCTTGGATGTTACCGCCAACTCGTGGGTGCATTACAATCCAGCTCATGGCAACAGCCCACCACACTTGATAACTGTCCCACCACTCTTTACATTCGTCTAGATAGGATGGGATTGAAAGTAGCGTCAGAACCAAACAAGCTTTGAAGGCATATTTGCTTTCAAATCCCTGAAGGCGATGTAATGTTTTCCATATGCTGTAACGAACACTTGTATTTTTGGCTGCTGGGGTAGCGCCCTTGGGTTTCTTGGTGTTGGGTATCGTGGCTTTTGACTGAGATGATTGTGGTCTAACTTCAGGTGCTGCACCCGGAGTAAAGTCGCTGCCTTTTAGTGTCTCCAAGACTTGTTCGATTTCGCTGAAGGTCCCCTGATAAGATCCTGCGGCAGCACCACCTCGATCATGGCGAATCTGGGCATTTGTCCGATAAATTGCCTTGGAAAGGGGATATGAGGGTAAATATATACGTGGCCAAGATGACTTTTCCTGCATAGTTTGGACATGAAGTATCAACTTCTGGATTGTGACTGCGGATTCGCGCACATGTCTCGAAAAAACGAACGCTTCGACAGCGGCAGAGTTGCCAAGGTGCGGACTGGAATGTATTGAACAGTCAAGTAGTGTTGATTCAATGGCATCAAAAGTAGCGAGAGCCTTGTCCAATTGTATCTGTACGACGGCCAAGTCAGATGATATGCCTTTGGCTGGCCCAAGGCGATTTCGGAAGCCCGATTGATCCATCAGAGCTGCGTTGCATCGATCCAGGCTATCTTTCATTGCGAATATTACCCCCTTGATCGGAGATTCTAATTCATCCAGAATCGACTGTGTAGGATCACCTTCAGTGTGATGGATAGATATATCTTCGTCTGCATTAGTACTTGGTGTCGACGATGAGGCATCGTCTGGACTGTCATTGTCATCGTCATGTATTAGATGCGCAGCCGGTTCGATGGCAAGGATTGCGCGAATGACGCCTTGCATCAAATTTCTAAGCTCCCGCACATCATCGGGATGATATTTCGATATTGACATGTCCATAACCATGTCTCGTACCATTTGTGACAGATCGACGAAACACTGGACAAGTTGGCGACGCTGCCGGACGTCTCGCTCACCAGTTATTTCCAAAGCTGCCTATCAGGTGTTAGTATCATGCAACTAGTTGGGGAATACGCTAAAACTTACACTCATGGTGTTCAAAGCGCTATTTATGGACTTGGAGACTGCCCATGCCCCTGTGTCGGGAAAGATTGCGATGTTAATAGCAAGAGCCAAAACTTGCCCCAATGCCCAAGGAATAAAGAATTGTAGCAATTTAAACCACTGAACATCCTGGCTATTGGTGTCTGCCACAGTAGTGTATATGATTGCAATGCCAGCGCATAGGACCGCCTGATAGAAGCGAATGAAGCATGCTCTGATCCATGCTGTTCCTGCGATAAGGAGTACTAGAAAGACAGCCAAAACTCCACCATATCCAGCCTTGGCGGCGAGCGTCGATGTTGACAGAATGAGACCAACGACACCCCAGCCAAAACCAACGGCTGTACCAACGCTGGTCAAGATGACTCCGTCAAGCTGAGATCCAAGTGATCTTGCGGGATGGTTGAATATGACTGAAAGTACCAAAATATAATGGTATGGGCCAAGCCATTTGTGAATAACGGGTACCAGACATATTATGTACCCAGAAAATATTGCCATAAATGCCTTTAGTAGCTGAAGGCCAACGCGCGTAGTAGTAACACGTTTGGTTATAGTTTTCAGCTCTTCCCATTGCCGTGGTATAAAGTTTTTAATTTCAAATGGTGATGATTTGTCGAATTCAGCTGGAAGAGTGCTGTAAAGTAGCTCCATTTCCGCATCACGCTTCGAAGGCTTTAGAAAAGAGGCATCGAAAAAGCCATCGCGAACCTCCGTTACGCCGTAGTTGTCGGCATCTTTGGACTCAATGTCTTGCAGAAGCTGGCTAAGCTGTGACAGGCTGACTACAGAGCTTTGACGGCTACCCATTTTGGGTCGTTGAAAGCCGTTAACTCCTTCATCAGCTATGAGATCGGTCCATTTTGGTCGTGGTGCAAATCTTGACGATTTCGGTGAAGCATGGGCACTTCGATCTGGGCTAGGAGTGCACGGAGTATCGTGGCTAGCCTCAGCAAACGAGGTCTCCTTGCTCATTGAACCCGACATACGTTGCTGTATGCAATGTTAAACATCTAGTAATGATCCGACTAGTGTTTCCCTATGACGTAGAGAGATTCTGTTGGAGGCGTAGCTGGTTATGGATTTCTTTTCTGCTTCATTTTGCGATATTATGAAGCAAATAACGTAGAACCAAGTGTTTAGACTAAGATAAGAATTTTCTAACAATTAATCATTTCGTCGTGAAGATGCAGCTCGTTGAAATAATATCCAGGTCGCTAATAAAGATGCAGTTGAAATTAGCTGACCTATGAGACTGTTGGCTACTTTCAGGTGGGTCGCCATCTTGTTGGAGCCAGATCAAGGCGGGTCACGTGATATTCCGGCCCAGCACGTCGTTTGCTCCTCCGGCATTCGCGACCCTCAACCGTCAGACGCAGCATCTTTTTCAATCCACGCCCAATTGACCCCGCCCCGCGCCTCTCGAATCTCCGAATCACACAAAAGTCGTTATATTTGGGGAAATGGCCATCATCAGACACACTGCCGCGCCGCTCCGAGCGGTGCGCTGCCTCCGCCAGCCCGTCGCCACGAGGTCCTTTTCAGTCACCGCCCAACGACTAGGCGGCGGTGCTCAGTTCGAGCCCCCCAGCGGCTGGCTCTGGGGTATCAAGCCCGGAGAGAAGCCTGAGCCCGAGGGATGGGAATGGCCCATGTACCTTTTCTGCGGCAGCTTGTTGGTTGCCACGGCCGCCATTGCTTTCAAGCCCGATACAAGGTTAGTTTTTGAGGACGCGGATATCAGGACTATGCGAACAACGATATGGGATGGAGGCATCAAATGCGTGCAGCCCTGCAGGTAGTGTAGGATTGAGCTCGGCCCTGTCGAGGGACTGGCATAAATATCCTGCAAAACTGCCGCAACAGACAGCATTGGCGTTAACAATTGACTCACAGCGTTTCTACCTGGGCTCTGGAAGAGGCCCGCAGAAGACTCGAGGCCGAGGGTGTTATTTCAGAAACAGAAAATGACAAGAAGGATTCGTAAAGCATAGAATTTTTTGGGCATCAGGCATTAGAGATGGAATGACATGGAAACCGCCTCGTCGCGAGGCAAAAACAGTGTATATGGTATCAACTTATTTCCTTTGTTTGCGCTGCTCAAAGGATGAAAATCTTTGGGCTCCCTTTATTATTAGAAGACGGCGATTAATTCACAGCATTCACCGTACTTTGTTCCCCCCCCCTTTGTTATAAACGTATTACAGGTACAAGGCAACACATGGATCTGTGTATAGCATGTTACTTGTTTTTTTGATCACTATTTTAACTTTACATCTGTTTACTCGGGGGTAACATAGCTCCACTTGTGAGGCTCCTCGCCATATTGAATACCCTCAATCCAGTCCTTCATTCTGAGAGCAATCTCACCAGACTCCTCGTTGGCCTTGAGACCGCAGTCAACGAGGTCACCCTTCCATGAGATGGCACGGATGGGGCTGACAATGGCGGCAGTGCCAGCACCGAATGCCTCAATCAATCTGCCCTCCTTAGACGCTTCAGCAAGCTCAAACATCGTGTACTTGCGCTCGCTAATCTTCCAGCCTTCAGGAACAAGGCGCTCTCTAGCAAGCTGCAAAACAGAGTCACGAGTGACACCCTCGAGAATAGTTCCGTCAAGAGGGGCAGTGACAAGCTCCTTCTGGCCAGTCTTCTTATCCTTGATAGCAGCAAACATGTTCATGGTGCCGACTTCAGTAACGTACTCCTCTTCTCCGAAGAGCCAAAGGTTTTGTTGGAAACCTCTGCTTGCAGCCTGCTGCTGAGGAACAATGCAGGGGGCGTAGTTTGCACCAAGCTTCTTGTCACCAACACCACCGGGCCATGCGCGGACAGCGTAATCTGTAGCCTCTAGCGAAACGGCCTTGAAGCCGGTGGGGTAGTAAGGGCCAACGGGCGAAGCAATAACAAACAACATAGCGGACTGGGGGGTACCAACACCAAGGGTCTTCTGAGTACCAATCATGGTCGGGCGGAGGTACAGCGAGTAACCCTTTTGGTCGGGGATAAATCGAGACTCGAGCTGGGCAAACTTGGAGATGAGCTCAATGAGAGCCTCGGAGTTAAAAGTAGGAAGGGCGATACGGGCAGACGACTTGTTGAAGCGGTCCATGTTCTTCTCCGGGCGGAAGAGACGAACCTTGCCGTCCTTATCTTTGTATGCCTTCATGCCCTCGAAGCACTCAAAGGCGTAGTGGAAGACGCAAGTCGCCGGGTCGAGAGAAAGGTTCTGGTAAGGGGTAATGCGAGGCTCACGCCAGCCCTCGGTGGCATCCCATTCGATGGCGAGCATGTGGTCTACAAGTATTGTGTTAGGAGACGGCGCTGTGGGAGCATTGGACGCAGTTTTGAAATACCTGTAAACATTTTGCCAAAGACGAGGTCCTCGGGCTTGGAAAGCGGCTTGGGCTTGGTAGCCTTGGTGATGGAGAGCTTGGAAGCATCAAGGTCCTTCAACTTTGTCGCCTGCGATTTGGCACTGTAGAATCGGGCAGCATGGCTAGGAGCAGCAGCAGTAATGCGCGTGGCCCTGGCCGAGCTCAAGAGAGCACGGCGGATGGCGAAGGAAGAACGCATGGCAGCGGAAAGGCGTCGGGAGGTGGTAGCAGCAGTGGTGAACAGGGCTAGGCCGAGCTGTTGCAAGATGTACGACGGGGTAATATGCAAAGAACACAATTCCGTCCGTAGATGCCGGTGCGCCTTTTGGTGATGTTCGGGTTTGACAAAGAGAGAGACGAAACCGGTACCGGAGGGCAAGGGCGTCGTGGAGTGACTGGGGACAAAGCCGAACTTTTTTAGCGCGTGGACCGCCTGTATGCGGCAAGGGTGCTTATCGCACAGCGGGTTAAGGGACCCCGTGGAGACACCATTTGGGACCGAGCCAGATTGGTGATAAGCCGAGAGCGGTGGGCAGGCATTGTGTGAGAACCCGTCATATAGTCAGAGGAGAAAAGACTAAATCGTAAATCGTAAATTGTGATGAAGGATGCTGACATTTAGTATTTAAAATAATTTCACTTCCTTGGCTGGTATTGTTGTGTTTAACTGTTAGCACAGTTGCTATGCAAGATACTCTATTCAACTGTTTAATTACACGCAGCTCATAATCCCAATGTTGACAGTAGCGGTTCATTGGAAGCTCATATGTTTAAATTTATTTAATGTACATATTGTATTAAAAAATCGTCTCTCCCATATACCCATCCTCGTCAATCCCACCCTCTGTCAACCTTACTTACAGGTATCTGTCCCTCCGCCTGAGCCACACTGTGGGGGAGCCGCGCTGTGGCGGCGTGTCGACGTCAGCGCCTCGCACGCACTACACCACAGCTAGCACGCGCGCGCTGCTTCAACGCTCGGGTCTCCCAACTCGAAACTCTTGCCAAAGCAACATTGCCTTTGCGCAGCCCTCCAGACTGCGGCTGCAAACTCTGCTTCCATCAACATCACCAATACACTGAACCGCCCATCAACAGAGCGCAGGCTGGCGCAACGCGGTCTCCTCGCAGCTCCTCCTCCCCCCTGACTGTATAGACATGCCACCATCGTCCACCACAGCCTAAGACCATTACACAACTTCTTGAGACATCATGTTTTCCTCAGCACTGAAATCGATATCCTCGACCAACATTACCTCCAACTACTCCATCTCGTCAAACTCGACATCGACAGCCGGACCATGGAGAATATACGACGCCAAGAAGAAGTCGACGGGCAAGGCGTACAGTGTCTTCGTCTTTGATAAGAAGTCGCTTGATGCGCATGGAAGCTCGCTTGGGCGATCCGGTGGCGCATCTTTTAAGAAAGGCTTGGAAGAAGTCATCGAGCGCCTAAAGAAGGAGGCTTCTAGCTTAGCCAAGCTACGCCATCCCAACATTCTCGAGCTAGTCGAGCCCGTGGAAGAAACAAGAGGTGGCGGTCTTCAATTCGTGACAGAGGCTGTTACCGCTTCACTCTCGAGTGTGTTACAAGAAAGAGACGAACAAGAGCGATCCGGCGGCCCTGGCGGCCGATCGAGTCGCTATGTCACAGAAGACGCCGACGGTAGCAAGCGCAGGCGCGAGCTGGAGATGGACGAGCTTGAAATCCAAAAGGGTTTATTACAAATAAGTAAAGCACTGGAATTCATGCACGAAAATGCAGGCCTCGTACACGGAAACCTGACCCCAGATGCCATTCTCATCAACTCAAAGGTACACTTGTCACACCTCGTTGTCCTTTAAATTGTAACTAACAGCTTCTAGTCGGATTGGAAAATTAGCGGCCTATCTTTCTGCAGTGCCCAGGAAGGCTCCACGAAACCTACATCGATCCAGAGCGTTAGCCTTCACGAAGTCCTCAACCTCGATCCTCGTCTGCCGAAATACGTCCAACTAAACCTCGATTATACCTCACCCGACTTTGTGCTAGACAACAACATGAATCCATCAGCCGATATGTTCTCCTTGGGCCTTCTATGCATTGCGTTGTATAACTCTCCGCACCGCTCACCACTCGAATCGCACGGCAGCGTTTCGTCATACAAGCGACTCTTCTCGTCTTCGTCTAGCATTCCTTCGAGCTCCAATAGCTTCTTATCCTCTCGACCGATACCTAAAGATCTTGCTAGCCACGTGCTGCCGAGACTCATTACAAGACGCCCGGCCCAGCGTATGACGGCAAAAGAGTTTCAGCAAAGTGAATACTTTGACAATATTCTAGTATCAACAATCCGCTTCCTAGATTCATTCCCAGCCAAGACACCAAACGAAAAAGCTCAGTTCATGCGAGGATTGAACAAGGTCTTACCGTCGTTCCCCAAGTCAGTGATGGAGAAGAAGCTCCTACCTGCACTCTTGGAGGAACTCAAGGACAAAGAGCTCTTAGCCCTGATTCTTCAGAATGTTTTCAAGATTGTAGAACTACTTCCTTCAGGACGAAGAGCCTTTGGTGATAAGGTTCGACCTGCTCTCAAAGAGATCTTTGTAGTCAATGCAAAGCAGAATGAAGAAAAGGATACTGCCCGAGACGCTGGCTTGATGGTGTTTTTGGAAAACATTTCCGCTGCCGCAACTAACAGTTCCGGCAAGGAATTCAAAGACGGTAAGTGTTCATGTTTAGAGGTTGGTGTACACTTGAGCTAACTCTAATGATAGACATCCTCCCTGTGGTAATTGCTGCGATTGAATGCCCTACTCACTCCATTGTCGACGCTGCTCTGCGTACGCTCCCTGTTGTTCTGCCGACACTAGACTTTAGCACTATCAAGAATGAGCTCTTCCCAGTCGTTGCGCAAGTATTCAGCAAGACGACTAGCTTAGCCATCAAAGTTAGAGGACTGCAGTCCTTTGTGATTCTCTGCGGCGGTTCGCCAGATGCAGCTGGAGATGACGGATTAAGCGGCTTGAGCCAGGAGAAGAAGACTTCAGCTTCTGCACTGGACAAATACACCATGCAGGAAAAGATAATTCCTCTAATCAAGGTGATTAAAACAAAAGAGCCAGCCGTCATGATTGCTGCACTCAACGTCATCCGCATCGTTGGACAGATTGCGGACGCGGACTTTGTTGCCATGGAAATCCTTCCCATTCTCTGGAGCATGAGTTTAGGTCCACTGCTCGATCTAAAGCAGTTTCAGCAATTCATGGATCTCATCAAATCCCTATCTCGCCGTGTGGAAGATGAGCAGACCAAGAAGCTCCAGGAGCTCTCTGGTACTAGCAATCCTGGCACTGCTGCTCCAGCCGAGGACTTCCTTGCTTTCGGTGGCGTCACTGGCACTACTTTCGATAGTGGCAGTGGTGGTGCTACTGCGGACGACTTTGAAGCTCTTGTCAAGGGTCGTGCAGGAGGTGGTGGTGGTGTTAGCAACGGGCAGTCTAGCTGGGATGACCCAGCTCCTGCAACGACACCTAGCATGTCGCAACCCAGTCCAGCAACACCGCAAGCTGCTACTTTCTCGTGGTCAACTAAATCAACACCGTCAATGACACCCACCAGTCAAGCCAGCGCCGGATTCCGAACCGTGACGCCCGACTTGAACCGCTTTGAGCCCATGGCGCCGTCCTCGACGCAGTTCAGTCAGCCTCTCCAGCCCTCTACCAGCAATGGCTTCTCGCCACCAGCTGCTCATCAAGCTACACAATCCTCGTCCTCCATTAACTGGTCCACCACAGCGAACACAAGCCCGCCCAATCCCTGGGTACAGTCTACTCCAAACTATTCTTCAAGTAGCAACACCATGAGCATGAATTCGTCCATGGCGAGCATGTCGATGGGCCAGCAGCGCCCTTCTCTCGGTGGACAAACAAGCTCATCACGCGGCTCGTCCTTTTCTCTTCCTCCACCACCTGGAGCAGGATCCTCGCAGCCCATCTACTCGGGCATGTCTGGCTTTGGCATCCAACCTCCGCCTGCGCAATCGAGTGTATCGGCGTGGGCCAACAACTCGAACACCAGTAACTCAATGGGTATGCGAAATATCAGTAACAGTATGAACGCAGGAATGGCCATGAGCAAACAAAGCACATTATCTATGGCTAGCCAGCAGCAGCAGCAGAAGCCAGCAGGCTCAGGCTTGGACAAGTACCAAAGTCTCATCTAAGTGCCCTGTTTACTACCATATTGTATAATGCCTTCTTTTTTTTTTCTCTCAGCATTAGTCGCGCATGATATAGACAGATATGAGCACGTAATGACTTAAAAAGCATTTACCATTAATAAAAGACTAAAATGCCATCTTACCCGATTCGCCAACAAAACATACCATGTGTAATGCAAAATAATACACCGGTGCTTTCCTCCTCTATTAATCTAGGCGTTCTCCTTGTCTTCCTCCTTGGTCTCCCCCTTGCTCACCTCTTCCTTTTTAACTTCAAAGACATGCCGACTCACATATCCTTCCTGCAACCTCACAGTTACGACTTGGTCCTTGGGAACCATATCATGAACCAGTGGCCAGCCGAGACGACTGCACAGTTCGGCAACAACGACATCACAGTCTCCCAGCAGATTGATATCGAAGCGAGTATGAGTAATAGCCTCTCTAGAAATATACAGCTGCGGAATCTCCGGTGGCAAGAAGTTGACAATCTCCGAAACAGGCGTAACCTTGAGCGACGTGCCAATGATAATCACAAGATCGACCTTGTCGCGATCATGTTCTGTCAGACGCCGCCCGAACTCGTCCGGAAGCTCCTCACCGAAAAAGGTAATGTCCGGCTTCATAAGGCCATCTTTGGAGACCTCTTCTTCAGACTCGTCAGATGTATCGTCGCTCCATTTCGACTTTTTGGCCTTTCGCTTCGGCGCTGGCTTCTTGGCCACCGGCGCAGCGCACCGGGGACACTTGGGAATAACACCAGCCCGAATATCCGGGTGTATCGTCTCACCGGGAACCTGGTATTTGCAGTCGATGCAGGATGCAGTACCAAAAGATCCGTGGCACTGGACAAGTTTGTCCTTGGGGATGCCGGCGGCTATTTCCAGATTATCAATGTTTTGCGAGTAATTGGTCAGTAGTTTGCCGCGGTCATGCAGCATAGAGATGAATTTGTGCGTGGGCGTGAAGCGTGTAGTAGCAGGTAGGATGTCCTTCGCTATCGAGTAAAAGATGGACGGGTCCTCGCGGAACATGCTAATGTCAAAGACCTCCTGGGGGTCTGAGAGGCCGAGATGCTCCAGGCGCGAGTACAAACCTGTACCCTTTGATCGAAAGTCAGGGATACCGAGGGACGTAGAGATACCGGCGCCAGTGACAACCATGATGTTTTTGGATTTTGCAATGAGGTCAACGGCGTCGTCGACAGTGTTGTACTGCATCAGTTTGGCGCGCTTGGCCAGCTCACGCGTCATGACCAGCGATAGCACGCTATAATACGCATAGTCTGGCTCGCCCTCGAGAAACGCGGGTGGGCTGACACCAAACGCTGTGATGAGCTTCTTTGCAGTGTACCGGCCCGAGTCTACCGTCCTTTGGCAGAACATGGCCGGGCCGAGTCTCTGGAGATCTCGTCGCAGCCTGAGCGATTCCTCGGGCGTGCAAGGGATGAAGTCTGTCGCAAGTGTTAGAATGGCGTCGGCGGATGTTTTCGTTTGTAGCAGCAGGGAAAAGCTATTTCAGTAAACTCACCTTTGGTTCCTACACCATCGTCTGTCTGCTGCTGCTGCAACGCATCTTCCAGCAGTGAGTCTGTCTCCCAGGCATCCTGCGCGTCTGCAACACACCCTTCCAAGTTCTCCATTGCGGACCTGGCATCAGAGTCATCACCAGAGTCATCGCTTCTGTCACTATGTTCACCCTGTCGGATTTTTTTAATTTGTGTCGTCACAGGGCTCTTTGAACTGGCCGAAGTGTTGCTTCTCTTACGCTTCGTCACGTCCATCCCGACCGCAACGCTGCCTCGCAGCTTTTGCCCTTTCGGTCTTTCTTCCTTCAGAGTATAGTTGAAAACTAGGAGAGCAAGAGTTGCTGTTTATGTACAGAGAGAAACGTGGCGAAGAAGAAAGGGGGAAAAATCCCTTTTTGGCAGTAAACTAATTACAAGGGCGAAACAGACTAAAGAAGCTAAGGGCTAAAAAAGAACAATGGGCTGGTCGGGAGAGGGAGGAGGGGCTTTCTGATCACGACACCGAAAGTAAACGGTGCTTATAGAATTTAATAAAGACGCTCTCTATCCACAACGTGGGCTTAATGAGAGGGGCAGGCAACTTTACACAACGCCTTGGAAAAGCCAAAAAGCAAACACGATGCCCAACAAATCAGCCGCAGTGAATAATTGGCTGCAGCTTCGTCGGGCTCAATGTTACCTGCCTGGTGGTGATGGTGCTGCTGTATTCAACCTGTTTTTGGTGGTAGCCTGGGCGACAACTGTCCAGATAGACTGTTCAAAGCACACTGCAACAACAGTCTCTGGTTCCACGCCGAGTTCTGTGAGGCGAGTAGATGACGCGGAGGAAATGTTGTCAATTGTATCGTGTTGTTGAATATGGGGGACGGCGCTGTATTTACAGGCACCCCGCACTGTGCCTCCAAAAAACTATCCTAAGTACGCCGCCTGCCAGCTGCCACCACTTGTACCGGGCATAGCAACTGCGCTATGCACTTGAGATCTTCAACAACAGCATGTCTCAGCTCCAGCATCGTCCCTTTCTCTCCAAAGAGATTGGTAGTTGTCAAAAGAAGCGGGCTCGCAAAGCCTGCTCTGGCTGTCGAGCCCGCAAGGTACGCTGTGACGTGCTCATTGTCGGCCACCCGTGCACCCAGTGCCGGGACAATGAATTCGAATGCATTGTCAAAGAGCGAAAGAAACGGCAAATGAAGGCTATGGTTTCATTCAAAGAAAAAAGAGACTCTGCCGATTTTGTTCCGTCGATGCCTGAACACACCATGCTGCATCAAGTTCCGTTTTATTCGTTTTTCAAGACCTTCGCCCGCCTGGGAAGAGGCACACAGCAAGTTGCTGCTGGCAATATGCAGCAGAGCGAAGTTGCTCTGCCTATTTCTCTTCGCGAACCTTGCACGAATTCTACCGGAGATGACCTTGAGATCGAGTTTTTAAAGCACAAGGGGGTGTTTACGTTGCCCCCAAAACATATTCTCGACGAATGTATTGCAGCCTATTTTCGAATATTTCACTCTTTCTTTCCCATTGTAGATAAAGTCGACTTCTTTAACGCATATGAAGGAGTTAATCATGATGACCGGCCGCTAGAGAGGCAGGGGCCAAGTCTCCTGTTACTTCAAGCTGTATTATTTACAGCAGCTTCGGTAAGATTGACGCCAATTCAATCAATTTTGTGTGGTGCTAATGCTAGTGTAGTTTTTGCCCATGGAAAAAATACGAGAAATGGGCTTTAACACCAGACAGCACGCGCGAAGTACCTATCATCAAAGGGCAAGAGTAAGTTAGACCTCAGGCACGTTGGCCGAGACTAAATATCTAACTAACTTGCGTAGTACTTGTACGAGTTCAACTACGAACCCAATATCATCACCAATATTCAAGCACTGCTCCTAATGAGCCATTACTACACGTCCATGGTCGAGCAGAAGCACACCTGGTTCTGGGCACACCAGGCCATCAGTCTCGCCCAAGGAGCCGGTCTGCATCACCAGTCTGCTCGTCAACCGAAGCGAAAGCTCTGGACGAGAATATGGTGGGGTTGTGTTGTACGCGATAGACTCATAGCCTTGGGCACTGGGCGGCCTATGCATATCATCAGCTTAGACTGTACGGTACCGATACTGACAGCAGCAGATCTAGCAGAAGCTGGTGACTCGGAAGAAGATTGCGCAGTTAAGCAGGTCTTTATCGAATTTACAAAGCTTTGCCAGCACATAGAGGGCGTTCTTTTATTGTCCTCTACGGATGAAGGCCTGGTTCAAGGTCAACATAAAGTATGTGAAGCCGCGCTGCAGGGCTGGCTCCATGATTTACCCCAAGTAGCCAGGCGAGACAGCACTGCGCAGACATGCACTGGAGAAACACCCGTGCTTTACCGAAATATCTTATATTTAATACTCAAGTAAGCGCGAATGCCAATCTGTAGTGCTAATTTGAGATGTGGTTAACTGTGATAGCATCGTTCTCCTGGCCCTTTACCGAACAAGCCAGCCAGATGCGCCAACTACAGCAATCCCTTCTTCACAGATGCAGAGAGCCGCTAAAGAATCAACCCAGATTATTTCAGAGCTAATTGAAAGTGATCTTGTTGGGATCTGTCCGACTATATGGTGTGTTCTTCTACTTCTACTACTGAAACATACACTAATGCAAGTCGATATAGTGTTACCGCTGTTATTCCGCCGCTGATTGTGCACACGCTGGTTATGCGTGGCTCTGCAGAGAAGTGCCTTATTTCACAAACTTCTCTTCACTTTCACACATGCATGGAATTTCTCAAAAGATTGGGCGAAATATACTGGCATGCAAGCTTCTACCACGAATTCTTTGAAATCGTAGCGCCGACAATAGAGAAGCAAATACCGCGCTTGCCCGTACGCAGGCAACGTTCTCGGCACCCTGCCACGGACGAAAATACTCCATCTTCTCCAAGTAATACTGGTGAGCCGACCATTTCTAATGAAACACATTTTGACGCGTCGAATTTCATGGTGGACGAGCAAGTATTTGAAGATTGGCTGGCAAACTGTACCAATTTCCACGTCTTTTTTCCGTCCGCTTAATGAACGGCACAATTTACTACTTTATCTTCATTGAAAGTTCATGATAGAGTATATATATAAACTTTGCCGAAAAGGTATTTTTGCGAGCCTTCGACTATGAGAACTTCACACTCGCGGGCCCTCTCGAATAGCGAGACCCTGCTCAGTTGTCCAAAAGCTGCCAGTCGGATACTCATATTTAGCCACGGCTTCGGCTTTGTACTCGACACTATAACCAGCCTCCCAAGGTGTCACAAAGTGTCCATCTTTGGTCTGCACCGGGTGCAACAAGACTTCGTGGAACGAATTAATGTGCTCGAGAAGACTCTTCTTACCCGACACGCAGACATAGTTGAGCAGAGCGAGGTGCTGCGTATACTCGTTTAATCCGATACCGCCGCTGTGAGGAACAATTGGAACGTTAAACCTGTACTCTTTGTTAGTTTATCTTCTTCTTGTACTTGGACTAGGGGACGAAACGTACTTTTTCGCCATTAGCAGGACGGCCAAGACTTCGTTAACACCTCCGAGTCGACAAGCATCAATTTGGCAATAGTCAATAGATCCTGCTTCAAGAAGTTGTTTGAACATGACGCGATTTTGGCAATGTTCGCCTGTCGCAACACCTACGCCGTACGGTTTGAGCGCCTGCCGAATCTTGGCGTGGCCGAGAATATCGTCTGGCGAGGTGGGTTCCTCAATGAACCTAAAACGTCAGATCAACGCCTATTCGTGTCATCTATGAAACGTTAAAAAAAGAACTTACACTGGCTTGAATTCGGCGAGCTGCACCATGTAGTCAATGGCCTCCGGTACGCTCCAGACTTGGTTGGCGTCCACCATGAGCATGCTGTCGTACCCAATTGTGTCGCGGGCAAGCTTTAGCCTACGTCGGTCGCTCTCAAGATCGCCACCTACTTTGAACTTGAATTTATTCATGCCCGCTCCAAGATTTTGCTGAATTAAGTCCACCATTCGCTCGTCGGAGAACCCCAACCATCCCGCCTGCGTCGTGTAAGCCGGCACAGCGCGGTTCTTCTTTGCATCTTCCACCCGCGCTGCTTTGGTCGCTTCTTGCTCCTTTAGCAATTTTACCCCTTCTTGAGGAGTTATAACGTCCAATATATACCGAAAGTCTATGCAGCGCACAAACTCTTCCGGGGACATGTCAGACACTAGCTTCCACACCGGCTTGTCGAGGTAACGTCCCCAAAGATCCCATAGCGCGTTGACGCAAGCGCTGAGCCCAAGATGGATAACTCCCTTTTCAGGGCCAACCCAGCGCAGCTGCGAGTCAGACACTAGATGTCGCCACGTTGCGCCCATGTTGTCAGTGAGTTCTCCTAGGGTTTTTCCTATGAGGCGCTCGGCAATCATGGACGCGGCGGTCGTGCAGAGGTCGTTGCCTCTGCCAATGGTAAAGGAAATGCCGTAGCCCTTGATGGCAGTGTTTGTTCTTAGGGCTACATAGGCAGCACTGTAGTTTGGACCAGGATTCATGGCGTCAGAACCCGACGCATCAAGACTGGTAGGGAAGCGTAGGTCTATCCACTGCGATTAGCAAGGAGAGTGGTGATGTTGGAGATGCCGAGTCTTGCCTTTGGTCTCAAATCCAATGATTTTCACATCATGCGCCGAAAGGGTAGAGCCATTCACGGCGTTCCCATGAGTATCATTCTTGGTATTTGTTACCGTCATTTTTTCAGCTTTCAGATGTTGGGTTTCTTGCCATAGACTGAATGCTCCACGGCACGCCGCAATATTTGACAGCCAGCCTAGCGGATTACCAAGTGATTTCCAATCAGCAAGGTTCCATCATTTTAGGTAATGATACCCTTTCTTTCGGCATTTCAGCAGACAGTCCTCTGTATGTTCGTACAGTGCTGACAGTCTTCATATTTGCGCCAACCAATCACAGTGGAAGAACCGGCTCTTCGGCAATTCAGACGCCACATCCCCGCCATTTCCCCAGGTTTGACCCCCAATAGTTAGTTACAATGGGTAAGCAAAAGTTACAAGTAAACTCGGTTTTGATTAATATTTCAAGTATTCTTTCATATATATTGTAAAATTGGTATTTTTATCAATCTTTGTAGAATATTATGTATGGTATAAATACGTTATATCCATCAAGATTTTAGATGATTATTACATATAAAGTTTGTGTAAATATATATGTGGAATGCGTTTGTTGAAATATGGACTACCTGTAACGCTTGTTTACCCACTGTAGCCAAAAGAGCCGACGGGTTTTGTATGCAGACTATATATTTGTGTGTTTTAACCCCCGAGTGAGCAATAGCTTATACCTGCATAACTGTATCTGCAACAAAATTTACAAAAAAGAAATGGTGAACAAAGTTAGTACTATTTTCCCATGCTATCTTTGGGCATAACCCGACTAACAAGAGTTGACATGCTAGAAAGTCTATCTCTATGGCCTTGCACCCTGTGCAGGCGGTCTTGCTTTTGGTTATGTAAGTTGAAGGTTTCTATTATCTAGAGAGCCGATTATTAACACATTTAATTAGGACACTGGTTCTATGAGTATGTTACTTTTCTCGCCCGAAGCTCGCCTACTAATAGAGCAGGTGGCATCTTGGCTATGCCCCAATTCCTCGAATTCTTTGATAATCCGAGCAATTTCTTGCAAGGTGGCATCACAGCATCGCTCTTGGCTGGATCCCTTGCCGGATCTATGCTGACAGGTAGATTTCTCGTTGACGGAATCGGGCGCAAGCGGACGCTACTCCTTGGGTCAGCCCTCTTTACTCTAGGGTGTGCTGTTGCCGCAGGAGCCGTTAATCTCCCCATGCTAATCGCAGGTCGAGTTATCAATGGACTCGGAAATGGCTGCCTGACTATGACTGTAAGATTAATAGGGCGTATTGTGGTGAATACTGCTGATACTGGCTCATAAGGTCACTCTTTACCAAAGCGAAATCTCACCCCTAGAGTAAGTGGATTGGCTCATCTTTAATACTAAAGTACTAAGTCTTTTTCAGAGTTCGTGGTAGAATAATTAGCTTCTTCCAATGTGCCGTCAACTTCGGCATTCTCAGCGCATTCTGGATCCAATATGGATCGAGCTACATTGCCGGATCCGTGGCGTGGCGATTGCCCATGGGGTTGCAAATGATTGCAAGAATTCCTCCACGTTTCTTCTATAGATTATTGCTAACTATTCTTATAGGCTACCATCTTTTTGCACGTAGTCATGTGGTTCATGCCCGAGTCACCGCGATGGCTCGTTCAAAAAGATCGAGAAGATGAGGCGCTTCACGTTCTCGCCCGGATCCATGCGGCGGGCGACATCAACAACTCGTACGTGCAGGCTGAATTTTCCGAGATTAAAGCCAAAATTGCTTCTGAGTTGCTTCACCCTACACCGACCTACTTGGACCTGCTCGTCGGACCCCAGAAGCGCCGCATGTGGCTTGGCGTTGGAGTGGTTAGTACAGATTTGTGCTATGAAAAACGTGTTAACTGATATGTAGCAGCAATTTTGGCAGTCCATGACTGGCATCAATGTGTGAGTAAAGACTAAAATCAAGAATTGACCATTTTCCTTACTAACATACCTAGCATCATGTATTATGCTGTGTTTCTATTCCAACAGGCTGGCCTCGCCAAAACATCATCCTCGTTGCTTGCCAATGGTCTCCAAGGTGTCGTTCTTAATCTCTTTACCTTACCAAACATGTATTATTCCGACAAATGGGGCCGCAGGTGGCCCATGGTCATTGGCGGCATTGGCATGGGCATCTCCATGCTCATCATTGGCACGTTAATGAAGACAACGGGCAACCCGTACTACAACCCAATTACGAGAAAGACCAATTTCGACTTTGCAAGCAATGCAGCTTCTCAGACTGTGATTGCCTTTGTCTACGTCTACGTGGCCATCTTTGCTATTACGTGGGCATGCGTTGCGTGGGTTTACCCCCCGGAAATCTTTAGCATGAATATGCGCGGGCGTGCTACGTCGCTGACGACCACTACCAATTGGTTCATTGTAAGTCGCGCAGCTGTGCTACCATTAGGATGATTTACTAATGGGACAGAATTTCTGGTTTGCCTTGTATATTCCTACAGCCATGGAAGAGATTAGGTGAGCAACTTATCAGTCGCTTTCGAAGCCCTTTCCTCTAATCACACGACGGATATAGCTGGGCTCTATACATCATCTTCATGGCGCTCTGCTTTCTCATGGCCATTGTCGTTTTTCTCTTTTATCCAGAGACTTCAGGCAAGTCGCTCGAGGAAATCGACTTTTTGTTTAGTAAGGACCGCTCGCCGTGGACATTTACTGATCGACAGGCAACCAAAGTTGGGTCGCTCTTTGGACGTAATATGAATAACGGTGAGGCCTTGACCACATTTAATAACGAGGCCCTAGTAAAGACTGTATTGTAGATGATGAAATAGTTAATGAAACGGACACTACAATTCAAGTCCTTTTCTATTCTAATTTGTTGTACAAACTCTAGCGAAGCACATGACAACATGGATATATGCATTGTTTCATGTCAATGTTGATTTACAAGAAGCTACCTAAAACACTCAAAACCCCGATGGCGGCTACCATAGTTTGAATCTTAATAACGCTAACGGCAGAGCCTGTCACCACTGAAGGAGTTGCAGCGGCACCAGAGCTTGCTGTAGGGGTTCCAGCGGGAGTTCCAACGAGGAAATAGTCCGAGGCGATAGGTTCGCCGAGATTAGTCTCAGTCGTGAAGTTGGAGATATCGAAGCCGATTCGGTTGTAAACGGATGCAGTCAGATTGTTGAAAAAGGGGACGTAATTTGCAGGAACTGCAAAATTGACACTCTCGTTGTAGAGGAAGAGGGCATAGGTATGAGTCTGGCCTGCAGGTGGACCAGGGCCGATGTAGGGAGTAATAGCCTTTTGAGAACTAGCCAAAGCTGAACCACTCGATCTATTAAGACCGGTAAGAATCCAGTGCAGAAGCGTAGTGTTACCCGGAGCCGACTGAGGAGTTTGGACGCTAAGGTCTAGCATAATTGCAACGAAAGGGCCAGCATTGGAACCTGCAAGAGCCAGGCTAGGAGCATTGACAGCTTCTATTTTATCATTAGCAACTTATAATATTGAATGTTGAGTACAGAATACTAACGGCTAGCCTGGAGGGTAATCCCGGCAGGCTGGACCTCAATACCGCCGTAAGTCACGGTCAGATGATTTGCAGTGGCTGGTTGGAAGCCAGGCGGACTCTGGGCGCATCCTGCTGCTAGCAAAGAGGCAGTGGTGATGATAGATGAGAGTGAATGCATGATAAAGAGTTTTTGGTAGATTTGGACTTGGTCGAGTTGTAAGATCAATATTAATACGACATTGTTTGGAGTATATATGAATTAGCCACGGCGTAAGTAACGTGGACGCAGCCATCCCTTATATAGTTTTTTCCCATGGTTATAGTCATACCCATGCAATTTACTTCATATTATTGCGATACAGTTTGAACCATATTCAGCGTTCCGAGAAGTCGGCTTGCCCCAGACCCGTTGTGCTCACATAAGGTACTAAGCCAAATGTAGTATGTGCTGCTTTTCCTTGGCTCGATCTCGACTCCACCAGGCGATCAGCCACGCGCTTGGTAATCAGCCATACTAGAGGTTGTAAGTGACACACTTGAGCTAAACCTTAAAGGCCCTGTCTTATCTCAACACATACCGAATCCGTTCTTGGGCTGGAAACCAGGATTCCAACCTTGTCCGCCTAACCCTACGACGACTATCTATCCCCAAGTCTAACAAACATGGAGAAGGACAATGCCCACCTCAGGCAGCCTCTAGCGTTCCGCTTCATCGAACAATCAGGCTACAGGGTAGCCGGATCAAGTCACGGAGTCATCCGTTCTCATGCCATGAGAGAAGTTCGAAACCGACAAAAGCTACTGAGGCATTCGAACAATCAAACTAAGAAGAAATGTGATAATACAACTAAGGGTTCTGGACGCCTATCACCACGTAACCCCAGTCAAGGTAGAACACCAGTGAATTTTATTTGCGCTCCAAGTCCTTCTACAGATGCTAACTTATAGAAGGGATACCATCACAGATATGCTTAGAAAACCATATCGCTTCCGTCGCCCTTTTACCTCAGCTGTCGGTAGTAGAGATTGACAATTTTGTCTCCATTACCGAGCTGCTTCCACGTTTATTTACGAAGTTTCCAACCGAAATAAATATTATTAAACGGCACGGTATATCCCCTTGTTACTACTAGAAGCTTGCACCATTTTACTCATTTTGTATAGCTCTTTCATTTTCCCCTAGTAACTTGACAGCGATAATTTTCCCTGTGGCGCTGCAATCGCCAGGATTACTAGCTAGCATGCTTTATATGACATACTCGCACCTTGCTACCACAAGGGGCACTTATAATAAAGAGGTTGCTCTGGCTTTGAAGGGACTTGCTATGGTACAAATTAACCAAAAGTTGAAGCATCCCAGCACAGCAACCTGTACAAAGGTCCTAGCAGCGATTGCATATCTCTCGACAGGAACTTGGGTAAAGTCATACCGTCGCATATCAAGGGAATAGAGTCATAGCTAACAGCCTCAAAGATCTTTGGAAGCCCTTTTGAAGAAATTGAAGCGCATTTCAAAGCAATCGAATACATGGTGGAACAACGTGGGATGCCCAGTTTAGGGGTTTACCAGTTTGGCAAAACTGTTCGCAAGTATCTTCTACAGTAAGTTTGCGTTATAACCCATACATTGTGTGCTATTGAGTCTGACAGCACCCGTAAAAGGCAGCACATGCTCCTAGTAGCTCTCCATGCACGGCCACCCGTCTCATCCTTTCAGTTCGACTATGTTACACAACAGGAGCCGTTGGGTGATACACAATTCCATTCACCACTATATTGCTCTGATGGAGATTTCAGCGAATGCGCAATCCACACCCACTTTAGAGAAGCTACGTCTGGTATTTTGCTACTTGCTGGCAACTTAATTGACTTGGTCATAAGTCAACAGGCAACTACGTCACAGCTTGTCAATACGTTGGGTCGTATGAGAGCCGAGCTGGAAACCTACAGTCAGCATAGGGAACTGGATACTCTTTCTCCGGACGATTCAATCCAAGAATGCTGCCGGCTCGCTACGCTGCTTCTCCTTAATGCTATCGAGTATGGTGTACCTCTTAGGTTAAGCGACCCGCTGTTGGTAACTCGCCTCGCTCGATGCTTAGAAAAAACTGACTACCGAAGCAACTGGGGTGGTTTTCCTGGCTTGTTGCTATGGGTATCGATTCTGGGAGCTGCTTGCAGCCGCAACGCCCTGGATGGTGGTGTATTGTTGGTGATTCTGGGCCGGGCCATGTCCCAAGCGGCATTCACCGCATCCGAATTTGGACCTGCAATCATACCGATTCAGCGATTTATTCACTTCCGAAAGTCATTGCGGCGCGAAGGTGGTAACAGACTATGAAAAGAAGAGAGCTAGTGACTGGGGCCTGAAAATCCCATATTCCTTTAGTAAGCTTGTATATTATAGTCACAAAGAGCCGTCTCAATTTCAAATTAATTTCAAATTAATTCTTTTCCACTATTTTCCCCTGCGCCTCTGTCCTAGCGTTAGTAAATACTGCCTCGTCTGGAAGCATACAATCGGCTTCTTCCACTGAGGAACGGCATGGATCACCAATGGCACCCACACCAGTGGACATGCATGCTTGATTCGGCAGGTGCTGATAGGGCATCAGCCGCCCAACGCGCCGCCACAGCAGAGACTAACAGCCAGTCGGCATCCCTTCCTTTTAGCGTATCGGTAAATCAGGGTTGCTGGTGAAGATCAATTATCCTCAGAAGCTTCCGTAAGCAAGTAGGTTTAAATTACACAAGTTCAGCAAGCTTGATCGTCTAGTGAATTTGTCAGCCACCATAAGTTGGCGTTAGAAACCGTCTGTAAATAAGACGCAACATTTCCCTTCCAAGATCCTTACCAAAGAGTGCATAAAAAATTCCAGCATGCTTAATATTTTAGGTAGGTACTCTCTATCAATTAAAGTTTAATTACTAAGTCGTCTTTCAGTTATCCACGGATACGTCCAGTCAGCTGCAACCGTGGCAGAGAACACTCTCCCTTTACGAGAGGCTCTTGCTGACATTGCCCATCTACACTACGTTGACGGTCCTCGTTTGGACGCATCTCCATCTCGACCATGGTGGATCCTCGATTCAGACTTGGAACATGATATAAGGGCAGCCGATAGGTGGAAAGACGTTGTCAGTTATGCCCCTACACCTGGCGGTGAAGAAAAGCTAATCATCTACGCAGGTGGAATGGTGGTCACAAGAGCTATCCAAAAATCAATACGATGGGATTATTGGCCTTTCCCAGGGCGCTGCTATGACGGCGTTGCTACTCTCTATGGTAAGGCTTGCTTGAAATATTATACGCAAGTAAATATACTGATGAATCTTGGGAGCAGCTGAAATCTCCCGAAAAGGTGCCAGGTTTCAAAGTAACCAAGGAACAGCCGATTCAGTTTGCAATCCTTTGTTCTGGTTTGTCGCCTTTTCTACTTAAAGATTATACAGGCTTACAGCTCTTGTTTATAAAGGTTTTCGGTCCCAGTATGAGCCGCATGGCAGTTTATACGAAGTTTCGAATATACCCACGTTACATAGCAAGTGGAATCCTACTAACTGAGCGGTTTATCAGCTGGCTAATGTATAATTGGCTACTAGCTGTCGATCCAGCAGATACGATTGTACCAGCTTGGAAGACGGAGGCTTTGCAAAAGCTTTTCACTGATTCGCAGCTTCTAAGTCACAGCGAAGGTAAGTTTTCTAATCCGAAAGGCCATGAGATTCCGTATTTGTATTAATTTTGTTTATTAAATGACATATAGGTCATCGCATACCTGTACAAGGGAATTGGCCTAAGAACATGAGAAAGTTTATTCAACAGAATATGAGAGAAGGCTAGATTATATTTTGCTCGAGGCTTAGAAGCTGGTCTCTCCATGCTGGTGGTACGGCATGATGGGCTTGAGGCATCAGGCAACCAGTTAGTAAGTGGCTCACCTCACCTACAATACTACACACTGATACCTGGTCGCAAGCTGGCACAGGTTGGCACATAGAAGAGGGAGCAAGACACGTTGAAAGACGTAAATGTGAGAAATTCTATGTAGATATTCACAAATAATGATATATAAACACTATTTGGGTTCGTGTGTGTTATGATGATACAAAAGGCCAACGAGTGGAATCCCTGCGGGAAAATAAACCGAGATGCAGAAAAAGAAGAAAAAGAACAAGAAAACTCCTGCTAACGTGCGTGGCTATAGTGTATCTTACTGGCTATCCGTTCTTTTGGAGCCATTTCCTTGCGCTTCCTGCCCTTCGCTGGAAGCGCGTCCATTAGGCGACCAGCCCGCTGCAACACCAGCGGCAATCAGGCCAGCCATGACTGTTGGCGCACCCAGAGCAGAGTTGGATCTCGATCTGTTAGATCTAGAGCGCTGTCTCTCTGGTGTACCAGCTTGCGAGCCAACGCTCTCATCGAGTGTGGGCGTCGCTGCACCGTTGAAGGAGTTGGATCGCGAGTGTGACGGGCTACGCGATCTCATAAGAGTTTCCTTGGGATGCTGGATAGCAAATTTGAGGTTGTTAAGGCGACCGCCCTTCATTTTGCGCAAGAAGTTGAGTTCATCTCGCACATCGGCTAGAGGCTCCGGGTACATCTCCATTTCCTCATCGGAAATGGTCAAGCCGGGAACATTGCGGCGACGGTTCTTAAGGAAGGCGGGAATCATGGCAAGGACATATCGGTCAGGAATCAGACGCACGAGGATGCCCATGGGAATCGACAGGAATCCCAGAACAATGGCAATCGCCCAGAAGATGGGGTGCTGGTATGACGCAACGCTGAACGCCTGGCCACCATAAAAGACAATAATCACTTGTCCAGCGCACATGGTGACGCTAATGGCAATAAAGAAGATATTCTTGGTCAACCCTTCGAAGATGTTGAACTTGTTGTCCAGACGACGGTTGTTCCACTGGTTAAAGATTTGCATCCACACAAAGGTGTTGAATACAAGCGTATCCAGCTCCTTTTGTGTTGGTGAGTAGTCGCTCGGTAGCGGGAGAATTCCCTTGGGACCGCCATAGTAGAGCATAAAGGTAATGGCAAGCTGGTACACAGCCTGGCCCATGATCATCTTCCACATTGTCACGGAAATAATAGATGAGCCCTTGGGTTCGGGCTTGCGGTCCAAGACGCTATCATGAGGAGGATCGGTGGCGAGGGCAAGGGCAGCTAGAGTATCCATGATGAGGTTCACCCACAGCAGCTGGACTGCAGTTAAGACGGATGTTTGGTCATCGCTCGAGACAGCACTGACAAAGGTCAAGACGACTGCGGTAACGTTGACTGTGAGCTGAAATTGAAGGAAACGCTTGACAGCATCATTGACAGCACGACCCCATTTCAGAGCCTTGACGATACTAGCAAAGTTGTCATCCATTAGAATAATAGCAGATGCTTCCTTGGCAACTTCGGTACCAGCGATACCCATGGAGAAACCGACATCGGCAGTCTTGAGTGCGGGTGCATCGTTGGTGCCGTCACCAGTGACAGCTACAATCTCGCCCTTGTCCTTGAGACGTCTAACCAAAATTCGCTTGTCTTCGGGACTGGATCGGGCGAGAACGTGGAGCTTGGGAATAATCTCTTGCTGCTGCAGCTTGCTTAGATTGCGGAAGTCAGGGCCCTCCATGACAATACTGTCATCCTGGAGGATACCACATTCTTTCGCAATAGCCTGAGCCGTAATCTTGTTGTCTCCAGTGACCATGCGGACAACAACACCAGCCTTCTGGCACTGTCTAACAGCCTCAAACACGCCATCACGGAGAGGATCCTGAATACCAACAATGGAGAGCAAAGTCATGTTCTGGAAGATGTCTTCAAAGACAACTTCCTTACTTTTGCCCTCGCCACGACGAGCGTCACGGGGTGGCCACGATTCAAAGTCTCTGTAGCAGAGACCAATAGTTCGTAGCGATCGGACAGCGTAGGATTCAATACGGTTGGTGAAGGTTTGTACGTCTCCCTTGCGAAGTTCGGTAAGAGAATCGTCAGAAGCTCCATCCTGAAGCATCTGGGTGCACTTGGCCAGCAAGATTTCAGAGGCACCCTTGACATAGAGCCTAGCCTTTCCTTTGCCGAGTTGCACCACAATACCCATGCACTTGCGGCCAGAATCAAAGGGGACAATCTGGAGCGTCGTTGCGCTGCTACGGAGCTCCGCAACTGGGCCCATAGCAAGGTTTTCCTGGGCAAACAGTAAAAGGGCAGTCTCTGTCTTGGAACCAATAAAGGTCTTTTCACCATCCACTTCACCTTCGAAAGCAGTGGAGTTGAGGGCAATGGACTGAACAAGAAGCTCCTTGACGGGCTCGCTGAGCTTGTTGGTGAATTCGGAAGGGGAAACTTGGGTGGTGGGTAAATCGGATTTGGAATCTGGTTCAGCGCTTGCTCCAAATTCAAGAGATGTTCCCACTGAACCAGCAACGACCATCATTTTGTTCTGCGTTAGGGTACCCGTCTTGTCCGAGCAAATGGTTGTGGCATTGCCCATGACCTCACAAGCCTTCAAATGACGTACAAGGTTTGCATCTTTAAGCATTCGGGTGGTGGCAAAGGCAAGTGCAAGCGTGACAGCAAGAGGTAGACCTTCTGGAACAGCAACGACAATGATGGTAACGACGACGATGAAGATCTCCAAGAAGTCTTGACCCTTCTTTGCGGGTGTAACATCGGGGGGCTGGCCAGGAAGCTTGACAAGAAACTCGATAAAGAGGACAATGAAGAGCAACAGACCGGCGGCACCACCAAGCTTAGCAATATATGTGGCAATAACATTGAGCTTGGCTTGGAGAGGTGTCATCTCTGGGTCTTCATTCAAAGCCATCAATGTCTTGCCGTAAGAGGAGAATATGCCAGTAGAAGTAGCCATGTAAGTGCCGACACCTTCCATAATGCGTGCGCCAGATTGAATAAAGGGATCCATCTTCTTGAGGCTCTCGTGATTTTCAATTGCGCTGTATACTTCATCTCCAGGTCGTTTTCGGATAATGTCGGATTCGCCAGTGGTCTGGGACTCATCACACTTAACATTGAACCCCTCAATTAGGATGCCATCCACCGGCACCAGGTCTCCAGGTTCTAAGTGGATTACATCGCCCGCCATAAGGTCATATACTGATAATTCGAAAGTTTTGCCTGATCGTATTACTTTGACGTTACGATCTTGTTTTCTCTTGTTCAGCTTAGCGAACTGGCGTTCCTTTTGGAAGTCGTTGAGCGAGCCAACGAGCACGACGATGGCAATGGCTACAATAATAGCAACACCTTCGACCCACTCAATCTTGGCCTCGCCTGCTTTATGCTCGCCTCCGAATGTTTGGTAAAGACCAACGCCGAGACTGATAACAGCGGCGATGGAGAGAAGAATAAGGACTTTGTCGTTGTAGGTGATCCACATGAGTTCCCAAAGGCTCTTGCCTTTCTTCACAGGAAGACGATTGTCACGGAAGACACGGTATCGGTCAGAAAAGGTGTCGGGTCCGGCGTTAGATTGGCGAGTGGTAGTCGGCTGCAGCGTGGCAGCAGCTTTTTTGCTGGGGGCGCCATCGGTGGCGGCGGTGGCGTCTTCAAAAGAGACGTTGCCGGCAAGCTTATTTTCGTCGACACTCAGTCCAGCTTTGCGGTCCGTGCGGAGACCCTTTTCAATGCCAGCGAGTCCACCGAGTTGGTAAAATGCAGGAAGACTCTTTGGGTTGAACATCTTGTTCAGCTGGCCAGGCGTAAAGGCAAACGGGTTGTTGTCGACTTCAAAGTCTGCTTCGGTGCCGACGTCGGGCTTTAACGCGGTATCATCCTTCATAATCTTTTCGTTGCTCAGCGATGCGATCTTGTACTTATCAGACTGGGTCGAATTGGAAGCGACTACCGTTGTTTCGCCGTGAGAGTATAGTGAGCGGGAGGCTTCCTCGGAATCCACTGAATTCTGTCGTGTTCGGTTATCGCCAGAAGGGACAGAGAGGAAGCCTGCGCCGCGCTCTCCGAGGGCCAGAACTGGGCTAGAGACATTGTGAGGGCTTGTTGGCCGGCTATCTCTGCTCTCGAAGGATGTTTCCGCGCGGAGGTTCGGTCTTCCAGGGCGGGCCGAGAAGCTAGATCGGGGCTCTTCGATAATAGTTGATGGGGAGATGGGATCATCGGGTGACAATGTGTCGGCGCCAGCGGTTCGGATAGGAGGAGGCTGATTGTCGGCCATGTCGAGTGGTCCGGCGCTGGTGCTGCCGTCGGTTGTGTCTATAGTAATGGTTGGGCTGCACGGACACGTTCACGAGTTAGCAAGGTACGGCGATCTTCAAGCCCCAAGACGACGGGAAGACGAGGGCGATCTGAAGATATAAGGAGGTAAGAGGTGGGTACTAACGCTCGTCGGCGCGTGCCTGCTGGCGGAGGATCGTTATTTGATTCAGCCATATCGACAGAGGTTATAGCGCCTAGGTAAAGAGTAGTGCGCGGTCAATGACCGGGAGAAAACGAGGGGGCGACTCGTGTGGAGGCTGTGCAGGGTCTGGAATAAGGTTGAGCTTCAGTGGAGCGATGACATGAAAGACTCGAGGTGGCTGGTCTTGGTAAGGACGCGAAGTCGGTGGTGACAGTTGACGAAATTGGGGCGGTTGCGGATGCGTCGTTACCAAAGGAGCAGGAGGTTCAGGTCAGAGATGGGGAAGAAACAGCCTTGTTTGTGTTTAGCGTGGCGTTAGGTTAACGAAAAACGATGAACGAGACAAGGGTGTGGAATAAAGACACAGGACAGAAAAAGTCGTCGAGGCGAGAGAGGGAGGGAGAGATATGAGGAGAGAGAGGCGAAGTTGGACGGCGGAAAGGAAGCAGCTGGGCTGGCGAGTCAAAAGGGAACGGGAAGCTGTTGTTTTGGAACAAATGCTACCAAAGAGCCAGGATCGTCGCGGCCATGGTCGAGAGTTACAGCGAAGGAAACAAAAAAGAAGAGGGTGATATTTCGTAGTCGAGACAAAAAGAGGAGAAAGGAAGAGAACGAAGGGAAGAAGACGTTGCAGCCAGCAAAAGCACCCAAGCGGCACCAGCTTCAGTGGCCTGGGGGGACTTGTTTGGTGAGACTGCACAAGGACAAGGTTTGCCGGACCGCCAAGAGTTTACGTTGAGGCAGTGCACAGCAACGCTGTGATTGGTCGGTGGAGGGCGTGCGGGTCTCTGACGGGACGCTGGTTCTGGAGCGGTGCCTGCTACCCGCTGTTTGGGCTTTTGTCTGGGGAGGCGTGGCGCTAGCCCCAGGTTGGCATTAGCGGCCTGTTGCCGCTGAGCTTGTTGCGTCTTAGTGGATGCTCAGTGGGCTGCCCAGCGCCTACAAGAAGCCTGACGCGGAAGTCACATCTACTAACGTGGTGGTGCATTGCAGCAGTAGGTTGGCTTGCATCAAGCGAAAGACGCCTGCATCCAGCCCGCGGGCATGCAGCGGGAAGAAGGAGTATCGCGTGCCGACAGCTAGTCATGGTGGCGTTTGGTTTTCTTTTGATTTTCTTGGATTTCATCTCTTCTTTGTTCACGCCCAATGAGCCCGTAGGCGTCATCTCTAAAGCATAAAGGACAAGCATGAACTTTACGCAGCCCCGAGCAAGAAACACTTAATTTTACACCCTGACAAACAATAACAACCTCAGTCAACTGTACTTTGCCATCGAATTGTCGTGCCGATGGCTGGTGTCGATCCGCTGCTGATGTCCAGGTTACACCCGCGTATAGTAGAGTAACAGTCCCCTAATCAGCCATGTTTCGGTTTGGTTGTGATATAATTTGAGCTTCACTACTCTTATGACTCGCGCGGCGGCCACCTAGGGAGCCTGTGAGGCTAATAGATAAATTCTGAATTAAGCTTTTGGTTTCACTAAAATTAATGAAAAGAAAATTCCGTCACGCACAAAACCCTGCCCAGCTCAGACATTCGCTATAGGGAGGCTTGGGTGAAGCCAAGCGCTGAAGGTCTTGGCCCAAGCATGTGGCGCTTTAATAGAATTTTCCTTTCTTTTTCATTTTTCTTTTTCTTTCGAATTCTTCGGTCCAGAATACTTATTAATATTGTAAATTTCAGTTCTTTCCCCTGACCATCCGCTCATTGGCCCTTACTCATGCTCAGTTTAGCGAGTGGGCTCTCTGTTTTAGGCAAAAAGCACCCCTGCGGGCCCGTCGGCGGGCGCCGTTGCTTCGTCGACAAACCACAGTAATTGTTTTACACGTCCTCTGCGGTACCTCCGCCATGGCACACTATTCACAGAATTGATCTCATCTCAGAAGTATATGCGCCAATTTCCGGGCGCCGATCAAAGAACTCTTCTTGGAAGGACTGCATTTTCTACTCATCATAGTCCGAGGTTCCAAATCATCGCATCACATCGATTCGTAAAGCTACGTCTGTCCGCCGACGAAGTCGCCACGGCGGCCTCCAGTTCGCACAGCCGCCATTGCTTTCGTCACCATGGCAAAAACGACGCTTCTTTCCATCTCTGATCTGCCTTGATGGCATTCTAAAGTCTTTTGGCTAAAGGTAACCTAATTACTGCGTGCGATGGTTGACACGGCGAAACCTTCCTCACTACACGAGACACAGCCGGGTAGGTGACGCCATCATCTCGAGCTCAAGTGGGCATTTGGCCACCGCAAGAACATCGTATTGATTCCATATACGATTACAACCGAGTATCTGGTCCGTTGAATGAGGCTGTACACCTGCACACGTGTGTGTGTTGCCCGTCGCTAGCCTTCTTTGTAACACAAATACTCTTGGCCGCCGTGATCGTCATCGATTCCTGACAGTATCTAACGGAGATGATGGCGTATATACACCCCTTGACTACGCTGAAAGCTTGGTTCATAAGAAAAATCCTTTGATATCGACAAACGCACATGTCTGATTACAGCCGGCCTCTGCAGACATCAACCATAGTGTCAGACGCATATGTTCCAGATCCATGCTACATTACCAGGCGAGCTTCATAAATGCATACACAGCCTCGTTAATGAGAGCCCAAGTTTTACCTATTTTAGCACTATTGGGTGCGGTGGCATTATGTCATCTTCGTAATTATCACTTCGCTTAGTTCACCGGACGCCCGCAGTACACGGCACGGTATGCCGCAACACGGTCTTAGTGAAGGCGACATGTGAAGGATGCTGCACTGCCTCAATGAGGGGTTGGTGTTTTACAAAGGCACCGACTACAATAAGCTGTCAATATTTATGACCAATATTTATCCGTTTGTGAAGGAAGTTCAGTCTCGCTCAACGATCTCACTCACGGGATCGTCAGATAGCACCACCCAACAATTTTTGTTCGACCGTAGTAAATCGAGGTGCATTACCTCTACTTTGATTCGTGCGAAATTATGGTGGATTTTTACAGTTCCATGATCAAAGTATAACTTGCTCAAAAGTGAAATTGAGCCAGAGTATGATGCTACAGGGTACATGCTGAACTATACAGGTCACAGCGCCGTATTTTCAGAGAGCTTGCCGCGTCGAGAGAGAGTTTGATACAAGAAATCATCCAAAATTACAGATATTACAAAGCAAAACACTAGCAAACAAAATGCTTAAGCCTCCCGACTTGGTTCCCCGCTCCGCGATCTTGCACTTGATGTTCCAAAACCTCTTGCCTAATGCGGCTCTGCACAGCCTCAATGCCTCCACCTACCGCTGAGCCTGTTTTACTGAGTAAAGCACTTAGCGCACGGTCGGAGCTTGAGAGCGTTAGCGAATGAATAAATAAATAACGCATCCTCATGTCGGCTTTAGCAATGCATGCCCATGTATTTGGGAGCGGTTATCAAAAGTTCGTCACGCTCAGTCAGGGCCATGCTTATTTAGTGGGGCGGCTTTTAGCCAGGGAGCCTTGTTCGTCAATGTTCTCTCTACGCAGAAGCATTCTCGTTGGGCCTGAGTCAAGTATAGTGGGCGACTGCACTATATCATGTTTAATTGATCAATTGCATGTCTAGGCATATATATATATGTAGGTACTATGTTCAATAATGCCAAGTTCATATAATCTGTGGGAAATCATTCAGCCATCTCCCTGTGGTGTGGCATCAGCGGACTCAGTTGGCTCAAAAGTGCCTGAGATCCTTTTGGCAAAGCCCACCAGAGGCGAATATCCGTTTAGCGGCTAAATTCAAACATGGATCCGTCTTGCACAGCCTCGATCACAAACTGGGTGTGTCAATACCAGCTAGTTTGCTCTCTTCGGTCCTCGGTTCGCGAAGCACGTCGGGGATAATCCGTTCCCATAGACCGGTGTTAATTACACCTGACATCACAGGAGTGTGGGGGTGATAATTTCCACAAAGACATAGGTTATTTCATTGAGACAGACATGAATCCGTTCAAGTTACCAGGCTTTCAGTCCCCGACACGATTTGTTTGCGTTGGCAACACTTCGCCAAGCAGCGGCGTAGATGCCAAGCTCGGGAGGCCTCTTGGACACACTTGTGGCAGAATCAATTGACATCATCATTCTGAACAAGCTTGGATTAGTTGTTTTCATCTTCTACCAAGATCAACCTTTCGAACTGGGACCATATCATCAGATCCGTCTGTAGACAACAGGGCTGCCTGGTTAATGCCAAAAAATGGCACTACGGCTTCCCTGACAACTCCTTTCCAAAAGCCCTGGACGATTTCTTGCAGATCTCCTCCCGTCTGTTTGAAATCAGGAAATGCGTTGATTTCGAGAAGCCATGCAGTTCCATCGGCGTCAACTAAATAGTCCAACCCGAAAACCTCAAAAGCATTGGGCATTGTTTGGAAGTGAATTGGCATCGCGCGAGCAGCAGCTTCGAAAATCTCGCCAGTAACACCGCAAATCTGCTCAAAAATGGCATCAAGCCTTTCCTTCGGCAAAGGCAGGTTCCAGAAGCGTTGTACAGTGTTGTCATTCGGAGATTCCTGGATGCAAGTATTCGTGAGAAAGGTTTCGAGGTCATCGGGCGACTCCCACGGAGGAGAATATGGTTTCGCGGCAAAGAGTGCCAGCATATGTTTGTAAACGTATACTTGAAGACTTCCAACACATAGTACGTAGGTTCTGATGTGAAATTTGTGGCCACCTTCCCCCATCACCAATGGCGGGTGAATGTATGGTTGGGCGACGAAATGTCGAAGGTGAGATGCTGTGATGTAGTCACCAGCTTCGTCGCCAGTAGTATCTCTATCAGCATCCTCAATCTCATCTTCTTCATCGCTATCCGGACGCTCAGCCTCCCATGTATCGAAGATTTCTTGCAATTGATCCATGGTACTGAATAGGCGAATCCCTTGACCTCGATCACTCATTCCAGGCTTCAAAATCCACCATTCTTTGTCCCGCTCGTTTTCAACCGCTTCGTTTCTGTCAAGGCTTTCTCGCAAGTCAAATGCCTCTATCAGAGCATCATCTAAAAACTCTGCATAGTCGACCTCAAAAGCATCGCTTCTCTTCATATGCCTTTTAAGGACTGAGGTTGGGTTCTTGGCGACCCAGTGGTCCATCGTCGTCGAAATGTAGTGTTTTCGGATGAGCGCTTTGCGGATCATATAACTGTTGATCAAGTAGGACTCATCATGAGACGTTGCATATTCGAAATCAATGGTTTCGTACGGCGTGATTTGCAAAGCTCGACAGTTAGCTGACGCCAGCCACTTCTCAGCAGAAACTTCACCGTTCTCAGACTCTAATGTTGATGTTATTTGGACTAAGTCTTTCGGCAAGAGAGATTCGAATGCATTTAAGATTAGCGGCTGGACATATTCGTCTTCGTACGCAATAAGCGCCCTAAGTTGAGGTTCTTCTTGGTTGGACGTCTCTTTCTCACGAGGTAGCGCATTTTCGTTTACATCTTCGCTGTTAACTTGGTAAGAATTGTGCCTATAAACATACATACATAACCCGTAGCCATGTTCTTGCCAGATAGGAACAACAATGAGGTTGGCCTTTATACGCCGTACTTACAGTTCCAGCTCTTTTTGAAGCTTATCAGTTCGGCTCATGGCGAAGTTGGCCTTTAACGGTGTTACACTATTCGACTTGTTAGTAGGTATTGTCATTTTGAATGCCGCTGGTACTTGCCTCGTGTTACCCTCCTGGACAACCCAGCCATCGCTACCCGGTCCGCCATCCTCAACACTCTTGTAAACATCGGTGAACTTTGGAGCCCATTTGTAACACTTGCGTTTATAGCCTGCAGCCGGGGCGCCTCCCTCCTGTTCTTGTCGCAGTTGCTCTTCAGCATCGACACTGTCAGGAGCGCCATCTTCGACTTCGGTGAAACAACCACCATCTGTCCAGTAGTTCTGAAGTATCTCAGTGAAGATAGTTTTGTGTGTCTCCACGCCTTCCACAAGGGGGACGTTAACACTATAAAGATCAGCGCTATTATCTGATGGCCATTGTTTGTAAAGAGCTTCAATAACTCTGACACTGTGCTTGCAAGCAGCTTCAATAATCACAGGATCATGATTTCTGGTGAAGAAAGCGAAGCTGAGAGCAATCGACTTCTTTCGCAAGGCGGCGCCCTCAAGAGCAGCTCCCATAGTGCCCGAGCTGAGCGCAAATACAGCAGTCGTATTTCGGCCATAGTTGGGTCCGCTGACAACTAAATCAACAGGGCCCTTATCCTTGAACAAGTGATTCAGCCCAATTTGCGTGCACGAAGCAGGTGTCCCATCAATCAAGACCCATTCATCGCCATCGCCGTTAGCTTTTGGCTGGGTATGCGTGGTTCCTTGATCACCCTCGCCGTGCAATGATGCTGATGGTCGATAATAGACCGGCTTCAATGTTTGTCCAATAATATGTGCCTTTCCAATCCAAGACCTCTGTGTGTGTGGCAAACACACAGAGACTATGTGGCCGGCGGCCTTTAGATGCTCAACTAGACAGTGAACATAGGGCGACGAATGGGACGATGGCGGGCCATCATCGTTGGTGATGAGAATATGCATGGAGAGTCGAGTGGACTAAGCCAAAGATGTCGTAATGAAGCAGATTAGAGTCGGGAGGAGCTGCTGTCGACTATATCTCGGGCTGATTGAGGGAAATCGAAGCGGCTAATTTTTTTTTAGCAGTGACGAGTTATGGAGGGGTAAAGGCCAATTTGCGTTTCTCGGTCTCCTCTCCGGCCAATTGCGTGGCGCGACCCCCGCGACCCGCTAATGTGCATCGCGCAACCTACTGTACTACAGTAGGTATATACGTTATACGTTAAATAGCGTAGGTTTAGCTAATGCTGATTACCAAAGACGTGGCTGGTGATTCTAAAGTAAAGCTTATAAATTAAATGATGGATTCAGTGTACTTTATAAATAAATAGAAGTACTAGTACTATTAGTTATGTATAAAGAAGAATTATCACTTGATTTAGTATAACGTGGTTCACGGGCGAGTAGCCTACCTAAAAGCACATACAAATTAATACAATTTTAATTCTACCATTAACTCCAATTTAAATATATAAATACTATAACCCAACGCATCAAATTGTTATTTGCAATAGAAATTTCCATTATCATCATCATCATCATCATCATCATCATCATCATCATCATCATCATCATCATCATCATCATCATCATCATCATCATCATATCTTCATGCTATAGCGACCGGGCTGCGGTAATAGCTCATTCTCCAGTATATCCACAGCCCTGCGAATAAACACATCGCCATGGCGCTTGCAACCAGGTGTATCTCGGAAGATACAGACGGAAGAGTTGTACGTAGCAACATGCCGACACCCATGCCAGCGAGTATCATACATATGGACTGCACCTTATGCACGGCTGTTTCCACTATGGAATTACACAGCACCAGCAATACTATGAGGAAACATAACTTGTAAGCTTGTTCGACAACCCGCACCTGACGTAGCTATTGGCAGAAGGAGTGAGACAGAGGATACTTGTTGGGGCACTTACATGGATCAAACGCAAAGCGAACGTCAGCAAGCCTAACTGACCAATACCAAGAGAGCCCTCGGAGATATGGCGCCATCGAGGACAAGGTAATAATGACAAGTAGGAGCGGTACTTCAATATGGAAATTCTGAATTAATATGGGACATGTCGCGTAATTGCACGGGGAAGACGCAAAAAGAATGCATCACTTACCGGTGCTCTTCTCAAATCTGCTGTTGAGAAAACTGGAAGCAGCTATGACGATAGCAGAGAGAGCAATGAAGTAGTATTCATGTTCAGAGTCGGGAGGTCCACCATAGACTTCCAGGAATGGGGGTGGCCGCGTACTAAAATGTACCAATGCCGCTACGACAAAGAAGAAAACCGTAAGAATTTGATTCTTCGGCGAAGACTGCAAGAGGAGCATGATGCTCGTTAGAACTTGCACGGAGTACTGGTCTCTTCTCGCTCATTTGAAACCGAGATATTTCACAACAAACACACTTGAAACGTACCAGAAGTTGCGCTCCCGAAAGCGACGGAGTTAGTCTCCTCTTCAATGTGGCTGATATCCATCCCACCTCTTCGGGCCGGCCGACTCGATTTCGCCCCAGCGTGGCGACGCATATGTGCAAGACACCAGAAAGGAAACCTAAAAAGCCAATGTCTGCCGGATCTGCTTCGTTATCATTGGGCGAGTAGGCCATGGAGGAGAGGACCCGCATTGGTAACAAGATGCGGAGAGCAGCAAAGAGCAGCACTCGTGCTGTGAACTTGGCAGGCTTGAGCGACCACCACGACCAGAGGACGACGAGGAGTATAGCGAAGACGAGGCCCTCTACGACACCGGTGATGACCTGGCGGGTGAGAAGATCCTCCGAACAGGGATCACGGCTGAGGAAAAGATGCGCCAAAGGATGTAGATACCCTATCAAGCAGAAACCAGAACGTTAACGAGTTGCATCTTTGCGTGTGTGCGTGTGTGTGTGGCTTGTGGTAGGAAAAAAAGGAAGCGTACATACCTTTAAGGATAATAAGCTGGGAGAAAATTCTTGTTAGGGGAAAATATATGATGAGTACAAACGCAACGACTTGCGCCGATGCAAACCCAATGATATAAGCAACCCAAGGGCTCGAAGTTGGGTAGGTATGACATGTAAAGTCCATAGTAACATCGAAGAACATTTCTGACGACAGCTGCCATTTTTCATCATGTGTTATTATCCCTTGATTGTGCGAGTTTCCCCTTTGGCTGTAGGTTCGGGACAAGTGGTGGGCTTACCAAAATAAGAGTTGCAAATAGGAGCTCGCGCCTCCAGCTTTGGTCGGTTTCGTGCATCACCTTGGTCGGGCTGGTCATCTCGACAAAGCTATTTCCGTCACTTGCGTTGGCAGCATCCGAGGAGTGCAGCCGCAGCCGAAATTGATCGCTGCGCCTCATGTAATCAAGCATCCTGGCCTCGACGCGCAACGCTGTCTCGCGCTCATATGTGTTGTCACGCCAATCATAGGAGCACAGGATCGCCCGGTGATAGTTTCTCTCGCTGCCAACGACAAACAAGGCGACAGGCGGCTTGCGGGTGGTAATGTGTGTGACGGTCATCATGTGCGTGTCCACTAGCGTAAACCTGAATTCCTCTGCGCACCGACGGACAGCAGCAGGCTGCTGCGAGGAGCTAGCTTCTTGCTCGCCTTCCGCGCTGTCACTGTCGCGGTATTTTCCTCTAGGGGCGGACTCGACCTGGGTAAGCCGGCCGTGGTTGTATCCCCAAAGGTGCTTCTCGACAGTGGCCGCGTCGACATGGCCCTCTATCCCTACCAGATCTGCCTTTGTCTGGTGCGGCCACGATCTCGTCTGCGCCCAAAGATACAAGACGGGTGCTAGCAGCGCTGGCAGAGCAAACATCACGGCACTTCTGCGCCGCATTGCAGACCAATCCATCCGGGCTTCGTGTTCTGCTATACTTAGGCCGAGCAGCAACACCAAGGTCATTAACCCGAACCAGACGAGTGGCGCTGTTAAAAATCGACTCCGTGGCAACTCGGCAAGGCGGATGCTGTTTGCGTCAAAGCCGTCCCAGCGGATAGCAATGCTGGGTGTTTGATTCATGATGAGGGTGTCGGGTGCGTCGTCCGCCACATCAACAACACGGCTGCTGGGCTGCACGTCGCGAATCTCGGCGTCCCACACATCGTTGACGCTCTCGAACCAGGCCAACGGCTCACCACTCGGCCGCGTCGGCGGAAGCAGGCAAACCATGCGGTTCAAGAACTCCCCGCCGTCGTTGTCAAGCGAGAGCCGCGCAAAGGCCTGGAAGCCAGAGTCGCTCTGGCGGATTGTTGACCGCTGGCTGATGGGAAAGAGGCCCATCAGTGCATACACGACGTCGCCCGAGGTAAACTTGTCCGTGCGGCGCGCGGAGAAGCACGCGAGCGCTGTGCTTATAAAGTTGATGGGCGACAGTATAGCTGACCCCTCATAGTGGTTCACCAGCTCCTTAACGAGGCTTGCGTCGTCCCAAGCCGTCTCTGCAAAGTTGCGTTTCTTCCGGCTAACCGGCTCGCCGCGCCCTTTCTCGCCAAGGACGTACAGCTTGATGTCATGCTCGCGGGGGCAAAGCAGCAGCTCAGGTAAAGTCCAGAGCCGGGAGCCCCATTGCCGAAGCCATTTATTAGGGTCGGGATGCTGCGAGACAGCGTGCACGTAGTCTTGACCTGCTAGCATTGCGCCTACCTTTTCCGCAACTGGCGGCCCGGTCGCAATAATCATAGAATGCGCAGCGCGTACCACGTCGCAGATGCGGTAGACATCGGCGCTCTTGCTTGCGGAGCGCGCGACGTTGTCTTGATCAACCACGCACTCAAAGTCAATCCAAAACGCTCGCTTGCCTGCCCTCTTTGCCGCGTCAAGCCCCCACTGCAGAAGCTGCTTCCGGTCCTTGTCTGCGAGGTCGCTGTATACCTTACGCGTAGCCTCGTCCGGATATCGTGTGCGGATCTCGTCTTTGGTTGCAACGCAAAACTGTGTGCGCGTGTACGAGACAAACACAAATCCCAAGTCCACATCAGCGCCTTCTTCTTTAAGAAAGACTGCGACATTGATGGTTTTAAGCTCGTCTTGCTGTACGTCTGTGATGTAGCACAAGTGCCGTGGACGGCACTTGATACCTTGATCGTCATTTTCCATCGTCGTGGTGTGCGGGTCGTCGTCCTTGACGGCGTTGTTAGATGGCTCAGGGCGTGAGATGTCACTGTCCAAGTCGATATTGTCTCTGTAAAGACGTCGCGAGGCCTCGGCTGCACCGTCTTTAACCGCTCCGTGAATGCCCAGGTGCCGTACAGGCTGGTATTGTTCATTTGGTGGAGCACTCCAGGCAGCCATCGAAAGATGCCCTTTATAGAAAGGTGCGCTTATGAATTCCAGGCCATGAAGCTAGTGGAATCGTTAGCAGCGAACTTTGCACCGTGGACTGCGCTTGGAGTCAAGCCCAAGGCATATATGTAACTGCGCGCGTACCATACAACACGATACGGGTATGGACACCAAGAACCTCAGTGCTACCTCGCAAAGAGCAATGCCGTTGGACATATTCACGTCTCTGCTGCCCGGCTTCAGGATAGGCGCGCTGATCCAGTAAGTTAGTTTTCCTAACGCTGTCGCTGGGGACAACGGCCGGGCCTCAAGGCGCTTCCAGAGCTGCGTGTGCGGCAGCGAACGAGCGTCTTGAAAGCTTTGCAGGATTAACGGTGACTGTTTTCCATTAGACGGGTGCACGTAGTACAGCAGAGGCTTACTACTCCCTATAGATGATGGTGCTGGTGCTGGTGCTGGTGCTGGTACGCCGCCATCGCCAGCCTCCAGACGCTGCGGTTCATTCTGATGTAATGACATGATGATGTCTGGTTCTTCGCTCATCTGATCGGGTGCGGCCCGTCGTTGCGATGTGGACTTGGTTTCCCGTCGTTATTTATTCCCGGATGAAATACGCCCGCCTGGGTTGCCTCGTCTGCGCCACAGGGGGTGGCCATGCGAGGCGTCAGCGTCAGCATCTACTGTACGTTGATCGGCGAGTGCGAACCATTTAGCGCCGAGATTCTGCGGTGCAGTTTAGTTTTCCCTGCTGTTTCATGTCCCATTCTGGCTTCCCTTTGCCGTTGTTTCCATTGTTCACGGCTTGGCGCCACACAGTTCTCCGCAAAAACAGCTTCCTCCCCACCGCTGTACGGCCATCACCAACACCTCAACCCGCCAACTCTGTATTCAACCACATAAAAGGTACAGAAATCGCAATTGGTTATTCCGTGTTTGAGGCTGCTAAATTGGAGACAGCTCCAGTAGTACGCTTCTGTGCAGCGGCTGCCATTGCGGTGTGAAGTGTATTCAGAGCATCTGTAAATTGCATGGAGATCTCACGTTTTCTATCGTTGGAAATCGAGTAGTCAAACTTTGCATCGTTGCGGATCGCTGAGATTTCGTTGTAGGGGTTTTTTTTGGCAGTCGGCTAAGCTGGACATGATTGTGGTTATTTGCTTTATTAAAAAAAATGAACGAAGTTCGATATGCAAGAGAGAGGCCGTATTGGTTAGTCTCGTGCTATGGAGAAGAAGAGTGAGAAATCGTGACTCACCAGGGCGTTTTCAAGGGCCATCAGTGCACATGATGTCGCTATTCGCGGCCACCACGTTTGGTGGGTGGCTAAACAATAAACCATGAATTTTCAAGAAATGTTCAAATTCGCTACAAAAGAATCTCCATTTATTCTCCTTATTAACTTCCTTAATGTAGAATCTTATAGACAGAAGTTTGTAATATAGATCTATCACCCAGACCTCTTGTCAATGACGAGCGAACACAACTATCATGGGTTGGGTGGTGTTAAAATGAAATGTACTTCTGGCCATGCCTAGTATGCTAAAACCTATTCCTATATACCATTACATGCTAACCAGTCGTTCAGTCAATCAATCTATACGAGGCATTCGACCAAGTTAACGCGGGCCTAACAATAGACACCATAGATTGAGTAAGTAGGCTTGACCTGACAAGTGCATTGAGTCTGTGGACGGATAGAAATGGTTCGCTGGTTTCCTTTTTCGCAGTTGTGATGCGGCCAAATGGTGTATTTGAGACACTTCTTCTTATCCACGTTCCCTGCCGAGGTGGATGCATATGCACTGGCCCAAGTGTAGCATCTTCTTGAATAGTAATGATTAAAATCACCATGGCAGGTTCGCTCATCAGAAAGATAAGCGTAGTAGTAACCGGGATCTCTTTTCTGGATTCCATTCGATGCCGAGGAATTAGGAACACGATCGATGACTTTCTGGCCCCGAAGACCCATTTGGACAGCATCTGCGTAGCGAATGCCCGAGATATGGGCGCTCTCTTCCTGAGCTGGGTCATCGAATTCGCTTGACTCAATCGCAAGAGAAACGGTGTCAGCTGACGAATCAATGCATTTCCACATCTCTGCGTCCACGGTGTCCAGGTCAATTGTACGCTTAGTAAATGGTATTACAACCAAAACACCTTCATCCACGTACGCTCTGTATGATGAGCTGAGAGCTTGCACGCAGTTGCTAAAGACAGAGAAGTGTTGTTCCTCAAGAGCACCTTGACCCATGACAGACAACATGTCGCTGGAGTCAGATAGACCTGTAGTGATGGAAGCTGCAAGCGCAACACCAACGCCAGTGAGGAAAGTAATAAATCTCATGGTCGAGATTGGAATTGCTCGTCTATAGTTAGTAATGAGGATGAGAAAGCGTAAAGCTGATGCGGAGAAGGCTTACAAGTATATCTTGTGGGTAGATACGAGGGCTTTTTATGACAAGGAATTCAAAGTAAAAATAAGAATTGAATAAATCACAGGTAGAGGGCGGCCTGTGATACGGATTTTATATGCCTCTGCCGCCCTCCGCTTTATCGCTCACTCGACACTCTTCATACAGCTGCAGCCTTGTTTTTAAACGAGTTATTAATTGCGACCGATTTTTTATTGATTAGGCGTTGACAAATCGGCAGTTGAATGATTTCTCAGAGTGTTCTTGACCGTCATGATTGCCGGTGAAGCACGGCTCAGCTATGGTTACACAGCGTCGTTTTCTCGGTGCACGAACTCATCGGACAGCTTACTGTATGTGACGCTGATGTCGATACTCACTCAGTTTGTGTGTCTGCATGTCTTCCTACTTCGCTATTTGACTTTATTAACAGTCCTTCTCTTTCACTGGCATTACCTTTGAATAAGATGAGGCGGATAAGCATAGAATGAGTTTTTATTCGCTTATAATAGTGCGATTGTTGGTGGAGACTTGGATCGCCTTAGCTTACGATGGGTGCTACAGCGCCACGATTAGCGGGCGTCAGGGCGGGGTGCGACTGGCGCTCGGTGGCAACATAACCCCCACGCCAGCTTCGCCTTCATTAACATCTACTGCACATCCCACCCAAGAAAGAACATTCCAAGATTCACTCCCCTAATCAAGCTGCCTTCAAAATGTCAGAAGATTGGATGGACTTTGGTCGCTTCATCAGCACATTTCAACTGAAGCTTGATAAGGAATTTGATCGTGACGGTATCGCTGCGTCATGGGCTCCATCAACCAACGGCGCACCTTTACTTTGGGGGAATGAGCTTAATGTATTGGAGCTCAGTGATGATGCCTTGTCAGAGACAGCTGAGAAGCCTCGTGCTTATATGGTACTGAGCCCAGATGGCAAATTTGTTGCAATTTCAACCAACTGTGTCGTGAGAATCTACTCTGTCGACTCCATGTCCGTGACGGCAGAGTTTACCGGCCACGAAGACATGGTTGAAACGGTTCAATTTTGGCTCTACAACAACGAAGACGAACGAGAAGTTCAGTATATCATATTTTCGCAAGACTCTGAACCCGTCGGTGCTGATGGCGTTATTATGGCATGGCACCTCAACAAAGAAGGAAAGCTAGTTGACGACCAAGAAACGAGCGTCAACTTTGAGGGTAAATTCCTTTCTGGGGATGCAGCGGCTCTCAGTTGCAATAAAAATCGTCTTTTACACTCTGATCGAAGTCTCTCAACCCAAGGCTGGGACCGGCCATCTGACTGGCTTCCACAGCTCGTCATCCGCTCGCTTTCGGACCCAGCCACAGAGGTCTGTCGTTTAAAAGGCCATCAAGATGCAATCAAGTGGGCTGCCTGGTCACCTACTGATCCAAATATCGTTGCGTCATCATCTTGGGACAGAACCTGTGGAATCTGGAATGCTGCCACGGGCGAGTCTGTCCACATCATCCAGCACTCCAATGGACAGAACTGGACAGGTGACTTTTCGCCGAATGGAGAACATGTTGTGCTTGCAGCTCAAAACCTAAATGGGACAGAAAATGTTGCGATTTATGCAGTTGCCACTGGTAGCTGCATTCAGCGGCTGGAGATGCCCAACCTTGGCAGCTGGTCTACACCACTATCATGGTCTCCAAATGGTGGTGTAGTTGCCCTTGGGATCGACCGCAGTGTCTTCCTATTGGACGTTGCTAAAAACACAACTAGCGAAGTCATCAAGGTTCATAGTGATGGTAATCTGCGTGACAGATACTGTTCCATCACCAGTTTGAAATGGCTCGACCGAAAAGGCGAGAAGCTGCTTATCCGCCTTACTGACCATACAATGTTTATCTGGGATATGAAGAGCAACTTGAAATGGAGATTACAAAGGCCATCAAATGTTCAGGAACTAAGGACACACTGGAGCAGCGAAGTATTTATTGAAGATAAGAGTCTGTTGCTTTCTCTTGATGGAGACTGGCGGGTCCGAACCTGGGAGATTAAAGCGTAATGATTGAATATAATTATATTTAGTTAGTGGATATATCTAGGTTAAAAGTGAAGCGACATCACGCATTACAGTCCTGAGTCTCTTCAGGGCTTCAAGAATACAGCAAGTAGACTCTATTGCCCTTTCGTATAGGTAGACCTGTCGTGCTAATGGTCGCACACGCAGTCAGACGATAAAGAGTCACAGATGGAACATAGTTGTGAATGAAAAATTATGTTTACAAATCTTGATTCATTGTGGCATTCTTGCTCAACTAAAAATATTCCGGCAATTATTATCCTTCTCTCCCTTGGGTGAAACGCCGAATTCCGAAAAACAGATAAACCTTAACATTCCCGCTTCCATCATGTTCATGTGCCAAAAATGTGTAGGCAACAAGTGTCGAATATGCTTGACTCTAAACCGTACTAAACAAACTGTCCAATATACCATGCCTTCGAGGGCTCCAATTCATTAACAGGAAAAAAAAACAACGGAAACCAAAGAAAGTGATAGCCGTCAAACCTATACAAGGCAAGAAAAGAAATATGAGTGTTTACTTAAGCGCGCGTGCGCTTAGCAGGTGCCTGATCCAAGGTCTCGCCAACTCGCTTGGTTGAAGCTTGGCCGCGAGGGTCTTTGATTCGGGGCCAAGAGTCAAATGGACTCTTGCGGCCCTTGCTCTTGGAAGGAGTAGCCAGTTCCTGAACCCTGTTGGTTGATCGAGTGGCTCTTTTGCTGTCTGGTGGTGAAATAGGTGCAAATCGAGGCGCTTCAGGCGTTTCCACGTGGGTCGACTTGGCTTTGCTAGGTGTGGCAGGTGTTTGGCGTACTTGGGATTTGATGTTATCCTCGACATCGGTGGTTGCCTCTTCCTCTTCCAGAGCTTCGGCTGACTTTTCTTGAGGGAAGAGCAGACGAGGCTTGATGGAAGATCGGCTGAGAGGCTGAACAAACTGTGCGTCGGAGTCGTCTCCTTGAAGTTCGTCTTCGTCTTCTGAAAACTTGCGGAAGAACTTCTTGCCACGGAATACGTACACCATACCGTCTTCGCGGTGAGCAGCATCTGAAATGGACTGAGCACCCTCGCCAGGAATAAACACATTGCGGCGCTTGGCGCGGCGCTGAGCGGCGTCCGTTGTCTTGGCTGAAGAGCTGTAGAAGGGGTTCTCAGCGCTGTTGTCCTTGACGGGGATACGATCTTGGGAATCAGTAAAGATCTCGATTGAATCATCCTCGTCTTCCACGGTAAAGCTATCCATCGTCATGCCTGAGTATTTCTTTCCGCGGCGCTTCTTAGGCATAGCGGAATCATCCGCCGAAAAGAGGTTGCGAGCGAAAGTTTGAATGCTGGTTGAGGCAGTCGTGTTGGATACTTTTCGAGGAGTTTTTGATGGTGTGGGTAGGCCAAGACCGTCGGCCGTACCAGATACATTGCGAGACTGGTCTCCGGAGGTCTGACGCTTCTTGCGTGGAGATTGAAGTGGTGAGGTCATAACAACCGATTTTTGTGTGTTGGCCTTCTTCGAAGTTCTGGGAGTGGCAGGTGATGGGGTTCGGACAGTAGACTGCTGTGAAGAAATTCTGGCAGACTTGCGGGGAGTATAAGGTTCCCATTCGTCGTGGTAGCCAAGTCTAGGAGCAGGAGGAGTGTAAATCTCGGTGGAAGCAGAAAAAAAAAAAAAAGATCTCATTGGAGCGACCATTTTTGATAGCTGTGAAAAGTGAAGAGCAAGTGAAGTCCTGTTACCGGCGGTGACAGCCAGGTACTGTGCCCAAGCGGACGCTTTCCTGTAGTCTGGTGACTGGCTGTTCTTGACAGTAGAGGTGTTGCACACTTTGGTGACGACAACGTCAGCGCTACACAAAGCAAACAAAGGGCTTTGTAGAATAGCAGTAAAAATAATCGCCGGAATTCAAAATGATATCTGAAGCTTGTAGGAATCGAAAGCGATGCGATTAAACAATGGCGATGAGAAATTGAGGAATTGAAAGATAATGGTTGATGAGAATGAAAGGAACAAAAAGTGGAAGGGAGGTAGGGATTCTGAGAATTAGACACTCCCCAAGGAGGCTGGGGCCACTGGAATGCATGCGCTGCCAAACCAACCACCCTTGTGCAGGGGCCGTCAGTGGTGGCCGACCCACTGAAAATAAAGACAATCGCCTGGGACGCGCCTGCAACGCGTTGCTTTCGCGACCAGGCGCGTTCCAGTCGCCCAATAGGGCGGCACGCTTGCGGATAATCCTTGTCAGCCGCTTAACGGAAGTCGAAAAGCCCCTCCAAGCGCACTGTAGAGGACCCCTCCGCAAGAAGCGATTAGCTACGAGTCTTGTAGCGTTGTTTCGACTACCGGTTGTGAGACGACAAATATTGAATCAACGCTTTTTTTTGTCCGCCGCTCCATTTCATATCGCCATTGGCCCAGAACATCAAGCATTGTCACCATGGACGATTCAGAGATCACAGAAACAGACATTTGGGCATCGCCCTCACAGTTAGCAGCGCGACCAAGGCCAAAGAGTCCTCGAACTCCAAAGACTCCTAAGACCCCAACATCCTCGGATCCCGTCGATCCGGAAGTTGCGCTGCGTCGCGAGCTAGAAGGAGTGCGCAAAGTGAATGAGGCTGTGGAAGGGATAATTGCCACTCTTGAGCGAACTGGTAGCAACATGACAGTAAGTTCATTGTCTGCGCACGTGGCACTTCCGCCAACTGTCAATCAACTCGAAGCTGACATTTACAGACTGTATCAAATACTGTTGGTAGTGCCTCAACTTTGCTCAACACCTGGACCAGGATCCTCTCCCAGACAGAACACAACCAAAGATTACTCCTGCATCCCAATTGGAAAGGAGTCACGGAAGACCTGGCTGCTCAAGAAGCCGAGGCGATCGAACGACAACAAGCGGCTGAGCGACGTGCGCTGGAGGAAGAACAACGCCGAGAAGAAATACGCCGTCGGCGAGATGAAGAGGAGGAGAAGCGTCGCTTAGGCGGGTCAACTTCGTTGCGCGGTCGCCGAGGATCAAGGATTACGCGCGGGGCAGCTGTTGCACGAGGAGTAAGAGGCAGTACACGTGCATCGTCGACCTCGAGGATAGGGACCGGTTCCAGTTATCTGGCAGATACTACAGCATCGAGCACAACAAGTCGAAGAGGTACATCAGGTATTGGTAGGGGCATTGGCTCAACCAGAAGTCGCGCGAGAGGGGCCCGGTAATGTTTATAAAGCTTCGTATTCTTTACGACTTAGTAGTACAATATTCCTTTTTAGATACCCAAACACGCTTACTGTTACTTCTTAGTAAAAAAGGCGCTCAACTTCTTCATGCCCGTTGTGTTAACCTTCTCCAACTGCTTCACTCCACGGCTCTGCGTAGCCTTGCGTTTTTTCTCCTCTTCCAGCTTTCGTTTTTTCTCGGCACGTGCTTCATCTTCTTCTTCATCATAGGCTCGTTTGCGGGAGTAGTCGCTCACAGAGCGAGCTGCCATTGCTTCGGCTCGAAGCTTGTCTAGCTTCTGAATGAATAGATCAAGTGGCGCAAAATCCACAGATGTCGCTTCTTTGACCAAAGATGTCTGCTTCAACATTTCAGCCAGGTGATCAGACAAGTATGTTGCGCATATGAAGTCGAATGCGACTCGTAACCGTTGTAGTTGCACGATTTGTGGTGATGCGGAGGTAGATGAGCTGACTTCGGTATTGGCGGGGGCATCTTCAACAACAGATGTCGCTGCTGTTGATACCTGTGACATAGCGCTTACATTGCTATCCTCAGTAGCAAGGCTCAACTGCGAATCGACATTCTCGGGCTTCGGCGTAGAGGCTGTGGAATCGGCAGCGGCGACGCTAGCAGCACCGTTTACACCCGTCATTTCTCGTCGCTGGAAAAGCAGCGGTGCCTCAAGCGCTTTGGTAACGAATTTTTCCTCAATGCTGGCAGGCAAAGAACCGGATTGTCCCAACCATTTGGCTTTATCCCAAATAACACCAGCGAGCTTCTGTTCGTTGATACGAAACATGGATTCGTCACCAGCGTCGACAGAGTCACAAACAGCAGCCAGTCTATTTTCGAAACGCTTTCTTGTCCGCTCGCATCGTAGAAGTTCTGACAAATGCGATGCGTCCTCGGGGAGCTTGTCAAAATAGTCGTCACTCAAAAGGAATAGTCGTTTCTTCTCGCCGTCCTCACGGGAGGCTTTCGGAACAAGCGCCGGAATGATGAGGAATAGCGGATCAATAGCAGTTGCAACAAACATTTCGGGCTCGCTTATTGTTTGGGAGCTAACATTGCCCTCGATCAGCCAACTTCGCGGCGCGGTTTTCGGCGTCGCAACTTTCGTAAATTCATATATGCCGGTGTCGGGGCAGACCAAGTATCTCGACGGCGATCCATTTCTAGGATGTGGAAGATTGGCGATGCGCGACATTTTCGAGGCTTTCGATGGCATAATAAATATTTTCTGCGAGGATCCGGTGCTGTTGGAAAGGTGGTATTTTGAAGTTGACTTGGTAGTGTCGGCACCAGCGCTCTTGGATGGCGCTGGCTTCGTCGATCGTGTCCTCGTCATAGCAGCTCTTTAAAATAGAGAAACTTGTGCCTTTTTTCTGGTGTTCAAATACAATGGATATGTAGTAGAAGGGGTGGGATTCAATGGTTGGCTGTGTTAATCTTGTCGACGCTGCGATTTGAAGTTATAAAAAGCCCAGCAGGGAGATTTCGCGAATGGTTACTGAACGCGTTGAGCGCGTAAAGGACACGCCGCCTTAGGGCATTGTGTGTCGAGCGGCCCCTGTAAGGTGCCGTTTGGGTTCCATTGTTAAAGCGGCGGGCCACTTGTGTCAACCCTCCACACGACCAACTACCTACCCGCCTGTAGCGATCGTGGCTCCAGCACGAAACTAACAAAAATACGGTTGAACCTCTTTGCAGCATAACTTTGCTAACCTGTATGGGCTTACTATAGCATTTAGGCTATGTACCAAGTTATTTTCTCTACTGTATAGTGCTATAGCGCTGCCGCGTAGCCACTGCAACACACTGGACGACCTGCGCAATTCTGCTGCTCTATCAACATGGCACCCGGTAAGTTCTACCTTTCCGAATAAACCGTTATCAAGACTAATATTTCATAGCTGGTAAGGAATCCGAGCCCCAGTGGCCACCAAGGTCACCCCACGAAGCGCTCATGAGCACACCCAAAGGGAGAAAGAAATATCAAGATATGCTTAGGAATTCTGCCTCTCCTTCTCCTAGCCGCGGAGTTCAGATGCGCTCAAGCCCATTTCTCGCGAAACTTGCACAAACAAACAACGAAGAAGACGACGATGACGATGACGATGAAGAAACGTTACAACTTAAACTTCAAGAGATACAGGCTAAACTGAGGCTGAAGAAGCTCCAGAGTGCCAAGGCAAGGGGAACAGCTTCCACTTCAAGCCCATTTGGCGAACCTCTTCTATCATCAGAAACTAAGTCACGAACAAATATCACCAATGCAGTAAACTTAAGCCACCGAGACACCCATCACCAAGTTGAAGTTCCAGCATCACCGGTACGGAGAGCTCAAGCACCGATCACAGACCAGTCACCCACTCGTGTGAGACTTGGGATAGACAAGGGGCTTACTGCTGAAGACGTATCTTTGAAACGGGCGCCAAGTTATAAACGCTTAAACGGTAGTCCTCTTGGTAAACGGACGCTCGACAGATTTGCGCCAGCTCAACCAGCACAGCCCAAACCAATCAGCTTCAATGAGCGGTTGGCAAATATGCGCAATGACGAAGTTTCCAGGAAGGAACGCCAAGAGAAGATTCAAAAGCTTCGCTCAAACACATTTAATATTGGTCAGGATGAAATGGATAACTACAAAAACACAGCAGTTGATATTCCTGAGGAACCGGCGCGAGCTCCTGTCTTCTCAAGAGAACAAATACTTCACGGCACCGGATCGGGAATTTCACGAAGCCAAACGACTCCCGCCCTTTCAAACACAAATTCCGAAGCTGGAGAGAAATTGTCTGAGGATGCGGCATCCTTCGAAGCCTATTCATGTTTACACCTATCTCGCCGGATTCTTCCTCACAATGTATTAACACGCCACGTGTCCGGAAAGAAAATCTTCAATATCAAGGATCTCCTCAGAGAAGTGAAGTCGCCAGATTATAGCCTCCCCGATATCGAACAAGATATTGTGGTCTTTGGCATCATGGCAAAGAAATCAGAGCCCCGTTCGCATCAGCCCAAGAATGATAAGTCAAAGAAGGCCGATGATGAACGCGGAAAATTTATGATTATGACTCTTGTTGACCTCGACTTCGAGGTTGATCTTTTCCTGTTTGACACCGGATTCACACGGTTCTGGAAGATTGTGGAAGGCACAGTGATTGCCATTTTGAACCCGAACATTATGCCACCGCCTCCAGGACGAGCTGATACGGGTAAATTCAGTCTAGTTATCAACTCAGATTGCGATACTATATTAGAAATTGGCAAAGCCCGGGACTTGGGCTACTGCCAGTCGACGAAAAAGGACGGCGAGCTATGCAAAGCGTGGGTGAACAGAAAGAAAACAGAATTCTGTGAATATCATTCAAATGAAGCTATCAAGAAGCAAAAGTCAACACGCATTGAAATGAACAGCAGTGGGTTTGGGCACCGTCAAGGAACCAATAGCAGGGGGGGATTTAGAGGAAACGGCAAATTCGGGAATAGCTTCGGCGAATCTCACCAAAGTTCCAGAAACAAGAACTATGATTGGGAATCACGGTCACAATTCTTTGCAGCCCGCTCCATGAGTGCCGCCGACCTTTTGGACGGCAAGGATCTGGGTATGACGGATAGAAAAGAGCGAAAAGAATTTCTGAAAAGAAAGACTGAGGCGCAAGAACGGGAGCGAGATATCATGAAGAAGCTAGGGCAAGTTGGCAGCTCCGCCGGACGAGACTACATGAAGCAAACAGGTTCTCGTCTGACAAACATGCCTGTCCCTGGGACTCAAAGCACCATGCCCGAATCAACAGGCGACGCAGAACTACCATCTAGAAACGCTGAGATTTTGGAACTGGCGCGAGGAGAACGTGCCATTCATCTAAGTCCAGTGAAACGGAAGCGTCCAGAAAGCTCAGATGCTGGTTCATCTGTTACATCTGTCACAAGATCCAACACATCAGCCGCGTATGGCTGGGGAAGCAATTTGCGAGACAAGCTGTCGAGCATGAAACAGGGCGAGAAGTTTATACAGAAGGAGGATGTGCCTCTTCGAAAAAAGACGCGATTTGTCACAGAGAAAGGCATTCGCGTGGCTGGGCGCGAAAGTCTTGGAAACGAGCTGTCAGAACGACAAATCACCTTTGACGATGATGATGACGATGATCTCTTTATTGTAAAATAAAACATGGACAGGCCAATCTTGCTTTTTCAGTTATCCGCATACAGTCACTTCTAGTGCTGCACGTTTCTCAGCATGAATTTGGCGCTTCATAGGGTTAATCTATATTGTTAAAATTCAACCACGATTTCGTTTGACAGGCTCAACCTGGTGCAATACGGCTTGCTCGTATGGTGCACGGCTACTCTATGGACATCCGTCATAATGTTTGGCTCGAGGATGTGTCCACTGCAACGCCGCCTGATGGAGGTAGGACCCAATCTGACAGCAAAAAGGCGATGCTACCAAGACAATAAGCATTTATACACATTACGACTTTATTTATGCCGCGCCTTAGAACTTTGACCGTTCTCGCTTCATAGTATTCCTCCATCCGCTAGCGACACAGTGCAGAACCGAGAAGCGATTCCTTGTCGCTCAACTCAACCCAACCAGTGTACAACACTTTTTGTACAGTTTGTCCACATTTGGCAACAGCTTCGCTTCATAAGTATTGTCGTTATAATAAAATTGATTCATTCTTTTCTAGGCATTATTCCATCAAAAAGGCGCCTCAGATTCATAGCTGGATGCTTGCGTTGGAGCGGCCTGTCACTAGCTTCCCGCTTAACTTCGCCTCTTGGCTGGGCGAACTATGGCGGATCGATCGTATGGACTGTGTGCGAGACATTATTTTGACGAATCATGGCTCCGACAATCAGCAGCCGATCAAATAGTCATAATAAGACATATATCGCGCGCAAGCAACAACAGCGACAGAACGATGGTCCGGACGCACAGCTTCTATTGCTTGGCTGCCGTGGAATGCGACGCGCAAAGGCTGTAGTATATATTACTGTTTGTCACGTAGGTATGGAAACACTTGCCTGATGCTTTACCAGCATATCGACCACGCTGGCCTCGATGAGGTTGTATCGACGGCGACGTTGCCGTTTAGCGATCGCTGGTGTGCCAAGTCCGTGCAACACAGTCAAACGACCTCTAACAGCCGGCATAGTATTCTTCCAGTCAGCCTAATCCCATCTGAGATGCATTACATCGCATCTCTGGCATTTTCGTCACAGCTGCATCGGATCTTTCCTCTTGGTTGGTGACATTGGCTCCGTCCTCCACTCCACAGCCGTTAACTACGATGCCTCCCCGATCCCCTGGCTAGAAAATATCTACCGTGTCCAATAGAAATGTTACCCTGTCATGCAGCTTGCAGAAGTATACGGCTAGATATATAACTCTCTTTTGTCTCAGACTCATCATCTGGCCCGAGGATCAACAAGACTCGGCTGTCAACCTTCGCTTACCAAGTCCTCTTGAAACCCTACGCAGTCATGTTGCCCAAAACAGTTCTCATCTCGGTATTCTTTGCCTTGACAAGTGCTCTCGACCAGAAGGTTGCGACTATTGGTGCTTGGCCAGCCTCTCAGGATGGTGCGGTCCCGATCCGACAAAATATCAACAAACTACACGCCGATGGCGGACCTCAATGGTATTTACTGGCCTCTCCTGGTCGTCTTAGATCATTCACTAATGCAAAATCCCAGGGATCTGTACATCCAGGCCCTACGAATGATGCAGGATGCTAATGAAGACGATCCCTTTTCGTATTTCCAACTTGCTGGTATTCACGGTCTTCCATTCATTGAATGGGGCAACACCGGTGGTCGTAATAACGCTACCGGATGGGGTGGTTATTGCCCTCACGGAGTAGGTTTCCTGGCGCAAGAGAACTTGTACTGGCTAACATAATCTCAGGAAGCCATGTTTCTCCCTTGGCATCGTCCGTATATTGTTCTTTACGAGGTAAGCGGTGCAACCCAACGTCCACATTAACGCGAAGTCGATCATTCTAACAGTGCAAAGCAAATTGTCGTCAACAATGCCAGAGCCATTGCGGAAACCTACCCTGAGGCCCAGCGAGAAATCTACCGCAATGCCGCAGACCAGCTCCGCGTTCCATTCTGGGACTGGGGTGTAGATGGAAAGGTGCCAGATGCAGTCGTTCCGGAGATGATTACTATCAAAGCCTCACGCGACGGCACAGTAAAGGACGTTACCATTCCTAACCCGTTGGCTACGTTTGTATACCCAAAGTCATACGGAGCTGGAAAATATGGCCCTCCTCCCATCGAAACTGAGAGGGTTTTGCGCTGCCAGGCACCTTATAGCTTCCCGGCCACTGCCAATGCCAACCTCCAGCGACGAAACTACCGCCAGAGAGTGGTGAGTGCACACGGTAATGGACTTTTTCCGGTGACTTTTTGTTAACAGTCTCATCTCATAGTACGATGTTTTCAGTCGTGCTGAAACCTTTGACAGTTTCGGAACTGTAGGCAACAAGGGCATCAGTCTTGAAAGTCTGCACAACAACATCCACTGGGACGCAGCCTGCGACCATGCACTGGTTGCTCCCTCCACCTCAGGATTTGACCCCATCTTGTAGGTGACTTTGTGCATTGTATTGCGTAATAGACCTTACTCACCGTCGTCTTATAGTTTCCTTCATCACGCAAACGTCGACAGGCTTTGGGCCTACTGGGGGGCAATGAAGGGTGATGAGGGCAGCCTCATCCAACCATACGTCGGCGGCCCTCGTTGGTCGACTCCCAACGGAACTACTATTAACCCAGACACGACTCTCCAGCCCTTCTTCGATCAGAACAATCAGTGGTACACTATTAAGTCTGTCGCTGATGTTGACGCTTTTGGTTACACATACGAGGGCCTTGAATTCTGGCGTAAGTCTGACGAGCAGATGAAGGAGGATGCCACTACCATCATCAACACACTCTACGGCCCTCGAACCCCGAAGGTTCGCCGAGGAGGCTCCCTTATTCCTCGTGCCAGCGATAACACTAGACTCTTTGCCGAGATAAGCGTCGAGGCTTCTGAGCTTAAGGACAGGCCTTGTGAGATTGAGATTACTGTCAAGGGCTACAAGGCCAACAGCATCGTCGTGCTGGCTCATCCCGTCAGCGGACCTGTCTACGGAGGCTTCTCACTGGACGAGGATGAAAGCGCAAATACCTTCTCAGCCCAGTCTGTGGAAGAGACCGTCTCCTCACTGGACGATAACATGCAGATTGCTATTATCAAGGTAAATGACACAAAAGGCAGACCGCAAATCGAGCAATGTAGACTGACAGGCCATATAGCCCGACGGAACCCGCTTGGATGCTAGCCAAATTCTGAGCTTACAGGTCGATATCGAAGAAGTCGACGTCACACCCCGCCAGAAAGACACGGAAATGCCGGTTGTCTCCTTGCCCCGTGTACACGAAGCCGTCCGTGCTGGCAAGAAGCTGCCTAACAAGCGTCGCAACCTGTAGTTTCGCCACTAGGGTTGGAAGGTGTCAGCTTGGTTAGTGCATTGCATTGAGTGTAAGAAGCATATTTCAGTCGCTGCAGCTACGGATGTGACGAGGTAGGCTCCGTCTTGCTCAGCAGCGCCAGCAGCTTGTCCTCGGACATGGATTGGATGGGCATATAGATCCGGGTTGTTTCTGATAGATATTGTAACACATGTAATGAATATACCGATATACTTGACCTGATTGCTTTCCGACGCAGGCAGCCTGTTGACCGTGCCGTCCATGGAACACCAGAGCTCAGATGCTCTCCGTTCCAGAACTTAGCCGTGGTCAAGTAGGGGTAAGATCGACTGCTGCCGCAAGCTGTTGCCAATTTCCTGGGATACGGCATACGCAATGCAACAAGCAGAAAGGGTGCCATGTTTAAGCACGACGCTAAGAGTTTCTTATTATAGAAACATGATGGGCGGGATGAACAGCTTCAGAATCGGGAGAGCGCTAGAGTCGTAGCGGCGCTGGTCGGCCTAGAGCAGCCCGCGGCCAACTTGCAGGGCGACATTGTGCCTTGTATGGCAGGCACAATTGCTGCATGATTCTATCTAGTATTGTATGAGGTCAATAACGCGACACGTCCTATTAGGCAGGGTTTGGTACCTGGAGGCAGCACGCACATGACTGTCAAAATCTAAGTTATTCGGACCAATATCTATTATTCACGACTCGCAAGCAGGGTCCAGTTAAAATCTTCAACCCCCAGTCGACAGGCGGGCTAGCTCCACGGGACCCCGCGTTGCATTACGAGAAAGGTATTGCCAGCGCCGGTGGGCGTGGCTTTTCGATTTGGTAATGGCTCCCTTTTGGCCCCCGCTCACCATCAAATCCCCTGCTGCAGGCTGTTTGTTCCTCAGCCTTCTGGGACGCCACTGAACTATCCCAGGCGACTGAGAGAAAGTGAATGGCAGACAGTGACGGCTTGGATGGGCCCACGGACGGCACTTTGGTTCCAAGAATCCAAGGTCGGGGGAACGCTAACAGGTCGGTATTAGCGTGGATTATGACAGGTAGCGCAATCTCTCGTCTCACGCTCTCTTTCTCTCGCCTTCTGTTTTGGAACACGCCTTATGCTAGTAGGACCGACTAACGATTTAACATGCAGGCAGGCCTTGGTCTCAAGAACGTCGGTTAGAGGATACGGGGCAACGTCCCCCCTAGCGAGCCGTTGGCTCTTCCTCGCTACAGTAGCGAAGAGAGGTTGACAAATTATTACAGTGGCGGCCCCAACTCGATGGCGTCTTTTGAGTTTAGTCCGCCGTCGTTTTGGCGAGTCACGACGGCGGAGTTACAACGCCGCGAAATCAAGCTCTAAGTTATCCTGTTGAGGCTCGCAAGGCTGATGGCTTTTACCTTTTTGTCATGATTTTATTGCATTTGATGAGTTGTGAGTGAGCTGGACTTATCGGCGCAATGGACCTCCGCCTTGGTCTCTGTTTGGAAGGAGGCGACTTAGCCTGATGCGCTAGGGGCCGCTGCGGCGACGCTATCCAGAAGAGAGCAGCCCAGCATGTTTGTGACCAGATTTCGATTGGTGGATGCGGCGCAGGAGCGTTGAAATGGCGGAGTTTGATATTTCTAGGCAAAGACAGAAGCTGGCGACCTAATTTGTCTAGATTTATGGTTGCCTTCCTTTTTGGTAAAACGTCCGTTGTAGTTAGACTGTTAGACAGGCAGGGTAACTACCTGGTGGTAACTTGAATCCACCGCCAGACCAAGGTTCGCACAGCTGCCGTTGGTACTATGTGCCTGAGCCGTCCCGCGGTAGAGATTGAGTAATTGTATTACGAAGCGTCATAGACAAGCAATCAATGGCCGCGGCATGACGCCAAAACAATTGGCGATGATGCAGCCCGTGCCGCGTCGGAGCGCTATTAGCCCAAGATTTCGTGCCGCGTAGAGAGATCTAGCAGAAGCCGGGCACCAGGATCCGATTGGAGGGGTCCATCACTAGCCGTGGTCTGGCGGCAAGAAACTTCCGAATCAGGATGCGATGCCGAGGCCAAGTTTTGGAGAGGGCAAATAAACAAGACAAAGAAAAAAGCGTCGAGTTTGTCACAGATGCATGGTTTAGCAGCTGCGGCGGGTGTTTCTTGCTGGTGCCAGACTGGGTGAATGGGGGGTGGGGGTGGCAATTGTGCTTGTACACTGGGGAACCTTCGCACCAAGTTACATTCGGGCACTTGCCAAGTTACAGTGTAATAACACTACAATAATACGCCTACACTGTACTGTGCGCAGCAGCAGATCAGTGTTTACCAATAACACAAACCGGAGACACTAAGGACTCCAGTACTGGGGAAAGCGCAGGACGTGGTTAGCGTACTGTACCGTACAGTGCTCTAAGCTACCACTACCGCCTAGGGCCGTCCTACACTCACTGCCCACCCACCCACCCCCGCCTAAAATGGACCGCCCTAGGTACCACACCACACCACACCTCCCTGTTTTGGCCGCCATACGCCTCAGTGCCTGTGACTGGGTCTCCGCTGAAAGATTTTCCCCACCTGGCCCTCCACGATGAGGTAACGCTGCTGCCCTTCCCCAGCGGCATTGGTCTGCCTCCAGTCGTACCGCTTCTTGTTGGTTCGTTTAAATCGCCGCTTGCGCTGGGAATCCCCATACGTACTCTTTTTGCGCTAACTGGGCTGGCGCCGCTTTAGCCTTTCTCCCCGCCTGTCTCACACTCCTCGCCTGCTCTTTCTCTTCTCTTCCCCTCCATCCTCTCTCTCCATCCTCACCAGCAGACGCCTCGCTGTATCACTTGTCTCGTTCGCCTGCTTCTACTTCTCTTCCTTCGCACTGTTGTCTCCTCCTGTCCTTCTACTATCCCATCTCTCGTTCATCACTCTCAGCCTCTCCAACTTCTACCGCGTACATCTCGTCCTCGCTTGACCTCTCCGCTGAACGACTCCCAACACTTCGGACTTCATCCGCACTGCACACCAACCGATTTGTCTACCGCACTGCCAATATATTGTTATAGCTCGATCGAATCGCCGAATCGCGAATCCTGCGTGCACTTCCACAACCTCTCTTGATCCGTCAAAATCGTCCAGTTTTACAGCCCAAAAAAGCAGCCTTCAATCTTGTTTGGTGAGCTTCCTGAGCGTGTCCATGCCTCTGGTCAATAGGGATAGCAGCATCTCTGCCTCAGTTACTTAATAAAATCATCAAACTGTGGTGCAATTTTCTTGCGATAGAGAGCGTCTGCCTAGCCCGCATCGCATTATATATCACTGCCCTTGCCGCCAGCACCTCCCAAGGCAAGTAGCAACTATGGGTACTGGGCAGAGTCAAAAGAACTCGCCTGTTGGTCTCCAGCCACGCTACAGCCAGGATGATACATCCTCAAGCGCTGATGTCGACAGCGGTTCGCCTGTCGAGCTTGACCTCAACGCTGCGCGACCACGGTCCAGCATCCTGGCTAGCCCTGCCTGCAGCACCTGTTTAACCACTGGTACCACTTGTACATTATCCACAGACCATGACGACTGTGTTCTTTGTCGTCGGACTGGGCATGAATGCTCACTCAACCCCGCCAACTCCCAGTCGCGCAAGCGAAAGTTGCATGGCGATGCCGCCACTGCAGACGGTACATTCAAGCGCGGGTTAGTCTCTCTTAGTGTTTTGAGTCAATGCAAAAGTATAGAAAGCTGACATGTCCTTCTCCTCTCAGTGGCTCGACAGCACCCGATGCCCAACCCGACGCTCCAACACCACTGGACAGCGCTTCCATGGTTGAAAGTATGGCCAACTGTGGTGGCCCAACCTTGCTCAAGCGAACACTAGGCCTTCAAGTCGATCGTTATCCTCAGTACATTGGAGCCACCACAGACCTGGAGCACGCACTCATTAACCTATCCCTCTTCGACGCTCGTGATGAGAGCCCGCTCCCTGGAGCTACGCTGCGCAAGGTGCACCCGAAGCACACGTTTATGCTTATGGAAGAAAAGGACCATCCAAATTACCCTGCCATGTCTCAAGACTTGGATGATATCGAGGCCGTCGTCGCCCCATATGGAAGAGAGCTTGTCGACCTCTATTTTCAAATGGTCCATCCTCCGTTGCCTGTCGTCCCCCGACATGTGTTTATGGAATCATATGAGAAGAGCTATCGCGAGCTCTCCCCATGCCTTTTAGCAGCAGTTTATCTGATTGCGTTGACTTGGTGGGATAGACACCCCGCCTTGGTTGACAAGCCCCGACCCAACATGAGAGCCCTCGAACGACTAGCAACATCCACATATAATGACGCAGCAGCACGACCAAAACTATGCACCATCCAGGCTGGTCTTATCCTATCACAACGACCAGGTGGCGAGTCCTGGGCTATGACGGCGCAGCTTGTTGCCCTGGCCCAGGATCTCGGCCTTCATCTCGAGTGCGGTACCTGGAAAATCCCACCCTGGGAGCGAGGATTACGCAAGCGCATCGCCTGGGCTTTGTACATGCAAGACAAATGGAGCGCCATTACTCACGGTCGTCCATCACATATTCACAGTGCCAACTGGGCCGTTCGTTGGCTCTCGCCTTACGATTGGGACGATGTCGAATGGAATGAAGACGATGTTGAAGAGCGCGCTGATATCGAGAAGGGTCGCCTAATCTTCTCTCGCAGCGCCCTTCTCTCCGGTATTCTGGCTGAGATGCTGGAAACATTCTTCAGTGCCCAAGCCATGCAAGCTGTCGAAAACGCCGGTGCACAGGGAGCACATTTGGTTCTGTCTCTCGCTAAACCTATTCAGCTCAAACTGAAAGACTGGTACTCCAACTTGCCAGAGTTCATCCGACTGGAGAGTCTCTCCTCTGGCGGTTTAAGCGATCGGCCTTCCAGCGTTGGCTATTTGCATGTAGCATACTATGCTGCAGAAATTACCTTGCATCGCAGAATCATTGCTTGCTTAGCAGCAAATGCAGGCTCCGTCGACACATACATCCAGGACGTGTGCCGAAGTGCCGCCAAAACAAGGCTTATCTCTGCGATGGATTTCGTCAATCGTCTGTCTCCCAACCATCTCAAGTCCTTTTGGTATTTCTCTTCCAAAGCAAACTTTGCCTTGATTGGCACGTTTGGCTCACTGCTGTGGGCAACATCACCTGGCCGTGAGGAAGCTGAGTGGTACAAGCGCCGGTTGAGTGAGTATCGCTGGACACTGTCTGTCAGTTCTCAGTCGGTGGGCGAGAACTCGCCAACTGTACAAGCGTTGACCATCTTGGACCTGTCGACAGAGTTGCTAAAGCAGCTGCCTGAGAAGCCATCTACAAGCCGGTCAGGAAGCTACGCGAATCTAGCCCGGTCAAGGGCGCGGAGCAACTTTGCAGCCCGAGCCAGCATTCTAGGCGGCTACAGTCAAGTATCCAGCCCGCGTATGCATGCTGCGCGTCAACCAAAGATGGAAGATTATAGCAGCGGCGGAGACGAGGATGACGAAATGTATGATGACCCAGTGCGGAGGTGATGACACCAGTCTGCCATCTGCACTACCTTTACTTTGATCTATATTTTTTTCCTGGGATATATTAAGCGGTTTTCATTGCAACAAGGAGTCTACTGTGGTATTGTTTTTCTTTACTTTTGGTTCTTATCTGTTCTACATAGGGGAGGTGTTGCGGTTTAGCGGATGGATATACTACTATATCCCGTTTCACACAGAGCGAAGTTGTCCATGTCTGTCCTTTACTCACTCACAATCTGTATATTGCCAATTGTTTTTTACTATCTGACCCACCGCTCTATACTCTTTCCACTAGACTTAAAATGGAAAGATAAATAAAAAAGCTCGTGTTGTTTCCACTTAGCGAAGCCACCCTAAGAAAATCCATTTTCCAGGCACGCGTCGCTGCCTACGAGGCTGCCAGTGGGGCACCGAAATTGGTTCGCCAACAAAAGCCAGGCGATGAAACAGCTCTCAGACACTTTTTCTTTGCCCGCAGCGTTCCATTGTTGCAACTCTACCGACGCATTGCGATGATCGTAGCCACAGGGACACACCGTTTCGTTGGTTACTAGTGTTTCGTCATAGCCGACCGTTGAATATCTGGCTTTCTCGCCCGCCTCTTATACCAGCGTAGTCCCCCCGCCGCACGCCTTCACGATGCCTGTAACCTCGAGGAAAACACCAGCCAAAATGGCCGCTTCTACCGCTGCCGCCGCGAAAGCTCGCCAGGACGGAGAGCTACGCCGCCGAACCAAAGATTCCAGCTCGCCCTCAGCGCCGTCGACACCCATTTTCAATGGCCCTCCAACCGAGGCACGGGTCCAATATGTAGAGGAGGAAGAGCGCTATAACAACGAGCTGAAGCAGCTTGCCGAGCAAGCGAAAGCCGACGCCGCCTTTGCTCGCAGACGTATGGTTCTGCTCGCCAAGGTCGTGGGCGTAATCACGCTGCTTGCTGTGGCGGCGTGGGCGTCGCAGCTGAGCTTAGCGCCGGTATACGGAGGTCTGCCGGCCGCGAGGACACATATCTTTGTCATTGGGTTTGGCTGCTTTGTTGGATGGGCGCTCAATGCAGATTTGACGCTGGCTTTGGACCGTGCTGGCGTACTTGACTGGTTTGGTGCGCCAGAGATGCTGCCCGTGTTTACGGTGTATGCTCCGCTGCTGCATCTGGGCTTGGAACGGTTCAGCGATTTACTTGGTATCTACGGGCCATTGGTGACGGAAATGTTCACGTTGTTCCCTTTGGCTGCTTTGTCTGCCGCTACCGTGGCAGACTGTGTTATTGAGGCCAAGGTGGACCACTTGATCCCGAGGAGAGTGCCCGGTTTGATCGCTGACAGTGTCCCGGGGTTGGGCGTCTGGCTTCTGTATATCAGAATCCACGCTCTTGTGCCACATATGTTCAACTTTCTTTTGGGCCAATCTATCGTCTTCACTGCAATCGGACTGCACGCTCTCGTGGCTGTGTTTCAGGCTGTCCTTGCTCCGAGTGCCTTGCTCGTGGTTGCACTCCCGGGGCTTTTCCACACGGCCATGTTCAACTACCATGTCCAAAACTCGTTTGGCGACGCTCTTGTCAACAGCACTCTGGTGGAAAATGGATGGAGAGTCTTAGAGCGAGAGCAGTCTGTCACAGGATACGTGTCCGTTCTGGAAAACATTGAGGCCGGGTATCGTGTCATGAGATGCGACCACAGCTTGCTTGGCGGCGAATGGGTTGCCGAAAGGGGAACTCTCCTGGCCGAGCCCGTCTATGGTGTCTTTGCGATGTTGGAAGCCGTCCGCCTAATTAACAGGATATCTCGTGTTCCTGACACCGACGCCAAGGCGTTGGTTATGTAAGTGAAGCTGGAAAGGAAATATGTTCAGCTGGGTTCTAACATGGAGATGCAGCGGTCTAGGTGTAGGCACGACACCCTCAGCTTTGGTCACTCACGGAATCAAGACTACGGTTGTCGAAATCGATCCTGTTGTGCATAAATATGCGCAAAAGTACTTTGGGCTGCGCGAAAATACACCGGCAATCATCGACGACGCTGTCTCAGTTGTTACTCGCCTAGTAGACGATTCACCTCTGCGATTCGACTACATTATTCACGACGTCTTTACCGGCGGTGCTGAGCCCGAAGCCTTGTTCACCGGACAATTTTTAGCCGATCTTGGATCCCTTTTGAACGCAGACGGAGTTATTGCGCTTGTAAGTTTTTGTATGTTGTATTGGTGTCAGTCCTGCCTCTAACCTCTGGTAAACATAGAACTACGCAGGTGATATGGCCTTGGATTCAACAAAAGATGTCATTATTCGCATCAAACAAACTTTTAGAATGTGTCGTATGTTCCGGGAATATCCTCCTGATGCAACGCTGATTGCTACGTCGGGCACCGATTTTGCCAATGGGGTTCTCTTCTGTACCAATCACCCCTATGGCATTGACTTTGATACTCCAAACGAGGACGATTATCTGCGCACGTATGCTCGACAGCAATTCCTCATGCCTAAACATGAGGTCAACATGGATTCATTCATCCGCAAGTCTATGGGCTCACACATGAAGAAGCAGCGCAGTACTTGGGCAGTTATCAAAGAGGATTACATCGGCCCATTTTGGCAATATCGAAAAGGCAAGACCGGGCCAGTAAAGCGAGTTACCAACAGAGAAGAGGCAGCTTTTGGACACTGGAAAATCATGCGTACCGTGGTTCCCCCTAGAGTCTGGGAACTTTGGTAGATTATGTACAGTACGGCGATGTCAGATTAAATGGGTGTAATTTAGAATATGAACCTATATAATCAATATGGATATACCCTGTTCAGGTTAAGCTAATGAATGTCATGTCATGTAGCACTTCGCAAGCCAAGGTTTGCGCCAGTCTAGCCTTGGGAAATTGATTTGGCATACTCCAAGTTGGACTTGGAGAACTCCTCGGTATACTCAGAGATGTACTTGGGCAGCTCTACGCGGTTATGCGGTGCTGGGACCGGCTCGCCAAATGTAGACTGCATGGGAATAACACCAGTCCAGACGCTGTTCAAAACATCCTCGCTTTCCATGTCTTGCTTGGCATCGCTGCCACCGCCAGTGCGAAACTTGAGACTTCCTGAAGCAATGGTGATTTTGAGAACACCAGTGCTCTGCAGTTCAGAATTGGCAGGGGGCAATCTGGAATTCTTCCAGCGATCTGGAATGACAGAGTTTGTGACTAGTTCCAGTGCGTAGACCTTCTCGGCAGGATCAGTGACCAGAGTCGCGTGTCCAAAGAGCACTGCTGAGCGGTAGTTGTAGCTTGACTCGAAGGACGAGAGGGCGAGTACGAGGCCGTCTACATGAGAAGCAGAAACACAAACAGGTACACCCTCGCTACCAGCAGCACGGCCGTTGTTGAACATGCGGCTGGTGACGTAGCCGTGGACGTAAAGATCCAGCGGATCGCCTAGGTCAGCGCTTGGTCGGTCAAAGGAGCCCATCTGGCCAATCATGGGCAGCGTAGCTGGGAAAGGAGAGTTGGGGATGTTCATTGAAACGTGTAGTAGATGAGTAGAGTTAATGAGCTCATGGATTTTACGAAGAGCATATACACCTAAGCCAGTTAGTCGCAGGAACAGTCAAGATGGTGGTCTCATCTACCTCTCTCATCGTGTCTCTTAACAAGGTTCGTAGCGTCCTTGGGATACTCCAGCTCGTGTCGACCCATTTTGTAATATTGCAGATTGCCGATATATCGAATTGTTTGTCTAGGTATCTCTTTACTTTGTTAGCATGCGTCTAAGAGGGGTCCACCACTTATACGTCCTGTATTGGACGGTGCAAGAGAACATGTACTATACCTCTCTTACAGAATAGATTGTCGCAGAAAGTAACTCGGCGCACCTATTTTGCGGATGACGAAGGGAAAAAAGAAAAGAAGAGAACTAAGTCACACTAGAACTGGCCTGCTGGGTGCTGATGTCGTCTAGCCGCGCCCTACAGCTTGCCAACACAGGCCTCGTGATTCGTCGAGCGGCGGAGGACGGCGTCCGCGGGGCACTACGGCGGCGCGGGGCAAAGGCCGGTAGCGGGCAGCGTCGGTGTGCAGCGCCTGACGGTGACCAACAGCCACTAGCAGCGCACTGTTGGAAAGCATGTCTGGTTACTGAAAAGGGTGCAAACGGATAGAGAGGCCAACGCTAATAATGTGCTTGCCTGCATAGATGCAGGCGTACAGTAGCGTAGACGGACTTACCCAAACTGGACTAACATGATATGCGACGCAATCCCTCTTCTGGTGTCGTCCGTCAAGTGTTTCCCCCTCTTGGCTGCTTTGGGTGGAGAGTTTCGACGCGTAAACAGAAATAGAACTGCGGAAGCTGTAATGCAAAACAAGTCGTACCATTGCACCGATTTGGGCTGAGGCCTAGGAAATCCTCCGTGTTTGGAGCCATTGAAACGGCACCGAGCACACCGACGGAATGGCTCTCATGGGCAATTTCCGGAAATCATATCGTGGTTTTCTTCTGTTTCCCTCATGGTCAATCCGTCTTGCTTAGAGACATACCTCATACACCAACCGGTGGGTGAGGGTGTCTGTGCTCGCAGACGGGCTGGTGTTGTGCATGTTGATGCCTTTTCAGTGGGCCACAGCGCCTGCAAACGCCCCTGCACCTCCAAAATGGCTGGCAGCAATAATTGCCCAGGGGCCTTGCAGCTCTCCACAGGGAGGCGACCCTTGCTACATCTGCTGTTGCCAAACTCATCGCCCAGACACGCTTTTCGTCGTCCTGGCACCTGGCAAGCACCTGGCAAACCTGGCACAATACTCGAGTTGGGCACGTTTGCGTCAATTTCAAAGGCATTTCGTTCTCTTGTAGTTTATTTCCTTGTTGTCTTTTTTTACCTTGGGTTACTATGAACAGAATCAACTTAATGAATGCACCCCCAAGTTGGGAAACTCGGCGTTTTGCGTAGATTACAGCGGCGGGCATCGAGGGACAGCCGGGAGCAATCCGCGCAATAACCGGCAACCCGTCGGTCGAGCAAACAATAAATCCGCCTTGACCAGAAGCAAAACGGTTGCCGAGCTAGTCACTAAGATTAATTTTTGCGCGTGCTAGCCTAGCCTCTGCTGGAGCTTCTGCTGCACATCTGCGTCGCCACACGTTTTATCATGTGTGTTCTGAAACACCTCCGTGCCTCACCTGGCCCAATCGATCGCAGCCAACCATGGGGGACAAGCCACTAAACTCGGCAGCACGGTGCAATTCGCATCAGTAGCTCCATCCTCAACGCTGTGGATTAGAGCTCGAGCCAAGGGGCATTATGGCTGCTTCGCACTTCCTAAGGCGTTTCGTCAGTTCAGAGTCTGACCTTCGGCTCTGTCTCAAAAGACTCTATCAGCCGGGTCCCCGTGACAAGATGCAATATCGTTCCTATTTGGCGGATCCTTTGTTTCTTTCTTTTTCATCTCTTGTTTCTTTTTGTTCTTATTCATCGTTTACTTCATTTGCATCTTCGTTTACTCAGCTGCAATACAGAACACTGCCCGTTAACGTTAGTTGACAATGAAGTACTGAGGATCATTCTCTAACACCCCGACAATGGGCATTACTGCATCACCAACGCTCTACTTTACGTTCATTTATACTACGCAGCAGTAAATAACACCTTCAGTCGACAATAACTTTCTATTCAACGCATTCTTCTTCTCTCCCACAACTTACATTCCACGTTTATCAACATGGCTTCAGCCGTCAACACACAGGCTTTAATAGCCACATTTGCATTGTAAGCGTCTCTGTCTCCTTTCCTAACCTTGAATCTGCAGCTTATCCCATACAGTGGTATCATCGTTTTAGCAGCCTCAGGTGTAGGATACATACATGTTAGAGAACATGGAAAGTACTTCTTCCGCGACACATTGAGGCTGGTCCTCTTGGGCTTTTTGGCGTGCGCTAGCCTGTGGGCAGTGATGGGCTTCGCTGCGACTCTACTCGACGTTAACTCAACAGTTCCATGTCAGGCAATTGTTGCTGTGGCTTCTACTTTTGACCAAATGGCCCGAATCAGCATCGAACAGTTCTTACTTAGCACTATCCATCGGGGGTTTCCGATGGCCATGAGCACCTACTGGGCCCAGGCAGTTATATTTGCCCGATTTGTGCTTGGCGGTGTTTTTGTGGCCATTCAGCGGCCAGATTTCAAACCTGTTTGTGTCAACACTAACATCCTATTCCCTCTCGGCATAGCAGCCACGGGCACAGATGCTTTCTTATGCTGCATGTTTATTTATAAGCTTGTTACGATGCCAGTCAAGAAGCATCCTATGATGGAGATTGCATTAGCGTTTTCTGTATGGACTGCGGTATGTACTCATATCCGCGCTCATATTGATCTATACATTCTAACCAGTTCAATCAACAGGCCAGTACACCCATGAACTTGGGCTTTTCGTACTTCGATCTCGTGGTCCGAACCGTTGTCCCCGCAGCTGGACTACTAGTTCTCATTGTCACCTTGCTTTTATGCAAAAGCGATATAGAGATTCAAAAGAACGTTCAGCCTCCCTTGACTCCCGGTTTCAATAAAGACGAAATGCCAGGCAAGGTCCGAATAACAACAAAGAAACCGAATGTCGGGCCGAAAGGCAAAGCACGCCAATCTACACATCCGTCTCGGCAGCAATCCCGCCGAGTTGAAGCCCAAGCTCCCATGCCGCCTCCCAAGTCTGTCAAGGTTCCCGGCCAACAGCTACCCGTCATTGCGGCGCCTATCCCTGGTCAGAGTTCCCATGGAGTGGGAGGTGTACCAATCCAAGGAGCCCTCATGCCGCCAATGAAAGCGCAGGAAGTGCCAGTTCTCACGCAGCAGCCACAACGAAAGCGAATCTTGCCTCCAGGGAAGCTCAAAATATCACAACCAGTCATGAGGGAAAGTACGGGACGCAGCATCATGGAAAAGATCGCAGTGACAGATCTAAACACTGCTGCAAAGATGCAACAAGAGAGGCGGCAAACTGGGGCTACCATAACTCCATCCTCCGCGGGCCTACCGCTCTCTCAGAAAGAGATGCTTCAGAAGCTACAGGTTCTACCAAGGAAAGAGGTCGGTTCTCCTAGCTTCAACCCCAACGGTTCCCAAGCCTACGCATCTGCGCTACAACCGTCTCCTGGCCTGCAAGATGTACGGAGACGTTCGACGCAATATTCCCAATTACACAGCCATCCTGGTCCTCGGACCGTTTCACAACGAGCATCTGTCATCGATAGTCAAAGGCTTCCTCATATCTCTGCTGTAATGACAAATTTCTCGTTGCCATCGCCAGGCCAACCGTTGTCAGCACCACCAGTGCCAGCTCAGAATCCTAGACGAAGATCATCCAATGGCAAGACATCACCTCCACGATCCAGCTCCCGCGAGCGAGTCTTCACGGACCCGAACAGGCCACCTTCCATCCCCAGAAGCCTTTTGCAAGAAGCCAAATTGGATATTCCCCCGAAGAATTTCTCTCCAGTTGGTGCGTCTAGTCCCTTAGTACCTCGTGTCTCTCCTCTATCTGCTACGTGGTCGGAATGGAACGAGCAGCATCGAGTCTCCTACATGTCACCTCAGGACGGTACTATGTATAGTCAGTCAGCATACTCTCAACCAGTATTTGAGTACCCAGGCTATGTGCAGCCAGCCTTTGTGGGCGAAAACAGCAGCCAGACAATAGTCCCGAGGAGTCGATCTGTCAAACTCAATATCCGACCCTCTCGCCATATGCCGCCATCGCCTCCCCCAGCTGTAGAGTCTACGGTAGCGCCCAAAACGCCCGTACAAATGCGTTCAGAGTCCGGGATACCTGGAAATCCTCGATCTCGTGCCTCAAAGGGCAAATTTTACACAGCGTGGGCTCCTCAGCCGCCCAACCACTTCGTCATCGACCTCGGCGCTGACATGGTTCCTGAAAATGCTGCAGAGACAGACTCGGCAGAGATAACCAGCCTAACGTCTTCTCATTTTTCGGTAATGAGCCGACCTCGGCCTGTTCCTCGAAAATCGAGACTGTACGGCTCCGTCAGCTCTACCAAGAGCTCTATTGAATCTCGACGCAGATCCAATTCAACAGGGCAAATCGAGAATCTGCGAGCGATTCTTACTGCGGTTTTACAAAATGAGGCAAACGGAGATTCAGTGCCAGCTGCTCCTAAAAGCGCTGATTTTGTCTTGTTCCAAACGGCCCCAAACGATTCTGTGACAGAAACAGCTTGGGAACCAGTCCGAGCGCCGCAACCTGCAACCGCAGCGTCTCATACCACAACCCAAGGCTCTAACTTATCTCGAAACGCTCCAAAAGTGTCCGATGTTTCTGCTGGAGAAGCGGAAAATCCGTATAACACTACAACAGCCTCCCCCGCCACTACCAGAATTCCGGTGCAGTCGAACTCATCTTTCGAAAGCATCAAGCGCCGTTCCTCGAACACATTAGCCATCGATGAGCTGCGTGTGCTTTCCATGATTGATTATTCTTCAAATTCATCACCATTTGCGATTGAAAGTTTACCCGGAGCCATGTCGTCCGGTCGCTCCTCGACCAAGTCCCTCTCATGGCACCGCAGAATAGGCGATCCGTGCCCGACATTCTCGGACCGCAAATCCGATGATGCATCACCACGGAAGGTCATTCCACCCAAGCCTCTAAGGCTTAGCACCTACTTTAATTCGGTTATTATCGAGACTGAGCCATCTCCTCTTGAATCTCCTTCCCAAGCACTGGACACAATACAACAACAACTTGATAGCCTCGGCCAAGATGAACCTGGATCTGGAGACAAGCAAGAGCGAAGAATGACGCTACTTGAGAGCCTTGAATCTGAAATGGATACTCATAAAATTAACTGGTTGAAGATGAAGAGTGAGCTGGCTCACAGGTCAACAACGGACCGATCTTCTACTTCTTCACTTTCCCTGACATCACGATATAACAGCGGCAAGACGTCTCCGAAATCGCGACCTAAAACAAGCGACGGTTTATTGGAATACTCCCAAGCACAGGCCGCTAGCACGAATAATTCTTCTCACACTTCCTCCCTCTCAACCATCAACTCTTCTGAAGTATCGGAAAATCAGCTAGACCGAAAGATCACTTTACACTGTCCAGGATCTGCAGTGTCTGTCACAAGCACAATAAGCCATCGAACAAACCCCACACCTCCTGATACCGATGAATCGGACAGTGATTATGACGAGGACGACGATGTTGCCGAGTTTACAATCCTGAGAACCGTAGGCCCTACTGTTGCCGGGACTTCCGAGTCAACATCACCATATGTAACCGATGCAACACCAAGATCTGCCGTTCGTGGCAACTCCTTGTCAAAAGAGGAGAGCGATGCGCTTGTTGCAGAATTGGCAGAGAGCATGAAGGACTCTTGGACACCAGGAATTCCTTCTGTCGTAGTAGTCTCGCCCGATCAAGCTTCCGACCCTGTTGTCACTGAGCAAACCCAGCCCGCCTTCAAAGCACTACTTTCACCTCATGGAGATCTGCCAACGAGACCATCCACAGCAACATTCCCACCTCGACAGAAGTTGGCTAAGCCGCCTCGCAGGAGCAGGCGAATGACTCAGCTGGCAGATATCGTTGAAAGCCCAGAACCACTAGAAAACAAGCGAGGCACACTTGGTATTTTCAAGTTCCCTTCCGGAGAAACATCAGATAGTGCTATCTTCAGCCCATCTGACTTCGAGGCCCAGTACAAGACTGATTCTGGAGTTCCACTGGCACATCCACTAACCACCGGCGAAGACAACCCAATTTCATTCTTCGATTCTGACAACGAAGAGAACGCTGGGGATAACTTCAGTCTGTCTGCAGATGAGGAAGACTACAGTGACGACGACTTTGATGACAGTACACTCTGGGAGATTGCCAATCTATTGCGTTCTGACTCCGTCCCTTCAAGGCACAGCTTACTTCCTCCTCCGGAAGACGAGGGTACCGAGAGCCCAGTACAGCCTCAAGATTTCGACAGCTCTGTTGCTGGAACCTCTCTAATCTCGCCTCACGCTGCCGTTACTCCCAATAGCGTGGACTCTAGGGCGCCTGATCTATGGACAGAACGACCACCAACACCAGAACCTGAGCACGAACAAGCCATCGTACACCCTACCGAAGAACAGTGGGCGTCGTACTTGCTTTCCCCACCCACCAACTTCTACGCCCCTCGCAACATTGACGCCTCCGATGTATCGGTTGTTAGTCAGGCTCTTTGGGCGATGCCTATAGAGACAGAGATACCGTCACTGGATGGAGCACTATGGGCGGCAACTCAGACAAGTCCCTCGAAGAAGACTATGTCAAAAGAACTATGGGCGCCAGTCGCTGCTAAACTTCCACAGGGCCACGGTCATGGCACTGCACAAGAAGAAAAGCTCTGGGAGTCAGCACTGGCCAAAGCCTGCCTTTCTCATGCCCGAAGTCGCACTCGTCGAACGGCCGAGCCCAAGGCCGCCGTCTTAGAGAGCAATTGTCTTTGGAGGCTCCCTTCTGTACCCATAGTCTCAACGGCTCCAGGTTTATGGGTAGACAAGTCAAAGTCTGTAAAGTCTATTCGCAGGACACTCTCGTTAAGAGCCAGTCAATTGACACCTCTGTCGCTGCCTTCACCTACGACAAGACAACCTCTTCAGTCCAAGAGGCCCTTGACTCCAGAGCTATTCCTTCCACAACTAGCGGGCTCATCTCTCTGGTCATCAACGGCCAATAAAGATTCGTCCCGTGATCGCCATTGGCTTGCTTCACCTGTCTTGTAAAGTCCAGCGATGGCTTCCATTAGACGTTGAAATTCTTTGTACAACTAGTAGCATTGGCTTAGTATTACTGTATGATGATACCATTACACTTCATTTGCTCTTTTCTTCTTATATAAACCATCGTTAAAAACATGAATGCTCTAGATGTATATTTAATAACAGCTAGTTTGAAAGAAAAAGCATGATTAAAATGATAAGACATCCTCAGGATCAGATCTAGCATCTGTTTCACTTCATCATAGCTCATTTGTTCTCCTTTTCATCATGCAGGTAGTCTACAGCACCTAAACCCTCCTCGCTCAGTCGGGCGTGAGCAACCAACTATCTGGTGAGCGAGGCCAACAGCGTATATGCAATAAAAGCAAGACCAAAAAAATGCAAATACCGCGAGTTCCGTCTGTGTGATTTGTCAGATGCAAGGGTTGCGTTGCAACCGTGAAGCAAAAAGCAAAGAACAGCGCCTTTCGTCCGCGGCACAGTTCATCAAACCAATGTCGACATGCCGTGAAAAGAACACAGCGTAAATATCATCGCAGAAAATGTACAACAGTGTAAACCCATAACCCCAAAACCGTCGCTATGCAATCAAAGAGGAAAAAGGCCAAAAACGGAGAAAAGAAAAGCATAACAGAAAGAAAAGGATAATACAAAAAGGTCATCATCATACTATGATGGTAGAACAAGTTACAGCTTCGTTGGTGTCGTTGTAGTTCAACTGAAGCAGCTCATTTCAGTCTCTCATCTGACTGTCATAAGAGGGAATCGGCGTCCTATTTGTCGCGGTGGAGAGCTTTCCGACGAGCTGTTCTCCATGAGGGAGGTGTTGCCACGGCTCCTAGCGGGACGCCTGGGTGGGCTAGATCCGGGGTCGTCAAAGACACGTGTGAATGCTGGACTAGAGTCCAATCCACGTTCATATCGTGATGGTCGAATGGGGCTCTCCGTAAGCTGGTCTACCTTTCGAACTGAGTCAGAAAGAACATCGCGAAGCTCGCCGGAGCGTCGAACAAGAGCCTTCAAGCTGTTGGTATCAAACTGCACTTTGCGCCCTTCTGGGCCTTCCATAGCTGAGCCAGAGTGGACACGGCCTTGCATTGCCTCCATTACAGTTCGAACAACGCCATGGGCATCGAAATCATCGTCATTAGCCGGATTAGCGACGGTCTGGTAGCCGTTGGTGGCATCCTCCGCTCCCGAAAGGCTACCTCCAAAAATGTCATCATCTGGGCAAAACACTGAGCGTCGTTGTGGGGAGTGTCGTTCTCGAACAACACCCGTCCTGGAGATAACAGCCGGAAGGGAGGGTGGCTCAAAATCAGCATCCATCTCATCAAAGTTGGTTGGATGGGTTGGAAGCTTGGCGTCACTGTCATCCGCTTCGTCTTCCTCGTCATCATCCGGCGAGGCCAGGGCAATAATACCCTCTGCTTCCTTCCACAGCTCTTTCTGGGGCCCTTCTAGGAGATCCAACTCTCGAGCATGGCGGCAGAGACGCTTTAGATCATTCACAAGTAACGATAGTTCGCGAATCTGCCCAGAGTGCGCTCTTACGCTCAACTGGCTCGCTCGAATCGACTCAGGGACTGCGAAGACGGTTTCTTCGTCCTTTGTATCTTCATCGATTCCACCCATACTGAACTCAAAGTCCTCATCCCAATCTTCACTAACAATTTTAGTGCCGAGGCCCCATGTACCATATTTAGCACCTAGGTTCTTTGAGTCGCCAGGAAGTTCATGCACCACTGGAACGCTTTGGCTGCGAACGTGGGCTGGTGCCGGTACCTTGCGAACAGCAGGGCGTCCACCTCGTGCGTCTAAACTCTGTTTGGCGTAGGCGGTTTGCGGTCGCCCTGAACGTCGTTCAGCATCCTGCTTGTCTTGCACAGTCTGCTCACTCCAGTCAAATAGGCTGCTAAGCGGGCGGTCACTGGCAGCGTCGACACTATTTTGTTCGTTCAAGGCGCTGCTTCCCATGTTTGCGAGGGCGAGCCTAACATTAGGGTTGATTCCGCTTCGTGAATTGACTGAGCTGCCTTTGGACGGCGGTGATAGAGCATTAAAATGCTCGTCTGAATCGTCATCTCGTGCCCAGTCTTCGTCAGAGTCATCGTCCATGGATATACGGACAAGACCATCTAGCATTTTCGGGCGGTCATGACCAATGGTGAGCTTGCGCAAGTCCAGGCTGGCGTCGTAGTCATCGAATGCATTATTTGTTTGGCGCTGGGGCCTAACGGGGGTTTGTGCGTGCTCATCTTCCTCCGTAATTTTATCGTCGTCTTCATCCCAGCCGCTGTGGCCGAGCATATCATGTATCGAGAGCCTCTTGGATTTATTATTTTCTGCCGTGCTGGGCGGCGACTCATCGTAGACGGATTCTAAGGGGGTTTCGACGGCCCTCACACGACTCGAGGCGACGGTGCGAAGGGAATCGTAGAGCGTGTCGCTCTTGAAATCGGTGTCGTCGTCATCGGCAAAACCATACGCTCTGCTGTCGCTCTCGAGGCCTTCCATCACGGACGACTTGTCATTCTGCGATGGGCGGCGCTGTGACATGGCACCAGAGGTTGCAGATTGTCCAGAGGGCTGATGTGGCCGAGTTGGGTGAGGCAGCGCTGAAACTACCCCGCCGCCAAAAGAAAAAGAGCCTGATGGTGCTGTAGCTGCTCGTGAGTAGCTGGCTTGAAAACTCGAAAGCGGGGCGGGCGGGGAGGAGAGGTTTCTTTTATGAAAAAGCTCCTGTTGCGCATGCAAAGCTGAACGCAATGGCGCAGGCGGGCCTCGTGCTGCAGAGGCGATTGGCAGGCGGCCGCTGTCGACAGCCCTGGCGTGCTGGCCCACAGCGCCTTCAGAGCCAGTTACAGGCGCTGATACGTGCCGCACATCCCCGCTAGCGCCTCCTGTGGGCTGTGCTATGCCCCGTTTGGCCCGCCTGAGGCTCCCTGATGTCTTGGAGACCCAGCTGAAGGATCGCTTCATGCGTGCCTTTAGTAGAGGCCCTGGTTGCTGCGAATCGGCGATCGCTCCAGGCGGCTCGGACACATTGCCCAAGGAATCGACTTTGGGATGCTGCATCTCCGCTGTTAAAACGTCGTTGTTTGTGACCGCATTGGCCATCGTTGTGTCCTCTGGAGTTTTCTCTCTAGAAAATACTCGTCGTTCAACACTAGATGTCGGTACAATCATGGCAGCCTTCACCAGATGTGGCATGTTGGCACCTTGTGACGGGTGATAAATGAGTCTATTGTGCGTGTGCGAATGCTGACCAGCTTCGCCCGCCGATGAGCCAGGAGTATTGACATTGGCCATTTTGGAATGAAAAAAGGAGAACCAGCTGGCGCTCTTCTGCCTCAAACTCTGGTTATTGTCAGCTCTGCCTTGTGATAAGTCAAAATGAGATTGGCGATCAAAGGAGAACTTTGCACCGTCATCAGCGCTCGACGGACTCTCTCCTTGAAGGTTAGAATTGACCTGCTGCTGTAGAGTAGCAGATCGTTGATGGCTCGTGGCTGGCCGTCGCAGAGTAGGAAGACCAGACCGTGATCGGGCGCGTGGGAGATTCTGATTCTCGGTCTTTTGAGTAGAAGGGGAGCGTTTGACGAGCTTATTCGGCGGGAGCTGAGATACAGCAGAAGGGGAATGCAATATAGGAGCCCCAGAACCACTCGAAAACGTAGCTGACTGGTAGTCTGGTATTAAACTAGAGCGTGCGCTGCTACCATGTTGGGATAAGGGTCGAATCGAAAGTTTTCTTATCCACGAGCCTGTTGAGGAAAAGGAATCCCGCGGTTGTTCGTCCTGTGTGCTATTCGGTGATTCGATAGGGCTACCGGCTGTCAGAGCAGAAGAGACTGGTCTCAATTGGGGAGTTTGTGAAGTATGTGGCCGCTGGTAGCGCGAAAGAGGAGGCCTCGACCTCGATTTTGGTCGGGATCTAATAGAGGACGGGTCAACGGGAGTCGAGTGGCTATCAATATATGCAGAGCTTGGCCGAGAGCGCGACACCTCTAATGGATATAGATGGTTGGTCAAGGCAGACCCCGTAGAGTGATTTCTCTTGTGTAAAAGTCGTCGGTTCGAAATCTGTCGATTATCGTCGGACTGTCCAAATGCTAAACCGCTTGCCGCAGCAGCCACGGCAGTGCCTGTGCCAACGAGCTGAAGCAATATATGTCAGTAATTAATCCAATACAATCGTCAAGTACAAGGTCTGTGGCAAAGCTAAAGCGAAGCTGATCGGTTACACCAGCTGGCAGTGTGTGATGGTAGGCACCGGGCGGTGTTCCAACATCAAACAGATACTTGGTAACGTTGGTGAAGTATGTAGCAAGTAGAATGGCACATTCTCTTGACAAGAAAGTTGAAAACGATATCACAACCTTGTTTGTGATCAAAGAGGGAGGGGAATACGTACGCTGGGAACTGTCTGCATGTTTGCAGAAGACTGGCCTGCCGATGCAGGTAGGTTGTAAACAAGCCAGGAACGCTCTTAAGCACACTCGAGTATCAAAATGTTCCAATGGCACATTGTTGAACGGAATCAACGGTTTGGTGGTCAAGAAGTCGAGCAGGTGATCTCGACAGGAATGCGCGCGTGAGGTGTCGACTCGGAGGCAGACAATGAATCCAAGTGGGCTAGTGGCTTAGATGTGGAACGCGCTGAGCAAATAGGATAGAGGGACCGAATTAAGATGGATATTGATGGACAATCATCAATTAGTATGGATTTTTCAACTTTCGTCTCGCGTTCAAGTGTCGTTGCCGGTAATTCACTTTGTATGTGTGGCGTGGGGGGAAGAGATGCAGCGTGTATTGGAAGCGTTGTCTTCGCGCACAACACAAATGCTCGGGGCGTGTTGGACTGTGGAGGTCGACGTTCGTAAAATGGTGTGATTCGTTGCAAGATGGGAAAAATAGGGAGATCAGTAAGAGGGTGTTGGTGGGAAGGAAGAGAAGAAAAAAAGAATAAGCAACAGCTTCAAAATACGAGTCGAGAGAAGATCGCCTCGCTTGGAGGAGAAGATGGCAAAGCAAGACGGCAAGTCGAAAGGAGAGGCGAAGAGGTTGCACCTGGATCCAAGGAAGTAAAGAAGCCGATGCAGGCAGGTGCAGTAAGAATAATACACGCGTTAGCTGCCCACCCAGTGCTAACTGTGCGTTCTGTTCCAAGCCAACCGGGCCTTGAACCTAAAGCGGCTTGGGGTGGGTGCAGGGCAAGCCAAAAGAAAATAAAAATAAAATAACGCCGATGCTCTCATCAAATGATGAGCCCAGGCTAGGCGACTTAGACCAAAGGATACGGAGACCGGTGTAACTGGGTCGCGCGCCTAACAAAGATGCGAATCATCACAGTGGATGCTCATAATGCCTCAGTGGGTTCTCCAGCAGGGGTTAGTGGCCCTGTCCACTGCACAGGCCCTACGGTGATGTACTGTACCGCTGTGCAGAGAGCCCACGGCACTGGATGGGGCCGCTGGAGTGTACTGTACAGTGCCTCCCGGGCTACAGCTGAAACGTGCTGTAGCTGGTGCTGACAGGCTGCCCAAGGCCCTGGCTGGCCGTGCCTGGCCGTGCCTGTGGGCCGCTGGCTGTGTTGTTGTTTTCCTCTCTCCAGGGGCAAGTTAACCCCTGTGAGACCTACAGCACTGTGCTCTGTGGCTTCTAGTGGCTGTGAGTGTTTATAAAGTGCGGCTGCAAGAAGCCCGCCTGGTAGTTCTCCAACGTGCCCCCCCTGCGTCAAGATGATAAACAAGAGACGCGCAAGATGGAAATTAGATGTTACTTTACCTTGCATCATTCATGGTCTTTTTTTCCTTTTTCCTTTTTCCTCGAAGCAAACAATGCATCAGTTTAATTTAATAGCAATCTCACGTCTACAGTATACCAGCATTGCAGCGGACGGCAAGCGGCAGAACGCATCTAATATGCTACGCGCCAACACAGTCACATCACACTGCAACTCATACTAGCCTGACTATAATTTAACACACCATCCGATAAATTCCAAAGAGGAAGAGCAGGAGTAAATATATGGACACTTACCCAATATCATCCTAACACCAAGTAAATTTATATTATACAAAAGGCTGATACGCCGTAGCCAAGACATCATGGTTGTAAGCTGGACGGGATATCACCACTTCGCGCCATCAACGCCACTGGTCTTCGGTAGGCTATTTCGGCGTAAACATGTCTTGCATTGCCACATTAGCATTTGCCACGCACAAGCAGCCACGAACCGTTGATTCGGACAATTCGGGCTGCGTAGCGTGTAATTTGCGGCATGCTCCAACAAGGCCAGCTCAGAGCCTCAATGTCCCCAATCACTCAGTGGGCGTTTAAGCCCAGTGGGCTTATAGCATGAAAGCATGCAGGTATGCAATAGCGGAAAAGCAGATCAAAGTGCGTGGCACCAATGGATGCGTCCAACGCCTTGTCTCGCAACCACACAGGCTTCCAACTAACTGCAGGCTGTTGCATGCGCGTCGGCGCCCTGGCCGCTTCAACGACATGAAGGATACCACCACATCCTAACCCAGCTGCCTTTTCAGCTTCGGCACTTTTACGCAAGGGATGATGGCTTTTCCATATTAACACAATTTATCTGACATCCGGTGAAAAATGGTAATGACCGATGCAAGATTCATCCAATTGTAGGGAGTTGTACTTCTTGCTCTCAGGGGCAAGGCTGTCCTAACCTGTCAGTGGGCAAAACCCAGCCAAGTAAAGCGCCTATCTGAACGCCTCACTCACTGGAACGCCCCAACCACAGCGGCTATAGTCAGAACATTCCCCATGGCCATCATACCAAACAGCAATTCACGGTGGGTATAATTCTCCTACTTCGTCTAAAAACGCTGTTAGGTAACTTTTTTTCACAATGGTTCCTCATCCCTGCTGACAACAGCGAATCCCTTGGCCGTCACAAGCAATTTTACCACCACAGCCTTCAGAGCCTTGGCCGAGCGGGCTTGTCATCAAAATGTTCATGCAGCTAAAACAGGCTAATGTGCGTCAGGGCTTTTGCACTTCCAAAAGGATCCGAGGAGGACATGGACTCTAACTTTGGCCACCCAGTTATGGCATTGGCCTACACATTAGCATGGTTCTCGGCCTTTTCTGCCCAATCCATTGGCTCTGCTTGTGCATCAGACTGATAGACATTTGGCCCGTTGTAATCCCCCTTTGGCGAGCCTAGCATTATGCGTATCATGCCTACAGCCTGCCACTCCATTTATTGATCCCGTGTCCATGGGATAGTACCTTTTCGCAGTCCAGAACTCTTCGGCTCTAATTGTTGAGATCCCAATAGCTCATAGCCGGCTCTGCCGCCAATGCAAGGCGTCCAGAAGGATTTCAGAATGGGACTACCTAATTGCGGTCCTCGACTAACCCACCTCCGCCCCATATGCAGTGTTGCAAGATTGCGGAGCCCAGAGTTGGATCGGCGCACTTCTTCCATCAGCACGCGAGTCTGACTACAATGGGCAATGATGGGCCATTGAGCGTTTGGTCACAGTTCGAGTTATTGACGGTGCCGCTGCGTTTCTTCAGAGGTTGCCTCACCATCGAAATAAGCATTGTGGACATTTTACCTATCCTCCTGATACCGTAGACGACTTGGTAAATGTTGGACACAACTAATCCATGGGGCTCTCCCGCCTGTCCGAGCAATCCTTTGACTAGCCTGGTGGCGTCAAAACGCCTCCCGACAAGCTTCCAATGGCTCGGGTTCAGAACAGAAAATGGTGGGTTGTGTGTGCGTGTCGTATCCCACTAAACCGCAAGTACGCCATCGTCCACTTGAATGGTCAGTCGGTTCGCAATTGGCCTAGCCGATGGTGGGCCAATCACTGTGCTGTTCCAGACAACCAATGCTCATCTCTTGCTATTCTTGGTATGGGCAAGGTGATTTTCAGCTCAAGCGATTTTTCGGCATCTAGTTTGCCATGCTGCCTCCTGTAACTTCTCCGGTCCAACAGTCAGCAGATAATGATAAGAATGGGCTGCTAAAACTTTGGGTTCATTGGTGTTGGAATTAGGCGGCATGTCATGCATAGAGCTGTAGTGGTCTGATCAAGACTGTCCGCGCAATTCTGTTATCCACGGATACTTTCCTAGGCAATCTATTTCTCTTCGGAGATCCCGAACCCGAGTTTCCATAGTCAAATCGAAGTTGCGTGGTTTCTGCCCATTAAGCCTGTGATTGGGCCGTTGGTTAATCCTGGCCCCAGATACGCGACGCGTGCCATACGCGCTTTTACTCTTTCGGTTGCTGCCGGTCGCTTGCTATTGGCTGGCGACAGCCTACCTCAGTTGGCGCTCCACCTTTGGGTCTATTTCTGCGTCAAGCAGCTTTTGTTAAGCGGGGAAGGCAGGCTACTCTGTGGATGGTGGTAAAGTATGCTTTGTAGACGGAGCGATTCTGGTTAGAAAATCTCAAGAGCTTGTTTCATGTTAAGTTTTTAAATTGTGGTATGCATCTCGTTCAGCTCCGGGATCCCTTTTGCTTCAATAGACCCTAACAATAAAGAATGCGTAGTTCGCAGTTGGGAAATCCTGCTCCCGTCCTGCGCCTAGGACTATGGTATGTCTGGAATACAGCCACTAGCAGCAGCTGTACTACACTGTATTATACAAGAAAATATAAAAATATAAAATTAAACACTCACCAAAAACATATAAATATTATACTACAAATATTTAGTCGTGAATGATAACTTTTTATAGCTATTTATCCAACTACCCTAAAGGTATGACATCGGCTTGCGGGTGTACCTATGATACCCAGCAGAATCGCCCGAATAGGAAAGCGGGCAACGTCGACTTACGCAAAACCCACCACATTCAACGCTCGCAATATCCATTACTTTGATAAACTATAGCCGCAACTTCGATAGCAGCTACCACACTCGCACCTAAACATATTAACTGCAAAGAAGCAACCTACAGTTTTATCATCCGATACAGTCGAAGACAGGGAAATATGGAGGCGGAAATCAAAGCCACCCTCCCGGATATCGACCCCATCGTCTCCGAATATTCCGTCGGCTACCTGACCCATGCATCCCGTACATGGGCCGGCGAAGACGATGCATCCGGCCTGTCCCCCTTGAATGAAGCATCCATTGCTATCACTGAGCTCCTAGTATCCGCCTCCGGTAATGTTGACACATCAGTGGAGGACAAGATCAAGAAGCTGGTTGAGAAATGGGTCAATAAGTACGCTGAGGCGAATGGCGGCGAGCGACAAGGTCCTTCTGCAGTGCGTCGCTTGGATCAAACCATTCAGGTCAGCAGCCAGCGTAATATGTCGTCCACACTCGCTGTCGCCAGTGGTGGCGTAGACCTTGAATCTGCCAATGTCCGCAAGGTCGAATCCAAGGTCGACAGGAAGAAGCTCGAAAAGGCAGAGCGCAAGATCGCTGCCAAACAGCAAAAGAAGCAATACAAAAACGTCGAGTACGAAGCATCCAGACTGTTGGATCAGGAGGACCCTGCACAGTCATACGAAGAATTCTACATGGCTGTCAACCCCTTGCAGGCTGCCGGATCCGCTAGCAAGACGAAGGATATCAAGCTGGATAACATTGATGTTGCTATTGGAGCGCAGCGCATCCTCACGGATACCACACTTACACTTGCACATGGCCATCGTTATGGTTTGGTTGGTAATAACGGTGTGGGTAAGTCGACTCTGCTCCGAGCGTTGTCGAGGAGAGATGTCGCTATTCCAACGCACATTTCTATTCTACACGTCGAACAAGAGGTAAGAGTCGAATGTCAAATGTTGAATAATACTGGTGCTAACAAGGCTATAAGCTTACTGGAGACGATACCCCTGCCTTACAAGCCGTTCTCGATGCAGACGTCTGGCGCAAGGTTCTCCTCAAGGAGCAAGATGTATGTCTAATACAACCACCCGTCCTGGAAATACATTCGCTAATGGTATATATAGCAACTTATTGCAGATCTTGCGTCGCTAGATTCGCAACGTGTAGGATTGGCCGATACATCGGCAGATGCAGCTCGTCTCGACCGAGAGAAAGAAACCAAAGACACAAAGCTTGGTGACGTCCAAGCTAAGCTTGCTGAGATGGAATCCGACAAGGCGGAATCTAGGGCTGCCAGTATTTTGGCTGGTTTGGGCTTTTCACCCGAGAAGCAGCAAAATGCTACCAAAACCTTCTCCGGTGGTTGGAGAATGCGTCTTGCGCTCGCCAGAGCGCTGTTCTGTGAGCCCGATTTGCTGCTTCTCGACGAACCGTCCAACATGTTGGACGTCCCATCTATTACCTTCTTGTCCCAATATCTCCAAGGATACCCCAGCACCGTTCTCGTTGTTTCTCACGACAGAGCCTTCCTCAACGAAATTGCCACCGACATCATTCACCAACACTCCGAACGCCTCGACTACTACCGTGGAGCCAACTTTGACTCCTTCTACGCCACCCGTGAAGAGAGAAAGAAGATTGCGAAGAAGGAGTACGAAAACCAAATGGCATACAGAGCCCACTTGCAGAGCTTTATCGACAAGTTCCGATACAATGCTGCCAAGTCATCTGAAGCCCAATCCCGTATCAAGAAGCTTGAGAAGCTTCCCGTTCTGGAAGCACCTGAAGCTGAATACAACGTCAAGTTTCAGTTCCCTGACGTGGAGAAGCTATCTCCCCCTATTATTCAAATGACCGATGTTACTTTTGGATACTCCAAAGACAATATTCTTCTGCGCAATGTCGATCTTGACGTCCAGCTCGATTCCCGTATCGGTATTGTCGGCCCCAACGGTGCTGGTAAGACTACTGTGCTGAAGCTCCTTGTTGGTAAGCTGCAGGCTCTGTCGGGTCTCTGCTCGTCCAACTCTCGCCTTCGCATTGGTTTCTTCGCCCAGCACCACGTTGATGCCTTGGATCTCACAGTCAGCGCTGTTAGCTTTATGGCTAAGACATACCCTGGCCGTACGGATGAAGATTACCGTCGCCAGCTCGGTGCTTTTGGTATTACTGGCACAACTGGTCTGCAGAAAATGGCCCAGCTTTCTGGTGGTCAAAAATCCAGAGTGGCATTTGCCTGTCTGGCGCTTACACAGCCTCATATTCTTGTTCTTGACGAACCTTCTAACCACTTGGATATTGAAGCCATGGATGCACTTGCAACGGCTCTGCAGGAATTCCAGGGTGGTGTTCTTATGGTTTCCCACGACGTCACCATGTTGCAGATGGTCTGCACGTCGCTTTGGGTATGTGATGGAGGAACTGTTGAGAAGTTTGACGGCGATGTCAAGGCTTACAAGAAGCGTATCGCGTCTCAAGCTGACGCCTCTGGTGTCGTTAAGCAACATTAAAAATACATAAGATAAGTCAGTGGAAAATATAATGAAAAAGCCTTTCTTTTCCAGAGGATATATGCAACTTGCGTGTTATAAAAGAATGCGAATAATGTGCTGAGTATGTCTCGCCCCTCCATCGGCATCATCTTATAAAACGAGAAGCAAACTTCTTTTTGATGCTGGTTCTTACAGCGAAGCTATTGTGCATAGTACTTACTGTGCTACAGCTAAAACGGGTTGTCTCTCAATAGCGGACGACAAGTCGTGGCAAAACGGAAGTGAATAGTGGGCCACCGCTCATCTCGGGACAACGCCCCCGTCCAACCAAATCTCCCGTGCTGGGCCCGATTGCAGGTGAGAGAGGGCCTAGAGAAAAAAAAAAGCTCTGCATAGTAAGAGCTGGGGCTCTGGGCCTTGGTTACTGGGAGATAGAAGGTATTAAACACGCGTAAAATCAAGCCTACTATATACATTATACCTTGGATACTCTTTATTTCCCCTCTAGCAGTGTAAACTCTTGCCACTTTAGAGGCGATTTGCTTGTTGAGCTCCAAGCTTCCGATTCACCACCTTTCCCAGTTGGGCAAAAGCACGGGCCACGAAGCTCCATTGTCCAGCAAGCAAGGTAAACAAGCCTAGTAGTCGGATACACGCCCTGTAGTACAGTGGGCGCCGAGCAGCCAGGTACCTGCCTAGGCCACCCGCTAACCGCGTCTCCATTGGACAGAAGAGCTCCTGCCCGCCCCTTCCCAGGGTGGGCAGGTAGCCTCTGTGGTTGGTGTTCCCTGCTGGTAGCGGTGAACCAATTTCCACCCTCTCAGGCCTGCAAGGCAAAAATCAACACACACCGGCTCCCCCATCATCCTCTGGCCTTCCCACTTCTTTTGACCTTTCCTCACCATACAAGTCAGGATCACCGCTACCTGTCTTCTTTTCCATTTCCATTATCCAACCTTCGACTTCTTTGTTTTACGTTAGCTTTTCCAAATCGCCAATATGCGTGAGATTGTAAGTTTCCTCTGCACCGCCAACCCCTCCTCTCCAACGCGTGGGAAATGGAAACCCCTGATTTCTACCCCGCCGTTGAACGCTGGGCTGCAACAACCGAAGCAATTATTCGACACCATATGCAGCCTATCCACACAGATAATATCGTTCATTATTTTATCATCAAAGCAATCAGCTAATCATTGTCTTTTTTCTTCTGCTATAGGTTCACCTTCAGACCGGCCAGTGCGTAAGTAGCTCTCCATGTCCACTTGTTTTGTGTATACATTTTATGTGCGCGGTAATGCTAATCGTGTTTTCTCCCCGCAGGGTAACCAAATCGGTGCTGCTTTCTGGCAAACCATCTCTGGCGAGCACGGCCTCGACAGCAATGGTGTTTACAACGGTACTTCCGAGCTCCAACTCGAGCGTATGAACGTTTACTTCAACGAGGTTCGTCACCGCCACCGTCCAAATCGACCCCACACCGCGTCGACCCGACATCACCACTAACCCACGATGTAGGCTTCCGGCAACAAGTACGTTCCCCGCGCCGTCCTCGTCGATCTTGAGCCCGGTACCATGGAGGCTGTCCGTGCTGGTCCTTTCGGTCAGCTTTTCCGCCCCGACAACTTCGTCTTCGGTCAGTCTGGTGCTGGCAACAACTGGGCCAAGGGTCACTACACTGAGGGTGCCGAGCTCGTCGACAACGTTCTCGATGTTGTCCGCCGTGAGGCCGAAGGCTGTGACTGCCTCCAGGGTTTCCAGATCACCCACTCTCTCGGTGGTGGTACCGGTGCCGGTATGGGTACTTTGTTGATCTCCAAGATCCGTGAAGAGTTTCCTGACCGCATGATGGCTACCTTCTCCGTCCTTCCCCAGCCTGGCTCTTCCGACACCGTCGTTGAGCCTTACAACGCCACCCTTTCCGTTCACCAGCTTGTTGAGCACTCCGACGAGACCTTCTGCATTGACAACAAGGCCCTCTACGACATCTGCGAGAAGACCCTTAAGCTCTCCAACCCCTCTTACGGTGACCTGAACTACCTCGTCTCCGCCGTCATGTCTGGTGTCACCACCTGCCTGCGTTTCCCCGGTCAGCTGAACTCTGATCTCCGCAAGCTCGCCGTCAACATGGTTCCCTTCCCCCGTCTTCACTTCTTCATGGTCGGCTTTGCTCCCCTGACCAGCCGTGGCGCTCACTCTTTCCGCGCTGTCAGCGTTCCTGAGCTCACCCAGCAGATGTTCGACCCCAAGAACATGATGGCTGCTTCCGACTTCCGCAACGGTCGCTACCTCACCTGCTCTGCCATCTTGTAAGTTTCTCCGTCACCTCTTTTGATAACACAATCGCTAACAATATTTCCAGCCGTGGTAAGATCTCCATGAAGGAGGTTGACGACCAGATGCGCAACGTCCAGAACAAGAACTCTACCTACTTCGTTGAGTGGATCCCCAACAACATCCAGACTGCTCTCTGCGCCATTCCCCCCCGTGGCCTTAAGATGTCTTCTACCTTCATTGGTAACTCCACCTCCATCCAGGAGCTCTTCAAGCGCGTTGGTGAGCAGTTCTCTGCCATGTTCCGCGTCAAGGCTTTCTTGCATTGGTACACTGGTGAGGGTATGGACGAGATGGAGTTCACTGAGGCTGAGTCCAACATGAACGATTTGATCTCCGAGTACCAGCAGTACCAGGATGCTGGTATTGATGATGAGGAGGAGGTCTACGAGGAGGACCTTCCCCTTGAGGCTGAGGAGTAAATTGCTCCGGCAGCATTGAACTAAGAAAATCGTCTCTGGGTAGACGAAAGCGAACCGTGTTATTCATGGTTTAGGAAGCCTTAATTTTCACTTCTAAGCTGTGGAGGTAATTACCTCTTTTGGGGTTCACTAGATATCCTTGACTTGAAAGAGGAACGCGTAATTAATTCGTTCTATTACTTCAATCAAAATTATTGTTGTACCATTATTATTATTTTATTTCTCCTACCAAATTGTCGTGGTGTCTTGTACAAGACATGTTTGGCGTGTACTTGATGGGCGCTTGGGAGGATCCACGTGATGTGATGAATAAGCTGCAAAAATAGCTGCCATTAGGAGGTGGTGCCAAACTAGGTACACGAGACTGGTCGCAAGGAACCATTAAAAGGAGACTATCCAACGATGGCCTCATTATATGTGTCAGCCAAGGGTGCTGGCTTGAGGAATGCCTCGTCAATGGCATCCTCATGCGCAGTAACCCTGCCTGGTTTTCTTATTCCGGCGTGGCAGACACATGCGACACGCCAGAGGAAGTTTTCGACCACCACGCCTCAGTTATCGAAGCTGGGGCGCACGCCGCTCTCGATTCCCCCCGACGTCGAAGTTTCCATGTCCGAGCCTATCGTAACGAAGAATATGACCTCGTATCTCCCCAACATTAAGAAGACGATTACTGTTAAGGGGCCTTTAGGTACGTTGATTCAGGCTCCGGCGGCTCCTCGTGCAATATCCTGATGCAACGACGAGCATACTTGCACCATTGCTGCTCGTGGACGTAGCTGGAGAGAATTTGGTCAATTCTTATACTGACAATGGTATTAGGTCAATTGGAAATGAGCGTTCCCGAATTCGTCAAGATTGAACAGGATCCCGAGAACCGACGCCTGGCTTTGAGCGTCGCCAACTCGGACATTACTGAACAAAAGGAGATGTGGGGTATGTTTGATCTTTACATTTTATGGATTGACCAATGCTGATACTAATGGTTCGTACTAGGCACCTCATGGTCGTACCTCAACAACTACATAACGGGCGTTTCCGAAGGCCACACCGTCATCATCCGTCTTGTCGGTGTTGGATACAGAGCGACAGTCGAGCGCCGCGCTGGCAAGGAGACCTTCCCCGGCCAAGAATTCCTCTGCTTGAAACTGGGCTTCACTCATCCCGTCGAAGAAGGAATTCCTGCCGGCGTTAAGGTGACTACACCGCAGCCCACGCGCATCTTGCTCGAGGGCATGGACAAGGAGGTGCTCATGTCGTTTGCTGGCCGAGTTAGAAAGTGGCGACCACCTGAGCCATACAAGGGCAAGGGTGTCTTCATCAACGACCAGACGATCAAGCTGAAGCAGAAGAAGATCAAATAAACTAGCATTGAGTCTGGCGTGGCTGCTTGGTGGATGGGATGCCGTGAGGTTCCGAGCCTTGTGTATTGTATTGCATGGATATTGGGGGATAAAAATACTTGTACAATGTATATTCTACTTAGGCGCTCTTGTAAAATGCATACATCTCTTTTCTTTATGATTCTTGTACTAACACAGTACATATATACGGGTTGGTTTAACATCGTGATTGTATTTTGTTTTATGACATCTATAAACGTTTTTCCTTTTATTGTTGAACCTTGAGGACTTCTTGCACAACGGCGAGAACCTTGGCGTGCACAGGAGCGGGAGCAGCAACAACGCCCTTGTTGTTGGCGAGGGTGCGGCCGACAGAGAAGTCGAGGCGCTTACCGTGGATGTCAGTGACCTGGCCACCGGATTCGCGGACAATCAGGTCACCAGCAGCGTGGTCCCAGATCTTCTCCTGGTAGGTAGCCTTGACAGGTAAGCGGAGGTAGATATCGCCAGCGCCACGGGCAATAGAGCCGTACTTGGCCTGGCTGTCCATGCGGACACTGGGTTCGGTAATGCCAAGCTTCTGGGAGATATCAGCCTGGTCGCCGTGGGAAGAGTGACCAGCTTCAACACTCTCGCAAAAGGTAGCGGTGCTAAGGTCTGTAAGAGCGCGCATGCCAATGTGCTTGCTCTCAGCGAGGGCGCCAGTAACCAGAGGGCGACTATCAGCGCCGTGGTTCTGAACGGCAGAAAAGAGAACGCCACGACCTTCGTCAGTCTGGTTGGTGCCAATGTCAGCAGTCAGGCGAGCAGTGTCGTCGACGGGAAGGTTGGGGCATCCGAGGACGCCAACCTTGACGTCACCGTCAACCATGAGGCCAAGGCAGACAGCGTACTGGCCACCACGGAGGAAGCCCTTGGTTCCGTCAATGGGGTCAATGGTCCAGATTCTGCCCTTGGCACCACCGGCGCTGTTGCCCTTGTCAATCAGATCGAGCATCGACTCGACACTGGTGATGGGGCCGCCGAGAAGCTTCTCGGAGGTATCATCAGAGAGCTTGGTGTCCTTAACGAGCTCCCAGATGGTATCTCTCAAGTTGGCATCCTCGCGCAGCTGAGCAGCCTCTTCTTCGGCAACGATTTCGTCTTCGGGGAAGTTGTGCTGGAGCGCAGAGATGATGAGGGCCTGGGCGCCAAAGTCGCCAATGGTGACAGGCGACTTGTCGTCCTTGCTGACGGTGCCCTTTGCCTTTTCGTGGAACACGCGCTTTGTGAGGATAGCGGCTCTTTGGACGGCGAGCTGAGCAATCTCAAGCTCCTTTGTGTAGGGGGGAGAGACAACCATGGTTGCGTGATTTCGGTTTAAGAAGTGGCCGGAGAGCTGGACGAGGCGGCGCGGGAGGAGGGAGGAGGCGACCTTTGCTGCGGGAGACGCCGTTTTGTCGGTGGCCGAGAGAAAGTTGGACAAGAAGGGAGTGTAGGAAGTCGATAGATGAGGGAGGAAGACGGCTGCGAGAAGGATTGCAGTAGCCGAGAGAAGTAAGAAGATCGAGTAAGATGGATATCGAGAAGAGCGGGTCGAGCGGCCTTGCGTCATCCAAAGCGCGAGGAGAAGGGCGCTGGCAAAGAGGAGGCGAGCGGTAGAAGAGACAAGTACGTAGCGTATAAATACGGTGAAGGGGGAGCTAGTTTCTTTGTTACAAGCTTAGCGATGTACGAGTTCGGAACGCCGGGTCGGTCACTGGAGAAGTTGAGTCGGCGGGAAAATATCATGGAGGGGTCGCAGCGATGAGCCGCGGGGCGGTCGCTGTAAAAGTCGCCGACCGTCCACTGCAACTAGCGCTGTCTCCGCTGAAAGACACCACTACAACAGCGCAGTTCCGGGGGATGCTACAGCGCACTACCGTTCAGCACCCGACCCACTGCACTGTTCTCTTATGGATCTGCCTTTGTGCCATCATTTTTTCCCCCGTGACATCGACATCTCAGATCCATCACCGCCAAACCACCCATTTGATTGCCGACAGGCTGAACCAAATACCGACCTATACTTTGTTCGATATTACCTCATAATCTCTACATTACTGTTGCACAATGGCCTCGACGTCATCACCCGCCCATCTGCGCTCTCTATACCGCGCCATCCTCCGCGAACTCCCGCCACGACCACTTCGCTCTTCGGCGACCCGCTCCCCTATTCACGCACGCGTTCGCTCGTCATTTACCACAGAAACAACAGAAGAAAGTGCTGCTGTTGCGAAGCAGCTTATTGCATACCTTCGCTCGCAGCGCACGTATGCGACGCTGCTGGAGCGCTACAACCCCGGCATGGACATGTCGGATTCGGAGCGTGTGCGATTGACAGCCCGCAGGGTCGGCATGGATTTGCCTAATTTGCACTCTGAAAAGGAATAAAAGCGGAAATACAACTGTATAGATACCAAACGAAACAAATACTGTATGATACGAGGAGAGGGTTGAAAATGCGCCAAGGAAAGGCGGCACTTTTCGACAACACAAAATAAATGTACATTAGGCTGTTTGCTGGGGTTTCTCTTCTTGATAATGGAAATATTTCAGTGATATTTGCATACAGGCTGTCCAGTTTTCAATGTGAAATGAAACGATGCAGCAGGCTAGTTGTACACAGTGATGATGATATATCCAGATTCGTCGCTTAACTAATGTAAAATGACTGCGTATATGCTATAACCTCTGTACGGGATAATCGGGGGTATCAACAAATTTAACTTATGCCATCTCCACCTCTTCTAGTGTTTCATCCCAGCCCCCAGTGTCGAGGAGATACTCTTTTGTACGTCTTTTGACACTCTGGACACTTGATCCTAGCGCGCTCACCCATTGATCCTCCACAATACGCACCTTATCTTGCAAGTCTTCCGTCAGCCTCCTGCTTTCAGTTTCTCGCAGCTTGAGCGCCTTGGCTGCCCTCTCGCTCATAGGCTCAGAAACGCCTTCCTGCTGTGGTAGCGGAGCTTCGAGGACTCTGCTTTTAGCGACCACAACTGCCTCTTTGACCTCGTGGAGAAGGCAAAGCAAATTGGTGTGCGATTCGATAAACTGATACGTGCTCTTTTCACCATGAAGTAGTAAACTAAACAAGTACTGCAGTGGGTGTTTGAGATAGGATGGATTTTCGTCAAACTCTGAAGGCGGAATCTGCACGTGAAACCCATCCAGATGGACCGGTACGCTATCCAGCAACTCGCTCAGCGGCGGCGCAATATCCCAAAAGGCTGATAGCTGGATGGCCACACCTCGCTGAACTGCTTCATCCAGAACAGACCGGAATTCGCGGGCGCGATCCAGGACCTCATTGGCAAATCCATGCTCCCTGGTTGCCTCATCGGCTGCAAAGAATTCCTTGGCCGATTCTAACTTCTCATTGTTGCCGGATAGACGATACGGTGTCAGGACGACTTCTCTATAGCGGTAATTTCGATCAGACAGCAGGTCATAAATTGACCTGTGCAGGGTCTCTCGCATTTCAAATATCCATTTAAGTAGGGTCAATTTCTCAAGGAGCTCTGGTCGGTCGTCGCCCTCTTCTTGAGGCATGTCGGCGTCATTTTCTCCATCGTAAAAGAGTTGTCGAGCCGTATCATCAAAGAGGTCGGTTGCTCGAGCGATGCGCTTGGTTAAGATGTCGTTGAGGGGAATGACGACTTCGTTTTGGAATTGATCGTATTCGGTCTTTTCCAGCTCCTTTACTTTGTCCTTCTCCTGCTGCTGGAAGTCTGACTCAATTGCCGCAGCGTCAGAGTAGCCTATATTTCCAGAGCCTATTTCGCTCTGAAGGTTGCTTCGGAGAGCTCGTTTTCGCTCAGCGGCGCTAGCAGCGAACTCTTCGCGTCGTTTGGCGCTTCCAATGGTGAATGTTTCCTTTGCAGTAGTAATTTCGTCAAGTTCGCTCAAACCTCGAACCGCAGTCCGAATGTGCATCAGTTGGGGGTGATTATTGTTAACTGCAGGGTGATGTCGAGGATATGGGGGTGGCATAGTAACGAGGCGAGAGACGTCTAAATATTGAGTTACGTTTGGTGTCATAATAGGGCCAGTTTCAGATTCGTGTGATAATCGTTGCGGTTGCGGTGTGGAGAGAGGCTCTTCCTGTTCATGCCAGCCTACCTTCTCGGGGGGATAGGCTGACGAAGTGCCTTCGCCGTACGGATCGTGACTCTCGTAAATCCATTGCTCCTTTGGCAGTCCCATGTATTTCGATTCTCGTTTCGATCGTTCCATCACCTGACCGGGGTCTCCCGACGAGTCTGTTTCCCACCATCTGCTTGGCGGACGCCCACGAGAGCTTCCATTATCGTGATTGTCACTCACGCTCATGCTGAGAATCGGCGAAAGAGCTGGCATGTAATTACCACCACTTCCCCAATTAGCAGGTGGCCCACCTGGAGAGGCTGGCAACTTTGCGGACGAAGGAGCAGAGTTTGGCAAGCTGTTACCTTGCGTGTTTGGCCCTGCGGATCCAAGATGGGATGGGGTTGCAATCGTAGATCCCGGAGTCCACGGTTCCTGAGATGTCGCAGATTCTCTTCGTGAATTTGTCATTGGCCGGAAAAGATCACGAGTGAGATCAAAAATTTCAGATCCCATGGCACCAATCGCAGTAGAATATCTCTCTCGGCGGATTCGTGATTCACTCACAATAAAGTCAGCGAACATTCGGACTCGATCGGCATCTGACTGAGCAGCAGACTCCTGCAAAGCAAAAGCCCGGAACCTTTCGACAGTGCTAGATGCAAATTGGTCGGCACTCTGGGTTGCTGCGTGCTTTAGAGCTGCGGGCGGAGGTCGTGAACTATCGCGATGTGCAGAGCTGGAGGCAGGTCGGGCTTGAGGAGGTGGCGTTGATAATACCTTGTGAGGCAGGTTTTGAGAGTCGTTGCCGTCTTTGGTTCTGCTGGCCAAGGGTGAGGGTTGAGGGGAAGACACGTCGAATTGTTGCGCCTGTGCCGAACTTGGCCCTCTTGGGGTCGAGTTGCGAGATTCATAAAGACTCGAGTCCCCAGTACGAGGTCCATCTGCTGGTTGCTTACCAGCGCTACGGGGTGTCCCTTTGTTGAGTGTGAGGCGGCGCTGTAAGCCGTTCGAAGGTCCGGGAACGACAATATCTGAAATAGAATTGGGTCGAGCTATGGTGTCGATCGAGTTTTGCGAGGCATGTGTACGTCCCTCACTTCGTCGTTGTAAGATTGTCTTGTCGTGTCGAACTGCTCCGGCGCGACTGAGACTACCAGTACTACCCGCAGAAGTCAGAGGCTCTGGAACTTGCGTTGCGGTTGCAGCAGCGTCCGTGTCGATTGTAAGGCCTGGTGAACGTGGCCGCTCTGACCGAGTTGGCTGCGTATCAGAATCAACCCAGTCTGCCGGGGTTGGTGGTACTGGTCCTAGATTTGTTACTCCTGTCGGTGGGCGACGACGTGTCGGTGGTGATATTATCGGTATAGTTCCTCTATCCATGCTCTGCACGCTCTGCGACCGAGAGCTGGAAGGAGGGGGTCCTGGAGGAGGCGGAGGAAGAGGCATCCCTGGCTCCCATCTTGTTTGAGAGGTGGAGCGAGATCGATTCGAGGTGGGAGTGTCGATTGCTCCGGTTGATGCAGCTCGCCGGGAGCTGGGGGGGACGAATTGTCCGTAAACAGCCGATGGAGCCACGATATTTTCCACATCGGCAGTCGCTACAACAGCTGGCCCTAAGCTGCGTCCAGAGTACGGCGCAAGGGGGTGCATATCTGGAGATGCCGTTGGCTGGTCTGAATCTCGGCGACGAGTAAGTGAAGGAAGGCCAAAGCGGCGTTCTCGCGAGGCGCCACGACCGCCGACACCAGGAGGTGGAGGGAATGAGTTGGTAGGCTCCGGAGATGGTCTTTGAACCAAGCTGGCGGCGGATAATCGTGGTGAAGGAGTTGATAGAGGTTGCAGGACATGCTCAAAAGCTGTACTGACGGGTCGAGCTTGTTGGCTTCGCGGCGGGCTGTATGGGGGCGGTGGAGGAGCGCTACCAGCAGCAGCAGAACCTAAGAAGCTGTGAGAAGTTGAATAATATGAGGAGATTACGTTGGAAAGCATACCTGAGCTATCGGGCGGGAAGTGCTGCGACTGAGCAGACATTTGGGCCGGCGACGCTACCCATTGCTGTGGATTGTAGGGCAGCATGGAGCTCGCTGGCGTCTGAACCGTGGTAGCATGGGACGATGCCATGGATACAGCCGACATTGGGGTGCCGTGCTGAGCACCAAAATTGCCCAAAGACGAGGTTGTCAGAGGGTTCAGTCCCTGGCGAAGACGAGTAGGGTCGCGGGGTGAAGAGGCCATGCTGGAGGACGCTCGCGAGATTCACGCCACAAGCGGGAACGTGTCTCTGGGTCGGGGGGCAGAGGCGCGGCAAATTGTCCAAAGATAGAAACCCCCTAGGTTGGTGGTTGGAAAGACAGGGCCTGTAGGAGGGGGCCACGCCTGAACGCTGGAGCGGAATATGGCTCGCGGCGGACGATGCCTGAGCAACGTTTCAGGACAAGCTGCGTGGAAGTGGATGATGCAGCAGCCCGGGCAGGCTGCAATCCATGGACGCGAGCGGCGGCTTGGGCTTTCCGAAGGAGACGAATGCAGATAGAAGAAGTAGAGGAGAGGGGAAGAAAAGACGGCGCGGCAGATGCTGCGCAGAAAGCAAATGCACAGCGGGCAACGAAGGCCGTCGGTGCGCGGTGGTGGTGGTGGGTGGTAACGGTGCAAGGCAGCTGAGAGAAGAATGTGCGGATCAAGATGCGCAGGCGGGGGGGCCCGACCACACGAGGCTCGCAACAGGGGACTACAGAGGCACTGAACCACTGTAAGTACAGCTGCTGCTACCACCTATCTGATACGGTATAGGCGTTTGCGCACCGCTATTGGCCTAGCTGCTGTGGACAAATATAGACACGGCTTGCTCTGCTCCAGTTTTTGAATTTTCCCGTTCTCACCACCGAGGGAAACACGATTCGAGGCCTTTCTGATGCTAAGCGCCGAGGCCTTCAGTGCGAGACAAAAGCTGCGCTCTGGTTGGTGTGATGACCTGCAGCCCCCCTGTAGCTGGTTCACGCTAGCGCATCAATGTGCACTAAGGCGTAGGCGCTAAGCTGCTTTGGGGCAGGTGTGGGAGAGCAAACAATGCATGGGGGCTTTTTCCTCTCTGGAGATTGCACGCAGCCACCTACACAGTACGAAGCAGCAACGTTGGAGAGAGGCTCTGCCGTTGCTGATCTTGAATCTAGCTGATAGCCGGCACTACCTGCAATATCGCTAGTCATATCTTGATTCTGCTGGACTATCAGTGAGGCTGTCCTCTGCAACGAGACTGATCTGTTCGGTAGATCCCCGCCAAGCACTGGATTTTAGCGAACCAAAAACTGTCAACCAGGTTCTTGCGCTGTGCATGCAGAATGAATGAAGAAGAAGCAAAGAGGAAAAGAAAAGAAGTCGTCTCTAATTCATTCAATTGCTCTATACTATCTGACAATGCTCTCTAATCTTCTAGTACAAGTTGCCGAAATATTGCAAACATCAAACTCGCTCACCACACCCCCAACTCCTCGCTTACACACTCATCTACAAGAAATCTTCATCATATACATCATCAACTATACATCTCCACAAATTTAAACGTCGATGTGGCAGACAACCTCGATGTTGTTGCCAACAGGGTCGTGAACGTAGGCGGCGTAGTAGCTGGGGTGGTGCTCGCGGAGGCCGGGGGCACCGTTGTCCTTGCCACCAGCAGCGATAGCAGCGGCGTGGAATTCGTCAACAGACTTGCGGTCTATCACAACAGTTAGTATTTATAACACAGTATCGATCCGTATATATATGTTCTTACCCTTGGCAGTCAGAGCGTAGTGGATGTTGTTGCCGCCAGCGGTGGCACCCTCATCGGCAGAGATCCAGAGATCAGCCTTCTTCTCAAGAGGGTCGTGCTTGGAGCCAAGACCGACGATATTGCCATCAGCAAACTCGTAGCGCTGCTCGTATCCGAGAGGAGCGAGAGCAGCCTTGTAGAAGGCAATGGACTCCTTGATCTTATCGACAGGGATACCAACAGCGAGATGGTCGAGCATTTTGGTTGATTGTGGGGGGGGGGGAGGGGTTTGTGGTGTTTGTTGGAAGAAGTAGAGGTAGAAGAAGCTTCGAGGTCCAAGAGATGATGTTAAAGGCGATGATTGGAATGAGATGATACCAAATAAAAGTTGCCACCTCAACGACTCTCCATCTACTCTTTATACTTGCCTTGCGCCTTGTGAACCGGCATTCGGAACGGACGGGGTTCATCCCAACAGCGCCTTCACAATGGGAGCTGTCAGCAAGATGCGCCGGCTTTACATACTGGATTCGGTTTCCAATCCCGCTTCTGGAAAAACCCAGGGTCGATCTCCAAGGTGTATATCACCGCTGACTTTACACCGCAAATTATGGTCGCATCATAATATTCGACAAGGCCGAAATAGGTGGAGGCTTACGGAGGGTTTACAGGTACGATGGCGGGAATCATGCATGTGGCGGGTGCTTGGCGGGGAAGGGTCGTTAGTTCCTAAATCAGGAAAGCGAATGAGGGGTGTCCAGGGAAGAAGCGAGCCGAATTAGTGCATCTCGGCATGTCAAAGTTGTGCAACAGACTTAATCTGTTTGCTAGAAGATAGCTAAGATCAGTACCATCTGCCAACTGCCACCTGTATCACGCAGAGCCTGTAAAAAGGGATTGTCTATGACAGCACAGCCAACACATCGGGCAGACAGCCCCAAGACATACATTACGGGGTTCGGTTTCGCCCGCTACTAACGTCGGGTATATCCTGCCTTGCCGTCGCATCATCTGGTGACGTTTAGCGGCTGACGTAAAGGCAGGCAAATGAGGCCTAAGCACTTAAAAGCATCCCTGCCAACGCTGTCAGTGGTTGGAATGTACTTGTACACCGAGAAGCTCCCCAGCCTCAGCCTCTGCTGAGTAAAGCCTAATTTCATTATGGCATTTACTATGAACAATGCCGACGAATGAAGCTGTCGGAAGCCGGGACACGTTGCTGTACAAACGCGCCTGCTGGGCTCAATTTTCAGACCGCTTACACGCAGCACACACGCACTCAGTGTTCTCGAAGAAACAGGGTACTTTCCCAACGGAGTTGATCGATGCAACATTATGTCTACAAAAAAAAGAGAATGTTCGTCATAGGAGGCTGGGAAAAGGATACTGTTATCGTATAGTTCTCTGATGTATCTGTACGTTGCGCTCGTTGGCGTTCGTCGCGCACTTGCGGTGTAACCGGTATCGTCACATCGGCGTCTTAGCCAGCTGTAAGCCGCTTTATAAGCATTGCTTTAGCTCAAGAATGCGGTAAAAGAATACACCAAGTAATAGCCCAGAGAATGAGGGAGGTAGTAGTAGGCAAATAAATAAATATGAAGAGTATAACTGATATAGCGGCAATATTGATATACTAAGCGTCTTTACTATTGAAGACAATATAATATAAAATAAAGGCGGATGTCATCACGTGAGGAACAAAGACGGTTCTTCTACGGTCTGGTGGTCTAGTGGTATGATTCTCGCTTAGGGAAAACCCTTAGCTACAGCTTGCGAGAGGTCCCGGGTTCAATCCCCGGCCAGACCCTTTCTTTTTGCCAATTTTGCCAATTTCCTATGCGTTACTAGGCTTGAAATGCAGCTAATAAAGAAAATCATGTGGGATCCTTCTTTTTGAACGGCTGAGTGCTTGCTGCATGTGCCAAACACGTGGGTTGTAGCAAGAATTCAGCATTTAGGATTGTTCGCTCTTTTGCTAGTGATATTATGTGTCTGTGTTTTCATTTCGCCATTTCTTTTACTGAAATTTCTTTTCTAAATAAAAACAAAATAATTTTAATCCCTTCTATCCCAGCCAACGAGTTTACTGTCAGCCCCACATCAACCTCTGGTGGGGGCACTGCCTACGAGAATTTCTAGAGCCTTCTGAACTTCTTTCTCCCCAGCTCCTTTTCTCTTCTTCAAGCTCCAAAGCATTTGATCACTCTGTGGCAGCAGGAACGGGATCATTGACTATCATTACTGCATAGAGTATTTAATTGGTAAGTGATTTGGATAATATTCCTCTTCTTTTTCTTTCTCTTCCTATTTCATGATGATACACCAGCTGGCACCAGTCATAGAGTGACTTGTACTCCCTTCATTGATGACATATTTTGCTGTGGTCCAAGACCATTTCTGACTTGAAATACCTCAATTTCTTCTACCAATCATGTTTTTCATCTTCAAAGTTGCGTTGTGCTAACACATGATTGCTGGCAGGCTTGACAAGACCAACATTACCATCATATCGACACCATGGTTCTCCATAACCCCAATAACTGGCACTGGGTGAACAAGGATGTATCTCCCTGGGCAAAGCAATGGTTCGAGGACAACTTGTTAAAGCTCGAAGTAACGAAGGGCGACGTGTCCGCCAAGATTAGCAAGGTCCAGTCCATGGACGGTGATGTAGACGTCAGCCAGCGCAAGGGCAAGGTCATTACCATCTTCGATGTTAAGCTGGTCCTCGAATATTCCGGTAGGTCATGTAACAGTTCCTGTAATTGCCGTAAGCGTCTGACTTATCCGTTATCCTAGGCTCGACTGCCGACGAGAAGGATGTATCGGGCACTATCACAGTCCCTGAGGTTGCCCATGATACCGAAGAGGACGAATATGTCGTAAGTTCTAAATTTGCTTGCAATACCCCAGTATTCAGTCGCGCATGACTTACACTGTCATAGTTTGACATTGATATCCACTCCGACTCGAAAGCAAAGCAGCCTGTAAAAGATTTGGTCCGATCCGACCTAGTTCCCCTTCTGCGCAAAGCATTTCAACAGGTTGCCCCGGCCCTGATTGCTGAGCATGGCAAAGATATCCAGCATGCAGCCGATGCTAACCCATCGAGCGGCTTTTCCACCCCAAAGACATACCCACAGGCCTCTACACCAACCAGCAACGACAAAGCTGCTAGCTCCAGTACGAGCGCTGGTGGCATAGTCAACACCACCACCGTCACTGATAACGAGGAATTCCGAACCACGGCTGCCGAGATGTATCAGACGTTTGTGGACCCTTCTCGTATTGCTGCCTTTACACGGTCTCCCCCCAAGCTTTTTGATGGTGCCAAAACGGGAGGCAAGTTCGAGCTCTTTGGCGGCAACGTGTCCGGCGAGTACCTCGAACTTGATGAGCCCAAGAAGATTGTCCAGAGCTGGCGTTTGAGTCAGTGGCCCGCTGGTCACCACTCTAAGCTCCAAATTGAGTTTGACCAGAATGATGTTGACCACGTGACGGTCATGCGTGTAATTTGGACTGGCGTTCCGATCGGACAAGAAGAAGTTACGAAGAGAAACTGGTCCGAATACTATGTGAAGAGCATCAAGGCTACTTTTGGGTATGTGAACAACCACCATGTATAGCAGTATATCGACGACTAACATTATATGATGCAGATTCGGCTCCATCTTGTAAAACATTTGATTTTGAAAAATGAACAAACGAAATAGCATTCATGGGATATAAAAACTACGGTCTAGATGAGGATGGGAGTTGAGGGTGTTCTTCTATCACAGGCGGCGGAGGCTGAAAAGTCATTTAGTAGGTCTAGCGGACTTCTACATAGGACCTAGATGCGTGTTTATGATGGGCATGAGCGACGTTGATGAATAAATCTTCTTTTATATATATCCAAAAGGTACTATACATAAAGGTTAACCTATCCCTATCTTCTTGTGCGACGCAATCTATCCACCGGTAAGTCATCTTTGGTCACGCCAAATCCATAGCTCTCCACGAAGACATCAGCCAAGTTGTCCCAGAAGCCCAAGTCATACATATTTTCCACTTCCTGTATGCTTTGTATACGCTTCCAGTCACCAGCGCCTGGCAACGACCGTCCACTAGAAGTTGGAGGCTGCCCATCCGTAGTGGCCATCAAAACCATCTGTGGTTCAACTGGCCATCGCGGGCAAAGAGGCTCTATCTGTCTATTTTTCACTCTACTTCCCGGAAGCGGGCGAGTAAAAGCATACCCGTCGCCGATGTCTTCCTGCCAATCAGACCATTTTAGTGATTCGTTTGTAGTAAAGCCTCGATATACGTGATATAACGTGTACGCGAGCAAGCCCCAAACCATTGGAGAGGTGAGCAGTGAAAGAAGAGTCGTTGCGCCAAGGTTAACTTCACGCTCCATTGCCAAAGCCCACGAACCAAAGAATTGGAAGGCTCCTTCTTTCCATGACGGCCACAAATGGAGCAGTGGGTATCTCTCGCGCATAGCTGCCGATAAAAGTGAAACCCCAAGGAGGCCGCCATATGTAGTTAGTAAGGCTGTTGATGCCAAGAGAAGTATGAACCAATGTTGGTTGCCGTATCCAACGCATGAGTTGATAAAAACACAATGATGGTCTGCTTTTGCGACACATCGTTTGCAGAGGCTGCAATGCTTTGAACGCGCCGGTTTTAAAATGTTGCAAGTGCGACAGACGTTGCCTGGGTGAAAGATGGCATAGTCGTAAGGATATAGCGACATATGATAGGAGTGTGTTTCGTTTGTGACGAACCCCGGATCACTGACGCAAGCCAGGTAGAGAAATATGTACGGCAAAGCAACTGTCACTATGACAGTTAATTTGACGAAATACGACGATAGGCGAGGCCACGCCGCAGGTAGGAACATGTATTCTCCACCTATCATGATAGCAGCGAAAAAGATCTGTAATGCTGGATTTAGAATGACGGGCTGACTGAGACGTACGCCAACAGACTCACCACAACAGTAGGATGTCGTTCGTGCATAAGAATGTTAAAGAATCGCGAGGAGCCACGGAACACATAGCCACCTGTATACCGCTCATCAAGCCTAGACAGAGCGTTGGGAATATGAACCCATAGTGTCTTGTGAAGAGCACCGATGGGTGTATTGCTTTGCATGGAATATTAGCAAAAGGGGGCTCAAGGACATGTACGTAGTTCCGGTGTAGCTTACCGTAGCGCTGGAATCCGCCCAAAAAATGTCACAAATACCATAAAAGAGAGCGCCAGCACAAAAATAACCAATTTTGTAAAAGTCTTCATGATGTCTGCAAAGGGTTGATCACAGGAGCTCAGTGCGTGGTGTTGGTGTTTTGGAGCCTTCTATCAGATGCCAAGTAAGCTCAGTGATCGCGACGTCATGAGCCGCCCAAGCCAAAAAGTCGAACAAAAAATGAGCCAGATGCAGCTGTCACAAGTAAAAAGAAAACTCCAAAGAAAACTTAGAACAATGATTGGCCGCTGCTGCTGCCTGCTGTAAACCAGTGCAGCAAAAGCTTGTTGGATGAGGCAGAGTTGGTAACGTGCTTTAGCACCTACACGTGATCACGCGGCGCCCCAAGTGCCCATCACGCGCTGCCAAACACGCCTAGTATTTTACTTAAAGCTACCCGCTGACTTTGTCGTTCAAAGCCAACTTGCGCCGAACAAATGTTTAATAAAAGGGGCGGATGGACTGAATTTGGCAAAAAAGAGTCGGGGTTTCGTCATTAGTGTCAAGCCGACTCGTAACGGACCAACTCACACAACTACATCTCTCCTCCGTCGACAGCCACATTTGCTTTGCCGTTACTTACAAAAGCATTGCAAAAAGATCTCCCAAAGCACAACGTCAAAATGCCCTCATCCGACAGTTTGGATCGGGGTGAAAACCCAGACCGCAGTATTTTCCAAAGCATGAAATTTTGGCTGTCTTTGAAAGTCCCAATGAGGAACAATATCAAGGCAGCTATCGAAGTATGTAGACCTACATCTTGGCGAGTGCTTCTGTACTAACTACTTGACAAAAGGATAACGGTGGTATTCTTGTTCATCTGGAAAAGGATGCCGACATTCTCATAGCAGATCACGCTCGCAAGGACTCACCAGTCGGATCCGTATCGTGGAAATTTGTTACTGAATCAGTTGAACATGGCATGTTACAGATTGAGGACAGATATATCATCCAATGGGATCCCAGGTCAGAGAAAAACCGCGTCGCCAATAACACTCAGAAACGGACCCGAGCAGCCTTCACCCCTAGCGAAGATGCTGCTCTTGTCGCATGGGTGCTGAAGACGGGCGCCCGCGCGGGAAACCAGGCCTACATGGAATTTGCTGAAAAAGTTGGTTTCGATGCCTTTACTGTCATATATTGTCTTTTAAAAACTAACTAAGTTATCCAGTATCCTTCCGACCACACATGGGCCTCATGGCGAAATAGATTTGTCAAGCGATTCAGTCATTTAGATCCGAAACAACTTGCCCAGATTGCTGCTGAATATCAGTCTTCCAACAGCGAAGACGCCGGGTCGAAGACAGCTAATACAGCAGAGGTGACTGAGAGCCAAAGAGACAGTCAGTCGGGAAATACAAGATATCACGGCCCCAAACAACAGTTCTACGAAGATCTCGACATGTACATTGACGCTACTGGTGCCAAAATCGAAAAGGATTGCATGTTCTCGGGAAAGCATTTTGAACTCTGGGATCTTGCAAAAGCTATCAACTCTCAAAAAGTCCCTGCTGAAGAACTGGACTGGGACAAGGTTGCCGAAGAGCTTGGTTACAACTGGGTTGCCAACAAAGACATTTCAAGGACCTTACAGCTATGCTATGAAGAGAATCTCATGGATTTTCTGGATAGTCTTGATGAATTTTCTCCGTCAGAAACAGCAGAGGAAAATCAAGGCGCCACCAGTTCAAAATCGAAAAGCGTAGCGCCATCCACCTCACCGCGATCATACGTTCCATCTTCTCCTCCCTCAAGATTTTTGTCCGGGAAGCGAGCACTTGATTCAGAACCAGAGCTGCCTCTAGGAGGAAAGCGTCAAAAGCTGAACAAGAACACTGAAATTCCATCGACACCTGAATCTGCATTGAAGGTTGCTGGACAGTCTAACCAGCGAACACCGACTTTGCAGGGAAGGCAATCTACGATGGATTTCACACCTTCCCAACAGCTTCAAGATGAGTGGAGCAATGCTACACCGATACCACTTCGACTGGAAGATGTAAATGCTAGACAGCCAACTCCTCGGGAAGATGAAGAGCGAGCTGTAGCTAAGCAAGCACCGAGACGATCACTACCTGCGGAATTCAAGAGCCGCAGTCCGCCAAGACAAGCCCAAATATCTGAACCAGCTAACGGCGATGAAGATATTGCTCATTGGATAGGGTTCTATGAGAGTCTTGGATACTCGCACGACATTGTCATTAAGGCTCTGGTAGCAACGTCAATGAGAACTGGCGGTGCCGCAGCTCAGACAATGGAAAGCTTGAAACAGAAACAGGGACTACCAACACATATGGAAGGCGTATGGACTCAACGCGATGACAACTCACTGAGACTCATCTTGTCCATAGATATTAGCCAGGTACCGTCAGACGCAAGTGGTAAACGCCGTGTCGCAAATGCCAAGCGTGAGGCTCTCCGACTGCAAAACAAACATGGCAAAGAGTCTATGGAATTGAGAAGTCAGTTTCTCGATGCTCTAGAGGCAAGCCAACAAGCATAAAGTGCTGCAGCCTTCCCTGCTTAATCCACCACTGTTAAACACGAACAGTGATGTACGAATAATGAATCACCAAGCGGGCCTCTGTTGTAAAGCTCCAGGTCCTTATAATTCAGTGTAGCTAAGGTTAAATACCCGGCGTTGGATAGATATAATTGAATTTCTTTTTAATAATTCATTTGGTCAAACTACTAGACTTCGTAACTACTTAGGGATTGGTGCAGAATACCTCCAGGCCCGTAACGCCATATCTTCTCTGACTTTGTATACTCCTTCTGCTGTCTCTCGGATAGACATGTCCACATCCACAACGCTCATACCTTCTTCACCAGAGCCCAGTCTGCCGAGACTGCCCTGCATGGGCAAAGCGGCTTGGCTAACACCAGCATACTCCCGCCCCAATGCGTCTTTGCCTGGTGCAATGCCATCCTCATCACCGGGAGCGGCACCGCCTGAGTTAACAAACAGAACAGCTGCTGTATTCTCAAATGCTCTAGCCACGCACATCGTATCAAGGAACAGAGTCTCAGCTGCGGGGTTGACATCCATACCCTCATCACCACCATCAGTAAGCAGCCAGAAAGCAGGACAAACTATGATAGTAGCGCCGTCGGCGATCAGACTGCGCATGGCTTCTGGGAACGCAATATCCCAGCAGATAAGCAGTCCAACTCTACCTAGCGGCGTGTCGAAGGCTTGATGAGGCACAGGTGCAGAAGATGCCTCGAGGATAGGCTTCTCTGGGTGCCAGAGGTTGCGTTTTTGATAGCTGCCCAAAACCTTGCCGTCAGGTCCAATGAAGTAGCAGACATTAGCCAGGCCGTTCTCCGGGGCATCTGCAGGCGGCGCAGAGAGTAATGTGCCGGGGACGATGGATATGCTGAGCTCTCGGGCCAAGGCGCAGTACCTCTCCAGGTATGCGGGAGACTGGAGAGCTACGCGAAGAAGGCCTTCACGGTCTGGAACCCATGACGATAAGTGGTATTCCGGAAGAATTGCTAGAGATGCTCCTTTGGATGCTGCATCTCGGATGAATGATTCAGCCTTGGCGAAATTTTCCTCCGGTGCCAGAGGCTGTGTGTCACCTTGTTAATCACAGTTCATTGACGGCCATCATAGCCGATGGGGATATAGCACGAGGAATTCGTCTGGATGGGTATTGCATTTACCTGTGAATACAACTGGATTAGTGCAACCTTCATGGTTGTGAAGTTATGGAAGTTGATGATGCTTGATGTCACAGATATGGTGGGAGTAAGATCGTGGGGATATGGGATTGAAAAGCTGGCGATGAAGAGGCGGTTCTCCACTTCTATTAGTAAAACCTCATCATAAGATATAGAGATACGGCACCGCTATGCAAATTGTAGAAATAATAATAATGATAAGGCCCTTCACGCTATAGCTACCCATTCCCATGGTATATGAAACACTCTGTTCGTATAGAGTTGATCGGACTCCAAACGGCGTTGAGAAGCCTGTATAACCCTTGTAGCCCCAACCGTTTATGTCAACGCCGACGTTAAAGGGTTCTATGAATGTAAAGAAACGCCGTTACTTCCCACGATGCTGTTCCCAATTTCAGTATTAAATGTTGGATACTGTTGCAGCTTGAATTTTAGACACTGCCCTGTAAGCGTCGAGGGATTGCATCTGGAAGATAGCGACAGCCAATATTTCACCTACTGCTGTTAGTGAGTGACCTATACTAGCATTCAGCTGGGGACCGACCAATAAATAATAAAATCAAATTTCTTAGAAATGAAGGTTTCAGCTGGTATGAGCCAGCCCAGATAGTAAGGAAAGGGCATGCTAAATATGGCCACCATTTTGTAACGCCCAGCCAGTCGAAGAGAGTGTCGACGAAGACGCCGAGATGAGATAGCCCGTGATGCATTGTATCGATATCGGACTGCATAGCATTCAAATGATTTTGCATATGGAGTTGTTTCGCAATTGATGTGTCTGTTTCGTTTTTTAAGAGGAGCAAGACCTGAGAAAGTTAGCTAACAGTGCAGCCCCAAGGCGTCGCAACCTACTTCACTCAAACCGGCAACGTTTGTCATAGCGGAGTCCTGTGAAGGGTATAAGCGACGAAATTTAGATATTCTTGCAGTTCATCCAACCATATTTTTGTTCAACGAGGCCGTGGAGGTTGCTGCGACTGCAATTGCATCCAATATTGGCTCTAGGGCTTCGATTGCCGTGTCAAACTTCTGTGTATATCGATTCAATGTAGTACGCCCTGTTTTTTCAATAAGATCCATGGAAGTCGATATATGATTTTCGAGGGCATTCATATTTTCGAGCCTAGTCTTTGACATTGTTATTGCTTCCTAATCATAGTGTCAGCTCCGAATCATCTAGCTTGCTCCAGATAAGTACCTCTGCGGCAGCGTTAGACTGCGAAATATGGGACCTGAGCGTTGAAATAGCGTCTTGGATGTCTTCTATGTTGGAAAAGAGCTTTTCGTAAGCTGTGTGGGCATCGTTTAGGTGTCGTTTGTGAAACTCTGAAAGACGGTCTTGGTTCTTGTCAACCGAATCAAAGAACTCGGCCATGATGCTAGCAATGTGTTTGTAAAATTGGACAGTAGAATCTTGACGGGTTTGTTAGCTTCTGGTATCTGAATGCATATGATTAGTTACCTTTTTCTCTATCTGCGCCTGCAACCTGACAGTAGACTTCGGTGCGGTGACGATAATTATGCCAAGTCTCCCACATCTTATTGTCCGCTGCGAATGCCTGAATGCATTGATTGACTTCTTCTGAAGAGACGTGTAATCCGTGGCCCTTTCTTGGTGATAGTTTTGCGAGTGAAGTCTCCTGAAAGCTTTTACATTGGTAGGGGATTGGAATTCTACCTCGCTCCAAATCGCAAATGGCCAGACTTATCGCATATGCATCAACAAGGTCCCGAGAGGAGGTAGAGTCGACTTCGCTGGCAGTATCTACATCGAAGAGCTGTTGACAATTTTTGACAAGAAGAGCAGTAGCAATTCTGTGACAATATGGGCGAGACTCCAGTTGCTCAAGTTCGCTTATGGCACGGTCGAAGGCGCTAGCCACTGCAAACGATTCGGCTGCCATTGGCTTAACGACTCGAGCTTCAGCAACGCGGGGTATTAGAGGTCCTTCTAGCTAGTCAGATTTTAAAAAGAAAAAGGACTGGTATTCACTATCATATTACTGACCTTGGACTTTTGAAGGCTTCAGGGACCAGGATAAGGCAAAGCCGCCGTGAGCCAGGACAGTAAGCCCTAAGCAGACTTGGTGCACATGCATGGCACTCTTGATTTGGGCTCTCTCGATGAAGAATGAGTTGCAGAAAATGTTTAGTATCAATCATAACTAGATGGTGATGTTAAAGAGAACGAGACTGGATTCAGAACTCCATTTATTACTTGCCAGGTGCCAGATACTAAATGCCAGCTGGCGGAACTGGCCATTTACCTAGCCCTTGGCTCTTCACTTGACACTCAGTACTGCAGTAGCCCTTCTGAAGACCTCTGAGCGTCTTTAATTATGGACAAGTTATTTTCTATCTACAGTATCGCTATGGTACTATGACGAGAGCCTCGACCGTCGCCATTTCGTCTCTAGGCTTGATTATGACCTGTGGTCGGTCCGCTTGACTTGGCTCCAAAATATGCACAGGCATAACACGGTCGTTTTTTGCAGGCACTCGAACCGGCTGTTTATCTTCGTCGGTAATTTCAAAGCCATAGATAATCATCGCAGCAAAAAGCAGAATCTCGTTGGTAGCGAAGTGGCGTCCAGGGCAGAGGGTCTTGCCACCACCAAATCCACGAAATGCAGCAGGATGGAAACCGGAGGAGCGGGATTTTTGGTCCAGAAACCTTTTTGGGTTAAATTCGTTAACGTCATGTCCCCAAATTGACCTGTCACCATGGATCACGCCTCCGGCTATTTGAACGACGGCGCCCTTAGCCAGGAAGTACTTGTTGGCAAGCATGGTATCCTCTTTGATTAGCCGAACAGAAAAGTTTTCGGAACCAATCCTGAGGCTTTCTCGAAACACGGCTGTCAACTTTGGACAACACTCTTTGAGAGTAGCGAGACTTAGAGCATTCGGCGATACATGTGCGTGGCGACTCTTACCGATTGCCTCGAGAATCTCTCGACGGACCTCGGTGAGGAGTTCTTTGTCTGCAAAGGTTCTCAAGATAACCCAGAATGTGGTTGTAGTGGTATTAACAATCCCGGCAAACAGAAATGAAAGAGCCGACCTGGCAATCATCTCATCATTCATGTCGTACGCTCGTTCAATACGAATGCGATCCTGGACAAGTTGTGACGCTGCCTTGTCGTGGCCGTTTTGCAAGTATTCCATGAGAGCCCTGACTACCCGCTCTCTACCATGATATGCTTTAGAAGCAGTTATAGAGGGAGCAAGTCCAATAAGCAACCCTCCAAGACCATGATCAAAGGCCCAAAAGTCTTGCTCTAGCTGGGGGCTATTGCTAATGGGATTAGACGGGCCAAACAAGTAATTGGCAGTGCCTATAGCGACATTGTGTCGCATCCATTCTAGCAAATCTACCGGACTGGATTCCGTCGTTGCAGCCAAACTGGATTTGGCAAACTCGGCAAGTTGGACACAGAGCTCCTGTGATGCGTCACAGCTAAGCTGGGTGAGATATTGGCCTGGGCCGAGGGACGTGTAGACCAGATCATGCATATCGGCAAGGAACCCGCGGGGATCTCCTGGTTCAGGGTCTAGATTCTGTCTGACCACCTTGACTGTTTTATCATCAAGCCCCAACACGCGCTTCGTAATATCTGGGACGAGTGGCGTGAAGGACAGCGACTTAGAATTGCGCTGAACAGCGGCAGCCAGAACAGGATCAGTCACAACATAGATGCGAGAACCAGGCACAGGGAGCGTGAATATGGGCTCATTAGGACGAGAAAGTCTGCTATAATCAGTTTACTGTTGTCTGGCTCTATCACGGCCGCGGTAAACATCGGAACTTACCCGAGTCGTTTGATATACCGACCGCCCTGGAGTGCCATCCCAAGGAGATGTCCGATGAAGGGGATCCATGATGGCAATATTACAGGCTCATTTGGATGCAATTTTCGGTTGGAAATAAACCGCAAGGCCGAGAACACAGACAACACTCCCACAATGATGGCAGTCGTACCGCTGGTGAGAAGGCTAGAAGAGTCCATCGCGGTCTCTTTCTAGTTGAGTCAGTTACAATCAACATCCATTCCACATCCTCAACATAGAGAAGATCTCAAACTAACTCGGACGAACAGTGCAAACGCTCTAATGCACCGACTTGATACTATTCAGGGCCAAAACGCAATCCCGGCCGTTAATCGCCGGTGGTCGTGACGGAAAGGTGGAGTTGTGATGAGGCGGGGGAAACTCTGATCAGCCCCCACTGTTCGTTGTTCGCGCGTCTCGGCCCCATCCCCCATCTCGCCTCATGGGCGCCGCGGGTAGAAACAAACTTGCTCGAGCGAAGCACGCGAGTCAGCATAACCACGACTTCACAAAAGCAATCCAGTCATGCCTTATCTAGCTTCAGGTAAGATAGTACACCGGAACGCGTGACCCATCCTACAAATTTATTACCCAATTAGGATTATACCAAGACCGCCCAGCGGTTATGTCATTCCTACTAACAGGTGTACCCCCAGCGCCCCAGCGCCCCAGCGCCGCAGGAACCACCATGTTGGCACCCTATCGGTGGAGTTCGCCGTCCTCAACAGAGTGACGTCAGTGGGAGGGAGAAAAGCTCTCACAGCATGCTGTTGCTCTGCCCGAAGCTGGGCCCAGAATGCAGCCTGTTAATTCGGTTACCAACCCGCGCACTATAATAATTGGGGCAAATGTTTATTGGCGTGCCACACATTTCTGTCAGACTATTTGATGGATACACCCGTTGGCACTACGTATATGTTTAGTGATACATTACACATCGGTGCCAGCAAAACGGGGCCGATCTATGTAGGCTCGGTTGAGTTATATGACCAGTACGAAATTCGACAGCTCACAATATTGACTCTTTAAGGATAGGGGTCTCGATCAAGCTGTCAAACCAAGCATGTGGGTAAAAGCACATGAAAGAGCCCAAGACAGTGACTGATCACGCAAGGTGCAGCTGGACCGAGACGCTCACTCATGCCACGGAATTGGGGGCGACAGCATTCAGGTGCTCGGATGCTCTTGATGCTGCAATCGAACCGTGCCATCGACAAATGGCAAAATTGCACCAGATGACATATTGCCTCAGTGTCGGTAAGCCTTGAAATTCGGTACACAAGAGCCCGATACTGTTTGATACGTGCTAGGCGGTTCTCGGCTTGGTTTATTTCCCAAAAAGAGAAGAGAGACGAGAAAAGGAAGAGATATTTTCACACAGATAGCACGATCTGATTGATATTCGGAAATGAGGCTCATGATTCCGAGCTGATATTACAGGGCTCTACGATCTCTGTCATCTGAAGAGGCCATCGCCAGTGTCGCTCTTCTTCGTTTTTGGCAAACGACGCGAAGGGGCTTCGGCACCGGGATCCGCTGCTAGTGAAAACCACTGCCCACGATCGGAAGGGGCTTGTTCTGAAGCATCCAGACCTGACGACCGGTGTTATACGGCCGTCGCAAAACGGCGCCAATCATCTGAATAATTTTAGCAGACGGACTGGGAGGTTTCCTAATGAGGCTTCAAGCTAAGACGGCGCTAGGTGGCTCACTCGGAATCCCGTCGGTGATTAGCGCCCATGGCGGGCCAGGAGAGCCTTACGAGGGCAGTGATCGTGTAAGTCAGCATCTCCGGCGATGGTACAGGCAAAATTGTCGGGCAGCTTTGCAGCTCATCTCTGTTGCCTCGTTGTGCTTCCAATTGAACCACTTTTGACTAAGTATTAAAGATTTAAAGCCAGGCGATCGAGAAAAAATTGAGGCAAAATACCCATATTATTCCTACAGTACGACGTTGTAATCTGCAGTAGCAGACGCCGTGGCAGCGGGTTGCCGCAGCGGGTGACAGGACCGAGTCTCCCGGGTCTGCCGTGGCTGGCAATAATGCAGCGTCATAGGGCACGCCTATTTCTCAACAATAAAGACGTGGGCACAACGTGGGAATAAACAAGCCGCATTGCGCAACAAAGACTGGATGCGATTCCGTATTTCCTCTTGGTTGGTATGGACACCCGGCACCTGGGATTTTGCCGCTGACTAAGGATCATGGCCGATGGTCTCCGGCGGGGGCAAGCCGGATTCGCCGTGGGCGGTTTTGGGGAGAAATGGGCTTGCGTGGAAACGTGCTCGCGGGGCCACAGCCACAAGGCGCTAAAGAGCGAACTCTAAGCCCACGGCATAGCCTCCCGTCTTGCACCGACGGTTGAAAGTTTAAATCACCATCAGGATTTTTGCGGAAGTGGAGGAGCGCGGTAGGAAGACAGCTGAAGGGTCCTGCCGGTCTTCCACTGCCTCGCTATGCTATCCATTCGTAGTGGGCAATAGATTAATACCATAGGGCAGCGGACAACCAGAACACCCGAAGTGCCGTTGTAAGCGCCTTGGCATGGCTAAAGTGCATCTCGAGGCAACGCACGTAATGCAACTCAGGACACCCACACACTAGAACCGCGTAAAGTAATCAGTAGTAGCCAAGGTGGCTCCAACGGCGGCGTTGGCCTGTCTTCCCTGCAGGGCAGTCATGCATGTGCTTAAGCGAGAGACCAAGCCCAGCGTAGTCCATTAAGAGGACAAGCCAATCAACCGCGACCGTTTGGCCCTGGCATACATCCAATCCAAGCTCAGAGAGTTCCCCCTTCTCCCCAAATCATACGATATCGCTCCAAGATTCGTGTGCACGAGCCACAGACAGGGACCGTTTCCAGCTGCCTACTGTCCTGCATGGCGCTAGTCTTGGTGGCTGCGCCGCAGATCCGACCTCGTTGTCCTCTATCTTGAGTCAGGTTGGGGTCCTTTTGCAGCGAGTCTTTACAACAAGGCAACAGTTGCTGCGCACCGGACAAGCTCCGATGAATCTGGTGACGTGCCGCCAAATGAGTTGGAGATGCCGGGCCGCCATCGCGAAGCTGTGAGCTACTCAGGTTTCGTTCATTTGCCGCCAAACGCCGCTTTGCGTCGATGGGGGTTTACGCGTTTGGGGCGAGCATCAATTTCCGACACCCTCCCATCATCCCCCCCGCGATCTTGCATGGCCAGCCATCCCTCGGCGGTCCAGTCCCTCTAAGGTTCAGTTAGTAGTACTGTAGTTATCCATCAGAAAGCACCCGGTGGGGGGTTAACTGACGCGAAACGGTACGGTTACCATGGGGGAGGGGGCAGAGCTCGGGATCCCGAGCAATGGTCGCCGTTAACTTGGCTATTACCACCGTTTTCTAACACGTCCCTGCCCCTTCGCCCTAGCTTGATTTGCCTTGGACGGCCAGGCCGAGGCGCAGCTGAAGCCCCTTCTTAGGCGGAACCTTATCCATCTGCCTGTTGTTTGCTGGTCCCCCTCCTCCACCACCGACAAAAAGGCCCTAAGGAACTGGGACCGCCTTCCGAAACGCCGCCGAGGGAAAAGAGGGCCCTGGTGCATCTAGTACGAAAGAAAAATAAATAATAAAAATAAATAAATAAATAAAAATAATCCAAAAATGAGAAGTTTCTGGATAATCTCTTGAGTTTGTATGAGTTTCTTCCCTATAAACGCAATCCCCAAAGGATTCCCGTTCCAACAAATCCATATACTTGGCCCTCGGTCTATATCAAGAACACCATTCCCGGCACTTGGTCACATATCTTTTGCATTTCGATTTATAAACATTTAATATACCCTTGTCATTTCTTTTCCAAGGATTTCTCTCTCTGCTACAGATCGGATCAGATTCTCCAATCTCGAACCCCCTACCCTGCCCTCGTCCGTCGCCTCATCCATTATTATATCTTTGTCACCCATCACCCAATCCCGCCCTTGCTTCCAAAGCAAGTTTCCAGTCCACATGTCAGAAGAACTATTCTCAGGCGTGTGCTTTGCAAAGAGTCTTGCTTCCTGCAGCCCTTTATCTTCAACATCTTGGAAAAAGCAAAAGTCGTTTGACTGGTCAGCTTCGGCGACCAAGCACATCCCCTCGGGCCAGACGGAGCTGCTCTCCCAGGCCCTTTATCCACTTTCACCCAGCGCAAACGCGGCAGACCAAGACTTGAAGCTTCCAGGTGATGCTTCTTCGCCCGCCCTTGTTCTTCCTCCATCCCCAACGTCTATTCTCTCCTCCTATGCCCGATCCCAAGGTGAAGAGCACTCTTCCCACTCACCATCCAACTCTTGGACTGGCAGCCCTCTAGATCCTAGCATGGGTGAGCGTGGCGCTTCTGATTCTGCTGCCCAAGGTTGGACCAGCACTACCACAAAGTCCCAAAACGACTCTTCACAACGAGAAAACTTTGCTCTGTCTTACGACAAGAGCTTTGCTGCCTCGAACCATCCCAGGTTAGTCTTCCTCTGCTCCTCCTCATGTTATTGTCACAGCTTGCTTTCTTTTTTTTGCTTCGGTCGTACTTCTTGACACCGATCGCTAACACCCTGCCAGCATTACTTCTGGCCCTGAGCTCTCTGGCGGAATGTATTCTACAAACCTGTCTGCACCCTATTGGTACAACTCCCTCATGGGTGGTGCCGCCACCGGAACCCTTCCGCAAGGCAGCACGGACATCTCCGATGCAATGGACACTGAAAAACAGCTCCAAGGCTCGGAAGAATATCCTGTCAACTCCAACCTTTTTTCAAATGGAATCAACTGGGGCTCCGACGGTGCGTCTTCGAAGCCAAGCAGTCAAGCGGCTGGCCTACACCGTCAAATGACCAGACAGTCATGGGCCGGACAACCACCGACTTCTGAAAACCCAAGACTAATGCCAGACGTGGCGTTGATGTCCTCTTCCCAAGTTCCTATCGTCCCATCCAATAGTGGCCCTCACGCGGGATCTGTCTCTTCTGGCTGGAATAGCCAGAATGGCAGCTCGACAGGATTCTCTCGAACTAGCACACGCAAGGCTTCGGTCGCTAGTACTCCATTAAAGAAACAGAGATCACATAGTGTGGCTAGCGAAAGCTCGTCCAGACGCGCCGTCAATCAGTCGGGCATGAGCAAGGACAAGCCACGCTCGAGCGACAGGACTACTCACAACGACGTTGAGCGCAAGTATCGCATGAACCTCAAGGACAAAATTGCAGAGCTCAAGGCCGCCGTTCCCTCTCTGCAGACAGCATCGGAGGGTGATTCGGATGGCGGGCTTGGTAACGCTGGCGCTTCCAAGATCAGCAAGGTATGTCGATAACCAAAGCGATTTGTATTTGTTGTCGCACAAACTAACATGTTGCTTTGTTTTCTAGGGAACAATTCTTAGCAAGGCCACTGAATATATCCATGAGCTGGAACAAGTAAATCGTATGATTCTCACGGAGCATCACCAGCTTGTCCAACGCGTCCAGCAACTGGAGAGCATTTTGCAAGAGGGCGGCGTCCCACACGCGCCGACTCAATATGGCCAGTTTGATCCTCAAAACTTCCCATAGGCTTTCTTTTGTCGTGGCTTTTTGTTTTTTTATTTCTGGTGTTTTGTTTGCATTTCGTTTACTTGGTTTTGGTCCTCGGCTTTTCGCTTTCGTTTTGGGCGCTATTTCGGGTGCCGGAGTTTGTGTTGAACCGGAATACAATTACTTGATTTCAGGCGCATGCGAGGCATTGGGGCTGCATAAGGGTTTTATACATTGGGATCTGTCTTATTTGACTTTTATAGATGATACATATATGTATATATATCCATTTTGTTTTAATTACCATCGTTATTATTCCAGACGCAGTAGACCACTATTCGCAGTTCTAGTGAATCAAGTACAAGGCAATGACTGTCAACGTATGGTGAGGATCATGCCAATAACATAATCAGTCTGCTGGGAAGAGAAAAACAGATAAAAAGGTCACACAAACGCAAATTAGGTTAATTATACACGCAAAACATCTCTATATAATTTTTATTGTATTGTTACAACACGCTGTATGTGAGCGTTAAAGTCTATAGGGTATGTCTACCGCGTAATCTAAAGCGGAACGCGTCGAACCGAAATTAAATCAGATCACCACTATGATGGCAATAAACATGTCTGTGTAAATTTTAGTCTCGGAGCGCCTCAATATCTGAAACCTCCTTCACTGCCTCAGTAGTGAGGATGAAGGGTGAGGTTTCATCCACACATATGCTATCCTCGATACGAACACCCATTCCGCGGAAATGGGAGGGCCACTGCTCATTGTCAGGGACATAGATTCCGGGCTCTACGGTGACACAGTGACCTGGTCGAAGTAGCTCGCGGCGGCTGTATGTTGGGCAGTCATGGACGTCCAAGCCAATGTAATGACCAACGTGATGTGGGAACAACTGACCAATATTGGACATGTTGACGTCGAAGCCGATCGTCTTTAATTGTTCTACTAGTCCACGCGTTGTTGCACTGTGGATGTCCTCTAGGGACATACGTGCATCTGCTCTGCAAAGCGACACACTATCACGCTGCACCTTCAGAACAGCCTCGTATAGATCTCTCTGAGCAGGGCTGAATTTGCCTGAGCAAGGCCACGTGCGAGAAATATCGGTAATGTAGGTACCATATTGACCACCGGCATCAACAAGGATGAATTCGTCCTTATTAAAGACGTCGTTGTTGACGGTGTAGTGGATGCAGTTGGCACGCTCACCACCAGCAATGACGGGTATATACGCTGGTCCGTCGCACCCATTCATGATGAATTGATAATCAAGAAAGGCATGGAGCTCCTTCTCCTTCGTCCACTGGCGCCTCATGGCTTCTGTAATAGCACGACCAGACATTTGGCCTGCTTTTCTCATGTTGGCCACTTCGGCTGGGCTCTTAATTGCGCGTAGCTTATTTACAAGCGGGGAAAGCGGACTGGAACTGGGCCGCGGCTCGTGGCTGCCGAGCTCGCGCCAGGAGAATTTTGTCGGCGCGTTTGTGGGTGGCATATCGGCATACACAGATTTGGCGCTGCTCAAGAGGCGAGGCAACAGGGATCCGGCCGCGTCTATGGGGAATGATTCATCTGCGTTGAAGATATCCTCTGCGGCCTGGACCCCGTTCCTGTATCCGTTCCATTGTTCTTCTCTTGGGTTCTTGGGATTCACAAACATGTGGAACGTGTAGTCTCCCAAGTTGGGCCCCGTTTTGCGAATGACAGCGACAGCATCCGGCTCGTCCCATCCAGTCAGCCAGAGGAAATTCGACTCTTGTCTATACGGGTGAAAAACGGCGCCTGACTTGTATACAATGGGAGCGGCTTGAAGCACAGCAACACCACCGTCAGGTAGGGCATCGGCTACAGCAGCGCGTCGATCGGCATATTCTTGGGCGGAGATTCCAGCAGTTACTAGAGCGCGGTGGGTATTAGCGAATTGGATAGCTCTGAACAATAGCGTAGTGATAAGAAGGATCGCTTAGAGAGATTAATGCGTCCCGCGACATGTGTTGCACTTACGCTCTCCGGCTTGTAAGATATGGGGATGTGTCTCGTGCACCGGCTGTCCGAATCTCAGATCCGCTGCAGAGACAACGGAATAAGCTCTGTTAAATTTGTTGGACACGCGACTTGGCAACGCAGCGAATGCAGCAGCTGTGGAGCTTGCGGGAAGCTGGCAGGGTCGAGGGCGAAGGGGGAGCTGGCGCGAGAGGCTTCGGAATGGTGGCCGATGGAGCTTCATTTTAAGGACGCGGCGTAATTTTCACCAGGAATTGGGTCCACGAAGCACGATGGCAGGGGAAATAGTGTTGTGGGAAAAGCAAGAAATGTCAACAACGTCGATTCATGCGGCCATAATAAAGAAAGAGGTGGGATACCGCGCCTGTTGGCGATTTGTACGTGCAGGGAGAGAGGGCTGTGTCAAGGAAAAAGAAACGAGTGACGATGTGCCCGTTGCGTTGACGATGTACCGTATGCAGTGCCGGTGGATCACAGCCACAGCGAGCAGATAGAAGAGCAAACTGATGTGGCGGTACTGTATTTCTGGGAAAAGAGGTGCGGCGGTGCACTGTTATGTCTCGTACCTGCCCTGTAAGCCCGCTGTAACGCCGTGGATACAGCGGCTGAGGACTAATATTCCAGCGGGTTGTCTCCACTCTACGGCGCCCACCGCAGCTGTGGCCTGCAGAAACCCCTCCCGTTGCTGGTGCGTCGGCCTGGCCCGTGCGTGTTTTTGGCGTCCCGACCCAACTGGGCCTAGCGCTGTTATGCCAAGCGCGAAGTCTCCATCAACATCAGCTCTTCTCCAACGCACGCCTTTTCCACCGTGCGTGTTTCTTTCCCGTACTTGCTCCTACCACAACAGCTGGACCCGACTACTTCTGCTTCGGGATCTCTTCTTTTTCCTCTATTTCTTAACGGCCTACTACCAATAAATGTCTTCTTAGCATCCATTACCCTCTCGTGAACCAGCATCCAGACGTGTTTTCCCAAGTCACGTCGCGTGCTCTTCACACTAGCTACCTTTGATACGACCCGGCCTGCAACGCCCCTCCTCGCCACAGCTTCACACAGACGAGGCAAACACGCTCTGGCCTGACATCCAGAGCATGTCCATTGGCTAGTTTTATGGCAACCGTATCGCTATCTCCTACTCCTGCCCCCATTGCGGCCATGTCATCACGCAGAATCCCCTTGACCAACAATCCCAATGCCGCCAATTCTCCTCTTCGAGGATCATCGACTTTGGCTGCATTCGCCAAGCAGAAACGCTCTTACGCTACCGCCCAACGCGAGGAAGCCTACGGTCAACCGCCTCCCATGAAAAAGCAAGCTCTTGAAAATGGCTCGCACCGTCTTGTCCGATCGCCTTCCAAGCTCCCTCGCTCCCAGCTTGTCTCTCGAAGCCATGTTGCACAACCCCAGGCCCGAGACCGCGTTTCTCGGCCTGCAGCACCATCTAGATCTACTCATGATGCAGATGCTGAAAAAGAAGTCTGGAAAAAGCACCACATGGCTAGATTTCCTAAAATGGTCTTCTATTTCGAAAGCATCCCCGACGACGTCCGTGCCAAGCTTATCAAGCGTGTTACTTATCTCGGAGCTGTACGTTTACTTTGATATAATGCTTTGAAATTTTGCTTTGCTAACTAATGCTTTGTTTTTGTAGCGTCAAGAGCCATTCTTCTCCAAGGACGTGACCCACGTCGTCACGACGCGGCCGATTCCTCGTGACAAGCCTGAACATGATGCCGAGAAGGAACATGAACAGGAGCAAGAAACCCAAGAGCAGCCCCAAACAATTAACCCGTCGCTGCTGGATAGAAACACTAGTGAGGCAAGAAGAAAACTTCTCTTCGAGTTTCGTCAAACACCTCTTCCCTCCCAGTCCCAAGACGACTTAGTCAAGCGCAACAAGGCTTCCCGCAACAATGATGTTATTCTCAAGGCACGTGAAATGGGCAAGAAGATTTGGCCATTGGTAAAATTCCAGAATATGCTTTCTGTCCTGTTGGAAGCCGATCCCCAACGCGGCCAAGGCGTCCGTCATCTCGCCTCTGGCAGCCAGTATGGAGCTACTAGAGGTCATGAAGCCAATCTTCTTCAGCTTCTTCAGCATGAGCGTCTCAATGGTCCTACTGATCGTGACCCCACTGCTGTCAACAGGGAGTTGAACTACTTCAAAGGCCCCTATATCTATGTGTGGGATATGGATGAGAAACAAAAACCCATAATGGCACGCGACTACCCCAAAGTCGTCAACAAGACAGATGGCGAATGGCCCCAATTCCGAAGTGTTGGCAATGGTCGCTGCCCATTTGTTGAAGAAATGGACATTCCCGAGCGAAGCTACCGCAAAGCTAAAGAGCAGCGTGAGACGGCTAAGATGGTTAAGAAGGATGAATCGGTTACAATCTTGAAACCGCCAGAGAACCCTCTCCCTAAGCCTGTTACAGGCAAACGCACTTTGACTGAGATGGAAGATGGTCATAACAAAGCACGTGGCATGGCTGTTACTGATGCGTTCAGTGCTGCCCGTGCTACCATCAACAAGCCTAGTGAACTGCGTCAAAATGCGTTTATTAGCCGGGCTGAGGGTGGCCGTGTTTTGGGAGGAGAGCCTGTTGCATCTGGCATGCAGGCATCCAACATCACATCCGCCATCCGATCTCAAATGATCTCTTCTACCTCTGGCATCCATGGTGCTAAGGCTGGAACTAGCAAAGAGGTTCATGGACTTCAACGTAAGGTTCTGCAAAAGGCCGCCCCTGCCTCTCATGATCACAGCTCGCGACGCCTTGCCGAGGTTTCGATGGATGTCGCTTCTAGCCGATCCACGACCATGGGACGCCCCAACTCCAAGTTGGCTACTATGACAGAGGATAGCCAAGAGAGAGAGAAGAAGCCTCAGCCCAAGAGCAAAAAGGATATGAAGCCTGGCTATTGCGAGAATTGCCAGGATAAATTCCAAGACTTTGATGAAGTAAGTTGTCGTGTCTGTTTGTCTGTTTGGATTCATTGACCCGTTTTCTAACTAATTTTTTTTTAGCACATCTTGACCCGCAAGCATCGCAGATTTGCAGAAGACAGCGAAAACTGGACTGATCTGGATGCTTTGCTCTCACAGCTTACTCGTGTACCCAAGTACGCCGCCATGGACTCCGACACAGAGTAATTGCGTTAGCCTTAACGCACATTTTTATTGATAACACGACTTGACCCGACGTTGCATACGACTAATTTCAGTCGTCTGTAACCATTGACAGGCGCAAACGGATTTAATTTCTGCATCTCAATCAGATACCCGCAACTGCATTATACTTGCGACAAGATACCATTTTGACTTTGATCATTCTGCATTGCACGAGCACGCCCTTTCTTCCTGGCGGCCTGATTGAGCCCTTTTTTCTCTTTACTTCGAATTGTTCGGTTGACATTCGCATTTTTTGAAGCCATTGTTTTTTCTTAGCTATGACGAACTGCATGCGGAAGAGGTGGAAGCAGCATGGACGGTTGGCATATGTTATTTTTGGTTGATTTTTGGACTGCGTAATCTCGCAGTGGCGTTTATTTAACGGTTTGATCCTTGACAGGATTTATCATGGATAGCTCACATCGGTAGGACAGCATCTTATGGCGGAATTAGGCTGCATAGGAGTTGACGCACTTTGGTAACCAGGTTTTCTGGGACCAGCGAGATGTCTCGCATTATAAGTAGCGTGTATGCCAGAAAAGAATCAGATAGTATTGTATATATACAATTCAAATTACCTTCCTTGTGCTGTGACTATTTATTTTATAGGAAGTTCGCTCTTGGTACGCGGGGCTGCATGAGTGGATCCCCAACGTGCGTACGCCTAGAGCCTGTCGTTCAACGTGACTTTTGCTTTTGTCTTTACTTCTACAAGCTTCGCCCTCGGCGCTTTGGAACCTCGGTATCCAAAACTAGACAAAATGATGGCTCCTCCATCTGAAGAACGAAAACATACAGAACCACAAGATACCAATCTACAAACTCAAGATAGCGATTCCCCTACGCCCATCGCAAGTCCCGTTGAGGAGTTTGATGACGACGACAATGATGAGATACCTCTTACTCTGGCAGCTTCGGTAGTCTTGTCGGATTTGCCTAAAGATGCAGCTACTGCCTTAGCGGATATAGTAGCTGCGACAGCCTCTCAGCAAGACAAAAAGATTATTGTACGATTCAAGGCTGTCGGGTCGGCCCCTCAGCTCGCTCAGGACGTTTGCAAGATTAGTGCTGCTCGCCGTTTTGAAGAGGTGGTACGCTATCTTAGGCGGAAGCTACGATGCGCCGAAACAGACAGTGTATTTCTTTATGTTAACAGCGCTTTCGCTCCAAGCTTGGATGAAGTTGTCGGAAATCTACACCAGGTATGTTTACCAGTTGTACGAACGAGAGACCTTGATGCTGATCTGTTATTCCAGTGTTTCAAAAATTCATCAGATCACCTTGTTGTGGCGTATTCAATGACGCCGGCTTTTGGATGAAATCATTAAAATGCTATTGATGCTAAAGCAACGCGATATATGTCTGGAACTGGATGCTGGAGATGCCAAAAGAACTACGCCTATGGCGTATGCAATGCTCAACAAGGGGAAAGTAACGCCTCTACATGATCTCGACAGCCTTTGCGAACGCCTCTATCTGATCCTTCAGAGCTGGGTATGTATGCTCTGCCGCAGGATACTGGCCACTTTTGACGTCGTCTCGATACGCCTCGATTGCCTTTAACGTCTCGCCCCAAACATCGCCATATTTCTTCACGAACTTGGGCAGATACCGACCGGGAGGAAAGTTTCCAACCATGTCAGTCTGGACTAGGACTTGTCCCGAACAACCAGCACCAGCGCCTATTCCGATGGTGGGAATGTTGAGCTTTTGGGTAATAATTCTAGCAATCTCTTCCGGAACCGCCTCGATGACGATTGCAAAGCAGCCAGCCTGTTGCAGAGCTAGAGCGTCCTCCAAGACTTTCATAGCACCATCGCTGCTCTTTCCTTGGACACGGAAACCTCCCAAGGCATTTTGCCTTTGAGGAGTGAGGCCAATGTGGCCCAATACTGGAATGCCAGCGGTTGTGATTTTGGCGACAGTTGGTGCCATCTCTTTGCCACCTTCGAGCTTGATAGACTGTACGCGGCCTTCCTTCACCATGCGGATAGCTGAGGCAAGGGCCTGCTCTGGTGAAATCTCATAACTTCCCATGGGGAGGTCACCAACCTATGATGTATGTTAGATTTGTTGTCATGGAGATCTCGCCTATAGTTGGAAATGAAGTTAAAAGTTTTGCAAACTTACCGTAAAGGCAGACCGTGTTGCTCGGGCCACTGATTTACAATGAAGTATCATCTCGTCCATGAGTACCTCACTTGTGTCTTCCATACCAAGAGCTACCATAGCTAGGCTATCACCGACAAGGATGATATCCATGCCTGCATGGTCCGCCACTGATGCACTTGGGAAGTCATGAGCTGTCATCATAGTGATGCGCTCATCTTTCTTATAAAGAGATCTTAGCGTAGCCAATGTGATCTTCTTGCGTGCGTTGGCTGGGGCTACGCCCATGGGAGAGTGTGAGCTGCAACGGATCTGATTACCATTGCGTGTAGCAGTGACGGGTAAGGATAATGCTGGAAGCGGTGCAATGGAAGGGATGGCAGACACGTATCGGCTGGTATTGATGTTCGTGATAGAAGGCATCCGACAGGCACGTGCCACCACGGTCAGGGATGACCTACTTGTAAGAGCCATGATAGGCAATGTCTGTGGGTTTTTGGCTTGCAGGTGTGCTTGCAGGTTTGCTTGATTGGGGTGTAGTGGGAAGGGTTAAGAAGAAAACCAGAAGGACCAAAAAAGGAGGAAGAGAGTGTATTTGCAAGAATATAACCAAGAAATTAATTAGAAAAGATAAAAGATCAAGTTGGCTCTGTGATTTTGACGACCGCTGTTTTTATTCTGGCCCATCATGATGGTTTTTACATTGTAGAATTGAGCATCACCCAAGCGTACTGAGGCCTACCGGCGCAGTAAGCAGAACGCATGCGGTCCGCCGAGTACTGCTGGGCCGCTGGAACCGGTAGCCTCGGCCCTAACTTACAGGCGGTGGTGGCGCTGAGGTGTGCCGGTCGGAAGCACCAAAAATCCGCACGCCGGGCCATCGACGGGCTGGCCCGATTGGGTTTAGCAGAAGATTGGATGGCTGCAGGCGCATTCTGGTGACGGAAATTTGGTGTGTGTGGGCTGATCCGTTTTGTTTTCTCGACAAAGAACGCTCGCGACAGCCGGGTCTGCGAAGGATTTCGTTGTTTCTCTTGCTGCTACTGGCTAAGGTGTCCAGAATGCCAACAAATACAGCGCCAGCAAGGATGAGTGGCCAGACATGCAGAAGGACGGGCGCAAATAGGTATGGCTCGTAGGCAGGAGCATCGTCAAAGCACACGAACTAATGCTTACCAAGTCCACTTCCGTTGGTCTGCCACGGGGCTCACGACGCCCAAAAGTTCTGTGCGCCTGCAGCTAGATACTTGGCTCTGGTTGGATGATTGCTGTGGTAAGCGCTGCCATGTATTGCACAGAGTCCGTGTGGTCCCCCCAACGAGTCGGATACTAACGTTAGCTCCAAGCCTGGTCCAGTGTGTCTGCTAGCTGTCTTGGTCTTTGAAGACTTCATCCCCACGTGTTAGCAACGGGTTTGCAACGGAACGGCTTCGCTTCTGACAAAAAAGAAGAAAGTCTGTGGCAAGAATCTACATTCCCCCTTTCAAGCCGCCACCCTGTGGCATCCGGCACACCCAGGTGCGCCACTCGTCTCGTTGCTGCATCTTGGATTTCAAAACGGCTGACGGTCAGGCTGGGGCTTCGTCAACCACTTGTGACCCTGGTGAAATTAGTACAGCGGCGAAAAGTGGCCTAGTGTTGCCTCGTAGTGACTGCAGAATCCACATTGAGCCTCACCAGTGAACCAGAGCGGGAGAACCCCTGCAGCCTCCTCTCCAATTGCGCAGGTGAGCTATTCCTCTTTAGTGAGAAAAAACCTGAGATGAAGGCTGCGGCGGCCGTGTTGGGCTAAGTCGTCACCCAGCACGTTAACCCCTAATAAGAATCGAGACCCAGTAGCGCTGGTGACGCTTTGCGCTATGATCCTGTGCGGATTGTCTCTCCCCGTCTTCTCTCCCTTTGCTCTCGTTTCTCTATTTTGTTTGGCCATGCATTCGTTCTATTTACAGGCCTGTCTCAATTTAATTTATTAGTTCAAAAACTGGCACACCAATTGTCGACGCGACCACTGCGATTCACCAGAAGCTTTATTCGGCCGATTGGCACCTTGAAGCCACGACGACTCGGGACGCCCGTTGAGGGCCAATAACAATGAAGTCGAGCAACGTCACACAACTGCTGGCTCTTGTTTCAACATTGGCTTCTGCAGCCATATTTAATCACGAATTGAAGCCCAGGTTTATCGGTATTGACGAGAATGGCGCACATCTCTACGAAACGTACCAAATAGTCCACGGCACTGGCGGCGTACCGTCACGATTCTACCCTAGTAGCAACAAGAGCGAGGATGGCAGTATCGAGGCAGCCCTCAGAACTCCACGAGGAGTTCTGAATGTTCTACGAAATAAAAGGGCGGAATGTCAGCGTGGAAATAAGAAATGTGATGGTAAGTTATTGTTCGACGAGCTGGTATCACCTAATGCTAATCCTAGTTCAGGTGCCGATAAATGCTGTGATGGCGAAATCTGTTGCGAGTACGGCTACTGTTTGGATAAGGCCAGAATCTGCTGTCCAAAAGGAGGATGCGATGCGGGAAAGTTATGCTGCGGCCAAAGCAACTGTAGCCCAGCTGACGGTGCCTGTTGCCGCGATGAAAGCTCTTGTCAGAAGGGAAACATGTGCGTTCAGTTTGGTGATGCGGGAATCATGTGTTGCTCTGATAAAAAGTGTACTGCACATGTTGAAAACGGCAAAACGATAAGTGCTCCGTCATCAACCGCCACATCAACTTCAACCTCCAAACCTGGCGAGACAGTCACGGAAGGCAGCGCGGCTGGTGCCACGACCACAGATACTGGTGGTAACGCACGCGGATCGCCCACGACATCTTCATCAGGACCGCGCAAAACATCATCAACTGTGACCGATCCTGGTTCCAGTGCCGCTGACGATGACCGAAGCCATAACAACGATGGTGGTACGGCTTTGGGTAATACAGATTCCGGCCCTAATATCGGGGCCATTGTTGGAGGCGTAGTTGGTGCTGTTGGAGGCATCGCACTGATTGCGCTTATAATCGTATGCGTGCTTCGTCGCAACAAGCGTACCATGGAGGAGATTAATTCACAGCACCAACACGGCAGCCAATACCAAGGATCCATGGCACCCCGTTCTATTGTGTCGGGACATGGACAAGCGTCTCTGAGATCTGCGAGATCGGCAGTCTCCCCAGTCACAGGAGGCTTCTCACCTCGATCGCAGTTTGACAAGTATAGTCCATCGCCTCTTGGAGGGGCATCATCACCGAATCAGGATTGGAACGCGCTATCCGCTAGAAGTGTTGGGGCGTCAATGGGAATGTCAGTACTGGGATCCCCAGCACCCTCTCAACTAGCACAAAGCCAGCATGCAGTGTCATTACGAGACACCATGACTGTCGCTTCAACCTCAGTGAGAGCAGCAAGCATCTCAGCCATGCCGTCCATCGGACCAGGCGGCAAGCCCCAAACAGAAATTTGTGAAGCTCCTACCCATATAGCGGAGTTGAGACGAGGCCCAGTACACGAGGCTCCGACAGATATGTCGGATAGCCACCGGGGAGAGATGCAGGAGATGGAGTGAGCGTATAAAACCGGCGTTGCGCTGTATACTAACGAAACTGCATATTACTGCTTACCATGGAAGAGTAGCATATCTTTGGCTGCATAGTTTTTTGTTATCTGCATAGGGAGCGAGGGAATTCAATTATCATAATAGAAGATCTTAAATGTAATCAACTCTATTTTTCTAACCGGGTTATAACTGCGAAATGCATGCTTGCCATCCAGGTGCATGTCAGTAAGACGCTACTGGTGCATAGTAACTGAACGATCATGAGGTGTGTTGTATTCATCAAGAAAATTTGTACAATATATTTTGGTTTATTATCCATGTAATTTTATTTACCCTGAGCAGCGGTAATACATTTCTCAACGTAAACGCCACTGTGATGTTCGGTCCACGTAATTCAGTGCTGTACAGGTCACTGTTGCTGGAAAGCGCCGCGCCTTCGCCTCCGCCGCTCCCGTGACTGTGAGTCTCCAGCGGTTCTTCAGCGACCCCTCCGGGCTGGATGCAACCTTAGTCCTTCCCCCGCCTCTTGTTCAGCGACACACGACACTCACGTAAAAAGCCAGCGTCTCCCCTTTTGATTTACGCGCCAGAAGTACCTCTCTTCCATTTTCTCGAACCGACAAGCCCGAGCCGTTTTGCTACAACCCATTTTAGCACTTTGTTTCTCGACTGCACCGCTGGTGCTCGTCTTCTAGTTCAACCACCACGGCACGGAGCACGCAAGCAGTTTCCCCCGCGCCAGTGACGTCGATTTGCCGGTCGCGGACATCACCACGATACACCAGTTAGAGGCAGAATCCCTCTATAACACCACCCACAATGAGTAGTCCGCGCAGAAGAATCGAGACTGATGTGAGTATATCCGCCTCAAATCCTCTGACCCAGCAAATATGTTGCATTCCATTTCCACTAGATACTAACGGTCGTTGCAGGTCATGAAGTACGCCACCCACAGTCTGACTATGCTTGGATGATTTGCTAACAAGATACAGGATGTACGAAATACAAGCGAATAATGATTATTGAGGCCGGAATACTAACGTATGGCAGGCTCATGAGCGATTATGAAGTGACCTTGGTCAACGATAATAGTAAGCTGACTCGGTGCTGACCCTGTTGATCCCACACTAATTAGCTCGCAGTGTAAGCCTGCATAACTCGACAACCGTCTCCCTCTTCTACCCGACCAGTAGTATCTAACATCAACCGATTAGGCAGGAGTTCTTCGTCCGATTCAAGGGCCCCGCCGAGAGTATGTGCTTTGGGTTATTGAAATAGCGTCTAGCCGGGTTTGCTAACCTGACGTCACAGCACCGTTCGAGGGCGGCTTTTGGAAGATTCACGTGGAGCTGCCTGATAACTATCCATACAAATCTCCAAGCATTGGATTTGTTAACAGAATTTTCCACCCGAACATTGACGAATTGTAAGTCACTTGATCAGGAACGAACCAGAGCGTGCCTCTTACAGTGGACTCCTTCTAGGTCTGGCTCCGTGTGTCTGGATGTCATTAACCAAACTTGGTCACCGATGTACGACATGATCAACATCTTCGAGTCCTTTTTACCCCAGCTGTTACGATACCCGAACCCCACAGATCCCCTCAACGGAGAGGCCGCTGCGCTCCTCATCCGGGAGCCCAAGAGCTATGATGCCAAAGTAAAGGGTTGGTTGATCTATCTAGATGCCTCAAATGTTCATACCGCTAACCGTTCTGATCTGAAGAATACGTACAAAAGTATGCCAAAGAAGACCATGCGGACGAAGCCGGCGGCGAAAGCGAGAATGACGATGACCTTTCCTCTGTTGCAAGTTTTGGCGACGAAGATGACGAACCTGCAGGTCCTATGGACGACTTGTAACGACTGAAGCGGCCGCCCATCGACAAAGCCTTGTTTCCCCTCTCATACTTTTCACCAGCACTCTTGTATTGGAATACTTGAAGTTCCTTCTTTTGAAAGCGACATCACGATTTCGCGAGGCGCAGGTTCTCCTTGTTTACTATATTATACCATGCACTATGCACTACTAGCGAAGCACAAACGGCGGGAACGGTGTCTGTGATTGGAGTGTGAGTACGACGTTGCTACGCTCGACTGCCCGAGAACAGCATGGCTGCTTCACTGTGCTTTGCATTTTCTTTTCTTAGTAGCTTATTAGAAGATATTTAGATAGCAAATGATTAACTTGTATTGTAGTAAAAAGAAAGACTCCATTATGTAGTATTGGGTATAATGTTATGTGCCTTATCCAAACGCCGCGCTATGTTTAATAAAGAAAATCATGCCGACAATCAATCGGAATCGTATTCTACCAAGCTCTTTGATGTAGATTGTGTACTCGGATTGTCTGTCGTTGATGCAGGTGGCTGACTGCCGCTGCCAGCGGCGCGCTTTCGTTTAACTCCCGGCACTAAGGCCACACCCTTGGATGAAATCATCTCTTTGGATGCGTGTGAAACTAAAAAGGGATCTTTTGCTGTCCGTGTGTTGTTCAGAACTTTGGTCACAAGAGCCTGCTTCTCTGGTGGCACCTTTGTGGACTTAGCTTGGCTAGATCGTGAGCGAGTGGACGGCGATGATGTGGCTGTTCGAGAGTAGAGAGCTGATGATAGCGCTTTGTCACCTCGATCATCACCGCTATCAAATTGAACAAGTGAGGCTCGTAGCCTGTCACCTTCTGATTCTGGAAGGAGATCAATGCCCAGGCTCATACTATCCAAAAGCCGCTCATCTGCAGCAGCTTTCTTCTCCAGACTTTTTCGTTCCGTACGGAATGCTTTTCGCAATTTCTGATTTTGGGTGTATGGGTCATCCCAGTGTTTTGAGGACACTTCTATCAACCCATCAATCCTGTCTGTGGTTGCCTTGGCGGCAGCACGATCCTCAATCGTCTTCTCCAGGTTTGCAAAGGCATTCTGCCGCAGAGCCTCTCGTTCTGTATCAGTCATGATGACCATGTCACCATCTCTGACGATATCATCGCCAGTATCTCGCTTTTTGGCGCCGGAAATGACTACGTATGCAGTGTTCTTGGGGTCAGTCTGTAGCTCGATTTCGCCACCACAGGCAGCATGACGCATCTTGAAGCTCCAGATCGGTGTGGTGTAATAGTTTCCGATCTTCTTCTTTTCCGCATTGAATCTGACACCTTGACCGATGATCGTAGATTTAGGGCAGGTGCTGCACCATATGGCGTAGGGCATCTCGAATCGGACAGTCAAGATGCCCTGCTTGAGTTTGGACGCTCGCGTACCTAAGGCATGCTTATTGTGTAGTTTGTTCCCACTTGTTGTGCCCTCCAAATCGGGGGGCACATATTTTCCCATGTTAAAGCCTTGCATCTTTGGAGCTTTAGACACAAGGCCGGCATATCGTGTGTTTTTGTTGAGTTGATGTTGCCGTCAAGGCAGAGGCCGGCACTACGCCCACTTATACGGCGATGCAGCTATGTACATGAGGACTTCGCCTTCATTTTAAAATATTACACTAATTTGTCAGTAAAGCTATTGAAACAAAATTTAATTTCGTATTTATATAATAGAATTATTATAATGTTTCTTACTACGATTTTGAAACCGCCTACTCCAAGCGTTATGCTTGCCAGTTATGTCACTATCACGTGATTGAGCCTGCCGGAATAACAACGGACCATGAGACGGACGACGTAACAGCTCCCGTCTTGACGCCACACACTCAGCTTCCCTGGATTGAGGAGCTTCAACCACCATCAACCAACAACAAAATATCCGTCATAGGAGCTGAATTGCATTAGCGAATCTTGATACGCTACGCAAACATGGCTCCTCAAAAGGATACGCCGTTCCGCTCGGCGCAGATGAGCATGGTGCAGCTCTACGTGTCCAACGAAATTGGCCGCGAGGTTGTTACTGCGCTCGGTGAGCTCGGGCTGTGCCAGTTTCGTGATGTACGAATACCGACATCCACTTGCAGCTGTATCTGAGGTTACAAAGCTAACACGTTACGTAGCTTAACGAAGAAGTTTCCGCCTTTCAGCGCACCTTCACTCAGGAGATCCGCAGACTCGACAACGTCGAACGACAGCTTCGTATGCCAACCCCGAACGACCTGGCCGCTCTGGTAATACTATCAAGTGCAGTTAACTAACAAATAATATAGGCTACTTTAATGCGCAGATGGACAAAGCCGGAATTCCTCTGCGAAAGCTGGATTTGGACGTTGATAGACTCGCGTCACCTTCCACCTCGGAGATTGACGAACTTGGCGAACGCTGCGAGAAGCTTGAACAACGAATTTCTGCTCTGAACGACAGCTACGAAACCTTGAAGAAGCGTGAGGGAGATCTTACAGAATGGCGCTGGGTGCTGCGCGAAGCTGGCAGCTTCTTCGACCGCGCTCACGGCAACGTTGAAGAAATTAGAGCATCGACCGATAATGACGACGCCCCTCTTCTATCCGATATTGAGCAGCACAACTCGGCTGCCGATGTTGAGCGCTCATTCTCCGGTATGAACATTGGCTTCGTTGCTGGTGTCATCTCTAGGGACCGTGTTGCCGCATTTGAGCGCATTCTCTGGCGAACGCTTCGTGGTAATTTGTACATGAACCAGTCAGAGATCCCAGAGCCTTTGATCGACCCGTCCAACAACGAGGCTGTCAACAAGAACGTCTTTGTCATTTTCGCTCATGGCAAGGAAATCCTTGCCAAGATCCGCAAGATCTCTGAGTCGATGGGCGCTGAAGTCTACAACGTTGACGAGAATAGTGACTTGCGAAGAGACCAGATCCATGAGGTTAACAGTCGCCTCCAAGATGTTCAAAATGTCTTGCGCAACACGCAGTCTACTTTGGAAGCTGAGCTCAACCAAATTTCGCAATCTCTATCTGCTTGGATGGTCTTGATCACCAAGGAGAAGTCTGTTTACAGCACTCTCAACCTGTTTTCGTATGACAGCGCTCGCAGGACCCTCATTGCTGAAGGATGGTGCCCTACCAACGACCTACCCAGGATCCGATCAACCTTGCAGGATGTCACTAATAGAGCCGGCTTGTCGGTCCCATCGATCATCAACGAAATCCGCACGAACAAGACCCCTCCAACCTATCTCAAGACAAACAAGTTCACTGAAGCTTTCCAAACTATTGTCAACGCCTATGGTACTGCTACCTACCGGGAAGTCAACCCTACCATGCCAGTTATTGTCACCTTCCCTTTCCTCTTTGCTGTCATGTTTGGTGATTTTGGTCACGCCATTATCATGCTCTGCTCCGCTTTGGCCATGATTTACTGGGAAAAGCCACTCAAGAAAGTTACATTTGAGCTATTTGCTATGATGTACTACGGTCGTTACATTGCGCTTATCATGGCCACGTTTTCCATCTTCACTGGCCTTATCTACAACGATATTTTCTCAAAGTCTATGACCCTCTTCCCAAGTGCTTGGGAGTTCCGCCGTCCACCAGGCGATTACACTGAAGGTCAAAGTGTCGAAGCTACTCTAAACGAGCACGGATATCGCTATCCATTTGGTCTTGATCCCGCCTGGCATGGAGCCTCCAATGATCTCCTTTTCAGTAACAGTTACAAGATGAAAATGAGTATCATTCTCGGTTGGGCCCACATGACATACTCCCTCTGCTTTGCCTACATCAATGCGCGACACTTCAAGAAGCCTATTGATATATGGGGCAATTTCGTCCCTGGTATGATCTTTTTCCAGTCGATCTTCGGTTATCTTGTTGTTTGCATCATCTACAAGTGGTCCGTTGACTGGTCCTCCGTTGGTAACAAGGCACCTGGTCTACTGAACATGCTGATCTACATGTTCCTGCAGCCTGGTGAACTTGAAGCTGGTGCCCAGCTGTATTCTGGCCAGGCTTTTGTACAAGTCTCCTTGTTGCTACTGGCATTTGCTCAAGTTCCTGTTTTGCTCTTCCTCAAGCCTTTCTATCTCCGTTGGGAGCATAACCGTGCACGGGCTCAAGGTTATCGCGGCCTTGGCGAGCACTCTCGTGTGAGCGCGTTGGATGGCGATGATGAGAACGATGGTTTAATGAACGGTCACGGTACATCCTTTGACGATGGTGAAGGAGTTGCCATGATTTCCCAGAATATTGATGAAGAACACGAGGAATTTGACTTCAGCGAGGTTATGATTCATCAAGTTATCCACACTATTGGTAAGTGAGGCTCAAAATGTTGCATCTTTATTTAACTAATCATTTATCTTTTTTAGAATTCTGTCTCAACTGCGTTTCCCACACTGCCTCCTATCTTCGTCTTTGGGCGTTGTCCCTGGCCCATCAGCAGCTCAGTGTTGTTCTTTGGAACATGACTCTCGGAATTGTTCTGCCAATGAACGGCATTGTCGGCGTTTTCATGATCGTCGTTGGCTTCTACTTGTGGTTCTTCCTTAGTAAGTACATTCTCTAAGCACAACGCAAACTTTCTTATTGACATTCTATTCTAGCTATCGCCATTCTCGTTTGTATGGAAGGTACTAGTGCCATGTTGCACTCTCTCCGTCTTGCCTGGGTCGAGTCGTTCTCAAAGTTTGCCGAATTCAATGGCTGGCCTTTCGCTCCCTTCTCTTTCAACACATTGTTGGAAGAGTCTGAGGATCTGAAAGAATTCCTGGGTTGATGATATGAGATGGGGCTGTTCAATTAGAATCTGTATTTTTTTTGTTTTCGTTTCCCGCTCCTTATAGAGCGCATTGCATTCAACTATCCTTCACTATTTGTTCTTCTAAAGTTGTGAGGACGCAGAGTCGTTTTACTTGTACACTGTATAATAGAAAAGAAGCTCTGTTGCCCCCTAAGCTGCGCCTTTGACCAAGTAACAACAGCTAAGCCTGTCCGATAATATTAATGTGATTGTAATTGCTCCCAAAGTATAATTGCTTTATTTTTGCCCATTGTATTCCTTTTATGCCCAGAGAGGCGCCGTTACTTCAACAGCCCGGTCCACAACCGCTCTGACACGATCCGAAAACGCTTTATTAGTACATTCGACATCCAAGTTCTCCAACCAAACTGTTGCCGTCATCTTGTCTACGGTAATGGACACTCCCGGCACCGGTATACCAATCTTGTGTAAACGCTCAATTTCTGCCCGGCGGCGCTCCTCAAGTAAAGATTCGTCTTCCTCTACCTTGGGCGCGGCGTTGTCCGCATCATCAGTGGCCATCGCATCTGTATCAGTCTCTAGATCAGGTAGTTTTGGTTCCGCGACAGGCGAGACATTGTCAGCACCGAATTGAGTTTCGAGGAACCAAAACATGCGCTGGAGGCGCGCCTCAGCTGAAACGTTCGCATGAGGGTTGGTTTTGGGCAGATCATGAGAGTGTAAATGCGAATGGCCGTTTGTCGCGCTAGATCGCTTGACTGCAGCTGGAGAGCTCTCCACTGAGAAAAGAACAGCCATGACGGAATCGGCAATGCCGTCGTTCAGCATGTTGCCTTCCCATTCAAGCTCTACTTCACCGTTTGTTCTGTATCGCACAGTCACACAGCCCATGACAAGGTATGCAGCGACCAACTCTGCAACTTCCTCGTCGGCATCTTCCACATTTTCCGCGTCATGGTCATCTGTCGTGATGGCTCCCTGGGTTTGTTGGGCTCGGCGCATCTCAGGAAGTTCCTCAATTGTACCGAAAGTACCTTCAAGCGCCCATTTTACCAGCTCAATGCCAGCTGCACTAAGAGTGAGGCGCTGCTTGCATGTGATTGTGGTCGTGTTAAGACCGGCATATTCCCTGAGGTCTTCAGGCGCCATCAGAGAAAGCTTGAAGTCGTTTTGAACCAGTACACCAGTAACCAGAGGGCCGTCGGGAGCAGCACCGTTGGTTGCATTTAAGCTGATATCTTTTGGTACTGGGACAGTAGCTAACTTGCCGACTACTTTGGCAATTTTGTCGGCTTTGAAAGGAATTCGTAACTCTTCGCAGTTGCGCGGAGAAAAGACCTTTACATCGCTGTTACTCTTGACATATTGGGATAGAAGCTTCGATTTCAGCCTCATCATATTTCGCTGTTCACCATGAACCAGAATCTGGAATGGTTGGTTAGCCATCTTCTTATGAACCGGTTAAGAGGGAATACTCACAACTACAGGGGCCGCAACCTCTGCAATGAACTCTTGATTTTCAACACCATCAACATGCGCAGCGAATGAGTATTCTTGTACGCTACAGCGCATAGGAATCATCACTTTGTCAGACTCACCACCGGGGCCGCGACGGGCACCGGCGATGTTACGCGAGGTGATGGCTTGAATTTGTTCAGGCTCTGACATAATTTGCCGGGCCATAGTTCCCTCAACACTATAACCAGTAATAATAACACCGTTCTTGTCACTAGGTGCCCAACGTTCAAGCAATTCTCGGCTGACACCGTTCTGCAACATACCAGGGCTTGCAAGCATGACACAGCCTCCCATATCGTCAAAACGGTCTAGGTTTTTTAGGGATCGGATATACTTGAAATCCCAAGGACCGCCCTTCGATGTACCGTCTCCAGCTGCCTCTGCCTCAGCCATGCGCTCACGGAATAGCCTCTTGATGTTGTCGTTCATGGCGCCGACATATGTCTGATAAACAATCATACATTTACGCGCGAGGTTACTGGCGTAGTAGATTGGATATTTGTGATATTCTGGGTGATTGCCCCAGTATTCATCCAAAATAAGGAGCAATTCTTGTGCTCGACCCAGGGCAAAAACGGGGAGGAGAGCACGGCCACCTCTATTCAAGATGCCTGTAATGGACTTCATTAATGCCTGCTCTCTTTCGACACGCGGCACATGTGATGCGATTCCGTAGGTAGACTCGGTAATAAGAACATCAATCTTGACACCTCTTGGAACCTCTGCCGAGACCAAGTGTCGATCCTGTTCGCGGGAGTAGTCGCCAGTGAAGAAGATGTTTAAGCCAGCAATTTCGATTAGGAACATAGCTGCACCTAAAACGTGGCCAGCAGGATAGGGTGTAATTCGGATGGAGGATATGGTGTGGGTGGTATGGTAGTCGATGGCTTCGATTTGAGGAAAAGTATTCAAGTGATCTTGCTCACTATAGAGTGATTGTGATGGATTGGCTGACGTATTTCCTACTCGAACGCTGTCCTGGATAAGCCACTTGTAGATGGCCTTTGTGGGATGTGTCATGAAGACTCGACCGCGGAAATTCGTCTTCGCAAGAACGTATGGAAGGGAGGCAGCATGATCGATGTGGAAACTAAGTCTAGTTAGCATACCATGTAGACAATCTCTGGGATAGTCAGGGGCAGATCATACTGGCTAATCAACAGAACATCAACTGTGCTCAGGTCGAAATCATCGTAGAATGGCAAAGATGCGAGACCATCATATGCAGGATGCTGGCCAGCATCGAGCTGTTACAATGTTAGCGGTGCATTGTTACGAGGATCAAGAGAGAGATGGCGAAGGGGAACAATGTACCATAACAGTTTTGCCTTTGTATTGAACAATATGACAGGAACGGCCAACTTCGTTACCGCCACCGAGGCATAAGAACATAAGCTCATCCGCTGGATCTACAGGCTCTTCGGTTGCTGTCGCATTCATGGCCGCAGCCTTCCGTTTAGTTGCCATCTTTGCGCAGCCGGCAAGGCGCCGGTATTCTCGATTTTCGTTGTATTTCGCGTGTTGGATGGGGGACCAAATGCATCAAGGATTATAAATTCGCGAGAAATGGTTGCATTGGGTTATGTGCAAAGAGATTCTTTGATTTCTGGTGACAAACTGGTAGCTTGCTGCCTATCGCTCGCAGTACAGGCACCCTTTGCCGTCGCGGGCGCTCACGTGACTTCAAATTTCGCGACTTGCGATCATGGAGCCGTCGCCCTCATCCCTCCTCAACACGGAGCTCCATTCACGCCTGACCTTTATTTTCAATTAAATACGCCGCAACGTCGACTCAGATCATCATAATCTACGCCGTTTCGAAAAGCGCCATCACGCATCCGCGAGAAAACGTCCCCTGATAGCCCTGCTGGCACAACCTCGAGATCTCGGCGCGTCGGATGGGAGAACCGGCAACCATTGTGACAGGCAACGTTGCCTGCTGAATGCATTGTTAACGTAAATCCATCCATCCAATCGCATCATATAATTTCGGCAAACTATAGCACTGCAGCCTTCGGTATGGCCCAGTCTCAGTCGCAGGTTCCGCCGCAGGCGTTTTCGCCGCCACAGCCCTCGCCATCACCCGTCGGCTCGCAACCGGGCTTCGCTTTACCTACGAACAAGCGACCTCGAACCGAAGGAACGCCTTCTCAGCCTGGCTCACCGTATCCCATCTCCCCCTACGTTGCAAGCCCAACTGGTGCGCGAACGCCATCTCTCCCGACCGGCTCTCCTGTTTCGCAAACGCCCCCAGTTGCTGGCGGATATAGCACTCCTTACACAAATGGCAATACGACACCAACATTAAACTTACCAGATAGCAGAGCTTCCACAACCTCTCCTCTACATACTCCACAATCTGCGAACGCCACAATGCCTCAGTACACCAACGCAGGCATGGTTCCTATGGGCCAAGATGGCTCAATGTCACAGAATCAGAACATCATGGGTCCCCCACAACGGCCAGCAGATAGACAAAACAAGGATGCCGAATACGATGTTAACGACTCGTTGGCTGGAACAGGCATTGATATCCGCGCCGAAGAACAATATATGTCGGAGCTGTACGCGACCACACTTACAAATTACGGTGATGCCCGTAGCGGATTTGCAGTTGGACGGCCGGGACCAGCGTCGTCTTTCTACGGAGCTGGGCCGGCGAATCAACCTGCGATTGAAACACATGGTAACTCGCAGGATGAGATTGCCAACCAAGTGGCCGAGCGCGCATGGCGAGAGGCTTCCATGAGATTGGCGACTCAAAGAACACAAGAGATTTCTGACCCATTCTTGCAAGTCTCAGTGGTCCATTATCGCGCGGATAAGATTGCAAAGGAGAACCAGCTTGATCTCAATCTGGAAGTTCGCAATGGTGTTGCATCTATGGGTAAAATGCGAGGACCGGAGTACTTTGTTGCACCTTCAGTCAGCGTTCAGATGAAAGAAGAGGCCGATGGCGCTATGACCCTTACGTCGGGTTCCTGGATTCCACAAGAGGCCTACTTAGTCGATCAATTAGCGTTGCTCTCTATTGCGACTAAGTTCCGTCTGAGGGAGCTTATTGAGGATGCCAATCTAATAGCGACAACAAGACAGAAGACTTCACATGGTGATATTCCAGAGGAATGGGCACCTGCAGCCGGTCCTATGAATGCTGATCCGCTGCTACCACTGGATTCCGATGGCCCTCGAAATGAGGATGGATCATTAAAGAGAGGGGCAGACGGGATAGACGGACCTGCTGGACCTGCTCGTCCGGCAAAGCTACCTAAGGTGTCATGCTACATGACAACAACGATGCGTGATCTTGCCAAACAAGAGCGGGAATGGGAGGAAGCACGCCTGCGGCGACGTCAAAACCGCAAGGGCACGATTGATGGTGCTATGACACCTGCAAAACCGCTTACCACAGCTCCATCAACACCAGGATCTGTTGCCCCGGAGGGCGAGAAGCCTCTGACTAAGAGGGAAATGAACAAGCGAATAGCTGCAAAGGCTGCTGAGGTTACCAGCCACAACAATCAGAATATTACCAGTGGTATGTTCGCGGGCCTGGGACGCAGCAGTCTCTTTGGCAAGAAGAACAAGTCCAAGACATATGACTGGATGAACGCCGGTCGTGGTAGCGGAACGAGCACCCCTAACAAGGCACCCGGTGGTGAAAGAGCGAATGGCATGGGTGATTCGTCATTGCCAACAACACCAGCTCTCACACGAGAAGGTCGCAATCGCTTAGGAGGATGGCGAGAAGACAAGAACCGTGGTAAAGATATCCAGCTTCGTGATTGGGTTAAAGTACTTGAGAACGATGGGCGAGAGGGTAAAGCGTTGCAGCAGACGTACATGGCTTTGGAAGAGTCGAATCCGAAGTAGGCGTGGAAGCTGCCTGCAGTTTCTTGTATTTTTGTACACACATTTTCATCATTGGTTGATTTTCCAAGGCGGGCGTTTATGTCGAAAAAGACATCCGGGACAAAGAATAGTTCATTGTTTCCCTTCATTCCAGGCTAAAGGTACACGCGGATTGCGTCCGCTGTGCTCTTTGAATCACTATAGAGGTTGCGTGCGATTCAGGCAGATAGTTGCGGAATAGAAGATGCGGAATACATTAATTCGATTCAAAAGTGTGACTTTGCGTAGATCGTGTCCCTCCGTGACTTGCGCTCAGCGATGTGCCATGGCCTGACACCTGGCGCCAGTTGGCTGCCGCACGTAGTAATGGCCCACAATGGCACCAGAGGGATTCCCCGCCAACTTACCGTTGACATCAAACAAACTAAGAGATACCAGTAACCATGGCAATCGCAGTAAGGAGTTATCTGTATATAATCTGAATTGCACAAATATTAATTAAATTACAGGCAATTGGTCAAATTTGTTCTACAGCGTCATTGAAAGCCAACTTGGAACAATGCGTCAACCTCGTAGCCAAAGCTGCCAGTGGTGGTGCTAAGGTATGCGGACGATTATCACCGTTCGATGTGAAGGATGTGAGTAACAGTTATAGATTCTATTTTTACCAGAAGCCTCCGATTATGTTGCACCAAACGCCCAAACGTCTCTTGAGCTGGCTCTTCCCCAATCCACATCACCATTTGTCGCTGGTCTGAGAGACGCCGCAAAGCGACACTCAGTTGCCGTCCACGTCGGTATTCACCACGCACCAGAAAGCCAAACAGACAGTTTGGCCTCCAATTCTACAAGAAGAATGTTTAACAGAGCTTTATACATTGCCGCGGATGGAAGCATCAAAAATGAGGCATCATATGATAAACTGCATGTCTTCGACTATGCCAATTTGAAGGAGAGCGCCACAGTGCAGCCTGGAGCGAGACTAACCGCGCCTTTCGAGTCACCCATAGGCCGAATTGGGAGCTTGATTTGTTTCGATTTGCGTTTCCCTGAGGCTGCCGTGGCATTGGCCCAGCCATTACCAGATAGCCCATGGGCAGCTAGTCCTGCCCAGATTCTGACGTATCCCAGTGCCTTCACATTGCGGACAGGCAAGGCACACTGGGAAACCCTGCTTCGTTCAAGGGCAATTGAAACTGAGAGCTGGGTAGTAGCTGCTGCCCAGGTTGGTAAGCATAACGAGAAACGCGCAAGCTATGGCTGTAGTCTTGTGGTTGACCCATGGGGAACGGTTCGTTTAAAACTTGGGGGCACTGATAATGACGGCAACGCAGAAGAGGGTGCTACCGGTCAAATTGGCTTCTTCGACGTTGATTTAGGCGAAGTAGAGCGAGTGCGCCGTGAGATGCCTTTGCAACGCAGACCGTGAGAGCTTCCAACCACCTGACATATCCACACGCTAACTGTTTTATAGAGAGGCATTACTTTATACTAAAAATTAACATGTATTATTACTATCTAACAAGAACATAAGTTAAACGTCCCACTTTGGCGCCAAATTGGAGTATGAACATCTTTTTTTTTTTGTATTTTCCTTCATTATTTCTCTTTAATTCACACCAGCATAAACCTACGCCTTGACGCAGACGTAGTAACCAGCCCACAGGCCGGAGCAGTCAGACTTGGCAGAAGGGTTCCACGCAATGCTAATAGACGATTCGTTAGTAATCGGATGATGGCAGGGAGTGCTAACATTGAAACTTACAATTCAGAGACAGTGAAACGGTTACCAAAGTCAGCAACGATCTTGTTGCAAATGTCGTTGTTCTGCACGCGGTAGAACTGCTGGCAAGCAGTTGTAACACCCTCTTGAACAGGGCCAGGAATGGGAACAGCATGGGCTCCATTGTTGGGGTAATAGAAGTTCTCAGCGGCAGGGTTGAATGAAGCAGGCACGGCACGCTGGGCATCAAATACTGCAGCGTGGGCGGGTTGGGCGCGCTGAGCATCGAAAACGGCAGGGTGAGCAGCTTGACCATGTTGGTTGTTGACAACGGCAGCACGGGCAGGTTGATCGGGCATGTGTTGAATGGCAGCGGCACGAGCAGGCTCAGCAGCACTGGAGTCAGCACCAGAGGGACGGATGTTCACAGCCGGAGTTGAGCGGTAGCTCTCGGTACCAACGCAGTAGTAATCATTAGCAATGATTCCAGTGCAGTCGGGCTTGACGCTGGGGTTCCAGGCCTGGAAGTCGGCAACAGTGAAACCTCTGTACTTGTCGACAATGGAATCACAGCTGTCGCCTCTATCAGCGCGGTAGAATCTGTTGCAGTTGGAGGCGGTATCTGCGTGAATAGGCTGAGGGGTCTGAACGGCAGAAGAAGGGCTACCACCGTTGACGGGAGTAGAACCAGAGGTGCTAACACAGTAGTAGTAGTCAGCCAAGAGAGCAGAGCAATCCGAGTGGACAGCAGGGTTCCAGTTCTCAAAGTCAGGAACAGAGAATGAGTTTCCAAACTTGTCGGCAATTTGCTGGCAAGTTTCGCCTCTCTGAGCGCGATAGAATCGCTGACAGTTGTTTGCAATACCTTGCTGAACAGGGCTTGGGGAACCTCCAACAGTGGGGGGAGTAGAACCAACGTACGGCTGCTTCACAACAGCAACCATGGTGGTAGGGGGCTGGAATTGCTGTTGCTGCTGTTGGGGAACGGGCAGTTGCTGCTCTGGCTGCTGGTACTGAGCATGCTCAGCTTGTTGTTGGTACTGCTGAACTTGAGGTTGAGCTGGCTGGGCCTGGGCAGCCTGCTGCTGAGCCTTCTGTGCGGCGGCATGAGGCTGCTCTCGCTGGTGAGCGGCTTCATCGGCTGTAGCATGGAACGGCTCCTGCTGGTGAGCGGCATCAGCAGCCGTGGCATGGTGCTCGGTTTGCTGTTGCGCCTGCTGTGCGGCAGGGTGAGGCTTGTGAGCCTCAACTTGGGGCTGTCCCGGCTTCTGATCATCACTCCATTCAACACAGTAGAGACCACCGACGTTGACACCGCGAGAGCAATCAGGACCGACCTCCTTCTGATTCCATTTAATGAAGTTGTTGACGGGAACGCCCCAGTCGTTGGCCATCGATCTGCAGCTGCTGCCCTCCGAGGCCTTCCATCTGAAAGAGCACACAGCCTGGGCAGAGCCAGCGAGAGCGAGGACGGCGAGAGATGAGGCACGAGGCATTGTGTCGTACAACTTGGACTTGATGTGGAGAAGAGGTAGATTGGTTGGGCAAGGATCTTCCAAGATAAAGCCACAAAAGGGATTTGTCAAGAAGATCTGCTTGAGCAACAAAACGGGAGCAGCGATCAGGCCGGGCGGCAGGGGACGATGATATTTATAACCACGTCGACAAGACCGTTGGTTCCCCGGCCAAGTCAGATCGCCGCCTTATTTTTTCAGACACCATTATATTAGCGCCTCCTCTCAATGCGCAAATGAAAGGAAAGAATAGAAGCCCCTTGCTGGTGAGGAATGAGTCGGATGCCGGAGGCTGAGGAAAAGGTCTCAGATGTTGTTACCGGGTCCACGCTCGAGATTTCTCCGGACAGCCCAATGACCGGCCGAGCACTACTACTTCAAGCAGAAAACTTCATTTAAAGATCATCTAAAGGATATTTTCTTAAGAGTAAGAAAAAAAAAGGTGTTTGCGACCCTGGGGAACATATCTCAGAGACTGTGCTAGGCGAGCACTTACACCAATGCCACTAGTATCGTGAACTGTGAGCGATTAGTCCACCGCCCTTAAGAGAACGTTTACGGAAATGGTAGGCCTATGGTTAAGCGAGTAGCATTCATCTGGTATCGTGGAGCGCCATAGCGTTGTGTTCTAAAATCCCGAGGTTGGGGCTAGGTCATTGGTGAGAGGTCATTTAGTGTGTTGCCCAGCTTTGCGCATGCTTGGTTCGTTTAACTTGATCAGAAGTTAATCTGTTCACAGATTGATGACATTAGCAATGCGTGCCTCATTAAGGCTGGACGCGTCGACATGTTTATACTAACAAATCCGCTGTGATGATTGTGTATGCACCAACGGCCTTAGCGCGGAAGTTAGCATCCTGAGTTTTAAGATATGGTATCTTGTGACTGCACTAGTTTCAAGTAAAGGATGGCTGCTGCGCTCCTGAACGATGGCCTAGACTATCGATTCGCGAGCTAACTTGGTGTCTCAGTCACATTTCGCTTTTAATGTTCCAACACAACTGCCTGTTTTCGACTAGCAGAGCTCACTTCGGGTGACTTGGAACTTGGCCAACTTCAAGGAAAAGTGATATTTGTGCACAGAATGGCGAGACCTTTGATTCTGAATGCCATCCTCTGATACGATTCACTTGTATTTTCTAGATATAAGTGCACACAGAACCATAGGACAGCAGGGTCAAGTTGTATCGCTGCTGCAAAAATCGATCATCCCTCGGACCCTGAATTCGGCTATTGGTTTTCTTCATTCTCGGCAGAAATAGTCACTTTATCTATTAATGGATTCTGTGCTACCTAGCCTGGCGGAATCATATCGATCATCATGGTTGCACCTTCTTTTAGAAACAAGATGTCCTCCGCATACCCGCCGCGAGCCGCAGGTGAGACGTCGCCACAGCTCAGAGACTGTGATTGGCCGGAATGGGTTTAATGATGGAAGCCGTTGTCTTGTCGACATTTTTGAGACACGGATTTGCGAGCTTTCTGCCTCCTCATTTTGGAAAGCTTCGGGATCCAGAGCAGCCGCCTCGCCGCCGCCTCAGAAACCATGTCTCCAAAGCAACTACAGGCGCGGATAGCCTAGGCAAGCGGCTTAGCAAGGCCGGAACATAGGGCCACTGTCAGCGCCCGAGAGGATGGCGCAGCTTGGTCAAATTTCATTCCATCGATTAAGCCACGTGCATTATTTTGGCCGTCGTGGGTGCTGAGAATGCAATGGCCCGTACAAGTTGACCTAGGCCAGCGAGGCTTGACACACAGAATTAAGCGAGGGCAGCAATTGGCATACGCCTACATGGACGACAGCCGTCTTGTCCAGTATAAAACGCATATTAACACTTCATCGCCTGACCGGTATCGGACGGCCTAGAATGCAGCTTGGTCTGCATAAGCTGCAGATGTTGCGGCTCAAGAAGGTATAAGCTGCAGAACGAGTGACTAGGATGTCGCTGTCAATAACGTAATGGTGGAAAGTGGCGTATTTCAGGACGGGATGTGGTCGGCCCAGAGCCTTGATCTGCGCAAGGCTGGGAAAATTGCCATTCTTGGCCTTGGTCGACCGACATAGAATTGCCTCGGATGAAACTACGAGCAAAACACTACCAGACAAAGACTACTTACTTTGTACCGTTAGTACTGCAGCAGAGGGGGACACATTGCGACCATATTGTATCTCCCATCACCTGTTCCCCACGCGGCGCCCCGAATCGAGCGCTAACAACAACAATGACTTGCGCCCTGAAGCTAGCTAGGGTATTATACTGGGGGTCCCTTCCCCAAATCGGCAGGTCGCTTTGCACATCAGCCTTGCTAGTCCCCTTTTCCCCTCAAACTCTGAGCAGAATATACCACCCGCTCCCCCCACCGGAACTTGGCCATGACAAGGGACTCCGCACTACTACCCCATGCTTCCCATGTGTAATTTTGCCTGGAGCTACGGGAGAAGTTCTGCGCCATGTCCATGTTGGGCAGGTGGGCAAGTTTCTGTTACGTTGAGGGCCTTGGCCGGTGGGAGAAATAAAGGTGCTGCGCTGCCTCTGGTAGACAGATTCTGAGATGGAAGAGACTCAAGGATACTAACCAAAGGAGATCAACTATGGTTCGCTGTGGCTCTCTTTTTTCGCTGCTTGCCGCTGCCAGTGTCGCCACTGTTGCGTCCGCTACTAGTCAAGTGGTACCTGGCGCCTTTCTTTTAGAGCTTGAAGATGGCCATGTATGTTGCTCTACCCAGATCGCGATTAGGCGTGTCTCAGATCAGTCACTAACCCACAATGTCGCACGTAGGACGCCACGGCTCTGAAGCAGGCAATCAAGGATGACGGTGACGTCCGTGTCGAGCTGGACTACAAACTCTTCAAAGGCGCATCTGTTCAATTCAACGATCTGAAGAGTGCTCCTGAAGCTGCCGACAAAATCGCGAGCTTGCCCAGCGTGAAGAGCGTATGGCCGGTGAGAGTGTACGGACTTCCTGTCATTGAAGGTCAACAGGCTGGCAAGTCTTCTCCAGTAAATCTAGGGGGGCTCAGTGCCCGTGATGACAAGGACACATATTCCACCCATGTGCAAACACAAATCGACAAGATGCACAACATGGGCATCAAGGGAACCAAAGACACCAAGGTTGCCATTCTTGATACCGGAATCGATTACAAGCACCCTGCCCTGGGAGGCTGCTTCGGCCCTGGCTGCCTCGTTGGATTTGGCACTGATTTAGTCGGCGACGATTACACCGGCTTCAACACTCCCCAACCTGACGCCGACCCAATGGACTGCGGCGGCCACGGCTCCCATGTCGCTGGTATCATTGCTGCCCAGCCTAACGAATATGGCGTCCTTGGCGCTGCTCCCAACGTAACAATGGGAATCTACCGTGTTTTTGGATGTTCTGGTCTCGTCAGCAACGATGTGCTACTGTCTGCTATGAACAAAGCTTTTGAGGACGGTGCAACCATTATTAGCGCCTCTATTGTCGTTGCAAATGGCTGGTCCGAGGATCCCCTCGCTGTTGTTGCTAGCCGCATCTCCGAGGCCGGTGTTCCCGTTCTCTACTCTCAAGGAAACGACGGTGACCACGGCTTGTTTTACAACAGCAACTCTGCTGATGGCAAGTCTGTTATTGCGGTTGCTGCCTTTGACAACAGCCTCTACCCTGGCTTCGAGTTCGAATCAAAGTACGCTATTGACGGTGGAGACAAGCAGCCCTTCCGCTTCGTCTTTGGTCTTGAAAATGCTTGGGATCTCACGCTTCCTCTCTGGGCTACGTCTTTGGATTCAACAATTGCAAATGACGCCTGCAACCCTCTCCCGGATAATACTCCCGATCTCAGCAACAACATTGTCTTAGTCCGCCGTGGAGGGTGTCTGTTTGTCGACAAATTCACGAACTTGGCCAAGAAGGGTGCCAGATACGTTTTGTTCTACCAGAATGCCGAAGCTCCCATCTTTGCCCCGACGTTTGCGCCAGAGCCAACACAGCTCAAGGCTGCAGGCATGATTCCTGCTGCGGCTGGTGTTACTCTTGTCAGTGCCCTGAAGAGCGGCAAGAAGGTTACCATGTACATGGAGGGCCCTGCGACGGCCAAGTCATACACTTACAGCACCCCCAACAACATCACTGCCGGAGCTTTGAGCAGCTTCACATCTTGGGGACCCAACTGGGAAATGGATATGAAGCCTCAGTATGGCGCTATTGGCGGCAATGTCCTCTCCACCATCCCGCGAAGCCAGGGAAGCTACGGTGTCAAGTCCGGAACTTCCATGTCCTGCCCTCAGGCTGCTGGTATGCTCGCCCTTCTGCGACAGGTCCGTGGCCCAATGGATATCGAGTCCATCAACAACCTTTTTGCTGCCACCTCAAAGCCGCAGCTCTTCAATGACAACACCAAATTCTATGACAAGCTAGCTTCGGTTGCCCAGCAGGGTGCTGGCCTGATGCAAATATACGATGCTGCGTTCACCAAGACGCTCTTGCAGCCATCTGGTCTTGTATTCAACGACACAAAGCACTACACTCCCTCGCTGAACTTCACCATCAGCAACACTGGTGACTCTAGTGTGTCTTACAAGATTGGAAATGTCCCTGCCATGACATTCTACACCCTTGGAGCCGATGGCGTCAGCCCTATGATGTTCCCTAACGATGCTGTTAACTCATATGCCTCTGTCAAATTCAGCCAAGACTCTTTGACGTTGGAGGCCGGCCACCGTGCTGTTCTTTCCGTCTCTGCAACGCCCCCTGTCGGCATTGATCTGAAGCGCCTGGCTCTCTGGTCAGGATTTGTCACCGTCAATGGAACTGACGGTAGTGCCTTGTCCATCCCATACCAAGGCTTGTCTGGATCGTTGCAGGAACATGCGGTTATTCTTAGCGGACAGAGTTGGATTTCAAACTCGACGGACGCCAAGTTCAACCCAGTTGCTGAAAACACAACTTTTATCCTACCTCCTCCTGGTACTGCCGACGCCAATGCCGTCCTTCCTCAGATAACCTTCAACCTCAACTTGGGTTCTCCTTATCTCCGTGTTGACCTGACCCCCATGACTACCTGCCCACCGAAGAACCTCACCACTCAATACAAGGACATCAAGACTATTGGCCAGCCATTTGGAACCCCTTACAGCTACCTTCCCCGTGGCATCTCGTCTGTCGTTTGGGACGGCAAGCTCAAGGACAACGGTGCCTACGCTCCCGCTGGAAAGTACAAGGCTGCCATTAGAGCCTTGCGAATCTTTGGCAACCCTGATAATGATGCTGACTGGGATGTTGTTTCTACTCCTCGTTTCGTTATCAAGTACAAGAAATGAGCAATTTCTCTCCTAGATGGGCCATAGTGATATTCAGAACATTCATGTTAAATTATCCTTCTTTTCTTGCCAATATTAATATACTTTTGATTTTTTATCACTATAGTAAGTAAACAAAACTTATTTTTGTTAATCTTTCAAGTATTCTTTAATATATATTTTAAAATTACCTTTTTTATTAATCTTTGTAGAATATTATATATAGTATAAATACGTTATATGTATCGAGTTTGTAGATGACTATTACATATAAAGTTTGTGTAAATATATATTTGGAATGCGTTTGTTGCACTATGGACTACTTGTAACTTTTGTTTATTTATTGCATCTTATACTTTGCGTAGTAAAGCTGGTATGGGTTGTTGTTGCTGAGACACTCTGGTATCATGAACCTTTCGGTCGATCACCTTGAAATCAAATATACCCTCCAGCTCGCTCCTTATTGACATTAGTCTATCCTGAGCCGCTCGAATCTCATCAGGTTTGTTGTCTTGGGTAACATGCGAGCTGATCTTGAGAATCCAACGCCGTTGCATGTCTAACGGTGTGAGCGAATCCCATGCAGGAATGCTCTGAGCCGGCTGCAGATCGCCGCCTTGGCGAGACTCTAGAGGCGTGTATTCTGCAACGTGTTTGAAAAGATACTGTCGTGTAAAGGAAAACTCAATGTCGTCACGGTAAAATCTGTGGACCTCTTCAATGGATTCACCTTTGAACCTAGTTGGAAGACGATTAGCGCCCACGTCCATAGCAACTCTCTAGCTGGAAACCACTTACGTGTAATTATTGTCGTATAGAATTGATGGAATATCGCGCTGTTCCCATAGCTCTACCATTTTGCGCTGCGTAAGCAGAGGCTTGCTGGACGGCGGATCCGGAAAGTCTGCCCAACGCAGAATGCCTGGCGTTGTTTTGAACTCAATGGGTTTGCCTGAAATTCCCATATCCCTGTCTTTTACTATTTCGTATTTCGCCTGCACGACAAACGAAAGTCGGCTTAGGTTCTGGTGCAGTTCCTTCCATAGCGGCGCAACATTCTTGCGAATGGGCTTCTCAATTGAGCTCTGATTCGACAGCCCAGTCGGCCGTGATGGTCCCTGGAAGTAGAGTATTCTGTATATCGATTCCCAAGGTTTCATTGAGCATAGACCGCCAACGACTGAGCAGGCGGCATCGTAGTCGGCGTCCTCGACGAACGCTGTCAAGAAGATCTCGTACATTGTGCCAGTCGGCCCAGTGCGGTGCGTGTGAAAGTTGTGCGCAATGGAATTCTGCTTTATGAGTATTTGGTGTCTAAAATGAGATGCGATGCGCCAAATTATGCAATCAATCAAATGAGTTGTGCCGTAGGCTGGTCAGAGCTGCGATGAAGCCAGAGTGAGAGGCGTGGAGATCTGCCGTATAGTTGCCACACGTGATTGCGCGCTTCAGAGGCGTCAAGGTGCACGATACGCCCCACGGGCAGCTGCCTTGACATGCACATCATCGAGCACGGTATGCGCGTTGCAAGGCAATTTCCTATAAAAAGCTCTGCAATTATCCCGTTGAGGCGAATTGCCTGTTTTGGCACGAAAATGGCGGGCTCGGCCGGTTCAATGAAGCGCAAAGCGGTGGAAGGCCCTATCTCGCCGCCACAGACCAAGCGAAGTATCCAAAGCGGAACAACCAGTAAGCATGTGCAGATTTACATTGGGTAGCGATGCTAATATTCTGGAAATAGAAAAGGCTGTAGCAAGCTTCTTTACCCCAGCTTCTCAAAAACCAAAAGACAAGACGACGTGGTCAGAAAGGTCGCCTGCAGCAGACTCGCCAGGCACGTTGCTAGTCGCGAAATATGAAACTGACGTCAAAGAAGATGAGAGCATTAAACGACACAAAATAGCGGCTTTTGACTTGGACTCTACGCTCATATCTACGGCCTCAGGAAAGAAGCACGCCGGCGATGAAGGAGACTGGAAGTGGTGGCACTCAGAGGTGCCAGAGAAGCTGCGCTCTCTCTATAAAGACGGCTACCGAGTTGTCATTTTATCCAACCAAGGTGGCTTAACACTGCATGCGGATCCAAAATCAAAAGCCCCAAAAGCCTCTGGAGAGAAGAGAATAACAAGTTTCAAGAAGAAATGCAGCACCATTCTTGCGCAGCTGGACCTGCCTGTTACACTGTACGCAGCAACAGGCAAAGACCGGTTCAGAAAGCCACAAACAGGCATGTGGGAAGAGGCTTGCAAAGATTATAAGCTCAGCACGGCTGAATTAGATTTGGAGAATAGCATCTTTGTAGGGGATGCCGGTGGCAGGATGGCAGTGCAGGTCGGAGGAAGCCTAATTCCGAAGGACTTTAGCTGCTCCGACCGAAACCTGGCCCACAACATTGGTATTGCGTATAACACACCAGAGGAATACTTTCTTGGCGAGCAGGCCAGGCAATTTCACAGAGAGATTGACATTCTCCAACATGAATACGCCGGCATTGAAGATGGCGTTTCATTTGAAAAGAAGCACTCGCAGGAAATGGTAGTCTTCTGTGGCCCGCCTGGGGCTGGCAAGAGTACCTTTTTCAAGCGAGTGCTTTCGCCCATAGGGTTTGAGAGAATCAACCAGGATACGTTAAAGACTAGAGACAAGTGCTTACAAGTAGCCAAAGAATGTCTCGGCGAAGGGAAGTCTGTAGCTATTGGTACGTGTTTTCTGTGGCCAGCTAACAGCAGAGGTAAAGAGCTAACAACGACAGACAATACCAATCCGGATCCAGAAGTGCGAAAAATATGGATTGACTTGGCAAACAAGTTCAAGGTGCCAGTACGCTGCGTGTGGTTCTCCATTCCAATTGCGTTATGCGAGCACAACGACGCCGTCCGCGCCACTCACAAGGCGATGAACCCGGAAAACCGAGAGCGTTTACCAAAGCTGGCGTTTACAGGATTTGCGTCACGATACAAGACACCCCAGATAAAGGAAGGGTTTGAGGACATAACCGAGATTACGTTCCAGTTTAAGGGCAGCCGTGAGGAGCATGGCCTCTGGAGCAGGTATTATTCATAAATAAAAGACGAGTAGAATTGTCTTTCAAAAGAGTAATTTGCATGAAATGGCATGATGCATCAGCCCAGATAGTGAACCGCCACGACTTGTAGACCACCAATGACGCCGTGCAGATTAGCGAGCTGTGCTGTGTCAGTCCCTGGAAAATACCAAGTCGGGTGAGATGCAAGCTAGCAAAGGCGGCTTGCCTTGGCGTGGCGGTCTAGGCGATGCAACCTGAGTAAAAAGATGACTCCTTACGATGGGTATGCGGACGGACATTGCTCCGCGGGGATGCTGAGTCTGGGTAGGGGACATGAAGAAAGTTTGGGGAAATGCAAGCAGGCACCGTTGGTGAATCTGGGGAAAGGTGGCAGGCGCTGTAGCGTTGCATTATGCGGGGAGGGCGACGCGGGGGAAGAGGGGCGGGCAGGCAAGCATTCCGAATAATTCTCTTGTTATTATCGTAATTGGAGAAAGAGGCTGGCTTGGCTTTAGGCAGTAGAGTTTGTCCGTCTGCAGACTGGCTGGGGTTTTAGAAGGGGATGGGAGGCGGGCTGTCGGCTATTGAAATTGGGACGTGGTTGTTGGGGAATAAGCGGCGGACATCGGACAACAGAGCGATGCGGCGCGGCCAAGACGGCGATACGATTTATACAATATTTTCCAAGTAGAAAATTATATCAAGTGTATTATTTACTGTTAGGCAATCCGACTTTGTTATTTTTCATCCCAAAATTATTCCCTCTCCATGCACTTCCGGCCTCGGCCAATCAAGCAGTACCCATTTGTTTTTTGTTTGTGCTTCGTGCGTTAACAGCGTTTGCAGGGGACTAGTGGAGAAAGAGTTGGGGACCCCAAATTTGACTGACCCACGAGTCGTGGAGAAAAGCAGTGAGTCGGGGAAGAGCAGAAACGGTGGCGGCGGGCGAGAACCCAAGCGGGGGAATTAGGGGAAAGGAGGAAACCCTTATCTATTGGTCTCGTGTCGGTTAATTTAGAATGATAAGACAAATGGCTTGTGTGGTATATATTTTGGGGAGTGTGTAAGAAGGGGCAAAAACGACGATCAGCGGCGTTCTCCAGGTTGAGCGGGCGTCGTAGCTGAGGTGAAGTCGGCGCTTTTGTTTTTAAAAGAGGCAGTTGTGTTCAAAGCAGCAATATTACAGGTTAGAGGTTGGAAGAAAAGCAGCCACAATGCTTCAGTGGGGGAACGAACTGGCTGTAGTGGTGGTGGTGATGGTGATGATGCATGAGGCGTCTTGGCGGTATGCGGGCAGGATCAGAGCGCAAACATTATGGGACGACATCCCGCTGGCTTGGCCAGTTGTTGGCTGCACAAGATATTACAGATGCACGAGTTGTAAATAGAATTCACAATTATGAAAACCCATATATACACATACACAATATCCTCAGTAGCACTCATACAAGCATTGTGTCTTTTGCAATGTGTTGTAAATAGCGGCTTTCGCAAAACCACAAAAAACGCCAGCTTTAGTGGACAAAGAACAGGCCACCACCACCCCGTACCCAGCTCAGCCCACCCCAGTTCAACTTCAAGGACATGCCGGCCGCCGGCTTTCCTTCCATCCTTTCTTTCCCCACACTCTTCATCTCTCTTCTCTTTTTCTCCAACGAGGCGCTTTTCTCCCCCTACAAGAAAAAACTCACAAGGCGGGGCTGGCCGCGGTGGGCCCGAGCTCGACACACCATCTCGCGACTCTTACGCCTTTTTGCTAGTCTATCTCAATTTTTTTCCCTGCACACGCTTACCCAGTTGACAGAACGCCACACCATGATGGTAGTGGGCATCGGCTAGCGTTGTACCGGCGGGGCGAACGGGCTTGCCCATAACTCGTAGAAAAGCACGCCGGCTGCCCTCCTTGAGTCGTCCAATTTCTCTGGTGTACTCATTTGAACTCTTTTTGCTGAGGCTTGTGTGTCTCTGTGCTTAGTTTCATTTTCCAGGTTGCGCTGCGAGATATACCCTGCCTGAAACTGCTTCCTATTGCTGCTCAGCAGTTGATTCACGAGATCTGCTACCCCAGGATTCAAAACAATCACCCTCACACACACACATTCACACACACAGACTCGCCCACCATGGCTGGCGGCGTCAAGAAACCCGTCAACGTCTTCAAGCTCAAGAACCTCGACGAGCCAAATGGCGTCTTCAACTGGCGCCTATGGTTTGCCGTCGCTTCGTTTGGTCTGCTCGGTGCTGCTCGCGGCATCGACGAGGGCCTCATTGGCAGCGCCTTGAAAACAAAGGATCTCCAGAACAGCATCGGCTGGTCGCATCTGTCGAAAGCGGACCAGGCCAACACCAAGGGTAACATTGCTGCCATGGTCCAGATCGGCTCCGTCGGCGGCGCTCTGCTGTAAGTTTTTTCTTCGCTTCTTTCCCCAGATCGTCGTCGTCGCGATGTTGCAGCGCCCCCCTCCCCCGGGAATTACAGCGCTTGGCATCCCTTCGGCGCAGGCGTTTTCTTGGCTTGAGCCACCACCACCACCGGCCAAGAGCGATGCCATGGCATCGACAATCTTTGCTTGGCACACTTCTCAGCTTGAAAAATGCTAACCACATGATTTGCAGTGCTTTCCTTGTCTGCGATCGAATCGGTCGTATCAACGCTACCCGCTTCCTCTGCGCCCTGTGGATGGTTGGTACCGCCATCTTCATGCTCGGTGGGCACTTTAGCAACCTGGGCGCCATCTACGCCGGCCGATTCATTGCTGGTCTTGGTGTCGGCCAGACCACCGTCGTCGGACCCGTCTACATTTCAGAAATTGCTCCCGCTTCCATTCGTGGTCTCTGCACATGCGCCTTCACTGGTGCCGTGTACATTGGCATCGTCCTCGCCTACTTCACAAACTATGGCGCTGGCCTCCACCTCAATGACACCGCCAACCAGTGGCTTGTCCCTACTAGCTTGCACATCATGATGTCGGGCATCATTCTCATTCTTATGTTTTTCCAGATTGAATCTCCTCGCTACTTCGTCATGAAGGGCAAATCTGCCGAAGCTCACAACGCCCTTGCCGCTCTTCGCTGCCAGAGTGCCGACTCCGACTACGTTGTTTCCGAGATTGCTCAGATCCAGGCTGCCTACGACCACGAGATGGAAGCCACCCGTGGCATTGGATTCATGGGCAAGGTCAAGGAGATGTTCTTGGTTCCTAGCAACCTCTACCGTGTCTGGCTTGCTACCATGGTCCAAATCATGGGTCAATGGTCTGGTGCTGGTTCCATCACCATCTACGCTGCTGATCTGTTTGAGCTCCTCGGTATTACGGGACAAAACGAGGGGTTGCTCGTCACCGCCGTCTTTGGCATCATCAAGGCCATCGCCTCCATTGTTTGTGCGCTGTTCCTTGTCGACGTCATTGGTCGCAAGCGCTCGCTGCTGCTCGGTATTACCCTCCAGTCGCTGTCCATGGTTTATGTGGCGGCTTTCCTCACCTCGTTCCCCCAGCTTGGTGTGGTCCCTCATTTCAAGGTCCCTGCGGACAAGCTTGGTGCAAGCCGTGGCGCTGTTGCCATGATCTATCTTAGTGGCTGTGGCTGGGCGCTCGGTTGGAACTCTATGCAGTATCTCTTGACCGCTGAGCTGTTCCCGCTGCGCATTCGTGCCCTCGCCACGTCCTTCTCCATGACCCTGCATTTTGCCAACCAGTACGGAAACTCGCGTGCTGTCCCCAACATGCTGCTCCCCACCGCCAATGGTGGTATTTCCCCCATGGGCACTTTCTGGTGCTTTGCCGCCGTCACCATCCTCGGTGGTCTCTGGGTGTGGTTCTTCGTTCCTGAGACTGGTGGCCGTACTCTGGAAAGCATGGATCGCCTCTTTGATCTGCCGTGGTACAAGATTGGTCTTCACGGCAACAAGGATGCCGAGCAACAGGACATTGTGCACGACGAAAAGGCGCGCATGGCCAACGAGACGCTGGGCCAACACGACCACGTCGAGAACAGACCGCAGGCCGTTTAATACGCCCACTTCATGGGTTGAGCCATACACATATAGTAATGCGTTTTTAATGAATCAAGTCAAAATGAATATACACTGCAAACAGTACCAAATTGTGGGTTTAAAGTGTATTAAATGGTGAATGTATTGTGCTAAATTACTTATCAATTATGACATTATCCAAACAGGAAAAAAAAGAAATACGCTGGCAGGCTAAGCATGTACAAGGGTGGGTTGGCGGGTTTATATACAGAAGAGAAAGGAAGGTAGGGAATCCTAAGATTGGTTTAGGAGGTGCACTTGAAACCATGGGCATCATGGACATTCTCGCAGTGGTAGTTTTGGGATGGCTTGCCGTTCTGGCCGCGCTTAATGTTGAAGTTTGTAAGGGTAACGTCGTTGCAGCCGCCAGCCGCCTTGCTGCACTGCAGATGAGCAACCTGGTCGACGCGATCGTTGGTCCAACCAAAGATGTTATTGCCCTTGACGTTCTGGAACTTGAACTTGGACGTCTGGCAGTCCTCGCCAAGGTGGCCCTCGTAGTTCTCGCACTGCCAGATGAAGAAAGGAGACTCGCGGGTGCCTTCGAGGTTGATGTTTTCCACTGTAATGTTGCTGGCAACGCCAATGCCGCCGCCGCCGCCGTTAGGGGGGTAGCCGCGAGAGACGCCGCCCCACGACTTGAGGTAGATGGCGTGGGCAGTGTGGTGCATGGTGATGTTGTTGGCGTAAAAGTTGGAAATGTACTCGTATTTGCCGTCGTACTGGCCAACAGAGCCAATAGCCAAGCCCTGGCCGCCCCAGAATTCGGAATCCAGCACGCGGATGTTGGACGAGTTGCCCTTGAGGGCAATAGAGTCGTCGCCCTGTGTGACCTTCCAGCGGCGGAAGGTGATGTCGTCGGACCAGATGGTGTCGCACCCGTCCGTGTTGAGCGTGTTCCACTTGGAGGCCGAGGTGTTGTTGACGTAGATGTCGCGGAGCTCGACGTGCTGCGAGTAAGTAATAGCCATGGTCCAGAACTGGCTCTGCACGAAGCGGACGCCCGAGACGACTGAGTTGGTCAACTTGCGCCAGTTAATCATCATGGGGCGACGGTGCAGGTTGCCCTGGTTCTTGGCCCAGTCGTACCAGACCTGGCCGTTGCCGTCGAGTGTGCCGACGCCGTGGCCGAAGAATTGGACATTGTTGCCGCCAAAGTACCAGGCTGTCGACTGGTTCTGGAAGCCAATGGGCATGGAGACAGACAGCCAGTAGGGGATATCGGTGCTCCAGAGGAAGCGGCCAAAGTGGTGAATAATGACATCGTCCAGGGCCGTTGTGGTCATGTTGGACTTGATATTGTATGTAGGGCCCGGGAACACGACAAAGGAGTTGGATCGGCAGTTTTCATTGAGGGCGTCCATGATGGCAGGAGCATCGTCGCCGCCTTTGGGGTCCGGGCGGACAATGCAGACCTTGCGGCCAGCAGTCGAAGCTGCCTTTGCCCAGAATGCATCGTCGGTGGCACGAGTAGCGAGGTTATGGTCGACAAAGGGCTCGTCACGGGGCAGCAGCCACGGGTAGGACGAGATGTCCTGCTCCTGCTGGGCATTGTAGAGCGGCGAGGTGACGGCGGCCGCCAGGGGTAGGGCGAGGGCGAGGGTCGACAACGAGCGCATGATGGTGATGGTTTGTTGCTGGCTTGGTTCGGTGTGTGTGAATTATGGGAATAAGAGCAACGATTCCGGGTTAGACTCGTCTATTAAAATAGAAAATGCGAGCAACGGGCCTGGCGCGAGTATTTCCAGAGCGCGCGCGCGTTTGTTGCACAATGTGGTCGCTGGTGGTGGTGTTCCTGAGACAAGTGTGCCGTCTACCGCAGGCTGATACAAGGGGACAGGCGCCAAAAAGGGCAATGTTAAAGTGGATGGAGCCCTTGGTGCCGTGTACCCGACTGCTATGAGCCAAGAGAACAAAGAGAAACGGGCTTGAGACAGGGGCGCGAAAACGGGTGAATTGACGTGTTGTATGGCGAAGATGCTGAAGAGAAGAGAAAAATGAGACTGCGACCGGACAGTTCTAAATGTGTTTGAATTTATTTATTTTTTTTCGCTAACCTCTCGTCGCCGAGGGGGCTCAAGCGGTCTAGACGCAGCAAACCAGGCTGTGCTTGGGCCCCTGCTCCAGATGGTTGTAGGGGACCACAGGCAGCCCATGAATCGGGCCGGTGGGGGCCTGTAGTCCTGCACAGGTGAGTAGCCTGGTAGGTTACAGCGCGTTTCTAGATGTCGTTGCAGCGCATGACGGCGCGGAGATTTAGCGGATGCGACGCTGGCGTGGCGAAAGCCGGGGTGAAACGAACTTGGCGAAACAATTCTCTAGAGATGTGCCTTCTCTGTAAACTACAAAACAAAGTCATAGAGAGAGAGATATTGGCGTGGGATTTTCTATGGCTTTTTTTTTCTCTCGCTGTGGCGTTGGCCGTCGCTTACACTAGTAGTGGTCAGACTGATTTGAGCCAATGACAGGCCACCGTGCTCAGGCACGAGCACAGCACAGCACAACTTTAACTTCTGCGCCTCAATGCAGCCATTTTGCTAGTGCCCGTCCAGTACAGTCCGCTGTGGCAGAGCAGCAGAGCAGCGCAAGTGACGGGACCCACCCGCTTCACCGTACCATACGGTCTGGACCGTTCACGCGTGCTACACGAGGCCTGGCTGCTGGAATGCTTTCTTCACCATGCACCACACACAAGAAAATTATCGGTCACGGTTGCAAATTGTCATCTATTGTGATGAGAAATCATCACCATGAACAAAATTAAAGATAAATGGAAATAAAAAACTATACGAAGCGTGGAAGTCGATTCAACCAACCTACACACACGCACAGAGCATGAAAACGGAAGCCATGCTAACCGGGCCGTCTCGAGAATCACGCGAAGATGTCTTGTCCACCTGCATCGCTGCATTCCGCAGTTCTTGGCTTACAGTAGGTGGATACTAAGGTTCCACTGAACAAGCAGATGGGTTCATCACCGCTCCAAACAATAGAATTTGCCGAACGGTCTGAAGGATTCAAGACGGAAGGATTTGCGATCTGCGGGGACAGAACGCGGGGGAATCAAGACTCTCTGTCGATCCCATCAATGGTTCATCATGGGATCAGCATATGCGATGCAACCCATCCATAATAGTCACCGCCTGTATTAGGTGGCAGCTAATTAATTACCGTGCGATTGCAACACAAGGACAGGTCAAAGAGTGCAACGGAGCAACCGACACTTTTCAAAAATCAAAGACGTAGATTGATTGCACTGGACAACAAGAGACAACAGGCATTGTTCAAGAATGACATTGAATTGAAGCTAAGGGCCTAAAGTATACACACTGTGTGTTGTGTTGTTTTCCATCTTCGATACAAAAAACCAACAACGATAAATAACTGATTATAAAGGGTTCAGAAGAAGAGGTAGTCCGTCATATATCAACACCGGGACGCCGAAAAAAAAAGTGAAATCCCAAAAACACCATCTAAAAATGAATGCGCTTGTCCGTCCGTTTTGCCTCAGCCCCTAAGATCTAAGCATTGATAGGGAAGTCAGACAAGCTGTTGTTCCAGCAGCGGGCACCATCGTTGAAGAATGCCTGCGTCTTGATGTTGGAGACAGAAAGCATCTTGGGTGTGCCATCAGGAACCGTGATGGAGTAGATGTTACCAGTCTTGCTTTCCGAGGTGAAGAGGGTCTTGCCAATGTAGCCCCAAGCAGGACCAAAGTGGTCATCACCAATGAGGTTGCCATAGCTCTTGACAACCTCCCAGGTGTGCGAGGTGCGAGAGAAGCGGGCAAGAGCAGCAGAGTTGTCGGACTTTTTGGTGGCAACAGTCCACAGGTAGTCTCCGGCGTCGGGGATGAAGGCCCAATCATAGACGTTGTAGGCGAAGCTGCTCCAGCTACCAGAAGCTCTAGTCGTAGCATAGCCATCAGCGTCGTTCTGGTTCCAGTTGACCTGGTACCATGTGGTGTTGTCCATGAGCCAGTAGTTAGGCTTGTCGTCAATCTCGCCAACGAGAGCAGCAGCGGGAGCAGGGCCGTAGACGGAGTAGACACCGTCACCATCAATGCTACCAAAGACAGGACCCTTTTCCTTAGTATCGCCAGTGACAATAGTTTGAAGAAGACCGTTCTGGGGATCAACGGCAAGGGCGTTCATGGAAGCACCGACACCGCCGACAATCTTGTCCTTGACCAGCTGGTGGACACCGGTGGTAGTGTTGACACAGTAGAGGGTCTCACCATTGACGAGCCAGTTGCAGCCACATTCGAAGCCAACAACATCTACTAAGTCGGCACTCTTGGAGGAAGACACGGCAGAGCTAGTCTTGCTTGGCTTAGAGCTGGGAGTAGGAGTGACGGTGAGCTTGCTGCTGGAAGAGCTCTTAATAGGAGTGCTAGTAGACTTGGGCATAGAAGTAGAGGGAGCAGAGCTGGACTTGCCAGCGGAGCTTGGGGCGGCAGAGCTGCTAGCAGGAGCAGAACTACTGGCGGGGGCAGAGCTGCTGGGTGCAACGGAAGAAGGAGCCGAAGACGAGCCAGGTGTGGTCGTCACGTCTAGCTTAAGGGGGACGGAAGAAGATGGAGGAGCGCTGGATAGAGCAGCACTAGAGGTCGAGTTGGCCACAATGGGTTCAATGGAGCTGGAAGCACAAGGAACCATATAGGTGGTCAGGTAGGTCCGGCAAACGGACGCATCGTCTCCTCTCTTGTCAAGGACAGGAAAGCGAGCGCCATAGGCTGTGGCTGCAAAGGCCAAGACAACAGCGGAAGTCTTCATGATGATGATGATGCAATAAAGGGAAGAAAGAATGAACAAGGGTAAAGAAGGACAAGAAAGATGAAAGACAGTGTTAAAGTCTGTTGGAAGAGAAGGGACTTTGGGCGATGAAGAGTTGAAGTGCTGACATCAGGAGTGGCGTACCACAATATATATTCAAGAGAACGCATTGGGAAGCAACCATGACAACGGCCCATCAACGACTCAATAGCACTGCTTCCGACCAATGTTTTGCTGTCGTCCGTCCGGTATACAACCCAAAGAGCCGGGTCAAGCCACTCGGCCGTATTCACTTGCAACGAGGTACCCTGAGCGTGCCTGAGCCAGCCACGAGTACCTCGAATCTGCTTGTGGTAGCCTCGCAGAGTGCTAGTCTCGGCCGCATCAGGAACTCAGTTCGTAGCGGATAGCTTCATGGGCTGAGACATTACATTATCGAACCACCCCACAAGTATGAGTTCACGCTAGGGGGTGGAGCTGTCAAATATGCCCTACCAGGCGTCTTGACAGTATACCGGGAGTATACCTAGGGCAATCGGCCTAATACAGTAAGTTGTTGTTTACGGCCAATGGCTTGAGGGTGGAGGCTAATGTGGCATGCCCGTACCATATCGGCTTCCCGGTGAGACATCCATTTTCGTTTGGCGCCACCCGCTGCAGACACTAAGCAATGTTGAACTTACACATCTTTTGACGAAACCTTACTGGTCTTGTTTTCTTAAGTTAATGGTCCCCAGCAAACAGGGGGCGGCTGGCGAGAATCCTTCGCCCCGCTGCCCACCATGAAGCTGTCAAGCCCTGCACATTGTCCCACAGTACGTGAGTTACAGGAGGACCCTTTGCTTGTTGTTTCCATTTAACTTGTTTTTGTTTACTCATTACCTACTTGGGGTCCAGTTCATCCGGTTGCAGCCCCTCAACCGACAGTTCCCATCCACTGGTAAATTAAATGAACCAAACTCGGGTTGGTTCGGTTTAATGATGTCCTGGACCCTTTTGCGTTCTTGCTAGTCTATCCTCTGACGTCGTCATGGCATTTTCCGCAATGGAGATATTCTAACATGGTGGTATGATAATTCAGCTCTGTACACAAAAACGATGGATATGTGGAAAATAGACTCTCGGGTGAGAAGCCACACTGGACCAATTGGCCCTGGCGTACCTTTTCACATGTGCGCCATAGCGGTTAAAATAGAGTTTACAATCTAAGCGGACCCAGGGAACTGGTAGGGGGATGTTCGAACGATGCCGATCACTTGCACGACGTCGTGAACATGGCGCACGTATCGCCTAGCATCGCCATCGCAAGGACAAACAAATCCGGCTATTGATACGCAATCGTTCGGGAAAGATGGTGTGTATTTTTGGGAGCTGTTTGTTTTGCTACAGGGTACCTTGAGAAACTAAAAAAAACAAGCCGCTCTAGGTGCATCGTCCCATGGTGGATGCGTTCGAGGGACTGGAATGTGAACGAGCGGCAAATTTCCCTTTGTTATCGCAACCGACCAAAGGCAGCTATTTTTGCGCACAGTTTGCTTTCAGACTAGCTCAAACTGCACTTACATGATGCTGTAAACGTACGTTGCTTGTTTTTGGACGGTTGCTACCACAAACAACGTCGTCACCGGACTCGACACTATTAGTATCCCCTTCGATCCGGCGTTTACCTGAACCTTTTTTAAGTTCCTCATCAGCCAACTAACTCTTAGGTCTTCATCCTCTCTTTTACCTTTGCTTAATTTATTGCACTTTGCATTTTGCAACTTCACCTTACTCTCTTTCTTTGCCTTAGCTGCTTCCCATCTCTCACTTACATCCCCCTCTTCTCTATTCCAACCACCACCACCACCTTACAGCAAACATGCCTCGATTCATTGCTCTCGTTGCCATTCAGGCTCTTTCCCAGGCTATGCTCACCAGCGCTGACAAGTGCATGAGCTACAGCGTTGCAACCATCACTGATTGCTCGCCCGTCACCACCAGCGCCAGCGTCCCTGCTGTGCCCACAGAGACCAAGACAGTCACTGTCACCATGCCCAACTGCCATGTCTGCGAATGCAAGAGGGAGGGCGGCAAGGACTGCGTCTTCACCAAGACCTACACCACCGAGTACGAGGCCGTCTGCCCTACCGGTGTCATCACCAAGACCTACACCGTTGAGGAGATCTACCCCGGCGTTACTGAGAAGCCTCACATTGTCACCACCACCGAGGGCTGCCCTCCTGGATTCACCTCGGACGTCGTTACCTGCAACACCTGCGGCCCTGCCGCCATCACCAAGACCGTCACCTACCCCTCCGGGGGCAGCCCATGGCAGCCTCAGCCTACTGGCGGCAGCGGTGCCAACAACGGCAACAACGGTAACAACCCTGCTGTCGTCACCGCTGGTGCTTCCAAGATGGGTGCTGTCTCAGCGCTCGCCGCTGCTTTCGTCGTGGCTCTCGCTCTCTAAGCAGCTAACCTTACACAGGGGGCGATGCACGAGGACGACGCATTCTATAAAACATTATTCTTTGATTCTTTTTTAATTCTTCTAGATTCAGGTCTTGGGGTCATTTACCGGGCGTATATCAGCAGTACCCGGTCAGCCCGTTTATTTTTCGGAGTTTGGTTTACTCGGCGGTTTATATCTGGGCTTCTTTTTTTTACTTTAAAACCCTGTATTCAATACTTATAAATATATCTACATTTTTTTCTTGACATCTTTCACCACCTTTCTGCAATATGCCATCCTCGCATAATCATGAACTTGCAACATCTACACAACAAATTGTTAGGGGGTATACACCTACCAACCATAACTCTCTCACTCGTAATTCAAAGCCCGTAAAGTGAGCACATTGTCATTCACGCCTTTTGCACTTTTTATTCCTATTTGCGAAGGAACCTTAGCTGTAGCTAAAGTAGCGTGGGGCTCACAAGTTAGAGCCTTGCAGCAATCATTCGATGCATTTGTGGCGGAGACGAACTCAGTTTAGACGAGAACGACACACCGGGATAGATCGATAATTAGATAGCAAAAGTCTCACTAATCACATCGGTCGCCGGGCAGCTTGATGAATTCGACTTTCGTAGCGGATGCGTCGGCGTGATCACCTGTTTGACGCTGGTAAATTGAAGATTGAAACACTTCGTAGCCTATGTCTATAGCGCCGTGTGCGGCACTTTGTCGCTAGTATTTACAGTGGTGTCACTAGTGTAGATGATCCAGCCGTTCACAGTCGAACCGCTCCAAGTGTGTGTGTGAGTGTGCCACACCAGTCTATGTCTCGCTAGATCGGTGCGCTAAATAGACCAGAATTAGAAAACACAGGTGACCAGACGGCGACTGTGGTTGCTCGCCGAACAAACCCAGCCACAAGCCAGCCACACCCCGGATACTCCGGTAGTGCCGTCGATCTTGTCCTGGCATAGACAAACAAACCACCTGCTGCCCGTTTTCGCCTAGGGCGTTATAACAGCCATGCTAGCTTGCTTTGTGTAATCGTAAGCGAGATTGTCTGGTGATATCTGATGATAATTGTCGGTCCGCGCTGCTTCGAGAGAACCTTGAGGGCATTCTTGTTGGGGTGAAGCCTGCGAGGGAGACGAGAGGGAGGGATGAAGTCTGACGCACGCGCAGCGCTCAGACGCGTTTGCGGCTGTCGAAACGTGGATGCAACGTGGACTGTGCGAGTTTCTTTGGTTGTTGTATGGGTAGGCTATTATTTGGTGAAGTGAATAAAAATTGATGACTGTTTTGTAAGACTAGCGTTTTGCGTTGGTTTGGGAACTCGATGCGTCGTAGTTGTAGTTGACGAATGTGTAGAGGGGAGCGGAGGGTCGTGGTGTAAGTGGGAGGTGGAAGAGTAGATGTTCACGGAAGGCTACTTGATTGAACTCGTTGCTTTCAACTCAATTGAATGATGCAGAAATTAATAGCTGACCACACAAAACAAAAAATAAAAGTTAACAAAAGAAATCTGAAATTGCATTTTATCGCTGGTAAACAGTGCTGGTGGCACAGCTGGAAAAAACACCACCGCCTACCCTAGATGGAAAATCAACTTGCTAAGTTATGCGTAATTCTAAACCAAGACTCGTGAAAACAAACTCCAAACATGCTAATATCCATCCTGATGGATTATTCCCGATAACTCCAATAGAAAGACGTGTTTTCTTCTTTTCGTCAGAAGGTTTGCAGGCAGACCTGTGGACCCTGACCGTGTTCTCGTCGACTCTGAGTGTGCTTACTTCTTGATGGGAATGCACTTAGTGAGCAGGTTCTTTTGCTTCTCAAAGACAACCTTCTTGTTAGGGGTAGGGTCACCGCCAGTGAAGCCACCATAGACCTCAACCTGGACACCGATATCGACAGCAAGCTTGGCAGCGACCTTGGCGGCCTCGTTGGGGCACGCGTCTCCCTTGGTGGAGGCAGCAATACCAGTGGTGAGGTCGACAGTAGGAGCAGCGACACCAACACCACCAACGACACCCTTCTTCAAGAAGGTGGCACCAATGTTGAGGGTGAAGAGAGGGTTGACACGGCTAACCATGTCAATCTCAGCGGTGATGCTGGCGGGGGTCAGGGCAAAGGTGGGCTTGACCTCAGTCTTGTCGTTGGAGTGGATGGCAATCTTGTTGCCCTTGGGAATCACCATCTCGGCGCCAGCCTCGGCGTGAACAGTGCCGGTGATGGACTGGATGCTGGCCTGGGCGTCAATGTTGAAGGTAGGCCCGACCTCGAGAACGTTGGGGATGGTGAAGCCAGGAAGACCAGCTGTGAAGAGACGGATGGACTTTTCCAGGACAGGAGCACCACCCTTGACAGCACCAGAGGCAGTCAAGCCAAGACCAAGATGGAAAACGACATCGTCCTTGACAACAGCGTGGCCAACGAAGCCGTCCTTGAGGGAGATGGTCATGTCCACGTCCAAGCTGCCCTTGGTGTGGCAGTCAACGCAGTCAATCTGCAGGTTGACACCCTTGACGTCAGCCTTCAAGATGTTCCTGTTCTTTTCCACCTCCTTGTTAAGAGCGATATTAAAGTTCTTGTCAATCTTGCCGAGCTTTGTAGCTGCATCCTTGACTTTGTTTGCCTCATCTTCAGCCAACTTCTTAGCCTTTTCAGCTTCCTCCTTGACCTTATCGGCGGCCTTCTTGGCAGCGTCCTCAGCCTGTTTGCCTACGCCAGTAAAAGCGTCGCCAACTTTCTGGGCGCCTGATTTAAACGCGTTTCCAATATCATCGAAAATTCCACGCTTAGCAGGGGCATTGGGGGCGCCAGGGGCCTTGGCAATGGTGTTGATAGTGATTTGGGCGTCGTCGGCAAACTCAGGCCAGCGAGCGATAGAAGACTCCATGTCAGCAGTCTTGGCGTTCTCATCATACTTGATATCCTTGATGTAGTATGGCTGGCGGCCATTCTTTCCACCACAGTCCTTGCCATCCAGAACATAAATGACAACGTTCTTGGGGTCCTTGTGAACCCACGCCCAGGCGTTTTCAGCATCCTTCATAGACTGAACATCGCCAAAGGTGACTTTGATGTTGTTCTCGTTGGAACAATCAGTCGTCTTGACCAGCTTGCCAAAGTTGTTGGAGTTGAGCATGCGGAACTCCGGGTGGGGGGCAATGGTCATGTTGGCCATGACACCTGTAGAGCCTATTAGTCTTGTTGCTGTTCCAGTGATCGAGTGTGTAAGATATTACATACCCTCTTCAGGGTGATGCCAAAAGTAGTTCTCCTGCTGAGAAAGCTTGAGCTCCTTGCCAGAGCCAATATCCAGCGCGGTGGGTGTGAGAGCAATCTTGTTATCCTGAGCAGCGCGGGCCATCAGCTTGCTAGTCTCATCAAGAGGCGAAGCAGAGGCGCCCTTGAGGAGCGCCGCGGCGACTGTGACCGAGGCAAAGAATTCCTTGGAATACATGGTGAATGTAATGAATGTGTAGACAATAGATGTTGTGATGATCCAGCTAAGGTCTTGAGTATCTGTGTTGAGAGAGTGTGTTGAGAAAGAGTGTTGCTTGATGGTTATTGTGGCGATATGCGGCGACGTCAACAGGTATATATAGTAAATAGAAGAAGATGAAGATGAGTCGAATCTGCTATAATGATCGAAACCGTGCTCGTCTCAGCATATTCTGCTGTAGCAAGATGCGGAAAGCGGACTGTCGCATTCATCCTGCAACCAACGTGCTGCAAGGCTAGGGTATCGTCGAGACAACCTTCAGACGCCAAGGCTCTCTTGGTCTTCTTCAGATCCCAGCTCCTAGTATGATACAGGCCTCACAAATGACCCTTAGCCTTGTATTAGAGCCTTGCGCGGAGTAAGCCCTTCTGCGACGGGTGTTCAACAGTTGGTGTTTCGCTGTCACCCCTACCCATGGCTAGTAAAAGTAGAGCCTCAGGGTATGAGGCTTAATCAGCCCATTACTTCCCTGCAAGGCTCTCTTGGTTCTATCTATGAGTTTAAATTTAAACTGCCTCGCTGGCTCTTGCGTAGAGCCGTGCGAGATGCTCGGCTGCGTACCGCTGTGGCGCCTGACTTTGCGCAGGGACCGTGCCCATGAAGCCTTACCAACCATGAGACGGACACCAAACATCTGCTCCAATGAGGATGCTGAGCTATTGCCAATACCGTGGAAAATCATTGCGGATACGGTTGCTGATCAGCAATGGAGCCGGTTTGACCGCAACATTAAGCCACAGCACATCACTTCACCACCACTATTCAGCCCTAAGATGTAAGACTGTAAGTTTGTGGTTCGTGCATTGTCGACCAATATTGTCTATGTGGGGAAGGCAATCGAAAATTATGCATCAATGCATTCATTTGTGCCTGTAAAGGCAGACCTGGCTTCTGCATTGCGCTTAGTTGTGTTGCGTTGCGTCCCCCTGCGCTTCTTTTGACATGACTACTACCTTCCTGCGCATGTCTGGTGGAACGCGGTGTTTGTCCTATTCAAGCAATATTCTTTTAATACAGCAGGCTCTGACTATTAGACGAGGAGCCTAGGGTCTTACTAACCTTGGTTGTCTCATCCATCTGAGTGATGTTGGTCGAGACGAATCTGAAACGCTGTGTCGAGGCATGCGCACGTCTCTGGCACTGACGGTACTCGTGATGTAGGGCGCTAAAGTTTTGGACCTCAGAAAGGATTACACATTTGAATTATTCCCTTATCCAATATCCGCGCTTCAAGGATTAGGCATAAAAAATGGCCCAGCAAGGTCAGAGTTCCCAGGGTTCGTCTGCACAGCGCTAATCTGAAACGCCGGGCCTCTTCACCATGCAGAGGTCCGGTTCGCTAACCGAAACGGATTCACCTCGGGTGAATTGAGCTTCCCTGAACATGGGTTCAATTCTTCAGCTCTGACTATGTAATGGTAAAACACTGGTCAAGAATTCGGGCTTCCTTGTCGCTCTCCTAGACCCGACACGGCAAAAGCTACAAGGCAAGGTACTGGGTAGATGAGGACGTACATTTTCCAGATGAAAAACGTATTATACGTTCTATAATAAGCAGCTGTTATAAGAAGGGTGATCTTTTAATTGTTCGTGAGTCTGTAGATGAAGAAACAGTGACTATTGCTACAACGGACAGCAGTCACCAGACGCGTCGGCTCTGCCAGCCCGGCCAGCTGGCAACGCGTAAAGTTACCATAGGTCTTCAATCGCGCACAAATCTTTCCCCAATAATTCACTGGACTATTTATTTCTATGACTATGATCTGGTCCTGTGCTCCAAAATGCCAATGATGATCTGTGTATCCAATATGTCTCTTGATCCTGAGACTGCTGCCTTGCACATGTTGTCTTCAACAGAGAGGTTTATGAAGAAAATTCAAGATCGCCATGATACAGAAGAATACAAAGGGACCACAATGGCTGCTATAAAGCGCCAAGTCAGTGAAGCAAAGCACTGTGATGATCTATTGGCCATCTCTAAGAAACAGGCTGCTCTGCGTGAAGCAGAGGCGTTCTACATCGACACGGCGATGGATTATATGAATAATGGACTCAGCTTTTGCCAACTTATTACTGGAATCGACATAAAACGAGAGTTTGTCTCAATGATCAATAAAATATTCGATCAGGCCGACTGCGCAGAGATATCCTTTACAGATTTGACGCCTGTTTCTACTCGCCAGGAAGTATCCAATCCCGTTTGGCCACAAACATCGCAAGTCATGACAAGGCTGGTGCCTCTAGAATTTGACCGCAACGATAGTACACTGGATGACCCATTAATAATGCTAGATTTGTTCGTTTCGCCACCTGCAGAGATACCATCAGCCACCGAGGAGTCCCAACCAACAACCGACTTTGACGTGGTATACAATGGAGGAAACCCCACGCGTGTTATCCTTGAACGTGACGGTGTATTTTATATACTTAGTTGCGAAGAACACAACTTGAAATTTGATGACGCCGTCGACACCATTCCGACTTCGAAAGGTAGTCATGGTCGAATCTGGATGCGTGCTAGCTCGCACCGGCGATATCATCATTCAGAGACCCAGTCTACGACTCAACAGCTGTTTGGTGTTATTGTATTGAACTGTACAGATAAATTGCAGAAGAAGAATAATGAAGCATTCCGACACTTCACGAACCGAGGGCTTGGGATTAGCCGCGATACCCAAGGCTGGATTGTTGGTGGCTCCGGATCGAACCCTATGTCTCCTGAAGAAAATGGAGGAATGGTCAAAAGAAAAAGAAAAAGAAATCAACAAAAGAAGCGAGGCAGAATAGAGATGTTGCCTTCGAAAGTTGAAGATGATTCAGATGACTATGTTGGGCATTTTAGCAAGAGAAGAAGTCCTATGGCAAGACGAAGGGCAACGTTCCTAGCAACTGTTGACTCAGATTCGGAACCGGAAATGAGGTCGTTGAATAGACGAAGAAAAAGGTTGGAATACGAAGAAGGAGTTGGGGATTCAACCGATGGACGATCCACGTCTGACATGGGAAATCCAGCCGTCCTAGTGTCAGACAGCTCCTCTGACAAGAGTGATGCGTACTCTTCAGACCGTCGATGTAGTCTAATCGTCAAACTACGCGTCGACCCATCGAAGTTGATGCGACTTTATGCGCGTTAAATTTTGGATGCGGTGCTTTCAATTTCTGGAAATGCCACTGTCTTGAAAAGACAATCGCTTGTCAATCTGACTAGCAGCGGATAGTTGTACAGATACCAATATAATTAGATAACAAAATTCATTTCAAATAATTCTAGTTCTAAAAACAAAAGAAACAAAAAGAAGGAAAGTCACATGCTTTAAATCAGCCCTAGTAAAGGAAAGGAGTGTCGCTTGAAAAGAAAGAAGCGGGTAAGCCGTTGTTGAAATACCACATAACGCTCAAAACACCAAAAAACGCCCTAAACACCTTGAAATGCAGAAGTCAGAAGACTGATTTGCTTATAGCTTGTTGTTCTTGAGGAACTCGGTCATGACCTTGTACGATTGCTTGGCGTTGTTGTGGAAGTTGATGTTGTGGCCGGCGTCGGGAACAAGGTGACCCTGGAACTTGGCGTTCTTGAAGAGTGTCTTGGCCGGCTCATCAAACACGCCGTCGCACTGACCATCACAAATGATGTAATCATTCTTGCCAGTGATGGCCAAAGCGGCGCCCTTGAACTTGCTGGCGTCGAATTCACCATCGGTCAGCGTCAAGAACTCGGAGACTGCAAAGGCCTGCTTAAATTCTTCACAGTACTGGGTGGTGGCAACATCATAGTGGCCAAACTTGAAGTAGGTGTTGATTTGAGCAATGTTGTCGGCCCAAGTAAGATAACCAGTATCGAGAGTGGAAAACTTGCGAGGGTTCTGAAGACTGGCAACACGGGGGACGAAGGAGCGGACAAGACCGTTAGCGTTGATGGCGGTGGTGTTGTAGTTGATACCGGTCAAGATGGCGGCATCGGCCATGTCAGGGTTCTCGGCAAGGGCAAAGTGAGTGATGAAGGAACCGAAAGAGAAGCCCATAACAGCCAGCTTTTCAGGCTTGCCGAAATCGCCAGTGAACTCGCCGTTCTTGACCTTCTTGGCGAGCTCAACCAGGATAGCCTTTTGGTTGCGGAGCTGGTTGGTGAAGCCGGAGACCTTGTCAGACTCGCCCTGGCCCAGGCGGTCATAGAACCAAACGGAGTAACCTTCGTTGAGTGCGTGTTGCACAAAGTTGAACTTGTTGGGCTGGAAGGCAGAGTTCCAGTGAGTACGAGCCTGACCAATGCCGTGGGTGGCGAGGATGATGGTCTTCTTTCTGTTGCCCTTGTTCTTGGGAGTGCAGAAAGAAGCGGCAATTGTGTGGCTAGAAGTCTCATTCTTCTTGCCCTTGATAGGGCTGGGAAGCTTGGCGCTAGCGCGAGTAGTAGCGGCAGTCAGGAAGTCCTGAAGGCTGAAGTCATCGGTCCACTTGGGAAGGTTGAACTCGTTGACTTGTGTGTTGATGCTGACGGGCACTCTGAACTCCCAGCAATCGCCGTTGCCAGGGTAGAAAGGCTGAGTGAAGTTGGCTCTGGCATTTGCCTGACCCTGGGGAAGGCCAAGCGAGACACCAGAGCAGGAAGCCAGAGCTGGTCCGGGTGCAACTGAAGAAGGGGGAGCTGGTGGCTTGGAAGAAGATGGCATTGAAGAAGACGATGAAGAGGCAGAAGAGGAAGAAGAAACGGGAGCAGGTGGGGGAGGGTTAGGAGCTACTCCTCCAGGAACACCGTGGGACATGCCGTAGGCGCTGACGGAGGTGGCTCCAAGGACAGCCACCAGGCAGGCGTTGTTGATAAACATTGTTAATGAATGAATGTGTGAGAATGCGTATAGTATGTATGCGAGTGTGTGTACGTGTGTGAGTGTGTGAACGTGTGAATCTTAGTAAAGACTGGAAAGGAAGGAGAGAGTGTAATAGAGAGAATGTGATTGTTGTTGCTGAGTGAGATTAGTGTTACAACACAGGGAATGAAGTCGTCTTTATACCAAGACGGCTATCGAGGAAACATCGCGAACCCAAAGAGCCTTGAAACCAACAACTGGGGAAGGATCTTGGCCAAGTTTGCCTGCAGCTTCGGAAACAGAAGCACGACGGGGATAAAACACTAACAATGCTATTGTTGAGTACGGATTCGACTGTCGCAACGACTCCTGGAAACAGGCACTGGATTTCCGCCTCGCTGACTGGCCACCACCGAGAGCCAGACTAGCAGCCGCAACAGAGTCCACACCGAGATAAAACCTCTGCCTTAGTTTTCAAACAACCTGGTGGCTCCAATCGCGTGGCAGCGATGGTGGCTGTTCAGCCCGCAGGGCCAAGTCGGCGCTAGTAGCGTTACGCTTGGATCTCGCGGGATTGTCGCAGCACCCGGCTGATGTTTGGAGGAGCTGTAAGGGGGAGGAAGCTGAATTTTGGTGTGACAAAGCCTTGTATTACAATTAAAATTTTAGTTATTACTGCTTTTGCTACAAAGCTATAATCCTTATGTATTTGTATGAAGGAACTCGCTACTGTTGAAGTGCCAAGTTGTACTTTATGGACAGCCATATTATAGTTGTATATTAATAAAGTTTATGCAGCCAGTTTTATTTACTAGCTTATATTTTGAAAAAGAAAAGACATTCGTGTCACTGAATATCCTACCAAACCTATTATTACTCCTCGTGGTTGGCGCCAGTTTCATTGCTGCTGCGCAGAAGCGCTATGGTCTCGTTTCCGCATCTGCGCCGCGGCCGAGTTTCGCGCCTATGAATTGTCCCATATTTTGGTTCAGGAAGTCCTTGCTAGTCAAACAAGGCTGTCACTCGACAGTTTCCAAGCAAGCCACTACCAGGCATGGTTGTGCGGCATGCACGGACGCCCTGCCATATATTCCATTTTTTTTGTTGGCTGTGACTGGCTGGGGTTAGCCGCAATAGTTCCTCGCTGTAAGGCCAGAAAATGAACATATAAATGATTAAAATGGAGGCGAATCTGAGGGAACTTTTGTTGTATTTCGGGACGAGGTGGATCTACGTGGCTGTCGGCATCAGCTGCTGAAGAGGCGGATGGATAACATGGTGAGCCTATTGACTGCTACTAATATTCGATTGAATAAGTAGTTAATTCAATTCAATTCAACGTATTGAGTGGAATTTGAACTTGGTATCGTATTTTAGGACCCTCAGAGCGGCCTTAGGCTTTGCAGATACAGAGACGAGGCTAGATCAAGGGACCGTCCTCAGTAAGCAACGCGGCTGCATACACTCAAAGATTTCCAATAAAACAGTTTGCCCCAAATAAGGAAGAATAGGCTGGAAATAAAAAATAAATTGCATTACGAATCAATAGAATTTCGTAGTTGCTGTAGCCTGAGAAGGGAGACGCCGACTTGGTGACGTCACAAAGCATGCGTACCAGCTGGCAGCCTGTCGGCCAGCTGGCAACGATCATCAATTTTTATTTATTTTTATTTTTATTTTTATTTCCGCGGGTGCAAGATCAGCTTCTGATTTACCGAGCCACCGCCCATTACCCCATACAATTACATCCTACCCCAAAAAAGAAATGCGGGCAAACCGCGCGAGTACCGAGCTTAGTCGTTCGAGCGCGTCGCATTCCACTCCGTCTTTGACGCCGGAGGGACCACTTGCGCCGGTCCCGTTTACAAAGTGCGCCGCGCCCAAGCATCGCTCGGCCAACTACCTGCATGTGGTAACAAAGTCGCGAGAAAAATGCAATAAAATACAGAAATATATAGTAAATGTAATTTAAATCGAACAGATGCTACAAATACGTCCGCTGGTAACCGTAACACAATGTGCGCTCTTAAAAATTATCCTCATGCGTCGATACCCCGGATTCGGCAAGCTACCGAGGTAACCCATCCGTCGCGGCCCCCTCAGCCCATCTATTCCCCCGCAATGCGGTGCCGGACTTCATTCTTCAAGAGCTGGCCGCCCCCTCCTTGGAGCTTGTGATTTTGCCATTATCCAACTCTGCTTCTGCCAATTCCATCGCCCATCATGTCTAAGCTTCTGCTTGTCGCGCTCAGCGGCTTTGCGCTCTACTCCATCTGGTACTATTCCTATATCACCGGCCTCAAGGATCTTGGAGACGCCACCATCGAGGCGAAGCTTGCGCCTGGCACAAAGTTTCCCCTGCGCACCGTCTACACTGGCCTGCCTTTGACCGATCGCCTCCTTACGACCCTGACGGTCTTCTTCTGGCCAATTGCCGACGCCCAGGACATTGGCTTGTTCCTGCACTCGTTTGCCTTCTCTGGCACTTTTGGCGCTGCATGGACTCTCGTCTCTCTTGAATCATGGCGACAAGGCAACATCTGGACCCTGGCTGCATTGTAAGTTCCCCCTACGAAATCAATTGCTGTATAAAGCTAATCACAGGATAGCCCTATGCTTCCTGGCCTCGGCTGCCAGGTCCTGACCTTCGCTTTCGTCACGCCACTCTACGCCGCGATGCAGCTTGCGACCTCCATCACGGCCGTTAAGCCCACCGCCCACAACACTCGCATCCCTCGTGCCATTTTGGTTGCTATCCCAGTCGTCTACACCATCGGCTGCCAGGTGCCTGGAATCCTGATGATCTTGCCCCGATCGGAGTGGATGACTGCTGATCTCAAGCAACTCATGATTGCCATCTGGCAGCCATGGCCCGCATATGTGTCCATCCTTCTCACCATCTCCAGTGTTGTCCTGCCCGCTTTCTTGCAGGAGGACAATGCCACCCCTGCTGGAAACCGCCGCTACAGAACTGCGCTCCGTCACGCATACGCCTTTACCTTCGGTGGCGTTGCCGTCAGCCATCTCGTTTCTGTCATCATCCCTCTCGCCTCCGTCGTGGCCCCAACCTTGTTCCAAAAGTCGGTTCTTGGAGACTTGCACCCGTTCAAGGTCTTTGAGACCCCACGACCTTGGGCTTCTCCCGTTCCTCAGCTTCTCAGCGTCGCTCAAGGCACCAAGAACTTCCTCCGTTGGGATTACATCGTCGGCACCGTCGGGACTTTGGTCTGGGCTACGACTCTCTACACAACTGCCCACCGCAATGTTTACGGCCGCGTCGATTACGTCGATTTGGCACGCAAGGTCGTCCCTCTTACCCTGCTCTCTGGTCCTGTAGGAGCTGCTGTGCAGTTGATGTGGGAAAGAGATGAGCTTCTCCTACAGACTGATGGAAAGCCCATTGTCACGGCGCATAAGAAGGGTCTTTGAAAAAGCTGCGTGAAACATTACTGTATTAAAAAAGAAATCACTTAGTTTATTTAAATTTACTGTGCGTAGCTCAAATCCGGCTTGTGAACGGTGGTCTTATGCACAATTAATGCACATGGTTACCTCCGTTCAGCTCACCTAGCTAGAATCTTGTTAGTGAAGATTAAATATACGCTCCATGTTCAAAATGCTTACAATTCCTCCGAGGTTAAGGTTAACGGGCAAGTTCAGGTTGACGTTATCCAGCTGTTTCAAGTTAGTCCGGCCTGCGCATACAAGTGCTCCATGTGTCGCGGCTTACGATAGGCGCAGCAAGTGCTGGAGTCGCCACAGATGCGACCAGAAGAGCAATGAAAGTAAAGGATTGCATTGCGACAGAATTATAAAGGAATGACAGGCCGTAATCGAACACTAGAGGGAATTCACGCGCGCAGCTACGAACCAGGGGCGGCCATCATTATAACAGGACTCCTTGTTAGCGCGCGTTGTGGCAACCCCTGTAAAAATACCACGCCAGCAAAATCGACTAACTACATTGCGGTAAGCGCATATTGGAGGATGCTGGCAATTTCGATTTAGAGAGCTGACAAGAGTTGGGTTTAAGGATGATGTTTGTTGAATGCCATTGTAGTTTCTGCGGTTATTATAGCCTTGGTGAATGCAGCTAATAGATAGCTAGCATGAGAATCATCGTTAGTTGTCCATGGTTCTACCTATAGCATATGGCTGCTGACGAGATTCAGACAGTACTAACCTCTGGAGCACTATTATGTTATAATATCGAGTTTATTCAACTTCAAAGATTAAACGATAAGTTGTTTCGTTTTATAACATGCGACATTATGTTGCTTTGTCTATTTAGCTCCTGGATTGTGTGAGAATAGCAATAGCGAGTCCAAGATGGAGAAAGAAAACTAATGATGATAATTAAAACAAGAAGAAGATGGAGAGGGTGAAGGTTTTTTTTAAATACATTCACGAAATATCGTGCCAGCTGGCGCACCTGTCCAGTAGCAGAGCTAAGTTTAACGCGAACTCATTTTTCTGCGCACCACTTTCTCCTGCGAGATTCCGGAAAAAGAACAAAAGATTCAACACGAGGTATATTGAGTCAATATCATAAGCCTCTCCATCATGAATTTGAGCATGCCATTAAACATGGATAGTTCAATTCTGGACTTTGCATCCCCGCACGACAGAGCCGAGATATCAGACGTCAGCAATCACGACACGCAACTACAATTTAAAAACCTATTGCGAGTCTTTGGGCCCGGAGAATGGAATTTTCAACGTCACCTCAATCTTAGGCCATCTTTATCTCCACAGGCTATACTGCAGTTGAGGTTATATCCGTGGCGTTATGCATTAACCCCCCGGCTCAACAGTTAGTGCTTATGCCTAATGGAAAAACTATCATTGGACAACGTTAACTGCTGCATGTCACGTAGTATTGTGGAAAGTGTGCATTTGATACAAACTCCCCGAAGCCTAGAAATTAATCTTCCGATTTAGTTGAAAAAGGGTACCAAACGTTGCTCTCTTGAACAGCGGCGCACTTGGCTGCACGATTTCAATTCGCCATCACCACCTTGCGCTGTCGATCTACTGCTACTAGTTGAGGATGTTTCTGAAGCAACAATTTCTCTTAGCATCTGCGCAATATGCGATAGCTACCACAGCATTCGAAGTCGCTGGTGACGGCTACACCTGGCCCAACGATAAGATTGACCTGCTGGAACACATGCTGTACGAACACAGCGGTTTCCACGTCAACTCTCCTGCTTCATTTGTTGCGCCTTGTGGACGTGTGCCATTTGGACCAGGTCGAAGTGGCTCAGCAGAATGGCTTCGAACGGCCTATCATGACATGGCCAACGCGAATGTGGCCGCTGGCACTGGCGGCGTTGATGCTTCCATCGGCTTCGAGCTCGATCGCGATGAGAATCCTGGCAAAGGATTCAACGAGACACTATTCAATCTACGCGACTTCATGACGGCCAGGACCTCCATGGCAGATCTCATCGCCATGGGAGCTGTCTTCGCCGTGGGTGGTTGCTCGGGTGGTAAAGTCGAGATTCCATTCCGTGGCGGTAGAATCGATGCTATCAATGCCGGACCAACAGGAGTGCCAAAGCCCGAAGAGAGTATAGACAGCCATATTGCATCCTTTAACAGGCAAGGATTCACACAAGACGAGATGATTGGCCTGGTCGCCTGTGGTCACACGCTTGGTGGCGTCCATGGTGTTGACTTTCCACAGATTGTGGCTGTTGTGAACGATACAGTAAGTAATAGCCATCTGGAAGATAACGCACTATATTTAACACCTGGTAGTCTGTAGATGACAATACGCAAACGTTCGACTCAACAATTGATGGAGAGGGCGCATTCGACAACAAAGTGTGGGTAGCACTCTGCCATCATCAATCATAAAGCTAACTGCAAAATCTTAGCGCGAGTGACTTTGTCGCAAATATAACTCAAAATCCGCTAGCATTTGGTCATAATGTTACTACGCGATCGGACGCTCGTATCTTTAATTCAGATGGTGGTGTTTTGATAAAGAAGATGGCGGCGTCCAACGAGTTCTTCTTGCAGACTTGCCAGTCTCTCCTCGAGCGTATGATCAACACTGTACCAAAGTCTGTTCATCTTGGAAATCAAATCGACATTATACCTGTCAAACCATCGAGCTTATATGCAACAATCGGGTCGAGCCCAGGCAACATGATGTTTTCTGGATTCATTCGTGTATGTTGAGCACAATTTCAGCAAAGAAGCACTGTTAACCAATTTTATTAGCTTATTTCTCGCGATAATTCTTTAGATGCCGATCCTGGTAGGAAGGTTAGGATCCATATTCACCCTAGATCGGGTGGTCGATGTGGTGCAACCGTTGACTGTCCAGTCGTCGATGTGCCAGAATTCTCCTGGTCGAGATCGTTGTACCACGATGGGGGCTACCCATACTTCAAAAAGTACAAATTCTCAAAGGAGATCCCAGTTGATCAGGGTGTTTCTGCGTTTGACGTAGAAGTCATCGACGCCGCGAAGGATGGAACTGTTTCGAGTAAGCTGTACACGAACGGCGGCGGTGGCTTTCCCTTCGACGATACTATTGTTACTCAGCCAACTCAGACGTGTAATGGGCAACAAGGCAACGGAAATTTCAATTTGACTGTTGCAGTAAGTTACTCTATTACTATTTCTCTCCCAGATACGTTGCAGAATTACTAATAGTTCTCTAGCTTCACGATGATCGCAAACTTGATACAGTCCAGGCCCTCCTCCAATATCCTGACTCTTTGACTGCACTCGTCCCGGCAATTGCTACCAATAAGGTCACTCTTAAGAGAGTGGGAGTGGTTTCAGGCACCAAGTACTCCCTGTTTTCTGTCAAGGCAAAGGTTCCCAGCGGAACATTCACCCTCACATATGATTTAGTCGCCTCTAACAAGACTCACACTGAGTTTCGGCGATTCAATGATGTGACTGAAATTCCTTCATGCCCTAAAAAGCTCTAGAGCCTTCGGAGGGAACTTTTGTAAATACGCGGCGTCGCAAAACATACATATCGAAATCAAATCTGGTTGTTGTCGATCTCTCTCTCATCAAAAGTCGAGACCATTCTATCCATAACAATGGATCAGTTAACTAGGTGCCTTCTTAGCTGAGAACTCAGCTCTTTAACAGTCTGTGCCGGTTCATTGGCTGCTGTTCACTGCATTAAGCCGACCGATATGTTGTATTCTCCGACAAACTCCGAAGGCTGGGCCAGATTCAGAAACAGTGTCCATGCCAGCGCGGCATCTAACCAACTTTCCTTAATTTCGAAATTATCAAAGAGAAATCACGGGAGGAAATCTTCTCACTTGCCATTATCTTGTACTACGTTTTGTGGCTACTTTTGATATGCCACAATGGAAGGCGGTGGCTTCGGCCGCCGCCATCACGCCACCCGTGGTCCTTCGCGATCCTTCTGTTAGCGGTTGGCGTTATTAACGTAGAAACTATTACAGGCTTTAAATACATAATAATTACCGTTTCGCCAGACTGTGATAAGCGAGCAAATATGTCCAAGATGATTCCATTTTCTACGCAAATGGTGTAGAGCGCCAGCATCGGTACCAGATCAGTAGCGGGCTCAGCCCCCTTCAAGGACTTACACTTACCTCCCGCATTCCGAGGTAGAATTCAGACGGTATGAGCCAGAGTAAGACCGACAGCCGGACGGGGAACCAGTTCACAATACAACGTGGGACAAGGTTTGCGGAAATGTTGATCCCGTGTGCATTGCTAACCCCAAATCCAACGAACGGCTATCGCTGAACGAAGAGGCTAGCAAAGCGCACCCCTCATCAAATACAAGTGTTCTGAGAACGAAGCAAGCGCCCAATAAAACGCTGAACTACCGAGGCTGACTTTTTGAACTAGATGGAAACGGGTAAGACGCTGTGAAAGTTCAGCCGTTTGGTATACACTCAGTAGTGACGCTAGGTAGCCTTACCCACCAGCTGAATGCAAGCCATGCAGCGCGCTGTTCCTTGCCAATCACAGGGCCAAAATTACCAGAAATGATGCATAAACAAGGTCAATCATGGAGTCCCACGTTGTTATTTTTGGCGCCGGCCCGCTGGTAAAGCTACCGGGCGATGCATGGTTTGGCTGGGGGCCGGCACTCGTATTGAATACGCTCTGCCGTGCACCCACGCGGAATTAGGCTAGCGACTAAAGTACTTGGAAACTAGAGCTGTAAATATAATGAGATGACCGGGGCCATCCTGGACCTTTCGATCGAAGGCGTCTTCTTAGTCCCATCTCCGTAGTTGTACTAGATGCTATGTCGGGACCAACTTCAACCCAAAGAGAAGGGCAAGGGATGCACAGGGGAACCCAACTCCTTCTTATGTTTTGGGTATGGACCCTTACAATTCTTATTCTAGTTTCTCTGAGGTTTTACGTTCGCCGAAAGCTGCGAGCGATTGGGTGGGATGACTGGACAATGCTGATATCTATTGTAAGACCAGCAACCCCCGTTCTGATGGCTTGCTTGATGGTAGGAAGAAAGAGACTCTAACATTGTTTTACGCAGAGTATATTTTCAACGGCCACCGCATTACTTTCATATTATGCATCTGACCATGCACCAAAATATTTCATACTTCCACCCGTCGAGGCCCTACGAGAGGCAACCAAGTGGGCATGGATTATCCAACCACCGATGATTCTAACATTTGGCGCGGCAAAGACGTCGGTGGCGCTCTTGATTCTGCGTTTAATAGCAAAAACTACATTTTGGCGTCGTTGGATACTTTACGTCATTATCTTTGTGGTCATTGTTGGCAATTCGTTAGCAGTCGTCATCACGTTCGCCCAATGCACCCCGGTGTCTGCGCTCTGGATGCCAGAAATGCTCGATGCAGACTGTTGGGATCCAGTAATTCAGGAACATTATAATTATTTTCTTGGAGGTTAGTGCATACTGAAGATTTTGGTTTGTGGGATTTATGCTAATGCTACTACAGCTTGTAATACGACCGCGGATGTCGTGCTTGCGCTGCTACCAATGACGTTTATTCCTCAACTGAGCATAAAGATCGGTAGGAAAATCGTACTATGTATGCTGCTAAGTCTTGGTATATCGTGAGTTTCCACGTTTGAAATAGCCCTAACTTAAACTTAACTAATCTTTATTTCAGAGCCGCCGTCGCTGGGATCATTAAGATGAGATATTTAGTAGTCTTGACGGAGCGAAAGGATAACTTCATCGGTAGGTCCCGCTTCCTATTGTATTTGGCTGCCAAAATACTTATAAACCTAGTAAATGTTTTCCATCTGCTCGTTTGGAGCGGCGCTGAGGGGTTTGTCATTATGTTTTGTGGCAATTTGCTGCCCCTACAACCATTATGGGACAGATTCATCACGAGACAGCTGGACGGCGACTTTAGGAGGAAGATCAACAATGAACATATGGTACCCCGGGCGGTGAACTTTTCATTAACAAAGACAAACTTGGGGAGTGGTAGCCCTTCACAAGGTTCCTGTCGAACTGAGCAATATGAACTAGGAGAAGGACAGATTCGCGCAACAACCAGGATTACAGTTGTGACGAGGGTGGAAGATATTGTGTAATGATGGTTGATGTGAAGGAAAGCCCACTTGTATAATAGAACAAAGCGATACTGATTTTCTAATGACGACTTTATTGATACAGAAGCGTTGGCACAGACTAAGGGGGATTGGCGAGAAGTTGTATATGGTAAGAAAAGGATTCAAAGTGGTATATTCATAAATAAATCATGGCATGCAAAAAGATACAGGTATAACAGAAATGCAAATCTGGCAAAACAATAAACTAGCAGAGCCAGAACCAGAACCTCTCGAGAATATTGCGGGGGACGGGTGCAACATCGTTCATAGTGGCTTCATCCACCTCGTCGAGACCACTAAAGACGTCGAGCTCTTCAACAGGCTTGATCCAGTGCTTGCCTCCCTTGAAAATTCGGTGTCCAAAGTAGAGCGCCGCGAAGATGGGGAATGAGATGTAGGAAGTGACAAAGTCAGCGGTTTTCCAGTGGCCTGTGCAGAAGACGGTGAAGCCATTGGTGATGGCGAGGATAGCGAAGAACGCAATAGTAGCGTATGTGCCGTATGGTTGGAAGGGGCTTCGGAAAGGAAGGTTACCGGCGATGCCTCGCATCTGAGTGGCGGCACGGAAGCGCTATAAGAGAAATTAGTGTTAAATACAGGGAGTGTAGTGCAAAAAGAGAGACTTACAAGATAGGTGTAGAGAACCACAATCCAGTTGATCATGCCAGAGATGACGATGAGAGATGTCAACCAGTTGAAGACCTCGTAGCCGTCACTGGAGAGGATGAGGTAGGCGAGCAAGCTCAGCATAGACGAGGCCAAAACGGCAAAGTAGGGAACACCCCAGCTGTTGCAGCGGCGGAAGATGGCCGGGGCCTTGCCAGTACAGGCCATGCCATAAAGCATTCGCGAAGCCGAGTATAGCTGAGAGTTACCGGCGGACCAAGCAGAAGTGAGGGCGACGGCGTTGAGGATGTGGTCAAGGGCAGGGATACCGGCGTTCTTGATGGCAATGACGAAAGGACTGGAGTCAGCGTTGCCCTGACCGAAAAGATCCTTGCTGGTGTAAGGGACCAGAACACCAATAACCAGCGTGCCCAAGACGTAGAAGATGAGGATGCGCCAAATGTAGCGTCTGGCAGCCTTGGGGATGTTGCGGCGGGGAGCCTCGCATTCACCAGCAGTGTTGGCAATGATTTCGGGGGAGAGAATGTACGAAAAGCCGGCTTTGATGATGGCGTACCACACAGCAAGAAACTTGCCAGTGTTGCCTTCGCCAATGTAGGGCTTGAAGGCACCTGGGTTTTGCCAGTAGCGGAAGCCGAGACGGTCGTGGTTGGGAGCACCGCCAAAGAAGATGACAATGCCGACGATGATGAAGCCCAAGATGGCGATGATCTTGATCGAAGCAAACCAGAATTCCGTTTCACCGTAGTATTTGACAGCAATGAGGTTGAGAACGACGCAGACTGGCAGGTCATGTTAGCCATTGGAACAGGGGTTGTACATTTTTGTAGGACACATACCAACGAGGACCATGGTGATCCAGACAGCAGGACTGACAGATTTATCCCAGTATGATAAAATAACAGCCGATGCTGTGGCTTCGGCCGGTGGAATCATTGAGTAGGCAAACCTATACAGTCGAAAAATGTTAGCAAATGCAAGGGATGTGTGGCAACCAAAAACAAGGCTGAGCGCCACGACGCACCAGTAGTTCCATCCTGTGGCAAAGGCCAAGCTCGGGTCGACGAAGCGTTGGATCAGGTAGGGCAGGGTCATGCCGCGAATGGGCATGTAGGCAGCCATTTCGGCGAGGTCCATGGTGAGAAACCAGATGAATATGGACATGATGAGGTAGGACATGAAGAGGGGAGCAGGGCCCGTGGTACCAAGGACGGTACCAGACCCAATGAAGAGGCCAGTTCCGATGGTGCCGCCTGTGAGGATGACGACGTGTTAGTAGATGCTCCCATAACTAGAATAGAGACTTTATTCTTACCTAGAGCAATCAGCTGGATGTGTCTACTCTTGAGGCCACGCTCCATGTGTCCATCTTTAGCAGTCTGCTTCATGTCTAGCACGACACCCTTTTCGGGGGGCGGCATGGCAGCCTCGCTGTCATGTGTGAAGCTAGGCTTCATATTGTCGTCCGCCATGGTGATTTTCGATCTATGCAGCGAATTGGACTAGATGTAGGCGAGATTTTGGTGATGGTAGTGTTGTTTGTTGCTTGGCAATGGCGCTGCCAAGGGTAGATGGTGTGGTGTGGTGACGGTTGTGGAAGATGCGTGTTAGTCGAGATGCAGCAAGAGGAAGAAAGAGAAGTAGAAGGGTATAGGTGTAAAATAGACAGAAGAAAAAGCAGACGCTCGAGCTAGAGATGACAGAACAATTCGTGCAGCAAAGAAAAGAAACGAGTGATCGCGGCAGCCCTAGCCCTTTTATCAGTGCTGACGTTTATGTGAGCCGTGCTGTGCTAGCGTGCATGCTTTTGCCTGCTGTTGGTGCTGACAGTGGTTGCGTGCGTGTGCGAGGCCCGGCCGATTCCCCCGCACTGCGCACCCACCAGCGCCAGCAAGATGCGCCACAAGGGCCACAGTGCTCCACTAACAGCAGCCAGTCGCTGTGCTTTCAGTGGATGTGGTGGCCGGCTGTGCGCGGGCCTGGAGTATAGTGGAGTGTACAGGGGGGATGGACGGTGCCCACATGGTCCATATGGTTTGCGAGCGAAGCGGACAAGTGATGAGAGTAATAATACTAATACTGAGGAGGAACGTGTTGGCAGAAGATGAGGACAACTAGAGTACGCAAGTTTAGAGGAAAACCCTGTTGCAGTTCATAGCGCAGCGGGATAGCAAAAGGCTACGACATTAGACGAAAAGGTTCGCTACAGGCGCGCTAAAAAAGAAGCAAACAATGCGCTATCCCCAGCAGGGAACAAACCGCCCGCCCTTGGCTTGGGGTAAGTTCGTTTTGCCCAAATGCAGCCCTGCTCTTGCGCCCCGCTCCCACTGTAGCTTTCTGTTAATTTACTGGTGCGCTGAAGCCACCGTCGGCCAACTTCCCAGTAGCCTGGTTTTCCTTATCAGTACAGTGACCAGGCAGGCTCTGAGAGCGCTGTACTTACAGCACCTGTGCAGCACAGTTCCACACACCTGCCAGACGCCACTTGCAGCCGCCTGCACCGCACCCAAACGCACAGGATCAGCATCACTTGGCTCACTCCAGGCTTCCCTCCTCCACATCACAACGCTCTGGAATGCGGGGGAGCTGAGATAGCCACCACCAACAATAGGCCAAAAAAAGCCAACTCTCATAGAAAGCAAACGCCCGACGGTACCCGCCTATGACTGCGGCGCTCTGCCTCTTCGCCGAGTCGGGAAGGTCTGATCTATTGTATTCATTCAACGCCGTGTCATTCCCCCAGCTTTCAGTGAGGCCGCAGCCGCTGCCAAGCTTATTTCCCCACGATTACAGTAGTTGGGAAATAAGAGAAGGCGTCCGAGTTCGGTCATTTTTCTATTAATGTGATATTTACTAGTCCGAGGCTAACACTTCCGTTATCGCAGCTCTTAGTTATGCTGGCCTCAAACGGCCGAGGGGGCACCAGTCAACTCGGTCTGCAGCTGCTTCTCAACCAATGTGACATCGACAGTCTCTTTACCCTTGCGTACATCCTCGACATTGCGGATAGTCGTGTGTGATTCTCCAAACAAGGCATCAATCTCTTCCAGCGTCTTGCCCTTGGTTTCCACCCAGAAAACCGCCTGCCGCTTTGGTTAGCTTTGCGATAAGGGTCACTGGCACGCGTGTTTTGTGGTTGTGGTGGCGCCAGCACTAGCAGGGCAAGTCGACTTACAATGAGAACAAAGGTGATGATATCCCATGACCCATTGATCATGTACATTTTCCAGCCAATATTGTCGAGGCCAATCGGCATCACAAACACCAAAACCATACTATTCAGCCACTTGGTTAGCCACCCTGACTCGGATGTGTGCACAATGGCACATTAGAAAACTTACGCGAGGGCGTTCAAGACAAAGCTCGAAAACGCCACACCATTGGCTCGCACCGGGTAGTTCATCACCTCGGGAGGATAGAGGTACAGCAGCGGCGTCCAGGCAATGGAATAGAAGCCCTGGAAAAGGAACATGACCGCAACATCGCCGTAAATAAGCGACTGAGAAGCGCCAGCGGGGTCCGAGGCGTACAATTTAGACAAGCCACCAATAACAAAAAGACAAATGATCAAGAGACCCTGCGAGAGAAGCGCAATGGGCTTTCTACCCCAGACAGCCGCTAACTGGGTTCCTGCAACGGCGCAGATGAGGCAAAAGATGTTGAGTACAACGTTCTACAGTCGTGTTAGTGAGGGTCACATACGATAGCTCCAGTTGTTTCATTAAAGAGCATGATTGGATTAGAAAAACAATGGCAATCTTACCGCCTTGAGTTGGTCATCGGCACTGTTGATGCCTGCAGTCTCTAATTCTTTGCCGAGATAGTACGAGGCAATGATGTTGCCTGCAATGCACGAGAATGGACCAACAGAGCCGCCAATCAACACTCTCTTTCTAGCACTTGGCGTCTTGAATATCTCCTTCGGACTCATAGTGACGCCCTCTTTCTTCTCCCAGTTGAGCGTGTCCACGATTTGCTTGTACACCGCCACGGACACCGGGTCTAGAATATCGCCATTCGAGTTTGTCTGGGCCACGGAAAGTCGTGCTTCTTCGTAGAGGCCTTGGCTGACCAGCCACCTCGGCGACTCTGGGATGAATGGCAGAAAGACGATGCTGAGGACAGAAAAGATGGCCTGGAAGAACGACGGCGCACGCCATGCCCAGGTCGACTGCCATTGGTAGGTGCCCAGCGTCACCAAGGCCGCAATCAGAGCGCCGACGTAATAGAAGTTGTTGAGGGATCCCACACCCCAGGTTCGCCATCGACTTGGGAATGTCTCGGTAAGGTATACTGCGCCTGCAATTCCACTGACGGCGCCACCAAAGCCCAGGATGACTCGGGCAATCATAAACATGGCAATATGCTGCGCAGCACCCTGGAGCACAATGCCTACAATCGTAATCAGCGAGCCCCAAAAGATGGCAGGTCGTCGACCCAGCTTGTCAGCAATCATGCCAGACCAGATAGGCCCAAGGAACCCGCCGATAAAGATGGACGCCGTGTTCAAGCCAGTTGTTGTACTGGTAAGCTGGAAATATTCATTGTACGATGGGAGAATGTTAACGCCGTTGAGCATGGAGCCATCGTAGCCTCCCGTTGTCGACTGGACCATGGAGCAGATGAGTAAAAGCACAGATACCGTCGAGGTTGATTCCGGAACCCATGCCGGCATCCATGTGCCTGTGGGTGACTTTTTCAGCATGTTGGTCTTCGTTGTTGTCTTCTTTCTCAAGATTGGTCGCTGAGTCTACGGTGAAGTGAAGTGGAAGACGACAAAAACGCAATCTGGGACACTGGGCACTTTTGTCTCTGTCTGGGAAAGCTACCTCATCCAACGTTGTTACCTCGCGTCGTCTTCCCCGCTCTCCAAAATGCGTTACATTGCATGGTACTACATACCCTGCGTTTAGTTGCAGTACATGGTTTGCGCAGATTGATGCCCCCTCTCGAACAGTGTCGCTTCGTCGGCTCCCCACGTAGCCCATCGGCACCTTTTACCGTCGGGAAATTACCGTCAGTGGCTTGACCGCTGCATCACTACTGGCTCTTCGGGCACTTGTCGGCGGGGAATAGTGCACCCTTGCAGGCTAATTTGTTAGCGTCGTGAACAAGTATTCCCAATGGAGAGGGTTGGGTTAGGATGTGCGGGGAAGAGTGGGAGCGCCCCGCACCGCACCGAGCAATCGTGGGGGGTTCACATCCTCCTCGTAAAGCGAATGACTTCATCGCGGGGGTGCATGCTGGTGGATATTGCGGCTTGCGGTGTTTGTTGGCTTGTCTGAAGCACACAGCAGCCCGTTCATCGAGAGGCAACGAGTGGGCAAACATCACCAACAAAGGCATGACGCTCTTCTCTTTGCCTCTTCCTTTCCGCACCAAACCGGCCACTATGGCAAAACTACCAACCATTGCTATAGCAGGACTCGCCTGCGAAACATCCACATTTACCCCGTCCCGAACAGACGCTCCGGCCTTCAAACCCCAACGAGGCAATGAGATTCTCGACAGATACAGCTTTCTACACGCAGACCAGCCGACGGGCAAAGCTGCCATTTGGAAAGGTGCACTGATTGGACACGCTCTCCCCGGAGGCGTCGTCACGCGCGAGGCCTTTGGGACATTGGCGGCGGAAATAGTCGAGCGTTTGAAGGCCATTGTGGCTGAGGGCGATCTCGATGGCTTGTGGTTCGACATCCACGGTGCCATGGTCGTTGAGGAGCTCGATGACATTGAGGCAGAACTGCTACGCCGCGTCAGAGCAGTCATTGGCCCTGATGTTGTTGTTTCGGCGTCGATGGATCTTCACGGTAACGTCTCCCGTGAATTGGCACATCAGTGCGATCTGATCACCTGCTACCGCATGGCACCCCACGAAGATACCATGGAAACGAAGGAGAGAGCCTGTACAAATCTTATTGCAGCACTGAGTGAAAAGTCACCCGGCAAGCGGCCGCTCAAGGCGTGGGTCCCTATCCCAATCTTGCTACCTGGTGAGCAAACCTCTACAAGAATGGAGCCAGCCAAGTCCTTATATGGTGCCGTTCCGGAAGTAGAAGCCGTGGATGGTGTCATCGACGCTGCCATCTGGGTTGGTTATGCATGGGCAGATGAACCTAGAAACAGAGCCATTGTCATGGTCACAGGGTGGAATGAGAAGGCAGTAGCCGAAGGTGCTGAGAAATTGGCCAAATTGTTCTGGAAGTCTCATGCTGACTTTGAATTTGTGGCTCCAACGTCATCCTTTGGCGAGGCCCTCGACCAAGCCGTCAAGTCTCCCGCAAAAGACCGCCCGTTCTTCATCTCTGATTCTGGAGACAACCCAACGGCTGGTGGTTCAGGAGACGTGACGTGGGGCTTGACTGAGCTGGTGGCACGGCCCGAATTCAAGTCGCTAGATGCAGGATACACCGTCATCTACGCCAGCGTGCCCGGACCCGAAGCCATTGCTATCGCCGTCGCCGCGGGTGTTGGTGCCAACGTAACAGTTACAACAGGAGCGGCCGTCGACAATATCCACGCACCGCCATTGACTCTGTCCGGCCGCGTGCATTCCATCAAGCACGGCGACCGATGGGCCGAGACCGAAGTCGTCTTGCGTGTTGGATGTGTCTACGCCATCCTTACCAAGTACCGTAAGCCGTATCATAAGGAAAAGGATTTTACAGATTTAAATCTCGACCCTCGATCGGCTGATATTGTTATTGTCAAGATTGGGTATCTAGAGCCAGAGCTTTATGATATGTCTAAGGGCTGGATCCTTGCCTTGACGCCGGGGGGCGTTGATCAGGATCTTGAACGACTTGGCCATCACCGAATTAGACGACCAATGTGGCCATTTGATAAAAAGTTTGACGAGGAGCCAGACTTGAGCACGCGCTGGATATCAAAGTCCAACGAGCCTCTGACAGGTCGTGACGAATAACTGGACATGAAGCACAAGCACTAAAATGAAGTTACATAGACTAAAGCATAGTTTTTTTTTTTAAATCAGCATAGTATTTTTGAGTCTAAAATTTGCATCTAAATTATGGGAGTTTCTCCAGAATGCGTTTCCAGTGCTCAAAGTCATCGACATATACCTTCATAAAGTCGAGAATGAGGTATCCTCTGTGTACACAGCCTCCGTTGATGGGCCAGAGTTCTGATGTTTTGGCAGTGTAGCGGCGCCCGTTTTCCATAAAGCAGGTGTAGACGCACAGAGCTTGTTGCTTGCGGCTGTTCCGTGAAGACACTCGGTAATCACAGGGCGTAATAGAATAGTTGCGTACGTTGAGTACTTGACACTGTGGCTTGGTGCACGATTCCAGAGAGAGGGTGATTTCACACATGATGGCGATGGTACAGGCACATCTTTCTAGAAGGGAAGGGCGTAATCGCTTTAATATTTTTTTTTAGCAAACAATCGAAATCGAAATCCGAACGGCGGCGCATCTTTGTCGAATGTTCCCTTCCCAACACATGGAAAACTGAAACGACGCTCAAGTAGTAACATTTACTACTGTCCTGTGGCATTTATTTTACATCGTAATTGTTCGCTCGCCGCAGTTCCCACACACTAAGCCCTTGTGTGATTGTTGCCGTTTGAGATCGTGGCGCATCCTTCGTTCTTTTGTTTGCCTATAAACCTTGTTGTTCCTGGATTTGGCGTACACAAAGCGCAAATAGAACAGCCTAAAAACAATGCCTCACTAATTTCTTGCTTGCCAAACGACATGTTGAAATCTAGCTGCTGTATGCATCTAAATGAACACAACCACCTGGCGCTCAGCCACAGATCAAAGACATCATCAACTGTACCAGTAGTTCAAGTGACATCCATGCAGAAAATAATGATGTTCTCTTTATCAGCAGTCCAGGATACTGGTCTGCCCCAACAATGGGAAAGTCACTGTGATGTTCTCTAACTGTAACTAATAATACAGGGTCGACCGAAAGAGTGTTCGCCCTCTCCGAATACAACGAAACATTAGCTACATCCACTCTTGGCTGAAATGTGGCTGGTACAGTGCGAATAATTTACCAGCCAACTTGGGCAAAGTACATGCTGCAGGGCAGTTTCACCGACGCTCGTGTTGCTCCACCCCTAGCGTCGCGTCAACCGTGCCTCTCAATACCCTAATATAACTACCCAGGAGTTATTTTATCCTCACATGTCCTATTTAAATGTTCACTTTTAATAAGCTAATAGTAAAAGAACAAGACTTTTATTTTTATATACTTGCTTTTCTACTTAGAAAGTTATTTATAGAAGTCTTTCTTTAACTCGGACAAGGTATAGACGGACCTACCCTACTTGCACCTGGTACCAGCCCTGCACGCCCCTACAGTTACGTCACACTCGCTCTGTCGTCAGAACCGTCTCCCTGCCCTTCCGTCCCGTTAGCCCAATGCCGCCGTCTTTGGTGGTATCGTTGGATAGTTCGCCATACCCACTTCCCTATTCCTTTGCTGCCCTCTGAGGCTCTCCATTTGGTGTCGTGCCCAAGTGCAGCAGTAACTCGTAGCCATGGAGGACGATAGCCAGAGCCAGTTTTTGTGGCAATATGATTACGAGGAGCTTGACTTTTCTACGCCTGTAGCTGTTGATATTGAAGGCAGCGATAGCTCTCTACAAAACAGCCTAGGCCAGTCAAGCACAATTAGTTAACCTCTAACTGGAGCAAATTGTCCCCTCTATACTATTAAATAGGCTTTGTGTATAATAAAGAAGAAGCTGCAGACGCTGGCCACTAACACGATACAGCATATCGAACTTTACCCAAGCATCTTTTGGCGGACAGAGCTAGAGAGTCTTATTGACAGTGCTATCGCGGCGGAGTCGTTGAGCGAGACACATATCCCCAGTAAAACCCAAGTAAACTTCATAATCATGGAACAAGATGTACGGCTAATTGAGCTATACTTCCCGAAGTATAATATTTCTTGAGATAAACTTAATAAGTAAATTAAGGAGTAGGCTGATTTAGTTTCTACTAGAGGCCGAGTGTTAAGCGCAAAAGTATTGTTTATCTTCAAGGTAAACACGTCTCTAGACACCCAAAGCAAGCCACCAAGACGTGGGGGACAGGCACTTTGCTGATTGTGCACATTTGCAGAATAACCCGGAAACAGCTGGTTCGTATAGCAAGTGGGAGGCCGTCGTTAGCATCCTTGACTGCCCAGGGCAGTATAACATTGGTCTATAGTGTTAAGAAGACCCAGAAGATAAAAAGAGATACCCCGTCGATAGAACAATTATAGAAGATCTTGTTGATATTATGAGAAGGGTCAGACCTTTTAACTGTTATGCTGGCATGCCACCATACTTGGGAGAACGGTTACGAAAAGGGTCAAAAGCTGTAACGAAAAGAAAGAGGCGCCTGCAATCCATATCACGAATGTTCTTCCTGGAGGATTTCTATCTCCTACGAAGGGGGCTAAGATTCCAGGCAAATTGGAAAGCGTGATTCGTAATTATCGAGATCACCTTGTCTCACAGACGAATGATGCAGAATGGATCCGGGAAATTGATGGCATAGCAGAGTTCACGCGCAAACAACGCTTCAATCTTAACAACTTCACCAAAAAGCACGTCCAGTACTTCGTTTCGAATGAGTTTCCGCTCGGCCTTGCCGCGCAATGGGTGATGGATGTGGATGATTGGCGGAAGGAGTTGGAAGAGCAGCAGCAGCAGCAGCAGGTAGAAGATATCTTATAATCTCTAGCTAACATTTGCCCAATTTTTACGAGCCTAAAGTAGGGTAAATCGCTTATATCCGGCTTCAACACAACAAGTATATATAGAGGGGAGAGATATTACCATCATGCGTAGAAATGTTCGCACTCCTTTAGATTAAAAAGCATAATAACAAGACATATGCTCCGTAAGGCTATGCAACAAATTGGATTATTTGAGAGCTATCACTACTGCAAGTTGAAAATATTTTGCGATATAATCAGGTCACCTTTCCCACTCAGATAGACTTTCGACTGAAGCCAAGTAGTCTGGATGACTAGAACCCAGTTTAGCTTGTCGTAGACGTATACATTGACTCATCAACACCTTTCCTTCTTCGAGGCGCCCAGAATTCCAGTATATCCATGCTAAGTTATTCATGCTAGTCAGCGTGGAGGGATGGTCCGGTCCAAGCTTCTGCTTGCTCGCCTTCGTTACTTGCACCTGAAGCGTCTCTGCCTCTTCCCACCGCCCTTGGTTCCCGTATGTCCATGCCAGATTCGCGATGCTGGTCAGCGTGTCCGGATGGTCCGGTCCAAGCTTCTGCTTGCTCACCTCTATTACTTGCACTTGAAGCTTCTCCGCCTCTTCCCATCGCCCTTGCTTGCTATATGTCGACGCTACCAATGCTTTTGACGAAGTCACTTTCTCATCGTCTTTATCAAATATTTTCTTCCTTGCTTTCATAGCCCAGGTAGAAAGCTTCTCGGCTTCTACTCCATACCCCTTTTCAAGGGCATACCAGGCTGCTTTATGCAAGATTGTCGCCCACTCTTCCATAGCCTCCTTGCCGTCCGGGCGCTGTGTTGACACTTGCTGTGTATGTGGGAAAAGAAGCTCGCATTTCGCCCAATTCTCAAAGTTTCCGCCTGGCATCTCTGCGGCAAGGTTTTGAAGAAACTGATAATTCCACTGTTCATAGATATTATGTGCCTTAAGCCACGCAAATATGGCGAGCTGCACTAGTCTATGCATTTCAAATGTGGTCCCGTCCTTATTGGCTACAATGAAGGAAAAATTCCGTAGTGCTATGATGTCGCTTTCAAACTCATCATTGTCACTACAGTTGGAGTTTTCATATGTCCAGTCACTATCACTATTGCTTCCAATACTCTTGCCATCGTCGGCATCATGGTCGCTTGTATCCCTAATAGTCAACCCACTCACCGCGCGACGTAGATTATGTGCATCATCTATGGTAACGCGACCGTATTTGCCTCGCATCAAAACTTCCGGAATGCCCTGGCGATCACAGAAGCTGATAAGCGACAGTAGGTCTGCTGCGGACGGTCTGACGTCGCGAATATAGTCAAATGATATTTGCCATGTGACGAAAATGGAGTTATGAGCTTCTTTGTCTCGTCGAAGCCCTTCCCCTTCATGACTAAGAAGCTTAGCTTTTCTATTATCGCTTTTGCGAAACTCATCGATATAATCCTGAACAGAGGATCGTGGACGCTTCTGGGAAATGTAAGCCGTTGCCTGAACAATAGCTATTGGCATATATTCGAGCGTTGCAGCAAGCTCCACAACGCAAGCGTCGTTATCGTCGTGACCAAGCTTATTCCGCAATAATTGTATTGCGTCTTTCTTATTCATTGGGTTGATTGGGATGATATCATCGCGATCAACTAGCTCCATTGCAGCGGCTTTACTTCGTGAAGTGATAAGAACAGACCCATGTTGGCAGTATGGGATATATGATAACAGGTGCCTGGTAGATGCACCCTTTGCCGTGGCTATGGTTGCTTCCAGGTTCGATACAGTCAAGAAACGGGCGTCGTCTACGTTGTCGAGAATAACAACCCAAGGCCCTTTTCTTTCGTCTTGAAGCCAGTCGTGCACCAGTTGAAATATATTCGCTTTTGGATCTTGCCGCCCAGAAAGCTCAACGCATGTCGCAAGGTCTCGGAAACCTTCTTCGAACCGCGCTTTATTACTTGCATGGATCCAAAAGACCCATGTAGCAGATGATCGCTCTCGGACACGATAGGCATATTCGATGGCGATTTGCGATTTTCTTCCAAGATTAGATATTTTCATGGTACAGCACGGCGTCTACAACTTACCCAACACTGCCGAGACCAACGAGCGCAGTCCACGAACCTGGCCTGCTACAGCTGCGATCGACCTCGTCAAATATCTCACGCTCGACAAAATCAACATCACGACGGAAGGAAATTCGCATCGAGGGATTCGGTGGTATCTCTAGTTGCTCTGTCCACTCGTCAATCAATCGCTGCAGCCAATACTTCGTCGGAGCCTACCTTGGGTTGGATAGTGATTATGAATGGATGAGTCTAGGCACCAATATCACCGGTTAGCACTATAGTATACTATGCGGGAACATAAACCCTTCCGCGATTAAATCAAGCTATGACTCGGGTGGCATACCGATTTGATTGGTGCCAATGTACTGATTACCAGGACCATTATTCTGATTTCCTGTACTATTGTTGTTATATTGGCTCCCAACCCCAGTATTGACGTTCTGGGCACCGCTGCCGTAGTGTGCATACGTCGCTGCGTCTTCAAATCCGTCAGGTAGGGATGGCTTCATCTCACCTACTTCCTCAATCGCTTTTGTCAAGTTTTCCAGTCCTCTTCGAGATGTAACCTTCGGGAATGTGATCGTAAGAAGCTGTAGACCATCAAGAATTTCTTTCATTAGGGTCTCCACGCGACCACCCTTGCCGATGGTTCGAGCAGCTTTGATATACCGGCCGGCCCTCGAGTCACCGTTGGCCGGGACAACCTTTTCAAACAATACCTGTAATTTTGTAGCTTTCTCTTCACAGTCTCTTAAGACGGGTATGAAAGTTGATGTGAGATCGTCGTTTGCTTCCTCTTCAACATATCGCTCTGTATCATCGAGAAGCTTTGTAATCAGAGGCAATTTTGCTGCTACCGTCTTGAAGTTGGATGGTAGACCAGCTTCGTCTTTAATAGCACTGCTCAGCTGGATCGTAGCATCGATGATGGAAATCACAGCAGAAATAATACCAAGCACTTCTGCACCGGACATTGTCGGGGTTCCACAGCCGAAGCACTAATACCTAGTTAGGAGGAATATTACAGCTATCTATATCACTTACGCATACGTATAACTATTTAATAGTAACTAGTCTCTAGATAGAGTAAACAGAAGTTTAATAGTTCTTGTTATAAGCCTTAAGAAGGATATCTTAAATACCCCGCACGCCAGCGCCAGTCGCCATACTGAGCTGCCTACCGACGCACACGTGAGTAGTTAAACATGCAGCCGACTTTTACACAATTGCCATGCACTATAAATCGCCCTGTAGATGTTTTGGAAGTCATCATTTCTTGGAATACTCTAATTTGATGCCCGAATGTCGGAAGTGACCTTCTGCACTCTCCTTCTTCTGCCCAATGTGCCTGATACACCACTTCAAAAACATGCCCAAAAACAAGTCTCAATTATACGACTTACACTACTCCTTCTTCATAAGCTCCTTTATTTCACCAAAATATTCTTCGATCGGGTTTAAGTCCGGTGAATATGGCGGGAGAAAAGCAATTTTTACACCTACAGCGGAGCAGATTTTCTCCAGCTCTCGTGGTCGATGAAATCGTGCATTGTCTATAATCAAGATCGATTTTGGTTCAAGGTAACATCTACAGAAGGGCAGCAGCCGTCGAATGAAGTCTTCGAATACTATACTATCTGTTGTCCCACGAAATATGGTCGTCAGTATTTCGCCTTCTTGCGTGTATGCTGTGATAAACTGATGTCGTCTCTCACGAACGAAGTCAGCAAGATGCACTGGTGTAATTCCTTCTGGCACCCAGCCTTTCGTTCGTTGAGCCTGACTCGGTTCACGTCCACATTCATCAATAAAGACATATTGAAAAGACTTCGACTTGAGCATAGATAGCTTATACTGATACAAATGTAGGGTTAGCGGCTCTCTTTGGCTTGCTACGCGGCGAGTTAACTTCCTAGTCCATGCCACAGACTACAATGCACGAGTGAGACTACTAAGTGAAGCAATGATGTTGAATTTTGCCTCTAGAAATGCTAGCATTTCTTCTCGTAGAAGGCAAGGCCGTTCCTAGAGCTCATTGCACAATGCATCAATCATGTATGAGGCAATGACTCTGGGCCGACCGATCTTTGGAGAGGGGATCCCTTGTCGGGCCTGTTCGAACTTGACGCGGTGGCGGGGGACTGTTCGGACGGTATATCCAACCTTCCTTACAATTTTGGCGTTATTAGGCTTATAGAGCAGCATAATCCCGACCTGCATATATTTAACATTGCCTAGCGGTTTAGCCACGGTGCCAGAAAATGCTGTTAATGGCTGATAGAAAAGCCAGAAACGACTTTTTAGGACAGGAAGTGGGCGACTGTCTGGTCGCTCGTTGGTTTATAGAGGCACGCGTGCCTTGTTCCTAGCGGGAAGCCAAAAACGGCTCTTTTAAGATCGATGATTGAAGGTACATCGAGCGCACAGATGGTAGACGGTCACCGCCACGGGTGGCTGATGTGGGGCAGGTACATTTCTTTTTCTATTACAAAATTGGGCGGACACTCTTTCGGTCGACCCTGTACATCATCCTAATCATCTTTTAACTAACGGCGATATAGAGCAACTTCAAGAGCTAGAGGTTTGCGCAAAAAGCCTTCCCGAGTCTCCATGGGTCCTTGGCGGGCGACAGCGCCGTACCGGCGAGCCCAAGTAGCTGCAATAAGCTTCATTTCCATCTCTGCCACATTTCGTCCCACACAGGCTCTTGATCCATGGCTAAAAGGGATAAAGGCCTTCTTTTGGCGCTCCGTGGCCTTTTCCCAGCGCTCAGGTCTGAATTCTTCGACATCGGGGCCCCAAATCTCGCTAGAGTGGTGGAGCGTGTAAGTAGGAACACTTAGAACGGTGCCAGGGGGGAAATAGTGGCCGTGGATAGTGGCTCCCTGCGAGTCCTCGGGAATCTGGCGGGGGAGACCAATACCCGAAGTGCAGTGGTGGCGGAGAGTCTCGAGGATGACATTGTTTAGATACTCAAGATCCTTGACCATTTCGTGCGTGGGAACCTCGACGCCGTTGGGAATCGCCTTATCGAGCTCTGCCTGGAGCTTTGTAAACACACGCGGGTTTCTAACAAGGTAGTTGAGAAGAGCACACGACGAGTTGGACGTGGTGTCGCTACCAGCAATAAGCTGAGTTAACGCTTCGGCGGTAAGCTCTTCACGACCTAGAGGGTTTCCAGCGTCATCACGGCCCTCCTGTAGTCGGGCGAGCAGGTCCTTTCGGTCAACATCAGGCGGGTTGTCCAATCGGTTCTTGACGCTGGCAATCGCAATGCCGGCAAGGTTCTTGACAGCATTGAGGCCCTTGCTGAAGAAAGGATCGGGGAAGTAGGGAGCCCAAGGCTTGAGAGAGGGGAAGATGCCTAGCGTGGCGCTGACTTCACCACGTCTGTTAAGAATCTCAATAGCAGGAGCAAGGATGGGGGGACTGGTTGGAGATTCGCGAATTTCTGCCAGATCAACTCCATTTCGGATCATGCCAAATGGCGCTCCAAAGGCGAGGTCACCAATAATGTCAAACGCAAGATAGTTGAACCAAGGTAGGCAGTCGATGTGGGCCTCCTTACGGCCCTTTTCACCGCGTTCGGGACTTTTTTCAATGAGGATATCAATCTGTTGAACAAAGAGCTGCAGGTTCGCCTGCATATATGGCTCAAACTGGCCAACGGATTTGGGCGAGAAGGTGTGAGAGACCAGCTTTCTTTTGCGAGTGTGCTCAGCACGATCACGGGTGTTGAAGAGGCCACGGCGAATAGATACAAAGGCATCGTAGAATTCACTGTAGCAAAATGTTAGCTCGGCGGGGTGAAAGGAGCATTGTTGGACCCATGTACTCACGACTTAAGGAACCCGTTTCCATGACCGTAGATTGCATTGACAGCTTCTTCATCGGCAACACTGATGTGGTTCGGCTGGATTCGAATAAGTTTGCCAAGTCGCTTGTGTTGCTCGTCAACGACCTGGTAGCGATTGCCTCTACGGCAAACTCCCATGAGCCAGAAGTTGGAGAAAGCAGCGTAGGACGGTGCCGGGATGTCACGGATAGCCGAATAGGTGACAAAGTATGGGTATAGGAAAGACAAGAAAACAGCACCTCCCAGAGCAGGCACTGCCCAGATAGACCATAGCTGGTCGATGACGGCTTCGATCAACCCCATGATGGCGACGGTATGTTTGGTGATGGGACGCGAGCCGACGGTGACCGTGGGTATACGAATCAAGACAACAGCTTCTAGCGATGCAGCAAGATTAAAAAGTAAGAAAGAAGCGAAAGATCCATAAAGCTACAGCGCCAGCAGGGTGGGAACAGTGCCACCATAAATACAATTGGCAGCGGGTAGCGTGTGCATGTGCAGATCAAGCATGCGATGCAAGGCGACGGCAGGAAAAAAACCAGTTGGAGGCGTCTGCCAGCTGCCAGCTGGCGGGCACCTGGCGCACCTGGCGAGCGCCCAGAAGCACTGAGCTACCCCGCAAAGAGCTTCCCCCAAACGCGGTGGCGCCCCTCTTCAGTGGACAACGCTTACTGTCTGTGGACTTATTGGCTACAAACTCATTTTCTCTTGGTTCGGATGAAAGTGTCGGCAAGCGCCATCTCGGAAAAAATCGTCTTAGGCAGAAAGAAAGAAAAAACAAGCAGAACGCCTGCATAACAGCTCACTCACTACCTGAGAAGCAGATATCAGCTGGAAGCCAGCCGCAACAGCGTCATGGATAGCCTCTCCAAACATGCAGTGCACGCTAGGACCAGGCGGTGCACTGTAATTCGGGACGAAATATCGGCAAGTAGCCTCAGCCAATCGCATCGCCAGCATTTGGAACATAAGACGCGCTAACAGCACCGGACGGCCGGCCCTCACTGCGACGTGGGGCCGGCGACCTGGTATGCTAGTGGGAACTCTTACAGCGGTTGGCGGTACATCATCACGGCATTGATATCGGCACGCGCATCTGCACACCGGTAGCACGAAATTGGGTACACAGGTTAATATACGGGAATAACCGCCGCTTTGACGGAGATGCCCCGGACTAAGGCTCATCTACTTAATAAGACGTCCACGGCTCTCCGTCTCGGGAGCTAGTCTGACCCACGGCGCCCAACTGCCTTGACTTGATGCCGTGGCCAGGATTCGCGGGTGTCTCGGGCTTGTGAAGAGCAAGCTCAAGTTGAGAAAAATGGTCTTATTTATTTGGTGCTAGGTTTCTAGTGTGTGTATGGGTCAAACTAACTGCATTTCAATAGGAGTTGCCAGAAAACCGATCTTCATTCGCTCATGCAGTCATTGCTTTGCATGTAGCATTACACGACATGATATGCAATTCATTACAAAAGTTCATTTGATATTAAAACAAAAAACAAAATTATCGGTTCCATGGGGTTCTATTCGTCTACTTCGCTGTTCAGCTTATCAGTTCATACTGTCTAGCCTTACCTGCTTGACTATTCCAAGGATCCGATCGTATACTCCGAGCCATCCGGCATTCACTTGCTTTCGCTCAAGTTCGCCTGAGTCGGGGTGTCAACATCATCGTCCTCTGCACCGTCCAATGTCAAGTTGAGGTTAGACGCTGCGAAAACGCGTTTTCTAAATGACACCATCCGGTCAACCTTTTGGCCGGTCAAGCGATCAGTCGATTCAGGCAACTGTTTCTCGCCCTTCGACTCTGAGATTAGCTTGAGGCCGTGCGGCATGCTGCTAGACTGTGTCGAATGACCAAGGGCGGAGCTTTCTGTATCTGACTTTGTATCCTCTGGTACTATGATTCTCTTGGTAGTTGTCACTACTCGAGTGACCGTAGTTGCTTTGCCTTTGGCCTTGAAGGACTTGCGGCGAGGCGTTGCTGGAGTTCCCGGATTGGAGGCTTCAGCCTCCTTCTGTCTCGCACTCTCGAGGCGAGACACAGTCTTTTCAAGACCTAGCTTCAAGTTTTGTAGCCGTTTTCTAACAGCACTAAAGTTAGCAGTTGGGCTCTCCGATGTCTCTCGTTCAACACCAAATCGGCCACCTGGGAAAGCGGCTTCCTCTTCGGTCACAGCTTTGTCGACCTCGGCAGCATGATGCTTTTCTACTCGCACTTCCTTCGCGACCGAGAAGTGATGGCAATGGCCCCAATCCAGGTTTTGTGTTGCTTTTTGGTCGCCCAGCTTACCAAACAGCGATTGGAAGGTGCCTGTTATGACGATTCCGTGAGGCTCGTTGGTGCAAAACTGAGTGCTCTTCATTGGCTCTGAGCACTGGTATTGTTCGATAGCCCGCCAAAAGAGGCTTTCATTTGCTGCATGATGCAGAACGCAGATAGCTGGTTCCATAGAATATCTGCACATCGTGTCTCTCTGTGTGTGAAATGAAATGGTACTGAAGTATGGTTAGTTTGCGAAATTGAACTGTCAGTGGTCCTGTTCAACATGGCATCGTGGTGTTAAAACGCAGCCTTTATAAAGTAAATCTTCCAACTGACAGATAATTATTTGTGGAAGGCCTTCGTAGAACAAGCCTACAGTGACAAAGAGCGCACAGTGGTACAAACCACAGAACAGAGCGCTATGAAGAACAGCAGAACATGTTGCAAAGAACATTTGCGCTAGGCCTTTAACCGAACAGATCAGTTTAGAAGAACAGTAAGAAGACGTTTGACAATAACAGTATTTTATTTTTATTTCATCTAGCAATTTAGTGCTTTTCTTAGCAGCGTAGCTAGCTTTTGTACTCCAGGCTCATCGGTCTTAATGGAAGTCATAAAGTAGATGACATTGCCCAGGACTCTACAATGAATGTTGAAGGCGCCTTCCAGCTCATCAGACACCGTTTCTCCAAGCGCCTCCCTTAGGCTGACGGCAGCATTGCTGCTATATCCTGTTCCAGATTCGTCTTTCAGGTGCACTGCGAGCACGCTTCCGAGCGCCCAGGCGCCAGCTACTCGCTCAGTGTTCTTTGAGAGATCCACTACCAGATCCCTGGGCCAGTTAGACCAAACATGACCTTGCTTTGTTGCGGATACAGCATCCTCGCTCCAGCCCTGTTGCTTGGCCCAGTTCCACTCTCCTTTGGCCTCCATCTTTTGCATTTCGGTGACTGACGCCAATCCAACCTGGCAACCAATTGGGTACGCTGTGTAGCTGTGGCCATGAAGGAGCGCGTCTGCCTTCGTATCACTAGAGAATGCCTCAAAGATGTTCTCAGAAGCCAAGGTTGTGCACAGAGGAACCAATCCACCAGTCAATAGCTTGGCATGAACTGAAACATCCGGGTTGACTCCGAGGAAAGAGGCAGATGTGAAACGACCCAGGCGGTAGAGTCCAGTAAACACTTCATCAAAGATTACTGGCAAACCAGTCCATTCAGTGTTCTTTGTGGGCGTGTAGGGGTTACCGTTGTCAAAGAGATGAGACGAGTTTCGGACCACGTTTACAAGGGTACGCTGGAACAGAGGATCACTAGAACAAGGTTAGCTCAGAAAGTTCAAAGAATACTACAAAAGGGACTTACACCAAGGCCATACCGCCCGCCCCAAGGACAATGGGCTCCAAGATTAAAGCGCCAAATCGTCGTCCCTGCTGCTGTAGCCTTTCCAACTCTGACTGGATGTACTTTTCGTATGAAACATGCTCGCCACGCTTCTCTCTAGCTTCAAAGTCAAAGATATGGTCAAGAGAAGCAAACTCCTTGCCTTGGCCAAGCAATGACTCCAAATCTTCGGGCACTTGGACACCCCAGCTACCGTTTCGGCAGAGCACTGTTGGATAGTTGAACCAGAAGCCCTTTCCTTCATACCACTCCACAGACTCGTTGTAGTCACAAGGCTCAGCAGCATCCATGGCGCCAATGGTGTCGCCGTGGTACGACCCTTTGAGGCCAATGATGCCAAGCTTCTGCTGCTGGGTCCAGCCATAACGCTTCTTAGCGGCGCGGAGGCCCATCTTCAAAGCGACTTCGATACCTGTGCTTCCATTGTCGGAATAGAATACTCTAGAAAATCGGGGGTTCTTGGAGCCCTCGAGAAGAAGCTCTGCCAGAGCCATGGCAGGTTGGTGAATGGTCTCAGCAAACATGACATGGCCATATCGTCCAGCAGCGTTGGCAGCGGCCAATGTCAGTTGCGGGTTAGCATGACCGAGACCCTGAGTCCACCAAGAAGACGATCCGTCGAATGATGCTTGGAGGACTTGGTTGGGATTCTTCTTGTTGACCGTTTGGAAGTAGTCACCTTGAGCTGAGTCAATAGTTGTAATTCGTTCTGGTGAGAGCAATTTGTGTTGAGTAAAAGGATACCAGATCTTCTCGTACGCCTTTGTGGACATTTCCTCTAAGCGCTTGATATGCTCCTTGTGCTGTTCATCGGCACGGACAAGAATTGGCTGCACCGATTGTTTGTCCACATGCTGTTGGTAGTAGCTGTGGAGAGCCTGTCGGTCGCGTGCATCATCTGAATCCTTTTCTGGAGGTGGGAGGATGCTCTTCACTGGCACATTGAACTTATCCGCAAAATACTCCGTGAGGTACTGGTAGTTTTGGTAGCGATCTTCCTGGAACAGAAGCACCGATTGGACATCGTATCCTCGCAGATGTAGCGACTCAAATGCCGAGATTGTCTGCGAGATGCCACCGAGGCGAGAGTCGCCAATGAGAATGACTGGGATTCTTAGAGGGATGTAGAGGTCTGCTTGTGTAGTTGATGATGGCGCAGGTGAATGAACACCGCCTGCTGTTTCAACAAACAGCCATCCGTTGCCTGCAGCACTGCATTGGGTTGCGAATTGGCGACAGCTCTCGATCAGAGCTTTGTCGGAGATGATGGGCTATCCCACGTTAGCTTTTATCAATGAATTCAAAGCCAATTGGCCGATATAGATGTATACATACCTTGTTTGATACTTGAGCTGCGAGATGAGGGCTCACTGGAATGTCGTACTGAACGAGGGTTTTATAGTTGACGCCAGATGTGAAGCGTTGAATATGGCTGTCATCGATTTAGTTTGTAATCTTTCAAATAATTCGAAGTAATTGAGACATACGCTTCATCAGCTTCCACATCGCTTCCTGTCGACACCGGCTTCACAAATGTCACGTTGTCATCGCGCCAATGCTGCTTAGCTGTTTGACAGAGCAAAGTGGTGAAGATGGTTTTGCCCACGTCAGTGTTGGCACCAAACACCTGCACCGCCTTCAATTGCCGCCACAGCAAAGCCATGTTGTTCTGTGATTCTGCCAAACAACAAAAAATACAGCAAAACTAGAAAACAATAGTAAAGAATGAGTTGATCAGATGCATCGAAGACAGGCCCGCCCCAAGAATAAAATCCCGGCCCTCAGCTTTCTAAACCGCACGCCCCCTCTCCACCTCGGCTAAAGGTCCATCTCAGCGCCTAGCCGGTGGTCCACAGCGGTGCTCAAAGCCTGGAAGATCCCCTGGCTGTTTTTGTTGGGTTGTGAATTTACAGGGCCTTTCGGGTGCTGGCCAAGCACCTGTGGCCCGCTAATCCAGCGCCTGACCAGAACATTTTTAGCACACCAAGCTGCTAAGCCGGTGGGCCTGAGCCGAGATAAGGAACGCGGCATAAAGAAACGTGCTCTCACAGCACACCACGAAAACGGATAAGATCCAGAGGGGCGTGTGGAAGTGATATAGCCCCTGCCAGAATACAATCGGGTTACCGCCATCGGAGGGGCAGTTCGTGTTGAGGTGATTCTAGAGCCCGTGACAAACTGGGTGGCTTGCGTCAGAAGAATGCTGAGCTTTCACGACCCCCCAGCTTCTTGTTTGCTTTCTGTTTTTGTTTTGTGTTTCAATTGACCTAATACCAGCTCCCTCGCCATGAAGCCTGCTGCGAACCGCATCGATGCTGGGTTCCAGGCTACGCTGGATCGTCGGCAGCAGAAGGGAAGACTGCGACGCCTCACATTGGCAGCTCCCGACGCGGTCGACTTCTCTTCCAACGGCTACCTTTCGCTCTCTACAAACCCGCAAGTAAAGCGAAAGTACACAGAATTACTGCAGTCGCATAGCACTCTAGCGCTAGGATCAGGAGGATCTCGATTGTTAGACGGCAACTCGACCTTTGCAGAACAACTAGAACAAGATGTGGCGACATTCCATGGCGCACCATCTGCGTTGCTCTTCAATTCTGGCTTCGAAGCAAATACGGGTCTATTCTCCTGCATGGCAAATGATGGAGATATTGTAATCTACGACGAATATATACACGCAAGCGTCCACGATGGACTAAAGTTATCGAGAGCGGCCAAAATCCCATTCAGACACAACACAGTATGGGACGCTACGGCTACCAGTCTATCTTCGCTCGCGTCTCTGGAGAGTGTGCTTGAGAAGCTGCTGAGATCCAAATCCGGTATTGATTATTATAATGGCACCAAAAACATATTCATAGCAGTAGAAGGCGTCTACAGTATGGATGGCGATGCAGCGCCAATGCTGGACATTGTGCAGTGCGTCAAGCGAAAGCTGCCATATGGAAACGGGCTGATTATCGTCGACGAGGCCCATTCAACTGGAATTATGGGAAAATCTGGCCGCGGACTTGTCTGCCAGCTTGGGCTTGAGGATGAAATCTGGGCTAGGGTGCACACGTTTGGCAAAGCCATGGGGTGCAGTGGCGGTAAGTTAGGTCAAGATATTTCATTATCAAATACTAATATGTCCCAGCTATGGTTTTATGCTCAGAGACGACACGATCATACCTCATCAACTACGCTCGAAGCCTTATATATACTACAGCAATGGGATTTCCAACGCTGGCTGCCATCCGCGCAACATACGACTACTTGATCAGCGGCGAAGCGGACGCTCTGCTATCCAAACTACACGCTCTTGTTCAAACAACACATCATCTCCTCTCAACACTCTGCAAATACCGCCAACCAGCGAATGGCATTTTCGGAATCGACGAAGCCATGCCCCAGTCCCCTATCATGCCGCTTTTCACATCCAAGGCACACGATCTTGCTACCCACTGTCAGAAGAGAGGATTTATGTTGCGGCCAATTGTCTTTCCTACAGTGCCAAAAGGCACAGATAGGGTACGGCTGTGTTTACACGCTGGCAATACCATTGATGAGGTAACAGCCTTAGTAAGAGTGATTGAAGAATGGGTTGTGCTTCAAACTACAGCAGCGCCATCCACAACCAAGTCACAAATACCTAGCAGATTATGAGAATAACGAATAAAAAACACAATATTGTAAAACACTTCAATTCTGTTCTTGTCGTTCTATTTTTAACTTGAAGGGGCCTCAGGAGGAGACTTGTCAAAGCTTTTCATGGGCTCCAGTCCCCATCTGCCAAAGAGCACCTTGTCCTCTTCGTAGCTGTTGCAGTCGGTGGTCAACATCTTCTCGCCGGTAAACACAGCATTGGCTCCTGCCATGAAGCAAAGAGCCTGCTTTTCCTCAGACATGGTCTTTCTGCCAGCGGCAATTCGGATAATGGTAGAAGGCATGATGATACGGGCCGTGGCCACGACACGCAGCATGCTAGTGAAGGAGATGGGTTCAGTGGCGCCGAGGGGCGTGCCCTTGATGGGAACAAGAGCATTGACGGGGAAACTTTCAGGGTGTTGGGGAAGGTTGGACACGGTGTGCAGGAGGCCGATGCGGTCGGTAGAGCTCTCGCCTAAGCCGAGAATGCCACCACTGCAAACGTTGATGCCGGCGTCGCGGACGTTGGACAGGGTCTGCAGACGCTCATCGTAGGATCTTGTAGAAATGACGGAGGGGTAGTATTCGCGGCTAGTGTCGAGGTTGTGGTTGTATGCTGAGAGACCAGCTTCCTTGAGTTGTTTGGCCTGGTCAGCATCAAGCATGCCGAGGGTGACACAGGCTTCCATGCCCATGCCGCGAACGCCCTTGACCATTTCAATGATGTTCTTCAGACTGTTCTTTCGGCCCTTCATTTCACGCCAGGCAGCGCCCATGCAGAATCGTGTGCTACCGTTTTCCTTGGCCTCGCGAGCCTTGGCCAGAACATCCTCCACGCTCTCAACACGGCTGGCCTTGACGCCGGTATCTTTGGAGTATCGGGTCGATTGCGCGCAGTAGGAGCAGTCTTCGGTGCATCCTCCGGTCTTGATGTTCATAAGCGTGCATAGTTGTACCTCTCCAGCTTTGTGGAATCGTCTGTGAACAGTGCCCTGTGAATCAATGCGCGGTTAGCTTGGTGGCGTTGAGTGTATACTTGAGCGAAGGAAGACGCACAGCTTGATACGCCAAGTCGAGCAGCGGCTGGTAGAAAATAGCAGAAATCTCCTCTCTGGTCCAGTTTTGTCTGGGAGCCGTAGCTTTGACGGCATCCTGGAAGATTTTACGTCGAACCTCTTCTTGCGCTTGCTCGTGGCTTGTGACGGGAGGGTCGAACTTCTGGGCGGGGATGTCGACCAGGGAGCTGTTCCATCTGGTGGCACGTAGAGGCAGCACGAGCTTGTGCGCTCTCCAGACTGTTCTCGCTGTAAGAGAAGAGGCGCTCATGGTTTCGTTGTGCTCTGCTCTCTTTGTTTTGAAGTTAGAGGAGTCAACTAAAAAGGCAATCTTGCGTTTGGAGGGAGAGGAGAGTAGATGTCCGATCCACGGCTGCCCGATTACCAGGAGCAGGATAAGCCGAACAGGCGTGGTCTCCGCACCCAAACAGGTACCAATCGGCTTGAGGCCAATACAAAACACACACACGTCTTGTTGAACGCTGAGCTTCCCTTTTCACCGGTATCAATGGGGCCTGTGGTTAATCGCTCAGCCCCAGCTTGGAACATCGGTCTAACCACACACCCCGCTGCAAAGCCGAAATCACGCAACCTGAGCTAATATAGAAGCCAAAGCAGCGGCAAGATACGGTTAGAGTTATGTTGCTCTAACGTAAGAAATGTGTCACCTGTTGTTTTGTCTTTTTTTTTTATGGTTCATGAGGCTTGCCAGCTGCGCCAACTGCCACTGAGCTGTCAGAGCGTGCTGACTCTTCAGAATGGAGGGGACCCGCGATCGGCTTGTTGGGCGAACTGCCGCCAACAAAAAAAAGAATGAGATGCTGATAAGCGATGCTAATATAACTTAAAAGCTGTCACGAGACATTGGACGTGAAGTATCGTATATCCAGTATTGATGCCATTTTTTAATATAGAAATCGGCGTGGCAACCTTGAGGCATGTCATAATCCTTTACCCGTCAACGGCAAACTGCAAGATCTAGGTAATCTGGGTTAGCTAACGCTAGCGCTGACCCCAACGGCTTACGCCCTGTAATGACCTACTCTGGTGCAGTGAACTTGGTCAGTGCTTTGCCCAGCACGTTGTCGCCAAGCTCGTCTTTTATACTCCCAGGTGCTCAACTTGCTATCGATCTGACCACGCCCGTGCGTCCAGCATCATCTCTAAAAGAAGTAAGTTGAAGATGGTCAATCACAGTGATGACTTGTCCAGGCTCTACTTTGAATACAAAGGTAAAACAAAGTATATGCTCGATTAGTTGGACTCAAGTCGATTAGAATCGCCAACACGTGGAGACAGGAAGCTACATTTGCGCCGGATAATGTTAATAACACTTCGCCAGTCTCCGTATCCAAATTACTATTTTTCGGAACTACATCCTGAGGATGGGACGGAGCCAGGTTTGACGGCCAACTTCCCCAAGCTGGTCGACGCGGCCGAACCGGTGCCTGTCCAGGCCACAGTGACTACGTAATGTATACTATCCGAGCTATAAGATCAGGATATTCCACCCTCATACCAGCAAATAAAGATGTAGACCGTGGCACAATTATATAGCTATTTCCTTCAGCAAACAATATAAACATGCCCGTCACTCTCCATACCGACCCTCACTTCCCCTGTCCTCAGCGGCTGCAACTCGTCATTGAGCATCTGAACCTTCCTCTACAGGAAACGTTTCAATACAACATCCTCAAAGGCGAACAAAAGGTAACTTCTATCCCATTAAGTTTACCCGAATCATATGGATATTAGAACTAATGAATTGTAAATATTAGACGGAACGTCTACTTAAGATAAACCCTGCGGGAAGTGTACCGTTTATCGAAGACGAATTGGATGCACAACCCTTCTTCCTTGCTGAATCGCGAGCCATTGCTCGCTATTTGGTTGCTCGGTATGGAAAGGATAGTGGCTTGATGCCTGATCCCAGCAACTTGGGAGAATATGCCAAGTTTGAGCAGGCGGCCGCCGTCGAGGTAGCCGGCTTTGATCCTGCTGCGAATCCACTCGTTCTCGAGGAGCACTTTAAGCCGTGAGTCAAGACTGTCAAGCTCGTTGGAGAGGCTCTAATCTTGTAGAAACTTGTTTGAGCGAGATCCCGATCTACACTTAGCACAGTGGCTTCGAAAGCGACTAGATCCGGTTCTAAGCAACCTAAACAACACCCTTAAAACTCAACCTTTTATGGCGGGAGAGGTATAGTGCCCTAATCTAACCGGCAAGTAGCCATGGTACTAATAGCCTTTATAGAAACTTACACTGGTGGACTTCTTTTACGTGCCGTATACACACTATCTGGTCGAAATTGTGTGGCCTTCCTGCTTCGAGGAACGACCTCATCTTGCCGCTTGGTGGGCTTCAATGACGAAACTTGCTGCGTACAAATCTGTATATGGTAGCAAGGAATGATATACATCATAACTAGATGATATTATCCTGCGCAAATATAGGCTTCTAGCCTCTACATATGATTCCCTAATTCGCAGAGCACCCCAGCAGTGAAGCTTCACTGTAAAATTGCTTGTTTACAGCTGAGTCGCGATTAAAGATTTACAGCTAGCCAAGAGTAAAGCAGTTTATTAATAAATTTCTCTTTTCGTTTCGTTTCTTCTTTTTCTTTTCTTTTTTTATAAATCGAAATTTTGCTGTTGGTGTAACATAATTCATAGTTTTCAGAGAGAAAATTGCTTGTAAGCTGAATGATATATACAAAACAGACCATGATTTGAATGTTGTAAAGGTTTCAAAAGAGGCGATTGGAAACCGAGTTATTTATTAATTAATTCTTCTATTCTCTCTATTTTGTTTATATTTAATTATCTACGATCGAACCGCGCCTAGCCCTTCTGAAGGCGTAATTGTAGTTTGTTATAAAGCGTTGATTTAGTGTAGGGTAGCAGAAGTTTTGTACGACAAAAAAATTTAAGTGCCGTAGCGAGGACTCGAACCTCGGTTTCCAGTGGTTTGCGAATTGGTATCCACAAACTAGTGTCCTGACCCCTAGACGACTATGGCCATAGAGGTTACAGCAGTTATTTTACATTAAGAGGGCTTATACGGATAATTTGCATATTGAGTGCCAAAATTTGCTATTGCAACAGCAAGTCCAATTCCAGACTTGGAACGCACAAATCTTGACAGTGTTTCTTTACATTACAGCAGACTAAACAACCACCATATTCATCTTATATTTAGCACATACGATGCCGTTCTGCGCAACTACAGTGCGCTCAGGTGGTTGCACTCTATTTAGCCGCTACCGCCTGCCCTATCCCAGAAAGGCAACTGCAGGTGCCAGCACAATCAATATTTGGCGACGTAATTTACTGCAATGAGCCACTACGGTCTTTTGCAGACGAGCTGGCAAGTTGTGCGTGGACTGATAGTGAGGCGCTTCGCTAGTCTGGCTGCCCCTGGACCGGTCCCATGCATGTGTTGGCTGAGTGGTGCGTGATTGGGCTTATGAACAGTGAATCAGTTTGGTCAGCTTTGCCAAGCCCAGGCGCCATCTCGTCCCTTGCTTGCTATCTGTGGGTTCTCGCGATGTGGTGAATCCGCATACTGCAAGTTATCAATTACGCGCACGAGGCAGACCGCGGCCTGAGGCTCAGCGGCATGCGAGGTCCCAAAGAAGTCGCCGTATGCAAAGGGCCATGCGATGACCATATCCGAAGGAGAGGGATGGGAGGTCGGATAGGATTTGGTACGGTACGGTACTGTTTGTGATGGTGGTGTCGGGTTGCAGCTTTCTTGGTAAATAGTGGGATGCAGGCCTTGGCTAGAGGGGTGGTAACGGAAAACGGCGCAGCTGGGGCCGCTGGGTTAGTGCCGTGTTTTCCGTTGAAGGCTCCCTGGGATGAGCTGTCATCCCCGCTACAAGGCGGATGTTCGGCGCGTGCTCACCACTATTTTGTTGGAGTTTGGGTGCTGTAGGAGAGGTGAAGACCGCTGGGCGCAGCCACTTTGCGCCTTGGGGGGCTGTGGTGGTGTACAGTGGTTGGACAAGACGGAGCGAGACATGCATGCAGCCGCATCTGTATTGTGTTTGTTACGCCCGTAACCGATGCAATTTTTTTCTCCTTTTTTTGTTCTCATCTTTTCCGATACGACAGCCTTGTTTTCTTGCTTCTTTTTTGCACCACTGTATGGGATTCTAACTGTGTCGATAATTTTCCCGTAAATAGTCGACAGTACAAAAGATCATGAGATGGGTTTGCGCCCCAAAACTCTTCAGCACTAGCGACTCAGAGCGGGAAGCGTACCACTAAAACAGCAGCAGAAATGAGTAACGGAGGCGCCAGCCAGTTACTGTGTTTGTTCAATGTCGCGGCGCCATTGTTGCTTTGGTGGGGCGGCCTTCCTAATTGGGACTTTCGCTTGTGGAACATTGCCATGAGGTGGGTGGGGCGCTGGGACCACGGGGGCTGCACGGCGAAAAAAGTGCGCTGAAGGCTTCCACCAGGCTTCGTTAGCGCCTACCACCCTACTTCTAGAGGTCTTCAGTGGCGGCAGGCCCCCTGGCGGCGTTGCGGGCGCGGAAGATGCCACTGAGGCTGCTGTAATTCGATCAGGGGCGGCGGCTCCGGGGCAGAAGGCATTGCGAGCAAAAACAACAAGACGTAACAGAGAAACAGACGAGAATAAAAAAGAAGAAAAGCCCTATGCAGCATAATTTCTCGCTTCTGCACATCAGATCCTCTTTTTTTCGGAGTTTATTCCCGTTTTCTCAGCTCGTATTCTGTGCCTGCAGTTCTCCTGGTGGCGTCCTCACTGCCAGGACGCAGCAGGAAAAAACTAATGACAGCGGCCCACTTGGTAACAATAGCGGCGCCTTGCTTCCCAAGTCATGTCCCCTCGCACCCAAAAGTGACAATCTCCATCCCGAAAGAGCCTGGGCGCCAACGCGGGCTGCCTGCTTTTGTTCCTGTTTCCAGTTTCTTTAGCCTTTTTGTTTCTCAGCCTTCTCCCCCCTCTACTCTCTTTTCCTTTTCCTTTTCTTTCGTCTCGTTAATACTGCACCTTCCTTCGTTCATAGGTGTACTTCTTCTTTCGTCTCTTCATCTCCTTTTTCTTTGCCTAAGCGGCTTCCTTTGCCATGAGATCTCTCACCCTCTGGCTTGTCGCCGCCGGCGCCGCCCTCGTCAATGGTTTGGGTGCCACGGACACCATTACGTGGGGTGGTGATAATTCTAGAACCGGATATCAGACGTATGTATCACTTGCTACTGCGCTATGGCACTGTCTCGCCCGCGGCTAACACAATGTGCGACATGTAGCAACCACAACATGGACCCCGCCGTCGTCGCCAGCAGCCAATTCGATCAACTCTGGAAATCACCACTGCCTGGCACATATGCTGGCGCACCCGAACAAATCTTCTCTCAACCGCTCGTCTATACACCCAGCAATGGAACGAAACAATACGTCTACTGGGCCACCACACAGAACAATGTCTACAAGATGGACGCCAAGACGGGCGAGATTGTCGCCTCCCGAAACCTACACATCCCATTCTTGACTGCTGATCTCAACGGCTGTGTCGACATTAACCCGACAGTTGGTATCACCGCGACCGGTGTCATCGACCCCGATACAGACACTCTTTACCTTACAGCCAAGACCTACGCAAACCAGAACGGTGGCCAAACAGCACAGGGCCTCAACGCTGGTCGCTACTTTGTTCACGCTATCAATGTCAACGATCTTTCCGAACGACCCAATTTCCCTATTGCTCTCGATGGCATCACTGCCCGCAATAACGAACCACGCGTCTTCTCAGGCGGTATCCACCACCAGCGACCCGGACTTCTCCACGCTGGCAACTACATCTACGCTGGCTTCGCTTCTCACTGTGTACAATACAACTTCACTGGCTGGATCATTGGATGGGACAAGGGCACCGGCAAGATTGTCGAACACTTTGCCACTGAAGGTGCTGGTGTCAACTCCCCTATCAAGGGCGGTGGTGTCTGGATGTCTGGTGGTGGTCTTGCGTCTGACGACAAGGGCTCCATCTTCTTCGGCACCGGTAATGGTTACGCCTCGCAGCTCGCTACTGTTCCTGTCAATGGCTATCAGCCCCCCACGTCCTTGGAAGAGGCAGCCGTTCACATGTCGCAACAGGCGGACGGTAGCTTGAGGCTGGTGGATTTCTTCATGCCCTGGGAAAAGCAGGCACTAGACGGTGCTGACAAGGATCTCGGAACGTCACCTCTCGAGCTGCTTCCATCCGAATTCAGCTGTGGTGATGTTAAGCGCATCGGTGTCATTACTGGCAAGAGTGGTAAGACCTATTGGCTCAACCTCGACAATCTGGGTGGATACAGAAATGGCCACGGCGATTCTGGCATGGATGATATTATTCAAGTCTATCAAAACGACAATTCAGTCTATGCTGGCGCTGGAGTTTACCCTCTTGAGGGTGGTTACATTTACATCAACGTTATTCAGCACCCTTCCAACGTTTTCAAGTTCTCTTGCACCAACGGCAAACCGTCTTTTACTCTTGTTGCCACTTCGCCTGAAACCAACGCCTACATTCTTGGTGTCAGTCACGGCACGACAACTTCCCTCAACGGACAGCCAGGCACCGGTCTTCTCTGGGTGACTGATGTGCAGGGCCTCAATCTTCGCATTTACAATGCTGTTCCCAATGCTGGTAAGCTGAACCTGTTGCGATCCTTCAGCATCGACGGCGTTACCAAGTTTACTCGCCCCGTCTTTGGTGACGGAATTGTCTACGTCGGTACAACTAAAGGCTACGTTTACGCCTTTGGATCACCTGTCAACTCCCCTCTCAACTGTACCTCTCCCGTTGACTTTGGTACCGTCGACCGCCAAACTGGCAACCAGACTGTCCCCACCAACAGCACTACAAGCGCTAGCCAGCCTGTCACCTGCAAGGCTAACATTGCCCTGACCGTGACTGGAATCGACATCAACTCCAACACTGACTTTAGCGTCACCAAGCTTCCCACCGTGCCTCTGGATATGAAGGCGGGTGACACTATTACCGTGACTGGTGTGTTCAAACCAACGAATGTCGGCTTGCTCTCTGCCAATGTTGTTTTCAACACCACCAACTCCGTTGTCGGATACAGCACAAGCACCAATGCTCGATTAGTTGGCACTGGTCGCAGCCCGGGACCACTTCTAGATGTCAGCCCCAACACCGTTACTTTCCAAGGTGTCGTTACCGGGCAGGACAACTCGGGCGTCACAGAAAACGTCATTCTGGCCAACCGTGGTAACTCACCACTGACTGTCCAGAGCGTCATGTATTCGGAGGATGCCAATGGTACCTATAGCACATGGAGCCGCAACACCCCGAACCTCCAAGTCGGTAAATTCACTTTGATGAACATCCCGACTACGGTGGATGCCAATGGCGCCATTACCGTGTCCGTCAAATTTGACTCGTCTACTAGCGGCACGTTTGCGGGCTTTGTCAAATTTGTCACCGATGGTGGTAGCGCAAGCATCTCCATTGCTGCTACGTCTGGCCCGCCTGCCAAGGCCGTTATTGAATTCCAGACTATTGATGGGAAGGGTTGGGTTCCTTACGTTGTTGGACAAACATTCACTTTTGGAAATGTCACTGAGAACCAGAACCTACCGCTCAAATTCCGCATCACCAACGGAGCGCCTGCAGGAGGTGTAAAGCTATCATTGACCGTTTCTAAGCCTCCGTTTGGCGTTCCTGGTCTCATTCGGGCAGCCAACCAGGTCGATCTGGCTGAGGGAACGTCACTTGCACCTGGTGAAAGCGGCACTGCTGTTATCACCTGCTCAGTGCCCAAGTCTCAATGGAACGTTGACCCGTACAACAACGGTACTGCACTGTGGACTTTGAACACCAACGACCCTGACCTGGGCAAGCATTCTATTGAATTTTCTTGTGAGGCTGTTTCCGAGCAGGCGCCCCCTCTCAGACCTGATGGACAAGGCAAGTACCGCTACATTGGTTGCTTCAAAGAAAACAACCCCGGCCGCCAGCTCCCGAATCAGCTTTACAGTCTTGACCAGTCGACCAACGCCTTGTGTATTTCAGCTTGCGCCGACAAAAACTACCCTTTCTGTGGAACTCAATACAACCGTGAATGTTGGGGCGGACCGTCCATCCCCAACCTCCAGGTTCCTGATAACTGGTGCAACTACCCTTGCACTGGTGATCTTAACCAGGTCTGCGGTGGTAACGGCGTTGGATCTGGTGCTGGTGGTACCTACATTAGTGTCTTCCAGAATCCTGATGCTGGTACTGGCCAACCTCAGCCTGGTGCCCCCGTTGTCAACCCGGGTGTTGATGGATATAAGAGCATTGGATGCTACACCGAATCTAAACAAGGCCGCGCTCTTCCCAACGGCGCCAAAACCGATAAGAAGACTGTTAAGCAGTGTATTGACGCTTGCAAGACTACACAGTACACATATGCTGGTGTCGAGTATGGTGGCGAATGCTGGTGTGGCAATGCCTTCAGCGCCGGTGCTGTTCCAGCACCCATTGGGGACTGCAACATGCTCTGCAATGATAACCAAACTGAGTACTGCGGTGGCGGCTCTCGACTGAACGTCTACCAAGTCGATATCGCTAGCACTACTACCAGCGCGTCCTCCACCGTTCCCCCGACCTCCTTGTCTTCCTCTTCCGTCATCGTGTCCAACAGTACGGTGTCTAGCAGTGCTGTAGTAACCTCCAGCACAAGCACGACATCTTCAGCAGCGCCTACTCAAACAGGCCCCATTGTCAAAGATGTTGTTGCTGGCAAGTGGAAGTCTCAGGGCTGCTGGACGGAACCTCAGAACCGTGCCCTTCCCGACAAGAACTATGCTGATGACATGATGACACTGGAATCCTGTGCCAAGTTCTGCGATGGCTTCGCTTACTTCGGAACTGAGTATGCTCGTGAGTGCTGGTGTGGTAAGGCGCTTGACCCAGACAGTAAGCTTGCTACAAGCCAAGGCGAATGTAACATGCTCTGCGGTGGTGACCAACTTGAATACTGCGGCTCAGGTGGAAGACTCAACGTTTACCAAGTCATCCCTGTCAGCACATCATCTGCTCCTGCTAGCACCACTATTGTTCCACCGTCGTCGAGCATTGGCACCGCTGTTCCCCCATCATCTGTTGTTACAACATCTAGCGCTCCCCCCACTCCCACCGGCCCTGTCAAGAAGGCTGTCGTCGCTGGCAACTGGAATCTCTTGAACTGCATGACTGAGGCTACTAATGGTCGTGCGTTGAACGAAAACAGTTATGCGGATGACAACATGACTTTGGAATCATGCGCCAAGTTCTGCGCTGGCTTCACCTACTTTGGAACGGAATACGGCAGAGAATGCTACTGTGGTAACACCTTCCGTGCTGGCAGCGTAGTCGCAGCCAACCAAGGCGACTGCAACATGGTTTGCGCCGGCGACAAGTTTGAGATTTGCGGTGGCGGCTCGCGCTTGATTGCCTACCAAGCAGCCGACAAGAACACTACAACGACAGCCAGCACGCCTATTGATCCTCCTCCTCCTCAGCCGCCCACGACGGCCGCCTCTGGTTCATCTGCTGTTACCTCTTCCGCGCCCGCAAAGCCCACCCCGACAGGCCCAGCTAAGAAGGACACTGTCGCCGATATCTGGAGCTTCCAGGGCTGCTACACCGAAGCAACCAATAAACGTGCCCTTTCAGCCAAGACGTATGCCGATGATAAAATGACACTGGAATCCTGTGCTTTATTCTGCAAGGAATATGCCTTCTTTGGAACTGAATATGGCCGTGAATGCTATTGTGGTAACGCCCTGAATGCAGGTTCTGCCTTGGCAACGAACCAGAAGGACTGCAACTTTGCCTGCGCTGGTGACAAGTCAGAATACTGTGGTGCTGGCAGCCGCCTTGAGCTTTACCAGAAAGCTTCAGCAACCTCTAGCTCGACAGCCCCTGTTTCCACTGCTGCTGCGACAAGCCCAGCTTCGCCAGTAACATCTAGCCAGACGGCAAACGAGGGCAACAAGGACGCCATTTCTTCTCAACCTTCCAGCTCGCTGCAGCAGCCTACTTCACCAGCATCATCTGTTTCTCAGTTGCCTAAGAACACCGATACCGTCGCAACTACTAGCCCCGCCTCATCATCTGTTACCTCCAGCCAGGTCGCCAAGCCTACGTCCACTGGCCCAACAGTGTCCGAAGGCAATGCCAACTTTACCTACTATGCGTGCGTGTCAGAACCATCTCAGGGACGTCTCCTTCCTCAACAGATTTGGAACGACAATAAGAACATGACGATTGAGGCATGCTTGAAGAAGTGCAGCAATTACGGTTGGGCTGGTGTTGAGTATGGCCAAGAATGTTGGTGTGGTAATCAACTTCGCCTGGATGGTGGTCAAGCTGCTAAGACGCCTGGCAAGAACGTTTCCAACTCGGACTGCAAGTTCCTCTGCCCTGGTAACAAGACAGAATACTGTGGTGCCGGCAGTCGCATGAACGTTTATGTTCTCAAGGAGCTTGTCCAAGATGGCGTTGACTCTGCGACACTCGGCCCCTACAAGCCCAAGAATGCCTGAACATACATCTAATACGACATGTGTTCATTTCCTTCTTTTTTAAACGATGATATGGTGATGCCACATCACAGCATGCATACACGTTGCTACTCTTTTCTTGTATATATTCATAATTATGATGTACTTAGCATCTTCATTGGGTTGGCGTTCTTGTTTGCTTTTTAGGCATGAGCCTATTTACTATCACTTGGATATTTCAAATTTCATCTTATTCCTTTACAAAATGCTTGTGTTGTATAAATGTGTATGTTGATTTAATGACGTGACATGATGCTAAGATACAAAGAAAAGGTATAAACTCTGACAGTACAAATGCAAAAGAGAGAATAGGAAGCAGATCGTTTAAATAGTCATGAACAAGCCAGAGTGTCTAGCATTGGTTGTTTGCTGGCTGAATGCATTGACGACAACATCCTTACCCTGACCCTTCTTCCACTCGTCTCGGACACGCGTCTTGATATTGGAGAGACGTCTGACGAGGCCTATTCTCAAGGTGTCTCGTCTGCGCTCACTCGGAGTTGTAGAAAAGAAGGAGGCGAAGGAGCTGGTAGTAGAAGGGGTGGAAGAGAGGAGGGACGTGACGGAGTTGACAGAGTCGCTGTTGGAGAGGCGCTTATGGAAGTTCATGTTAACCATGATGTTGGCGGGAGCAAATGTTGCTCGAGATGTCGTGGAAATGTGGTTTGTAAGTTGTTTGCTTTGCCCGAGCCTCGTGTGAGTTTGTTCGAGGACTGAGATGGTGTTTAAAGTTTGCTTCGAGATTGGCTTGACCAGACGCGTCGGGTAAAAAGAAGCGTTCTAGTATGTGAACTCGAGAGAAGCTCTGTAAATGCCTTTGAGATAGATAGCCGTTGAAACGATGAAAATGATTCGACTGTAGATGATTTTTCGGCGTAGACAAAAGGAGTGTAAAGCTGATGAGCAGCAAGTTTGGTGAAGAAATGAAGAAGACTGGAAATTCTGTATCACGAAGCCAGAAGGGCAGCCCGACTATATCATATGTTTGTAGTCGAGGGCCACTGGAACGCAGAGCTGGTATTACGTGTCTTGGTTAGCGTGTTGGTGCAGGCAGGCGATTGAGACAAGGCGAGACATTAGTTTTTTTCCCCGGCCCCCAGCGCTCCCTACTCCTTGGTATCGTTGCCCTTGGGATTTTGATGTGCGCGCTTGAGAGCCGATCATTTCTGTCTGTTAAAATAGGAGCAATAGGGGAAAAGCAAGACAGGCTGGAACGCGATCGATGGTGATGTCGCGGTGTAAGTCAAAGTGGGACGATTGGTCGGAGGCGAAGTCTGTTCTGTTGGCAAGAGGACAGAAAAATAAATACTGCTAAAATAAAAAAGGAAAGCTATGAATAACTGCTGCTTATGCTAAAAAAGAATACATCCTTGTAGAAAAAATAGGTACATGGGGACGACAGGTGATGTCTGGCGCTTGTCAAGGGACGGCCTACCGAAGGGAGCGAACGAGTGACCCCTCCACCCGCCACGCTGGGAGAGATGGATTCAAAAGGACAAACCGCGTGTAGTGGCGCCTGAGAATGCTACTCGGACGCCGCCGTTGACGTTCTTTGCAAAGTTCTCTGAGTCCTCTGCCACAGAACCCCACGGGCGCAGACCCAAGATGGTGCACATCTGCTTCGCCTTCTCCCGGACATTCTTCTCAGCAAGCGCGCCGAGAGAGTCATTGACCAGTCGCGAGTACTCGAATGTGTAGAACTCGGGCCCGTAGCGCAGCTCGTCGCAGACAATAGGCAGCGGAAGCAGCGAGAGGATGGAGATATCGCCCAGCGTCAGTCCCGAGAAGATTGTGCGACTTGTCGCCTGAATAGTGACTGAGCCGTCCGTGTGAGCGCCGCTGGCCGTGCGCGCCGTATAGCCAGGGAGAGTTGTCTGGCTGCGATTGTCTGTAGGGACCGAGTACCTGGGCGGCTCTCTGTCAAGGGCGGCCTCGAGGCGCTCCTCTGGAACAAGGGCGCGGGCGCCAAAGATGTCGCGCATCGAGTTGAGACGTTCAGCTAGAGGCGGGTTCGTGTCGAGGATTTTGACAAGGCTGGTTTCAATGCCAGCCAGGTGTTGCTGGGCTTCGGCTTCTACGCTTCTACAGACCAGACGGGTTAGTTAAACAGGTCTTGGATTGCGGTAGTTGTTGGGCTTGCATTTGGAGCACGGTGAGCATCTTCGTCATGATTCGCTCGCATGTGCTAATGCGCTCCGATGCCTGCGTGAGGCGTGTCGAGCAGCGCTCTACAGCGGTCTTGAGCTTCATGCCCTGCGTGTGAGACATGTGCACAATGTCGTGCAGCGTAAAGCCTAGTTCTGAGAGGGCAAGGGCTGCTTCGGAGGTTGCGATTATAATCATATCGAGAGATAGAAGCTCCGCGCGGTGCGCTAAGGTAAGTTCTCGATTCTCAAAGCGCCGGAAGAATTTATAGATGAGTTGGATGGACGGCTTGAAGCCTTTGAGCGCTGTGATGGGCGCACTTAGAACGACTCGGTCTATGGGGTCAAGCTCGCCCGCGGTATCGAATACATCGTAGTATATTTGTATGGAGGCCGCTATGAGACCGATCACGGCGTTTGCCACGGACAGAGTCCTGCTTGGATCGTGCGATTGATACTCAAAGGCATCGTGGAAGGGATCCTGGTCGTACAAATCGTCGTCGTCGTCTCCTGGCAATGTGCGCCCTGTCATTTCGAGCCGCAGTTTTCTTTGTGGTGTGTTAAGAAATGTAGAATGGTAGAATGTGAGAGAGATGCAGGGCTGTATGCTTAATACTTATTGAATGATGCGGCGATGATCTTCCCCGCATCGCAATGCCCACGGAGAAATGGGGCTCGCGCATACAATGCTGAACAAAAGTAAGCAATTAAGCGCAAGTCAGGGCTATCCTCGTGCATGAAAGCCACATTTGTAAAGCACAAGGCTAACGATGACACTATCGGCTTTGGTGGCTTGCGCCAATCATGAGGCGGAGGGCCCGGCGAAGCTTCACGTTTTCTTCTTTTAGCTAGCGAAAGAATTGAGAACCCTTGAAAATCGTATGTTATTGATCAAGTTGACATTCTAGAGCGTACCATTGGCGTTTGTTCGGGTTGTGTCCTGTGTTGGTTCCCGCTCGCGAAGCATGTGAAGTTGCCCGACATGATAGTAGTTTTACAAAATGGGTCTGATTTCAATTCACCTATTCTCTGCATGGTTCCTCTCTCCAGTTATAAATTCATCACATTTAGGAATCGGTTGTCAAGAACAGGCATGGATATCTTGCTTGGCTGGGTACTTGGTTTGGTCGATGTGCTCACCTAAAGGAACTGAAATGTTTTGTGTAACAACTTGATAAAAGAGTGTATCCAAAATATCAAAAACAATACAAACAATAAAAAATTAACAAAAAACGTACCTGTTCTAACCGTCTTGTCTGTGGGTGTAGCCCCATAGCAGACGACAGGTAACTTACCTCAATATCGCAAGGACCCTTGCAAGCCGACAACCTCGAGGAGCGGCAGGATAGGTGACAGAGAGACGCTTTAGCCATAACGGCAACTTGCATTTTGTTGTCAGCTTGTCAATTGAAGCCTCACTGGGGGGTAATGTGAAGCGGGTCGCGCTTCTCAAAGAAGTCTTTGACGGTCTTGGTCACGTAATCGACGGGGATTTGCTGGTTGGTATTTTTGTTCTGCTTGAGTTCAGCAACCAGGCCGTTGAGAAGTACCATAAACTTGTCGTAATCCTCGAAGCTAATGCTTTCGTAGTACTCGTGCTCGAAGTAGTAGGGGATTTCAGTGGCATAGGCAAGATACGAGGTGTCAAGACGATAACCTTTCTCAGGGTCGCGAACAATCTGGATGCATCGACCGCGGGCTTCGCCTTTTAAGACCCAAAGGCAATCAGGCTTGCCGCCGCTGTGGGTAACGAGATGGATGCGGTAGGCAGGCATTTTTAAGTCTTGCTGTTTGGTTGATAGCTGATATCAAAATTGTTGTTGATTGTCGTTGGTAGTTGGTATTGTGTTGCTTGGTGATAGCCAAGATTGACAATTTGAACGGTGCAAAACGAGGATATACATAATTAAAACTTACAAGAGTACCATGATGAAGGCAAATGTGTTAAAAGGGTATCCATGTCAAAGAACCTGGGTGATGTTTTGCGTTGTTCGGGCATTGCTCATTCAGGATGAAACTGCGAAGTGTGATGTGATGTTCCGTCTTGTTTTTAGTACTGTCAAATCCACATGAAAGAAATGGTACAAATAAGTTCCAGAATTTTCGAAGGCAACTGTTATTCTATATGTTTGAAATTTATTTACTTTTTACCGGCAAAGCGGTTGACTTGGGCTGGTCCTGTTCTGCGCCGTGTTCCGGACTAAGGCGCTGACCAGAACAAGATAGTAACGAAAACACATATCACCCATCTCAAAGACGTGGAACAAACTGCCTTGAAAACAACCTCAATTCTGAAAGAAGGTGGTTTATATTGCTAAAGCAAGCTCTGATTCACAGCCCTGTCCATACTACTCAACGAATATCCTAAGCTGCTGCCATTTCCATATATCTGGCACATTACAATGCCAAAATTAACCAACAAATAAATCTCATACAAAAATAGCATGCGATATGTTCGCCTGGGCGCCGAAAGTCTGCAAATTGCATCCATTCCAAATGTGGCAATCATTTGCCAATACCTGTTGTAAATGTCATCATTTCGAACGGAAACTGTTCATGTTCCAATCATACACTCTTTTTAATCGGTTTCCTAGCAATAAAACCCGATAACCCTCGTACTTGGATGAGTGTGGCCGGTGTAAGTTGAGTGGATTAGCCCCTTGCATCGTGGCAGGTGGTGTGAAGGTGTATATCGAACCATATTTTGACTCGACGGAGAATCCCAACTCTGCCATGGCGGCTTCTAATTCTGACCAGGTTACGGCACCGCGGGCTCTTGATTTATCGAATAGCGTCGAAAATGTCTTTGCTGTGGATGCGCTGACTTGAATGGGGACAGCAGAGGTTACTTCTTCTGTCGGCTCTTCAACTGTCGTGGCGATGACACCACCGACCTCGGAGAAAGCAGGTCGTGTCTTTTCTTTCAATCTCTTTTCTTGAACTTTGAATGCTGTAGTGCGAGATGTCATATGTGGTAGGGGATAGTGAGGTTCGTCCACAAGAGCTAGCTTTGATTGTCCATGCTGGAGCTTAATAGCTTCAAGACAGCTCTGAAGCATGCTCTTATACAAATGATGTATACTCTTAACGCATTTTTGCGTCATATGGCTATCGAATGAGACTTCAACTGCCCCACCAACTCGGTGTGTAGGATCATTATGGGCGGTGGCTAGAATGCATCCTGATACCAAATTTTCCTTCCTGCTATTCAGCTCCGCATTTGCACTTGTATACTTTGAAATAAAAGTAAGGCCTCTCTTGTGCGAGGGCGACGGTAGTTTTGTCGCCATTCGTAAGTCCTGGATCAAAGAGGTAATCATCACTAGATCAGTTAATGACTCAGCCTCGTCGTCTGCAGCACGAGCTCTCTCGTCTTCATGGTCTTTGTAGAGAGTAGACAGTTTCTCAATCCACATGGTGGCATCCTGAGCAGTGGTCTTGGGATGACAGAGGCGGAGTACGTAATGAAGCTGCGGATCCTTTCGAGTGAATTGATCGGGTGAGCCTTTCATAACGACACGAGGGTTACCAGTATCATCTGAGCATCCTGGAATCCGGCGGAAGAGCCCAGTGCCTGTACCTGTTTGTACACGCCTCTTATACATGGCCTGTGACCGGGCATACTCCAGCTGGCACACATTAGAAATTTCTTGAAGAATGGCAGTAATGTGCATCTTGTCGATAGTGCTGTGTAACACCTCAAGAAGCTCTGAAATATAAAACCAAATAAACATCTTTTGTTGTACCGACACCAATGTTTCAAAATAGGCATCTTGAAAAGCTTGCCTAGGTGGCAGATACAGAAGTTTCCCTGCCTTATCTGGCACAGTATGTGGCCGACCGTTCACTGCATTCTTAACAGTCCACGTAAATGCTTCGTAATCGCTTGCGATGAAAGTAGCACATTCATGCAAGTGGATGGCATGTTCTTTTGAGCTGCTGATCAAGTCGGGAATGCTCAACGGTCTTGGAGAATGAGAGCTAGTAGACGACTGTAAAGATGCTCGGGCTTGCCTATCGGGCTGAATTCGCTCTTTGGACTCGTATTGCAGAATTTTGGTCATGATAATGCTTAGATACCCTAATGTATAGGCTTGTCGAGCAAGAACCAGCTCCGGGGCCGTCGTTGGAATCGATACTCCTTCACAGACGCCGGCTAAAGGTGAACCGAGGAGTGCAGGTTCCAAAGGGATGCCTGCAGATGATGCGCCACATGTATGCTCATTCGAAAGGCCATTGCCCGGGCTTTCCACTCCTTGTTTTGTGAGAAAACAGGTTGAGAGTGCGTGCCGGACAGCATCGCGGTCCGCAGTGTCTTGTTCGCAAAGCGGCGTTGTCGCGCGGTATTTGAGAATATCAAGCAAATAAGCCGGTTTTGAGCTGCTAATGTCAAGACGACTAAACTCTGGTACAAGCAAATGGCTAAATCTAGCGGGATCCTCTCGGACCGCGAGCAGAAATCCGTTGGCAGCGTTCACACACTTTAGCCTGTCGAGCTCCTTAAATGAGCGCCACTTCTGCTCAATTTTAAGGTTATGCTTTGCATATTGCTCACTAAAACGAATTTGAGCTTGCTTCACGTGTGCAATAAGCTCCTCGCAGGCTAAATCCATCTTGTGCGCATTGGTTTGTTGAAGAAAGGTTGCCGAGCAAACGCTGCCAGCTGCCAGCTGTAAACACAGGCGATGAGCACTGCCAGCCTACGTGCATGATGAATTGTGCGTTGAAAAGTTTTTCCGCAAATAGAATACAGTCGAAAATTCTGAGAATCTTAATATAATGTACTTCCCCGACGTGTCATTCACAACCGGTTAAGCTGGCAGTGACGAGCGGCCAACTACATACGACGAAATTAAATCTTTTGCTATGAGGGCTATTGAATTCTCCTCTTTGTATAGCCTCGATTCACCGCATCTTCTCTGGCCTTGCTTTATTTCCTTTGTGGCCATTCTTTTGTATCATGTTAATAAATGTCAGCTTCGACAACAGCTATTCATGTTAGATATGCTCGGCCCCGAGACCAGTCTTCCTGTCCGTAGCGGCTCTAATTATGGTGGATAGTATAAGCACTAACTTTACAACCTTGTTGCAGAATTACCTTTTTTGGACAAGGTTTCCTACCGTAGACCAGGGTACAAGGCGTAGAATCGGGGGTTGCATCTCACGAGCCAAAAACTCTCCGACGGCTGTGAATGATGGCCAAGTTCAAAGGCGCCGTCTCTTTTGTGAGCTTCTAATTTAGCGACTAAGTGATAGTTATAAATAGTTGTAGTCTTCCCGGTCTTGCTACGAAAGAGGACAACAAGTTTCAAAACCACCAAGCATATCCTCAACCAGCGCCTATCTCCCCCAATACCACCGACCATGAAGTTCCTCACTCTTGCTGCTCTTGCCGTCAGTGTCGCGGCTCAGGCATTGCCTGGCTCTGAAGTCTCTGAAATTGAACAAACTGAACCCATCCACGGCCGCATATTGGATGGATTTGCCATTGTGAAGCGCAACAAGTGTGAAAAGGCTTTTACTGGCTGCCTTAAGTCGCAGGTTGGCACCCATGCCTGCCAATGTGATCAAGGCAAAGTTGTAAGATTTTAATTTGAGTCGTCTTATATTTTGTATAAAGCATACTAATCGAATTATGAATAGATCGCCTGCCAACCTGATGTTACCTACGGCTACCTCTGGCACACTCTCAAAGACTGCCCCAAGCCCAAGCACGGCGGTCTTCAGTGCATCAATGGCAAATGTAACAACTAGACTTAAGGTGTATATATGTACATATAACGGAATGATTTATCACAAGAATTTTTGTATATAATTAAATGAGAAATAATACTAAAATGTGTTCTCTTCCTATTCCGATTGTTAGTGATGCCAGTCTTTCACACTGTCCACCACCCTACAGCGCTGTTTGCGGTCGGCTTTAGGTGCTGTCTCCCGCACTAATGCTGTGGGGACCTGTGCCCGAAGAGGAAAGCCTGCGGCACACGACGGGTCCCGCAGGGTGCGTCCTTTTTGGCTTTTTGCTGGGAACCCCGCTAAAAAAAAACACCACACACAGCGCTGGCGGGCGCCCTTTGCGCGACTAGTTTTGGTGGGGGTGGGCTGCACTGTAGCGTGTGTGACTGGCGGGCAGCTGGCGATAATTTTTTTTCTCTTTGGAGGGGCACCACGCAGATCGACTCCTCTCTTTTCCTTCCTTTCTTCTTGCTTCTAGTGATGAGGTGGTAAGCCAAACAGCAATCCCCCCGTTGCCAAAAGCCTCGCTTGTTCTCTTTTTTTGCTTTCCTTGCTGCAGGGATAGTGAAAAAGACAACAATTCATACACTTGATCATCTAGGACGGGCTGCATTTTGCCCCTCCCCCGCCAACATCATCATGGTTCGCCAGCAGATTGTCGGCGGTTCTTGCTACACCGCTGCTGATATTCAGGATCTTACGACCCGAATTTCCAAGGCTACTGGTGTCGCTGTTAAGAAGATTGAGGGCAAATGGGTGTACTACCTTGACCTCAAGGTGTCCAACGCCCAGGTCCTCCAGCACATCCAGCAACTCCTCCAGCTCGACAGCCACCAGCCTGTCTCTGCCGAAACCAACGCTACCACAACAGCCATCTACTCGACCCCTCGCTACATTTCCCCATGGAGCTCCAAGGCTACCAGCATTGCTCACGTCTGTGGCATGAAGGATTCCGTCAACCGCCTGGAGCGCGGCAAGTACATCACCATTGAGTTTGACACCGCAGCCGACGACAAGCGCATTGCTGCTTTCCGCGACATCCTCCACGATCGCATGACCGAAATCTTCGACTTCACTCCCCCTGCCATGGACGACATGTTTGCTGAGGGCTCACCTGCTCCTCTTACCGTCGTGGACATCTTTGAGCAAGGCAAGGAGCCTCTCCAAGTTCTCGGTGCCTTTAACAAGGAAAAGGGCCTCAGCTTGGACGATGCCGAGATGCAGTATCTCGTTGATGTCTTCACCAAGCTCGGCCGTTCTCCCAACGATGTCGAACTTTTCATGTTTGCCCAGGTCAACTCTGAGTAAGTAACATGTGTATAAGTTTTCATAGGGCAACCGGACTAACAACACCAGGCACTGCCGACACAAGGTTTTCAACTCGGCCTGGAACATCGACGGCGTCGACAAGGACAAGAGCTTGTTCCAGATGATTCGCGAAACCCACAAGAGGACTCCCGACTTCACCGTCTCAGCCTACAGCGACAACGCTGCCGTTATTCAGGGCGAGGCTGCTCAGTACTGGGCCCCCGACTTCAGCACCGGCGCATGGAAGCTCACTCCCGAAGTCGTCCACATCCTCGCCAAGGTCGAAACCCATAACCACCCCACCGCTATTTCACCTTTCCCTGGTGCCGCTACTGGTTCCGGTGGTGAGATTCGTGACGAGGGTGCTGTTGGCCGTGGCTCTGTCACCAAGGCCGGTCTTTCCGGTTTCTGGGTCTCCGATCTTCTGATCCCCGATCAGCGTGCCCCTTGGGAGAACGATGTCGGTCGTCCCGCTCATTTTGCTAGCAGTTTGGACATCATGCTTGAGGCTCCCATTGGTAGTGCTCGCTTTAACAACGAATTCGGCAGACCTGCTCTTGCTGGCTGCTTCCGCACCCTCCTCACTCCCGCTGACGCTACTACTACTGCGGAATCAAAGGATGTCGCCGACTGGCGTGGATACCACAAGCCCATTATGATTGCTGGTGGTGTTGGTACTGTTCGCCCTGAACATGCTCTCAAGGAGCAGCATTTTGTTCGCGACGGTGCCCACGTCATTGTTCTTGGTGGTCCTGCCATGTTGATTGGTCTCGGTGGTGGTGCTGCTTCTAGTAACGCCTCTGGTGAGAGCAATGCCGACCTTGACTTTGACAGTGTCCAGCGTGGCAACCCTGAAATGGAGCGCCGTGCTCAAATGGTTATCAACACCTGTGTCAGCTTGGGTATCGACACCCCCATTGCCATGATTCACGATGTTGGTGCCGGTGGTCTCTCCAACGCCCTTCCTGAGCTTGTTCAGGATGCCGGTTTTGGCGGCAACTTCGAGCTTCGCCAAGTTGAGAGTGCTGACCGCAGCATGTCTCCTCTTCAGATTTGGTGCAATGAAGCTCAGGAGCGTTACGTGCTCCTTATCAACGCTGAAGGCATGAACCGCTTCACCAGCATCTGCCGCAGAGAACGCTGCGGCTTCTCTGATGTTGGTACCGTTGTTTCCAAGAACACTGATGCCGGCTCTAGACTGGTTCTTACCGACAGAGAATCCAACGAATACCCCCGTCCCATTGATCTCCCCATGGACGCTCTGTTCCCTCCTAAGCGCCAACTAAAGCGTACCGTTACTTCAGTCAAGCCCGCTCTTGCTCCTTTCGACGCCTACGCCAGCCTGCAAAAGGCTTATGGTGCCGTGAGCGACTCAGAGCTTCTCAGAAAAGCTGTTGAGCGCGTCTTCCTCATGCCTGCCGTCGGATCCAAGTCTTTCCTCATCACCATTGGTGACCGCACTGTCGGTGGTCTGACTGCTCGTGACCAAATGGTTGGGCCTTGGCAAACACCCGTCGCCGACGTTGCCGTCACTGCTACTTCTTTCCAAGTTGGTGGCAAGAGCAAGACTGGTGAAGCCATGGCCATGGGTGAGAAGCCCACGCTTGCCCTCATTGACCCTGCCGCTTCGGCTCGCATGGCTGTTTCTGAGGCCCTCATGAACTTGGGTGCTGCTGATGTCCTTGATGACCTGAAGAGAGTCAAGCTTTCCGCCAACTGGATGGCTGCTGTTAGCCACCCCGGCGAGGGAGCCGCTCTTTACGAAGCTGTTCAAAGCGCTATGGAGATTTGCACTGCCATTGATGTTAGTATTCCTGTCGGCAAGGATTCCACTTCCATGAAGACAGTATGGAGAGACAATGGTAAGGCCAAGAGTGTCACCGCCCCTGTCTCAGTCGCCATTACCGCATTTGCTGTTGTTGAGGACATCACCACTACTTGGACTCCTCAGCTCAAGCGTGTTGAGGATGTTGGCGAGACCATTCTCTTGTTCGTCGATCTTGCTGAGGGTCGCAAGGCTATGGGCGGCTCCGCTCTTGCCCAGTCCCTCAACCAACTTGGCAACGAGGCTCCTGACATGAAGAACTTTGACCTCATCACTGACTACTACGATGCTTTGTCTCAACTGCACAAGAGCGGCGTTGTGCTCGCCTACCACGACCGATCCGACGGTGGTCTACTCACAACCGTTGCTGAGATGATGTTTGCCGGTCGTTGCGGTGCCGATATCATGCTCGACGGTATCTCCAAGTCTGGCAGCGCTGCTGACATGATTGACGCTCTCTTCAACGAAGAACTCGGCGCTGTTTTCCAGGTTCGCGCCGAGGATGAAATCAACTTCAAGCGCTGCTTTGCTACTTGCGGTCCTCCTGCTGGTCTTATCCGCAAGTTTGGTGTTGTTAAGGCTTCCAGCAACCAGAGCCTCACTATCCGCCATGCTGGTGTTGAGTTTGCCTCTCTTGGCCGCCCCGAGATGCAGCAGTGGTGGAGCAAGACTTCGTACCAGATGCAGCGCATCCGTGACAACTCTGCCTGCGCCGACTCTGAGTACGCCACCATTGCCGACAACCAGGACCCTGGTATCACCTACAAGCTTACCTACGAGCCCAAGGACACCATCCTACCCCTCGCCAGCTCCATCACCAACTTCTTCAGCAAGGCTCCCCGTGTTGCTGTCCTGCGTGAACAAGGTGTTAACGGCTACGCCGAGCTTGCCTTTGCTTTCAAGGCTGCTGGCTTCGAACCTGTTGACGTCCACATGACCGATATCCTCGGCGGCCGCACCCTCGCTGACTTTGTTGGTCTTGCTTGCCCTGGTGGTTTCTCCTACGGTGATGTCCTCGGTGCCGGTCAGGGCTGGGCCAAGTCCATTCTCATGCACGATGCCACTCGCAAAGAGTTTGCCAACTTCTTCCAGCGCCCTGATACCTTTGCCCTCGGTATCTGCAACGGTTGCCAGATGCTGTCCCGTCTCAAGGAGCTCATCCCTGGCGCTGAGCAGTGGCCCAACTTTGTCGACAACATCTCCCAACAGTTCGAGGCCCGTTACTCCATGGTCAAGGTTGAGGAGAACCCGTCGCAGCCTTCTGTCTTCTTCCACGGCATGAACGGCTCAACTCTTCCCGTCGTAGTATCCCACGGTGAAGGCCGCGCCCTCTTCAACTCCCCCAACGCCCTCCAGGACCTTACTGACAGCGGCATGATCCCCATCCGCTACGTCGACAACCGTCTCAACACTACGGAGACGTACCCCTTCAACCCCAACGGTAGCCCTGGCGGTGTTGCCGGTGTCGCCAGCAAGGACGGCCGTGTCGTTGCCATGATGCCTCACCCCGAGCGTACTGTCCTGTCGCCCGTCACCAGTTACGCTCCCATGGGCTCTGCTGAGCAGTGGGGAGAGTACGGTCCTTGGATCCGCATGTTCCGCAGCGCTCGTCGCTGGGTGGGTTAGAGCAACGCGGAGCATCTGATCACATTCTTATCTATTTCTTATGTTTTTATCGTTTATTGGCGTTTATGGCTTGATGCAGCAGATTATTTAGAAACCAGAATACATAACAAGATTTTACATTTTCCATGATATCTCCATCATCTCTTTAAATCCATCCGCCGTCCACTGCGTAAACGCTACCAGTCACAAAACTGCTATCATCACTTAGCAGAAAGCAAATTACCTGTGCTACTTCTTCCGGTGTGCCTTGGCGTTGAATCGCACTGGGGTCGTCAAACGGCGCATCGACCGCACGGCCCAGCTGATCCCAAGCCTGCTGCATCATGGGCGTGTAAATGGCACCAGGAGCCACGGCATTGATTCTAATTTCTCGTTTTCCTACTTCTTTTGCGGCTGCTTTAGTCAATCCTACGACGCCATGCTTACTAGCACCATATGCAGCATGATAGGCTTGGGCTACAGTACATCCAAGTTAGTGCCGCTGCAACTGACATACTTGGGTTGTTTGCTACTCACCGTTTGTGCCGTGAATCGAGGCAACATTTACAATGGACCCTTTGTCTGCAATAACTTTAAGTTGTGCCCTCAGCGAATACATGCACCCTGTAAGGTTGATGCCAATGATACGCTCCCACTCGTCGTCCTCCAGCTCGGCAACCGATCCGACAGAATGGTTCTTGCCAATCACACCAGCAGCATTGGCGGCTCCATCTAGACGGCCGTACTGTGTGACAATCCCAGAAATCCACTCATCAACATCTTTTCTGTTTGCTACGTCGACTTTGGCGACTGAGTGTGCAAGGTCGGCGTCGGAGAAGTGGGCGGCGGCTGCCGCGAGGGCGGGGTCAGAGATATCGGCGATGCAGGGCGTTGCGCCGCGCGAGGCGACGAGTTTAGCAGTTGCGAGGCCAATGCCGGATGCGCCGCCGGTGATGGCGATGATTTTGCCTTGAAGAGACATGATGATTTATGATGAAAGTAGTACTTGTGGTGGTGTAGGTGAGAGGAAGAGGAGGGGAGAGGGGTGCTTAAATGGGGGTCAAAAGGGCGTGTAAGAGGGGCAGCAATGAATACGATGGATGAATGACGTGTATATAGTGTACAAGTTTGGGATTGAGGATTGTGGAGGTTTATTGGTGATTAATAATATTTAATATTGAGAAGAGTATAATGGGTACCAGGTATTAGTAGCTGGTAGTTAGGTATATATGTAAGCTTGCATTAGAGACGAGGGGCCTTGAAAGTCTCTCTGCGCAAGCGAGACAGCCATGACTGCTTGTGCGGAAACGAAATCTGTCTCTCTTTACCAAAACCCGTCTCATCGAGAACCTTGAGAACTCTATAATCGTTACAGTTAGTAGTCTGGTTATTTAGATCTTGTTTTAAAGTCACATACCTGTCGTTATCAATTCGCGGCTCAAGGTTGACGCTCATGGTGCGAGGTTCCGATGTGAAGCACCAGTGGACTAAGCTGCTCAGCCAGACGGGTACTCGGCCACGCGCCCACTCCTCGCCAACAAGAAGATGGATGCCTCTGTCCCAGTCGTCGACAGAGCTGCCCAAAGTCTTGCCCAAAAGGTCTTCCTTGACCCAATAAACTTCAAAGTAGCCCCAGGGAACACCATCCCAGAGGGCAATCACAGGGAACGAGTGAGGCAACTCCAGCACGCTAGAAAGAGTATTTTCTTTCCATGCACCCCAAAACTTGTTGACTCGAGGGTTCTCATACCAAGATTGGAGCAACAGGGTATCGCTCATGGTCATCAGAGATTCGTGTTGCGGAGCCTTTGGTCCCACTGGGCCCAAGTAAGGCACGGGATTTGGCGACAGCGACGCAACACGGAACGACAGATACTGACCCTGGCTAGGAATAAACCGCGTGTAAAATACTTCGCCCATCCTAGGCGGCTTGGGGCGCAGCGGATGTCTGACATCCCCTGTAAATGTGTATTGTAGAGGGGCTGGTGGATAATACGTGGGCAAGTGTGACGTCGAGAAGAAGGGCCCAATGGGGTAGCTCGGCGCAAGGCCAGGACTGAGCGGCATTGGTGCACCCGGTAGATCGCTGTGCAATCGGAGTGGCAAGGTCTGGTTGGCTTCGGGAGCAGGCGAACCAGGTCTGCTACTAGTTGGTGATGCGTAGCTCGGAAGGGCCTTGACGGGCTTGAGCGTGAAGAGGAACAGATTGGGCGGGATCTGCCAGAACATGGACTGGGAGACAAACATCTGAGACCACATGTCGCCACTGTCATCAAGTTCAGTTCCCACAGCCGTGTTCTTTGTCGCAATGAGACCCATTCGCTCGAGCTTCGGGATGAGGTTCTTGCTGCGGAAGATACCCTCGCGCTTAATCATAATGGACCATTCTCCCGTGGGCCGAGCAGTATGAGGCGTATCCTTGGAATGCTCGTTGTGCAGATATGGTTCTGGCTCCTTCTGGTGAAAGTACCAGTACAAGGTAACCCAGAGCATCATGGCAATTTGCCTCGTCGGGCTCGCTGGGGGCTGGAACTCGGAGTTTGAGGGCTGGGATATCGACGAGATGAAGAGGGCGTCGTTCTGCAGTGTAGGCTGCTTAAAGGCCTTTGTACGTTTCTTGACGACTTCGGTGCCTGCTTCATGGCCCGGGGTAGCATCTTCACCAGCAAACACGGGCCTCTCTTCTTCTGTGTGAAGCACTGTGGTCCAGCCGATGGGGAAGTGGTTGTCGTGGGTGGCATCGTTGCTTCGAAAGCCGATGCCTCCAAAGACGGGAGCCACATAGTAAGTCTGGCCATCTGGCAGATGCAGGGCTTCCGGAGTATGGGCAGCTGTTTCCATCTTGAGCTTGGTGATGTTTTGAAGAAATGACAAAAGGGAGCAGCCGCAGTAACGGTCGTGGTGTTTTTGTTGGTGCGGGGCTCTCGCATGGAGGGGCAAGGCCAGGGAGCTAGCTACAGTGCAGCAGGGTCGTTCAGCTGTCCACTTACACGCAGCAAAATCCGAGGGGGCTCCGAGAAGCTCCGAGGAGATGGGGTGATGTGAGAAATGGGGTGATTTTGTAAAGGCAGAAATAAGGCTGGTAATTTTGAAATATTAAAATACTTTTGAAATATATATTCTCTGTTGCATCAAGTTGGACTTCCGAACCAGGTGCTCTGCTGCGCATCTCTCCCGCTACCGGAACTGTCCAACGCTCGTCAGCGACTTAGCGCGGGAACTACAGCGGCTGTTATCCCCCGCCAAGTGGGACGGGAAGCCGCTGATCGATCGGCCGCTAAAGGTTCTCCATGTGCTACGTCACCACTGTATGTAAATATTATGTACCAGGAAAATTCAGCAGAAATATCATGAACGATCTTTATAAAATGTAAGAGTAAGATCATGAGTCAGCTTTCTTATCCCGTCTCTCCTCCTCCTTCTCTTGGTTCCTCTTTGTCGACTTCTCCTGCTGCTTCTTCTTCTTCTTTCTACCCTCACCATCGTCTTCATCTTCTCCATTTTCTTCTTTTTCTAATGCTTCTTTTACTTCCCAGCCTCCCAAATCTTTCATCTCATCCCATTCCACATCATACTCGGCAGCAATATTTCGTACTTCCCGTCTTAATCCATTCGCCTCTTGCGCCAGTGCCTCCCACTTGGCAACATTGAAGCCCCGGTCTTGATATAAAACACTCTGTCGCTTCGACACCGTCATATTCATAGCCGCTCTGTAACTTAGATCACGGCTTATAAATAGAAACCACAGATAACCACCCATGATCGTAGTCAGGCCCGCAAGGTAAGTGATTGGTTCAATCATATCCCAACCCATTTCGGTGAAAAACGTGACGTAAAACACAGTCCCCCACCAGCCCACTAGAGCTCCAAATCCCCCCTTTGCTAAATGGTGCGCGCCTTTATGCGCAAGCTCGTCGCATTCGGTTTTTAACTTTGACATCTGATCAATCTGCAGTGACATTCTCCGCAGTCTCATCCGCATATAGTGGGTGCGATCCTTGAAACTCGGCACCGCCACCAGAAGCGGTTCAGGGCGTCCCTCAATATCTACAGCAAATTCACGACCTCTTGCTGCATCGCGTATGAAGTCTCCAACTTCTGTGCTTCCACTCCATCTTACCCAGCTTGCCTCCTTTCTGTCTGGTCCTTCGTGGCCCAGTCCCGAATACGAGGCAATGTTAGTCCCCTCTGTGTTGTCCTTGTCGGGCATTGCCTCGCTGTCTGCCTCGGCAAAGAAGACTACATCGGGGCTCTTTTCTTTATCTTTGACCTGAATCGGAGGTACCTCCGCTTGTATAAGCCGCTCGAGATACGAAAGAGGCTGTGATGGGTGGATCAAAAGAGCCAAAGGTGTGACACTGTGTTCTATAGCGGACTCTGACGATTGGCGGTGTACTGCATCTTTGCCAGTGGTAGAAGGGACTGGCAAAATAAGTTTAAGCAATCGGTTTGGGGTTGTTAAAAGGCGGCCTATCGCATCTGTTAAGGTTTGGTCTTGACCGAAACATGTGAGTTGTGTACCTTTTATCTGTATGCCCTTTTCCATGGCCTTGCGCGTGGCCTCCTCTTCACCATCAGTATGATTTCCGAGCCCTTCAACATTTTTGTTTCTGTCTCGGATGGTAGGTACGGTTGAAAACTTCGAATTCTGATTGCATAGTGAGATTCTCGGGTAATAATATCGAGCCGCTCCCACTTGTCTTCCCGCCTGAGTTTCGCATCGAGCAGGTGAACAGCGGACTGCCGCTGAAGACGAGGCTCTCCATGTTCTGACCAGTGCTCGGTTCATGTTTAAAATAAACTTCTGATCCGTTTATCTGCTCATACAATCGGTTTTGGAAGAGCGGCTGAAGAGGATCGAATATTGTAGAATGGAGGCGGACTGCAGCAGAGCGGGAGTGGGAATGTCACTGAACCTTGGGATGACGTCAAGACAATAGGTGCTGGGGCGCCAACTGGAGCGGGCTGCTTCAGTAGATGCAACCTTCATTTACAGTGGTGCACAGCCCTGGCTGACTTCATTACCTCTTTAGGTATTTTTTGGCATGACTCTAATACTAGCTTCAGGAGCAGCAATGCTTCCGCATAGCCAGAATTTAAAAGATAAAATTAGAATTAAACTTTTTGTCATCCTCTTTGCCCTAATGATTCACCCAGAGCTGTGAAATGTACACCCCTGAAAAAAGTCTAACACAGAGCCCGAGAAGGCGCGCTCTTGCTTTGGGTTAGTTTACCCCCAAGTAAGCTCGGGAGTAGAATCCGGTGATTGTAAACAGCCGCTCCATTGTAAAGCCGAACACTTGTATATTTCTCATTCCATACATTTCTACTTACTTTCACTCTTATTCATTGTCAAGAATTGGCACATAACAGCCAACTCTACCTCGGCGCCGAACCTAGAGCAACTGTCGCCTCATCTTTACCAACACTTATTCTTTCGTCATGCAATACAACAATGATACAGCAACCGGTAGATCCAATGTGCATACACCAGAGTCGTACGACAACTGCGTGTTAAGCGACAGCCCTTCTTCAATGGTGATTTTGTCGCCTGCAAGTTCATGGTCTGAGTCACTAGTTTCGCACCAACTATCAACCGCCATTGTCAAACATGATCGTTCTTGTTTGCCCAATAATGTTGATATTACACAGTTATATACAAAAGCTCTTCGTAATGGCTAACTTGCGGTATAGTACTTTGTTACAACAACACAGCCGGATTCCCAACTAGTCGTGACTGAAGCAGACCAGGACGCGATAGTGAGGACGAGTACCAACAGCGGGGGCTTTGGTCTTCAATTCGTAGATCTTGATCATCCTGTTTGGGGAAATCGACTCGCGACTCGGAGATATCCACCAATACCGTCCGCCTTTCAGTCCAATCCTCGACAATACGAGCTTCCAACGGCCGCGTTAAGTACCCAGAGATATGTGGAGTATCTTGGAACTTGGGGCGATAGCCGTCACTTTACGCTCACTGACGTACATGAGCTCCTAGATGGTATAGTGGATAGAGGGGTGGGGGTTAAACTGAGGCCGGGGCCTCGACGTATCCCGCGAGTTTCTGTTGCATGTCCAACACCCAACGCAACACGACACGCTACATATGAAAAGATACGAACATCGTACACAAATGACCGACACGGATACGCCCTTTTAGCCTTTTATTATTCCATTCATGTTGGTCCTCACATGCCGCTGCTGCAAGAAGTCCAAGGGTTCTTAAATTGGTGCATCAGAGACGATGTTAATATTATCTGGTTCTGGGTTGAGTATAATCAATACCATAAGCGATGGCTCTTGCAACAAACTCTCTCCTTTCGGCATCTCATTAAATGGCTTCGGGCACACATTTCAGAGTTTCGGTCTGTAATGACAACCCCAGAGGATGAGGCATACCTGCAGGCCCAGGTTTTCAACGCCTTCCAAAAGTTTCTTCCACAACACGGCATCAACAACATTCGTTACCAATTTATGAACACCCAGCCGAGTTCTATGCGTCTTTACCCGGCTGGTTATGATTTTCCCTGTGTTGATCACCAGGAATTTAATGCGCAGGAAGTCCAATTCATTCAGAGCAATTGTCCACAGCACTGGTACGAGTCCAGCAGAGCGGCCGCCAATCGCATTTCGAGCGGGTTAGATGGTATGGATTCAATACCAACGTGCTCAATACGCAATATTATTGCTCCTGCGTAAGCATTAATATTTTTGGAATATTTTCTTGCCCTGTACCCCAGCGTTTGAGTATAGTCGTCTTATACACGATACGAAGCGATTCAAGCGGAGATGTTTGTCAATGGCAATAATCAGACGAAATAATTGTTTTTTAAAATTTCTAATATTCTAGTCAATGCTTTCAAACTTTTTCACATTAATCGTGATTTTATAATAGAGCTTTGGGCAACTGGCTATTTGCGGGCACGTATTCGGGATCGGTCTACCAATCTTAGTGATTGCCCCGCGCTAATGAAGCAAGCTTCTTCAAATTGCGCGGCTTGCCCCTCCACACCCTGTCAATCTCAAAAGCGGTGAAGCATTTTGTTCTTTGACCCCCTCCAACCTCTTACATTGAGACTCCGACATTGTAAATATCCTCGATCGACCCGAAATATCTGCAGCACCATTACAAACGAGTTCTACACCGCCGACTCGAATTCACAATGGCCGACACCACCGTCTACCGAGCCAGCACCACTGCCCCTGTCAACATTGCCGTTGTCAAGTACGACTCCTTTGCCTCGAGCGGCCTCAATTCTGATTTGATTGGTTCATAGAATTGGCTAACATATCGACTATAGGTACTGGGGCAAGCGTGATGCCAAGCTCAACCTCCCTACCAACTCCTCCATCTCCGTCACCCTCTCCCAGGCCGATCTCCGAACCTTGACGACCGCCTCCTGCTCGACCATCTTCACCAGCGACAGCCTCACTTTGAATGGCGAGGACTCTGATATTTCCGGAGCCAGAACACAAGCGTGCTTCAGAGAATTGAGAGCCCGCCGTGCTGCGCTCGAGGAGAAGGACGCCTCTCTCCCCAAGCTCGCCGCCCTGCCCCTCAAGATCGTCTCTGAGAACAACTTCCCCACCGCTGCTGGTCTTGCTTCTTCTGCTGCTGGATTCGCTGCTCTCGTCCAGGCCATTGCCAACCTGTACCAGCTTCCCGACTCTCCCTCTGAGCTCTCCAAGTTTGCCAGACAAGGCTCTGGCTCTGCTTGCCGTAGTCTCTTTGGCGGTTACGTTGCTTGGCGTATGGGTGAGAAGGAGGATGGAAGCGACTCTCTTGCCGACCTTGTTGCTCCTGCTTCTCACTGGCCTAGCATGCGCGCCTTAATCCTTGTTGCCAGTGCTGCCAAGAAGGGTGTCTCTTCTAGCTCTGGTATGCAGCAGACCGTTGCCTCATCCGGTCTCTTCCAAGAGCGCATCAAGACCATTGTTCCCGCCAACATGGACCTTATGGAAGATGCCATTAAGAACCACGACTTTGAGAAGTTTGCCGAGGTTACCATGCGTGACTCAAACTCTTTCCACGCCTGCTGCGCCGACACATACCCTCCCATTTACTACATGAACGACACTTCCCGCGCCGCCGTCCGTGCTGTCGAGGCTATCAACGCCAAGGCTGGCAAGACCATTGCTGCTTACACCTTCGATGCTGGACCCAACTGCGTCGTCTACTACCTCGATGAGAACAAGGATGCCGTTTTGGGTGGCTTCGCTGACGCTCTCAAGGCCGTGTCTGGCTTCGAGCAGGGTGCTGTCGCTGCAGTTGCTGGTGTCATCGACGAGACTGTCACCAGCATCCTCCAGGAAGGCGTCACCAGAGTCATCATGACTGGTGTCGGTGAGGGCCCTCAGAAGACCGAGGAGTTCTTGGTTGATGCTGATGGCACCACCTCCAAGCGATAGGTTGCATTAAGTACCAAAAGAAAAAGGCATAGGGCAGTTGATGAGTGAAATTATAAGCATGGAAGAACTGGGTAGGATTAAAACATTTTATAAATAGATTCTCATATATTTTAATTTTTGACATAATATTCGAATATTTATTTACCCGGTTTTGCCTTGCGAACCTCGTCCCTCAGACTTGGTCGTTTTTACTAACTTACTAACCCAGACTGCCAGCTGGCAGCGCCAACACCTCCTTCACTTCATCCTCAGACGCGCACCGTCACTTCCAATCAACGTCTTTCATCAATAGGTCATAAAACCCCTCAATCTTCTACACCATTCGTATACAATATTCTTGCAAGCGCTATTAGAAAGATTTCTTCAGCTATCTGCTATCCACTTATGAGACGAAACAAGAACACGATAGCCAGTAAGCTCCGTTGCCTATAATGGAATTCCGAATAATGGAGTTGCCTACAATGGATGGATATGTCAGCAGCGGAAGCAGCCTACATCCGCCTACTAAAAATGTATCCAAAGAGATTACAGAGGTTGATAAAGCTGGTCAGATCCAACGACGATGGAGGCACAAACATAACGGTGTACCTATTGAGGTAAGAGCATGCTTCAACTCTTTATCTGTTTATTCACTAACAACCAAACATAGGTCCCTCTACCAAACAGATCCAACGGCTTCTTCTCACGATCTATCCGCGATTGGAGAAAAGCCGTAGTTGATTCCTTCCTCCCCGTCGGGTTTCCCCATTCCGTATCTGAAGACTACCTCAGATACCAAACCTTTGACTCGCTCCAAGCGTTCTTCTCGACGATTTCGTCGCTGCTCGCCAGCCGAGCGCTACTCCAAGGGTTAGGCGTGGGAGACGCATCATCTTCAGCAACGTTTGCAATTATCCTCACTGTCATGCAAGATGCCATGTCCCGCATTACAACTATTGTCTTTGCCCACAGCTTTGGTTTACACATCGAGCCAGAGGCCAAGAGGTTTCGCTTCCTTGCGGATCTGTTCAACGACTCTGCATTCTTCCTCGAGCTTTACAGCCCATACCTCAGCTCCGAAGGCAAAGTCATTACTCTCAGCATCAGCCAAGCGCTGCGAGCACTCTGTGGTGTATCTGCTGGTGCTTCCAAGGCAGCTTTGAGCGTACATTTCGCGAGATCTGATAACTTGGCCGAGTTGAACGCCAAAGAGGCCAGTCAGGAGACAGCCGTTGGGCTTGTTGGGCTGCTAGTAGGCACTCTGGTTGTGAAGACTGTTGAAGATCACACAAGCGTTGTCTGTCTTATGGTTCTCTTGGTATTTGCCCACCTGTGGATGAACTACCTTGCCGTTCGTGCTGTCGGAATGAACATCTTGAATAGGCAGCGAGCTACCATTCTGTTCCACGAATACCTCAGAACCCAGAAAATCCTGACCCCATCGCAGGTAGCCAAACGGGAGAGCATTCTCTTCTGGTCCCCCGTTGTTCCTAATAAATTGGGCCAGCCTGTTGCCAAAATCGAAATTGCCAAAAGCTACAAGAGTGCCATGGCAAATGGCACATACCGCATCGATGCCATCCCAGAGAAAGCCTACAATACCATCATCTGCGATCGACCCAACAGCCAGATCCGCCCTATTCGCATTCTGCTCTACCATGGGATAAGTTCACAGGAAATAATTGGGGCGTGGCTCAAGGCCGTGGATATCGCCTGGGAAATGGACAAGACGAGAGGCTTTGACGAGGCTCTTGGTGATCTGTTCTATGAAACGACAGATCGCTCCTACAACTTCCGACGCCTGCATCTGTCTTTTTGGAATGCTGTGACCCGTGCCGGGTGGGATCTAAAGTCACAAGCTGTAGAGACGGGTGCACCTGTTCGCTTCCTCATCAAAGACGCCAAAAAGGACATGTAAAAGAACAAAACTGAGTATCACAATATGATGGTTCATGCATTTGAAAAAGTTCAGGGGAGATGTTTTACACGGACTAGTACGTCCATCAAACGAGTCTAGCTATACCAATAAAATGTACAAATATTTTACCAAAGAGAAAAACGAAACGCCTCTATAAATGCCCATACACATCGTTTTGTCATCCTCTAAGCCATGCCAATCCAGCGCATTGCGCGCATCTTGACGCCTTCCAAAGTATTCAACTTGGGTCTGACATCCAAATAAAAGCTCGGTGCAACGTTTCCATCGGGTCGCCCAGCATAAAAGTCAATAACGTAGTCGACGCGCGTACCGCAGCGGTCAATGATCCAGTCGTGGCGGTCAAACGGCGCAGTATAGCCAAGGAGAGTATTAAATCGTGCTGTGGGCGTCATACGGTCATTCTTGTTCGCGAAAGATTCGAGCTTAGGTCCGCCACATCTAAAACCATCTGTTAGCTTCTGTCTTTGCATCATTCATCCCATGGTGACCACATACTTTGACTTGGCGAGGTACGGCTCCTCCCACTTTTTGATATGTTCCCAAGCCTTCTCATTCACAGCATTGTGAATAGGCACAACGGTCTTCATATCTGTTTCTCTAGCATCGTAGCCCTTTCTCTTCATGGCGTCAAAGAACATCTTCTCGGATGGGTACACCCAATTACCCGTTGTGGCGTCCGCGCCAGACTCGATCTCATGGTTTGCCGGGTTCGCGGATGCGCCGTGGTCAACTGGGCAGTCGGGTGATGAGGACGCTATGCGAGGAATAGTAGACACTACGCGATTTGTGTCGAGGCCGGATGTAGATTGGGTCGGCGCAGCTGGTGCTGCTGCAGGGGAGGACCAGAAGTATGAGCCGACAGTCTCGGACCACGTCTTGGGCTTCGTTTTTGTATGGTCGACAGGGCAGCTTTGAGGGGGGTGGGCTTTCGCTTTGGCGGCTTCAGCGCCGCGGGCTTGTTCGAGCCATGCATCGCGGGTTTTGTGGTCGACCGGACAAGCGTCTGCGGACTTGTCGGCCATTTTGGGAATTGTTTTGTGTGTATATCGTGTGTTGAATGGATAACCGAGGACCCTTATATCAGTATTTTGGCAAAGAATCGGTGATTTTTAATGGTGTGCTGTGTTGAGGGAGAATGCGCCAAAGATGAATGAATGACCTTGGTGATGGTCCCTGAACTTTTTTGGTACAGGTGTCGGAACCGGAGTTTTGCCGCATGACGTACTTGAGCTGTCACTGGGTATGTCGCTGCAAAATAGTAAAATTATTGTAGTAAATCTAGTAATAAATAAACAAGTTAAATAAATTAGTTTGTTTAAATTATTTATTTTTGTATAATGTAGACAATGTGGATTACGCAGACTGGTGGCTTCTTAACAAACAGTCGCGTGACAGTGGCTGAACCAGGGCCGCCTTACACCTGGTACAACTTTGAACCTTTCCTCATCCAAACAGGTCACTACATTCAAAGTTACAAAATCCCCGGTTGGACGTATCATGAGCAGCAGGACAAGCTCGCGCTTCCGCCTGCCCCTTCCGGGATCGCCGAACGCATCTCTTGCGGTGTATACAACTCGTATCGGAGCTCTCCTGAAGCGCGCAGACGTCAAAGTGATTGTAGCCTTCTGGCTCTTTGGTCGGTAGCAGCCGTCCTAACGGATGTGTACAGATACTGATATTTAATAGGTCTTATAAACAATGTCTTATATGTTATAATACTGTCTGCAGCGCAAGACCTGGTCGGCGCTGTACCAAAGGGCGTGGTGCTTCTTGCTGATGTTGCGCCGTCATTTATAACCAAGCTTATTGCTCCATACTTTATCCATCATATACCATATAGGATACGGGTGCTCGTGTTCTGTGCACTATCCACTCTTGGTATGTTGATGGTCGCCTTGACCCCGCCAGAGGACTCTGTCGCAGTAAAGATGGTTGGAGTTGTTCTCGCCAGCCTGGCCAGCGGTGGCGGCGAGCTTAGCTTCTTGGGCCTAACACATTACTACGGGCAAATGAGTCTTGCTGGTTGGGGTTCGGGAACTGGCGCTGCTGGCCTGGTTGGCGCAGGCCTATATGTCGTCTTGACCGAATGGTGGCGGTTCTCCGTCCGTGACAGTTTGCTATTTAGTGCAACGCTCCCTGTCGTCATGCTTGTGAGCTTCTTCGTTATACTGCCGCAAGACAAGTTCATGCAAGGACAGCCAGCTGGTGCTTATGCAGCAGTACCAGATACCGACGACATTATTGATGATGAATCAAGAGAGCGCATGGTCACAGCATCAGCCCCTATCAAACACGAGTCACCTTCGTTGCAGCAGAACTTGAAGCGCGCACGTGCTCTTGTTATTCCGTATATGCTACCGCTGCTTCTCGTGTATATTGCTGAATATACAATCAACCAGGGAGTGTCCCCAACGCTCTTATTCCCGCTCGCCGAAGGGCCATTCGCTGAGTTTCGCGAATTTTATCCCTTTTACGGATTTCTCTACCAGCTCGGCGTGTTTATATCTCGATCCTCAACACCTTTTATACGCATCCATCACCTCTACCTGCCGTCGTTTCTGCAGATTGGTAACCTTGTGCTACTCACCCTCCACGCATATCTATACTTTATTCCATCTGTGTATATCGTATTTCTAATCATCTTCTGGGAAGGCCTGCTGGGCGGTGCTGTATATGTGAACTGCTTTGCTGAGATTATGGAGCAAGTTCCTGAGGATGAGCGTGAATTCAGCTTAAGTGCCACATCTGTGAGTGACAGTGGCGGTATTTACATAGCCGGAGTTGTTAGCATCTTCTTGGAGCCACGATTGTGTCATTACCAAGCGGCTCATGGTCGTGGATGGTGCAAGGAGATTCGGGCTGGACATAAATAGTCAGAGATACTGATGAATATAACTATTGTGTATAATTCTTTCGTTTCATAGTGTCGTCATTCTATAAATGTACTTTCGTCCCTGGAAAATGACCCAAGCTGAATTACATATGTATTGCAGACCTTCATGTTGGCTGGGTTGTCAGTGGCACGATCAAAAGAACGGACGATTGTTCGTTTCGTGAATGTAAGATCGTCAGCCTCTTCAGCTTCTCCCGCCCCAGGACATAGTAGCATCCAGGGCACAAACGAGTATCGTGGTAAACAAAGTCTCGCATGTTCCAGTGATTGTAGTTTGGACAAGATGCTTCCAAAATAATCCAAGAATGCTTCGACTCCTTCGTATACTCGAAAGTTTGGCTGCGTCCAGTGGCGGCATGTCATAGTGTCGCCAAAGTCACCATTCAAAGAAATATGGAGGTACTGTACATTTGGTAAAATACTAGGCAAAAGGTCCACCAGCCTGTATAACCCCAGCTTTCCGAAGAATTCTTGCGGATTTGTATTAGCGTCACGGTGATAGCTGTAGGAGTCCGTGCTCCATGCCAAAGAGACCTTGCGAAGTAGCTTTAAATGATGATTCGGAAGCAGCTCTGGGAGATGGTGGAACATGAATGTACCATGTATCCTAAAGGTGCTGCTGCCATATAGCAATGGAATGCCTTCATGGTATGCTTGACGACAGCTTTGCAGCCAACCCAGAGAGCTAACTTTGCAACTATTGGTGGAATTGAAGGGCGACCACAGAGACGTGCAGGATGCCTCGCCAACCAAGCAGATGTCTCTATCTCTATATCCCAGTGCTGGCATCATCTGATAGTGCCAGTACTCGGGCAAGAAACAAACATCGTGGCAGTAGGAGCTACGCCATATCCAAACACATGGGCTGGCGGGGTTTCTCTTGGAATACGGCGATATGCGCGCATGGCGGTTCTTCCAGACTTCACCGTCGTATTCTGAGATGACGCTATGTTCTAGGGATAGATGAATATGGATTGCCTGTGGCTCCAGCACATGAAGGAAAATCCCATCGCGAAGCTCTCGGGGAAGTCGCTGAAAGAAGGCGCTTTGGCTGGTGCCATCGATATGACCGGATCTGGAGATGGCTGGCAAATTGGGATGCGTGGGAAGCGGTGGCCAGAATCCAGACGCAATCCATGACTCAGCCGATTGATCTATGGAGAGGTTTGACATTCTTCCATGTCATGGCGCAGTGTTCATGGTTGATGGATGACCTGGAGATGTAGGTGCCACTGTGCTGTTGCTGGTGGCATATTGAGCCTCCCCCACCTTGACATTGACAGCCGCCAGTTCACGCTCAGCACAACCACTCACCGTCATGTAGTCGCAATACTCAACCAGCATTTGGTGCTGTTTATTGTGGATTATTGCTCATTGATACTTTACAATGGCTGTCCCGACAAAAAACCCGAAAAGAGTTCAAGCTGCCATGTTTTACAGCGCAGATTGAAGATATCAAACTCACGGCGAAATTCATCACCACAACACAAATGAAGTACTGGGATCGAATTGGCAGACGGTGGGTATAGGCATACTGCCATTGTCCTTTTATTCTGTTTTTATTCCTACCGTTTAATTTGACCGGGAAGTGATATGTTGGCTTGGTACGTTTCTCTTTGCACAGACAAGCCTTCATGCCAAGCCTTCTAGTCAAAACTGCCCGAAGGGGCTAGTGACGCAATCTCCGGGAATACGAAGCAGGTAAAATATCCGGATTACAGTGGATGTTTGTCGAGTCGCGTGTATGGCTGAAGAGCCTTGTGTAAACGAAAGATCCAGCGATGTACGTCCACTACGAGAGAGTCCATGCGTCATGATTTGGAGAAACACGTAGATCCTGTAGGGGTACCTTTTTTGCAGGAGATCTGCTCATCAAACAGGTAAACCTTTTGCGTTTTAGATAGAGTATCGTTATGATCTGGCATTTCGGACCGCATCCAATGAATCGCACGGGGTGTGTTTGGGCGAAGCACAAGATGTCGCTGCTTCAGGCTAAAAGTAAGGGGGCTCGCAGGAGCAGATGCGGGCGATATGCGCCGACAGATTGCAGGCGGAAACTAGGCTTGGAAGCGCTGCATAGGATATTACTGAGCGCGCCGAGGGGCGTGAAACAGAAAAAAAAAGAATTTATTGGTTTGCCAAGTTGGCCCCAAGACATATGCAGTGGACGGGGAGGAGAGCGAGGAGAGATGGGCTTCGTGTGATGGCATGAATTATGATGCCCGCAAAACGGGACATAAAAATATGAATTAAATATAACTCTCTCCTACTATGCTTCAGCAATGCCCTTGATTTTTCCTATGCTCTATTTTTACCATCCCGACTCCCAATTCCCGTATCTTCTTAGTGGCCGTTCTGTACGCGGACAGCCTAGTGTACACAATGCATCTCGTTGCCCGCCAAGGCGCCCCGCCACAAACACCCCCCTGCACCACCGCCAAGACGCCCTTGGTTCTAGCGCACTCTCCCCACTAGCTTTCCCTCAACGCATCGCTGGAAGATCCCCTGGAATGCTGCCCTTGTTCGCCGTTGCCTTCGTCCCCGTCATCCATTCTACTGCGTTTGTCTCCCTGTTCCCTTTTTTCCATCACTCTTGGCGTCTCTTCGATTTTCTACTTCTTCTTTTCTTTTCCAAAATCCTCTCTTTTTCTTTTTCATCTCCTTTTTCTGCTAGAATCGCCATTCGGCTCGCCTGACACGCCGTCCCCCCAAAAACGACGCCTCTCGCTTTTCTTCCAGATCGGCATTCCATCTTTTCCTTCATTTAACCTTGTCGCTGTTTTACCCGGCCTTATCCTCCTATTGTGCCACGCTTCCGACTTCACGTCAAGCCTTAAGAGCTTAGCTTACGCAACTGCCTGCCGCAAGACGACAAAACTATTTCCTTCTGTGTTCTTTAATTTCATTATTTCCGTTTTCTTCCAGTCGGGCTTCCTTTCATCGACGCGTCCTTGGTCCGATATAAACTTCTGGACGGGCCACAACTCTCGCCCCTCTCCATTTCTACCGCCTACAGTCGCTGGCCGACAAACTTTCTCCTCCTGCATCTTTGGTAATCTTTCACTATGGTGGGCCGGATACCTATCCTGGGCATATCTGCCTTTGTTTTTATATGCATTCTCTTCTCTCTTGGTTATAACCATGCCGACAATTTCAATGCCAAGCCTCTACGGTATGATTGCTCTCCTAGCCCGTCGGTTGCTTATCCTAACAGCCTCTAGCCCGTACGAGTACAAATCAAAAGCTCCAGATGGAACATTCGATCCTCTGGACTTTTACTTTAACACTCTGTACAAACCCAGTGTAAAGCCTACAAGCTCTTCATATAAGCCTAGCGACGCATTCGCATGGCCCCAGTCCAACGACGTGTACTGGAAAGATAACTTGAAGAAGCGATTCTGCATCATTGATCTTGATAACCGCCCTTTGAATGGCAGACATCAGATTTTTGGCCAGGATATTCTCAGCTGGGAACATGGTCGAGAGGTTCACGGGCTATCGGCCGGCATCTTAAACCATTGGATATACAGTATGTGTGCAATTCAATCGCATATTTCAAATGTTGTCGTGCTGCCACTAACATGCCGTTTTAGGCAAAATTCACGGTTACAAGTACTACTTTGTTCAAATTGATGAGCCCAAGGATCGCCGCGCCTCGTGGAAAAAGGCCGTCATTATGACCGAAATCCTCAAAAAGCATGATGCGTGTGTCTTCATCGACAGTGACGCCATCTTCCCTCACCTTGACCTACCCTTTGAGTGGCTCATGAACTACTGGCAAATCAACCCGGACAACAACTCTCTTGCTCTTGCCAGCGACCCAGATGAGGACTACAACAAGGATAGATGGGGTAGAATCTACCTCAACACAGGATTCATCGTTGCCCAAAATAACGCCAAAACCTACCAAATTCTCGACGCCTGGAACAGGTGCGCTGACGATGGAGAGCCGTATGCCAACTGCACAGAGTTCCGCAAAAACTCCCCTGGTAGACCAACAGACCAAGGCGGCTTTGGCACATATATCCGCTACGATTACTTCGACGACATCAAAGAGCTCCCGTGCACCGAGGCTAATGGATTTCCCCTGTCAGGTACTGATTGCCATGGGCAGTTCATCCGCCATTTGTGGACTGGCAAAGATGATCATATCAAGGTAGAAGTTGGGACGCAAACGCCGGGTCCATACCTAGAACTTTTACATCGCCAGTTTCTGGCTGAAAAGTCCAGTTTCCACCTAACGGAGAAGCAACTGCTGTACGGCACACCCTAGGTAGAAGTGTGTGGTTCACGACCATGTAACATATCAAAAGTCGCACCTAATCAAACGATACCCTTTTTTGTTTAACCGTCGCGCTACGCAAATACATACATATTAGTCACGTTCGAGGCTTGTTTGCGTCACTAAATGTAGACTACGATCGGTGATTTTCCATTTTTGAATAAGGCTCCATTAAGCCCGATTAATGTACCCCAATGTTAACGAATTGCTTACCAAGAATGCGGCATCTATGTGAATGGCGATGTCGATGAGGTTAAGTCCATTGGTTAAGTCCGGTGTGGGACCCTGCCCAAAACGATAGCCAGCCCACCAACGCCTCGACATCAATTACGACCTCGGAGCTCCCAACATTACTTCTTTCAAGATATAAAAGTCACATCCTATGCTTAGGCGGCTTGCAATTCAATCCAAGATCTTTTCAAAACACCAAGCAACAAAAATGGTACAAAACCTAACCCTCACTTCGACAAAAAAGCTGCCCTCTGGCCACGAGATACCCCTCCTTGGATTCGGCGTGAGTATACACTACGCATCCCCATTATGACAAGATCTAACTCCTTAAACTAGGTCTATCAGGTGTATGTAATCAGCTACATTCTGTCAATGTATAGGTAACATCAAACTAACTTGCGCAGTCAAAGAGCCGAGGCGACAGACATCTGCAAACAAGCCATCCATGCTGGCTACAGACATGTACGTCAATCCATATCTTCAAGCGGTCGTATTGCCTAACTGACTGTGTAATAGATTGACTCCGCATCCGCATATACAAACCAAGGAGAATGCGCCGCTGGTATCCCGGCATCCAAGGTTCCTCGCGATGAAGTCTACTTCACCACAAAGATCCCAATGCGGGCCAATCCACTCAGCTATGAAAACGCCCATAAGCTTGTCGATAAGGCTCTTGAGGACACAAAACTTGGCTACCTCGATCTTGTCTTGATTCATTCACCCTACGGTGGACCAGAGAATCGCAAGGGGGCATGGAAGGCCCTTGTTGAATGCGTAGAGGCAGGCAAGGTGCGATCGATTGGCGTCTCCAACTATGGTGTCCACCACCTTCAAGAGTTAGAAGAATACATCAAGGAACTAGAGCAAGAGCGTGGCGCTGGCAAAGGCGGTGTCATCTCTGTTGGACAATGGGAGCTGCACCCCTGGCTCACTCGTTCTGACATTGTCAGTTGGTGTGAGAAGCGCGACATTGCCCTCCAAGCATACTGTCCGCTTGTTCGTGGTGAGCGCCTGGACGACCCCAAACTTGTCGCCCTTAGCAGCAAATACGGCAAGACACCGGCGCAGATTCTACTCAGATGGAGTCTTCAAAAGGGCTTTGTGCCACTGGTCAAAACAGTAACACCTTCAAGACTGACTGAAAATGCTGATCTTTACGACTTTGAACTTTCTGAGGAGGACATGAAAGACTTGACCACGGAGGACTACAGTCCCTGCGCCTGGGACCCTACCGTAGAGCCTCTTGAAAAATAATAGTTTAGAATTCTGGAAGATTTCTCATTCGCTTATAAATATACATTTTATCACAATCGCAATATGCTTCCAAATAAATATCAGCTCACAGCGGCGCAGCATCGATGACGTAGAGTGTAAGTCATCACGTGATGGCGCTGCATTCACGCGTTTGAGGCTATCGCCAGATGCGCTCCAATGTCAACATATGTATGTAATCGCTCGAACGCTGGCGCCGAGTGGCCAACCACTAAAATGTCACGCCAAAATACATTCACAGTCATTCCACAGGCCGCCGGCCAAATATTTGATGCTCGAAGGTCGGCATCACCAGCGCCATTTTCCGGCCGCGTGATGACATCCAAACAAGTCAAAGAGGCATACAAGAAAGCTACAAAAACGCCGACTATGACAAAGGCTGAACGCCGGCGATGGGAAAAGGAAGAGCAGGAACGCATACGAAAAGAATTCGAGAAGGAAAAGGCGGCTGCTAAAGCCCGCGCGGCTCGCGAACGGAAGAAGGAGAAAGAACTTGTGGAGATGGAGAAGAAGAGGAAGAACGGACTGCCGTTAGTCAAGGTTCGGCCGAGTCAGGATACGATTGCGCGATTTGTTAGAGGAAATGGGTCTGGAAAGAAGAGGGACTCTACGGGCAGCACAGTCGAGCAGCCGGAAAAGAGTATCTTGGAGGAGGTGACGGATGAAAGCGATGCTCGGGATACACCGGTACTAGAGGGCGAGGCAGCCGTGCCGCCACCAGAAAACAACGAAACAACAACATGCGGTCCTGAACAGGATCTGATACAAGACTATACTCCTGAAATTGAAACTGCTGCAGCAGTACCGAGTCCAGTTGCGGTACAAAGCGACGCCCAAAAAGTTACATCACCAGAGGCTGATGATCTGGAATTCGAAGAGGATTCGCAAGAAATGTTACTATTGGAGGATGCACTTAAAGAGGTCGATAAGATTGAGCAAAACGCCAGACAAAGTGAACCAAAGCAGGCAGAAGCAACACATGTTGCCCCTCCCAGCAATCCTAAACCTCCAGTCGCCCGCCCAGCTGTTGAGGAGGAATTCTTTGGTGCCAGCTTGGAAGATTCTGCCTTCGAAGACGCATTTGGCGATGAATTGTTCGAGGTGCCAGTCCCAGTAACGGCAGTGGTCGAGCCAGTGCCGGCTCCTGCACCACCACATCCAAAAGCAGAGCCAACGCTCTCAAGTGAACTTGAGGACATGGTCGACGACCTTGACTTAGATCTGTTCTCAGAAATTGATGATCTAGGCCTGCAGATGCTTGATACTCTGGAGAATACAGCAGCAAACGCTGCGAATAAACCCATAACACCACCCGCCTCTACATCCAAACAACATAAACAACAAGCAACACCGGCGGCGATATCACCAACACCGTCGGCATACACATCAAGGCTACTACCTGCCAAATCAACGCATCCTCGTCCTCCACAGCGTACTGAGCCTTGCTTTGCCAAGCCTGCTTTACCAGTACACACTCCACGCAAATCACCCCGGTTATCCGGCTCACACTCCTCATCTCCAGCTTCTCATATTCCCACTCCACCTCTGAGCACGCAGGCCATTCTCTCCAATATCGACGATCTATTCCCCTCGTCTTCACAGCAAGCACGGGAGCTCGAGGAAGAATTCCCCTGCTCCTACGCCCCAGCAGCAAAGCCACTGCAACACAACCCGTCGCCGAGGCCTTTGCACCATGCTCCTCCGGCACGCTCAACGCCATATCAACCACCCCCAGTACAGACTAAACCTACCAATGCACCTCGCTTTTTCACATGCTCAGGTGGCAGAGAGCAGCTATCGCTTGCTTTACACCGCAGTCGACGCAGCGCAGCCATGGAGCAGCTGCAAGAGAAGGAGCGCGCAAAACGTGAGGCTGGCCTTGCGATTCAACAAAGCAAGCATGAAGCCAAGCTCGCAAGCCGAGCACAACAAACATCTGCCCCTGTGAAAACAGTAGTAGTTCCCAATAAGGAAAACGTTTTGCCTGTGCCTGGGTCACAGGAGTCGGAGTATGGAGGAGCATGGCTGGATGATATTGCGCTCGACATGGCATTTTGATACCCCCTTTTTTATATAGCTGTGTTCCGAGTTAGCTTGAAACTTAAACTGATGAATGAAATGACGCTTTGGTTTAAATACACGCTCCACATAGGTGGTTATGCATCTCACCCTATTCTGCGATGTGCACACGAAGCAGGCCAGATGGTTAATGGTATCTCGTAGACGTCATTAAGCGAACCCTATATGTATCTACTCCGCCGCTTTCAATGCTTTCTAGTATGCAATGCCGATGTTGCTCTTGGCAACATGTCCAGCTCGTATCCCCCATTCCTAACCAACGCCTTACATAGGCTTTCCTCTTGAAGCAAGAGAAGCCGTAATGGACCGCACATTGTATGTTCAAAAAAAGAGAAAAATAGTACAAAGTGTCGAGAGAAGCCAAGTTTCAGTATACCGAACACGTAGCTCCCAAGACTAGAGATATATCCCAATCCACTCGCCCTTATTGGTGACCTTGGTCTCACAGTCGGCTACGGCACACCGCAGCTCCGTGACGGGCTTGCCAAGCGGTTGGCGGAACCCAGTTGTTACAGTTGATGACTTGGTTGGCCTCCTGTTCTCAAAGCATTCTGCGCAGTAGACCTTTACAATAGCGTTAGATGACAACAAATGACCAAAAGCAAACACTAGAGTAACTTACATGCCCGCACTTCTTTAGAGCCCAAAAATGGTGCTCGCCGTGTGCTCTCTTACGCTTCTTTCCAGTAGCAGTGGTAGCGGGTGCTGAGGATCCCGCCACATCTGCTGGATCGTACGCCATCTCATCGTTACATGAGGGGCACACAACTATAGTTTCGTCCTCCTCCTCTGGGTTTGCACATGTGTTTCTCGTGAAACCTTCTCTTGCTGGGGGGTATTCTTCCAGTGGCGGCTTACTCGGCTCTCTAGGCGGAATAGGATATGGAGATGGATGTGCGCGAGTCGTGAAGTGATGGAAGTGAAGACCGTGCAAAGTGCTAGTCATATTAGAGCTTGCGTTAAGAATGCCGGCCAGAGACTCGCCAAAGGCTCTAGCAATCGACTGTAAGTCTCTCGGTCTCGTTTCCAAGGACTCCCATGAGTACGGAGCGTCTGGACGCAGGCGTGGTAGCCGGTTGTTACGGCGGCTTCGGCGGCCTTCTTCGTATGCAGGCGGAGGCGGATTGGACGGGTTGATGTCGTCGTCGCCGGTCAAGTCGATAAACTGGGACTCGGATGCAAGGACTATACTTTCGCTGCGAGCCAGCCGCGGCGGCGTGATCCTCACGGAGTTTGTCCGTCGCGGGTTACGACCCGGCGGTCTGGGATATACATGAACATGCTGCTGGTGCGGATGGTTATTCATGCCCGGCAGAGCAACTTGTGGTAGTCTCGAATGCACTGGCGAGTCAGGCTCCTCTGTCAAATCAATGACTGTCGTTTCTGCTGCCGGTGGCGCCTGCTGCTCGGCATCTCTGTGGCGTTGTCGTGAAGGGCGGCTGAAGGATGGTGGTAGAGGGCCGTTGAGGATATAGACTTCGGGATCGGGTCTGCCGACTCTGCCGACGTGGATTTCGATAAGATCGTCATCGCTGAGCACGTCGCGGCCAACATCCCCGGCCTGGGCCATTATGTAGCGGTATTGCAGGAAGCAAAGAGCGATTGATTAGGCCAGCCCTGCAGCGGGGAGGATGACGGATGTGGTTGTATGCAAAGGGCAACGGGTGCCGGAAGGTTTTATATCGGGCCAGGCGAATTAGGCTGTGAATAATAGGCTGCAAGAGGCTGGCGTGGAGAGGATCTGATTTCAGGTGGCAAGGCGGTTAGGTTTGTTGCTTACGCGCCGAGGGCGGGCAGCCGGGCGTGAGGATGATTGGTATGGAGGCAGCGGTGATGCCTTGTTGCGTGCATGGGTGCCGTATAACAGTAAATGACGGGGCGCTGGCGAGAGCCTCTGATTTAAGGTTGCTCCGAAAATAGGCGAATCCGCACGTACACGCGTCTCCAAGGCCGATGGCAGACGGGCGATGGTGTCGTGGCGACAGCAGGGGGTTTTGGTGGTGACGAGAAAATCAGAAACACAAAGCACACCAAGTTGGTAAATGGCGATGGCGAAAATGCTCGTTCACTGACAACACTCACTCACTGCCTGCTGTGCGCGTTCCGTCACGGGCATTTTTGCCGAAAGTGGGGGTGCATTTAGGCAAGGATTCAGCGGGTGTTCAGCGGGGTTACAACAAGGCCAGCAGTGGCTTACAGCGCTCCGCTGGAGATTGGTCACGCTCAGTGCTTTCAGGGGCCACCTCGCTCGTTTTTCAGGTGGCAAATCGGAATCTCTGCACTAAAAAAGCGACAGCGTCCAAAGATTTCATTGGCTCGCTGCCGATGTGTGAAGGGCTGCACAGTCAGGTGCGTCATCAAGGTCACTAACAGGAGGCCGCAAAGGTTAGAAAGCGAGAGACAATAGAGTCGGTACTACGAATTAGTACATTAATACAAAGTTACTAAATGCAAAACAAAGCATAAATGATGTACTGTATACGGTTTTTGGAACAAGCGGTAATAGATATCAGATATACGCATGACAAGAAAAACATAATCCATTGTTTAGTATACAGCGAAATCAACAGTGCACGGCTTTTCTGCACTCCGGAGAAAAATGGCCCTTCATTTTTTGGGTTTCCAAAGGCATTGCTTCATTTTCTGTCCGCTCTGAGAGAAGATCCAACAATCTATTCCTTGTTTCCGAATACACTAATCACGCCGTCACCGTTCACAGCAAGGAGCTTCTTGCCTGACACACCCCAGCGGACAGCCACAGCGGCGTTCGAGGTGCGCAAAGGCTCCGACCACTTCTTGCTGCTCTTGGTGTACTGTTGAACAGTCAGTCCCGTAGGACCGGCCGTAGCCAGGAACTGGCCTGTGTAGTCCCATGATACCGACTGCACAGCACCGCCGGTCTCGAGAACCTTGGCGGTAGCGGCATCGCCCTCCTTGCGCAAGTCGAAAATCGTAACGCTAGACTGTCCCTTGGCGCTAGCCGCAAGCCAGAAGCCGTTTTCTGAAAAGTCAAGTGCTTGGATAGGAGCGCCTAGCGAGAAGACGGCAGCCTGCTCCATCGTCTTGGTCATGTAAAGCTTAATGTCGCCAGACGCTGTGCCGGCGGCCAGCAAGTGTCCGTCAGGGTGGAAAGCGCAAGATGTAAGTGCTAGTAGATTGTTAGCATTGTTATACATGGTGTCATGATAGTGTATAGAGTACTTACCAGCATCGGCGTATGCGCGGCTGACGCGCTTCATGGAAGCCAGATCGTACAGAATAATGCTCTTATCAGCACCAACAGATGCAATCAACTCGCCGCTAGGGTGTGAGCTAAGAGATGTCGTGGCTCCAGAGTGCTCAGAAAGAGCGCCAACCTCGGCGCCGTTCTCGAAGATCTTGACAGAACCCTTGCTGGTGCCAAAGAGAACCTTGGATCCAGTCCAGAGTGTGCTGGTAATGGGCTCGTTGACAGTCAATTGTCTCTCAGCCTTATCAGCTTCAACAGAATAAATGACGGCATCGCCAGCAAGACCACCGACAGCAGCATAATCTTCCAACGAATCGAGCGAGGTGGTTTGCTGGGCGGGAAGAGCGGTGGTGGCGGCAGCTTCGAAGGCAGAGATTTCGTCCGAGGTAACCCAGCCAGCGGGAACAGGTCGCTTCTTGCGGCTCTTGGATAGGCTAAATCATGCATGTTAGAAGATGTGGCGAATGTCAGAATAGCCAACGACAAAACATACCTGGCATGTACTTCATCAACACGAGCGGCGAGCTCTTCGGGCAGACCCTCTGCGCTGTCTACCATCATGGCATCGCCTCCAACGGCACCGTCTGTAACAGTAACCTTGCTCAAAGAGTCTCTGGCCTCGTCTCGTTCTCTGGTGAGTCTGGCGATGACGCGCACTGCAGCATCGTGCTGGTACAAGGCGGTAGCAAGTTCCTCCCGTGTTCTTGCGAGCTGCTCCTTGAGGTTATATGTTTCTAAGGCTAGGTTGTCCCATTCTTGCTGGAACGTGGAGAGAAGGGCGGGGATCGAGGTCAGTGCCGGAGGGCGAGGGCGCACGATACGGGAGGAGGTGATGGGAAGAAGGTCGTCCGAGGTGAGGGCGTCGCCAGTGTTGGGTTCGGTGCCGTGCTCGTTGATGTACTGCTCAATCAGGCGCTTCTCGTAAACAATGCCTATTTATCAGTTAGCTAGTCGCCCTGTATAATGCGCAAACGTCTGTGCGATCAACCGTACCGGACTTCTTGGACGCGACTGGCTCTTGGGGAGTTTCTCCCGAGACTGCAACAAGCTGGTTAGCATGGCGATGAAAGAAAAAGGTATCAATTCGGGCCAACACGTACTTCCGCAAAGCATGGCGACCGATACTCTGAGCTTCGAGAGCTGTCAATGGCTATGTTGCTGTGTGATAAAAGCGATGGAAATCGGCGTCTAGCAAATCTGTCGCCTAGTGCTGCACAGTACTGTTTCGCGATCAGGCATCCCGGCTGAGATTTTTCCGGCCGCAGAGAGACTGGTGTGCACGGGCCAGCGCAAACAGCACCAGCGAGCACAGAAGCGGGTCACGAGGTGATAGTACTACTGCGATAAGCACCCTTTACGCCCAAACACACCACCTCCCCCCGAAGAACAGCTGACGGCCACTAAAAATGCTCGCTGCTGGGCGATGTTACAGCGTCCCCCGGCGGTAGCCCCACCACTACCGGGGACCACCGCGTCACCGGTTGGATGCATGCTGCCACAGACGCAATAGTCCTGTGGTGGGCTGGCTCTTATTCAATAAAGTGGTTTTACTTCCCCGAATCCCTCGCAGCTCCTGTTTCTACTTGTTTTGTCATTATCTGTTTTGGTGGGCTCTCATTGTCATCCATCATCTTTTGAGTTGAAACTTAATCAAGCAGCATCACTATAGTTCCCTTTTCAATTCAGCTTGGAAGGCCGCCGCCTGTACGACCATCATCTGCAGCAGCGCTTATTCCCTCTTTTCCCCCTCAATTTGGGACAGCAGAGCGTCTGTTCGAATCCGAAATATTTCGACTGTATTACAATTACCTCATATTAATCAAAATGGGATCTATACAACTCCCACATATCTCCAAACTCCATGCAGCAACGGATTTGGATCAAACAGCTGTGCTAGATGCTCTTTTCGAACCGAGCCCCGAAATTCATAGCACATTATTACCCGTCATACGAACTGCTGAATATTCCACCTATTTTCAGCTGATAGACGCATGCCAGATCCGCTTTCTTTCTCTTGCTGCTGCGTCGACCGTTGAAAGCCCGGACAAAACGCTGTTGTCAATCCTGGGGTCGCATCCCCGACTGGGTGCTAAAAAGGTCGAGTCGGCGCAATCGGTTGCAGAACAGGCCAAGCTAGGCGGTGAGAGTGAGGAATTGACAAAGTTGAATGAACTCTATGAGGAGACTTTTCCTGGACTGCGTTATGTCGTTTTTGTCAATGGTCGGGGGCGGCCGGAGATTATGCAAGACATGAGAGCGCGCATAGCCAGGAAAGATTACACCATGGAAGTGGCTGCGGCATTGCAGGTGAGGTGTCACAGCTGCATTTAATACTTGATATCAACAGCTAACAGATTTTTAGGCTATGTGTGACATTGCCAAAGATAGAGCCAACAAATTACCCATTCAGCAACTGTAGTCGTAGCCAGCGGCATTCCCCGAATTCGGCGTCCTGGCGGTTTACAAGAGTATCAAGAACAAATTTGGCTACTTTTTTAGGAAATATTTCACTACTTATTATAATGAAATTCCTTAGGTCTATACTATTTCGAAGCCTGTATTGTGCAACGTGTTAAAGCTCCTGAATATCGCTCTACGGCGTGTCGTAGGGCGGCATACCCTGGAGCTGTCATTGGTAGCAGCAATAAGGCCATTTGGATTGTTCTCCTATATCAATAGTCTTGAATTGTGCCCTCGTAAACTTTTTGATGTTTTTAGACTATATTAAACGTTATTTTAACCTCATTGCGCTCGTTATAGATTTTAGGATCGGTCTTATAAACCGGAGAGAGCCGTTAACTCTCGCTTATGTGGCCTGCTATACCATCTAGACAACACACACTCTTAACAATGGTGCGGAATTCTTTTTTTTAGTACCGGTCGAGTTTATAACAGAACTTGTTCCTTATTTCCAAATTATTGTTTAGTCTAGTCCTAGCAGGCGACAACAGTGTACGCGGCGGCGGCGTTACCAGGTCCGCCGCTAGATGAGCCGAGGCTTTCAACCCCGGGTCCCGCAATAGTACCTACAACGGCTTTTCTGCATGAGGCCGATTTGACTACCGAACACAATTTCCTCAGCCCGGCAGGAGTATTCGCGCAGAAACGATAGAAGCGGTGCGCAATCAACTAGGAGGATTCCGATTGCATCAAAAATCAACTACCACCAGCTTCAATGACGTGGCATCGCCCGAGCCTTGCAGAGGCCTTCGCCATCACAGCTGTACCTGTGGCACAAGACACCAACAGCGAGAGATTCATCAGCCACTATCCGCCATGGAAACTAGGAACTGAACTTCCAATACCGCCACCAGCATTCGGTGCGTTCGGAGGTACTGTTTATGGACAGGCAGCGCTGGCAGCCGCTCGGGCCCATGAAAAGAGGGTATCCATTGAGAGTGACAAGGACGCGCGCATGGGCATATTTGTGAGTATTACAAGGGAATCATTGATGAATAACGTCTCACAATGACTAGTCTATCCAAGGAGTCTTCACACGGCCGGCAATCCAAGACCGCCCATTTGTCCACGATGTGACTCCTATACAAAATGGCCGATCGTTTGCCGCGTATTTAACCTCAACTCGACAATCGACACAACCATCCAGCATACCAAAAGGCCCTTTCTCAGTTTCTGATGCGAACCTTCCTTTGAACGAGCCTTGTTTCACTTGTATAACAACTATGGGTCGACCACGAGAGTCCCAAGTTTCATTTCAGCAGCCAGTATCAGCGCAACAAATGTATCACAGCATACTCTCCCAAAGAGCTCCTGATCAGTGGGACTCATGCCCACAGCTAGACTTGGAGCCTACTGTCCAATTATTTCCCAACGCTGGTCACGGCGCATTTCCTATCTTGGACATGTACAAAGTTGATATGACGGAATTCAACAAAGATAAACCCTATACTGACAGACGAGAACTGCTCTTCTATCGTCCACATAAGCCGATTGCGCAAGATGATCCAAATGCGCATATTACTGCACACGCATACGCATCTGATAGAAACGGTCTATTAATGCTTGCAAATCATGTTGGATTTGCACGGTCGTTTAAAAAAGCAGCGACTCTCTCTTATTCATTCTATGTTCACTCGAATGCCAGCGAAGCAGTAATGGATGATAAAGGGTGGTGGCTCTTGGAATTCAGATGGACACGAGCTGACGCTGAACGGTGCATCATGGAGACTAAAATATGGAGTCCCGATGGTAAACACATAGCCAGCGGATATCAAGACGGGGTTTTATCGGCTCATGATACTACAAAGGTCAAACTGTAATATTGTAATAAAACTATAGACGGCGAGAATATAGAAATAGAAGATGTTGCTTATATTACCTTCCATAGAGCCAGGCACCTAAATATATGTATATATACTCTAATCAACAATACAACGACTATGTATGACAGATATCATGTTTCTATTCTAGAGTACGAAGTTTCTGACATTGCCTATGTACCACCATCCTTTTGCCTGGTGTTCACCGAACGTGAGTTTTGCCACCACACGCAACTGGCAGGCCACAGGTTGAAGCTACCATCTGTCACAGCTGGCGGACATGTAAACAAAAATGCCGTCATCAAGGCCCCTGCCTTCTCTTCTAAACCTAGACATTACAATGTATACTATTACACCTAGAAATCCAAACATTGGACAAGTCTACACCGAAGTCCTGCGTTTAACGTTGAATTGCGTTTCAATAACTATTTCCTACCACCTGCTTCTGAACACCCAACGCTATGGAAGATTCCAAAACAGTAGAGGTACTTATCCTATTACAAGTTAGTCCAGTACTGATCACTAACAAACATCACTAGACAATCTCATCAGACCATGGCGATAGTGTTGGGTTGAGCCAAAATGCGTTGAAGCTCCTATCCAAAAGGTTCGAGCACGTCTATGAAGTGGATCAAGTTAGGGGAATATACCTGAAGCCATCTACTCTACGAGGCACGCCAACTAAGAAACTCGTGGAATCTTCACCCGAGTGGGATCCATCATGGGCATCACTGGATGACTATCTGAAGAACGAACAAAAGGAACAACAAGCCAAGACGGAGACCCGTGAACAGCTGGCCTATACTCGACTAGTCGGTAAAGACTTGAACAGTCTCCTTAAAAGGCACAAAAGACACCAGGATAATTGCAGCAAACATACCAAAATCCTGGAAATCTTTGGGCCAGACACCACCTATCACCCGAATCAGCTCGTGGCACGACAGCATTTGCCTAGAGAGGGATTGTGTGACCAGGAGATAATGTATAAGCTGGCATGTAAAGTATCCAACATGCAGACCTTGGAAAAGTTTGGCTATCTTAAGATGGATCCATGGGACTTTATACGGTGGAGAGTCAACAACCTCTTGACCCATGAACTCCCACATGCCGCAGCCAGGGGTACCACCATTATCAAAACGATCGTTTCAAGGCTTGGAAGTCATCAAGAGACAAATTCCGGGTTTGTTGACCCCTACATGAGAGAACTGGTACTATTTGCAGCCAGGTTTGAGCAGCGCAGCAACTGCTACGGATCAAGAAGAGCGAAGGCGGTTCGAGACCGCCCGACAGTTGAAGCGTTGTACCGATTTAACTCACTTCCGACCAAACTATTTAGAAGTTTGCCTATATGCACATCAGTTCAAAAGCGTAAAACGGCCAGAGTTATTGCTAAACAGTCAAATGCTCCAAAGCGAAAGCATCTAGCATCAGGCACGGGTTACACTGGCGTAAATAACTTCAGGAAACACCAGACTTCGACTCCAGGGATTTGACTTGAAGGGCCACCGGTTGAAATATAACAATGCGAAGCTCTCACTTGATATACGACGTAATATTTCACGTTGGATGGGATCCATTTACTATCATTATGGGAATACCTTATGCCTACTGGGTAGGGATGGCACAATCGGGACCCAACGGCATCTTCCGACGACACGTACTTCACCGTTCTTCAAATTTTAACTGACGATGGGTTATAGATTGATATTGTAATACTATATGGTTTAGCTTGTTCGGGTTGGTCGACGTTAGCCATGCTCCAGATGCATTATTCCAGCAGTTTGCTGGTGGTGGTGGTAGAGGAAGCACATATGAAGTTTACGCACTCCAGGTCAGTAGCTAGTATGAATTATTAAATATACAGATTTTTTTAGAACAAATATATGAAATGGCGCATGGAAACTATGAAGAGTAATTTATAAATTGACATACGATAATTGCATGTTATTGCTCGGCAAGTCTGTACATCACGTGATGGTAATACGTCGACGCTGATTGGCCAATTCGTGGAAGAACTGGAGCCTCCTGTCGAACTTCGTCCCGAAGGTACCAGCTAATCTCACAAATCCCTCGACAACAGGCCTAGATCTTTACCTGCCGACCGCGCTCACGAAACACCTCTCCCCTCAATTCACACCCGATTTCGACATAATGTTCATGCAGCGAACTGTTTTCGCCGCGGCCCGCCGTGCTGCTGTTGCGCCCGTCGCCACTCGCGCCTTCACAACCTCCTTCGTTCGCCGTATGCAATTTCCATCCAATGCCCTTCGACCGAGGCACCACCCGCCATGCCATCGAATGATTATGCTGACCGTGTTTTTTTCTTGATGAATAGGTGAAGCTACCAAGGCTCCCGCCGCCGCTGCTGCCAAGTCCGTCACTGGCTACAAGACCCTGACTGGTACGTTTTTTTTTCTTCGTCAGCTGCCTGCTTGGACACAAGCCTGGCATCCACGACGACCACATATCAGGAGACTAACCAATTCATTAGAGATCCGCTCTGACGACGACCTCTTCGGCCCCGGTGCCAAGCCTGGCACTGTCCCTACCGACCTTGAGCAAGCTACCGGTCTCGAGCGTCTCGAAATCCTCGGCAAGATGGAGGGTGAGGACATCTTCGACATGCGTCCCCTCGATGCCTCCCGCAAGGGCAACATGGAGAACCCCATCATCGTCCGCTCTGCTGGCGAGGAGCAGTACGCCGGTTGCACTGGCTACCCTGCTGGTTCCCACGTCGTTACCTGGCTCGGCGTAAGTTTTCATATTCCACCCAATGGGATGACTAGCTCTTTGTAGAGGGGAATTGGCTGCTAACGTGTCTTCTCTTTTTTAACAGCTTTCCGTCGACCGCCCCATTGAGCGTTGCCCCGAGTGCGGCAACGTCTACAAGATGGAGTACGTCGGCCCTGAGATCGACCACCACGGCCACCACGGCCCCGAGATCGAGGAGCCCAAGACCTTTGCCGACTTCATCAAGCCCGAGTACCGCTACCAATAAATTTGTTCGCCACAGCGAGCTAATTACAAAAAAAGTTGAATCGGTGTTGAATTAGACGGCCGGGATCGCTTAATTGGCGGATACCCCGTGTTTGATATACTATTTGCTGTTGGGGGTGATGTGAGGTGGAATCATTAGACTATGAAGATATTCACACGAGAAGGGCGGAACAGGGGCTGTCTGTGTAGATTATCGTGGCATTTGTGCTTTCCCTTTGTTACAATTTATACATTTTGACTATAACGCGATGTTACCGTATCTGGCTCCTTTGTGATTGTTTAATGTTTTACATTTTTATTTGTTATTCTGATGTTATAAGCCGTTTAAACTTCGTCAAAGCTTAGCTTAATCTTCTTTACTTTCTTCTTGGGCTTCTTGCCGGTAGCTACAGCATCATCCTTCTTATTGTTGTTCTCTTTTGTTTCCTTTGTGCTTGTCTTGTCTTCTTCGATAGACCCTGCATCGCCAATCACTTTGCCAACCTTTCTTTTCCGTGCTCCAAATGAAATTTTACTGTCTTCATCCTTTTTGGAATCCTTGGCGTCTTCTTGTGATGCTTCTTGCTCTTCATTGCCAGTCTTAGATTCCGTCTCTTCCACGGTACCATCCTTGGACACTTTGACAGCTATGGCGTTGCCATCCTCGTCAACAACCAGAGGTGCATCCTCAGCCTCTTCGGTGCCGGAGCGCTTTTTAGTAGGCCGTCTATGAGAAGATAGAATAGGATCCGGGCCTTGAGTGCCCGCGGCTTGTGCCTTGAGAGCTGCAAGAAATGGCGGAGGAGCAGAGTCGTATGTGAGATTCTTGGAATTGAATTTTTGTGCCATTGTTGTAGAGTATGCTGCTCCAGTACAGCTGTGATGATGTAATGTATTCCGAGTTCCGCCGAATGTGAACAGCGCCTGCGCCGTCGATAATGGTTGAATATGCAAGGGCATGCCGCGAGATAAGCTTTAGCCGTCACTCTTTGGGAGTTGTCGCGAGCGTGGTGGAATGTCCCAATGTAGTTTAGCGTGGATGGTGTGGCCAGTCAGACGGAAGCAAAAAAAAAAAAAAAGTGATGCTGTAACAAAAGCCGGATAGGCGCTGCAACCTGGTAAATTAGCAGCCACAGGCGCTGAAATTCGCAGCTGCAGCGCTCCCCTTTCGCGCCCCCCTCGCCCCCGAAAAATTGCCAGGCGATCCCTCGTGGCCGCAAAAAGTAAGGCCAAGTCGTCGCTAACTCCTTTCCTCCCCTTCCCCTCCACCTTGCACCGACTTCATCGTCACGCACGCCGCGAAGCATCCTTTTGCACTTCTCTTCGCTTTGCAACGGGTTCAGCCCTCGCGTTGAGCCTCTTGCTGAATACTCTTTGGCCGCACCGGCGTGCCATTGACCACCCCCAACGTCTCCCGCCCCTTGGCACTTGACGACACCTTGACAAGTCGCGCGCACTATCCGATCTCGACCGATTAGGAGATCTCGCAACAGCGGTCTTCCTTTGCCATTCGTTACCACATCGCTGCAATTGGGATTTTATCCGACAGTCGTTATACACGAAATCTCTTTCAATCCGCATTTCTAGTCGGTAGCTTCTTTTTGCATTTCAAGGGTCCCCTCATCCCGTACAGCGAGCGCCCCTGAAACCCCCAGAATCACAGCTACATATACCTTGCTGCCCTGAGACATCAACGACCAGACCTGGGTTCCCTCATTATTCTCTATCTGAGAGTATACGCCCTATTGATAATTCTTAATTTATTCACAACTGCGTTTGCCGCCCTCCAACCATGGATTTGATTCGCCGGGCCAGCAGAATGGTCCCCGGACCCAGCAGCTTTGAATTACTGCCCACGAACGAGGAGAAGCGTCGAGGAGGAAACAACCAGGCCCGCGGAGTGCACCCTACTATCGCGTTCTTCCGTCGTCCCCTGCGTCTACGTGGAAACTCTGCCATTTCAGTTCCCCTCGGAGTCGTTGTCTTCTTCCCCGTGCTCGTCATATTTTTGATCTTTGTGCTCTTTATTAGACACCCCAGCGCACCGAGCGGGCCTTTGATGCCACCAGGTGCTCCTCCTGGCATCAGGTAAGATATCATCAGCGGAATGGACACACCGGCTGGCATTGCTAACGAAAGTTGCAGGAAAATTAGCGAAAAGTATGACAAAGTCTTTGAAACCGGCTGCCGTGAGATCGACAACAACAAGCCCCGAGCCAACGCCACCCTGGTTATTCTGGCCAGAAATAAGGAGATTGATGGTGTTGTACAGTCTATGAAGTCCATGGAGCGCCACTTTAACCGCTGGTACAACTATCCTTACACCTTCCTCAACAACGAGGAGTTTGACGACAACTTCAAGAACACTGTTCGCAACTACACCAGCGCCAATGTTGAGTTCGGTTACGTTGGCCCTGACATGTGGGGATTCCCTGCCTGGGCTGACCCCAAGGTTGCTAAGGAAGGTATTGCCAAGCAAGGTGACGCCGCTGTCATGTACGGTGGTCTTGAAAGCTACCACTCCATGTGCCGATTCTATTCTGGATTCTTCTTCAACCACCCTCTTCTCCTCAAGTACGAATGGTACTGGCGTGTGGAGCCGGAGATTACCTACTTCTGTGACATCACCTACGATCCCTTTTTGGAGATGGAGAAGAATGGCAAGACATACGGCTTCACCATTGCTGTCAAGGAACTTCGCGAAACCGTGCCCAACCTTTTCAGATATGCCTCTGCCTACATGCGCACCAACAACCTGACCTCCAAGGGACTCTGGGAAATGTTTGTTGAACCTAAGCCCAAGGGCGAGAAGAAGATCTGGGAGCCCAAGTTTCCCCAAGAAGCCATGAACACGGAACCCGGCACTCTCCCGGACATCGACCTCGAAGCTATGGAGGGTGAAAAGTACAACATGTGCCATTTCTGGTCCAACTTTGAGATTGCTCGTCTGGGCTGGTTCCGCAGCAAGGAGTACCAAGACTTTTTCGAAATGATGGATCGTAGCGGTGGTTTCTGGATGGAACGAGTGAGTTTGACAACATCTAGATTATAAAGGATTTTACTAACATGATATGAACAGTGGGGTGATGCTCCTATCCACTCTCTCGCTGCTGGAGCGCTCCTTGGTGTCGAAGACATTCACTATTTCCGCGATATCGGCTACCGACATACAACGATCCAGCACTGCCCGGCCAACGCACCCCAGCGCCAGTTGCCCCATATCCCCTTCCTCGAAAAGACGACTCTTGATAGCAAGAAGCGTATTGAAGAGGATGAGTACAGGAGCCGCCACGACGAGCCCAAGACCAACGGAGTTGGATGCCGTTGCCGATGCGACACTGACATCCCTGATGTTGAAGGCAAGGAAGGCTCGTGTACTCCCGAGTGGGTTGACGTTGCCGGCGGCTGGTCCAGCCCTTAAATGCTCTTGAGGCACGGTTTTTCATATCGTGCAGCACTTTGCTTGGTAAAAGACGGCAAGGTCAAACAAATGCCTATCAATGATGGAGCATTACTGCATGCTGCCGCAGTGTCGTATGAACGGTTCAGACCGGAGAGGGCTTTTACCCTCTTGGCGTTATCTGTTACATCAACTTACCATGTTGGAAGCAACATCTTTCCTGTAAACAAGGGGATGCTTCTGGGGAAAAGACAGGAAAGGTTGGAAACTATATTTATTCGTTTAACATCTGGATTGGTGTTTTAGGGATGGGAAGAGAGAATGCTGCGGTGACGGTGTGAACCGCAGGAATTTCTCTCGCCCGCTTGCTTTGGTTCGGTTCTGCGTTTTATTGTTTTGCCTTGATTACTGGATAGAGCTGGGGAAAATGCATATGTATTCTACAGAAAGCGAAAGCAGAATTAGAAGTTTAATAATTTGTCACATATAACTCTTGCTGGAGTTGGTACTGCGCTGGCGGTTCCCTGAGGTGAACACTTCCCCGAACAGAGGATACGACAACTGTCGATTTCAACTGTTAGAAGGCCTAAAATTTCAATATATACGGCTATGCAACATAATTGAACACGAAATAATTCTTTTATCAATTATACGCCTGTCTGGCGTGAGTTCCTTACCGCGGCGCGTAGTAAAAGTCGGCCTCAGGCACGTGCTCCAAGTGGACCCCTGCGCCTAGCGACTGGACTGGCGCAGACCAAAAACTTCATGGAGACTCCTTATTGAAATCACAGCATACGTCAATTCAACCACATCAACATGCCGCCTAGATTAGTATCGTCGCGGATTGTGGCGTCATGCTGCACTGCTTCTGCAGAAGCCTCCATTTCTTCTCTCTCGATGCGCTTAGCTGGCTTGCAGGTACAGCAAGCCCGACAAGTCTCCATCTTGGGTAGGCTCGCAAACGTCAAGGGATCCGTCAAAGACCGAAAGAGAGTTGGTCGCGGTCCTTCCTCCGGCCATGGCAAGACTTCAGGTCGCGGTCACAAGGGTCAAGGCCAGCACGGAAAGGTCAAGCCCTGGTTCCAGGGTGGTCAGACACCATTGATCGTCAAGCTCGGTCAAAAGGGTGTGGACAGCTTGTAAGGACCATTGACAAAGCCTAGATGGCGTATCAATTCCTATTTTACTGACTTAGTTCTGCAGCCGCATTCCCCAAATGGCAGAAGTCAACCTCGACCAAATTCAGAGCTGGATCGACCAAGGCAGACTCGACCCCACGAATCGGATTACACCAAAGGAGTTGATTGAATGCGGCATCATTGGCACTGTCAAGGACGGCGTTAAGATTCTCGCGCGTGGTGGAAGCTGCATTAAGCAGCCAATTGACGTCATGGTATCGCGCATTTCTGGAAAAGCGATTGAGGCGATCGAGGGTGCTGGCGGAAAGGTCACAACAAGATATTACACAAAGCTCGCGATTCAGCGCCTCCTTACTGGCGAATCGGTGAATACCGATCAGCCGCTACCTGTTGGCAAGGAACACGTCGAGAAGTTCGTGGCTGCAGCGAACAAGAACCCCTTCAACAGATACCGTCTCCCGGATCCCACTGGTCGTGAGGATATCGAGTACTACAGAGACCCCGCACACAGAGGATACCTCAGCCAGCAACTTGCTCCCGGCGAGTCGCCGTCACTGTACTTCAGAGTACCTGGCGTGACAAAGACCAAGACGGTCCGCAAGGTTAAGCAAGCGACGGCGACAGATGATCTGCTGTTTTAGTTCGAGGTGATGGAGGTGTACGACGCGAGCTGTGGTGAGCCGCGGATCGTGCAGTTTGTATAAAAATACCATACGTGTACAGATAATATTACCGAGAATAAAACTATGTTATAGTATGTTTTGTAAGCGTGGAGTTGTATGAATGACGCCAACTGGTCTGGTTGTGGCGTTGATATGAGGCTGGGAAACAACACAGACCCATGAATCGCGCAAGTAAGCTCCAGCACGGTGAGTGGTTTAGTTGTGACTGCATAGAACGCGTACAAGATAATTTATCGCTATTTCTGTTTATTTGCAGCGGAGATACAGCACCGAATTCTGCGCGACTCCGCCGCATCCCCTGGATTTAGACGTCATGCAATGCAATAGCGTATGCGGCTAGCGGCAACGGTGCTGCCCGCGCCCCCCAAAAGAGAGCCCCAACAGCGCCTGTTAGTGGATGCGCGGCCCCGCACGGAGCGTGGTTGACTCGTCCAAGTTTCCAGCCACGCCAGACACCTCCATCTGTTATCACAAACTCGTCCTTTCTTCACCATTGCAGCTTCATGCGTTGTTAGCGTACCTGTGTTTGATTTTCCATTCTTTGCTGCGTTTGCGGACTGCGGAAACGGCAAATTCACTTGCTTTTGCTGTGCAGACATCCCCTGGCGCTCGGTGACTGACCCGAAAGGTTGGTGACGACGACGACTCGACAGCACCGCCCGTGGCACCATTAGACTCGACATCGACCTGCAGAGGCGACCCGGCTGCTCGACGAGCTTCCAATAAACACTAGAGGTCACAGACGCTTTATCAGGCTCAAGTTCAGATACCACAGCAGAGCAAGAGCACCGCGCCGCTACGATGTCGCTCTTTGGAACCTCGCCGCCCGGTGACGACGCCGGGCCAACAACCCCGAAACGATCGCATACTCGAGGAGGCAGCAGCCTTTTTGACGATGAACCTTCGCCAGCCGGACACCGAAAGACGGGCTCATCCGGCGGTAGTGGCCTATTTGCTGACGAAGGGCCGGCCGGCGACGACTCGCCCTGGGACATGCCTACTCCGCGTAAGCAGCAGAGTCGAGCAGAGCTGATTCGCAAGCTTCTACCCTCTGCCGATGCGCCTGAGAGCTACATTGAAGTCTTTGAGACGGTTGTGCGTGAAGATGGCAACGATGGGCGCGTGTCGTCAGGCGGCATTGCCAAAGTCTTCGCAATGGCCCGGCTCGACGCTGATGCCCAAGCCAGTATCATGGCAATCGTGGCTCCTGGAAACTCTACGGACGCAACACTCGGGCGCAACGAGTTCAATGTCTTGCTTGCTCTGATTGGTCTCGCGCAAGAAGGCGATGTTATCAGCTTGGATGGCGTGGATGAGAGAAGACGCAGTAAGTTTGAAAACCCCCCATTCGGATCCGCTACACTTGTGGTGCCACCATTGTGAATTTGTTTGCAATCATAGGGATGGAAAACAGGTATTCTGTCTTTACAGATATGCTCGACTGCAATAATTTGCGTCTCAGGCCATTCCCTGATCCTGGCATCCCAACCCCAGTCGACGCCATTGTGGAACCGCAACCCCGGCTAACCGATATTCTTTCTTGCCACAGACTTGCCTCAGCCAAAGCTTTCTGGTATCACCACCGAAGTGACTCTTCCTCCCATTACCGAACTTGCTGCTAAAGCACCACAAACACCGAGTAAATCAGTCCAATCACCGCCTGAAGCCTCCCGCACCGGGCTACCCAAGACACCGGCTCTTGCTACCAGAGCAATGGACGATCCGGAAGACGATCCCTGGAACACCCCCGATATGCACAAAGGCCACAACCATTCGATTTCTAATGGTGTGAAGCCCAGTAAGCCTGTTGATGCTTACAACGGATTCACTGCAGCCTCGCCGCCCAAACCGAACCATACCTTGACCGACGCATATAAACCGGCCCTCCCTCCCGCGCCGGCCGAAGAACCTCGAGTCGAACCGCAACAAGCCAGCACCACTCCCAGAGATCAGGGCGCCTGGGGCTACTTTGGGAACAATGCTCCCGCTCCTAGCGGCTTTGCTGATGTTCCAGCAGCTACCGGCAACCCCTTTGGTAGTGATGGCCCTGGCCCTTCTCCCAGAATCAACCCGCAGCCTAACCCTCCCACGCGGGTAGTCAGCGGCCGAACTGGCAGCAGCATTGAAGAGAATATTCTTGTGACACTTATGCCCGGCAAGGAAGGTGTCTTCATGTTCCAACACCACAACTATGAGATTACCAGCATGCGCCGGGCCTGCAAGGTCATCCGCCGATACAGTGACTTTGTATGGCTACTAGACTGTCTGCAAAAGCGATATCCCTTCCGTGTTCTTCCTCTACTACCCCCGAAGCGAGTTGCTGTCAATGGAAACCACCTATCTAATGACGGCTCATTCATTGAGAAGCGTCGCCGTGGCTTAGCCCGTTTCTTGGGCGCTCTTGTCAGACATCCGGTTCTGAGCCAAGAGCAGTTAGTGGTCATGTTCCTCACTGTTCCTACGGTAAGCACGCTTTCCTTTACTATTTTGTCTGAATTTGTTCTAATCCTAATTAGGAACTGGCCGTCTGGCGCAAACAATCCACAATCTCTGTGCAAGATGAGTTCACCGACAAGCACATGCCTCCTGGTCTAGAAGACTCTCTGGCGCCAAATCTCGAAGACTTGTTTGCCCGAACCCGCGCCGGCGTTCGCCGCTCTGCCGAACTGTATATTAACATTTGTAATATCATGGATCGCCTGGTGAAGCGCACCGAGGGTGTTGCTGCTGACCATGCCCGCATCGCCATGTCTCTCATCTCTCTGACAGAGTCTTCTACGGATACGTATGCCACTGACACCAACGAGATCCCGCTCTTGAACGACGGTCTGGTCGCCATGAGCAAGCATCTCAGCACTTGCCAGACACTGCTCGAAGACGAGAGCCGCGGTTGGGAACAGGGTGTTCTCGAAGACTTGAAGAGGCAGCGAGACTCGCTCGTCAGCTTGCGTGAGATGTTTGATCGCAGAGAGCGACTGGACCGCGACACTATTCCGCAGCTAGAAAAGCGAATCCAGGCCAGCGAGACCAAGCTGACGGGTCTGCGCAACAAGCCAGAAGGAACGGTGAAGCCAGGCGAGATTGAAAAGGTTGCCGAGAGCATTATCAAGGTAAGATATTTCGTAATTGACTAGTTTACAGACACCTCAGTACTAATACGTTTGGTTACAGGACAAGGAGTCCATTGTGCAGCAGCACAACCGCTCCATCTTTGTCAAGGAGTGCGTGCGCGACGAACTCATCACGTTCCAGACTACCCAGTATCATATTAGCCGCTGGAACCAGGACTGGGCTGGCGAGCGCGTCAAGTATGCCGAGATGCTTGCGGATAACTGGCGCAGACTGATGGACGAGCTTGAGGGCATGCCTCTGGGCGACTAGTGTTGTGTATTGATTTGCAAGGAGTGGTTATACCAAGCGTCTTTTCTGCGACCCTGTCTCTGTCGTTCTTCAAGTTGATATTGTCCTGCTGTCATTCTACTTGTTTTTTCCCGTCTTGCAGATTTGTCCCTTGTAGTTGTTTATGTACGTTTCATGTATTCATAGCAGTAATCCTATGCGTCCACCTCTGGCGGCGCCTGAAAGCGAAAATATACCAGAAAATAACAAAAGAAGAAAGATTACACTAAAATGAAAGATATACCCTCCCAAGCCAACCGATTTTGATCTTACCGCGCAAGTACACTTCCAAACCACACATGTTTAGAGACCGTCCGTCACAGCGCCGTGGCTGGCATCGCCGACCAACTTGGCATATTTAGCTAGAGTTCCACGCCTGACGCGAGGAGGGGGCGCAACCCAGGCTTGTCTGCGAGCCTCCATTTCCTCGTCGGAGATGGCGACGTCGATGCGATTTGTGACGGCGTCAATGGTGATTTCGTCGCCGTTCTTGACAAGAGCAATAGGGCCACCGACAGCGGCTTCGGGAACCACATGGCCGACAATGAAGCCGTGGGAAGCGCCGCTATATCTGCCGTCAGTGACTAGAGCAAGGTTGTTCAAGCCAGCACCCATGATGGCAGCCGATGCCTTGAGCTGCTCGGGCATGCCGGGGCCACCCTTGGGTCCTTCGTAGCGAACAATAAGAACGAGGTTGCCGTCTTCGCGCTTAATCTCGCCGCGAGAGAGAGCTTGGTTGAGATCTTTCTCGGCGTCAAAGACACGGGCCTTGCCTGTAAATGACAAGCCTTCCTTGCCAGTAATCTTGGCGACAGCGCCTCCGGGAGCAAAGTTTCCGCGCAGGATGCGGATATGACCGCTGTCCTTGATGGGATCCTCGAGAGGACGGATGATCTTCTGACCAGGGTCGAGGGCGGGCCAATCGGCAACGTTTTGTGCAAGAGTCTGGCCTGTGACAGTCATGATGTCGCCGTTGATGAGGCCCTTGGCAATAAGCATCTTGAGCACAGATGGTGTACCGCCGACCTGGTACAGGTCTTCCATGTAGTACTTTCCAGAGGGGGCCAGGTCAGCAAGATAGGGTGTACGGTCGGAGGCACGGGCGACATCGTCAATGGTGAGGTCGACGCCAGCGGTGTTAGCCATGGCGAGGAAGTGCAACACACCGTTAGTAGAGCCGCCGAGGATCATGGTAAGAACGAGGGCGTTCTCAAAGGCAGCGCGGGTCATGAGGTCGCGAGGGCGGATGTCCTTCTCCATGGTTGTCTTGATAACTTGTGCGGCTCGCTCGCACTCACGGTTCTTCTCGGGTGACACGGCAGGATATGATGAGGAGCCGGGCAGCGTGAGACCCATGGCCTCAATGGCCGTGGCCATGGTGTTGGCAGTGTACATGCCACCGCAGGCACCGGCGCCGGGGCAAGCGTGGTGCTCGATATCGGAGAGGACGTCGCTGGAGGAGCGGCCTTCGGCGCCAGGGTTGGTCTTTGCTTCGAGACGGCCGTAGGAGTAGGCGCCAGAGGCTTCGTAGCAGGTGGAGATGTTGATTTCCTTTTCGAGAAGAGAGGAGTGGCCCTTGCGAATGGTGCCGCCGTAGATCATGATGAAGGGGCGGTTGTGGCGGGCGGCAGCCATGACCACGCCGGGCATGTTCTTATCACAGCCGGGGATGGAGATGTTGGCGTCGTGGTGTTGGGCACATGTTACACTTTCGATGGAGTCGGCAATGATTTCTCGGGATTGTAGCGAGAAGCGCATACCTATGGAAGAGGTGTTAGCAATTCAAAAGAAATACACTGGTAGAAAACGAAACCTGCCTTCACCACCCATGGTGATGGCGTCCGAAACGCCAATGGTGTTGAACTGCCAGCCAAGCATGCCCTCTTTTTCGACAGAGCGCTTAACAATGTTACCAAACTCGAGCACTATACATTAGTTAGTATACAAATAGATTGCATTGGCAGCTAGACGACGCACAATGGGTGCTGATTGGCAGAGTTAGCATATATCTTGTGTGATTAGATCTTGGCATCTACACGTACTTGCAAGGGTTACCCTCCCACCAAACAGTGGAAATGCCGACTTGAGGCGCAGCCTTCATCGTCTTTTCATCCTTGACACCAGCACCGTACAGCATGGCCTGGGCACCGGGGAAGTCATGGCCGCGTGTGATGACCGAGGACCAACGGTTCAAGGCGCCGTCAGGACCTGAGGCAGGCGGCAGGCAACGAAACGGGAGAAACTCCTGGGGCCCCTTGGGATCAGGGCCCGGAGCAGCATTGGATTGATCGGCCATTATGGTGTATGGCCTGTTGAGATTGGAGAGTTAGCGCCGACGTCATCAACAGATGAGGGGGAGGGGTACCTTTCTGGAGCTTGTGTGTTGTTGAATAGAATGTGCTGGATTCGAAGGATGAAGAGTTATAGTTGACAAAGCAGTATGATATTAGAGAATAATATTAAATATTAGCGGAAGAGCAACGCCGCCGTTTAGATGAATCAGAAAGAGAGAGGAGAGGAAAAGTGGCAGCGGCAACGGAAAACGGAGGAGGGGATGTCTTTGCTGCTGCTGCTTCCCCACACAGCGGAGGTTCTGTCGCAATACCCGCCGGCTTCTGCATCGGCGGGGGAGCAGCTGTGGTGGCCGATGCCAGGCTGATACAGTGCTAATTCAGACTGGGCTATAAAAGAGTCCTTTTATTATTACTTTGTCCATTTACGCGAATATATGCAATGCAAGCCCGCCGCCCCGTGACCTCTTTTACGGTGCGCGCAGTGTTGCTTCTGGTGTCTGCTGCTGGTGGCTACCCCACAAACTACACCACAGTGGCTGCAAGCTACCTATCCCCGCCTAAAAAAAATATCTGGCTTGGTACCTGTACTGTACAATTAGAATGGGCACGGGCTTCTCTCCGCCGAATTAGAGGCGTCCAATTACAAAAAGACGGAAAACGCACCAAGGGCGGCAAATGGTTGCCGGCTGCACGAGGACATTCGCTCGGCGGAAAGGAGGCCGAGCTCAGAATATGGACTGTACAGGATATTTGTGTCTCGGGACAGTCTTTACAAAACAAATGCTATTGCCCTGTAACTGTACGTAGTCTCCCTCTTTCTGTTACCAGTGCATGCTTTACTATCTGCAGGCGGGTTGGGATGGATCACATAGAGCACTGTGCACGGGGACGGAGACGTTTCGAATCTGTGCGATGCCAAGTTTCATGTAATTATTTTTGGTGCATTTCTCATGCTGGGGTCTGAGAATAATGCAGCTAGCAGGAAAAACGACAAACAAGTAGACCAAAATTCAAAACTCCGAATAAAAGATGATTCCAAGGGTCAGCCAGCCTCAACATGTCTAGGCATGTCAAGGCAAAGGACCCAAAATACCAAACGCGCCGTCATGCTCCCATCCAAACATAAAAGAGAGTGGCTTAAAAAAAGAAAAAGAAAATAAACATAACGCTTTCCTTGATATTCTCAATTTGTATCCCGTCTATCCCATTAACTATCCATCACGTCGTGTCGCTTTGTCGTCATTGAGCTTTTTGCTTGTTGGTGGGCCGGCTTATAGGCGGCGTCCTCCGCGGAAGGGATCCGAGTCCAAAATCGAAGAGATGCGAGTTCTGTCACGGGGAGGAATGGGAAAGCGCTCGTCTTCTTTGGGGCTAGCCAAAGGAGGTAGTACTGGGCTACAGCAGCGGCCAGTCTTCCATGCCTTCTCGAGGCTCGACGGCGAGGCCTGATATCCGTAGTCGTAGGCGATGGCGTCCCAGAACTTGTTGCGGTGCGACTCGTACACAGCCTGTAGGCGGGACAGGTCGACGTGAGAGGGAGTGTGTGTCGAGCTAGAAGGGAATGAAGATTCGCCTCGGGGAGGGGCACTGATTTGGAGAGCGTTGCCGCCGGGGGAGCGCGAGCTGCTAAAGGTGAGAGGAGGGAGAGGTGTGCGGTGGCGGCTCTCAGGAGTAGCAGGGACGTATTCTGGCGGAGAGGTGGCTCTGGAGCCAAAAGCCATGGCATTGGGCTTGGGAAGGATGTTGTGAACGCGAGGCGAGTTGTGGTGGGAGACGATGCTGGGCAGCTGGACATCGTGGGCCGTGGGAGGCGTTACAATGTAGTGCTGGTCGTAGGGGCGAGGGGGGGACAGAGAGCCGGCAGGGCTGGGAGCAGACGCAGCAAGAGATGGAGATCTGTCGGAACCGGGAGAACCAGACGAAGCTCTCTTGCGGCGGCCACTTCCATGGGAGAGCTGGTGGTAGTGCAGGCGGCAAGCGAGCTCTGTCTTGTTGAGGTAGGCGGCGATGTGCTTGTAGGGCATCTTTTGCAGACGGGTGCGAAGAAGGTAAGCTTCCTATATGTCAAGAACAGTTAGAATTGTTTTAGGGAGGATATAAAAGAGAGAGGCTTACCTCATCTTCCCTCCAGGCGCGGCCGCTGCTAGACATGGTGGACTTCTTGACGCGAGAAGCAGAAGAAAGAGTGGGTAGTTCAACGGATTGAGCGGGTAGAACTTGTGTAGGAGACATTCTTTTTGCAATGATGAGATGATTGGGGTGCAGAGGATATTAAAAGAAGAGACGGGCAGGATGAAACCTGTTAATGCTGTTTGTTTGTAAAACGCCGTGGGTTTTGAAATGTCGTCAGAAAAGCGAGGCGAGATGCGATGACGTCGCAATGCTGTAATGCTTTCGAAAGAAGGAGATGCCGATAAAGGATAAAAACAATAATTCTAAATCTAGAAAGATGGAACGGTGGGATGCTGAGAGTTTCCGTTCGGTGAGATCCGTCTGGGTGAAAGTCTAAAATGGATGGCTTGTGCGTAAAAGCAAGGGCTTGTAGGTGGTCGGAGCAGGTGGCGACGAAGGTGAGGATGATGACTCGGAAAAGAGACGAAGTGTCGAAGTTAGATAGCGAAAGAGGTACTTTTATCCAAAAATTGGAACAAAAGTATGGTTTGTTTAGCGTGGGTTGCGTGAGTGTGTGTGTATGCAAAGCTCTGTAGTTGAATGCCAAATCCAGTTGGGATAACCAAGAATGAGTCGATGCTGAATTAACGAGGGGCAAGTAGTGGGAGGAGCCGGTGAAGTATGCCGAGCAAGATTAAAGAGGGGAAGTATTAAAAATAAAAGGGCAATTGCAAATCTTTATGCGTAAGACAGATAGAGAGAGTGAGAGAGAGAGAGAGTCTAAGAGAGGGACTGAAAGGAAAACAAAGAGGAGGGGTAGCTTTTCTGGCGGGTAAAAAGAAAAAGCGTACTCGAGATGGAGGTAATACACCGAGGGAGAAAAGGATGGCGAGAGGGAGGAGCAACGGGCATGAAGATATATATTAAGTCAGCAGGAAGAAGAAAAACACAGGACTGCATAAGAAACAGATTGGCTCCAGGGGATCGGCCCCAGGTCAAGCTGTTGATGTTTAGAGTCGGCCGCAGCCCCGTGTCGGTGGTGCTAGTGGCTGGTACCTTGCATGCCGCAGGATGGAGGGGAGGAGTCTGTCTAGTGGGCTCTATTATTCGTACACTAGTTAGTTATAGCGCAGTACGTGAGTACAATAGAACCAGGCACACAGATCGCACTGGGTGGGTGTACAGTACCAAGTAGGCTGCTGCAGCCACGCACCTATACTGCTCTACGTTAGTGATTAGCAGCCAGTAACAATTATTGTACCCCCCTTGTGGGCAGCTAATCGTGCACCGCACACACACACCCAAACCAAACCCATAGCCAAAAGCCCCTGGTTTGGGTAGGGCGTTGGTTGGTCCAGACGAGACCCCCTCCGCCCCCTCCCCAACAAGAGATCGCAGCTCTTCTTCTGTTACAGGCCTGTCCCATTACATTACAGGTGGTGTGACAGCGCGGCGGGGGCGGAGCAGCACCCACTAAAAACGTTTTGGACCACAGCGATGCCCAGACGGTGCTGTTTGACCAGTGTAGAGAATAACCCGTTTTACTGGGGAAAAGAGAGAGAAAAAAGAGCAAGGCAAAACAGAGTTTGTTTTCGTCTCTTGTTGCAGTCATACGACTAGACGAATGCTGAGAAATAAAGAGCAAATAAAGCAAAAATTGAGGGCGGCGGCGTGTGAAATTGCCAGTCGGTGCTTGCATCGTGTCAAAATATGCACAACAACCACCCAAGAGGTCAAGGCGGAAGCACCGCACGCACACACACACCCTCCACCGTCTGCACCGTGGCCCTCCTGCGCCCAAAAAGTGGTCTGACGTGCGCTAGCGATGGCTGCTGCAGGCGCTATCACGCTATGGACTATCATACAAGACACCTCTTTCGCCTTGACAAAAAGTGGCCGCCCACAGACATTGTGCTATGTGTAGGCGATCGAATGGTGTCTTGCTTGGCGACGGGGGCCGAGGTGAGCCTTTTCTGATCCCATCGTCTTCTTTCTTTTCATTTTCTTAATTTAACAAAACGGTAACCATAAAAACTGATTGATGTTGCAAGACTGTGTTTGGGAACGGTTGCAGACTAACACGCCTGCTGCTTCACTTCAGCCCATGATATAGCCAAATGCCATTAAACCTGTTGCGTGCAAAAGTACTGCCACCACGCTCGTCCCAATAGTTCAAGCCAACTATTACTCTACTACCATCTTTCACCTTTTGGGGGATCGACTCGTTTCTCTTTTCGTTTTGCCCGCGTAGCAATTTATCCACCTTGTTTCGCCAGAGCACAGCTCCCATGTTGGCCCAGACCACCCCCGGCTCCTCCACCGAGGAGGCGCACCACCGTAAACAAAGCCCTTGCGACGACCGACGGGCTAGGGGTCCCATACTGCTGCAAAAAAAACTCTATTGCATCTGTTTTCTCTAGGTCTTTCTCAAACATCCTGAATGGGGAAGCGACCGCCGATGCAGTGGCGGCGGTGCTCCGGCACTCAACGCTACAAGGACCACCAGCTGGTCAGTGGCGGCGCCCACAAACCGCACCAACCCCTGCGGCTCGAGAGCATGTTTGCGGTGGACGGGATATATTGTGTAAACTAGTCACTACAGCTATTGAAACGAGACTTGTCGAGGCTCTCGTTTCGTCCTATGAGAGACTTGGACCGTCCCAGAGGAGCGCGCATCGCTTGCTCTTCTTGGACAGCCCACCCGGGTAAGTTGAAACAAACAAATTAATATAACTTTCTTTGGTAAGGCGAGCGAGTGACAAAAACATTAATTGGAGCGGTGGCGGGCGTGCAGCCTGCGGCGCCGCTGGTTTAGAAGGCCGTCTTAACTGCGTGTCGTCAATTGAAGTATGGCCCTTACGAAGCATGTTGAGACTCGTCCAGCCTGACAAGATCGAATCTCACAATAAACAAAGTCTAACCGCAGCTACTGTCGCGTGCTTTGTCTTTCTACTTGTTTGCTTGCTTAGACCGCACAGGCTTCCCACAACATCCTCGTTTTGCACGGCTCCTACTCTACACCTCGAAATCCTACATAAATAACAAGGACCAATAGATGCGACGTATCCCTGACAGCGGCGCAAAACGTGACAGGGATGGCTTGCAGCCGTTGAAACTCGTTAGCGTGTGGCTTGACCCCGTCGTCCTTCACCTTGCAGCATGTGCGGGCACCATCCGGGCATGAAGACTAGACAAAAAACAAGACCAAAAAAAATAAAAAATAAAATTTACACAATTGCCATGTTCGCATGATGCAGACGGGGTTCGCAGAATGGCCCTTGCTGTTTGACCGGCAGACTGCACCTCGCGTGCCGGTGGACTAGTCTGTTTACTTACTATCATCGCCTGCACAAGGGTGGTGTCGTGTTTTATAAAAGAGGCCCAAACGCAAGCCCTCGCAGTTCTTTGGCCAATCCGCCGTCCAGCATAATGCCTCGACCGCTACTCATCGGACACGCCAAGAGCATGCTAAAATCATCAGCAGCTGTTAATATAAACAAATTGCGGCCGTCACCTTCATTTGCGGCCGTCTCTCTGCAGTATCAATCTCGTACCACTAAACAGGCTATATACTGTCGCACCCTTTTTCCAAACGTTTGTAAAACCGGCTGTATTCGTGCAAAACAGGATCCAAATCAGACCAGTATCAAGACCTCTGGTCAATTGCCCAAATTAGTCCATCGCCGGTGGTACCCAAAAGAAGCTGAAGATTTTCGCCACGCAACGCAATCGGCGCGACTGTGCCAGTTTCATAACGGTCAATCAATACGTCTGGTCGCTGGGCCACTCGCACGGCAAACGCGCCATGTTAGAAGAAAAAAATGGATGGGACTTGTTTGGCCTTATCCCTGAATTAGTTTATTTTTACCTTTTCGTGGCTTTCAGAAGCAAACTTGAATTACGTAGACTTTTGCTGGTTGCTGGGCAGAATGCGCGACGATTCAACCGAGTTTCATCATGCTGTGTGAACAGCGGCCGCGGTAGTGTTTTAGAGCCTGCAGCAGCAGGCAGGGCTGTGCTGTAGTGCGTCATTTGGAAATGAAGCATTGGTTTGGCATAAACCTGCCTACCGCCTTTTTTTAAAGGTTCCTTGTTTTATGCCATTGAGAGCTACTGTCTCCGCCTTCCGGCATATGTTTGTCAGATAACCTTATTGCGTGTGCTTTCGGACGACGTTCGCACCCGAAGCCAGACATGTTGACCCGAACTGGCGCTACCCGGCATACGACGTTGTCTTGGGAGCCTGGGCTACCACAACGCCTAGCAATTGTTCTACTGTAGAAATGGCTCATGGTAGTAAAGAAGTAAAAAGACATTGATAAATGCTGTTATGATCTCATTACCAATTGTTCGTCATCCAAGCCCTGCCAATACGAGATCGGCTGTCGCGTGACGGCGACGGATAGTGTCGCATGGGGGCTGCGTAGCATTGGTTGCCACTGCACGTTGAGCCAACGTGGTTTGCTGGCAGTCGTGGTGACTAGGTCGCGAGTCGTGAAGCGACAATACGGCCCATTGGCGAGTTGTAACGACACAAATTGCTGCTTTTTTACCGAGACAATGCGTATACTGTCCGACTCAGTAAAGGCAAAGTCGTTGGAGGTACTGGCGGAGCGAGAGAAAGGTACACGCAGCGCAGGTAACCGCTGCCACGCTAACGACACCAGACCATTGTACACTGTCTCCAGCGCTGTACTTCTACCAGGTACAGTACAGTACAGTACAGCTCCGCTCCCGCTTCGGCAGCCAATAGGCTGCTGGGAGAGACCAAGGAAAGGCCCGGCGCGCAGCGGGCGACGGAAGCTTCTTTTCTTGCTGCACATAAGAGTGTTTGTACTGAACTATACTGTGCGATCTGGCCCAATATCGCGATAGACGCGCGGAAGCGATCGAGCGGCACACACCCCCTTCTTCCTGGTCAGTCCCCTTGTATATAATAAGCAGCTAAAAAAGCTAGATTTAATTACGCTGGGGGATCGTAGCGGGCGATTTCCCTCCCATTCCCAGGATCAGGTGCCGACTCGGCTGAGATGAATTGTGCGTTTTCATTTGCCTGCCCAGCGTAGACCCCTGCCTCTTTGGGGGGCGAATATACAGCCCTCACTCTCTGTCTGCGCAGCCCGTCAGTTTGCTTGGGCGAAGTGAATCTTTTTTAGTTTGTTGTATAGCATATTATTGACAAGATTGCAGAGAGCCCCCATGCCAAACGTCTTTTTTTTTTTTTCGTACTGCCGACCCTGTCTGATAATAGCCCCGACATGCCAGCCAGCAAGAGTTGCTTGACGGATGCAACGTCGTTCTAGCAACGCACCACAGCGAGGTGGTGGCCGGTGACCGTTCCGCCACAGCGGTGTCGCATTTTTTTTTATCTACAGCGGCCGTCCTGCAGCGAAAAAAAAAACGGTGAATGGAGTGATGAATTGGAACGATGGAACAGGAAGCTTCCTGAGCAATTTCCAACTCCCACCCGCACGGCGAAATGAACTTGATTGGCGAGCATCAGATAATCGAAATTGGACATTGGGCTTCCGGGCGCATCCTTGAGGTCGTCGACTTGCCGCATACTGCAAAAAGTGGGTGGCCCGTCCTAGGCTGAGGGGGGGAAACAGTAAAGTGGGCAGCAAACAGAAGCCGAATACAGAATGCAGCGTCCGCCATCGTCGATGGAGAGAGTTTGTCCAAGCCGTGCAAATCCAGAAACCGCACTGTAGAATACCAGTATAACCAAGCGTGTTGGACAGTGAAATTGGATACTTCGCACAGGGCTACCGCAAACCCCACTTTTTCTTCGTTGGTCACACCCCAGCCATCTCCATTTACCAAAAAGCTCATCGGCGTCATTTCCAAGAGCACGCTCTTGCAGCAGCCGGACAGCAGCCGAAGCGGAGAATTTTTTCTCACTCTTCGATTTACAGGGCAAGGGGGGGCTGGGACGGGGACCATACATGCCCTGTCTAGCGGTGCGCGCATGCGTGGATTTCCTATCTTTTCGCCTTTTTATCGTGCTTGTAAGGCGATATCTCGCCCAGTGACATGATGCGAGGACGGCCGCCGCCACGCAGCTAAAAAAGCGTTTGGTTAGCCTGGACTTGGCTGCGTTGTCTGTCCCAATTCGGCCATGGCCACCCCCCAGCTCTGCCTTCAGCCCCCCCAAAAGGCACTAGTCAAGCCAATCCGGTCATTTGGCAAGAAAAAAGAGGTTCCGAACTTCGTAGACTAACGACAAAATAGAAGCGCAAGCAGCAACCGGACTCCACAGCTTCTAGAGGAACCAGAAGACCCAAGCGAAAAAAAGAGAAGTACTCTGGCTCGCCCCAGTTACCTCGTTTGCAAGTACCCCCCGGTCGTAAGCTAACCAACCGCTACGCTGGACGGCAGGTCCTCTGGTTTGTATAGCAGGGCGGCGGGCGGCCGGGGCGTGTGGTGTTAGCGCTTGATAGGTGCTGGTGTGCTGAGAGGAGCCGGCGGGCGAGACATGGCGAAGAAAGAAAGCGTTGGGCAGGGAGGATAAGACTTCATTCCCAAGCGTGTCTCTGCCTGGATAATGTAATACCTGTCTACCTTGTCGGGTGATGATATCGACGCTTTCTGTTTTTTGCTTTTCTATCTGCATTTCCAATTGCCCGATTTGCTGTGCATCTGCAGCAAGGTATCGTGCAGGTGGTGGGCAGCGAGAGTGACCACCCACCCCAGCCATCGACCCTTTGGCGGCCGCCTTTGAACCTGCGCTAGCAGCAAAGACCAGCAGCATCAGCAGCAGCAGTAGCCTTAGCCTTGTCTTGCGCCGCTGTGTGTGGCCCAGCGCAGCGCAACGGCTTTTCCTCTTTTCTTTTTTTTTGCTTCTTCTGGGGGCGTAGGACAGGTGGAGCGCAGGCGACTGACCACCTCACGATGAAATGCCTGTAGCTCGCTCGCTGCTTGTAGTAAGTGAGTGCTACACCTGATCTCGCGCTTTTCCAACAGCCCGCCGCTCTTAAAGACAATCAATCCAAGCCGCATTCTGTCGGCTTCATGTGCACATGTCTGACACATTTACATGAACGTTGAAAAAAAACCCAGAGACACAAAACGTGGAAGAGACGCAAGACAGCACCTAGAAAAAAAGTGGCCAATTTCTCAATACCCGCTTTCGTCCGTTTGTCAATTTCACAGGGCCCCCCCCAAAAACACCACTGAGAGGCCCCCCGCCCCAGCCATTTCCAGCGCTCTGGTTCTTCACTACAGCGCCCATTACCCGCTGGAACTGGCGTGCTTTCCGCCCACACCCCCCCTCGTAGTTCCGCTCTCGCCAGGCCTTCTTCTCTCTTAAACTCAAGAAGGTAGACCACCCACCCGCCACCTCCACCTTTGTACCTCTCCGCCTCTTCCCTCTTCTTTCCTTGTACATCTACATCGACCTTCTCTCGTCCAAACCACTTGGATCGCGCGTCGCCTACATCGCTCGACCATCACCGCTTTACTTTTGCACCCGCGCCGACGAGCACAGTCTTGCTCTGCCTTTGCCCCAATTCGCCCTCCCCATTTCACCGTTTGCGACAAGTCTGCAACATCTCTCGGTAAGTACCGCTTCGTTTTTTTTTCTGCAGCCAATTTCCCACCTTCACCACATACCTCTCTCGCCTACCCTGGGCTGCGGAGAACGAGACCCGAGCTCACCTCTCTGCTGCTGTTACCTATGCCCTGCGCCGCCCTTTCATTTTTTTTTGCGCCTCATCGGCCCATCAATCGAGCACCAAACAGACAAGCTTCCCGCCCATTGTGCCTGGAAAGTCTAAAGACGCGATTCTTGCGCAATCGCTGCCATCATTGCCGCGCCAAAAGCTTGTCGCTTCTGTCGCCGTCATCGAGCTACGCGTCGCATCGCCTGCAAATCTACGCGACTCGGCCTACCTCTTGGTTTGGTGGCGGTGCTCCCGCAGCCACCCACCCTCCCCCGCCACTCACAGCGCAATCCCTCGTCATTTCTTTCTTGCGCTGCTTGCTGTAACTGTTCGCTCGTTGCTGCTCAGAGGGAAAATCGACACACCAAAAGGCCACCGCCCGCCCAATAGCGAAACAGGCAGAAAAAGCAACAGGCATTCACTCAGACGCTATTGCGAAAGCCTGCCTGCCTACCGCGCACCGCACTTCACTGCACTGCGCTGCACCAAGTCTGCCTATTTGCCTGACTGACAGAGTGACACTCTCTTACTGCACCCAACCACGGCACTTACCACACCACTGGGTTGCGCGCCGAGCCAGAAACGCAAACCACTGCGCTGGGGCGGCCTCTTCTTGTTCCTCCTCCCCCCAAAAGCTGTCAAGTCACCCGGCTCTCGTTCTCTTTTGCGCCGCCTCCGCTTTCTTTTTTACCTTGGCCTGGCCACGCGTTATTACTGCTACCGCTTTCTGCTGCACTCTCGCCATTCTCAGATTGCACTGCATCTCACCCTGCATGACTGGCTAAAGTGCTTGCTTCCGCGACACCCTCTCAAATACGGAAAGGATTACGGCTATCGATCCTAGCTTACCTTTCTTCACCTCAAAGGGAAGCCGTGCGCTCCACGCTTCGCGATCGTTGTACACCAACACCTTTGGTTGGATTTCGCACTGCGCCTACCGCTCTTTCGATTTTTTTGAACATCGGCTATTACTGCGTCGCTTCATCCGCCGCTCTTTTTTTTGCGTGCGCGCGCAGAGCCCCAGTTCCCTGGACGCCGTCACCTGGATTGCTTGCTTGCTTGCTTGCTGCTACATTACCAACCCGGCGCATAGCTTGCATTTGCATTACAGGCCCCGAGACACGGCCGCCAGCTGCCGTTTTTCGCTTGGCTGCCGAGCCAGCGTGCCCATCCAACCTTGCACATACTTCACATTCCCTAGTCGTTATTTTCCGCACCTGCAGAAAAGCATCGCGTCTTTTCCAATTTCCTTCTAGATTTAACTAACATCATTATCGTCGCGACAGACCATGCAGCAGTGGCAGGTCGGCCCAGTGCCGGAGTATGTTTACTCCAACTCCGGCCATCCGCCTAATGACATGCAGTAAGTACCTCCTCCTTCACATTCCCCGTTCCCCTCGGGTAGTTTGCGACGACCCTGCCTCGCCTGCTGCGACCTAGCTTCGAAAGACGCCCCTTGTCGATGACTCTTTGTACGCTCGATCCTGTGTTGCGCAAACATGCGGTCTGCGAACTGGACCAGGCGACGCCAGCATCAAAACCCGGCGCTTGTCCTTGAACGCCTCGATTCGTTCGCAGCGGTCGCGTTTATCGAATAGGATGCTCAACCTTGCGATTGACTGAAGCATAGCTGTTGCCTCTCGCCACGTCGCGTCGCCGTTTTGCTTGCAATCATAGGCTGAAGCATGCGGGGTGGTGCTGGCGCACGGGATTTGAGTACAAGTTTGGTGCGACGCTATCTTACAACGGATTACACAAGACCGATGCTGTATGGACAAGATTACTGACCGGCGCTTTCTTAACAGCAACAACCCCTACCAGCCCGACATGACCCGTCGAACCGACTTCCCTTACGGTGCTCCCCAGCCCAACATGGGCGACCCTCAGCAGCATCACCAAACACCGGTGCCGCCGCCGATGGGTGTCCCCCAACAGCAGCAGCCTCCGAGCGGCCCTCCTTCACAGCAACAGACTCCTACTCCCGCACACGCGCAGCCTAATCGCCAACGCAAGCGCCCTGCTCCTGGCACGGCGCCCGTCGTCCCTACCACTATGAACGCCGGACAGGTTCAAGCGCCTGTACCCACCGCTCCTACGTCGCAGACAATCATCTCTCCCCCCATCATGGCACCCACCGACGATGCTGGTGCTATCGCGCCGCCTCCGGCCAAGAAGAGCAGAACAAACACTCCTTGGACGCCACAGGAGGAGCTGCGACTGAAGCAAATGCGAGACGAAGGCAAGAGCTGGGCAGAGATTGCCAAGACATTCCCTACGAGAACCGAAGGCTCTGTTAAGAAGCATTGGTACAAGGATATGCACTACGCCGAGTTTGCGGAAGACGAGAGCCAGGCCCTGCTCAACGCCATCAAGGAGTACGAGAACAACAAGTGGAAGGTGATTGGCCAAAAGGTCGGCAAGCCCGCCAAAGCTTGCGAGCAGTACGCCAAGGAGCACTTCCCCGATCTCTTTACCCACGGCAAGGGACGATAGAAGGCTCTGCAACAGCCTCATTCTATATTTTATTGGCTTATACCCGAGCCGCGTGGCTCACTAGATTGTTCTCGCACCCGCGGAGCAGCGGCTCATCTGATGTTTTTAGCCCTAGAGGTCGGTCCTCGATGATGGGCGGTTTATTATAATTTTACGATCAAAGACAGGTCGTCACTGTCATTTCTGCAATGTTTATGGAATTGTTATCTTATTGTTACGTCGAGCCAGAGATGCCGACCTTCGAAAAAATCGAAACTCCTCGCCCACTTGATGCCGCCAGCCAGCGATGCAGCCCGTCTTTGTTTTGTGAGGCTAGCATGATACCCTTTGGTGTGGCAAAGGCAGCAAGTGTGTCTGGAGCAGCAGGCTCACAAGATTGAGCCACTCCGAAAAAAACCGATATATTCCCCCCCTTCCCCGTCCTGGTTCGCTCGACTCGCCGCTTCGCTTTTCTCTTCTTACTTCTTCTTCCCCTTCTTATATTTGTCGACGCAAGGTCTGGCTTTGGTTCTAGATTCTTCCTTTCGACCTCGCTCGCCGTTGGTGTCTTTAGCTCTCCGGCCTGGCTGCACGGATTCTCTCTAGATGAGCCGGCGCGGGCAGCGAGGTGAACGCTGGTTATTTCACTTTTACTCGGAACGGTGTTTGATGGCTGTTTGAAGACGTTTTGGTTGGAGCAAGGTTGTTTCTTGCGTGCTTGGTTCCTGTGCTACACCTTCATTTGGTCGTGGCTTGGTATCATGCACATTTTGCCTGCTTTCTTTCTTGGGGTTTTGGTTTGCGATGGATTTGATTCACAGAATGGGTTCTGGGAGATATTGATATGTGTGATTTTTTTTTGTTTTGTGTTATTCAAGCGTTTGCGCTGCTGTACACACAGCGGCTAACATCGTTCTGCTTGCGGCAGAGATGTTTTTTCTGGATGTGCTGTGGAACGCAACTCGTCTTAATGTGTGGATGGAACACCCTCGGCCGAAGAAAATTGTGGCTATTTGAAGGACTCTTTTTTATCACTTTCTCTCCCCCCTTTTTCTTGATCCTTTACTTTTTGTTTTTATCTTTGGACTTAGCTATACCCCCAATTGCCCGATTCCTTTTGTTGCTCTTTAACCTTCTCGTCCTTTGTGAAACTCTTGTGACTGTTGTTTGTCGGTCTACTAATCACAACAAGAGAGCTCGTCTACTGCTATATCATACTCTCCTAAGCAACGGCTCGGCGACACCGCATCAATCTCTTCTGTTGGATCTGGGAATACGACCAGTGAGTGGCGCACGCAAAAAGGCCATGAGTGAGCAGCAGTTCACGATAGCCTCCAAAAAAAAAAAATAAGCGCCCGGAAATGCCCATGCCATGCTAACCAGACTTGATCGGGCGAAAGACGCACAGCATCGACACACTCATCGACCCGTTTGCGAGGCCACCATACCATGCTAGAGCCTTATTAGTGCAGGTTTAATTCCCACTGCGCAAGGTACGTACCAGCACAGAGCCTCGTTGGCCTTAGCGGCTCAGCCCGCTCGGATCCGCAAAGTCTAATAATAGATGGCCACTGCGGAGCCAGAGTGCATCTAGCGTGCCCTTGCACAGCCCGGCCTTGTGCACGATGTGATGCGCACAGCCTGATTTCTCAAAAAGGGGAGGAGGAGTCAGAGCGTTTCTTTTAAATATTGGCTTGTTGGCCGTCTATGTCTTTGTGTTTCGAAACTACCATCCTCGACTCTTCATTCTTGACCCCTCACAAAATATGGCTTCCACTTCTCCCCAACGTACCGCGTATAAGCCCTACGCTGCGCCTGAGCACGAGGAAGCTCCCGCCTACCAGCCCTCTACCAATGCCTATGCCCAGCCTGAAGCTGCTGAAAAGGCAGGCCACTCGGAGCCTCCGATTGCCCCTACCGACTACGAGAGCTTCAAGGATGCCTCGGCCGCCGAGGCTGGCGTGCCCGCGCCGGTGCCGCAGAACCGCTACGGAGCGCCTGCTCCTGTGCCTGGTGCGCGCTCGTCGCGATTCACCAAGACGGCGCTGATTCTTCACTGCGTTTTCCTTGTCTTCGGAACCGCCCAGCTCGGCGTCACGGCGTACATGCTTGCTCGGGGCCAGGCCATCATCCACACGGTCGACATTGCGTCGCTGGTGTTCCTGCTCATGGCGATTGTGTCGATGTTGACGGATGCCTCCAAGATCTTCTGGATTGCGAAGCGCAACATGCTGCCCCCGCGAACAATGGTGCTTGATATCCTTGTCATTATCACAGGTCTCTTTCGTTTCATCCGCGTCTTTTATTACAATATGGACGGACTGTACGGCGACACGGAGGCAAGCTACCGCTTCCGTGATGAGCTGTGGGTCGAGCTGCTTGTTGCGCTGGGCTTCTTTGTCCTTCTCTCGTAAGTGTCTACTGTGTGAATTGATTGATGATGAAGACGATTGGCTAACATTTGTTTTTAGATTTGCCCGAGTGGTTTCCATCGTTCTCGTTGTCCTGTGGAACCGTCGCGAGAAGCGAGCCGCTGCAGCGCTCCATGCTCGTCTGCCTCCTCAGCAGTATATGCCCTACGGCGGTGCCAATGCTGCTGACGCGCCTAGATACTCGTAGAGAGTGGGCGTTGGGTGGAAGAGGTTTTGTGTATGTGATTCTCTGTAGGAACTAGCAAGCGATGTTTATAGACTTTCTGCACATAATGTGACGATATTTTGTATTGTCCCTTTTTGTACCAAGATTGGTGATGATGTTGAAATCCGACGGGTTCCAGTGTGTTTAAGCGCCCGGATTTAAGTTTGCAAATAAAGGGCATCGGCATTGGACTGGCCTATGAGATGCGTACGATGCACACCAAAACATGCCTAGGTAAAATACCATGGTAATGTTCAGAAGTGTGCCCAACGACGTCACTGTCTGTAGCCGCCCAAACGGCATTGGCGTCCCAGATAGGAAATCATAGAGGCCGGGAAATCCCCACGCTTTGGGAAGCACAGCGGGTCGCAGTCGGTAGCAGCCGCTGCGATGGGCGCTGTTAGTGGCTGGAGCAGCACTGTCGATCCACTGAAGGCGATGCAGCTAAGCGCCCAGCTCGTCGCTGACGCGTTGCCTTTTCCGATCGCATCTTTATTTATATATCCTGGCAGAGACCCGGTCTTTAATCCCGACGCAAGTTGCCATTTTCTTTTTTCTTTTCAATTTATTTCGTATTTGTTGTTTGGAACGAACCGCTTGCTCAAGATGGAGATGAACCAGTACCCTCGCCCCGACGGCCCTCCAGCCTATAACCAGCAGTTTCAGCCACCGCCATCCGCACCACCACAAAATTATGATGCAGGATATCCTCAGTACGATCAGTATCCTAAGCAGCCTATGGCTCAGGGCAAGCGCACAATCTTGCAGAAGCTACTTGTTCTGGCGCATGGCCTGCTCTGTCTGGCGGGCATCATCCTCTTCAGCATTACGATATACACCATTGTGCGCACGGTGCAGATCCTGTCGTGGTCCACCGTCTTTGTTTTCTTCATTCTATTTGTAAGTGGAATATAGGGTCATTGCCAATTGGGGCTGTGTTAATATGGATTAGGCTGTGACTTCGATTGCGGCCGATATTCTCAAAATCACCTTCATCATCAAGCAGCGCCTCATTCCCGCCTGGATCCTCATCCTCGAAGTGCTTGCCATTATCTTCTTCATTCTGCGCTGGGTGCTTCTCTTCTGGGCCACCGATCTCTCCAATTTGTGGGATGATAAGACAGGCAATGGCGACGATTTCGATTTGATTGCGCCTACTCTCGCAGTTATTGTGTTTACTTGGATTGTCTTGTAAGTCTCGCTGTTCAAAGGTGCAGATGTGTATCGCGCGCTAACCATTGCTAAAAGTGTTGGACGATTACTTTCCATGGCCATTACTGTTATTTGGGCCATCGTCCGCCGAAGACGTAACAGAAGACAAAACATGGCAGTATAAATGACCGCAAATATTTTACAGCAACCAGTTTTATGATGAGAGATGCGTTTGGGCCTCTGGTAGGCAGGCGAGTGTGGAGTATCGTAGGACGTGTAAAGGATAAACGGCGGCGTATTGCATTTTTGGGGCAGCTAAATACCCACGGGAAATTGTACATGATGAACTAGACTAAATAAAGATACATGATTAAAATTGGACTCAAATTTAAATTCTACATATTTACTGGCGTATTTTCAGTTGTAGCTGAAAGTTGTAAGAGCACCCGCTGTGTTAGCACTCGCAGCCCCCACTACCAGCAAAAAGGTACGTACCTTATCGGCCCAACTTTTTCCTTATCGCATCTCCAACCTCAATAATTTTTCTGCACCTGCGTTCACCTCGAAGCATTTGAGCTTGCCAATATCCAACGACAACCAAAATAATCTACAAGATGAAGCGCAAGGCGGACGAAACCGATGCGCCTACCGCTGGTGCTGCGAAATCCGGCTCTACTGACGAATTTTCTTTTACCGACTTGGATCTCGACCCTCGTCTAGTTCAGGCTGTGGCCAAGCAAAAATTTCTAAAACCGACATTGGTCCAACGACAAGCCATCCCTCTCGCTCTCAAGGGCCAAGATGTGCTTTGCAAGGCCAAGACTGGCTCTGGAAAGACGGCTGCCTATGTGCTGCCTGTCTTGCAAGGAATTCTGAAGAAGAAGGCGACCGACTCCGAACCCGCTACAACTGCTCTTATCCTCGTCCCGACCCGCGAACTTGCCGACCAGGTCTTCAAGGCCATTGAAAAGTTTGCTTCGTTCTGCGCAAAGGACATTCGCGCTGTCAAACTCACCGACAAGCTCTCCGATGCTGTCCAGCGATCCCTCCTCACCACATCCCCCGACATTGTCATTTCGACGCCCTCAAGAGCCTGGCACAACGTCAATGGCAACTCATCAGCGCTGTCATTGGCCAAGCTCTCATATCTGGTACTTGATGAAGCGGATTTGTTGCTATCCTACGGTTACGACAGCGATCTGGAGAACCTGTCATGGTCCATCCCCAAGGGCATCCAGACCATCATGATGAGCGCCACCTTGACATCCGAGGTGGACTCGCTCAAGAAGATTTTCTACAAGGATAACCAGCCTGAGTTGTTGGATCTCGAGGAGCCTGAGGCTGAGGGTGAAGGAATCACACAGCTAGTTACAAAGTAAGTTTCTTGCGTGACTGAAAATCAGTGTCTGTACTAACAATCCTAGGTGCGGCGAGGACGAAAAGTTTCTTTTGGCATACATTATCTTCAAGCTACGCCTGGTCAAGGGCAAATGCATTATTTTTGTCGACGACATTGACCGCTGCTACCGACTAAAGCTTTTCTTTGAACAGTTTGGCATCCGCAGCTGTATTCTCAACTCGGAGCTGCCCGTCAACAGCCGAATCCACGTTGTCGAGGAATTCAACCGAAACGTCTACGATATCATTATTGCTTCTGATGAGAAGGAGATTCTAGGAAACGAGGGCAAGGCCGAGGAGGAGCAAGCTGAGGACGTCGAAGATGAAGAAGACGGCGAGACCGAAACCAAGAAGGACAAGTCGAAAAAGAAGCGCAAGAACCAAGACCCCGAGTACGGTGTATCGCGTGGTATTGACTTCAAGAACGTTGCCGCCGTCATCAACTTCGATCTCCCCACCTCCGCCTCTTCCTACACTCACCGAATCGGCCGCACGGCCCGTGGTGGACAATCGGGCATGGCCATGTCCTTTGTTGTCCCCAAAGAACTCTACCGCAAGCACGTCCCGACATCCATTGCCAGCGCAGAAAAGGATGAAAAGGTCCTGGCACGTATCATGAAGCAGCAGGCCAAGAAGGGCAAAGAGATTAAACCGTACAACTTTGACCCCGAGCAGGTCGACTCATTCCGCTACCGTATGAACGATGCCCTCCGTGCTGTTACCAAGGTGGCTATCCGTGAGGCGCGAACCAGAGAGCTGCGTCAGGAGCTTCTCAAGAGTGACAAGCTAAAGCGCTACTTTGAAGAGAACCCCAACGAGATTTCACACCTTCGCCACGACGGCGAACTCCGCACGGCCCGCCAACAGGCCCATCTCAAGCATATCCCCGAATACCTGCTGCCCAAGGACGGCAAGAAGGCACTGGCTGCCAAGATTGGGTTTGTGCCCATGCGCAGAACAGACGACAAGGGCCGCCGAAGCAAGCGCGGCGTGGCGAAGCGCGGAGGCCGAGTCGGGTCTCGCAAGGGCGATCCGCTCAAGACATTCAAGGCGAGAAGAAAGACAAAGTAATCGATTTGAGTCATGAGGAAAAAAAGAAGCAGGAGAGGGGTGAGAAAAAAAAGGGCATGGCATTGTATGTAACGGGTTATCTTTTTTTTTGTAGTGTATTTTTCGGTGCTTATGGGAACGGGTAGTTATTTGTTCAAAAATTACATTGCATCTTTTATTTTATGGAATTGTTACAGACTATGAAATGTGTCTATCATTTGCTGCTGTGACTTGTAGAATGATTTTCTTTTTCACTTTGAGTTTTTGGGAACGATACGAGAACGAACGGGTTGTTATGATGTCACTTCTTGGCAGATGGTGCTTACTGAATGTACGGATACCCACTGACGTTGCAACTGTACAGCAGTCAAGTCTGCATACACATGCTGGGGCACGCGCTACGAGTACCTAAGAATAGGGAATCAGCAGACTGTAGTCTTGTCTCACAGTACAGAGCAGTGTCATAATCCTGGGCATTGTTGTTTGTGAGGTGTACCGTTGATGGTTCGAGGCCTCTTTTCTTTGTTTTTTTTCTTGGCAGTTTTGATTCTGGCTCGCTTGGGTAATTGTTCGTCGGACAGTACATATGATCAGCAGAGTCTTTGCGAGCAGTCTGCCCTGTGGAAAGTACTGGCGCTTCTTCTTCTTCTCAGCCTCAACGCGGGAATAAAATACAGAATACATACGCAAAGGACACCAAAAGGAAAAAAAGGGAATCCTGCATTTCCTCTCTCGCTCGCCCAGCTCAAACTAGCGCTGTTTTGGATACGCCTCGTATTTCCCAATGCTGTCTCTCAGCGACCGCCACTACAACGCCTGGCGCTGGTGCAGCAAATCGGAGTAGCGGGGTTCCGGGCCCAAGGTACCATTTTTTTTTTAGGGTGGACGCCTGCAGGCCCCAGCTAGAGCCTGGTCTTTTGTCTGCCTTGTGGACTCATTTCCCTCTTCCTCTTCCTTCTCCCCTTGTCATCCCATTCAAGCAACAAAAGAGAGAGCGTCTCGTTTGCCCTCTTCTTCCCTCTCGTTATTTATTTTTTTCTTTCTTAATTTTTTTCGACTCTCATCTTTCTCACACTCGCTCTACCGGCTCCCCTTTATTTTTGACAGGTGGGTACGTACCGTCCGCTGCTGCACTGAAAAACCTTCAACTCGTCACCCCTGGATCCCCTCGAATCGAATACCGCTGGCTCTGTGTCGTTATTGCTTTTTTCTATTCTGTTTGGGCGCCCGTTCGTCCCTTGCGTTCGGTTCCAACCGCAAATTTCCCCGGACTGAGAAATTTCAAAATACCGATACACCAATTAAATAAGGACGCTGCGTGTCTCGCTCTTCGGCGCGCCTCTGTCGTTGGTTGGCCCATAACACAACACGCGACGTCGACGGGCATAAACTCTATCACCAACGCTGCAACCTTATATATAACTTTGCAATTATCACCATCGCCACCAGCAGCTACGTCACAAAGAGCCACCATATTCGATACGGGTCGTCATAAGCGGGGACAGGGCCAGCATCTCTAGGTGTCGTTGGTAGACTAACTCGTATTCAAGGCAGAGTCTGGAATTTAGCATCCTCCAGCATTCCATCGCGCCCCCCGTACAACACCCGACGACAGATCCCGGTGTTCAGCTGGGTTCCTCGACCACCAAAAGTCATCTCTACGATTTTATTTTAATTCTCCCGACTTCGAATTCTCGCTTCGGTCACGTAACTCACCATGTTGAAATCGGCTCTCGTCACGGCCCTCTTGGCCAGTACATCGGTGCTCGCCGAAGGCACCGGCACTCAGTGCTCTCTCGATAAGAAGTGCCCCGAAGACAAGCCCTGCTGCTCTCGTACGTCGATTGATCACTTCTCACCTCGCAGCAACATCTAACATGATTTTACAGAGTTTGGCGAATGCGGTGTTGGCGCCTACTGCCTTGGTGGCTGCGACCCTCGCATGTCCTTTTCTCTTGAGGCCTGTGTTCCCGCTCCCGTCTGCCAGGACAAGAAGATGGACTTCAAGAACATTAAGAAGACGGTTGCCCCCAACAACATCTACCTCGGTGACCCTTCCAAGGCTGACTGGGTCTCATCCGGTGAACCTGCTCAGTATGGTGACTACGGTCTTCTTACCATGGGCGAGAACAGTTTCGGTACCGTTCTTTCTTCCACCCGCTACATGTGGTACGGCAACGTCAAGGCCCGCATGAAGACCTCTCGAGGCCGCGGTGTCGTTACTGCCTTTATTCTCTTCTCTGATGTCAAGGATGAAATCGATTACGAGTGGGTTGGTGTCGACTTGAAGACAACCCAAACCAACTACTACTTCCAAGGTATCCCCGATTACCACCACTCTGGCAACCTCACCATGACCGACAGCTACGAAAACTTCCACGACTACGAGATCCGCTGGACCCCCGACCAAATCATGTGGCTCATCGATGGCGACGAGAAGAACGCGCGTGTGTTCAAGAAGTCGGACACCTGGAACAAGACGACCAACTCGTGGGATTTCCCCCAGACTCCCTCCCGCATCCAGCTCTCCTTGTGGCCTGCCGGTTCGCCCAAGAACCCTCCCGGCACCGTCAACTGGGCTGGTGGTTACATTGACTGGAACAGCCCTGCCAAAGAGGGACCTTACTACTTTGCCACTATTGACTCCGTCGAGGTCGAATGCTGGAAGGCCAAGAGCGGACAGCCCGGCAGCAACAGCGGCAAGAGCTACAGCTACAACTCGCTGGCTGCCTACAACAACACCGTTGTTGACAGTGACAAGGACACCGTTCTGGGCTCTCTCTACGCTACTGGTCTCGACATGAAGAAGGGCAAGACTGACACGTCCGACAGCGCCAACACCATCCCCGGTGGTGGCTCTCCTGGCCAGGACCACTCTGGCGATGCTCCCAAGTCTGGCAACTCTGGTACCAACGGAGATCCTGATTCTTGCCCTCCCGGCACATGGACGCAGCAGTGCGGCAAGAGTACGGGTTCCAAGACCAGCGCCAGCGCCCTTGCCATCATCATTGCCGCCAGCGCACTCTTTTGGCTGTAATCGTGCCCGTCTGGCTCTATGATTGGTTTCGTCTCGGCGTCTTGCGGTTCACAGGTTGTACATATTTTGCATGGGAGGTTTTGTGCGTGTGCGTTGTCTAATTGATTCTCGACAAACGCCGGATCTAGCTTGCTCTTTGCCCTCGCCTTACGAGCTGTCTCTCTCTGGCAAGATTCCCCCATCTTTGTTCTTGTTGCGATGCTTTTGGGTAGTATATAGCGAACGCGGGAAATATTGATATGTTTGTTTGTGCTTGGAAGCATTAATGGTAGATAATACAGCTGCAACGTTTTTTGCCCTTTTACTTTCAACTCGCTCCTTCGCGCTCCAACACCATGCATCATCCTTACCTGTGCCACATAGTCGTCATCACCTCGGCCATTGCATATGCAGCTGCCCTTGGTCGTCGATACGAATAAGACCATGTATGTACATACAGTGAGTCACATTGTCATGAGAATGTGTTGCATCGTGGCAAGGGAGACAAAAAGCCATAGACCCAAAGCAGTATACACCGGCTCGAAGCGAGTTTGAGATATATCAGCCAGCGAATCAGAGGTGCTGATTTCCCCGAACGAGCCGTAACCCTAAAAAGTACACTGGACTGGGGGCCTTTCGTATAGCGGGACTTTGCCGTGGCGATCATCTCGGCAGAGTCTAGTCCCCGCAAAGGGGCTGTCTTGCAGTCTAATGTCCCTAGCGTGTGTAACACCAAACGGGGGCTTTTTTGCATTTAAGCCGACGACCCGGGCGGCCCTTTTCCTGCGTTTCGCAAGTGTCAGATATTCTGCTTGCTTTTGAAAAAGTATCTCCAGACACAATCTTCTGTCTTCATCGCCATGGCATCCTCTACCAAGTCAGCAGCGTCGCCTACCGCGCCTACACGCGAGGTACCTATGAGGGTGATTGTCTGCGGCGTCCATCGCACCGGCTCCATGAGTATGTTATTTACAACAGTAAAAGCAGCAGCTGCAGCAGCAATACCATATTCATATAGAATGAAACCGTGGATGATACTAACTGTGGCACAGGCACCCGCGCAGCGCTCAAGATGCTCGGCTTCAGCGACTGCTACCACATGGTAACAGTGCACCAAAACATCATGACGCATGCCGAAGAATGGATCCGCGCCATCGAATGGAAGTACGAAGGCAAAGGCACCTGGGGCAAGGCCGACTGGGACCGTCTCCTCGGCGAGGCTCAGTCGCTGGTGGACATCCCGTCAGCGCTCTTTGGCGCCGAGATTGCCGAAGCGTACCCCGATGCCAAAGTCGTCATTCTCAACCGCGACCCGGAGAAGTGGTACGTCTCGGCGCTCAACACGACAGCCAATGTCGACAAGAACCTCCGGGGCGCGCTCTGGCTAGCCTACGTGGCCACGTTTGACGCACGCTTCCGTAACATGTTCCGCTTCTTTGGCAAGCTCTACGGCACGGCCATGGGCGGCTTCGACCACGCCAAGGAGAAGGAGAAGGCGCTGGCGTGGTTCAAGCGCCAGTATGACGAGTTCCGCGACCGGATCCCGGCGGAGCGGCGCATCGAGTGGACGGTGCAGGACGGCTGGGGGCCGCTGTGTGCGCATCTGGGCGTGCCGGTGCCGATGGAGCGCGACGACGCGACGGGCGAGATGGTGGAGGTGCCGTTTCCAAGGCTCAATGATCGGGATTCGTTCAAGGCTCGCGTGGCAGAGTCTAAGAAGGAGGCTCTGCAGCGGGCGCATGAGGGCTTCTTTGCAATGGTGGGTAGAGTGGCTATACTTGGTGGTTTGGGTGCCTTGGCGTGGCATCAGTATGTGCGTAGGAGATAGGGGCAGGCTTTGTTTGTAACTACAGGTTGTTTTTTATGTTATGCTTGTATTATTAGGAAAAATGAAACATCTTTGCTCATTTAATTTTTGGTCTTTACATAATTTGTTGTACAAAGAGACGAGTATAGAAGCTATTCATTCAGCCTTGCATACTCTAACTTTTTATGCCAATTGCGGACTGCGCAGTTGTGCAACTCCGCCCCGCAAATGTCAAACGAGCGCCGCAAGTCCGCAAGAGCGAGGCGCCTACAGCGGAGCGCGAGGTGGTAAATTTAGCGGTGGCGGTGCTTCGCTACAGCGAGAAGTGGCGCTCCAGCAGAGCAGTTTCTATGCAAGACCCGCCTGTACTGTGCTGTACGCTATGCGTGTAGAAAGGAACGAGAAAAATGTGGGGAGAGCCTCGTTTGACATTACCCGCCAAAGAGAGCGAAGGGCGAGGCTGCGGCGATCTCTTTGCGCAAGCAGTCCGCGTGGAGCTGGGCTGAGGCTTTGACGATGAATATGGACTTTGCCTCGATTGGGATCTTGTCCGCCGCAAGAAGAGAAAAAAGAGTCCGCATCCAGTTTCCAGAGAAGCAAAATATATAAAGATGGAGTGTGATCCTGTTTGAAAGTGAACAATATCATCATCAACATCACCAATACAACAAACAATCACATCTTACTATTACTACTACTTATACCATCACTACTACTTTACTCTACCATCTTCCAAACATCAGTAATATCCACTACTACCACCACTACACACATCATCACCACCGCCACCAACAACACCAACAACAACAACAACAATGTCCAAGACCATCGCCTTCTTCGGTGCTTCCGCCGGCTGCGGCCTCGCTGCTCTCCGTCTCGCTGTAGACGCCGGCCACACATGCATTGCCCTCTGCCGCACCCCCTCCAAACTCGAGGCCGAGTTCCCCAAGAACCCCGCCAACCTCATCATCAAAAAGGGCAACGCACACAGCGTAGCTGACGTCTCAGCCTGCCTCGTCAAGCCCACCAACCCCTCTGAGCTCGTCGACATTGTCCACTTCTCCATTGGCGGCGTGCTCGATCTCAAGACCATGACCATCCCGGACCCAGACGTCTGCAAGAACGGCATCAAGGTCCTCCTCAACGCCCTGAAGGAGCTGCGTGCCTCGGGCTCGGCTACAGGCCGCCCTGCAGTTTTTATTATTAGCACAACTGGCATCTCCAAGTTTGGCCGTGATGTGCCTATTGCCTTCCTTCCCATGTACCACTACATGCTCAAGATGCCGCATGCCGATAAGAAAGTCATGGAGGAACTCGTTGCTGCATCGGGGGAGCGTTTTACACTGGTGCGCCCTAGCTTCTTGACCGATGGCGAACAGACCAACCACAAGATTCGCGTGGGTGTCGAAGACGTCACCAGAGGGTGGGAGAAGAAGGCTATTGGATATACCATCTCCAGGGGCGATGTTGGCAAGTGGATGTATGAGCAGCTATATCTCAAGGCTGATGAGAACGTCTACGAGGGCAAGGCTGTGACGATTTCCTACTAGTTTTCTTTGAAGCGTGGCATCTGGTTTTCTTTCTGGGGGGCTTGTCATTTCTTTTGTATTAGACCGCATAGACTGTATTATCGACCTCATCGATACTTAATAAGAATTTTGATATAAATAGAACACTCCTTACAAGACTTTGGTTAGACTGCGACTTCTATGCAATCGGCCCGAAAAAGTTGAATCTTCTCTGGGGATCATACTTGTTCTTTAGATCCAGGAGCCGCTGTTGTCGCCAATCTTCAGTGCCATACAGGTTCTTCGGCGGCTCTGTTTCATATGCATAGTTTACATACGCATGCATCTCGTCGCTGCCTGACCCTTGGTAGATTATATCACGAAGCTCTTGGCCAGCTGCAGCAGCCTCTGCATCAAGCTTGTCTCCATCAGGAACGTAGATGATAAGCGGCGAAATGAGCAAATTATCATCTCGAAATGCGTACGCTGTAGACTCTCCAGGAACAGCTTTGACACCCTGCGTGGAATACCCTTCCAGCAGGACAAGAGACTTTTCAAAAGGACCATCCTGGTGAGCGACTTCCGCAAAGCGATTGTACATCTTCCTAACCGCAGCTGGGTTGTAAGCCTCGAGATAAATCGGGTGCCGTATGTTAGCTGCTCCAGACTTTCTGCACGGCGCACCGTCCATGTCAATTTGAGCCCATCTGGCTAGATCCCCATACGTCCCCGATTCATGCACGACGTTGAGAGGTTGGAGCTCCAGAAAGGGGTCTATGTATCGCGTATCTATAGATGACACGCCTTCTTGAAGAATAAACATCATGATGACCGGCTGTCCCTAGTTAACGCCATTCCAAACACAATTCACTAGCAACTCACCTTTTCCGATAGTGGCGGTATATTAACCATGTATGACCAGCTGATCAAGTCGACAGGCTGTGAGCCTCCCCTAAGGTGGTGCGTATTCACAGCTTCATACACTTTGTCTGCATCCTCTCCTGCAAATATGAGCTTCGTATGGGCCCATTGTTGATGCCTGACATCATAAATCTTGGACACTACGGAAGTGATGATGCCAAAGTTGTGGCCGGCACCATTGAGAGCCCACCAGAGATCGGAATCTGGCTCTGCTACGGCCAGAGTGCCATCAGCAAGTACAATGTTTGCCGAAAGCCACTGATCTGCAATTAGGCCGTATCGCCCTTGCAGCCAGCCATGACCACCGCCGAGGCCAGGCCCGATGTAGCCAGTGCATTCGCAGGTTCCAGTGACTGCTCTTGTTAGAGGTGACATGTTGGATTGGGAGGTCTACCGACTTACCAGTTTGCTTATTGACTCTCCACAGGGCGTCCGTGACATCTTTGGTAAAACCACCACCGCCAATACGCGCAGTACTATTGTCTGCGCTGATTCCCACAGAATTAAGCTTGTCCAGACGAATGCCAATGCCGCCTTGCATGCTTTCTAGAGAAGCCATTGCGCCATGGCGACCGCTCATAGCTAGAAATGGGACGTCTATCTCCACTGCGTACTTGACCTGGAGTCGCGTTAGTCAAGCAGATGACGCGAATTGAGGTGCTCCCTTACTGTTTCCGCTACATCTTGTTCTGTCGCCGCAACAACGATCCATTGAGGATTCGGTTTGGCAATGTTGCTCCATCGTTCTGTGCTGGCCACGAATGCTTCCGTGCCAGCAGCGTAAACTACGGCGTCGAACGAGAGGCGACGCTTCAGAGCGGCTATGTCCGGGTTCTCATGATCGCAAAATTGCCGGATATACGGCTGTGATGACGTGTGGAATATGCGGCACGCTGAATTGAGAGCCCATGCTCCTATGACTGGCAGAACGTCCATGATGCCGTTTGATCCCTGTGGTGATGAGGAGAGGTTGGGCCTGGGCCAAGTTTGAAACAAGGCTATAGCAACTACGTCATGTTATGTCGTCAGCGAATACCTACATACGCGTTTTTCATCTATCGAAAAGTGCTTTAGAAGAGGCGAATAATATTTTTTCTGCAATACACGGATTTTTTTTCTTTCAATTTTTCTTAAATTTGTTTACTTACAAAAAACTTGTTACTCCCAATCATATCGCCGATTGGGCTCGCGATGTACCCTGCACCCTACCTAGCGCCGCAAGTTTTCTCACTGCACATGTGAAAAGGTGGGATCGACTAATGGACAGCAAGCGAAAGCCGCTCCTAATACGGCACTGCACAACGCCATAATAGGATGTCTGGAGATCGAGACTGGCGTTGGGTTGCCATGCATGCGCTACCGTGGATGCGGGTTGGGCTGCTGCGTTGTCTTGCAGATGCATCCCCGCACGGCGCGGCTTCGTCTTACGGGTTCTTCTTCTAGACGAAGGAGTAGAAAAACAAAAAAGAATATCAATGGCTGTTAAATCCGAAGACGGGTGCGTCACGTTGTTGTCGGTGTAATTGAAGAAGCGTGCTGTCGAGACGGCATATACTGTAGTTGTACATGTCCTACTAGCAGCATGATGAGTACCGGCGTTTACAGCACACTGGCTGCATCGCATGAACCATAGCCTAACAGTTACTGTGCTCCCCAGCCAAGGGCTCTAGGTAGAATCAACCCAACCGCCATTCATGTCCAACAGGAATCACGGGGCGTTTGCAGGCGCTGGGATACCCGACCTGCAACCTGTCATTCGCCGATCCATTGTTCTCTCCCTCTATTTAATCATCGCTGGACCTTGAAAGCAAAGAGGTTGCATGCCGCTCGCCCCCGGAGGACCTTCTGCTGCATGTTACATGCATGCTGAACCCAACATGATGGTCTGCGTAGTATAATTACCTCACCATGCCGCTCTCTTGCAGAGTACGTCTGCTCTCCATTCGTTTCTCTGCTCCCTGGAGCACCTTGTATTACTTCACCCCTTTTTTCTTCTACTTTTAATATTTGTTCCTTTCTCAAGCAACCCACAAGCATCTTGGGTAGTCATCAAAACCCGTTGTCACAACACTCTCCCCAGACACATCACTTCCACGGGAGCTATGTACCTTCCGTGGAAATTGAATGAAAATTCCCTTGCTTCAAATCAAGACGTCAATAAGCGAGACTTCTCCAGCAATCCAGTGGAGAATCAAAATGTCAAAATCGGCATCGTCATTGCGTTTGTTGGCGGAGCCTCACTCATCGCCGTTTGCGTATTTCTCTGGATCTACCGGCATTCTGTGAGATGCACATACCGAAAAAGGCGTAAACCTCCTCGAAGTCGAAAAAGCTCCAGTTCCTCGCGAGCTTCGGATGGAGGAAGTGCGTCTGGTGCGGAAGAGGCACCCCCAGAGGCTGCAAAGCCTGCCACACCACCTGCAGCAGAGAGTTCTGGGAAAGCTGCTGAATGACAAGCTTCTTAGAGTTTGATAGGCTTATCTTGTATGTTAAATGGGTATGTATGATTATAATGGTAATTAGATGAAGGGTATTGGGCGAACGGATGGTTTCCAATTTGTAACTAGCAGCGTTTGCTTCAGGCTTCAATGAATAACACTATTTCATTAAATGACTGCTCTAGACTCTATTGTCCGCCGTTTCTATCTTGTGAAGTTCGACAGTGGCATCCGTGCGAGAGAAGTTTGTTTTGACCATTGTTTTGCGTGTGATGAGCTGCCAAAGGTAAGAACCTTCAAGAGCCTCGTGGCCACCGTCCTGGCCGATCCAAACGTTTCCGAGGAAGACGGAAAATAAAACGCACATCCACATGAACGGTATCAGGGAAACAAAAGCCCACATGATTGCCGTCTTTGGATCTTCGTGGTCGCCAATCGTTTTGTTGTTGAATACCGTTGACATCAACGTCAGACCAAAGAGACCACCAAAGGGAAGTGCAAATGTCGTGAGGCAGGTAATTCGAGCCGTCATGTCAGGGAAGTACGCCAGAGCATGAACTGCGGCAGGATTCATGCGAAGCATTACACCGTAGCCGACAAGTGCCATCATCGCATAGACGACATTGTTGTTGTGTTCATGGACGGCCCATGTCAGTACAGTAATGGCGACGGCTGTTATCACGGCACCAAGAAGAAGTGGCGCATAGGTCTGTCGTGGCCATCTCTTCGTGGCAAATACCGCCGTGTAGACACCAACTAAGACACAGTTAGCAACTAATTCTTTCAGACACGGTATCAAATACTTGCCCGTTAGCCCAGGCATATAGTACAGCAGCTGGAGTCCCGCGTCTCGGGACGACTGCCCGTCAACGAGGGTAAAGTACAGGCTGAGAAAATACATGATGGCATAGATAGCCATGCCGCTTGTCATGTTGATACCGAATGTAAGGCAGTTTTCTCGCTGTGTAAGAATCGCCCATGGCATCATGGCTTTTTGGCGAGGGAAGACTCGAGACATGTGGCGACCAGGTGCCATTTCACGTTCATAAAAGATCCAAACCACTGTTAGAGCGGCTCCGATAATCAAAGGGGCAAGGACGTGCGCTGAGCCCCAGCTGTAACTTCCACCGGCCCAGGTAAGAGCCAAGACCAAAAGACCAATGCCGCAGAGGAAGAGGATCTGACCTCCGTAGTCGATGGTGGAGAGGCGTCGTAAAACCGTAGCCCGGCGACCATTTGGCAGATTTTCGTCAAGTCCTGCAATTGGCTGAGGTCCAAGAAGCTCCTTGCGGAGAACGAGGACGACAAGTAGCATGGACGCGGCGCAAATGGGGAGATTGATTGCGAAGCACCATCGCCAGGATACCTCCGTAAGATATCCACCAACAAGCGGCCCAATACCAAAAGAAACACCTGAAATAAGAACAAAAATGGTCCAATTAGCGGCGAATTCTTCTAGTGATACCTTGTCGGCGAGAATGGTTCGGACGCAGATGTTGACACCAGAGCAGCCAATTCCCTGAATGGCGCGACCGAGAAGAAGAGCACCAAAGGACGATGTCGGTGCACCAGTGCAGATGGCCGAACCAATCATCATGATTATAATGGACGCCTGTATAGCAACATGGCGACCAAAGACGTCAGCAATCTGGGCCCAGAAGAAGAAAGATGCTGTGGATGTGAGGTTAAACGATGAAATAATCCAGTTGAACTGGTTTAATTGATCTGTTGGAAGTGTAAGTAATTTTACGTGTAGGTAGTAACAAAGAAAATCACTAACCAAAGTCAACGGCGATGGTTCCCAGAGCGGAAGCAATAACCGTAGTGTCGAAGGATTGCAGAGCAAACGGTCCAAAGAGACCCAGGATGAGCTTCCATCTGTATTTTGTTCGTGCAGATTTCTGCGCTGCCAATTGCGCATCGATTGGTGTGTCGGATTTGTTCTTTTTGAAAAGACCCATTGTAAACGTTGAAACTGGTTGTTACTGAAAGTCATAGTCAACGCCATGGCGCTGCGATTCCTTGTTCTTTATACTTTGGAGGCCCCGGCAGATAGCGCCTCTAGAGGGCTGAGTACGACCCGGAGCTGAGGTTGATCGAGACAGCATCTCGCCCAATATTTCCTAAAGAGGTAAAACATTATCTAGTTTTTCAAACGAGACAGTCTTGATACGCCCGGCTGCGTATCTGGCTTCGTCAGCCCTAATTTCCTTCAACATAGGTTTGCCAAGCAATTTGTCCCAACTGCCGCCCGGCAATAATCGCAGGTTTCCCGATCGGGTGGGAGGCTCGTGGAATGCATCCGTAAAGGGTTAAGCGCATAAGGTGTGAGTGGCGTCCAGCAGCTGAAGAGGCTGATGAGGTGACGTCCCCAGTGACGGAGACTTCTGTTGAGCAGATACAGATGCTTTGCTGCGAAGAATTCGTATTCCAACAGTACATGAAATGGCTTGCATCTTGTGAGTTCACACAAGTCTCATGAACGGCCAATATTGAGAAGGACTGCGACACCTTGAAGCCATGGTCGGAGTCCCCGGCCGATCGAAAGGGTGCAATACGTGTATCCAACGCAAAGTCAAGGTAACCCCCCTTTTAGCAACAGAAACTCAGGTCAGATCTCTAACCCTGCTCGCTCGCATATAGTGCGATCAAGGGAAACCCACATGCGGCAATTGCGCCAAGGCCAAGCGCATCTGTGGCGGCTACCAACGCAAGACAGGATGGGTCTTCTCATCTGATGTCGAGCTGCCAGTGCGAGAGGCGAATGCTCTGACAGCAAACGCGAACTCTGTGATCTGCCACGGAAGGTGGACGAACAAGCAGAGCAAACAATCAAAAAGCAGACATGGACAGAGACAATCCTCTAGTCTGTCGCCGAAAGAAGAGGAACTAGGCACGGGTATGAGCCACTACACCTTTGTCATCGACGATTCTGCAACGCCATCGCCACTATCTTCACCCTCACCAATACAAGCCATATCCAACTTGTCGGCTCAGTGGGAGCAGCTCCGCAATGCCTTTATTGGCATGTATTTACCAGATACACTTTTCATCAGTAGTCGGCGTGTCGACGGTGTGACTGGAAATTGGTTAACAGAGCTAAAGGGCGAGTCTATTGCCTCCAAAGCTCTGGAAACTGCTGTGGCTGCCTGTGCTAGTGTGCAGGTAGGACAGGACAAAGGCGATATGATGCTAATCAGCCAGGGACGGGAAATATACCAGGCTAGCTTGCAGCATATGCGGGCAGCGCTCGCAAATTCAGAGTTGAGATCCACCGACGCTACTCTGGCCGCATGCATGGCCCTTTCCTTGTATGAGCTTTTTGCAAACCGAATGGGCGATGATTGTATGTACGAGGCACACGCTAAAGGTGCAATGGCTCTGCTGCAAATGCGAGGGCCAGATAGCCTTCAATCGCCGCTTGCACACAGTATTTTTCTTGGGCTACGACGGCAAATCGTACGTCTTCATTATTGCTTCAGAATCAGACGTCTCATATGGATGCTAACCTTGAAGCAGGTTCTTAACTGCCTTGTTAAACACGAGGTAATGTTTATAAATAAGGGCGCGTGGACGGCAAAACCATGGGGCAAATACAAGAAGAATTCTGTTGACAGATGCTTGGATGCCTTGTATATGTTGCCGCCGATACAAATAATGCTTGACGATGCAAGGCGCGAAACCGAACCAACCAAGATCCGTCAACTCTGCTTGGAAGTAGTCAGCAACTGCTGGAAAGTTGATGCTTTTTTACAGCAATGGTACGAGGAAGTCGAGAAGGCCCACGTCGGTCCAATGTACTGGCCCGTCTTCTCATCAACTAGGGGAGACCATGGAAAACCAAACATATTCTCAACAGTGTTTGAGTTTTCGCATTTCAGCATATCCTATCAGCTCACGACGTATTGGTCAGGATTATACGTGACGCATGAAGTCCTTAAGAAGGCAAACGAGATTCTCGCTGGGTTAGATCCTTTCCAGGCTGACGAATTCAATGCTGCCGTTAAACGGAGCGAAGAAACTTGGATGCGACACAGTCGATACGTCTGCCAGAGTCATGAATTCTTCATGAAGCGAGAGAACGGCAGGGCAGGCTTATTGGTTGGATTGGCCATGCTCAAAGGGTGCTATTATAACTTTATGGACTATCCCGAATTATGTGCTGAGGAGTTGGCATGGGTTCGATTCCGTATAGAGGAAAACAATCGGCGACTAAGCATGCCGCTGTAGCATCGAGTGATAAAATTCACGTTTTCTCGACGAGGCTCTGATTGATGTGGTGACTGATATTTGTTTGTACGCGGCTCAGTCATAGAGCCTGCATCCTTGATTTATAATGCTTCTTCCCATTAACGTGTCACGCCATAGTGCCAATAACTGCACGTTTCTGCACGGGAGACAGTGAACCATGTCGCGGATCGAATGCCGAACCATGACCGGTGTTACTGGGCTACTCTTTTTGAGTCTATGGCGGCCGCCGATCGGACACCTTGCCGTGCAGTACATCGCTATCGCAACATACTCTGCGTATGAGGTTTTGTAGTCTAGATTGCTCGTTGGAAAGCGACACGTCAAACATCCGTAAGCACAAGGCGCTGCTCACGAGCCATACACCACCTGCCGCAATGCATACATTTGCTTTGGCCTCAGACAAGACCAACCGCCGTCGCGGAGTATCGGCCCTTGGTCCGCCCCTGGTGATTCATTGGGCGGCCGGTTATTTCGCCGAGCGTCGTGCACTAGCCAATGGGCTTTTTCACTATTAATCGGGGCCGGACAAGACTTGGTGGGGGTAATCGAAGGTGGGAGAAGCTGTAACCAGCAGCGATGGCGTGGGTCCAGGAAGGGTTCTATCGAGTGGACTGCGGCATCCGCTTGGATGAATTAATAATGTGCTGGATGGATCTGCACCAATAAAGAAGAGTTTTTCCATTTTAGAGTCATCCGGCGAAGGTTTCTGATTAGATTGAGGGCGCCACTTGGCGGATGGAAAATAATTATGCACGATGGAAGAGGAGAGTCTGCTGCAAACAAACGTGCCGTCAGTTGCCCCTCGCTGGCGGTGGACCCCGCTGGCGTCATGACCTGCCAGCCGCCAAAAAATTTCCTGCCAGGTGCGGGCAGCTGGCGGGCACCTGGAAGTCTGGCACGCCAAGTTGGCTGCCCCTCCCCCACTATGGCCTCATCGTTGGTAACTTGGGGGAAGCTAACTAGTCTTAAATTTTCCCGTGCTTGATTTAAAAGGAGATTCCCACCCTCCCCTCTTTCTCATCTTCTCTCTGTAATCATCATTTCCATCACAAACTATACCCCTACACAATCCCCCCAAAACTAGCAATCACGATGTCTTTCGGAAAGACCGTCACCCTCAACACTGGTGCGCAGATCCCTCGCATCGGCTATGGTACCTGGCAGGCTAAGCCTGGTGAGGTCGGCAACGGTGTCTACGAGGCTCTCAAGGCTGGCTACCGCCACCTCGATCTCGCCAAGGTCTACGGCAACCAGCGTGAAGTTGGTGAGGGTATCCGCCGCGCCATTGCCGACGTCCCTGGCCTGAAGCGCGAGGACATCTTCATCACCTCCAAGCTCTGGAACACCTCCCACCGCCCCGAGCACGTCGCTGCCGCTCTTGACGACACTCTTGCCGAGCTTGGTCTTGAGTACCTCGATGTAAGAATTGCAATTGACCAAAACATACACACTGTGAGCACTCTGCTAACCGCTGTCGTCTGATAGCTCTACCTCATCCACTGGGCTGTTGCCTTCACCCCCGACGCCTCTGGCCCTCTTGCCAACCTCTTCCCCAAGGACCCCGCCGACCCTGAGCAGTCTCACCTTGACAAGGGCGTTTCCATCACCCAGACTTGGAAGGGTAAGTCTTTCAGAGCCCCCGCGCACCTCTTGACCATACACACTAACTTGCTTCCCAGCCATGACTGAGCTCTCCAAGGACAAGGCCCGCGCCGTCGGTGTCTCTAACTTCACCATTGAGCAGCTCGAGGCCGTTTCCAAGGCCACCGGCGTCGTCCCTGCCGCCAACCAGATCGAGCGCCACCCCCGTCTCCCCGGCACCGAGCTTGTCGACTACTGCAAGTCCAAGAACATCATCATCACTGCCTACTCTGGCTTCGGCAACAACACTGTTGGCGCTCCTCTTCTCGTCACCAACCCCGACGTTGTTGCTATTGCTGAGCGTCTCTCTGCTGCCCAGGGCAAGACTGTCACTCCCGCTCAGGTTCTCCTCGCCTGGGGTGTTGTTGGTGGCCACACCATCATCCCCAAGTCCGTCACTGCTTCTCGCATTGTCGAGAACTTCCAGGAGGTTGAGCTCGACGATGAGGCTCTTGCCACCCTCAAGAAGCTCGGCGAGGAGCCTTACCGCTTCAACATCCCCTTCACCTACAAGCCCAAGTGGAACGTTGACTGCTTCGGTGATGTTCGTGAGAAGGATGCTGCCACCAAGACCGTCATTTCTCTGTAAATGGTGAAGATGGCGAAAATATGACAAAAAATAGATACGCATGTAATGACAATGGAATAGATTTATAATATTTTTTTTCTCCCGTCTGGACGACCCGTATAATGCTCCCGCCTGGTGATGTGGTGCAAAATATAAGGTCTCGGTGCCCAGCCTATATACGCCTCTAAATGCAATCATATGGGTTTAGCTCAGAAGCTCTTTAATGTCTTCAATGCGCTGCGTCTTCTTTTCTTCATCATTCATCATGCCCAACGATGAGGCACTGCATCATGTTAGCTTTGGACGTCGCCATTGCAGGCAATTTAACTTACATAAACTTTTTGCGCTCTTGGACGCGCAGCATCCGCTCCTCGACACTCTCCTTTACCACAAATCGCTTCACAATCACCTCACCCTCCTGTCCCAATCGATGAACGCGGTCAATGGCCTGCGCTTCTACAGCAAAACTCCACCATGGGTCCATCATGAAGACACGACCCGCGCTCGTCAAATTCAGACCGACACCACCGGCCCTCAAGCTAATCAGCAGGATCATGAAGCCTTTACCTTCAGTAAACTCTGTAAGTACTGCTGCACGAGCTCGTTGCGCCATACTGCCGTCCAGTCGAAGGAACTTGATGTTTGCGCGGGCGAGCGCTGGTTCAATCAAGGAGAGGAAGGACGTAAATTGGGAGAAGACGACCGACTTCATGAACGGATGTTCACGGCGCAGCGTGCGCAGCTGCGAAATCAGCGTAGCAATTTTAGATGACGATGAGCTCGCACCGAGACGCTGCAGACTGATGCGTGGCTTCCCTGAAGATATGTCGACTTCATCATCGTAGCGTACAACCTCAAATAAATCTCGTTGCACAATTTCCTTGCGGCAGTTGAAGCAACGCGGAGAGACCCCTCGATCAGTCTCATGCTTTATGAAATCAAGCAAGCACTTCTTGCATGCGGAGTGCCAGCAACCTGTGACAACTTGGTCATTCATGGGCTCTTCAAAGCATAACGGGCATTCGCGTTCCGCTTCGTCCCTAATCTCAGCAAGCATGTTGGCACTATATGTCTGCGTATCTTTGGTGTCCTCGTCAACCGAAGCAGTGAACTGTTGAATCAGATTCTCTAGATCCATATCGTCTGCAAAGCCAGTGCTTGCATCCGCCGCTGCACCAGCCTCTTCCTCATCTGCAACAATGTCCTTATTGCGGACAAGAATAGGATGGCAGCAGGATTGGCGGAGGCGCAAGATTTGTGCAAAAATGGTAGTAAACGCCTTCATCACTGTTCCCGCTTCCATATTCTGAGCAAAGGTTCGTTTTGCTCGGTTGAAGATGTAGTCATACACATCACGCTCTGGTTTCGATAGTTCTACATCAACAATTTCCACAATCTTCGGAGGAAGAGGCACGAGAGGCTCTCCACTAGGGGTCTTCATATCCTTTGTGCGGCGCATGACAAGTGGTTCAAGAACCGTTTGCACGACATTGAGAGCCCGGACAAAGTCACCCGACTCAAATGGTACCGTGATGAACGTCTTCCAGAATGAAAAGTTGTTCCATGGTTCAACGCCAAGGAAGCGAACCAGCGAGAACAGATCCTCCAGTTTGTTAACAATTGGTGTGCCAGTCAGGACCCAACGATGGTGCGCAGCGATTTCATAGCAAGCCCTCGCAGTCTTGGATGATCTGTTTTTGATGGAATGAGCCTCATCTAAGATCACTCGGAAGAATTTCAGGGAGAAGATGCCATTATGTGAGGATCTGTCACCGTTCTTCGCTACAATTGATCCAAACTCCGATAAAATAACGCCATAGCTTGTAATAACAACATCCGGGGCATTGCTCGCGTTGGATGAGGAGCACAGTGCCTGTAGATTCGTATGTTTATTGTCTCCGTAGTAGAGCTCAGTTTTGATGGTTCCTGCCTTCGAAGCCTTTTCAGCTTCACTCTGCCACTGCGAAAGCAGAGACATTGGAGCAATAACCAACGTTGTACAAGGTGCATCAACGACGCTGGTAGAGTTGGTGCCAAGTCTAGTCAGCTGGTTCACGCTTGTTAAACCTGTAGAAGTTCGGTTTCGTGCCGTTTCTGATTTATGAGAGTGCACAAGCGCAAGCATCTGAATTGTCTTGCCGAGGCCCATTTCGTCAGCCAAGACGCCTCCAAGACAGTGCTGCTCTTGGGCGGGAAAGTCTAGCGACAAATCTCCAGAATATGGATTCACATAGAACTTTTCCATGCCCTCTTCTACAGGAAGATCCTTATCATCAACATCTTTGAGCGGCCATTGATATTCTTCCCAAAGTGGATGCATTGAAACCTCGCGATTGCTCTTTGCATCCTTTTCCTTTGCCATCATCCAGTGCAGCGCTTGCTTTTGGTATGGCCGAAGGTTAAGGGCAAATGTGTCTGCGGGCTCTGCTTCCGGAGTGCTGAAATCAAATGATTGCGCCTTTTTGTACAGAGTATCAAGCTGGTCTTGCTCTAATTCCTTGCCGTCTTCATCATCCGAGCCTGGGGAGTCCGGCGCTTCATTTGAAGCGGCGTTCTTCTTTGCCTCCGCCTGTTTCTGTTCATCCATCTCTGCTGCCTGTAAGAGCCCTTGGCGATTATCTTTGGCTGCAGCATTCATTACAAACGGCTGCAAATTAATTTCCTGAAAGAGTCGCACGAGAGCCACTTGACGGAGACGCAGCTGTTTCTCGTCAGCGCTCTCGCCTTGGTCATAGAAGCTTTCTGGTCGATCATCAACAATTTGGAAGCTCCTATCATAGAAAGCCGATCGCAGAAAAAAGCATCGAAGCTGGAGGAAAACAGTATCGTTCGTTCGCAGGCGTTCTGGGGCGTATACGCATGTACCTTCAAAACGACAAATCTTTTGGTCCAGCAATGTAGAGACCCAGTTTGCTGTATCCTTGGATAGTCGTCCAATCTCGGTGCCGCTTTCATTCGTAAATCTGACAATTACATCTATGCGTCGAGATGCGGCCGTATTCTTTCGAACGGGTGTGACTGCTACTCCTAGCTTCGACTTTATGGCTGGCGGTTGAGGAGGCTGGATTTTCTGGCGCTCAATCTTAATGACATCGCCATGTTTCAGAATATTCGTTCCGCTTCTTGTAGCCCAGCCTTCCACTCCAAAAGCTCCAATATATCTGGCATTCTTCATCGGCCGGCGTATTGGTAGTGTTGTTGTAGATGGTGTTGGACTGTTGGACTGGGTGCTTGCCTCGCTTGCCAACTCTTTCTTAATCTTGGCTTGTTGAATAAACTTTTTATATGTGCCGTCGAAATACATGTTAACAGCGCGCTCGAGGTTGTCACCGCTTTGTTCACGAATCGCTTGGATAACATTCTTCGCCACCTTCTCGCCCACAAAGGCTTCGAATGTATCAACGTTGAACGTAATTGGTTCCGAATCGGCAGCTTCAGGCTGTTGGTGGGTTCCTATGCGGCTGTCTGTATTGACAGAGTTGTTTTCAATATGCGCCAGCACTTCTCGTGCCTCCCGCTCGGCAGTCGCAGCATCATCTTCACGCTTCACCGGCGTCAAAGAGGCGCTGCATGTAGCCTCTTCGCTGGCGGCGTCGGATGACGGTTCATTTGGGTCTCTGAAGAACCTTCGCTTCTTGGCCGGAGGTTCGTTCGTCGGTCCAAGATCCATGGTTTTTAGTGTTCATTTGACCACCCAGGTCGCTGGTATCAGTCGTGGCGGCGAGACGCGACGGCGGGTTCTTCGTTCGCGTAGCGGTGGAACGAGGTCAGGTGACGGCAGCGCTGGCGTATAGTGCCATTTGTAAGAGGAACTTGACATTGGCAATGAATTGTTCTACTCTAGAAATTAAAAAGAACGTATTTTATGAAAATATTTCTAGCAATGCCTTGCTTCGTAATTGACCCTCTTCTATATGAACACCCGATTGTTGAGTCGTAGTAGTATCACCCTGTCTTGCCCATGACGTCGAGCGGGTTCTCCTTCCAGGCGCATGCCACACGATTTCCTTGCGCCAACTCGCCACAACAGCACCCCTGTCTTTGCCTGCGATATTGTTCAGTCTGCATGGTCAATTGGGTAAATGTGCATGATAAAATATGAATCGCACGTTTTTATTACGCAGTAGTCTGCGCAGGCTACCGGTACAGCCTCAACATCGCCGAGCTTTGCACAGCTTTGAAAAAGTCGACGAGGCGCGAGCACACTGCCACAAGCAGCTCGAGTAAGTAGTGCAGGCCTTATTCCGATTCTTATATCTAATTTAAATCAGACTACATGATTATGACGCACATCTTATCCGCCGCCTCATCCCGCGGCAGGCGCAAGACGTCTACGTTGCCCTCCGAGCCCTGAACCTCGAACTCGCCCGCATCCCCGAAGCCGTATCGAATCCAACTCTAGGAGCTATGCGCATAAAGTTTTGGAAGGACGCTATAAACAACACATTTTCCGGCCGCGGTACTCGCGAACCCATATCCACGTTGCTAGGCAGCACGGCGCAACAGCTTGAAGAGACTACTGGCCGTCAAACACGCCAGACTGTTAAATTCTGGACATCGCGGCTCATTCAAACCAGAGAAAAGCACCTCGATAATCCTCCATTCACAAATATGGCCAGCCTCGAAGACTACGCCGAAAATATATATTCTACAATGATGTATGCCACGCTGGCTGCTATCCCTATTCGATCGATAGACATGGACCATCTTGCCAGTCATATTGGTAAGGCAGCAGGTATCGCTGCAGTGCTGAGATCGATACCACAGCTTGTTGCTCCACAGATTAAACGCAGTCCAAATGCTGGCGCAGTATCATCAGTTACAAAAGAGCCAACGCTACTACTACCATTGGACGTCATGGCCGAACACGGCGTTAAGGAAGAGGACGTCTTTAGACACGGTCCCCAAGCTGAGGGCTTATCTGAGGCCATATTCACTGTTGCGACCCGAGCGAATGATCATTTAATTACGGCACGAGAAATGATGAAAAGACTGCGGGCCGGCCAAGGCGCTGGACACGACTTTGAGCACCAGCACGATACCGAACACATGGACGATATCTCAACCGGCAATGTCAATTCTGATATCGAAGCATCGTTCGGCGTCTTAATTGAGGCTGTCCCCGTCAATCACTTCTTGGACAACCTTCAAGCGGCCGACTTTGACCCTTTTGCCGTCAAGCCGCCTGGCTGGAAGGGACCATGGAGGCTCTGGAAGGCCACCTCGAGCAAGAATTTCTAATTATGAGCAATAAGCGCCAATTTGTACCATATTTAGAATTCCATTGTACTATTAGAGCATATAGATATTTTGTACTATTTATAAAATTGCTTCTCTGTTGTCACTACCTCTGATCTTCATCTACTATATAGCCAATGCCTCAAGAGGCCCCCACTTTTTGACCGTCCCTCCTAAGGCGGTAAATTTTCGGTTCTTCCCCTTGCGCTCCCAAGATTTCGAGATTCTCAACCCAGCTCGTTTCCCCTGCTCACCAACATTGTGTCAATTGCATTGGTGTAGATACCAGAGCAGAGATGTTGTACGAATTAATTGGCATTGTACGTTTTTCATTGCACACCCGTCCTTAATGCGCCTTTCTAACACATTCACACAGGTCCGACCGGGCAACTTGTCGGAAGTCAGAGAGTACGTCGAACCCAACACGCGACACCGAACCCCCTTCTTCTCTGGCGACTGAATCCTCTAACAATGATTTCTTAATAGAATTGCAAACACCGTGGGAAGTCTGGTCCTCCGCAACGGCGGCGTCATCCGCGGTCTCTCCAACTGGGGCGTCTTTGCCCTGCCCAAACCCCTCTCCGTCCACCAAATGCAGCACACGCACGGCCATTACTTTGTCATGCGCTACGACTCCTCCTCTAGAACACATAACGACGTCCGAAACTCCCTCCGACTCGAGCCTCGAATGATTCGCGCGGCACACGTCAAGCTCGGCGACGGCAAGCTGAACACACTTTCAAGATTCGGAGCACCCGAGTGGTGGAGCACGTCGTAATGTCTGCCTACCTCTAAAGGTTAAAATCATAGCATGAGAGGTTGCAAAGGCGTCGCCGAGTGAACTACCTCACACGCACGCTGTCGAACTATCGGATAAAAGCTTCCGACGCCAAGCAATCTGGTTGAAAGGGCGATACGAAGCAGGCTGCGCGAGTCCTGTGGTTCTGTTTCGCTGTACAATACAAAAAACGACTCTACATTTGGGATTTATAGTCAAAGGTCTTATTAGCATTCATAGGTTTGGCGTCCATGATGCCGTGTACAGCATAGAATGAACAATTATATGTAACACTGTATATTGGCATTTGAAGTAGTCGTGAAAATCAACGCTACATTGTTCTATCGCTTGTGATATTCTATAAAAAAAGTTTCCAGTCGGATAATGGATGCTGGGGCTGGGTTGATAATGCACGCTCTCAATGATACTTTTCATATATCTTCCGCCTTTATTGTTCGCCGTCCACGTCCATCTGTTCAGTCTTGCCGATACCTTTGCCATGACACCACCCAACGAAATCGTCGATGACGCTCGGCCAGGCACCATCTTCATTCCAAAATGAAAGACTTTCATCTTCCATACTCTTGAATGCGAATTCCAAAGTCATGTTCCACATGTCCTTGTTAACTGAGCGAGTCCACTTCTCTTCCAAGAAGGACTTCCACAGCTCCAGCCAGTTATGGTTTTTCGTTTCCCAGCGCATGCCAGGGCTGGAGAAGAGTGTGCCCCAGAATACGGTAGCATTTTCGAGATCCAGGGCCTTTTGGTCCTTCTCGCGGCCACCAATGAAGGCGTATTTATATACTTTGCGGAACAGTTCCTTATCCTTGGACAATTTCGCAACCAGTTGTCGAACGTGGGCGGCTTGATCGGCCAGAGACGCCGGAACACTATCATATATTAGCAAGTGATTGAAAGTAGAAGAGTATTCGCGACATACGCAGTCAGTTTCCAACCGTCAACAAATCCACGAAGAGTGATCTCGCCTATGCTTGGTGCTTGAACCAAGTAAATGGCGACAAACAGCTCCGCATTTTCCAAATTTATTTTCAGGTGAGACTGGAGGTATTCCATGGTGGATTCGAGTTCCATCTTATCTTTTTCATCTTTCGCCGCGTCTGTTGTTGCATCGTTAATAAATGCCACGGCTGAGCTAAGTCTTGTAAACCTTACCTCGAAGAGATTCGAATAAGTCGGTTAGCTCCTTCTCTAGTGTCGATGATGAATCGCCTTGTTGGGAAAAGAATCTGTAAACGTTTGTATCAGTATTCGTTCGTCTTTTTGTGTGCGTTTTCTAATTGGCAACTGCAACATCGCTTGATGCGCCGCTGATAACATGCAGTCCCATGGATCATTCGACAGTACCGTTGGTCTTTGCCGTTTGTCTTTAGGCTCTCGTGCTTCACTGATTTCTGTTTGGTTGGCCATTGTGGCACAATTTTGACTTGGAAGTGTCGCTTCACCCCATCCCATCCCATTTTGTCCCGACGGGGTGGATGATAGGATAGACCGAAAGTAGCACCGAAGTTGCGACGACGGTGCTTAAGCAAGTGTAAGACGACGGCGGCTGGCTGAGGTGTAGCACTTGCGAAATTCAAGCGACGACAGCGGGAACAAAGGAGGATCAAAAGTAAGAGATGAAGGAATACGAGGCATGACCACCCCAAGAAGGCTCAACCGGGGTATGTAACATTATCTGGCCATCTGTTGATCAGAGGCGTCGGCGATGCTCGGCCAAACTCTCGTGGTAGTCCCGGTGTACTGCAGATGGCTCACCAGTGGAACCCCACCATCAGTCCGCCCATACGTGGTTGCACGTTCCTCTGGGCCAATGCGAAGCCGCGAGCCATGATCAGTTGCGGAAATGATTGTTGCTACTGTAGCGTGGTGCAGGGGTGTTTGAAACGGAAGGACAAATAGGAAAAGTCGAAAGACGGGGTGCAGACTTACTCATCAATCGCCTGGTCTACCTTATAGTTATTGTCTTTGAGGAACTAAGGGAGGAGTGGCGTGGTTAGCTTTCTATTATACGCCATCATGCTTGGTGTATTTGAACAAATCAATATTAGTGATATAGCCGCCGGATCCTTCAATCCTACGCCTGATATACTACATTGGACGAGTTCGACAGAGCCTGTGTCTGCATGGAGCCGCGGCTCAACAAGAGCAAGCCGGCAGCGGCCGTCAGCAGTTTATGGGTAATAATATATACGTACTCGAAGAGCGGTGCGATCAGATTCTCCGGTCAGAGCCTTGAATTGGGCCACCAGGTTCTGCACCTGCGCATTCGAAGGAGCCATGGTAGTCAAGTGGTCTGTGGAACGGGGTCTATGATTGGGAACAAGCTGCGGCTAACAAATCGATCAGTCCGCGGCAGCAGGCGAATTAGAATATATGCCCTCTAAGATGAGCTATTTGAACTGTCGAAGTCTTTTATGCGGTTGCTGGACTGGCGGACGTATCGGTGTGCACCACTTCGAGCTACGGCGATGGTGGCGTGAACTGTCCGTTAAGGCTTCGACTAACGATCGGCTGACGTCGGAATGATTTCTGCAAAGGAATCTCGGCGCTGTCGTGATATTCGTAGGCGGTCTGGATCGTTGGCAACAGAGGTGGTGTTGCGCCCAAGAGGATTGGCCGTTGGACTTGGTGGGTGAAGTGTGAACTCTGTGTCAAGAGCTTTGCGTAGTGTGGGGTTGAGGAGGAGGAGCTTGCTCAGAGTAGTAGCACCCAGTCAGTAGGAGGTTAGAAGGTAATTTTAAGCAGCTATGAACGTAGCTAAAGCTAAATAGCGACTTATCATAGCAAAAGGGAAATTGTATAATAACAAGCGCATCTCACATTATTCAACTTCTTACTCTAGAGAAGCCCAGACTTTCAAGGCAAAGCGGCGAAACGGATGCGTGCGTGCAAATAAGGCCGCACTGTATTTTTCTGCTCAAACTAGCGGCGACATAGCGATCCACCCTATAATATAGAGGAATAAATACAGTGCAAATACTTTTACTGTGTGGGAGCCACACACTGTTGGTGGGGTTGCACCTCCAAACGACGTAATAGCAGTCACGCCTCTCCGCCCAGCGACGCGTCCCCCAGGCGCGACCTCCATCGACCCTGTCAAAAAACGGTAGCGGCCAGGCAAAGACAGCGGATATCCACCACCAACACATAACAGTACTGCTAAACTTTGTCAACCAGTCGACTTGGCTGCTCATAGAGATGGCCTCGCCGCAGTCTTGGGAAGCGGATGAAGCAGATGCAGTCGATTTTGCTGCGCCATTGCGCGGCGTAGTGATATGCTGCACCAGTATTCCTCCAGATCAACGGGTTGGTCACGTTGCGCTCCCAAAAGTATATTTTGCGCAAATGCTAACAAGTAACATATAGCGCGACGTAGCGGATAGAACGACAGAAATGGGAGGCATACACAAATACGATCTAACACCAGATGTCACCCATCTCATTGTTGGCGACTATGATACGCCAAAGTATCGCCATGTTGCCCGCGAACGACCCGATATAAAGGCTATGGATGTGAATTGGATAGAAGCTGTGTCGGCACTGTGGAAAAGAGATGAGGAAATTCCTTTCAGAAAGCTCGAATCCCAGTACCAGCTGAAGGCGCTACAGAAGTGCGGTCCGGGCTCAGCGCCTGGAGGCGTGGATGAAAGTGCGCTCACAATCTGCCTGACTGGCTTCGGTTTAGAGTGGAAGGAGATTGCGGAGAAGATTCAGGCCAATGGTGGCTTTCACAGAGCCGACTTGACGCGATCATGTACCCATCTCATCGTTAAAAATCCCGAGGGCAAAAAGTTCAATGCAGCAAGGTCATGGAAAGTTGCCACCGTAACATTGGAGTGGCTCGACCAGAGCATACAACGGGGTCTTATTCTGGACGAAGAGAAGTTCGACCCCCTTTTGCCTCCGGAAGAACAAGGCGTGGGAGCATGGAATAAGAAGGATGCCGAAGCAATGCGCCAGAAGAAGCGATCAAGGTCAATGATTGCGCCTGGTCAGGAGGATGGCGCGCGCAAGTTGCGCAAGACCGCAAGCATGAAGCTCAACTCACAACATACACATCTATGGGGCGATATTCTAGGAAAACCAACGTCTAGAGAGAACTCGTTTGCTCAGGACAGCACACCAGCATCGCCTGCTCTTACAAGTGCAGTGATCCCTGCCTTGGTGGCGCAAAAGGGCATTTTTGGCCACTGCATTTTCTATATGCATGGCTTCAACACTAAACAGCGCGAAATCCTAGAGCAGGCTATTACAGGATTGCATGGAGCTGTGGTGCCAACATTAGAGGCTGCTGCTGCATCTGACCGAGAAGACAGTGTAACGCAGCGGTTTCTCATCGTCCCGCAAACCTCACAGCCGGAAACACATCCTACAGTCCCCGACGGCTTCAACGTCATAACGGAGTTGTATATTGAAAAATGTCTCCATTCCAAGCAATACTTCGATCCAAACGACTCTGTCATCGGGCGACCCTTCCCACTATTCCCCATCCCTGGCTTTGTCGATTTGAAAATCTGCTCTGCGGCATTCAAAGACTTAGACCTAAACCAGATTGCAAAAACCGTGAATCAGCTTGGAGCGTCGTTTGAAACAAACTTCAACCGCAATGTCTCCGTCCTCGTTTGCAAATCAGTAGCGGGAACCCGCAAGGAGAAACTAGAATATGCCCGGCAGTGGCAAGTGCCCGTTGTTTCTCAAGACTGGCTCTGGGAGTGCATCTCTACCGGCTTCAATGTACCCTTTGATAACTTTATCCTCCCAGGCTTCCCGAAACCAGCACCTAAGGAGGACTCAGCTGCGTCTGTGGAATCTGGGCGACAGCCTAGCCTCAAGCAAGATTCAGTAGACCTAAAGCAGAATGTTCGCTCAGAGAAGCGGCCTCCCGCGGCGGCGAAACTCGACGCAACAGCATTCGACAGTGAATCACCCAAAGACGGATCATCATCCACCAAACATAGCACCAAAGCAAAGTTAGATAGCGTCTCGACCGCAGACTTCATGACAGCCCGTTCTCGCTCTGCCGGCACATCAGCCAAGGAGAGTGACGCGCCATTATCCGAGCGATCATCATCATCTTTAAACAAGTCCCCGTCACCCACAAAGCCCGCCTCAGACTTCGATCTTGGCGGAAAGAAGGACGGCGGAAACACTCGTTCACGTTCCGTCATATCAAAATCCAACTCTGTATCGTCCGACGATGAAGCAGCCAAACTTGAGCAAGCCCGTAAAGCAGCCAAGGCCGCTGAGCGAGAACAGCTCACATCACGTATCACCAGCCTGTTAGATGAAGCCGCGCCGACGCCCGAATCCGGCTTCGGTACATCTGGAGCAGGACACTCTGGACCCCGTCCACGAAAGAGACAAATCCTCGGCCGCGCCACAAGCAACGCCAGCAGCGCAGGAGGTAGTATGTCTGCGTCCATACTCCAGAGGGCGTTGTCTTCTGTCGATGGCATGGCAGGCGAAGGGGAGGACGATGCGCAGGAGCCGCCGGGCACGCAGCTCGATTACCGTGACCCCCAGGCTCAAGAGCGTCGATCAGCGTTAATGAGTAGATTGATGGGACAGGGTGCACCAGAAACTACGACAAGGAGCACTCGGCGCAAGAGCTGAATGTATCCTTGCGTTAAACTCGCATATGAATAAGGCGTTTACAGGGGGCTCTTGAAAGCAGGCATTTGGGGCATCATCTAACTAGACATGTACGAATCATGAAATATATCTACACACAACCAACTTAACACACGTCTATGGTCCTTTGGGTTGTAGAAAAGTGTAAAAGGCGCTGTTCAAGCGCTAAGTATTAAGTAAACAAGACTAAAAATGTAAAGTACTCTGTCTTTTCCTCATCTATAATAAACAAAATATTTCTGTCCCAAGTATCCTTAGTACGCCTCGAGGTGTCCCCAAAACAAAAGAGTTTGGAAAGGAACAATAAAAACAAAATCAAGTCAAAACTCCGGGTGGACGCTGGGATGCCATTTCCTTTCTCCATTGTCCAAGTGAGCCAAAAAGGGCAAATCCACAAATAAAGTACGCTGGTTGAAAAATGGTGGTGGTGGTGGTGATGTGCTATGTTGCAAGAAATGAACAAGGCTCAGTAGTGAGATCGGCCAGACGCGTGACGCAGTGCCTAGTACTTTTGCGAATGGCGGTTGGTAGGAGAGTAAGGATGGTCGTACGCTGTCGATTGGGCGTAGTGGTCGTCCATGTAGACGGTGCTGCGGTAGTCGTCCTCGGGGAGGAGCTCCTTGACCTCCCAGTTGTTCATTCTGGTGCCGACAGAGAATTCGAGATCCTCCTTAGTGATGGAGTCCCAGTACTTGTAGACCATCATGACGCCGAGCAAGTTGCAAACAGTGGCGAGGAAGAGGCCGTCAAAGTAGTGAGCGGCGGCAACGCAAATCTTGCTGCTGAAAGCGTACAGGATGACCTGGCCAATAACAAAGAAGAAGACGCCAAAGATGACGTCGCCAAGGGGCCAGCGGTCTCGGAGCGTGCGCGAGACAAGAAGAATCTGCAGCACAATGTACACGGCGAGCTGGACAGCGTTGAGCAGGTAGAGAACCACAAAGAGACCAATAGTGTTGATGGGGCTGAGGCCGGCCCAGCTCTTGAATGTAGCGAGCGAGACGAGGAAGCTAACCGCGAAGGCGACAAGGGAGCAGATTCGCATCATCCAGAGCGACAAGGGCGTGCCGTCTTCGTAGAGCTGGAATCCTACAAAACCGTTGACAAGAAGACAAGTAATAGTAGCGTTGGTGAGGCCGTTCTGAATGGCGACAAAGTATGGATAAGGGTCGCTGCCGGGGGGGACAACGCCGGCGTCAATGACGAGCGAGACAAAGGTGAGAAGCATATAGAGGTAGAAGAAGTTGAGGATCTCCTTACGGCCAACAGCGGTGAACTTGCTACGAACATGCAGAATCATGACCACCGTCATGACGAGCGCAACAATGTGCATAGCGGACGCGGCGCCCTCAAAGATGATTGTGTTTGCGAGCTCGATGTTTCGCGCGTAGCACGTCGGCTCGATGCCCACGCTACTGACTGCCGAAGAGCCAGCGCCGACCGAGGCGCACAGCGGGAGCGGTGCATTCTGGCAGATGCTGGTGAAGTCGCCAAAGCCAGACATGATGATGGTGGACGGGCGGTTAGTTGTGAACGAGCGTAATCCGATTCGAACAGAGAGTCGAGCGGGGATGAGTTGTCGTCGGTAACGTGCGTGAGCCGATTCCTGGACCAAATCAAATCAAGGCACACAAGAAAGCAGGCAAATAACACAGCACGTTCAATGTCTCGGAAGAAAGGAGAAACCCTCGTCCGAATCACAACGCGAGGACGTCAAAGCACGATGTCGGGTAAATCTGCAGCGGAGGCGAGGTGCGAAACAAAAGAAAGAAAGTGGTGCGTAATTTGCAAGTCGGGTAAAAAAAAGCCGTAAAATGAGCAACAGAAAAGTATCGAACGGTGCTTTGCTGCTTTGTGATTTGCGGGTGAGACAGGACGCGGCGCAGGGGCAAGGTTTTGGTTGGCAGAAGATTTGAAGGTGGGAGGAAGGAGAGGGAGGCCAGGCGTGTTTGGTTGCCAGGGGTAGACAACAGCAGTCAGTGTGGTGGTGGTGTGTGGTGGTGGTGGTTGTAGCGCGGCTCCACCTTCTATAAAAAAAAATATCACGGTGCGGCTGTACAGTACTGGCGGCTTGGATATGTACTTTGGCAAAGCAAGGCTGGCAGGGAGAAGAATGTAACAGATGGAAAATAAAGGCCTGAAAAAATATCAGAAGAGAATAAATAGATTTTGTGCGTAATTTTCATACGATGGGCATTTTTCCCGGATTTACTCACGCTCGTAAGCAGCCCTTGGTCACGGCCAGCAACAGGCACGCTCGTATCCCACTACGTCACTCCCGCCCGCCAAGCTGCTTTGGGCCACGATACGAGCCACAGCCATCGGACTGACACCACGATATCACCACGTGTGGCCAACAAGTAGGGTTGCTTCTATTTGCACCGTCCCATCACTGACAGAAAATCTCTCTATGCTTCTAAGACATCGATTCGCTCAAAGCTTATGGAGATCTGTTCAGTATTCATAGTCTACAGCTGTGTGTTGCGCAAAACAGTCATCACGAAAAAGGCGGTATCAAAAAAGTAAGATGAAAAGGAGCTAGCTTCAAAATGCTGTAGCTCTGATTGGATATAAACACCAGAGAATAACTAAAATAAGCGACTAAACACCGTCTTTGAATATGCCCTCAAGCGCCCAGATGAGGTGGGTTCCAGTTACAACGCCCTGTCAAAAACAAAAACAAAAACATATTGTAAAAAAAAGAAGTCCCTTCCAATAGTCGTACATGATCCATGCTATGCAATGCTAAAATAAAAAAAATGATGAAGAAAACAAGGCTAAGATATACACTTAAAGTGAGGAGCTGCCAGCCCGCCCTTATGGGGCATATTGGCCCATGTATCCGGTTTGTTGCGCGGCGTTGTTAGGAGGGACCACAGGTGGCTGTACCTGGTACTGCTGCTGCTGAGCGCGATGGTAGCGGACAAACTCGGGAACAATACCAGTGCGAAGGTCGTAGCGGCGACCAAGAGGCTGGTAGTGCATCTGGCTGGGAGGCACAGGAAGCGAGAGTTGGTACTGCTCAAGCGACGCAGAGGGTGGTGGGTGCAAAAGCGTATTGACGTGGCGGATAGGTTTGTATGGGCTGTTGCGATGCTGAAGATAGACACTTGGCGAGTTGGCGATGGGAGTGAGCGCCAGTGGTGTGTGCATGGCCGAGTTGGCAGCGTATGCCTCCGCCATGGGCGACGAAGCAAACGGAGCAAGACTGCCAGGGCTGCGGCGCTTGCTGGGTGTGCCCGTGTGCAATGCAACAGGATGAGCCACAGGGACAGGGACCTGTGTGGCATATTGTGCCGGTGCTGGTGCCGGCGCGGAAGCAGCTGCAAGAGGATATTGAATGCCAGTTGCTTGTGGATAGACAGTTGACATGGAGCGTGTACCAGGTACAAGAGGGGGGAGGGCCACGGGGGCTTGCGAGGGTACATAGGCGGCGGCTTGTACTGGATATCCGGGTGCAATAGGCGCGGCGTTGGTAACAACAGACAGTTGAGGCACGGGCAGTCTGGACGGTTGTGTGGCGCTGTGAAGGCGAGCGCTTAAATCGTCAGCGTGCTGGGCATTGTACACCATGGATGGCGGCATGTGGCGCTTGGCTGGGTGCTCGTCTGCGCTATCATCGTAGCTGCGCTTACGAGACTGCGTAGGCTGCATGACTGGCTTGGCCGCCAACGGTGATGTGGTATTTGCTTGGTACTGGTTCCAGCTTTGGCTATGGCTGGTGCTTGGGGAGGTGTGCTTCTTGCCAGATGGGGTGACAGGAGGCATGTCATAGTAGGCGGCAGCGAGAGGAGAGGAAATGGGGGAGACGAAGGATTGGTGATGAGGTGAGGCAACGTGAAGGGGAGAGGCAGGTGGGCGACTGGCTCGCTCGTAGTAGTCAAAGAAGCATGCAAGCTTGCCCAGCCAATCATCCCACTCAGAGTGTGAGGCTAGAAGGTTATATCGCATGTTGCTCAAGAATTCCACCTCCATGACGTGAATTTCCTGGACAGCAAAGCACGAAACCTCGGCCCACGTCTTGTTTGTGTAGGTGTTGTCGTCGAGAAACTTATTGCCCAACATGAGAGCAACAGTCAGCAGTCGATATTCGCTTCCGGCTCGGCCTTTAATCTGTGGCGTCGACTTCTTCAGTCTATAGATGAAGAGCAGCGCCAGTAAGATGACATTTTGTGTTACTTGTGTGGTAGATAAGACGCTATAGACCCATTTTCTGAACTGTTCGTGCGGCTTTGCTAGCGGTTGGAGGCGGGAGACGGGTGCGTCGTGCGGTCTTGATTGGATCGTTTCGGCCATTTTCAAATCCTCCATAGGCTGGAACCAAAAGAGGCAAGTCATCTGTCTACAGTTAGCATCTTCTTTCCAATACAAAGAGAAATGAGGTAGTGATTCCATACCTGGGCAGCAAAATCTGCCAAGTTGCCTCCGTTGGGGCTGATGCATTTCGGTATCGACAGGCTGTGGTAAATAAGGCCATCGGCAGGCTTCTTTTCGTTGGATGTCTTTGCAGTCGATATTGAGGGAGGTGTTGACGGGCGGCTCGTAGATTGAGAGGTGGAGGAGTATGATAATACGGTGGTTTGGGACATGGTATTAGACTGGGGGTATGTCGGTTGTGTTGCTACGGGCCCTTGGCGCTGTCTGGCACAGAATGCAGCTGGATCATTCGTCGGTTTACCGATGGAGGGAGGACCAAAGTTGACAGCATGCGATGGAGGAGCATAGTTATCGTAGGCTGCCAACGACTGGTGGTATGTTGTGCTCATCGTGGCGGACGGAGGGGGTGTCAAGCCTCTTCCAAACAGAGCACTCTGCTTGGGCTGGCTTGGAGGTTTCGATGCGTTGGCGTACTGAGGAAAGAGTGTAGCTCCACGGCGATGGGCTTGGGGGCTTGTAGATAGTGGCAGCGGGAGTATATTTGCCTTGTATATTCCCACAGACATGAGCACGTTGAGGTGTGGTGGTTTATAGGATTGGCGGACAATGTCGGCGAGATCGAGAATACTGCGTTTTTCGGCCCCAGACACAGTTGCCACTACTGGGAGGTCGTTAAAGCGAGCGGCAGGCCTAGTTATATGGTATGGGCATGCGCGTGTTTAGAAGCGCAGCGAATACACACAGCTAGAAAGAGCCAACGTGAATAAATGACGAATTGCAGGAAGCTTTGCGGCGGCGAAAGTCAAGTATAAGTGACTGGTGGGCAGTTAGTTGGTGGTGATGTCGTTCCCCACTGGCGCTGCAAAGAGTGGTGGTGTGTGTAAGTTGTAGGTATGTATGGTGGGCAGGCGGCGTTGATCAACAAGTAGGCGGGAGAGTGTTGGTAAAGGTTGATTCCATGATGCGAAAGGACAAACGGATGGAGATTGCGGCAGAGACGACAAGTAAAAAGAGGGAGCGAGGCGGGATGAGGGAAGGAGAGGGACTTCAAGACAAGAATGACAAGAGACCGAAGCCCAGCGAGCCGGGATGTGTGATGGTCCAGCAACCCGTCGTAACTCAACCACCATAGCGTGAGTTTCGAAAAGAGGGTCTCGTCTCGGAGGGAACAGCAGGCCCAAGAAAAAAAGGAGCCAAAAAAGCGACGCCGCCCAAAAAAAAGGCCCCCAAAAAGGAAGAAAGGGAAGGGAAAGGGAAAAGCGCACGCAGAGGTCACGGTGGATTTCAAGGTTCAAGACGCAAGCGCGGCCTGTGGTTGGCCCAGCATGGGTATCGGTGGGGTTAGCGTGACAGAGCAGACCACCGCTAAGCCGGAGCAGCAGCCCTTTTTGCGCTGGGAGGGTGAGCCCAGCTCAGGTGCGGGGGGCCACCAATGCACTGTAATTCGGGGCTCCTGCAGCACTCTCACTCCCCCCCGGCTCCCTTTCCAGCGCCGGGCTCGCAGTGGACCACACACCAGGACCGACCACCTGGAAGCAGCGCTGTTACCGGGTCCCCGTCAATGGGGACACACCCCCTGTCAGTCCCGTGTTGTTGATAAAAAAAAAAGCCCCAAAGGAATCCACTGAATCACTAGGCGCTGGCTGGGTCTCGTTTTGGTGGTGGTGGTGGTACTAACTGCTGTGACGACACTACTGGCTGCAAAATTTCTACAGGATGCTTGTTTGGACGCTTTTTTACTTTTACTCTTTTCCCATTTAGTCGTTTAAGTTTTTTTGTTTTCGTTTGCTTGTTTGCAGTTGTGTTTTCACTGGTTAACTCCTTTTTTACAGAGAGCAAAAAATAAGCAGTCCAAAAACAAGCAGAGCGTAGCTGTCGGCGGTGCTGCGGTGGCCAGTGTTTGGCATTTGTCGTTTTTATTATCTTGCCCTTGAGCGCTGCCGGTGCACTAGACCACGGCGCTGTAGCGGACGAGTAATATCGTAGCGTCTTGGGCGCATGGCGTTTGCCGCAGCCACCCCCAGCAGAAACTGGGGCACCACATGCAGCATTGCGTGGACTTTCTTTTCTCCCCTTCTTATCGTTCATATTATTTTTAATTGATGTATTTTAAAGTCTGACGCTTTTTTTCCTCGTTGACTTTTTTAGTCTGCCTTGGCCGTGCTTTGTGATTACTCGTCTACTTCTGCTTTTAGGCACTATCGGCCCCCCTGGCGTCGTAAGAGTAAAAAGCCTTTTGCCCCCTTCCCCGTATTGGAGATACATGCTGTAATAACGAGCCATGCACTGTAGTACGCCTGGGACGGCAGTGCACATGAACGAGACGACAGCGAGAGACGGGCAACACGGGCTAACCCTTGTCTAATAGCCAACAAAGGGATGTTTTGATACAACGGCAGTGCGCCTGGAACGGAGTCACCAACCACAAGACGAGGGGACAGATACTGTAATTAGTTGATACTTTTCGTTGCGCACAAGACGGGCCAGCGAGAGACATGTTGCCAGACACGCCCGCGGACAACATCGCCGCAAGGAGGAGGAGGGTACAGCGCAAACGGGGAACAAGCAACAGAGGTACATGCGCCTCGGTGGCAAGGTGGCCCGTTGGCCTTGTACCATGCCATTCAGCGAGGAGGGTGCAGGCGGAAAGGCAGCCTCTGCTACGGCGCTGCACAGCACCAAACAAAGCACCACAAAGCACGCCGCCGCTCATTCTAGGCCCCCCTGCACTCCAAACACTCACTGAAAGGGCCTGGCGCGGCGCAGCTTGACAGGGGTGCAGCGCAGTGGGCGACAGCAGGCGGACGGCCAAAACGGGGTGGGCCCCACTCCCAGCAAAAGAGGTGAGGACAACCACCCTCCACCACCACCTTTGACCACCACCGCTAACTTACTTTGTCCACCACCGCTACAGCACCGCCTTTGCCTGCCTTCCGCCCCCTCCCCTCCCTCAGGCAGCTGACATGGACGCCTGGGCGCTTGGGTGTCGTGGTCTCTTGTCGCTGCACAGCACCGGCACAGTATCTGTACTCACCCACAACACAACACACGCTACGCGCTAATCCACTGCACAAAGCAACACCACGCCAGCATTGCTGCTGCACCACCACCATGGGATAGCCCGACAAAGACACAACGAGGCTCGCCGCAGTCGTCCGCCCTAATGTCTTTGCTTTTTTTACTTTTTCCGTCTTCGTTGTCGTCAGCTCGTCCAGGTCTAGACACCTCTCACACTGGCGCTTCCTGCTCCCACACACATACCACCCTCCATCGCATTACACACCGTCGCGTTTGCATAGTCCCTTGTGTCGACACTAAAACTCTATACATAGAATGGCGTTCTGGTACCCAGTAGCGACGGCAAAATCCATCAACGACTTACCTTGTACCAGCAGCAGCAGCAGCAACGGCACGCCGGGTATAGACCGTCGTCCCGCAACTCATTCGTACAGTATACCGCTTGCACCTGGTTTAAACAGAAAAACGTCACACCGTCATGCCCTCGTACACTTGGAAACAGCCAAGTACCATCGTCCATGATGCCGCTGATGACGGGTGTGGTGCAAAAGCAACATCAAGATCCACTCTTTGCTTTGCTCGCTTACCCCTTGAGGACCATCGATTCCAGTGCAAGAAAACCCCCCCTAGGCAAGGAGCGAACACTTGTGCTTAGGCTGTTGCTGACTGGCGCAATCAACTCGTATCCAATTAATGTACATTTCATGTGTATTTTATTTAACCGCCCATCGCGTTCAACGCTCGCCTGGGCGTGGCGTTGTCGACATGGAATTAAAGGGAGATGAGCAGGACAGCGCTCAACGAGGCTACAACGACGATCCCACGCCAACCATACCTTTGCAAAAGCGTCCGGGGCAGACAGTATCAGCTCCGGCTGCACCTTGCACAACCTTGCTCGAAGCCATTCCCAATTGCCAATAAGCTTCCGACAAGACCAAGAACAACAACAACAAAACATCCTCGCTCATGCGCTACTTTGTCCGTATTTGGCAACTGTATGGGAATTCATTGCCAATTGGCAACAAATGTTGTGCCGCCGTGGGATCCGCACTGGAAAGGCTCTCACAGGCTAATAATACACTTTGCCACTCTCGCCGCTTTGCCATCCAAAACCCAAGTGGGCTTGGACGACCGCCCTTAGTGCGCCAGGCTCTTGCAGCAGCCAAAACCTCATCATTCAACTTGCTTGACTTATCGGCCCCATTAAACCCAACGCGAGGGCCACTGGCACGCGGGGCCTTTCTGCCACCCTCTGTGAAGCTGCGGATGGGTCTAGGTCCTTGGGCGAGCTAAGATCAATTGAGACCTTCTGAATCCACTACAAGCTGCTGATGCGTCGCGGCACTGTGCCCAGCAAAAAGAACAAGCCTGTCTCGCTCGCCCAATGGATTCACTTACTGTCGTTCGCTTCGTCGTCCTTTATTGAGTAAGAATATTCTGACTTTCTGGCATTTGTACAGACTAGCCGCAAGTTGATCCGACCCCGATAAGTCAGCAGACCAAGCTCTGAGCATCAGTAGCATCATGCGTCTACAAGCTGGCTGTGATCATCAACTGGCTCACATCTCATGGGATGCTGCACCCCGAAATGGGTGTATGGGACTGGGGCAAGACTACCCAATTATTGCTCGCTGGGGTCCATATCAAGTGTCCACTGGAACTCGCAGCGAGGCGTCATGCTATTGCGCTGTGGCCCGCCCGCATTCCCCATTTCACTGACCTGGAGTAGTCTTAACGCCATCTGGCGACCACCAATCTCAATGCCTCCAGCCGCTAGGACCAAACCGGCTAATGGACTGCTCTTGAGTCCTGCAGCTTGTCACTATGCCCATCGTTGCTCAATTTGTTCGTCCATTTGGTAACTGTCAAATATTGATTGCTGGTATCATTCGCCAAATCACTGGCAGTCTGGCAAATAAAACACGAGTGACGCTTTGATGCGGATTGCAAACCACAGTGGTTACTTTCATGTGTATGTGCAACGTCTTTGGGCTTCCGAAGTTGCTGCCCCCGGCTCAGCCGAGTTCAATATGTTGGAGCCGGAGCTACCAAGACCAAGCAAGTACCTTGTACCGCGCGTTGGTACGCTGTGGCTGTTCGCTAGGACCGACCCTGCTCGACGGTAGACGTGGGACACGGCCACTTCTTTTCAGCGGTTGTTCAGGCAGCCTTGACTCGTGACGGGCACAGAGCGTCGGCGTTAGCTTTGCCAAGGTGGTTTGGATGTTTCTTACACTCTCCCTCGTCTTGTGCCGCGGAGTCCCTTGACAAGTCAAACCGAGCACGGTCGACTGCAGTGCATAGCTTGGTCCTGGTATTCGGCGACTGGCTTGCACCCCTCTGCGATGCAGCCAGCCTGGCTGACTGACCTTGCAACATCAGTGAAGATTTGCCTTCAGGCCGTAATCCTGGGTCCCGTCTGTAAAGTTTTAGTATTGCGGACCACTTTCACTGAGCGGCTTGGTGGCTACCAGGCTAGTGCAGCATTGGAGCAGCAGGCCTTGGTAGCAGACCCGCCCAAAGACGTTCCACTGGGCAGATGCATGGTGTCAAGGGTGACGAAATCAAACATTCATTCAAAGGAAACAGTGCAGCCTGTAAAGCAAATGGATGGACTCTTGTCCAACAGGACACGCCAGCTGCAAATCCCGGTTTTAAATTACAGGCTCATAGGCATCTCATTCAACAAACCTGACAATGTTGAAGGCCAAAACTGGCTCCTCCCAGCTTACACCATGCACACCGGGTACCTCCATTGCCTAGTTTCGCCCCTGTGACAGCCTTGACGCGACGCCCTATTTCCGCGCAAGTTGCCTGCTGCAACCACTTTACGCCATTCCCCCTCCAGGAGACGGCAACAGCGAATCGCAGCTCGAGGCTGGCAGTGTTACGGCGAGCGTGGGTCAGCAAGACTTGTTGCGGAGTCCAGCATGAAGCCCCAACCATGCTCTTACAAACTTGATATCCCTCGGCTGGGTAGCCGAATTTTGCGAAAACCGCACTCGCCAAAGCAGACTCCTTTTGCAAATGCTGTGCCGCTGTTGGAAACGGAACACGAAAGCCTCTGGTCCCATTTGGGAGAAGCCGCATCCATCACCTTTATCCAATATCGAAACTTGCCGGTCACTGTTGTTCACACACCCTGCTTGACAATTTCATACACATGGGATGACGAATTCCTGATTTGCCACTCAAGAAAAGAGTTAGCATAGCAGTTTTGTGTCATAGAGGAATGGATATATCGGGAGCTTTGCCAGTCCTGTTCGATACATGATCACTGGGCAACATGGTCGCCTTGGGCTCCGTGAGTCGCTCAACAGTTAACTTGGCAGCAGATAACGGTGAGAAGCAATAGTGAGGGACATTGTTCCAGCAATTGACGCAGGGGTGTTCGTGCAACACAAGAGCGGATTGCCCCAGCAGTTGCAAAGGCGCTATTTTCAGCGTACAGGCACTAGTCAGCTACTGTAAACCCATCGTGCCACGGACCAGCCGGGTGGATCTCGACTGCGTCGAGTTTGCTGCTACCACAGCCACTGGGATAGTCAACGAAACAGTGCGTCTACACGAAAACGCCACCAAAATGAAGCGGGTTAGGCGGCAAACTCTATGCCCTCTTGGATGGGCCTCGGTATCTTTACCATTTCTTTATGGATACTACTCGCCGCCAAGCTCGAAAATGTTGGCTTCAAGCTTTGGATTACCAGTGGTAATGTATCCTGGCTTATATGGTTGGTAGACGACGCCAGCGCAACACACTATTGATTGATTTGCGCCGGACCAGTGATGCATGAAATGATGAACGGCGAGCAAGGGTCTGCGGATATCTAATCACACCGACTTGGCCGTTATTAGTATTGCGTCCAACCATCGGGCGTCAGTCTGTAGCTAGGCCTTGCCACGCTAAATCGAAGTTACCAGATGTAAATGAAAATGTAAGCAGCCATAATTGTCGTCTGCTAGACTAATAACAGAAGCCTAGTAGCTTCGGTACAGTGACGCCATACCAAACGTGATGGTCATCCTGACATCTGCCGTCTCTTCATACTCGTAGCGCCTAGGACGGCTTTCCCCATTCGACATTCTCCTCTAGAAGAAAACTTCCGATAATCTGGTAGACTCGGTCTTTTCATTCTTGCGCATCGATAATTAACCAGCGCCACCACCTCAACAGTGGCGCTTCACGAGATTCTCCACTGCCTGAGTCTAAGAACAGCCTGGATCCCAGAGGATTGGGTGGCGTGTGTAACAGCGAAAATAACCCCTTCGTCGTAATCTACATGATGGTCGCTATTGTTTTGAATGGACTCTATGATCTTTTAAACTATTCCACGGGATGAACAGTTGTCACAAGTCATATCAGTCGACCACAGGTTCCATAAGACTCTCCGAAGCACTTGAAGCAACCCATCTCATTCGACTTTATATACTTTTTTCGAGCTATTCCTATGTACTTGAATCGGGCATAAACACATCGTTAATCCATTTCAGCTATTTAGGCTTCTTTCATTGTTTCATCCTCCTTTTGTCATCGATTTCATCTGACCGATCGATTTAGTTGTCAAGTCCGGGGCAGCTCTCGGAAGAGATAGACACCTCCGTGTAGGGCTCGGGGAGAGTATAGATGAGATCGAAGTGGTCGCCTGCAAATTCAAGATTAGCCATTTGGTTCTGTGCTAGTTGTCTTACGCTTGAAGCTGGTGACAAACGGCTTAGTGAAGAGGTACATACCAGGGTACTTGGGCACATCATCAGCGCCGAGGGCCTCAGCAACGTGACGAAGCTCCTTGTGCTCCCAAGCAATGAGAACGTTGCCGCCAGTGTACTGGAGAGCAGCGTTGGCAGCGCACTGCGGGTCATCGTAGTCGCAAGGAGAGTCGATGTTGAGGCCGAGAGAGTTGGCAAGAGGGAGAGTGGTGTTGTAAGGGCGCTGGCTCTTGGCATCTGTCCGCGAGGTTGTGGTCAGCAAAGGCTCAAGCCTTCAGCTACATTGACACTGCTTTTCCAAATGCAATTGACGCCATGAAGAGTCTTGCACATTTGACAGCATCATCAGTGTCAGTTACAGAGACTTACCGCCGGCGTGGGGGGTCTGGACCATGATGTGCTGGATGTTGTAGCCGCTGTCACGGCCGAAGACGCTGATGAGGCACTGCTCGCGCTGCATTCCCTGGGAAGAGATGGTGCCGTCGTCGTTCTTCTCAGCGTGGCGGATGAGGAAGAAGGTAGGCTTGGCCGCAACAGCGGTGGTCAAGGCGGCGAGGAGAACGACAGAGAACTGCATCTTGGATAGTGGTGGTGAAGATTGTTGTTTGGATGACAAGAGCAAAGAGAGGTCAACTTTAGCGCAAGCGGCAGACGAGGGCTTTTAAATATCGATGGGGATGAGAGCAAGACTTTTTTTGCCGCTACTTCGGCGTTACTACGACGGCAACGGGGTGGATTCGAGGATGACTGCAGGCAAGTAAGATCTTCAGACCATGATCCCCTGGTCCATTTGATGCCGGCGCTAAGGCAAGCTGATTCGCAAACCGGGGCGACTAACGTCAGTACGCTGCTTTTGGCCTTCGGTCGGCGATTTACAATGGCAATAGGCTTGCCGCTATAGCCGTTTAATGCCTTGGATGCAGCATACGTCGCGGCATGGCCCGTGAAGTCGGTCGTGCTGGCGGTTGAACCTTGTTGATGAATTGCAACCCTGCGAGTTTCACATCGATGCGCGTGGCTATGGTTCCTGCGTCGAGCACGTCACGTCACTACCACGTGCGCAAACCATGTTCTTGATGCTTTGTCTGATATCCCTTTTAACTTTTAACAAAATTCCATGTAAGGGGATTCGCTCATGCTCAACATGCCGGCTTTCGCAGCCAAAATCGATAGAATATCGGAGGGGGCTTGGGAGCCAGATCGCATGTGCCGATGCTGGTTCTAGACCTCCACAGGGATCCAAAATCACTGGGAGAGCCACGTGCGCATAGGTATTGGCTAAAATGTGCCTATAGACTATGAAAGGATCGCTTAGATTTATTCTAATCATTGGCGAAATCCGCGGTGTTGATGTCATTGTTTTTTAATACATGCGGCCTGTAATATGTTTTGTGAGGTGGTATTCGGTGAGAGATTGGGATGCGGTCTGGTTTGAGATGCTGCATCGGACACGTGAGATTAGTTCAGCCATCAGCCGAGTGATTGAAGTCGTTAATTTTATTGATAGTCTGTATATACAGACTCAATAGCTATTTACCAGCATAAAGACTTGCATCTGGTATCTGACGATATCGAGAGGAGCTGTGCAGGGTAGGCCGATCAACATGACGGCCATGCATAGTATGTCGCTGGAGGAGCGCTTAAATCGTCTTTAATAGGCTATAACCAGTTGAAACTGGAATATAGGTTAGGTTTATTGCAAGTTTGACACATAATATCGCGTTATTATCGGTGGCGGTTGACTGGACTATATGGCCATTATCTGAAGGCTTCACTGAGTCGAGAAGGGAAGACTGGCCAATTCCAATTCGGTATCATATCGCTGAACAGCGTATCTTCATCTTTTTTCTTATAAAAATCGGGTTAATAATAGCCAAGAATATAGATTGTCTGCCGAAGCTGGCATCAATATGGAATAGAGACCTTATCGCTTCGGACGCCGTGGGTAGCGATATCGACATCATTGGTAGCACCTCTAACCGATCCTCGGCCAAACGCTCCGACTGTGTCCAAAAATTGCTGTGAGTAGTACCGGAATTTGTCGTTGGTAAAGGGCGTCAAAGAACAATTGTGTATGATGGCGCCATAGAACTTATAGCTCACTCGGGTCAGCCGCGGGGTCGATCGGCCGTTCGCGGGGCATTCAGGAACTCTGTCCTGTCAACGACGCCTTTTGCCACAAGACTTATTTAATAAACCGCTCACAACAGGATACTGACCACATCTCCATTAGAAACCCTCATTGCAAAAAGAAAACACACCCTTCCCCCCCATCGTTTCCAATCTTACGGCGACACGGCGCATCATGAAGCAAGCATCTACCAACGCTTTGTACCCGAACGATATCGTCACCAAGTCGGTGATTGAGTATTCAGCATCGCACTCTACCCCTCTTCCAAAGAGCGTGACAGATCTACATGCTGACACAGTGGCCAACCATGCACGCTCCGAGTATTTGACGTCTAACAATCAATCTCAGTGCCATGCCTTTATTGCCAAGTTGATGGGCGCGAAGCGGGTGCTTGAGATTGGCACGTTTGTCGGATACTCAGCCTTGGTATGGTCTCATGCTGTCGGGCCCGAAGGCAAGGTAACTACCCTCGAGTTTTCGGATGAGTACGCTGCGGCTGCTCGGGATAACCTTGCCAAAGCTGGCGCCAACAATGTAGAGGTGGTACTCGGCAACGCTCTCGAAACGTAAGCTCCGCATTCCCCAAGATTAAAAGTAAGCTAAGATGCTAAACAAGTATGTCATTTCAGCCTCAAGACGCTAGCCCCCACGGAACCCTATGACCTCATCTTTATCGATGCCCAAAAGTCGGGATACCCAGGTTACCTGGAGACAATTCTCACGCGGTCAGCTCCTGACGCTACAACACGGCTCTTGCGCGCTGGAGGTGTTATTGTAGCCGATAATGTGCTTCGTCGGGCTCTTGTGGCCGACGAAAGCGAGCATAACCCATGGTCAGCGGCTGCTTTGGCATTGGATAGTACAAAGGCCAAGAGTAAGAGCCGCAGCGAGTATGAGACGGACCGGGACCTCGAGTCCCTACGTCAGTACAACGACAATGTGATTGGTAACGCAAGGCTGGACGCTTTCTTAATGGCTCTGTATGACGGCGTCAGCTTCGCTCGGCTACTTGACTAGACGGATGCCGGAGCTGGGATGCACGTCGCTCGTGGCTAGATGATGGGGGCTGCGGATTAGGCAGAATTACACCAGCCCTATGTAGCATACCAGACAAATATCAATATTCACTCGGGTTTATCAGGGCCAAAGTCTCCATTGTGGTGTTCCAGGCGTGACTTCCCGAAGGCTGTAAGGGTGAATGGCATTATAGGGCGGCGATCGCTACGGCAATGGTATTGTGACGCAAAATGTTCGCAAATACATCCAAAGACGAATTATAAGCGGGGTTGGCCGCATAATTTTGATCCTCAAGGCGCGGACTGAGAATATTGCCTCAAAGGGTGTAGTGTGTAAGGCAACAGCCTGACTATTGACAACTCCGGTACCCCCGATAGGGATGAGACGGGATGGGGAGAGGGTCGATATTCAAGCAAGCCATGATTCAGGCTTTAGTTTCAAAGAGGTAGTCAAACGTAACCTGAAAATAGAAGCGGCCTAGGCAGGCAGCACGCCGTTGATGGGTCTGCCTGCGATAGCCGACGGGTAGACTCGGTGAATGGAGAAACGAACCAATAGTGCGCTGATCGGAAGTCGGAAGCTCATGAGACTGGTTGGAAAAAGGCAACTGTTTCGGAGGACGCCGTTTGAGAATTTTGGATTGAGGGAGCCAGACAAGGCGGTTTGTTAGGCCAACTTATCCAAACGGTGGAAGGATGTAAGTTGGCATGGAGTAGACGGAGAGGTGCCGGGTGGAGCGGTTGATTATCGCTGCATGCAGCCAGGGGGACCGTTCGTATTGGACTGTTTTAATTTAGTCTTTTATTTATTCTTACTCCTGTATGCACGTCTTGAGTTAGGACAAACTGGGAAAGAGGGGGGCATGTAGAGAGGTACGATTGTTTGCGCAGCCACGTTCTAGGCGATCGGATCTAGCGGTAGAGGCAGAGCTGCAGCGCCAGAGGCATATGGTATTTTGATACCAAAAATGGTGTAAATAAAGTTATTAATTTAAATACCAGTTTTCAGTATTCAACATACCTTTGGTGATTTTTTTTTGCATAATTTTCTAATACCTGCAAATAGTCCGTTTCACCGCCGCATAAATCCATCGCCGGTTATCGCCGCTATAGTCCCGCTCCCTCCCAAGTGAGCCTGTCGAGGCGCCAGCTTGTCAGCCTCGGGCTCCCCCCTCCAGGCGAGCCCGGCTAGCAGCCTTTCCTAATTGGGCAAGTTTGCGAGGCTGGATCCAGTAGTTTGGCGGCCGCCGAAAGAGGCATCATTTGTGAGTACGTGGAAGCGATGACAATTATATGCGTTTGTGCGCGACGAGGATCTGATAGTTGTTGGTGATAGTGTATGGGATTCAGAAAAGAAAAGAAGCGGGAGGAAATTAATAGAATGTCTGGCAGGTTACAAGGTGGTTGTGCCAGGTGTCGGCCAGCTGGCAGTTGCTTGGTCGCCGCTCCTCTCTCGCCTCTACAACCTCTTGGCTTCACACTTACAACAACCAGTCATGTGCTAATAAACGAGCTTGGTTTCACATCTACATACCCTCGAGTCGAAAATAGGAAAAGCAAGGCGCTCTAAGCTCAAAAAAAAAATAAAATAAAATAAAAAAACACGACTCACAGCTTCACGTCCCCGCCAACGCCGCCCCTCCCTCTCCACTACTGACACCACCACCGTAACCACTAAACGCTGCCCCCGAACGCCGCCAACTGGGTTTCCTCTCCGCCTGCATCCTGTGGCTTTCGACGGCGTCCGGAGCGCCAAAATGCCTTGCTCAGTGCCCCGTGGAATATACCCTGCTACTGCATTTCTTCCAGAAAATCCATGCAGCCCTAACTTTTTGTTGTCTGATTTGAGATGTCCGCCATCTTTGGCACTGGCCCCCCCTCCGCTTGGGACAGCTAGCCCGCGACTAGTTTATTTTAGGAGAATACCTGCAGCCCTGTCTGCTCCTTTTCTTCTTTCTTTTTTTGTCGATTATTTTTTTTTTAATTAAAATCACCCTCGCTTCTATTGTTGCCTGTCATAATCGCGAGGCGCGTCATGGCTTACACTTGACTCCAAGGAGGTAGCCAAGCTTGACTTACACGGTCCTTCAACGGCGGAATTCTGGAAAAAGAGTTTAGAGGATATATCTACATCCTTTTGGACCATACACGACCACCTTTATTTCCACCAGTCCTTTACATTTCTCCCCATCCTTGGCCTGCCATCTATCCACCTTGCTCTTCAACACACTTGAGCGGAGATAACACGGCAGCAAAGAAGCACCCTCCTGCTGCTTTTGTCACCTGTCACCATTTCTCCGTCTTGCTACTACAAAACCACATCAGCGCCGGCGCCAGCACACCAGAAGGCAGGATGAGCCATCGAGAGACGTTTTACCTGCTTAACGACACCTTCTCGGCAACTCTTGCACCCAACTTCCTCTGTACGGTCGTGGCGTCCAAGTCGTCACCACGCACAGTTTCAGCTCCTTTTACGCCTGCCGACCATCCGGCCACCGCGCTTAGCGACCCTTCAGCGGCGCTGGCTCATGCTCTTCCTATTCCTGCTACAATTTCTCAACAGCACACTCCCCCTTTCTTCGCCACTGTCACCAGCTCCTCGCTGTATACACTTGACCAATTCCTCAGTGCCTACTGCTCAGACGCACCTCGCGCTCAAATCCACAAGCTCTTCGACCTACCTGCCGACGCTCCTGGTGCGGCAACTGCTTCCATTGCCGTCCGCCAGTACTCTCTCGATAACCCCCAGATCTACTTTGAACGCTTGATACAGGACTCGCGTCGTGCAAAGGACGTCCGGGCTCTGCTGAACCAGTGCTTACCTCGTTACGCGTACTTTGTTACAGGGTTTATTACCGTCACAGACGCTGCTGCTCAGCCCAATCGCTCGCCGTTTACAGAGACTCTCCGCTTCGCTCCGCCGTTTCTCCAACTTCCCCATCACCAATCGCCGTACTTCCACGAGCATCTGCGCGCACGCTTCTCTCACGAGCACATCTTTGCCGTATCTTACGCCGTTGTCAAGCTGTCTACCTCACAAGGCTCCTCGTCTAAAGCCGGATCAACCATGCCACCCGACTTTGGGCGCCCGACTCGTGCCAACGGCACTCACATTGCGTCTGCTTCCCGCACCATGGAGCACTGGACGAACGAGCAGACGGCTCGCTCGGTGCCCTCTACGCCTCTTACCGCTTCCGCTACACTTGCGCACGCTGCAGTCAGTGCTGCCTCGCCTGCCAGACTGATCCTCGACGAAAATGAGCCTTTCTTGCGTGAGCCCAGCACGGATGCGCTGTTCTTCCATATCCCCAAATCTTCCTGAGAAAATCTCCAAATGAGTGCGAGCCTGCCAATCACCGGTCTCGGGCTCCCCCAAATGACGCCATGGTCCCCTGGGAAAGCGTGGACCGGGGCCATACAAATCCTTTCAGCTGAGAGAGAGCGCCTCATCTCCTCACTCACCCGCCTTTTTGTCTCGTTTTTTGCTGGGCCTTGCATGCACCCACCGGCGCTGAACCCACCGGAGCTGTCGGCAGGCCACGCCATTTTTCCCTCTGTCCAAGGCTGAGCGCGCTCTGGCACCTAATTGGGCCACCACTACCAACTGAAGTAGCTTTCCGTGTGGGGGCCAAATTCTAGAAGCTTGCTGAGCAAGCACCCATCTCGAGCATTTGGTCTCGGGACCGGAGTTAAACATTTTATGAATTCATGACCTTGATGGTGGGATTCCCTTTGGCTGAGCTGGCAAGGATCCAGATCTGCAAAGGGAACTAGGTATATAGTAACGACCCTTATGAAAAGTAGATAGCTATTAACTAAGAAAAATTGTTCTATTTTGTTTTTTTACATCCCCTCATTGATCTGCAATATCCGCTAGCGTGTGCCCTGGACGAGGAAACCCGACAAAACCATTCCACTTTTGGCCAGTTTCCGCGTATTGATGACCGCCTGCATCCATCAGTGACAGCTTTCGTCGTCTAAAGCACACCAACTTGTCCTTACAGGCTCCGTTTATTTCACTATGTGCACGCATCTAGCACAGCATGTGGCTGCAGTAGCCTGACCAAGCACCATACCGGGGACAACAACACATGCTATTGTAAAACCATCAATTATGCTACCTATAATGTCCAGTGTAAATGCGACAGGAAAACATTAAAACGCCTCGTCTACTCCCCCAAAACAGTATTCATCAGCATTGGATCGACTGGGACGGCTTGCATTTCTAGCAGTCGCCGTTCTTCCATGAGCCTTGCCTCTGCAGCAAGCCTCGCCCGTTCCATCATGTATGCATACAGCCGCTCAGCCGCCTCTGTCCAGCCTGCACCAGCCGTTCTCATCACATGTGCCGGATGCAGCACGCCGCCAAAGTAATAGTCTCTTCTTGTCGTGCTCCGCTCCCCGCCTTCTAGCGCAGAGTATGCGGCTCGTGTCGTCCTCATGCGCTTGCGCCCGCCTCCTTCATTGAGTAGGTTGTTCAGGCGCATGCGGCCTTGCATTAGCTGCTCGTCATATATTGTGATGCTTCTCACCCATGGGGCCACGTCCAACACAATAAGGTTCGTATTGCGATCAAAGACAGATGGATCGAGGTGTGTTGATGGTGTAGACTTTGGTGATACTGCAATCGCATCGAACGCGACAGCAATATCATACCGAGTCAGAGGCGCTTGTGTTCGAGCAAACGACGCGTCCAGTGCGCCAACTGTCGACGCTTCTCCCATCATGGGGAATGACTGGACCTGGGTCGGAATCTGCCGTTCCAAGCGCTGCCTTGCTAGCGATTGAATTGATGCAGAGATCAACTGGCTGTCACAGTATGAATAATTGGCCGGCTCGGCATCTAGCAAGGTACGACCAATGATGTAGTCATCACGCACTGAAGCCTGCATATCTGGAACAGAGGCATCCAGTCTTTCCTGAGCCGAGTTTGCAAATCCGCCTCTAGCGCAAAGGTCGGCATCGCTCATGGCGACGGAGAACGCTTCAAAGGTCTTCAAGTTTTGGAGTCTTGTGCGCGGGTCTTGAGCATCGGTCGACGCGGCCCATCTGCAAAGTTCGCTCGTGGTTTGTCGGTTGACCAAGTCTTGTCCCCATGCGTTCCAGGATTGGCAAATGCTAGCCTCCTCCACGTTACATCTAGTGTCTTCAGAAACAAGTAGATCGCGCCCTACCCATCCCATGCCCTTTTGGTATGTATCCTCACTGACGACCCGGACAACATCGCCAGACTCGTCAAGATCGGTACCTTTTGGCCAGCGCAGGTAGAACCAGTCGAAACCTCCTCTTCGATCACCAACACCGAGCTGGCACCAGAAGTTCAAATTAGTAATGGCTGCTCGCAAATCTCCTCCAACCGACTTGCAAAGTGACTCTACAGCTGAGCGTTTTAGGGCATGGCCTTCATTTGCTGCAAGGAGCAGGCAGAGATCAACTGTCAAGCTGGGTGGAGGGAGGCTAAGCCTGAAGATGCCTTGCAAGTTTAGCGTCTGAATTGGCACCAAGCTTTCATCATTGCACGTCATTATAAATGGTCTCTTGGACTGGCTCATCATAGTTACCAGACTAGACCAGAACTGTTTGTCCTCTTCGTACAGGACGTCAACCTCTTCTAGTAAAATCAATGACTGTTTCTGCGCCTTTGGCACTTTGGGTTTGTCATCAGACGGTTCCGGCTTTTTGGGGACCGGTTTGCTCGTTGCCGTAGTCTTGGCTTTAAAGAAAGAAGCCATTGTCGCCTGCTTTCCAGATTTGACTTCGTTCATAGTATCGTCGTCATTGTTTCCGGCCTGGGCTCGATGTTGCTGGACCAAATGGTTGCGCGTCATATCGCCAACCTTTTCCAGAATATCCTTACCACTGCGTCTTGTGCTAGAATTGATTTCAAAAATCTCAAAACCAAGTTCTTTGGCGACGGCATAGACTGCTGCGCTTTTACCACAGCCATGCGGACCGCTAAGCAGGATTGCGTTCGCCAAGCGACTCTTAGTCCCTAGCGAGCCTCCGCGGATAAGTGACCTCTTAGATATCAGGCGGTCGTTTTGTACCCCATCGCTAAACTCCATAAGTTCATCAATTTCGCTGTCCTCGTCCTCGCTATTAACGATGAAGTCGTCAACTTTGTTTTTTCGCTTCTTCTTCTTGTGGCCATCATCGGTTTTGCTTTTCGTCTTGCCGTCGCCATTTCCACTCTCCACAGACAGTACCTTGAGCTTTTCAAGCCACTGCTTCAGAATAAGTATCTCTTGACCGGATTGAAGAACTTGGGCTGCGGTCTTTGGAGCATATTTTTGTGTCCATGCCGAGCCTTCGCAAGTAGACCGGTCAAAAGCGGAAAGCTGTGTTTCTAACGAGTTCCAATGCAACACAACTGCTGGATGGACTGGTGCAGGCTTCTCCAAGGCAAGTTCGTCCGGGCTGGATTCGCGGGTGTAGCGTGAGTGTGTAGGTAGATTGCTGTGAATCTCATTACGGATTCTGCGCCTCAACTTTTTACCGCTTTCAAAGTGACGTGTTGGCAATCGGAGCTGCGGTGGCGGTGGTAGGAAGCTATGGTCATCTTTTGGCAATGATCTCTTAATTCCATCAATGTCCAATCGACAACGAACTTGGCTGACAACAGATTCGGCGGACGATATAATAACCTTGTGGCCCTTGGACTTTTTGGCAAGATGAGATACCTGAATTGTCTTGTTCTCCAAGGCTGACTCGGGTGTCAGTCCGCGAATATGGTTCATTCCCTGTGCTGGCCACATCGGATACATGGAACCGGGCTCCTTCATACCCGCACTCTTAGTGCCGAACTGGGCCATTTTGCTCGATGTGAAGGTATTCCGCGGCTTTCTTGGAGACACTGGTGTCGACATGAAGACTGTGTGTCGAGGCTTTTGAGGAGCCTTGGTAGGCTTCGCAGGTGTAGGGGTCGTTGGTCTGCTATCAATGTTCTTTTTGCCCGCGAAAAATGGATGTTTCGTCTTAGGGTCTTGTGCGGGTTCCTTTCGCTTCTGAGCCTTTCGCTTCGTCGCTTTTGGCGGTGTTGTAGGGAATAAGATAGTGCCGTTGAGGATGGCAGTGACTTTCTCGCCTACAGCTTGCCGTGATTCATCACTGGTACCATATCTCAGTGTAACAAGTCGGGTGGGCTTCGGAGGCGCTTTAGGCTTTGGCGGTGAACCGAGTGTGCCTGTTCGTAGGTTGAATTTTAAAACCTTTCGTTCGGAAGCAGGTGGTTGCATATCGTTCGCGTTTATTGTCGCTTGGTACGCGCTGGGGGGCTGCTCTGCTAGCAATGGCGGCAAGGGTGGAACGGCGTTTGTTGAATGAAAGGTTTGTGGAGCAACTCCAAACGCTGCGGTGCTGGATGATGTGATATCTGTCTCTCGTTTCTTGAAGATATCAAACACCGGCTTTGACGATGGCGCGATGGGGCCAGGCTCAAAGGCAGCAGTTAACATGGGATCGAGTGGCATCGGCTCGGCGAAGACTGCATGTGTCGGTTGGACGTCCGACATTTGATAGTCCATCACCTGACCTGGATCCGCGAACTGGTTGACATAGTTGAATCCATGATCAGGCTGGATAGGCGTATGTTGGACGTGGGTATCCGTCGCGTGACTGGTGGGCGTCGCCTGGGAAGCGGCGTCGGTTGGTGTCGGTTTCGTAAAGAATGGGTGAACTTTGTTGGACGAAGCTTCACCAACTCCTGCTTGGACCATGCTAGCAACAAGCACGGGTCCCATTGATCAAGAATTGGGTGCGGAAAGGGAAAGCCACGTCCGATGGCGAACAAAGGAATTGTGCTGAAAGGGCAGCCTCACTTCTAAAGCAACATGTCCGGGCAGCAAGGGTTCTGCGTATGCTGGGGCGTGGTAACAGGAATTTTGAGAGATTCCGAGTGAAAATTCTCTCTTCTCGATTTCTAAAGGATTTATTGCCAATTATTTCCGTTTGTTGCTGCCGGGCGGCGATGTTGGCTTTAATGGTGATTAAAGTCGTAAAATGGAGGTCTCTACAGGAAACGCGTTAAGAGGCTAAGAGTGACGCGCCGCCAAAAAGGTACGTACCCGTCTTGACGGGGCGGGCTGTCTCCACTGGGCACGCTGGGCCAGTCAAAGTAACGAACTATTAATACGACATGACGAGGTTTAGGTCGTCATGTATTAGATGGAAATAAAATATACAAAATTATTCAAAGGGAATAAATGATTATAAAAGGAGATGATATCTAAGTCAATAGTTGTTCTTCTTATAAAATAGACCGGGTTTTAAGACCACCGAGATCAAACTGGCTGTGACAGTAGTAACGATTCACAACATAATAATACAGAACCTATTTCCATACTACTTTATACTAGTTATCGCAATATGTATTATCACTATTATTTTATAATTAACCAAATTCTTTTATTTTCTATTATATCCATCAGTAAATCGAACCAACCTCGCAGCATCCCAACAGCAGCCAGCAACTCTCACCGCCCAGCCCCACTCTCTGCCTCTGCCGGATTTTTGCATCGGCCCGCTTTCCTGGCAATAATTTTTTTGAAGCTCTGAAGAGAGGCGCCCAAGAAAAAAATTAGAGTGAACGGCCGAAGCAAACGCCAACCGGTTGAGCCCGAACAACATTAATTGAATTTACCAGTTACCAGGAATACACTTTGTTCCTCGATTGGTTGATTCTGCTCACCATGGCTTCCGACTTTAAACTGCACCGGCCTTATGTCCTGGCGACGCTGCCTCGACCTCTCGATCACACAGATGGCAACATTGTCGTCCGAGAAGTGTATGGCCAGCGTGCCGACATTAAGAAGAAGAAGAGAACCGAATTGGCTGTAGGAATTGATGGAGAGAACGCCAGTATCTACGATGTACGATTATATTTCTTCTCCCTTGCCTACCTTCGTACCACTAACTCGTCTCAGGTTCCGACTTCCAGACTCATTACTTCGTATCCCATCCCGCCTCACGAGTCCTTTACATGCGCTCCTTACTCGATACGCATCCGACCAGCTTCCTCTGCTGAAATCTTCCGATACACCTACATTGCTACCAAGGATAACCGCGCCCAGAAGCTGACGCTGTTCAAAGATGTCGTCAGCGAGGACGGCAAGACTACATCGACCACGCTTTCGCAAAACATCATTTCGTCACCGATCAAGTACATTACAACGTCTGACAGCAGAGCTGAGAATGCAGTTGTTGGTGATGTGATTGTACTGTGCGAAAACGGCCAAATCTTTTCGCTGTCAGGCGACAAGCTCGAAGTCCAGTGGTCGTCCTCGTCGCAAACAGTAGTGCAAGATGCCATTCCCGATGCCATTAAAGACTTTGCTGTCGAATACACCATCTCGGCAAATCTGTCCGAATTCGCTGAAGGAATGTTCAAGAAGCGATCCGAAACGTTTGCTACAATGCCCAAGTCTCCCGAGTCCGACCCCGAAGTTATTGCTTTCATCGCAACCAGCACAGCCAAGGAGCACAAGTCTCGACACTTGGTCACCATGGCTATCCTATCTAACCACACCACAAAGAACTCGGAGCTCCAGCGTTTTGTCGCTCTGGACATTACGCCCATTGCCGTCGCCAATGAATTCGCACCCATTAGCTACGATGTCGACATCCAGGCCGGTTCGCTGATGACGCTGCAGAACTCGAACCTGAGCATCTTTGATCTCACAGGCGCTGTCCCCAAGATCAAGACTAGCTTCAGCGTCGACAACTCTACCTCGATTGCACGTCTCTCACGTCCCTTTGTCCTCGCTTCCTCCCTCGACTCCCTTAGTCTCTACAACTACCAGTACCGCTCGGTCCACGCCAAGGCCGCTCTCGACGTATCTGAGCTGCCCAGCGAAAACCGTAAACCCCGATCCTGCAAGCTTGTCGGCTTTGTCCGTAGCGAGGACCTCGCCGTTGCGCTAGTGGATAATGTCCTAGTCTCAATCCACGTGGAACCGCCCAAAGCCCACGGCAAGCGACGCAAGGAGGGTCTTCTCATTGACTCTATCGGCCGCGGCACTATTGCCGAAATCTCGGCTAAGCGTCCTAAGCGCGAGACCTCGGTTGAATTCTCTCGACAAGTCCCCGGAACCATGACTGAAACCTACATTCAGGAGCTTCGCGCAGAGATGGCCGCTGCCGATGAGTTGATTGGCAATGGCGAGCTTCCTCAGTGGGAGGAGCTGTTGCGCAAACACTTCCACATGACTCTTCATCAGTCTTCAGAGGCTGTTAACAGACAAACAAACGGGAATGAATCTTCTGATTCCCAAGAAGCAGTAGAGTGGAAGTGGTATGAGAACTCTGCGCAGTATCCGTCCGTTGACCGCCGCTGGGTCATCTACGCGCTGACCCAAATTTTTGCCATCCAACTGACGGATAGTGAAGAGCCCCGCCCTCAGCTCAGACTCGCCCTGTCCGAAACCAACGTCACAACCTACCTGACTATGGCTGGCCACCTCACTCTCACAAACCTCAAGTCCGCCTTTGCCGAAGAATGGGGCAATACTGACGACAAGCTGCTGGCCGGTGATCTTGTACAAAGTCTCGTCGACGCCGAGGCCTCCATGAGTCTGCTCCTCAACTACATCAAGTCTACAAAACTCGGCGAAGTCGAACTCCTTCTGTCCATCCGCGCCCTGATGCTCAGCATGGACTTCATCCCCGACACCGACAAGCTCAACAGCACCAAGCTGCTAATGGCTGAAGCCGACCAAACCGACAAGTACGAAATGGACCTTGACGACCTTGAGCGTGAGCTCGCCGTCACCGAGCACTACCTCGGCGACGACACGAGCAGCCGCTCTCGCGGCCTCACGCTAGCCTTTGCCAAACTCTGGCGCATGCCCGCCAGCGCAACCGTCCGCGCCCTGCGCAGCACCGTCCGCACCGAAGAAATCCTCACCTTCATCTACCTCCTGCGCATGGAGCTTGTCCGCGGCGCATGGACGACTCTCTACATCGACCCAACCAGCTTCGACGCCGAGGGCAGCGACCCCCCTCCCGACGGCGTCATCAGCTTGATTGCCGACCTCCTCGGCCGCTGCCTGGACGCCGTCGGCGCCGGCGGCTGGCTGTTCAACGACGCCATGGCGTGGGCTGACCAAGACGAGGCCGGCGACTTCCTGACCGCGCTCCGCCTCGAAGTCACTGCTGCCCTGGAGGGCATCGAGCAGGCCGTGCATCTCAACAGCGTTGTTGGCGAGATTGTGCGCTTCGGTAACCTGGTGCAGCAGAACAGCCGCCAGACCCCCAAGGCAGGCTCTAAGCCTCTTATTCTGCACGCTGAGAATAAGGAGACGCGTATGCTGCCGCTTGGTCTGAAGACAAAGGAGGTCATTACCAAGGACAAGGTTGTGTCTGGTGGTGAAGTGGTGCAGCGCAGCCTCCGTGAGACGGGTCACTTGATTAGCCAAAAGGTCGAGTCGTACTCTCTTGAGCGGGTGAACATTTAAAAAAAAAAAAGGAACGGACAAAGGTTTTATGTAGAGCATTAGCATTTGTTTTATATCATGGTGAAGTGTGATGCTGCAGCACCAACAGGGAAAATCGATAGGCGTTTTTGGGACAACTTGTATGTAGATGCTTTCGAATGTACACAATTTTTTATTCAAGAAGACGAGTGATATTTAAATTCTAAACTGAGTGTGTATCCTGAAAATAACAAATCGATATAAAAATAACAAAGACATTATGCTTGGCTCGTGAGGCTAACGATCTTTACCAAAAGCGCCCTATATGCAGACATATAAGAGATGAAAACACCAACTATGACATATTTCTTTTGTTTTTTCCTTTTTAGACCCCATGCTGCGAGAGAAAATTGAAGTAACATCGACATTACTGTCGAAGCTGGTAGAGCTGAGGAGATGTATTGTCCAGAGAGTCAAAGACAAACATGTTGTGGTGACCAGTCGGGACTTGCTGAGCGGTCTGGACAACGCTACCTCCCGGCGTCAGCGACCTGGGGATAGAAGCAGAGGACGCTGAGGAGATGGACATCTCACTGCCTCGACGCGGACTATACGCCTCGGTGGTCAAATAGCCCTGCTGCTGTTGATGCTGCGGGCTCATGCCGTGGAGATAGGTCTGGGGAGGCGAGCCACTAGTAATGAATCCTTGAGGCGGGCTGGTGCTGCTGCTGTTGCCGGCAAGAAACGCCTGTTGGGGAGTCATCTGGTGCGTCTGCGTCAGCTGAGAGACTCCCGGCGCCAAGTGGCTAACAGGACATACAAAGGGCGAGATGCGCTCGTGGATCTCGTTGCGAACGCGCGCAGAGAGCTCGACCTGCTCGGCTTCCCAGCGGACGCCGACAATGGCCGGGGCGTCCAGCACCCATTGGCGAATATCTGTAGACAGAGCGCGGAAGCCAGGAGCGCTTGGGCTGTCAAACTTGCACATGTGGCTGTGGGTAGCCTCCACGCCGTAGTAGGTCACCCCAGGGAGTTGGGGGCTGGCCGAGTTGGCGTCGACAATGATGATTCTACACGGTGTTAGCGGGGGGAAGGCTTGAGACAGTTGGGAAAGGAGTATGCTTACTTTGTGCCTTTGATGTCAGTCTTGTGGTTTTCATGGACCATGTGGATACGGAAGCGCTGGTAGATGTCGAGGAAGTGATTGTTGATGTTGGCAAGGGTCTCGTTGTCCTTCTTGAGCGTCTTGAGAAGCACGCTCTCGCTCTGGAACAGCTTCCGCGGGAGAATCACGTCCGACATGCCCTGCAGAACCATGCCCCATGTTGCGGCGTCGGAGCCCGTGTGTGGTGTGCCGAGGAACATGATGCCAAAGGTGGACACGAAGATGGATCGGAGGTGTTCGTGGTGCGCGGTGCGCAGGTCGTTTGAGTAGAGTAAGGCTCGCTTCACGAGAATACCGCCGAGCGAGTGGGCAACCCAGATGATGGGGTTGCGGGTTGTTCCTTCGGAGCGGCGGTATAGCGTGAGCGATGTGACGAGGGTTTGTGCGTGCTGGTGGATGAAGTTGTCGCTGGCAGAGCGGTCGTTGCGGCGCGAGTAGACATCTGCGTTGTAGCCGTAGACGAGGATGTTTGCCTTTAAGCCGCGAAGAGACGCTGGAAGCAGGTCGATTGGCCAAAATGTGCCGTTTGTCGCAGTCCATGTCATCTTGGGATCGCCGTTGAGGCCGTGAACGAGGACAATGTCAACGGTCGCCTCGGGGTGCGAGTAGACTGCTGTTGTTTCATAGCGGGCAATGTTTCTGTTGGTTGTCGCCTGTGTCTCCATGTTAGCAACAGACCAGAAGAAAGCATGAAGAGAGGACCTGTAATACATACCATGATAGCCAGACGGTGAAGAGCCAAGTGTCGTGTGATGTGGTTGAGGAACTAGCAAGGATCGAGAAGTGTGGCGTATAATATCGGGTTGTTGTCTTTGATTAATTATGAAGAGACAAGATGGGGGCCGAAATGCAGGAACGCCGTCATGTCTTTATATATGCATCAGGTCTGCATCACGTTGGCCAGATCACGTAGGCACCACTTATACGCAGCGGCGACGGTAGCCGGCCCCTTGCTACGCTAGTACGCTTGCAAGCGGCGATATTCCTTTGAGTCAGAAGCCATGGGCATCGGTTACGGAATAGCGCAGAGCGGCTACGCAAAGTTTGTCTTTGTTCGCCGGCCAAGGGGGGCATCAGCCCTCCCTCGAGGTCTAGGCATACGTGATGCGGACCACATGTGAAAGCGTTCCAAGCTAGGCACAGGGTCGGGAATAGAGTTTTGGCTGGAGGGAGCCCAGGGAGCGATAACGAAACGAGAAAGCAAAGATACCGGAGACACGACGGAAAAGAAGAGAAGTTAAAAAAATACGGGTAGGCGACCCGTGTGTATTGTGGCTTGTGAATACGTAGGCTGCTTTGCTTCTGACATGCGATGAGCCAAGCCGGGGTATGCTGGGCGATCCGATTGGATAGATGTATCCTTGCACGATTTCAAACCTGTCTAAGAATTACGCCGGGTAACTGATCGCTGTGGTGATGCTGACCCAGCTAGCTGCGCTGCAACCCAGTACCGTTGTGATTGCTTCCACCCTGCTTGCTTTGTGTTGTTTTCCCTGGGATTCGTAACAGTAACTGAAAAAAGAAGCAAAAAAATAAAAATAAAGTTTCTTTCTGCTGCGCTCCCTCCTACAGCGCTGCGTGCCTGACCAGCGGGTGGCTCCACCGCGAAATCATCGCCTCGACACATGACACAGCCAAAGTATAAATCGCCACGGCCGACGTGATTGGCCGCGTCGACACCTGAGACGACGTCTGGGTGCTGCCGTACGCGCCAGCTAGCGTCGCAAATGCCCGAAAGGCTAAAATAGAGCTGGTGAAGCGTTCACGCTCGTCAGGCAGGCGTTAATTCACGTCGACGAACGGGCGAGGGTGTGACTGTCCACCATCACGCTTCCTCTGGTGTTCTGGATCCCTGGCTATCCAGTCCTGTCTGCTTGTCCAGCTGCCCAGATTTTGTACTCAAGGTCGCGTTGCAGCCTTCCTTGTCCAGCACTGTCTCAGGATGCGGCGCAGTAGCCCATCACTGTGACGCTCATGGTTCGTCACGTACACGCTGCTATTGCTGCTACTTTCGGCAATCGCTGAGTCGTCCAAAGGGGTGTCTGTCACGTTGCTTCCACTCGCTAAATCTCAACAAAAAGTGAAACGTGCCCAACGGCTGTCCGTAGTCATTGTACTGGCTCCTCCCTCTGCATCATGACTTTATGTCAGACGAGAGCGGGCGCTTCGTACTGGCTGCTGCTGCTGTTCCTGCTGCTACCGTCCACCATTAACCTTTGTGTATTTTTACATTTGATACAGTACGTTGTCTCCCTTTTGGCTTTGTGACAGAAACAGCAGAAAAGAAAAAAAAAAATAGGGCCGTTCGTCTTAGCGTTGTTTTCACGCGCGAGGAGCCAGCATGATCACATACTCCCTCGTGCTGTCGCCAAAGAGAAGCACGTCCTTATCTCGTAGTTCCAGGTAGCGGCTGCTGGACACCTTGCCATCGTTTAGGACGGTGCCTTTGGTGCTGTCCAGGTCGATGAGATACGGCTTGACCTTGCCAATCTTATCGCCAAACTCGTTGCGCTTCTCGATGTATCTAAACTGAATCACGGCGTGCTGCTTGCTGATGCTAGGGTGTTCAGCAAGCAAATCCACCACGGCGGCCTCCCTGCCGATAAGCCAGCAGCTGCGGTTGCTCAAATCAACAGTATCTACAGTCTCAGCTCCTTTGAATATGAAAAGCTTCCACTCGTCTTTGGGCGATGGCTTGCGAGCCTCGGTTGGCTCATGGTATTTTAGCGTAATGGTCGAGCCATCCGCCTGAGTGACCGAGTTGGAGGCTGCGGCTAGCATACCCGAATTGCCAAAATTGGGCTTCTCCTTTGGCTTCTCAACGGCTTCTCCGTCTGTCCTAGTCAGGGCGAACGAGTCCTGTTGTGAGGGCAGTGGGCCTTTGCTGCGCACAGGGCGGGCGTCTTGGCCATCGTCCCTGGGGCGACTTCGTCGGCTGCTTCTGTCTCTATCCCGACTGTTGCTCCGTCTGCGGTGGCTGTCTCTGTCTTTATCCCGTCGCCCTTCTCCGTCCCGGTCGCGGCGAGAACGGGAGGACTGGTGGTGGTCGTGGTTGTGCTCGGATCGCCGAGAGCCTGGGCTCCTCGACCGGCGGCGATCTCTCGACCTTCTCCGCTCTCTGCGTTCCTTATCGTCGTGCGGTGACTTTCGGCCACTCCGATTGTCCCGGCTGTCGCTATATTTAGGTTCGGAATGGTGGTCTTTGCGTCTGGGGGAGGTCTCCCGTGTGCGGTCCATGGCTCTCGGTGCCCGTCCTGATTGGCGAGGGAGGGTCGAGTGTTGCACGTGCCTGTTGGTAAGACTATTCGAGCTGAACGAGGCTTTTATCTGCGGCGTTTATTGTCAGCGCCGATTGGGTTGTGGTGAGGCGAGAGGCGGGGGGCGGGTGTAGAGTTGTTGAGTGCCGGAAGCTTGTTGTTGGCGACTTGTCGATGCATGTATTTTTTTTTAGCTGTCAGATAGCGGCTGTTGCCCCCACCAACTCCCCTGCTAAAAGCCTATCATTATGGACTTGATGACATAGCTGGTTGAATGAATGCAATAAATTTCAAAGGAAGAAAATAATATTTACAAGACAATATTTTAATGTCAAGTGTGAACTTATGACATGTTGATAAACAATACGCTTCAATGCAGCGTCAACGACAGCTTGCTTAGGACGATCGTCGCCGAATCTCTTCAACAGCCTCATCTACACCCTTGACAATAATAGTTGGATTATATCCGGCTCCATTTCCAAGCCCGTCAAGCCATTCGTTTCCTCTACCGACCCAAGCAGCTTTCAGACCGGCTGCCACTGCGCCTACAACGTCAAATGGATTCGACGATACCAGCCAGATATCCGCACTATCATCACCACCGGCTTGTTGGGCCTTTGTCTGAAGGTATCGATATACCCGCGGGTCCGGTTTGAAGACGGTAATGTCATCAACGCTTATGATTTTCGACGGAGGGAAGCTCGCGTTAGCTTTGGCTAATCCGGGAGACGAGCTCAACGAAGCAGCCAGCATATCGGGTGTTCCATTGGAAAAAATGTATGCATCCAGTCCATCACTGCTGGCAACAATCTGGAGCCCCTTGGTTGCATCTTCAAACGTATCGAGGCCGTTGTAGGCGTTCAGGATGCCATCTTCCTCAGCTTGTGTCATAGCAACACCGGCCTCCTTGGTAGCATGGCGAAAAGACCAGCGGGTTACTTCGCTGAAGTTATGGTAGGGCTGGCGTGAATGAGAATCGCCTTGCATTGAATTAATTCGCCAGGTGTACTCGAGCTGGTAGATGCGTGCCTGTGCCGCAATGACTGCTGCCTTTTCCTTGCCATAGAGCGACTCTAGGTGCGCTGCTATCGATGACGTCGATAGAATTGTCCCGTAGAGATCAAAGGCAATGATTGTCTTGCCCATTGTGTGTCTTTTTGGTGTTGTTTTGTCAATGGATGGAAGCAAGTTGATCTTCCTAAGCAACGTATTGACGTAAGCGCAGAGTTTGGACTAGGCAAGTTGGAGAACAAGACTACATGTAGCAAGATATAGCTGCTTTTATAGAAAAGACTAGTAGTACATTGATTCCAAATATGCAACCTCCCCGCATTCATTTTAGCGCATCTGTCGCCCGCCACATCTAGCTTCCGATCGCCCGCCGCCACACTCCCCCACGAGTACATCTAGTGGGATACCAGTATTCCAATATTGAATACCTCGAATAGGCTTTAAAAGAGTTGGATATTTGTATCCTCAGAAAATTCATATTATAAATTACAAAACCTACAAGATGAGATGGGGTAAAGCTGTCCTCAATGGATTCTATTGGCTGGACCGCTATAACTCCGCGGCGTTTCGACTTACACGCCAAACTGTGAATTTCCGAAGGCACCCAAACTCCGAATCACCACGCCGAAGCCAACTATATATAAATCTAGAAGAAAACAGCGCCTCCTCTCTTGCAGTTCTTTTCCTTGTATTCTAAATCCTGGTCTGACACGTCCTTCTTCTCTTATTTCCCCCAACCCAACATGTCCTCTTCTCCCCAGCATACGGCTGGCTCGAGCAATAGCATTGCTACACATGGCCCCCAGACAAAGGAATCGCCTCTAGAAGGCACATCTTGGGCTCAGTCGCTCTTCCGTACGCATGTTCCCGACGATGCACGCACCCAGGCATACCCAGGAAGCGGTACCAGCACGGACCCGTACATCATCGACTACTTACACATCGACTCGCACGATGCCATGAGCTTTACAAAGGGCCGCAAATGGACCATTGCTGTTTTGCAGTCTTCGTCAACATTTGCTGTGACCTTTGCTAGCTCCGTCTATGTCAGCGGCATTGATGGCATCAAGCGCGAGTTCAACGTGTCAGGAGAGGTAGCCACACTCGGCTTGTCACTCTTCGTCTTGGGCTTTGCCTTGGGACCGCTCATCTGGGCACCGCTGTCAGAGACGTATGGACGCAAGACGACCTATGTCGTATCTTTTGCTCTCTACACCATCTTTTGCATTGCTGCCACCTGTGCACCCAATATCACGTCCTTGCTGGTTCTTCGCTTCTTCGCAAGCTGCTTTGGCTCGTCTTCCATGACTAACACTGGCGGCGTGATTGCCGACATGTTTAGCAAGGAGGAGCGCGGCATGGCAACTGGGCTTTTTGTTACAGCACCATTCTTGGGACCAGCCCTAGGTAAGACTATAGTTCCCTTGATAACTTTTAAGCTAACCTGCCGTACTGTTTAGGCCCGGTGGTTGGCGGCTATCTTGGCCAAACCCAAAGCTGGCGATGGATTCTTGCCTTGATCACAATTCTTGCTGGTCTAGTATGGCTTGCTACAAGTCTTACTACTCGAGAGACATATGCTCCGTATATTCTGCGGCGCCGCGCTGCTGCTCTCTTTCGCCTTACTGGAAAGGTCCATGTGCCGCGAATGGATGCGGGCAAGCCACCCAGAACCCTACTCCAAGAGCTTTCCATTTCTTTGACTCGGCCCTGGCTTATGCTCTTTCGCGAGCCCATTGTCATGTTCACGTCGCTATACATCTCCATTGTCTATGGCACTCTCTACATGTTCTTTGCCGGCTTCCCCATTGTTTTCCAGTATACGCGCGGATGGAGCCAGGGTAGTGCAGGCCTTGCTTTTATAGGCGTTGTAATTGGGGTATGCACTGCCACACTGGCTGCCGGTGTTGACAATAAACGCTACGTTCGGCACTGTAAAGCAGTTGCTGCCAAAGGGGGGAATGTCGAACCGGAAGCCAGGTTGACCAGCGCCATGGTGGGTTCCGTCATTCTTCCCATTGGCCTCTTCCTGTTTGCTTGGACCACGTATCCATCAGTCCACTGGATTGCACCTATCATAGGTGCTATACTTTTCTCATGTGGCCTGGTCTTGGTTTTCATATCGCTGATGAGCTATCTGATTGACTCTTGTAAGTCTCGTCTCCGCTGCAAGCACTATATACTGACTCGGATATAGATGTAGTGTACGCTGCCTCTGTGTTAGCAGCAAACTCTGTTCTGAGATCGTTGTTTGGTACTGCATTCCCTTTGTTTACTACCCGCATGTATGAGAGTCTGGGAAACCAGTGGGCAAGTTCCATCCCAGCATTTCTCGTGCTATTGTGTCTACCTTTCCCATTTCTATTCTACAAGTATGGTCCTAGAATCCGCGCCAACTGCAAATACGCCTCGGAAGCCACTGAAATTCTAGAGATGATGCGCCAGAGGCAGGGTGCTATGCGGGCGGTTACGACGTTGAACAAGAGTGAGCCGGCACGGAAGGCCGAGGAAGCAGTGTAGGAGCCAATTGCGAGCAGTAATATATCAAGGTAGCTATAATATTGAGTGGATAGCAAGATTGGTTCGGATTAGACAAATTTCTTTCATTATTAGATAGTCGTAGAATACATACTAATCCCTGCGTTTATACTTAAAGTAGAATGTTACGATGTGTACTGACCTACTTTCCAGATTGACATTTGGACCTTTTTTGTTTAGGTATTAGAAATAATTCTGCTATCCCATATTTAGTCTTTACTGCGCAGCTCCCTGTGTTCGGCTTGTTGTGTGGTCTCGGGAATAGACTTTATCAATCTCCGAGCCGACCGGCGTTGCACAACCATCTGCGCAAGGCTGTGCCCAATCGAACTTCAACAAGACAACAGCACTTCTGAGACCCTCTTCGCTGCCCCTTTCATCTTCTCCCTCATTTTATAGAAACAGATTGGCGTTTCTTATAATGCGATAATGAACCCATCAGTCGCCAGGCCACTGACACCAGCAGGCGGTGCCAAAGGGCCAAAGACAACAAAGTCGTGTATACCATGCCGCGCACGCAAAGTGAAATGTGATGCCGCAGTGGTCGGTCTCCCTTGCAGTAGCTGTACCAGTCGACAAATTGTCCACGAATGCTTGCTTCCCGTGCGCAAGGATCGGGCTAGGTAAGTATGAGCAAACAGAGAGGCCAACAAATGATGACAGCCCGTTGGCTTGCTAAGATTGTCCATCGTAAATAGAAAATCGCCGAGCAATCCTACTCCTTCTCGCCGCACACAACAAGTACGTCTTGTTTCTTGTTAAGTTTTGGAGTCGTCTAATAAATATAGGCGAAATATGAGGGGTGTATCACGCATTCAGCAACCCCGAAGGGTAGTGAAAGCCCGCACAAGACCGAACCTGATTTACTTTACCTTGGTATTCTGAACAATATGGTAAAGGATTCATCTGTACTTACCCGAACGACCGCCAGCACGCCCTACGGCGACAGCTCAGAAGAAAGTAATCATTTACAAAGCAGCGTATTAAGAAGAATCCACGAGTTAGACGATGTTGACCACGAATATCTAACCAACAAGGGTGTCCATGACCTGCCGCCACATCAGTACCTGTAAGAGATTCCCTTTAAGCGATGTATTCATCTCCTGTACTGACAATCCCTAGCCATGCCTTGATCAAAACTTACTTTGATCATGTTTATCCATTTGCTCCTGTTATCAACAGAGTAGACTTTATTCGAGCGTACCAATCTGGTAATTGCTCGCTATTCCTGCTCTACGCCATATTGGCACCGGCGAGCGTACACACCTCCGACAATATCTTGTCTGCCTGCGCCTTTGAGAGCCGTTCTGCTGCGCAGCAGAGCTTTTTCAGCAAGGCGCGGCTACTCTATGATTTGGAGACTGACAAGAACCCATTAATTGTTCTTCAAGGAGCCATAATACTCTGTATGGTTATTCTTGACAAACCCAGTGATCGAGACTTTGGGTACTGGTTTCACACGGCGATTCGCCTCGCAACAAAGATCAATCTACGCACCTTGTACGTTCCTTCTGCCTACGTTTTGTGTAAATCAGTCCAGCTTAAACTGACTATAATTTTTCTTATCCAGGTGCGCTCGGCAAGATATACCGCAAAAGCTGCTGAGGCTCTATCGGCGGATTTGGTGGGCACTCTATGTAAGTGTAGTCGTTATTAAAGCCTGATAATTGCTCACTTACTACTTACTTACTTACCATATGTAACTAGTCTCTTGATATTTTCCACGTCTTTATCAATACTAGACGATCAAGGCTGCTCGAAAACGCATTCGTGATCCCTCCAAGAACAGAGGACGATTGGGAAGAGGAAGACGGCATTGAGGCGTCATCTGGTCTACTCTCCCCAGTGACAGCTCAGCAAAGAGCCTCTCCTATTCTGCACTGCGAACTATCACGTATCTGTGAGTATCAATCTCTTCCAGAATTTATTGCACCAGATCTGCGACTAACAAAACACAGTCGAAAAGTGTCTGTCACTGATCAAAACCAAATCGCCGCAGGACCCCCGTCCATCGCTGAACCCTCTCGATGCCTGGAGGAAGTCTCTCGCTGCTAAGATGCACATCAATAACACTGCAGAGACCGATGTTTACTATTTAAACATGCAGGCTATGAGCTACAGATTGGAATGCATCCTGTTTAGAGTCATTCGCCACCGCTGGCCAAACACTGAGTGGAGTGACTGGCCGACGCAAAGGCTGAGGGCTGCAATTCTAGAACTGGATACAATTGCAATGCGGGTTCTAGCAAAAGGAACAATCCGAGACTTTCCAATTTCATTGTACGTATCCGAACTGTCAAGAACATGCGCTACATTAGCAACTGACACATAGCGTTTAGCATAACCACAATGATGGTGCTCCTTGCCATGCACATCGAATCCGCCTTCAATCCAGCCGAGACTGAACTCGTTCAATCCATGTCTCGAATTTCCATCAGTCAGACAATGCTTCTTCTTAATCAAGGAAGAGATATACCAGTACTGAAACGAGCTTTACCGGTCTTTGGGGATATTCTTGCCAAGAAAGGTGACCTGGCGATAGATATAACGAGTCAATCGACTCTACCACCACGGCCGGAAACCAGCAACACGCCAGACATGTATTTTACAACGGCAATCGATGTCCTTCATTCTGGGCAGCCTTCGAATAACCCAACGCTGTATGAGGATTTACTGGGTCTTGATTTCATGGATGACTGGAAATTGGGGGACTGGATACAGCCAGTTGAATACGACATGACCTCTCCGGAATGAGTGGTCAAATATGAATGACAGGTAGTGATCAAACAAACCCATATTTTCAGAAATGATAACTTGAAGAAAGGGATTATTTTGTTCATCCTTGTTTCTGACGATGCATGGTTGGGGCTGACGGCGGCGAGTGAGTCAGGCGGACAGGGTCGAATCTCAAGCATGCTGTCAATAGAAGAGCAGAGAAACCTGTTGAAATATAGAAGATGGTTATTATTGAAAAAAGAGAATAAATAGAGCCATTAATTCTGTTTCTTATAAAAAAAATAATGCTGACGCTTGTCTCTATAGTTCCCTCGCATGCATTTTACTGCATCTGCCACCTGGTACAGCTGGCGGCTGATCACTCCCCGCCACGACACCACCATCTTCGCCTACCCCACGATCACCCACCAACCAGCACAGCCAATACCAACGCTGCTCCATCCATCACTACAACAAAAGGCCCTTCAGATGTCTCAATCAAATTATGACGTATTTAGAGACTGCCTTGCTTCCACATTTGCTCAGCACAGGGAAGCCGCCATTGGACATGAAAAACAGCCTCGGCGGCGGGCCAAAAGGACCAAGCTTCACAGCAAAACTACACAGCCAGAAAGCGGTGATGCAGTAACTGCACAAGCCAATGACGAGGAATTGGCCGAATTCATCGACTACGTTGCATCAGAACTATTCAATGCCCTGCCAGACGACCTACAGCAGCTGGAATACCGCACTTGGCGAGACTCTCCTCATTTACAAGAACAATTCTCACTACCGTTGACAGACGAAAGTATAGACTACCTCAATCTGCCAACGTCTATATCAGATACCCTCAGTACATATGGCCTCATAGCACCTGACCCCACACTTCCTTCACTGGTGCCCTCATCTGTAACCGTTTTTCTCTTACCAGCATTTGCCGCCTACTTGGAATATGTTACAAGACCTCCTCCAGCATCAGTCGCTACTCGAACAGATGCATGTGAAATCTGTGAACGGTCTTGGGTCCCATTGACATATCACCACTTGATTCCTCGTTTTGTCCATGACAAGGCCGTCAAAAGAGGGTGGCACAAGCCAGAAGACTTGGGCAATGTTGCCTGGTTGTGCAGCCCGTGTCACTCATTCGTCCATCGGTTTGCGACTCATGAGGATCTTGCTCGATATTACCATACTGTGGAGTTACTATTGGAGCAAGACGAAGTACAGAAATGGGTCTCTTGGGCCGGAAGGTTACGCTGGAAGGCTGGCAAGAATGCAAACAGAACAAAGTAAGATATCGTCATGTGCTGGGCCCTTGGCACACACCCACCTCACCTGTAAAATGCACGATATAGGAAATTCTAATACTTTTCAAGGGAAGTACAGTACAGTTAGCAAGTACGCTGTTCTATTTACGTCGACCATTCCGCTTCACAACCACTTCTACAGAGCTGTGGCAGCAGCCGTCTTCCCGAGTACGAGCGCTCCGGTGCTGCAACCCGGAAAGCTCTAATTGCATACTGCTTCAACAATTCTGATGCTAAATTCAGTCCCCCATTTTGAAACATATAGATCGCTCATATTTACCGTGCAGCGTTGGACTAGGTCGTTCAACTGATCTGTGCCGACTTTGTCGCCCAGACCCCAGCTCCAGGTTTTGCCGTCTTCGCTGCAAACCCAACTTCTTCCATTATCCTGTTTTACACTTATACGCCTTTCCTGCAGTCCATTATGGCTGCTTCTAGTCTTTTCTATATCTGGGCTCGCGAATATATAGACTCTTTCCACCGACGGTTGATCGTGAACAATACTTTCGGGATATTCGGGACACGAGAGTAGCTCACTACTATTGAGTCCCCAAATACGTGGACCGGGGTAGTCGCTAAAGCAGGCTTCTGTGTCGACGAATTTGTCCCACACTTCTTCAAGAAAGACCCTATGATCATCATCTCTTATAAACAGGACGTCCTTTGTAGGTCTCATCCGGCGGCCGAGAATGAGGGCTCCAGAACTATTGGTTTTGAACGTTTCGTATCCCAGGTGATAGGCGGACCGAAGCACTGTATCCCTCGCCTCTTTATTAACCTGCGAAAGCGCGAGGCGCACTGGTACAGCATCGAGATCTTCATGGCAAAACCGGGCGAAGAGGGTCATATCCTCGAAATCCAAGTCGAATCCAAAGTCTCCAAGCTCTGGTCTATACTGTGTGACGAGTCCATAGGAGAAGAAGAATAGGGCTGGATCGTCATCAGCTGGGGCTGGCGCGGCGAAATACCAGACGCGGTCGCGCAGCTCTCGAGGCAGAAAGGGGAACTGAGGGAAGGCTGTGTCAACTTCGGCTCGATTTGTCATCTCGTCAAGCTATTAAGATTTTTACGTCGATGAATTATGGCAAAGGTCAAGACCAGGAGCCGTTTGAGTAAACAAGTTCTGGAACAGTGAGGTGGTAGACCAACACAGACAATGAGGCGGTGCAGAGTAGCCCTAGCGCAGCCTAATATGTAGCATACACAACCTGACAGCCGTCTTGATCGGATTTGCTAGCATAATGTGTTACAAAACACAAAGTAATAAATCCCGTTTGAAATACACTGGATTAGAATAGCGGGACTGACTCTATAGTTTAGGCCCAGCTCCAAGGTTAGCGCGTCGTCGCAGCTCCTCGTCCTGTTTTATACCTTCATGCAAGAGCTGCAGTTCAGCATGGCTGCTTCTAGAAAGACGAATATATAGGCATTTTGCACCGACATCTCCAATAAACTTAGGGGTTCACAAGTATCCTGCTGCCGTCAACAAATTTCGATCATCATCTCATGTCAATACAAGCACTACATGCGACTAAGTCGTCTATAGGGTTGGCTTGAGTGTACAGATAATAGTTACTGTAGCGACTAATTTATATATATTAAAATATTATGTAATGAGCTCTCTTTGGGCTGGTATTATAGAAGATGCAATAGTGGTTGCTCTGACACATTTAGCTGGCTTTGTTGACTTTTTGAGGCATGTGTAATCCACGAGCAGGCTTCAGGCGACTCAAGCATATTTTCTCCTTTGAGACTAGAAATTGGAAGAATGTAGGCTCTGTTATCAATTTAGAATACTTAGCATGAAGCTTGCACGGATGTAACAATACGTACCTGTTATTCGTTATGCTTCTTGCGTTAAACACCTCCAGAATATTCTTGAAGGTTTGCTCAGACCAGTCGACCAAGTCCCTGTATAGCGGTAAGGGTTAGCGTGAGTTGGTCTGTATAGCTCAGTGCTGTTGCAGACTCACATTTTATTTACCAAAATAAATAGTTTTTCTGTTGGTCGCAAGGCATCACTGCTTAATAAACTTTCAAGCTTCTGAGCAGAGGTGGCCCAGTTGTTTGGTTCGCTCGCGTCAACAACCCAGAAAGCCACGTCGCACACCGGACTGTCTGATTTACAAGCATAAGTATATTAGCATAATAAATGAGGGCGACATATCCATACTCTGAATCACGTATTGCCCAGTCGGGCCATGGAACGATTTTGCATAGCCTTTGTTGTCGTAGAAGGATGTTATCTCTCTGAACTGGCTTACTCCGCTTCTCTCCAACTCCTCTAGGCGAGGCAATTGCAGTCCACACTAGACCTGTTAGCATAGATAAGAGCTTCTCGGTGATGCAGTCATACCTTATGGATTAGACAGCCACCAAGAGTTTTCTTCCCAGCTCCGTCATCACCGATAATATTTAGCGATTTTGTTGTCATGGTGGTTTCGAGAGCATCTACGTCCCGGGGCTTGGTCTTGTAATGCACGATGCGGCCTCATGGTTCTGCAAATTTTAGTTCTCATGGCGCACGTGACTCGCGCAACCGATGTCAATATCCTTGCTTAGCAATAGCCTGTCATCAAGCTACGTTATTCCTTTACCCTAGCAGCTAAATTTATTATTAAATAATACTTTCTATAATTAACAAGTGATCTTTTATCATGCCTAGTGTCATAAAAACTTATCCGAGTATTTTCAATGAGATCTGTGCTACTGACTCCCTATATATGCACCGCAGAATTCTTGTTGGAAGTATACAAGTTATGTATCTACTCTACCACCAAATAACATCTAAGAATATTACAATTCCTTTTCTATATCTCTATTCTAACGGCTTCCTTGATGTGCTATAAGCATGTTTAATATCTTAGCTCTACTAAACCTTTTGGCGATTGTCATTGGGGTTACCCCGTCTTTACTTTGAGCCTCTGTATTTGCCCCTGCATGTAAAAGCGCTTCAACAACCCCAAAGTGGCCATACTCAATTGCCCATGACAATGCTGTTCTTCCACCATGATCTGGCCTGTCAATCTGGAGTAATCCTGTATCAACAAGTGCTGCAACAGCCTCAGGTGAATCATTTTGTATAGCCCACATTAAAGGCGTCCATCCATTGATATCTTCGTTGTCGACTCCCGAATTATCTTGCTGTAGAATTTTGTGCAACACACCATAGTGTCCACCTTCGCTAGCCCACGATAGCGCATTTCTCTCATCATTATCGGTAGTCGCGTTATCAACATGTTTACTGTCAAGTAGCACCTCGATACAATCAGTATAACCTCTGCCCGCTGCCCACAAAAGTGGCGCTTTTCCGTTCTTATCCTTGATATTAGCATCCAAGCCTTTGATTTTAAGAAGATATTTCAGAGTTCCAACCCCACCGTTACCAGCAGCCCAAGAGAAAGCAGTACGCCCTTTCTTGTCTTTGTGGTTAACGTTGATATCAGCTTTGTGGACCAGTGTTGAAATAATTGAACGATGTTCTCCTTCCACAGCCCAGAAGAACGGGGTGGCTCCCAAATAATCAACGTAGTTAGCGTTGCAGTTGCCCTGAGCCAATAGTTCTTGCACAATGTCACCGCACCCGCTACCACAAGCATATGAAAGTGCAGTTCTTCCCTTCCGACCTGGGACGTTTATATCAGTTCGCTTGTCGGATAGCAGTCTAATAACGCACGATAGATTATCATAATCAGCTGCTACGGTGAGTGCTGTTTGTCCTTCTAGCTCTTGTGAATTAGGCTCTGCACCAGCTTCAAGAAGGATATCAATAATTCCACTGTGGCCAAGTCTACTTGCCCAATAGAGACTGCGATTCATAACCGCTTGTGACGGCTGACAATAGCCTAGCAGATCTTTCAGAGTAGCTTGCAAGTTAAATTGAGACGCTAATCCCAAAGGGCTGTTGTCAATTATATCATCGTCCGTCGAATCAGCCATTTGCGTGCGATAGAAGCGTAGCCAATTACGGCAGTTTCCTTGTGATATATCAAGAAGGCTTCTGGCAGCGACTCTAAGATCATGGGGAGCATCTTCTTCGCAACGAGCGAAGTGCTCAGCCCAATATAGCGCTGCATAGTTGTAGAACTTGTATTTGGCAGCCATGGAGACACAAATAACTGGGTATAGAGTGTCTGGTCCACCAAAGAATGTATCAAGATTGTACTGGTCAGTGTCCCATAAATCACCGATGAAATCAGACGCTGGCGATTCAAGAATATCATCAGGAGTGCGAGGGGCAGGCCCGTCGTGTGATACTGTTGGCCCAAAGAAGTCAATTTTGAAATCATCCAGAAGAAGATATCGGATACACGTGCAAGCCATTTGCAAAGCAGAGCTGCGTACGTTGAGCTTTCCCATGGCTGGAAATATAATATTCTCACTAGAATCCATTCCTAGTAAAAACTCTTTTGCAGATTGATGAATCAAAGAAACGTTAGGCCAGGATATCCTAACTAGCGGGCCAAGGATACCTTGAAGAGTGTGTGTGATGGCATTTTGAGAATCTTCCATAACATCTTGACTGGAGTGATGGGAAGTATCAAGGGTGAATGCAATGTTCATCTCATCTAGACTCAACGGCCTGCAGCTTCCCAATAATATCCGAAGTAGAAGTGATGCATTTTCATGATGCTGAGAAGGGATGGTTGATAGATATCTTCGATACATTTGTTCGAGATCCTTGGGAGTGCGAGCAAGAATCTTTTTTAGCTCACTCTTCGAAGTAAGTAGGCTCTTCTCGATTGATAGTAGAACAAAATGAATCCAGAGAAAGGTGTGGTCGGCCTTCAAAGTTATCGTTTGGACCAGGAAATTTTTAATTTCGTCGCCATAGCCTCGCTTCAGCGAAATTTCATTGACTCGTTCAAGGATAAACTGCCGAATATCATTGGTATATCCAGCCTGGCGATCATCAATGGTTATTTGAGATTGTCCGGATAGACTAGTATTGACATATGATTGGTGAAGGTAGGGACGGCTTGTTACCAGAAACTTGACCTTAAATTCTCTTTGCATAGAATATAGGGTATCAGAAAGCAGATCAGATATTGACTGAAGAAGTTGATGGCAAGAGTCTGCTTCGCACTCATCCAAGGCATCCAGGATAATGCAAACGGATCCGATCTTTCTATCTCCCAGGATTCTGAGAAAGATTTCCCACAGTGAAGAAAAGGACTGAATCATACTAGAACCCTGTAGATCAAAGACCTTCCGAACATATTGGATTAATGAACGGTGTTGATTGATAAGTTGAAATATTAGACTGATAAGAACCGCTTTGCCATTCGTCTGATTGGTTTTGTTCTGACACAAATAAACGAGAACGTTTGGTGGTTGTTTGGTGTTGAGAAAGTATTGCGCCAAAGAGAAAGACAGAATTGTCTTACCACACCCTGGATGACCAGTCAGCCAAAGCAGCGCGCTTTCACTTTTTTCAAGCCAAAGGTTGAACATAGGGTGGCTGCGGATCCAGTGGCACGTTCCTTGAGCCGGTTTGGGTGGCGTTTCAGGAATTTTGGCATTATCAGACTCATTCAATAGCTTCATGCACGTTCGTTCCACATCATTGAAGGCTTCAAAACGGTTAGAAGCTCTGTTTTTAACTTTAATGATTATTTAACTCACTCACTTCTATCAGAAGAATGAGTGCTGGATCGTTTTAGTTGGGGACTTGTGTCTGCTGATTGGCGCGCGATCCTTCGCAATGCTCGTGCGATGCTCAAATAGCTAGTAGAACTATCACTAGCAAAACGGCATATGCTCGAATGGTTCTCATATAGAACAATGGGGTCCTCGTTTGATAAGCCTGTTTGTGCAGACTTTCGGTCGACGATCTAGATCATGGGATTAATCCTCTGCCAGTGAAAGAAAGCATTGTTCTCACTTACTAAAAATGGTAAACCTGGTATAGCTTCACTTTCATAAAATGAAACTATGTTAAGCTTTTGAAGTCGATATCGGGAAGAGCTAAAAAGGTCATGGAGAGCGTCGGAGTTATGGCCTAGATAGTCAAGCAGCTCAGTTCGAGCATATTTAGGCCGTAATCCGACCGTTACAGTCGCTTGAAATGCATTGACAATGTTGAGGAAAACTCCAGCCAAGTCGGCAGATTCACTCCCGCCATGTGGCGTGGCTAAAAACGCCACACCGATTGTTGATTTCAAAACTGTCCCATACACATTTTCATTCTCATGAGCATAAACAAGCGCCTGGCGAAAAGAATTAGCACAAAGACATATGAGAGACAAGAAAAACAAACTTGTTTGCAAACAATTCCGCCAAGGCTATGGCAAACAAATATAATGGGGCGCGTTTCCTAGTTTGAGCATTAGCGTGCAATGTACTAATGCTGGAGATATTATACATAACTTACACCATTTAGATCCTCAATATGGTCTCTCGTAGAGTTTAGAAGCCCTCGTCCAAATTCCTGTACGCGACTGAAGGATCCCTCACAAAAGAGCTTAGAGGGATAGCCATAGGTGAAGACTCGGCATCCTGGTAGGAAGTCTGGTAGAAAATCGCGGAGCCATAATTTCCCCGTCGTTTTATCCGTCCAAGTTGAGTATGCGTCGCCATTAAGTCCATGGACTGCAATAATGTCCACTGGAAAGTTCTCGCCCTCTGAAGAGAGCTTCAGGTTTTCAGCTAGCTTGTAAAGACCATGTTGCTGCGCCTGTGATTGGGGCTCTTGTTGAGTCGAAGTGACAGAAGACGAATGCTGAGGTTGAGGTATGCCATCAGAGACCGATTTGTCTAGATACTTGGTCTTTAAGCGATAGAAATGTCTCATAGTGATATGAAAATCGAGAAAAGCTGCTAATAGCTTAGCGCTTTGAACGCTACAAAAACAAAGACTTTGCCCACACTTGTACAATTAGCTCACGGGCGCTCGATCTTACCGGTCGAGCGGGGTACCAAGACTTAGATTTAACGGGCCGAGGATTACCCAAACAAGTAATGCTCATGTCCATCCTTTTGAAGAATAGAAGCTCTAATGCTACGGATAGAGACATTGAAGCTACCTGCAAATATGTTGAACTATGTTTAAATTTAGACCAGCTTTAAATCTACAGACTTAAATGCTATTCATTATATATTCAGCCTGACACAGAGTACAGAGTTGTCAGCTGTGTTACTCGGCGATGGGCCATCTACGCATCACGTGATACAACAGACTCGATAGGTGTGAGAGTACCATATCCCCTGCCTTTTAAGTTGCGTCGATATCTGATCCAACGCAGCCTGATATGCATCATACATAGCCTTGTAGCCCTCCTGAACCGATTTTCTCACACAATGCGTTAGAGGGAAAGGTTAATCTCCATTTCAACATGCCATATCAGAATATTTACACGTGCACGATTCACGAAAACGCTCTGGCCATTCTCCAGTGCGGATCCTCGGCGGGCGCTTAGACACTCTTAACCCCTGCCAAAGGTTATGCAGCGCTCGTCACATCACCCCTGCCACTGCAACGCCAATATAAGCTAGCGCTATCACACTTGTGCGAATCATGCACGCTTTCATCTACGTCAAGCCTTACCCAGCATTATTTGCTCTACCTTTGAGTCAAGCCTGAGCGTTTCTCGCTAGGGTTGCTTGCACTTGGCCACGACCCCCTGCTGCTCAACGCTGCGTTCGTTCGTCAAGTACAATTTAACTCTTTCAAGTTATTGAATGTGGCTTTTCTATTTCACCCGGCATTTACAAGGTGAGAATCAGGGCCTGGAAACACGTCTATTAAATCGTAGCCATGGCACCATCTGGCTGCACCCATCTGCCTTGATTCTGCGTCTGCCAGCATTTGTTGTTTGTTTTTTCTGTTGTCTTGACAGCATTACACTCCTTTCTTTTGCATCATGAAGCTGCCACTCGTTTTCTCTCTGCTTCATTTGGCGGCCGCCGTGACCGTACCTCCATCGCCGAACCAACTGGCCCCTTTGTATCGCCGAACAGAATTAGCAAGCCGCGATGACTCCGATCATTATATTGTCAAATTCCGTCAAAATAGCCCCATGACCTTGATCACCGACGTAATCGATCGCATCTCCGTCCTCAACTCTGGCAATGCCAACAGCCATGCCAAGCACGTCTTCAACCACGCCATCCAGGGGTTTTCTGGGCACTTGAACCCAGCCATGGTCCGAGTTTTGCGCATGCTTCCTGATGTAGAATACCTTGAGCAGGATGGCGAGGCTGTCGCTAGTGGTATGGTGACCACCAACGGAACCACTTGGGGCCTTGCTCGGATTTCGCACCGCAAGGCAGGACGCAAAGACTACACGCGAGACGACTCCAACGGCAACGGCACATGTATCTACTTTGTCGACACGGGAGTGGACGACACGCACCCTGAATTCGAGGGCCGCGCCCACCAAATCAAGTCGTTTATCCCCAACGTAACCATCGACGACTCGGGCCATGGCACCCACTGCGCTGGCATCGCCGCCTCCAAGAACTACGGCGTAGCAAACAAGGCGACCGTATACGGCGTGAAAGTTCTGCGTGGCGATCGTCACGGCGCTTGGTCCGATGTCATTGCCGGCCTCGACTTTGTGCTGAAGGATGCGCCATCACGTTCGTGCCCCTACGGCGTCATTGTGAACTTCTCCGTGGGTGGCAGCTACCAGCAGTCGGTCAACGACGCAGCCAAGCGCGTAGTCTCGAGCGGATATTTCATGGCTGTTGCAGCAGGAAACGAAAACGACGACGTGACCCAGCATTCGCCGGCGTCGGAGCCGTCCGTGTGCACTGTAGGGGGAACAGACGAGTTCGACACCAAGTACAGCGATTCGAACTGGGGCACGTCGATTGACATCATGGCGCCGGGCGTGTCGGTGCTTTCTACCGTACCGAACAACGGAACCGGGTCGTACTCTGGCACATCCATGGCGACGCCACACATTGCCGGTCTCGCGGCGTATCTAGGCGCCAGGGACAAGAAGAAGGTCACTCCGGATGTGTGTGCGCAGATTGTCAAGATGGGCACGAAGAATGTCATTACCGGACTTAGCAAGTCGACGGTTAATCTGCTTCCGTTTAACGGGAACCCCTCTGGCTAAGCGATCCTATGTGGTACACATGTATGCCGCCATGGACGTATGTATACATGCGTACAACCACAGCAACATCGGAATTGGTCTTTGTTCAGTTCATGTTCGTCTTCATAGTATCATGATTCCCTCGCATATTATTTTACGTGTATTTCGAAGCCTTTCTCTTCTCTACTATTCGCTTTCCTTCTTGACCGTTTCTTGGACCATCGTCTCTTATTAGCCGACACAACACGTTCCAACCCCTCATTGGACCAGATATCGCCACACCCTTGTGAAAAGAAACCCAATAAAAATTGAAATCGCAGTTTCCATGACCATTACTTTCCATATTCCCCCGTAATATATCTCTTATCAAAGTCTCGGTACCCCGCGCCGCTCCCGCCATTGGCGCCATTGACGCTGAGTTGACGTGATCGCAGCGCTCCACTACAGCCTCACGAGCGAATGACAACAGCGCTTTACCTTGCAATGCCCGCACTACAACCATACACTAGGCTAGTATGTCGTAGAACTGCAGCTCCGGTTCGTTCTGTTTCATAGTAGTTGTTGGGGGTTTGAACGCTAATCTGGGGGGATTGCATCATCGGCTATTAGCAAACAAGCAGGTCGTAGTAGTACTTAAACCCGGCGGTATTCGTCCCGTTTTACACGTTGCGTAGACGCATAAATTTCATCCTTCATCTCTAGTTGCGTAGTCGTGCCTACTGTTAGGCTCAGGCTGCTGCGCATATCATGGGCACATTTAATGGAAGAGTCAAGTCGTCAGAGATTACAGGGTCGGATATAGAAGACTCAGCAAATACACCGACGACTACCGTCATTACCAACAGCACGGTATTTGCATCAGGTGGCGATGTGAAGCTCTACGAACCCATTGACGAGTATGAAGGCAAACACCGGTACGATCCGAGCGCCCAATGGACCGAAAAGGAAGAAAAGGTTCTCGTCCGCAAGGTAAGTCGTTGCCGTCGCCGTCGCTGCATCACAGTTTCCAACTTTGGTTGTCGTACAAAGTCTAAACCTATTCTCGTAGATGGATTGGAGAATCTGTTCGTGGGTTTGTGTCATGTTCTTTGCGCTCCAGCTCGACCGTGGCAACATTAGCCAAGCGCTGGCCGACAACATGTTAAAGGACCTCGGCCTCACCACCAACCAATACAACTACGGCATGACGCTCTTCTACGTCTGCTTCCTCGCGGCCGAGCTGCCCTCGCAGGCAATCTCGAAGAAGCTCGGCCCAGATGTCTGGGTTCCCATCCAAATGATAGCTTGGAGCATAGTGGCCATGTCGCAGTGCGCCATCAAGAGCCAAACAGGATTCTACGTGACCCGTGCTCTTCTAGGCACCTTTGAGGGTGGCTTCATCCCCGATGCGATTCTCTACCTCTCCTATTTCTACAATAGCAAAGAGCTGCCCATCCGCGTCAGCTACTTTTACACGGCATCGAATGCAACGCCCGTGCTGGCTGCCTTTATGGCGTATGGCCTGCTGCACATGCGCGGAGTAGCTGGGTGGGAAGGCTGGCGATGGCTGTTTGCCCTTGAAGGTGGTCTTACTGCCATCATTGGCGTCATTTCGTGGTTCTATCTGCCACCTAGTCCGACGCAGACGGCAAGTTGGTTCCGTGGCAAGGACGGATGGTTTAACGAGCGAGAAGAGATTATCATGGTGAACCGTATTCTGCGTGACGACCCCAGCAAGGTAAATTGCTCCCTAATATTCTTTCCTCTCGTGTAAGGTGGCACCGTCAGTCTAACGAAAAAACAAAAACAGGGCGGAATGCACAACAGACAGGGTCTACGACTGCCGCTTCTCTGGCAGGCCCTAACCGACTGGGACCTATGGCCCATTTACATCCTCGGCTTTACGCTGCTTCTGCCCGTCCAGCCCGTCGCCAATTACCTGACGCTGAATTTGCGCAGTATAGGCTTCGACACGTTCCAGACAAACCTACTAACCATCCCCGGCTACGTGCTGTTTGTGATCCAGCTGCTGTTCTGGACGCGCGTATCAGAGCGTATCAACAATCGCTTCCTCATTGTCTTCTACTACTCTGTCTGGGTATTCCCACTAATCCTCGCCCTACGCTTCCTACCTGACGGCGCCAGTCCGTGGTCCCGCTATGCCATCATGGTGCTTGTCGTCGGGTACCCCTACGTGCACTCCATTCTCGGTAAGCGTTACCGAACCTTTCATTGACCTATCGCAGAGCTAACCGCTTTCAGTGAGTCTGACATCTCGCAATGCTGGCTCTGTTCAGTCACGCACAGTGGGCAGTGCTGTATACAATATGACGGTGCAAGCGAGCAGCATCTTTGCATCCAATGTACGTTTGTTTGCTCCATAGCCCCCTTTGCGTTGATCTCCGGTTCGCTTTACTTACCAGTTTGTTGGCCAGGTTTATCGCCAAGATGATGCTCCCAATTACCGTCGAGGAAACACTGCCCTGTTGCCCATCATTGTCTGGAACGCTCTGCTAGCACTCGGCATCAAGGGCTACTACATGTGGCGCAATAAGCAGCGCGATAGGGTCTGGAACGCCATGAGCCCCGACGAGAAGAACGTGTACCTCGAGACGACGCAGGACAAGGGCAGCAAGAGATTGGACTTTCGCTTTGCTCACTGAGTCGGGTTGGTTGTCGGGCGAAGCAAACAACGTTTAAGTGGGTGAGATGGGATGAGGCTTAGACTGCGAAATATATTGAACGCAGAAACCAAATCCTCCTTCCTGATTTGTGTCCAAGTGGGATAGAGTTATTCCAACACCAACAGAATCCAAAAGCAAATGCTCTTTTCGTTTCTTTCTTCAAAACAACTACCACTCGGGTGTATTGTATAGCCGTTGTGTAAATTCAAGGGATCTACAACCCATGTATATACCAAGAACCATCTCTCACTAGAAAACCCCCTAGCCTGCACTCGTAGTAGACAGGGCTGACTCGCCGATATAAAAGAGGTATTTTGTACACTCTGCCCTGCCACCCACAACGTTGACGCTAGCCCCCAGATTGCGCCCCTCAACTCTAAAAAGCTAATCTCTCTAGTGAACGTATTTCCCCTTTTTTTGCTGTTAGTGTACCTGCATTCAGCTAGCTTTTCGTGTGTGAGCGCCGTCTCCTGCCCAAACCAGCCAGTCTAAGCCTCCTCCTCAGCACGCTCAGCCCCAGGAACGGAGGCGTTTTTTTCGTCAATGTGGACAACAACCACAAGTCAAATACAATAAAAAATTTCCCCTCTTCCAAAACAAGCCTTCGCTTTGCTTTCCCCACAAGGCGCTGCCGGCAGCCGTTAATTTGGAAGTGCATGAGCCCATATGCCGAGGCTATACACGCTAGTGGACGCTAAGAAACCGCCATCGTGCAATGCCACGGCGTGGTCGCTTGGGCCATGGGCAGCTCGCCTCATCGCCTTGGCTTACAGAGGGGTTAATTAAAAGGACAAACAAAGGTTGGATTATCATTCTATGCCCTCCCCCGCGTTCAGCATGCGCCGCCACACTGCTTGGTTGTTATATAGACGGGCTTGGACGCCGCCTATGTTGGATTCCGATGTATAGTTGGTACCCTACTAAACCGACACTCGTTTGAATTATATATTTTATTTCGCTTCCCTTGGTTGGGTCTTGTCTCTCATTCAATTTTCTTTAATATTTTCATCTTTACTGCGCAGCTATGAAGTCGGCATTTGTTTCGTTGGCAGTTTTGCCTGCGGCTGCTTTGGCTGTCGATGTTGCTGATCTCGCCACGGCGGATGATAATGCAGCTGTTGAACTTCCTGGACTTCTTCGTTTCCCTGTCCAGGCGGTGGAAACTGCGGAAGACATTGCTTCTCTCGACAAGCGACAGATCGGATCCGATATCGTCAACCAGCTCCGCGGCTTCAGCTACACTATCCCGCTCAAGATTGGTACTCCTGGAGACGAGGTCAGTGTCGTCTTTGATACTGGTTCCTCCACCTTGTGGGTAAACCCTAGCTGTAGCAATGCTACCAAGACAGCTCAATGCGAGAGCTTTGGTCGCTTCTCTAAGTCCTCCACCCTCCAAAACCTCAACACCACGGGCGGCGTTAAATACGGCATTGGATACGTCAAGTACGACTACGTCAACGACTATGTCACTCTGGGCTCTGCAAAGATTAGCCAGCAAGTCTTTGGTCTCGCCACGGAAAGTTCTCAGGTCAACTATGGTATTATGGGCGCCGGTCCCTCGCTGTTTGGCTTTGAGAGCAACGGCTATGTCATTGACTCCCTCGCAAAGCAGGGCTTCACCAAGAGCCGTGCCTTTGGTGTGGATCTGAAGGGCATCGAATCTCCCCGTGGCAGCGTTGTTTTTGGTGGCGTTGATACCAAGAAGTTCCGCGGTGTCCTTGAGGCTCTCCCTATCATCCCTGCCTCGGCCGCACCAGACCGTCTGACCAGATACTGGGTGAACCTCGATGGCATCTCCATTGGTGGTGAATCCGTTTCTGGAAAGCAAGCCGTCTTCCTCGACACTGGTGCCACGCTCAGCTATCTTCCCCAGGCTACTGTTGACAGAATTGCCGCCAAGTTTCCCGGTGCTAAGCCCACCAACTACGGCCTGATCTCCGTCGACTGCTCCGTTGCTGACAAGCCAGGTTTCGTGGAGTTCCAATTTGGCAAGACAACCATCAAGGCTTCTTACAAGGATTTCATCTACCGTGACCTTGCCACCAACTCCTGCCTTCTCGGTGTTGCTGCCAAGACCAGTTAGTCATTTGTATGCTTTCTTGATATAGGTCCTGTGCTAACAATCCTCTAGCAAGCTTTGCTCTGGGAGACAGCTTCCTCCGCTCTGCCTACGTTGTCTTTGACCAGGATAACAAGAGTCTACACGTTGCTCAGAGCGACGACTGTGGTACTAACCTTGTCCCTATCGGCCCTCAGGCTGTCGGTGCCCTCGAAGGTGAATGTGGCCGCCCTAAGCCCAGCGTTCCCGTATCCGTCAAGTCTTTAACCTCTACTTCCTCCGCATGCACAAGCTTGGCTACTTCTGTCCGTTGGCCTTCGGCTGTCGGTGTAAGCTCTTCTGTTGGCGTTAGCAAGCCTGCCTCTTCTAGCGCTATCAACACCAGCAAGGCTTCTTCTGCAGTCCCCAGCGTTGGTAGAAACACCACTATTTCTGCTTCAGCTTCTTCTTCGCTCAAGCTCAACACCACCACCACTGCATCGGTCCAGCCAACATACACCTCGACATTCACCACCACCAGCGTCTACACCATCACCTCGTGCGCGCCCACCGTCACCAAGTGCCCTGTTGGCAAAGTTACCACCAAGGTCATCACTACTCACAGCACTTTCTGCCCCACGAGCAAGCCTCCCGCTGCGTCTGTCACCAAGCCTCCTGCTCCTCTCACCACAGTCACCTACACGCTGATCCGCTGCCCTGGTGGTAAAGACAAGTGCCCTCTGACCGAGACTGGTTCCAAGGTTGTGACAGTCTCCCCCGTCAAGCCAACCTCGGTGGCGCCCGTGTGCAAGACATGCACTGCTGCCCCTGTTGCGCCCAAGCCGACCGGTGTAAAGCCTGTGGTTTCCAGCGGCAAGCCCAGCGTCAAGCCCAGCACTTCAGTCTCCCGCAACAACTCCACGGCGACTATCGCTACTCCCCGTCCTCCCGTCGCGACCGTCGCCAAAGCCGCTGGTAACACCGTCATTCTCGGTACCGGAATGGCCGCTGTAATGGGTGCTGCTCTCTTTGCTGCTGTTGGCCTGTAAACAGCCCATGCATAAAACCCCTTTGCGCTAGGCCTGGTGATGGCTCAATTCATTTTGTATAGATAAAAACGCACACCTTGTAGAATAGCTTCCTCCTTCTCCGTCAGTATACATTGTCATCATAGTACAAAAACATCACCCGTCTTGCCGCACCGCACTCTCACTCTGCGCCCTGTACTCACTGTAACTCGCTTGTATAAATCCGAATATGGCTTAGCGCATCTTTTTTTTCTCTTCAGCTTGCCATATCGGGCCAAACGGTCGAGACCCTTTTTGTTCGTGGGCGTCAGGCACAGGCTAAACCTCATTGGGCCTTTTCGGCTGCGATGCAATTTTAAAAGACAATCGCCTTGTCCCGATTCCCGTCGCCTCCCACGCGGCTTGCCCTCTACTCTTCTTCATCTTCAACTTGCAAATCTGCAAATCGGTTGGCACGGGCGACATCTGCACCAGGTCAATAGGCGCATTCACTCCTTTATACCCGCCTAGACCGTCCACTCCCTATTTCTAGTCCGCCCACTCGCTCCCTGTTTAATCGACGGATAATCTCGCTCCCCCGCGCGCCCACGATGCTCTCCTCGCTTCTCCTCGTCGCCGGCACAGCAGCCGCCGCAGCCACCGGTGGCACCGTCTGGGCGACTCCTCACGACAGCTACTCGTCCAGCGTTGGCGTCCTCGGCTGCAAAATCAACACAGACCGTGTCGCCTACTGGCCAGAGACCGTCACCTGCGACAACATCTGCGTGTCGCTGTCGTACGGCGGGCGCCAGGTGTATCTGCTGCGCGTGGACCAGTCTGGCGGCGCCCACGACATCAGCTACGATGCCTGGAACTACCTGTACACGGGCAATTCGGCGGCCGACAAGCCTGTCGCAGGCGGTGCCATTGCCATGGAGTTCAAGCCTGCGGATCCCAGCAAGTGCAGCGGCCTGATCAACACGTCTGGCGGCAAGATGCCCCTCAGCGCAGCCAACAGCATGAATTACCTCTCCGACTGTCTGTCGCAAAAGGATAGCTGGATCGCAAAGAACTACGTCCTCTACAACATCCTCGATCCCATCTGCACTCTTGGTCACGACGAAACCTGCTCGCTGGATTGGCCCGCAAAGAACCAGGCAACTTGCAGCCACACCCTTGGCCTCCCTGATTCCCTCAAGGACGCTCCCGTCTTCAACATTCAGTACCCAAGCGGCAAGAAGGTCCTCGCTGGCAGTGTTGCTACTGGTGCTGATGCTGGCCACAACTCGGCATCCGCAATGCACTGGTCGGCTGCTTTGATGGCCGGTGTCCTGGCGTTGCACTTGCTTTAAAATTGGCGATGCGGCTTATTGAATTGAACATACACTCCTTTTCTGTGTACATACTGTACAAACTATTTTTGTAGTTACGTTAGATACCCTATGCGTGTTGGAAACAGTTTTAGTTAGCGGAATTTTATTTCTTGTTTACAATTTACCCAAGAACTACGTCTCGTGACATTGCCTAAATCAATGTCTGGCTGGCTGTATCTACCAAGTTCCATTCTCGAGCAGCGCGCGGAGCTTGTCGTCGAGGAACTTCACATCCACCGGGTTTGTACCGGGACCTCCAGCCCTACGACGGATAGTTAGCATGGTGTTTTTTGTTCTATAACATAAATCAAACTTACCAGTGACCCCAGATAGAGTCAAATGGAACGCATTTGCCGACGCCCTCGCTCATATTTTTTACTTCATACTCGGAATCCTCAGGCGGGAAGTACAGGTCGGTTCGGCCAGGCATGACCAGCGTCTTGGTCTTGATGCTGCGCATGGAAAGCTCAAAGTCGCCGTTGTAAGGAGGCTGGTTGGAGCAGTCACCAGCTTGCCAAGTGTGAAGCATGGTTAACAAATTCTCGGGGTCCTTGCTCAGTGCCCAGGTTTCCCAAAAGTTCTGCATAAAGTCCTCTAGGCTCTTGAAGCCAAGCTTAGTCTCGTACAGCTTTTCGCGGTAGAACTGCTGGCTGAATCCCCAACCGGCATAGACTCGGCCCATGGCCTTGAGGCCGACTTCTCGTTCTGTTTCTGTCCAGCCGCGATAATCTTCAGCCTTGACAGTCTCGCCGGCTCTGCTGCCCGCTGAGTTCACTCCCTTGGCGGAGAGGAGTGCACACTTGACTCCCTCGAGGAACACCTCATTGTGAAGGGCTGTCTTTGCACTGCCGCAGAACGGGACGGCATATTCAGCAAAATCGGGAAACTGAGTGATCCACTGATACGTCTGGCAGCCACCCATGCTCCAGCCGAGAACGCACTTTGCCTTCTTGACACCAAGACCCTCGGTCACTAGGCGATGCTGAGCCGTGACATTATCAAGAAGAGTGACGTCGGGGAATTTGCCCTTCCGTGTAGAGCGCGTGTTGGACGGGCTGATGGACTGGCCGTTGCCGATTAGCGCAGGGACGATGATGTAGTACTTTTCGGGGCTCAAGGCCATGTCTTTGCCAATCAGCCACTCATTGTCCGAGATCTTGCCGCTGAACCAAGAAGGATAGACAATGGCAGGCAGACTAGCGTCGCCGTAGGTTTTGTATGCAATGTAGGCGCCAGCTAGTGTTTCCCCAGACTGGAGCTTCAAGTCGCCAAGATCGTACTTCTTGTAATCCTCCAGAGTGAGGCTATCGATAGCGCTGGCAATGCCTTTTTCAGTAGACATTATGAAAATTGACTTTTTTAATGATGATGAAATTGTAGAGAGGGGAAAAACACGAACTGCCGCGTTGCCAGGCCTGGGCCAGTTATACACCCAAAACGAGGGGCAGGCCAGGTCACCTGGTGCCCGCCACATCGGCTAGTGAGGGGCACGGCTTAGATCTCCTAACGGCTGAAGGGTACTTTGTCCCGGTCATTATTAACGTGCCGTGTTGCTTTGCTGGCTTTATTGATGCACATGCGGTAATTTACTTTTTCTTATGTTAATATTCTTTTTGGAATTCATTAGAAGCCGCTTTCATATGCATATGTTTTTGTGTTCCAGCATTGCCCATCTAATTGCTCCGTCTTCAAATCACTCCCATGCCAGAATCCCTAGGCTTTTTCTTTTTGTACCATTGCCATGCCTATTTTGTTCCTCCTACTCTTTCCATACGCTGCTTCTAGTTGCCCACAAAATAATTCATTCAAGTCGTGTCTTGTTCCCGGAAAGAGAGAGATTCCCGTCAGATATCCAGCTGCCTAGTTGGCCCAAACCTTGACCTTTTGATCAACACTAGCAGTGGCAATAACGCAACGGATCTTTTCTTCCGCGGTGTCTGCCTTCTTTACTGCTCCATCTTCGCCATTTTGGGTGATAGCGCCGCCATTGACAGCTGGTGCATCCTTTGCGAGGCTTGGTGCCCATCGTAGACACTTGACAAAGTGGTCGTGTGAGTCGCTGATGACCTTGACGCACTTTCCTTCCTGGCTCAAGTCCCAGCATCTCAGAGACTTGTCGTCGGCAACAGACAGCAGATATTTTCCACCGGGGTGGAACACTAAGCCGTTCACCCAGTTGTCATGGCCAATCAAGACCTTGATGCAAGTTCCGCGGGAATCCCAGAGTCGAATCGTCTTGTCACGCGATCCGGTGGCCATAAACTCAGCGGGGCTCGTCAAAGGCGGAGGCTTCTTCAAGCCAGCTAGCGCTCCGAGATACTCATACGCAGCTGGTGGTGCAAAAGCACAGCACTGCACTACGTGCTCATGGCCAAGCATAGTCACTTTTGTTTCCGGGTTGGCCACCGACAACTCCCATAATCTTGCCGTGTGATCGGCACCCGTAGACAGCAAATAATTTCCATCTAGCGAGGGGCATACATCACGAACCCATCCAACGTGGCCGTGCAGCGTTCTGACGCAAAAGCCAGTCGTTGTGTCCCAGATCTTGAGTGTCTTGTCGCCACTGGCACTCACCAACATGTTTCCTGTTGAGAATGCGCCAGTTGAGCCAGATGGAATAAATCTCACAGCGCTAACACTGTGGTCATGTCCAGATAGTGTTCGGATATTCTTGTAGCCATCCGCAGGGTCCCAAATCTTGATGGAGAGGTCCGAGCTGCAAGATGCCAGAAGCAGCGCGCTTTTGGGGCCGCCATAATCCAAGTCAAGAACAGCCCTAGTGTGTGCCTTGATAGTCTGTTCCCATTCTCCAAGTTCCCAATCGTATATTCTAATTGTACAGTCGTCGGAGCCGGACGCCAAGGAGGAGAACTTGGGGTGGAAGGCCACACAATTTACCGGATCACGATGGCCTTCGAGTGTGTGTCGGCTGGGGTTTCGGGGGAGCCAGGACACAGGATCCTGGTTTCGTTTCGAGAGGGATGTGGGAGTCGCATTGTCGACTTCGCTCTGGAGTTCAGCATTTCGGGTCTCAAGCTCCATGATCTATCCACACGCACACACGTCAGCAGTCGCCTTTTCACGCCTTCGTCCAAAACCTGCAGACTTACCTTCTTCTGGAGTCTCACGATACTGGTCCATTTCTTCTCCAGTAGCGTCTCATATTTCTTCGCCGTATTGGCATCGTACACGTCTTCGCCCAACGACAGCTCGCCACGCAGGGCGGAGGCGCTCGTAGGTAGATTATTCGCAGATAAATAAGCGATTATAGATTTGTGCCTAGCAGGTCAGCCAGTTAGTTGGGTTCCAACAGCTCAATCCATGATAGCTCCCAAGCAAGCCACCATCATCTCGTCTCTCATGTCTCAAATACATACAGCTCTTCGGCCTGCCTCGCAGGCAATGTGCGACTCATCTCGGCGATGGAGATTGTGGTGATACACCCCTGGCTCTGACCCTGTCACAGCTGCGCAGCATTAAACGGTGAGCCAGTGGTCAGCACGCCAGATTGTGGTCATGAAGCCAGCGGCCGGAACGTTGCAGCTTTTGGCTCTGATTGAGCGGTCAACAGGTTGATGAGGGGCAAGAATGGCCGGAGTGGGGTGGATGTGCGGTTCGCGCCGCAGAAACTGGGTAACGACGAGATGCGGCGGAGGGGAGCAAATTTCTGCTTGCAAAAGTATAGGGACAGTCGCTCCGGGTTTTAGAATCTGGCTTTTACCGCTTCACGGTGATGTTTTGTATCAAAGAGTTCAAAGGGTGGTAGTAAACACACTAAACCCACTGGCAACGCCACTATGACAGCCGTAGTGGTTGCCGTGGGACAACATGCAGCCATTCTATCAAAGGATCACGTGATGACGCAACAAGCTTAAAGGCCAGCCATGAAGAAACTTCAAACATCTAATGGGGGGTATCTTTCATTATATACACTCTTTCAATCATCATGTAAGCGCTCGCCTGATTAGTCGCTGCGCGCAGGCTGCACAACCCCGTCTTCGTTAATCTCTTGAATCAGAGGAACGGGCGGGGTCTCGCCCACTACTGTCTTACTGTCGTCGTCTTCGTCTTCCACTGGTGACAGCAGCGAAACCTGGTAGGAACTGGCACTATCTCCTTCGCTTTCTTCTGGAACAGACATTAAGCCATGCATACTTCTAAGGGTTGTTGCACTGGAAACTGTATCTGCCCGGTGCATGGTTTGTGCCGTGGGTGATGACCACACAGGAAGCATAGCGAGCCTGGGAGACACTGGCGGGCTTCGTGCAGCCGGACTATGAGGACTGCGAGGGCTTCTGGGGCTTCTGATGTAGTATTGGGTCTCTTCCTCTGGGAACGATGATCCAGACAGCCTGCGAATTCTGTACGCCTCGTAGTTGGTGTCTCGCGTGTGGCTATACTGGCTTGATTCTCGGCTACGGGTGTCGAGGTTAAGTGGCTCAAGAGAAGATCCATCGCTATTCCGTGATCTACGCTTCGGTACATTTAGGCTTTGATTGTCGTAAAATCCATAGCCTTTAACGTTGACAGGATGTGTATAGTCTTCGTAGGTCGATTGGCGGTAGTATGCAAGCGCGACGTAAATCGTCATAGAAATCGTCACAATTCTATGATTTGACCGGTTATTTTGATGCCCACATTAGGTTTGGTTGAAAAAAGCTTACAATAATATACCATCGAGGGCAATTCCGAGCAATGAGTAGCTCTTCTCGCTCAACTTGGTATACGCAACAATGTCCAGAGCCAGGATAGCCAGAGCACAGGCCGTCTTGATGACATTGGAGAAAAGCATTGACCAAGGCGTTAGGGATTCACCTAGAAACTTTCCGATTTCGACAAAGGTGCAGAGCCCTGTCACAAATGACATGGCGATATTGGTTGCTTGCCATCTACTGCATGTTAGAAACAATTATCACATGTCTTCTAGTGCTTTGGTGTTGGCTTACGCATATTCCATCTTCGTAGTTTCTATATCTTGCTTGTCTTTATCTAGGGACATGGTAATAGCAATTCTCCATGAAAATAGGGCAAGGATCGACAAGGCGAGAATCAACTGGAGAGTCCAGGAGGGCAGCAAAAGTGCGGCCTTCCAAGCCGCCCGCTGAAACTGATCTCGGGTTCGATGTAGCGACATTTTAATCGCAATCTAAGTATGATTGTGTAGTTTCGATGACGTTATTCGGTATTTCTGTGATCAGAGATGGCGTTTTTCGTCTTGAAGTACATCCTGCCTGACCCTGGAACGACGCGAGCCCTTGACTCTTTATAACGTGCATCATATTTCAGCTTTGTGCCACATTTCAATGCGAGCTGCTTGTTGCGTGCAGCAAATCTGCCTCATGGGGATTAATTGCTGCAGCTGTAAGCCACGGCGCCCAATCTCGGACAGTTGTAACCCGCAACTCAGCCCTGGATGAACCCGCTCACCCACTGTGAGGCTGAACACTGCCCGCTTTTGCGCTAAAAATGGTAATCTTGGTCGCAATCTGTGCGAGGCTTAGCGTGCCTAAATTAGACTCTCAGACCGCTAGGCTTAGCGCATACCAATTGGTACGGTGTGCGCTCTGTTCACGGTTCATTACCCTGTAGATCTTCCATCGAGGCGACTGGCTATCGTCAATTGCCTAAATCCGGTATTGAGACTCTGAAAGTTGGAGAAGGTTTATTTTTTATGAATTCTACGTTGCTTGATATACGTACATCTATTTTCTGGAGGAAGTGTTGCATCGCTTTTGTCGAATTGATTATACTAATATGTGGTTTGTACAATCCAACCGCCAAGTTTAGCAAACTCGTTATTGGTATAACCTGTAGTGAAAGGCTGCCTCATGAAAATCAGAAAACAAAGCATAGATGAGACCACTTTTACTCATCACCATAGTTTATTATTTCTCTTCATGTTCGAACAGTTTGCTGAGGGTGTGTGCTGTCCTAGTGAATGGGCTTCTTCTTCTCCTCTTGTCTGCGCAGGGGTTCACTACAGACCGCATCATTAGTCTTTGAAACAAAGTAGTGAATGATAAATATAAAGAACCCATCAAATTAAGCCGATAATTTATCAATTTTATTTTTTCTTAAATATACCGACATCCGCGGACCTCAGCCCGTAGCCGCCCACAGTCTCTGTAGCGGCTTCTCCCGGACGCGCTGAATGCCTCCACTACGCGCCAACACGTTTGTCGCGTTTTGTTGTGCCTGCATCAGTGGGCCCCCGTTGGCAGAGACCCTGGTCTTCCTGGTATATTTTTGGCGATATCCCGATTCTTGACGAAACATCACGAGGGCCGTTGACCGGATTCACAAACTGCCATCATGGATCTGTCAGACGAATCGGCTTTTGACAGCTTCGGCGACAACGACGTCTCGGACGCGTTCAGCCCAGAGGTAGGTTCACCAAGTACCCCTCCTCCAATTGCACCTCACTTTCTATTGCTGCATCACCAGCCGTCAGGTGTTATTTGGAAGGTAGCTAATGATTAAACAGAAGCCAAAAGCAACAAAAGCAGCAAAAGCTCCGAAAAAGGCACCCGCAAAGAAGGATGCCGCACCCAAGAAAGCCCCAGCAAAGAAGGCCGCGCCCAAGAAAGCAGCGACACTAAAGCGAGCGAACACCGGTGGCGACAGTGACGAGGATGAAAGCTCTATCGTCTCCCACAAATCCAAAAAGACCAAGAAGGAGAGTGCGTATGGATCAGATGACGACAATGCAGAGGCTGGCGGACTGATCTCTGCCCCCAAGGCCCGGGCAAAGAAGTCGGCGGAGGAGACTTACCAGAAGCTCTCCCTGAAGGAACATATCTTGAAGCGACCCGATACTTATATTGGTTCCGTTGTTCCGACAGAGTCTGAGATGTGGGTATTTGAAAAAGAAGCCAACGAAATGGCCAAGCGCAAAATAACCTACGTACCTGGCCTGTACAAGATTTTCGACGAAATCTTGGTCAATGCGGCTGACAACAAGCAAGCCGATGATGCAGACCATAAGATGAGCTACATCAAAGTCACAGTGGATCGAGAAGCCGGCGAGATTAGCGTTGAAAACAACGGTAAAGGAATTCCTGTTGTTATGCATTCGGTGCGTCGAAAACATCCCCGTTGTTAGCATTGGTTGTTGGTGGCTAACTTGAAACAGCAAGAAGGAATCTACATCCCTCACATGATCTTCGGCCACCTACTAACAGGTTCAAACTATGACGATAACGAAAAGAAAACTGTCGGTGGTCGAAACGGTTATGGTGCAAAGCTTTGCAACGTTTTCAGTACCGAGTTTACAGTCGAAGTGCAAGACTCCGAGAACGGCAAGCGATATAAGCAAATTTGGACAGACAACATGTCCAACGCCGGCAAACCAAAAATTACAAGCAACAAGACTAGCAATTTCGTCAAAATTACGTTCAAACCTGACTGGACAAAATTCAACATGCCCAGTGGGATGGATGACGACTTCGAGGCGCTGTTATGCCGCAGAATTTACGATGTTGCTGGCACTATCCGCGGTGTTCGCGTCTACCTCAACGGCAACCACATCAAGCTGGGCTTCAAAACTTACTGCGAAATGTATGCCAAATCTATCGGCCTTCAACGAACTTCAGAAGAGGGTGCAGTAGCTACTACCACCGTCTATGTTGACGACAATAAGGCACATGAAGGCTGGGAGATTGGCTTTGCTGTCTCTGATGGCACTTTCCAGCAGGTTTCGTTTGTGAACTCGATTGCGACAACATCTGGAGGTACTCACGTCAACTACATTGCAGACCAAATGACGGAATATCTGCTGGGCGTGTTGAACAAACGGAGAAAGGGTCACACATTGAAACAGGCTCATATCCGTAACCACTGCTTCATTTTTATCAACTGTTTGATTGATAACCCAGCTTTCACTTCTCAAACCAAGGAACAAATGACAACAAAGGTCAGCCAATTTGGCCGCAAATGCGTCTTGAGTGATTCGTTCTTGAAGAAGATTGGCACTTCTGATGCAGTCACCAACATCATGGAATTTGCCGAGAAGAAGGCTGACAAGATGATGGCCAAGAGTGATGGTACCAAGCGATCACGTATCAGCAATGCCAAGCTTGTTGATGCTAACTTGGCTGGTACAAGACGAGGCTATGAATGCACTTTGATTTTGACTGAAGGTGACTCAGCCAAGGGTTTGGCTGTCTCTGGACGTGCTATCCTAGATCCGGACCGCATTGGTGTTTTCCCTCTCAGAGGTAAAATGCTAAACGTTCGAGACGCATCAATTGATCAGATCACAAAGAACCAGGAAATTCAAAATATCAAGCAATTCCTTGGCTTGAAGCACAAGGCTGTGTACACTGATACGAAGTCGCTGCGATACGGTCATCTGATGATCATGGCCGATCAGGATCACGATGGTAGTCATATCAAGGGTCTACTTATCAACTTCCTTCAAGTTCAGTTCCCGTCACTGCTTAAGATTCCGGACTTCTTCAGAGAATTTATCACGCCCGTCGTGAAGGTGTGGCAAGGTCCCAACCCGAAGAAGCCCCTTCGCCTCAAATCCTTCTTCAACATGCCACAATATGAGGAGTGGAAGGAATCGCATGCACATGAGATGAGCCGCTGGCAGACCAAGTACTTCAAGGGTCTGGGAACTAGTTCCAACGCTGACGCCCAGGTATACTTCACCAACTTGGATGAACATCTGAAAGAGTTTGACGTGATGCAAACCGACGAGGCCGACCTTTTCGAACTTGCATTTTCAAAGAAGAAGGCTGATGCCAGAAAAGAGTGGCTCGGAAACTTCATTCCGGGCACGTTCTTGGACCACACTTCAAAGTCGATTACATATTCGGACTTTGTAAACAAAGAACTCATTCTTTTCAGCATGGCTGATAACGTACGATCCATCCCGTCCGTTCTAGATGGTCTCAAGCCAGGTCAGCGCAAGGTTCTCTACGCCTGTTTTAAGCGCAATCTGCAAAAAGACCAGAAGGTTATTGAACTTGCTGGTTATGTCTCCGAGAAGACTGCTTACCATCACGGTGAAGCATCTCTGCAACAAACGATCATTGCGCTCGCTCAGACCTTTGTTGGATCTAACAATGTAAATGTTCTGGAACCCAGTGGTAACTTTGGTTCGCGATTGGCTGGTGGTTCTGATGCTGCCAGTCCTCGTTATATCCACACGCGCCTTTCACCCTTTGCTCGCAAAATCTTCTCCGCTCTGGATGAGCCCAACTTGAAACACCAGTACGATGATGGCAAGATGATCGAGCCTGAATCATTTGCACCTGTCATCCCCATGATTCTTGTTAATGGTGCCGACGGTATTGGAACAGGTTGGAGCACTTCCATCCCCAACTACAATCCTGTTGAAATTGTCGAGAATTTGAAGAAGCGCATGGGCCGTCTCCCTGGACATGAAGATGAAACGTCATTCGCTCCAATGCAACCATGGTTCCGTGGATGGAAGGGTGAAGTTGAGCCTGCTGAGACTGACCGCTTCAAGTTTAATGGTATCATTGATATTGAAGACAATAATGAGGTTGTCATTACGGAACTACCCATTCGAGTCTGGACCGATGACTTCAAAGCTCGACTGGAAGAAATCATTAGTGGTGCAAAGGGACCCAGCTTTGTCAAGGATTACAAGGAATTCAACGACCACAACACTGTCCATTTTGCTATCCAACTTGATGAGAAGCACATCAAAATGGGCGATGAAGAGACTCTGCGAGAAAAGTTCAAGCTCAACAAGCAGGTTGCGACGTCCAACTTGGTTGCCTTTGATTCCTACGGCCGCATCCGCAAATATGATAATGTGCAGGCGATCTTGGAAGAGTTCTATGACTACCGTTTGAACATGTACACTGAACGACGAAAGCACTGGCTTGGTGTTTACAACAAGGACTATCGAAAGTTGCGCAACCAAGCCCGCTTCATTCAAGAAATCATCGACGGCATCATTATTGTTGGAAGGAAAGCCAAGAAGGTTCTGATTGGAGAACTGCGCCAGCGCCACTTTGAGCCGTTCCCCAAAGCAGCCAACGGCCAAAAGACTGCTGACAAGGAAGATGAAAACGAGGATGAAGACGATGGTAGCGATGCGCATGACTACGATTACCTTTTGTCGATGCCTATCTGGTCGCTTACTCAAGAACGTCTAGACAAGCTTCATGAGTTGATTAAGAAGAAGAAGGCTGAGCACGACGCTCTCGAAGCTCTGAGTGAGAAGGACCTGTGGTGCACAGACCTTGATGAGTTCTTGCTGGAATGGGACGCCCAACTGCAACTGGATGCTGAAATCCAGACCAACATTCGCCGTATGGGTCGCCGTGTTTCGAAGAAGATAGGAGCTGGCCGTGGACGTAAGGTTGGTGGAGATGATGACTACATGCCTGAGAAGAAGTCCAAGGTCAAGAAGGAGAAGCCTGCTGCCAAGAGTAGACTCTTGGATATGGAGACCAAGAGAGCTATCAAGAAGGAAGAAGACAGTTTCTCTGATGACGACTTTGCTGCTCTCGGTAGAAAGAAGTCGACGCCTTTGGAGGCTGTGGAGCCGCCCAATGCTGCGAGAAAGCAACGTACTGCAGCAGCTAAGCCCAAGGCCTGGACCTTTTCGGATGAGGAGGATGATTCGGCTGCTAGCGACAGCGGAATTCCCGTCGTAAAGGGCATTAGCGAAGCCCCGAAAGCCAAGAAGCCAGCTGCTGCGCCAGCTCCTAAGCCAAAGCCCATTTCGGCCAAGATGTTTATCATTGAAAGCGATGATGAAATGGAGGATGGAGCAGCTAAGCCTGCCTTTAGCCCGACACTGCCTAATCGCTCGATCAAGAAGCCCGAAGCTAGCACTTTATTTGACGAGCCCTCCCCTCTTCTGGCGGAGAAGGTAAAGAAGCCAGTCAAGACTGCCGAGGCAAAGTCGAAGCCCAAGCCAAAGGCTGCATCACTGAAGCAGACGACACTATCACCCGCGGCCTTGGCGTACACTGCCAGACGAAACAAGGAAGCGGCTGACGACGACTTGGAATCGAGCGGATTCCGGGATCCCTCACCGTCGCCGGTCCAGCGTCGTGCGAAGCGCCCTGCAGCAAGCAAAGCCCGAACGATGGTGATTGATGACGATTCAGAGGAACAGGATGACGAGGAAGAAGAGGAAGAAGACGACGATCCTTTTGAAATGGACGACAGCGACTAGATGTTGCGGTAGTGAGGCGATGTTTTCTTCTTGTGATTTGCAATCTGATTTTACGGGTTAGTGATTTTTTTAGGCAATTCAATAGCAAATGAAAGCTGGAGTAATTTGATTTTCAAAGTTTTGCACAAATTGTAAATGTCATACGAAGCGAAAACAAAACCAGGTTGATTGCATATTCTAAATCTAATAGTATCGAATGCATGCAATGCCTGTCGTCGCAGGATCGGCTAAGCGCGCGGCGCCTGCAGCTATCCGGACAAAACCCAAACAAACACCAGAGTATGCGAGTTTTACATCTTTCTAGAAGACTGTATTTGTAGAAGAGTACATTGAAAATCGATCAGAGAGAGGGAGGAAAAAAGAGAACAAAGGCTGGGAGAAGAAGATGGGAGGGAGGCGGAAGTAGATTGATGAAAGGCGCTTATTTGTTGGAGTTGGCCTGGTGGACGGCGTCGGTGTCGAATGGGACAATGTTGCCAGAGCCGTCGCTCATGGAAGCCTCCTCAGCATCAACTCTAGATTCCTGGCGACGGTAGTGGTCGTCTAGTAAGTTCCAAGTTAGCTTGTGTGGTCTTGGTGTGGACGGCAGTTCTACGTACGAGTAGTAGGGTTGGCAATGGCGGCGGTGGCAAGGGCCAGGAGAGCAACAAAAGTGAACTGCATTTTGATAGATGTGATGAAAAAAAAAAGAAAGTAGTCAAACGATTCTGTTGTATAGAAGCAAAGTGAGAAGAATGAAAAAAGGAATGAATGGCGAGAACAGATGAGCAAGTTTCGACGGGATGCAGCGTATTTGTATACTGGCCGATCCCCCCCGGCCGAGACGCCAAACAGTCAGTCTCTTTTAAAACGCATAGTGGACGACGTGCATATGAAGAGCGTCCTGTCTCATCCTGCGTGTTTTCCCGGATTCCCGGCAGCGGTGCATGGAAACGGCGAGGCAATGTTTCCAAATAGGTGATTTTGGGATCGATGCTGACAACTAGGGTTTCGGCGACGAGACGAGATTCAGCAGGGGGCAAAGGGGCGAATGAGCAGGTCGGGATGGATTTCCTACAGGTGATTCCATTTGGTGCTGCAGTGTGTGCTTTAGCCTGTAATTTCGTGCGTGCCTGTAAAGTTTCAAGCTGTAACTGGTCTGGTGTGGCGCCTTTAACGGATGGCGTTTGAGGTGAGACCCTTGAAACGGGGCCTGCTTCAGCAAAGTCAAGTAAGTGAGTGGCTGGCAGCAGACAGCTGGCGGCGGGCGGCAGCTGGCGCACTTGGCAGAATGCAAAAGCATGAGAAAAAATTAATACAAAGTGCGATAGCGGGATGCTAAACAGAAGGGAAAATCGTACAAGTCACCATTGCCGTTTATAATTTTCTGCTGGCTTATTTACTATGTATAGTAACGTTCGTTCCGATACGATCGGAGACTAACCCGCGTGCCCACCCCCATGCAAACCCCGCTGTCTGCTCTCGTGCTAGTGGGGCAGCAGTGACAACGACCCTCAAACGCCTCATGTCCTCCTCCTCTCGCCGCCCTGCTCCCAAACACAGGCCGGGACAAGTTCATCCGCAAACGAAAACACTTCTTCTACACCTCCTACAGCTTGTCACTCCGTTCCTGCTGGGCCTTGGCACCACGCAGCTCGACGGATCCGCAAAACACGCACCAAGTTAGCTAGCCAACCACCCAGCTTAGCTCCCTCGCCCGCCTGCGGTCCCCAATCCTAACCCTTCTCCTTCGTTTCAGAGCCTACTTGCCTGCTTACTAGCTCTCTTTTCACTATGGCGACAAAAGCCCACTGCCTCCTGTGCTTCGAGACGCTCGACGCCGAGCTCAACAAGCGCGAGGCCCGGTCCCTCGACCAAATCACCGCATCCTGGGCGCTCTACAGCGCCGCCCGCGCGGACAGACTGGCGAGCCGAGGCCCCGCATACCAGCGACTCGTGTCCGGCGATGCCTCGTCGGGATCGTCGTCGTCAACGTCCCTGGCGCCCTCTACGGCCACTACGTCCGTCAACTCTACGACGCCGGTGGCGCCCTCGAGCGCGGCGCTGTTTGTAACGTGGAACACGGTGGAGGATCTGGAGGCAGCGGTCAACGAGAACGGCGAGGACGATGCGGAGAACCTGGTCCTCCGTGGTTGCATCGGGACGTTTGAGCCGATGGACCTGGACGACGGGCTGTCCGAGTATGCAGTGATTTCGGCGTTTCACGACACGCGCTTCCGCCCGATCCGGCAGAAGGAGCTGGCGACGCTGCAGAACGCCGTGACGCTGCTGACGGATTTTGAGCCCGTTGAGGATCCGATGGATTGGGAAGTGGGCAAGCACGGCGTGCGACTGGCGTTTACGGATCGCGGCCGCCGCTACGGGTCCACGTATCTGCCCGACGTGGCGGCCGAGCAGGGGTGGACCAAGGACGAGACGCTGCTGAGCTTGATGCGCAAGGCGGGGTGGTCTGGTAATAAGGCGGCGTGGAAGGACGTGCCGCTCAAGGTGACGCGGTATCAGGGCAAGAAGATGAGTATGCGGTATGAGGAATTCAAGAAGTGGCAGGACTGGGAGGACCACCGAGGTGATGAATAAAGAACTTCTCGGTGGGTAGCGCCGGATACATGAGCCTGTTCTTTTTCGTTTTTGGTTGGTTGCTCTTTTCGATTTTCCATTTGTCAGCTGAGTGTGACATTTCATGATTTGTTTATGGGAATTGGTGTTTTGCTCCTTTCGATACACCGCATGTGTTTACATATAGATGTAGACTTCTGCTATACTAATAATACATACACCTCTTTTTCTCTTTGAACCTTTTTAAACGAACCAACTCCATAAACCATGCATACATGAATAAAAAAGGATGTTACGTTAATCTGATATATTTGTAGATTCAACGAAAAGAGGCTGTCGAAGCTAAACATACATATAAAGAACGAGCTTGCGTTGGCTCGGAAAAGACTGTGATCCCTAACACCCCATTTTATACTCCAAAAAAGCTAGAACAAAGATAACAAAATACCTGGTATCGTACCCAAAAGACTAAAAAAAACAGACCTAGAAAGAGTATCGTGTGCTTCTGACATAAAATAGAAGAAAAAGTGAATGAAGTAAGCTCGTGAGGGAAACCAAGAACAAAACACCATGTAAACCCAAACCATGCCCTATTGACGCCGTCCGTGCAGTGTACACCTTGGGAGGTGTATGCCATGCTGGCTCACCAGCAGCGCAACTTTCTCCAGAAGCTTCCTTGACCTCGGCCGAACCTTTCGCTGTTGGAAAATGTCGGGCCTCTGAGTCTTGGCGAGCGGCGCTTCTCGTCGTAAAACTCGTCGTCGGGCAGCGGTGTAAGCGGCTTTGTTGCGCCGCGAGAGTTGAGCTCTGTGGAATCATGGACACCCATCTCAGCGAGTTGGCGGCGCTCCATGACTCGGCGGACAATAAGGGCAAAGGTTTCTTCAATGTTGACTTCGAGACGGGCACTCGTCTCCATGAAACCGCAGCCGCGCTTGCGGGCCCAGTCGAGGCCGACGGCGGCGGGGACCTCTCTGCTCGACTGCAGATCGCACTTGTTGCCTGCAATGATCTTGACAGGGGTGACGGTTTTGGAGGAGTTGGCAAAGAGATCGGCATTGGGGTCGTTGGGCTTGACGCCAGCGCGGCGGGCGCGCTCTGCATTGTCGAGGCGCATCTCGGACTCCATGTCGATGAGATCGTTAAAGTACTGCAGGGACTCGAGGCTTTCACGGGATGTGATATCGTAGACCATGAGGAAGGCGTCGGCGCCGAGATTGGACGATGTCCACATGCCGCGGTATTCTTCCTGGCCGGCCGTGTCAGTGAGGGAGAGGTGGTAAACGGTGCCGTCAATGTTGCGGGTGACGGAGTAGTTGTCCTCGATGGTGGGGTCGTACTCGGATGTCCATTGGGACCGGACCAGACGGAGGGTTATCGACGACTTGCCGCAGCCTCCGTCGCCGCAGATGGTGATGGTGATGGGCACGGGTGGTTTGGCGGGCATATGCTGGGTGGACGCCGTGGGAGAGAGGGGCTGTCGTATGTGGTACTGCTGGGAGGCCATTATTCTGTTGATGGAAGCTCTAAGAAGCTTGGACTAGATAGTCGGGGTTATTTTATTTTGGCGCGGCGTGTATTGCTGCTATGAATGATAGAGTGTGTCGGTAGTATAAACTGGTTGTAGTGGAGGGCGACAGGAGGGGCAGCGCCGTGTAGTTTTGTATGTTGTGTAGTTTCTTTTTTGCACAGGACCTGTAACACGAGCCAAATGTTTGGACGATGGGCGCAAACTGTGGTGTATTTTTCCTTTTGGAGCGCTGTTTTACCTGCGTCGTGGGCGTGCTCAGATGTGGCAAGGCAAGGGATGGAAAAAGAAAGCAGTGAGTCTAGCTTTTGTGATGAGAAGAAAGAGGACAAAGAAAAGAAGGAGGAGGAGGAGGCCCGAGGGAGCCGAGAGTAAAAGAGAAGAGTAGAGGAATTGGGTACAAGTAGATAATAAAAAAGAGGAAGAAGAGACCGGACGGTGTAGTGGGATGGACCGGGGCCGAGAACAGAGAGCGGATGATACGAGCTTAATGAATCTGATGATGGCTTGCAGAGCGCGCTGCGGCCTCTTTCCTCTTTGCGTCGGTTGCTGGATCGGCAGCCCCTGTTTTTTTTAACACTTGCGCCTTTAGAGGGGTCTTGTTTTTTTTTTCTTAGGGGGGTCCCGCACTTGGCTAGCGAGGAAACTTGTGGGGGTGCTTGCTGCCACTGTTGCTTGTGCTGGTTCTGGTGCTGCTGCTGCGGCTGCCGGGAGACATGGACGGCGGTGCAAACAATTGGACGGACGGGCCGGGCTGTGTTGTTTGTTGCCATTGAGTTGATGCACTGTGTGATTTATAAGAGGCTTGGCCTTTATTTTATTTTATTTTTTAATTCACAGTCTCTGCTGTGCCTCTATCCATTTTCTATTACTGTACTTACTGTACATACACACACACAACGAACGCGTCTTGTCCCTAGTCGTATACGCCGACACGACCATCGCACCACCACCACCACCACCACTTGCCGGGGGACGCAGGCAGGCTGCAGAACCACCGCCCACCGCCCACCCATCAGGCGTCTTCCGCGTCGGTCCAGGGGGCACGCATCCGCCCAGGCACAGCGGCCCCTCCCCCCTCGCCGTCGTCTCTTTGGCGCTCTTTTTTTAGTGGGCTGCGCGAAAGCTCCCCGGGTGCCCCTCTGTGGGGACCTGTGTGCCTGAACGGAATTTCCAGCAGCTTGGGAATTGCAGCTCCACCACAGTCACCACCACCAACACAACCAACACGCCGATTGCCACCACTTCCCCCCCCCTCTCTCTCTCGTTTTTCACTTGATGCAGACACCCTGCAGAAGAAGCCTGCATCACATCCCCATCCAAAGTAGCAGCCGTTGGACGATGCTTCTCCCCTTGCTCCCCTGCTGGCGGGGATCACGTTATGAATTGCACTCTTGTCGTTAATCCTATATGATGGTCTGATCTCTAATTGTCCATCCACCGTAACGGCTCATCTATCCCCCCTGTGTTTGCTCGATATCGTCGCCACATCCGCGCAGTCCTGCCTGCATACGCACACCAACCGCCACTGTCCCGCTCAAAGACAGACTTGCCGTTCACCAACAGCCGTTTTTTTTATCTCCTTTGTGCTCGCTAATGCGCTGTGACGCCCGTTGCACTGTTTGCTGCCTGCAACAAACAACGCCACCAACTAGCGGCCCGCTTCCTCGGTCCTCCGCCGACCCTACTAATAGACCCTGGCCTTTTTTCAACACCGACGACTTGACCAGGGGCATCGCCACGGTGCTAACGATTTCGCCCGGTTCACCTATCCCTGCTCAACTTTCCCGCTGACTACCACAGCCTAGACGAGAACAAACTAGACTCGCGGTCCGGAACAACAACTTTGCCCATTTGACCCGGCGCGCCCCGTGCTTTTGACCTAGGCATCGATGAGCCCATTCTGTAGCGCCTCACGCTACCAGGGGGCATCTCGATGGCTTCTAACAAAAGCGTAGCGACTATTGCCCTCACTATTTGCTAATAACACCATCTGAAGCCCTAGACAGACAGGCAGGTCAGATGACCAGCAGAGCAAGCAGGTCAAGAGGCAAACAGCAAGGGCTCTATCCAGATGCTCGGGATCCGCCAGTAAAAAAATAAATAAAGAGACATGCTATATCTCACGCTATTTGATTCTCATTCAACTGCCGACAGGGATATTGCAAGTCGGAATGTCACTGGAAGGAGGGAATTTCCCGAAACCAAACCGCACCTGCATCCCATCACACTGCGGCTTGTCTGCGTCGTGGCCAAACAAGCCTGTCCGTCGACGATCAACCGATTGGACCGGAAGACATCGATGCGAGCCGCTTCAAAGCTCAGCTCCTGTCAGCTCAGTGGCAGCAATCACCACGTCAAGCCCACGGCCAAAGTCCGGCTACCGCATGCCCATTTGGCCGGACCACTCGCATCTCGTTATTTTTGAATGCTTCGAAATGGCCCTTCCTGTGATTGAAATTCGGTTATCGAACTCGGCGCCACCATTAAAGGTAGTACAGCAGATAAGGGTAGTGGCATCATTGCGCGAGGTGAAGGAGCTTGGTCCTCTTGCTGGTGGGCGCACCGTCGCGCCCGCGCCAGGATGAAAGCGGCAATGGTCCCCCCGACCAAACCACCACAAGCACCACCACGACCATCCTATCACTCCCAAAAACACCCGCTCGGTGGAGGAGGTCGGTCCCGCCGGGACGGCATGGCAGGCAGCAGCAAAACTAGCGATGCGGAAGCCAGCCCGAGCCGTTGGTGAAGAATTTCCTCGGAGCTCCAGTACACCACATGGGCACCAGAGACGAGGAGGACGATGTAACCCATCCTCTGTCTGCATGTAATCAACGGGCCGCACTTAGCGGTGCAAGAAGTGCCAACGAACTTTTGCTCTTCTTTTTGTGGCCAATGACTGTTCTGAGCAGAGTAGCGATTGCAACCAGGTAAAAGCTGTTGGGACGAGTGATCTTCCTTGAAAAGGAGTGCATCAAAGAAGATCCGCGATACGCGATATGAATATTGCGTAGGCCCTGAAGATCATGTAATGCGTATGTGTACTCTGTGACAGGGTACATCTCTCTTACACTAAGGAACGAATGAAAGCGATTTAGGTTCTTGTCTAAATGTGCAAGGTATATCTGGTGGGCGAATGATGGTGTACGAAACGTCCTGGATGTATGACAATACACTGCAGCAAAGCGCACATCAAAGAGTTTCTTTACTTCACGCCTCAAATACCGGCAAGACACGGAGACGAATATGAGGATATGCGACTTGCATAGGTCCGACATTGCGCACACATGCACGACAGCTGGCACTCGTTAGCATATGCCCTCTGCATAGCATCTGCGCAGTTGGACACTGCAAAATGCAATGCACATATACACTACGACGCCTCTAAACGCACTATATATTTACACTAACTGTTGACGCTACGCCAGCACTCGCCGCCCGCACTACACAATGCAGTATGGCGTCATATGTCGCCATGGTGGGGCGCAGAGCCGCAAAGACAGTGTTACAGGGCTACGTTAGCGTTACAAGCAATGGCATGGTGAGTCGGCAACATATTTCCGGGTGCAGCAAAAGGATCAGGAAAACAGTAAACAATGCAGGAGTTACCGGATATATTGGCTGTAGACGAGATGGATTAAAAGAATCACTTGACCGGTTCATGCAGCAAACGCGGCTCGTCGAGGTTGCAAATCCCTCACACGAGCAGCGGCTTGACTAATACCAAAAAAAAAAGCTTTCAGCCTTCGGCATCCTTCACGGGCAATTAATATGGAGTTACCCTGCTAAGTAGGGGAAAAATTGTAGCCGAGAATATCGCGCTGTCAGATGAATTTAGCGTCTATTTTACCGGCTACCCCCAGAGCCGGTTTCCCTCCTCGAACATCGACAGAGACAACGCTTCTACAAACAACAATCCATTATCCAAGTACACAGCAATACGGGCGAACGAATTGCAGCCATGACTGTAAATGGAACCAATGGGCACTACAAAAACGGTCATACCGAGAACCCCACTCTGCTAAGTCGCGCAGACGAGCTCGAAGAGGTATGACGGCCTCGTACCCAAGGCAATAATGTCGGAGGACTAACCGGTCTTGTAGCTGCTCACGCAAGTAAAAGATCTTATCATTCCGTTCGTCAAGGCAGCGGATGATTCGGCCGTAGAAAAAGCAACCGGGAATATTCCACAGCAGCCCGATGGCACACTTGGCAACAATGTGCTTGTCGATTACCAGAAGCCCGCAGCCGTTGCTGCCAAGCTGAAATTGTCGCTCCCAGAACAAGGTGTTGGCGCCGACGGTCTGATGGAGGTCATTAATAGAGTGCTTCAGTGCAGTGTCAATACCTGGGACCAAGGCTTCCTCGACAAGCTTTATGCGAGCAACACACCTGTGAGCACTACTCTCCACTGCCATAGGCTTTGCACTACTGACCCGCCTCTAGGTTGGCGTGATATCCGATATTATCCTCTCTGTTCTTAACACAAATGTGCGACCCCGATGTCCCCCCTCTCTACAAATCCAGCTGATAAGAAGATAGCTCCACGTTTTCCAGGTATCGCCAGCCCTCTCCGTCATTGAAAAGACCACGGCTCGCGCCTTTGCAAAGTATTATGGCTTTGACAGCCCGTTTGCTGGAGGAATTACCTGCCAAGGCGGTAGTTCGTCCAATCTCACATCTCTCGTCGTTGCACGCAATACTCTCTACCCCGACTGCAAGACGACTGGCAACGGCGCACACGACTTTGCCATCTTCACCAGTGCCCATGGACATTACTCAGTAGAAAAGAGCGCCATGATTTGTGGGCTAGGTAGCTCTGCCGTAGTACCCGTTCCTGTTGATGGGGACGGGTGCATGCGTATTGACGCTCTAGAACGTTTGATTGCTGAGGTCAAGGACCAGGGTAAGACGCCGCTATACGTCAACGCCACCGCTGGCACCACTGTACGTGGATCATTCGAGGCATTTGAAGAAATCTCGGCCATTTGCAAGGCGAATAACATGTGGATGCATATCGATGGCAGCTGGGGAGGACCGGCCATCTTTTCGAAGCAGCATCGCCACAAGCTTCGCGGCTCGCACCTTGCAGACTCTCTCACGGTGAACCCGCATAAGATGATGGCTGTTCCCACGACCTGCTCGTTCCTCCTATGCCCCGACACACGTAAGCTCCGCGCTGCTAACAGCACTTCTGCTGGATACCTATTTCATGGAGCCGACGATGGTGATGTCTGGGACCTTGCCGACTTGACTCTACAGTGTGGACGTCGCGGCGACAGCTTCAAACTAGCTCTGGCCTGGCTCTATTATGGCAGCAACGGCTTTGAAAGGCAAATTGATCATGCATTTGATATGGCTTCGCGCCTCTTTGGACTTGTGGAGCAGACGGGGCAGTTTGTAATGCTGGGCACTAACCCGCCGCCGTGCTTACAGGTCTGCTTTTACCATGCACCCGGAGGAGTGGTTTCCGACGACAAAGCTGTCAATACTATCCGCACGCAAAAGATTGTGGAGAAGCTAATTGGCAGAGGATTCATGGTGGATTATGCTCCTGGAGACAAGGGAAGCTTTATTCGCGTTGTTGTAAACGTCCAGACGCTTGAGGGGACAGTTGACGGCTTGGCCAAGGCGCTGGATGAGCTTGCCAGGGAAGTTGACTAAGATACACACCTACTCGATTCAATATTTTGGGCATGGGTTGGTTAGCATGTTCTGCATATACTAGAGCTATTATTCTTAGACGATAAATGAATATAAGCAAAGTTGCCATTGGGTTTAGAAGAGATAAGAGGCAATTGTATACATGTTGATTTCTCTATCGTTTTGCTAAGGGTACATCATCTATGGTCTAATTAAAAAGAGTAGTTTTTATCCTTATACTCTATAGTACTACCCTGTCTATCGTAACCTCAGCGAAGCTTTTTTGGTGTATTAAAAAAAAGAAAACAAAGCGGAAATCAATCACACGCTGAAACCACCAATAAAAACAAAGAGCCGCATCTATCAGAGAAGAAGCAAGTTGCTTATTTGGCAATCTCAACACCGTTGGTGGCACCAAGAGCCTTCTTGATGTCACCGTAGATGGCGAACTGACCGGCAGTCAAGCCACCAACCATGAAGAGACGGGTAGGGAGACCAGCAAAAGAGCCGCGGAGGCCGAGCTCACCAGCAATCTTGACGAGGCGAGAGATGGTGCCCTCTCCAGGGAGACCCTTGGTCTTGTTGATCTTGGAGAGCATGGTGTCAGCGGGCTGGGAGACAATGGCGGCGGCGAAACCAGCAAGGAGACCAGAGCCGAGGTTGATGGAGGTCTGCATGCCAGGGGTCAAGGTGGACTTGTCGAACTGGGCGAGGATGGTCTCGGAGAACTTCTCAAAGGCGACAAACTTGGTGATGGTGTAGGGGATCTGCTTGAAGAGGATGGGGCCGAAGCCGGAGTAGAAGGCGCCGATGCCCTCGGTGCGGAGAATCTTGGAGAAGCCGCCGACAAGGCCGTTGGCGAAGCCGGGGGTAGAGACGAGACGGATACGGGTGGCCTCGAGAGGGCAGAGGGCAATGGAGGCGAAGAACTCGGCGGCACCGGCGGAGAAGGAGTAGACGGCGCCGCGGTTCGCGCGGGCGGTCTCGAGGCCGAGGTAGTCAATGGACTGCTTCTTGAAGAATTCGTAGCCGCCGAACTTGAAGGCGCCCTGGATGAAGTAGCCGGTGAAGGTAGGACCAAAGCCGGTGAGGAGGGTGCCGGCGCCTTCGTTCTTGATGACCTGGCGGAACGAGCTGATCATGCCCTTGTTGTAGGTGGCCGGGTCGAGCTGGATCTTGGTCTTGACGCTGTAACGAAATTTGTGTTAGTTAAGCTAGCTAGGATTGATGCGCTCGCGTCATTGCGATTGCGACAGAAAGAAAGAAGGAGAGAGAAACAACGTACACATCGACGGGAGTGAAAGCACCGTGGGTGATGGAGCAGCCGAGAGCACCGGCGAGGGCGAAACGGGCGTACAGGTTAATGCCCTCGGGCTTCTTATCGGCGACAACGGCGGCCATTGTGAATTGAGGGGAGAGGGGAAAGAGAAGAGAAAAAAGAAGAGGTGGTTTTGGTGGTGATGGTGAAGACGGGGAGAAAGGGGACAAGTATGGCGGAGGGATTAAAAAAAAAAGAGAGAATTGCGTGCCTTGTCTGGCCTGGCACTCACTGCACTGGGCGCTGTAACGGAGTCGGCTGGGGGACAGAAGACACGCTGAAGCAGGCTAGCCAGCCACTGAGCGCGAGGCTGTTTGGGGGGCTTACCCGCCCACTGAGCCGGGATTTGCCGGAGATTATATTGTGGTGGCAGCCAGTGGTGCGAATTGATGATTAAAATAGAACATTTTATATAAAATAGATGAATTAGTGATGTTTTCAATTTTTGAAATTATTTTTATATTTTATTTGCGTTGTTTATGGCATGTTATATGGGCGTATATTTGGCACGGAGGTGATGTGCGCGGTATTATGCCAGCCCAGGGGTAGAAAAACGTGCTATAATTAGCGGCGGCGGTTCGTCCAACTAAGGGAGCGGGCCGAACAGCGTGGTGTTGGTGGTGGTGGTGGCTGGAGCTATTGCAGGTGTGGCTGACGGACAAGCGGAAGTGAGGCTAGTGCTGTGTGTGTTGCGGATAAACCAATGCGCAGTGCAAGATGCTAGGAAAGGATATTAAAATATTTTGAAAATATATAGCTTCTGTCTGATATATATAAAGAGCTGATGGTATCCATAAATGGTACAAAATACGCTTCTAGTGCGCAAATACAGCCACCTACGGCAGACACTCGGCCAACACCCATCCGCCACAATATATTTGTATAGATACTGGTCTTTTTATCATGCCCATCACTAATCTAAACACTCTTCCCCGTAATCTACTTCTCGCATCATGCGCTGCAAGCCCCAAATCACCCGCCCTCCACGCTAACAAGCCACTGCAAATCTCGGCCTTCCCCTCAAGAACGCCCATCAACCCGCCGATCTCTCGTCCCTTGCGCCCAGCACCGCAAATCTTTCCACGCCCATTTTTGGAAAACCATTTCCCTCCCAAGTAGCGTCGCAGTTCCATCTGGTTTGCCGCGGCTTGGCGCCTACTGGATCGACAATGCGGGGAAAAACGCTCCCGCAGCCTGATATGCATCCTCCTCACTAGCCTCGCCACATCAATACCTGAGCTGCAGCAGCACCCAGCCGACTTTCGAATCCCCATTTCTGTTGGTCCTTGCACTTCTCCCCATTCATCCTCAAATCGTAGTCAATCTCTCGCAAATATACTAGGATTTCTACCAATTTTCTTCGCTATTCCTAGCATACTGCACTAGACTGCCTTACATACACCATCAACACTTACACGGATCGGTCCATGCGCTATGCAGACACAACACTTCCACGTCATTGAACACGTTTTACCAGCGACCTTGGTTCGAGAGCGGCGCCGCGTTACAAAGAACAAGACGGATATTCTCCAGCTTGCTGTCAAGCAGTACAAGTGCATTGCTAAGCATCCTGAGTGTCGGCGCATCACCGTCATAGGTGCCCACGCCAACGGGTTTCCCAAGGTACACCACAATCCTCAAATCATTGGTTGAATTGTACCATCTAATCTCTTCCAATTAGGAATTGTATGAACCGATCTGGGACGATTTACAGACACTACTCCTCGCTCAAAATATCGCCATTGACAGCGTCTTCGTCGCCGATGTTACTGGTCAAGCCGCCTCTGGAATTCTCAACAAGCACAAGCTCGCCAACGACTGTAAGAAATTCCACATAAATTCTTTGTCTCTCCTATACTCCCTCTAACGTTATCTAGCCACATGGATGGATCACCCGCGCGACCTCTTCCTCATGATTAACCACTTTCGTGACCAAATGACCGAACACCTCGTCGGCATCGGCCACAGCATGGGCGCCAACAACCTCGTCAACCTGTCCATGATACACCCGCGCCTCTTTACGACCGTAATTCTCATAGAGTCCGCCATGCTCAACTTCTTCGATCCTACAGTCCATATGATTGCGCGGAACTCGCTCGCCAGGCGGGAGAAGTGGCCCAGCAGGGAAGCCGCGCTCGCATCTCACCAAAAATCGCCCTTTTACCGCATCTGGGACCCCAGAGTCCTGGATAGATGGATCCAATATGGTTTTGTGGAGGATCCCAAAGATACGTGTTCTTCAACACCCTCAGTGACTCTCGCCACACCGAGGGAGCGAGAAGTGGTATACTTTGTGCGCCCGGAGCTAGAGCGAATCGACACCGCCCGGCTTGCGGATGCCAACGGCCTGCCATGGGATCCTCTATTGCTTCTTACGAGTGACGAGCTGGTTGATACGCAGAATCGGCTGCCTAGACTGCTACCCGGTGCCCTCTTTATTCATGGCGGAGGCTTGACGACGCGACACATTGCGGATGCGCGCATGATATCGGTAGGAAGGCATCCTGAGGGCTCAGGCGGCGTTGAAAATGGACGAGCAAAGGAAGTTTGCATGCTAGATGCAGACCACTTTTTGCCATTTACCCATGTCAAAGAAGTAGCAGAGGCTGTAGCACCTTGGATTGTGCGAGAGCTCAAGTGGGCAGATGCCGAAGAGGCCCGGGAGCTCAAGCTCATGAAAGACACGGGTCCCGATGGCCAGGATGTGTTTACAGATGAGATTCGCCATTTGATTCTGAAGAGCAAGTTTCCCAAGGCCAAGGAGCGTACGAGCCGTCTCTAGCTGCTACTATTACCAGCAGTTACAGTTATTTGTGTATAGGTTTCGTTTTGTAAATTTTAAAATACAAATACAAATATCCTTCATTGCTATGAGAAATTGAATACATATTTAATATGAAAAGTAAATTTGAGTAGCCCAAATGTTAGAGGGAGAACTACCCATCGCATATAAGTCTGGAGCTAACCCCCGCAGCCGCCCTAGCTAAAGGTTAAAATAAAATAATAATAGCAAGTGTTGTTAATAGTAATTCATATTGGAAATAAAAACTATGCAAAATATAATTTACATCATTTAGTAAGTGTAACATCCACTCGCAACCATGACAATGTGCTTTTTCAGCCTTGTCTTCTAGACATTATACCTCAGGTATTCTTCAAGGGTGCTTTTCCCCTTCACATCAATCTCTTCTCTCCCCCAGATTCTCCTTGCGCACATGTTTCCGTGGCGAAATATACACCGTCTTCTTTGGCTTCTACCGTCACGGGTGCCGCATTCTCGGCATGCCTTTGTTACGGCCTCTGTGATGAAATTCCCGACAGAGGCAACCAACACAACACCGATCCAACAGCCACGCAAGTTTCCATCCACGGGCTTCCAAATGATAGGCCCGGCTCAGAAGCTAGAAGAGGAGAGACTGCCATTTTATATCCGAGACGAATTTTATCCTATGCGGATCGGAGAGGTAGTACATAATCACTACCAGGTTGTTGTAAAGCTCGGTTACGGTACGAGCGCAACAGTATGGCTTTCTCGCGATCTTCGGTGTGTTCGTCCATATAGCACAAGTCTATAAAGACCTGAACATACAACTAACATGGCTGTAGAGATGGCAAATACTGGGTGCTTAAAGTGTACATAAACACCTTGAAACACAATCAAGAACTTTGCGTATATAATCATCTAGCAAGAACACCATCCAATTCACCAGATGAACTCGGATTCAATAATATTCGCCGAAGCAACGAATAATTCCAGATAAAAGGTCCAGACAGAGAACACAATGTGCTTGTTATGGCGCCTTTAGGAATGAGTTTAAAAACGTTTCAGGAAATGCAAAACGACGGCGTCTTCCCTCGAGAGCTCGTCGCTGGCTCCTTGGATCAGGTTCTTCTAGGCCTAAATCTTCTTCATGAGGCTAGCGTTATACATACTGGTACGGTCAGATATATTTGCTCTTCTCTCTATGTGCCCGATTAACTTGCGAATAGACCTCCATGCAGACAACCTTTTAATTTCGCTCGTTGATGACTCGATTCTCGCAAAAGTAGAGCAAAACGAGATTGATACGCCCTCGCCACGGAAGCAAATCGACGATCGAATACTCTATGTTTCTCAGTATATGTTAGGAGGCAGCGGCGCCTTGGTCATTTCTGACTTTGGGCAAGCCCACATTGGAACAGAACATCGTGGAAACGCCATGCCATTACCATATCGTGCCCCAGAAGTGATTCTGGGTATGCCATGAGGGCCTGCTGTTGATACATGGAGCGCCGGATTAATGGTATGGTGACCTTTACTCTTCTTGAGCGATGCAATGCTTTTGCTAATATGATCTTGTCTGTATTTCTAGGCATGGGACCTCCTCGAAAAGGAACCTCTTTTCGAAACATATGAGAACGAGTCCCAAGAGTACAATGATGCCCGCCAACTTGCAGCAATGACAGTTCTCATGGGTCCGCCACCTCGCGAATTCCTAGAGAAGAGCCCAGCAACAAGAAAATACTGGGATGAAAACTGTAAGAAATCTTGATTTACCAGACTATATCTACAAACCGTAATCGGCCTGGCTCTAACCACAATTCATCGCATAGGACAGTCGACCGGGCTGGCCAGTCTTCCCTCCGAACGAACGTTCGAGTCTCTAGCCACCACTTGAGACGGCGAAGATAAGGAGCTGTTTCTCAACTTTATTCAGTGTTTGGTACGGTGGACTCCTGAAGAAAGACTAAAACCACTACAAGCCTACATGCATCCGTTCCTACGAGGGGGCGAGCTGCCCGATGATTTCGATTGAAACTTGTGGTAAACTCAAGCTGATTAAACGGAAAATCGTGAAAACTTTTTAAAGAAGAACTGCCTTGTACTCTGTACAAGTTTGTTATAATTCACTAAATAAGTGGCTGCCAACAATGAAAGATACTACCAAAAATAGAAAACGCCAAACGCTGTGCTAATGATGTCAACAAAAGAGAATAAAAGAGAAAAAACGCACACTCCAGGTGTAGCTGTCCCAAAAAAGAATAAAATACGCCCTCTCCAAAAACGCCATTTTCCGTTCCCCAAAAAATCATAACCAAAAGAGTGTTGATGCAATGACAATAAGTCGAGAACGAGTGTTGATGTAATGACGCCAAGTCAAGAAACGAGTGTAAAGGCAGTTAGTTAAGCTTCCACGGCTTTACTGCAAGATAGCCATGCCCTGGATAGTGTTGACACCACCAAAGATGCCCAAGTCGACCTTTTGAACAATCTTGGCACCCTTAGCACCGCCCTTGACATCCACAACAATGACCTGGCTAGGAATCTTGCCATCACCAGGAGCAAGGGCGTACAGGAAACCACCGGCAGCCTTGAGATCAATCAGACCAGTGGCGTTGGTGCTCGTGACGTCAATCTCGCCGAGGACCTTGCCGTCTGTGACGCTCATCTCGACAATACGGGCAGCAGCAACATCTGTGACAAAGGCGGTTCTGGTGACGCCCGAGATGGTGACCCAGCAGGTAGCCTTTTGCTTGTCAATCTTGGTGCTGTGCTTGAGCGTGGCGCGGCCTTCGCCGTTGGTGCCGAGGATGACGGCGCCAAAGGATGCGTCGGTGGCAAAGATGTCGCCTGTTCCGGGGATCGGGGCGGCGCCAAAGAGAACAGCGGTGCCGTTAATGACGCTCTTGATTTCGGTGGTGGAGAGCTTCTTGGCGAGGTTGAGCTTTTTGCCCTTGTTTTTGTTGCCGTCCTTTTTCTTCTTGTCTTCTTCCTCCTTTTTCTTCTTGTCTTCTTCCTCCTTCTTCTTCTTATCGTCCTCTTCCTTCTTCTTCTTATCGTCCTCTTCCTTCTTCTTCTTGTCTTGCTCTTCTTTGTTCTTCTTATCCTGTTCCTCCTTGTTCTTCTTATCTTGCTCTTCCTTGTTCTTCTTGTCTTGCTCTTCCTTGTTCTTCTTATCTTGTTCGTCCTTGTTCTTCTCGGCCTCTTCCTTGGCTTTCTTGTCAGCTTCCTCCTTGGCCTTGTCTGCGTCCGCATCCTTGGCCTTGGAAGCATCAGGGTAAGCACCAGAGTAAGCACCAGGGTACATGGAGTTTCTCTTGACATCGCGGTTCTGGATCTCAAAAGCATCGAGGAAGCCGAGGTTCTTCTTCTCAGGATCACCCTTGACAGTAGCAAAGAGGTGCTTTCCACTGAAAAAGAGCTGGGAAACGGTATTGGTAGGACCAACAGGCGGGTTAGTCTGGTTGAGATCAAACTTGCGGAGGTTGTCCATGCGTCCGACACCCTTTCGGCCAAAGTTGGCGCACGAAATACCAGCCTTGGCGCCAGTCATGCCAACACAGACGATTTGGCCGGCGCTGGTGGCAGCAATGGTGTTGGGGAAGTCTCCAGGAACGGAGACGGGACGTCCAACCTGTGTAAGACGGCCAACATCGTTGGGGTCAATGTTGAACATGGAGACTGTGTTGGAGCCAGCATTGACAGCAAAGAGATTCTATATCCGGTTAGTAGCTATAAAACGACGCGGAGCGTATTAACGAGATAAACTTACGTTGCCAGCAATAGTCAGAGCAGATTGACTAAACAGACCATCCTTGGCCGCAGGCTTCTTGGTGCTTCCATCGGTGCCAGTACCGCCCTTTTGACCACTAGGAGTAGAGGAACCGCCAGACAGGGTACCGTCGGGGAGAATGCGCAGGGCCACGACCGAGTTGCGCTCGCCGTTTGTAATAAGATAGATGGCCTTGCCGACCTTGAGGGTAGCGTTCTTGGCGAGAGCATTATTGTCGACCTTGACGACCTTGGGGGGTGCAGCAGGTGCAGGTGCACCACTTGGGGCACAACCATTCGCAGAGACAGTGACGGTGACTGTGGCTGGAGCTGGAGGCTGCATGTTGGGCATGTTGGGCATGGCGCTGACAAGGCCAGAAGCAGCCAAGAGGCCCAGGCAGAGAGTGGCTGATGCCGAAGGAGAAGGCATTGTGATGTGATGAGTGTTGGCTGTGTGTTTGCCTTTGTATGTGGTCGGTGTAAGTTGAAAAAAAAAGAGTGTGTGTTTGAACGAGAGATTAAGGTTATCAAGAAGAGAGTGTGTGTTTGTGTGAAGGTGGATGAGATGGTTTATTCTGTGATTCAAACAGGATTTCCACTTGTCTTTATACAAGCTTCAACTGTATCTCTCTGTTCAATCAACCTTAAAAACAGCCTCGTTGATTCCTCATACATTCTGCTACTCGTCGGAGCGGCTTGGAATCATATTCAAGACGAGGAGGCATCGCCCCTATGCCCTCCGTGGCCGTAAAACGCCCACGACATAAACATGGGATGGAATCAATTCTTTCGGTTCAGGCCTAGCATGGCTCAAAAGCCGTTTCACTGTAACAGGAGACTGGAGACGGGAACCGAAATTAAGCTCATCCAGGCTGGCTCGAGTAAGAAGAGCGTTTTCGCAGCCTGTTTGGAATCATTTGCAAAACCGCAGACCATCCGTGCGCCTCAAAGGACAGTAGAGTTAACCGCAATACCAGCGGGGCATCTGGAACTGTCCTTTGTTCAAGATGGGACTGTAGCGGGCGCTGTGTGTCTGAAGGAGGCGCTATATGAAACGCCCGCGGTCAGGCTGCGACAGTCATGAGGGACAAGTTGGTGGATATCCGCAGTCTGCGTAGCGGATGGGTTTCCAAAGATGCATCATTTAATCATAGACAATTGACATGATAATATTATGTTGTGCTGTAGCCTATGCCATCTTTTTGCCCGACCAGGAGAGTATCGTGGAGTTGGCGGGTTTGGTGGTGTGGAACAACCGTGCGGCCAAGTGCAAAGGGGCTGGGAAACTTCAACAAAATTTAATTCTTTGAAATTATTTTCCAAAATCTTCACAACATTCTACTTGACATAACGGAAACATTAATGTTAGTCTGCGTCGGCTTTATCCTCTCAATGCCACCTGTTGCTGCGCGGCCCTCGCCCATGATGGCATTACTCTGGTGCCTGAAGGACGGGTTTATGCAGATTTTAAGTCCCGTAGTCATGTCCTACCAAATTCCCATCTTTCTGGGGAAAATGCGGCTTTGCCGACAGCAACAAGCTCAGTTTCAAGTTGCGCTCTACGGTGCATGTAAGACGGTCAGTCCTACGCTACTAGTCGTCCACATTATGCATCGTCTAGGCTTCCATAGAATTGGAACAAGAGACGACTCGTTCGATCAATCATCGTGACAATCGGCCTTGTCCGTGAAACCCATGGTGCGGGAATGAAAGGCGCACGCGACGACTGGGGCGATCCCTGCGTCGTCTAGTCTCTTTGTGAAGAGCAGCTATGCCAGCTGAATGCCATGTTGACTAGATGCCCGTTGAGAATGACTATAAAGAGTAGGCCGACTCTTGTTGCAAATCATGTCGATGATCAAACCAAGCCACTCATCATCAATCCAAAACATAACTTCTTTCCCGTTTTATATCTGCCCATCATGCAAATCACCAGCATTGCTGCTACTACTACTCTCCTCCTGGCCTCTGGCGCCTTTGCTATGCCCGCTCAAGGCGAAATTGAGCATGCTTTATCCAAGCGTACCTGCGGCGAACTCAAGGGCACACCTCTCAAGGCTTGCCAGACGGTTTGCATCGCAGCTTGTGTATGTTGTTTATGACCAGGCGCATGAGTCGACGTTATATTAACACAATGAGCCATAGGATGCTGTTACCGACCTCATTCTGAAAAACTTTTGCAAGACTGCCTGCACTGCTGGCCCGCTTAAGCGATCTGATACACATGCTACTCCTGCACCCAAGGCCCCCATCAGCTTGGACAGCATCACAGCAGATGACCTTGTTGTCCTTGGCCATGTACTCGGTTCCAAGGAGAACAAGGTTGTCAAGAGGGCTCCTTCATTTGGCAAGGAAGCCTGCATTGCTGGTTGTGAGGTTCTCTGCAACTCAACAGTGCTTGCCTTGGCACAGACCAAGTGCCTGAGCGAATGCGTATGTTATTGTGACATAGAATATCTCTTGCGATGCCGATGATGCTAACCAGTTTTTATAGAAGCCCAAGTGCAAATAGATTTAGGAAACTGTAAAGCAACAAGGCAGGGCCAGCGGGTTCTGGGCGTGACTTGCTAGAAATTCTGTAGAAATGTTGCCAAATAGCGGCAGTGTAAAAGAAAACCCATTACAACTATAGACATACATGATAATAAATTTGCACACTTTATTTCTATGGTCTGGTAGTTTCACCATGACCCTGACGCGCTCAATATTTGCTAACAGGGTAATTTTCTGAATAAGTTACACTAATCTAATCTACAGAGCATTAAGCCCTAAAGTATTTTAATAAATACTTTCATGATTTTGTTTATTCCATAGATGGTTTCGAGCTGTTTCTTGGTTGATATTTCACGCGTGGAAGCTTCACTTGCTCGTCCGACCACCCCCCTCAGGTAGCAGTCTTACAGGCGGCAATGACATTTGCCTCCTTTATCGCTTCGTCTCGTTGTTGCTTAGCCCAATCAACGCCATTCCGGTAAGCCGTAGCTCCCTGTAGGAAATAGTCGTAATCCCCCGTCATGCTCCAGGACTTGATATGTGTCGTGACGAAGCTGAGCTGACCACCTAATTCCGCTGGTGGTGGCAAAGGGTGAACAGTGAACAGTCTGAGAGTTCCACAATGATAAACCCAGCTCAAGACATATGCTTTGTTATCGTAAAACCGCGTAGGCTGCCCATACGATTGAAGACTGTGCATAGCTCTTGCTCCTAGAGCACCGTTGTAGCACGCTTGTAGCAACGCACCAGGCAGAAAGGTATTAGGTCCCTTTGCTTGCAGAAATACGTTTGGCGCAATTGGAAGGGCGTGCTTCGTGGAAGGGATTACTAGTCCATTTAGTTCCTTGCGGATATTCCCGTCCAGTTGTTCTGGGCGTGCACCATAGAACAAGTCGGGACTGCTCGCGACGAGCGTGCTGTTGGTCAAGTGGTCAAAGTTTGTAAACGGAATACCTCCAACCACACACCTTCCGTCTGCGGCCTCCCCTTCAATCGTTGGTATGACTGTGTAGAAGACCTCCCTCGCTGTTTTGGCATGCTTGTCAGCCCGTTGAAACTTGTGGAAATCAGCCCTTGAAAACGTGGATGCAGATAGCGATGCTCTTGGTCGCTCTAGAGCTTCTAGGATTGCTCTCCTATTGGTAGGCTCCGGGGGCAATCGGCCATCTGGATACTCATAGCTATCAGGGAAAATGTGGTAATCGATGAGATGTTGCTGAAATGCAGAGTCGTATGGTCCCATGGTTTCTGGAGTTGCAGAGCTGTAAACTTTCTCTGAAGCTGCTGAGGGGAGTTTTGTAGAATCGTAACGAATTGACATGTTATCGGAGACTTCAAATAGTGCTCGGTGCTATATATCATGTTGGTAAGAAATGCTTCCTGCTTCGTTGGCTATTTACCTACACCTCTCAATGCGGATAAATCAGGGCCGCCGTTCTTCGCGAAACGCTGGATCCGTTTGAGTATACTTGGCGAGGCCTCAACAGAAACAGGCTGTTCAACACAACAGTTGTCCCTTTGAGCAACCTTTTGGCCCGTCACTTGAGCGTAGGATGCTACAAGAGCTCTCCGGCGCAACTCGCGTAATGCATTTGAAGTAAGTGGAATTTCTGCGAGTTGGTCCCAGAAGATGGTTGGTGGGAAGGGCGGATGGACCTTCTTTTGTGGTTTAGGCACAAGGTCATCTAGACTTTGGGAAGACGAACGCTTGCGTGAGGAACCTATTGCTTTGCTGTCAGAGCTTTGTAGTGTCGCCATTGTTTGAGGACTGGTGATTGTGTCTATTAGAAGACGGATATGTGGACAGGGACCGGCTTTTAGATGAAACAAGAGCAGACAACAGGATATTTGTTTCACTCAGGTGGGCAGGATGTTCCTCCATTGTAGCTTGGTGACGGGCGAGGGCGTTGTTTGCCCCATGAACGGGCGACAGAGCCCGTAGCGGGCGCAGTCAGACTGAGAGATGTACAAACAGGTAAATATAAATGTTTGCGGCTGTACTGTAAAATTTTTACTGTAGCTATTAATATACGTGTTGCTGTTTTTATGTTTGTGTTGAATGGAGGCTCTTGCTCAAAGTATGCGTCGCTGCCTTGTTCTAACCACATTGTGTTTCCCAAGTTGGTAAAAGAATTAGTAAGGATTAAATGGAGAAAGATTTGGAGTTAAACTCTCAAGAGATAAAAAGTTCCCTTTGTTATATTTATGGATTGCATGCATCTCTCTGCTTGCTTTTACTTGCGAGCCTGAGGGCGGCATCAAAGCGGACATCTCCTGTTGCGCTGTAACTCCATCGTGCCAAGCATGCTAAGCGTGTCAAATCTCAGCCGAGGCTATGCTACTGTAGACATGCAAATGAAGGATAGAATAAAAGGACCCGATACTACGTGCATATGCTGTAACTACAGGAGCTGAACCCAACCTCCTCTCCTTCGCAGTGTAGCCCAGGGCGGAAAAACAAAAGATCACCGAGGATTACCATCTACGACTACATATTAGGCACTGCTATGGATAAGAAAAACTGGCGCAATTCACTTTGGGAATATCCTCATACAACGTTTACGGAAGCTCCTCTCCCCATAGGACAAGGGGCTCGTGAAAATCCGTCCCAAGTTTCCATTGTCTATTAGTGGGTTTTGGCCTGAAAATAGCGCCACTCACCCGTATTAAGCAAGTAGTTTGGGGTATGGTGTAAGATCTAGCCAGCGATCCCGCTACCACTTTCGATTTCTAGCTTAGCGCGTGGATATATAAGTCGGCAGGATGCGATGCCTGCGCAATGAGCCCACGTTGTTGTACGCTTATGGCCGGACTACCACCAAGGTTGTGATTTTGTATACTTTTTTGGTAACTGTTGTCTGTAAAATGAGGTCATGGCGATTCGTATTTAAAAAGGGCAGGCATATCCTCACTGCTGCCAATTGGGAGTGAGTCTCTCCTTTATCAACACCAACAACACCAACACCAACCTCCCTCCCATCTCCCTCACCAACTCCTATTATCATCACAATGAAGTCTTTTGCGCTCGCTGCCCTTGACATCATGGCCTCTGCTGCCGCTGTTGAGCCCCGCGGCGTCTCTACAAACTGGTCCGGCGTCGCCCAGACTGCCACCGGTGTCAACCACATCACCGGTACCATTGTCGTCCCCCAAGTATCTGGCGGCAGCGCGCCAGCTTCTGGATTGGCATTGACGGCCGCCAGTGCAAGGGTCGTCTGGTGCAAGTCGGCATTACTGTCCGCGGCGACGGAGAGATCAAGCACTTTTACGAGTGGCTTCCCGATGCTGCTGCTCACGACACCAGCTTTGTTGTCTCGGCGGCGACCAGATCCGCATGACTCTCAGCACTACCTCGTCCACCAGCGCTGTTGGTACCCTCGAGAACTTGACCACGGGCAAGTGCACCAGCCACACATGGGATAATGGCCCCTCTACGCTCTGCAACTCTGGAGCCGAGTGGATTGTTGAGCAGTTCTTCCACGGCCAAGACCAGGCAGAGTTTGTCCCGTACGGCTCCGTTACTTTTACCGATGCCTACATCAGCACCGACTCTGGCGCTCAGATCACTCCCTCCACCAAGGGTAGTGATGTCATCACCCTCAAGAACAATGGTGTTGTGCGCAGCACTTGCAGCACCAGCAAGAACACCCTGACCTGCAACAGCACCTAAACCAGATGTTTAATTATTATGGATAACACGTATATATTTTTTAAATTTTACATTTAGAATTATAAAGAAAGAGGCAAAATAGAATAGAATTAGTTCTGAGTTAGTTCCCCCCAATCTAGAACCAATTACTCCAGTTGAACCATTGCACAAAAGTCCTCCTTCATTGCTGGAAGAGTGCCTGGTGAATAAGTGAACAGTCTTTAATTTAACTTCTTACTAGCATTAAATTTCTTTTTATTTCCTTTTTTAACAATTATGATGTAATATCTTCGTCTAATCTCTTGTTCCCTGCCAATCCTACTTACACACGGCTGGGGCTTTTCTGCGTGGGGCCCAAAACGTCAATCCGGCCTTATCTTATCGCACCTCAGAAAAAAAAATATTTTGAGCTTCAACCTCTCTACGCAACGGCTGCCTTTGACCACGCAACAGTCACTTCACACAACAACCTTCGTCACAATGCCGAAGCCAAGAACGAAACACGGCAAAGACCGCAAGCGCAAGCACGACGAAGATGCACCTGCGGACATTGACGCCAAAAAGCCTCGCGTGGAGGAGAACGGCGACGATGCAGCCCAAGACGATGTCATCCAGATTGATGAAGCAGCAGAAGGCGATGGCCTAGGCTACGACATGGGATACTCACATAATGAGCCCGAGGGTGGTATGGAAGAGAAGGAATTCTTCGGAATGCTCGATGACGACCAGCAGGAATACTTCCGCCGTGCCGACGAAATGCTCGAACTCAACGACTTCCCCACGCCCGACGACCGCCTCGTTTTTATCGAAAGTGTTTTCAAGGAAGCAGAGGGCAAAGAACTCAAATTGGCCAGTAGTCAATCGTGCTCGCGTCTCATGGAGCGATTGATCCAATTGTCCACCACATCACAAAAGAAGAAGCTCTTCGAGGCCTTTGGCTCACACTTTCTGTCGCTTGTTCAGCACCGATTTGCCAGTCACTGCTGTGAAGCTCTCTTTATGCGCTCGGCTGGCGTGATTACACAGGAGCTTGCTGGTTTTATGGTAGATACACAGGGTGCCGGCGAGAATGGCTCCGAGCCCGAGGCTTCAATGGAGTCGCTGTTCCTGGCGACGCTGGACGAGCTGGAGGGCAGCATGGGCTTCCTGATTACCGATCGATTCGCTTCGCACACCATGAGAGTCTTGATGGTGGTTCTCTCCGGCAAGCCACTTGAGGATCTCTCGTTCAAGACCATCATGAAGAGCAAGAAAAAGGAAAAGATCTCCGTCGCTGGCTCGCTGGCCGCCGACGAGCAGAACCGCGGCGAGCGTGCTGTGCCTGGCTCGTTCCTCATCGCCGTCAACAAGATTATCCACGACTGCACATCCACCATGGACCCTACTGCCTTGCGTGTTCTGGCCAAGCATCCCATCGGAAACCCGACACTACAGCTGTTCCTTGAGCTTGACCTGACGCTTAACAAGGGCGAGCAAAAGAGCGAGTCGGAGCAGCCGTCGCTTCTCTACCAGCTTCTCCCAGGAGCACCCAAGTCGCTATCCGACGAGTCATCCGAGGCATCGGAATTCATTAATGGCATGATCTACGACCAGATTGGCTCCCGTTTAATTGAGACGTTGATTGTCCACTCGCCAGGCAAAATCTTCAAGGCTCTCAACCAAAACATCTTCCTCCCCCGAATTCAGGGCTACGTACGAAACGATATCTCCAGCTATCCTGCCATCAAGGTGCTGAACCGTATCGGTAAAGACGACTTGCAAAAGGCCGTCGAGCAAATCGCCCCTACCGTCCCCCAACTTGTCGCCAAGTCGCGATTCAACGTCATCAAGACGCTCTTTGAGCGCTCACACGCGCGTGGTTTGACCGAAGAAATCAAGAAGCTCATGCAGGGACTGCGTGAGGGCTGTGGCGCTCAACCAATCGACCTGACAATGACGCTCTGCTGCCTCAAGGACGAGGAGAAGAAGAGCAAGGACATTACACAGGTTACCAAGAACCAGAGCGCCATTCAGAACCACGGCGCCCAGCTTCTCACCACGCTCCTTTCCATTTCAGGCCCTGCCAAGGGCGTGCAAAACTCCCTCTCCGCACTTCCTGTTGATCTTCTCGTACGCCTCGCCAACACCTCTCTCGCAACCGTAACACTTCTCACTACCGCCCTCGCTACACCTTCCGCCAATGGCCTCTTCCAAAAGACCATGGTCAACAATATGATGCCACACATTGGCGACCTTGCCATCTCTCAAAACGGACACAACTTCGTCAACGCTATTGCTGGCATCCCCACGCGCGGTAAGGAATGCAGCATCCCGCCGCACATGAAGGACGCCATCATGCACACCCTCGGCCGACGCGAGTCTGAGCTGCGAGACTGCTGGATGGGCAGAAGCGTCTGGAGAACATGGAAGGGTGACAAGTGGAAGACAAAGCGCATCGACTGGAAGAACTGGATGAAGGACGTCGGCGCCGAGGAGTACCAGAAGCAGCAGGAGCAGCAGAAGCAGTTCAAGGACCGCCGGGGACAAGAGAGTTCCAACACGATGCCTTTGGGGCGCAAGAGCAGGTTTGAAGAGAGCGAGCCCGTAGACGAGCCGATGGAGGAGCCTGTCAATGAGCCCGCGGAACCTGAGGCAGCCGAGGAGCCTGTAGAAGAGAAGAAGGAGAAAAAAGAAAAGAAGGACAAGAAGGACAAGAAAGACAAGAAGGACAAGAAAGAGAAGAAGGAAAAGAAGGCCAAGGCTGCCGCAGAAGAGTAAACTGTAGAGGGCAAAGCCGAAATACCCAGCATATAATGTACGAATTAAATACGAATCATCATGTTTACTATTACATCTGTTTCTTACCGTCCATCCATCACTTACACGCAAATTCCAGGTTCACTGCCCAGTCACCACCTCCCCAACAAATTCAACATCCGTCACCCAATGTTCACTTTTCCCATCCATCTCTTGCCAATTGACTATTCCTTCCCCCATCCGTCTATTTATAAAATCCCAACACCTCATGTCTTGTCTGCACCACACCTGACGCTGTCTTCTCTTTGCAAACGCTGTCCCGTGGCCAGCGTCCACACGTCGTTACCAACGTGTCTCGACGAACAAAGAGATCCCATTGTCGCTGTTTGTAAGACCCCTTACCATATCCCATATAACTACGACTCTCTCCCCCAAAATGAACATTCCTAACCAGACCCAGAACAGCTTCAAGTCGCTTACAATGGGCCGCGGCGGCTACGACCACACGGGCATCGCGCCCAATGCACCCGGATACATCGCTACTCATCCACCACGCTATGCCATGACGACTGCAGCAGCACCAGTGCAGTATACGCCAGTCAATGTCGCTGCTCCTGTATCGTATGGGCCCGTGTACGCTCCGATGCAGCCAATGATGGCCCAGCAAGCAATGATGCAGCAGTACCAGACTGCAGCTGCGCCAATGGCACCAACAACAGGATATCAGATGTATCAGCAAACCCAGGTACCTTTGATTCAACAGCCACAGATTCAGCAACAGCCGCTTCAGCAACAGCAGCAGATCCAACAGGCCAATGCGAATCCATACTTTTACACGTCAATGACGCCAGGGACAATCAATCCGCAACTCTTATGTACCGGTGGATCGTTCAATGGCCAGGCCATGTATCAAATTGCTCCAAGTGGTGGGATCCAGGGAGGAGTGATAGGTCCCCAAGGAAAATAGGCGACGAAACTGATGCGATTGGAACTCTAAAAAGACTTATTTTGTCATTCATGGCTGTGTTATATAAAAATGAAGAGTATTATCCAATTCACTTGTTCCTACACAGCCAATCCAGGCAGCAAGCGGTATTGGACATACCTTGCTTGTGCATACATGGCCCATGTGATTCGGAAGCGGAGACAGACTTTTGTACGCGAGTAATAAGCTCAAAGTTCACGGCAACCTTTCCTGATACCTTTTCTACATGGTGGTCCGGAAACAATCGCTCAAACCTTCTCCGCACTTACAAACACCTCTCCCGAGATTAAAAAATGGTAATCCATTCGCAGGAGGCCTGTCAAGAAGAGAAGTTGGGGGAATACTCATATATTATTCCTATTTCCTCCTCCATTTTCTCGCATGTTTTGCCTAAGCTAGTCGTGTGTCCTATGAATAGCATCGTGTTTTTTGCTAATCCGCTCTAAAATGCATAATGTGGTCCTCCCAATCGTAAACTTGTCCGTGTACGTGGATCACATCGATCCGCGTTGTATAAATAAAAAATAAAATAAAAAAATGAATACCCAAAGCAAGAGCATTCTGAAGTGGAAAATTCCGTATGCTTTCCATTAAAATTCCTGAGAAATTGTCTGTTTATCAACAACCTTGGGATATCAATAAAAAATGAAAACAGTAGCAATGTCGTAAAAGGTGAAAATTTCAAACGCTGTCCCAATCCGTGTTTGATAACAGAGAATATATGTACGAGAGGAATGTTTTGGTCGTCGATCCAAGCGTGGTGAATCCGCTCATCATGTACGCTGCGTAAGCGATGTTGCGAGTTCGCCACGACATAGATAGTGGGTAGTGTGAGTTGGTTGAATAATGATACTTCAGATCGGCAAAAGTGTTGCTATACCCAAAAAGAATATTTCCACCCGACTTGGCGGTAACAAGCCGGTGCAGAGTTATAAGGTACAGCAAGTCAAGATTTGAGATTTCGCTACTCCTGGGCCCAGGCACTGTCGTTGATAAACGCGTCCCACTGCGGTTGGTCGTCAACAGGCGCCATGGGATCTTCCATGACACCCATTGACATGCCCGTCGTCGGAAATGTCATATCCAAGGTGTTGCCGAACTTAGCAGCGTCTCGCGGGTTGTACAAGGCGTCAGCCACAAGCCACTCTTGCAGCTGCTGGTCCATCTGGGTGCCCGTTTCTGAGCCTGGCGTTAACAGGTAGCCTTCTGGCGACATCCTAGGTGTAAAAGCAGACGTTTGACGTGGGCCAAGATCTATTGGTGAATCGACATGAAACGGGGGCTGCCGGGGCATTGCATCAAGCTGGTGTGTCGGTAGAGGCATCTCTGTAGGACCGCTTGGGAGTCCAGTTGCAAACTGAAGCTCAAGGTTGGCGTTTAGTGGAGGTTGTGGCATAGGAGCCTGAACGGGAGGCTGTTGAATTGGGAGTTGTTGAACTGCGGGTTGCGGTGCAGGAAAGTTGACGGGAGGAAATCCAGCTTGGAGCGGGCTGGTTGGTGCCATATTCATAGCAGCAGGCTGGGGGATCTGCTGCGGTGTAACTTGAGGTACCATTCGCGGCACTTGGCTAGTTACATTGCCAAATGACTGAGCAAAGAGTTTGTTGATTTCGTTCTCGCGCCAGTCGTCGTCAGTCTTTGCAGCAAGGCTGGACATGGCTACCTTGTTATTGATAAACGCTTCCGCGCGGCTGTTCATGTTGGCTGACGAAGTTTGCATGTTCGATCCGAGTCGCCGGTAGGAACGCAGATAAATGTCGTCCTCCTCTTCATACATTTCCTCCTTGATAACGATTTCTTCGGTAATGCGAAAGCTCTTGCCGGTCCGCTTCTTGTGGATCTCACTGGCCATACGAGCTGATTGGACCCTCGCCTCGATGCTCCGATCAGTGCGACGAGAAGCAGCAATGTAGGCACGTTCTTGGTTCTCCTCATGAGATCTCCCCGTCTAGATAGGTACAAGTTAGTGCGTAGTCCATGGTATTAACGATGTCGGTCAAACTGACATTTGCCTTGAGCTGCGAGCCCGACGAGCTGGGTGAAGCTACAGCTTCAGGAGAGTTCTTAGATTTCTTAGTGGGGGCCATGATGTGCGAGGAGGTGGTTGTTTAGAGGATGTGCAGAAGTCGTCGTGGGTTTTGTGGCGGAAGAAGGACAGGCTGGAATGGCCGGCCAGGCGGAAAGGGGATCGGGCTCTTTTTAAAGGTCGTCTTATACGCAATAGAGTTTCGTCGAAGCTTTCCCTGTAAAACTTGTAGAGCTAGAACTCAAGATACAAAGTTTAGAGAGCGGACGCGTGGTGCAGAAAGGCTGCCAGCTGGCTGGCGAATCAATAAGCTTGCGGGCTGCCTAGAGCAAGTGGCGGGGGAGATGGTGCAGCAGTTCAGTTCAGTTGACAACAGTGGTTGGTGCAGTGGTTAAAGTTGTGTATTGGCGTGCAACTAGCTTCAGATTGGCAATAATAAATAAACCGACCGGGAAACTGCAGAATAAGAAGCGTTGTTGGAAGCGAGTAGAGAGTGTTGATGCTATTGCAAAGTTGAACGTTTGGGGTGGGCGACCTTCCCGGTTTTCTGGAAGTAGTAAAACCATAGGAAAGACCACACCCCCTCAAATAACGAATTATTGATTATACTTTTGCTCCTGCAAAACGCGCCCGGTCCAAAAAAAGAGGACCGTCAGGCCTTGGTCCAGTAAAGGCCAACCAGCCAGGAAGGCGTTTGTCCATTTTCCAAAAGTCTCGATGACTGCCTACGATCACGATCAAAGGGAGGGGTGCTGCTAACTGTTCCACAAGTCCTTATCGAGACACCCCGACAAATTTGGTAGGTTTTCAAAAGCTTGTCCCGATGCGGTAAAACGCCGGGGCGTCAGTATAGTGCCATAGTCCGGACCTTTCGTTCCTTACGACTGTCCCTGCACCTGTGTCTGCCGGTCGTAGCCAAACCAAAAAAAAAAAAAAAAAATACAGAACCCTTGTGTAAGTTAGGTTGCAATGCGACTCGCTTTGTGAGAAAAGACATGGTCTATCCTTTCTGCTTTAGAGCATTGTAATACCTGATTAGGCACTCTTTTCCAGCGATTTTCCAAATATATATTTTTTTCAATTTCTTCTTTTTATTCGGGAGCAGCTCAACTGCCGCTACCGCTCATATGCTGCAAGCTGTCGTGTTGCAGCCCTCTTGTAGGCCAGCCGGTGCAAGCCAACATACGTGAACATGTCTAACATCAGGCGGCTCTACCAACCTCTGCAACATGTTCAAAAAGTGTCCTCATCATGTGCGACAACATTTAGATTGGCAACCGGCAGAGAAATATTTTCTCTCTACTCTCCGCTCGCGGCCATCCTTTGTTCTCCATGAGTCGCAGCTGAGAGAGAAAAAATCAAGTAAAGCCCGGAGTACTTCTCCACGCCGACACCCGCTGCATCCAGGGACCTACTGGATTCGGATTACCACCCCGGCACCTAGTTATTTGGCCGCTCATCCGCACTAACGAAATAACTAATCCATGATCAGGCGACACAATAGCGCGTGCCCTACTGGCTCCTGCAGCTACGAGCACCAGTGTGAATTTGGTGTGGTGTAAGCATTTCTGGCCGGTGAGCTGGTTGCCTGTAATGTACATCGCCACAGGTGGCTTTGCACGCTGGCTGCTGCTGTCAGGCTCACACCAGTGAAACCAGGTTCAGTGTCCATACGTCTAATTACCGGAGACTGCCCTCCTTGTGTCAGCCATAATGCAAAAAACCCCCTCCAACACGTTGTCTGTCGCCACTGCTAACATACGGCCCACTTAAAAGTCACCCATCCATACTTTTTGTTACGCGGGGCACCACAAGCAGGGTCGCCCATGCTAGCGCATGCAGGTGCAACGGTCGCTGCGCATCGAGAAATCGGCTCTGTCATCGAGCACCATAACGCTGTGTCCCTTACAGTGGCACCGGACTTAGCCTAGGCGGCATTCCCAGCGCTTTGGATTGCCTATTTCTTTCATACCCCGCTTGCCACTCTCGTTTTCCCTTCGCTTGGGTTCAGCGGCATTCCTGGCGTTGGGATTCTGCTTTCATGGCGCAAAAGACGCACACAGACGGCGCCGTTGTCTCTTCGGCAGTGCAAACGTTATTCCCGCCAGCCCTGCAATTTTTGGGCGACAGTGGTGGCCCATGCAGGCCAGCCTTCAGATGTAAATTACAGAGAGCACTGGGGTGGTATATTAATGCGCAGGGGGATGGACGACAAGACCAACAAAAAAAAACGTACAAGACGGGCGAGAAATCCTACGCAATCAACTCTCTTCAAATTGCACTAAAGCTACTGGTTAGAATCGAGAAGAGCAGAATGCCATGATGGCCATGCTTGCAAGTTTGAATGGAAAATATTCAAGGGCTGTTGGAAATTGCCTTAAACGACGGCAGATACCCTGCCACTTGGCATATCGGAGAGAGTGCTCCGGAACAGTGAATGGGATGAATGCCATTTCGGGCAACGACGATCGGAAACTATTCAAGGTTCTGTCGCAGTTCGATCCCAATCGTTCTGGCTGATCTCCCAATGCAAGACAGTACCCTAAAACTGTAGCGCCAATCGACACTGGGAAAAACGTCGCGTGGAGCCCGATGCAACGCGGGTGCGTGCAAAAAATGAAGTGAAGCCTCTTCTGTGGCTGCTTGACGTCACAGGTGTGGCGGCGTTCGGCGCACGTACCGATTCCGTTAGCCCTCGGTTTGTTACGGTGCTGGTGAGCTTACTATGACACTTGCAAGGACTGTCTCTACGAATTAAATCCTACCTGATACAATGAGAAGTCCTTCTTTTAGCTTACACTGTCCTTTTTTTACTCATAACTTTTGACTTACGGTCAGCGCAATTTACCGTGTCATGTCTGAAATCTTCATCCACTAGCACTGTGCCTGTACAGAGTCATACATATGCCACCCAAAATTAAAAATTAAACCTTGTCCTTTATTAAGACAATAAATAAGGTGACTTTTTGCTTTACAGCTAGCTACAGGTATTGGGCTATAAATTTTCGAAATAGAGGCGGCGGAGGCACGCTTATAAGTGGCATCCACCACGGCGCTTGCTACCCTTGAGGTCAATAACCAGAAATCTACGGAGCTTCAAAGAATATATCACGCTTTGAATTGGGTTTAGAACCTATTAGCTTTAAATGGTGTCGAAAATAAGTATAATAATATTTACAAATAATATTAGCTTGCGCGGAGTTGAGAGCGATTGAGTTAAAGAGGCACCTTTACCGGCTCAGAGTAGCCAACACGGTTTAAAACATAGGCAGCTTTCCACATCCGATTGTGGGCGTCCAGCAAAGAGACAATATTATTTCTTTTGTCTTCTCAAAGCCAGGGCTCCACTATAGTGATTCAGTTATATTCAGATGTTGATCGATTTTGGGGCATGGACACCATCTTCGAAGCTATCGACTTTGCTGGGTAGCTATCCTGTCTAGGTCGCCTTTCAAGGTGTTATTGTCGTCTATATCAACACGAGTGAATGGACGCGCAACCCCCATATTCCTTTGTTAAATCCCCAATTTTCTTTACTTTGTTTAGCATGTTAACTTGATGAATGCGACATGTGCGCTGTTTCTCGTCACTGGAATCCGGTTTCTAGCAGCAGCAGTATTGGAAATATCGAAACCCATGCCGACATGCAAGAATATTACCGACTATAGCCATGTTACAAAATCGCATCTACCCAATACACTAGGAACAAACAAAAACTGCCTATAAATTACCATGCCGCCACTGCACCAAGCTGACACTGCACCAGTGCACCTCACCCCGCACATATAGCACAGTGCTAATATCCCTTTCCTATATATGAGACTATCGCGCTGCTGGCTGCATCGCCGCACAACCAGTAACACGATCGCCTCGGCTCGTCGTCACCGCAAAGCCAACCACAACCACATGCGCAGTTCGCTACCAAATCAACCCCTCTCTTCTGTCTTTTGACCGCGGCAGCAGTCTCGTGATGCAAAATCAATTCCTGTCCTTTCCCTTCTAAGCCAATGCGGCGTGCATCCTCAACAAAGAAGAGCCAGCGCTGACAACCAGCGCTTGCACCCATGTGCGCCGATGATTGGCCTGTCGCGGCTCGCCGGGGCACTGTTCTTAGCCGTCTAAGGTACCTGCTGCGTTGGTGTGCAGTGCCGCTAAACGCTAGGTACCCGTGAGCACGGCAAAGCTAAAAAAAAATAAAAAGGTTGATGGCGGGGTGGCAATCGAGACCCTGCCCCAGACTAGGGCGGTATCAGAGAGTATGCAGTTGCGTGCCCACGAGGGCTGTTGGGGCTACTGGCTTGTTGGATGATGAAAGGTGAAGAGCGTCTGTCTCTTTCTTTCTTCCTTCATCATACTATCACCGCCGTTTTTTCTGTTACTTTTTATTCTCTTTCTTCGCTGCTAAACCGAGCCCAGACAATGAGTGTCGCTACCACAGCCTTCAGTGAGTGCCATGCCCCACCAACCCCCCCCCCCCCCAGCAGTGCTTCTTCCAAGCGTCTTGCGCGCTGCAAATGACAGGAAACCTGGGCAGCACTGCCCCGCCAATGCAAAACAGAAAGCAGCAGGCTACCAGCTCCTCACTCATCTCATGATCTGCTGCTGGCTTCTTGGAACCAGTTCCCTTCTTTTTTTTCCCTTCCCTCTCCTGTCTTCCTTGCCATCATCTTAGCACCGCGTGTCCATCGTATTGCTTTACCATTACACTTTACACCGTCTTTTTCTATTACTTGCGCCTCTACTACCGCCAACCGCTTTTCTTGCCGTTTGGCTTCTAACCCGCCATCACAGAAAGCGACACGCCCAACGGCCACAACCACAAGCTTTCTACCGCCGCCGACACCATGTCGTCATCGGCGCCCCCAGCTACCGTCGACGCCCCTGACGAGCAGCAGAGCGAAGGCTCCAAGCTGAGAACATTTTTGGGAATCCTCAGAAAGTAAGATATCTCCTGTTTGCGCAATTCATGCTTTTCCTACAGCTCCCCGCTCGCTGGCCAGGGCGGTGTGTGGTGCTGCGGCGGTCGCCTGTGGGCACGTTGGCCTGCTCCGACATCGCGAGTAATTTTTTATACGCACACACTGTACAGTCTGCTAATCTATGCACCTTGTGCTTTGTGCAGGTTCATTGGAGTCTCAGATCTCGCCGCCGTCCGCTTCTCGCTCCCCTCCCAGCTTCTCGAGCCCACGCCCAACCTCGAGTACTGGACCTACCTCGATGCCCCTAATGCCTTCATCGCAATTGGCACCGCCGACGAACCACTCGACCGAATGCTCGAGGTCGTCCGTTTCTGGCTGACCAAGGATATCAAGTATGCAAAGGGCAAGCCCTGCAAGCCTTACAACTCGTGCCTTGGCGAATTCTTCAGAGTGAGTCGCAGTTGATCAGGGCCGTAAACCTCGTCAACCAACATCAATACTGACCCACTGTTAGTGCAACTGGGACACCGAGGACAATGCACCAAAGATTGTGTCGTCTGCTATTACCCAGAACGGAGTCAGCTCCAGCGGCTCGAGTATCAAGGCCTCTAGCGTAAAGAGTGACAAGAATGCCTCGACAATGTCCCTTTCCGTGCCTCAGCACGACAGCAGCGCCGATAAGAAGCTTGTCCGCGTCTCTTACCTCACCGAGCAGACCTCTCACCACCCTCCCGTCAGCGCTTTCCACATTGCTTGCCCCGAAAAGGGCCTCAGCGCCCGCGGCTTCGACCAAATCACAGCAAAGTTCACTGGCACCTCCGTCAAGGTCATGCCCGGCGAGCACAACCTTGGCATCTTCATCACCCTCGACAACCGCGATGGTGAGACCTACCAGCTCACTCACCCCGCTGCCCACCTTGGCGGCATCCTTCGTGGCACCCTGAGTGTCTCTGTTAGCGAAATGGCTTACTTTACCTGCCCGAAGACCAAGATCAAGGCTATCCTTCACTACGTCGATGAAGGCTGGTTGGGCCGCAGCACCAACAAGGTCGACGGTGTTATCTTCAACTACGATCCTGAAAACGACAACATCACCAGAGTACAGGATGTCCCCGAGGAGGATATCCTGGCCCGTCTGAGCGGCCCTTGGAGAGAAAAGGTCGTCTTCACGCTTGGTTCTCGACCAGTTGTAAGTGGAATGGCCCAACCTACTCTTTTCAAGCAGAAAACACTAACCGATATAGAAAACTGTCCCTGCTGAGGAACAGTACACCATTATCGACATCGCCCCTCTCAGCGTCGCCCCCAAAGTTATCCCTCCTGCCGAAAAGCAGCTCCCCAACGAGTCGCTCACCCTCTGGGGCAACGTTACCACCGCCATTCACGCCAAGCAGTTCTCCAAGGCCACCTCGATCAAGCAGGAGCTCGAGGAGGCCCAACGTGTCAAGGCCCGCGAGCGCGAGGCCAACGGCACCACCTGGTCCCCAGTTTACTTTGAGCATGCTGTCGGCAACGGCGGCCGCCCTGACCTTACCGAGAAGGGCAAACAAGTCATTGAGCGCAGCCAGAAGGGCGAATGGTCCCTCGATGGCATCTAGAGCCACCACCGTTTCCGTCATTGCTTTCCTGTCATCTTCTTTTTTTGGGTATATGCTTAGTGGTATGGCATTGAATGTGGACAACGTAAGGACTTTCTTTGTCCGTTCTTAATTATGGCGCTATCCCGTGCTCTTTTTTTTTTTGTTTTTCTGCTCAGACTTGATATTGCTTATTCCGGGGCTCAACTTAGAGACAACCGCGCGGCACGCATGGCACTCTTTATTACGTTATGTTACGTTCTACTCTTTTCTTGCATTAGACGACGCGAATTGCATGGTTGAGCAATGGAGCTGTTTTCAGACTCCTCATTTTACACCTTTTTGGGCTAGATAGAGATGGTATTTTTACTTTCTTGTTTGCTGCGTGCCTTGTGGCTGGTGGCTACTCTGTCACCATGTCTCTCAGACGTACATAGAATGCATGGATAAATTTGGCACAAAGAAAGCAGTATTCAGATCATTTTTTTTTAAAAAAGCCTATGGGCATTAAAAAAGCTGTAAACTAAAATGTTGCGATTTTTCCTTCGTCTCGTTTTCTTCTTACATGGGGGCTGGCACACCAGCGCCTCTACTATAATACAAGTTTGGTTGCAGAAGCGACAACCAGCCATACCGCCTCAACGATAAGCTGCCTGTCCCTTCTACGTTTTTCTAATGTAACAGATTCCATCCGACTCTTTTTTGGGTCCTCCTCGAAACACATGGTCAGATCTGTGGCAGATTTAACCGAGATTTCTTAGGGGTGTAGTATCAAAGCGTGATGTTTTTTTAAGCGTCAATGAAGCCCTTGACGTTGCCCAACCAGCGGAGGTACTCGCGCTGCTCCTTGACATCGACGTAGTCGGGGACAAAGACAGCCATGGTCTGGGTGATGCCTCTCTCCTCAAGGAAGCGCTCCATGAGAACCTGGAGGTCCTCGTCGAGGCTGCCAAAGGGAGGGCCGGGGTAGACATCGGCGCGCTTCTGGGCGGCATCGGGGCTCTCAACCTTGGCGAGCGAAGCGTCCTCGTAGAAGAACATGTTCTCGACAACAATGGCGCCGTCCTGGGCGGTCGCGTCAATGTTGAGAGCGCCCTTGGTCTTGCCGGGCTTCTCGATCACAATGGACAAGTTGATGGGGGCGCCGGCCTCGTCGAGCGCATCAAAGTCCTCGGCATCCTCCTCGGCCAGCTCGTTCTGCTTGGCGTCAACGTTGTCGTCGGCAAGCTCGTCCTCGAGGGCGGCGTCCTCGGCGTACGGGTCGAAGTTGGTGATGTCGGCAACGGAGAAGCTGACGGTGATCCTGGAAGCGCGTTAGTAACTTTTCTAGGTGAAGCTCGCTCGTAGTCTTACTTTTCGTCGCCAAAGTCGCGGACCAGCTTCACAACCTCCTGGCCAGGGATGTCGACCAGCTCAAAGGGGCTGTTCTCGAGAAAGTCCTTGATGCTGGCGGGCTGCTCCTCGCTGGCGGCCATCTCGTTCTCAATGGAGATTTCGCTCTCGAGCTTGGCGGAGAGCTCATCGTCAGTTTCGCCGTCGGCGGCGCGGCGGCCAGCAGTCGTCGAGAAGGGGGCGGCAACGCGGGCAGAGGTCAGGGAGTAGGCGCTCGATGCCTTGAGGAATGCGCTGGGGCGGGCGGCGGAGCGAGCAATGGTGCTGGCGCCAGAGAGGCGGGCCAGAGTTCGGGGCGCGGAGCGCGCAAGCGATCGGATAGAAAGCATTGTGAGGGCGAGGCGGATGGATGAGAGGAACGGTGGTGGTTGAAGGAGAGACAAAAGTTGTGAACTGCGGAGCTTGCTCCTCTAAATTTTTTAGGGGCCCTGCGGCCAGGGGATCCAGATTCTGGGCAACAAGGTTTCCACTGCGCTCTCCACGTGATGAGATGGCAACGATCTTGTCAGAAATTAAAGAAATAATAATTTTAAAATGTTTTTAAATTTGAATTGATAATATATTTTATTATTAAGTCATTATTCATTCGTATATACAAGGACTTTCGGGTCTGCACCCGTATCCTGCCGCAGCCATGATCAGCATGACAAAGCTATCTTCGGTCGGTTCGCCATATATCCGCTGGTATTTAGTTGATTCCCTTGGTGGGGAAATCGGTAGGAACAACCTTTCCAGAGCTGAATACTTTGATCCAGGGAATAGTAGCGAGGTATGCCCATGAGCCTTCCCAGGCGTTGAGCTTCTTGGCGTTGTCGATATCCATAACATCAGGAATAACTGTATCGAAAAGTTAGCTTGCGGTTGCAGATATTTAAGGACGCAGCGACATGACATACCGAAACCCTTCTCGTACTCTTCGTTTAAAGCGGCAATCTTCATCTTGAGAAGGTCCTCGCGCACGCTGGCCGGTCTGCCGGGTCGGCGGGCCTTCTTGACCTCGTCATATTCCTCATCGTATTGATTAACAAATCTAATATATGTTAGCACGACCGGCGCTTTCGGGGTGGTTTCTGTGATCGGGCTGAAACGTACTGTGTAATGAGCATCTGGACAGTAGCAAGATCTAATGAGTCGGCCTCGCGCTCCTGGAGTCCATCTTGGAAATATGCTACTCTCTCGGCTAGAAATAGAGTTAGAAATCATATCTAAAACGGTAAAAGACAGTGAATATATGTACCGATAGGTTGCTCTCTCTTGTTTCTGGCACTTGCAAGCTTTTCTAACCGCACATCCCTGATGCCGGCCTTGTGCAGCTTCTTGGAGTCTCTGGAGCGGGCGTGAAGCGAATTGACTACGCCTCCTCGCTTCTTTGCGATCGTTTTCTTTACTTTCTGTAACGATGTCGGCATTCTGGCTGCTGTGGATGTGGAAGTACGGGTTCTTGGTCCAACTTGTAAGTCTTGAACTTTTTTTTGCGGCACCCGCCTTATCGTTGGTAGCGCGGGCCGATAAAGACGACGGCTATTGCTCGGATAAACGGCGCATCACTTATACCGCAGGGGGTGTGGGAAGCTGTATACAAGAATTAAGGGTGTATCTATGAAAGAATAATAATGAAATATTATTGCATTACATCTTATTTTCTTGGGTTTTATAATCTGAAGTTTTTGATTGAATCAGTGGTGTATATGTTGAACAAGTTGCGTGGACCATTCCCTGCGGCTGAAACCATGCGCTGTTGCGATAACCGTGCTTGGAGAACGATAAACTACGCCCCTTTATACGCAAATACTGTCGATTTAACTATTGGAATTAATAAGCTGATAATAGAACCGCTCATTTAACTAAACAAATGGCTAGTGTTGCGAAGAAACAACCCACGTTCCAAGCTACACCCCAATCTCCATACGCAAACTTGCAGCCCAGAACGATAAGAAGTAGCCCAGCCGCCACCATCGGTAACGAAATGGTAAAATCACTGAAAATCCAGCCCTCTTCGATAAAAATAGCACGAAAAGGGAGCTCTCCTAAAGATGGGCAATGCCAAGTATTGAGTCGTTTTAAGACGCCACTATATTCTCTTGTGAGCAGTTGATCCCCAACAAGAAAATTCCAAGGACTTAGCCTTACCGGCGAGAGTATACTATATCTTTCTGATCCAGAACGCTGTTTATAGAGGTAATATCTGGATCCATGAGTGCCAGCCTTCGGAATGGAATCATGCTGAGTTGCAGTAGTTTTCTCTGCTGTTTGAAATGGTCGATCTGGGGGCATACGACATATAAGTCCCGAGACTTGCAATGGCCGTCACACTCCATTATTCCCAACTCGTAGTTGTATTTGCACGGCCACTTTTGGGGTACGTAGGAGTCGATTAGTTCTTGTACGACATGTGTTTCCGACGCTATGTCGTCTCTGGTGATTGTTCCAATATACTCGATACTTGAATATTGCCCTCCAGGTAGTGCATCGTCTGGGGTTTGTCTGTTGTGCACTTCGTGCTTCCCAGCTATTCGCACCTATGCATGTCGTTAAAAATTGAATTAGCTGCTATAATATTCTCATATGGAAGCTTACAGTAACAATATCCACGCTTTTAATAGTACGAAAATATCTCAAAAATCGATGGAGTCGACTGTTGGACGAAAACCATGCATGGCGTACACCTCTCCAAATGACGGGCTCAATAGGTGTAGGCTCAGTGGATCGGCTCTGAAAAAAGACGCTTCGGATAGAACATTTATCGCTTTTGCCCCAGCACATGAGGACAAACCTATTCCGTGGAGCACCAGCAAGTGGCAGAAGAGGATCTATATACTTTTCGATTGCATCTCTTCGTGCTCTATGATCGTCTGCTCTTGCATCTGGGGCGGCAAAAGTACTGGTGGCTGACCAGCTCCGAGCATAACTTTGCCGTCTTGAGCTTGGCACCCAATAGTCTTCGTTACAATATTCTATAGTCGGTCCTTTATCAAGTGTAATTGTATCGTGTGCCTTTCGTATTGATACTGGCTTGTATATTGGACGTGCTGAACGGCTAGTGCCTACTGTGGACGCGGGTATAGACTTGGTTTCGACCTTGGTTTCTTTCATAATACGAGCGTAGAGGGATGCGAACAGAGCAGACTCTGCCATTAATTGTGCAATATTTAACTTCTGGCTCGAATAAAGCTTCTCGAGCCACTCATGATTTGGTATCTTCAGAACTCTCCCATGTGTGGTGAGACTTGTGGGTTGGTGTTGTAGTTCAACATCATAGTTAGAATCTCGCGGCTCTCTTAGAATTGCACGATCCAAAGGTTTTACCTCTGCCATGGTCGCGGAATAAATGGTGTACGCAGAGCCGAAGAAGAGATCGCCATGAATGTCGACAATGGTAAATACCACTTAATATAGATCGACGTTGCGTCCGGTATATGAGAGGCAAACACCTTGCGTGTACAATTAAAATTCAAGACCACATCGGCAGGCCCAAACCTTTTGTATTATATACATCCCGGAAAAATGCCTATTCATATGTGGCTTGGCGAACCACGGTCGAGAGGCAGCCTTTGCCTTGCGGCATGGCGTCGCTCGACCAAGTTTATATGAGAGTAGTCTAGCAATTGCGTATCAAGGCAAATCTCCTACTATTTCGAAGGTCGAGGGTCATTTTCACGGGATTTATGACGAAGAGCTTTGATTGGAACGATGACGCACATGTTGAAGAAGCTGCGTGGAACATTTTGCGTAGAGAGCTGAGACATGACTTGGCTTCGCGGGGGGGCCATTGGTATGCCCAGCCCCAAGTTTTAACGAGCTGTGAGAACACTTGTTCCAGAAGGAGAGAAATTTTAATGTTGGACATTTTACCGTGAACTTTATAGTACATTGTGCTATTTCAAAATTTGCTATATTTTATTTTTACTATATGCCTTGCTGGAGTCATATTTGTCTGCACGCTCCCAAGCATAAACACGCACAGCGCGTCGCCCGCCGTTGCCAGGGCATGTCCACAGCGTATCGCTAGCCCGCTTTTAGCGACCCCCAGTCCCTACCCCAGGCTGGCGCGCGCCTCGAGGCCACGCTGGGAACGCGCCTACCCACCGAAACCCATTAAGGTGAACCGCTGCACCGAGAGTTCCAAAGCAAAGGCATGCCCATCGCGCGTCTGGCAAGTCCCTGACTAAGAGCTTCTTACTCTGTCACTTCTTGCCTTGCCTGGCTGCTTTTGATTTCTTTTTCTTTATTCTCACAAGTAGCTTTTCTCATCCAACAAGCTTCCGCCAAACTTAATTGCCAACCGAAGCAGAGGTAAAAACAAAGGCTGTGGGCACGCTTTGTTTTGTTTGTCTCCCCTCAACGACAATCCTCCGCCGCCGCACCGACTTTCTTTGCACTCTTGTTGTCCAGAGCCCTCGAGCCGGCCCCCTATACAAACGAGCCGAGAACGATAATCTAGCCACTCTTGGAAAAGATACGACCTCCCTGCGGCAGCGAGGCCAAACTTCAAGATGGGTGTTTCCGGTTCGTACATGGACATGTCCGATGCGTGACTACGCGTTCACCTCTGCTAACAGACTACAGGTCTTCTCCCGTTGCTCAAGTCCATCCAGAAGCCTACCGAGTTAAAAAAATACAAGGGCGAAACTCTCGGTGTTGATGCCTATGGCTGGCTACACCGCGCTGCGTTTTCGTGCGCAGTGGAACTAGGCCAGGGCAAGCCTACCAAGAAGTACGCCCAGTTGATACTCCATGAAATGTCACTGCTAACATTCCCAAAGATATATTGCTGCCGCTATGCACCGAGTAAACATGCTTCGACATTACGGAATTAAGCCCTACATGGTATTTGACGGCGACTACCTCCCTAGCAAAGCCGCCACCGAAGAATCGAGAGCCAAGAAGCGTGACGAAAAGAAGAAGCTGGCCGATGACTTGATGAAGGCTGGCAAGCATAGCGCAGCGACCCAAGAATTTCAAAAGTGCGTCGATATCACTCCCGAAATGGCTTCTGCTCTTATTCAGGAGCTCAAGAAGCTCGACATCCCCTATGTCGTCGCCCCATACGAAGCCGATGCTCAATTGGTATATCTTGAACGAAAGGGGCTTATCGATGGTATTCTTTCCGACGACTCTGACTTGCTGGTTTTTGGAGCTAAGCGTCTGCTCACAAAATTGGATCAAGTTGGTAACTGCATTGAAATCAACCGTCGCGACTTCTGTGCAGTTCGCGAGGTATCGCTAACAGGATGGTCGGATGCCGACTTCCGTCACATGGCCATCATGAGCGGATGTGACTACCTTAATGGCCTTCCTGGCGTTGGACTGAAGACAGCCTACCGGATGCTCCGAAAATCCAAAACTCCAGAGCGCGTTGTCAAGATGATGCAGTTTGATGGCAAGCGTGTTTCAGAAAACTATCTCACACAGTTTTACCAAGCAGAGCTGACATTTTTACACCAATGGGTATTCTGCCCCGAGAAAAAGGAGCTTGTTCATCTTACTGAGCTCGACGGTACACGAACAGCAGCTGAGATGCCATTCATCGGAGCCTACGTCGAGCCAAAGCTAGCTAGAGCAATCGCCAATGGCGACTATAACCCCATTACCAAGCAGCCTATTATCACTCAGATTACACCTTCAAAGCGACGATTTACACCAACAAAGTTGCCATCCTCTACCGAGCAGATTCGCAAGCCCATCAACTCATACTTCAAAAACCACGGCAGAATTCCAATGGGTTCAATGGACCCCAACTGCTTCTCCGCTGACCCGCAGCGTGTTGCCCAGCTCACAGACGGTGGACGTGTGCCTCGAGTCTTCCCACTGCCTCGTCCTTACATTGAGGCTACTAATCTGGCTGGTCGTCGCACCTCTCCTCGTCTGAATCGACGTCGGACCGAACCTGTAGCTATCGCAGAGCTGTTTGCAAAGGCTGCTAGCAGCCCCGCGGAGCCTCGCCAGTCTGTCTCTCGACCCTCGATCACGACACCAAAATCGGAGCCTCAAGCTCGACCTCAGAAGAAGGCGCGTCTGTGCGACGAAGCAGATGCAACGGATGACTCTCCCAAGAAGAGCAAGTTCTTCCCCAAGACGAGAGTGAGCCCGAGAAGATCCAAGAGCGAGGCATACCTACTCTCAGATGACTCTGTCGAAGAGGCACTTCTTGCCATGCCCGACTTGGACTCGTGGACGCCAAGTAAACTACCCAAGAAGAGCATCGCCATCTTTGAAGACAAGGCCAAGGACGACTCGCAAACGGACACTCAGGAGTCCATTGCCACAACAGTGTCTAGCTCATCCGACTTGGCTAAAGACTTGGAACACACCTCCACCCCAGATTCATCCTTTGAGGCCATGCCTCCCCCCAAGGCTACAAAGGCTATTCTCTCACAATCACTCTCTACGCCAGCCCCCCTCTCTGTTAACCGCTTCACATACTCTGCCTCCCGCCAATCTGCTACTCCCGTGTCCGCACAATCGTCCGTCTTCAGCGTCATGGCGACTCCATCAACCGCGCCATCGACTGCACGCTCGCGGATGACACCCTTGCAGCGTCTCAGTGCCAATGCATTTGGCGTGTCCCCTGCTCCCCGACCTATGCCACAGAAGAAGTCGTTTGCCGGCCTCCCAGTAAACCCATCTTTTGTGCCGCTCCCTCGAGTGGACTTGGACGAGGTCGAGGCTTTGCACAAGGGCAGTGAAGATATGATGGCTGAAGAGAGCGAGGATGAGAGCGAGGAGGTCCTTCCTGGCAGGAAACTTGACCTGGGACGATTTGTATATTCGTCATGAAAATTGATATGCGTGTTTTGGAATTTGTAGAACTGAAAGCGGCATTTACTGGTATGGATTATGTTGGGCATGGTTTGGCGTTTTTTATCTTGTTATTACATTATGGGCGTTTTTGGGCGTGTAGGAAAATATTAGTATAATACCACGGTGTAGCATTGTCATACAATACATTTCAGCTTGATTGATTCTATCCTTTCTGCCCTTCATAATCACATATTCCCAGTACTGGTTAATAGTATGTATATATATGTATGTATTCGTTATGTAAAATGCCAGAGCGCCCCAACACCTGCTGCTGCCTATCGTCTACAACGTCTTTCATAATCATCATAGGCTCGTCCGCGACGACCAAAAGTACAAAAAAGGAGAAAAGATGGGGGTTGGTGATGATAAAATACCAATGATAGCGCCGCGTCCCAATGAGTCTTGTGCTCAACAAAAGGAAAAGAAAGGGTTCGAAAAGGAACCAGAATACCGAGTAAGCCGAAAAGCCAAGCATCTCTTCTATATCAAATGCCTTCTTTAAGCTGTATTTGGAGTTTGAAATGCCGCATTCTCTATTGCTTAACTGCTGGCACAGTAGGAGCAGCTGGCGCTGTGAGATCATCATTAAACGTCCATTTAACTGTTGTTATCGTTAGCAAAAGTCACTCTTCTTTAAGAATGTAGAATTCGGCGTACCATGAGCAAGATTGTCAGCCGTGTCGTCGAGTAGGATCAATCGTCGCTTTGTGCAGTAAGATGTCTTGTCCATAATGTCAACCTTGAGCTTCGCGTTTGAGAGCTCTTCGATTGGCTTCTCAAACATCTCGGACAGGTTTTCGACAGCCATCTCCAGATCCCGTTGGTTATCTTCAAAGATGGATGTAAGGTTGTTCTTTGCGAGATAAAAGGCGAATGCATATGTCCACTTGAGAGTCTGACGGCAGGTTTGGAGAGCCTGGGAGGCAGAATTGAGGTACTGGACCTCGATCCATGACATGCCAGAGCTGGACTGCAGCTGGACCATTTTTCGCTCAGTCTTATTGGCGATATCTTTGTCAAGTCGGGCTGACTGTTCGTGATTGGCATATCGGTTGTAATAATGCAAGTATCGCTCGAGGGATACTCTTGATTTTGCTTGCGCATCTCGGGCCTCGGAACCGCTCTTCTCTTCGAACCTGTTGCAACTATACCAGCTCGTTCCGTGCTCTGACCAGAGACCCATACACATCCAGCAGAACTCGTACTTGCATTTTCGGCACGTCATGTGGTTGCAACCGCCGTTCTTTTCAATAGTCGACTGGCACTGCGGGCACTCCTTAGTGTTTGCCGAGATCCAGTTGGCGGTTTCGGAATCATCAGCACACTTCTTCAACCACTTCTTGACCAAAGCGCACGGTGCGGGCTGGTGGTCCGGGTTTGGACAACCGAAGCAGAAGCGTTCTCCACAGACGCACTCTACGCTGGGAACAATTCGATCAAGGTCCTTCTTCTTGACACCGCATTCCACGGCATTCGGGCAGTCCGGGGCAGGACACCACTTGAACGTGTCCTTATCTTCAACATATGTGCGGTTTAGGAGCTCGTGGTAACGACCGGTCAAATCGTCGGTAACCAATAGATCAAGAGATCTAGAGTCTAAAATCAGGGCACAGTTACTAGATGGGCACTGAATTCTAGCAGCTTCTCCCTCATCCCGAATTTTCTGCGTTAGATATTGGCGGTAGCAGTCGACACAGTATCTGTGACCACACTTTAACGCGAACGACTGCAGACCCTCTTCGTCTTCGCAGCAAATATCGCACATGAAACCAGGAATCGCCTCTAGTTTAGGCAAGCTAGACGTGTTGCTGCTTAACCCTGCGGCTTCAAGTACCTTTTCTGGTCGATCCATGTAATCTTCTAGCAAGCGCTCCTTATTCCAACGGAAGTGACGCAACATTATAGCGGCATCTTCTTTTCTCATGTCGAGAATCATGTTTACTTCGTTGATCATGTCGTCCTGTTGGCTTTGGATATCGACCGGCTCGTAAACTTTAAAGGGCACCACGTGCGCGGGTGTCTTGGTTTTGTTGACATCTTTCGGAGAGAGCCCGAAATCAGGGTCCGGTTCATCGAAATCGGCATCGTCAAAATCGGCGTCATCGAAATCTAGATGTAATGTTAGCGGTGGTGGCCCTTTGATAGCGGAAGAGACAGGTGGCTGCAACGTACCATCGGCTCCAGAGAGATCAAGCTCCTCGCCACTGTCGAGCATGATCTCGTCGTCGCTCGACATTTGGGAAAAATCTTCCTCTGAATCCATACCGGTATCGTTATTTGTAATCGGTGGTGTAGGAGGAGTTATCGGCGCGACCAAGGCAGCAGGCGAGGCGGCGAGCTTCTTGTTCGGTAGATGGAGTTCGTCCTGTGATGTAATCGACGCCTCGGTCGCCTTTCGCTTCAAGCCCGAGGGAGGAATTTTGGCGACTGTGCAGGTAAGAGATAAAGATTTACCAGAAAGCACTGGTAAATCACGAGATGGCTGGCCGGGTTGGATGAGTAAAGTTTTGTGCAGCGGATTGGGTTTGCTGGAGGAGGGGTTATTTCTAGCCGAACTGAGCGCTATGATGCTATAGAGAGAGGATAAGAGGCGGATGGGAAATGGAACGAGAAGCGGACAATAACCGATGCCTTAGATACAAATGCAAGACTCCAAAGATGAAGCAGTCAGAAATGGCAAGCGTAAGCGGTTTCCCCCCTCGATGATGTAAGGTGGCAAGCGGGCCGATGTTGGGGGAGGTCATCACGAAAACGTCGGGTCACCACGCCTTAAAGGTGAAAAGGTGGCGGCGGGCCATCTTCGGCCGTGAGGCTGAGTCATGCGGTGGTGCCAGGCAGCCGGCGGTCCCAGCGCCTGAGTTAGGCGTAGTTGCGCTGTAACTAGGCTGGTCGCAGCCTGCAAGCGCCCTTGCGCTCCACTGAAGACCAGGTTTTCTGCTTGGTATATTTTGCCCTGTTTTATACGAGCTGCAGCCCGGCACAGCCGATAGCCGGGTGCATCGTGAATATGCTAAATTAATGACTTGCTACGACGGGGGCCTGGCAGGCAACAACTAGCCCTGGCAGAAACAACATGCACGAAAGATCTCCGGAGATTGCGGATTGAGTTTGTGCATGCTAATGATAGATGTGATTTTAAGATGGGAGGGAAATGGTTTAGAGTGATACTATACAAAGCGGCATTGCTATCTAAGCTTTGAGAACCTTCTCGGCGAGGGTGACTATATTTCTGTTAGCATTGGCAAACTTCATAATCAGCAATGTATTCCGACCTACCTTCGGCAGCAGTAGGATCGGCCTCGACGTGCACCTCAGTAACCTTGCCATCTTCCACCTTGAGCGCATAGCGCATGCTGCGGGTGTTGCCCAGGATAGCGGCAGCACCATCGAAGCCAAAGTCAAGAGCTTTGGTGAACTCAGCTGTGGGGTCGGCAATGAAGCGAATCTGCATAATCGGTCAGCATGAATCCGAAGCACCTCTGTTGCTCCACTTACACCAGTCTCGGCAGCAGGGTCAAGCTGTTCAGCCCAGGCCTTCATGCTGTGAGTCAATTAGCTACACATGTCGTGCATCTTTGAAACATAGAAAGCTTACACGAAAGGATCATTGACAGAGACAACAAAGACGTGTCCAACCTTCTTGATCTTGGGGTGGTTGATCCAAGAAGGGATGTGCTTGCTGGAGCAGGTGCCAGTAAAGGCGCCAGGGACTCCAATGATGTAGCCGTTACCAGTCTGGAACTCATCAGCGAGGCTGACATTGTTGGCAGCTGAGTTCTCAAAAAGACCAGTTGCTTCGGGGATCTTGTCGCCAACGCGGACGAGCGCTCTAGGCGTGGTGTGGAAGCTGCGCTGAGAAGCAGCGCGAATGGCGACAGCGGCACGACGGGCAGGGATTCGGAAAGACATTTTGAGTAGAGTTGGAGTTGGCAACGACGTCAATGGAGATTGGGTAATGGATCGATGTTGTTGTTGATGCAGGAGTGAAGGAGGCATTTTGGGGAACTGGAGCTTCGAGCTACCCCAGATATTTTTTTGGCGGGGACCTGCGGTTTGTTTGCATAGGCTGGAGAGTGGCGCTCTCTAACCAGGGCGGCAAGAATCTCAAGCCCAATGGTGATGTTCAAAATGGTGATACGAGTAAAATATTAGTCCTTTATTGTTTGAAATTAATTTAGAGTTTTGAAATGTGAACTTGGGATGCTTTTGCGTTTATTCTGGATTATACACTCGCTACTGCCAGGCACCGTTGCTATGCTAGAACTGAGATCGAATTGGGACGCCTATGAAAACATGTCGTTACTTTTTGTTGCTGTCATCTGCTGCTGCCACTCTCTACTAGAATAGAGCAGCTTGCATATACACGGGGTATATACTCCCATCAGGTTGATTCGGGGCCTTTAGCGGATCACTTACCGCATGTACGTAATAACGGGTTAGCGAGTAGTTTAGGTTGTATTGACGGATTGTGCCTGCGAGAGTGGTGGTATTTGTATCTCTTTTTCGACTTTCCCTTTGCGGAAGTGAATCGCGGCTTGATTAAAGTAGGTATCGCAAATGCCGAGATGACGTATTACAAGCTGCCGGCGGATCCGGGTAGAAGCCGTGAGACGATGCTCTTATTTTGCCCTTTTAGGCATAGGAATGAAAGCAGTGTGCGTAGTATCCTAATCGTCACAGTGCATGATGTATCTAGAACTGTTATTAGGTATAATGGTAGAGCGACGCCTAGATAAGAGCATTAATGGCCTGACGGTCGCAATTTTGGAGGCCGAGGATGCTAACTGATGATACGGGATAATAAAAAAGCTTGACAAATAAACTTGTTTATTATCTGTGTTTATGGGCTGACTGTAGAGTAGAACTGCCTCGCTGTTAGCTGTGGTTTTGACCTTTGCTCGTTCTCGCCTTGGATTCAAGCGACAGGTTCAATGCTATAGGCGGTGGCTATGCACTGGCGATAGTGAGTGCTTCTATAATTTGGTGATAAATTGATCGGCTGGTAGCAAGACTTGATCGCTCAGTTTGCGCTCTTGTTACAGACCGGATTTTGCCTTGATTTGAGGCGACACGGTTTAATAAGACGGCACGATCCCCTTGTCAGGCGATATGCGCAAGCTGTCAGGGATGCCTGACATTGGGAGCGTGCCTTTGAAATCATAAAGTATTCCAGAGCATGAGCAATCAAACGATGGGCTCATTTTGAAACGGGAGCAGGTTTGGGACATGAAGGATGTACCGTTATGGCATTTTGCAGTGGAGGCCAGGTGGGAAAATGCGACACTGGTACATGTCTCGTGCGTGGGTGGTAGGGGAAAAGGGAGCCCAGCCCGGTAGTAGGGTCCCATAGGTACAGGCCAAGCAACGGCTATGGTGGGAATGGCGGCCGTTTTAATTTTCTACAAAATTGCTTAACCCCGATATATTTTTTTTCATCCTTCTTATACAATCAAACATATCTTCTTTTTCTGTCGGTAATTATTCCTCCGCCGCCTTCTTGTGCTAATCCTGTGGTTAAATCTATCCTTATCCGCCGCACAGACGTCCTTCTTTGCCCTCCGGCGGCCGCACCACCCACGCTAAACGTTTAGCTCGCCTTCCTCCCCCTCTTTCAGCGCACATGCGGCCACGAGCCCACTAAAAAGCCCGCCGCTAAGAAAGGTACCAGCGACATTGGCCCAAGCCGATTGGCGCCCAGCGTCACCCTCGCTCGCCTCTCTTCGCTCCTTGGCTGTGCTCACCGTTCAGTACACCCGGCAAAAACCCCCTCTTCGTTTTTTCCTCTGCGCCCGTCCGTCTTGCAACCCCCCCTCACCACCAGAGCCGGCCAGCCTCAGCATCGCCAACAGCTGCCTTTTCCTCGTCAACACCATAGGCCAGCGCTCTGCTTGCTACCCTCTCTTGCGATTCGGCTTTTATCCGCCGTACAAACTCACCCTGCGACCATTTGCGACACATCCACGTACGCACACACGACTACTTGCTACGCTCTGCCCCTGCGCACAGATCGGCATCTCCCACAGGCTGTCTCGCTGCCCTGCAACTTGTTCACCCAAAGCTGCTCATTTCGGTGGTTGCACTGTAGAAATAACGCAGCTTTTGCCTGAGCCAGCCGCTACTATACTCTGATTGACCTTTATTCTCAACCGCAACGAAATCCAACACCCGTCAGCGCCCATCTCGGAACCCTACCGATACCGTGACTACCTGCGCCGCCCGATTTCACTGTGCTGGTACTCCCTCGGTCTTCTCGCAAGGCCACCTACTTCGAACACAAAAAACCCACGATTGGCTATTGCAATCCAACGCAAAACCGAAAGCGTCAGACTGAGCCTCGGCATCCGCTATTCCTCTGCGCATTGCTACAGAGAAAGCTCGGGACGGCAGATTGACCCTCAATCCCACGTAATCGCCACAAGAGAATGTCAGCCATGCTACAGACGCCCTCACGAGCCTCAACAGCATCTACATCATCTTTTCAACCCATTTCACGTCAAAACACAATGTCTTCCTACGATGGCGGCGGCTCGCGCTCGGCGCGCCAGTCGAAGCGCTTCTCCATGTCTGCCCTGTACATGTCCATGTCCGCCAATGAGGGCGAAATGGAAATTGAGGATGACCTCGCTAAAGGTAAGAGCGCATGGTTTGTCTGCTACACAGAGCTTACGACTAACCTGGTAAACAGCCCAGAAAGTCTTGCGTGAGCTCAAGACCAAAATCTCATCTCAGTCCAAGAAGAACTTTGTGCTCGAAAAAGATGTTCGATACCTCGATTCCCGCATTGCGCTCTTGATCCAGAACAGAATGGCGCTGGAAGAGGTATGTTGAAATTTGTTACTAGCTATTTTGTGATGTCATGCTGACTTTTTCCTAGCAAAATGAAGTCGCCAGCCATCTTGAAGACGCCACCGACATGCAAGAAGGCTTCTTCCCAAACGACGACAAGACGCAGAAGTACGGCAACCTGCTCTTCCTCTTGCAATCCGAGCCCAGACACATTGCTCATCTCTGCCGCCTTGTCACAATGGCTGAGATCGACTCTCTCTTGCAAACCGTCATGTTCACCATCTACGGAAACCAGTACGAGAGTCGTGAAGAGCATCTTTTGCTCACCATGTTTCAGGTTGGAATCATTTGTTCCTCGATATCTTTTGCGCATGGCTAACATTTCTACAGTCTGTCCTTACCTATCAATTCGACAACACACCCGAATACTCGTCCCTGTTGCGCGCAAACACTCCCGTATCCCGCATGATGACCACATATACCCGCCGTGGTCCTGGTCAGAGTTTCCTTCGAACAGTTTTGGCCGAAAGAATCAACAACCTCATTGAGCTTCAGGATTTGGACTTAGAAATCAACCCCCTCAAAGTGTACGAGCGCATGCTGGAGCAGATTGAGGAGGAGACTGGTTCTCTTCCCGCCAACTTGCCCAAAGGCATCACTGCTGAGCAGGCTGCCGAGAACCCACAGGTCCAGGCCATCATTGAGCCCAGACTTTCCATGCTGACGGAAATCGCAAACAACTTTTTAACGACAATTATTGATGGACTTGAGGAAGCCCCTTACGGTATTCGATGGATTTGCAAGCAAATTCGCAGCTTGACCAAGAGAAAGTACCCCGATGCCAACGATCAAGCGATCTGCACGCTGATCGGCGGATTTTTCTTCCTGCGATTTATCAACCCTGCCATTGTCACCCCCAAGTCCTACATGCTGATCGAGGGAACCCCGTCGGAGCGCCCCCGTCGCACTCTTACGCTGATCGCCAAGATGATCCAGAACCTGGCTAACAAGCCTTCCTACGCCAAGGAACCGTACATGGCCACCATGCAACCCTTTATCGACCAAAATAAGGACCGCATCAACAGATTTATGTTGGAACTTTGCGAGGTCAGCGATTTCTACGAAAGCTTGGAGATGGACAACTATGTTGCCCTTTCCAAGAAGGATTTGGAATTGGACATTACTCTCAACGAAATCTACGCCATGCACGCTCTCATTGAAAAGCATGGCCAGGAGCTCTGCCATGACGACAACTCCCATCTCGCCATCATCGTGCAAGAGCTCGGCACCGCGCCAGCCCAGCTACCCCGAAAGGAGAACCGTGTTATCAACCTGCCGCTCTTCAGCCGATGGGAGACTGCCATTGACGACTTGACCGCTGCTCTCGACATCACACAGGAAGAAGTTTTCTTCATGGAAGCCAAGTCTATTTTTGTCCAGATTATGCGCTCCATCCCCCAGAGCAGTGCCGTGTCTCGCCGACCGCTACGACTTGAGCGTGTGGCTGATGCCGCAGCCACCAGCCGCAACGACGCCGTCATGGTGCGCAAGGGCATTCGCGCCATGGAGCTTTTGTCCCAGCTTCAGGAACTGGGTGTCATTGATAAGAGCGACCAGTTTGGCTTGTTGCGTGACGAAATCGAACAGGAGCTGCAACATCTCGGATCGCTCCGCGAAGGCGTCATGTCGGAGACCAAGAAGCTCGAGGACGTCTACAAGACCATCCGCGACCACAACACATACCTTGTCGGCCAGCTTGAGACGTATAAGAGCTACCTACACAATGTCCGCTCGCAGAGTGAAGGCACCAAGCGCAAGCAGCAGAAGCAGCAGGTTCTCGGCCCTTACAAGTTCACTCATCTGCAGCTCGAGAAGGAGGGCGTGATTCAGAAGAGCAACGTGCCGGATAACAGACGCGCCAACATTTACTTCAACTTCACCAGCCCCCTTCCCGGCACATTTGTCATTTCTCTCCACTACAAGGGTAAGATATTACTATTCCTCCCATCTCTAGTAGCTAGATACTAACACCGCCACAGGACGCAACCGCGGCCTCTTGGAGCTGGATCTCAAGCTTGACGATCTGCTGGAAATGCAAAAGGACGGCCAGGAAGAGCTGGATCTGGAATACGTGCAGTTTAGCGTCGCCAAGGTGCTGGCCCTTCTTAACAAGCGCTTCGCTCGTAAGAAGGGATGGTAAACTTTTTTTTTTTACCTCGCCTCGCCCGCCTCTGTACCACTAGCCTCACGCCCAACACCTCGCCACGGATCGCAATTCGCTTCCTTTTTATCTCATTTCATTTTTTTACCAACCACCGAAACGGTACACTAGACATATTGGATATATGTCTGTCTGCCCGTTCTCGGACGGCCCCGTGTGTCGATCTCCCTCCCGCTCTCCCTTACTCATATCTACCTGGGCGGCTTCAAGGGAGAGCAAACCATGCACTAACCTCGATCGTTTTTAATTTCCTAGTCTGTTAATTTTCGACCTCGCAGGGGTCTGACGCAAGACTTGCTATCGATTTGCCATTTTATTCTGGCTTTTTTTCCAGTCGGCTCAACTCGGTTCTCGTTTTATTCTCTCACAATGTTTGTGGTTGCCGCTTTGCACGTTACTCAACTAAATCCTGGAGCTTTTGCTTGGTGTGTTGAAATGAAGCTTGTTTTTTACATCTCGGATTTTTACATGTACGATTATGTCAAGGATGGAAATTTTTGGGCTTTTGTTTTTGCCGCCGCCAAGTCTTTTCTGTTCTGCTCCGTTCTTACTTTATATCTATCAATACCATTTGAATTTCTTTTTATTTACTACGCAAATGACTCACGTTGAAACCATGAAAGCGGCAGTGTGGAAACATATCTTGTCATTCTCGTAGGCGATTAATAAAAAAGGGACATTTTAAGCTGCAAGTAACATAGCATAAGCCAAAGACACGAAGAATTGCTTGCACCTTTTCCCTACAACCGGTGCTCTTTTCGTTTTCAGCGCAAGGACAAACGTGTACGTCTTTTCTCACAAATGACTGTAATCTCTATTTCGTTTTCTTTTCCGTCTACGCCATCCAAAGCTCAAAGGTGCCGTGCCCGGCGCGTCGATGGCGCGTGCGTGGGCTTGTTCGTTTCGAAATCGGTCATTCTCTGAGCTGCTAGGCTCGTGCGTTTAGGAGGAGACAGCAACGGGCTTGGCAGCAGCAGCCTCATCAACCTCCATGGCTTCATCCTCGCCCTCAACGGCCTCGCCTTCGCCTTCACCCTCACCCTCCTCGAGCTCCTCAAGCTCCTCCTCGCTCTCGCCCTCGAGGTCGACGCTGCCGTCCTCGGACATCTCGTCTTCAGCCTGGCCGTTCTCGCCCTCAGCACCAGCCTCAGCAGGGACGCCACCCATCTCAGCATCCTCGCCGTTCTGGCCAGCAGCTTCGCCCTCGGCAGCGGCCTCCTCAGCCTCTTCCTCCTCACGCTCTTCAGCACCATAGTCCTCCTCATCAGCAGCAGCGAGATCAGCCTCAGGCTGCTCAGGAGGGAACTCGGCGGGGGCAGAGGCTTCAGAGTCCCTATTGGCGCGAAAGAGTTAGTCCAGGTATCGAATGCGCTCCATATAGTGACTTACCACTTAATAGCGAAGCGCGTCACTCTAGGCTTCTCGGCGAGAACGTTTCTGCGGACGCGCTCGACGAGAGGCTTGGCAGGGGGCTCAGCGTTAAGCTCGGGGGTATCATATTCATTGTTAACGTAGTAGCCGACGCGAACGAATTCACGGTTGTCGTAGGAGCAGGTCAAGAGGACGACGGTAACTCCAAGGATATCAGCATCGGGAATGCGGGAAATGTCGGGCGAATCGGCCTCAAAAAGGAATTTGTTAACGCCGACGGGGACAGGGCCGACAAGGAGAGAGTCGAGCTCCTGATCGTGCTGGTCGCTGAAGAGCTGGTTAGCATAAAGGAAGGGAGGGGGCATGCGCGCGCCCGGGGGAGGATGCTGGCGTACGAAGTGGCCGAGCCGACATAGGTAAGCTTCCATTCAAGGTCTAGAGACGCGTGCGTGAATTGTTAGCGTGAGAAAACGAACGCGCGTGAACAGTAGAACACGAACCGTGCTCAAGCTGCTCGAGACACTCAAAGGTGATTTCGAACTGGTACTTGTCGGTGAACATGGCGGGGTTGTTCACAACCTTGACGCCGAGAAGAGAAACCACAGACATGATGGATAAGGTGGTGTTTGTGAAGTCTTGCTAGAGGGAAAAACGCGACGAGGCAGCAGTGAATATATATGCGCAGGCCGGTTGAGGATGCGCACTTGGTCGTGTGTTTGGGGGAGAGAGCTTGTTAGTTGGAAGCTCTGGCGCGAGGTGGGGTGTAGTTGGCGAAGGCGTTGGCGCAGGCGGCGATTAACTGGGGGAGCGTTGTTGATGGGAGAAGAAGATGGTTGATTGGGTATTTTGCGTGGTCGGAATGCAAGCAGCGATGGTGCAGGAGCGAAGAAGGAGGAAAAAGCAAGAGGCGGGATTCCCTTTGTTATTTGTAGCGCGGCTCCAGAAATAAAGAGGGTGAATTTCTCAAACTCAAGGGTTGGCGGTGCTCGCTTTCGCTGGGTCCCTTGGGCGAGACAATGGGATGCTTGGGACGCGCTCAAGGGTCGCTTGGGGTGGTGCAGGCGCGTTGAGTGGCGGGTCCAGCAGTTATGGTAGGCGGACGGGTGCTAACTCTGCTAGTGGCAACGCGTTGTCGCTAACAAAGCTTGCCCTTGCCTGGTAGAGTGGTGGTGTGGTGTGCACTGTATTTTGTTTTTTCTTTGGGCGGGCCCACTGTAGTTACTGGCAGCAGTTGGTCCAAGCCGCAGAGCTGTGGTGTAGCAGCTCATTAGTGTGTGGCTGGCTAGACAATGCATGGATGCGGTAGGCGGTGAAGACCACCAGCCTAATCTACACCCTTGCTTCACTTGCGACCGCAGCAAAAAGAAGCCACACATCTCCCAATGCATGCCCCTTTGGGAATTCTGCCGCCCCAGCCCAGCCCCAGAGCTTCTTTCTCTCTAGGCTGCAAAGTCAGCGTTCCGCGGCCCAAGGCTAAGTTCGATTTTGTCGTCCATCATTTCGTTGTTGCGCAGTGTGCCATTCCGCCACTACATCATTTGTCGCTGCTGTCTTCGCGCTGCAGTATTGAAATTCTGAATTACTCCCGCCGCTAGACTTTGCCGCAATCTCGCAGCCGATTTCTGTCCGGCGCAATTGCTCGCGATTCATCGGCCGTAAAAAGGCTACTTCGAGTTTGGTCCTGGTAAGCGCACGGCATCTTGTCAAATCAAGTTGGCAAACATTAACGCAGTTACACAGAATATAATTCTCCCATTTGGCGCGCTCGATAGATACACGATCTAGATATAACGGTAGTTGCTCAAGACAGGCCATGATGGCGGACGCCGGCAACGACTGGGAGCAGGATGGAGTGAATGGCAATGACGGAGCTTATGATCAGTATAGCGGGGACCAAAATGATAGCAATGATTATGCTTCACATGCTCCAGATGATGTGCCCGAGGATGAGAGCGACGATGGCGCCGATTATGATCCAGAGTCTGTCGGCTTGGATGTCATGCCAGCGCCCGCACCAGCAGCAGAACGAGAGCCCGCAGCTGCAGCCCCAGCCAAAGCCAGAATGTCTGGCGGCTTTCTGGTAGAAGATGAGGACGATGACGATGATGACGACGATAACCAGACTCCTCAGTCCAATACTATTGTGCAGACGACACCGCAGATTCGCCGACCCGACGAAAAACGCTTACAAAGCGTCACTCCCACTGAAGTGCCATCGTCCAACACTCCGACTGCCATGCCTGGAATTAATCCCGTTGCTCTTCTTGAAGCGCGTGTGAAAGAGGATCCCCGTGGAGATATGGATGCGTGGCTCGCACTAATGGCGGAAAATCGACGCCAAAGCAACATGGCTGAATTACGAATCACATATACGCGTTTCCTCGAAGTCTTCCCTCAAGCGGTATGTATACGCACCTTTTTTTTCTAATACTGATACATCATCATTGCTATTGCAACTGTAAGAAGTAATTGCTAACACACAATGTTACAGGGTGATATTTGGGCCGAATGGGTCGAAACCGAACTGGCAATGGATAACTTTGGCGACGCCGAGCGACTCTTCGGGCAATGCCTGATGACGGTACCCAACATTCGATTGTGGACAATCTATCTAAACTACATTCGCCGTCGTAACGACTTGAGCAGCGATGCTACAGGCCAAGCGAGACAGACAGTGACTCAATCCTACGAGTTTGTCCTTGATCACATCGGCGTCGATAGAGATGCTGGTGATATCTGGCAAGACTATATCCAATTTATCAAGAGCGGCCCAGGACAGGTCGGCGGAACCGGTTGGCAGGACCAGCAGAAGATGGACCAAATGCGAAAAGCATACCATCGCGCCATCTGTATTCCCATGTCCTCCATTAACAACCTCTGGAAAGAATACGACCAGTTTGAAATGAGTCTGAACAAGGTTACTGGCCGCAAGTTTATTCAGGAACGATCTCCAGGATACATGTCTGCCAAGAGTGGTAATATTGCCTTGGATAACATTGGCCGAAATCTCAAAAGAACCACTCTCCCGAGACTGCCTCCTGCACCTGGATTTGATGGTGATGAGGAGTACCGTGAGCAGGTCGAGATATGGAAGAAGTGGATTGCCTGGGAAATGGAAGATCCCCTCGTATTGAAAGAGGACGAGCCCAAAGTCTTCACACAACGCATTCTGTACTGCTACAAGCAGGCCCTAATGGCGCTCCGATTCTGGCCTGAGATGTGGATTGACGCTGCCGAATGGTGCTACCAAAACGACATACGCGAAAACGAAAAGGAAATGGGCACCGAATTCCTCACTCAGGGTATCACTGCTAACCCAGAAAGTGTTCTGCTTGCCCTCAAGCGTGCCGATCGACTCGAATCGACATATTCCGAACGAGAAGGAGACAAGGCCGAATTTGCCAAGGCTGTTCGCGAGCCATTTGACAAAATTCTGGAAACCTTGTATGCTATGGGCGACAAGGTTAAAGAGAGAGAAAAGCTCGAAATTTCTACGTTACAGCAGGCCGCAGCTGCAGACCCTGTCCATGAGTCTATTGAACCCAATGAGGATGATTCGGGGCAGCCTCGCAAAACTGCAACCGAGATGCGAATTCAAGCCATTCAACAGGCAAACGCAGTCGAAACCCAACTGCTATCCAAGACAATTTCATTCATATGGATTGCTCTTGCTCGCGCCATGAGACGGATTCAAGGCAAGGGCAGTCAATCTGATGGCGGGTTACGCAAGGTCTTTACAGACGCCCGTCAAAAGGGACGTCTGACAAGCGACGTGTATGTCGCTGTAGCTTTACTGGAATCGATTGTATACAAGGATCCTGTAGGCGCAAAGATTTTTGAACGCGGCGCACGGCTCTTCCCCAACGACGAAGTCTTTATGATTGAGTATCTCAAGTTCTTGCATTCAAAGGACGACACCACAAACGCCCGTGTTGTCTTTGAGACTTGTGTCAACCGCCTGGTTGCCAAACCTGAGACTCTTGCAAAGGCCAAACCACTGTACGCCTACTTCCACAAATATGAATCACAGTTCGGAGAGTTATCCCAGATCAGTAAGCTGGAAGACCGTATGGCCGAGTTATTCCCAGACGATCCTAGACTGAGCATATTCATGTCCCGGTACTCTAACAGCAAGTTCGACCCCATTGTGACACCAATCATCATTTCCAAGGCCGTACAAATGAGACCCAAGGTTGCCGTGCCTGTGATTTCCGGAGCTGAGTCAGTCCAGAATAGCCCACGGCCAAGACGACAGGACCAGAGTCCTATGCCAAACTTTGTGCGCGCTACCGCATCCCCCAAACGTCCATTTGGTGTTGATGACGACGAGCTGAACCCACCCAAGCGCGTGGCCCGTGGCATTTCACCCCTGAAAGGCGCGGCTGGCCGCAGGCTGGACCAGCAACGTCGCAATCAGTCTGCAAGTTTCCATCGGGATATTACATTCCTCCTAGGCATCCTTCCCCCAGCACATACATACGATGCTCAAAGATTTAGCGCCCCTGGCATGGTCTCACTACTGAGAGACGTTCACCTACCAGACTACAGCTCGTGGAGGGCCAGAACAGGTGGACAATACATGCAGATAGGGCATGCACGCCAGGCCTCCGGCGACTACGCTAGGGGTTCTAGCCCATACCCCCAATCTGGGCCGCCTGGAAACTATCGCAACCAGCCTGTACGCATAGAGAGCGCTGCTAATGTCTATGGATCTGGAGCATACGGCCAGCAGCAAGGCGGGACCAACCAGCAAGGCCAATACGGAGGATACCGATATTAGAAGGGCTCTTTTTTCAACTTGAATTATTTTCTTTTGGTAATATGGATGGCGTTTGGCATTTCAGTTCAAGGTAAAACACTGAGCAGTTGGGTCCATGGGATTTCTGTATCATCTCGCGACGGTCACGGCATGGGAGAGCATGTATTACCACAAAATAGCACAATGTACTGTATCTTTCTGACTCTATTTACTTTGTACCTCTTATCTGTTGAATAACCGTGATGTGTTTGCAATGTGCCATTGGTGAATTTGCTCTAAGTGAATAGTTGCGGTACGCCAGAGCCCAAATTAATCGGACTAGGGGTCTCATCTCGACAGTGATAGTCTCATCGCCCTTCAGTCATGTTACTTACGTTTCTTGTCCTGTCTGATTTCTACTTTCAGTTTTGGAGCGTCTTGTGACTGGAGGAGCAACTCCAGACATCGGTGATGCTTCACTGGAGCAACCTGCCAGGCACTACCAGAGGTCGTTTGCCAGCTGGCAAGTGGCAAACCCCAGGTATATAAACCGGCCTTCCCTCCCTTCTGGCTTTTCAACCTCTACACAGTCAAGCCATCTGCGTTCTCTTCACAAGTTCCCCGTCTGCATTCTCTATTGCCTTTCTGCCCCGTCCCCGTTGTTTGCGGGTGGCGGATCAACCGCTTCTCAATACAAAAAGCCGCCAGCGGCCATCCCCATACCTTCCACATCGCCAAAGATCTCCCAAGGCGAAACCATAGGAGACAAGCTTCGTTGGCAGGGTTTTGCACTTTCCGCCCTGGTGTCTGCAGTAAGCTCTCTTTCCGCAGTTGCGTCTGTCTACAATCTAATCATCCGTTACAGCCAAGAGAACCACTCAAGATTCAGCAATCTTGCTCCTACTCATCGACTGTTCAATCAGCCTACAACGGTAATACGTACGAAAATGTCTGGCTCAGCACAAGATACACACAATTCTAAAAAGAGATTAGCATCTAGGTCACCGATGTCATCCGTGGCGGCGAGCAGAGTCGCTTCCCCCGCTCGCCCAGGATCGTCCTCCGGCCTTACACAAGCCGCTGCGGGATTGGCCCTGACCTCTCGTGATGAAGCTTCCGCGTCCTCAAAGCAGGGGATGGGCAATACCCGAATGGAATTGCCCCCCGATGCCTATGTTGCTAGCCTTAAGAAGTCGATGTTTCCCCACAGGGGAAACAAGTTCAATTCTGAAGGTCAGATTCATATGGTCGAGGTCAACCAGTACCGCATGACAAACTTTGATTTCAAGAAGAAGATTTACCAGTACGATGTAAGCATATGCGTGAAATCTTCTCTATTATTCTATAACTAACACCTGTAGATCTCTGTATCTCCGGACGTGACGCAAAAGACAGCTATCCTGAAGAAGCTCTGGGACCATCCCAAGACGAAGGAGGCTCTGGCCAACTACAAACCTCAGTTTTGGCTTTTTGATGGTCGAAAACTTGCATGGTCCTCTGTTCCCTTAGACCGAGGAGAAGTCAGGTTCTCGGTCGATTTGGACGAGGGCAAGCCGGTACAGGCCAACCGCAGGGGGGGCTCCAATCTCTTCTATGTTACTATCCGACAAACCACTGAGATCAAGATTGAAGCTTTGCAGGGCTACCTGGATCACAAGATCGATTTCAACAATGTGGTTCAGGAAGCGCTTAATTTCTTGGATCATTTGATTCGTGAGACGCCTTCGAAGAAGTTGTTGGCTATCAAACGCAATTTTTACCATCGCAATGGGTCAGGCCGTCGCCTCATGGACGGATCTATTGTGGAGGTTCATCAGGGAACTTATGCTTCCCTGAGACTGAGCCATAATTTGGCTCACGGTGGCATCGGCATGGCGTTGAACACCGATGTATCCAATACCTGCTTTTGGATGGGCAAACAGACCGTCGACCAGATGATTTGCCACTACTTGGCTGGCTGTGAGCGCCGGTGGTACTCTCTTAAGCCGTCTGACCTTGCAAAGGAACTTCGACCTGTCAACATTGAAGGACGACTTGGGCAATCTGATGCGTTCAAGCATCTTCGCAAATTTCGCAAATTGCGCTTTACCGTACGCCACTCCAATAGGGCTGCGGCTGCCAATGATAAAGTCTACACCATCCAAGACTTTACTTTTGATCCCAAATATGGACCAGAGGGGGTAAATGCGAAGAACAAGACGTTCCCTCAGGATGATGGCAAAGAAATCAGCGTCGTCGACTACTATGATAAAAAGTACGCGGCATTCTTGCGGTACCCGTTCTTGCCATTGATTGATGCTGGTAAGGGCGGCTTTATTCCCATGGAATTTGCATGGATTGAGCCTATGCAGCGCTATGCGTTTAAACTCAACCCTGACCAGACAGCTGCAATGATCAAGATGGCCGTCACAAGGCCCGAAGTTCGCAAGCAGAATATTCAACGTCAAATGTCATATCTCGACCAACCCAACGACCCCGTCCTTGCTCACTATGGTGCACATTTTGAAAAGGAATTTACCAAAACTCAGGCTCGGCTTCTACCTGCACCAATCGTCAACTTTGGCACCGGCGTTGCAACCCCCGGCACGGGTGGCCGTTGGGATCTTCGCGGGAAAAGGTTTTGGAAGGCAAATGTTGTGCCTCTACAAGCCTGGGGGTTTGTCGTCATGGACAACTGTGTCACCTTGCCGCAACTGCAGCAATTTGCTAAGACTTTCAAGACCACTTTTGTCGGACATGGAGGCATCTGCAGCGCCGACCCATTGCTTCTGAACGCGCCTGGAGATATCAAAACGAATCCGGCACAGGTCCTCTCTTGGGCCCATGGCCAAATCACCAACAGCAAGAAGATGTTCACGCAGCTGTTGTTTGTGGTTGTTCAACATAAGAATAGTCCACATTATATCCGCCTCAAGAAGTCAGGCGATTGTCGCTTCGGGATTTTGACCCAGGTTGTCAACGGCGGTCATGTTGCGAAGAACAATGGGCAATATCATTCCAACATTTGCCTCAAAGTAAACGCAAAGCTTGGCGGTGCAACTTCGCGCACTATGCCTCCATGGAAAACTTCAGGGACTTACTTTCCAAGAGAGCGCCCTACCATGATCATCGGCGTTGACATTTCGCACGCCGCTCCGGGAGGCGATGCAGCCTCTACCGCAGCCATGACCATGTCTATTGACCCAGATGCGACCCGGTACGCTGCCATGGTTGAATCCAATGGGTATAGGGTGGAGATGCTTACTCCAAGCAATGTCCAAATGATGATTGGCAAGCTGTCCAGTGAATGGAAGAAGGAGCATGGGAACAGCTTCCCTGCGCATATCATCTATTTCCGCGATGGTGTGGCCGAGGGGCAGTTTGCCCACGTCATCGAGCAGGAGGTGCAAGAGATGAAATCTTTCTTTCAGCGCGTCGGCGGGGGGAAGCCTCCCCCAAAGTTCACCGTCATCATTGCCACTAAGCGGCACCATATAAGGCTATTCCCTCTCCATGGAAAGGGGGATCGCAACGGCAACGTTCTGCCAGGGACTTTGGTCGAGAGGGATGTGACCCATCCTTTCATGTTCGACTTTTATCTCAACTCCCATGCCGCTATTCAGGGCACTGCGCGCCCGGTCCATTACCATGTGATTATGGATGAGATGAATTGCCCGGTCAATGATCTTCAAAAGATGATCTATTACCAATGCTATACGTATGCCCGATCCACAACACCGGTGTCCCTTCACCCGGCGGTGTACTATGCTCACCTCGCATGCAACCGAGCTCGCGCTCATGAGGCCTCTTCGTCGACGGATTCGGCTCGTACTGGTTCCAAGGGGCATGAGATGATCCGCGAGCAGGAATCCCGGGGTTTGAGTTCCGTCAATTTGAGAAACACGGCGGCCCCTGCGTTGTTGCCCCTCGGTGGCCGCCCAGAGTCTGCGAAGCTCGCGCATGGGGAGGCGGCTCAGAGACGTTTTTTGCCTCGTACCATGTGGTATATTTAAAGAAAACTCAACCAAAAAAATCACAGACGTAACAGGACCGTGCTGAAAAGAGCCACATAGAGGGGAATTTGCTAGGAAGAATAGTTGATTGATTTGGTTAAGGAATAAGAAACAGGAAATACGGACCAGGAAATATGACAAAGGAATTACCATATTGAAAGCGAGCCAAACACGGAACAGGTAGTAGCTAGGGATAAGAACAAATTAGCTTAGCGTAAAAAAACACAAATAGGAATAAGAAGTTTGCATTCCACCAAACCTATTCGCTTTGACAAGTGCCTGAAATTAGAATTGAAACAAAGAGCCGTGCACACTTACACGGGCGTCTGACACCACAGGGTAGCCAGTGCGGGCGGCATCGGGGGGGATGAGGCCCACTGAGATGACGTCTGAGCGGGCACGGCCACAACGGCTGAGGCGCTGCCCCGCCATTGCACAGCGGAGCTCGAAACTTTGTTTGCAACGCAGCACTGCCTCGTTCGTCTTTTTGTTCATCAGACCACGCTGGCCGCCGAGCTCATCAACAAAGAAGCAAACAAACTCGATTGTTGACACCAAAAAAATGGCGGGATTTGTTCGAGGAAAGCAGGCGGGCATCCAGAATGACCTGTCGGCAAGCATCCGCCCCGAGCTGTTTACGCCGGACGAGCAGGCTCGTTACGGAATTAACTCGCAGATTGGGTATGAATAGTTGCTACGGACAAAGAGACGACACGAAGCTAACAAGAGCTGTATAGCTGCATGGCCTACGACCCAGTGCAATCACTGCTCGCCATCGGAACGAACGAAAGCAAGTTTGGCCCTGGCCTAGTCTATGTCTTTGGCCAACGCCGCGTCCAAAAGGTTCTCTCGACTCCCCGACCGACGTCTTTTACAAGCCTACATTTCAACGGAAGGAATTTAATTACACTTGACAACAAAAGCGAACTTGGAGTATGGGATCTCGACACAGGTACCCGTACTGCTGCGCAGGTCATTGCGGGCACAGTCGCCTGCATGATTGTCGACCCTATGCTGGACTGGGCCTTTGTTGGATTACAGAACGGTGACATTATGGCCTATGACCTCGACCGCAGCACTTTGGCTAGGTCCTTCCGCCTGCCCAACTTTTGGAGAGAACGAGATCCTCAAGCTAGAGCGGCGTATTTGGTGTCTATTTCCCTGCATCCTCGCGATGTTGGCAAACTATTAATCGCCTACACGCATGGCGTAGTTATTTACTCCTTCAAACAGAATAAACCCACACTTTTCCTAGAATACGAGGTGCCGAGGGGTGCTCCTGGTGGTAATGGTGCTGGTCTCGAGGCTCCACGCCGGCCACGATTGACTCATGGGCTCTGGCATCCCTCAGGCACATTCATCTTGACAGCGCATGATGATGGCAGCCTTGTCTTTTGGGATCCGAACAAGGACGGTCGTGTTGTCATGGCGAGAACATTGACTGCGTTTGATGTTGACCACGTTGGCGCTGCGCAGTCTGTTGCTCCGGTCTTCACCGAGCCGTATACCAAGATTGCTTGGTGCTGCAAGGAGAATTGCGACGATTCAGGTCTTTTGATTGCAGGTGGACAACCTCCAGATGCCCCCAAGAACATGACGTTTATCGACTTGGGAGTCACTCCCATCTACGCGACGTCGTCATGGCAGGCTCTCGGCAACTATTTCCGAGGCAAGCGAGACAACTCTCTGCAAATCCCGAATGGCGCCAATGTAGTAGACTTTTGTCTCGTGCCCCGAACATCGCCTCATTTTGCCGGTGCCCAAGATCCCATTGCCGTCCTCACGCTGCTCTCTTCCGGTGAGCTCATTACACTGAGCTTTCCCTCGGGATACCCAATCAGCCCAACTGGCCAACTACACCCCTCTACCTTCTTTGTGCACCCTTTTATCAGCAAGGTACATGTATCTAGCTTAGAGCGCCCCAGATGGCTAAGCATGATGGAGAAGCGCGATATTGGAGAGCCCATGTTGAAGGGAGGTGCAGAGGCAGCGAAGCCTCGCAAGCGATTCGAAGAGCGCACGATTATCCAGGCTGCACATGGAGACAGCACGATTCGTATCTGGGACTCTGGCCATGCTGATGACATTGAAAACGAAGGAGCAGTGCAGGTTGACATGGCTAGAGCTCTCGATCGATACGACGATGTTGACATCACTGCCATGAGCATGGGCGCGAATACCGGCGAGTTTGCTGTTGGCACTAGAACTGGCGAGGCCGTCATCTTCCGATGGGGCAAGAACAAGTACTACGGACAGCAGAATGCGCCGCGTCTGGACCCGAATCCCAAGGGTCTCACCGATATTAGCTCTCGCTCAGAACCCAGCCTGAAGGAGGGCTTGCAGCCGTTTGTCTTGTACGAAATGATGATGGGTCCCATAACAGCGATCAAAATCTCCAATGTTGGATTCGTTGCTATTGGGTCTGAGCTAGGCTTTTTGACACTGATTGATCTTCGTGGACCAAAGATTATCTACCAAGCTCCCATGACAGACTTTGCAAAGCAGGAGAAGCGTGGCTCATTCTTGAAGGGCCACCAACGTACGGCGTCTGCATTGCCGGAGAAGGAGTGGCCTGTTGTCATGGAGTTTGCAGTGATGACTCTTGACGACGACAAGTACTCTAGTATCTGCTGTTTCGTTGGCACAAATCTTGGCAAGGTTATTACTTTTAAGCTTCTGCCTTCCAACAATGGCGAGTACACTGCTCAGCTCGCTGGTGTTGTGGCCTTTAACGGCAAAATTATGGCACTGAATGCCATCGAAGCAAACACTGGTCGTCCGGCTGCAGCAACTGGTCAAATCGTGGCTAGCCTGCGCGAGGGTCGCCAGGTTGATGGCGCACTTGTTGCAGGTAAGGAATTAGCCGTGCCGAGAGAGGCTCCAATGAACTACTACTGACTTTACTACAGTGACACAATCCGAAATTCGAATCTTCCGACCGGCCAACTCGAAAGGTGCTTCCAAGGAGTTTGAAAATGTTATCTGTGATGCGGCGGCTGTTGCTGAGCTTGAACTTCAAGGCTTTGCGGTTGTTTGTGTCTTTAGCGACAAGACTGCTCGCGCATACTCTATCCCCGCTCTCAAGGAGATTGGCAAGGCCGACCTTCCCATGATCGACAGCAACCGAAGAAATAATACAGTCGTCACACAGACCGGTGACGTCTTTGCATGGACCGGTCCCAGCGAGATGACTGTTGTCCACGTTTGGGGTACGGGCAAGCCTCTGCAACCTTCCAACGACACCATGATCAACCCGCAGATCGAGTGCCCGATTCGACCGACGATTTCCAATATGCAGTGGATCTCAGGCACACAGCATGTGTCTCCTCTAGACCTTGATATCTTGGTTGGAGGACCGGATAGACCACCAAGCAAACGCATGTTGGAAGCGGCGGCAGCTGAACAGAGATTGGCTCGCAATGCTGGTGCTGGTGTCGGTGGTGCAGCTGGAGCTGCGGCCGGTGCACAAGAGGGATGGGGACAGTATCTACAACGTCAGCTGGCTGAGCGTACCGAGAAGCTGAACATTATGGGCGACAGCATGGACAACTTGCAGCAGCAGAGCCAGGGCTGGGCAGACGACGTGAACAAGTATATTAGCAAACAGAAGCGCGGCATGGTTTTGGGTGCTGTCAAGGGCAAGTTCCTTTAAAGGAGTTTGAATTTTTTGATCCCATTTAAGGTCCATATGGGTTAGCATACATTCTTTAGTCTTCCAATAACAGTTTGTCTTGGTAGCATGTTGTGAAATCTCTGTAAGATGTTGTCTGGTGAGAAGAGTTTTGCGGCTTTTGGCCCTTTATTCTGGCCCAAGTTCGGGCTGTTAAGCCCTCAGCAAAGGCCAAATAGGACAAATACAGTTATGACCGATAAAAAAAGAGCACGAAGAGTCATACTGACCAAAACGAAGCGCCGCAAAAAAAGCAAGCGCGGAGGAATTTAACCCCCGGCGGGACTCGAACCCGCAATCTTGAGATTAGAAGTCTCACGCCTTAGCCATTAGGCCACGGGGGCTTGCTAACCACTGTTGTTGGGACGTCAGGTGCTTAATTCTTCTTATCAAGGTCGCGCGGGTGGGGGCGCGAGAAACTTTTCGTCCTTGACCCACCACGCCGATGCTGTCGTACATCTTGGTCAGCACGAATTATCAGAATCTCTTGTAGAGTTTACATCGCAATTTTAAAAACTGTTTGAAAATATTTACTTCTATGTAAGATGATATATATCCTATTTACATATAAACAATATTGGTAGATATTTCGCTTTAGTTGGCAAAGGCAGCACGGAGCTTAGCAAAGTCCATAGTACCAAGGCCAGTGACAGGATCCCAGCCAGCCTCACAGCTAAAACCGGGAGTTCTGCAGCCGGGGTTGGAGCCTACAGTGATGTCATTGAGGCTGCTTCGGATGCTGTCGTCAGTGTACAGGCGAGGGTTAAGGAAGCCAACGACTGGCTTTCCGAGGGTCGCGCGGTAGTCGTTGATCTGGGAGATGAGACCAGACCACATGGGGGTGGAAGCCGATGTACCACCGGTGATTCTCTTTTGACCATTTACAAAGATGGGGATATTGACGCCTACAAGAGCAACGTCCGGGTAGGCACGGCCGCCCTTGTTGTACTTTCCATCGTAAGCAGATGGAACATAGTTCTGGATGTAGTTCTGGACGTCGGTCTTCTGGTAGTCGGGAGTGTCAAAGTATGTAGAAAAGCCGCCACCGGAAGCAAAGTCCTTCGAAGCGGTTTCGGTGGTGGCGTCAGTGAACTCGGTGGCACCAACGGAGGTAACGTAGGGGCAAGAGGCTGGGAAGTGGTTCTCGAATCCTGACTTGCAAGTTCTACCCACGCCATAGTCGCCGGTGCTGAACAAGATGGTGATACCCAACGAACCAGCCTTCATGAACTCGTTGCAGATGCGGGTAACGTATTCCTGCGTGACAGTTTCTTCTGTGGTGCCGTAGGACGTAGAAACAACGTTAGGTGCACTGTCGTTGCCGCTGAGGTATTCGCCAAAGGCGACCAAGGTATCGGCAAACACATAGTCGCTGCCACTGGTACCAGGGCTGCCAACGGCATAGAAGCCCGAGTTGCCAGCGCCGAGAGACGTCGACCACTGCGCGTCAAGCGATGCCTCACCGTAGGCGGATGCGCCGTTGACGCCGCCAGCCACAGAGATGGCGTTGAATGTGTTGCTCGTGTTCGGGTCGTACGTCTTGAGGAAGGTGCTGTAGTCGGATGTCCTCGCAGATTCCTCTTCCAGACCTGTAGAGCCGTACGAGGTCTTGTCTCCCTTGCCATTGTAGTCAACGTTGTAAAAGGAGCGCACGCACGGGGGAGTCACAAGGCTGTGGCAGTCAGTAGGGCCATCCGGCGCAGGCTTGGTTAGAGCCAGATCCTGCTTCTTTGCCTGGAAGGAGGTGGTTGGCTGGATGGTGTCAATGTGGTCTCGTAGTTGCTGGGGGAGAGAGTATTGCGCAGTTCGCACGAGAGACAGATCATCTTCGGCATGGTGATAGACATTGTAGTTTGTGCTGAGAAGCTTCTCGGCAGTGCTGACTGGGACATCTACATGGAGCCAATCGGGGCTGGGCTGGGAGATAGCAGAGGGATGAATGCCGGCAGTGGTGATCCATTTCTTGACCATGTTGACAGTCTCGTCAGAGGGAGCCGTGTAAGCTTCCATCTGCTCTCTGGTCAACCACTTGCCGTAGTCGGCGTGCTTGTGGTCGGCAATCTCGGCCAAGCGTTTCTGCAGACCAGCAATGTCCTTCTGCTTAAGGGCGATCTGCATGACCATCTTGGCATCGGCGTGGGGAACGCCAGCTGAGGCCCAGCCTTGGGGGAGCTGGATCTGCTCGTGAACGGAAGGGGTGCCGAACTGAACGGAGGCGGGCATGGCGGCCACAGTGGCGGCCAGCCAGGCCATAAGCGTACTCTGGGCGAAGGAACGCATAGTGGGAAAGTAGGAAGGAAATAAGAAGCTTGGTAACAGTAGAAATGCTTGACTAGGAGGTAACAGCTTGTCCTGGTGGTTGAGAGATTCGTCCCTTTTATAGTACATCAACCCGATATATCATTTGGTAGCTTGCTATTCAACGCAATCACGGCACATTTTTGCCGAGCCTTGTATTCTAAACTTGATATTTTGTCGTTACCGTACAAAGGACGGGCGAGACGGACGTTCCCCGTGGGGGCTTTCCGTCTGACCTGCCTGATTAGGCAGGTTCTTGTTGGTGATGTTCACATGCATGATGCATTCTGTAAGCGAACGGAATCCTTTCTCGTGTGGCTGTATTTTGCTACAAATCAATGCCATTGCACGACCAATTGATCATTTAAAGACCAATGTGCGAAAAACATGCAACAAGCTGTAAAGAAAATGGGATTTGTGAAAGATGTACACGTTATAATTAACTACGGGCTCTCAGCGACAAGTCTCGACAGTTCTTTGATAGCGGGGTAGCTCCGTGTTTCTCCCAATGTAACCTTAGCGTCGCCTTTCTCACTGGCGATCCCGGTATAGTCTATTCGACCTCGGGTCCGATTCCACTCATGGCTATGGTTTACTAATATAGCAATTGGACTACTCATACGATTCCATTGGTATGCATATCGTAGGCATTCGGTATACCACTATAGAACCGTGTACTTCAAGAGTAGGCTCTTCTACTCTTTTGTACGCCAATAGCTATACCGCATTCTCGAGCGGGAGGAACACCGCCGGAAGCACATCACCGATATTTCCAATACCTAGAATCCAAAACTTTCGCTCTAGCAAGTTGAACCCCTCCGGGTCCTCCTAGGTGCAGCGCAAAAACATGCATGTTTCTAGCCGGGTTACAGTAGTCTTGCCCATAGCAGGCATAGCAGGCGAGGGTATAAGCGATCTAAAACAACGCTAAAAACAAAAAAAAAGAGTGACTTTGGAATTGCAGAATAAGCGAGCAATCCAAAATATCTTTGGCATAAAAAGGAAAAGAAAGAGATTACAGAGCCTGGCAAAGTTTCGTCTATGAATAGAGCTGCGGTGTGCCGCCCAACTTTGATAGAGTACAGAGCAGAAAGCACAATTGGCAGGACCAGACGAAGCTTTTGAGACAAAATTAAATCTTCCATAAATAAATGTCAAGATCTTCTACGAGAAGACAATACCGCCATCCACAACCATGGTCTGACCAGTCACGTAATCCGAATCCGGTCCGCCCAGGAACGACACCAGCTTCGCGACATCCTCTGGCACGCTGGTGCGCTTCAGTGCAATCCGCTCCGCAGTGAACTTTTTGATTGTCTCTCCCTTGGGCGCGCCTGACCTCTTGCCAAGTTCCGTATCGATGAGATCCCACATGGCTGTACCAACAATCCCAGGCGCGTAGGCATTGACGGTGATTTTGTGATCGGCCATCTCCATGGCATATGCCTGCGTGAGACCGCGGACAGCCCACTTACTAGCTGAGTAGTGCGCGAGAAGAGGAAATGGCTTGAATGCGACAATGGAGGCTGCGCCGATAATCTTGCCACCGGAGCCTTGGGCAATCATCTGCTTCGCGGCCTCTGCGTAGCAATTGTGCACCCCAAAGACATTGACTTGGAACATGCGCTCAAAGTCCTCTTCGGTAAGTTCAAGGAGGCTCTTTACCTGCGCGATGCCGGCATTCGCGACCATGGTATTGAGTGGCCCGAGGTTCTCGACAGACGCGGCAACTAGGGCTTGTACTTCAGCGCGCTTGGATACATCGGCGACATGACCGTAGCTATTATGGCCGAGAGCTTTGATTTCGGCGACGGTTTCATCGATGCCTTGCTGGTTGGCGGCGACGTCTGGCAGAGCGATTCATCTTGGTTAGCTGGAACAGTAGACAGAGTTGGCTATTGACGTCATCTTACCGTTAATGCAAACATCGTAGCCGTCTTGGGCGAGGCGAATGGCAATGGCTTTGCCGCTGATTATCAATGTCAGAAAAGCAAGCTTGTGTATGAATTGGAGGTGGCTTACATTCCGCGGGCAGAGCCGGTAACAATAGCGGTTCTCTTGGTACTGGACATTGTGGAGTGTTCAATAAATTAATGGTAGAAGTGATGATTAATTTGAAGGACACTTAGAATTTTGATAATCTATGAAGAGAGACTCTATTGCCTTCTTTTTAAATAGTCAATATGTGGCACAAGCAGCCTTGGCCGTGGGCAATAGCCGGATTTGAAGATGAGGGGTAAACAACGCCCAACCTTGAGGGAGCTGCAGTGCTGCCATGCACCCGAAGATGGGGTAGCTGGATGCATGGAGGAGCTTGATTAGTTGAATCATGTGATGATTCCGGTTATTTCGGGGATTCGGGAATAAAATATAGGCATTGGAGGAGTCAGTCGTATCATGCAAGTGGGTGTCCTACCGCGGATGTTTCTGATAGCTGACAAGACTCAAGTAGCCTCAGGGTTAGGTAGAAGTATGGTGTGTATTGCTGAGATATCCCTATTGTACAAATCGTTTAGCATGAGACTATCAATTTCATTCACCAATTCGGCCTTTAGAGTAACATCAAACGTATAAGGGGAGATCTTGACATATGGCGGCCGGAAGAGCGGAGGAAGCGGGGTTGCCTAAAAGGGCAATGAGCCGTTGTGACGGACTACCCCAAAATGCTGTCATGTCCCATTTGGGATATATGCGTGTTGCTCATCTTAAAAAGGACAGTGGGTAGCTAATTCGATAAGTGATAAGTATAAATACAAGATGGGATTGTATAAAGCAATTTTGAAATACAGAACCCCTGCCTCTGGAATGTAGTTAGTTCTCAGTCCGCAAGCTCCGCGAAGCAGGTACCATCATTCTTGGCAAGACAAACCTAGGTGAATGGGCAGAAGCACAATCTGCAAATATTACTAACAGATGATCTCTCCACGGTGGGCAGATGCTTAGAGCGTATTACAAAAGGCACAATACTGGAGGCAGTTCCAGTACCAGCGGCGTGGTTGCTCAGCCGGGCCTTGCTCTGGCTACACTTGGCACCGAGACGCCAGGCTCTATCATCTGCCCAGCATACAAGGCCAATCTTGTGGGAATCAACCATACGGTAGACCTCGCGTCTCGACATTTGGTCGTACCTATAAGTGAGCACCAAGACACTGTTGGGCCTCTTGCTCGCAAAGGCCCAACAGTGTCGCAGCACCACTTCTGCAAGTTATTGCAGACAAGGACAAGCATGACGACTACACATCGGCCGTCCTCAACACCCCAAACTATGTGCAAGCATGTGATAGTAAAACCCCTATTTTGATGCGTCTCAGTCTTCCTCGGAACGTCCTTCAAGGATGGCCTTGTGTTCTTGAGGTACCGGAGGTGGCAGTTGTCGACACTGCGATTGCCGAGTCGCGGGACGCTGGCGCGTTGTTGTCGACGCAAATTTTGCTTCGGGATTGGAGTTTGCGAACGCCGAAGCACTTAATTTCTGCGTCCATGTCGATGTTTTTACGACTATACCACAATATCTGGCTCAGCTGAAGCATAATCCTAGTGGCAAACTTTCCGTTGAGGGCTCCCTGTATTTACTGTACCCATGGGATTCTTTCCCGAATCCACAGAGGTGAAGCTCGACGAACCGGGTGAGGTGGTAAATGCTGCACCAGGGATCCCTGTAAGCTTGTCGATTCTGGGGAACAAGTGGCAAGAGAGCAAGTTGATTCGGTTGGCGTATGCATATGAGCAGCGAATTATGATGCGGGGCCGAGCTGGTAAACGGGTTGTCCCGCCGTGGGTAGAGGTCGTGTGAAAGGATTCAAGCTGTGTCCTTCAGTACCGTTGTGTGAGATATGATGCAAAATAGCATGTGGTTTTCGAATTCGAAGCTTGTGAAGACAGAGGTTGCCAAAACAAGAAGCCAGCCTCGGTATATGTAGCTAAGAACAGTATAAGCATGGGTGCTCGTGTAATTTTGTGTTAGCAGAAGCGTCGTTAATGTGAAACATTGCATATAGAGGTTGCATCATGCAAGGTAACCTTGCCACTGGTCTCGACTTGATTGCAAGGCTCTGTGGATTGATGGCGAGGTGTATCCATCAGCCGGATCACTTGTGGCGTTTTGCGGTACAGAGACATGCAGATACAACTACGACGATTGCCCTGGCGGGCCTCAGACGAAACGAATATCACGCGGCAGATTGGCCCGTCTCTGATGCCGTTCCTGCATGCGACGTGTTCGGCTGTGTCTCATTCTGTTCTCTCCTCTGCGCCCCCTCGCGGAAGTCATGCACAGCCTTCCATACCTTTCGGTAAAGTGTACCTGTCGCGCTGCCAGTTACCCCAGTCGTACAGTAACAGTAAATACTCGAATAAGACGAGCCGCGCAGACAGTAGAGGCACGTATTGCTGGCCACAGATATACAACGTATGAGGTAGGCAGACAGTCTGTCATCGCGAATGCCGATATCCGCCAGTGAGACAACCCCGAGCTACGCCAAGACGAGGGAGCCAGGTACGGCTGATTAGATCCCATCAGCAACCCTCCCCACAGACTGCATCGGACGAGCGGCTGCACTAGCCCAGTCTGTCAATCCTGCACGTCGGGCCAGGCCCCGAGAGACAAGAGAATGAAAAGTTATCTCAACAGCCCAATGATAGACAAACTATAACACACACTGCAAGAATGATAATACTCTCAACAAAACCCCAGCTGGAGCGTCACAACCACTACCCACCACGTGGCGTCCCTCCAGTACTAGGAGCTATACCACAACCCACGCGCGAACCATCCGCATTAGTTTGTCGGGCTAACCCTGCGCCGGGAGGAAAATCATGTTTGATGCAGAGAGCACCTAGCGAGGCTTGCAGATCGGCAGGCTGGCTGGCTGTAGTCGACATTACTGTAGACAAAAAAAAGGGCCAAGAAAAGCATGTGCTTCAGCGTGGCGCCCTACTAAATCGCACGACTACCGAGGCTCTATATGCAAGGATGCTAATAGCGTAAAACTGCAGCTGTTCACGTCATACGACAGAAGCCCAGCGCCGGAGCGGCTAAAGTCGTTTCATTCCTTTCTGCTTTTTTTGCCGTAGTGAGACGGTAGGCTCTGCTTGGGTACGGTGAGCAGTCGCAAATCCGGGGAAGGATTGGTAATAAGTGCAAGCCCAGGATCATATTTTCAATATGCGGGGACACCAAGCATTGACCACTAGACAACGACAAAATATGCCGATATCCCATACGCGTACCATCTTAGCACTAAGAGGATCACAGCCTCTACATTGCTGTGTTTTTTGCTGGTTGCGCTGGCAGTTTGATGTAGGAGTAGTAGTGCCATGTAGGTTAGCGCAAAATAGCTTCCATCGCCAATCTCGTCTGTCTGCTGGGTAAACGCGCGTAAAATAGCGAATAATCTTTTGGTGCACATACAGTAACAAGCCCCCCCGTCTTACTGTAGTTGGGCCCTAATACAACATATATCCACAGCCATCACGAGACCGTCGCACCAGCCAACGACGATCATGCTCCGAGCGGCGCTACGCGGATCCTTTCGCCGACAAAAAGAATGGACAAAAACCAAGTATTCATCCCTTTGCCAAGAGGCAAGCCAAAGCGCCTGCCTCTTGTGTAGGCACCGTCTCACCGCACAGGTCATGCTATGCTGATTTCGTAGCCGCGTCTGGGGTTTCGCCCCCAGCCTTTTTTCACCCACTCTGCCTAGCGCCGGATATAGTTTCCAATTCGGATATCATCGTCCTTCTTTGCAGCTTCAACCCCGCGTGGCACCATCGCCTCACCGCACCGCTACCCAAGTGCCGAGTCGCCCGAGAGGGTTGGGTAAAGTGTTTCGAGAGGGGCATATACGGCCCGGTTTCGTATAGCCCCCGAAAACGACGAGGGGTCCTTCGGAATCGGTGTTCGTTGCGTGTGGAATGCGTCGTGCGACTTAGCGCGGATGAGAGAGCTATAAAGATGGGACGTAGTCCTCCTTATTGTTAACGGATGTCTTGAGATTCGACCCAGAGAGCTCCTTTTATCCAAAGCCAGATCCAGCACAGGCACTTGCCCTAAACTTCCAAACATCTTCTGTACATTCTGTTCTCTTTCTTGTTCTCAGTTCTGTTATTCCTCTTTTGCCTCCCAAAATGCTCGCCAAGTTCTTCGTTCCGGCTCTCCTCTCTGCGATGGCTGTCGCTGCCCCGACATCCGTTGAGGAGAGGGACATTGAGGCCCGCAGCCTCGACATCAATGCCTTCCTCGCCAAGATTGTCAGCATCTTCCCTGTCAATGTCGCTGTCAAGGACATCTGCGGTGCCCTGGGTGAAGGCGAGAAGCTGCTCGCTGATTACTTTGATCTTTCCATCAACCAGGACCGCCAGGGCTGCTCCGACGTTAGCCTCATCTTTGCCAGAGGCACGTGTGATCCAGGAAACGTTGGTGCTCTTGTTGGCCCGCCTGTCTTCCAGGCCGTTCAAGCTGCGCTTGGATCGAAGAGCCTTAGCGTCCAGGGCGTACCATATCCCGCTAGCGTCGATGGTTACCTGAACGCTGATTCCGCTGCTGGACAAACTATGTAAGTCGATATATGCAAAGTCGATTTGTGACCATTGCTAACGGTACTGCCACAGGGCCAACCTTGTCAAGAGCACACTCGCTGCATGCCCCAAGACTAAGATTGTTCTATCGGGTTACTCGCAGGGTGGCTACGCCGTCCACAACGCCGCTAACGACCTCGGATCGGACATGGGCAAGGTCAGCGCTGTTGTTGTCTTTGGTGATCCCATGTCCCACACAGCTGTCAGCAACATTGATCAGAACAAGGTTAAGATCATCTGCCACGATGGCGATGATATTTGCAACCAGGGCTTCCTCATCCTTCCTCAGCACATTACATACGCCATTGACGCTGGCACGGCTGCTTCCTTCATTGCGTCCCACGTCTAGGGTCGTGTGGCTTAATCTGGCCCACGCTATATATATTTTGCTTCTTCCTGTTACATAGTTAGCCTGCGTTCTCTCACTGTACATAGTTCCGACAGTTGCATATATGTTTCTCACCAAAGCAGACAATATAACTCTCTTTTTACTCACAATCATCTTTTTCGCGTAGTAACCTACCGAACCGGCTTTCAACCAACTGCAGGGCAGATCCAAGGCTGCGCATACGTGCTACATATACTTCTGCGCGGCCGGTGCAGCGTACGGCTTGGCTTACACGGCCGTGCTATAGGCGGCCGCATGGGGTTAATGCCTCACTTGATAATGCAAATAGGGTTATTGGCGCGCGGTGAAGGCTTGCTCCATATTTCGCACAATAGAAAATGAAGTGAAACTGTTTCCAAAATTAAAAATACCACCAATCAAGCTTTTCTAAGCCACGCTAGGATAGGATCGGCTTGACCAGACAAAGCAGGTTCCCACGTGTAGTGCTAAATGAACTGCAGCCCGTCGTCACTTTGCAGGGGACAACAGCAACAATAACATGCGACGCCAGGCCGGGGCAGGCATCGTGAGGAGTACAACTCTCACACCTGGGGTGCAGCGCTATCCTACCTAGAATGGGAAACCCGCCGTCTCTCGGGGAGCAATGGATACCAGCCTGACTTGCAGGCGAGCGAGAGCGCCACCAGCACAGGTTGGCTTACAGCGCCGATCGGGAGCCCGCGGGCGAACCCACCAGCTAAGCCAGTCAATATCGGTTAGCGTGATGCTGCAGCGCAGCCCCCTTTTTGCCAGCCTGAACTGCGGACAAGGACGAGGTGGTGTTCGTGAGGGAATAATGAGCAGCAGGTGGTGACCCTGCGCTTTGCCGCAACGCAGCGAAATCTGAGATTCTGCAACAGATGAATCTTTTGAGATTGATGAATGTAACTTTGCTGCCGTGTCCCTTGCAGAAGCACGGCAACGACAGGCTCCTGTACCCGCGAGAGCACACGCTAGGCGAAGCGTTTGGCGACGCGGGGAGGGCAACGTCACTGGACCACACACACGCCCCCCTAGTCAACCAGCGAAACTAAGCTCATCGCCAAGAAATGCAGGGCTACCGTATGGGCTGGTCAGTGTAAAGCTTAATCGAAACGGTCGGCGGAGCTGCCATATCATGGCGCCGCGCCCTAGGTGATATTCTTCCACAACTAGGTGCCCTTTGTTTAATTTCTTTTTCTTTGCTTCACCTTTTGCGCTGGCAAAATAGAACCGGTGCATGCCGGGCAAGTTTTGCAGTGGTAAAAAAAGTTTTCCAGGTACCTATTGTGTCTGGGGATCCAATCTTTCGACAGCAAATTTTCGACGAGGCTTGGTCTGTGTCATTTCCTCGCAGCCCACCAGCAAAAGCCAGTGAGTCCCGACGGGCTGGCGGCGGAGAGACATGTGAAGAAAAGAGGGGATCTAGCGAATGTCATATTATTCTGCTATCCAATGAAATGCAACGCAAATGCGCGACCGTGGGAAAATTTTCCCTCGAGTCGTTTGCAGTGACTATATCCACCGGCACCGCGCTACGCTTCCCGCGATGGGGCTTGTCAGCGCCATGTCCACCACCAGAAAGCGTGCCAAATTTATGGGGGATGATGCAAGAGGCTGAAATGTGATGGGCCAAAGGGTCCATAGCCTGGGCTCGGCCGTCGCTCTGGAGTGGTTGGCAACCGATGGGCGTTGTCGCGCCCGTGCGGTACATGTCCGTGACATCAGACCGCTTCTCCTCCCTGTGACATATTGGTTAGGCTGGATATTGCATACGACGGCGCGTACAGGATACAGGAGGGGTATTGCCTGTATAGTGTACACCGGTGCCACGGTGCAGCTGAAGAGATAGAGACCGGTACAGCGGATAGGAAATCCGGAGGAAACAGCTGAAATGATCCAGGTTCGACGGCAAACCAGCCGCAAAGCATGCATGCATGCATTATTTAGCCATGTGGAATCGTAGCATTTTGGAGATGCTGTGACAGGACATGGATGGTGGTGATGTCGATCAAGGGCCTAGTCGAGAGAGGAGAGAATGCCTTCTGCCAGGTGCCAGGTGCCAGTTGCTCGCACAGCAGCCGCCTGAAAATTCCCTCAAGGTACAGTACAGTACTTTGCCTGGCACCTGGCTAGAGCAACGTGTGGGCGCTCTGCACTGGATACCATAATTTACCAACAACACTATCAGCAGCCAGACGAATAAAATCAGCCGGATAGCCTGGATTTTACCAGCACAACCGGACCAGAGGCAGCCCGCCCCAAGCAGCCCCTACTAAAATTTTACTGGACGTACAAAGTATTTGCCGATTCGTCGCCGCTATGGGGCTCACACCCAAAAGTGTCCAAATGAGACCACTAGCCCAAACAGGCCCAGCGCACTGTAGACTAGCCTAGACCAGGCCCAAGTCAGCACGCACAGGGCGCGTCAGCCCCCCGAAGAATTCTTCCAGGTGCAAAGGAAGGATTTTCTTTTCCTGTGGCGAGTTTGTGACGGTGTGAGGGCAAGAGTCTGCCTGTGGTTGCGGCTATCGAAGGATGAGTGTCTGGTCTCGATGCTGATTAAGTTACAGCAAATTCGAAGCGTGCTCAACGAAAGCAAGACCATCAAACGAGGCATCTTTTCGAAATCCTGCGATCCCCGAAAGTACGACGACCAGAAGCTAGCCCACCAGTGCACCCGACGGCCTTGTTTGCCCCTAAGACTCCCCTAGGAGCGAGGCTACAGGCGGGTTTCAGCGCGCGGTGGGTGAGTGGGCAACTCGTCCCTCCCTGTAAATTCGGTGGCGCCTTGCATTTTCCAACTTCTCACTTGTCAAGTCCTTTCCCGAATAGGAAAGACAGCCTCTATATGCTGTCTGTGGTTGGCCAAGCACAGCCCCAAGTCGCCGCGCGCCACGGCTGGGACCACGTCTACTTCCGGGCCACTAGCAACGCCGCCCATGCGCGATTTTACTTTTTCTCGTCGTTTGCGCTGGCAACAGGCAGTGGATGCGTGAATCCAAGCGGGCCTCTGCTCGATGGACCAATCTGGCATCGAGGTTATGATGGGCCTTGGCTCCTCTCCTCCAACGGCATCCCCTTCCCGACGTCGTCTGCCCACACCCCCCTCCTCTTCGTTTCGTGATGCGCACGCCTCTCGTTCTGCATGGCTCTAGGTTCGACCTGGCCATGCCCACGCACCCAAGGCTGCGTTATCTGCGCTTGTTAGTCTGTTTGTTAGCCGTTGTAGACCGCGCCCAGGCTCGTGATGGGGACAGGCTGCATTGTGAGAAGCATGTACCTGGGATTGTTAGAGGCGGCCGGTAAAAATCCGTGTCGACAATAAATACCCTCTGCGCCCATACCCTTTGTTCAAGACGAATATCCCGTTCCAAGAGAATCTCTTGTATTGCACCTGTTGCTCCTTGCTGCACACAATCCGTTGCTGTTGCTGCTCGTTCCTCGCTCCTTTAGCCCATTTTCTTCTTCTATTCACTTGCCCGTCTTCATCTAGAAGCCCAAACTCTCTTCTTTCTCTCGAAACACATCATCCCAGATGCCAACCATGCCCGAAGACACTGCCCCCGATACAGACAAGGAAGCGGCCTTGGACCGTGATACTCGTATCACCTTTGACAATGTCTACCACCCTCGCACTACGCGTGGCCGGTCGACAGACGATCCCAACGCCCGCCCCGAACGCTCTCGTTCGCGATCTCGCAGACGCTCCATGAGCCGCGCTTCCTCTACCTCCCGCGCAAACCTCCCTACTTCCCCCTACTCTGGTATTCAGATCGAGTACCGCACCCTCTCCATCAACGTGGCCGAGTCTCGAGCCGTCGACAACACCTCGAGCGACGACAGCAAGGCCACCTTGTCCAACAAGAAGGATGACGACTACTTTGGCGGTCTCAACTTCCACCAGCTGACGGTCGAGCAAATCTGCCAGCAGCAAAACGTTTCCAAGGACGAAGGCCTCTCCGTCAGCGGCGCTTCGGCCCGCATTGCCCGTGATGGCCCCAACACGCTCCCCAAGCCAAAGACCAACTACTGGAAGAAGATCCTCAGCTACGTCTTTGGCGGCTTTTGCTCCGTCCTCTGGGTTGGTGTCATCATCTTCTTCATCTGCTGGCGCCCTCTCAGTGACCCTCCCTCTCCCACCAACCTCGCCCTGGCCATCCTCGTCATCATCGTCATTGCTCTCCAGGCTGGCTTTTCTGCCTTCCAGGATTGGTCCACCCAGCGTACCATGAAGTCCATCACCGATCTCCTACCGGCCGAAGCACTTGTTCTTCGGGATGGCCAGCTTGTCAAAATGTCGGCTACCGAGTTGGTTGCTGGCGACATTGTCCACCTCACCATTGGCAACAAGGTCCCCGCCGACCTTCGCCTTCTCTCACATTCGGGAGACATTCGTTTCGACCGTGCTGTGCTGACTGGTGAATCAGACGAGATTGAGGGTGCCGTCGATATGACTGATGCCAACTTCCTTGAAAGCAGAAACATTGCTCTGATGGGTACCATGGTCGTCAACGGCAGTGGTGTGGGTATGGTTGTCTTGACGGGCAGTCGCTCCGTCATGGGCCGCATTGCAAAGGCCACCAACTCGGCTGAAGAGCGTCCTACTCTGATCCAGATTGAGATTTGGCGCTTCGTCCGCATCATTGTATCCCTCACCGTCGTTCTTGCCCTCTTGATTCTCTTCACCTGGGTTGGCTGGCTGCGCAAGGATCACTTTGCCTACATGAACGTTGTGGCTATGCTGAACAACGTCATGGGCTGTGTCGTCGCTTTCATTCCTGAGGGTATGCCCGTCGCTGTCGCCTTGACACTGATGATGGTTGCCCGCCGCATGAAGGCTGTCAACGTGCTGCCCAAGGGTCTCTCCACTGTCGAGACACTCGGCTGCGTCAACGTCATTTGCTCCGACAAGACCGGCACTCTCACTCAAAATGAAATGCACGTCAACTCGGGTAGCTTTGTTGACCAGGTTGTCCCTCTCAACGAGTTCCAGGCAGATGTGGACAGCGAGAAGCCGGCCGCGTGCAACCGCAAGCTTCTCCAGGCCGCTCTCCTCTGCAACGATGCCACATTTGATCCTACCACCGCCCATCTCCCCGTCGCTGCTCGTGAAGTTCAGGGCAACGCCACCGATGCCGCCGTCTTACGATTTGCCTCTTCCAACAAGCGCAGCGAAAAGGAGACCAGCATTCTGCCCCGCGTCTTCCAGATCCCCTTCAACTCCAAGAACAAGTGGATGCTCACTGTCCACAGAGATTCCGACGACGTCTCCGAGAAGCAATACCGCGTGTTTGTCAAGGGTGCTCCAGATGTGCTTCTGCCCGCTGTGACTAGATACTGGAGCGCGAAGACGGACTCTGTCCAGCCCTTTGACGCCAACGCCGCCGCCGCCTTCAAGGCGTACCAAGATTCCCTCTCGCACAACGCCGAGCGTGTCATTGTCCTCTGTGAGAAGACCATTACACCCAACAACCCTCTAGGAAGCAACGCTTTCAGTGATGAAATTGCCTCTTTTGCCATGAGCGACTTGACCGTTGTCGGCATCTTAGGCATTATTGATCCTCCTCGCCCTGAAACCGCCTCTACTGTTGCTGAATGCCGCCGCGCTGGTGCCCGTTTCTTCATGGTCACTGGTGACTATGGCCTCACCGCTGCTGCCATTGCCCGCAATGTCGGCATCTTTACCGGCGAGCGTGGCCCTGACACTATTGAGCGTATCCATTCCAAAATCGGCATCTCCGCTGCAGAGCTGCGCAAGGCCCGCCTTGAGGGTGAGCAGCGTGCCCTCCTTCTCGAGGGCCACTCACTTGGTGGTCTGGAGGACGAGGACTGGGACCTCATCTGCGAATATGGCGAAGTTGTATTTGCCCGTACCACGCCCGAGCAGAAGCTTCGCATTGTGGAAGAGTTCCGAAAGCGTGATAACGTCGTTGCCGTCACTGGTGACGGTGTCAACGATGCCCCCGCGCTACGTGCTGCCGATGTTGGTATTGCTATTGTCACCGGATCTGACGTCGCCATCGAGGCTGCCGACTTGGTGCTTATGGACCGATTCGACTCCATCATCGAAGCTATCCGCCTTGGTCGCCTTGTGTTTGAGAATTTGCAAAAGGTTATTGCCTACCTACTGCCCGCGGGTAGTTGGTCTGAGATTTGGCCTGTCATGGTCAATGTCTTCTTTGGTGTCCCTCTTCCTCTGAGCTCTTTCCTCATGATTATCATTTGCGTCTTTACCGATCTGTTCCTCTCTCTCTCGCTCATCATGGAAAAGGAGGAGTTTGACCTGCTCTCGCTGCCTCCCCGCAACCACAAGAAGGACCACTTGATCAACCTCAAGATTTACGTCCAAGCCTACCTCTTCACTGGTTTCCTCGAAACTACCACTGCGCACGCCATGTATTTCTTGTACTACTGGAAGTACGCGGGCATCCCCATCAGCGAGCTCTTCTTCCTGTTTGAGGGCTACTCCGAGGGCTTCCACGGCTATACTGCCGATGAGCTCACTGCCTTCAACGCCACCGGCCAGTCGATTTACTTTGTGACTCTAGTCATCCTGCAATGGGGTAACATTTTGTCTGTCCGCAACCGTCGTCTCAGTATCTTCCAGGCCGATCCCTTCACCAAGGCTCGCCGCAACCCGTGGTTGATGCTCAGTGCCGTCATCAGCTTGGCCATTGCCATCTTCGTGACTGAGGTTCCCGGCATTCAGAACCTGTTTGGTACTGCATCTGTCCCCATTCAGTTCTGGCTGATTCCTATTCCCCTGGCCCTGGGTATCCTGGTCATGGATGAGATCCGCAAGGTTATTGTGCGCACATTCCCCAACGGCCCCATCGCCAAAATTGCCTGGTAAACCAGGCTGGCGGTGACCTATTTTAGATTGCGTGCTACTAGACTCGCATCTATTTTTTTATTTGTTTATTTTGACGGCGTTTATATTTAGATTGATATCTCGGGTAGCATCAGAAGCGTTCTCTTTTATACACTGAAGTATTAGTATCAAATGCAACAAGCCAGTTTCTTGAATTATGCTGACTGTCTCGTGAAATGGAGTAGTGTAAGCCTCCATCTGCTCCTTTAATACCCAGTTACCGTAATTAGCGATGTCAACTAATATTCTCTTTGAGTTGGAAACATGTGAATTATGTATAACTATCTTGGTATTAGATTCCGTCAACCTCTTCAGCGGCTTCTGATCAACCTGCGTAAGCAAGCCGACACACCCACCGCCAGGATCGAAGTTGCTATACAAGCCCGGAATCAAGGTAGATGTACCACAAAATTAACCGAGCTCTGCAAAATTTTAGGTTTGGGCTGGATGGTCTTGCGGCTGCATGTGGCTTGCTGTGAGCGTGTACCGCTAGCTAGCCTGCAAGCATCCCAAACGATGGATGAATTGTATCGGATTCTTTGTCGAGGTAGAAGCGTGTTGAGATCAGGGGCTGTTTACCATCAGTCTAGAACCATGCTATCCCAGGAATTTTGTTTACTTACACCATTGAATGTCACTGTATTTCAGCCCAGAGAACATTGTTGCTTGCAAAACGAAGTAGAAATTCAACACAACACTGAACAATAGACATGCTCCCAAGGCACAGATTCGGCGCTGATGAGACACCACCTTTAGTGTACCTCCATCCTCATACCCAACCGCAACGTACCCTTGTTTCTTGGTAAAATGATTAAACATGAGATGTTAGGTAACAACAGGGAAACTGAGGTGGTGTCTGCATCAATAGCAACTCCAATATAAGAGAGAGGCTATACAGGCAAGCAAGTATATAGGTGGGATTTGGTGCCCAAGCTATAAGCCGCGACTATTGAATATGTTGAGTGAGTACAAGGCTTGCTAATGCGCCAAAGTTACCACACGACGCAGACGCCACAGAATGAGCGCTGTGGCAGCGCTTGCGTTTAATGCCTTGGCTTTTTACGTAAATTCGTCAACGAGGCTGCACACCAAACCAAGAGCCAAGCCGGCGAGCCAAATCGGAATAGCGGCGTGACAACGTCTTGTTTCTCCCTATAAGAAGCGATGGAATACAACAATTCCAGCGGGTGAATCTTCACTAAAGAACTTGCTGAACATAAAGTTTCATACGGACAATAAAGCAGAATGAACTTTGAGTTGCGAGAAGTCAAGTTTGTCGATGGAGACGAGCTCGCCGCCGTGCAAGCCGCGTCGCTCGCCGACAATGATCTTGACAAGGCACTGCATCCGGGCCAGACGGCTCACGAGGCCGAGGCTGACTACAAAAAGAGATGGCTTAGTGTATATGGTTACGGGCCGTGGCACTACAGAGCTGTGGTAGAGGTCGCAACGGGGAAGATAATTGCGTTTTCCCGGTGGACGGTGAGCGATGATCACTCCACGATTATCCCACAGCGAGAAGGTGAGTCTTTCTTTTTCTTTCTTCTTGCATGGTTTCCCGAAATAGCATTACTAATTGGTGATAGATCTTCCTGAGGGGGCGACTGTACCTCCTAGAGAGAAGCCTACCTGTTTGGATACGGACTTTGCGAAGGAGTACAACGCGCGATCTGTACAAGTCTTGGAGAAATGTACCCAGGGACGCAAGAACATGTGTAAGTATATGTTGGTAATTGGTTTGGGATTGAAGCTGATAGAATGGACAGTCCTTGATGTTATGGGAACTCTGCCTGAATATCGCCAGCATCGCCCTGCTACCCTTATGCTGCAGTGGGCGCGCACGTTTGCTGCTACGCACGGCCTGGTTTGCTATGCCGAGACTAGCGAGGCAGATGCGTCCATGTGTCGGGATGCTGGGCTTGAACCCGTGGATAAGTTTGAGGTACAGGCTAGTGAGAAGCTTATCACTCTTTACACATTCAAGCACGAGGTTACTAGCTAGGGATACTAATTTTACTGCTTGCGTGTCAGTGTGCCGAGACATAGTTGCAAATGTTAAGAGTTGAATTTTCTCTTGCCCCCAATTTCTATAGTGTAGTAGCAACTCCCCTCAGCCTTAGCTTGTGTACAATAATCACTCGTCTATGTTGAAACTGGCGCCTTTGTTTTGTCATGCTTTCCGACCCATGCCTCTATGTCATATCCAGTACAGTGCTTTTCATATAAGTCCATTGTAGATAGCCTATTGACCCCTCAGAGCGTTTTTCTTTTCGACACACACAGTCCCGAAGTATCGTTTCTTTATGGCGATGTGCGAGCATACGAGGCATTGAGACTGGCGCTGGCTAGATCGATGTAGGAGCATATAACGGCAACGTCGAGTTGGTAGGATACAATATTCTTCTTGTATTTTTTTCTTAATAAAAGGGCGTTAAAGGTCTCGATACTTATGAAACTGCCCTGTGTTTATTTTGTTAAAATGCAGATGGTGAGAACTTGAAATGCAGCCAGAGGCACCGATAAGTGATTTAGCGCCATAGAGTACAAACGTTTGACTCGACCGTCTATGCAAAATGTACTCGTATCTATCGGAATAAGACCAGACCAGACCACCCTTGCGGTCCTAATACTTAATACTTATGCAGAACCAAGTCTTTTCTAATCTTATGTCTCACACTTTGTCTTATGCGGGGTGTCCATGTTCATCCCATCTGATGCCCCGGCTTTAAAATGATGTGTCAGTTCTCTCGAATGCAGCCTTACAGCTCCGTGCCGCTGTTAGTGCTACTACTACAACCATATGGTATGCCGTGGCCACAGCTTATTGGCTTTTTGCTGTTTTGGTTCAAGTGTATTCTCAGAATCCCATGCCAAATCCGGTTCATCCCATGTTGCATGCAGTCTGTGGGAAAAGAAGCCACCAAACAAACTACCTTATTCTGTCACGTCGCAGTCATTCATTAGCTGGCCTGCCAAGCAATAAACCTGGTTGGGCGACCGTGCCGTGTCTCATTATTGGATACACCATGCATCACACCAGCAGTTTAGAACCAAGACACGGGGATAGCAAGAAGATGCTACAAGGGCGAATTGGTATATATATCCCGCCGGCTTGCCCCCTCCTGTCTCGCCGTTCACTTGTTCCTTTCCCATTTAAAACCAATCATTTACCTCTATACAAGAAAACAAAAAAGAAGAGGCCGAGGATGAAGCTAGCTACCGTCATCTCCGCCCTCGCCAGCACCGCCCTCGCCAAGTACCGTGCCACACCCGACAAGGCTGGCGAAGGTTGGACCAAACCTCGAGGGTTCTTTGTTTCCAACTCGGCTATTTTAAACTTTTTCAAAGTTAGTGGAGAAGTAGGCTAGCGGGTGGGAGCTTGGGTGACGCTCGACGGAGAAGACAGCCCCGATTTGCTGCGCGTGGGCGTAGAGGGAGTCGTCGACGTAGGCAAGACTGTGTACCGGGTCTTCTACCAATGGGAGCCCCAGCCGCCAGCCTACTTTGATCGTGTGTTTGATTATGAATCTATGGATGGTATACGGGTTGGCGTCCGCAAAGTGACGGACACGTAGGCGACGGCTTACTACAGTACAAGCCATGGCAATGACCCCGAAGTCAGCCGCAACATCACTTTCACGATTCCGCTCTGCGGGTCGGACGCGCTTTGGTTCGTGGGCAAAATAAAGGATGACAAAGACCTCTACTATGCGCTTGCCTATTGGAGTCCTATGTTCTTCAGTGATGCCAAGGCGGAAGATTCTACCCCAAATGACGGATACTGGCGGACGTTTCGCGCCTCCGACCAGTTCTATATGAGAAACGCACAGGGTCAAACTGTGGCATATGCCGAGGAATTGGACGACCAAGGCTTTCCGTTGTACGTTGACAGATATAACGTCCTGGGGTAAAGCTCGCCTATGATGGAGAGGCGAACGAGGCGTCTCTCTTCCTTCTATTTCTCTTTTATTTCTGTCTTTTCTTTTTGCTTGTTGCTGTTCTGTTTTCTCCAGATAGCTATCTATGAGAGTACTTTTTCTAAGTAGGAACTGCGCGTTGCCAAGGATAAATAAGCCCATTCTTATTATTCATTCACCACCCATTCGACGCTGCGTAAACGTGTATAATAGACTGAACCTCTTGCGCATGCCCAGCAGCGCATCGACCGAAAGACTAATGCCGCGGTTAGCGTCGATCGAATCCGCTGTATCTTTGGTTGTGGAGCTGTCGATTGGCATGACGAGGAGGCCAAACAGGGGATCTGATGTATTCGGTTTGCAGGTTGTGTCGGTAATGCGACAAGTTTTTGGTACCCAATGTTGAATCCGTGACTCGGGGCACGTCCCTAACAAGACAGGAGAGCGAAGGATTCATACCCCTGGATAACAAGGAGCAACCAGTTAAATGTCAGGCTCCATATATGCTGGGGGGTAATCTCGATCGCCAACCGTCCGCGGCGGTTATTCACTACCAGGCTGCGAGACGTTATGCCAAAAACGGGCAATAGAAGACGACGTTTCTGTGGTGTTGCTCTTTTTGGACGGGGTCCGCATTTTATGAAACGAGACGCTAATCATAAGGCGTTGGCAAAGGGTTATTGGCATGGCCGCTGTATAGTATCTGGTGAAGGGTTGTGTTTACAATACAACCAACAGCCATACAACCTGAGAGACACATTTACAAGAAAAGAAAATGAAACGAAAGCGATCGAATGATATAATATAATACAACATCATATAATGTAATATAATGTAATATATTTTAATTTCATATAAATTTAATAAGAAAGAATAAAAATAGCAGTACATCAAATTGTCAATTGTTGGGATCTCTTTGGGGGGGCAAAGCGTGCTAAGAGAGAGTGATACGAAAAAAGAGGCAAAAAAAGCATGTTTCGTCTCCTTTAGCCACCGCCAGTCGAAACGCCGAAGTGGAGAACGGCCACTGTAACTCATTGCGGTGCGGCACTGTCACTTTTAATTACCTTGCCAGTTAGACGAGCTATTACAAGGGCCTGGGGCCGGGCTGGGCAAGGGAAGTGAGAGGAACGCATACCCGAGACACATCGTCCAATCTCGCGTTCCTTACTGCCAGCAGAGAGTTACGGTGGGTGGGTCAGTGTCCAGTAGCACATTCAAGGAGGGCTACTGACGCTCACCTCCTCTCAACAGCAATAACAATAGCAATAACAACTAGAACTTTCCGCTTTGGGGGCTGAGCGGGCCGCAACAGTTGTTTGCTTACTTGTTTGCTTTTGCTTGTCTTCACACGCAATACGTCTATCCTCATCCGACACACTTGTAGAATATTCCAGAGCTTCGCTATACCGCCGGTTCTTCAGCTCCGCTATCCTGCCGTCCATCCATGCATCCAGTCGACCCATCCACGCACTGCCGGACCCGAGGATTTGGTTGAGCTATAGGCAGCGTGCCCCGGCTCGCCCTATATCCCTGTCTTTGCTCGTTCCTGATAGGCTGGGGGGCGCTGCTCGGGAGAATGGTCCTCCACCGCGCATGGCAAACCTGCATCTCAGCTGAAGGTCTCGGGACACAACCAACTTTTTTTTTTGGAATAAATAAGCGAAATGGGAGATCCAAACACGATGAATCGCACCCTGATGGCTGCTTTGCTCGGCAGTAGCTAAACCAAGTTGTTAACATCTGCCGCGCGCCACCCTTGTCCCCTTGTTGCTATCGTCGGCGCCATAGTCGAAAGCCCTGGAACAACGACGACTATGGTGTGGTTACACAACCCGACGCCGTTTGCGAGCAGCAGAAGGGAAGCCAGATTATGCGGTTTGCAATGCGGCTCGCCCTCCTTTCCACTCCGGAAGCCAACCTGCACACCATAATTATCCGTGGTGAGCTTTCCTCGAGCCGCACCCTGGCAAGACACCGCCGAAACGCTCCTTGCACCGCTTACCTTCGTTGGTTATTTGCTGATGGCACCACTCCTGTAAACGTTGCCCAGGTGGCTAGTGGTGCATATCTTCTGGTTTGCTCGTTCTCGGCTAGGATTTGCACCGACAAGCACCGCGAGCGGGCAACCCGTGCCACGCCGTAGAGCAAGATTTCCAGTCAAGGTCCTTCGCTACATAGCAGCAAGTGCCAGCTCAGAGCCAGCTTCTTTGCGTTAGTTTAAGCTATTCCGCTAAGCCACTTGACCAGGCTCAGGTTGAACGGCATCACAGATCACTGACGACAGGTACCAAAAAGGGTCGGCCAATTGGGGGGTGTATAAACAGCTATCTTGATGCAGGTCGAATTGCCCCCTAAACATTAGGGGGGTCAAACAAAGCCGATCACTGTGTGCATGTTTTATGCACGCATGCCAAACACTCCTAGCGTGTAAAGCTGTCAGCCTACCACTGTAGACTATTGAGCGGCGGTCAAGCTTATTTGTTGACAGCGCGGCAACAGTCGCAGCAATGACAGGAGAAAATGGTGATTGCTGCTTTGAAATAAAATCACCGCCATAGGAGTGGCCTTTTTTTCTAGCTTACTACTGATCCCTTGATTTTCCTTTCAAAACTAACGTCAGTCTGTTGGAGGAATGCGGTGAAAGCAGAGTCGAGTACAAGTAATCGATCGTCCACCCGTTGTATTTTGTTGGCTCTTAGGGGGGAAAGACGACAAGCATTAGTCCCCAAAAGGGAACACTCGGCCGTAGCGCTGTTTTCTCTGTTGCCGCCGGGCGACAAGTTGCGACTTCGCGACAGCCGCAAGCTAAACCAACCCGATAGCCGTCAGAGCGACATGACTAAGGAGCAAGGTTACAACCGTCGGTCAAACAAGCCCACCAAGATGCCAGCAGTCTTCTTCTTAATATCCCATCGTCGTGCGCTGTCCCCTGCTCATTAGCCACTCTTCAGGTGTCTGGCGGGACGTTTCCGGCGTATGGCCCAGGAGGTCGCGGCCATAGGACGCGACCCGTGTATGCCTTGCGCACTACACCGGGCATATGCAAGTCGGTGCGGATGGATACCATACATACTCGTCTCCCACTCTCTCCTGCAGCTAAAAATTTGCCTTGCCAGCGGAAAGAGAAAAGTGCCACTCGCTGTGTCACTCCACAAGAACACGGCGATGCGTGACCAGCACCCGGCAGCGCCCCTTTTACTCACCCAATCGCGCATTACCCTTTTGCTTGTGCAATTTTATCAGCCTCATGAGCTTAGACAAACTCCGTAAGCTAGCCATGCCTTAGTCAGATTCAAGGCTATGCTGGGGTATGGCGTTCAGAACTCTCGCCGCCCCGCTGGCTGCTACGGCCATGACTTTGCACACGAAGCACAGTGCTATGTCTCAGGCACTTGTACCCTTTGTCCAATTTCCGCCTACACGGAGGCCGGTTGGCCTGTTTTTATGATGGTGCGCTGTTGGCAAATGATGTTTGTGTTGGGGGCCACCAAAAGAAAATCAGAGCTGCCCAGTCACAGTAATACTATATAAAGTCAGACATATCCGGGTTTTTTTTCGCTATAGTGACTGTTTCCCCTGCTAGATAGTCACACAATTCAGATACCTAAACAGAGCTTCTCATTCTTTTACCATTTTATTCACACCATGTCCAACCGGCAGGCCCATCGAGTAGCGCCAATGGCGACTCCTTGTGACCGCTGTCACACCACGGCCGCAGAAACGCTGAGAATGGTGCACCTTGTGGACCAAAAGGTCGACCGCATTCTCGCCAATGGATCTGCAACTACCGAGGCTGCCATGGAGGCCGCTACAATGGGCCCCTCCGCAGCTAATGAGGCCGTCGATGATTCGCCGCCAGCGGTTGACCCTACCAGTGGGACGCAATCGGCTACCGCTTCTGACACTGCAGGTACCAACATAAATAGGAGCCGTCGCTCCCGGGTTCCTGTTGCGACTCAGCATCAGAGTCAGGCTCTCCCGCAAGAACCCGTCGATGTTGGCACTTCTGAGCAACCAACACGACGAAACGTCAGCAGCTCTCTGTCTAACAAGGAGAGATCCTACCAAGATACCACCAATGCTAGTCGCAAACGCTGCGTCCTGAAGAATTAACAACGTGCCGACAGGAAACTGAGTTTACGATCGGACGACGATTACTTCTTCACCAAAAGTTAGGGCCACGAACCATCTTCTTTTTGTTCGCTCCTTGACGCTTTGTCTTGGATTGTTTTGTATTTACCTTCATCTCGGTCTCTGCAGTTATCAGACAGGATAGACTCTCAAAAGTTTTCATCGAAAATAATAAAGAAAAAAATAACAGGTACATTGAATGGTGGATAATGGCAGGCTTTTTTCTTAGTTAGCACATCCTATACCAATTCGGCCCAACCAGTACGTCCCACTCATGCCATGTGAAGCCTACGTTTTCTTTGTGCAGAAAAATATTATTATTAATAGAAATAGCCCTAGGAATATGGATTTTCTTATAGCCATTGTTTGCTTCTGTGTCGTTGTGTGTGAGACGGGTTCCAGCATGGCCACCACGTGAGCAAGGATACGGCTGGCGTCGTCGTAGCACCAGAAGTTCCTTGATGGCTACATTCGGCCGAGCGCATCAAGCTAACATCACCTACAAGGTTGCACCCCCGCTCTTACTGACACAGATCAGATTCGAAGCGATATTTAGCGTACAATCAAGTGGACCTTTCTGGAGCAATTTTCTATTTATACCACGCGGCACAGAATAGGCGACGAAGCCCTGGAAGACGGCACGATAGCAACAACAACATCTCAACATCTCCATATACAAAAGCTAACCAGTATTTTATTCATAGTACATTCGTACAGTGTCACAGAAACGCGAGGCACTCACTCACTCCCCCCTTTGCTAATATACAAGAAAATAGTACACACGCCCCCTCCCTCGCACTTCTTCCCGCGCTTTCATGCTGAGACATAAGCCACGGCCGCATCAGCCATCATCTTCCAAACCAGAACCTCGGTATCATTTCGTGGCGCATAAATCATGATGTAGCTAATCGGAAGCCTTCCAACCCTGCCAGCGAGGGGATGCATCTCACCCCAGCCCTTCTCGAGCACCTCCGCCGCATCCGCCAGGCTCAGGACCATATGCGCACTGCCCTCGGGATGGACATGGGCAATCTCACCTCCCGTGGTCTTGAGTACGTGTGCAGGTGTCTCTTCCTCTACTGTCCACAGTGCAGGATACGTGCTGAGCTCCAGCCCTGAGCCCTTGATGACGAGGCCGGCATTTGACTCGGCCAGCGAAGCCAGATAGCCATTCAGCGTAGCCACCAACGTCTCGTCTCCCTGCTGCGATGCCTGCCGGTGAGGCGCCGAATAGCCAGGGATTAGGGGTCGAGGTGTCTTGCGAGGGGTCAGGTCCGGTAAATACCGGGTTCTTGCATTCTGATGATTGGCTGGTGCTGTACGCACAGTATCAGCACTGGTAGTGTCGCGATGGGCAAAAAGAAGGCCAACAGCTTGAATGGTGAAGCCGATAAAGTTGTACGGAAGGCCGCCCGGACCAAGAGCCAGAAAGCCGCGATAGGCCGGGATGATAATGGCAAGGAGTGGAATCGACGCTACAGCGGTCGCCGAGACGAGCGGGCGTGTGGAGAAGAAGTCGGCAATAGAAATCAAAGACCTATGCATAATGATTGGTTACAGTGTTATACAAATCTGTAGGTATTGTCGGCAGGTAGCCGGGAGGGCGTAGGCGAGGGCCTTGTTTGTATTTTTATAGTAAAAGTGCTGATTAACTTAAAGGGTCACGCCAGCCTGGTGGGATAAACCGGGCGGTGCGTACTTGACACGAGGTTCTATGGTGCGCTTGGTTCCGGTTGGGTCCGGCGCTAACCCTACCTACCCTAAAGAAACCACGAATCTTTCAATACGTCATCGCTACGGCTTTAAAATAAATAATAAATAACTCGCATGGAGATTATTAAATTGGACATTAAATTAGTTCTTAGCTTTCAGAATTACGGTAGATTAACATTGCTAAAGAGATGGGGTTCATGCTGTTGGTCGTCTAGTTGCTGGACCAAATTTAAATTGTGATTAACTTAAGGGAGAGTTTCAATACAAAATAAGATGAAAAGTTATGGAAAGAATAAAAATGTATTTTGTACTTTGCTCCACTAATATTTACAAATATATCCAAAACATCAACATTCAAGTCATTATGCATTATACGTTGGGGTTGGCAGCCTCGTGTGTCAAAACGGTGCCGTTCATAAAGACGGTGCCCGCCTTGAGGGTGTGCTCCTGGCCAGGTCGCTCCTCGGGGGCCTGATCGACGACGGTACCGTTGCTGTAGATGAAGCCGTTCCAGTCGGAGGCCAGAGGGTTGACCACTGCATCTTCCGCAAAGTCGGATACCGAGCCGTCTTCAGAAACAGCCAGCTTCTGAGCTGCCTTGCGGGCGCCGGGCAGCAGGGGCGAGCGGCGCGTGTTGATGGCGCAGTTCTCACTAATCATGTACAAGTTCATGCCAATGGCGAATGTGTACATCTCGGCGCTCAGCTGGTCGAAGCTGAAGCGGCTGTTGACGACGACGCCAATGTAGTCGATGAGCGAAACAGTAGGGAAGATCTCGGGGCTCATGTTGTTGAGGCCCATCCAGTAGAGTGCCGGGTTGGTGGGTTGAATAGCAATATCTTGGATAGAGAGAGCAGTCGTGGTCAATGCATCGGCAGAGACAAGCCATTGGCTGATGAGGAACTGGTCGTTCTGGAAGTTGCCGCTGCGCGAGACAGTCTTCCACTTGGCGACCTGGTCATCGGCCATCTTCTTCGTGTCGGGGAGGTTGGACCAGTTGTCCCAGACGTTCATCATGGAGTCCTTGTAGAGACCATCGCCGGGGGAGTCGTGGGGCACGTTGCTGGGCAGGTTGGAGCCGTTCAGGAGGAACAACACGCAGCCCTTGCCGCCATTCTGGTCCATAAAGTACGAAGCCTTTTGCTGGCTAAACTGGGTGTTCTGGTCGAGGTTCGGGCAGCGGTTGTTGATCTGGCGAAGCTTGCCAAAAAATTCGTTGGTAATGGCATTGTCCCAGATAACGGGGCCACCAACTGGGAGCTGACGGATGCCGATGAGGTAGCGGACGCGGAAGAAGACAATCTCTCCGGGATTCTCGCGTGTGAATTGGTTCACCTGGTCGATAGCTTGGTCAAGACTGAGGCCAGTGTTGCCAACAGCAACTTCGGCAGTCTCATCGTTTACGTGAAGGGTGTAAAACTTGTGTAGATCAAGGTGGTCAAAGAAAAAAAAAAAAAAGACGCGAAGATCAAACAGACGAGCACCGGCGCGCATCTGGTCGTAGAGGTTGACACCCTGGGTCTGCGTGTTGACAGCCGTGCCAATGGAGGTCAGATCGCCACTGATGGTGCTCATGCCGGAATCGTGGGTTCCGGGAAGATACAGGTGCTGTACCTTGCGATCTTTGATCACGTCGTACAAGCCCTTCATCCAGTTACCCGGGCCGTGACGGAGAGACGCGGTGAAACCGTATGTGTCGCTGCCGGTGATGACAAGAGTGACTGCAGACTCTTTTCCGGGGTCGAGGTATTCTCTAGCGCCAAGGCCCATGCCTCCAAGGTCGAAGACGGTGCGGCGTGGGTAGTCGTCGGGGATGTGGGTGGTCTTGCGGATCATGAAGCCCTTGTTGGTGCCCTGGATGTTGTAGAAGGCCTCGCCATTGTCATCAACATCATTCTTACCCGCCTTGCTGGTATAGGCGGCCGTGTTTTGCCTTGATCTTCCCTGGGGGATATCGTCCCAGTCAAACACGTCAAACTGATACGAGTGCGTGCGGCTGCGGTCGAGGACAAAGCGGTGAGGGGTAAGGTTGACAATAGTGACATATTGCTTTGCTGGGAAGCCAATGGAGCCGAGCTTGATGAGCGACCAGGGCTGGTAGCTACCGGCGCGAGGGACTTCATTGCTGTAGGTGCGGTCCGAGGCCTGGCAAGTGTCTGCGTCGCGAGCACAGTTCTCCAGTGGCACCGAGAAGACGGGCTGGAAGACGCAGGCGACAGCAGCCAGGGAAGCCCAGAGCTCGTTGTGTCTCATGGTTGCTAACGTGACGTCGTCTTGAGAGACTTGTAAATAGGAGCGGACACAGAGAGAAAAGAGGTGCTGGAGGTAGACGAGCAGCGTCGGAGCCAACATGGCAGCGACGGGAGCTGGCGCGGGCCAGCGCTATATAATGGAATGTAGTATCTCGTGGCGGAGGGGCGCGGTCGCCGTCATGGCCCAGTCTGGATTGATCACTCGGCGCAATTTACCTCTTGATCCATGCGAGCGTTGGAAATCGCGCTAGAGACAAGCCATGCTACGTCTGATCTGGCGAATGCCGTGCGGCGTGGGTTGAGCGAGAGCATGATGCAGGTCCCTTGGCTGCGGAGGCTAAGCCAACTTTGGGAAAGCTGACCCTCCGCAGCCACCAACACAGGCCACATCGGGCAGCCGCTAGCGTTACAGAGCGGCCGCCCCGCGCAGGCAAAGACAATGCTGGCGCTGGTTTAGTGGGCGAATCAAGTGACGACCAGGGGATCCCGCCTGGAGATCAGCTGGAGAGAGTCATGGAGCTTTGGCTTTCGGCGGCCTGATTGGCCAACGGTGAGAAGGGTCTTCACATGCCCTGACCATGCGCCGTTTTGCGAACTCTACCGGGTTGTATTTTTGTTCGAGGGTGATATTTTTGTATATGCCTCGCATTCTTCTTCGGATTGAGAGCATTTTAGCCGCAGAGAGCTTGTCGAAGTTTGACGCCAATTCCGGCTACTTTTTAGGATGATTGTTGGGCCCAGCTACGTTGCATCTCGGTCGGCAGTTTGCATTTCCCTTGCACGTTGTTAGGCTTATTGCGGAGAACAAAAAGTAATAGCACGGAGCATATGCTACTTACGGTGAAAACGCTACCATCAACACCACCATGTGGACCTTTTGGTGAGATTCTAGATAGCTTTTTGCTGGTAGCGCCGAGAATTTGGCCATTCGGTAGCGTTTAGACCGAGCAAGGTAAAAGTCGGCGAAGCGGTGATTAATTCATTTTCGAATATCTTGGATTGCGGAGATGATCTATGCAAAATGTGGTCGTTGCATGAATCTCGGCTGTGAGCGAGCATAAAAGTTCATTTTGGCAGCCGCATTTTCAGCGCCAGGGCCAAGCTTGGGGGCGGCCGTTGAGTGGATGGGCGCTGCGCTCGTCCAAACCGCACACGTGCTGGAGGGTACTGTAGCTGAAAGAGCATAAGCACGGGCCTTACTTCACCACCACCACAACCTTTGCTTCCTGTTATATACCTTGGAGCTGGACGACAACCTGGCGACATGTTGTGAGACTAGCAATAATGATGTCTGCTCGCTTAGCTTTCGTTCCTTGTACTGAAACTATAGTAGCTAGCTCGCCTGGGAGGGAGCGCCTCTTCTGATGGCACTTGTGAAGTATGCCCTCCACTGTCGATGAAGGGACAACCTGTGGTGCTGAAAGAACCGCGCCCCTACCTTATAGAGTTGATGTATCCTATCTACTGATCTTGACGTGTATGTGTATGTTATTGCTGTTGCTCTGACGCCTATCGGGGTCTGTTGCATTCGCACCCAAATGATATCTGAATCATTCTAGTCAATATCACGTAATGAGCCCCCTTTTCACCAGAACTTTTGTTCACCTTCTACATCGCAAGTATGGTCTGGCGAAAAAGGGTTCGACGGCCCGCTTGATGCGTCTCAGCCACCAACTAGTGGCATCGTGATCCTATTGAGGGTGGCCTTTACCTCCCTAGGGCTGGTGTGCTAGAACGTATAAAGTATTAGGTGCTATCACATGGCGCAAAATTCCGTTTCTATTCGTCTTTTCATTGTCGCCTCTCGCCGAGGTTTCTGCGGCTCATTTGCTTCGCCAAATACCAGGCTGAAGGTGAAGTTTGGTGGAAGATGAGAGCGCGTGCGGGGGTCGGAGCCGACTGTTGGGCGCTAACGAATACGGTAAGTGGCCTACAGTAGCAATCTCACAGCTCCTGCACCTGCGATTCGCTTGTGTCTTGCTCCTATACCATTTGTCTACCGTTAGTGACCCGCCGCCACCTGGCAAACCTGCCCCATTTATGGTGATGAAGACCAAGAAAATCTGACTCGTTCACTGATGAGATGAGGGGAACGTGCTTCGCTTGCGTAGGGGGAAGTTCTTCAGTGTCCAGCAAATGACCGCTGTAGCGCGTGTTGGTCGATTCGGTCCGTGCACACGTCTTATAACCAACACGCCACGGCCATCCAACAACTCCCGCATTCTACACCCAACACACATTGTCTGTCTGTCCATCTAACCGAAAGATTGAAAATCATCTCAATCTGCTACACTGTTATTCTTGAGGCTTTCTGCTCAATTGCTACTTTCTAAGCTGGCGTGTTTTGTGCCGTGGGTTGGACGTCATGGAGAACGTTACTGCCTGGGACAATTTATTCGGGCCTCAGCTAGAGGGTGCCTTTGATTTTACCTAACAGTTCGAGTACTCTATACTTACAATTCTGCCAACATCTTTGTTCATCGCAGCAACTCCATGGCACCTCATCAGCTTGTTGCGTTGCCCAGTCGCAGTTAAGCCAGGACCACTCCTGTGGACCAAACTGGTACATTGTCCTCCTCGACGCCATATGTATTATTAATTTCTTTTGCTAACCGGCTCCTAGATTACAGGACTTTGGCTAGTGACCATCGAAGCTACCAATGTTGGCTTATTCGCCATATCTGCTGCTTTTCGCACCGAGTATTCCGTCGCCGCAGCATGTCTATCAACCATTACTGCTCTCTGCATCCTCGCTATGCTATATGTTGAGCATAAACATTCCATCCAACCATCGACGCTTATCAGCATCTATCTTAGCATAACCGTTCTTTTCGACATTGCTAAAGCCCGGTCTTATTTCAACCGACCAGGATTGGAATCCATGGCAGGAACCACGCTGGCCATTCTAGTCTTGAAATCGATCGTCATTTACCTTGAAGAGAAATCTAAGAGAGAATCAATCACGAATTCTACATCCCATGATGAACTTGGAAAGGAAGATGAGAGTGGGTTTTGGAATCGAGCTGTTGTGTGGTGGGTGAATTCCACGTTCCGACTCGGGTTCAAAACCATCATCACCGTTGAGGATCTACCTGAGCTGGACGCGCAACTGCGCTCTAATAGTCTTCTCAAACGTTTTCAAGGCTATTGGAATCAGAGTGAGTTAACTTTCCAAGGAGATAAACATATTCCTTAGGCTAATATATGTCAAAGATAACAAATAATCTCGGTTTGCTCTTCCACGGGCTATCATACAAACACTTCCGAATCAAGTCGTTTGTGCTTTTGTTCCAAAGATGATATTTATTGGCTTATCATTTGCTCGACCGTTCCTCTTCCAAGCCGCTATCAAAGCTGTTAGTGAGCCTGATCTCTCCAGAGCAAAAACTGGTGGCTTACTTGGCGCAACGTTTCTGGTTTTCGTTTTGCTGGCAGTAAGTTGCTCTTAATATTTGGCATTTCCTATTCATGTTTAACCTCTGTTGTATAGATCTCGCGTGCATACGCACAAGGGTTGGTCAACAAAAGCATGGCCTACTTTAGAGGCTGCATAGTTGCTGCAAGATTGCATAAAATGTATCGCCTTCCCCAATCTGAGCTCAATAAACGTGCAGCCCTTACACTCTCTACCACGGACATTGCGGGAATGGAACGAGGTGTGCTACTATTTCATGAAGTTTGGGCAGGCATTCTCTCTACAGGGCTTGGTATATATATTTTGAGCCGGCTTGCCGAGGCAGCCTCCTTCTTGGTCATTATTCCTGTTGCCAGTATGTCCAAAGTCGCCTCTACAATTGCTGGCAATGTCTCTAACATCTTATAGTTATGCTGTCCGTCTCTTACAATCTAACAACAAAAATGCGTCCAGCGCAGAAAGCCTGGAATGAACAGATTGAGAGGCGCGTGGCAAGCACATCGGATGTTTTACACGGACTACGGAGCGCGAAAATGTCCGGTCTAACTAAGGCTGTGGCATCGTCTTTGCAAGCCATGATGCAGAAGGAGGTATCATCATCCAAGAAATGGCGAAAGTTTATCACCTTTCAGTTTGTTTTGTGTACGTTGCTTGAGTAACTGCTTGCTCAAAGGTTGTATCTGTACTAAATATATCAAAAGCTCAACTCACTCAGTCCTGGACCTCAATCGTCGTCCTCGGTGCCACGTTGTTCTGGACCCGGTCGCTGTCTGGTTCAGCACCTGCCAACATTTTCGCGACAGTATCAACGACACCGTTACTCAACCAGCCACTAGAGGATGTGATGATGGCATTTTCAAAACTCACCTCAGCATTTGCTTGCTTTGAGAGAATACAAAACTATCTACTACTACCCGAGTTGGTAGATGTGCGCCAGCAAGATCTCGGTCAAATTGCTGATGCAAACCAAGCCCCAAGATTCGCAGCCCAGCTAGTTGGGGTCTCGACAAAACCGTTGGATTCAGGACGCCAGCTGTTTCACAGTTTGCATGCTGATTTTCCTACACAGGAACTCAGTGTTATCATTGGGCCTGTAGGATCTGGCAAATCCACAATATTAAAGCTGCTTTTGGGTGAGGTGGACATCACTCGCGGGCATATCCACATTGATAAGACATCAATTGCCTATTGCGATCAGAAGCCCTGGCTTGAAAATAAATCAATCAAGGAAAATATTGTCGGCCATCGAACTATCACAATTGGTTGGTACAATAAGGTTCTCTCAGCATGCTGCCTTGATCGAGATATTGAGCTCCTTGCAAAAGGGGACGATACTGTTGTTGGTAGTGCCTGTTGCAATCTGAATGGCGGCCAGCGACAGCGAGTTGTAAAGTATTTTACCACTGTTGGCATATACTAAACCGAATATTGAGCCCAAAAAAATAGCATTACAGGCTTTAGCTAGAGCTATCTGTGCGGCTCCCAAAGTTTTGCTCCTGGACAACGTCTTTAGCAGCTTGGACAGGGCTACTGCTCGAAACATCTTCCAGCGAATTCTTGGTAAAGACGGTATACTGCGAAACTCTTTGACAACAGTTATTATGACAGCAAACTTGGGTACGTGGTCTTTAGACAACCATTGATGTCCAAGCTAACATGTTCATTGTAGTTGAGCACGTGCTTAGCGCCAGCACAATTTTGTCAACTAACGAACCGGGGACTTTGACATTAGTTGATGGTACAAGTGAACTTTTGGCTACTCACTCATATCTGCAGAGTGAGTCGGGGTTGGAAGAGGGGGACAGCTTTCAAGCATCACCATCAGTCGCGTCATTGACTGCAAGTGTCAACACGGCCAACTCGAGCCCAAACAATGATAGTCAGGCGGAAGACGATAGTGCTAGCGATGAAGTGGTAGACCTCTCTCGACAGCGCGGAGATGTTTCGCTGTATGGATTTTATGCCACGACATTAGGAAAATGGGGCGTTCTCCTCTGGTTGATACTTGTTGCGTTGGGTTGCTTTTCGAACCGTCTTCCGTGTTCGTAACCGCTTGACCTATCTGTCACACTCTGGCTGACTTTCTTACAGTGATTTACATCCGAATATGGCTTCAGAAAGATCCTAAAAACAACCTCTACTAAATTGGGATTGTGGCCTGCGTCAAGACAGTAATAGTTCCTTTGCTCTTGAACATATTGACTTTGCGATAGAAGCTGGCCAGCAGGTAGGCTGTGCGGGAAGAACAGGAAGGTAAGTGACACACCGGCATGTTACATACTGCAATAAGCAGTGGCTAATTGGATACGTAGTGGCAAGTCAACACTTCTTCTTACGCTTCTAAACTTTGTCGATTACAATGGCAGTATCTTGATTGATAACGTCGAGCTGAAGGACATCCCACATGAGACGGTCCGCGAACGCATAACCACCATCCCACAAGATGCGATTGAGCTGGCTGGTTCCGTTCGGCATAATCTATTCCCATGGGCTGCAAAGGATGGACGCCTACCAAAAGACCAGCTAATGATCAACATGTTGACTCGCCTTGGCCTTTGGCATAAAATCGAAGAACGAGGTGGATTAGAGGCAGACCTCATTGGACTTGACCTGTCAATTTGCCAACGACAGCTCATGAGTATTGCCAGAGCGGTGATTCATCATATCCATACCGATTCAAAGCTTGCTCTAATGGATGAGATCACAAGCCACATGGATAGCGACACTGCTCGCTTAGCGCAGAATCTTATTGACGAAGTCTTTAAAGATTGCACCGTGATTGCGGTTGCGCATCGCGAGGAGTCTTTGCCAACATGGATGCCATACTTCGTCTGGACGCTAGTAAGATGGTATCTTTTGCTGAAACCGCAACGCTCGCATCTGCGTCTGCATTAGGTACAGCACTTGAGCATTCTCGGTCAGATACGTCAGCAGAATCAAATGCCTACGACGATTAGGTAGACCCTGACGGTGAGCCATAGATAATTTGTATTGAAATGTTTAATTTTTGGATTTATTTTCAGCACGCTATGGTAACTCATGACCACGGCTTTGCTTTCGGCACCTGTTAATCTATCGTGCTTACAAGACTACTGACAGTCTAGCTGTTTAATTGCCGAGCTGCATGTTACACTAGATGAATGTATGGAAATTCGTTCAAGCCTTCTACAAGGCTGCGCAGTCGTGCGCGTACTGTTCCTATTGGCCCGCCACAGTCTCGTGCGAAACAAAGGCTTCTAGAGCTTCTCCGGATTCTCTGTAAAAGGGCGCCCGCACATGCTTGTCGCTTACCATGCCCAAAACAGCAACCTGTGAGTAGTACCGACGGCAACGCTACCTCAGTAGCAGCAGCACCAGGAGCAGAAAGAAAGGCAACAGACGGCGGCAAGGCAGCGGTTGTGGTTGGCTGCATTTGGTCGATGGCATGCCAGACCCAGGTCAGTGGCCCACAAAAGAAGAAGTCCAGAAGGAAGGATTAGAGAGAAGGCGACGCCTGCGAGATTGTAATTTCCGGCAAAATGTGAGAGTCGGAGCCGTGCGTTTAGGACGGCGTACAAAATATGGGATGCCGGCGGCTGTGTGGCGATGTTTGTGCAAAAAGGGTACCGTGACAGCAGCGACCTGCCTATTATGGATGAAACATCTTTAATAGAGCAAGACACGAGGGGGGGGAGTTCTGTTGCATGCTACGCTGGGGATGCTAGTGTATCTCTGCGCTCGCGTGCGTGCAGTTTGATCAGGGCCTGGAAGTATGGTGAGCGTTGTAAGTTGGATGCAATGGGTGTATTGGGTGTGTAATCCACTGTGTTGGTCGATCTTGTTGGCTGGCTGTGTCCCGGCTTCGCTGTGGTGCGTTGGCTTTCGTGAGTGTTGCAGCTTTCGATGCACTGCGTTGGCTTCTGTCCATCGCACCGGGACTGTGGCTGTGGCTTGTCACGAAATCACTGTCAGGCACGGCCACGCTTTCTGGAAGCATGACTATGATGCGTGCTGTACTGGAGCGCCCGCTGCGCTGGCGGCTTCATTTTACAACGCAGAGTGCGATGGTGGCGGCCCGGGCGGGGGAGGCAAGGCCGTGGAACCTGTCAACGGCATGTAGAAAACGGCGGCCACCGGGATGCTAAATTATCGAAGCATCACTTGACAACAGGGGAAAGGGGGCGCCAATGTCCTGCCACGAGAGAAGCAAAAAAGAAGAAGCCCAGTCCACCCCTGGCCCCTGTCAAAAATTAGACGACGAGATGACGAGCGCTGCTACAGTGGCGTGATTACAGTAAGAGCAGCCAGCAATAGCAACAGTCAGGTTACAGTAGTAGCAACACCAGCACCCACTGCTGAGCCGCCACGCCCGCCACAAAGGCAGGTCCAGTGGTCCTCTCGCTGCATTTTCTTGCCAGGGGGGCAGCACAGGCACCATGACCATGGCTACAGCGCTGGGGGTTAGTGAGATTCCCTGAGATTCCTTGTGACTCCCTGCCTATGCCTCCGCCACTGACTGGTGTGCCCTGGTGTCTGGTTTGGAGCCCAACTCACGCTCTTTGGCGCCTTTTCCCACCCCCAAAGCACCAACTGAACCAACACCACCACACCACCCACTACCGTACCGCTACCACACCACTAGAAAGAAAAGCTAATCATGGCGCTCTATTTTGTGCGTAACAGCATCTGACAGCTGTGTATCGCGCCGCTGAGGAACTACACCGCCTCTAGTTCTCACCACCTGGTGAGCCAGGCCCGTACGTACGCAAGCACGCACGACGGCGTTTGAGGCTTAGCCCGTATAGCAAAGTTGCCTACTGAACCAACAGAACCCAACGCTGCGGGAAAATCCTTGTTCCTTGATTTGTCTTGGGCTGGTCGGTGTCTCTTGCATTGGTTTGAAACATGCTTGCCTACTAGACCTGTTCGCAGACTCGGCCTGTGGGTTGTGTCACCAGTGAGCGTGCAACGAGTGCACTCATGTAGCGGCTTGTCTTCACGCCGCAGTGCTGTTCCATCAGCAAGCAACAAACATGCAGCACCAGCGGCAGTAGCCGCGGGAAAAGAGATGCACCATGAACCAACGTCCACAAACGAGGGGAGACTTGTCTCGGATCCCAGCCAGTGATTATGTCTTTTCGTCCTTTTTTTGTCTTGCCTGCAAAGGCCCCTGATATTGACCAATGCCAACTGCAAACCGCCGAGCTTAAATGTGTGGGGATTTTGTATGGCGCGGCCAATCGTCAGACGCTAACAGCGGACTTTTTGGCCAAGTGAGGCGTCTGGTTTTGACGCGACTATGGTCGAGACAAAAGGACGCTCTGTCGGGCGGACTGTCGCGAGGGCTCTCTGGCGGGACAAGTCCATTTTGGAGTTACAGTGGCCGACCGCCACCACAGCGCTATTACGAGTGCTTACAGAGGCGACAAACTAGAGCTACAGGGGCTAGTCGCCTAGAAAGAACCCCCGGGTACGGTACCGTTGGGGGCGACGGCGCACCAAGTTGATTTGCGGACGAGTACAGCGTCGCCTTGGCGTATGATGATTACTGTAGTTGGGCAACTTCTGACCCGGAACTGTCATCCCGCTGCCGGCTGGGGCACTTTTTGTCTCGCAAAGCCATGGAGAAGCTCATCATTGGCGGAACGATAGTGACATTTCTTCTTGTTCTGACTGCGAAAAAGGAAACTCCCGGGAAGTCTTGATCACAGCGAGGCGACCAAGCCGCCGCCTGGCGTTGGGTGTTGGTTGAAAGAAGCATCTTTGCAGTAGGAGTCCGTTTACACCACCCCCTATGAGAATGAGTTATAGAACAAGTGAAGGACACTCACTAATATCAGAAGCAGCTAATGCCACTCCCAACACCCAATTTGAAATCAGGATTGGCAACTACCCAAGGTGCCGTTTTCAAGCATGGGCACCCCTGCGCATGTTGCGCCTGCGCTGTTGATGTGCAGCTACAGGACACCATGGGGACAAGATCGTACTGTAGCTCCGCCCAACCGGTCTCGAGCCAGCTCATACACCCACTCACTTGCGGACAAATTCTAGGCTCGTTCAGGCGCAGGTACCATGACTGCAAGGAGGGACGCTTTCCGCCCCGGACCTGCTTCGCCTGGCATCACCGCTACTAATCGGACGAAGAGGGGGAGAGCTTCCGGAGGGGGAGCGGCCAAAGAAGATGGGGGACGTCAAACGCACACGCGGTGTACTTTGTAAGTCGGTCAAGCCGGTTTGGAGTGCACCGCCGAGGGGAGGTGACTGTGGGCATTCTGGGTTCGCCCGTTAGGCGGCAAGGTGATTTTGGTCCTCCTGAAGACACACCTGCGGCGGCAAAGAAACAAAGGGAACAAAGAAAACAAAAGAAAAAGAAAAACCGGTAACCAAAGAGGAGGGGCAAAAAAGGAAAAAAGTCTTCGCTTTGACGGTTTGATAGCCGATCTAGACAAGCTCTGATCCATGCTCAAGGAAATAGCGAAATGAGGCAAAAGAAGCAAAAGTTCCTACAAGAGAGCAATAATAGGAATAAGCAATGGGCGACAGCAGGCGGCTATGATAATCAGAGAGAGGCCAACCCATGGCAGGCTTCGGCGAGAGCTCCATTCGAGTTGCAAGAGGGTGTGTGCAAGAACGATCTTTCGTCGTTGTGTAAAGCAAAGCCTTCTGAAAACACGCCCCCCTTGCAAGTGTCACTCATCCACAGTATTCCGTCCTGTCTGGCAATAGGAACGTTTTACCACGGGGCTCTCGCCCGAGAACCGAATCCATCCAACAAATTGCCGGGTACCATCACAAAAGCCATGGCGAATGAAACATGCAGAAGGGTAGACCGCATGCGCACAGACCAACTGCTTGCGAGTCCTTTTTATTCTTGTTCTTGTTTTTTTGTATTTTTGTTTCTATTTTATTCGTCGCTTTTTATTTTTAAGCTGGCTTTCAGCTCCAAACCGCCGCCTCGAAGGATCCTATTGGTCACCTTCGTTGGCAATTGCGCATCGATCACGTACGTACTGTACCCCCCAAGTCCACATTTGCCCCATTTCCAGTTTCTGCTGGCCGCACACCCAACAGTGCACACCCTGACAGCCTTTCGCCAGGCAGTTACCCCAACTTCCCAACCCCCAAAGCGAACTTGAACTTGATCCCGACGCTTTTTACTTGGCCTCAGCGGCTTTCTTGTCCCTAATGGGCTCCTCTTTTCGTTTTTTTTTTCCAATGGGGGCCCGCCTAACCTACCCTAACCACACACCCTTCACCCCGGCCGTACCGTTCGAACAATGACAACTCAACGCCCAAAGTATGAGATCTGAGGTCCCAGACACCCAGGCGCGCGAAGAAGACGTTCTGCTTTTCTACCAATATCGACCTGCCTGCACACTTAAGAAGCACTTGGCCCCCTATGCTTCATGGTTTTTTTCTCCTCACAAGTCAAGCTCACAACTTCTTCATTCACTGCCGCTTCTATTCTGCCCAACTACAGAGCCTACCCATATCGTCTTGCAGCCTACAAGTCTGCCTTCTCTGCCTGGCCACCACAACCCCCCTAAAAACAACCCTTTTCGAAGAGCGCCTACCGTCCACTTCTCAATTTTCGTCTTCTTCATATTCCATCATGCCATACAGGTACGTTGTCCCCCTCTGTGTCGTTGTTGGGTACTGTGGTCTGACTTACACCACCAGCAGTGACGACGACATGTCGTCCACCCGCGCAACCACATCGTCACCTCCTCCTCCTCCTCCGAGTCCTCCTCCCCCATATGTCCCCCCATCATCTGAAGATCTCAACGGCATAACGGGGAGTCGCTAGACAAAGAAGTCACTGTGTGGTGTACAAGGCCGTGGGGAGTCGTTCCTGCAACAAGGCCGACGTTGAAATTTAGCGGGCATATATCATGGGATTCATTTTTTCGGCGCAAACATTTAGAAGAAAATAGCAAGATATCACAGAGAAAGAGTGTATAGAAGAGAACATATAATAGATTTGGTTCATTGTTTTTGTCCCCATGCGTGTGATGTAGTTCCGAGTCGACCGCGGTCTGCGCAGTGCCGCTCTGTAAACAGCTGTAAGTAAGTAACTAGTAATTCCTGAAAAAGGTAAAGTAAAAACGCCGTGGTTTCCCCTCTCAAAGGAGTGGTGGGTGACGGTGGTAAGACTCCTGCTTCCTCCCGTCCCCCCAAAAAGAAACGCCGTCCATAATGCGGTCCCATCCATGGTGTACATGTAAAAAAGAAAAAGGTCCTAGATCCCAGAGGAGAAAAGACTCGGTGAAATATGAAGTAAAAGAAGAGTATTGATAGAAACAGATGATGCTGCTCGTTGTTTGAACCAAAGACGCTCTCGAATCGCTTTCGCTACTGCTGTTGCTGTTGCTGTTGTTGCGGTATAAAGCTCAGATCCAAGCTCTGGTAGTTCCACATGGTCGCCAAATCGCCCAGCTGCTCCTCTGTAAAGCCGTCGAGAGAAAAGTTGCCAAACATATGCGTCGGGGTCGGCGCCATGTACACGCTCTCCAGCGGCTGCAAGTACATGGTTGTGGGCACCTTGACGGGGACACTCTGAGGAGCAATCGGCATGTACTGCTGGCCCATGTCGAGCGAGGTCATCATCATCGGCTGCGGAGGCATCGTAGCGTAGACGCCGCCGTTGGGCTGCTGGTCGTGCATTCCGTGGTGTCCGTGATGCTGGCTGTGGTTGGGCGATGCGCCTACAATGACGGGCTGCTGGTGCTGGGCCTGGTCACTGGTCAACATGTCGTTTGGAGAAACAGGAAAATAATCATAGCCGTCGGTGCTGCCAACCTCGCTGCATGCTCCAGAGGCACCAACAGCGTGGTTGCAAGCAGTCATTGGAGGCGGAGAAAGAGACGCGTCCAAAGTGACGGCTGTTCTGGATTGGTTTGCGCGGTGGGAGCGTACCTCTGAAGCTGCAGCAACACGCTGCATCAGAAGAAGCAGAATGTCGTGGGAAGCCTTGGCCGTCTTGGTGACGCCTTGGAGCGTCGAGAGCATGTCGATAGCCGAGCGGACGCCCGCTGCAATGTCGTTGCGCGAGTCGAGGCTGCCGTCGTCGTCGTGGAGCATGGTCGAGCACAAGGTAGATGCGATGTCAAACACCGAAAACAGGACAAAGTGGAACTTGGCGTCGTTGGGATATACAAAGTGGAAAAAGTCAATCAGTGACCGCACAAGCTTCAGGCCGTACTTGATACCCTGTGCGCGAAAGTGCAGGTCGTATTGCAATGACTGCTGGTCCATCGCTCGTGTCAGATATGGCCGTAGCGGATCGAGCAGCATCCAGTAGCAGGCTGAGTGAAGGTAGTGTCGGTGTAAAATGATCCATTCGTATTTCGAATCGAGCGACTTGTCGGGCGTCTCTACATCGAATTGCGGCGGGAATGTCTGGATCCAATCTTCGACAAGCGAAAGGTATTCGTTAATGTCGGATGGTGACGTTGCGTTCTTGGGTGCTCCAAAGCGTGCAGACAGCTGACCAACAATAATGGATTGTTGCTTCATGTGCTCCATTGGCGAGACGGCGTAGCCTTCGAGAGTGAGGCTGGGTTGCTGAACATCACAGTCGAGCAAGTCAATGATTCGCGGGCGTGACAAAAGTGCCGATATTTGCCTGCCAACATTGTTAGTCTCTTCGACTGATCCACATATAGCAAATCAGTGTGATGAAAGAAAAGCATACCAGTCCCATGTATCCATAATACACCACGTGCGTCTGCGCATCTCCGCGTCAAATTCGGATATTGGGCCCGCCCGTTTCTCGTGGTTGAAGCCTAGCTGCTGTTAGCAAAATGGTTGGATCGGGGATGTATGTACCCAACGAAGGGTATAAGCATACATGTACGCACATAATTCTTGGGCTTCGCGGATAGCTACGCTGAGTACGTGCCACGACTCGACAAATCTAGCCTCGTACTTGTACCACAGACACGAGTGCAGCAGATACTGCACACTGATGAGGTGGCTGTAGCTGACGGGGATGGTGCTGTGGAGTTCGCGGGCGACGAGATGGTATCTGTCGGATGCATATTCGATTGCCTCTCCAAGCTCAGTCTCGATTTTGCGCTGTAAACCGGGTTCTGTATATTGGGCGGAGCATGCACAGATCATTAGAAGCAGGCATGTCCATTGCAGGCCCAGGGGTTTGTTGGCCTGTCGATCCGCCCACCAATCTCGGTATTCTTGCAGAAACGACGGGGGGTATATTATGTAGTAGTGAAAGTTGACGCGGGAGAGGAAGTTTTGGACGAGGACATCTGCATCGGACGGACTAGTTAGTATTTGAAAAAACGGCTTTGATCCATCAGTGTTGTGATAGACAAACACATACCGGTGGTGGTTCGTGAGGGGAGGACTTGCAGTGCCTTCTGTAGCTGGGGACAAGCATCAGGGGCTTTGAAATATTGTCGCGGGGTTGGTCTCGGTTTCTTCTGCAAGCAAGGGGACAACAAGTTAGCCGATGTTGCTGCGATCTACAAATTCAAAGTTGGAGTTGGTGGTGTGGAGCTCGAAATGGCCAGTGAGCGCCGGCGGATCATGACGCCCAGGGGACTCCACAGGCGTTGCAAGCGAAGGTTCCGACGCTTCGATTACCGTAGCCGAGGGAGCCGTCTGGGCATCGTGACAAATATGAAGAGAAAAAGAACATACCTCGCTTGTGAGGCCAGAGAGAAAATCTGAGTGCATGTATCCGATGGCTGCGAAGCCTTGCATGTCGTCGTCGTCGTCCGAGGCCATGTCGACATCTTCGTCGTGTCGCGAGCGCTTCTTGGTGGCTGCGGGGGACTTGTCGGCTGCTGCGGGAGCCTGTGTGAACCTGCACTGGTCGGCTACCTTTCGCTTCTGGCAGTGGTTGCATGGCCATTGTCGATTGCACTATACAGAGGGTTATTGTTAGTTTAAAAAGAACCAAAATAAAAATAAAAAGAAGAACAAGCAATGGATAACGCACCTTTTGCTTTCGTCGCTGGCATTCCGTGCAGGCGGGGCGTGAGTGCCCGTTGACAGCAGCGCTGCGATCCGGCGGGCTTGTGCCTTGTCCTTCAGGCGATGTTGAGGGCATGGCCGTCAGCAAAGCCAGCAAAGGAGGGGCAGGCAGGAGGAGGTCGAGGAAAAGAGGAAAAGGGCCGCTGACGAGTCGATAGCAAGGTTGAAAAAGGAACTCGGAGGGAAATGTTGTGGGTTAGTGTATTTGTTTGCGACAAGAAGGAGAAGATGGCGGAGGGGAGGGGAGAGAGAGGGAGGATATGGATGGCCAGAGAGAGAGGCGCGATTGGGGACTACAAAAGTAGAAGAAGGAGAAAACAGCGGGTGGTGGGCGCAAAAGACGTTGGAACGCCCACTGGTGGCTTTTTTTTGTGAGGACGCCTTTGGACTTGTTTGCGGATCGTCGTAGGCGGGCTTCAGGGCGTGGGTGCCGGCCGGCGCTAGCGTAACTGCATGAATAAGGTGCACCGTACATCAGTGCAGCGATAGAAAAACGAGAATTTTCAAAAAGTTCGATCACTGAGATAAAGAGAAAGAAAATACGATAGCCAAGCTGAGTAAAGAAAGAGAGAAAATGGATATGCTGCCGCCCACGAACGATACGGGAGAACGACTCGGATTTACAAAGGCCTGCGCAGTGGTCTAAAACCGGGCTGCAGCGCACCACCACCACCGCTACGGAGGGTAGTGGTGCCCCCCCCCCCCCCCTCCAAGATGCGGTTTGCTCGCCCTCCGCCACCCCTGCACTGTGCGGCGCAGCACCAGCGCTGGCTGGATGCGGCAACGTGTACGCTACTGTAGGTGGAAGCCTTCCCCGCTGCCACTGCCAACGCTGTGCCGCGGCCTGTGGAGATTTGATGTACCGGAGCGCCCCTACAAAGTATGTACAAGCCGAAGTACGTACTGTACTGTACCCTGTTAGCGTTTTTTTGAACGTGTCATATTTCGCCTGCGCCGCTCCCAATCTATTGCTGCATGAGAAGCCTACCGATCTCATCTAACGCTAGAGGGAGACGAAGCTTTCCACTACGATGTCATTCCTCTTTCCAAAACTACACAACCTTGCGAGCTGGCTCCCTCATTACTCGCAATCTTGCTCATCGGAAAACGTCCACTAGCCCTGTTCTTTCTTTCATTCTCCTCGGCCATCGGCGAACCTCTGGCCATCATTACAGCGAGGCCGGAGTGAGTCGCGGAGTATGTACAACTTTACCCGCCCCACTGAGCCCACTGGTCCCCTAAAAAGCGACCAAAACAGGCATGGCACGACCGCCCTGTAGCCCTTCAAGGTAGCAAGCAGCCTAGCGCAAAAAAAAAAATACAAATACTTTTTACTTGTCGCCTCCAGCAAGGCTAGGTTCAGCGTGCTGACAGGCCGCTAACGAACGACCTGGGCCGGCCCATAAAAACCTTTGGCCGACACGGCGCCGATGACTCTAGGCGAGAGAGCAGCTACCGGAGACGCCTAGCGCTCCACTGCTGGGACGAGGAAGAAAAAAAGTTCCCAAAAAGGTAAAACGATAGTACCCCAGCAAGCGCAAAAAGGTATCTTCCGTTGACTAGACTGGGAATTGACAAAAAGGCGAAGATAGCCAAGATGGTGCACTATTCATGTTGATTGTTTACTAAACTTTTATCGCTAGGGTTCCTTGATCTTGATCCAACTGAGACGCCTTGATTAGAAATTGGTAATTGTTCGATTTGAGAGTCAGGGAGGCTTGGTTGGCTTGTTTTTTTGCGTGTTTTGTGCGGCAGCCCGTCGGCCGCATATACAAGGTCATTACGGTAAGTAACGAACCCCTCACCCACCCCTCTTCCTGTATGCCGTACTTTTTTTTTTGGTAGCGTTTCAGGTGATGCGCTCTGGGTAAAATCGCAGCAACGCACGCGGGACCACTAAACAAGCATTAGCACAGAGGGCAGCGCCGCCCCAGAAAGAGCATCATCATTTTTCAGCGCACATCACGACGGACCGGCCCCGCCGCCGCAGACACAGTGCGCTGGACAATAGGCCAGCACAGCTGAAAGCATAAGTCCCACAGCACATCACCTGCTTAAGCGCCTAGAACCTTGCGTGCTGTGCTGATACTGAGCCAGCCAACTACAACTACTGTACAGGAACTGCCCATGTCGTGGCTGAAACTCTGCTGCTGCGCTGTTGCTGTTCAGTGGTTCCCCCTCCCCCTCGCTCCCTGTACAGCACCACCCACACACACACGCTTTCTGCTAAACCTTGCTATTCTTGGACGATAGTGCTTTCAATAACGCGCTTTTTCTTCATGCTGGCTGCCAAATATCTAATAATCAGAGGCTACTGCGTCGTATAGCGGGCATTAGTGCGTAGATCGAGGCGCTATTTAGTCACTATGTCGTCATTCATTTCCAAGCAGGTCATCCCATCCCATGCTTCGTTCCCAGTGGTTCGCAGTAGGTGAGCTCTCTGGGGGAGGGGCGGGGGAGGCAACCGGGATAGGCCCCGCCCCAGCAAAGCGCCTCCTCCGCCAGCGGATCAGCGGACTCGCCAAGTAACTTACTTACACTGCAACAGACTGCCAATCTACTAAGAATCCTATTCTGGTGCAGCAGCAGCACAATACGACACAGTATTTCTACATTTTTCGTGTCATGTACGCCGACGGCAGGTATTAGCGCTCTTCTCCAATTTCTCCCGACTGCAACCCCAAAAGCCTCAACGCCCACCAACAATCCAGGCCAGACCGTTCTGTAAGCCCGCCCAGCGAGCCTCGTTTGCCGTCTTTTAACCGTGGACTCAGAAGTAGAACCAGTATCATGGACCGTTCAGTGGCGTTGGTTCGCCAAATACTGGCGTTGCTCGTGACGCTGCCCGGCCCCCTCGTCGGCGCACCCAGATCGCTGGATTCTTTTCTGACGCTTACCTCGATCCTATTTAGTCTGGCCCTCTTTTTGTGACTTCCGCTAATGCGCAATACCCTAGCACAATACTCGCATCTATCTGCTGCCTAACTGGCATCCTGGCTCAGTGGAGTTTTGGCGAATTACCACGTCGTCCCAGTTTCCCTGCATTGTTCGTGGCCCTGGACTACGTGCGCTATGCGTGCTGCATCTGCCCGCTCAGCGTTACAGTAAAGTCCATGCGGCCAAGCCTTGCAGCCTCCATCGGTCTAGGCGCCCTAAACCCAGTTGCGGGTGCTGCTTGCTTGCTCGCAGCGCATGTAGGAACCTTGCCAAGGTAGACAGGGTCAAGCGGCTTCTGATGGCATAGCATAACGGCAGCGGCTCTGTGATGCAGCACTCTACGAAAAGACAAAAAAATCCGCCGTCGGCATCAATATCGGCACCGGCCCCCTTGTCTTGCCCCTGGTGAACCTGGGGATACAGTAGATAGATTGGTATGGGCCTCGCAAAAACTGCTGCAGACGCCACCAAACCTGCTGTATGCTAACGTAGCCGGCTTCGTACCGTACACCAGCAGCAGGCAGATGTGATGCTTTCGAAATGGCCTCTAGCATCCAATCCACCACAGTGGAATCATTTCCAAGCACAGAGAGCCCTTTAATCCGAATCTGGCAATTCCTCTCCCCGTGGCGTCACATCGTCCCGCATAGCCGACGCTACCACGTCTCCATTACCAAATACCTGGTGAGCGAAGCTACGTTAGTATTGACTGTATTGTACCCGGCGCGACGGGCAGCCTAGCCTAACCTATGCAGCTAGCAACAAAAGAAAATCGAAAAATAATAATATTTTGGACTCGAAAAGAAACAGGTGTTACGTCGATCCTGTTTCAGTTCAGGCAGGGCGAACAGCTATTCCCGGTGCAGGCGTGACACTGTGCATTCGACGCGCGACATATGTCCCAGACTCACAGCTCGAATTCCCACGTCGAACCAAAAAAAAAAAAAGCTGCTCACTTTGCATTCTGCTGCCCCATGACATCGTTTAACAAAACTACTTCTTCATTACCTGTTTTCTTACAGGCTCGTTCACCGGAACGAACGTCTTCCACCCTGCACGCACCGGAGCGGGGAGTTGCCGTGGGTCAAACGCACGCAGGTCGAGTCAGAACTGGAGATATCCGCTCCTTGCTTGCTTGCTTTGCTGCACCGTTTGCCCTCGTCAGCAAACTACGGAGCCCTGCACGTTCTAGTCCCGCCCAGTCCTGCATGCTCATGCCTCGCAAGACCTCCGGTGGGACGAAGGCGTTGGGCGGCAGGCGGGCTCAACGGTCAAGGGACCAGGGTTCCAGGCCCAGCTTTGCTTGAGCCCTGCTCCCATCACGCGCTTGTGCCTCATTCTGTAGTTTCGTTAGTGAGATTCGTACTGCTAATAGTCGAAAAAATAAAGTCAGCGAAGAAACTGGGCGGTGGAAGTTGCCGTCAAAGGACAGGGTAGTCTATTTTACTCTTGCGTTTAGTTCAGGACCATGTCCTGACTAACAGCTCTGTTCTATGGATTCGTCGCAACTCTACCGACTGCCGAGTCTAGGCCTAGCTGTAGCTTGCGGTTAAAACGGCCAGGCGCTTTTCCCTTCAACATGCCTATGGTTCCTAGCCCAGCGCGCGCGCCATTCAGTCGCTCCACCACCCATTCATTCATCCAGTTTTGTTTGCTGCGCGCAGGAGCTGAGTTGAGCTGGTTCCCTCTCCATCGCTTCCCCCCCCCTCTCTCTCTGGTCCACGTTGCCGACGGCGAAATAAAATGGCTGCCATGCATCTCACCGGTCGTTGTCTCGGTTCCGCTCGCGCGGGAGATCTTGTCCCAGCTGGGCGGGCCTCACGCCATGCCACATTTGACGCTAAGCAGAACTGCCGACTGGCTAAGGCGGTGATCCCGCATGTAACCCAACGTCCCTTGATGCACCGCGCGTACATCCTGTCCGTTTCTCATAGGCCAGGCAGGGCAAATGGGCCACTTCCTATGCTAATGGCGGTCTCTCGGTGCGTAATGCACTGGCGGCAAGCTGCATGTAGACACAGCCATTTTTTCCCCAGCCCTCATGAGACCCGTATCTTGGTGTTACTGAGAAGACTGTTGCTTTCGTGTTGCTCAATCGCCTGTGCTACGACCAAGATCGCGCCTCACGCGCCATGCGCTAGACCCTACCGGACGTTTCTGGTTACCTCGCAGCACTTCCACCCAAGGCATGCCGTCGGCATTTGCCTCGGCGTCCATGTCGTCAACTTGGACGTCCTCCTCACCGCTTGTAACCTCATCGTCGTCTGGGAGTGCCGTAGCCAATGGGTTTGACCGCTCGTAGACGTCCTCCATGTATGCCCACGTTGGGGTATCAAACTTGCCGTGGACCAGAATAATGCGATGCCCTTGCCCTCGAGCGGCTTCAATGTCTGCCATCGGTATGGGCGTAATTACCTGCAGCATTTTTGACGCAGTGTCGATGCCTCGGATAAGTACGAGGCCAATCGTACGCGAATATCGTGGATCCAAAACCCCATCCCTCGCATTGAGAAAGGTGGGTAAACCCTCTCGCGAATATGACATGTAAGATGCATCGACGCCGCTGGACTGAGTTTCCTCATCCCCCTTGTTGGCGCAACGAATCTTGTCCAGCGCCAGCTCATCCTCAATCACCACGACCGCCAAGACCATACCGTTGATGGCATCCGCAATCAGATCAGGTCGTGCCTGGTAGTCGTATGATAGAATACCGTTTACGCCTGCGGCTTCGCCTCCATCGTAGCGGATTTGCCACGGCCGTAATGACGTCAACGGTCGAGCATGCCAGGATAGCCCCAAATCGGCAATGCCAGCCTTGCTTTTCGATAAGTGGAAGTAAGACATGGCTTGCATGGCCCTCAAATGAGCGGCCGTTCGAATGGACACGTCTACCGGCTGCGAGGGTAACGTGGAAAAGGATCTGCGCGTTGCTGCTTCTAGAATTTCAACCGTCTCAGCCGGGCCATCGTGTGACATGTAAATGACCTGCGCTGGCGCAAATCGTGAAATGGCCTCTGATAACAAGTCGAGGCCAGTACCCAGAATCCAACCTGGTGTGTTGATGATCAGCGGGCAGTTTCGCAGGGTTCGCTTGTACGTGTCGTATAAATCATTTGCGCAGTCCAAAAATAAATCAGGCGAAAATGCCGGCGATGGCGATGCCAGTGCATGGCATCGAACAACCTTGTACGAGGTGTCATTCAGGCTCGTGTGGCTAAACGGCGCTCCAAAGTTGGGCTTTGTGACATGTACCAATGACAGTGTGCCCGCTGGAGTATACTCTGGCTGCCCTGGATCCAAATCTAATACTGCTATGCCAGAGATCTGGCGACCATTCGTGTTTGGCACACCACTCGAGTGACATGTCAGTAGGCGATTTGTTAGGAGCTTCGAAAAAGTCGATTTGCCAGCCCCTTTAGGACCGCAAACGAGAATAGCATCGTTTCCGCGTTCCGCCTGCCGTGTTGTTTCGACCAGGCTGCCTAGTTTCTTATTCCATTCAGCGGGTGACGATAATTCTTGAATACTTGACTTCGACAACGCGTCATCCGGAGTAAACACCTAAAAACATATTAGTACTGGGCCCAAATACAGTTATACTTGGAACTTGCCAGTTGAAATGATTGTTTTTTAGACGTCTCATTCTCTTCTTTTCCTTCAGAGTCGTTCCATATTCCTCGATACAAGGGCGAGAGCCTGGCGAGTGACTGGATAGAGCTCGTCAATTTCTCCGGAATAATTTGCAGTTGGCAGCGTTCCAAAGTCCGAATCACAGGCACACCGTGGCAAGCTGGGGCATGAATTGAATAAATCGTTTCTCCCGAAGAAAGGGTAGCACCGGCTACAGTCACTGTTCCGCTTATAATTTTGAGTCCGTACGTGCCTTGGATAACACATCGCTGGCCAAAGTTAGCATTGCAGTAGTTGACAGAAACGTGCCTTGAGTACCAACCTCTCCTTCGCCTATGCGCAATTCCAGTGTTCCATCCCCTTTACTTCTCGAGTTTTGTTTGTTTAAACGGAATGAAGTGTAGTTGGCCACTCTGTTGGGCGTAGAACTCCCACTTGGATGCTCGCTTCTGGACTCTCAGTCAGCGATCATGTTGCCAAATTTCAGAACCAAGTACACACCTTGGCTTCTCATTGGAGATGCGTTTGGCCTTTGACGGAGTTTCCGGGGCCTGTTCTCGTTTTATGCTTGAGTTGGCTCCTTTAAGAGCCTGGAGGACGCTAAACGCGTTCCCTACCTTTGGTGTAGAGTCTTCCACCGCGGATGATTCTCCAGAAGAAGGAGTTGTTCCTCTAAGGCGTCGACGAGCTGCTATAGCACTAACGGCAGCTAAAATCCCAGTGTTAGATAACCGCTTACCAGTGTATGTTGCGAATTTGGTTGCTTACATTGTGGTGTGTCTGGCGCGTCAACCTTTCGTCGCTTGTTGGAAGACATGATGGTCCACGGTACCAGTATGAGTAACTTTGTACGTCAAAGCACTCTTTATTATGAAATTACATACAATTGCATGTTTAGAATATGCATATGCGTCTGTAAATAGAGAATGTACAGGTAAAGATGGAGGAGCACAACGCTGGGCAACTCTCCAACAGTGGCCGGTGTTATCGATATCAGACTCCACTAAAATTTTCAGTAGCTCTTTGTTGTTCTGTCCCAACGCAAAACAAGCCCCCGTTGTACACGTTGAGATTAAATTTAAAATAAAATAAAATACCAAAATTTTTCCAATTAATCTTTAAAATATCTCTGTTCCCTTGCTTTCTTAATTATTTCTTGTTACCGCTTAAGATCTTGTATATACGACAGGTTGCTGAGGGCTCGTGCACGGGCCACCTGCTCCACGTGCAGCAAATTTGCTTGGGAAACTTTCAACCTCCAGGAAAAAAAGTCACCTCAAGCAAAAGATCCAGGTCGGACTCAACACCCTTCTGTCAACGGTGCAACCGCGCGGCTCTCGATTGCCTCGGGTCAATTCAGAAGGCGCAATTCGATAAACTCCTTCATAATGGCGCCCAAGGAGCCTTTCAAGGTGCATTCGCTCAGCAAGCACATTGAGGAAACCAAGAAGGGCATGAGTGCCGAAAAACAGTTCAACAAGACCAACACCTCGAAATCAAAACCTCTTATCAAGAAGAAGCCTTTGGAGACTTCTAAGTCTATTGTGATAGATTCATCAGACAGCGATTCCTCCAGCGAAAGCGATTCGGATAGCGATGATGGAGCCGACTTTCTAAGCAAGCTGGCGACACCATCCGGCAAGGCAGCCCCGCGACACAACAAACAGGACGAAATTGCGGATAGCGATGTCGAGCGCAAGGCATCTCAGAAGACGAAGGCTGTCGCTGCCAAGTCTGCAAAGGTCAAGAAGGAAGAAAGCTCGTCCGAGTCGAGCTCCAGCGACTCTGATTCCGATTCCGACTCCGGGTCTGACAGCGACGAAAAGAAGAAGGCTAAGCCTCAGACCCAAACTAAGAAGGTTGTGAAGCGTGAGAGTACTACTACAAGTGCTACTAGCAGCAGTGGTTCCGACTCGAGCAGCGACGATTCCGACAGTGAACCCGCACCTGCCAAGCAGGCCGCCACGCAGCCTAAAGAGAAGAAGGCAATTCCAGCCAAGGCCAAGCCTGTCAAGAAGGAGTCGTCCGAGAATGAAGATACATCCAGCGAAGAAAGCAGCAGTGAGAGTGAGAGCGAACCGGAGCCAGCTCCCAAGAAGGCTGTGAAACCTGCCAAGGCAACCGCAGCACCTCTTGCGGAGCCCAAGAAGAAGCAGAAGAAGGTTGTCGAGCCAGAAAGCTCCAGCGAGGAAAGCGATGACGAGGAGGAGGATAAGGGCAAAAAATCAACAGAGACGTCAGCTTCTAGCGAGGCAGAGTCTGCCGACTCCGACTCCGACGTCGAGATGGAGACATCCATAGAAGTTGTCCACCGACAGAAGAAGACAACCTCTTTGGCGCCTTTCACTGCACCTGGCTCCAACTTTGTACTGCGGAAGAGCCAGGGTACCGATGGTCAGGATGTCGCGAGCCTGTGCAGCGAAGCCAACTTGAATGGCAAGCAGCTATGGTACTTCACGGTGCCCGCTAACGTTCCCATCTCGGTTGTTGAGGACATGGAGATCCCTATGAATGCTGGAGAGGATACTACACCCTCATTTACACATGATGGTGACAACTACGGTCTCGCCTTTGATCGATCATTCCCCAAGAGCTCTATCCAAATCCTCATTCCTTCCGCTGATGGTGGCAGCTATCAATCAGGTACGTTTACTCAAACTAAATGCGATGTCACTCTTACTAACGTCATTTTAGCCCGTAAATCTGTCGACCAGGTTATGCAAGTTCGTCGAATCACCCAGCTCTCTTCTACAATTGGTCCAGATGAGGCCGCTGCCATCCCATCGTCGAGACAAGTTCGCCCACAGCCAAAGGGCCTCAAGATGCGCTTCCAGCCCATTGGTGTAAGCAGTCCAGTCAACAATGGTGGCTCCATCGCAGAAGAGGACGAAGATGTAGAAATGGATGATGCCAAGCCTGCACCGAAGAAACGCAAGCAACGCGTCTCGACTGCTGTAGCAGATGGTACAGAAGCGCCCAAGAAGAAAAAGACAAAGAAGCAGCCTACCTTGTCTGATGATGAGGATGCTGCTGCTGCCGAGCAACTTATGGGAGAGAATCTCAGCCATTCTCTGCCTCCCAGCAGCATGCCACAACCCGACACACCTCAGCCCAGTGCCAAGTCGGCATCCAAGTCTAAGAAGGGTGCAAAGGAGACACCAGTCCCAGTCCCATATGTGCCTAGTCAGCCAAAGGAGACTCCTGTGCCTTTGCCTTTTGGTGTATCTTCTCAACCCAGCGCCCCCGACACGCCAACTGTAAAGAAGAGCAAGAAGAGCAAGACCGTGTTTGCTTCGCAGCCCTAGAAGGGTCATGAGCGAGCAAAGCATCGCGGCGCACACGGCTCCGTACATGGTGGGCTGCCACAACATAAAGGCCATTATTGATTTTTGAATTCTACATGCGATGCGTTTAACGGTTGGTTTATTTGGGCGTTTGGCGACGCATAGCTTTGTACATTGGTTTCGTGTCTAGTGTCAGCAACGGGATATGGACTAGATAGAACTTGTTTGTAGGACCCGAAACAAAAGAGAGACGATTTTGATATACTCATATCTCTGCTTCATTCTTTCTATACGTGATCTGTATACTAGCAACGGTTAACAGCATACAATGGCGACTTAGATGGCCTCTAACAAAGGTGATCGGACACGCCGAGCACCGGTTCGTTGGAATAGCCCGATAGGCGCCGACAGTACAATGCAGATGGAGACCCTTTGGGCTGGATATTGTGGATTTTAATGGAGGTAAAGGCGGTAATCGGTGAGCGCTAGAGGCGCTATGGAAGAAAATTTGGAAGCCGGAAAAATAAAAGCTAGAGATGGGCGTTGTGGAGAGAGCCCCATCTCAAGATTCATGCTATGGGTGGTACAAAGACACGAACAGAGGCAATCACGGAGTTTTCCAGGAGAGAGAACAAAATGTATGGAAGCCCCCAAAGACATTAATATGACGACGGGGTTGCCAAGTCGGGTGCAATATAAAATCACGTTTTGACAGGTGCTGCAGCGGGCTTGTGATAGGGCCGTGATGTCGTTGTGCTGTTTGGGTGGAGGGCGGGAAATAAGGACGGGATTTAGAAGGACCAACCAGGCAGTTAAGCATATAGATTAAGGTGAGTGCGATGACGGTAGATGAGGAGAGACAATTTCCCAAAACGAAATTCCGCGACATGCGGGCTGGATGTTTTATTGCCGTGCTAGGTTTGGAAGTGCAGGCATCGGCTTTTTGGGCCGCCACGCTAGGGAGGCGTTTCGTATTCGCAAAGCACTGCGACATGGCGTCATAGGCGCGCTAGAGCCCGATCTGCTCTGCTGCATCGAAAATACTCGACGACGACCAGGAATTACAGATATTGTGTTACGGCAATTGCGCAATGCATTGTTGCTAGGGGTAAAGGCCCAGCTAGCAGTTTGCCTTTCTGCATGCTGCTGCTGCTGCCCGCCACATGTGTGTCCATCGGGGACATACTGTGATACGCGGATTGCGGGTATAATCACGAGCCGTATTTGCGGACTCTCCCTTTCTTCTTTTTTTTAGAGTTAACCAGGGTTGGTTACCCGGCTAAACGATACCGTAATAGCCTGCCCGCCCACCTGCCAACCATCTAATTATTGCCTGCCACTTTATTTTTGTACATTGTGCTTTTTATTTCCGCCAGCGGGGGTCGACGGATTTTTGAGTTATCGTGAAACAAGATGCGGCCCTCACTCACAGAGTTCATGGAGGGTTGCATTCAACCTTGTAGTGTCGGAGTGGAACGGAGTTGTTAAGCTTTAAGGGATCAAATGATGGAATGGTGGCTGCGGCAGATCATGAATCTTAATCCAACACGTCTGTCTGGGCATCGCATAGGGCAGAATTAACTGCACGAAAGATCGCACGCGAAACAGAACAGTACAGGATGACGGGTAAATTCGTCAATGGCTGGTCGATTGCGCTGTGGCTGCACATTAGCCGTTAAATCCGCGGATAGCTTTGGCAGTGGCTTTCGCTTTCGTTCGCATCACCAGACCATAGGCGGCTGGAAGTAGGCGCCTTGGGTGGACTCCGAGCCATCCGGTGGTGGTCGGCTGTCGGTAGTCGGGCCCGTGTAAAGGTCCGTGGAAAATTGTACGGCGGCCGATGGACGTAAATGACGGGCATTAATGAGTGAATGAATGTTGTTATTATACACAAAAGTATGTTTGTTAAAAGGAGAAGTGTATAGTAGTAAGGTTTGCTGTATTACAAGAGTAAAAGACATACGCGGGGAATGTGTATGGTACACTGTAACTTAGAGCTCAACACACAACCTACACGCACTCTAAGTGGTAAAGTAGCGCTGTAACTGTTTCAACAGTGGCACTGTACTCGCTACAGCGCTACCTCATAGCGTGCTGAAATAACATAGCTACCCAGCAGCGCCTATGACGACACCGTAGATTGTGTGTTTCTTCCCGGCTTACAAACTAACCTCATCGTTCCGATCGCTGGCCCCCGGCAGAGCCGCAGCATAATCTCCCTCCCCCCATTCTTTTTTGTTCCTTTTGGGTTATTATTGTTCTGGCTGGCTGGCTGGCACGGGCTCTCATAAATTTGCATATCTTTGGCGGCGCGAAAGCTCGCTGAAGCTGCCAGCACCGCGCTGTCACTAGCAAGTCTTGGCATTCTTGCTCCCTGTCGCACCAAACCAGCCATTTGGCTGCTGCGACGATGGTCCGCCAGGTACTGGTACCGGTACATTGTTCCTACTCGCGTGACTCTTTGTTGGACAGAGCAATGGCTGGCGCCGCCGCCATTTTTACAATTTTGTCTGCGGCACTTGTAAGGACCTGGCGGTGACGTGAAAAACGGTGGACGCCAATTGTGAGCATGGGACTATTTTTTTTTCCTACTAACGTACTCTGGCGGCGGTTGTTTGGTGGTGGCGGCTACCACGAGCAGCACGCACTACACAGCACATGGGACGGGCCAGCTGCCATCTGAAACAGACTCACGCGCCGTCGTACTCGTCTAGGTTCTACGCAGGGCGGCGAGCTATTACTACACCAGAGCTAACTCGGCTGGCTAAAATCATATGTAGGGCTTGCATGCATTCCGAATAAGAGCGAATGCCACCACGGAGTCTTGACCGCTTTGTGCGTGCAAGCGATGCGTCCCATTGTGACTTATAGAAAGACTTGCGGGGGGAGAGAGACAACAACTGCAGGAGCAGCGTAGCACTGGCTGGGGGACATGTGAGTGGCTACGCCTTTGGGTATGCAGGCACGAGACGATTTGTTGAGTGAAATTGGTGGGAACAAACTATCTCCAAGAATACCGAAATGGGTGTCAGTGACTTGGCTGGTGATATTTTTAATAGCTTCAAGCGGCCAAGAAAGAGCCAAGAAGTAAGCTTGGTGACAGTTGTGCCTCTTGTAAGCCTTGTAGAAAGTCGCTCTGTATTGGTGGACAAATTGGTGGGAACAGTGGGCACTAAGTGCTTACTCACGGCGACGGCGAAGAGACCAGCGGAGTTCTTACACGGACACAGGTAGTCAGAAAATAGGTCCAAGTCGCTATACTGTCGATGCCCAACTACTTCTGTGATTGTTTTTAATATTATCAGAATTATTCCAATAAAATACTTGTCGCGCAACTATATCCCTGCTCTGTTGTTCTCTTTGTTCGCCCTCGCTGCCCGCAACACCGTAAAAGACCGAAAGCGGGGGAGCATTCCTATGCAAGTACCGGTACCTCCCACTGCGGGCCACCTCCATCGCCCGGAACCAGCGGACAGTCCACTAAAAAAGAAGGGCAAGGAAAAAAAGAAAAAGCTTTTTTGCAAGTTAGCGCCAGCAGTAACGCTACAGGTGCGGGCCACTCAGCGCCGCTCTTGTCGCCAAGAGAAAAAAAAAACAAGCGGACGGTGACGGACAAGGACAGCGAAAAGGCCGGCGATAGGGATGCGATGGATTCCGGCGCTTCCATCTTTTCTGCCGGATGAGTGTGCCCAGTTTCTTAAAACTAGTTGTAATTCCCATCCTCACAGTTCTTTCCCCCAAACAGCATTTCTCACCATCCATCCTCCTGCATTTGCACTGCACCGCAACAGCACTGCTACTGCTACTGCTACTGCTACTGCTACAGCTGCACCGATCACCACAGCGCGTCCCCGTCCCGCCAACCACCGCCTCCGCAGTTTCACCAAGTGGCAGCCTCCGCTCTCGCCTTCTGGCTTGGCAGCATCCTGTTGTCATTTAATCAAGCTTGGCTGGTTGCTGCTCTCCCGCCTGGCCTTTCCCCCCTCCCTTAAGGGCCTTGCTTCTACTACTGCAACATCGCCGCTGGCATCTTCTTTTATTTTTCTTCATCTCTTACTTTTTTTTCCTTCAGGCGCGCCTCGTCATCGCCGCCTTCGTCGCTTAGCTTCGCCCGCCGTCTAAAAAGCTTTCCTCTTTAGCCGGTGTGCAGTGCCCCATCCTCCCAAGCTTGAGCCGCTGACGACGATCAGGACCCTTGCCTGGCCTACAGTGACCTGTCCCCCCAACTTTTGGACATCGTCGCCCTTGGCCGTCACGCGCAGTCTCCGCCAATATATTCATCCAAGACTGCCTGCCCCCCGGACTCTTGGCTGAATTCCACTCCAGGCAACTAATATTTTACACTTTTTTACGAGCAAACTTAGCATGCGATAGCTTTTGTCGTCATCGACATCATCCAAAGCCTGTCAGTACCTGCTTTGCTCCTCTTTTCCCGGGCCCGCCGACTAGACGCCACGAACGGCCCAGACTATTGAAAGCATCCAGGGTTCCCCCCCAAAGTTGCAGCTTCGGATTCAATCTTGGTCATCCCATCTTCAACAAACACCAGACAGCAGAGTCCCCAAGGTCGTCACAATGAGGGACCTGGGCATCTCGATACCGGGCAAGCCCCAGCTGCCCGCCCTTCTCACTCACAACCTCGCCTTCTTCAACCGCTCTCACACAAAACACACTGCGAGTCGCCACCCGCGCTCAAGCTCAAAGCCTAGACGACTGGCTCCCGACGACATTACCAAGCTCAACATGTCTTTTAGCCCGGCGCAAGGCATCCAGGATCTCAGAAATCACAAGTGGAAGCCTTCCGATCTTCAATATGCCGTCCTCGCCTTCCTCACGCTATTCTCGCTATACATTACCCCATCGGCGCCGATCCTTAAAACGTTGGCTCTGTGCGCAAGCGCCCTGATCCTCCTCATCCCAGCAACAAGGCAATTTGCACTGCCATCGTCCCCGATTTGGGTATGGCTACTCTACTTCTTTTCTAGCCGGTAAGTCTACGTAGCGCAAATAAAATTGACTGCCGCCCCCAAACTAACGGGTTTCACCAGTTTCATCGACAACCAGTATCGCCCTCACATCTGGGTCCGAGTTCTCCCCGCTCTCGAAAACGTCCTCTACGGCGCCAACCTCTCCAACATTCTCTCCGCTCACCAGCATGCCGTCCTCGATATTCTCGCTTGGCTCCCCTACGGCATTATGCATTTTGCTGCCCCCGCCGTCTGCTCCGCCATTTTATTCCTCTACTGCGCACCTGGCACCGTCCCTGTGTTTGCTCGCACCTTTGGATGGATGTGCATCCTCGGCGTTACGATCCAGCTCATTTTCCCCTGCACGCCTCCTTGGTATGAGAATGAGCGTGGCTTGGTCCCTGCCGCCTACGGCATGTCTGGCTCACCTGCTGGCCTCGCCCGCATCGACAAGATCTTTGGTGTCGACCTGTACACCACCAACTTCAGCACCGCGCCTGTTCCCTTTGGCGCGTTCCCTTCGCTCCATGCCGGTAACGCCGTTCTCGAGGCTCTCTTCATGAGCCACGCCTTCCCCAAGCTTCGAACTGCGTTCATCGTTTACGCCGCCTGGGTTTGGTGGGCCACCATGTATCTCAGCCACCACTACGCCATCGATCTGGTTGGAGGTGGCCTCATTGCGGCCTCTTTCTTCTACACTGCTCGCGCCCGTTGGTTGCCTCGCCGCCAAGAAGGCAAGGCCAACCGCTGGGCCTACGATTACGTCGAAATTGGCGAACGCAACACCCTGTCGGACGAAGAGTATGGTCAGTACGTCGGCTTGAGCATGATGGAGCACCGCCGTGACTCGAGCGATGCATGGACTCTCGGAGGCGCCAGCAGCAGCGGCAGCAGCAACTCGTCTGTGAGCGGCTCACTGAGCCCCACGGTCACGGATGTCACCATTCCCGGCTCATCAGAGTCCGAAATGGAGGCCAGGAAATTTTGGGATGGACCTAGCTCGCCTCGACGAGCAGAGATCCAGTAAGCGCGCAAATGGCGGCGCTACATGAATTTTATTGATAACGGAGTTTTGGGCATTATACCAACATCAGCGGGCGTTTATTATAATTGGGTTATTAGAAATCTTTTCCAGCATCCGATAGAACGGTGTTTTGGACAACGTCGGGGTGGTGACATACGACGTATGGTATATAGATGGGTTTCATTGGTTATAAGGTTATGATTATGACATACATGAGTTGTTGAATACACACACACCAAGCAACATATTTTACAAACACGCATACACGTCCAAAAGTGCCTTGGTTCTCATTTTTGTAAAAAGGATATTACATGATTCGCTCGTAACGTAAAATAGAAAGAATATCAACATGAAAAATAACAGTGACTCGGCGCCAAAATTGCCGCGGCAGATGCGTATATATCTTGCTCATCCAATTGCTCGCTTTCCCACTGAATCTCATTCCACTATGCCACTTCTTCCGTAGTGTTTTCAAATCCCATCCGCTCGTTTAAATGATGGCCCTTCCCTTTCTCACCCAATCTTTTTTTTACTGTTGTTGCTTGTTCGGCGCTGTCCAAAGGCCCTTACTCGTTCGGTACAGCGCATTCACAGCATCGCCCAGCTGCGTAGCTACACCCGTCTCTGCTGCAGGTGCTGCAGCTGCAGGTGCTGGTGCTGGCGCATTTCCCATGTTCACATCCTCGGCTTCGGGCTGTGTTGCGTACCCGCTGTCTTTGGTATCTTGCGGGACAAGGGTTCGCTCACCAGATGCATCAGTGCCGCCGGAGAGTCCCTTCTTGAACGCATCCACGACGCCGGCGACGCCCTTGTTGGGTTCCTTGGACTTGGCGCCATTCATCATGAGGCCCTGAGCCTCGCGCAGCTTGTTGATGGCGCGCACAGTGTCGATGGCGGCATGCAGCGTGCGGCGGGCGTTGAAGTTCTTCTTGATGGCAGGCAGCAGGTTCTCGTTGGTGCCGTCCGAGGGCTGAGAGCCGGCGACAAAGGGATGCTGCAGGGCCTGGTGGGCGGTGATGCGCTGCGACGGGTCAATCGTCAAGCACTGCTGGATGAACTCCTTTGCGTGTGTGGACACGCCACGCCAGTACTCGATCGGGGTGAAGGAGTAGTCGGCCTTGAGGATGGCCTGCATCTCTTCAAAGTCGGTGTCGCGGTCAAACGGGGTGTATCCGCAGAGCAAGAAGTACGTGATGACGCCGAGGGCCCAGATGTCGACGGGCTTACCGTGACCCGTCTTCTTGAAGATCTCGGGCGCCATGTAGCCGGGCGTGCCGCACGTGGTGGTGAGTACGTGCAGCTGCTCCTCGTCCATGATGCGCGAGAGGCCGAAATCAGCAATCAGCAGGTCGGCGTTGTCTTCGGGTGTGCGGAAGAGCAGGTTCTCGGGCTTGAGGTCGCGGTGGACGATGCCGTGGTCGTGTAGGTAGGCTACGGCGGAGAGGGTCGCGCGGATAAGGTCGACGGCGTCGCTTTCGTAGTAGGAGCCCTTGCGGCAGATACGGTCGAAAAGCTCGCCGCCAAGAGCGAGATCGGTGACGAGGTACAGGTTGTTCATGGTCTCGAAGTAGTCGACGAGAGTGAGGATGTTCTGGTGGCCCATAGACACCTTCTTCAGGACGGCGATTTCGTTGCGGATCTGGCGGAGCTGGTTAGCGGGCTTGTTGGGTAGATACAGAAGAAGATGCTCGCCATGTGTTCTCGGCCGGCCATGAGGCGCTTGTTAATCACCTTGGCGGCATAGTAGCGGCCCGTGTCGATGTGGACGCATTCCTTGACTGTCGAGTATGAGCCTGCGCCGAGCGTCTTGCCAACCTTGTACCGGCACGGCTGGATGCTGGGCTGTGCTGCGGGAGCCTGCTCCTGCTGTGTTGTTGCCATTATTTGTTGCGAACGGTTGATGAAGCAGGCGAGGCTGCTGCTTGCGATGCGGGAGGCAAAGGTCGGAAGACGGTGTATTCGGTAGTGCGGGGATCCGCGGGTCTGTAGCGGTGGGCTTGTAGTGGTCGTGGATGTGGAATACGACGTTGAATAGCGACTTCCGATCGAGGTATGGAAGTTGGTGCAAGGAGGAGGCGGGCGCTGCAGCGAGCGGGCTGGTGATGAGGTCAAGCGTTTTCAGCCGGGCGTGGTGGTTTGACTGGTCGGAAGAAAGTTGCGAGTAGTGTACCCCACCACTACCGAGCTGGAGAAGCGGCAGGGCTGGGAAGGCAGGCTATAGCATCGAGTGCGTCATAGGACGAAGCAGCTAGTGGTTTGGAAATTATATTGGATGAGACTAGAATGATTGTTTGGGCGATGCATATTTCGGAGATATATTTTTTTAGATTTTAATTGCAAAGCTTTCAAGGTGTTGTCACTGTTGACGAGGAGCGTTGACCAACTACGATGTGCTACCCTACGACATGGACAAAGAAATTCCAACTGAAAGAAATAACGCTAAATTCGGTAGGAAAAGAAGTTTAGCGGTTTAGTTGAGCTTTAATAGTCTTGAATAACATAATACATTGTTATAAATGGGAAATCAAAACGCCTGCTATGCCTTTTGTACACTATTATACATGCGCGCGGATATCAAACGCTGACTCAATCCGGTCCACGTCGAGACTGCTTCTTGGAGCTCAGCATCTTTTTGCTCTTTAGCCTTTCAGAATGAAACCTTTGCTCTCTACTGCTGGTTAGATGGGATAAATACGGGCTCTAGTATGCCAACTTACATGTTGCGGTGCTTCTCCCGCTTTGCTTCGCTTGTCTCACCAGGCACGTTGGCGTCGTAGATGCGCAAAATCTCCTCCCACAACTTCGACTTATTCTCTTCTTGATTGCTTGTGCGAGAACGGCTGGTTTGAGACTGGAAGTTAAGCGAATCGCTGCTGGCAACGTAGTACCTGGATTTCTGTAAGGCGCTCCGAAGGGCGTGTGGCAGGACTCTAGCGAGTTCGTACACCGGGAACACAGACGTCGCTTTCGTTTCCGTCCTAATAACGGTTAGCTACAGCGTGCCGCAATCGGTGACGGCCACAATCGAACTTGTTTACGTGCTGGCCACCGGGGCCACTGGACCGAGCAAATGTCGTTGATCCTTCGGGGAGCATGCTCCAGTCGAATCCCTTCCGCCACCGACGTGCCTCGGCAAGTACCTCTGGATCGAGATGCGCATCAAATGCGTCGTACCGCTTGTATTGCACGATTCCCGGCATGCATAGCGACGGATGCGCCGTCTTCGGCCGTACAACACGGGTCAACATGCTGTGTCGCGGCAAACAACGGTAGCCCAAACGGGACGAAATCATGCCGTGCGAGGGCTTGAATAAGGGTGGCTGATCTCGAGGGGATGGTTTACATATGCCGAGTCATATATATAATAACAGAACCTTTAAGAGCGCCGAGTTATGCTTTGCTATGTGTCTTATGGTGGATGCATATGGTGTGTCTTGCTCTACCTGTCAAACGCGGCTTGCTAGGGTTTAATGTCACCGAGGGGCTGTTTCGTCCCCTGTCCTCGGGGCGCTGATGCAACTGGGAGCCGCTGAAGCCACCTGGGCACGCCACTGAAGCATGCCGCATCACACAAGCGATCGGCCCCAAGTTTCTTCAGCTCGTGCGTCGAGTCGAATTTTTTTTTGGTCTTGGTGGGCAGCTGGCGACAGCTGGCAAACCTGGCAGTGAGCATGACTTGTTCCATTTTCTTCCATTTTTTAAACACTCATCTTTTGCTCTTCTCTACATCACCGACGTTTTCCTCTCATCACCCAACAGCCACTCAACTACGAGCGCTCTGCGCCGGCTGTGCCTTGGAAAAACTAGCACAGCCTTTCCATACCGTGCTAGCCCGCTGAGGGGCTTGATCTTCCTGCCAGCCCGGGCGGCCTTCCAGGTCCAGTTAGCGCCACGAAAAGCATCGACCACCGTCCCGACTTTTCCTACGTCGCCCGCTTCACCGATCCTTCAGACCTGACATCACGCTGTCATTGGTGGGAACCCAAGAGCAGATAGCAGATTATAATCGCTCGCAGCCCTCTTCTGCATCCCACCCCTCGTCTGCAACGTTTTACTGCTGCCGTAGCATTCTGCGTGCTCTACTTTCGCGAGTGCCTGCGCATTTCCTCTTTATTTTCTTCCGCACGCTTACCTTATAGCTGCTCAACCAACCCAACACCAGTCTGACTTTTTTAGCACGGACTCCGCCACAACGAGCCCCAGCCGAGTCCTTCTCTCTCAACGACCAACCCCCCCGCGACCGACGAGATATCCTCATGTCAGACGCGGAGGCAGAGATTCAGGCAACCGCTGCCATTTCTCCGGTGTCTCCCACACCTTCGCATGCTGCCGCGTCCCAGGCCGTTCCCGTGCTGCAGGACGCTGTAGAAGCGATGACAGCGGATGCCGCTGCTGAAGAACCAACGGTTGATGCCGCAAATGTCTCTGCTTCCGAACACAGCGACGTCGTAGATGACGACAGCTTTAACGAAGCCTACGAAGCCGAAGAGAATGCCGTAGTGGAAGATGCAACGGCTGACAACACCAATCCTGATGAAGAAATCGACGACTATGCGAAAACCTTCGATTCCCCCATCGGTTCTCATGAAGGAGATGCCATGACTGATGATGTACATTCCTCGGAGCCTTTGACCGTCCTAGGTGACATAAAACAGGCATCGGCAGTGACCTCAGGTACAGCCACGCCGACTGTCCAATCTTCCACTTCCCAACTTCCCCTCCAAACCCAGGCTGCCTCCACTGCCCAAACAAATGCCCAACCAGCAGAGGCGCCCGCACCCGTGTCTGCAACCCAACAACCAGCCCAAGATACCCACCAAGATGAAAACCTAGACATCGGACAGCTCGTGGCCGACCTGACAGCTCAGTCCTCTGAACCTAGTGCTGACAAGAACCCAACCGCCCCCCATGAATCATCCGTCCAAGGATCTGGTGCCATCTCCTCTTCTGCTTCTTCTTCATCGCTGCCACCGAGACCTCCAGCGCCACAACTTGCGACCCAGACGTATCCTGCCCAACACCATCTTCCACCAGCTCCAGGGACGAGCAACTCTCCTACATATCCCAATGGTGGATCACCTCAAGCGCCCCTTAGCGCTTCCGGCACAAGCCCATCTCACACTCCAACCCAGCGACATGCACCGCGCTTTCCAAGTAATTCGGCCCCCTCTAGTGACTATCAGCGCCAGTGGGACCAATTCATGGTAGATGAGAGGCAGTACATGTCGGAAGCAAAATGGGACCGATTCCCAGAAGGCTCCCGTATCTTTATTGGTAAGCTCTTACATTCTCCAGTCGCATTTGGTAGGACTGCGGGCTGACTATTTCCAGGTAACCTCTCTAGTGATAAGGTATCGAAACGTGATGTCTTTGAGCTGTTCCATCAATATGGTAGACTTGCCCAGATCTCACTGAAGCCAGCCTATGGATTCGTACAATATCATACTGTTGAAGAGGGATCCCGAGCCATTGAAAACTTGCAAGACTTTGAAGTTCAAGGTCGCCGCATTCGTACGTACCTGTCCTTTCATACACGCTGTTCGGAAGCTAACCTGAAATAGATCTTGAAATCTCGAAGCTACAAGACAAGACCAAAAAAGACCGCAACGACTCAGATAAGAGCCGAGGTGGCAAACGAGGTGAACGTGGCGAACGTGGCGAACGCGGAGACCGTGGACGGGATGACTACCGATCTGGCCGAAATCAATCACCACGCCGAAACGATCGCGGCCGAGACGACGGATATGGGCGGGATAGAGGGTTCAGTGACAGTCGTCGCAACCGTTCAAGATCTCCCGGCTACGGCGGTCGCCACGATAAAGATTCGTACCGTCGACGCAGCCCCAGTCCATACGGCCGATCCCGCAATGACGATGAAATGGACCTACCTAGGCGGTACGGCCCAGATGTTCCTGACTTGCAGTTTATTTTGCAGCAAGAGGTGGACCGCAATTTCGTGTCCTGGGTTGAACAAGCATTCAATAGCAAGGGCTTGAAGACCGCAGTCATGTTTCTGCATCCTCGATTCCCAAAGGACAAAGTGATCCAACGGCAAGCCGCGGAGGGTGTACACGCTGTTGTTGAGCTTAACTTTCGAGCACAAAACTCGGCCAAGATCCCACTACAGGTGTTTGACCGCTCCGCTGGCCCTGGCAACGTACGTTTCGATAAGTACGAGGATCTAGATCCCGCTACGGCAGCTGAAGTTACCCTTAGGGCGAAGGCTGCCACAGTTGCTGCTCAATATCATCACCAGCAGCCACCGGCGCCTGCACCCCAGTATGGATATGTACAGCCCGGATATGGACAGCCAGCACCACCAGCATACGTACAACGACCACCACCTGTGTATCCTGCGCAGAATGCGGCGCCCGCACCGAACGTTGCCGAGCTTGCTAGCATGATGTCCAAGATGGATCCAGCATCGCTCCATCAGCTACTATCCGTGGTGCAAGGGACTCCAGGAAATCAACCGCCTGCATTTCCAGGTCAAAGTAATGGCCAGCCTGACTTGAATGCCATTCTCGGCGCGCTGGGTACTGCTCCTCCTCAAGGGCCACCTCAACAAGGCGGTTACGGTCGACCAACGAACGGCGGTGGCGCTCCTTCTCAAGGCGGCGCTGATGCGGCTCAGGTCCAGAATATCATGGCGCAGCTTGCTCGCTTTAGGTGATGGATTTGATGTATTGACATGACGTGATGATTCAGCCATGAAAACTATAGAGGTTCCCATTGTTTTGTTACTATTCCTTCTTCTTTTTTAAGTAAGGCGGCGAATTTTAGACAGTTTGCTCGATGCGTATATGTAGGGGGCGCAATAACGCGCAGCATGTTGCTTTTTGATATTGGCACGAATGCACAGGAGTATAAGAGCACACCATTTAGCGAATAGAAAAATATCCACGTTTCAATCATATATCTGGTCTGTCTATTGATATCTAATCTGTAATGGGCTACCATGCAAAAGTCTCGTTGTGCCACCACACGCTTCTGCCCTTCATAACCCACGGTCGTATATGGCGCCTGGCATCTTGGGCCATACTTTCAGGACCACAGACGATTACCGCAACGGTTTCTTCTCTGGTCAGAGTAAATGCATCATCAATGAGTTTCTGTAGATCCGGTCTGCGACGATTGTGCTGGGCAGTGAGGCCGCGCCTACCGTGTCGACTACTATTCATGGGCCGCAGTTCAATCTCAGCGTCATCCGCAGCGTCGGTATGCGATGTGGTTTGGGTACCCGAAATATCGCCAGTAAGGTATAGCTGCAATCGCGGGTCTTCCAGTAGTGACTTTTCTGTGGTTGTGACGGTCCACGTTGCTTCACCAGCGGTGCGCATCGCCCAAATCATTTGTATGCGTGCCATGGGTAATGCTTCGGCAAGGTGGGCATATAAAGGCGTGATGAAGGTAGCACCGACACCTCCGGCAATCAGGAGGATGCGATTGGCACCCGAAGCTAATAATGAGGGGAGATGGTGCTTCATGGAACCATATGGTCCATCAATGGTTAGTTGGGTATCGCGAGTCGATTGGCTCTCAGAAAGACGCGATAGTGCCGTTGTCATGGGTCCGCGGTTTGTACGAACAACAAGGACGAGCGACTGGTTCTCCTCGGTGACAGCCGCCACAGTGAATGGGTTGAAGAGACATTCAAAAAGCAGTGCCAGATTGCCTCTAGCTTTCTCAATACCACGGGCTTCTGCAGGCAGGCTGAGATAGACGTGAGAGCCTGGAACTGCTTTGTAAGCCTCCAGTTTCTCCTTTGGCATGTGAACAGTGAGCTTTAGCAGGTTGGTTCCGGGGATGGCCTCGACTGTTGACTGGCGCGTGAGCCCGCTGAACCGGCGGTAACCTGCGTCTGCAAAAAAGAGGACAAGCGGGATAATAAGAACATATCGCTGAGCATGGTGCGCGTGGAAGAAGATCAACATGGGGATGGCGAATGCAGCGACGACATGCACAAGGAAGAAGATTCGGTATGAAAAGTCGCGAATGGCGCGCATTGTCGTCCCCATGAGACTGCTGAAGAGGATTGCCGCCAAAACACCCCAGAAGACAATGGGCTCGGCTAGCTTCTTGAGCACAATGTTTGCGTACAAAAAGTACGCCAGGTAAAACGCCATGTGTAGCAGAACAAGACCGTACACAATGCGCCCAAGGAGTCTGTGGTAGCGGTTAACCTCCTCGTGAGACGAAGCAAACGCAAAACCCGCCAAGTTGAACGGCTTCAGCGCAAGGATGTACTGCATGGGGAACTGCGAAATGGCAATCATGCCAAAGCGCTTCGTCAGATGGAAATAGTCGGTCCCTGTCCCGATAACCGACAAACTCAGTAGCCACACCGTCCAGATCGACCCGATAAGCCAATCTCCCTTCTGGCCCCAGCTTGTACCGGCAACTTGCACATCATCTTGCATCCACCAGACCAGCTTCCTCCACGAGGCTGCCAGCTTGCCCTGGGTAGTGAAGCGTTGCGCCTTGATGGCTGGCGACGTAGGAATCTCAGCGTACCGGCCGCCCTGCGAGTCTGGGTTGTTGCGCGCATTATAGTACGCGAGAAGAGCGAGGACCCCGCGCACGAGGAGGGCGGCAATGAGCGGCGCAAAGGACGATGCGAATCCAATCAGCGCATACCTGTCGAGAGCGAGGCGGCGCAGGTGCTTGTCCTCCTTGGAAATAGGGTCGAAGCTATACGACCAGCCCATGGTGGGTTGAGCGGGACCGGGGTTATTTTTTAATTTTGTATTGGGGAGATTGAGGGCGATTGATTCCCAGTGGGAGGAGGGAGGAAGGTTTTGGGTAAGCAAAGATGCGGAGATGGCCAGCAAACGGTTTCGGGGGCGAGGCTGGCGAGGCTGACGGGTGGCCCGGGGCGCTGTGGAATTTGGGGGCTGGTGATTGGCTGCGGTGGAAAGAAGATGTGAGCAGCTGTGAATTGAAACTCCGAGATATACTCGGGGTTGTGAGGGGAGAGTAAGAAAATAATAAGACGATGAAGTTTGTGTCAGGTGGTATGTGTGAATGCCATTATGTTGGTTATTAATTTACTCTTGTTTTATTTATTGTGTGTGTGTTTGGCGACTGTGCTGTCTCTGTGCTTTCTACTGCTACCGCTTCTACAGTGAGGAGCTAAATTATTACAGGCGGGTGGCTAAGCTACTGTAGAGCTACAGCGCCCTCTGGCTTGTCCGTGGAGCTGGGTGTCTGCTGTAACTCAATGCCGCTCAGCGGTATCGGTGCTGGGTTCGAGACCGCAAATGCAAATGAGGGGGATCTACGCCGAGCAAGCAAAGCACTGGTGCGTGGGCGCCGAGTAGAAACAATTAAAAAAGACCGAAACAGGCACATTCACCGCCTAAAAAAACATCGCCATTGTGTCAAGAGTCAGTGCAATGGCATCACTATAGTTTTTTTATTTTGGTTTTGCTTTCTTCTCGTCTGCCGACCTTCCCTCTTTGGCCGACCACCCGCCCTCGAGGACCCGGTGCCCGCCTTATCAGGGTCCTCGCCGTGTATTTACAGTGGCTGCATCAGCGCCGTGGCGTGCTCCGCTAGCGGCACTCACAGCACGTCTTCAGCTGCATCTTCCGGCTTTAGCCTTAACACGCCCCGCCAAAAAACCTTCCCCAGCAAAAACTTTTTTTCTTCTCCCCCTCCTCAAAGTCCCGCACCTCCTCCTCCTCTTCTTCTCTTCTTCTTCTTCTTTCTTCCCATCATCTTTTTTCTTTTCCTTTGAATTCATTTTCATCAACATCACTCATCAAGATGTCTCCCATCAACGCCGAGTACGCTCTCCCCGCCTCTCACAAGGACGTATGTGCTCTCCCTTCCCCTCCAACCCCGCCATTGGGTTACTTGCTGCCCCTCCGATAGCTTCACAACCTTTGCTAACAAATTCACTGCTGCAGATGCTCGAGGTCTCCCTCCTCGAGTCTGATCCTGAGGTCGCTGCCATCATGAAGGATGAGGTTCAGCGTCAGCGCGAGTCCATTGTTCTCATTGCCTCCGAGAACATCACTTCCCGTGCCGTCTTCGATGCTCTTGGCTCCCCCATGTCCAACAAGTACTCCGAGGGTCTCCCCGGCGCCCGCTACTACGGTGGCAACCAGCACATTGACCAGATCGAGCTTCTCTGCCAGAAGCGTGCCCTCGAGGCCTTCCACGTCACTGATGACAAGTGGGGTGTCAACGTCCAGTGCTTGTCCGGCAGCCCTGCCAACCTCCAGGTCTACCAGGCCATCATGGCTCCCGGTGGCCGCCTCATGGGTCTTGACCTCCCCCACGGTGGTCACTTGTCCCACGGTTACCAGATCCCCGCCCGCAAGTGAGTATATACACATATCCAAGTACACAACATTGAACAGCCAAAGCTAACCTGCGAACCCACCAGGATCTCTGCCGTCTCCACCTACTTCGAGACCATGCCCTACCGCGTCGACCTCGAGACCGGCATCATCGACTACGACACCCTCCAGAAGAACGCTGAGCTCTTCCGTCCCAAGGTCCTCGTTGCCGGTACCTCTGCTTACTGCCGTCTGATTGACTACAAGCGCATGCGCGAGATTGCCGACTCCGTCGGCGCCTACCTCATGGTCGACATGGCTCACATTTCTGGTCTCATTGCCGCCCAGGTCATCCCCAGCCCCTTCGAGTACGCTGATATCGTCACCACCACCACCCACAAGTCTCTCCGTGGTCCCCGTGGTGCCATGATCTTCTTCCGCCGCGGTGTCCGCTCTGTCAACGCCAAGACCGGCAAGGAGACTCTCTACGAGCTTGAGGATGCCATCAACTTCTCCGTCTTCCCCGGCCACCAGGGTGGACCCCACAACCACACCATCACCGCCTTGACCGTTGCCCTCAAGCAGGCCCAGAGCCCCGACTTCAAGGCCTACCAGGAGAAGGTTGTCTCCAACGCCAAGACTCTTGAGAACGTCTTCAAGCAGCTCGGCCACAAGCTCGTTGCCGACGGCACTGACTCCCACATGGTCCTCCTCGACCTCCGCAAGCACTCTCTCGACGGCGCCCGTGTCGAGACCGTCCTCGAGCAGATCAACATTGCCTGCAACAAGAACGCCATCCCCGGCGACAAGTCTGCCCTCTCCCCTGGCGGTATCCGTATCGGCACCCCTGCCATGACCTCGCGTGGTTTCGGCGAGAAGGAGTTCGAGAAGGTCGCCAACTACATTGACGAGAGCATCAAGATCTGCAAGGAGATCCAGGCTTCTCTCCCCAAGGAGGCCAACAAGCTCAAGGACTTCAAGGCTGCTGCCACCAACGGCCAGAACGAGAAGATCAACGCCCTCAAGAAGGAGATCTCCACCTGGTCTTGCACCTTCCCTCTCCCCGTTGAGGGCTGGCGCCTCGACGCTGGCATCTAAATTGCTAGCGGCGATTAGCCTCTTGCTACGGCAGAGGACGATATGATATCAAGGAAAATGTTGCAACGAAAATAGGCATTTAACATGGAACAAAAAAAGAGAAGAGAGCAAGATGAAATGACGGGATATTGGTTTTTTACTTTTACTGTTTACAAGGGAATCGGCGAATGTGTTCAACAACGCGTTGGGTTTTTGATTGGCGCTCATGATTTATTATTACTATTATACTCAACTTACAAAAGACGGAATGTACCCGTTCACACCATTATGTATACAAGCAGCCGTCTTCATCAGACTGGCCTAGGTAGAATTTAAACATTACTACCAATATCCTTTCTGGAGTCTCCATTGCACGGTGATATGGTATCAAGAATGACATTGCAAATAGCATAAAGTGTATCAATTGGTCATATAGAAACGAAAAACCCACGTTACTCCCCACTACCCATGCCCCGTCAAATCATGCTCCTATCTACAGCGAGTCAAGATATGCCAAGTATTATCAATGGTGATGATAATGAAGAGGTAGAAAAAAACAAGACGAAAGCAACCAAACAGAAAGCGAAAAACGGAAAGAGACCAAGAAATCAAGGTATAAATACATGGGGTTTAATTTCAAACGCCATTCTTTCTTCTTCTGTGCCGCGTGTCCTCCTCTTTTGTCATCCAATCCTAATAAAAAGAAAGTCGCCCAAACCACAACGCAAAAATAGGGTAGCCCATGAGAAAATCAAACAAAAAAATGGGATGGGATGTAATATAAAAAGTGTAGTAGAACTCAAGATGAGCTGAGCAGCTTCTATGATGCTTTGCCACTTTGTTTTACTCAGCGTTGCTCTGGGGGCTCATCATGCCAGTATCAGTCTGTTGGCTTGTATTGCCTTGGCTCTGCATGCTATCCATACGCTCCATGGACGATCCGAGCGCCGAGACGGATCGATTCGGCGCCACGACGGGCGTAACGGAGATGGACTTCTTCTTTGACGGCGTAGTCGCAGGGGCTGGTGTGCCGTTGGTTCCGCCAGCGGCAGCAGCAGCAGCGGCGGCCGCAGCAGCTCGGGCAGCCTGTGCCTCGAGCTTCTTGCGTTTCTTGGCCAGGGCGATCTGCTCGCGAGGCGGGCGCTTCTGGGCAGACATAATCTTGCCGCTGGCGCCGAGACGAGGACGGGGCTTGCGCTGCTTAAAGGGCAAGTCTTCGTCTTCGATGAGCGGCTGGTCCTTGTTGGCGTGCAGCTTGGCAAGGAAGAAGTTCTTGACGAGGCCGATTTGGTCGTTGATAAGATCGACCGTGACGGGCTCTGAGGGCAGTAGTGCCTCGAAGACATTCGACGAGGTGTTGGAGACGCCCTGGTTTTGCATCTGGTACTGGCTGTGCACACGGGACTGGAGCAGATGGAAGGGCACCTGGAAGGAGTGCAGGCCCATTTCCTTGTCGAGCCCGAGGGCGCGAAAGCCGAAGAAGTCTTCGCCGAGGTCTTCGGCAAAGTCGCCAGATGTGAATTGGTCGCTGCCGTCTTTGAAGGCGCCGACGCCGTCTGCACCGGCTTCCGGAGCGAGTGCGGGACGAAGTAGGTCGGCCAAGTGCGTCTTCATGCGCTCGTGGAGACCGCCGAGGCGCGAGCTCAGACGCTCGACATCCTCGTTGACGTAGTAGTCTAGCGTGGCGAGGTCGTGACCGCTTTCATCGAGCGTGTGGAGGATGACTTCCTCTGGGGAGAAGCGCGGGACTGTTTTGAATCCGGATTCCGTGGCAATGGATGTCTTTTCTGCTTCGCGGTACACGTTGAATGTGTGGCAGAGCTTCTGGAAGTAGTCTCCTGCGATGCCGGTAAATGTGTCGAGCACCGATGGCTGGACTTCTTCGAAGCCGGTGTTATAGAGGACTTTGCTGATGGATCGGCGCAGCGCAGCCTGGCAAGCATCGAGTGCCATGACGGGGCCGTTATCTGAGATAAAGTGCGGCTCGATGTCTTGTTCGAGGAAGGGGTCCGTGTTGGATCTGGGGAATTGGTTCGTGTAGACTTGTGCTTGGACCTGCATCTGCTTGACGACGGAGATCTTGGTAGCTATCTTGCGGGTTTCCTGGATCTGGCGGATATTTTCGTCCATCTTCTTTGAGAACTTGCTTTTTGGCGCAATAAACGACCCTTCAGGCACAACATGCAAGAACTCTTCATGTTGGTTAATAACCTGTCCTTCGCCATCTTCTATCCAGCGTAGTTTGGACGGGATATCGGGGATGTTTGTTAAGCTTGTGTAGTAGTCGGGTACAACTTTGTCCTCTTCGTCGTTGATGCCCTCAGCCAACGTCTCTGATTGCTTGGCTTCGTTGCCCTTCAGTGCAGCTGATGTCGACGATGGGCCAATGCCAAGAGTGTCAGCCTCGTTCAAATGCTTCAGATATTGTCGCATGCCTGCTTTGCTACGCAATAAGGCGGGTGCGTCAGCGTTAAGCTTTCTATCTGTGAAAAGGAGGTGGCGCTCCTTGGCAGCTAGAGCACGATCTTTCTTGGTTGTTTGCTTCCAGATCTTGTACTCCTCGTCCTCATAGATTTGCTCTGCGCCAACGCCAAATGCTTGGCCCAAAGCCATGCCGTTCAAGCTGGGCCCGTCGATCTCCATAGCATCGGCATTGCTGGCTATGCCTGAGGGGACGCCACCGGCGGTTGGAGTTCCAGTACCACCAACTGGTGGCGTGCCTAAGCCGGTGCTGCCATCAAACTCTGAACCTTCTCGTCCTGATTTTGCCAGCAGTCCGTTCAATTGCAGAACAGGCTTTTGGTCAATCACTGGTGTGTCTTCCTTGGCGTCAGCAGGCGCTGTGCGAGATTTGGCGGTTCCCTTGGTTCCTGTTTGGCGACCACGGGAGGACATAATGGGCTCGTCATCCGAATCCTCTCCATCGTTTTGTTTGCGGCGCTCTTCCGCTTCAACATCGGCACGAGATCGGATGACAAGATCTGGGATAAGGGGAATCAACTTCTCAGCTTCCTTTCTCATGCCATTGGCCATCCGCCGCAGTGGATGTGTCATTTCCTGGTTGTACTTGAGGCAGTTGTCCCAAATCAAGTTTAGATCAGCAACAAACTCCACCTTGGACTTATACGTTAGTGACTTGAGCTTCTTGGTCATCGAGCCCAAGTCCATAGGATTCTTAATCAGGTTGTAGTAGTCGGGAGCGTCACGCTTGTTGACCCTGGACAAGAAAGGCATCGAGTATTCTGTGTGCGCCTTCAATTCCGTCAGCACCTTGTCGAGCGCTTCGTACAGGTCTTCTTGGTTGACGTTTTCTTCGCTGGCCCATTTACTGCGGTTCTTTCGGACTTCGCTCATCAAGACTCGCAGCTCGGCATCAGATGCACGTACTTGGTCTCGTTTGATGTCGATTCGGGCAATCAAATGCTTCAGGGTCAAACTTGAAGCGCCAAGGTTAGCGCTCGCAAGCGTTCCCTGCCCTCCACTTCCAGGTTGATGATTGTGGTCCATTTCAGCTTGGAGCTGCTTCTCCGAATCTTCAAGCTGCTGCTGTTCAAGCATGGCCATACGATCATTCTCAAGAGTATACATGATAGTGTGGAAGCTCCGTCGCGCGGCTCGTTCTGTCTCGAGTCGAGCTTCTTCGAGCTTCTTGATAGCTTCTTGTTCCTCCTTTTCCTTGCTTTCTTGATCTTTTGGCTTTTCGGGTTGTTTTGATGGGGAATTGACGGAATGAACTGGTGAGCTGCCGGATTTGGAGGGGGAGAGTAGGGGGTTGGCGACGGTTGAGGTATGCGATTTCGTTAGGGGTTGCGAGGGTTCTTCCTCTTCCTCCTCATCATCATCGTAGTCATCCTCATCAATGGTTCGTTTGGCCTTTTTGGCCGGCGGCTCTTTTATGGGCTCGTGATCGGTAGTGGGGGGGAGGGAGATGGCTGACGCGATAGGGTCGCGGCGCAGCGCCTGAATCGCGCCAACGTTGTAGGAGCCGTCATCTTTAAAAAGAAAGGCGATTTTGTCTTCGGTATTTCGATAAAGATCAGCGAAAAGCGCGCGCCTGGCTTCTTCTTCGGCGTCGACCGGTGCCTCAGGCACAAGGGTCATGGAGTTATCAACGGGGGTCTGGGTTCGCGCCGATGCATCATCGACGAGATGCAGAGACCGACTGCTGTTTGAATGGTGAAGGGCCGGAGATGGCCAGGCCGGTTGGCCGTTGGTAAAAGACATTTTGGGCGCCAGGCGATGGAAGCGACAGCGAGGCCCCTGGCGCCATGCGCGTGCGAATGCGGTCGCGTAGATATCGGCCTACAGGCGTCGTGGAAAAATCAAGACGGGACGAGTCGGAAGCGCAACATTGACATAGATGGAGGCCGGAATCTGAAGACGATCGGGGTTGATTCGGCACGTTGTTGATGGATGCAAGTTGGCGGCTTTCGCAGGCAGATCTCGAGGTGAGGTTAAGATTTAACGACGCTCAGCACCGAGCGGGACACTGTGCCCCAGACGGCTCGGTGGCCTGCATCGGGGCAGCGGCAGTAGTTGGGACAAGGCTTGGTGGTGGTGGTGGCTGCGGTTATAGTGGGAAAGAACGTCGGAAAATATGTTTATAAATATTACAGATGATTTAAATTATCAAATTTGGCAATGGTTCTATTTTTACTAATTTATATGCACCCATTGACTCTCTGTTTTGAGTGCGAATTCACCTCCGCGAGTACGAGATACCTCGCCTTGATCGACTCTCTAAGCGCTCCAGGTACGGCCTCGCCAACTGTTTTCAGCAGCGGGGTCACGTGATGCTGACAAGCCATCTGTCTCGAACCGTGCAAATGATACTGTACCTGGCTATTCTACCAGTGGACCAAAGTGAGTGATGTAGTAATAAAAAAAATCAATGTATTAAAATGATTCCTGGTAAATTTAATCCCGAGATTAATACACTATTTTTATAATGCATTTCCTTAAGATTGGATGTAGGCACAGACCAGCCCAGCCTGCACCCGGGTTTCGTGAGCCCAGCTTACAGTAGCCAGTGCTCCAGTGGGCCACAGGCGTTGAAAGCTTGCCTTAGCTACCTCCGGTGAGCTCCCAACAGTAGCAAACACCCAGATTCTCCCTCGTCATTCATCACCAGCTTCCTGTAGTCGCAACAGCACGAAGAGCCCAACGATTCGCAACTACTGCTTACCATATTGAACCAGTCAGGCATCCAACTTTTAACACGGTCGTCTTGAGGTGCAGAGCTCCTCGCTTTTCACGATGCGCATCCGGCTGCCTTTCGCAGGTACGTCATCCTCGCAAAGGAGCGAACCTTTGAGCTTGCTAACTCGTGAGAAAATACAGGCGCCTTCTTTATCTTACTTCTCGTCGCTGCATATGTCGGCCTTTCGAAATTACAGCTTGGTGGCCTAATCAACGACAAACTCCTCCATGTCATCGCCTTCTTCATCCTCACCCTCGTCTTCTACTGGGTGGTCGATACGAATCGCCGACGTCTTATGAACATGACCATTGTCGTCTGTACGCTCATTTTGGGCATTGGCTCCGAATTTCTCCAATCATTTTTGCCCAACGACCGAGACTTTGACATGTATGATATCGTTGCAAACATTGTAGGCAGCTTGTCTGCGCTACTCCTTTGCTCGTGGTACCACAATCGCATGCTTGAGCGCAAGCGACAGAACAAGACATACAATGCTGTCCCAGGCGAGGATGAAGAGGACGTCGAACTAGGCCGAGGTCAAGAAACTGGCATTGCCGACGGCCCTGCTACACTAGAAGAGGAGGTGGACAATTGGGATGAAAATGCTGAAGACAACTGGGATGATGCTGAGGAAGAAGCCGACGCTGCTCCTGTAGCGCCTACCAAGAAGGATTAAGCGTTGGCGGCTGCTAATGACCGAAATGACTCTGTGTATTTTTCTTGTTTCCGATATTTACGATAAGCCAATGTATTTATACATACCTTAAATCTGTATTAAATAGAATATTATGCCCTTCTGCTTTGCGTTGCATCTCTACAGAGCCGTCGTCACTCCACCCCGCTAAATAAAATCCACAGCAGCTTGCCTCTGTCCCACCGCATTGTGCGCGCCCCTCCATTCCCTTTCCCCTCGAAACAAGCAAACGATCCTTCACAAGCAGACATGGCCAGCCAAGGAAAGCAGCCGGCGGCAGCGTAAGCTTTGATTTACCGTCTACGATCTGGACCCTGATGCTAATGTTCAAGTCGCAGCGCGCTCACAACAGGAGAGACCAACCCACGAGGTATCCCGACAGCACCCTTTGTTGACAGAGTCGAAGACTACATCACAACCAGAGAAGATGTCGAGCCGACGCTGCGAAACTTCCAGGAGTTAATATCGTGAGTTGCCCCAGTCCCCTGTTGATCAGCAACAGGCTGCAAAGGGTACAAGCATAGAGCGCTAGCTAAATCTGTCGAACCGCAGCAAATACCAATTCATGGAAATGAATCTTCAGCGCAGAGTGGCGGGACTCAAGGACAAGATCCCAGATATTAAGAAGACACTTGATTCTGTCCAGTTCTTGAAGCTGAGAAAGGTGCGTAGCTAGTACTAGCTGTGGCTGCCAGAAGAGTTTTGCTGACCAGACTAACTAGGATGAGCCCGAGCCCATTGAATCAACATTTGAACTCAACGACACTCTATACGCCCGAGCAAATATTCCCCCGACGGACGAGGTTTACATCTGGTTAGGTGTAAGTAGAAGTGCGGACAGTATGTGCCGAACCAGGCTAACAACACATACCAGGCCAATGTAATGTTAGCTTACCCCATTGAGGAGGCTGAAGAACTTCTCGAGTCGAAGCTGTCCACTGCCAAGAAAAGCATGGCCAACTGCGAAGAAGATATGGATTTCATCCGCGAACAAATCACTGTAAGTCCTTATCTCCCAAGCACACCGGCAGCCAACCCGGCCACCACACGCCCATGCTAACACAACAACAGACTATGGAAGTTGCCACAGCACGTGTATACAACTGGGAAGTTATGCAGAAGAGAAAAGACAAAAAGGATGGCGCAGATGACGAAAAGGAAGCAGCCAAGGATACGGAAAAGGACAAAAGTAACTAAATTAAACGGTATACTGCCACGAAAAGCAAACATACTGAAATTTGAATAAATAAAAAAATAAGTCAAGACTCTATCTGTGTGGCCACCCGTTTCAAAATAATATTTATAATATTTATTTTCGAATATTCTATCATGGGCTGTTGTACGCCAACCCACTTTTTGGTGTGACCCCGATTAGTGCATCGCGTAACCGTCATTGTTCAAGCTTGCCCAAGAAATTTTAGAGGTCGCATGCTTCACCAGCTTTCCGCACACTCTACCGCCTTCGACACTTTCTTTTCGTTGCGCAATGTCTTTACCCATAAAATCATGCTAGCAGTTCAATCCATATGCTCCGATTCGCACATGGGAGACTTGGGAGGCGGCGCCCGAAAGTAGGGGCCGCCTTGAACTTGGTATGTTGACTGTAGCCACGAGCCCCTACACGAACTCTAACAGAATTTTCTAGCTTCCAATTGTTCGATATTATAGCCATAATCAACCGCTTAATAGAACGCCCGCAACGCGGCCAGGTCACAGGCCGAACGGGACGTCATGGAACAACCCGCGAACAGATCCGTCCCAGCTAGGTCACGCGAAGCGACAGCAATACTCAACGGCCCACGAGCCGTTGACAGACTCATATAACATTACATCACGATATAAAATAACGAATGATAACCCAGATGCGGCATGGGACCAACCAGAGGGGTTATCACCTTTCGAACTCAGCCAAGATCCTTCGCTAGGCGTCGATACTGTAGCGCAACACGATATACACAAGCAAAAAAGGCCGACAAGGCGATACAAAACAAGACGGAAGAATTTATCAGAATACAGAGCCAATGGAATGAGAGCATTGGAGCTTGCGCTCGGAACAACCGGAGCCGAGCTTAGAGATCGACTGGCGCAATCAAAAGATCGACGACTGCCAATGGTCCTCCTGAGACTCTTGTTTAAAGAACAAATAAGCAAAAAGGAAGACGGGCAAAATCCAGCAGATTCTAGCCAAGAGGCTAGATGGGAGGAACGCAGTCTCGAAAAACTCAAAGAAATTGGTTTCACAACTGCCGACATTGGCTTCTACATTCGCATATTGCAGGGCCCGACTGATGAGGAGCGCTGCCGAATAATGCTTTCCGAAGACGCTTGCGTTCCTGCTTTTCTATTCATGTTTTTGATCCGCCGAGAAGCCGAGCTGCATGATGCGACTCTTATAAGCCAGCTACTCGACTATTGCCAACAGCATTACTGTGCCGATGGTGTGCATACCCAAACCAATGCCATAGTGACAGACGACCCGAATTCGAGCGCAGCCCTGAGCCGACTGATACCAAACGAATTTGAAGATACAATATCACTCTTCTCAAGTCATTGTCAGCGCACGGATGCTAGACTAAGCTTGAAGGTGGCGGACCTGCTATCCGACTACATACAACATTTCGTTGACGACGAGCATGCTGAGAAGGGCTACCACACACAATGCCGTCTTTTCAACTCAGGTCTTACTTGCCTCAGGCCACAGTCTAACAAAAAGAGTGTGCGCCGAGCATCACCGAATGCTTACTTCTGGGAGGCCCAACGAAGACTTCTCTCCATGTCAGCTAGTCTTTCTCGGCCGCTGCTTGTCAACGGAAGCGGATTTCGGGCAATTCGCGAGGTCCTAGCCGGTCTGCCAAAGAACCACAATGAAGTCCGTAGCTCAATACGTCATGCTCCTACTTGGCCACCATACTTACGGCCAGGAGACGGCATGGATGAAAATACGTATCTTGAGGACAACTGGAGCAGAGCTGTCGGAGCTGGCATGCTGATGCAGGAAGCTGGGTATAGTAAGACGGAACACGACGAAGCGTTAGACACATTGCAAGGGATGGCGCCAGATGGCACACCGACAATTCAACAACGTATTACGGTAGAGAATGGACGTCAACTCGGACTTTGGGAGGCATCCATCAAGGCCACTCGAAACTCCCAGGAGGCCTGGGATAGATTTCAGCACCCGCCAAGAGAAGGGATGGAACCCGGCGCGAACGAGTACGCAGCCATGTTTGAGAAACTAAGCTTGCGTGACAAGCCGGAAAATAGTAAGGCACTAGCTGGAGACAAAGCATACAACTTTCCAACTGCAGGCCGACTGAACTTGGCCGAGTTTGAACGAGCTCGTCTTCTACCTCCGAGCGTGGATGAGCTGTACAAGCAGATGCGAATGAATCATGTGCGACCAAACAGCCGCTGCCTCAATATTCTTGTTGCACACGCACCGTCTCTAGAAATGGCAAACAAGTACCTTTACGACAACGCCAAGGGGTCACCTGTCATACTCAACTTGATCACAAAGCAGCCCGAGCCGGAGCCGCTTAAGAAGACGCCGTTTGGTTTATTTGCAGCCTACATCAACGTGCTAACTCAAGAATCTCAAAAGGCAGGGATTCAAATCCGTCGAGCCATCTACATGACAGAGGCACGACTTAAAGGCGAGAAGTCTCGCTGGACGCCACACATCTGGGGCATCATTCTGAAGAACCTCTCGCAGCATCACTCTGCGATGCGGTTTTCTGTCACGGAGCAGCTCAAATTGCTACTTGTAGTTGCCGATCGCATTGAGGAATGCCACCACATGAATGTTTCTACGTTTGGACAATTTAATAAGTGCATAAAGAAAGTTATGCGCCGGCAGTTGACGACATGGTGGCGCAACCCTGCTTTGAAGAACAGGCCATTGACAACGCTCTTCGTCCAGGACGCACAGGCCGATGAAACCGATAGAGGTGCATCGCATGACGAATCGGCGCTTGCGGACAACGACAAAGTAACCGCCATGGTGGCGCGGGCTGCTCGGCGAATTAAAATGGATTTTAGCAAGCTGCGCATGAAGGAATCGCGCCACCAGCAGCACGTTGAAACAAGCAGCATCTCGGTACTCGAAAGCACGCTGTGCAGGCTCGACCCTATCACGGGCGAACAGGTCCACGACTACCTACTGGCGCTTGCGTACCTAGGCGAGCATGACGAAATGCACCGCGTGCTCTCGCTCATGGCCGACGAGTGGAGCGAGCCAGAGCTGCTTGAGCATCTAGAGTCGCTGGACGAGCAGCCTCCCGAGGCCGACTTCTTCGAGGCCCTGTGCGTGTACAGACTGTACGCCGAGCCGGCACTCGGCGGCAGCGGACTCCGCCAGGTGATTGCAGAAAGGGGCCTCAGTTGGTCCTGGCCTGACGACGAGGACTTGGCAATGTACGTGGACATGAAGCATGACGAAACGCTTGCCACATTGCGGGAGATTGTCGAGTGGGCAAGAGACCAGTGTACGATTATGGTGTAGATTGTGTATATATATTTGGATACCCGTGTGGCATGTATATTATAATATTTTGAACGCAATTGATCGACATATCGCCCTGTTTGTGAAGGTTGTATTTTGGCTCCAAACACTAGCAAGAAAGCGTACACACAATCGCCTCACAGTCTAGAACGTATAAGATGAGCCTGTTTCAAGATCGCACTGCCACCACTTGGCCTTTTCCTCTGCGGCCCAGTGGATTCAGTCGAGCCCTCTGGTGAAAAGAAAAACAGGTTACTATTCTTATCAACCAGACGCGCGTTCCAATCGTTGTGCATAGAACCATCGATTTGCCGGCCCTTCCCCCGATCATCTCTTTAACACTACGTGCATACACGCACATCTATCTGCATAAAGACACGCAGATGGTTAATTTCGCACCACAATGCGAAACAAACGAAACATATTATAATTCTACCTGCTATAAACATATATCCAATATTCCCCCCCCCAACGAATACCAATCAATTTGGCACCGATGCTACGCGCCGTTCAACTAACCTGTAACACTGGGCACCGCGGCCCCTCCCATAATGATTGGCTGCCACCGCGCCAAAAACGCCCACCCGCCCTGCCAGCTGCCGCGCCTGACAGCCAATCAAGCAGCCGCCGACTTTCCCAACGCGGACATGGGCTACTACAACGTGAAACGCTTGCTTCCCACCCAACCAGCAGCAGGGAAAAGGAAAATGCTCGTGTAGCCAGGGCCCTCTGGTCCTCAGGTAGGCCGACCGGAGTGACCTTGTGTAAAGGTAATTTCCGGTGCAGCGGCAAAGTATCCTGCTGGCGCTTACTGGGGCTGCTATATCTCCTGCATGTCTTCTTCTTGCGTCTTTGCACCAGTCAAAGTTCGCTCCCTTTTTACTCTTTGTAACAGAAACCTCTTGTTGGATTTTACCTTCCTTTTTCCTTTGTTATTCTCTCCTTTGTCAACCCCGCGTATAGACCAATTTTGCTTCCTTCTTCAACGCTTGATCTGCCACTTATCACTGGGATATTCTTCTGCTAGGAATATCGCTACGACTTGCAACCTGTACCCTCTTTTTTTATTGTCGATCTTTAAACAGTTTTCGCTTCAACGCTTTGCTCATCATCATGCGTTTCCAATTAGCTGCGGCTGCGTTGGCCCTTCTTCAGGATGTAGAGGCTGGTCCTTTACGTGTCTACCGCCAGCGGTATGTATTCTAACAAAACGTACTTATGATACCAGTGTTGGCTAATGATTGAGTAATAGCCCCGTTCGTGCCCGTGATGGGCCAATTTCTGTTCTCGCGGCGCCATCATACCTCAGTGTTATCCCGATTCACCCGACTGGTGGCATGACAACCACGACTTCCGATGGCAGCACCCCAACGAGCAGCAGTACGAGATCCAAGGATACAACCACTCGCTTCACGTCGATTGAACCAACCCCTGTCAAGTCTGATCCCTCTGTCAGCACGCCAACCGTGGTGCACTCTCTTGACCCGGAGCCCATCTCACTCAAGCCAGCACCATCCAGCACGGGCTCGACGCAACAAACCACATCGGCTTCAGAAAGCTCCAGCAGCTTGGCTCGTGCCAGTGATGCTCCATCCAGCACTCCCACCAGTGCTACCGAGACTGCGTCCACAAAGCCATCCTCATCTGCTGACCAGTCATCCTCCTCTGCTACAACCACCAGCAGCGTCCCCATCGCCACGTCTTCTTCATCTTCTGTCCCTACCACAACATCTGACAGCCCTCGCGGCCAATCTTCCTCCGTCCCAGCTCAGAAGAGTACCTCTGAGGCAGCAGCCCCCAACAGCTCTCTCACAGGATCTCCCTTTACAACACTCCAACCCCAAACAAGCACTACACCCGAAGCCTCGTCCCCTCCCGTCTTTGCTACTACTCCCAGCAAGCCCAACCCCGTCATCCCAACCATCATCGCCCCCAAGCCTCCCCAGTCTACCGCTTCAGTTGCTCCTGATGCATTTGCTGCCAACCTGCGCCAGGCACAGATCTACAACAAGGCCTTTGAGAGTCTGACATCAAACTCGCCATGCACAGCTAACCAAGCTGCCTGCGTTGGCACAAAACAAGCTGTCTGCAACTCTAGCGGCAGTTTCGACCTCATCGGCTGCCCTAGCGGCCAGGCTTGCTTTGCGCTCCCCATGACCACTTACAACGGCATCATGGTTGGATGCCACGATGTAGCTGATGCTGAAAAGATCCTCGGCAGCGAACAAAAGCCTACTTCGCCATCCACTCCTACTTCTCTTCCCTCTTCCTCTTATTTCATTCTTACACCCGTTCCTAAAGTTTCCACTCCTGCTGCACAACCTCCCGCATCGACCCCCCTCCCATCTTCTGAGCCCACTACATCCGTCACCAAGACAAGAAGCATGACCACGACCCTCGTTGTCACGCCTCCTGCAACAAGCGCGCCCCCCGCACCCATCGCTCCCTCATCCACTTCTTTGATCTTGACTGCCATCACCATCACGCCTCCGGCCGCTCCTCCAGCCCCATCCGCCAAGCCTACCTTCAACCCCGGAGTTAGCATCTTCGATCCCAACGGACCTCCTCCCGAGATCAACCGCACTTCTCTCCAAGTTCTCATCCCTGGCAAGAAGTCTTCTCTGGTCGTGGCGCCTGCTGCAGTCCCTACCCACGCACCCGTGGCCGCAATGGACAATGGTGATGCGCGCGTGACGCAGACTGTCTCCGTCACAACAACCATCATCCAAAAGGAGACCGTCACTGCTACTAAGACGGAGAAGGAGACTATTCGCGAGACCGTCACTCTCCTTGTTCCTTCTGGCACTCAGTAAATATAAACGAAAAAAAGAGAGAATGTACACACATTATGTTGTTTTAGACGGTGGTGGTAATATCTTTGATTTTTGTTTTGTTATTTAAAGCTGGTCTGGTCCTTTCCTGCGTATAGAAAATCAGAAGTGAGCTGTCTGGTACATAGCCGCTGACCCTGTTTTATAGTTTGGTACTGCACCTTAATAATACGTTTTAACTGCCCGTTTTTTTTAACAGAAACTTTCATTCTGCGAGGTAATACAGTGGCTCACGAAAGTACCGCGTCGTTGAAAGAGTAGTAAAGAGTTCATTCGTTTATATATGTATATACCGGTGACGATGCAAACCTGTTCTATGCAATTGTTCCCAAGGCCTCGTCAAAGAGTGCCCCCAAAACGCCCGTCTACGCTCCTCGACAAAATGCAAGAAATCCAAAAGTCTGTTTTGTGTGTACAAGCCTCTAGCTTGCGGTAGTATCGTTGCCATTGGCCTGCAACGGAGCTCCGCCGTCTTCTGTTATAGGCGTCGCCGTTCCACGGCTGGCTGTTTCATCCTCGGTATCCGTGAATGGATCAGGGACTTCACGGCGCTTTGGTGCTGGTGGCTCTGTTTGCCCGCCTCGCTCTAACTTGAGGCCATGGCGCTCGTACCACAGCTTCCGTAGCACATCGTATATAAAGTTGTACTGCTGGCCGCCTTGTACCATGGCTCGACGCTGTTCACGGAGCATATCCACCGTCTCGTATACAGCATCTTCGTCGCCAAGGAGAGATGGGTCGCCATCAAAAGCGCCAGCAGCAAGCTCTCGTATCAGGTGTTCTAGGCAGATAAAGGTGCCTGTTCGGCCAATACCAGCGCTGCAGTGGATGATGCGTCTCCCATCGGGGTCGCCGTGTTGGCGGGAAAGCTCCATGAGCTCGAAGAAGCTGTCCAAGTCGTCCATTTCCGGCACGCCAAAGTCGGGCCAGAGGGTATATAGAAAATGCCACACGACCTTTGGCTCCTCTTCCCCTTCAACGTGCAGCAGCAGCTTACGCTTTTCGATGGCGCCGTCTGCCAGCTCCTCCATGGAGTCATATGTCAGTTTGGCTTTCCAGCCATCGCCCCATAAGTCATCCTCGTTGAGATCCCAAGTCGCATGTTCCTCTTCGAACGGAAAATATTGGTGGCATTTTATCGCATTATTTTCGACCATGGTGGTCAGCTGTACAATGGCGGATGTCGTGGACATTTGCTCGGCAATCATGCGCCATACATATTCGATCGACGGGATAGTCGGGCCTTGCATGGCAATAAATCGTAAGGGGTCTTGGGACACATCTGTAGGCGGCGGTAGCTCAATGGCAGAAGCATTGACATAGTCGATGCCCTCTTCGACATTGAGCTTTACGCGGGTATGCTGCCACGGCCATACATTGCTATAACGGTCCATGGGTCCGCTCTCTGATGTGAAGTTGTGCTTGTATGGTGCCCATCGGCAAGTTTCGGGGGTTTCGCTTCGCATACCTTCTGCGACTCGGTTTCTTTCGGTCCATTGGAGCTCTTGGAACTTGCTAGCCATATCTGTCACCCGTTGGGTTAGCTATCAAAACCAAGCTTGTTCATCTGGCCTTTAGCATCCATATCAGTACTCACCTAGAATGGACAGATTAAGAAATGCCGGCACTGCAGCCTCCTTCGGCGACTTATCATCACCCATTCTCGCAGCTTCAAGCATTCCGTCGCGCGAGGCAAATGTTCTGAGTGGGTGGCCTCCCTTGGCTACGACGGCGGTGGATGGCCTGATTTGCTGCTGTGCCACGGGCGGGCTGCTTCTAGCGCGCTTCCCGGCAGATAGTAATCGTATGTTTTTAAAAGGAGATATGCGACCGGACATGCGCGACATGCGGCCAGGCTGTAAGAAGTCGGGGTCGGAGGGCGAGTGCACGTGTATTGTAGCCACCGGTGGTTCGGAGCTACGGGATCTGGGGACAGACGTCTCGATGGTTGGGCGTTTAGGCTTTCGCCGGAACCTGGAGATCTTGTCCATGAGGCTTGATCAGGCTACAGGACGAAGCTGTCGGCAGTGCCGCAGCTGTATCCGTGGGATGCGGGAGCCAAGGGGTTGCTTGTACGGTTGTTTGGAGGGGTATGGCCGTTTTCGTCTGCGTGGGATTAGTGGTTGGTGGGTGCTTTGTTGAGGAGCGAAGAGCAAAAGAAGATCGATGTGTTGGTCGTAGGGAGTATTAAGAAAAGGTGCAAATAGAAAGAAACCGAATATAGAGAAAAGTAGAAGAAGGAGGAAAACAAGGGAGCAAAGGCTGATGGCAGTGCAGAAGAGGCGAAGCTAAAAAGTCGACCTTGACGCTGGATCCGGAAGCGCCTGGCCTGGCGGGGGTGGCATGAGGCACTGCCCGTTTTTCCACGGGGGCCAAAGCTGCTAAGCGCCACTGTTGGCGTACGCGGGGCTGCACTAACACTCGGCGCTGAGTTTGGAAAGCTGCATGGTCAGCTAAATTACAGTAGGCTGGGTAGGGCGCCATTGGGTGATGCAACCTCTGATCTGCGGGAACTAGTCTCGCTTAAAAATAAACAGACAAAAAGAAAAATAATAGCAACAAAGGCTGTGTTATATAGTGAGTATTTTCATCTAAATTTATTCCCATGTTTATACAAGCCATCCTTGGCCACCCATGCGACAACCACACGAGGGTCTCAGCATGACCACGAACCGGTATCATGGATATAAATAACCATGCCATCATACGGCCTATATTTGTTTTATATCGGTAGATGCATCTAAAACCCAAAGACAGTCTTGTCACATGGTTACATACGCAGATGCAATAAAAGACATTCTTTTTTGGAATTATTTGGGAGTTGAATGGACGTTCCTAAAAATAGCCTGCGTTCTTGCGAAATACGAGAGACGCTGTTGCTGCTGATCCAATCTTTTTTCTCTGGCACATGGTATTTCGCTTTCATATTATACAGTACATGAATTACCCCCCGTTGCCGTATTCACACGGCTCGTACAGACCCCCCTCTCTCATAGTACAACTTGGTGTGTCAGCTTGCTTACACGGAAGAGTAGACACCTGACACGTATCGTCCACACTCGACCTTTTGCTCAAGCGTCAGTTTGCGTCCCTTGCCATCGACGCCGGTGCGGGCGGTTTGCCTGGGAGCGAGACACAAGCGCTGCGTCTCGCCCTGTCGTCCCTTGGCGGCATCGGCCTCTCCTCCGTCCAGAGGGCCGATGTAGTCGGGAGTGTTCCAATTGGTTCTCTTGCCCGAACCGAGCTGGTAAAACTCATTGCCGCCCCAGAAAAGCACATCGGCACCGACGTTGGTCTGGTTCTCGGCAGATGTCCAGCCCGTAGAGACCACCTTTGTGACGTTGTCCATGATGGCGGCACAGTGCGTCGCACCAATGCTCAGAGACTTGACCTTGATGGGCGTAAGCATGTTCTTCTTCTCGTCAAACTCAAACAAAGAGGACAGCGCCTTCACCTTGGCAGGGGCGGCAGATACGTGAGTCCAACGGCCCGTACCAAGAGAACCATAGGTGCCTTGGCCGGTAGCCCAGAGATCGGTGACAGACTTGGGCATGCGCTTCGATGGTGCCAACGACTTGGGGCCAGCCAGAGCATCTACCTTGGCAGGGCGAGCATCGACGGTGAAGAAAGTCGCTAAACCTCCTGCGGCGATGGAGGTGACTGTAGGGACCAACCCTTCCTTTTCATACGGCTTGCTAGTCTCCATAATCGTGGGTCGGTCGACCATCTGCAGCTTGGGCTTGGGCTCAAAACCAAGCTGTCCGTACATGTTGTCGCCAAATGTGTACACTTGGCCAGCCTTGTCCAAGACAACGGAGTGGAAGTCACCAGTAGCAATCTGGACAGCGTGGCGGCCCTTGAGAAGGGCAATTTCGTGGGCCTGGTCGTAGGCGCCTTGGGGACGAGTTTCCCAGGTCAAGCCAGGAATACCCATCTGGCCCTTGGAAGGGAATGTTGACGAAGTGGCAGCAGCAGAGAACACGCGACCCTTGGAAGTAAGCATCAGGCAGTGCTCGGCGCCGCTGCTGATGTCGGTGATGCGCTCACCCCAGCTTAGAGAACCTGGGGTCAAGGTGCGGAAGCTGACAGCCTCTGCGCCGGAGCTCCAGAGAGACCAGCCCTTGGATTGTGTTTGCTTGGCGCCTCCGTCCTGGTCATTACGCGACGAAGGAATGGAGTAGACATTGCCGTTGCGACCAAGAGCAAGGATGCTATCCATGGACACCGCAATCTTCACCAGATCCTTGCCTTGTAGAGTAGTGGTAGGTTTGGGGTTGGCTTGGGAGAAGCCGAGACCCCATTGAACCAGGTCGCCCTTTTCATTAACAGCCGCACCAAACTGCTGTGTGAGCTTCAAGTCGCGAAGCACCTGGTCGTCAAAGAACTCGAGACGGCGAGGGAGCTTTATGTACTTTTCCTTGGACTCGAGGTCGACCACCTTTCCTGCGTTGGAGCCCCAAACGTAGACACCAGGGTGCTCCCAGCTTTGCTTAATCTGTAGATGCTGCGAGCTCAGCAGTTCTCTGTTGTCTTCCTCAGATAGAGCCTTTGCGCGAGCCTGTTCAAACTGGAGTTCGGCTTGGGGAATGCTGGGCTTTTGCGCCTCCTCGCTTTCCTGTTTCTTTGCCCCATCCAATTGGTCTTTGATTTGCGGGTAGTAATATGTGCCGGCAGCAGCAATAGCAAAGATTGTAAGGAATCCGACGGCCTTGCCTCCTCGTCTTTGTGGTCTCGGTGGTTGTGGTGGTGGAGGAGCGCCAGCAGAGGCGACAGATCGTACGCTAGTTGTTGGCAGGCGACGCGCAGCCTGGCGAATGTGCCTTGCAGCTGTGATTCGTGAACTCAACATCGTTATTGTTGTCGTGTCGATTCCGTAGCTTGTAGGCGAAGCGGAAAGGAAAGGTTTTGGTGGATGACCAATTGGCTTGCGCTGGATGGACGGAAGCAAGCAGGAAAAAAGGAGATTAGTGGGCGCCGGACTATGACAGTTGGATGATGCTGGCCGGCTCAGTGGCTCCCCATAGCGCTAATTTTTTTTCCGTACGGTACACATGCCCTGTAAGGCTTGGGCGCCCCAGACACTTCCACCCCACCCGAGCGCTGGCCGCCTACCAGTCCCAACGTCTGCCGGCCGCTAAGACGCCACCTTGCTTCTGCATCGACACCAACTCGCGCATCGGCGTCGCAAAATGTACGAGGACTCGTGGTACAACTTTGTGCCCGAGGTAAACAAACCGCAGGCGAGCGCTGCACCGACGGGCCATCGCCGCAAGGAGTCCACGCTGCTCCAACAGCCAAACGTGCGCCTGATCCCCTTGAAGCTTGGTCGACTGCGGGGTTGTAGCTAACCTCTCTCAATAGGGCATTACTGGCGACAATGCAGCATCTCAGAAACCTCTAGCGATTGTAGATGACGCGGAAGAAGACAATGGACCTCCTGAACCGACAGTACCGCGCCGTGCGGCCTCATATTCCGACCTGAAACGAAGCGAGCCGAAACAAGCAGTTTCCAAGAAGACGACGCGACAAGATAGAGCTTGGGAAGCATTATTGATCCGTCATGACTCAACTTATATTGATGACTTGTCGAATGATATATCGATCTTGGATACGTTTGATGACGAGCTGCTTGAAGCAAGTCAAGATAGCTACCTGTTCGTCTTGCTGCCTCTGAATCAAGCTTGACACCCACAGCGCTAATAGCTTGTGTAGACTATACCACGATCAGCTCTTACTCACCGAACGACACCTCGATGGCCTCATCGATGATGCCAATATCACTCTTGAGCTGCTAACAAAGCTTTCGCTCTCATTCCAGTCCGTCGACGACCAGACCTCCACCTTCCAGGCGCAGTGTGAAGAGCTTCTGACGGAGCAGCACCGACTAGAGAAGCTCTCTGGCGAAGTGGAAAATGACCTCCGATACTACGCATACCTTGAAACAGCTTCGAGACGGCTCAATGCGCCTGGTGCTAGCCGTCTTGTAGATGATTCGTCATTCGCAGATATGATGGAAGAGATTGATTCTTGCATCTCGTTTATGACGTTTCACGAAAATTACCGCGAACGAGACTCTTATCTAGCCCGCTACAACGCATTGCTAGCCAAGGCTCTTCATCTTCTCGATGTCGGCTTCACGTCACAGCTTGAAAAGGTCTCCAGCGATATATCTCGACAGATTTCGTCCAGTAAAACACAGTCGACATGGCATGCCCTTGCATACGGCCGATTTGAAGAGATGATGATGGATTCATACTCTCTTGTTCCAAACATTCAACGAATTATTGAAACTTCATATGATCAGTACGGCACACGAGCAACGGGAGCAGTCGACACCGCACTCTATGTCAACACTGCTAACAATCTGATGCGCACATATCTGACAACGCGAGATCGAGATTTGAAGCAATTAACGCAGCACGATATTAGCGAATATCAGAAAGAGGCCAAGGAACTCTCTGTGGAGACTGCTTCTCGAAATTTCATCAAGCAGGTCTTTGAGCGGGTGCAAAACGAAGGCGCTCTGTTTAACAAGGTTTTCAACATGAATCTGGTTTGGAACACGGCACCTGAATCTGCCTTTCAGGTGGCAAAGGATATTCAGACTACCATGGCTCACCCAGCCAACATGACACCGCTAGCAACGCAGCTACAAGCAGTCTTACAACCGGCTGAGCTCAAGTCCCTATGCAATGTCGTGGGTTGGATTGCTGGTGAATATTCTATTCTCGAAGCGGACGAGGACGAGACAGAATTGGCCAAGAAGCTGCGAGAATACGCAGCGCGACTACTAGTCGACCATCTCTGGCCATTTACAGATACCGCATTCGAAACGGAAGTGACCAAGGCCATCACTAAGGCAGCTATGGACGACTCGTCGCTAAAGATTGGACCAGTTGTTGACGGTATCGCTTGGTCCAATGCCTATCCAGTAACAAAAAAGGCAATTGAGCTGCTCTCCATGTTCGATCAAGCAATGCCAAAAGAGAGATCTGTAAGTCACCAAACCCTACGATCTCGTAGCAGTCAGCGGAACCCGGCAGTACTAACACATCTGTAGACTAAGAACAGCCCTGTCATCTTCAAAATTGTTCGCGAAACGATCCAGGTCCTTCAGCGCGCAGAAGCCCGAATTCGCAGTCTCAAGCTAGCCACTGATGCAGATCTGTTTACCGTCAAAAATCTCTTGATCTTAAAGAATGAGTTGGTTTCGCTTGAAATTGGCGACATCCGCTCCAACAAGCCCGCGAGCATGCAACACTTTACGCAAATATGGGAGACTCTCAGCCCGCAAAACCTGGCCGGCTTCATTGGCAGCATGCTGCCTTCACGTCTCTGGGGTGGCACAACCGGTGTGACTGCACAGACGCTGACGGTGGAAGATATGAGTGAGCAGCTGGACGAACTGTTGCGGCAGTCCATCTACGCCTTTACCAAGCGATGGGGTGCATTGGTCAGCGAAACGCGCAGTGGCAAGGGCAAGGGCAAGCAGGAATCCGACGTGGAAGGCGATCTAGACGACCTGCTAAGGACAGCCTTTAGCGGTCAACCGGAGGTGATGGCGAAGCTGAAGGAAGCGATTGAGATGAATGCTGCTGCACAGAGCGAAAGCAAGATCACCAAAAAGTAGAAGTGATGCATAGATTTTCAGCCTCAAAATATAGACCTTGACGACCTCATCATCCGGCGTATCATATATCATTGCCAGTAAATAGAATGATGAGTCTGGCGCTTTGCCGTGTTGAGCTCGCCGTGCCGCGTCAAACCTGTGTTGCCTACGTTTCACTCCGCGCAACCAATCAGTAGCTACACGCGAGGCTCGCTCGCTTCAGCTGGCCCCCTAATTACCGAAAATTGACGACCACGATGTTGAGTAAACCCGTTGAGGCGGACATGTCAAGCTCCACCCTGCGGTTCGGCGCCCCGGAGCATAGCCACTTGTGGAAGTGATCCCGATTCAACAGTTGAGCTGAAACACCGTGTTCATTTAGTCAAGATCGTCCGCTGTACGTGGCCTATTTGTATAAATTGTATGGTATATACCCCTTCTTTATCGTGACAAAAGTACGACAAGCCGTCTAAAATATCATTTTGTATCTTTTCTATCCATCCATCATGACACCTCGCACGTACCGTGGAAACTGTCACTGCGGTGCCTTTGTGTACTCCATTGCCGGCGTGAACGAGATTTCCGAAGTTATCGAGTGCAACTGCAGCGTATGCTTCAAAAAGGGATACATGCTGTTCTTCCCTGGCGACAATGCGCAGTTTACTCTCGTCAAGGGCACTGAGGCTGACTTGGCCAGCTATACGTTTGGTCCAGCCACGCTGAGTCACAAGGTTGGTTAGTCACTTACACCACACCATCACGGCATTAATGACGGTATATGGTAGTTTTGTCCAAAATGCAGCACCGGTCTATTTGTTTGTAGCGAGGGAAAGCCTCTGGGACAAGGAATCGGCTTGAATGTAAGTTCTGGGAGAGCAGCAAGTGCAAGTAGGTTGGCGCTAAATGGCAATAGGTCCATGCTATCCAGGGCGTGAATACATGGAAAGTCACAAAGAAGCCGTAAGTTGACAGAATCCGTCTTATATGAATTCTATAAGAAAGCTGACTTGGATTTAGCTACGATGGTGCTGCCATCGGTGATGCCTACGTGACGTCCAAGTACAATGGGCCAGAGCCCGCCAGTATCCCCAACGGCAAGCGATATACCGGAAGCTGTCACTGCGGTAATATCAAAGTGGCAATGGAGAATGAGGAAATGGAAGGCCATCCGACGATGCGGATTGTCATATGCAACTGCAGCATTTGCGAACGGGTATGTGAGCAGGCTCAACGTTTATGATGTGTGCTAACGGCGGTGGTGAGCAGCTCGGTGTTGTCTGGGTGTATCCACAGACTGAGCAGGTTCAGCTAGATGCGGCCCCTGATGCCATTGGAAAGTATAGTTTTGCATACGGCATACTGGAGAAGCTGTTTTGTAAACGCTGTGGCGTGTGCACCAGTAATGTCGCCGCGGATCTCAATGAAGCACAGCTCAAGGCGATGCCACAGAATTATGCTGATTACTGGGCTCGTCATCGCAAACTGCATCCCGTCAACATACTCACGTTGGATGGTGTTGATATGGAAAAGATCAAGATTCAGTATCTGGATGGGTGGAAGGATATTCCAAACCCGGGCAGCGGCGCGTACGTTGATCCATGAGATCCATGAGATCGGTCAGTATGGTTGTAGATGTTTTGGAGATTTAGCGGTGGTGTTGAGGCGTGTAGTGAGTTGATTATGCTGGTGAAGTTGGTTGTGTCTCTCCATTTCAGTTGGCTATTCTAAATGTATTAAATCGAGCCCACGTGAGGCTGCCGTTGATGAAGATGTATGTGAATAATCTGAAGCTCAATGCGTACTTCACATGGCTGGTTGTAGATGTTGGAAGCGGGAAATGTTACGTACAGAATACATAACGTGCGGAATCCAGTGGCTGTAGATGCTGCTCCCAGTTTAGTGCTGCACGGCGGGGTCCGTCCGCGGCCCAGCCCACCGTCATCCCCTGTAAATCCCACTGTCAAGGCTCCCCCACAGCGGGCGGTCTGCGTGCTCGGTCAGTGGCGGGTGAAAAAAAACACGCACCTTCCCCAATTCAAGCCCTGCACCCCCGCGAGCACGACATCGGAGCACGTATCGGCTCATCGGTGCCCGCGCGGCTCATTTATTTTTTTTTGGCTTGGGGCCACGCCAAAGAGGTGGTGGTCCCCCCACGAGAATTGCACGACTCGGACCGCAACGGAGACCTGGGAGCTTTTCTCCCCCACAGACAAAAGCAGCAACTCCAATTTCGTTTTCTCTTTGTATTTTCTTCTGTTACAACTACCAAACAAATCACAACTTCTCCGTCTGCCTGTTCTGTCGCGCGCAATGGAGGCTCCCGTTCTCGACACCGAGGCGCCCCCCGCCAACTCCAACCAGGCCGCTAAGGATCTCTTCTCCGGTGCCATGGGCGGTATTGCTCAGGTTCTTATTGGTATGCTTCCTCCCAGAAACCAGACTGCTTGCTATTCTAGCCAGCACTGCATTCCAATTGGTCTGATCTTTGTTCTAACCCAGCTTCCCTCCCTCCACAGGCCAGCCCTTCGACATCGTCAAGGTCCGTCTGCAGACCACCACCCAATACTCCGGCGCCCTACAGGCCGCTGCCTCTATCTACAAGACCGAGGGCCCTCTCGCCTTCTACAAGGGCACGCTGACCCCCCTCATTGGTATCGGTGCCTGCGTGTCCGTCCAGTTTGGCGCCTACCACTCTGCCCGCCGCTGGTTTGAGGCGCGCAACCAAGACGCCACTGGCAAGCCCGGCCTCTCCTACGGCCAGTACTTCGTCGCCGGTGCCTTTGCCGGTATCGCCAACACCGCTCTGTCCTCGCCCATCGAGCACATCCGTATCCGCCTGCAGAGCCAGCCCCATGGCGCTGCCCGCCTCTACGACGGCCCTCTCGACTGCGTCAAGAAGATCTCCGCCCAGGGCGGCATCGCCAAGGGCATCTACCGCGGCACATCGGTCACTCTGTTCCGTGAGTCCTTTGCCTACGGTTCCTGGTTCACCGCTTTCGAGTACATGATGAACCTTGACGCTGCCCGCAACGGTATCGACCGCAAGGACATCCCCAGCTGGAAGATTGCCCTCTACGGTGGTCTTGCTGGTGAGGCCCTCTGGCTCGCTTCGTACCCCTTCGACGTCATCAAGAGCAAGATGCAGACCGACGGCTTCGGCGCCAACCAAAAGTACCCTACTATGCGCTCCTGCTTCGCCCAGACCTGGAAGGCCGACGGTGCCGCTGGCTTCTTCAGAGGTATTGCGCCTACTCTGGTTCGTGCCATGCCTGTCAGCGCTGGTACCTTTGCCGTTGTCGAGATGACTATGCGTGCCATTAGCTAAACGTTATATTCTCGACACTTTTTGCTGTTTCGGCTGTTTTCTGTTTTCTACGTTCATGGGCTTCGTATTTTTGGCATCGGGGAGCAATACCCCTTCAACTAGACACATCTTTTCTTCACAAGAGACAAAAAGTTTTCTTCTTTACTTTTTTTGGCGCAACTATACTTGGGTACTTTATAAGCAACGGCGTTGTATATTAACAGGACTTGCAGGCAAAGGCTTGCCCTTATCATCATTCAGATATAGCAATTACTTCTATTCAAAGCATACCTATGTACTCTACCAGTCTATGATGTTTCCTGGTTATTACCAACCAATGTTCTCGCTGTTTTCAACTCTACGCTGCAGAATAGCTCTCGCGTTTCCATTGCCCAGACCTTCTAATCTCAGCTCCTCCAGCACCTTTCTTGCTTCGTCGTTGTCTTTGAAGACGCGGTCGCTAGCTTCTTTCAGTGTCATCACGCCCGGTGTGCCTTCGGTAGGCAGGCTAAGAAGTCTTGTTCCCTCGGATAGCATGTCGAAAGCTCCGGCACCGCTAGGGATATATCTCTCCACCATCGCCATCAGCGCCTGCTGATCGAATGCGAATTGCGCCGCACCAAGAGTAGTGAATGATTGTCTCATGAGAATAGACGTCCACAGCAGGTCCTGTACTTTGCGCAGGGCTTCGCGCCAAACGCGACGGTAGCTTGCTGACGACAGCGTTTTGACCAGGAATTCAAAGTTTTGCTTGAGAATAGCAAGCGGCTCATCTAGCTCTGGTGTGATTGACAAGTCAGACAGGTCATCAAGCATGGCAGACTCGCCGACCGTCGTCCACTGCACCTTTTGGGCGTAGCCACGGAAAGCCTTGGTATGCGCGTCTGTAAGTGAAGCGACGAGAAGATCCTCGGCTGTCTTTCGGCGAGCAGCAAACGCGCTGATAGTCTCATCGAATATTGCGCCGTCCTTATCGCGCGACGGCTGGAAATCGTCTTCGGGAGCCTTGTCGCTACGCAACAGTTCGTCCCATAGCACAGTGAAGAATTCTTCGTCTCCCCATTCCGTTAGGCAGTTGACTATATGATCAGCGCTGCCAATGACCTTGCATAGAGTCTCGAGGGCTCCCAGTCCTTGCAGGGCAGCCAGCTGTTCCTTTGAAGCACCATGGAGGGTACGACCTAGCGTCGATGTCATCGATTGATAGGCTTCTAGAGAGCCGCGCAGGCGATCATGGTACCCGTCTAAAATGTCCAGCTGAATTTTGGTGAGAAATTTGACCTTGTACTTGGTCTTGCGAAGACGGTCATACTTGGATGTCACCGTACGTAACAGGTCGGTAGTACGGACGGCGGCATATGTCGGCTTCATCTTGCCAGTTTCAGCAAAGTCATAGTCAATCTTGCGCGAGTCGTCAGAGTTCATAATAGAGTCAAAACGCTCTAGAGCAAAGGTCCTCTCTGCTTGGAACCACGCATCAAAATGCTCATCCAAGACTTCTGCGGTAAGGCCTGGCCAACCGTCCTCAGAGTCACCGCCATCGTAGTTGAACCGCGTTCGGAGGTTTTCGTCAAAGGTCATCAGCTGTCCCATAAAGCCACTCAGGAATGATGGGTTCATGACTGCCTCATCTGCAACAGCCAGCACCTTTTCGCGCATAATGGTTAGCAGCGACGTTATCAGTGCGCAAACAGGGTCGACGTAGATCATTTTATCTGCCGCCGACGTATTCACGAACTTAGCAGCCAAAAGATGGGCCAAGTTGTCGCGGAAGAAATCTTCCCACTTCTCTACCGTCGAGAGAAACCACGGGAAGCAGTGCGTACCCATGGACTGGGGAGCGCTGGTCGGCTTATCGCTCAGGAAATGGAAACGGAATTCCGCCACAAAAATCTTAGCCATGACGTCCACTGGCAGCAAGGGGATAATATCGGAGCTGTGTAGAATCTCAGGCATTTGCAGGTCAACCAGCTTCTCGAAGCAGGCCAGCCACTCTTGATCCATCTGAGACTCCTTATCAACGCGGGGCCACTGGCGTTTAGTCAAGATGGCATCCATTTCCACGGACATAGTCTCCTTCATTTCGTCCCAGAGTGTCTCTGCGACTTTTTCAACATGCTCAACGAGATGCAAGTCCTCTGACCCAGGGAGGCTGCGCAGTCTCATGGCCAGCTGTTTCAGCTGCGAGTACGGCTCAAGAGCGGCCTTGGGACTATCCGGCAAATGCGACCTGGCTTCTTTGCGCAGGTTTTCCACATCTTGCAACATTATGAGATATCGCTGGGCCATGTCAACGGCCTTGAGCTTCTGCATAGGCCGCTGCAGACGAGCGATAGCCTCGCTGGGCGCATCCGACGCAGCGGCAATGTGGACGCGCTCGTCGATACTGGCCTGGAGGGCATTGAACTCATCGATTCGGATCTGTAGCGTGTCCCCTCGGTCTTCGGTCGTGCGGCGGGCCTGCTCGAGATCCTTGACGGCGTCGTCGAGCTGCGACTGGAGCTGGTTGCGCTGGAGCTCCACGGACGCGAGTAGCTCGTCAAGGGCTTCGAGGTCGGCAGGTGCCTGCAATTTATCGTCGAGATAATCTTCGACTCGAATATCAATGTCGCCATCAGGCGAGGGCGAGTCAAATGACGACATTTCGCCAATTGTCGAGTTGGCGTGGAGGAGATGCAGTTGAGTGATGGAGAGTTGGTCCCACGTCACCAACTTTACGGGGTTGTTGGCTATCGATAAGCTGTTGCGTTAGTACACTGCTATAGACTGGCTGCACCGCGATCGGCGTGGAATAGCATAGAGTATTTATTTAATTCGAAATAAATATGTAATTCCTAAAACTTATAAGAATGCACCATCTCCTACTTTTAACCGCCTAAACAGCTGCAGTGCGGCTCAGTGTATTGGGCTGAATAAGAGGTCTACTAAGAGCCTACGACTGATGTTATTATGGTCTCTCTGCAAACAATTGTGGTTTTATTCAACCTAAATACCAACACTGCAGCGTGCATTGGGTTGTTGGAAAATTTTATAAAATCGTTGCATCCCAAGATAGCATACTGGCAACTTCAAGCAGCAGCCTGGTTCAGAATCTGTTGCGCAGCTGCCATTTGCTCTGGCGTAGGCATATTCGCAATCATCAAATACAACACACCCTCCGTCATTAGCTTCTTGACACCTTGAATAAGTGTTGCCGGTCCCACGCCGGTACCCAGAAGGCCTCCCCTGCGAGTGTCCCGTGCCATGACGCGTCTCGACCTATTATGTTCCTCCTGCACCGCCGAGCTTCCAGGAGACCCTAACCCAAGCAAGCCTCCACCTCCACCAACAGCGCCGCCTGTTAAAAGCGCCAAAAGATTACCGCTGGACGCAGGGTGATTTGGGTCGGCGTATCGGGAGCGAAATTCAGGCTTGGCGCCGAGGTTGGAGAGGCCGCTCTCCGGGTGCTCAGCCGCCCACTTGGCTTGGCTACGCTTGTCCATGTACTCGCTGGCAAAGGCCATGCTTCTCATGAATCCGTTGGGCTTCTTGGCTGCCTCATTTGCGGCATCTACAGACTCCTTGGACTCGGCCAGCTTGTCGAGCTGTGGAAACACAAGTGGCGCTGACTCTGGCCATTCAAACCCGACGCTGCCGTGCGACGACTGCATCAAGCTCTTCCACTTACTAGTCTTGCCTGTCTTGGCCTGCTCTTTCTGGCCAGCTGCGCGCTGCAGCGTTTCGTTGAATTCGGCATGGGTCACGACAGAGCCCTCGTCGTCGCTGGGCTTCCAGGTAAGCACGACAGCGACTAGCCCCAGAGGCGCAAAGTACTCGGCATTGAGGTGATTGAGAAAGGCGTTTGTTTTGGAGCGGCTGTGGGCAGTCATTGAGACTTGGGTCGCAATCTGCGAAGCAATGGCCACGGCGATGGTGACGGGCTCTGGAACATGCTGGACAGCAAGCGTGGCGACGTTGATGGCATTGATCCAGGGTGATGGCATCACTGCCTTGTTTAGCTCTGTGACAAAGTCCATGAACGTAGCTTCGTCAATGCCAACCTGTTCAAGAAGGGGCGCGTATGCACGAATGAAACCTCGCGAGCGCTCACCAGGACGACGCTGCGGGAGGATGACGGGCATGGGTAGCGGTTCATAGTTGCCATCTCTGACAGGAAGTGGATGCCGCGCCATAAATGCCACAGCTCCGGCCTTGGCAGCCTTTTCGTTTTTGGAAGCTTGAGCATCGTCGTCAGAGCTTCCCGTAGCCTCGTTGACCTCCTCTTGTGCGGGGGCTTCTGTGCTTCCTGCAATAGGGGCTACAGGAGCAGCATTCTTCTCAACCACGACAGGTGGGTTCTCTACCACGGCCGAGTACTCTGGGGGTGGTGCCAGCTCATCTTGTGCGTCGTCAAGAAGCCAGGCAACTTCATCAAGATCTTGCCCTGCTTCATCCTCTTTCGTGATTTTACTTGAGGCCCCGCTGCCCTCTGCTTCTGTGTATGCGGGGATATTCTCGGAAGTTTGTTGATTTTGCGCGCCAGCGGAATGTGCGGATGCGTCACCTGGAGCAGCAGCTCTACTCTCGGATCCTGCGGTCTCGCTTGATGATGCATTCTCTTCGGCCTCGGCTGCAGCTCTTTTCTTTTCTTTACGGTGCTGGTAAGACTCCGATGCCAGACCGATTCCGGCTGCGACGCCCTTGACTATCATAGTGAGAGGGCCTCCGCTGCTTTTCTTTCCTCGTCGGCCACTGTTGGAACCGTCGTTTGAGCGGCCATCACGGGCATTTGCGAGGCGATTGAGCATGATGGCTATGATTTCTGCTTCAATGCTGGGATGTTTTGAGGTTTATTCCTGTTGTCGTTGTTGAATAGAAAGCCCGGCTGTTGGGGGTTGACAGAGGTGAGAATGTGTCCGTAGCCATCCACCAGTGAGAATGGACCCTGTAATCGCCGCAAATAGCAATTAGCAACAAACACGATTTATCATACAAAAGACCACTAAATCGATCGGGAAGAGCACGATATTCGCCTTCATCTTCTTGAAAAATATAGCATAAAATATGTTCACATATTTAGGACTTGAATTGCAATAATTTTAATCATAATCACTAGTGTATCTATCAGTGTAAAGAGATTGACTTTGCGGTTAGTAGACTTAGCCCTATCTAGAACTATCAGGTTGCAATCGAATAGATATCGAGAGAAAAGGACATCGTTAATAAAAAAATGGCATAAACTAGGCTCGAAAGGCAACCCAGTACTTGCAGGATACTAATAGCGACGATCCAGTATTGGATAAACGGCACGGGATAAATCCCCCAGACAAGCAACACCAAGATTAAAAGTGGCAGCGCCACCTGCGCCAACAAATATCTTGGACCTTCCAAAATAGCTTCAATTACATGACTGATTTACATGCACGGAGACTTGTCCGCGATTTACGGCAAGTTCACCTCCATACAGCAGACGAGGCGGCAACCTCCGCAGCCCCAACATCGAAACGCCAAGCACTAGCGGCTCCAATGGACGGCAAGATAATGCGGGGGGTGTGGGACTCGCTATATCAAATGCCGATGCGTATGCATGACCGCCACCGTATTGTATGCAGCTCTATAAAGTTGCGGCCGACCGCGTTGGTCTCTCTACGAGGAGGCTCAATTCCCTCTTCTAAGCTTAGCGGAGTAGGCAGCCTGTCCACCGCTTCTGCTCTTCTTTACTATATTCTGAAAAAATCATTTAACCCGGCTCATTCGAAACTATGCCGTCTGACAAAGACGCAGAGGTAGGCGTCGCTGAGCAAGTTGAGCAACAGTCTCAAGACGCAGCCATCCCTGGCACCAAGGAAGGCGAGCAAGCCTTGTTTGCCCAGTTTGCAAACAAGAGCGAAGAATGGCGCATCGAAACCGATAAGAAGCTCGTTCGCAAGATCGACTTACACTTGATGCCCTTTTTGATTCTAATGTATTTACTCAACTTCCTCGACCGTGCCAATCTAGCACAGGCTAGACAAGGCTCACTCGAAAAGGATCTCGGCATGAAGGGCACTGATTTTAATCTTGCAACCTCCATCTTCTTTGTGGGATATTTGTTGATGCAGCTGCCTTCAAATATTCTCCTCACCCGTGTTCGACCGTCCATCTATCTTCCTGCAGCTGTTTTAGCATGGGGCGTCGTCTCAACCTGCAACGCCGCGACTCACAATTTCACCCAACTGGTTATTGTTCGGTTCTTTTTAGGTAAGGAGACAACTATATAAACTGACACACCATGGAATTCATCTGACACATCCACTCTCAGGTTTTGCTGAGGCACCATTCTTCCCTGGAGGTGTCTTTCTGATGTCTTCGTGGTACACTCGACCGGAGCTGACTCGTCGAATTGCCTGGTTCTACACTGGCAACTCACTCGCCAACATGTTTGGTGGCATGATTGGATACGGCGTCTTGAGGGACCTTGACGGAGCTCATGGAATCGCCGGCTGGGTAGGTCTTTACCAAAAGAGGAGATATTTGTCGTGTAGCTAACGTAGACTAGCGGTGGCTCTTCATTGTTGAAGGCGTCGCCACCATAGGCACGGCTTTTATCGCTGCCTACTTCCTCCCAGATTACCCATCTACTACCCGTTGGCTAGATGAAGAAGAACGCGCCTTTGCTTCGTGGCGGCTGCTTGCTGACGTCGGTGAAGCGGATGATCGCTCTGCAAGCCTCAAGGATGGACTCATCATGGCACTCAAAGACTACAGACTCTACATTTTTATTCTTTTCCAGCATGTCAGCTTGCTGTCGCAGACATTTCAGTACTTCTTTCCGACCATTGTGCAAACATTGGGCTTCTCGCCCCTCAACACGCTTCTGTTGACAGTGCCTGGTAAGCAACAGCCCCATTCCACTAAACGTTTGACACTATTCTAACAGCTATAAGTCTGGTTCGCCACATTCTTAACCTCCATCGTCGTCAATTGGACGGCAGCTAAAACAGGAGACCGCTGGATTCATATCACTGCGCTGATGCTGATCTCGGCGATTGGCAATGCAGTTGCCACAGGCTCTACCAACACTGGCGCTCGATACTTTGCCATGTTTCTCATAGCCATGGGTGCCATCTCGGCCTACACAATTCTTGTCGGTTGGGTTGCCAACTCATTCCCTCGGCCGCTGGTCAAGCGCTCTTCCGCCATTGCCATTGCCAATATGCTTGGCAACTGCGCGAGCATCTACGGCTCCTATATGTATCCAGCGCACGATGGCCCTCGTTACATTGCTGGAGGCAGTGCTAATGCTTCTGTCTGTGTACTGACGGCTCTCTTGGCTATATTATTAATGTTTATTCATCGATGGGAGAATAAGAAGCTGGAAAGGGGGGAGCGAGAAGGAAGTGAGAATGACGCACAGGTTGGGCCTGTAGGCTTCCGTTATATCTATTAATACAGAGTCCTGCGTTGCGAGGTGTGATTTAATAACCAGGTTAGCGAATAAATATTTGAATTGAAATTTGGATACTAATTTAATTCTTCTTGCCACGCAATTTAATTTAATTTAATTTAATTAATTATTTTATTTGTTATAACTACTCGTCACCTTTACGTTGCGTGAATACCTATAGGGTACTATGGACGCTCATACGCAACCACCGCTTCAAACATGGAATAGTTTTCTCGAAAGTTTTCGGTGATTTTATCCGTATCCTCTGGCGTTCCTTTGCTTACTCTTAGACATTCTCCGTAGACATCAAACCAAAATACCTTTACAAGTGACTCCTCCACCGCAGCCTTGTCAACGACGTAGACAAACACCTCCATGCGATCAACGATTGCGTCGAGATCCTTCGGAAAACCAGCTGGCGGTGTTCGATTCTGCCCCTGACTCACGCTATTCAAAATACTGATCTCGCAGAAATGGCCTGGGATTCGCTGCCGAATACGTTGCGCGATTCGCTCGTCACCGTCTATGTCGAAGCGCTGGCCATCGTCCAGGATGAATAGTGCTTCTGGTCCATAGTGTGCTCCTGTGATGGCGTTGATAAAGACATTTGTCTTTTCATTTAATACAACATCGTAGCATGTACGTATTAAGACAGGTCTTGGCTGGTAAACTTCTACACTGGCGTCGCGCTCCGCTATTGTCTGGTGCGCCATCACAACACGCTCGATGACTTGTGGTGCGAGTAGTCGATGTTTGCGATCACCGCAAGCAGATCGAAAACTAATTGCCCGCGTCTTATAGGGCTACTCATGATAACGGTGGCTAGTATAAAGTAGGTATACTCTGAACATACTGTTCGATCGGCTGGTGCCAGAGACAAGTATTTGGCTACTAGCGTCTTCCACAGCTGCTGACCAGTGTCGGCGTCAGCGTAGTTCCAGTTTTCCTGGTTTGGCATAGTTAGCAAGCTTGAGAGCCATAACTAGTTAGGAGGATATGTTTATAAATACCAGGGCGTATATATCAAAGGGAATACCTCCCAGATAACATCTTAGACTCAGTCTTTCATAGCGCTGATTGCTTTCCATGGTAGTAAAGAACAATGATCTTTTTGGGTCGTGCTAGACTATGGCGAAGGTTGTGGCGCTCGCTATATGTTTCTTATGCGTACAAAAACAAAACTAGGCGGAGTTTACGTGTATGAAATAGCCCTCCTTTTTCTGGCGTTGGTGGCAGCCTTGTCTTTAGCGTGACCGCACCAGAGCGCTAGGCAGCTTCCATTTTCGTGCTAGTCACGAAATATTTCCACTATATATATAACGTGGCCTGGTTGTCTGGTAGCCGTTCTCTCACTTCATTTCTAATTACACCACAAGGGCTCTTCTATGAAAGTTATAGCGACTTCACCAGGGCATTGACCCAGTCTATGCCCGACAGCAGCCAAGAGAACCCGGGTTACCCGTCGGCTGAGGATGCTCAGCAAGATAGCACAATCCTTAAATTTGGCCTGGCTGCCTCATAATCAATAGTGTGCAAGCTGGCTGCGCCCCTGGAAGACAATATCTTTGTTGTAAATGCAGAAAAGCAATTGGTATGAGACCAGGCTGCACTGAATCTCTTGGCCAACAAGTCTCTTCTTCAGTCTCCAGTATCATCTATCATTGTAAAAGATTGGGCATGGGATAATTGGAATTATGAATGGGTAGGGTTGCACGAGGGAGAGGTCGAATTGCAGGTTCCGTGCGGGGAGTGTGGCACTCAACCTCCGCCAGCACCAACAATTACCGTCACGGCTGGCAGTGGCTCTTCCGGCTTTGTCACCGTAGCTGATTATCTTCAAGCCGTGCTCCCGTGGTTACTTGATAATAGGTCAAGTCATCTTTATGCACTCGCTGAGGATGGTTATATACCACTAACACAAGAAAAGGAGCTCATGCTCCGCTTCAAAATCCGCTCTATGATGAGGTGGTAACCCAAGATGAATTGGAGGGGGCTGGTATTTTGGTCGATACTCAATAGAGTTAGGTTTAGTTATATATTTCAGTTATCTCTTTATGTACACTTATAATGTAACAGTTTTGCATTGAAAATATACCACCCAGCTTCAACTCAGCAGCTACCACGGCATAGTCCTCAACACATTGTAGTATGTGTATTTATTTAGAGACCTAAGCTAGAAACAAGGTCACCGACCAACTTGTCTCCAAGCGTCTTCAAGGCATTAAAGTTAGTCAAGTAGTTCTCCCCAATGGCGCTGCTTGGCAGGACCGATCCGTCTCCAGTAAAGAAGATGTCTAGTTTCACGATTAGCGTCTACCCCTCCTAGATTATTGAAATATGGTCGGGATCACTCACAAGTTACGTCAGCAGGTACATGTCCATTGTTACCATTGAGACCTTCGCTTGGGAAGCAAGTGTTGGCCAAGAGCCACGAGGCCTCTCCAATTGTCTCGGGAGTGTCGCCGTCGGTGTCACCAAAGACACCATAGAAGATCTTTCCGTTACTGTTTCGGAAGTATTAGCATACACTCAATGTGGAAAATAAAGCGCGCGTTTTTACCAAATGACAGCAACCACGTTGTTGCCAGCTAGTTCCTTTGTATGTCCGCTTGCGAACTTGCTGGGGATAACAGCCCAAGGAACTTCATAGGCTGCAAGAGCTCCGAAATCTGTATGCGTTTCGCCATCTGGATTTCCCTGAATACATGTCAGACGGCGTGGTTGAAAGTCATGTGTAAATATGCTTACCTTGCAAGCGTGGTCAATTCCGTCGCAGTCCACATCCATATCGGCAACAAAGGCATACGCTGCTCCCTTTTGTATTTGTTAGAATGAAGTTTGAAAGACTCAGATTTATATGTTAAATACCTTGGATAGATTGGCCCAGTCACTGTGGATGGTGGCCTTCTTGGAGTTGCCGTCACTAAGAATGTATGTCGCATCCTTTGGAGTCTTGGTCATCTTGGCAGCCGCAGCTGCGATGCGACTGGCGGGTAGAGATGAAGCACCGGAGAACCAAGCTCCAGGAGGTCCTGCATTGGGCTTGTTATATTTTGCCCCGTCAACATTGGTAGGGATACTGTCTCTGATGAGACCAGCAGCGTTGGCGACGGCAAGGCTGGTGGCCATAACAGCAATAGGTGCGGTACGCATTATGATTGAAATGTTGAATGGGTAGCAGTAGTATTAGAAAGGTGTTGATGTGCTTTGATACCTCTTTTACAAACGTTTCCTCCCTCGCGAAAAGCATGTTCCTTTTATAGGTCACTTCGAGCATACACCCTTGCAGTCATTACCAACGCAAAGACCGATGCCGACTTATCCGTCTACACCTCACACCCAGCTTGTAAGAATCATTCGATTCTTTAGATTCGCTCTTCAATATAGGCCTGTAACGTTTCACACCGACAACAAAAGACAATTACACGGCTTCTAGAACATCGGCTGCTAGATCTGGCTAGACGCAACCCCCACGCATCAACGCCCATCCCCGCAAACTCCACACCATCTACATGCACTAATCTTTTACTTCCGACGGGATTATATACTATAATTAGTTGGAAGCGACATTTCAGACACCGAAACCATCAGCCCCCCACAGACCACAGCCGCGGTACAATGGTCCCCAGAACAAGTCAATCTTTACTCAGTCCTCTCAGCTGTGGTAACCCTTGCTAATTAATCGTGGTACGTACCTCGGTTCTCGTGTCAGCAGCCTTGCCACGGATAATCCCATCTCGCTTACACTTTTTTCCACCAATCATGTCGATAATCCACGATCGTCCACGCGTGTAGTCTCCTGACAATGTAATATATTGTGGATTTTATCTCAAAGAAGTAAACCGTGCGAGCGGTTCATCAGACAACTTTGCTGTACGGCACTAGATCTTGTCAACGCACAGGTCGGTGTAAGGCCATCCGTCAGATAGATTGATGTATGCCCCTTTGGTAATTTCAACGTTGCATTCGTTGTTCTTCGTCTCTGATTGCTTCTTTCGGTAAACGAGTATTCTGTGCAAATGCATCTGCCGTGCCGATCGAGCCGACACCTGTGAAATCCCTGGCCAATTGATAATATAAAAGGTATGGGCAAGTAGGGAATTTACGAGTACATCATCATCTTCAACACAAATAGACCTAAGCGGCCTAAAACATCATCGCAACGATGCGTACAAACACTCTCTTCTTCGCCCTTCTTCTATCTGCGACTACAGCTCTCTGCGGCGCCCCTGTCGAGAGTGGCCCATGGGTAGAGGACACGCCAAATTTTGCACTTCATCAGTGCGCTGGAGGAAAAGTCAACGGTGATACATTTGAATTACCAAAGTCTCCGAACGGCAGCACCTCTGGGCCAGGCTGTGGCAATGGGCACCTGCGTGCAGAGCGCCGTTACAATGACAACTACTCCTCTGGTGTCCACCAATTCAGTGGGGAGTTCAAAATCAATTCCATGTCGGGTAGCCGTATTTGCCTGAAGCAGACCTTCAATGGCAGTGGTGGAGGTAATGGCGGTCCGTACTTCTTGTTGGCTGTTGAGAAGGGTGGTGATTTGTACAAGGTGGGAGGCACTCCTATTGCTAAAGGTGTTGCTACCATCGGCGCAACTGTGCGGGTGAATACAGTACATGATGTAGCGAAACGTCGTCTGAGCCTGTATATTAACGGCAAGGAGATGTATCGCGACGATAATGCGCCCAAGGGAAGCTTCTACGACAAGATCGGAACGTATGCTACGGATAGTGGCACTGGGGCTATTAGTGTTACTTGGAGCGATGTTCAGTTCTGGCACAAAGGATAAATAAGGAGATTGACGTTAGGATAAACCAACAACACTAGTTAATAGACGATATCAATTACTTTAATGCGACCTTCATTTTTATAGATGCGAGCATATCTCTTTTCTTGATAAACGAGATTATAGGATCTAGTTTCATAACTTCGCGTCTAATGGATACCGGCCTCAGACATGGCTCTCTTGCAATGAGCTAGTGCGTCAAACCTACAGCTAGATTAGCTCAACATATTCCTTATGTTCGGATAAGTAATATCATATAGAGGAAGGACTATACCCAGTATCATGCATTGCCCTGGCGTGGAAGGATTCAGGCACCTCCATGCCAGGTTCCATGTACGGCTCTAGTTTCTCTCGTACTAAACTTTCGTTGCTGTAGCGAATGCTGGAGAGTATCTGGACGCGGGAAGCTCGCTTCACTCGGAGTTGGTCAAATAGTTGAAGCCTTTGCGGAATGTCAGCAGCACTGTTAGCGTTGGCTAGCACATGGCCCAGCACCGCGCCGTCTTCAATGCCTTGGTTGGCCCCTTGTGCACCTAATGGTAGCATCTGCAAGTTATTAGCGAATAAGTTAGTAAGAATTCTGCTGAATATATACTATGGGAGACATTAGAGTACGTACTGGATGGGCAGCATCACCTATTATGACTGCCTTGCCATGGGACCATGATGGCAGTGGCTTCAACTCGAACAGCGGCCAGCGCTTCGCATCTTTAACGTGGCTATTCCTCAAACATGAGATGTGATATCAACCAATAGGGATAAAAGCTCTTACCTAAGTAGATGAACAATTCTTGGGTCGAAATGAGCAAACTCCTCTACCATCTGGGCACTGTCCTCCTCCACTGTCGCACTGTCGTTGTTGCTCGGAGTAGGATGTACGCCTACAAAGTTATGCACCGTTCCACTTGTCATTAACCCCATTAGCTGAACATGGAAAACAATACTACGGGAAAAGAAAAATGCGACACAGGTTTACTCACTTGCGACAGGGATACCATATCAGATGTCGGTCGGCATCTGGATTTTTCGTGTCAATAAAGGAGGTGGTCCCAGGTCGCTTTAGTGCCAGAAGATCACGACCAGCTTCGAGTGCTTCAAGATCCTGTGCTTTGATTAAGAAGCGAAACGCACTTTGCCCTGTATGTACCGGTTTGCCGTGCTCGGGATCTCGGACCACTGCGCCACGCACAACAGAATGTAGGCCATCAGCACCAACAATAAGATCTGCATGCTTGATAGTACCATCAGCAAACTCAACAGAACCACGCTCAGCATCAACACTTTTTGCTGCGGACGATAAATGTAACAAGGTTGAGCTTTTGGCTGTCTCTGTAACGTTTTCGTTTGGACCGTGAACTTCGGCCACGTTGGCCAGTCGCATGAGTTCACGGTGAAGATCGACTCGGTGGATGCCTTTAGGCGCAGCACCATAGATTTTGGCAGCTTCATGTAAGTCTCGACTCGCAATTGGGCTCATGTCGATGCCATTGACGGTGTCAAGATGTAATGTCGTCACTGCACGAGCGCGATCAAAGTCAAAGTTGAGACTCTCCAGAACTTTGACACCATTGGGAAGCAGGTTGACTGCCGCTCCAATCTCTGCCGCAAAGGAAGACTTCTCGTAAACCTAGTATGTGAGATCTTCGTTAACAATCCAACTCCCTTTTTCGTTATTTGTTTTTCTTTCTTGTTGCATCATATTGCAGGCGCAATTGTCCGGTGTGGGAATTATACACACCTCAACATGATGACCAGCCTCGCGCAAGGATATCGCTGCTGTGAGGCCAGCAATTCCAGCACCAATAATAATAACGTTTAGGGGCATGTTTGATAAATTAAAAGATGATAGAAACACCTAAATTAGACTTTATAGAAATACTAGTATGTTAGTGCTTGTGAGTTGGGATATACCAAGGTAAAAATTGCCCGGCGATGGCGGCGACACCGGCTCTCTTTCTTGACTTGTTTATGTGAAACCCATCGAATTTACCGATGTTGCATTAGATATAGCCGCATACTCCGGCTTTTTATTCACAGATCTATGCGAGCTTGGGTGCGCCTTTCTGCTAGTGTCAGCTCCATGTGACCCGTTTCCAAGTGGGAAATCGCCGTGTGCGGCCGATTTAAGGAAAGTGTTCTACATTTGTCATCAAGACTGATAGAAGAACGGCTTTTGTACTATCTATCCCGCTTCTTCCGCTCCGATCTCACGATGATGCTTGTTGAATCAATACGGCCCATAGAAAGGGAAACTAGGCAATGACATATGAAGCTTTATTACTCTCTCACTAGCGGCCGCCGAAATGACCGACGCAAGCGACTCGGCGATGCCAGAATTAGAAATGAGCGTCAATGTTCTTCCTCTTCCGTGGCACGCCTTCCTAGATATTCATCCCTGTAGTATAAGTTGACGCATGGGCCGACTTTCATGGGGAGAAGAATAGCGACGGCCTGATGCTTAGAATAGAGTGGAAGCGGTGACTCAATTTATCTCCAATACATATAGTATAGAGTAAGAGTTTAAATATAATAGTTCACAGACCATAATCATAATTAACTAGAACTAGATTCGTATATATGGTAATATAATATTAAACTTTATTAGCACATACTGGTAGCATTGCTAAGAAAAGTCAGCACCAAGCCAATCAAACAAGGTGAAATCGTTGGGATCATCGTCATAACCTTGCGCTTCAATGTTGGCGTATAGCGTATCTAAATCAATAGTTAAAACTGCCTGGCGCTCCAAATGTGTTTGTATGATTTTAAGACAAGTTTGGATAGAATTCTTAGCAGCGTTTGCAACAACCCTGGCCAATTCCAAGCCAACGAGGTCGCCATGGATAGCTTCTTGATTCGCCTGCAAGATGCTGAGAAATAAATGTGTTTTGATTCGAACTCCTCCTAGCTTTAGTTGGTCTTCTACCAGGTCAAGAATTCGACTCTGGGTTTGTCGTAGTGTATCCAGATACGCTTGATCACGCTGTATTATTGCGCTAGCCGATGGTGGCTGTAACAGTTCGTATCCGATGACGGTAAACGCCGCCATCAACGTATTGCTCAATGGACCATCGCTTTGGCATAGATAATGATGAAAAGGTTCAGATTGTCTTTCCAATCTAATCAACTCCTTCGCAATGTCAATGCTTATCTTGAGCGAATAATAAAATTCGGGATTACTCTGAGCAATGGTTGCGAACGGTAGATGTAGTGGGAAGAAGAATCGACACACAGAAGAGTAGAACAAGCTCTCGTGCAGGGACATGAAGCCGGAGCCTGTATATGTCTCCAGATGTGCCTCTACACGGTGGTAGGCTTGGCTGAGTTCCATGCTGAGAGACATAACATCAGCGTAGCGAGGCTCGGAGCGGAACGCATGGACCAGAGAGAGTATCCTCAACCGGACTGGTGCCAGCTCGAGCAAGGCGATTTGCAACGAAGTCGATGTGTACCGCTGTTCGGGATATTCTGGGAACGCTGTAGTGGAATCATCTATATCTTGGTCGTCAATATTGGCCGGCGACTCCGTGTCAAAGTCGTCTACCGATATTCTTGGTGGCATTTCCGCGTCTAGAGACGACTGAAGATATATTTCCAACACAGTCGCCCAGAGCCTGCGGCGTAACTCCGCCCGCAGCAGGGGCATCTGTGGGAGCTGTTTGGGGTCGCGATGCAAGCCGGCTTGCATGGCTTTATGCAGCAGTGATCCAACTGAAGCCCACACTGAATCCGTATTGATGGCAAGGATTTGTCGCGACAAGATTATCAGGCAATGCAACTGAATACCTGATAAACTTAGGACGTCTTTCTTTGATGCTGCCAGTAGCCAGGCGTCAGCACTCCGAACCCATTGCATAGCCATGATGCGCATATCTTCGGTTCTCCCGCTCGAAGTCTCCGTACTTGACCCAATTGCAACAACAAGTAAAATCTTGAAACGAATGCTGTCGCTACAGGTATCTCCAAGGCTCCAAAACTCATCAAACTCGGTCCAAAAGCTCGGCTCATGAAGAATGCGATATATTGGCTCAAATGAGTTAAAGTAACACTCTGCCATTTTCCGAGCATCATAACGCAATGGAAGCTTCATGGAGGGCCTGGACTCCGTAATGGCGGCTAGAGAAGCTGCTTGGTTGAGTTTTATACCTTTTAGAACGGTTTTATACTCTTGAAATGCTTGGTGAGCATTCCGGACTAATAGAAGCGTTTCTGGAGAGTTGAATGACGGTCCACCAGCGTCCAGTGTACTAATCGGCAGGAGTGGTGACGTTCCAGTAACTGCACCATACCATGCAAGAACATGCGTAAACTGAGGCAATGGCATGAGTATTTGTGGAGAAAGATATGGTTGTGGTTTATAGTCTGCGTACCTCGGAAGCAATACCTAGTGGAATGCGTATGATTTCTGTCTTGTCCATGATTACCTGAGTATCAGGGAGGCCTTGTGCTATTGTCGCTGGATAATGCGTGCGAGAAACTTGCTTTTGGTCGGCCTCGAGCTGTGCCACTCGCTGTAGAATATGCTGTAACGATGCCTCGTCACTCTGAAATGGAAGCACTGTTGATTCACGTACAGCTGCTACTTCACTTGAGACGGTGGCCGGTGTCGCGGGCGTGACAGTCGGAGGTTGCTCAACACCCAAGGCCGTGCGCCTTTGCTGAGGAGTAACACTCGATATGAGAGAGGATACAGCAGGCGTGCCATTTGGTGTTAAAAGTGGTTGAGTCCTGTGATGCTTCTGGAAGTGGCAGTCGTATTCTCTGTCGACACAGTTGCTGCAAGGCTGGTTTCGGTCGCATTTGATCTTGCGATCGCGGCACATTGTACATGATTTGGCAGCGCGTCGACGCCTGCGACCGACGGTATTATCTGCCATTGCCGTTGAATTTCCTCTACCATGCGCCACTTAAATTCATATATTAGTTGTGATGAAGACAAGGAAGAGTGTGCAGAGCGCCAGGCTGCTGGCGGAGTTGTATGCTTCTTATCGCCGTACTACGGCCGAGAGCGGCGTTAGCGTGTCAGTGTACACCTTTGTTGCCTCAGCGCAAAACAAAGTTAAAAAATATGGAATAGAGCAAGGAGCGATATATTTGTTCTATTTAAGTACTATTTTACAAATTTTCCCCATCTTCTACACAGCCTCTGGCGTCTAGGTAGTCCTATAGGCGTGTTGCAATGCACGCGTTTTCAAGCCTACAAGTGGTCTTTCAGCAGAAGCTCGGGATAATCAGGGAGATCCCATGAGCTGCTGTTGCCTTTGCCATCACCTTGATCACTCCCAGACCCATTCTGGATGGCCGGCGCAACCTTGGACATGAACCACGCAACGTTTTGTAGCATCCACACCCCTAGCCTTGTAGAGGGAAACAAAAGACGAAGCGGGACGGGGGATAGCTTTTGACACTGCTGTATCGGTTTTCGCATATTCGAATCGTACGAATAAAGGGCCTTGGATATATCGTGGCTGTCACTGCTGTTGGTATGCCGAGCCAGCTCGCCGGCCAAGACGTACGCTCCAATAATGGCTCCTGCAGTGCCCATACCAGTAAACGGGCTTGGGCAGTGCCCAGCATCCCCCAGCAAGGCAACTCTGCCAGTATATAGCTTATCCATCTTGATTTGAACCAAATCGTTTGCATAAAAGTCATTGGACTTCTCCAAGCCGTCAAGAAGCCGCTTCATATTCCAACCTGCCCCTCGGAAAACGTCTGCAAACGCCTTCTTCTGAGCTTCCATAGGCTCTTTGTATATGTCTTGTAGTTTTGCCGTGCCCTGCATCGTAAATAGAAGCACTTGTGTGACAGGTCGATTGCTGGATCTTGTGAAAATCATTCGGCTCTTAGTAGCACTGTATGTGCGTGCCAGGGTACCATCGCCTGCTTCTGATGGGATGCTGTAATATGCAGCGTGAACCCCAAGTGGCATGCAGGTTTTGAACCGAATATCCGGGCCAAATGCTAGCCGACGCGTCGCTGACCCTTGACCATCTGCCCCGATGACGAGATCGTAGGAGCGATCCATACCTTTGGCGAATGTTACGCCGACACTCGCGTTGTCTTGGGTGAGGCCGGTGATGGTATTGTCAAATTCATACCGCAGAAATCCACCATGCTCTTCAGGACTTTCCTGGATTCGGGCATTTTGTTCACAGCTGGCTGTGTATAGAACGTTAATTATATCCCCTCGCATAATCTCATACTCGGAGGTTAGAGTCAGACGCTGTTCGCCGGCTGGGCTAATGCCAAACTCTGCTATGGGTTTTCCTGTAGCGCTCAACACTTCCAACCCGGTTTCAGAAACGCAGCGGGCTTTGATGGCTTCTAACAGCTCCAATTTCTTTAGGATATCGACGGCTTGATTCTTAATATCGATTTGTTGGCCTGAAGCGCGGAGCGAGGCATGACGTTCGACAATCGTTATTCTATGTCGTGGGTCGCTTTTTTGAAGGAGAATAGCCAGCGCTATTCCACCGATGCCAGCACCAACGATAAGAATATTAATAGGCATACTGTATAGTGAGGTATTTTGGATATCGTGGTGTATGGTGAGTACGAAAATACGTCTAGGTTCCTGCATGCCAAGTTAGCCATTGTCGGGCGGACAGAATCGAGCCTGATCAAATGTAAATGGGGGAGATGTGTATCTAACGTTTAGGAGCAATTAAAAGGGTGTTTTCAAGTCTAATTATGACAGACACTTGTTATTAAGGAAGATTTAAGCTGCTGTGCTGGTGTATTTTTATATGCATCTTATCTCCGATGCAAACCCGGCTTACGGCCGAAACGGTTGTCAACGGGCATTGGCCGGAGTTTAGACCTATATTAAATGAACTGCCCAAATTCTTATTTGAAGTAATAATCGTGATAAAGCTAGATGCCATATTCTATGTATTTATAACATTCAATCTTTTAAATACAATCCTCTGCCGATTGTCAGATAAGTGAGTGTAGGAAAATATGCGTCGTTTGAAACCAGCATATACATAAACACTTGCGCCAAGGACCATTGAAACTACCGCTAAGGATTTACACTGGAATTCTCGTTTCTCGTATTCTTCACGTCGACTAGCGCCAAAATATCGTGCTATTAAGAAGTCTTACAGTTCACGTCCCAACGGCGAAGATCCTTTAGAAACATTTGCACTTTCCCAATTGAGAAAGTCAACCCTTACAAGTTTCCCGTGAGCACGTGTAGTACCTCAATTTCTTAGCTTTCGTGACATACCGTCTATCACAATTTTAAGAACTGAGTGTAGAGACTAGGTTCCGGTCAGTCAGGTACGCGATTTTGCCAAGGAGTACTAAGGAAACACTCGGGATATGGATTACAGCTTCCCGTTGCGATTGGCTTACAGCACACAGACCCGCACGCACAAGAGAGAAAGCGCAGACAGAGAATGGGGGCCGCTGATAATTCTGCCCAGCGAATTTCTTCAATTGGAAGCTGCCAAGAAGGCGCAAGAAACTGCTCGTTATGAAGGAAACGCACTCCGAGGTCGCAGTCACTGGTCGTCCACCTCGCACGACGCTAGTCAAGCCTGATACATCAAATCGCCTAAAAGGATCGTGTCGCAAACTATGATTTTGGACCGTTGCAGTACTAGCAATGAGAGTTTTAAGTCTTCATAACAAAAGACGTATTCTAGCTTGAAAGAAACCAGGTCGTCAGGGACCAGTCTATCTACGCTACAGGGTTTGTCCCTACGCAAGAAAAAACGGTTGCGACTCGCGCCTGTACTCAGAATTTCAAACGGAGTCTACAGCGCTAGTCCCGGCTATTCGGAGATTCCTTTTATTAAGTTTCTCTCTGCAATTTGCTAGAACGATCCTGCCCTTCGACCCTCCACCAGCAGAGTCACATGGTGCCTGGGCGGTAATTCTTCTTTATCGGTTGTTCTCCGTTCAATGGATCTTCCGCTTGTTTAACCGTGCTGGATCCGTTATATTTTTAACTCGCAACATCTGTGTCAAATCGACACCATTCACCTCACTTGCCGAAACCTCTGCCATGCAGTTTGTTGCCAAAAACACCACGATACCCGTTCCAAAAGTTTATTGCGCCTTTGAATATAAAGGCCGCGTCTATATTGTTATGCAGTGCATCCATGGGTCGTGCCTTGCTGAGGGTTGGTATCGACGTACAGCCGAGTCGCGATCCATTTATACTTGACACCTTGCGAACCATGGTCGAGCAGATTCATCAAACACCAGCCCCAATGGATTGCGGAGTATCAAATGTAGACGGAGGACCTATTTACGATGTACGGCTGCCCGGCCAAAAACATTGGGGCCCGTTCGGCGCGGTCGACGACTTTCATGGGGGGCTTCGCGGGGGCGTGGGCGAACCGGAGCATGCTCGCATCGCAATACCAGAACTTGGGCCGCTAATTGCTTTCCAAAATCAACCGTGGCCTTGTCCTATATTTACGCATGGAGACTTGAGCTCTCTAAATATTTTGGCTCGTGGAGATCAGATTGTCGGCATAGTCGACTGGGAAACAGCCGCGTGGATGCCGCCATACTGGGAATATACGTCGGCGTGGAATGTAAACCCGCAGAACCAATTCTGGCAACAAGAAGTAGGTCGATTTCTGAAACCGTGTTCAGAAGCCCTAGCTATGGAAGCAATTCGACGAAAATAGCATGGTCACTATTAGGAATCGTTCAAGATGTTTACGCTCGCTGTCGGCGCTCGCCTAGTGAAGAATCCCATAAAACCATTAGTTAGTCATTCTCTACAAACCGTTAATATACTCAGTATCATCATGTGCGTCATCGTCCTGTCGACAATTGCTAGGGCATGCAGTGATAAGTGATAGAAAAAGTGTTTTCTCATGGGGCTTTCAAACGACAACCAAAAACCCAATGGTATAGTTTGATAGCGATCTGTTATTCGTATAATCAAATTCGCATATATCTATCAAAGCTAACAAAAAAACGACATTTTAGCTCCAACTATATAAACGTAGCATATCCATCATCGTAGGCCTCATCTTCATCATCAACCTCCCTCTTCTTCCTAACATTGGTGACCTCAAAACGCATGTGTACCGTAAAAATCTTTTCAAGGGGTGTTGTGAGAGGTATATTCTTCTCGGAACTCCAAATCACGGCTTCGCTAATCGTTTTAGTATCAAGTTGCGCCTTGTGTTGGATAAGAAGAAAAGCAGAGGAAGCTCCATTTTTCGAGCCGAGCAGCGCCATGCCAGCACTACTGGTACTTGTCATCGGGATTTTAACTCGATCTTGCCAGCTAGGGAATTCTTTATGTTTCAAATCCATCAATATACGGCGAATGATAGCGAGTGTCTGTGTGTTTTGGATCGAAGCCCGGAAGATGTACTTGAGTGCAGACGCGGATTTTTTCCTTTGGTCACAAGCCTGCCTCCATTGTAAAAAGGCTACGTCGGACCATTGATTCAGACCGGGGATGTGTGCACCCTCGTTTGCCTGATCCCTCGGACTATAGTTTTTGTCTGCAACTAGAGCACCGACCTCGTTGTCAGGGTACATGCCACTCCTGTAGACGCCATCTGTAGGCTATCATAGTCATTGTGAGCTTTCATGGTACAATGAAAATTTTCATACAATAGATCAAACGTACCAATTGTGACTGACCAGCTTCTGTGAATGTGGAATCATGTTTAGCTATAAGGCTCACTTTCCCTTTCTCGTTGATTTTGCTTTCCAAAAACGCATCGTGCAGCTTGTTTCCGTAAAAGTCAGCGCTGGTTGTTGGAGTATTAGTCCATCCAAACTTTTGTAAGTCGGTGAGCTCTAGAAATTGACTCTGAACGCCGTACTCTCTATCCCTCCTGACCGCCGTGGCGGCGTCAACGCCAAACAGAGCATACAGCCTTTGTCCCTTTGTGACGGCCTTTTCGTATAGCCCAGGAGGGGGTTCCGATGAACCTAACTTTGGAGTTTCGGATTTCCCCGGGTTAGCTTTGGAAGACTCGGACTTGGAAGGCTCGGACTTAGAAGGCTGGCCCCGGATGTTCACAGCAAAACTATGCTCATAGTGCAGTTGCTCTTGTGCAACAGGAGATGTGCTACAGAGAGGTAAAAAGATGGAAATGACGAAGATCAATGCCAATAATCGCGGCATCATTTCATTTTGCTTAAAGCTAAGGCTGAACATATTGAAGAAAGGACGTGGAGGAAACGTAACTAGGGCTTGATAGAAACTGAACATGGAAGGCATTGGAGGCGACGTCGCGTTAAATAGAAACTTGCCTTCTAGAGGAAGTAGTAACCCAGACAAGAATAGTTACAGAATAATTCATTGTTTTACTGATACATATAGACGAGCACCTAGACCTGTCACTAGGCCCAAGCAGCGTAGGCGCAAGGCTGAGACATGAAGCTGCTACATGGGGCTTGAATTAAGGGCTACCAGAAAGCCTTGTCTTCTGGTGTATGATACGGTACTATTTTGCATGAGAATCAAACCAATTGGTGTAATTTAATATGGTTTCGTGCGTCTTGACTATCTGGCCATGACGGATGCGCCAGCCATCGCATCCTTCAGGCAATCAGAATGCGTTGCCGTGACGCTTCCTTAAGCATATCCTCAACATATTGTATCTGGGCCTGACTGAGCAAGCTGTGCCACGTAAAAATAGAATCACATACGCTGCCCTCCCACTGTGGGCTCTCCAACAGTTCCAACTTCTGAAGCGTCACCTTCTCCCAGAATGGCACCCCAAAACAGTAGTAAAGATGCCTCGGCACATCACGAATGGGCGAGCGAATCCTCCGTGTCTGTCTATTGAATATCACATAACCGTAACTCGTTTTTAACATTGGAAATGAGATGATTGTTCTCTCGGGGTTTTGTGGTAACCACTCACGCCAAAGTGATGGGATATCAAAGCGTGACATTCTCGGGAGCTGGCTCACATTGCATGGTGTGAGCGGTAATTGCAGAGGCCTTTGTACTGGTGGCTCTTGGCCATGGTCCAAGAAGCTGACCGTGGCTAATAACTCGTCCATCTGCACCGCTGGGGTGTGGATAATAGTACCAAGGTCTATATGCATCAGGCTTGTCTCAGCACCGTTGTAGAGCAGACTTTTCGCAGCAACTTTGATTTCATCAAGCAGCTGCAGACGCCATAGGCATCGAAGAAGTCGCTCAACCTCAATCCACTGTACAACGGCTATACCAGGCGCCTTGTATGGTTTGCCCTCAAAGTCAATATCCCATGGAGCAAGGTTTTCTCTATAGTAGCTTTTTTCAGGGTCGGCGAGGTGCTCCGGCTTGGCTTCGATAATATTCTTCTCAAACCACTTCACCGCTGCCACGGCGACTAGTCCCAGCCTGTGCATCGTAGTGACAAGGCTAAAGACCATCTCGGGCCGCCCGCAACACGACTGTGACAGCGACGCCATCGCTGGTGGACAATGTTCTTCATAGGGCATCTGGCCGATGTGAAGCAATAGCGTCTCGTCGACTGATACAGCCTCGTCACTGCGGAAGAAGGCGCCCGGGCAGCTTCTCAACAGGGCAGTGGAGCGGATGAGCTGCGCAACCTGTGCAGAGTGCGTGCGGTCCGCCAAGTCGTCAAGCAATTGACCTCCATCGACCGAAAATAGCCGAAACGCTCGCGGACATGCGCATAACAGAGCTGCTAGGCTTTGCGAATCGTCAATGATGGCTAGAATGTAAAGGATAGTCTCAGCAGGGAGTACGTCCCAGGACGCCGTCGGTGGCTGCATCAGGCACTACCGAGTACGGTGCCTTGTCGCGACAAAATACCAGACAAGGCCGTTTCTAATTTAAGGAACAAGAAAGAGGTCAACATCAAGCAGCTTGAAGGGGTTAAAGGCCGTGCTGGTTTGGAGCGGCGAACGTGTCTGAGCCTTTGTTGAAAAAAGTATGTAGGAACAAGAGATTTGGTTTCTGCCAGTGCTACAGTTGCTACGCTTAGGTTATATTGCTGAAAACCAAACAGCCCTTCCTGCCGACCTCAGGCAAGGCAGATGCGGCGAGGCTGTGACGGGTTTAGTAAGAGAGTCCGTGCATGGTACCGTATCTGCCACACAACCATTACATGTGTCTCTAAAGAGTGACATATAACTTACAGCTCAGCTATGTATTGTGATACAATATAACCTATCTTGCAGAGTAATTTATCATGGTAAAGATGCACAACTTAGCTTTGTTTTTTTTTAAAAAAAAAAATAAAGAGCTAATTGTATAATTATATTACCCTAATACGAATGGATAATCCTCACGGATGGAAAATGTTAGTTTAGGTTAGTGAGCGTCTACCGTTCGTGTTGCCAGTGGGTGGTGCGTTAGTGGGCCTGTCCGTTGTAAACCACTCCACACGTACGATCCGCCCTTTACCAAGACATCTACATCACATCGCTGCCCGGCGCGTATATAGTTGTCAACAATTATCCTACTCAGAGAACCTATTGAAATGAGTGCTATGTCCTCTGCTGAACAGGCTATGAGGAATGCAGGCGGCGCTCCGGCTTGCCTCCGATGTCGACAGCAAAAGGTAGCTACACGTTCTTCACCCTGTCAGTGCTTAATTCAGCTACTAACACATGTATGATGACAGTTGAAATGTTCCCGAGAACGGCCATCATGTGCAAGATGCAACAGGGCTCGTCAAGCGTGCCACTATGCAGCGCCACCAGACAGGAGGAGGATAGCTGCTCGTCACGCGGGGAGACGCAGAAACAGAGAGGGCCAGAACCCAGAGCACCAGCCAACCAATGAATGCTCTAATTTACCAACGAATTTTAAAGATGTGTCGATTCTACAAAACGATTCAATTGGAAAGAGGTATACTAATACTTCTAATTCCTCTATCTTTGGCCCGATGGACGGCAATGGGATTGCCATGCACTCTAAGCACGCTCTCGTGTCCCGGGAGGTAGCTATGCTACTAATCGAGATTTACTTCCAAAGGCACTACCAGGCAGCGCTTCTTCTCGACAAGCAGCGCTTCCTTACAGATTATTCTGCGAGCTCAGACCCGAGCTTTCTATCCTTGGCAGTGTTTGCATTCGCTTCATTGTAAGCCGACAGTCTCGTTACGTGAATCAGTTCAAGAAGCACGCACTAATAGTCACTGCAGATTTCTAGATATGTCCGATCAAGCATCTCTTGCCAAAACATGTATTACAATTGACAATCTATATCAAACTGACTGGGCTGCTGTTGGAGAACAATGGGCGGAGCTTGCGAGTCGTGAGGCTTTGGTATATGCGGATAAACCATCTGTTATGCACGTTCAAGCCCTTCAGACTACAGGACTCTTTTGGTTTGCCAAATCACAAATAGCGCGGGCTGCTATGCACTTTAGTCAGTATAGCGCTACCAGTCCCTAAGTAACCTAACCCGCGACGCTAACGTGCGAGTGTGTTTTCTTTGTTTACAGATACTGCCTTACAATGCGCTTATATGCTCGGATATAACAAGATCCATGTTTCTGAGGCAGCGCCACTGCTTTCACAAGACGATAAACGACGCATCTCGTGCTTCTGGGCTTGTTGGCTGACCCAATGCAGCAACCAGTCCACAGCTACATATTACAGGTGCTGGAATAGCGTTGCTGGTCTTCCTGCGCTGGTCAGCAGCAACCAAGCGGGCCCAGAGGTTCATGAGCATATGTTTTTCGATGAGCTAGGAAATCTCCACTCAAAGTCATCTACTATAAGCAACGAGAGACACAACAATAATACACACTTACTGCAGATGTTTGGACTCTGGTATGTGATGCAACAAGCCTCATCGCAAAGCTCGTCGGAAACACTAATTAGTACTAGGTCGGAAATACGCGAATTCGTGATTAGCTTTACAGAGAAAAAAATCCAGGATGACACTACATGGATACCGCGCCTCTGGGCACTGGATGACCGCTTGGAATCTCTTCTGCAGAACCTGCCCGACGCCATCCGATACCCAGGCGGTGATATCGGAGATTACAGTGCATTACAACAAGCGATAAACGATGACTTGCAAACATTCAACCTTGGATATATGTGTCATATGCTGTTCTGCTTTCTACACGCTACTGTGATACCAGCCTTATCCGGGAGCCTGGCGGCTCAAGGTCTGCCAAGACATTTGGCACGAGCATCATCAAAGCAAATCATCGATCATTCTTTGACGATGATGAGCATGGCGAGGACTTTACTCTCCAAATCACTCGATCTATCTCAGCTTTGGCCTGTTGTAGGCTACGCCGCACAATTTTGTGTTACAGTTCAGATACGCTGCTCCCAAGCTACCGGTTCATCTGGGCCGCGGTTTTTAGAACATGCACAACCAAACTTGGCCCTATGCAAGGAGCTACAAAAGTACTGGTCGTCTCTCCGAGCCTTGGTATGATTTTCCAGTTTGCTTTATTCTAATATGACAATGCTAACCTTGATTTTGCGCAGAACCATTCTTTACAGCACGAACTAACAGAAGCTAGAGGAAGCCAGGTTGCTAGACCCAACGACTCCTCTATGTTCGATGCACACATGAACGCTACAGATGTAGAAAATTGTGCTGTGGAACTATTGGGTTCTAAGTCGCTCAGAATCTTGTCGACCAATGCTCAAAGTGTTTATATGAATTTCTTGGGCGATGCATGGGCGACTCGCGAAAAACATCATCAAGTTGATCCGGCTCAAAACGACACAGAGCCCCAAGATCAGTTAAACGCCAACCATGGTCTGCAGCGCTACAACAGTCAGATACAAAGCTCGGTCTCTTTAACAGGTAATAACATGCTAGGCAAAAATAGCTTTGAAGCAGACGATAATGGCGGTGTTGATACTTTGGAAGTAGACGCCAGTGTTGCTCCTACCGCAGCCAATTCGCAGATATTTGTATGGGACGACAGCTTCTTTAACGATTCCATGTTCTTGTTATAAATTTAGCTAGAACTGTACACCACTTTCTTTCCTTCTGTTAAAAAATGGGAAAAAGGATTTGATTCCAACACTGAGTTCAAGACATAGACAATGAGTTATCGGCGGAGCCTATGCGGTAGTCTTCCAGACGCAATACTGATCTCTTGCGAAACAATGCCATGCAGAAGTGTATAATCGGATGACATGCTAATCATATCAAATCCTTGGTCGGCAGCAGCTTTGCCTTGCTCGCCAGTTGAACAATATATTCCAACCTTCTTGCCAGCTCTGTGACCAGCTTCAAGAATCTTTGCAATTGCCACCTTGAGCTCTTCTGAAACTGCGCCGTCAATGATCGGATGGCCAATGTTATTCGCTGTTGTATACATTAGCTTTATCATATCGCAAGCTATGAGGTCAAACCCTACTACCTTACCTAAGTCCGAGATACCAATAAAGACCACATCAATACCATCAACAGCTGCAATCTCGTCAACAGCGTCGAGAGCTTCCTGCGTCTCAATATGCACCATTGTCAGTAGCGCGTCGTTTGCCTGCTGGAGATATTCTGTAAGAGTAGGGACAGGGGTGAATCGGTCAAGAGGTATAGGCGATCCGTAGCCTCTGGTGCCTCGCGGAGGGAATTTGGCGCACTTAACAACCTGTCGCGCCTCCTCTACGGTACGCAGCTGAGGTACGAGAATCTTGTCTAGTTGTTAGTTTACGTGTGTACTGTTCACAGAGCTCTACCAATATCACCTCTACTTACGCCATGCGCGCCGGCATCCAGGGCGCCTGTTAAAAAAAGTTATCAGAACACTTATTCAGTTGTCATATTCCAGTAGAGAGATTGAACGCACGCTTGATCATCCAGGGCTGCATATCAGGAAGTCTCACGATCGGCGAGGCGCCTGCTGCCGCGACGGCGGGGACAGTATGATGCATGCCAGTATCTATCGGACCAATAATTAGTGTTCGGGTTGTTCAATATAAATGTTGCTCTCTTCATTTTTTTTTAAATTGGTTTTTACGAACCGCTGATATATCCATGCTCGCAGTCTATCATGATCCATTCACATCCCGACCGAGCAAGAAGCCTCGAGACGTTGGCATCTGGTATCATCTGCCAAATTCCAAAGCTCTGTCGGTTCTCGGAAAAGGCTCTCAACAATGTATTAGAAGCCTGCATGGTACCAAGATATTAAATAAGATAATGGTCTTAATATGGTAGATAATATAGGTACGCGACTGCTTGAACGCTGTTGACCGTGTCTAATGCTTTGGCGTTCGGTGGAGCCATGCCGCGATATGCTGCTGGGTGGGTTATTGGTGGGCCGAAATCTAAGCATCGGGGTACTGACTGCTCCGAATGAGCGTGAGTGTCGTGTTTGTAGTTCGGCCCGAACTGTGGATGCTGGCTTCGGCCATCTTCGGCACCACCGCTCAGAAACAAGGAGAGCCACAGTAAGTCAGTACTTCCATAGATCAATATACATGCCAGTCATTCGTCTAGGTTTTGTAGGCTATGCCTACACTACTACTGCTGTAAAGATTAACATTTGCTATAGAATGACTTCAAGGATGATGGAATTACTAACTTTAAAACTACGAGGTCAAAACTCCGAAGTGGCCTCCGAAGGCCATGTTCTTTTTACGCCTATAGTAGACATCACCTTTAAATAAGCTACATTAGTAGAGAGCCCGTACTGTAACCCCCTGTAGAAACTGTGAATAAGAAGTCATGGTTCTAAGCTAGTGCGATATCGGTGCCGTCATTACAGCATGCTTGGACTTACAGCTCCCACCCTGACAATAAGTGTACGGGGGAGTTTACATAGATGTAACAATCATCTGCTCTCAGTATAGTATCCACACTCTTTCTCTACTATATATAACACACCTAAAGAGAAGGGCTGCCCTTTTTCTCGTCCCATACATCATATCCTTAGACTATCGCAAGACAAAATTTCTTGAATCAAATCAATGGACGCACCTATATCACCAGCTTCTGCCTCCGTGGTAGAACCAGTTCGGAGTAACTCAGAGAAAACACAACTCTCCAAATGGTAAGATTCCGCACATCTACACCTTTACACTATTAGTTTGCAATACTGACTAGTTATATAGGCACCAAGCAGGTATTCTTACTTCAGCCTTCGTCATCAATTGCACGGCCGGTGGTATACTCTTCAGTTTTGGCATATATCAAGCGCTCTATGAGTCGATGTCGTCGTCATCGGATACCGACAACCCATTTGCAGGCTCCTCTCCAGCGCAAATAGGTATTATAGGCAGCCTCTCTGGTTCAATGATGGCAATATGTGCACCATTTGCTGTTGCGTGGGCTAAGCATTTCAATCCACGTGCTGTAATATGCGCTGGTGGGTTGCTTTTTGGTCTATCGAATATACTGGCTAGTTTCGGCACAACAGTATGGCACTTTCAACTTTCCCAAGGCCTTCTTCTTGGAATAGCAGAATGCCTATCATACCTACCGTCCATGGCGGTGGCCCCAACCTGGTTTAGCGCTCATCGTGGTGTCGCCATTGGTACCATATCCGCCGGTACAGGCATTGGTGGTCTTATCTGGTCTCCAATCACTACCGCTTGCATTGACCGATTCGGCTTTCGTGATACCCTTCGCCTAACTGGGGCTTTGTCAGCAGTGCTCATCTTTGCAGCAGGGTTTGTTCTTCGATGGGAACCGTCCATGGTACCAGAATTGCAAGCAGACAAAGACGCGCTATCTTTAGCGCAGAAAGTATATCGTGTTCCCTTGCCTACCAGGGAATTGGCGAAACAACGCAAGTTCATTGGGCAAGCCCTTGGGGCTGCCTTTCAAGGTGCAGCGTATTACATACCTACATTCTTCCTAGCAGCGTACGCAAGGACCCTGAGGTATAGCGATCAAGACGGTTCAAAATTCATCACCGTTAATAACGCCTGCAACGCTATTGGTAAAATAACGATTGGCCTGATAGCAGACAGACTGGGTCGTCTTAACACAATGTGTCTAAGCACCAGTGTAACAGTTCTTAGTCTGGGACTCTGGATCTCAAGCACTGTCATTGGACAGACAGACCAAGCGATAGCAAGGTCACTTTTTATCTCCTTCACGGTATTTTATGGTCTCTTTGCCAGTTCATATGTCAGCTTATTTTCACCCACTCTGGTAGAGCTATTTGGACGGAGACAGTTACCATTCACTACTGGCTTCATGTATCTTGTCCAGGGACTGACAGCGCTAGCTGGAACCCCAATTGCAGGTGTCCTCGCTGGATCAAATGGCAACTTGACAACATCTTTCAATTACCTAGGCGTCTCGCTCTGGGTCGGCGGGCTACTATTTGCAACAAGTGTAACAACAATCTGGGTGAGAATAGAAGCAGCGGCAGGACGTAAGCATGGGCAGAGTAACAGTTGGAAGCTATAAGTAGCATCATAGACAAGAATTAGATTTCTATAGATATTCTCGTATAATATTTGATAACATTTATACTTCATAGTTCTAAATTATGTGAGAACCGGGTTTAGTAAGTAATCATCCCAGCTTAAATTAAAGAGGAAGGGTATTTTATAGACAATTACTTTTAACTAAATTATGGCCATAATTGTTAAGTGATTAATCGTCCCGTAACAACAGGCTTTAGCATAACTCTAGTTAAAGATAAACCCTTTAAGAGAGTCTAATCTATGCTGTGTTCATAATTTGAAAAGAGTGTCTAGGGTTATCTGAATGTCACATTCATGGTTCAACGCGAGAGTTCGAAGAGAATTACTGAATCCAGTTGCCGTAGTAAATTTCTCTTGAAGTAAGCATGCTTACCCTCTAGTTGATTATTTTTGGAGCTACAACCCCTCTAGATATGCTTTAATGATATTATTCGACGCTTTTATTTCTACGTTCTTGTAGAACCTCCATCCACGCCCACAGGACGCACATTACAGACGCAATCATCAAAGCACCGGTAAAAATAGCCATGTGCAAGTAATTCCCAGGTGGTGATGCCGCGTCTTGGCCACGTATCAATGCTCCAGCGACAGGTGTTCCGATGAGGCCAGCGGCACCTTGTAGCATGTACATGAAGCCAACAACCCGTGGCTGATCTTTGGCACCAAATATCTCGAACAATGCGGGAGAGAATAACCCTATGTAGGCACTGGCAAACAGGCCGTAGATAACGGTAAACCCAATGAAAAGACCTCTGCTTAGTAATATATTGTAGTTTCCGATAGCAGAGCTAGGGACCCAAAGCCCAGCTGTAGATACCGAGCTGAGGAGCGTTGTTATGCAGAAGGAATCCAATCTCCCAATACGATCAGCTATGAATCCCACTACAATCTTTCCCATGGCATTGCAGGCGTTGCTGAGGGATGTGAAGTTTGAGCCTTGAAAATCACTATATCCAAGTGATTTGGAGTACGATGCAATGTAGAAGACGGGAGTATAGTAGGCCGCGCTTTGTAGAGCCGCATTGAGGCTTTGGGCAGCAAATTTGCGCGAGAAGGCGACTCTTTTCGATGGAAATTGTATGTAGAGCAATCTTGATAACAGGGTGCCTTTTGACCTCTCGGCGTGAAATTTACCTGCCATCTCCGGTTCCCAATCCAAAGCAAGCGCGGAAATGCAGATCAACACAGAGCAGACGCACCCAGTCAAGCGAAGAGTATCCCGATATCCCAAGTCGCGAATGCAGATTGAGAGAATTGGTGACCAAACCAAGCCACCTATTCCAGTGCCGGAAGAGATAACACCCATGCTGAGAGCGCGATTCTTGTTAAACCAAGCAGGGGGCACAGCCATAGATGGCATGAATGAGAGGCATGTCGCAATGCCAATCAGAAGCCCCTGCGTTAATTGGAACTGCCACAGATCCTTGCTAAAGCTTGCTAAGACGCTTGCCACCCCGTAGAGAATTCCGCCAGTGAGGATTACGGCGCGGGGCGTAAATTCCTTGGACCAAGCCACGGCCAAAGGGGCGCAGAGCTTCGTGAGAGATGCCGCAATGCTCCCAATCAAAGTAATATCAGCTGATGTAGCTTTCGAAAAAGGATTGTTTGAGGATTTTGACATCTCTTCATAATGCGCTTGGTAGATACCCCAACTAAAGAGTAGTCCACAACCAGAAAAGTTAAGCATAAAGGCTGCTATGATAATCAGTGGACGGCGCCTGTTACAGTTTGTTAATATATTTGCATTTTTCTTTCGTCGTGCATAGTGTTTATCCTCCAATAGCTTGCAATACATACCATTTCGAATGTAGCGCGTTGTTGCAGTCGTCCTGGTTTTCTTGAGTGTCATGTTGCAAATCTAGTTGTTCTAGATCTTGTCGATTAAGCGCTGCCATTCTTGTCTGCACTTGTCTCATTGATGCTCATGATGGATGGATAAGGGTTACTTGTTTACTTGGCTTTTTAAGAAGAAATACTCGACGCAACAAGCCATTTAGGTATAACTTCGCTACATGGGTTTCCATCGGCCCGGGTATGGTCTATGTATCGGCCCGACGGTGTACCATTAGTAAACCCAAAGTGGACCATTGGTGGCGCCTGGTGTTGTTGGCTTGTTTTCTGGTGAGCGTTAAGCTGACTAGCAAGGCTCTGGTAGTGGCAACGTGAAAAGAAAGTGGCGCTGCTCAGCTTGGTATTAACACATTTGTCATTGTATGACTTTTAAACACATACTATACTTTATGCTCTGCAAATTTGCGCGCAAATATACAATAGACACATAGGTAATGGTTCAGTGTGGTTCAGCGCATACCTGCCTGTTTAACCCGTTGCGCATGCTTGTATACTACTTTCGCTCAGCAACTAGTCTATCCAACCATAGATAGAGGAGAGCTCGGGATGCCTACCATGGCCACATTTTCCGGCGCTTCCGCCCAGGTGATTTGAATAATTTTTAAAATGCTACTTGAACATTCTAGTGGAGACGTATGAGCCTAGATTCTATCTTGAATACTATGTCAAATGGCCGTCGCTGTTCCAAGTGTGCGAGGACACCAGCGGCAACATAATCGCTTATGGTACGAAGGACATTTTGCTTGTCCACACGCTCCACCAGCCCCTGCTTGCATCAATCGTCAACTATGGTATGCTAACATTCGTGGCGAACAGTCATGGGCAAAGTGGAATCATCACCGGACGTATACAAGCTGTCTGAGCATTATCTGCCATGGCACGCCCACATTACAGCCTTTACAGTGGCCCCAGAAGCACGAAGGATGGGCATTGGCAACATACTACTGGACCAAGTGGAAACCGCCTCAGACGCGAGCAATGCATGGTTTGTCGACCTATTTGTGCGTCGGAGCAACGAGGTCGCGATTGCATTTTATAAAAATGCGGGATACAGCGTGTTTCGCTTGGTCAAGGGTTATTACTTTGACAATGCCACAGATCCTAGAAAGGAAATAGAGGATGCCTTGGACATGCGCAAAGCCCTGAGAAGAGATACCACTTTCCAGTATATTAGAAAAGACGGCGAACGACATGAAGTAACTCGTGCCGATGTTTGGTGATAGTATTCTATCCCGCTACCAGCGCACCACTGAAGCCAGAGCGCCACGAAGCAGTGCTTTCTCCAAGCGGCCACGCATTTCATAAATATGATTCACATATGATTTATTATGGTTGTTTGGTACTTTATCTGAAAGTATAAATAAAATTATAACACGTTACAGCTATAGAAGCGCATAAGCTAGCCCTTTGTTACACGCATTGGTTTTGTTTACTACGACGCGCTGGGGCTGGGGTGCCTCGGCGAGACTACCCTAGATGGATTTGAATCACAAGTCAGCTCTCTTCTATTAAGCAAAATTATATACGTTTCAACTAAAGAGAAAGCAAAATTCCAAACGCGTTATTTACAATATGTATAAACCCATATGCCACATCAATACAAATTGGCACCGTCGTGATATGCACCGTAGAATGCGGACGAGCGGTCTACCAGCAACGAGGCTGGATTTCCTCTCTCAACAATACTTCCCTTATCCAGCATGATTACTGTATCGAAATTTTCAACCGTGGACAACTTGTGCGCCACTGCAAGAATCGTACAATCAACAAACCTCTTACGTATTACTTCTTGCATTTGCTGATCGGTCTGCGCGTCCACGCTGCTTGTAGCCTCGTCCATGATGAGTATGCTGCTCGGCTTTACTATCGTTTTGGCCAAGCAGAAGAGTTTGCGTTGCCCATGAGAGAGCATTTCCTCGTCCATGTCTGCATCAAGTCCATCCGCTGAAAAGCGCGACCAAAGTCCAACGTCGCTCAACGCGGCGATGAGGACCTCATCTTCTAACGAGTTGTGAGGGTCCAGGTTCTCGCGGATGCTGCCGTGCAAAAAGAAAGGCTCCTGTGGCAACGTATTGATGCGCTCTCTGACAACGTGCCGAGGAATTGTGCTAATGTCGACACCATCAATCGTGATGCTGCCTGAATCCATCTCCAGCAGACGCAAGAGTGTAGAAACAAGAGAAGACTTGCCACTCCCCGTTCGACCGCAAATGGCAACCTTTTCGCCGTGTTTAATCTCCAAGTCTATGTTGTTCAAGACTGGTTCATCTGAAGCTCCGTAAGAAGCAGACAATGACCTGATGGAGATACAACCCGCCTCGGGCCATACTGGGGAAACTGAACCAGTCTCCCCTGGGAGATTCTCATCAGGAACATTGGTTGTGTATGTTTGGATTCTTTTGATGGCACCCAGGGCTGTCTCAACCTGTGTCCATTCTGTCACCAGTGACTGCAGTGTTGAAGAAAATGTGACAATATTGAACAGAGCAACGCCGAGATACCCAGTCGATCCTCCGGGCAGATTCAGCGTGATCCCTACCAAAAGCACCGCGACGGCCGCATTGAACATATCAAGTACTAAGCTCAACCATCGCTGGATGCAGAACATGATGTAATATGGACGCTGGGAAATGTTCAAAACTTCAACGTGCTTCGCCATGTAAGCGTCTGTCCAGCCAAACGCTCGAATGGACATGACACCCTGCAAGCTTTCGAAGAAGAGGGAAAATAGAGGCGCTTTGGCTTCAATATCTAGAAGACGGAGCTGCCTAGATGTGCGGAGATAGTAGAATTGAAGGATAAGAAGGGCAACAATGCATAGAGGGATCGCAGCAGCCACGTAGCCCGAGCCTATGAAAACGAGGACGGCCGAAACAATGCTGGACATGAGATGGAAAATGGTCATATTGATGGCATTGGGGAGGTCATTATCAATAAGTTCCAAGTCTTGACTGAATCTATGGTGCACTGTTAGCCAGGATATCAATTTAGTTGACCTATGTTAAAACTTACCGGTTGATGGTTTGGCCGGCATCAGTAGAAGTAAGAAACTTTGTGGGTGCTCTGACATTTGAGTTAGCCTTTATCTCTCATCGCTGCCATGGTGCTAGCCTACCGCATTGTCGTGTCAAGTAGCACTTTGTGGAATTTTGCGGACGTCCTCGGTAGGGCAATGAGATTGAAAAGGCTGAGCAGTGTTAGTTTTAGGAGCTAAATCTCTTGTTAAATATTTTATACCTGTCGGCAATTACACAGGAAACTACTGCGAGGACACCAAGCGCGCCAAAGACCCCGAGCCAATAGCCGAGTCTCTCATTGGGATGGTCAATGTTGGAGTTTGTCCACCATTGAACCCAGATGGCTATGCTTGTTAGTATGGTATTTTCTATGGCTAGAAGATGGGCCACAGCGGATGATGCACTCACATGGAAATGTAATCCCAAACACAAAGACGGCGCATGCAAACAAGTACAGAGCTATGGTGTAGTAGCCTGCAACCTTGGTAAAGTAGGCATACGTTTTAAGGTCTCCCGACTTCAGCGCCGTATTGCGCGATGGATCATCCACCAAGTCCAATTCTTGTAGCGTTTCTTGCGATATTTCAACAGAGTCGCACTGTGCAATGCTGGATGATGGCTGTTTCAGCTCTTTGCCCCCAAGACCGACATCAACATCGCTCAAGGTACCCTGAGACACGACTGCACCTAACGCATCCAAAACGATGATGTGGTCTGCATATTGCAGATGGGATACTGAACTGGTGGCCATAACAACAGACGATTGAAGATTTCTGATGCAACCGGACTGACCAAAGATGGCGTCGAGCATAGCTAACTCTGTCTTGCCGTCCAGGCCGCTCAGCGCATCATCGAGCAGCATCACTCTCTGGCGAGAGTAGAGAGCACGGCACAGGGACATTCTAGTTTGCTGTCCACCGCTTAGGCGCATTCCCCGCGTGCCAACAATTGTCTGGTCGCCTTGAGGAAGCTGTTCCAGATCCGGGCGAAGTGCACAAGCGGAAATGACGGTGCTGTACCATTTTTCATCCCAAGCAGACATGCCCACAATGTTCTCCTTGATGCTTCCCCAGATACACCAGGGTGCCTGAGGACAGTATGCTACTTGTTGGAAGCTTGTTTGGATGGTACCACTCGTAATAGGCATCTCTCCAAGGAGCAATTTCAGAAGAGTAGATTTGCCTGATCCGACTGGGCCGTAAATCATGACAATCTTGTCTGCGGGCATGTCAAGGGATAGGTGGGATAAGCAGGGTTCGGCGTCTGCCGTGTAAGCAGCTGAAGCGTCCTTCAGATGCACTAACGGGGTTGATGATGAATTCATGGAAGATGGTGACGCGACGATGGTGCTAGTTGGGCTCTTTTCATTGATATCCCCTGCAGTGCTGCTCGGCAAAGAAGAGTCCGAAGCCTCGCTAGAAGCCATGATTCTGTAACTTTCTGTCTCGCTGGAAAGCAGATATTTTTGGATTCTGGCGAATGAATTGAATATTGTCTGTATGTCCTCCATGCCATCGAGGATGTACATGATGGGCTGATCAAGGAGTTCAAACAGACTCATGGTTCCAAACGCAATGCCTTCGGTTAGGGGAGGAGTCCCTTGGATGTTTCTGAGGAGCACGTATGTTAACAAAGCCAGGACGGGTGCCACGTAAGACGCTGTGAATGCTGAATAGGCGTTAGTACAGTAGCCATTTACTTGTAGTATGGCAGTAGGACGGGGATAGTATATCTACTTACTGATGCCCATAAGGCAAATGTTTAGAAGGCGGTGACGCAGTGATGCCCGAATCTCAATCTGTCGTAAATCCAGTATTTTATCTGAGACAGATTCACTGAGGCCCGTCATTTTGATACCGCGGATGGCACCTAGTGCTTTTGCGGTTGAAGAGAGACGATCCTCGATAGCCTCTAGCCACGGGACCTGAGCATCCGCAGCAGCCTTGGCTACGGGCAAACCGAGGGCGAGGCAGGCTAAATATACCGACTGATTAGATCTGGCGCATTAGGGGGATAGGTGAGAATACGTACCGACAATCCAGACGAGAGGTACAGCCATGGCATAGCCAATGAACGTGTAGAGAAGCCAGATACCTACTCCTGTCTCTATAATGCTGGCGTATATCTCGTGGACTAGCGAGATGCTCATGGCGATTCGGTCAATATCTGCGCTCATTAACGTCACAGCTTCGGCGCTATCAAATGATGATGGTTGAACTCTCATAGTTTTGTCAAAAATCAGGGTGATTAGGCTGCCACGATATAGAGTAGTGAGTCTGTAGGTTTTGTGCTGATAGTATGTGTATGAGAGCTACAGACGATATTCAGTATCAACTGCGTCGTTTGTTTGACTGGTTTACTTACAGCCAGGCCGACATAAACAATTGCGTAGGCTCCGATTAGGGTGTAGGCAGTCTCTCGTGAATTGTCGGTGCCGTCGTCACCAGCAAAGTCAAGCACACACTGGACCAAGTACGGCTGAGAGAGACTCAGTGCCGCATAGACGAGGCGTGGAAGAACGCCTTTGAAGATGGCAATCTTGTAGTGGCAAAAGAACACCCAAAACAGAGCATTCTTCTTGGTCTTGTCAGCGCTTGCCCAGCGCTTGCGTAGTTCTAATGCCTCTGATGCGGCTATAATCTCACGATCCAAACAAGGCAAGTCCCTGACGGACATGACATTTTTGAATCCAAAGATAAATGTTGAGTTCAGCCAAAAGAAGTTCATTCGATTAAAGATGCCGCCGATTTCTTCAGGAGACGAGTTGATGAACGTTTGTAGAAGATAGCGCCTCTTCTCCCAGGCTTCCAGTACGAATTGAACCACTTTGACGAAGTACATTGAGAGGAAGATCCATGTTAGCCTGTCATGCCCAATAATATTGAACATCGATCTCAAGCGTGCAAGGTCAAGCAGAAGAGTTGTGCCAAGGTAAAGATTGAGCATCGTCGAGGGGCTAATAGCACGGAAATGCTCGAACCAGGACACAGCAGCAAACAAGATGTATGCTGCTGCTGTCAGCACATTGCAAGCTATAGTGAGTCTAGTTTTTGGGTAGTCAGACGCTGTCCATAGTGAGACCAGGACAATTTGTAATGCCGTATACGCTATGTAGAGCGTCTGAGTTGATGCATTAGCATTGGTATCGGTGACAATGCGACATGGCAGTAGAAGTTTGACATACGAATTTGCTAGGCAAAAGCCACGGCGATTTTACTTTGCACGCCTGATTCTGAAGCTGTACTATACGGACAATTGCCCATATTGCTACCAGTAAAATACACAAGATTAGCGCAAGTCCTCAAGCCCAGTGGTATAATGACCTACCAAACACCACTAGAGGGACAACCGTCAGCACAGCTTCCTCAAAGAGCAAGGTAAAATCAAAGCCATTCTGGCAAGAGGCAGCAACGATTGGTCCAAAAACGTCCTGCACGGCACTTCCACAAGCGGTGGTATTCATGGCGACGGATTGTGAAGGAATTGTGCACCGTGTAAGCCGGCAGAACGTGCAACGTTGCGAGGGAGAGCGCAGCGAAAGGTTTTGACCACGAGTGGCCTATATGCGATGACAACAGGAATTATGTGGTTTAATCTCGGTGACTAAGAGACTCCAGGTTCTCTCAGCCCAGACCCTTGGTGTATTGCCTCGGCGTGTTTAAGATCAGACAGCTGTATAATACAGCGAATGGCGAGTTTCTGGTTCGCTAGCCACACTTGTAAGACCGGAATGACGGCACCGGTAGATTAGATGATGATTAAAGGGAGGGTAGTATGCATGAATACGGAGAGTAGGCAGTTGGTGTGAATCCGCGAGCTGAAGAGCAAAGACAAAAGTTCAGCGGCAAAAGTCCAACGCGAGGAGGAATGCGTGAAACGTGCGTCATGAAGCAGATCAATGACGCTGCTTGAAGGCGGACAAGGGTATAAAGGGCTAAAAGAAAATGTTGAAAAAGATTCAAGAAAAACAAAAGAAAACCCAGTAACTAGCGACCAGCAATCTGCAAACCCGTTCGCATAATACAATCGTACAGCATGGTTCCCCTGTGTACCCCGGATTTCCATTATTCATACAGTAGCTGGTCTAGCCCTTGTTGTTTCTGGTTGATATTGTGGCATATGCAAGCCACATTCTATTTATGCTATTCAGCCGGCGCCGGTAAACTTGGCTTTTCGACTGAGTTTCTGCGCCACGGCTAAAGCAGGGACGAGCAGATCCCACCCGGTCTTCCGTAAGTTCCGCTCTGCCGCTTTTTGTGCAGTAGTCCCGGCATCTCGACTCCGGTGCTGAACGGCGAACCGGCACATCGAGTCTCATCACATCAGAATCGCGATACACAGCGCCTTGGCGGCGCCGCAGCAGTGCGATGGGGGATCTTCAGGGTAAAAAGGCACCTGTAAGATTTTAAGCAACGCTAGGCTTTTTTCCCTGTGAGCTGTCCACAATGTGCCGAGGAGCTGTGTTGACCACCGGCAGAGTTGAAGCATATTGGCCATTGTACGGCTCGGCCGCTTTTGTTGCTGAAGCTGACTGCATTATATGCTGCTGGTATTTTTTCAGCTTGTACATTAGTAAAAGGACTTTTGGTGTCCAAGTTGGGCGTTTTGGAAGGGTTGGCTACTGTTCCGGCTAAATACGTCGTGGAAATGGCCGTGTCTGGCATCCAAACAACATCTACGACACATAGTTAGGGAGACGAGCAAATAAAAAAAATGGTGTAATTAAGTCTATAGTATTACCAGTAGTATTGAGAGAGCTGAGAAAGACGCAAATGCCGTAAACCGCTGGCGTGCTTTCTCATGGTGTCCATTCCTTGCCGTATATAAGTCGGTTGGCATATCAGTGTTATCGCAAACACCCCCTTCCCTCGGCCCTGTACAAATCGAGTCTTTCTCTTCTTGGTCTTCCAAAAAGATAAGCAATTTCTATCTAAAAATGTCCCCTCTATTCATCAATCCGATCATCTACCGCCAGCCCTCGGCAACGGCGTTAGTTTCCCCAGATGGCAGCAGCCTCTCCTATTATCAGCTTGACCAGCTGTCTCATATCTTGGCAACCCATTTACTTGATGCCGAGATCCAGCCTGGGACTAGCGTCTTGCTATGTTTCCAAAAGCCGTGGCTTGCGTCACTGGCTATGTTGGCGGTGATGAAGCTTGGGGCCACCGCCATCCACATGGACCCCATCCATCATGATACCGACACATTCCCTCTGCGAGGCGTTTCTAACGGTCCCCGAGATTTTATAACCCTGTCTTGTAAAGATAATGAAGCGTTTGCTCATAAGCTGGGTGCTTCCAAGACCATTGTTATCGATACAGAAGACCTTCTTACACGGCAACTTGCGTTTGCAAAGTTCCCAAGCAGCCCTCCTGACGAGTCGACCCCTCATAGTTCCATATTTGAGCCTTCTGGGAAGCTTAATGTTATTGAAACTATTCAGGATCTTGGCTCCCAGATTTCAATCAGTCCGCTGGCAGATAGCAGTCCATCCGCATCGGAAAGCGACACTACCTCGACACACGATGATGCAGACGCATCTTCAACTTATATTGAAGACCCCCTTACACATATTCTACCCTTTTCACTACTACAAACAAACATTCCCCAAGATGATGTCATCAACCAAGCCTCGCAGTTACTTAGCGTTGATCCGTCTTCAGTCGTTGACATTATGCCAGCAACGCGTCTGCAGGAGGGTCTGCTTGCGCTTACATCTGTTGACTCTGCCAAATACATTCAAGATTTCACCTTTGAAATTGGGTCCCATGTGCATCTTGACAAGCTTCAAGCTGCGTGGAGGGAAGTCGCTCGCACACATCCCATCTTGAGAACAAGGCTTGTCAGTCTGCCCATACTAGGGAACCACTGCCTTTTTCAAGTTGTTCTTGACGAACCTATTATATGGGAAGTTCAAGACACAGCTGCTGAGCCTCCAACACAACCCTTGATGGAAATGGGCTCCCGGCTTTCCACTTTTACTGTCAATTCCCAAAGCCGACAGCTTACATGGACAGCTCACCACGCTGTTTATGATGGCTGGTCGATGCCTCTTTTGCTGGCAAATGTCGAAAGAGCATATCTTGGAGAGCCGTTTGTTCATTTACAGCCCATGTCTACATTCATGAAATACCTAGCGGAGCAAGATGAAGATGCCGAGAGGCAGTACTGGAAAGATGCCCTGAGCGAAACTCATGGTGCTCATTTTCCTCCCAACAAGGCAAACAAGACAGCACAGCCTGATCAAGAGATCTCGCTGCATATAAGTGACCTCAAATGGAAGACCACTGGCTTCACACTCTCGTCTACTCTTCGAGCAGCCTGGGCAATTGCCGTTGCAAGTGCTACCGGCTCCGATGAAGCACTATTTGGCGTTACCGTCACTGGAAGACAGGCCCCTCTGGATGGGATCGATCTTGTAGAAGGCCCTACGATTGCCACAGTGCCCCTCCGCGTTGGCTTGGACTGGGACAAGTCAATCCATCATCTTCTCTCTGCTGTTCAACTACAAGCAACGGAGATGATCCCCTTTGAACAGACTGGTCTGCAGCACATTGCAAGATTCACTAAGCAAACTGAAAGTGCTTGCAATTTCCAATCTTTACTTGTGGTTCAACCTCCCGTCAGCACTACACATAGGGAACCAGAAAAGATGTTCTTGTCTGAAATGGCAGACGAGAGTACTAGAGGAAACGCAGACTCATACGCCATTGTCGTGGAATGCGAGCAACAAGGCAATGAATTGGTGGTTCGATTTGCCTTTGATGCAACTCTCATCACAAATTCTCAGATGACTTTTGTTGGTGAGACGTTTGAACATGCACTGAGAGAGCTATCGTGCGATCGTACCAAGCCATTGCTGCAGACACTGCGAGATGAGCGATGGGATCTTCACCGTGCGTGGGAGTGGAATGAGACTGTCCCTGAAGCAAGCAACCGCTGCATTCATGACATGATTGCAGATAGAGTTCAGACAAATCCAAACGCTGCTGCTGTAAATGCCTGGGACGGTGATTTCACTTATCGCGAGCTTGACGACCTGTCCACCCGTCTTGCATTACACATCAGCGAGCAAGGCGTGGTAGGCAAGCTGATTCCCCTATTATTTGAAAAGTCTAAATGGATGCCCATTGCTGCTCTGGCCGTTATCAAAGCTGGCGCGGGCTGCATAGCAATGGATGCCACCCAACCACTGAGTCGCCTCCAAAGCATTGTGTCGCAATCACAAGCTCCGTTGATGTTGATATCAGCGGCAAATATGAATCTTGCAGATTCGTTTGCAGGAACCTCCAAAGTGACTGTCAGCTCGGATGCTAGTTGGCCTTTTACAGAATCAGCCTCTCACCCTGTGATTAGCCCGGATGACGTGGTCTATGTCAACTTTACGTCTGGCAGCACGGGTATCCCCAAAGGAGCTGTGAATACACATCGTGGATTTGCATCGGCAATCAAACATCAGCAAGAGTATCTGGGATACCGAGATACATCGCGCGTCTTTGATTTCTCGTCGTACGCCTTTGACGTGGTATGGTGCAACATGTTGCATAGTTTCACATCGGGAGCCTGTCTCTGCATTCCGTCTCAACAAGAGCGGGATAATGACTTGAGCGGATCTTTGCACAAGTACAAGGCCACTAGTATTGACCTTACGCCAACAGTTGCGCGAATGCTCGGCAAAAAGGTTCTGTCCCAGCTGTCGACGCTAATTCTCGGTGGTGAAGCCGTCTTGCCAGAGGATGTCAATCTAGCAGGCAAGAACACGGAGATTGTTAATGTCTACGGGCCGGCTGAATGCTCTGCTACAGCTACCATGCAGAAGATTACCAGCAAAGACATTTCTATAGGTACAGGTGCTGGCGCTTGTACCTGGGTGATTGACCCCGATACCCTGGAGCCGTCTCCGATAGGAGGCATTGGTGAGCTTTGGCTAGAAGGGCCGATAGTCGGGCTTGGATATATCAACAATGCCGAAAAGACCAAAGAGGCATTCGTCAAGGATCCAGCTTGGCTTGCCCGCGGTATTCCTGGGCGGCCTGGGCGGAAAGGCGTACAAGGACGTACTGGCACGCTTTATCGCACCGGTGACTTGGTGTATTATAAAGACGACGGTACGCTCATGTTTGTTGGTCGAAAGGATTTTCAAGTCAAGATTCGTGGGCAGCGACTTGAACTTGGAGAGGTTGAGCAGCATTTGCTTAGTCTTTTGCTCGCTGAACTCGAGCCTCGTGTCGTAGCCGAGACAATTCAGCTACCAGGCGCGAATAGCAAAACCTTAATAAGCTTTATTAGCTTGGGTAACAAGGAAAACGAAACAGAAGCCGAGCACGCCCTTCGAGTAGCAAGCATCACGGAAGATCTAATGAATCGCTTGACGGCAGCCGTTCCAGCATACATGATACCTACCGTCTTTATTCCTGTTCTCCAGCTACCCATTACAGGTACTGGAAAGATTGATCGAAAGGCCCTTCAAAAGCTGGGAGTGGCGGAATATCAAAAGTACAGAATGTGTGAGAACGTGGTGCAGCAAGAGGAAGTTCTCAGCAGCACTGAGCAGATCATCAAAAAGGTATGGATGTCAGTCCTGAACCTCTCTGATACAGAGCTGGGCGTGACTCGCTCCTTTACAAGATTGGGCGGTGATTCCATTACTGCCATGCAGATTGTGTCGCAGTGCAAACTTCACAACATCGCATTCACTGTTAGTGATCTTCTTGAGTCTGCCACGATTCGGCGGCTAGCAGCACGCTGCTCAACGGTGTCGTCCCAAGATACCACAGAGAGCAGTGAAACAGAAGATGATGATGGAAACAACAAGCATGAGCCCTTCCATTTATCTCCCATCCAGCAAGTATTCTTTGAAACGTATCCAGATGGTCTCAACCATTGGAATCAGAGCTTTGCCTTGGAACTCACCCGCCAAGTCCCTCCCGCACATTTACAAGAAGCATTAACAGCTATTGTCGAAAGACACGATATGTTGCGATGTAGGTTCCTCAGAGACAGCGATTCTGGCCAATGGTCACAAGCAATCACAAACAAGGCCACGCAAGACTGCTTCACATTCATGGTCCATGTTGTTCAAGATAGAGCTCGAGTGTCTGAAATTGGTCAATTTCGACAAAAAGCACTAGATTTGCAAAACGGACCCATATTTGCATGTGATTTGTTCGATATTATTGGAGAGAATCAAGTCATGATACTCTCCTGCCACCATGCAGTGATTGATCTTGTCTCGTGGCGTATCATCTGGGGCGATATCGAAGACTACATCACCACTAAGAGTCTGCAGACGCTCCCAACCTGCTCTTTTAGAAAGTGGTGTCGCCAGCAGAGTCGTGTTGGAGCCCAGCTCTCTCCTCTTGATGTTCTTCCATATGCTGTTCCAGAACCCCCAGTTGGTTTTTGGGGCATCTCGGACGCTGAGAATACATCTCTAAACACTACTACTCTTCATCAGTCATTCGGCAAAGATACAACCGCTCTTCTCTTCACTGACTGCAACAATCTCTTCAATACGGAACCCATCGATATCATTGTCGGTGCACTGACGCACTCTTTTGTCAGCGTGTTTCCTGAGCGAACCATTCCAATCGTCTGGATTGAAGGCCATGGACGCGAACAACCAGATGGTCTCTCTCTTGATGTCACATCCACCGTTGGCTGGTTCACCACTCTCCATCCCCGTCCAGTTCCTATTACTCCCGCCGATTCTTTGCTCCATGCTATTCGCCTGGCCAAGGATCGAAGAAAGCAAATACCGCATAACGGGCAGCCGTACTTTTCATGCCGCTTCAACAACGAGTCCAAACACAATCCTTTTAAGAGTCATGGCGACCCTGAAATCTTGCTCAACTTTGTGGGCCAGTATCAGCAGCTCGAGGGCGAAGAGGGGCTGTTCCGACGCGCCGATGATGTTGATTTCGCTGAGATGGCGCCTTCGGCTGTTCGATCTACCATGATTGAGATAAATGCTGAAGTGGAAGAGGGACAGTTGGCCACGTCGTTTTGCTTCCACCAAAAGATGAAGCATCAGGATCGTCTAGTACAATGGGCGGATGTCTTCCAGCAAAGTATGCAGACGGCAGCGGAACAGCTACAGCAATCACGGGTATCGTTTACGCTGACCGATCTACCGCTGCTGTCCCTGACATATGATACCTTGGACTTGCTTGTAAGCAACGAGCTGGCCAGTCTGGATATTGATACCCGAAATGTTGTCGATATTTACCCATGCACCGCATTACAAAGCGGAATATTGCTCAGTACGCAAAGGGATAAATCTTTATACTCGACAAGCTCAGTATACAAGTGCATCCCCAATGTTGGCGAGTCCATCTGTCCACAGAGGCTCGAGAATGCATGGCGAGAAACTGTTAGCCGACACACATCGCTGCAAACTGTATTTGGTCTGCATCCAGATGGTGACAGTTTTATCCAAATTCTGCTATCCAACGTCAGGCCTCGAACTACAATCATCTCATGCCACGATGAGGTACCGTCGCAGGTTCTTGAGAGACTAGAGGCGCCCGTCTTTCGTGCAAACGAACCCCAGCATGCTTTGTTTATTGCGCAGTCTAGCAACGGCGAGATTTCTATGCGTCTTGATGCAAGCCACAGCCTCATTGACGCATCAAGCATAGCGCTGTTGCTTCAAGATATCTGCACTATCTACGACGCACGTCCGCCGGATCAAACAAGTCCTTTCTGCGACCTGATTCGGCACATTGAAAGCACTGCTAAATCTCAAAAGCTCGCCGCATGGGAGAAGCTTCTTAGTGGTGTAAAACCGTGTATTGTTCGAGACACCACCACCGCCTTACCTGCGCCTTCACCTGATGCACCCATCTGTCACGACAGTGTATCTTTGCCAACCTCTGTCTTTGACAGCGTTCCTCAATTCTGTCGAGACATGGGCATCACAAAGTCTGTTTTGCTCCACGTTGCATGGGCAATGGCACTGTCTCAGTTCACAGGAAGCTCCGATGTCTGCTTTGCATATCTTGTTAGTGGCCGTGATGCTCCTCTTCAGAATGTCGACGCCATGGTTGGCCCGTTTGCTAATTTACTCATCGGCCGAGTTGAGTTAAAAAAGCCTGCTGCACAGGTGCTGGCTCAGGTATCCAGCGATAGCATTCAACATATGCGCATCCAGCACGTTTCGTTGGCAGAGCTTCAGCATCGGCTGGGTATTTCTGGACGCATGCTCAACACGGCCATTTCTCTTCGAGGTAGCGAAAAACAGAAGAATGAAAAAGATGCTAGCTTCCGCTTTGAAGCTACGGAAGAAGATGACCCGCATGAATTCGATCTCGACTTGACGGCCAACGTTGACGGAGATGTTATGCATGCAGCTGTAAGCTACAGAACGGGGTTCATTTCCAGACAGACTGCTGAGGCATTTGCCGAGACCTTGGCTGAAGCTGTGAGCTGTCTTGTTACATCTCAGACTACGGTCTCTGATGCAGCCCCTGACATTCCTTTATTTGATCACTTCTTTGAGCGCAGCTATGGCGTTCGACAGTCGGCTATACGAGAATATTGGCAGCGTCAATTGCTGCAGGTGGAAGCTGAGCCCTTTCCAGCTATTCCCCAAGGTTATTCACCCGTGCTGAACAGCGAAACTTTGTCTTCACTTCCATCAATCAACACAACCCTGTCTTATAAGCCTGCCACTCTCATGTCAGCCGCATGGTTTATCCTGCAAAGCCAAATGACAGGCACACAAGACTGTTGTTTCGGTGTACACAATTCTTTCATCTCTTCAACACTGCCGGTGCGATTTACATTGGGCAAATCAATCACTGTAGGGTCTCTCTTGGACACAATCGAGACAGAGCAGGATGAACTGGCATTATTTCAAAAGACTCCTCTCTGGTTCATTCAATCCATTAGCCCAGATGCGTCCCAAGCAACCTCTTTTAGAGTCATTCTCAGGGAATCTGGGTCTCACGAACAGGCAAAGCAGTCTCATCAGTCACCCGCTTTGGCTATTGAATATCAAAATGTGCATGGCGCGCTAGATTTCAAGATTCGATATGATGACAGCGTTATAACTGGTGTCCAAGCTCAACGTCTGGCTGCTCTCCTTCAGCACCTTGTCCACCAGCTTCTTCAAAGCAGTTCACACCAGCACCTTGTTGCGTCGCTGGAGACTCTATCCCAAGGCGACATGGACGATATATGGTCTTGGAATGGCACACTACCAACTGCCAAACCTGCATGCCTGCATACTCTCATTTCTGACATGGCTCATACCCAGCCAGACGCACACGCTGTAAATGGATGGGATGGCAACCTTACATATCAGGAGCTAGACGACTTGTCCTCTACACTGGCCGCACAGCTGCAGGAGAGAGGTGTCTGCAAAGGACTTATTGTCCCTTTGATCTTTGAGAAATCAATATGGACACCTGTCGCTGCCCTTGCAGTCATCAAGACAGGAGCTGCGGTTGTTGCAACCGATCCCACGACGCAGCCTAGAGAGAGGCTTTGCACAATTCTAGCCCAGACAGACGCCAGGATCTGCCTCTCATCGCACTCACAAGCTTCTGTAGCACAAGCTATATGTCAAGAAGTTGTACTTGTTGGCTCGGATCTCATTAGTCACTCTCCCAGTAGCTTCGTTCCTCCCAACATTCATCCCGATGACCTCCTCTACATCAACTTTACCTCTGGGTCGACTGGGGTTCCCAAAGGCGCCATGATTTCTCACAGCAACTTTGCTTCAGCCATCTTTTACCAGCGAGATGTCCTCGGATATTTCAAAGAGGCCCGGGTGCTGGACTTTGCATCGTACGCCTTTGACGTGTGGTGGTCCAACCTGTTCAACACGCTAACTGTAGGCGGATGCCTGTGCACTCCGTCCGCAGAAGAGAGACAAAACGAGCTGGCTACCATTATTGAGAAGTACGATGTCACTCTAGCGGACATTACGCCTACTACTGCTCGCCTAATTCCTGACCTTGGCCGCCTATCTTCTCTCCTACTAGGCGGAGAGGTTGTGTTAGGAAGCGACGCAGCCTTGGCTTCGTCGAAGACATATGTGACCAACTCTTATGGTCCTGCAGAATGTACTCCAGTGTCCACAGCCATCGACATGGCTTTGAACGAGCCCGGCATTGGCCGCGGATACGGAGCCTGCACATGGATCGTAGATGCCGAAGATCCAACCAAGCTGGCGCCCATTGGAGCTCCTGGTGAGCTTTGGTTGGAAGGCCCAATTGTAGGCTTGGGATATCTCGCCGATGCAGAAAAGACTGCAAACTCATTCGTCGATGGCCCCGTCTGGCTCACCAGCGGAAGTGGCCATGTCCCTGGACGAACTGGCCGCCTCTATCGCACTGGTGATCTCGTGCGCTACAGCGACACAGGGTCTATCCTCTTTCTTGGCCGCAAAGACACTCAAGTCAAGCTCCGTGGTCAGCGCATCGAGCTGGAAGAAATTGAACATGCTGTCTGCAAAGCTCTTAAGACGGTGACTGGTTCTCAACCACAGGTTGTCGCGGAAGTGATTGAGCGAAAGGATTCTGGGAACAAGTTACTGGTGACATTCGTCTCCCTGGATTCGAATCCCACAGGCTTAAGCACAGACGAATACCACGACCAGCGCGTGAAGACAGCCACAAGTGGCCTGCAGGACAAGTTGAAAGACTTGCTGCCTATTTACGCAGTGCCCTCCATCTTCGTTCCTACGCGGGTTATTCCTCTTACGCCGACCAACAAGGTCGACCGCCGCAAGCTTCGATCAATGGCAGCACAGCTATCGTCCGAGGAAATTACACTACTGAGTCGCGTTGACGGTGTGACTATTGAGCCGCGGACAGACGAGGAGACAATGCTTCGAAAGATGTGGGCGCAGGCGCTGCGCATAGATGAGACGAGTATTAGCGTTGATGACGGATTTTTCCGAGTTGGAGGCGATTCCATTGGTGCAATGAAGCTTGTTGCGCTGGCGAGGAAGAAGGGAATAACGTGTTTGACTGTTAAAGATGTCTTTTTGCATCCTGTTTTGCAGGATATGGCGTTGCTGTGCATTTGATTTTGGTTTAAAATTGATATCATCTACGAGTTGTCTGCATTGGGTAGCGTTATCATTTATTAGCTTTTCACTATATATTTTGCATGTTCTTCCAACTTGAATAGTCTTCATTCCAATTTAATCCCTATTTACTTGAACCTTGTCAAACCAAATATACTCCTCCAGTCGTGTCTCGAAATGAATCCCCAGCCGCACGCTTTTTCCGTTCACCAGCTTGAATTCCGCCTTGACATAAAAGTCCTCCTGATCAGCCAAGATGTGTGCACACGCAATAAACTTGGTATTGTGTGCCACGTGCATGAACCGAATGTCCATAGCCATCGCTCTGTCTCGCGCATTAATAAATAGTGCACCATCCTTTGCTTCCACCTTTAGATGGTGATATCCGTCGTGCAGGTAGAATCCCGTGTAAGCGGATAGCGGCATTGCCAAAGCCTCTGGCTTTTCCAATCCTGGACACAGCTCTAGTTGCAATTCTCGAATCTCTTCTTCATCGTCAGAGTCCGAACTCGAGTCACTATCGTCGTCACTGTCTTCCTCGCTGCTATCACTCCACATGAATTCAGCATCTCGACCAGGTGTTGTCCTCATCGCTTCGTCAATGAGCCGGTACGTCAGCCCACTAATCACTAAATCGCCGCAGTCCGAGTTTGCAAACATGGCGCCTCCGAATTTAAACTCGGGTACAAAGAAATGGTTGGACTGGAATCCAGCTTCAGTTCCGCGGTGCATAATCACCGTCACGCCGCAATAATCAACAACATCCCAGCCCAGTGCCGCAAAAGGTGCGCTAGAGCGCTCGTCCTCTGCCTCTTGTCTGATCCGCGGTGCGGTAAGTTGCGCAACCAAGTCTTTGGAAAATGGGGCCTCTGCATGCATCAATGCTTTAATCCATCTACCAATGTCGTTCACGGTAGACATGGTTTGTCCGCAACCTTGCGCATCTGGGCACTCGGTCGGATATACTGGTATCACGTCGTCGTCGAGCAAGCTGTATCCAACCGCCAGTCTGTCTTGCTGGCCGCGCTCTTTGACTGTGGAGAGAAGCTGGCAGGTAGAATGCATTTGGAGAGGCTGGTACATGTACTTCTGCATCGCCTGTTCAAATGAGAGTCCACGTTTGACTTGCACCACATAGCTCGCCGCAGAGTACATGATGTTGGAGTAGATAAACTGACTTCTGTTTTCTGCTGCTGGCTGAAGGTTGCGTAGATTTCTCGTCAGAGATCTAGCATTATCTCGCGTCTTGGATTTGGCGCCCAAGATGGAAAACTCGTGCCTACAACCACGTTAGCTACCGCTTGTTGCCGACCAACAAGGCCAAAGACTTACGCAGGCATTCCGGTACGATGGCAGAGCACGTCTTCCAAGGTTACATCATCATGCTTGCCACCCTGGATTACAAAATCATCTGGCAAGATTTTCCTCATTTGCGCCGTCCACTGGACATCGGGCAAAGCCTGGTCCGCAACAAGCAGTCCGACAGCCGCCGCCGTGAGCGCTTTAGCGATTGATCCAACCGGCATAATGGTATCTGTTGTGAATTCTCTTTTCGGGTCCAGTGTTGCGCTTCCAAAAGCGTTTGAAGTCACTCTTCCATCTTGAACAAGAGCCAGAGCAAAGCCAGGCACGCGATGCCGCTGCATTAGCGCTTGGACATGGCGACCAAAGCCGGCCGACTCGAGATTGGTAAACATGTCGGTTGATGCTATAAACTTGAATTTTACATGAATAATATGGACGGGGTGAGCACGACGTTTTATGCGAAACACCGTTTATACGGGAGGCAGCAACGCCCACCACGATCTAGAACTCGATCAGCCACCCGCCCGGCTAAAGCCATGCAGGGCCATACAATCTACACGGGGATCCATTGCGTAATCGAAGTTGATTTCCATTGGCGTCATTGCCATCCCGGCAATGCACTGTTTAGCCTTAATTATAGTACTACATCATGTGCGCCTCAGCTCGTCAGCATGACCCGGATGTAGTGTTATTGCTAAGTTTTTTGAGGCATTCAGTACACGCATTGCACTTTTCTAAAGCATGCTCTAGTTGCTTCTTGGCAAAGATTGATCGGCATAAATCGCCCGAAGTTGTGCTCCTCCCCAGGTATTAAATTAGCTTGGACAAAAGTTAATCTTATAACTTCTAACAATTTTGCCACCTTTACTTACTACTGAGCTCTTTCTTTAATATGTAATAAATAGCTCCTGAAAGACAAGACTTAGATACTAGCGTCAGTGGTTGTGTATGCTATAAGTTAATAGTGCGGTTTTTGTTCAGCGATAACTTGGACAATTTCGACGCTTTAACAGAGCTAATCCAACGAGGTTTTTATATAATATTATGTTTTCTACAGATTATTAGCATAGCTTATTAGACGCCGACAGGTTCGTCTTATATATCTGGTAATTCCGTATTGTTGGCATCAGTGACCCGATCATTCCTGACAATCTGAGCATCGATTCTGATCATATAATTAGTTGCTTCTTATGGGCAATTTATTTATTGCTATATACCATGCCATACCCTGCAACAGCTAAACCTCCGAAAAGATACAATAACCCCTATTTCTATTGTCGGTTATTGTTGTTAAATTTTATTCTTGTCCGAAATCTTGTTTTCAGAAGCAGGCCTTGGGCGGGCGCAAGCGCTATTAATCCTTATGTCGTGTGCGCCACCCTATATCTACAGACAATCTTTAGATACTCGCAATCCGCGCGTTTCTGCTTTGTCGCTTTGGCTCTTTCTGCGATAGATATTTCCGGTATATAAATAGTACTAATATAGAACTTATTATTAGAAATAAACTGAAGCACCGGTTGCAACTTTTCACACAGTTACCAGGACATTTGTAATAGCAAAAGCCCAACATTGTCTTCTCTAGAATAATACTCCGGAGGCATATATAAGCTACTCCATCACTGGGCGATGTATTTAGAAGCTGTATGTTTTATAGTGGATATAAATATTCTAATATTTACTACCAATAATTTATAGAACTGCATACGAAAACTATTGAGCCCACCGCACTTAAGGATTTCATACATTGCACTTTCTGTGATGACGGCGTCGTTTTTCGGGCGCCAACAACGCCGCAATCCATGTAGAGGCAGAAACCAAGCTACTGGCCCTTAGACTCCAACCAGTGCTGGTGGTTTGTCTGTGGTTGTTTGTGTTTTCCAACCAAGACATCTTCCAGGATGCCATCCAGAGAGTAAAAGTGCTGCAAGTGCTACCGGTGCAAACTCGAGACAAGCAAAGTAAACTTCATGGGTTTGCAAGGAGCCGAATAACCCCTGTCCTGTTTCTGCCAGACGAAACACAGTTCGCAGAAAGATCAGGGCAGTGGATATCACACACACAAATATAAAAGCCAATAGTCCCTCCCTCTTAATGACTCTGCCTGCCCGAGCAATAAACATTCCGGCAATGCCGATGAATGCAGTCATGCAAAAGACTTGATAGGCGAGGCCCGCTAGTAGAATGTTGTTAGCCACCGTAGGATCCTGTCGGGCCGCCGATCTCCTGCCAACGAGCGCAGCGCCAGCTACCTGCACAATGGTAGCCACAACGTCCGAGCTTATAAAGAACCAGAGAATGACACGAGGTGGCAGAGCTGAGTACTCTCTACCGAGGTGGTTGATGAGCGTCGAGAGGATAGTGTAGATGCTTGCTGACATGACAACAGGCGCGGTTACGATGAAGAAGTAGTTGATGATGTAGTATATGAGGTTGTACGGATCCGACTTCGAAGAGAGGCATCGTGCAATGTAGCCGACGACCTCGAGAGCGAGTCCGATGGTGAATGGTATAAACCACCAGCTACGGTAGCGGATCGCCTCGGTGCAATGCACGACGAACGCAGCGGAGAACCAGACTGCAGCAAACACGGCGAGAGCAAAGGATGGTGTATAGCCGTAGATGATGATGGGCGTATCCATGGGGCCGTCAGGGTTAGGGAAGTTGGGGTCCCTGTAGCCTGGTACTTGGTCTTATTTGAGGAATCAGAATATGTTCGTTGAGATGAGATATGTTGTTGGACTTACCAGATGTGGCCTGAGTCATCTTTGTGGTTGGAAGTGGTCGTGAACGGCTTGGACAGTAAAAACAATTATCGGAATATGGCACCCTGGTAATGATTGCAGCGTGTTTTAGGTACTTCTAAATGAATAGCCTTTGAAATTGCAAAATGCTGTGGTCGACGAGCACGGTCAGCGACTATATATAGCCAAGGCCCGACGAACAGACGGCGTAATATGCCAAATGAGGTTTGAAGTCGCGCCAAGACTCGATACTGAAGCGCCTAAAAACCGAAGTCGATGGCATGCTTATTATTCTTATTTCCAAGCCATAATGCGTTCCCTAGTGATAAACTAAACCGTTTTAGGGAGGATTCTGCGCTACTAAATCTGTGATTGGTTCGCTAACATGCACTTTTTTCAGCCGCGTTTTAGTTCTTTCAGCCTTTCAGCCTCTGGTATCTATCGTCGGCGAGAATACGATTTAACAGTGGCTTGGCCCTGGGCAACTCAACGGCGCCCTCTGCCTCTTACAAGCTGACGTTTCTCCATCCCCATTACGCGTCATTAGAGCGCTGCGCTTTACAATGTTATATATGACCCGACCCATTTGTGGAATCATTATGCGCTGATTCATATGTAATTTCCTCGTCAAAGAGACTTCTTGTCTAGTCTATTATCGTGTCGCGCAATCGAGGCGTTACGAATCACCATGGTCGGTGTCCCCAGATCGAAAGGCTGCCTCACCTGCCGGACACGGAAGAAAGGGGTAAGTGGGATAATTTCTTATGGTCAATTACTCTGTCAGACACTGATTGATTTGGCAACATAGTGCGACAAGGCTATTCCTACTTGCTCCCAATGTCGCAAGGCCGGACTCCAATGTGCCGGGTATTCAAGACAACCTGTCTTTGTGCACGCTACAGCAACAAATAATGGGACACTCTCTAAAGTTGACGCAGCGGCGCGGCCGTGGTCATCTAAATATACAAAGCACGCAAATCGCCCTTTGCGTATCACTCCACCCGACGCGCTCGTCAGGACGGCCAGAGAGCAGCTCTACACAGCCTACCTCTGGCACACCATGACCCCGAAGCATCAAGGGCCCTACAACGAGCTATCTAAGCAGCCAGGAGCTAGCTGGGCACGAGCAATATCCGAGGGTTGCGTAACAGAGCCGTCTCTGCGATTCATCGCCATGGCTTGGGCAATGGGGTGCATGGCTGTGGACAACGACGACAAGCAAATGCGCATCAAGAGTTTCCAGACTTACAATTCAGCGGTACGCCAGCTTAGCCTGGCATTGCGTCACGATGGTTCTTTCACCCGTGATGGGCTAATTATGGCGTCTGGTCTAATGGCATCCTTTGAAGTAAATTTGTCATACTGCGAAAGCTATCTCCAAGCGCCAGCTAACATATTTTCTTTTATAGATGATTTTTAATACGGCCGAAGAGCCACGAGTGCTTGCTTGGGGGGGCCATAGCCATGGACAGCTTGCCATGTTTCTCATTAGAGGCCCTGCCGCCTTCACCTCTGGCGACGCACATCAGCTTTTCGTCGATAGCCGGATCAATATGGTATGCTAGTATAAAAGCTCGTGACATCTGCAATCTACTAATCCATTTTGTTGTACTTAGGCAATGTTGGGTATTGGTCAAAGAAAGACATCACCCATCAGTAGCGTCGAATGGAAATCCGTACCCTGGATGGTAGAGCCGAAATCAGCGAGGGACAAGCTCATCGATGCCATGCTCGACATTCCTGCTCTCTTGGAACAATTGACCGATTTTCGCAGCTGTGCTGCCAGGTGTGGCGGCAGAAAGCTCCGAGCCGGCTATGCAGCCATCGACATGGCGCTGCAATCGTGGGTCAACGAGATGGGCTCGCAGATTCAGACCTTTGACTATACAGTTACTGGACGCCCAGTGCCAGCTCCTAAAACGGATGCAGAGTTCACATTACTCAATCTCTCCATCATTTACTGGTTTCTTAACATGATGCTGCTCTCCATCAAAGCTTCCGTGCTAGAGATATCCGGCAGCGGCGCACACGAAACGCTGAACTCACTTAGAACAGTCGCAAAAAAGTGTTCAAGCGCACTACTGCTCTTATTCGGCGAATCGAGCGGCCTGAGCCAGAATATAACAGGCCTGCTGTCACTGAGCATCGCTCTGCGCTACTTCCTCGTGGCAGACAAGTCAGAACAACAAAGTGAAGAGTTCCTAGCACTCAGAGCACTGCTGGGTAGAGAATTAGCTGGTACTAGCGTTCGGCAACTTGTTACGCGTATGGGACGCGGCATTGATCCTCTTGAATGGGGTCGCGCTGGCGCCGATGATGCCGTAGACATCACTGGATGGTTTTAGTTTTGTTATATACTAAAAAGTCCTATCTTCCGGTACATACAACCATAGGCACAGTACAATTCGGGACTTAGTAGCCGTAAGCTTTAGCGTATAGCTCGAAGGCTTCCACACATTGAAGCTCATTGAGAAACTGTGCTATATGCTCCTTCCCCCACTCTGATCTAAGATCAGCTGTATATTCAGCTTTACAAAATTCCCAGTAATCAGGATACCATCCAGACTCTTGCTAGTCTATTATCGAAATGATACGATGTGGCTTTTCGGGAGAGATAAGAATATTGCTGCGATGGAGATCAGAGTGTGTGAAAACGACAGCAGAATCGTCCGGCAGGGACTGTCGGTATGGGTCGGGTATTTCGCTTGGGTCGATACCAGACCAGTGCTGCTCTTTTCTCCTTATTACCATTGAAGAACGCCAATCATGAAAATAAGAGAAAAGAGAAAAAAATAAGAAGATTCCTAGTTAACTAAGTTACACTATACAAATCGCCACTTTACAGCGCTATAAGTTAGTCAATATATTTTTGTATGTAATTGGACGTAATTCCCGAGGTCAGCCTCAGTGGACTTTGCTAAGAGTGCGCTATTCGATGGATAACGCCACCTGCTAGTCATGGTTTGATAAGCATTACGGTATTAGGGTACGTTTAGGCTACTTAAAGCACCACTCAAACTCTAAATATCCCATTCTGCTACCTCAGCCGGCTTTGCATGCGCAAATTGGACGACTACACGAATTGCATTGCTTCCAATCATAGTTGGTGGAAAGTTTCAATCTACGCAGCAGTTCTTATAAACGTTTGACACTCGCCATGGCTAAGCCTGGCGGCAGTCGGCCTACATATGATACTAATCTGGAAAACCCGCCCCATGCAGACGATCTTCAACGCGACGACACACAACGCAGCGCAGATGCAAATATCGTGCCATTCGTTGGTAGATTGGGAGGCAATGGAGTTGACATTGTGTCACGCAATGCCTCCAACGAGACACTGCTAAAAGACGTGCCGGACGCGGCGCCCTTAATGAGTCTGCAGGATCAATTCAGCCTTCGACCATTTTGGACAATTGGGCTGTGGAAGTCTGCCTTGATGGAGGGCGTCGGAACACTCATGATTGTCTGGGTCACAATTTACGCTAACAGCTCTCCCGCAGTCATTCCGGAGCAGCCAACAGCTCGCTGGGGCCCCTTTGACAACGCCGCCTTCATAGGACCGCTAGTTGGTGGTATCCTTAACTTCTTCTACCTGAGCTTGTCCATCTTCTGCTTTGGTGGTGTCAGCGGGGCGCACTTGAATCCCACCATTACAATCGCCACGTTTATCGCGCGTCTTTGCTCGCTCCCACGAGCGGTTTTATATGTGTTGTTTCAAACGGCTGGAGGAGCTTTAGGCGGTCTCTTGGCTCGGTCAGCTCTTGGGACACGCGATTTTAAAACTGGGGGATGCTGGCTATATCCAGATCTTGTACCGATTCAGGATGCTTTCACCGTCGAGTTTATGACTTGTCTCCTCCTGCTCTTCTTCGCCTTTGGCACGGGACTTGACCCGAGACAAAAGGAAATAGTCGGGCCGACACTAGGTCCTTTCTTGGTCGGTATGTCAGCTGCTAGTCTCACATTCGGCACAGGATTTGTACGATATGGATACGGCGGTGCCAGCTTGAACCCGGCTAGATGCCTGGGATCATTCGTTGGAGGTCGCTTTTCAAGCTACCACTGGATGCACTGGTAAGTCATACAACTAGGCAAGTGGCGTGTGAAGCTAATTGGAACTAGGGTTGCCGATATTGCTGCTTGTACTATTCATGGTGTCTTGTATCATATAGTTCCGCCTTGGAAGGGCCCGCCTACGTGATTGCTTCAAGAATGGACGGTTGCTCTGTACCAAAGTTTGTAAAGTTTCAGGGGAGACGATAATTAGGTGCGAAAGCAACTGTCTTATAACAAAAATAGATCGTTACTTAACTGAATATGGGTTAATTGGCACTGAAACGAGCACAGCAAACCTTAATAGTACCCAAAGTCCGTTTCATGAGACAACTGCAGTATTATAAACGCGCAGTCAAATAAATTACAGAGCGCTGAAGCTGCGCGAGACGACAGACAGGAGTACAGGAGTACGGGTTGAGCTCAATACAGAATTCAACTATGCTCGCTTTCATGCTATCGTACCGAATCATAATCGCACAGTCCCAGAAGGTAGTAGTCTTGTAGGGGAAGGTTTTAGACAGAAATGTATTTTATAAATCCTATAATATTATAAGTCTACAGCAAAACGTTCCCGGAGCCATCCCCCATAGCGGTAAATCAACATGGGGGCGGGAACAAAAGCCAAAGCCATGAATCCCAGCACACTGTTCCCCCAGCCCAGTCCTAAATTATCATATAGAGATGGCCCTGCTAATGGAAGAAATGCAGCAAAAAGAAGCCGAACAACCACATTCGCTGCCAAAGCAGATGCTGCAGCTTCGGGGCCAAACGCCTCTACTGAGTAGACCTGAATAGGCATCAAGATCCACAGGATACTGAACCCAAAAAAGAAAGTGCCCAGGATAGGTACTATCCAATGTACCTGCGTCTCGACAGCCCAACCATACCAGAAGATACCAATAGGCACCACCGGCATTGCCCACATCATTGGTTTAAGTCGTTCTTCAGGTTTAGGTGAATCTCCAAGCCTCATATGAAGCCTATCACTCACAGTGGCAAATGTTGCGAGAGAGGAAGTCATTCCAATACCGATGCCAAGATATGCTAACCCAGACATGCCAGCAGAGAAGTGATATTGCTCTTTGAACACAGTCGGAAATGTTGTAAACAATAAGAAGTTGAGCCCAAAGACGAAGGCGCACAAGAGAGAGAGAAGAAGTACGATGGGAGAAAGAAACAGAAGCTTCGTTGGTCGAACAATGGCGCGCAGGAAGAGCTGTCGAGGAGCCAGTCCCCGATCCATTTTAGAAACCAGAGCAGTGTTCCCGGTTTCCTTCCTGAGACGGGCGGCTTTCCGTGCTAGTAGTACAGCGGCATTGGTCTCACGCATGAATACCATTGATACAAGGAATGATACTACTGCCTGGGTGACCTGTCAGCTATCTTGCAAATTGGGCCTTGGCCTTGTTGACGTACCAAAATTGTGATGATCCAAAACGTCCATCGCCAACCAATGGATTGAGACACAAAGCCTCCAATAATTGGGCCCATGACCTTGAACAACTGTTAGTGTCATAACTCTGTAGCAACTGCAACTTGAACGTACTGGTCCCAAAAGTGGCCCAACAAGAAATAGAGACATTGCCCTGCCGCGCTGAGCTGGAGGGACAACGTCAGCGACAGTTCCCCCACCGACTGTCAATGGGCCTGAGGAAGCACAGCCAGCAAGAAAGCGAAAAGTGAGAAACATCCCAGTGGTTGTACTAAGAGCACAGCCTATGATGAAGCCAATATAGAACACGTAGCAGGTATGGTAGATGATGAGACGTCCGTATAGTTCGGATAGCGGTGCAATAACCATGGGACCAATGGCAAAACCACAGAGATATATAGACACGGCGAGTGTGACAACCGTAACACTGGTGATATGGAACTCCTCAGCAAGAGCGGCTGCTCCAGGTGCAAACATTGTCGCTGCAAGATTGCTGCTATTGTCAGTACAAGTACGTATTCATGAGACAGGTCAGGTCAACTTACGCCGTAAGCAAGAAAGAACTAGCAAGAATAACCTGGATCATGCGTTTCCATCTCGGCCAGTTCATTGGATTTTGAGCGTCGTTTGGCCCATCCCAATCAACAATGTTGCGTTTCGATTCTTGCTCTACTGTTTGATCAGGCCGGTTACCATGTTCTTCGAGAGTACTACCTTCTGATCCCGTAGCCTTTTCAAGAGCCGATTCTGGATTTGCTGTCATAATGACTGTGGCGCCGGCTTGCATCAACAGGTGTCTATATGCTGAGCAGACAGGTGGCTGATGACTACAAAACTGAAATGCTTATTTTGAGTATTTAAATATCAGGAAAACAACGGAAAATTCCGGACTTAAATTTCTTGGATTGTCTTAAATCCAGAACGCTAGGAAATGGTATTCCAATAGTCAGACTACGAGCAATTCATAATAAAGATCGATTGCGTATTAGCGTGGGGATAACGCGGGGGATCGACGCGGAGGGTCGGAGGGTCGCTGTTATCTCCGTGGCCCCTTGGTGTATCTAAAAGAGGTTCATAAAGCTGTCTGATAATTGTGTATTAAACATATTGCAGAGTAAATCTTATCATCGCGGTAAGCTGTCGCGGATCATCATGGCCAACAATGCGCATCGTCCGCGCCCACCACCGAACCGGCGCAGAGACAAGGCCCAGCTTTCCTGTGATCCATGCAGAAACAGAAAGTAAGTATTGAATAGCAGTCGCATCGTTATGTATACTCACAGTTCACTAGGCTGAAATGCGACCGTCAACTGCCATGTGGAACTTGTTCCAGACGAGGGCGTACTAGCTCCTGCAATTATGTGACAACGCCTTCATCTGCGCCCAGTCACCCGCATACAGCTACCCAGCAACAGTCCGGTGGGCTTCAAAGTAGAATCTCTGAACTGGAGAACTTGGTAGTTACACTGATGAACCGACAGTCTCTTCCTAATCCAGCACTGACATCACCGAATCCATGCGCGCCACCATCCGGATACATGGCCACTCCTGCGTCGGACCAAGAGAAACCTACCGAACGGGAAACATCATCCGTAGATCCTGGTACACTGAGGGTACATCAGGCCGGAACGTTCTATATGGAAAGTGGACATTGGGAGGATATTCTTACAAAAATCAGGGGGCTCACAGAAGACTTCGTGCCTGACAAGGTTCTACCCGGGTCTCATTTAATCTATGGCCCAAATCACCATTCAAATCGAGATGATATCGTGGGTGCAGTTCCTCCTCGTCCGGTTGTCGACCGTCTCATGGCACTTCATTTCGACAGCTACATCATCACCCCATGTAAGCACGACCTTGATTCCGTCTATCTTGGGCACGTATTCATTGTGACGCAGTTTTTATTCATAGCATTAAGTTTCTCCGAGAGGTAAGTTTCTTTTCCTTATCTGTGGAGGGCTCTCTAATATTCAACAAGTACGAAACGTTTTGGAAAGATTCGTCCACAACTTCTATTGCGTGGGTCGGGCTCCTGTTCTCCATGTTATATATTGCGGCACAATTGCAGACCTTCACTATGGAAATACCCGATGGACCATCTGAATCACTCAAATCGGAATATCTTACCATGAAGGATGAATTCAGAGAAAGGGCTGTCCAGTGCCTGATGCTAGCAAGATATACGAATGGCGGCCCATATATCCTCGAAACCCTCATCACAATATTAACTGGAGAATCTGTACTCTTGAAAGGCAGCGCCACAGACGGATGGCTTTCAATCAGTACAATTCTGCATCTTGCCGTACGTATGGGTTATCATCGTGACCCAGATCACTTTCTAGACATATCCCCCTTTGAAGCGGAAATGCGCAGACGCATATGGACTACCATTCTCGTGATGGACCTGACTTTGTCCTTGGACATTGGCCTCCCACGAAACGCAATAGATTCGCAATACGACACAAAACTGCCTCAGAATCTACACGACAGTGATTTCGACGAGGATACCTTAGAGATTCCTCCACCAAGACCAGAAACCGAATATACTCCAATACTTCCTCTCATTGCAAAAGGACGACTGATCGCCGTTCTTGGGTTGATTTGCAACGCCAATACCACCATCAAGCCACTTTCTTATGATGAGACTGTCAAGGTAGACAAATCTCTTCAAGACATACACAGCCATGCTATTCCGCCAATGCTGCGTTGGGATTCCGCGGCACATCCCATCACAGATCGCGCCAGTCTTATAGTTCAGAGAATAAGTCTAGAGACATCCTTTCATAAGTCGCGTATTCTCCTATATCGTAGAATCTTGAGTCGTTCTCCGGTGCACCAATTTTTGGAGCGAGAGAGGGATTCGGTGCGAAAATGCGCAGACTCGGCGCTTCATATTCTTTCTTTTCAGCAGATGCTTCATGAAGAATCACTACCGCTCGGGCGTTTGTCTCAACTGAGATGGAAGGTCGCTCATATTTTTAATCAGGATATTTTGTTGGCAACCAGTGTTTTCTGCCTCTACCTACAGGACGTGGAGGTCTTTGAATCGCCCCAGACGGGAAATCAACAGTCTTCAAGGGTAGAAGAGATTCGACGGCAATTAACAATATCACACAAGATTTGGCATCAAATGAGTACCACCTCTGCAGCTGCTACAAAAGTAGCGCAAGCGCTGGGCATTGTCCTGGGAGATACAGAAGTACCTGACGACGAAGGCACGCAGCGTGATTTGGCTGAATTCGATGCCATACCCTTGGCCGAATTTGATACGTCATTCAACAGTGAATGTAAGAGGCGCACTTCGTCGCATGTAATACAGCTGCTAATTTTGATAGATTTTGCTTCTGGATTCCATTCACCTTTAAGATATTTTGATAACGTGTTGGAGACCTGGGGAACCTGATGGTTTCCTAAATTGTGATGGGTGATTAAGAGTTTGTGATGGCTATGACATTTCGCACCACCCTCATAATATTACTGATTTAATTTCTTCTCGCTGATGAGTAAAGAATATGAAATCAATTACAAAACTAAGTAAGCATTACAAAGATGTCAGTTGTTCACTTCGACAGAGCGCATGTGGTGATGTGGCAAGCTATGCTGTTGCTAGACGCATCGAAATATTCTCAGTTCCCAGCTTCTCAGCACCTTCATACTCCTTTCTCCCCGCCATAGCAAAGAGCCTTCCTAGCGCACGCTTGGTAGTCCAGTCCTTGCTGGTCAGGGGTTCCTCAGCCACCCCATCTGCCAGAGGCGGGATCCTGTTGCTACCGTCCAACCGCTTCAGCAAAACATTATCATTGGGACGGTTGAAATAAGCAATGGAGTATCGCGTGCAATCAGCTTGCGCGCCCGGCGGGCTAAAGACACGGTGAATGTTGGAGCGCAACAAGCCGTTACTAAACTTGACCATGGCGTCGCCCATGTTGATGATTGCGTGCCCTGGCAATGGCTTTACATAGCACCACTCTGAAGACTCTCCTGGTGGCAGGATCTGAAGTCCACCAAGCTGATTAAAGAGCACCGTGATGCTGCCATAGTCAGTATGCGCACCAAGAGCAGTGCGGCGGTCGTCCACAGGCTGCGGGGGAGCTCTAATGATGCGGACTTGGTCGCCAGATGGATCACCAAAGGCGTGTAGCTTTTGAAGAGTCTCATCAGGCAGACCAAGGCTCTTATTTAGCGTCTTGAGCACCATTTGAACAATATCATTGCAGGATGCCATGATGGATCGGTAGAGATTACGATTCTCGTCGAGGATAGCGGGTGCTGGCCACCGCTTGCCAATACCGTAGATGTCATCTTTGCTAACCTGAACAGTAGTTAGCTTCGATACGTAGTCATTTATTCGGTGAAATATACGTTATAAAACTCATTCCGATCCAAATTTCCTTTATCATCAATTGGCGACGCTCCGGCATGTTTGTAGCCAAAGTAGGAGCCTATCCCAGAAAAGTCGTATTGCTTCTTCTCTGTTAAGCTCAGGTCAAACAATTTCTTCCCCACTTGATACAGAGATTCGATGTCAGACAGCACCGCGCTGTCCCAGTCAGTAAGGTCCATATAGAAGAATCCGAGATCTTCGCACGCCAGGCTCATCCGCCTTGCCTCTTCAGTGTCGCCCGACATCAACTTTGCCATTGAGATTTTCAACAACGGTGCTGTCGGTACGTCGTCTGGAAACGCGGGCAAAGCAGCGATATCCATTATGAATTTCTACTTGTGAGATGCTTTTACTGGAAAGAGTGTGGCTTACAGGAAATCCGGGGGGAGGCGGGGTTATTTGTAACACATACTGTCGGCTATTTGCGTTGGCCCGTTAGCCGATGTGATGATCGATAGGAGGGCGCAGCCTCAGTACAAGACAAATCGAGTATGAAAGTACGATTGGCCTGCTTTACGACAAGGTCAAGTTCTTGGCTTTCCTAGAGCCACTACCCTTTGCCACAGCAATTTTCCAGTGCCGGTACAGCAGCAAGATTAGTTTTAGTTTTATTCTTGGAGCAAAGGCTAAATTCAAAGTATATCAACTGTAACTCCTAATAGAATCAAACAAATCCATAAAATTTACTACTAATATATATTCATAAACGGTAACCTCCGCCTAAATATGATGAAGAATATAAAACACTACTCTATACTAATTTTGCTATTCATCCTCCGGCTCGGAGTCGTCAACGTCATCCCACTCGGAATCGCTATAGTTGCTGGAAGGGATGTAATCCCATTCTAGTCGGTCATCTATCAATCAGCTGCGTACGTCTAAGAGATGTGTTTCCGTTTAGCAACTATGTACTGTTAGCATTACTCTGATCATAGTTTGGCCTCTGGAACAACTTACAGTCTGCTAGCCAGCGCTTTACCACACGGATCTCCCATTTATGTGCTTCTCGAATAAACTGCGGCTCATCCTCTAGATTTGGCAGAGCATAGCTGTCCCAGTGATGACCTGCTCCAGTAATTAAGTAATGCGGGTTGAGGAATGCGTCCCTTGCGTTAGTTGTCCTTCGCTTTGGCGCATGTGGAGAGTGATAGCAAACGTTGACCCAAACATCTTGCTCACCATCAATATGAGCAAGGCGGTCAGCCTCGACGCTATAACCACCATAGTCATTCCATTGTGAAATATCAGGTTTGGAAGGTATACTATTATACTCTCCCTCAGGGAACGCCCAGTTGCACCATTGCTAGAAAAAAACATCAGCGCGGGTAGTTAGTGATGCAATCTGGACTCTTTCTTACCTGGGTATAATCGGCCTGCAAAACATTTGCCACTAGGGAAGGACCATCAGTGTTTGCAACCTGGTACAATCCAGATTCTGTGCAGGTAGTGTAGAGATAGCTCCTGTCGTCACCGTTTTCTGTATTTGCCCAGTACGTCGCATTTTGTGTTCCAAAGCAGGCGCTGCTTCCGATTTCCCCGCTCTTACACAGAGGTACAATATGCTTTCTGATATAGTCTGCATAGTTTCCAAGTCCAGGTAGCGGTTCACCATTCGTATACTTGGATAGCGCCAAGTCTACTGAGCGTATAGACTCGGGGGCCTCATCGTTGGTAATATTGCTGCAGAAATTGAAAATTTGGTTTGAGCTGTGCCCTGGTACCCAGTTAAGCTCTTGCCAGGTAGCGGTAGGGTAACTGTCGGGGCCTCCTAATGGAAACGCAATTGTCATGGCGAAATCGCGATGGTCTGTTAGCGCTTCGAGCCCGAAAAGTGACTTCATTTCTCTTATATCCGCGGCGCTTCCATAGTCAAAGACTTTGTCAATGGTGCTGACAATGCCGTTCAGATAGCCAATGCAGTCCTGAGGGCCATATCTAAGTAGGTTAGCATTTTACACTACCGAGATATCCGAATTATAATACCTTTGGTATTGATCATACCATTCAGCGTATGTATGCGAAGCTTTGGTAGTTGCGGAACTAGCAATGCCACCCCAGAGAACACCGTCGTCACCGCCATACTGCTTCAATGAGAAAGCTGTCTGCGCACCTGCGAGACTTCCTCCATACAAGATCCACGGGGTCTGAGGGGCATTGATAGAAGTTGAATTGACACCAGGAAACTGTGCATGCTGGGCAAAGTATGCGTTATCGGCAATGGCTATTTGAAGTCAGTAAATGTTGTTGGCAGAATGCACTTTTCCTATACTGACTTTGTTCATTAGTCAAAAAGCGCAGCTCATCAGTACTAGTTGTCGCAAAGGGAAAGCTTTCCCCGTAGTAGCGATTCTCGAGAATTACGCCCAAGCCATTTGTTCTGGACATCAAAACTTTGATGATACCGCTAGCGAGGTTACTGAAGCGGCTTTCTACTGATGTTTCACCTCCAATGTATAGAAATACTGGTCCGCCGGGCTTGTAGTAGGTACTGTCGAAGACGTATCGCTGTTTAAAGGTCGTGTTTGGGTCCGGCGCGTATCGACTGGATGAGGGGAAGTGGTTGATCTAGTGGCGTTAGATCGGGCCGTTTCACTTTTTATCTGTGGCGCTGTGCCATGCATAACGAGATCCATGCTATTACTCACCGGCATATCGATGGTATGAATCTCAAAGCCACGAGCAGCGTCTGGCACTCCTCGCGATTGCACATGGCGAGCCAAGCGTAGCTGGTTGGCGTAAACACCACCTACGCTTAGTAGAGAAGCAAGGAGTGCTAGCTGCATCTTGAACGTGCGAAATCCTCAGGTAAAGAGCAAGGCCAAAAATAAGAATAAGATGCTAGAGGCTGCGGTGTTTACAGTATCATCCCGTCCAGATTGATGCTGGGAAATGGGGCAATTGCTGTAATTAAATCAATTAGCTCAGAGTGTGCTTGGTAAACAACGACCCCGCCTAATTTAGCAAATCCCCCCATACAAACCCGGAAATGGTCGACGCTAAAAAAGTACCTTGGGACAGGGTCGCCATTCCTTTAGCATAGCCGAATACGAATCCGCTATCCAGGCCGTAAAACAGAAAGAGACCGTAGCCATAAGATAGATTATATCCCTTATCAATTATATTCATATTTGTGGTGAAAAGACACATTTTGTGTTTACCAACACCTGAGAGAAGAATGGCGAAGCTTGGTGCGTACCGTCGTCGATGTGGCGCCGGTGGCACGGCAGTCCGGCGTACGGCGAAACTTGGGGCATGATGGGGCGGGTGAGTGAGCCCGCAACTATCTCCTTGAGGACATTCTGCACCAAGGGAAGCTTTTCAAGGTCGGCATAGGAGAAGGATCGGCCACCGAAGACATTGATCTTGGAGAGATGAGACTGTTGCAGTATATTCCGTTGCAGCCCCAGCGATGTCGATCTGAATGGCAGGATGTTTTATTCCGCTGCCACTCTCTTGGACGCTTCACACTGAGTGGGTTTCTGATACCTCAACGCAATTGATGCGCAGCCTGCTGAATGCCGCATATTTCCAGTATATGGCACGCTGTGAAAGCTTGCATCAGACTATATGTCTGTATATACATGGCACATAATATGAAGACATGAAAGATCTCGTGTGAGCTGCCCCATATGTCGAATCGGCCAGGCGCGAAGCGCTCGGCGATTCGAAACTGTATTTATAGGTCAGACAACACGCTTTGCACGGCAGACAAAGGGAATGCAAGCATACCGCATAAAGAAAAACACCGCTGCTATATACACACAGTTCAAGTAGATAGTTGAGCATGTATTCAAGACCGAATCGCTGAACTCCATGCAATAGGGGAACGAATGGCGATGCACCAAGCGCAACGTACGCTCCGATTCTTACCTTGCGCCATCATAGCGTTCTAAAAACGGGTATATATATCAAAGCGGCTGTACCAGATCCCGAGGTTATAACCTAGAAGAAAGCTCATGTTAGCATTTGGCTGGGCTTGATCCGGACTAGAATGGTGTGTGTAGTAATTGAGAGTGACCAACAATAAACCAGTGAAATCTCCGCAAGGCCAGTTCACAGAAGAAGATATAATAGATGCCCGGGATGAAAGTGCCCACAGTGACGATAACAATGCCCAGCAGGTCCATTCGATGCCAGAAGTGTTCGACTTCATGGGAGTGGGGCCCAACTAGATGATAGGCAGCGCTGAAGAGTAGACAAACACTCAGCGCACCAAAAGAAGATCCCAAACATGGTATAATTAATTCTCACGACATTTGAGAATTGAGGTTGCGAGAGACCTCTCATAGCGGTCGTTGCGACGAATGGTAGCAGTACAGCGCCGACCAAGTTTGTATACACATTGCACATCTCGCTGTGCAGAAACGTCAGGCTGACAAGGATTTCCAGATAATATGGTTTTTCCCAGCGATAGCCGCTGAGAATGTATATATTGTCCCGCTGCCATTTGGCGGTCTCATGCCATGTTACTGTGAGGCCTTAAGCCTGAGATGGAGCGGCTGAGGGAGCCATGGAGTATGCCTGACCCTCTGGTATGCGACGTTTTTTAATATCCTCTTCGAACATTGTAGCCTGTCAGACAGGTTTAAAGTAGTTGTTGTAAGACCTAGGATTTGTAGCCGATAGAGAGAATTATAAGCTTTGAGGGGATCTGCTGTCACGGAGCGTACGCCCGCAGGTGACGGACACCTGACATCAGCTGTGTACGGCAACATGGCTGAGGAAATATAAGTGGGAACTTAAATCGCTTAACAAAGCTTTCGTAGCTGTCGAGAACGTCTAAATTAAGATCCGAAAGAGGTTGTATCGACATATTCTCTGAAATGAATCGAGTTGTGCAGACTGGTAACAGAATGGGGAGCAAGAGCGTGAAGAAAAGCCATGTGCGTGTACCTGAAACCTAACGCGTTGATGGTGTATTTTGTATTCCTCGCGTTACATCGGACAGCGTTGATCAAATGCGATGAAAAATATTTTGATATTTAGAAATAAACAAAACAAAACCTGGAATATTAACATTAACATTTCTTTGCCTTTCTCAAAACACTGTACTTTTTTGCACTTTGCTAAGCCTCCAACAGCGCTGGCCACCCTGTAGGTGTAAGTTTTAGCAACTGCACTGCTTGCACTACTCTGGTTGAAATTTGGTGCGTGCTCTGCCAGCTGTTCACTTTCCCACTGCACACGCAACGTCACTGAAACTGCAAAATGAAATCGACCAAATGCGACCAATCCCGTCTGTCTCGGGGCATCTCGTGGCCTCCATGGAAATCAAATCTCTCAATAGCCTTTTGCGACGAGGCCCATTGCTGAAACCCGACTGAAGAGCGCGACATGGTGTCCGTGGATCCCGTTCCCAGCAGCGTCGGGATCTTCAGGATATCGGTGGCTGCCGATCCTTCCAATTTGTTTGTCGGCGTAGTGGCGCCCGAGTCCACCTCGTCGCCCTCCTGCAGCGTTGGGATGTCGACACCGCCAACAAATGCACCAAAGCGGTATCCCACGGACGGGAGGCCCATCTGGCGGCGGCGCTGTTGACGCAGGAGAAGCCCTAGGCCAATGGTAACGCCCTGAGAAAAGGCAAGAACGCCTACAAGATTCGGGTATGTGGTTTCAACTTTGTCCAGCAAAGCAACGGTAGCATCCAGGCCTGTGCCGTTGCGGAGATAGTCGGCTGAACCGGGCCGGTTTGCCCACGAGTAATACGGACCCTCGTCCTCGAAGATTGGCAACACGTTGGGACCAGGCTCGCTCTCGTTTGGTGCATCAACGAAGATGAAATCAAAATCATCTTCAAGCTGTTGCACGACGGCCATGGCCTGGATCTCAAAGATCATGGCCGATGTACCGCGACCATGTAGACACAGAATCGCTGGCTTCATTGTGACGACGGAAAACGACGACAGGAAAACAAAAAAAGAGACGAGAGTCGGTGGCTTGCCGTGGGATCCGCAGCTCCGAAGAGTTGCTGATGCATTCCCATCATATATGCCTTTATACGAAGATCGCTATGCAATACGGCATGACAGTTTAACGAGTCACCCCTTATGGAGTTGAGCACATCTTCAGTCGATGACCGCGACTCTGTTCCGTGCAGCATCGCCCGGTATTTTGATATCTTGGCAAAACCAGCTCGTCATTTCGCTGGATTAGGCATAGCCACTGCTGGGTGCATAGCTTACTATCCAGGGCTCATGCACATCAGCTAAGAGATCCACTAACAACAACATCCGATGCGTTTTGCTTCATGCTGACGGTTTCATCGAGATATCCACTCCACGGATAACGGCATAGTGAGGCTGAAATTCACAATGAGCCGCCGGCAGGCATGGCCTGCTTAGTGGTTTGTGACGCAGTGCCGTACATGGTCCTAGTGCATGGGTAGGATGAAAGCGGGCTGTGCGAGCAAACCTCTTTGCTTGTATTCATGTCGCCACCAAACATTCGGCCTCTCATGGAAGTAGAGTTTCATGGATGTAGGGTGCAGGGTCAGAGATGAGGGATGGATCTGAGAATTCTGCAGTAGCGATTTGCGAAACTATGCCGGTAAGCTTTTTTATAAACATACCGAGCCAATACACCTACGGGTAGCCTTGTTTTGCGTGTTGGTGTGCATTGCAGCATGTGCCAAGCCTTTCATCTCCCGCCTACAGCCGGTTGCCGGTGCCGCTAATTTAGGGGAGCATATCGGAGCACACGTTTTTCTTGACCGCCTAGCACTGCCTAATCAAGTTAGTCTCCCGCTCGTGCATGGGTAGGTTCAGCTCTAGCCGCAAATGATCGACAGTCGACATCGACAACGGATATAATGGATACCCAAAGAGCTTTTTACTTATACGCGGGTCCGGCTTTAACATCGGCACACACGGCCACCGCTCGTGCTCAGGAACGCCTCTTACGCAATTCCATCTGTGCCGGCACCCGACTGGTGCATATACGGCACTATACGATGATGTGGATCGTGATTTGCCGAGCAAAGAGTTTGCGGATATGGCTTACGGCTTCATTGCGGAACGATCCTGATGCCGCGCGCAGCCAGTGGGTGCGGAAATGTGACAACTCCAGCTTCAAGACTAGGACATGCGGACGAATGGAAGTTTTACGGCAACCCTGCTTGTGCCAACCGAGAGTCATGTTCGTAGGGGGACTATGCTCAGCTGAATGCAAGATGTGTAAACAGTTGTCGTTCAACTTGGCTCTTCGGCAGCTGCTCAGATCCAAATTCTGCCTAGTGCTACGGTGAGAGCTGAAGCTGAAAGCAAAATGTCGCATGGCCATTTTCATAAATGCTTTTCGTCCTGCCGCGATGTAGAAATGGCGGAGATGAGCAATCATAGAAACATCGGAGCACACTCTGAATATGAATCATACGGAACAAGAGACCAGCAACATGTCTCCTTCTACGCAAAAAGTCACCGTCAACCCCGGAACAAATACATCCGAGCCCAATGCCATCATTGGTGCCGCCTGCCGTGTTCCCGGCGCCACAAATCCCCATGCTCTGTGGAAGATGCTTGAGGAAAAGCGCGATGTGCAGCGCAAGATGCCCACCGAGAGATACAACGTCGATGGCTTCTACCACCCAGTAAATACAAACAAAGGAACAGTAAGGGACCGCATGATAGGAACTCAGACTGAGAGTTTGATATCTGACATGGATTAGACAAATGCACGATATGGGTACTACCTAGACCAAGGCATCGACCAGTTCGATGCCTCTTTCTTCAACATCTCCGGCAAGGAAGCCGAGGCAATGGATCCCCAGCAAAGGTTGTTGCTCGAGGTTGTATATGAAGCACTAGAGGATGGTAAGTCCAGGCTCAAACCATCGCCAAGCCTCGACCCAAGCTAATATTCACCAATGTAGCTGGCATTACTCTGGATGAAATCAGAGGAACACGCACAGCTGTTTACGCGGGATCCTTCACTTACGATTACCAATACATGACGAACCGCGATCTCACATATTACCCCAAATACTCCATCACGGGCAACTTGGCCCAGACCATTCTCGCAAACAGAGTATCGTTTTTCTTTGATCTTCACGGCCCTAGTGTCCAGATTGATACAGCATGCTCTTCTGGCCTCACAGCCCTTCACCTCGGCTGCCAGAGCTTGCTTAGTGGCGAGTCTGACATGGCCATTATCTGTGGCACTGCGCTGCATTTTGATCCAACCATCTTTGTCACAATGTCCGACTTTGGCATGCTTTCAACAGATGGGCGCTGTCGTCACTTTGACGCCGCTGGCTCTGGTTATGTGCGCGGCGACGGCATCTGCGCCGTTATTCTCAAGCGTCAACGTGACGCCGAAGGAAACAATGATACTATCCGCGCCATCATCAGAGGCACAGGCGCCAACCACGATGGAACAAAAGAGGGCATTACACTGCCCAACCCCACGGCCCAAGCCGATCTCGTTCGTCGCGTCTATCATGATGCCGGCATCTCTCCCCAGGACACTGGCTACTTTGAGGCTCATGGAACAGGCACCAAAGCCGGTGATCCACGTGAAGCGCAAGGCATTGGGGCCGTCTTCGCAGCTTCAAGGACCGAACCACTCTACGTTGGCTCTATCAAGACAAATATCGGCCACTTGGAAGGCGCCTCTGGTCTTGCTGGAGTCATCAAGGCCATGATGTCGGTTGAAAAAGGCAAGATCCTGCCCAACATGCACTTCAACACGCCCAACCCAAACATTGACTTTGCTGGTCTCAAGATCAAAGTACCGGAGTCAGTCATCGATTGGGCCCCTACGAGTGGTATTCGCCGCGCCAGCGTCAACTCGTTTGGTTTTGGTGGTAGCAACGTCCACGCTGTGTTGGAAAACTACGTTGGCCCGCTCGCCAACGAACCGCCTCAAGATCAACCTGCCCGCGCGTATCTGCTGCCTCTGTCATCACATACCGAAAAGGCTGGCAGCCTTCTCCAGCAGAGCCTGTCTCAGTACATGAAGCAAAACGCGGATACCTCTGCTAGAGACCTAGTCTTCAGCTACACAAACCGCCGTACTGTGCACGGTTTCCGCTCGTTCGCTGTCGGCCGAAACTTGCAGGAACTTGAAAAGAATACAGAGACTTTGCAGCCACAGGCTACCTGGAAACGCGCAGAGGACAATATTCGTCTTGGTTTCATCTTTACTGGACAGGGAGCTCAGTGGTATGCCATGGGCCGTCAACTGATTGAAGAGCATCCTTTGTTCAGACAGTCTCTTGTCGAATGCCAGAATGTTCTCATGACCCTGCCCGATGCGCCCGCTTGGTCTGTCTTGGACGAGTTGACCAAGAGCGAAACTGAGAGTCGTCTTTCCAAGAGCGAGTTCTCGCAGCCTCTTTGCACTGCTGTGCAGATTGCCCTTGTCGATTTGCTGGCAAGCTGGGGCATCCGTCCTGCTTCTGTGGCTGGCCATTCGTCAGGCGAAATCGCTGCAGCCTATGCCGCTGGAAGTCTTTCCAAGCGTGATACTATCATCTGTGCTTACTATCGCGGCCTTTATATGTCCAAAGGTCTCGGCGGTGCTGCAGGAAGGATGATGGCTGTTGGCCTCACCGAAGCAGAAGCCAATGCCGAGCTCGCTGACTTCCAAGGAAAAGCAAGCATTGCTGCCGTCAACAGCCCTTCTAGCATCACGCTGTCTGGTGACGAAGACGCTATCCTTGCCATCAAGGCTAGGCTGGATGAGCGTAAGGCATTTGCCAGACTGCTTCAAGTCGAACAGGCTTTCCACTCACACCACATGATTCCACTTGCTCCTGCATTCAAGGACGCTGTGTCTGGTACTCCTGGGTTTGAGGCTGATGAGGCGACAGTGCGCATGTTCTCTAGCGTCACTGGTCGCGATTCTAGCGCTCGTCCGATGGACGCTTCTTACTGGGCCGATAACATGACTGGTCGTGTGCGCTTCTCTGACGCTGTCACTGGCATGGTGCTCGACGATCAAGACAACCTTGCTGTGGATGTGATTGTCGAGCTTGGCCCTCACCCTGCGCTTAAAGGCCCTGCGAAGCAAACTCTGAAGCAGCTTGGAATCGACGTTCCCTATATCGGTACGCTTGATCGCAAGGTTCCAGCCTACGAAAGTCTCGTGGCTTGTGCTGGCAATCTTTTCACCCTCGGCTACAAGGTCGATATCAATGCTGTTAACAGCGACGCCAGTGTATCTGAAAACGGCGAAGTAACCTACCAGCAGTATGGACGACGACTGAAGGATTTGCCGACTTACTCGTGGGATCACAAGTCATACTGGTCCGAGACTCGAACCTCAAAGTCGTTCCGCCACAGAGCTCTGCGCACGCCGCTTCTCGGCGCTCTTGTTCCGGGATCACCGCTTTCTCATCCCCGCTGGCACAATTATCTACGCCTCTCAGAGCTTCCTTGGCTTGCTGACTATGCCGTGGATGGCAGTGTCGTGATGCCTGCGTCTGCTTTCCTTAGTATGGCGATTGAAGCGCTCCTTCAAATGCCCAGTACCCAAGGCAAGGAGATTCAATTCAGGGATGTTACCATCCCAACAGCATTGCCAATTCCTGACACTGATCGTGGCGTCGAAGTAATGCTAGATCTGCGACCGCTTGACAACTCAAAAGACTACGCTTTTACCGTGTACTCTTTCAACGATGCAGGCGATAGCTCCATTAACTGCACGGGTAACATCAGTACAGCTGCCGAGGCATCTATTTCTGCTGCTGCGGAGTATGACCTAGATCAGGCTCTTTCCAAGACAAACTATCGCCTGACATCCGACAACTTTTACGCTCAGTTGGATAGCGTCGGCCTTGGATATGGTTCTCGTTTCAAGCTTGCGCAGGGATGGCTCGAGACCGGTAAGCATCTGACCGTTACCCAACTCAACACGGCAGCAGTTTACCAAGACCATGCGAACGATACCTACAAGATTCACCCGGCTCTACTCGACGGCATGACGCAAGGCATCTTCCTAGCCATCCAGTCTTCGCTTGAGGACGCTCTTCAAGACGCCTATGTGGGCACATCCTTCAAGCAGATTACTATCTCGACCGAACTCCTCGACGTGGATGAACCACAAGAATACTGGACCGTTTCCAACAAGATTGAAGCTGATCAGCGAACAAGCAGAGGCAACGTCTCTGTTCATGCTTCAACCGGCAAGGAATTGGCACGCTTCGAGGGCATCCAGCTTGCTAGCTTGGGCCGAGCGCGGGATGACAAGGACCCCTATCGCCTGTTCCGTACCGCCTGGAAGCCAGCATTTGACTTCTTGGGCGTGTCTGGCAACGATGCAGATGACTTGTCCACTGATGATGTGGTTGCTATTTTCCGCCATTCGCACCCTAGCTGTACAGTCTTAGATACTGACGCTGAAGACGACTCCAATCTGTACGATCTGATCGTTGCCAAGTCTGTTATCAACCAAAACGCGCTCTCGAAGAACCTGAAGCCTTGTGGATTTGTCCTTTCCCAACCCAATGAAGACCTTGACAACATGACCCGAGTCTTCTCTAGCAAGCAATGCAGTCTTTGGCAAATATCTCAACCTCGTCTCGAAACACGTCTTGACGTGTTGATCGATAACGATAGCTCTGTTGAAATTCAACAGCTTGTCGCAAAAGTCTCCAGAGAGAGTGACGTTGGATCTGTTACCGTACTCAACTTGGATACGGCTTCTGATGCGACATTTGCCCAAGTTGGTAACCAATTGGTCGTAGTCTCCGAATACAACAGCACCAATGGCGTTCCATCGGAGAATGGCCAGCTCATCAAACAGCGCAGAGACAGAATCCAGAGCTTGGTTGATCATCAAGACAGGAAGCTCACATGCTTACACTACCATGGCTCTAGCGTTGCTCTGCGCCCCTCTCCTGAGCCTCTATCGACAACTGCTAGCTTGCTTCTCTCAATTGGCGGACACAGAGTCACTAATGTTCAGATGAACGCTGCTTGCGAGGCTAACATTGGATCTATTCTAAGCCTCGTTAGCTCTGGCCCAGCAGGCGAGAACTTCTCAATCAAGGATGGCCAAGTTCTGGTTGCTAGAATTATCACCGATAAGACACCCGCAGCGACTCCTATGGCTGTATTCAATGGTGCAACCCTGAAGCTTGAAGAATCTAGCTCTTCATACGCCATTCAAGAAGATACCCAGAGTGTTTTGGCTGGAACCGTTGGCGTCAACGTCATTGAATCGTGTCTTGTCCGCGCAGGCCCTACCGCATGCGTTGCTGTCGTCAAGGAAGTAGGTGCAACAAGCAAGTTCAAACAGGGAGATAATGTCCTAGTGCTTGCTGAGAATGGAGAAGCCCAAAATTCGAGACTACGTGTCCAAGAGACAAATGCGTTTTCCATTCCAGCGTCGCTCAACAGCACCATTAGTCATATTGCGGTACCGCTGCTGCAGGCCATTTATGTCATTAACAATGTGGCGCATATCCAGAAAGAGCATAGCTTCGTGGTATATGGAGCCTCTACTCGCCTAGGAATGATTGCTATTAGTCTCATCCGCGCCACTGGAGCTGGTGTTGTCGCTGTTGTTGACAACTCGGCGCAGCGCCAGCTTGTGGCGGAGAGGCTTGTTCTGCCTCTCAAGTTCATTATCCAACCGAGCGATCTGACTTTGCTTACAAACTTCGACAAACAGTTTTTTATTAACTGTACCAATGGTCCTGTTAGCTCGGTGGTTGCAGATGCAGTGTCCGAAGCGCACTTTGTCTCGTTCAATGCTGCTGACAACGCAGTTGAAAAGACTACACAGACTCGTGTCGATATTATGAAGCTTCTCATGGGCAAGCCGGCGGTTATCAAGAACCTTCTTTCGACAATGATTACGGTTGCCTCAGAGCCTGGCCTGCTTCCTGATTTGGGTACTCCGCGCATCGCATACAGCAAAGTCGCGGAAGCTGTTGAGCTTTTCAGAACTGACGCTCAGTTGGAGTCTATCCAGCTCTTCGACAATGGAGATCCCGTCCCTCTTCAGAGCACTGCCTCCACCGCAAAGGTGCAACTAGACCCCTCCAAAGTTTATATCATGGCTGGCGGCTTTGGATCGTTTGCATGGCCAGTGGCTTCATGGCTTCTCCAGGCCGGTGCTCGCGCTGTGAGCTTCCTTCAAAGTCTAGATGAGACTTACCCCGCTGTTATTGCCGATGTCATCCAATGGCTGCAAATTAGAGGCGTTGATGCTCAGATCACCACCGATATAAGCAAGCTGAATCAGGTTGATGGCGTGTTCTGTGGCCCTAGATCCATCTCCAGCAAAACGCTGCAAGCAGTTGAGGATATTGAGAAGAACAATTCTTTATCCATGTTTGTTTGTATCTCCTCGGCTGCGTCTCAATTTAGCAGGGCTGGTGAATCTGTCTCTACCACATTTTACAACAAGCTTGTTCGTTGGCGTCGCACGCACAGACTACCTGCTTCTTCTGTTTACATTGGCCTTGCGCAGGACGCTGGATGCGGAAGCACAGAGCAAGCTTCCGAGGCGGCTCTGAAGGAATTGGGACTCCCAACTCTACCAAGCCAGGCTCTATTCTCTCACCTCAGCCACGGCGCACTGTCTCAATATCCCGACGGCGATGACTGTGAAGTGGATGATGATCACTCCTTCACCGGCCTTCAACTGGAAACCAAGCACCAGTTCTGGGACACCCTGCCTTTGATGAGCGTTCTGAACCAGGAGCTTGGCCAAGATGATTCTAGTGCTGCTGGCGCGACAAAGAGTCTTTCTGTTTTGATGAGAGAAGCAAAGGATCCTGAGGAGAAGCTTAGCGCCCTTGCAGAGGCATTCGTGGAGAAGATGTCAGTGTCTCTCTCTATTGCCGCTCAAGATATTCATATTGGTCTTCCTCTATCGGCCTATGGCATGGATTCTCTTGTTGCTGTTGATTTCCGCACGTGGTTCTCCAAAGAACTTCGTGTCAACCTGGCTCTATTTGAAATATTGGGCTCGAGCACAACCAAACACATGCTCCAGCACGTCTGTGATCTGTTTACCGAGCAACAAGACAAGGCCCAGACGCCGTCTGAAGCAGAAACAACCACCAAAGCCGGCAAACCCGATGCCGACGACGAGAACCGCATCGTCCTCAAGCCTATTCCGGACCAGATCCCGCTCTCTTCGTTCCAGCGCCGAATGTGGTTCATGGACAGCATGATGGAAAGCCCTGGCGGCCTCACCTGCGGATTCACGCTCAGCATCCAGGGCAAACCAGACCTCGCTCTGCTCAACGACGCCCTTCACAAGCTCGGCCGCCGAAACGCCATCTTCCGAACGAGATATGTAGACGGAGACGAGTATGCTCAACAGGAAGTCCTCGAAGAGGTTGTGGGCGATGTTGAGTTTCAGGATATCTCCGCCGATGCAAAAGCAGAGTCTAGTGTCCAAGATCATATGGATGCTCTCCTCAAACGGCCAATGGACCTAGAAAAGGGCGAAGTCATCCGCACTGTTCTCCTCAAGGTCAGTGAGGAGTCTTATGCCTGGCTGGTGGCTACTCATCACATCACCATTGATGGCAGCAGTCGTCAATCAATGATGGAGCAGATTGTTACTTGCTACAATGACGCTGTTCACAACGAGAACAACACCGGCAACGTGCCACCGCTGAGCTATGTTGACTTTACCCTCTGGCACGAGGACATGATCAATTCGGATGCTGTCAAGCAAGATCTTGGCTGGTGGAAGAAGGTCCTCGCGGGCGCTAATGGAACTAGCGATCTTCTTCCTTTTGCTCAGCACGTCCGCGCAGAAAAGGCTAGCGATCAGCGCCGCGTTATCCGATCGAAGCTCTCTACTGCTACTCTTAAGCGTATGAAGCGTGTCTGCGGCAGCGTCAACGCTACGCCTTTCCATTTCATTCTTGCCGCTCTGCGCTCATTTGTCTTCCGCTACACCAACCAAGAAGACTTGACGCTGCTCGTGATTGCTGGTGAGCGCCCTCACTCCGCATTTGAGCGCATTTTGGGCTTCTTTGTCAACGTGATCCCCCTGCGCTGGCAAGGCACCTTTGACGAATCTTTTGAAGCAACGCTACTCAAGGCACGCGAGCTGGCTGTGGAATCTATGGCACACTCCCAGGCGCCTTTTGACGAGATTGTTGACCAGCTGGATCTCGAACGCAACCCGCAGCACTTCCCTCTCGGCCAGATTGCGCTAAACTATCAAATGTATGCAAAGTCGCCACGATATTCTACTGAACATTTTGACATTGTCGACGTGCACGTCACCGACGTTCCCACGTCGTCTGAGCTGCAGTTTGAGATTCTTGAGCACCAAGATGCTGGACTCGGCTTTACCCTTGACTACGACTCGTACCTGTACAGTGACAGAGATATGGACCGCTTCTTGGAAAACTTTATGGTCTTTATTGACAGCGCTGTGCAAGATTTCCGCCAGCCTGTTGAGGAGATTGCCATGTGCGGATCGCTAGAGATGGAAGTCTTGAGAAACAGCTGCTGGACAGAGAAGATTACCGAGAACTCTTGGATGCATATGACTCTCTGGGACCGCTATGATCAGCTCACTTCTCAGAATGGAGCTGCAATCGCAATCACGACGTCTGATGGCCGATCAATTACTCGAGCCGCGCTGAAGAGCAGAGCTATTGAGCTTGCCCAAGTGCTTCACTCGGCGGGAGTCGTTAAGGGCGACCGTATTGGTGTTGTTTCGTATGCGAGCACCGATGTCATTGCCTCCATGCTGGCGATTGCCCGTCTTCGATGCACCTTTGTGCCTATGGACCCAAACAACGCGCAAGGCCGCATCGAGTACATGATTGAGAATACCTCGGCAGCAGTGGTTCTACATGGTTCAGAACTTGACCAGCTCATTACAAACCTCTCTGCTTCTACCAAGGCAAATTTTATCTCTTACGAAACAGCAACGGTCGCTAGCACCTCTGAGATTGCTCTACCTGCTGTAACAAACGCCAGCCCTGACGATGTCTGCTACATTGTTTACACCTCTGGTAGTACCGGTAAGCCAAAGGGCGTCATGGTCTCGCATGAAAACACCCAGGCTATGTTGGTTGGTCGCGAGACTGCTTTGAGCCTCGGCTGCAGCGATGTGTTCCTGAGCCACACATCCATGTCCTTTGACATCTCCATGGCTCAGACATGGGGCTCTCTTAGCTCTGGCGCAACAATGGCTTTGGCAACTCGCGAGGCTCGTAGCGATGTCGAGCAGCTTGTAGAGTTTATCCGCACTGCTCAAGTCACTATGATCTACTTTACACCCACGCAGCTGGCGATGATTGTCGAGAACTGCCTTGAGGAACTGGGCCGATGCAACAAACTCCGATCAGTGTCCATGATTGGCGAGCATCTTCCCCCACGCCTGGTCAAGGCCGTGTATGATCTCAAGATTGATGGCCTCATTTTCTATAACGAGTATGGCCCGTCTGAAAGCACCTCGCAAAACACATACTACAAAGTGCCGTACCCAGAGCCCAACCAGCTCACTGTCGACATTGGCAAGCCGTTGCCCAACAGCAGTACCTACGTTGTCAACTCTCGCCTGCGCCCTGTACCCGTTGGCGTATTTGGCGAGTTATGCATTGGCGGTCCGCAAGTCAGTCTCGGATACCTCGGCCGTGCCAGCACCGCCTTTGTGCCCAACCCACTTGCTGGCAGCCTGTTCACACAATCAAACTGGACTAGACTGTACCGCACTGGTGACATGGCTCGCTTCCGTCCCACCGGTGTGCTCGACCTCAAGGGCCGCATCTCAGGCGATAAGCAGGTAAAGCTCCGTGGACACCGCATTGACCTTGAAGAGATTGAGACCGAAATTCATCGTCTGTCCCGCTCTGACGCTGCTCTGTCGGCCATTACCTCTGTTGTGGTTCTGGCACGAACGCTGGACACAGACCACGGCAACATGACCGACGACAGGCAGCTGGTTGCTTTCATTGCTCTCCGATCTCCCCAGGGCAGCGACAAGCTTCACGAGATGGCGACGCATCTCAACGAACAGCTATCCAACTCTCTCAACAAGTATATGCTTCCGTCGTGCTATCAACCAATGGAAGCTATTCCCACCATGGTCAGCGGCAAGATTGATCGCGTTGGCCTTACAAACATGAAGCTCCAGCCAATCTTCCACAGCAAGTCCAAGACTACCACTGTCGCCGCCCCCGTCGTCGAACAAGTTCAGGCTTCCGCGCCGGCGGATGGACCTGTGGAGGTAATCAAGCAGCTGTTTGCCACAGTCCTGAAACTTCCTGCCGACAAAAGCATCCAGAGCGCTGATAACTTTTTCGATCTCGGCGGGCAGAGCGTGTTGGCACTGCGTCTGCAAAAGTCTCTCAAGAAGGAGTTTTCTGTCCCCGTCAAGCTAGTCGATATCTTCCGCAACCCAACCCCTGGCGGCCTAGCAGTTGCTCTGAAGCTCACCAACGCGACTACTGCCCCCGTCACTGCTGACAGTGCCCGATCATCGGTTGAAATCGACTACGATGCCGAAGCGACACTACCGAACGAGCCTACATATCAAGCCAAGAACGCTGTTGGCACTGGCTTGGCATCGTCTACCCGCAACGGCGTCTTGGTCGTCGGCGCAGACGGCTACATTGGCTACTACTTGCTGAAGTACCTTCTTGCTCTTCAGCCCAACAGCAGGATCTATCTGCTTGCCCTCGCCGACCGCTTCAACCTGGGCGACCTGTTTGCTGCTTTCCTCAAGAACAAGCTATTCGACGAATCCGTGACTCAGGTTGATCTCCTCTCGCGCGTTGAGATTGTCGAGGGCAACGTCGGCGACGCCAAGTTCGGTCTTGGAGACGCTGGGTTTGACGCGCTTGCACAGAACATCCACGCCATCTACCACACGGGCGGCTTCGTCTCACTTCTCGCCACGTACAGCGACCTCCGCGCGCGTAATGTGCAGAGCGTCCTGAACATGATTGAGCTAGCGGCGGCGTGCAAGGCCGAGGGCGCTACGTCTCTTCACTATATCTCGACATGGAGCATTGTCCACGTGCAGACCTGGCAGACAACTACCATCAAAGACTCTCTCTGGCTGGACGAGAAGAGCGTGGACACATTCCGTCCCCCGACGTCCAACGATCACGGATACTTTAAGACACGCTGGGTTGCTGAGATGCTTCTTGAACAGGCGTCGCAGCGCGGCTTGCCATCCATCATCTACCGCTGCCCAGCCCATACCGCACCCATCGGGTCCTTGTCTGCTACACCATCGGACAACTTCACTATCAACCTCTACCTGAGCATGGTCCGCACCGGGCTCATCCTCAAGACAGCTGAGCGCCCTGACGGGCTTGAGAGCGACGTGGGTATGCTGCCCATCGACTATATTGCCGATACGCTCGTCCGACTAGCTGCTACACCCGAGGTCCAAAAGCCCGACCAATCTGAAGCGCTTCGTCTGCACATTACGAACCCTCGATCTGTACCGTACTCTGAGATGCCCGGTCTGGTTGCGGAACTACGCGAAGACGGCGCCCAAGGAAAGCTGCTCGACTTGGCTCCGTGGTTTGAGCAGTTGACAGCCGCCAGCTCCGAGCAGGCTAACCTCGAGTTTGCCATGTACAAGGAGTACCTGGACAAGGGGCACATTATGTTTACTGTCGACGACAGCAAGACACGGCCTCTGCTAGACAAGATTGACGCAGAGAGCGACGCGAAGAGAGTCAAGTGCCCAGCTGTCGATGCAGAGTATTTCCGCAGCATGATTGTGCAGGCCAAGCTGTTTGGTGCGGCCAGCTAGACTTTTTTGGGCTTTTTTTCCCTTTGTTTTAACGAATAGATTATAGATTATAGACTGTATAGATGAGGTTTACATATATTTTGAATTACGCTCTACTCTACGCTGTGTATTCCATGCAGTCGACGCAGAATATATGACAATGTTCTGCACGGACAATAAACAATATAATCGTAAAAGATACTTGTGCAGCTGTAAAGGCTAATATTCAATTATTTTATCAGTTTTGATTCCATTTTGTTTTTATTTAGAATCACTGCGGCGTGTCATCCGCGCCCTGCCGATCACGGAGCCCCGGCGTCGGAGGTGCAACGCAGCCTTCCGGCATAAGACAAGAGGGGCACTTCGTCTTTTTTTATAACACGGCTGTATCTTGACTTTTTTTCTTTCGTTCAGTGTCAACATTATTCCCGCAGTCTGGTCATTCAACATGGGCGTATCTGAACCTTCTGTCGCGCTTGTCAGCCTTGAGCTCGCCAATATTGAGCGCGGCAACACCGCTGAGTGCAGGGAAGAATTGACAGCGGCCCCGAATGTATTTGAGCCTCCCCCAGCCGACACGGGGGCCGGTGCTTGGAAGTTCTTAGCGGGGTGCTTTCTTGTCGAAGCGCTGCTATGGGGTACGTATCTATCTCCCTGTTCTCTCTATGCTACATATGCTATATGATGTATACTTTGTATACTGTACGTGGCTGTGTGTATCGTACATGGTGTATATGGTGTATATGGTGTACACTGTATAACTATGTATACTGCATGACTTGGTATATACTTGACTAACACGGCCCCAGGCTTCCTCCTCTCGTACGGCGTTTTCCAAAACTACTACACCCAGATGCCCGAGTTTGCCGGCCAGACATCCAACATTTCCGCAGTAGGCACCGTCGGCACCAGCATCTACTTCATCGCCGCGCCCTTTGCGTCCCCCCTCATGAAGCGATATCAACGATGGCAGCGTCACATGCTGGCCACAGGCTGGGCCGTGTGCGCCGCGTCGCTTCTCGTAGCGTCCTTTACCAGCAGCGTGCAGGGCATCATTGCCACCCAGGGCGTCATGTACGGCATCGGCTTCCTGCTGCTCTACTTCCCCGTCATCATGATGCTCAACGACTGGTTCGTCCAGCGCCGCGGGTTTGCCTTTAGCTTTCTTTATGCTGGTGGCGGGGTCAGCGGCGCCGGGCTCCCCTTCTTGCTGGAATGGCTGCTCTCGAGCGCGGGATACCGCACCACGCTGCGCATCGTAGCTGCTGTGCAGTTTGCCGCGCTCGTCCCGGGCATGATGCTGCTGAAGCCGCGATTGCCGCCGTCTAGAGACGCCGCGCTGCGTCGCGTCGACCTCAAGTTCTTTGGCAAGCCGCTGTTCTGGTTCTTCATGCTGTCCAACATCTTCCAGGGCCTGGGGTACTATATCCCCTCGCTCTACCTGCCGACGTTTGCCACGGCAATCGGCCTGTCGCGGTCCATTGGCGCGCTGCTGCTGGCTGTGAATAACTTGGCTACTGTCGTTGGACAGCTCGGCTTTGGCTACCTCTCGGACCGCTATGCGAATATCCACGTTCTTGTCTTCGTCACTACGTTTGTCTCTGCCGTTGCCGCGTTCTGTCTTTGGGGGTTGGCTACCTCGCTTGCGCCGCTTCTCATCTTTGCATTCCTGTATGGCTCCTTTGCTGGCGCCTATGTCGTGTTTTGGTCTGCCTTTGGCTCGCTGCTCTCGGAAGATCCCCAGCCAGTGTACAGCTTGATGGCGTTTGGCAAGGGCATCGGTAATATCCTGACTGCTCCTATTTCTGCGGCTCTTTTATCTCGCCCAATGACTTCAGGATACGGTAAGGGCACGTTTGGCCCGCTGATTATCTTTCTAGGGACTTGCATGTTTCTGTCTTCGTTGCAAATCACATGGCTCTCGTTCAGGCGCCTACCAAAGTTTTCCACATGATGAAAATGTCGATAATCGGTGTATTTGTCTTTTTTGTTTCGTTTTTCTTTTTTAAATGAACGCTCTACAGCCACGCAGCCAGCCAGCAAGATTATGGACAAGAACTATTCAAGGACTTTGGTGCGATAGCCAAGTACCATCACAGTAGACTGTGGATAAAATTCCCCGCGAATCTTTGTTTTCCCCCGCTGTACAACAAACGCGAAAGGGTGCGCCGGGTCTATTCTGCAAGTGGAAAGCGGCGTGTTAGACACCAGTTGGTCTCCGTTACGCAGTCCTGAGAGCTGTGCTTTTGAGCCCGTCACCAGTCCCTCAATTATGCGCGCTTCAAGGGACCTTTCACTGAATCCCAGTTCTATAGTTGACTGCTCACACCGGGTGAGCCGAACGGTCTTCCCGGCGACGGAGAAGGTAACTCCCGGATTCGGCTCCAGCACCGTACCATCCATCATATCAGTCATGCCAGCATCGACGATTTTCTTTCCCAAAATTGGATACAAACTCTCTCGCCAAAAGGTTGAGTTTGTCGTGCCATCCGTCCAGTGTTTGCGGCATACCGCCATTACGGTAGAATGAAGCGCAATTGATTTTTGCGTTGACTACCCTCTCGATTCAGCAACAGCTCGCAGCTGCGCATCCAAGAGGAACAAGTACATGAAGCCACGCCGATACGACACTAAATTGCCGTTGGCATCGTTGGGTACCTGTCGCAATGGTGTGTGAAGATACGGACTGGTGTAGTACATTGTCAAAAATTCGTCGAGGATCTGGCAAAAGTATTCGACGCCCTTTACGCCTGCCATAACTGGGAGATACAGAGCATAGAAATCGGCGATACCTGTAGCTACGTTAGCAGAGTATATCGAACTAAAGTATCAGTTTACTTGCCTTCTATAAACCACGTATTCTGAAACCCGTCTGGATCATTGCCCAGATATGCCCAGTTGTGTGTCATTTCATGTGACATGTACCGTAGCAGCTCAGCCTCATGCCTGGGCTGGTCCAAGTCGCTGTAATCAATCATAAAGCAACACGCAAAGTTGTGTCCAGAGAAACCACGCGGGACTTTGCGAATATATACCTTCATGACGCTCTCTGGGCTCTCGAATAGTGATTTCGCATAAGAGAAGATTGGGGCTGTTGACTCCTGCAAGAGCCTCAACGAGGCCGGGAGCTGGCCAAAGCAGTGTATCACTGGTGGTTCTGCTTCGTCGGTTTCGGCCTTTGTGCCGCCACAGTTTTAGGGGGCAGGTACTTTGCATTGGTAGCTCACGATAGGGCCTACCATAAACACTGAGGATCGAACAAGGTCATCTGGTCCAGTCTGCGTCGTAAGCTCGGCGCCCTCGCCAAAACTCCACGACGCCTTCGTTGTGGGAGGCGAAAGCGACAGATCCCATTCGACATGACACGTCGATATTTCTCGGCAGGGGATATGAGGAAGAAACCATCGGCCCACGCCAATCAGACCACCCTGATCACTATGCAGCTCCGTATAAGTTCTTGGGCTTGTTAATTGGTTGACGGGTCTGGGAGTTACCTCGAGCGTGAGGACTACATCTCCAACAGTATCACGACCCACTCTAATATCTATAGAGCCATCCTTGGCTGTGCTGAAGAATACTTTCAAGTATCCATTGCTATCCGCAACTTTTGTATTTGACTCGGAATAAAAGTGTGGGGGGTGTTCCGGAATGGCAAAGAAGCAGCATAGCAAGTCTTGGTCCTTACGTCTGGGAGCCTCCAGCGTCACAAAGACTAGTAATTTGTTGAGGCCAGAATGGGAACCGTGGGGTTGGATACGAATTTCGTCTTTTAGCGGTACCGACATTTTTACTATAGATCTTACAATTCCAGAGAAACAGGCGGGGTACTGAGGGGGTGACGTATGTGTTTGCTGTTAGGCTGTAATAGATGCCAAGACGGGAGTACGTAACAAACCACACGTCAGCCAGTAACTATCAAGAAGTGCGTACAAGTAATAAATACCATGTGATGCTTTAACCTGAGTGCATCACATATTATCTATGGGCTATAAGGCAGCGGCGCACGCCCTCTACAACGACCCTATTCTTCTTTCTCTTTCTCTTTGGCATCTTCCACTGCTTCTATTTTCCCAGCCGGTAGGATCCATGCGTGCTCCTTATTAAATATCTTCTATTGTCTTGCTCTTATTGTCTATTGTCGTAATATCTATATCATAGAAAATAAGTATTTCATTTATTATTTCTAGAATTTTGCTAGTAGTCCTTTGTCTATGTAGTGTATCATACAGGTCTGTAGTAGGTCCTGAAAAAGGCCGGGAACAGACACAGCATCTTCGGGGGTATAAATCTTGGATGATTTCTGGCGACGCGTAGTATTTCTGCAATTCGACAGAACTGGTTACTTCGAAGTTCCAAAAGTATTATAAAACTATTTAAATGTATTTGACAGACTTGGCTATACATTTAATGTATAACTTAAAATGTGCAAGATTGCTGCCGGGTAGCTACACTTAGACGCGCCGACTGCTAATATTTTTTCTCGCCATCCACTTCGAACATTCCATAAATTTTACTACTAAAATAGACTTATATGAATTAAACAACCTATTTCATATCTTTTCAATTACAATCAACATCCTCCTCCTAACCCTGATCCGTGCTCCCCGTAGCCCTGCCCAACAGTGAGCCTCACAAAACACCACATATAACCCAAACGTCACCGCCACCCCAATCATCCTCACGCCCCATAAATTAAGGCCGCGACAAAAAACAGGAAACCGTCACTTGCCAGCCATACAAAACACACGTCACGTAACAATTTATTTGCGTAATGCCCCTTGGATCACTCCACCCTGCCGGATGGTCCCCTGCCTTAGCTCGCTCTCTGCCCAAGCGCCTAAGCCACACACCGCCCCACCCCCCGCCCAATCGGCTGCGCAGCCCGCCTTCCCCGTCGCCCCGTCAACCGCAGTAAATAAAAAAGCCAGTGGCTGGGCCAACGAGCTCGTCACCAGCAGGCAGCCTGTGCCCTGTGTTAGTTATACGAGAGGCTGGCGATACCTCCCTTTTCCTTCTTCCTCTTTTCTACCCAGCCATTCGAATTTAACGACAAGTTTAAACCTTGGAAAGAAATTTCTAGGCAAGTTTGTTCCTCCTCATACACACTTCACCTAAACATCTACATTCCATTGCACGACTCGTCCCCCCCAAAGTCTCACGTACCCCGTCTTAGGTATTCCGATCTAGCATTCCAGCGTTCGCTCGAGACACCACGTTTTTTTAGTTTGTCGGGAATAGGACAACTCGACTCGACGTCAGCGCATCGCCGACGACTACTTGGCTTCCCTTCGAGCAAGCCGCTCCCTCTACGGGGGACAGCGCCCCGTGTTTGATTTCCTTTCCGCCGACGATTCACAATGCCTCGCTTCCAATTAGGATGGGGCCCGTACATCCCGTTCCTGGGATACCACCATGTCCTGATGATCTTGGTGGGCGTGGCCATTATTCTGCTCTCTCTACTCCTCGCGGGATGCTCGTCGTCATCACCTCTTATCCCAGACATCTTCCTCATCTCGCTCTATTACAAACACTACGAGGCCGTGCCGGACACAGCGCAGGTCGACTACAACGTGCACACTGCCATTGAGAACATTGTCCACGGAGCCTCGCTACAGGCTCGTGTTGGTTACTTTGGTATCTGTGTCAACCCGGACGGCGGCTCGTGGCTTTGCAGCAACAATGCAACGGCCCTGGCCAAGGAGGTGTCTGTCGACCAGGATCCGCTCAACTTGATCTGGCTGGCATCCCAGTTTAAAGACATGATTGTGTTCCCTTATCTTATGTAAGTACAACGATGACCGCTGAAGAAAACTTGGTCAACTAACATGCTCGCAGCATCATTGCCGTTCTCTTCGCCTTCTTCTGCGTCCTTTTGCTCGCCACTTTCCCTTCGTGGTATGAGGAGGAAGACTCCGAGGGCTCCGAACGAGTCGTACACGCCATCCCGTCACGCGCCGTCTCGCAAGTTGCGCTCGCCATCATTTTTGTCTCGTCCATCTTTATTCTAGTCTCGGTGCTGTGGCAACACACGGCATCAGTTGCGGCGGCAGTCATTGCTCAAGACTTTGGCAATGGCTCCGTCAAGAGTGGTGTCGGAACAAGTGCCATGGTCATGGGCTGGTTCTCGTTTGCACTGTTGATTATAGTAACAATCGGTCTCATTGTCACCATCTTAACAATTAGCGTCGTCAACGATCTGGTCTAAAAAGCTCAACAACTTTTAGACTTGGTTGTGGTCATCGCTGTTTTGTTATTTGCTTGTCTTTTCAAAGCGTTGGTATTTTTGAGATTGAGCTTTTTACCATTTTCACGCACACATATTCACGTCAGGTACATGCGAACATGTTTATATGCAGAGACCAGATCCGACACACCCCCCGATAGAAAAACACGACGAACGAGCGCATCATTACGGAGTTATCGCGAGGCGTTTGCCTGGAATTCATGGGCTTGTAAAGATTGCACATTGGCCACTTTTTACAAGTCTATGATGGCGAGGCAATGATTTTATTTGACATTTTTTTTTGAAATTGAACGCACATGACTATTTACGGCTTAATATTGATTGGACAAGATATCCACCCGCTGTTGTCTGGTCGATGCAGCAGTATTGATGCTGTTTGGCAAAGGCTAGTTTTGTTGTATAATTATTTGCAAGGATAAGGGAATTTATTGAATAGACTGTGAATTGGACTTTTGTTTTGGGGAACACAATATTTTTCTCTTTCAAATTCGGCGGTAACGCATCAGTGATGTATGTCTGTAGAAACAAGAGCCGCAGAGTGTGTACAAGTTGTATTGGTTAAATATATATAAACAACAATCTTTTATTAATAACAGTAGCGTATGTGCTTTTTATGCATCGATTCTGCGGAACGGATGTGCTTCCGTGTTGAGAACCCATTCGTCCAGGCTAATGAGGTTCGTCTCCGCAAATAACAGATAATAGTACTTGAGAGTCTCGGCAATCCAAAAGCTTTCCATCTCATCCTTCATCTTTGGCTCATCCGACAAGACATTATCAATGGCGCTGTGAGCCAATGGTGTCTTGACAGCCGCAATGGTAGCCTCCCACATTTTCCAGCCCTTTTCCATCCACATGGGATCGCCGGTGATACGATACATGTACCAAACGGATTCGATAGCCTCTGGTCTGAGAATGTATTGTTTTGAGCCGACTCGGGTGTATCCAGGCGGCAGTTTCTGGGTCTTGAGCTTTTCCTCCACAAATTCCTCATGGGACTGTGGACGCTCAGGAATAATGTCCTCCTCTTCCTCTGAGCTCGCTGGCTTTTCAACAGTAACAGGGTCGTGTTGCTTGGTCTTCGAGGGAGTGACAGATTCATCCTTTGATTTCGTCGTGGCTCCATCCTCTTTGCTGGTTGCTGCTTGGCTCTTCTTGGGCTTGTCCAGCTCTGTTGGGTCGGGGATGGCCGCACGTTTGCTCTTGGAGTTCTTCTTGGAGTCTTTGCTTGAGGCCACCTTGGACGACTTGCCATATTTCGCTTCCCATTCTTCAACTTCTGAGTCGCGATACTCTTTGGAGCTATCGAGCTCGAGGTACCAGGCGGTTTGGTTGAACTCGCACTTCTCCATCGTCGGACAAGACATCAACTCGGCGCCTTCAGGCATGATGCCTGTCGCAGTTGATTGGTAGGCCCAGACGCAGCCATCTGTCAACTGCCTAGCGGTCTCAAGATCCTGATCACGGCCAAAGATCTTTGCCCCCAAGCCGTACATGCCACCGATGAAACACGTCAAATGGGCAAGCTCGTATGTGGGCACCATATCCTTCTTGGGTTCTCCAGCAGTAGAGATTTTGGCTGGGAATAGGATATCCCACTTCTCATCCTTGATCATGGGACGGAACATCAACCAACTGTTGACGGCCTCCACAGTATCCACATACAGCTTCTTGTATTTTGGTTCAAGGCCACCAAGTAGAATGTACTCCTTGGTAAAGTATTCGTATGCCGAGTCTTGTCCACCACCCATGTGAAACTTTTGAGTGTAAACGCTACCAGGAGCAAAACCCTGAGGAATACACTCCTCGTCCTCAGTCACCCTAGTAGCCGGAGGGACAGCCTCTCTATGCACGGGCATATGTGGTTCTGGAACCTGTTCGGCTGCCTCAACTGGCTTCTTTTTAGCAGGAGCAGGAGCAGGATCTGCTGTCTTAATGGCAGGATATTCCTCGGGGATGGCGGCGCGCTTTTCAATTCTGTCATCAGCCGAGTGTGGTCGTTGCTTGCTACGGTCGACAGCAGCATCGCCATTGTCTCTCGGGAGTTCGACAAAGTCGGAAGAGTCATCTGCTTTACGCGCGGCTGGCTTCGTCTTTTTGGCTTCAGACTCTTCACTCCTCTTAAGATAGAGAGCTGTCTGGTTGCAGCCGCTCATGTCAATACTTTCAGGGAACAATCCGGGGATGGCGGTGCCAGACTCTTGGAACTGAATTAGGTTATCAGTAATTCGATCAATCGCGTCGTAGTACTTGTTTGCTCCGGTGAGCTGAGCTAGGCGTGTAAACTCCATGGAGAGCGTTCCCAGCTCTGCCACTCCGCCAGTCGTAGCCGAATGAGGCAGAGAGACTGAATCAGGCTGCCAGTTGTAGTAAAGGATGGGCATTCTGTTTGGAGTATCGAAAACGCCAAATAGGATTTCCGCTAGCTCAACAGCCTTGTCCAGCAGAACCTTGTATTTGTGTTCACTGATATCGTAGGCGGCAAGTAGACCACCCAGGTATCGAATGACAGTCTCAAACACACGGAGCTGGTGGGTTGGCGTAGTAGTGAAGTCAATGGTCGCGATGTACTTTACAGCATCCTCGAATTCAGGGCGCATGCCTGCGATCCAAAGGGTATCAAGAGAATCCACCATGGTGGCTGCCCAGCTGGCAAATGGGTCTCTGGTTTTGCCGTTGACGGGTCGGAGTTCGTCATGGCCCCAAGCATACTCGTGGTAGGCAGTCCATGCGTGCTTGATTTCGGCCTTGATCTGGTTGAGGCGCTGCAAGCGTCTCTGCTTAGCGCCCTCGGTCTCCGAACCAAAGTCGTGCTGAATCCTGGGCAGCTTTGCGGGCTTGCCCGTAGGGAGATGTCTAATGGACTCTGTCGGGAGCGGGTAGTGCTCAGGGAGCTTCTTCCAGTGAATCTTACCATCATCGGGCTTAGCACTGGTTGAGTCTTTAGAATTCGCAGCGTCCTTTCCTGCGCTGTTAGGCTTAGCTTTAACTTCGTCATCGAGGGGGATCTGAGCCTTGTCAGCTTTGGCGGGCTGGTTGCCTTTGGACGTGTCCTTGGCATCGACCGTGTTCTCCTTTTTCGGTGGCTTGTCTGTCTTTTCGGATGTGACTTCTTTTTCGACAGGCTTTGGCTTTGGCGGCGGGCTGATTGGCTTTTGGACATCAGCTGGTCGCTTGTTCTCCAATGGCCTGCTGTCTACCAAGACCTTCTCTTTAGAGCTAGCCTCCTTCTTTGGGGGCAAGGAGACCGGGTGCTCTGCCCTCTGTTCGACGGTATTCTGGGCAACATGGTATAGCATAAACACGATAACTAGAGCCACGACAGCCAGGAGTCTGTATCTTCGTCTCGGCATTGTAGCGAAAATGGTTTGGCGAGATCGGATTATCGGTGGTGGTGTAGAGGGGGGACGGGAAGCAGCAGCAGCTAGTGTCGAGTATTACGAGATGTCATGCGTAACCAAAATATATGCGCTTCTTGGACTTGTTGATAATTCTTCACGGAACCGGGAGAGGCTGTCGATGTCGTCAAAGGGGGAAATCCGTTCGGCTGGAGGATGCACACGCACAGATGTTCGAAGAAAAGGGAACAGCGACAAAGGGTACAATGGAAATAAGGCGAATGAAAAGAAAACCAGAGAATGATGATGATGGAAGCGAAACGAAAATACAAAAATGATGATGCCCTCGTTTCAAACGAATAAACAAGAAAGAAAGAAAATCTGTTGAAGAAGAGGGAGGGTTATGTCTTTTTGGGATGGAGAAAAGGAATGACTGGACGAGAGGGGGTGGACAGCAAGAGAGGCGATCGGCCAGTGTGTGTTGAACAAGGTCAGCGTTGCAGCAGTTCGCAGGTGTCGGGGATCGCTCCTGTGCTGTGCCTGCTGGGACTGCTCGCCTACCACGCTGTCAGGGGACCCCTAGGACCCGCTATTGGTCCGCCACGCCACCCACTGTACCGTAAGAAACGAGAGCGCTAATGCTGCACACTGCCACTGGGACCTGCCTCTCCCAGGGTACGCTTAAATTTACACACTGCAGCACAGTGGGTAGCCTCGGGGCGGGCTTGCCGCTGGCTGTGTTTCCGGTGGAGTGGGGGAGGGAGCCTCCACTTCCAACGTCTTGGCACGCGAGAAGGTCACTAATCACCACTACATTAGCCCATTAAGTTGCTGTCGCAAATGGAAATAGAACGGGTGCGGCAGCAGGGTGCTACAATACAGTGGTATCATGGTTGTGCATTCCGTATAAAATATTAAAACAAGGGATAGAAGCGAATATTGAAAACAAGTTGTATCCCAAAGTTGCGCCGGCGCTTTCCGTACAGTACCCCTAAAAATTATCCTGTCCAGACATGAATCTTCTCCAAACACCCTCCGAGACAACGCCCCGTTTTAATCCGTCTTATACGTTTCCTTAATCTTTGTATACAGTGCAGTGTCGTAAAAGTTGAATCCCTGATCCAAGTCACAGAACGGGTGTTCTGAAAGCAGCATGTCCGCTGTAGGTCGCTCCGTGGGGTTTCTGTCATACACATGTTAGTCCAAAAGGTATATACACGAAATTTATACGAATCACACTTACACTGTAAAGCACTCCTCCATGAACGCTACTGCCGAAGGTGGGATAGTTCCCAAGACATCCTCGGGGATAGGCGGCCGCTCACCATTGGCAATCTTGTAGATGGCGCCAACCGCCTCTTCTTTGCTCCATGGTCGGCGACCAGCAAACATCTCCAAAACCACACAGCCCAAACTCCAGATATCCACCTTGGCGCCGTAGCCTTCGCCCTGGGAGCGGATGACCTCCGGGGCCATCCAGAAGACGGAGCCTTGCATATTGTTGGACTTGTCATTGCCATAGATGTTGTCGGTCTTCTTGGAAATACCAAAGTCACTAATTTTGCAAGTGCCATCCAAGTCTAGAAGGATGTTATCGGCTTTGAGATCACGGTGCAGAATACCTTCACGATGTAGATAGGCCAAACCGGCCAGTGTCTGTCGCGTCAACGACGACACGACGGACTCTTCAAACTTGCCATGTTTACGCAGGCATGATCCGATACTGCCACCAGAGATGTATTCAAGGAAAATACTGATGCTGGTTTCCTTGCGTTCGCAACCAAGATATTGAACAATGTTGACGTGGTCAAGATGTTGCATGGTGTCGATTTCGCGATCCAGCGCAGCCACCATTTCCTTCATCTTGGCCTTGTCACCGTTGGCAGCCTTGGCGTTGACCTCGACTTCCTTGACGGCCAAGAATTCACCAGTAGTGGCATTCATACCGAGGTAGACTCGGCCGTACGTTCCTTTTCCAATGAGCTGACCCTTGAACCAACGGAACGTCGTTTGGCGTTTAGGGATGTTGTTTTGTGGCGGCGGAGGCATAATCATACTACCGCGTCGATCTGGTTCAATCTGCACAATTGTCGCGTTGAACATCTTTGTGCTTGGGCGGCGAACGATGCTACCTCCTTTGTTTAGTCCTTGGGACATTCTTGTATATCTCTTATTTGCCTCGTGTGCACCACGTGCAACTTCACGAATGGACTTCATCCGGTTCAAGCCACCAGACCGTCGGATGCTCTTCTGGGCATAAATGGATCCATGCGAAGATGACGGTCTGTCAGAGGCCTTGAGAGTTGACTCATCCGACCCGAGGGTATCTGCCTCCCCATAGAGAGAAAGCTGGCGCGACGGACGCGGAACGTGGCTAATGGAATCTTGGTTGGGTCCCTGAGGAGGGCCGAATTGATCAGGACTATCCTCTTCTTTGATAGGGGACGGTACAAAGTCACCGCGTCCGTCGTCTTCAAATACTGGCTCATCAAGATCAAGGTTAGGGAAGAAGTCATCGAGGTTGCTCAATAGTGCGTCAGTAGGGGGACGATTTGCCCAAACATCCTTTTCAATAAACGACCCCATTCGAACGAGTTGTGAGTCTCCACCAGGTGTTCTGGGGTTAGAAGCTGGTCGGGAGATGCCGTCGTTAATGCTATCAAGCCCACCAGGACTAGATTTTGGCGGTTGGAAGGAGACAACTCGTCCCTTTTGCTTTGCCTTGGCGGGTGGCTGTTTAGCTCGACCTGGAATAGCAATAGCAAAGAGGCCTTCATCAGAATCATCGTCACTATCTTGCCCTGTCGCTCCATTTAGGCTAGGCCCAACCGAGCTTGGGCTGAGTTCTGATGATACTGCTGGTGGTAGATCCACCGTCTCCAACTTGGGAACAGGTTCAACCTGGCTAGGCTGCGGGATAGGGGTGCCACCTGGCGAATAGTCTGGCACTGCGAATGGCATATTGCCGCTGCTCCAAGTTACGTTGCGATGAGGGGCGAATCCCAGTACGGGGCTCTCAGCGCCATCAAATCCATCCATGTGATTATTTGAAGACGATCGCTTGGCTTGTGCTACAGCTGCGTTGAGAGGTGGTCCTGTTCGAGTGCCAGTGAGCCCAAGGCCACGAGCCGGGGGTACATTCGGAGCTGACGTAGCACCATGTCTGGTAAATTTACTTTGTAGCGTGTCAGACTCCTTGGGATGTCTTGCACTAGGGACCCCGTCGTTCGCGCCGTCAGAGTATCGAATGCTCTTACCACCGACGTGAGGCTTTCTGCTCAAGGAATTCGCCTTGATCAATGTTGCCGATGGGTCGCTGGGTGGTGCAGGCGGTTTACGCTGAGGTCTGAGTGTATCAGCTTGACCCTTCTCCTTGATAAAGCTGGGTGGGCGGTTGTCAAAGTCAACAGTTCTTGTTCCATGGATGCTTACTCCATTGTTGAGAGTAGGGCTACTTGAGTTGGCCTGCTTCTTTTTGGCAATGTAGTCTTGCTGTTGCTTCATCAACTTTTCTTTGTATTCGCGACCTTCTTGCTCTATATCTCTGGGCCCAGCAGAGTTGGGTGTAGATAGCGAGCTGCCTGGAGACGATGCCGACTTTTGACGGTCGTGACCATGCAGTCTATCATATGTGTCATCATCCCGCCCGGGTATTCTGGGCGAGTTCGCGAGGACAGCATCAGCCCTAACCATCGGGCTCGTCCCGCCGTGGGGATTAATAAAGAACTTTGGAGTCGAGCCACTCTCAAACTCATTCTTCAGTGTGAGGAGTCGTCCATCGTCTAGGGCCTCCTTATGATCGAATTTACCAAGTTCTGTCGCATAAATAGCAGCTTGTTGAAAGTCGGACAGCCCCAGGTTTAGGCAAACGGCGTGGCGAATATCCGTAGCTGTCTCAGTTTCGGTAATATCGCACATTCTAAAGTTCCAAAAGTCTAGCGTAACGAGCACATATGTTCGCTTGCCTGTCACTCCAGCTACGCCAGCTGAACGGGGGATGCCGTAGTCGGTGGTACTACCATGAGAGCCTTTTGGAGCATGGCGAGGAGAGGGTGGGTAATCTGCGCGAGTTGGCGAAGACATACTTTCGTCTTCTTTATTCTTCTTAAACTGTGACATGATAGTGCGGAAAGTATGAGGATGTTTGTTATTTGAGAATCGCTCAGAAGTCTCGGAGGGTGATTGCCGTGACGTTGATACACCGAGCATTTCGCCCATGCTGTTGTTGTGGAGCATGTTTGCGGCGTCTGCAGGCACACCGGAGCCGTATATGGCAGTATTTGAAGAAACTGAATCGACGCTATTTCGTGATCGATGAGAGAATTTGGCCGAACTTGGTGAATTCGCAGAGGCGGGGCCATTGGTGTTTGTGTGTAACAGAACAGGACTCCCGTTTGGGCTGGCAACTCGATCCGCAGCACTTCGAAGCGGTTTGCTATCATACAGATCCCCTGCAGTTGGACTACCCTTGGGAAGTCCGTCTGATTCGGACTGTTTTAGGCCCATGCCGCGATTGCTATCGCTAATCGGTATATTCTTCAAGGATGGCATTGTTGTAGCTCGAATTTGAGACAATTGTCGAGTGGCGAAGCTAGGGCCTGGTGCATTCAATGGTGTCTAGTCAATGTTAGCGAACAAACATATTTCGTGGGAAGAATGTCCCGAAACGTACATTGGGTGACTCTGCAGGTTCAGTACCTGCGCTCACATTAGAGCCAGTGACGGAATTGTTACGTACGTGGCTGCTAACCGTGTGAACCGGGTCAACGGGCAAGCCAGCAACAATACCACGGATCAACCGTCGCATTCGTTTGCCTTCTTCGCGTTCAACAGACTGATCCCAGACGACTTGGGCATGTACGCACTCGATAGCGAGGCGAGGATAGACTTGCTTATGCATTATGCCTAGATTGCCACGGCCAGCGTTTTTACTGCCAAGTTCCAGAAAGACAGCGCCATGGAGGTTGAGGCTCATGAAGGTATCCTGCCACTGTTTCGAGAAGTTGTTTTGCGCGAGCCACATGATGACTGTGTCAAGCGACCACTGGGACGCCAATTCCTGGGGAATTGTGTGGGTTGACCTATCGCTTCCCGCGATGGACTCTCGCGCTTTACCAGCCGCTATACCATAAAACCGCTCTCGCGAATCGTCGGGCATGGTGTGGTTGGCCATCTCATTCTCATCGGAACCGAGGCCTGGAATACCGACGCCTTCGCCATACGCGTCCAGTCCAGTCGGGATATATGTTGCGCTCATGCCCATGCCCGGGTTGGCCATTTGCGCGTGAGCCTTCGGGTTATAGGCAGCGTGGTGGGAGGTAGCTTGCGGTGGCTGCATCGTGCCGAAGCCTGGGCGCGGGTTGTACATTGGGCCGTAGACGTTTTGCCAGTGCTGGGCCAAGTTGCTGCCAGGTGGGTGGCCGGGTGGATGACCGGGTGGCGGAGGCAAGTTGACGACAGTCGGGGTGTTGGGCGCGGTCGGGAATCGTGGAGGAGGAGGAGGGATATGAAGCATGGAGCCCATGTGCTGCTGCTGCTGGCCTTGCATAGGTGGTGACATTGGCGGAGGCGGAGGGTACTGCCGTGAGGGATCATTGCCCGAGACATGTCTTTGACCGCCTTGATACATGATGGGCGGGCGTTTGGTAGGCAGGCGCAGGCGGCCGCCGTTAAAATTAGAATAGTATGATGGATGGAACGACGGCTGGCGTTAATGGGTATTGGAGGCGGAAAAAGAAACGAAAGAATCGGGCCGGTGATCGGAATGTGCGGGCCACGTTGCTGAAGGGAGGCCGACGCCAGCGAGACCAAAGCTGGAAAAGGAGGCGGATGATGGAGATTCGAGGATCAAGGTGATAGACGGCGGGTGGTGATGGTGGAAGAAGGAGAGACGGAAAATAGGGCGAACGGGCGATGAAGGCTGCGGAGGAGACAAGAGAATACGAAGTGGTCGGCAGTGGTGGGAGGAGAGCCTGCGCTGCGGGCGGGATTCCCACGCCAACGCCCATGGGCAAACTGAGGCTGGGGCGCTGGGCAAGGCTGTCTGCCCACCCACAGCACCACCCACCGCGACGCTTCTCAGGGCGATTAGTGGCTCCCATCAGCGCTTTGGGTCAAACTTTCAGCGGGGCCTTCAGAAGCCTGTTCGCCGGGATTTCCGTTTTTGGACGCCACCTCTACGGCCGTCGGCAGGCCAGAGTGCTGATTGTGTTGGGTCTCACTAATAGGGCAGCACAATAAAAGCATTAAACCCCGCAGGAAAACAGTGCGCTCATACCTCTGTGGCTCACATTCACTTGTAATCGCCATCGCCACGACAGCATTGTTTACAACCGTACCCGTCCTAAGCTACCGGCTAAAGTGGAGATGGCGTGGAAGTTCTGCGCATAAACAAGAGGTCGGGTATGCCGAACGTCAATGCATAAACGGTGTCTTGTCTCCATATTGGACTGCCAACAACTCCTCGAAGCTATCAAATATCTTTTGCATTGCTGCAAACAAGCTTTGAAGCTTTTGTTGCTGTCTAAATGTCGGCATTTACCAAAAACCGACAGTGCCAGCGGTCAGCACACTGTCGTACCCAACCTCACCAATTAGAGACCAGTCTAAGCGCTGTGGCTGCAGCAGAACACACTTCATTACCTATTGTGGATGGCCAACATTGCAGCTCAGATAGCTGTTTGATAGTTATTTACTGCATCCTCTCAGACTGCCTTATCAAATAAATTTTCATGTCTTATTTGCAAAGTATGCTCAAGTCATGTGTTCCAACGGATGTAAACATATACATTGTCTGGGTATTATGTATGCTTTCTCAAAACTATGGATGTGAAACGTCAAAACCAGTTGCGAAACGAGCAGCCACTAACTACATAACAGTGCAGCTATTGTAACCTTGCTGGCATTGTTCCAAGTAGCCAGCATCTTCAGCGGTTCCCTCTAGAGTGCTGTGATTCCTCATCTCGCCCTTGATAGACAGCTCGTTGTCACCTGCTGGGTGCCACCATCGCAATCTTTGCAGAGATGTACCTTCTTCTTCGTCAAAACTGACTTCCCATTTGCCTGCAGATACTGTAACATCAAAGTTGTCCTTGGGGAAGTGAAACTCAGGCAAAATGACAATCGTAGGGGCATCCTCTGCAGCTGGCTTTGATGCTCGAACTTTCAGGTTATATACACACTTGCGCATATCGAATCCTGCGCTAATAGTGTTGCCTGCCACTACAGTGGCTGTTGGGCGGATAAATGCCTCGGCCGAGCGGTATCCCGGGGCGTTTGTGAGTTCAGGGTCTTTGAGTGAAGGTGTAGAGCTGATGGACGGGTTGGTTAAAGTTCGGTGAATATTGCCCGGCGTGATGCTACCTTCGTCGATAGAAGCATTAACCTTGAGCAGATTAGACGAGCTTGAATGCTGCTTAGGCAAAGCTGGCGTCGGAGGTAGCTTGTCGTCAATTGAGAAGATCGAGAGGTCTTCACCGTTCCACTGGTCGCCTCTTGCGTGATCATTGATGGCACAGTATACCCAGAGACAGTGTCCCTCCATACCTGAACCTTCAGCAGCAAAGTAGTTGGCGTCAAGTGCAGCGGTTTGGCTGGCGTAGTTACCAGTCTTGTAAGCTTTCTTATCATCCATATCGTATGGGATGCCGAATTCGGTCATTAAGCAAGGGTGAACACCAGTACGGTCAATACCTTCCTGTCTCAAAGTCGCCAACTGCTCGCGCAGGCAGTTTCTAATAGCTGTTTCGCCGATTTTGATGGCAAAGGCGGGATGAAGATACTTCCCTCTCAATACACCAACAACATCGACGTTCCAAGTGCTATTCCAGTGTTTTGTCATTAATGTAATGCCGTCATAAAAATGTGGTGTAAAGGCCATGAGAGGGTCGTCGTCTTTGGTGCCTTTGATCTGCGGAGGAAGCTCCAATGTGGGATACTGCATGAGCATGATGCAATCTTTGTGGTGGCTTCGGCAAGAGTCTTTATACCGCCTCCAGAAGTCCATAAAATATGTGTCGGTAAAGTTGGGATAGTCAATCGTCTTGCCAGTTCGCGGGTTTTTAGCAAAATAATCTTTCTTTAGCACTGCATCAGCTTTCATATCCCACACACCATGCTGGGCCCAGATACACTCTCCCAGCTTCCACTGGGGATCACGCTTCCAGCCATACTTTGTGTCATCGTAGTCAGCTGGTAGCCAGGCGATTTCGCCTTTAGGATCGATTAATGTTGTTCCGGTTTTATAAGGGCCCAGACCACCCATTTCCCAGGTCTCGATTTCGCAGGCTCTGCCCATGCCGGTCAAGAAAGTCTGCCACATGGTAGGACATGTGCCTTTCTTCAGAGGGTGCTCCTTGGGAATAACTGTAATGTCTTGATATCCAACCATACCACGGTTGGGCTCATTCATACTTTCCCATCCGATAACGACCTCATTTTCCAAATCGCCAGCCTCGTGGATACGTTTGGCGAGATGGGCGCAGGCATTCACGAAGTGTGTTTGCAGATAATCTTGGATATTGACACCATCGATGATGCACTTGGGTGCAAAATCCTTGCCGGCAAAGAAGAGTGTAAAGATCGTACCGGCTGCGAGGCGGAAGTAATTGGTAGACCAGATCATTTTAGGGAATGAATCCGGATCGTGGTATGTGTTTTGAACAATTGCAGCTTCTGTGGCAGCAAAGTTGTGAGGGTTGAGGCCGCAGGCGTAGATTGTCCACATTGGTGCACCCGAACCTCCGGTAAAGCGCGACCATACATCCTGATGGGGGTCCATGAAGATGTAGAAGCCGTAGGACTTTGCTATTCTCAGAATCTCAATGGTATGCTGGATGAACTCTTCGTCATATTTTCCAGGACCAGCAGCTTCGATGGCTTCCCATGTAAACAGGTATCGGATTGTGTTGAAGCCATATCGTTTAAGGCGGGCAAAGTGCGTCGGGGCATTTTCCTTTGTGAACGGTCGCTCGTGGAACTTGACGTTGTCGCCGTCGAAGAAGTTGTCGGAGATGTGGGATGGTGTATCGGGATTACTAGGCAGCTTCATCTCTCCGGCGACGTTAATACCGCGGAGGACGACCTGACGTCCATGGTTATCACGGAACTGTCCGTCCTCGATCGTTAATCGGAATGCCATGATGGCGGGGGGGAAGGTTGATCGACTAGCAGCGGTGGCAGAGGGCAGAGAGTGGCGTTGGGAGACTTGTATTCGCAGTGACGGTGGAAGTCTGATCGTCTGCTGTGTAGGTGAGTGCAGAGTCAATAATTATGGGCGTCAAGAAATTCCAATAGATCAAAAAAGCATGGAGCTGCGCCTGCTGTAGTTTTGTAAGATTATCCGGGGATGGAGCACGGGGGATGGTACGTCTCGGAAACGCCGTAGCGGTGCTAAACTCCACGAATGGAATGCGACATCGCCCACACACCTGACGCCGGTCATCCGCTTGGTCTGAATGGACGTATTCGTATTGTTCGGGCCGAAACTCCGGGGGCTTGCGACGTCGATAATGGATATGGTTTTATGGCTTGCTTCACGGATATTTCGTATACTTCGCTTTTGATTCAATTTTTGTTTTTCCGTTTTGCACAAAAACTATTTGGCCAGTTACTCGAGTCTTGACAATTCGATAATGACGACATGCGCTGTGGCGATCCCAGCGTAGCGAGGCTTGGTTCGCTGTGGCCACTAAAGCGATGAGCGCATGATTCACAGCCGCCACCATACGAAGATTCTAAACTTTAAAAAGGCGTTGAACTGTATAGAATAAAATTATTACAACATATCTTATTTTAAGTAAACTAGTTTTCTCGGCAATGCCCACGCTGCCACTCTCACCCGATATTCCAACTGATGGGTGTTTGTCAACGGAGAATCCCCGGGTGGGCCCCGCTACAGCCGCTTCCCGACAGCTAGAACTGTTAAAAGTTGTCTTCGACCAGCTCGCTGCCAACTGCAATTGACTCTGGTTGGGCGATACACCACGAATTAGCTTAACTTTGCACGACGTCTACCGCTTCCTCAGATACTCGTGGTAGCAGAAAACCCATACATAATGCAGGGCACCAAGTCACCACTCTAAAACTACACGAAGACAGCTCTCAACCCCGCGTCACCCCTCCATTCACCTCCTCCTCCCATATAAACAGCTGCTGGAGAGAACACAAAGAGAGCCACGATGTCGAAAGCCGCTCTAAAAGCCATAAACGAAGCTGTTAAACAGCAAAAGTTTGACGATGTCATCAAGAAATCGAGAGAACTCGTCCAAAGTGATTCGAACAGTTACCAAGGGTATGCAGCACCCCACTACAGCCCTGGCTTTGCACGCAAACGCTGACCTTGCCTAGATATATATTCTTAGCCTTTGCGTTAGACAAAAAGGACATCGCGGACGAAGCAGAAGTTGCATACAGAAAAGCCACAGATTTAAAGCCCCAGGATGCTCAAGCCTGGCAGGGCCTAGTCAAACTGTTTGAGAAACAGGGCGCTAAAAAGCTCGGCGAGTACCAACACGCAGTCATAAATCTCGCCCAAATATATAACGAAGCCGACGATTTATACAAGTCTCAGGATGTTGTCGACAAGTTTGTCGACTTTGCCAAGCTGAATGGAGATAAGCTACAATATGCCGATGCACTTTGGATCCGGCTACCAGAAAGCCCTCTGTATTCGATTCTGGAAGGCCGATTTCCTGCTCCGGCAAAGACATACGAAAGCATAGCGCTTATAATCGAAGATTTCGAAAAGAAGAAGATCAAAGCCTTAATTGGTGAACGCCGAACCCGTCTTGGAGCTAGAATTAGCGAAGTTACTTTGGAGGCAAAGCGCGAAGTCTACGGTCAAAGCAAGCTGGAACACCTTTTCGGGCAGATTATTAACTGGACTAGTGATGACGAGCTTCGTCGCAGTTACGAAGAAAAGCTTCTTCAATATTGCTACGACCGTCTCCTAACGTACGCTGCAGGCTCGACAAAGGATCAAGAACGCCGAAAGGTCTATGGCCTAGCCAACGATATGGTTGTTATCAATCATCCGTTCAAGTTAGCCTGGGATATTGCCATCAACTGGCAGGACAACAAGGAAATTAAAGAATGGGATGTTGAGCGCCTCCGCGCCTATTGTGGTTTCTTCCCAGAGAGCGACACCTACAAGATTATCACCGCGTTTCTCACGAGCCCCCAGTCGCCTTTTCCAGAACCTAAGAGCGCACCTCCTCCAGTCGCAGATGACGACTCTGACAGTGACGATGATGACGATGGTGGCGGCGTTTCGACCTCGATAGTACCTTTGAGTGAGGAGGACCGGCTTATCATGATGTCAGAGGGCATCGCCGGGTCAGAATCCATGGTTGGATACAGATTGGTTGGCCAATATTTCCTTAGTATTGGGGAATATGAGAGTGTCGTTGAGCTAATGCGAAAAGCCATCGCATATATTCAACGAGAGAAAACAAGAACCGGCCAAGCAGTCGAAAATACTGCGGATGCTTATTCGCTGTGTCTTGGCACAGCATTGGTTTACTTCCAGTCACCCAGACACCACGCCGAGGCAAAGACTCTCTTTGAAAAGGTTCTCGAACGCGATGCCACCTATACTTCCGCCTTGATCGGTGTAGGCTTGATTTTCGAGGAGGAGGAAGACTTTGACCAGGCAGTTGAGTTCTTTGACCGTGCCTTGAAGCGTGATCCTGGAAACCTACGCGTCAAATCAGAGGCTGCTTGGGTGAAGGCACAGCGCGGAGAGTGGGACATTGCCAAGGATGAACTAGGCGCTTGTATAAATGAGCTCGAGAAGCAAAAGAACCCCGACAGAGAACTTCTGGCCGACTCCCAATACCGATTTGGATCATGTATCTGGAATCTAGATACCAGCAAACAAGCAAGGAAGCAAAGGAAAGGAGAGTGTTCGTATGCGTATTGGTTGGCGGCCCTCAACAACAACTTGAACCATGCACCAACATACACAAGCCTTGGAGTTTTCTATAACGATTACGCAAAGGACAAGAAGCGTGCCAGGCGGTGCTTTCAAAAGGCATTGGAACTGTCGTCATCCGAAGTGGTTGCCGCTGAGCGTCTAGCGAGGTCCTTCGCCGAAGACGGTGACTGGGATAGGGTTGAACTTGTTGCACAACGTATCGTTGATTCTGGCAAAGTCAAACCACCTCCTGGTTCAAAGCGCAAAGGTATCAGCTGGCCGTTCGCCGCGCTTGGTGTCGCTGAGTTGAATAAGCTTGATTACCATAAATCGATTGTATCGTTTCAGTCAGCGTTGCGCATATCCCCAGAAGACTATCATTCATGGGTTGGACTAGGAGAAAGCTACCACAATTCAGGACGATACATTGCTGCCACCAAAGCAATTCAAAATGCTCAGAAATTGGAAACGGACAACGCCGATGCTACTTCTGACACGTGGTTCACGAAATACATACTAGGTAACGTTAAGCGCGAGCTTGGCGAATTCGACGCAGCTATCGAGCTCTACCGATCTGTCATTGCAACCCACCCTGAAGAAGATGGTGTTACCATTGCGCTGATGCAGACTATGGTTGATAATGCACTGGTTTGTGCAGAGGAGGGCCAGTTTGGCAAGGCTGCCCAGCTCGCCAGCGAGACAATTGAGTTTGGAAGGTCCACGAGCGAGGCTGTTCGTGTAGCTTTCAACTTTTGGAAAAGCATAGCCGACGCTGCCTCTGTCTTCTCGGCAGTCCAGAGTCATGGATCCGACTTGCCCGTCGAAGCACTACGGCATTTACTCAGCGATGGTCCCGATGCATTGGCGACATTAGCCGAAGTTGACAAAGTAACCACTGATGTAGTTTTTGCCAAGGGTATCTACGCTGGTGATGAGCAGCCAGGCATTGCGCTGACATGCAGCCTGCATGCAACCATCCTCTGCCACAAGAAAGCGATTCACGTCTCTTCAAATGACCAGCATGCGCAAGCCGTTGCCTTTTACAACCTTGGATGGGCCGAGTACAGAGCTCATTCATGCTTACCGGTCACCCTGCGCAAGAAGTCAAGCAACTACTCCAAAGCTGCTGTCCGTGCCTTTAAGCGTTCCATTGAGTTGGAGACTGGCAATTCTGACTTTTGGAATGCCCTGGGTGTTGTTACCAGCGAGATTAACCCGGAGGTAGCCCAGCATGCCTTTGTTCGTAGCCTACACATCAATGAGAGAAACCCAGCAAGCTGGACTAACCTGGGTATTTTGGCTCTTCTCAACACCGATCTCAAGCTCGCCAACGAAGTCTTTACTAGGGCTCAGTCCACCGATCCGGATTACGCGCATGCCTGGCTCGGCCAAGGCCTTGTGGCCCTCTTGCACGGCGATGCAAAGGAAGCCCGAGGACTGTTCACCCACGCCATGGAGATTGCAGAGGCCACGTCCATCTCGTCTCGTCGACACTACCCCTCCTCTCTCTTTGACCATATTTTGACCATGCCTGCGAACATGACTGTTGCATCGCTGATCCAGCCGCTCTTTGCCCTCAACCAAGTACAATCGATGCGCCCCGAAGACTTTGCATCTAGCCACTTGGCCGCTTTATACCTGGAGCGCACGCGCGACAGCTCTCGGGCCTCATCTACACTACAGACAATCTGCAACGATCTAGAGACGCAGTACGAGCAAACGGAGTCGGCAGAAAGTCTTGCCAAGTTTACAATGGCCAAGATCGACCTAGCCCGCGCATACCTCGCTGCTAAATCCTACACTGAAGCCATTGAATGCGCCGAGACAGCCCTCGGACTAAGCAGCGATGAACAAGACAGCGAGCTTTCACGCGATCAACGCCACAAAGCCCGCCTATCCGCCCACCTGACGATGGGCTTGGCCCAGTATTACCTAAAGAGCTATGACGAAGCCGAGCAGTGTTTCCAGTCTGCCCTCGAAGAATCCGACAACAACCCGGATGCCACGTGTCTCTTGGCCCAAGTTCTCTGGGCCCAAGGCACGGAGGACAGCAAAGAAAAAGCACGAACCGCGCTCTTCGAAGTCATCGAAGCACACCCGTCGCATGTGCAAAGCGTTCTACTGCTCGGTGTGATTGCGCTCCTTGACCAGGACGAAGGCAGCATCGAGGCCGTCACGGAGGAACTGCAGACACTGCGTACTAAAGATACTGTCACATCTACAGAACACTCCCGCATCGGCGAGGTGATGCGCGCCATGGCCGGCCTAGGCGAAGGCAAATCGCCGCAGGACATGCTCGAGCAGACACAGACGGACATCATGCTGCACCCATATCTCCCGCACGGCTGGTCCGCTCTATCGCAGACCAAGAGCGACGCCTACCCTGCCGACATGGCTCTCACGGTAGCTAAGCGCGGCATTCCCCCTCGCGGCCAGCTCGAGGCCCAGGACCTAGCCAAGACGTACGCAGGTACCGGCAAGATTGGCGATGCCCAGCGCGCGGCCTTCATGGCACCATGGGAAAAGGCAGGATGGTCATCTCTCGAGACAGCGGCCAAGGTTCTACAGTAAAAGCAACACAAAGCAAGCATATTCACTCATGACTAGACCTTTTTGTACATATACATAGCAAACAATCAAACCACATTATATATAAACGCCATAACTCCTCATACTTCGTGACACTCCCTCATCTATCTCTCATCTCACTCTTTACCCTTTTCTACATCCTCTTTCAACTTCTTCAAACGCCCCGTAGTCCACGCATCATGCCACTCATCAACCTTCCCCCCCAAAAACACCACCTTATCCGGCTCCAACAGTAGACTCCCCCGAGCAATCACCATACCCGCCCTCAACAGCAACTTCTCTCCAATACACGTCTTGCCCACTGCTATCCGCTGTATCCTCGTCGTTTCTACCGCATACGCCCTTTGCCCCTTACAATCCTGCACCACGAGCCTATGCGTCGCATTCCACGCAGCGGGAGCTTGCTGCTGCATCGACGTGTTGTTGGCGTCGTCCTCGTCGGCCGTCACCCGAATCACATGTCTCCCGCGCGTCATCTCGCCGCGCTCAATGGCCTCCAGCTCCTCAATCTGCTCCCACTTGCTCTGTGCGAGATTCTCCACGTCCAGAATCTGCACATGGACGGGCTTGGCGAGCCTGGCTTCGTCGACGCGCGCGTCGCCTGCTGTGGCGGGGAGACAGGGCACAGACGCGTCGATGAGGGCTGGGATGCTGGAGGAGAGGTCGCAGGCGAGGATGCGGCTTTTGGCGGTGGCCACGAGCGAGGTTAGCGGCGGTGGAGGGCTTCTGGTGGCTGTGATGCTGTTGAGGAATTCGGCGGATGGGGTGGGGAGGTTCTGGGACACGAGCGACGTGCGTAGCTGCGACTCTAGCTCCATGGTTGGATGTTGATTTGTATTTAGTGCTCTCTTTTCTGATATTTCAGTTGATTTTGGTCTGGTTGGAAAGTCGAGTTTTTCGCTAACCACTGCTTGTGGTGCGTGGAGGAGTGTAGTTGAGGTTGAGATCACCAGTGTGGAGTTCTAGCACAAGTTACGCCCACCACTATCAATAACATCATATATACGAGCCTGAGGGCCCATAATGGTTTATTAACAAAGAGAATAACCTACGGCATAATTAATCACATTGTGAATTGTTTTTATAACTGTATGTATTCGTGGTTTGTTCGCACGATGTGCATATACAACATATTTAGAAATCTATGTGCAGGGAAGAAACACCCAGTGCCCTGTCTATACTCCTCACTCTACATTTTTTGGTCTTCTCTAGCGCAAATGTTTCCATTTACCATGCAGCCTTAGCGATCCAGCCGTGAGGATTCTTGCGGACCCAGAATCTTCTGGCCTCATCAATGAGAATGATGTACATGCCAAAGGCAAACGGAAGGAAGAAGTATTCAACGGGGACGGCGGCAGTAATAATGACTTGCTGAATGGCAGGGGGGTACAGCCAGAGGAAGATCATGAGCAGAGCAAAGATCATAGCAGGGAACAGGTACAGGTTCTGCGTGGCTTTGTTCAGGATGGGAGGATGCTGGAAGATACTCAGTCTGCGGCATCGAGTAGCCATGAGGTTGAACCACTGCATGACAACCAAGTTGACAAAGTAGATAGATGAGGCTTCGGTAAGCTTCTGGTTGTAGTAGTCTTCGGTGACGTAGTCGGGAATCTTGCCAAAAGAGAACCACAAGTCCTTAAAGGCAATGCCGTTGCGCTCGAGGTACCAGTAAGACATGGCAAACGAGGCAAGCGTCTCAGTCATACCAATAATACCGTAGGCCTGGAAGATGAGCTGCCAGTTGACGAGACGATCCTTCTTGACGTTGCGAGGGCGGCGGAGAAGGACATCAGCTTCGGGCTTTTCGTAGGAGAGCACAGTTGCGGCGCAACAATCAGTGAAGCAGCTAAGAGACGTTAGTAACAAGGCGCATAGGACCGAGTAAGTAATAGGCGACATACCAAATGACAATCATAAGGAAGGAGGACAGGATCTGAGGAAGACCAAAGACGACGTTGGTGATGACGGGCCAGAACTCAGAGAAACTACCGGCAGGAAGCAAGTAGGCAATGACTTTCTTAAGGTTGTCAAAGACAACACGACCATACTGAACGGCGACGACAACGGAAGAAAAGGTATCAAGCAGAACCATGTCGGCGGCCTCCATAGCAATGTCTGAACCACTGCCAAGGGCAATACCAACATCGGCAGCCTTAAGTGATGGAGCATCGTTGACACCATCGCCAGTCATGGCCACGACATTGTTCTTTTGGAACTCGCGGACAATGCGAAGCTTTTGCTCGGGGGTGGTTCTAGCGAAGACAATCTCTTCGTACTGGGTAAGCACCTCCCACTGGTGGTCGCTAAGGCCTGTGAGTTCGGAACCAGAGATGACGATAGCGCCGCGAGAAAGGCGGGCGCCCTGTTTGTCGGAGTCGGAGTCATTTTGGATAGAAGCAGAGTCGGGGTAACGCTCAAGGTGGGAAACAGAGTCGACGTGGGTGCAGGTCACGATACCAGCATCGCGGGAGATGGCGAGAGCAGTCAAGCCAAAATCACCAGTGACCTGTAAATATTAGCATGGCTGTTTTGACAAAAGGAGACAATAATTACTAACCATTGCGATACGAATACCAGCATTGCGAAGGGTAGAGACGACTTGGGGGATTTCGGGACGGAGGGGATCAACAATAGCAACCAGGCCAACAAGGGTCAGGCCAGTCTTTGAGAACTCAAGCATAGCATTTTCGAACTCAGTAGTCTCTGGGGCAAAGACAATCTCGGTAGAACGGATAACCTTGCGGGCGAGCAAGATACATCTCTTACCCTGCGATGAGTAGTTGGCCTTGATACGTTCAAAGTTGGCAAGCGCAGCGGCATCCATGGGCATAATGTCACCGTTGGAGGTCAGGTAGTTGGAGCATCGGCCAGAAATGATATCTGGCGCACCCTTGATGGTCAGAAGCCTTTGTATGGTCAGTAAACGCTATCATGATGTCGGGTTGCACACTTACATGTCACGGTCTTCAAATGTAGAGGCTTCGCTAGCGGGAAGAGTGTTTTGCAGAGCATCGCGACGAGAAATGGTGAAGCAGCGAATCATGAACTTGTTCTTGCTGTTAAAAGCCAAATCGAACACCTTTTGCCAGCAGCCACGGTAGTAACCAACGTTGCCACCGACAAGGGACTCAGAAAAGCGGAGGATGGCAGTATCAGTGGCATCACCAAAGATGTTACGCTGGGCAAGAGGAACATCGGCCTGGGCAGCATCAAGCTCGGCAGCGTTGCAGAGTGCAGCCATAGCAGCAACCTGGGGCAGAGTTGGGACCTTCTTTTCTTCCTTGTCATCAAGTGAAGCGACAGTGAAGCTGTGGCTTCCGATGGTGCAGTCGGTCAGAGACATCTTTCCCTGAGTGAGGGTACCAGTCTTGTCGGAGCAAATCATGGAGACAGAGCCAAGAGTCTCCACAGTCTTGAGAGACTTGCAAAGAATCTGGTTCTTCTTCATCATGTTGGCAGTGATGGTGAGGCCGGCGGTAATGGCGATGGGAAGACCTTCGGGGATGAAAGCGACGGCAACACTGACACAACTGACAATGAGGGCACTGACAGAGATGAAGTCAGGGTGGTCACGACGAAGCCAAGCACCCCAGACAACCAGAACAACAGTGATCATGGTAATCATGATACCGCAAATGAAGAGGACAAAGTACAGGACTTCGCGCTCGAGAGTCGTCATCTTGGTCTTGGGCTCGTTGGTAAGGGTGGCAATGCGACCAAAGACGGTTTTATCACCAGTGGCGACCACAATACCAATACCAGTACCGATAATACAGTGTGTTCCCTGAAGACCAATGTTATGCGTCTCGAGGTAGTTTTCATCTGTATGTTGGACAGTGGCTGGGACAGGGCGCGACTCGCCAGTCAGAACGGAGCGATCAAACTTGGCATCCGACGAAATCTGGATAAATCGCAGATCAGCAGGCAACTTATTGCCTGCCTTGATGGAGACAACGTCACCGGGGACGAGTTGCTCAGCGGGGACGTGGACCATTTTGCCTTCGCGAATGACCTGGGACTGCTCTGGGAGCATGTCCTTGATGGATGACATGACACGGGATGTAGACCAATCTTGGAACATGTTGAAACCGGCTTGAATGAAGAAAACCGCAAGAAGGACGATGGCGAGAGCCTAGAAACGCGTTAGAATGGGATAAAAAACCAGCGTCCACAGAAGACCTACCAAGTTGGCGAGCTGTGGGTTAGGAAAGCCGAGAGGCTCCCAAGAAATGAAGACAAGAATACTGCCGACAAGCAGAATACCACCGAAACCCTTGAAGAAGTATCCAAAGATAGTCCAGAAACGATTTGTCTTGGGTGGTGAGGGCGCATTGCGACCATACTCAACCTGGCGTCTCTTGACCTGCTCGTCTGATAGACCCTGGGTTGAGGAGGTGGTCAAGCGAGAGGCAACATCAATGGCGGATAGTGTGTGCCATTCGAGCTCACCGAGGTCTTTGGCGGTGGTGTTGGCAGCCTTGATCGCCTCGGCGCGCTCCTTGCCCTTGGATTCTTCAATGTGGAAAGAGACGGTGCGGTATTGAATAGGCAAAGTGACGGCTGGGTCGACAGGACCACGCGAAGAAGCACGGCGAATAGCCATAGATTCCGTAGAATTGGCTCTGCTCCTGCTTCGGTCGCGCGAAAGGGCGAGGGCCCTGCCGCGGGCCTCTTCCTCGTCGCCCCAGCGGATTCTCTCAGGGTCCTTCTCGGGGGCCATGTTTGGCAAACAAGGGCTTTAACAGCGCCAGGTGAAAAGGGAATGAAGAAGGAAAAGTAGTGAAACACTAGAAGAAGGGGAAGAAGGACGAGAGACGCAACGGGCTGGTAGGCTCTAAGACTACGAAGGAGGATGGGCGCGAGACATTATATCCTATCTGCGGGCGCTTACACGGCTGAGCACGAGCACGTCAATACCAAGCGGCGGGTTCGCAGCCCTCTTTTTTTGCGCTGAACAAAATGACCAATAAATGAGCATGACTCCGCTCACTAGCTCGTTCTTTCAACGGCGTGGCGGCGTGAATTCAGCCGTTGGGAGAAGGAGACGGCGCTCCTATCAAACAAAGCAGGCTGTGCTGACGGCCAGGTGGTTGGCTGCTCATGCTGGAGGAGAAGCAGGGTGGAAAGCAGATGATATTAGTGGTGCGATTGCGCGCGGAACTCCCTGAATGGGACAGTATGGGACGGGCACGAGCCCCGTGCAGGTTGTCTAGGGATATCAGAAAGCAGGTATCAACACTGGCTCTCTGGTATGCGCCATATACTCGCCATAGGTCAAGGCAGGACAAGGACGGCGCCTAGCTCGGAAGGGAAACCGATCAGCGACGTGGCGCTGCGGGGCCCAGGGTTTCGAAAAGGCTTATTTCGCATGGCTTGCAGGCGAGCACGAGCATCGACGCGAAATGGGGTTGGGAGGCACGCGGGCGCCGGGAGTCCGCGGCCAGACGCCATTTTGGTGTGAACTATGATGTAAGAGGCGGAAGGTGGGCACGGGCTCATCACCGGCGAGACACATTGTCACGTTCGATCCAGACCAGTCGATGGGTCTCTTGAACGGACAAGGGGAAATGGCGCATATTGGATTGGTCGAAGCGGTGGAGGAGGCAATCAGCTAGCCTGAAAGAGAGAAGAGCAGAGGTTTTGTCTGGCAGGCGGTTAGTTTCTCCTGACAATTGAACGAGGTGGTCCATCCAGCCTGAAGCTAGCACGTTCCGGGACTGTAGTGCGAGAGGAGAAGCAGGAGGAGGAGGCCCCGGTTGCATGTCATTTTTCTTTGTTTATTCATTTCGGACAAAATGGAGCCTGGGAGGAGGGGAGAGCAGAGGGAAGAGAGGCAGCCCAGTTTACATAGCAAGGCGTAGATGGTGTAGTTAGTTACCAACCTGTTTTGTATTGTTTTGCGTGTCTCCTTCTTTTCCACCACCCAAGGCTTCTTGTGTGTCCTCTTTTTGGTGCTTTTGTCTTTTCGGTTTTTCGGTTTTTTTCTTTACCTTCTCACTCTTCTTCAGTACCTGCACATTGTAAAACAAGGGATGGAATTTTGCAGCATGTGAGTGGGCACGGCTCACCTTCCCCGAGACCAACCAAAGAAAAAAAAAGCATGGGTGGTGGGTGTGGTGATGGAGACGAGAAGAGGAACCGTGTCGTGATGGTGGTGGAGCAGGCCACAAAGCAGCGAACCGTTGCCAAGACTTTGACCGATCTGAGTTTATTTTGGTGGAAAACGGGACCCTTGTGTGCGCGGTCGAAGAAAGAAAAAAAAAGGAAAAGAGAAAAATACACAACGTATTTAATACACTCTAACTTTTTTATTCAGTGTTTATTTTTTAGCCTCTTGTCAACGGCTGCTAACCAGTTTCAACACTGAATAACAAAAAAAATACCGCACCAAAAGACAACCAGGCGGGTGGTGGGCAGGCAGCCAGAGCAACAAGAGCAGAACAGAACAGGGCAGTGCTGGCTGGCTGCTGCTCCTCCTGCTGCTGCCCCTCCACTGCCCACTGTTGTCACTTGTCACAACCAACTTACGCACGAGGCGCTTCGCCGAAATTGGTCGGCCGCAACGCCATCCCGCTGCGCGAACAGAAAATCCCATTTTTTTTTTTATATTTTTATTTCTGCTTATTATTCCCCTTCAGCCTCTTCTGCAATTTACCTGCCAAACCCGGCCAGCTCACAGACGCCACCCGATTGACTTTCCCCTCTCTTCTTCCAGGTCCCCTCGTCGCCCACTCCCCATGGTTTTAATGCCGTACTGTTTTTCCTCCGCCTTTGTATTTTGCCCTCTTCTGCAGTTGTGTCATTGTGTAGACGTCGATAAAGTTCCAAACTCTTTCCATGTAATTAGAGCAAGGCAATGTAACTGCCCTTTATCCCCAGCTGCATGTGTCAAGCACGTGGAAAGGGTGTGACGGTGCAACTGTTCCCCTGCGCTGGTCATCCTGGTATACAGCAGGGGTGCAACGTAGAAAGTACCTCTGCCATTAGTACTGAGCCGCCCAGTGATGCGTAGTATCACGGCCAACTTATGCATAGCACCATCCCTACTTTATGCTTTCTGTCCGAATGTCTGCATATCCACGTGGCGAGTTATATTGGTATACTCCTACGCGTGTTATTTATTCGTTCTTATAAGTTTGTGTTCTCTGTAATCCCTCCTACAGCCTTGGCTGCAGTGTGCACAACACCATGTATAAATACAGGAAAAGTCTCTAAATAATCATCTCTAAATATACTTGTTAGATATTAACTTTAAAAGATCTAGATTTCATTGATTAACTGTTGGTTTTATAGTAACTTTCGAAATCAAGCGTAGGTACTGTACACGATGAAAACGAACCCAGTTATAAGTCACGCGCTTAAAGTAGAAACGAGCAACGAAATTCCTTTTATATTTTAATTATGTTTTGCGTTTAACCATGGCGTTCTTCCATCAGGACAATTTTTGTAACGATCATAGATTGGTATATGATGGTCCTTTGGTCGATAGTAACAAGCTGACTGTTCAATCGCAAATCGATCCAACTTTTCCCAGCTTCGACACATTCTCATCTGACCAACTCCTGGAGGTAAAACTTTTGGTTTACCACCCTCCTGAAGCGTATAACCAATATGTAGTGGTGTATCATCCGCTAGACAAGCAATATCATTGCGTAGTATATGAAGGCAATGCTCCAAATGTTGAAAAGAGTCAAAGGGCTGTTTACCGCGGTTATATTGGCGCAAAGCGTCCCGAAAAGTATCCTAAAAATAGATGATTCAAGTAAGCAAAATTAAATCAGCAATTAGAATATAGACATACAATACAGTGCATTGAGTGATGGCCATGGAGTAGATATACCGCCTTGGATTTATCCCATGGCCAACTTTCGCTTGGATGGATGTCATGGTCTTTTGCGAGCTGATGATCAAGAACAATGTAGCCATGCGTCGCATTAAACGTGGGGCTATCCCATACGGGACTCTCCAGACTTTCATACTTACAGTTGTCGGTAACCGCCATTTGTGTATCGAACTTCATACCCACTAATAAATAAAGAATATTTGTTGTGACTATTGTGACATTGGACGTGTGTTACTTTGCTGGAGGAGTGAAGGAATAGTTAAGTCACTGGAAGTGGCTAAGGAAAACACAGGAAAAGGAAGTGAATACAGGATGTATTCGCTGCATTTAACTAGAGCAGTTCCGACCATGGAACCAGAAGAGAACAACGAACTTTTACCACAACCTCTCACCTTTTGATAACACGTGTTATTAATCCTTGAACCAACAATTAGGCTTTGAAAGATCAGATGAGGCTATGTTTATGCAGGCTGTTATGAATAAGCCAATGGTATTCTCGTTTATAACCGAATTATATTAAAGGTACAAGCTAAAGTTACCCCAAACAAGATGCAGATTATAACCGACGACTACCAAGGCTAGATCCAATAGTTCATACCTGCCGCATAGGATCATATGACTATCAACCCAAAGGGTATCAAGCTGCGAAGGATGCACAAATTTTATGTGATCAGCTATTATTGGTTCATATGATTTAGATAAGGGCCCCTGTGTATTATTTTGATATCTATTGAGTGAGCATATTACTCTTTGCATGTACAGGCCTCGCTACAAACCTACAAATCCCAACTATTCTACGAAGCCTTTTTTCCAATACAACCAATACTATATAAGTCGAACTATTCCCACATTATTCCCAAATTCCATTCTTAAAACAAACCTTCCATTACCTTTCGTCAAACAATATCAATATGCGCTTCACCTGGTTTACTTTGGCTGGCCTCGTTGCCCTCGTTGCTGCCGCACCATACAACAACGAAAAGAGATTTCTGGCCGCTAATGAAAGTAAGTATTCCTGACAAGCTCAATTACTAAATTATATTGTGGAATATAAAAGGAACTAAATATGTATTAGTGAATGGCGGAGATGATGTTGATCTTTCAACTGGTCTTGCTGGTAAATTGGTGACATATTTCCACGTAGAAAATACATTATTTAGAGATTTATGTGTACGACGAAAACTATGCGATAATATGACTAATCCCAGTTTACATAGTCTCAATGTCACTCAGAATCCTAGTTTACCAAATAGAGGTCTTCATTACTAACGTCGAGAATACGACTAAGTAAGACTTGCAAACACACAGCCTAGCGCCAATATTGCCGATACCCGCCTGCATGTCTGCTAGTATCTATTATCTCTTGGAGTTTCTCCAGCATTTCCACAGTGAAGGTTATACTACATATCTCTGCCTCTGCAATTTATTCTTCCTCAAGCTTCTCCTTCGCTTTCTTTCCTCCTACAGCACCTGCAACAGTGAGCCCAGCAACCTGCACGACACCATTCACAGTAGCTGCTCCAGCGCCCCCTGCACCAGCACTTTGTAGCACAGCAAACACACTCCCCGCGGCAACATTGCCGATGCCAGCCTGAACGCCTGCCGCCATAGATCCTGTAAATAATACATGTTAGGAAAAGTGCTAAAATTTGCGACTGTGTTAACACCAACCCGCTGCTATACCCTGCATTGTAAATCCAGCGGCGCCAAGAGTAGGCGCCACGACGATTCCAGGAGCGACTACTATGGCACCACTTAAAAGAAGCAATCCAGTGATCCAGGGATGAGATTCAGCATAGTTGCCGGCCTTTGTATATGTATGCATGTATTCGCTTCAGTTTTGTTAATGGTTCGTATGAGTGTATAGCTACCTTCTCTGCCATGGCAGCCAAACCGTCCTTAACTGCATTGCCAGAGTCTGACATTTTCCTCCGAATTTTCCGGGTTTGTCGTGTTCGTCTTCAAATTTGTACTGATTCCAGAAGAGTTGCTGTTGTTTAAAATCCATCGTCCTGATTAACATGCTCGAGCAGACACCGAGACTTTTCTGTCCCCCAAACAGGTCTCAGCCATGGGCAAACAGCGGCCAGCTGAGTATACGTGTTTGCCCATGAGGCGCTTTTCATGGTTTGCAATGATTCTAATGTCACGTCTATTATATCATCATACCTAAACGCTCTAGTTTATACCTATCATTCACTTGTGTCGCCCGGCGCAGTGTACTACTCACCGTTCGCGCCTTATAAGCCAAATCACCATCTTCTTGCCCCCAGAGCCGTAAACTGTCGAGAGATCCTCTTGAAAATCTCCATGGTTCAATTATTTTCCAAAAAAAAAAAACTTCTTATTTACATATTAGACAAATAAAATCCAGTGACCCAGTCCTAGCACCCGCCAACCTTCCACTCTCTCACCTGTCAGCCCCTCACCACGCGCTTAGACTGCGCTTAGCCTTGCCCCAGTGGGCGCTACTGCACTAAACCGCCAAACCATCAACCCTTTGCCTCCACGTCACCATCGCAGCTCATCTCCCGCCGCACCACACGGCAGCCCACGCCAGTCCACCGTCGCCGCCGATTGAACAGCTTCCAGAAGCACGTTCTCTTTGAGCTCCGCAACCATGTCTACAATCGCCACACCCCGCGAAACCTCGCTCCCCCCTTCCCGCCGCGTCGCCTCGACACCGACCTCGTCCACACGCCCGTCCCTCGAAGCCGCCCGCTCAGCAATTGGATCGCCTGTCGCGAGTGCGCAACCACCAGCCCCTGTTGTCGCCAAGCGCGCAAACCGCGCCGCCCTCCGCGAATACTACAAGCTGCGAGCGGCCGCGACGCCGCGCATTGAGGCTCCTGACTCCGAGGTCCCCGCGAGCGATCTCGACAACGAAGACTTCAAGGCAGACCAATACATAACCAAGGTTGTCTCAGAAAGCAGTCTAGAGGAACTTCTGAGATTATATACACGAGTAGTGGGCGAGGTTCGAGCGCTGGACGCTGAGAAAAAGGCCCTCGTGTACGATAATTATAGCAAGCTCATCTCCGCGACGGAGACGATACAAAAAGTGCGACTTCTACCACCTCTCTGATAAAACCCAAAAGTCCGGCTTGCTAACTATACTAGATGCGATCGAACATGGACCCGTTAAACCCCATGGCCTCAACCCTCAACCCTGCCATCAACCACATCTACAACCAAGCAAACTCGATACGTCAAGGGCTCCGTGACCACATCCCCGAGCCCGGTTCAGACAAAGCTAAAGAACATGAAGTCCTAGCAAGACGGCAACGAACAAAAGAGCTGGCAATTGAGGTATTAGGGACGCCAGAGCTGTTGAGGACGTTAGTAGCAGAGGGCAAAACGACCGAGGCAAAGCGCAGATGGGAGCTGCCGAGGCGCTTACTAGAGACTTGGAAAGAAAAAGGTCTAGGGGGTGCAGACGTTCAAAAGTGCATTGACGAGGGAGATGCAGCACTGCGCGGGGAAACAAATACAGGTTCAAAAGACGACTGAAGACACGGCAATCGTTGTTCATAATTGTACATATACAAAGTTACTACACCAAATAGACACCTATATCATGCTCATGCTCATCATCACCACCAACTCCTCTAACTTTTATTCGTCCCCAAAACGCCACTGCTTAATCCAATTCATCAACGCCAACAATAGTAAACGGATCGCTATCATACTTGCTAAATACAACCTGCGCGTCGGCAGCGCCTGACTTCTTGAGCTCCTCCTCCAGAGCAGGTCCTAGCTTCTTTTGGAGATAACTTCTCTCCGAGTTAGAGTGGAAGACCTGAACAAGGGTGCGGCCCTGCTGAATCGCGCGCAGCGCAGAGTGGTGCGACGTCTCGCCCATCACAAGCAAGTCGACATCAGCCTTCTTCAGCACATCGTAGCCACTGCCAGCACACACGCCAAAGCTGCCAACCTTTGCCGTCTTGATGTCAGAACCGACAGGCGAGGCAATCATGAGGTGTCGCAGGCCACCGAGTTCATTTGCGAGACGCTTCAGGATTTCCGATAGACCAACGGGGGCATCAAAGTAGCCGATGGCTCCGTATCCAGCAGGAGAATGAGACTCGGGTGCTGTAGAGCAGGGAATGGCGACAGATCGGGCGGACTTGTGCTCGCCAGAGACGACATCTGCAAGCCACGTGTTGAGGCCCTTGGGCGCAGCATCCACTGCTGTATGGGGACAGTAAACAGCGATTCCTGCCCTGGCCAAGCGCAGAAGCGTTGCTTGTTGCGGATCATTTGTTGTGAGAGACTTGTGGCCGCTAAAGATGAAGGGGTCTAGAAGAGTTAGCAAGACGTCTTGAGCGGGCCGCGCATCAAGGTAGATAGCTTACGGTAGCTGACAACGACAGAAACATCCTGCTCAATGGCATCGATGGCGACTTGCCAAGTGAGATCATTGACAACCATGACCTTGGGGCTCTGCTCCTGGCCCTCCTCCAGAGTACCAACCAACAGACCAACATTATCCCATGCTCGATCCGCAAGCTCTTCGGGGTACCTGTTTCCTATTAGCGCTTCTCATATCACCATGCGACCTATCATCAAACATACAGCTTCTTCATAGAGTCTGCCACAAGCTGCGTAAACTTGCCAGGCTTCGCCTGCCAAGCTCCCCAAGGTCCTGATGCAGCAGCCATATTGAGACGCTGGGATGAAGTCGAAATTGAACGATAAAGAGGGCGTGAAGTTAGATTCTGCAGACGCCCATTCAACAACCGCGCAGCTCGCATATCAATTCTACCCAGCGTAAATAAATAAAATCGAGCGTCGTGTTTTCAAATCAAGGGTAGAAAAATCACCAGCGTAAAGATGAAGTTGACAAAGACGAAGCTCCACCCTAAGCTTAGCTTGGGGAAAAGGATGAGCTCATACCGTGCCAACATGCGATGGTCGCGCACTGTCCCCTCACTCACGCGACTTTGGCTTCCAAAACTTTCTTTGCCCGCATCTAATCAATCTGCATCCAATCGCATCTCCATCCGCCGCCAGCGCTCTTCCTTTCACACAGAAAATAGAATTAGAAAATGTCGCAAATAACAGACGCCAGCCTCAAGGCGGCCATTACAACCCGCCTAGAGGCAACCCACGTCGAAGTCACAGATATGTCTGGTGCGTCGTCCCCCCTCCCCCACCACCGAAGTTGCCCCTCGCTGCGCGCGTGGCAGTTTACCCTGTGCAAGATTCGTCGCTGTCTTATTGAATTATTAGCTAACCAGTACCTTTCACACTAGAAGGCGGCTGCGGACAAGCATTCACAACTCTCATCGTCTCCTCCAAGTTCTCCGGCCTCAACTCCCTCAAGCGCCACCGTCTCGTCAACGCCGCTCTCAAGGAAGAAATCGCCGCCATCCACGCCTGGACAGCAAAGTGCCAGACCCCTGAGGAGTGGGAGCGTGATGCCGGCAAGGTCGCCCCGTCTCTAGAGGGAACGGTCGACGGCAAGGTCGATGGCACTTCGGCGTGAGGAATACAGCTTTTCTTAGATGCAGGCGCAGTCGTGGGTTTTATTTAGAGAGACATATCATCACGGGGTCACTGGTTGCTAATGAATGAAAATATAACGAAATGATTTCTTTTTCCTTTTTAAGATCATAACTCTGTCCTCCGGTCTATATACATGTGCCAACTGTTCGCATTCCCTTTATTTTTCAGCATCGCTTTACAATAGGCCTAACAAATCTTCGCTATCATTTTGCTGCGCAGGCTGCGATGGAGCAACCGGTGTGCTCTGAGGTTGCATGGCTGGAGCCTGTGACGATTCGCCGCCAAAGTTGAGACCGTCAAAGCCGTTCATCAAGTCTCCCATGCCGCCTCCCATAGCTGGAGCGCCAGCGCCGGCAGCACTTGGCGCAGGAGGAGCGTCGAACATGCTCATCATATCAGCCATGCCGCCTCCAGCCGCAGGTGTACCAGTACGGGAGGTATCAGCCGACGCTGGTGTCGCAGACGCGGGTGCTGCTCCGTCAAAGTCGATGTCGAGCAGGTTCTCGATGTTGTTGGGCGCAGTGTTGCCATTAGCGGCAGCGGCAACAGAAGCAGCGATAGGGTCTTCGGCCGCAATTTGGCGCTGTTCTTGGATAGCAGCGCGCTGGATTGCGTCGGCACCAAAGCGGCCCTTGCCGACAAACGACTCAGGAGGCTTGTGGTACACAGAGGCTAGCGTCGATAGCTCAGCAAGCAGCTGCTCCAGCAACGCAGGAGGCAAGCTGGTCATGGTTGTCGAGATGGTAGGCTTCTGTGACAGAATAATGTTCTTTGCAACTTCCAGGTCGCCCGAAAGGAGACGCCAGTACACATACGCTCTGTCGCGAATATCAGGGTTATCATTCTCAACAGTAGCCATCTGGAGCACCTTTTGGACGAGGCTCTGGCTGTTGTTGGGCTTCTTCAAAAACAGCTTCACAACGGCAGTCAAAATCTGCAGCTGGGTCTGTGTGAACTCTTCAGAGAACGCTTCAACAAATGAGTCTAGAATTTCGTGAGCGTTGTTGATCTTTTCGGCGTACTCTCCAACAATCCAAATCAACGAGCCTCGGGCATTAGCCTCGTCAAGCTCATCAATATGGTCGCATAGCGTAGGAATAACAGCTTCAAAGTCGGGGTACTTTCTCAGGATGTCCTTGGTAACAACCACCACTTCCTGGACAACATAATTGACCTTGGTGGAAAGAAGATCCTCCAGGACTTGCACACACTTGGCACTGGCGCTCTCAATCTTAATGGCAACCTGACCAATGGCCTTGACAGCACGACGAACAAAGTCCATGTCGACTTCAAGGGCGTATTCCCGAAGTTCGGCAAGTAGCTGCTCAAAGTTCTTCTCGTTTGCTATGCGGACCATGATTTCGAGTTTCTGAAGCTTAACGTAGGGAGGGTCATTGTATTTGCAGAAGAATACTCGCAGCTCTTTGCTCAAAATGTCGGGCTTCGCTTGGAGGAGGAGGTCGATGTTTCTCAAGGCAACATACTGCACTTCAGGAGCAGACGCAACCAATGTCACTAGCTACTGTTAGTCCAATCCATCAGTATCTACTTTGCAAAACAACTTACCAAGAGGGGGGGCCATCTTCTTAAGGTATGAACCGACGAGCTCAGGGTTGATGGATCTCATATGTGTGAAGACGACCTTGATAGCGGCCAAGACGACACTCGGGTTAACATGTTGAAACTGGGGGGTAACACGCTCGCAAATGTGTTCAGCTTCCTTGACATCAGATGGCACGTAGGAAGCCAGTGTAGAGAGGAGAGTGACACGTCCCCATTCTGTGCATTCGTTAAGGGCCATGAGAAGCTTCTTCAATGTCGGTGGGGTAATGACGAGAGCGCGCGTCTCGGGAGATGTTTCACTAATCTCTGACAGAGCTTGAACAGAGTTGGCGACAACCATCGGGTTGGAGTCGCCAATGAGTTCCTGAAGCGTTTCGATAAATCCGTTCTCAATACACATTGAAGGGTTCAGGTCGAATAACTTGGCAACACAGATGGCGGCTGTCTTGCGCACATAGGGCGACTCGTCTCGTAATGTTTTCCGTAATGGTTCTTCCATGTAATCCACCATCTTGTCGACTCGAATACAACCCATGGTTCGAATAGCCAGGGCTCGAATTAACGGGTTCGGATCTTCTGAATCTTGTACAAAGGTGTTGACAGCGAGAATACAAAGATCGGGGTGTGATTTGGCGTAGTTCCTACAGGGAGTCAGCATTGCCCATACGATATCGGTACAGACCTTGGTGATTAGCGAATGCAGTTTACTCACATCAAATACAGATATACCAGCTTCTTCTGGTCAAGATCACCAGTGGCAATGTTCTTGAGGACATCAGGGAACAGGGCGGAGACATCCTTGCCAAGTGTCATGGCCATGATGGTCTTCTGAATGGATTCTTTTCTTTCATATGCATACTGGGAGACCAATCCAGCGCGCAGCTCAAAGGTCTCACCCTTGCGAGGCGGCGCAAAGGCGCCCCTAATTCGATTTACCGCCATCGTCGAGGGGCTCGATGGAACTGTGGAGGGGTAACAGGAGGGGGGTTGCGAGGCAGCGGTGTGCGTGGCACTGCGGTGTAATTGGATGAATATCGGTTATCGACTTGATAATGATGATTGAAAACAGCAGCCAGCTCTCCAAAAACCTGTTTTCGAGTCGCGTGGTTGGATCGTGAGAGACGGAGCTGGACACTGATGCGGGAGACGACAGCTTTGACCCGCTCGGTGGTTGGCCATTCGAAGACGTGGTGTGGCGCACTGTGGCTCGATGACTGGCGGTGTCAGTCACGTGGTCCCGCTGACATCTGTCAACAAGAGCATGTAAGTCGTAGCGATATTGATGAAGTATAGTGGATTTTTATAATTCTAAATAGTTGGTATAGCTGTCATTAACCCGGATTTCTACTTTATAGACTTAAATATAACTTATGTGAGTTCTATAGATGGATCGTGTCGAGCTATGATAGTAAACGCTATCTGAGGCTTCTCGTGTGTATGTACATATAACAACTATTTATAATGAGCATATTACCATTTATTACCCAATATAGTTTGAATTATTATGGCACATTTTTTGGAAATTATTTATCAAACCAAATCTCCCGTCCGCGCGGTTCTAGAACCTGGCTTCAATCTACCCGAGATACTTCAGGACAGACCAACTCCACCACCCTTTCTGGCGTCTGCATGCTCGTCAAGCGTGTGCTGGAAGAGGCAGCTTCATTCCTGCTGCAGCAACAGACGCCATTCTGATGTCCTAAAAATGGTAGGTCAGATAATATCGCTATTTTAATTCAACTGCTAATGGAATAAAGGCCAATTTCCCCAATTTGCGCCGCCTCTTCATTGAGTCGCGAACTGAAGACGAGGAACGCCAAGTTTCGAGGAAAGCTGTAAGTTCATATTCCCCTAGTTCCAGGCAGCAGCGAAACTAATGGTCAACCTAGTTTTATAACGCTGTGTTGTTTATGGGCTCGGTAGCAGTCTTCAGCTTGATTGCGCAAAAGCTCAACGCCGGGAAGTAGTGTTGGGAAATGTATTATTATTATTGTCTATTTAGTCACTCGATACCCAAAACGCCATACAAATGCAATCTTGTATAAACATCAATCAGTCATCTTCTTCATCAAGCACCTCCGCTGTTGCATTATTGGTAACAGCGACGTTCTCCTGCTTCCTGTACAGTCCAGCAAGGAAATGGGTTGTGCTGGCCTCGTCCATGCTCTTGTCGTCGCGCTTCTTTAAGAATCTTGGAAATCGCAAGCTCAGTCCTCTCTCATCGCTAACAAGCCCAATAGCCGCAGTATATGTCGGACTCAGAGTTATATCGGCGAAAGCCATCTCCCAGACTTCCTGTGGTTCGAACCAAACATCAGGCATTGGACCAGAATACTCGATAAAGCCAGGCTGTTGAGCACGGGTGTTTTTCGGTTCGCCAGATTCTTTTCCGTCGTCATAAAACTCTTTATTGGCCTTGTAGAATGTGTCTGTGAATCCAGATATGCATTTACAGACAGCCTCGAGCGCGCCAGTCTCATCATTTCTGACTGCTAGCAGGATTGGAGACCACCATTTGGATTTGCGCCCCATTCCATGCCATCCCGCTACTGGAATCATATCCAGCGTGTCAAAACTTGAGTTGTAGTCCTTCTTGACCTTTAACCAAGAGTCGAGCCGCTTGTCTGGCTCATATGTTGCCAAGAGCGCTTTCCTCCGTGACTTGGGCTTGCCTTCTTCTCCCCCATCCTTTGAGGTAGGTTTAGCCTTGGCTTTTGATTTGGATTTGGGAGTTGATAACTTCACATCTTCCGCAAGTTTCGGTTCCTCGTCATCAGTATACGGGATATCTACCAAATTATCCAAAATTTTAACCATGATACCTTCGCATTTATTCTCTGTTGCTGATTTGAAAAAGTCGAGAACAGTTTCAGACTCGTTTGAAGTTGCATCCAAGCTCTTCACCCATGTGAAGCGATTAGGAATCTCTGTGAACAGGGAGCGCAGAAGCTCCCTTCTCTCCCGGAATGGGCGATCCAGCAGCGGCTGTCCGTTTAGGAACATGAGATCAAAGGAAAACAAACAGACGTTGATGGTAATGCTTCCAATATCAACATCTTTTCTTGCCCGGTTTGTGAGAGTCTGGAAGTTCTTCAAGTCACCAGTGGTCTGATCCACAGCAACGACTTCGCCTTCCATAATGAAGCTATTCACTCCATCCCCGCGGATGGTTGGGACGAGCGCAACCAAATCGGGATATTTGTCCGTCATCAGTTCCAGGTGGCGAGAGAAGATTGAAACCTTTCCATTCTCATCACAGTGGACCTGGGCTCGTTGACCGTCATATTTATACTCGCAAGTGAAGTCTCGCCCTTGAAGCTTGGTAAGCATTTCAGAGAGGTCTCTGGTGATACTTCCAAGCATAGGTCGGAGCGGTATATGGAGGGAAAGGCCACATCGGAGTAGAAGTTCTTCACAGACTCCGATGTTAAGCAATGCTGGTAAGAGATCATTATAGTTCGGACGTCTAGCAAAACAGGCCTTCACAATCTCTTCCCCTTTTGACCATACTTCTGCGAGCTCCTCTTTTCGCAGCTTTTGAAGACGTGAGATATCCTGAGTCGCGAAATCGCCATTAACTGGTTTCGAGAGGGTGAAAGCGCGTGATAAGGCAATGAGCATAGTGGTCTTGACAGCACCAATTCGGAGCTACAGATTGTTAGTCTTAACCATATGAATCTTGGCCTGTGAGGTATAGCTTACATGTTGGCAGAGAGTTCGTACAATGAAGCGACTCTCTTCGCCACCTCGAGCGTCTTGTAGTAGTCTGTCGACGATACGCTGTTTGACTTCTGCGCTGCCCTGTCCTTGTGTGCTGGCAATCTTGACTAGAGACTGATAAACGCCTTTGATCGTTAGGGGCTTTGGTTTTCGTAGTGTGAAACTCTGTTTCTTTTTTGCTTCATAGGCAACATCACCAGCGTCTCCATGCTTGTTAAAGATAGCCCTCAATGACCGGCTATCAAGGCCACATACGTTTTTCAAGGCCTTTGAGATTGCAGATCCACCTAAACCGAGTTCCATTGATATATACGAGGGTGAAATGGAGTTGGTTGCAAGCCACACCTATTCAATATCAGCACATGTGCCATCATGGCCCATTCTCACGACTTACCGCTGGAAGCAAGCTATCGGGATCCCCTTCAATGAGAATTCTCAGACAATTCACAAGCGTGTCTACAATTTTGATGCGACTTGTAGTCCCGCTGACAAGCACGAAACATGTTGTCAATAAGGCGTATGAGGCATCACCACCTTCTTTCTTCCAATGTTGCTTCAGTAATTCCACATATTTTCTTGGTTCGAATATCAACGGTGATTCATCCAGAGGAATTGACGTTGTGATAGTGTCTTCCGCCATTCCTGACGCCTCCAACTTGAGAGTGCCGTCCTTCTTTGCATCTTCCTGGGATGCTGGTGGAGCCGCGTTAATTGGTAACGTCAGCTGTTCTGGCTGCGTAGATATCGCTGATTCCTTGGAGGGCTCATCATTTTGAACGCTCTGGCTGCCTCCTAATCCTACAGCTGCAGCCTCTTTGTCCCATTCATCCTGAAGCTTCCGAGCCAGCTGTTCATCCGTGAGCTCTGCATCTAGGGCCGCATCTTGGTCGGGCAGAGACTGCGCAGGAGTGTCTTTTGACTTTTGCCTTGAAAAGAAGTATTCCAGGCCTTTCGATTGAGGCTTCCCGTTTTTCGAATCAGCATTTAGCTTTCTTTTCTTTGTTGGGCTAGACATGGTGTAGATGGCTGAGAGGGTATGACCGTCCTCATCGCCATGTATTTGCTTTCTTTCAAATACATGCAGCGCGAAGCTGTAAGATCATAAAATCAGTCCGATGGCCACAAAATCAGCATTTTATTTCAATAAGCGCGGTTGCTTTTACAGTAACGGAGCGTGAACTTGTCGACGTGCATCACCACAGCGTCCTATACACGGAAGCACGTGACCGCTCTCCAGACTCTTGACCCCCGCTAAGCCCCTTTTGCACGCACACAAAGCAGCCAACCCACTCTTCACACAAAATCTTTCTCGTCCCTTCGCTGCCCCACCATCATGATCCGGACGTTGTCAACATCACCAAACCACAGCCCAAGATGAACGGCGAAGATCCGGCCGAGCGCCCCGAGCACATCAGCACCATTATCAACGGCCTCGAGCGTTACAACCCCGAGGCTGTTGCCACGCTCGAGAACTACCTCACCGAGCAGTGCGAGCAAAAGACATGCGACTGCAACGCTAACCGCACTCTGTTGAAGCTGTGAGTTTCTTCTTTGCTTTATGCCTCTGTGTCTTCGTATATAGGCGCAGTCGCAGACTACATTAACTACAGAGGCAGCCGGGAAACTACGCTTGCTTGCTAGCTTTCCGATACAGGATGTTTAAAGATGACTATTGTTAACGTTTCCTATTACACCGAGGGAGAGGGATCATCAACCCGCTCTCTTTGACGTCAACTTTGTGGAGACTGAAAATATCCTGCTGCCTCTAGTTCTTTTTGCACTATTATTGTTCAGAACAAGCACAAATATAGCTAGAACAGCTGCTAATCTTGCTTCCGCTTTACAGGTACCAGCTCAACCCCGACCGCCTCAAGGATGAAGTCGTCACCAACATCCTGGTCAAGGCCATGACCCAGTTCCCCTCGGCCCAATTCTCCCTCGCCCTTCACCTTGTCAACCCCACAACCGCCGCGATTGGCGAGCTCAACGAGGCTCTGACAAAGCTGCGCTCCCTCAACTCGCAGCTCGAGGGTGCCCAGTACGCCGACTTCTGGGCTGACCTGAACGGCGATGACCTGTGCGCCGATCTTATTGCCGATATCACTGGCTTTGAGGATATGGTCCGCACCCGCATCACTCAGCTCATCTCCCACGCTTTCCGTGAGGTCAACGTCTCCCACCTCGAGGCCTGGCTCGGCCTCAACGCCGACAAGACCAAGAAGTTCCTCGCCGAGGTCCCTGGCTGGACCCCTGAGGCTGACGGCACCATCAAGATTCCCTCCAACACCGAGAACGAGGCTCTCAAGGCTGAGATCAGAGAAGATGTCAATGTTGAGCAGTTCTCTAGAATCATCCGTCGCTCGTGGGAGGACACCTTATAAGGAGACTTCGTGTCACAAAAATAGTAAAGCAACTGATTTGATTTTTTTTTTTAAAAGGGAATGGGAAAGCAGACCGCATAGGGCCTTGGTATATAAAGGCAACGCAACGAATTGATGTGAAGGAAATGCAAATGGATATTTTACGTTGATTATCTGGGGGTTGGTCCAACACCATCTGGCGTTCAAAAGGACATTTTCATGGCATGATCAAATATAATACAAAAAAGTTGAAAAAGTCTCATACATTCAATCTAGAAAGATGATGCAATAGAACTCAACGACTGTTTTAAAAAGTTATATCTCTTGTTCTCTATAAACCAAATAGTCTTCATGATGCATACGCTTTTGTTCGTTAAAAACTCCCCCAAAATCAACAACTTTTATGCATAACCGCGGCCATAAGCCTAATTGTTCTTAGCCAGCTCCTCCCACTGCACGCCAGCCCATTCTTCGAGATAGCCAGCCTCTCCTGTTCCCTGTCCAACTGGCAGACAGTCCGCCTCGCAAACACCAACAATGATGGTTCCCCATTCCATTCCCTCCAGGCTCATGTCGTCTGCCTCTAGCTCTGCAATAGCATTCGGTGTCATCTGAACCTCAAAGGTACGCTTGCCTCTGCAGTTAGGGCAGGGAGGGAGGACACCTTTGGCTAGGATTCCTCCAACCTTGTCCACCTTGGAGTAGATGAGGGGTGTACCACCAAATTCATAGCGGATCACTTGCTCGGGGTTCTGGGATACTCTGTCGGCAAACTTCTGGAAAGTAGCATCCATGCTAGACTCAAAGGCCTCTCGGTCCAGAATAGAAGGCTCGGGGGCGTCGCCCTCCTCTATACGCACGTTGGCAGGCATCTCGGTAGCCTCTGGCTCGAGCGTTTCGTAGTCGGCATCGGCAAGGTAGAGTGTGGGGTAAGCCTGGGGAAGCTTCGATGCCGCAGGCCAAGGCTCGGGGGGAGGAGGAGGTTTAGCAGCAGGGACGTTGATAGCGACAGTCTCAGCAAAAGACTTGGCGAGGGCGGCGGTCGTAGAGTCTGAAGAAGTTGTGGTGGCGGGCGCGGGAGCAGGAGTTGAAGCAGCAGTCGGCTTAGCGAATGGGTTCGCTGGTGTAGAGTTGGATGATGTGCTAAATGGGTTTGCTCCTGTAGAGAAGGGGTTTGCAGAAGAGGACGTGCCGAAAGCTGAGCTGCCAAACAAGGCGTTACCAAGGTTGGGCTTGGGCTCTTCCTTCTTTGGCTCTTCTACAACTGGTTCCTCCTCCTTGTCAGCCATAATTTCGTCTTCCTTCCACCGACGTACACCGCGGATGGCTCTGATGCTTCCCTCTTGTCGTCGACATGTGTTTCTACGACAAGCAAAGACGTAGATACGGCGGTCGTGGTTTGGGAATCGGTCGGGCAGTTCGCCGTTGAGCTGCAGAAGCAGGGTCATAACATCTTTGCAAACCTTGCACTTAGCCAAAGCTACAGATGCTGCGCTCTCAGGTTCAAGCCATTCCTGAATATATTGTTAGTAACTGCTAGTTTGCGTTGTGCCAGCACTCTTCCAACGTACGGGATGACCACCAAGGTGACTGATAGTGTCGTCACCGGCTTCTTTGGAGGCGTAACCAAGAAGGACATTTGTAGACTCGTATTCGCCATCGGAAGAGTCCGAATCGTAATCGACAGGCATTTTTCTGGAATTTATCTGCGGTTGCTGAACGTTGCGAATGGCACAAAAAAAGTTCAAGCTTGCAGTCGAGATGGTGGGGTCAAGATTTTTTTCGGGCAGAACTTAGAAGTTGGCGGGGCACGGCTTTGATCGCCACCACGGAAGTGGCAGCACATGTCACAACTAATACGACTAAGTACAGCTACGCATACAAAGTTTTATAATATTGACGAAAAATATGTAATATTATTGAATCATCTTGTGAACTTTTGTCTACAGTAGATTGCTTTTTACTCTAATACCCTTACAATTTTCATTTTACTTTTACTCTTCACCCTCAGGGCCAGGTCCGCTCGAGCGTGTCATCTGGCGCGCCTTCAGCATCTCATCGCAGAGCAAGAGATTTGAGGCAATGCTGGACGAAGAAGCAATACAGTTGCGCAACACACGGAAAGAGTCAAAGACACCCTCAAGTTCGGGATCCATGGGCTCACCAGTCTCCAGGTTGAGACCAACAACTTCACCTTCGCGGTGTTCGTCTTGAAGAGCAGCCACTGTACAGTCATTAGCATTCAACACTTCATAATGAACTTCGTATGTAAACTTACAAGCATCCTGGACATCGTGACCAGCATTGGCGGCAAGAGTCTTGGGAATGACGAGGAGAGCATCGGCAAAAGCTTCGACACCCCACTTGGCCTTGCCCTTGACAGTCTTGGAGAACTCATCACCCTTGAGGTGAGCAGCGCAAGCAATCTGGAAAGCACCGGCACCAGGCACGACGCTCTTGTCGACAATCATGTTGTAGACACTTCTCAAACCATCACGAACGGCATCTGAGACTTGAGCGATGGTGTGCTGGTTAGGGCCCTTGATCAAGAGCGTGACAGACTTGGGGTCCTTGACCTCCTCAACAAAAGTGTACTTCTCCTCACCGAGGGTCTGTTCGTAGACGAGACCAGCCCATCCAAGAACCTCCTCAGACAACTCCTCCACACTGTTCTGGGCGATACCACCGCAGATGAGCTGCAGACGCTCCATGTTTCTACGCTTGGCACGACGGAGAGCGAGAATGCCGTTCTTGGCGAGGACATCGAGAGAGAGAGGGTCGATGCCCTTCTGGTTGATGACAACAAAGTTCTTCTTGCCGTCGGTTCCGCAGAGCTCCTTCTTGAGCTCGACGATCTTCTTGAGCTTGGCATCGACAAAGCGACGTTCACTGTCGACGAGCTTGTCGCGCTGCTCGGCGCTGGAGTAGAAAAAGCTGGAGTTGATTTCGGTCTTTTCGTATTCGAGACTGACGTTCATGGTGAGGATGTAGCAGTTCTCGAGTCTCTTAGGCATATCGGGGTGGCGAGCGCCGTGGTCAAGAGCGAGACCGCGGATAAGCTGGGTATCAGCAGCCATGCGGTGCTGCATCTTCATGATTTCAACCATGTGCAAGTCGGGCTTAGCGGGAGCCTGGTAGATGGCGAGAACGGCGTCGACGATATCGGGGGTGAGCTTAGCAGCGAGTGTAGAGTTGAGCTTGGTGGCTAGAGAGGTCTTGGCAACATTGAGGAGGAGTTCGCGGTCGACCTCCTTGGAGAGCTTGAATTCATCGAGGAACTTGTGTGGCGTTTGGTTAGCGGTGGCAATTGGGATAGTAGGTTGACCAATTCAAATTTTACCTTGAGGGCTTCGGCCTTAGCCAGATCAAAACCGTCTGTGATAATTCTCGGGTGAAGACCCTCGGAGATGTAACGATCGGCCTGCTTGAGCAGCTCACCGACGAGAAGAACAACGGAGGTGGTGCCGTCGCCGCAAATGTCGTCCTGGGCGGTGGCGGCTCGCGCAATCATGACGGCGGTGGGGTTCTGAATCTGCATTTCGCGGAGGAGGATGTTTCCGTCCTTGGTCAACTTGATCTATCGGTCGAGGATTGGTTAGTCGTCTATTACACAAAGGAAATCGTCGCGGTTGTCGAGGAATGTCGAAATTATCGAGGGGTCGGTGTGAAGAGCTTACCTGGCCAGCGCCGTCGACCAACCTAGATAGATACCGTTAGCTATGCAATTAGGATCTGAGGAGAATATAGTCTTACATCTTGATGGTACCCAGAGGGCCCAAGTTGGATCGGAGGACATCCTGGAGACCCTCACCAGCACTAATGTTAACTTTGAGAGCTTCGCCTCTTCTCTGCAGCGCGGGACAAGACGGCGGTTAGCGGACGTTGAACTGAAAAAAATCATTGGGCGGGGAGGAAAGCATGATGACGCACTCGAGACTCGGCCTTTGGGTTGAGAAGCTGAGCAGCCGACATGATGATTGATTTTTCGGTGGTTTGCTCGGATGCAGTTGGTGATGCAGAGAGCTTTGCGGTGGGAGGTTTGCCGGCTTTGCTTCCCGCTTCTTCCTCTGCCTTCGATCGAGGGGCACGGTTTTGTGTGGGCCGAAAGGGGAAGACGGCAGAAAAGTAAACCCCCACCAAAAACGAGGCCAAATGGCAGCGCGGCCCTCTTTTTCGCGGCGGGTGCCTGGTGCTGGGAGGCTGCTTGTAGCGGTGCAGCGCTAGTAAATTAGGCGGTGTCTGAGAGCCGAACTATGGGTGCCTTCGTACTATCAGAGAGGGGTACTTAATTAAGAGGCGCAACTTCCACCAAAACGCAAGTACCCCGACATAGGCGCTGACTTGAAGCTTCACATGTAGGATCAATGTAAGACGATTATCTTTAAAGAAGGTAGAAAAATAATACTCGGAATTTATTCAAGACTTTATATCTAATATTTCCATTCGTAAAATATACCAAACTCTGCGCTATAGCAATTGTATACACCCAACGGAGGTTCAACACTCCGTCGCCATCAGCTACCATAGCAAGAAGATACAAATATGTACACAGTAAGAAGGATTTCATCTCCATTGATAATCAAACCAAGTAGTTAGCTACAAGCATAACTCAAAGGATATCACAAAGGCCAATGTTAAGAGAAGCATTTCATCCATTAGTACCAAAAGCAGAATCAAAGAACCCAAATCCACCCAAGCAATCTATCATCCATCGTCCCCGTGTCTCTTTGTCATAAATTCTGTACTGATACATACATTAAATTATCTCATGGGGAGCATAACCCAGCAGATACCCATGGTAGCCCAAACTTCAACGAGAAAAACAAAAGAAGCCGCTGAAGCCCAAGACGCCCGAGGTAAAAGCCGTAAAGACAAAGAGAAATAAACAAGAAAAAAAGAACAAGAAAAAAAAAGAAAAAAGAACAAGAAACTATTAGGAAACCGCAAAACCAAAATCCACTCAAAATCTCCAAAGAGAATAAGGTAAAAAATTGTCGTCCAAAGCCCGAAGATTCCGTCCAACAGCAAAAAGTAATCTCTTTCATGTTAGTGACATAACTTCATACGTTGAAACCCAGCCGACTCCTAAAAAGGTGGAAGAATAAAAGAATATGTGACATAATAATGATACAGTTAGCACACAAGGCGACATCGACCTAGACATTTTCAAAAACAGGTCGAGTCACGAAACAAGGCACTCAAATCATGAGCTGGGGAAGAAGACATCATCACCGTTAGTGAACATGCCAAACTCTTCGTCGAACTTGCTCATCATGAGCATGCTGGGGTCACGTTCGAGCTGAACGAGTCCATCATCTTGTGCAAATTGCAACATCAATGGGTCATCATTTTCGTTGATTCCAATCGGGAGGGTAGTGTTGACACCGGCACCGTTCATCATGGCGCTGTTATCTGTCAAGGCGCTAAGGTCCTCATTGACCTCAAAGAGACCAGCAGGAGGAGGAGAGGAAGACTGCGATAGCTCAGGGGGGGTGTTGTACTGGCTGGCAGCGCTCTTAGCGGGCGAGGCAGGGGCAGAAGCGTCCATGATGGCCTCGGGGGAGACGTAGGAGTGGAGGGTGTCGGCGGGTGAAGTGACGTTCTCGGTGCGGCGGACAATGTTGGTCATGGGCGCCGAGGAGAGAGAGGGCTGCATGTTGATGGCGCCAATGTCCATCATGTCGTCAAGAACGTTGTAGTCATTCTCGGGCGAGTTGGCAGCAGAGCTGTCAGAGTAGCCGGAGAAAGAAGAGACGGAGCTGCTGATGGAGAGGTTGTTGTTGCGTCTGGTGCGGGCAGACTTCTCCATGCGGGCCTCCATGTCGGGGCGGTTCTTCTTTGGGCGGCCACGCTTGACGACCTTGCGGACGATGCCGTCAAAGGCACCAATGCACATACCACGCTGACGGTGTCTGGTAAGAGCGTCGTGGCGAGCAAAGCTGTTGCCGCACTCGCAAGGGTAGGGTTTGATACCAGTGTGGATCTTGGCGTGGCGCTTGAGGTCGTGCTGGCGAACAAAGCACTTGTTGCAGGTAGGGCACTGGTACTGGCGGTCGTTGAGATGGGTCTGGACGTGGGACTTGATGTTTTCCTTACGGCCAAACTTCTTGCCACAGTCCTCAAACAGACACATCCACTTGCCATCAGAGCTATCGGGACCACGGATAAACTGGGAGATCTCCTCGAGGGTGACGCCAGTGTCGGTCTTGGTCTCCTCAATGTTGATGCTGGCAATGGAGGCGGCGCTGGCAATGCTGGCAACAGATTCTGTGCGGCGGTGACCGTGGACGCGGCGGACAGGGGAGCCTTCAACACTGGCAGGCTCCTCAAAATCAAAGTTGGCCATGTGGTGGCTCTCTTGAGAAGGGTTGACGGACATGCTCTGAGAGACGAGGAACTCAGCAGCGTCGTCGGGGATGCCCTCGAAGCCATCACCAAGCTTCATAAACTCGCTGCGGAAGCCGTTCATGTCAAGGTAGTCGGCATTCTCTGCATGAAGCTGCTGGACGGTGGAGAAAGTCTTGTTGGCTGGGATGGGAGCGGTACGGGGAGGGCTGGGGACGACGGGGCTCTGGCTCATCTGGTTGAAGATATCCTGAGCTCTGGCATGGGGGCGAGAACGGTTAGGCTTAAGAGTCTCCTCCATGGAGTCATCGTAATCCTCAGAAAATCTAGCAGGTTGTCTTGGCTGCTGCTTCAGAGCGCGGTCATGGGGGGTCTCCATAGGAGTAGGGGGGAAGTAGGCTGCATCATGTGTCAATGTCGATTCAACAATGCTTGGGATATCCTGTGGAGCATAAGACTTACCACTTCCGTTTTGGTTGGGGGGCGTTGTTGGTCGCTGGCCGTCTTCAACGCCGAGACCTTCAAATTTGGCTACACGATCCATAATGCCGTTGCTGATTCTTCTGGCGCTTCTCTTAATTGTGGCTGAGGCCTCTTCAGCCGTCCAGGTGTTATCAGAGGGGCTTTGAGCATAGTTCATGTAGGTGGGAGTTGTCTGTGCGCTTTCGATCTGGAAGAGCTCCATATCTTTGGCGCTGGTCATGTTGCTTCCGTAGCTGCCATGGTTCTTTTGCATCATCATGGTGAGCTGCTCGCCAAAGGGAGCAAAGGGAGCAGAGTTGGAGTCGAAGCATGAGGCATCGAAACCATTGAGCTGGGGAGTATCATGGGGGGAAAGGAGGAAGTTTTCAGAGTTCTCGTGCGTCATGGAGACGTACTGAGAGCTGCTGGAGTTGTGCTGCTGGGGGCCCGGGCGTGCTTGGGTGCGTTGCTGCTGCGCTTCTCGCAGTACACGGTGCTGCGGAAGATTTGCTAATCCTGTGTTGTTAGTACTCATACTTACTGTTGAGCCATGCCTTGTTGCTGTGGTTGGTCGCATTTGGCGTGTGTCGAGGCTGAGACCGCGGCGGTGGCCGACGGCTGGTCGTCTGTTGGGCATGGCTGTGGGCTTCACGGCTTCAAAGGCAGAGGGTGTCGAGTTCTGGCGGCGGTGTTGCCTCTGCCTCGCGTGGAGGGTTGTCGTGTGGTTAGATAGCATATTTAACTGCAAAGAGGAGTCCGGAATAAAATGTTGTCGTCGGTTGGAGGTTGTTGTCGATATAATAGGAACCTGTAGGTCCGAAACTGCGATATCAAGTCAGTCGTTTTTTATTCTCGCCATTGAATCTTCCCTCAACGTACCTCACGCAGCGCAAGCACAGGGGCGCCGGGCTTAAATTGGTTTGTAGTCTCTCAGTCGATTCCGACTTGAGAAAGACGCAAAGTCTTGTTATAAGTAGCCTTGTTCAGGCAGATAGTGGAAGATGGGCTTCTCGGGGAGGTAGAGAGCCTTTTGCTAGTGTCTTCTCTATGAAGAAGTAGTAAATGTACGGGAGATGGGGGGTTTGATCAGTACTAGACGGATCAAAAAAAGGGAAAAGGTGGTTTTGTATGGGGAAAATGAAGTCGAAGCGCCGGGCGTGAATGGGCGAAGCAAGATGGTCACTTACAAGGGCGGCTGTTGACTTGGTCGCCAGGGCAACCGGCCGACGCTTGGCCGACAACGTGCGCTGCCCACCCTATAGGCGTCACCAGGTCATGGGTGGTAGAGTTTTCTGAAACAGGCCTCCAGTAAAAAAGGCGAATAAAATTAATGCATGTATCATGAAGGCGCCTATATTCCGTGGTGATTTAGGCTTTGATTGGTTTGAAGGGTTCATGGCTAATTGGCCGTTTTTTCGTCGGTTGCTAGGGACGTTAGTGATGTCGGCGCTTGACTTATTCCTCATCTTTGCCGCAAGTTAACTCAGGCAGACTACCATTTTGCGCTCGGCTCAATCACCAAATTGAACAAAACGACTGTTTGCTTGGCCCTCTCACAGCACGCAATGTTATCATTTCTCTCTAGCCTGCCTACAAGCACATGGTCAGCCATAGCAACGCCGGCGTCAATCAGACCACAAGCATGCAATGAGACCACCTCGACTACTGTCTCTACGGTTAGGTTAGCATCCAATGTAAGCCCTTAATTAGTTGCTTCCCCGTCTCAGCTGTGGACGTGACAGCCATCAGATCCAACGTATCAGTTTGCGAGCTTCCCAAATAAGGCGCTGCTGTAAAAGCACGGCGCCTCCCACGCTAGGCTCGTCGTCGTGGAGCTTTCCCATGTGGGCCGTGGTATTATCGGGCGTCATGCTCATCTTGGCCCCGTCAATCTATCCGCTGCTGCATGCAAGGCACATCATGTCCCTGCAGCGATGGAGGCTAAAAAAGCAACATGCCTAATTGATTCTGTCCGGTGTTCCAGAGCTGTCTCTCGACGTCTTGCTTTTCCTTGCCTGACGATTGATCGCGTGTCTCGATCTATTGAACTGTGACTAAAACATAGCCGGTTGCTCGAGAGACGGTAGCACGGCAAGTAATATCTAGGGACACTGGCTTTGCGTGAACCCGTGGCGTTCACGGTATCGGCAAGCCGCGAGGCATAAGGAGTTTGACCGACCGGATGATGATGTATTTAACGTGAAGACGCCTTTTCTAGTAGACGTTACATTACTATCTTGGCCGGTACCTTGTGCCTACCGTTGCGGTTGAATGGCGACCTTCTGGTGCAACGCGTGGGATTTTGGGCGCGCTGTTCACGTTGTTCGAGGCAAATTGAACAAAATTGAAACGGAAAGCCTCAGTTGTACGCATTCATAAATCCTGCACTGTACCGAAATATCGTCATCATTTTGCCTTGATCGCTCTAATTAAAGTTGGTTCCCTGGGCTGTTGATGATCGTGTTGCAAATACCAGGAACCTTCAAACGCGTCCAACCCTAACCCTTACCAGCATCCTCCAAGTGTGCGGGGCCCTGATTTGGCCAGCGGGCCTCTGCGCCAGTCGCCTCGACAACGTGGGCTGCCCTGCTACCAGGTCTCCCCCTCCACTGGAGTTTGCCACTAAAGGCCCCTAAGCTCCCCCGCCACAGCAGTGTCTTCGTGTCCCACTGCCACTGTACGGCGCTGTGCCTGGCAGGCTATTGTGCCACGGGTGGCCGCTATTAGCTTAGCTTAGCGTAGCTGTTGCCCATTGTTCCGGGAGCTCCAATTAATTCCCTCCCGAGGACCAGTCCGCGTCCCCCCGACGCCAAAACCCTCGCTCATAATAATACATACACAATCTCTCGGCTCCCAAATTAAACCCTGGGCCCTGGGATTAATCAAACACTAAACCGAACCACAGGGGAACATTGGAATTCTTGATTGACTTTTCCCTTCCTCGACACAGACCTCGCTTTGCTTTGGATAGCTTTGAACCCTATCCACGACGTCAAATCACCAGACATCGTCAACATGTCGGGAAATACCATGCGAGGTACCCCCAGCCGTCAGGGCCGCGGGGCCATCCCTTTCGCCAGCAGCCCGGCGTCGAACATTCCTCGCCCGGCGACAACAGAGAGCAGCGATGTCGGTTCATCGTCAGTCAGCGCCAGCAGACAAAAGCAGTCCAAGCGTGACGAGGTTTGTACCGGATAACGCCTACAAAAAAGTTGTGGATTTTGCAACTGACACTATCTTGTCCAGGCTATCCGTCGAAAGCTCGAAAATGACCTCTCCAAGAAGAAGCACCTTACCAACAAGACCCGACTCACCCGCCGAGCACCTCCTGGCACCGTTCTTGCCTTGAAGCCCAGCCCTGCCCTCCAGGTTAAGCCTGGTATGACGGTGTCCGAAGCCGCCCAGCTTATGGCTGCTAAGCGTGAGGACTGTGTTCTTGTTACCGATGATGACGACCGTATTGCTGGTATCTTCACCGCCAAGGATCTCGCCTTTCGCGTTGTGGGCGCCGGCAACAAGGCCAGCAACGTTACTATTGCCGAAATTATGACCAAGAACCCTCTCTGCGCACGAACCGACACTAGCGCCACAGATGCCCTCGATCTCATGGTCCGCAAGGGCTTTCGTCATTTGCCCGTCATGGACGAGAACCAGGATATCTCTGGTGTGCTTGATATCACAAAGTGCTTCTACGACGCCATGGAGAAGCTTGAGAGAGCCTACTCCTCATCACGAAAGCTCTATGACGCTTTGGAAGGTGTCCAATCCGAGCTTGGTGCCAGTCAGCCCCAGCAGATTATTCAGTATGTCGAGGCTCTTCGCAGCAAGATGTCTGGCCCCACGCTTGAGACCGTTCTGAACGGCATTCCTCCCACAACAGTCAGCGTTCGAACATCTGTCAAGGAGGCTGCTGCCCTGATGAAGGAGAACCACACGACTGCTGTCCTGGTGCAAGATCAGGGTGCCATCACTGGTATCTTCACCAGCAAGGACGTTGTCCTGCGTGTTATCGCTCCTGGCCTGGACCCCGCCAACTGCAGCGTTGTCAGAGTCATGACTCCTCACCCTGACTTTGCGCCCATGGATATGACTATCCAGGCTGCCCTCCGCAAGATGCACGATGGCCACTACCTTAACTTGCCCGTCATGAACGACGGTGGCGAGATTGTGGGCATGGTGGACGTGCTCAAGCTGACCTACGCCACCCTTGAACAGATTAACACTATGTCCAGCGGCGACGGAGAAGGACCCGCTTGGAACAAGTTCTGGCTTTCCATTGACCACGAGACCGAGTCTATGGTTTCTGGCGACGGCAGCCACCACCACACAAACCGCATCCACTCCCCGGAGATCCCTCGCGAACGCATTGGCGATAGTGTTGCGCCCGGCGACTCTGCCTCGCATGTTGGTGAGCATGAGCACGACTTGATTGAGCAAGCTCCCGCCGATGTTCCTTATGCTTTCAAGTTCAAGGCCCCATCTGGCCGTGTTCATCGCCTCCAGGTCATCGCTTCACAAGGTATTGACGCCTTCGTGGCTGCTGTTGGCAGCAAGCTCAGCAGCGAAGAGGCCGACTCTATTGGTGGTCTGCCTGTTGTTGAAGACGGCAAGCTTGGCATGACAGGTTTCGCTCTCAGCTATATGGATGACGAGGGTGACTCTGTCTCGATTACAACCGACAACGACTTGCTTGAGGCTATCCTACTGGCCCGCCGCAGCGATCGTGACAAGGTGGAGCTTTTCGTCCACGATCCTGAGAAGCCTCCTGTTGTCGCCGCCCCTGCTGTTGAGACACCTGTTGTCCACACTCCTCCCTCTACAGCTGGTGGTCTCCGTGAGAGACGCAAGGCGTACGATGATGAGGAAGAAGACGAGGACGACTACGATGAGGATGAGCATGTCACAGTTCGCCGTGGTGGTAGAAGACAACGACCGGCTCCTGCTCAGGAACAGGTAATTGCCGGTGTTCCCAATGATCTTTTGCTGCCTGGTGCCATTGTTACCTTGGCCGTCGTCATTGTCGGTGTTTTCACAATCACCCGAGCCACCAGCCGTAATTAAGAGGAGGGTCAAAGGAGAGTCTATAAGAGCGATGTGTATTTTATCGTGATTTTTATAGTTGCGCGCGTTTATTATGTTATTATCATTTATGAGCATGTCCAAAAATTAATATTAAGATTATATTCAATTTTCTTTGTCACGAATTATCCATTTGTTCAATTAACATAAGTGAATGGGAAGCGTCAATGGGTCAGCGCGTGGCGGGTCGGAAAATTTGCGGTTCCGACAGTCTTGCTCCTGAGCGTCGACACGGGCTAAATTTTGGAGCATTGAAACCCTCGACTCCAGCACCGCAACTGTCCATTGCGCAGTCACATCCTCACAAAATGCTAGCTAGAAACGCTGCGCTGCGGCATGGTAAGTGTCAATGGCTACTGCCCGTTGTAGAATAGAACATCCCGCTCACGATTGCGAAGGCTGCCGCACGCTGGCCCCGATCACACGATCCGTCGCTCGCATGTCGACCACCGAAACATCAACCACCACGACCGAATCCTCCTCCTCCTCCTCTCCATCCTCATGGCCGACGCCTGCCGCACCGACAACAAAGATTGCGTCTGTGGGCCGCAAGAAGCAAAAGTCGCAAAAGGACCTCGCCATCGCCCTGGGCTTCGACTCGGCCAAGGAGCACACCAATGCCTCGTGGGGCACTTCGCATCTTCGCAAGGCCGACGGCAAGCTCATGACACCCTCCGAGCAGTATGCTGAGTTTTTGCGCATCCAGGCTGCTACGCGTCGCTTGGGATCCAAGGTCGAGAAGCGATACAAGCCCACAGCCATGGTGACCAACCCGCCCAAGCCAGAGGACGTCACGCTCGAGCTGCTCATGGCTTCGCAGACTCACCTCGGCCACAACACGTCGATCTGGAACCCTTCCAATGCTCGCTACATCTACGGTACCCGTCAGGGCGTGCACATTATCTCGCTAGAGACGACGGCGGCGCACTTGCGTCGTGCGGCCCGTGTGGTTGAAGAGGTTGCCTACCGCGGCGGTCTGATTCTGTTTGTCGGCACGCGCTCTGGCCAGATGGAGATTGTGACTAAGGCTGCTGAGCTTGCCGGTGGCTGCCACGTCTTTACCAAGTGGGTTCCGGGCGGTATTACTAACCGCGACATCCTGCTGCGCAACGCGAGCATCAAGGTTGTCGACAAGCTGGACCGGGAGCAGCCGGGCTTCGAACAGTACAAGGCCGATGCGCGCCCATTGGTTCCCGACCTGGTCGTCTGCCTGAACCCGCTGGAGAACTACACCCTTCTTTACGAATGCGGCTTGTCCAACATTCCCACGGTCGGTGTTATCGACACGAACACCGACCCGTCGTGGGTTACATACACTATCCCCGCCAACGACGACAGTTTGCGATCCGTTGGTCTTATTGCCGGCGTTCTCGGCAACGCAGGCAAGGCTGGCCAGCAGCGCCGTCTTGCTCAGGCAGCGGGCCCCAAGGGCGGCGCTTCCTGGTCGACGCCTGCGGACCTCCAGCGACACATGCGCGATGCCAATATCCGCGCTGCTCTCCAGCGCAAAGAGGTCATGGGCCGCATGCAGTCCAACGTGGAGGGCTTCACGGAGGAAGAGCAGAGACTTCTTAACTTGCACGGCACAGAGGAGGAGCAGTCTATTAGCGACGAGGACATGATTAACATGATGGGTGCGTCTGTGGAAGGCGGCGTCTCTCACGGCGACAAGATTGCAGAGGTGGAGGGCCACCTGGCTAACGGATCCAACGTTGCCAAGGAGGTTGAAGCTGCTCTGAGCGGTGTATCTCACAACCACAAGATTTCCGAGGTCGAGAGCCATCTTGCTCGCGGTGCATCTGTAGCCAAGGAGGTAGAGGCTGCTCTGAAGGGTGTTTGAAGCGAGTGATGGCCACAGCTTCTCCTGTACAAAAACAAGATAGCATGTAACATTATTTAATTTTTTCCCCATTTGCTAATGTTTACAAAAAAGAAGAGAATGCATTTATTTTTAACAATTTTATCTCTATAATTTGCTAACTGCATTCTGCGTCTAAGTCATTACTGCTATGTTGGTCTGCAGTCACGTGCAGGGCGACCATTGGTGCGTTGGGCCAAATGGCTGCACTCTTCCTCACGACGCACATTTCAGCACAGCCGGTGCTCCCAGTCACCAGCAAACGTGCGCTGAAGCTCCATCCAACGGGCTCCTGCTTGGCTTACAGCGGGCTGCCATCCAAGTTTAGGTGCATTACTAGCTTGTTTTGCGTATTTTTTATAGAGCAAAACGGTCGTTGCTGGCTCTGCGCTGGAGAAGCGCTTGATTCTCAGTAAGTTGGTTTTCCAGCCCTGTCACTGCCACGCACTGCCAGCACCTGGCAGAGCCTCTCATGCCAGCACCCTCACCAAGATTCCTTATTATAAATTCTATAAATTATCATGACACATAAATTCAATTGTAACACACCTGCTAACTCCGGCAACAGTTCTTCCACCCCCAAAACCCATCATATTCTCCGGCCCCGGGCACATAAAGATGCCTGCCACCGTCGACGACCCGGCAAGCCCCACCGTCTACCGTGTCTCCGGCGCTCCTCCATTCCCGGACCCGGCATTCCCAAGCTTGCCGCCGGACATTGTCCCCCGCCAAGTCACCCTCCGAGACCGCCAGACAATAGCTACAATAGTCCCCGTGCCGTCACGGCACCAGGTACCACCGTCTCTATTAACATACCTATGTGCGCAGATCAATAAGGAAATCGAGGGCGGCGACACATATCCATTTATAGAGACGTTTACTCCGGATGGCTTCGCCGACTACTGGTTCCAGAATTTCGGAGCCGTCATGCTCCTGGGAAACATTGAAAGTGCAGATGCCCTTGTTGAGTCTGGCCAAGACTGGGCCCGCGAATGTCTCGGCAGTTTCTTCATCAAGCCCAATTACCCAGGCCGGTCAAGCCACGTCTGTAACGGAGGGTTGCTTGTCACAGACGCCTCGAGAAACCGCGGTGTAGGCCGCCTAATGGGCGAGTCGTATATCGATTTTGCACCGCGTCTAGGATATACCTACAGTGTCTTCAACTGCGTGTATGAGACCAACGTGGCATCGTGTAAGATTTGGGACGCGCTGGGCTTTAAGCGCATCGGCCGCATCAAGGGCTGCGGGAACCTTAAGTCGCATCCAGACCGACTCATTGACGCTATTATATACGGAAGAGATCTTGCACCCGGCGATAGCGAAGATCTTGTCAGCGAAGAGCGGTTCGACAAGATCAAGTTTTATCTCAAGTTTGGCAAGTATCCTGCTGGCGCGGACCGTGCGGAAAAGTCTCGCCTGCGTAGTGCGGCCACTCACTACAAGCTGCTCGAAAACGACAAACTTATGCTCAAGGACAAAGAGGTGATTTCCGACCCTGAGCGCCAATACGAGATCGCAAGACAAGTACATATGCAGCATCACGCAGGCATCAATAAAACAACTGCCACCATAGCAGAAAAGTACCACTGGAGTCGCATCAAAGAAACGGTCAGCGATGCCATCAAGACATGCGCCAAGTGCAAGGACACCGGCAAAGCACCAACGCCAACACCTCTCCCTACACGCCTTGGCCCTTCGCCACAGACACAAGCAGCTCCCACGACTCATCCTCCTCCATCTCTTCCCGACCCTGCCACTGCTGCCCCGGTGCCTATCCCATCCGCTGCCCCTGCTGTTCTCAACTTACAAAACCACCCCATGCTCAACACTTCACCGCCGTATGCCAACCTCTCGGATATATCCTCGATGCAACCTCTTCACCATCACCATCACCATCCATCCATGCTCCAGAACACCTCGCATCACGTATACCAGCCCATTGATCCGCAGATGATTGACACTTCTCACCACCACTTTGATAGTTACAATGCCCATGCAGATTTCCAGGCACTGTTGACGGCGACGGAGGACGTTCCTGGTGGACCAGATTCCTCAGCAATGGAGAGAGACTTGGAGATGCTTATTGAGCAGCATCAACATGACGCAGTGGGTGACCATGAGATGGTGCATGGGGGTGATAGTGACGGAGATGAAGATATGCATGGTAAAGATCGAGGGTTATATGACGTTTCATTCGACCACGGTCCCGGATAGTGGAGCGTGGTCTTCTATATATTACGAATTCAAGCATAGCGATGCGACATGTGAAATAATACAGATTGTCTTTATGAGGCCGCGTTCATTCTAGGCTGTAAAACAGATACTGCGCACGGCTGTTTTATAAAATCCAGATTTAGATTATGGATAAGAGGGTCTTTTTAAGTCTAGGTATCATCATACGGATCCTCAAACGCCTCCAGACACATCACATCGTTTTGCTTCTTGCATACGTTCGTCTTCCAAATAATAACAAGTATATCCATGCCGAACATTAAACTTTTTTTTATACTTTATTTGCCATTGCTTATCACATTTTACCTGCGGGGCATACCGCGACCGCGGCCTCTCAACGCACGCTGAGCAGCGCCGGGGGGGAGCTGCTGACCGGGAGCTTGGGGCTGGGCGCTCTCTTCGTTTCGGATCGTCTCGTCGACGCTGAGAATGAGACAGCTGGCCTCGGTGGCAGCCTGGATGGCGTTAATCTTGACCATGGCAGGCTCCCAGACGAAGCGGTCGACCATGTTGGCGACGCCCTCGTTCTGGAAGTCCACACCAGCCCATGTGTTTCCTCGGCGGTGCTCGACGCGAAGTCTGTTGAGAATGTCGGTGGCGTCAAAGCCAGCATTGTCGCACAGCTGACGGGGGATAATCTCGAGAGCCTTGGCAAAGCTCTTGATAATGGTCTGCTCCTTACGGGAGATCTTCTCGTCGGCGTATTGGTGAAGGTAAGCGGAAACATCCATCTCAGTAGCACCACCACCACCAACAATCATGTGGCTCTTGACAGCGCGCTTGACAATCATGATGGCATCGTGAAGCGAACGGTCCACCTCGGCGATGAACTGCTCAGCACCACCACGGAGGACAAGTGTGCAGGTCTTGGCCTCGGGGCAGTCCTCAAAGAAGTTGAAGCGCTCACCACCAATCTGGCGCTCCTCAAAGATACCGCAGGTTCCAAGGTGTTCGGGGAGAATGTCGGAGCAGGTAGACTGAACAACGGCACCGGTGGCCTGGACGACACGCTCCATGTCTTCGGAGGCGACGCGGCCAGCGCAGAAAATGTCGCGGTCGGCGAAGTACTGGGTGCCCAAGTCACCAATGGGCAGCTTGCTGAGGACAACCTTGGCGCCAGTGTTGGCAATAGCCTCCAACTTCTTGTAGATGATTTGCCACTCGGCATCGACGATGGCCTGGTATTCCGAAACCTGCTCGACACGGACTTCGGCATTGTCCTTTTCGGCCTTGAGCTCGAGCTCGACGTTGAGGCAGACAATCTTGGGCTTCTTGAATGCCTTGGGCTGCTGCTCGAAACCAGCGTAGGAGAAGGTCTTCTTGAAGGCGACACCGTTGACGAAGAGGGAATCGGTGAGTGAGCCGCCAGGGATCTTCTTAACTCCAATGAGCTTTTCGTTGAGGTCTTCCTGGTCGAGGGAGAGAACGGCATCGACAACCACTATTTTCATCAGTTAGTATTGTAAATTCGGAAATTAGTGCTCGGGTGCTGCGTATTGCTCACTCTTGGTGAAGAATGTGGTGTTTCTCTTGATCAGTTTGCTAGTCATGGCGGTGGCGGCCAATCGCTCGAGGGTCTCGCGCTGGTTGCTCTCGGAAGTGTTGATGGCAATCTCCTTGATCTTGTTGACAGCCATGCGGGAGGCTCTTCGGAGAGCCTTGATGATAACCTGAGAGCTGAATCCCTGCTCAACGTATTCCTTGACCTCCTTGAGGATCTCGCCGGCGAGGACCACGACGGAGGTAGTACCGTCACCAATTTCGGCATCTTGCGATCGGGCAATATCGACGAGGACTCGGGCGGCGGGGTGGACAATGTCGAGAAGCTAAGTGAAGATATTAGCGGAGTGTTTATGCGAGAAATGTCGCTCTCGTAGACGGACCTTCATGACGGTAGCGCCATCATTTGTAATGGTCTGCTTGCCATTCTGGTCGACCATGAGCAAATCACCACCGTAGGGGCCAAGCGTAGACTTGATGGTGGCCTGGACAGCGAGACAGGCATTGATGTTGGAGATGATCTGACCTTTGCCCTGAGAAGTATCGGTGCCTGGGTAGCGGACGCGGCGGTTAGCATATTCTGTCGAGGGCCAATGTGGCGGTGGGGTATATTTCACCTTCTTTCAGGACAATGATTGTCGGGGTTTGCCCTCCGAACGACATGGCGATTATGTGATGGAGAGATGCAGAGGGAATAAAATTCGGTTAGGGATCGAAGCAGGCTATTTCCGTCTCCTTCTGGCGATGTCGATGGGCGGAGAGGAAGAAAGGAGGTGGTGGTGGTGTAGGCGGGAGGCGGTTTGGTGGGGTGTGGAAGCTCGTGGATTCTGGAGCTCCAAAAAATTGTTGCCGCCTGGTGCAGCGCAAGACGCACGGGCCACCTTTGTCTTTTTTGGGTGCAATGCCAATGCTGGACCCTGGCGATGAGGGCCGGCAGAGGAAATAAAGTACAACCATAATTCTGTTAAAAAAAATTCAATTAAAAAAAGACAAATTTATTGTTTGTTTGTCACGATTCTCCTGCAAACTTTTCACGCTGCTATTCGTCTGTGTTTGTTCCACGCTAGTAATGTTTCAAACCTAGACTGACAGCGCCTCTATGTTGCGCGCAGTGAATCTTTGTTTGAATTGCCAGCTAGCACCATTCCAAAGATATACAGAAAGTTTCTTTGTCTTCTATTATATATTATATCATCACTTTTATATCAATATCCATTAAAATGCCTCAATCCCACCAGTAACTTGACCAAGCCTCGCTCAGTTTGACTTTAAAACTTGCTAAAACTATGTTTCTACTATAATTTAACTGCTGCTGTACCCTAATATTAATTCTCGTTTTTCTTTCCCTTGCCTCTATGCGCTTATTAGATACATCAATACAACATTTCAGATAGCCATGGGCCTAATCTACGGTAACTTCTCGGAGAAACAGAAGCAGGTGTTTAACTCATTCAATGAGAAAATTGTTGATCTAGCCTATGCACCGCTTGCGGGTGTTGAACATGTTTCTTTTGAAGATATTAAAAAGGCTACTCCAAAAATCATAATCGATCGTCTAGACTGGACAAAGGCAACCCGATTGAGCCAGCCACGCTCAATAGAAGAAATACGAGAGTGGATTAATAGAAGCCAAGATGAAGAGTATCCATCTTTTGGTGAAAAGAGTGTTGATAGCGGCGAGCCCTCCTACGACGCCCGGTGCTCCATATCAGCCATGGATGACTACATGTGTGTCATGATTGATGGCCCTGGAAGCTCTGGCAACTGGTCTGTTGAACTTGAGTAAGTTGAGAAACATATATGTTCCTAGACGCATGACTTCAATAATACTAATACTCAATAGAGATCTACCATTCAAGGTTGGTTTTTGGCCCAACGGCCAAAAACCATATGAAGGTGCCAGAGAACCTGCATACTCTACGAACAATTATGAAACGGGAACCGAGGTCTCTGGGCATAGTACCGCTTTCATCATCTCGGCCGCGATACCCGAGGCTGAGAAACTTGCTATCGGAGAGCTCGAAATTCTTGTTGCATGGGAATCGGCACTCAGCTTCCGCGCTGTTGAAAAGGGATTTCAAGGATGGTCTATGAATGTGATTACAGCTTGGTCAACCACATGCCGCTTGATCGTCGCTGAGGTTGACTATGAACTGTCGGCGACGAAACTGCATGTTGATGATCCAATCGAACTTGAGAAGCACACCAAAAATACTCCTGAGATTGAAATTCTCCTGGGTTGGATGCTTCCCCATGTCAAGGGAGACTTGAGGTGCTTGCACCTGCCAGCTTCTGAAAAACTCCACGGCAGAATGTCGACTCTTAGCATTCAGCCCACAGACGAGGCAAATAAGGCCGCAATAGACAATAGCGACTAAAGCCACCAAGACTAGAACCAACGATAGCAGCTAAGTAAGCAATGGTCAGCTCAGGGAAACTGGGCCAAGTAAGGCTAGAACAGACGATAGACAGCCAGGCGGCCAATACTTAACAGAAGCAGAGCCAACCAACACCAGCATGAAAGATCTCCTTAATACAATACAGGCTCTTAGCATTTAGTCTACGGAAACAAATATCTCCATAGATGACAACTAAACGATTTATATTATCTAAGGGTGTCGTTGATATACAAATCGAATCAGCCAAGGTTTTCCTAGGCAGAGTGGATCGGTCTACACGAGCAATTATCGAGACTTAAGCGTTCTTATCGCCATTAATATTATAGCTAAAGATAAAGAGTTGTAAGTACTAGACAGTAAAATAGTTTACGGCTTTTTAAAGCACATTATCATTGATTGAAATAAACAGCCTACAATCTAATTTAACGCTCTAGAATAAACTGCTTGTACTTCTAAGTAGGCTTCTTAATAGTTTATGAATATAAACAAATACGTAACATTATTTAGTTTTCTAAGCAAGGTTAAAGATAGCAAGAAATACATACTATACTATCAAAAGATGAAGACAAAATTCAAGCTATCTATGTCATTATAAGTTTCGAACTCGTCGTTATAGACGAATATCGTCTTACTTTGTCCAATCGTAAGTATTGTAGTTATACATACTATACGTCTTTCTTCTATGGTTTTCTTTCTCGACTCTCTACATCCTCAGTTTCTGCGTCTTGGGTTTCTGCGCTGCGCTAGCTCTGGCGGTAGCAGGCTTTGTCAAAGCACCTCCTGCGTGCGTGTTACCAGGTACCGAACCGGCTTTAGTACTAGCTGGTTTCTTCTGGCCAGCAACAGCCGTAGCCGTCACCTTTATCTTGGTAGAACTATGAAGATCTGCACCAGTCTGTATAGGCTTGGTGTTGCGAGTGTTTGTCTTTGCGGCCGACTTTTTGGCGCTGCTACCTTCAGCTCCTTGGGACGTAGAAACTAAACTCTCACGTCTGGTGCTTGTGACCAAGGTACTAACCCCCTTGGAAGAAGGCTTAGGCCTGATGGGGAGTTGACAAGCAGCACTAACAAAAGCACTGTTATCACGCGTTTCGAGGTCACGGGCACAGTTGGCAACAGACGCCTCCGGGCGTATTGTGACAACGCCGCGAACTCTAGCGGAGATTTGAAGATTCTTGGTGACAACTTCACAGGCGCGATTCCCCTTCTTTATATTTTCGTCGCCCTCCCTAGCATCTACCCAACATGTAGAGAGATAAGTACCTTTCAATGAGTCCTTAGCACCCTTTCGATGCCATGTACCAACGACGGAACCAAGGGGGTACTTGCCTTCGGCCTTGCCTACCCACCTGAAAACGTCAAACTCAAACTTCGAAAAGGCAGACTCTTCGGCATGAATAACGTAACGCTTTTTTGGAAGCTGAGCGTTCAAAATGTTACTCTGAGCGAGTCGATTCGCCGCCTCCACCCAACCTAGACTTTGAGGGAGAGTCGACGCCCAGAAGAATTCAGAGCCAGGGTAAGTGAAGACAGAAACCACCAGGTCCTTGTCGTTTTTGTGGGCATTGACACCGTATATGCGACGTTCATCGATTTCGATTTGTTCGGGGGGTTTGTTGGTATGGTCGGCAATTGGCGCAATCATCTCGTAGATTTGGCTAGCTAGCAGCTCGCAGTCTTCGACAGTAGGCGCAGCTTGGTACTTTTGCGGAAGCTTGAGCTTGCCAACCCAGGTAGAGCCCTTTTTTTCCTTAGCGTAGACTTCGTCGATATTACCTAGTTCTGGTATTTTGAATGCTTTTGTAATAGCAAGAGCAGATGGAACGTATGTCACAAGGACGACGAAAAGTGTTGCGTGATTGTAGAAGAGTATGTTGTTAAATTGAATGAGTGTTCATTGTATCCAAGAATCGAAGCAAGCTTTGGACGAAAGAGATCTATATATACTTTCTGAATATTATAATTAAAGACAGCTACTAGAATCAATAGCTGCTAAACTAGCTTGTTACATCTTTGTCTCACCACCAACACCACTACGGCTACCTAAATCGCCACCAACATCTGTGAAAGTACTATTTGAGATTGAGTTGGAGATGGGCTCTATCTTGCATACTGATACAAGCTGAAACGGATCGGAATCGTAAGCGGTATCAGCGCTGAGTATCCTGTACCAAAATCTAACCGTTCACGTTCTAGACGGCCAAAGCGTGGCCGTGCCCGATGAGGCTACAGTGTCGCCGCACAGAGGGCGCCCCGCTAATATCACCACGATGCGAGATCTAGCCTTCTCTAACCTGCTTCACTCTTTCACCTTTTCTTCCCTCTCATACATCTTTGCGATTTGTTCTTGGAATTTGTCCACTGTCTCTAAAGACGTGGCTTTCAACATGGTAACAACCGCGTCTCAGCCTGCTACGTTCCCCTTCACGAAACTATCGCATGACCTCCAACACACCATTTTCGAGTCTCTCTGTTGCCATTGCAGAAACAAAGATGACGCCATGGCGGTTTTATATCATGACCCCTACGAGCAGACGCGCACCTTGGGCAACCTCTGTCTCGTCAGCCGGCACATCCAATCTCTCGCCCAAGGCCTCCTCTACCACTTTCCTCGCATTTACTCATACGCCGGCTTCTTTCGCACTATCGACAGTCGACCTGAGCTGGCCAATTGCGTTAAAGTGATGACATGGGTGTACAGAGAAGACGTATCCCGGTTCTTGTTTCCCAGGCGTGATATTCCTGGCACTGTCTTGACGGCCCGCGAGGATATCTGGTACTTGAGAGCCCTGGCGATGCAACTAAAGCTGCAAAATACAGAAGTCCTCGAATTTGCGCCAATTTTTATCGATTACAATGAAAACGATGAGGATATGCTGGATCTATTCTTCAAGCATGAGATATTCAAGGCCTTTGATAACCTTGTCACGTCTATTATGCTGGGGCTATGCTCGCGGTTAGAGTTTTTGTCGATAAACCTGGAAGATGGCCAGGAGGCGCTGCGTCTCCAGTCTCTGCCTCGGAAGGCTACACGGTTTCAGTATTTGCCAGGACTTATACACCAACGCCCGGAAGGCTTTCCATTCCTACACACATTGGTGATACAGAACACGCTACACGATGATCCAAACGTGCTAGGCATCGGTAGCCTATCCTTTCTATGGAAGAGCTTGCCAAGTCTGCAGCGCCTCATCTTCTTTCGAAGTTCGACTGAACAATACCCTGGGCAAGTGTCTCCAGCATGCAACGATCAGGTTGACGACGCAGAGGAATCGTTGCGCTACTTGAAAGAGCTTCGCTTCGTTCGCTGCTCCAGATATGACTACCCGCTACCACTACCGGCCATAGCAAACTTGGTTTCCAAATGCACAGCCCTAGAACTGTTCACCTTCTCACCGGTGCTGGTAGAGGGAGGGACTTTTCCTCCGTCGCAGCTGGTCGACGCGATATCGACGACGGCTTGCACGCTTCGCCAGCTCGTTATCAACTGCCCGATCTTGGATGCATCCGCCGTAGACGCTACGCGACTAGTTACAGATTTGAGGCAATTTACGCAGCTGCAAAGTTTAGTGCTCGATCAGTCCGTTTTTTGCCATCATCACCACTTTCCGGACTCAGATGCATCGCCTGAATGCTTGACCAGTATGCTTCCCGCAAACATTCACACACTTACCATCAATATACACTATCCGTGCAATCCGATGGTTGACCTGGTTGCCTTGGGTGCATCCGTTTCGAACGGAGAGTTTTCATTCTTGAGGTATCTGCGTGTTCAGGTGGTGTTTGCCGAACCAAGTAAGGACGACCCGCTGGATGTTACATCTACATCATACGAACAAAACCCGGCCTTGTTGGCGCTTGGCGCAAGGCTGTCTGATCCTGAATGGAGCCTGTTAGCCTATAGAAAGGAGATACGACAAATTCTCTCAAAGGCTTTCGAAACGACTAACGTTGTGCTGGACGTGGATTGTTTTCGCGGTTGTTTGTATCAACCAGTTAATGCCGACGACTGGTCGCCGCATAGGGTGTCGACTCGCTTTAGCAAGAATCTTATCCACGAGGAGGAATGAGGATTATTGAACTGAATAATATGGCGATGTATTGATGCCATTGCCTAGCTGACGAATTGTCACGTAACAAATATGGTCCGCGGCCAGTGTGTGTGCTATGCAGGTTGCTCGTCTATGCAGCGTTAAGGCTAGTACCTGAAGAAGGCTGCCTTCCCACTACACCACTACCTCACAATGCAACATCCCGCATTTATGGGGCAATAAGCCTGTCTGAGAAGGACGGGCGAGACGTCGGACTTTGTCCTGAATAAGGTTGTTGGTTGGTGCGACATATACCCTGTCGAATAGGCACGAAATAGATGCGCAACCTAAAAGAGAATGAAAAGTGTCCGAAGCGTAAACACCAAGTTGAATTCTGTCAGAGCCTCGTTTCTCCACGTAGGCGCCTTTTATCTTGGCGACACTGTAAGAGCTCACGCGCGTGGTGGTGATATAGCGGATTGACTTTCGTGGGCCGGCGCTCTAATGCACCTAGTAGCAATCAATCAATTAGCTAGTAACGATAGAAGAGTTCTGACTTCTAAGAAAGATATTAATGACAAAGATGATCAAAGTTCGTATAATCAAGTACACTAAAGCATCTCGAATTATCTACTATATTGTTGCAATTTTTCTACGACGTGAGGCGACGTTCGTAGTTGCAGACATTGCTCCTCATCCCTACTTGCCCCAGCTTCCTATAAACACTACATCATGCCCGATTCGTTGCCCTATTATAACTTATTTTCCCTTTCTGTATGCAGCCCACGCCTTCTTGGCGCGCTCAACCTGGCCTGGAGTAAACTCTGTACGGCAGGCACTATATGACACATCAGCTATGGGCTGCAAGAGCCTCCTATGATCAAGATAATACTTACTCGCTGGTATAATCCATATGGTTGTGGATTGGGTCCTTACCAGGATGATTTGGGCAAGAATCTGTGCCCTCTGGGTAGTCTCTGTTGATCGTTCCTTCGGGTGGCGTGTCGTCGACTTGGTCACCCTTGCCGCCACACGTCTGGCCTTCAAACGTATGAATAAGATGAAGCCAGTGCCCAACCTCGTGTGTGGTGACTTTGCCCTCGCCAAAGTAGCCGCCGCTTCCTGGAAGATATCGGTGATCCATGACGCATCCGTCGCCGACCAAGTCTCTGACATTTGCCTCTGGATAATTACAGTATCCCGCCAACCGCCCTCCAAATGTGAATATATAGTACAGATTCAATTCGGCGTACTTTCCCATACGCAGCTTCTTCTTCATAGCATAATTATAGTTCGCGCCCTTGTGGTGAGCCCATTCTTTGTTGACGGTGTATGTTGTCTCTTTCAACTCAAACTTGATGCCAGCACTTTGAAAATCTTTATTGAGCTGTGCAAATTGCGAATCGACTTCGGCTTGCTATTCAGACAGAGATTAATAGTTGAATCGAAGAGCGCTATGAAACAGACGTAACCAACGGTTAGGTAACCCCCGTTGCGCTCCTTGCTCTCCGCAACTACATGGATGTAGGTATTCGCGACAATATCTTGCTCCATTTCGGCGGTAAAGTTTGCATTGTACAGGTATTCAGACATCTCCCATTGTTCTTCTGTAAGCGGAGGGGCTCCGCATTGTGGGATATTTGGTACCAGGGCGAGACTAGGGTTAGAACCGCAGACAATAGAAGGAGTACACCAGTGTATCGTAGCGTGGCGAACATACAGATTTGCTTAGCCACTAGGCGTTTGTCTGTTCACGCCGGATTTGGGCATGCGCCTGTATATATTCCACTAGGGTTGGGTGATCGAGTGGTATTAGTGCAGCTGATTTGAGGTGACTGTCGAACATTATTCTCATTATAGCTACAAGTTAGACACTACTAGTTAAAACATAGTCCTAGCATTTGGAACGCTTTATTTGGAAGTGTTGTATTGATGACTACAATGCAACGTCCCAACGAACCACTACATTAGGGGCGCTGTCTAATCATACGTGTACAGGCTATCTTAGCGGAAACTGTATGGTTTTTCGGACGCCGCAAATACAGCCAAAATACACGCTTAAAACATATTTATTTATTAAGATACATTCTGTTGGTTCAAGGATTAATAACACGTGTTATCAAAAGGTGAGAGGTTGTGGTAAAAGTTCGTTGTTCTCTTCTAGGTCCATGGTCGGAACTGCTCTAGTTAAATACAGCGAATACATCCTGTATTCACTTCCTTTTCCTGTGTTTTCCCAGCCACTTCCAGTGACTTAACTATTCCTTCACTCCTCCAGCAAAGTAACACACGTCCAATGTCACAATAGTCACAACACATTCTTTGCTCCATAAAACACGTATAATCTTGTAGAGTACGTGTAATTATCTAAAACATTCTAGAATATAACAATGTCTTTTTGTGTATACAAACAAACGTTGTTTTATTTTTTGAACGTCCGGAAAATTAGCATCTCTCCGCTAAGGTTAGATATGTTTGCGGACTCGATGTGGGAATATAACTGCTGGTTGCTACATCTTCCAACTTGTTGAATGGCCAGCAATAAACGAGACGCCTTGCAGGAGGACAAAAGTGGCCGAGGCTCCGACACCAAGTTGAAATTATGGCCAGAGCCTGATTTCTCCATGCAAGGCATTTTTTTGCCATCTTGATGAAACTTTGAAACTTGAACGGCCCGTCTTCGCGGTGACGCGGCTCTTAACTTAAAGCGTTAGCGGGGAGCGTGATCCAGTGATCCCATCACGCCCACTTGCAAGCCACCAGACCAACTAACCAAGACTTAGAACCATCTCGGCGCTAACTGGTATTCATCTACTGTAAATAATTACGGCGACCAGAATGCCTGAAGCACCCGTGCATTACGCCTGAGAGCCGGCTGTATCAGTAGCTGCAGCTCATAGCCTGCTGCCTGCAGAGACGGAGTTGGTTAGTGGCTATTACTGCAGCCAATCTATTCCCACAGCCCCCCGAACGTGACACCGGGCGCTGACGATGGGGCGCGAGACATCATAGAAAGCGGGAACCAGAGCCTGATTCCAAGACAAACTTTGTCCAAATAGGAAGAAAGCCGACAAGGGCGTCGATCGGGCCGTCGCATTTAGTGCGGGCTGCCAATTCCAAAGGCGGCAACATAGCGCGTGCATAACCAGTCACATTGCAATATAAAGGAGGCATGTCTGCCGCAGCAGTTTAACAAACTACGACAAGCATTGGCTCTTCATCTTCCTACTCCCCCCTCCATTGGCCTACACAATTCCATTGGGCGGACGACATCCCATCTTGTATTCTATCATGAAGTGGTCCTACTTGGCCGCCTCGGCCATGGCTCTCCTCCAGCCCATCTTCGCAGCTCGAGTCCCTGCCCAGGCGCTGCTCCCCCGTGCCGGCTCCAGCTTCTCGCTAGACTCGTCGCAGCCATCCTTTGTCTTCAACTATGCCAGCGACAGGCCGGCGCTGAAGAACTGGATCGGCATCTACCGCGCGTCAGGCGGTGGTCCTGACAACCAGCAAAAGAACCAAGACTCGCTAACATGGTCCTACGCGCCGTGGGACCAAGGGTCCGTCCATGTCGACCTGCGGGATCTCAGCCCCGGCGACTACAAGGCCTACTTCCTCGCCGACGACGGGTACAAGTGGCTTGCGAGCCCCATTGCCATCCGCGTCAACTTCAACGGGCGTCAGGACGGAAGCAAACTTGTCTTTGACTACGTCACGTCGTCTCCCGGATCCAAAAACTGGGTCGGAGTCTACCCGATCAGTGGCGGTGGCCCTGACGCCCAGAAGCAGGTCGACAACGCGCCTGTGTGGGCGTACGCCACCGCTAGCAGCGGCTCTGTTAGCGTCGACGTGAGCAGCCTGCCCGCGGGCTCCTACAAGGCCTTCTTCCTCCAAAACGACGGCTACCGCTGGCTTGCCCCGCCTATTGCCATCGACATCATGGGTAACTCGGGCAGCAGCATCTCGGCCTCGCTCAGCGGCGGCACCATCAACGTCGACTACAAGACACCCACTGCTGGTGACCAGAACTGGATTGGTATTTACTATGCTCACAATGGCGGTCCTGTTGGCGAGAAGCAGGGCGCTGCGGCCTTGACCTGGAAGTATGCCAACTCTACAAGCGGCACTGTCGCGCTGTCTACCAACGGACTACACACTGGCCTGCACTACCAGATTTACATGCTCAAGGATAACGGCTACAAGTGGCTGGCCAAACCCATCACCATTTATCTTCCTGGTTCGGATGGTCTGGGGTTTATAGTTGGTGATGTTGAAACGGCACGTGCTCAGAGGAGCAGCGCCTTTAACTACAGACTCAACAGTCTCCTCAAGCCGTACAGCACCGATAATGTCCATTTTGAAAAGACAGACGGCCCCGACTGGGTCCGCGTGTCTACCGATGGCGTTGTGACTGGTGTTCCTACCTCTGACGACAGCGCGTCTGTCAAGGTCCAGGCCAAGGCTCCCGACGGCTCTACTGCCAGCATCAACGTCCGCATTCCCGTTGTTTCTAGCGGCTCCAAGCTGGTGGATGAATTGCGTGTTTTGACCTTCAACATGTGGGTTGGCGGCAAAAACGTCGACGATTACCACAACAAGCAAGTCCGCTTCCTTTCCTCAGAGGGTCTTGATATTGTTGGCCTGCAAGAGTCTCAGGGCTATCACGGTAACCGTCTGGCAGAGGCCCTGGGATGGTACTCGTGGCAGGGAGACGATGTTGCTGTCATTTCTCGATATCCCATCGCCGAGGTCTACCCTGCTGTTACGAAGGCCGGTGGCGTCCGCATCAAGCTCGACAGCAGCCACGAGGTCATTTTTTGGAGCGCCCACCCTACGGCATACCCTTATGGTCCTTATGAGGTCTGCTTTAAGCATAACGATGCCAATGCTGTCCTGGATGTTGAGAACGGGTCTGGCCGAGTCCGCGAGATGCGTGAGATTGTGAGCGCCCTGAATGGTGCCATCTCCAACGCTGACAATGTGCCCGTCATCCTCACTGGTGACATGAATGCTCCCTCGCATCTTGACTGGGTCGAGAGCACGCGTAACACCCACTGCCAAATCACTATCCAGTGGCCAACGTCTGTTTTGCCAATCGAGGCCGGTCTCCGGGACTCGTACCGCGACATCAACCCCGACCCTGCCGCTGTTCCCGGAAATACGTGGTCTCCCATCTTCCTCAACAACCCGGAATTCAAGAACCAGGCAGAACCCCTTGACCGCATCGACTTTGTTTACTACAAGGGACTGGACGTGCTGGATTCGCACACGGTTGTCAAGGGCAATCCTACTCCAGAGCCCAACAGCAGTGGCAATGAGTGGACTACGGACCACGCCGCTGTGCGCTCTGTCTTCCGTCTCAAGCATTGAATACAGGTCACGATTTGTATATATGGGTTTTTATGTAGAACATATAACAGGTCATGATTATTGATGATTATCTAAAGTTGAGAGTTAAAGTGTCTATAAAGTAGGCCGTCTAAATGCGCCAGTCCATGTCCATATATAAAAAAGAAGAGTCGTAAAAGGATTATTACAGCCTTGTTTAGACCTTGGTAATCTTGAATCCTACTTGGCAGTAGCGGCCAGCAATGATGAAGCATACACCAGCCACCATGGTAAGACCACAGAAGAGTTGCAGGCCAATATAATCGCCGTGCTGATGCTCAACAATGGCACCACCGATGGGGCTGCCAGTCAAGGCGCCAAAGGCCTGGACGGCAAATGCAGTGCCAATGCGAGTGCCAATCTGGTGCATCTCAGAGATCTGTGCAATAAGCGTTGGGCCTAGCGAGATGAAACCTCCCGAGGCAAATCCAAAAATAATGACAAAGGCAAGAATACCGCCCACATTGGTGACGGGAATCCACACAGCCAAGCATACAATGGCAGACAACAGCATAATAGTGATCATCGTGTTGTAACGGCCCCATTTGTCGGCTGCGATACCGGGGAGAACACGGCCAAAGATGGAGACCGCGTTGAGAATAGGAAGCAGATAAGGCAGAAGATTGGCACTGATTCCAGCAGCGCGAGCCTGCAAGATGACAAAGTTGAAGGGCAAGAACATGCTCCACATGAAGAGGAAGAAGCCAAAAACGGTGAGGGCCATGCGAGGCTCACGTAGAGAGTCCACGTACTCCATAAAGACAAACGGTCTAGGTCGGGGTGGCAGGCGAGACTTGACGGTCAAGTTGGTAATGACGAGCAGGCCAAGGAACATGAATGCCACAATGCGGATGGCCCAGGGAAAGCCGTACTTGGGGATAAGGTGGTTCATGAGGATAGGAAGAACGACACCGCCAAACGACGAGCCAGACACCATGATGCCGTAGGCCATGGCGCTCTTACGGCGGAACCAGGTGGAAATGCAGTTGATACAGGCGTTGAAAACAGCCGAAGAGCCAATAGACGAGACGATTGATTGCGTGAGGAAGATGGAGTAGTACTGGTTGGAGAGCGAGAGCATCATCAGGCCGAAGACGTAGACGATGGAGCCGCCAAGGATGATGTATCGTGGTCCGTAGTTGTCGAAGAGGCGGCCAAACTGGTAGATATGTTAGCAAACTATACTAGATTACTTTCTATCAAGGAAGAGAAAAACTTACAACTGTACCGCAAAAGACCATGAAAAAGACTTGCGTCGAGGTGATCCAGCTCAGCGTCGAGCTGCCGTAGGTGGGCAAGTAGACGGTCTGGTAGTAGTTCTGGAAGACGCCCACGCAGTTAATCAAACCAAATGTGCAAAACAGCGCGCACCATCCACCAAAGCAGACGAGCCATGCATCCTTTCCGCCGTCTGGGAATTCGCCCATGCCAGGCGGGCCGGCGGGTGGCGGTGCTGCCTTTTCGACATCGTGATTCTCTGGTGTTGATGTTACTGGCGTCTCGTTCTGGGCATCTGCTACTTGTTGGCGCTTAAGGACATCGTGATCTGAGAGATAGCCTTGCGACTTGGAGGTGGCAGTGTCCGAAGACAGTGAAGCTGTTCTCGACATATTTTTTGTGGGTGTAGTAGATGTAAGTATGTAGGACGGTGTGTGTGACAGTTGGCACCAGCTGGCAAAAGTTGCTGTAAAAATGGCAAAAAAAGAAGACAATAAGATATTTCTTTCTTATCTCCCGTTGTCAACTCCCGGATTCCCCTGTAATACAAACAACATAAAAGACAGGCAAGCGCAGTGTGCAGCAAAGTGACGCCAGCAGTGTCTTAGATTTTTCGGCTAGGGTGTGTATAGGTGTGTGGTGGTAGTTGTCTAAGATGCGGTGCGGTTGATCAAATTCCGAGCCGCCCAAACGAGAAGCGGCGCCAAGCATAATATATCTACTTAACTTTTTTTTATACGGGCTCACCCAATTACTAGGGAGCAAACAATAATTACCTGCCGTCTCCCCGGCCGTCGGCAATAAGGCTTGGTCAGCCAGGCTTAACGCCAGTGTCGGCAGCCCGCGTTTTGCTAATAGCGAGCACCGCGACTACAGGCGGTGGCCCAATCAGTGACCGTTTTGGCGGCAGGGCGTCGGTCTCCGAGTGGGGCGTGGAGGGGTGACGGGGTCACCCAGCCCAAGATCTGCCCAGTAATTTACAGTGTGATGGAGCCTGCCGGAAGCTCGGAACACCAGCTTACAGGGCATCCCATCCGCGGGGGCTAATATTGCCATGGAGCTGTCAAAAGGCGGTTTCATCAGATTCTCTCATCCGTCGGGGCTATGGACTCGGATATGGAAGCTAATTCCGTGTTTGACTCTTTGCCGGCAGCAGCCGCCGCTGCCTTGCACAGCCTTGCCTTCGTGTTAATGTACTGTTGGCTGCTGTAGCTGTAGCTGTTGCTGCTACTGCTACTGCACTGCTATAGCGCTGACAGTAGCCTTCGGCGATTGCTAGGCGCGAGCAGCACATGGCATTCACCCGTCCCTGACGGGAGACAATAGGCCCTGGGTCTGTTTACTCGTTCAGCTTTGATGCACCACCCTTGATAGTGTGCGTCGTTCTTGTTTCCTCGTCCCGCTGGATACAACGCTGCCCAACTACAAGATTTCAAAGCAAAATCCCATCTACATCTTCTCCTTACCAATATTCTACTACATGTACAATATTCGCCCCTTGAAAAGTAAAAACACGGCCAAGAGTCATCGTAATATTCTCTTCCTATTAGTGAGCACCGTCGGCGCTCGCGTTTACAGTTTGTTCCGAGATCTCGTCCCAAAGCGGACTAGCCTGGAATCCCAAACTAGCCTCCGTCTTAGCGCACGGGAGCTTCCTGCAACCACTGACGCAATGAACAGGCTCGGCGATAGTTGGCCTAGTCCGAACCTATCATTTTACATGGTAATTGTAGCATTGTCTGAAAACGGTCCAGCAAGACCGACTCTTTCTGGACAATCGCCGACTGAGGCTCTTACAAAATTACAAAGCTTATGACGCGGCGCTAAAAAGCCATCTCATCTAGACGCCACACAACCAATACTCTGCAAAAAGTCACCGGTTCATGGCATGTCGCGCTCGGTCGACGGAGTTAAGGATAAGAGATTATCATTTTTGCAAAGAAAAAAGTAAACAGCTATGGTTTTGAATCATGATGGGCAAAAAAATATGAAAAAAGGATTACGGCGGCAAAGGTAGCTTTTCCCGTCGCGCTACCCTATCCCCATGTCTCAGTAATACACAGCGCGCTTCCACTCGTTTTTTTTTCACCTACAAGCGCCTGTCTCTATCGCACAAACTCCTTCAAGTCCTTGGCATCGTCAAACGTAACTTTGCCGTCTCGTTTGACAGATGCAACATGCAGCTTCGTGGCACCCGACTCTGGCGTTGTTGCAGCAGCCACCGCCTTGTCCTCTTCGCGGGGTAGCTCAATGGCCTTTTGCACAGCGCCAGCCGGTGAATCCGCAATCTCGTTTACATCTGCGTTGGTGAGTGAGTCAGCCAGTCTAACACCGCGGCTCGAGAGCAGCAGCGTCGTGGGGCCTGTGAACTGGAGGAACAGTCTGTCACCCCAGATGGTTCGGCGCGCCATGGTGCGCAGGCTGTGCAGGACACGGCCGATGAACTTGTAAGTGTCTGTCTTTTGCATGGTGTTGAGGAAGTTGTTCTCAGGCAGGAAGCGGGTCACTGAGGGCAGTGACAGGCGCAGTGTAGAGCTCTTGAAGCGGAATGGGCGAGGTGGCGTGCGGGAGACCGAGTAGGCGACGACGTTGCTGGGGTGGGCGACGAACTCCTCACCCTCGCCGAGGGTAAGTTGGTAGATTTGCCCAGGGGCCGAAAGAGCGACGAGTCCACGGCCAGTGATGAATGTGTTGCCCCAGTTGGCCATGGACAGGCCGTACTGGATGCGCGGGGAGAGGGCGAGCGTGTGGCCGGTCCAAGCTAGCAGAGCGTTGCGCTGGGCCACCATCCAGTCGGTCGTTCCGTCAAGGTGGACAATGGAAAAGGTTGTCGTGGGCGACTTTGTAGCAATCAGAGCCGTAATCGGCGACGAGGACGTTATGCGCTGGTAGAGGAACGGCACGCCAAACGGCGTTCTTGTAAGAGGGTTGAGGATCGAGAGCGTCGATTGCGCCTATTAACAGATTAGTCCATCACACAACTTGCAAAGACATGTAAACCATAAATGCATACATCATCAGGCTTGCCAGTAACGCCAACCAGAGTTCCTCGTCTCGTGTAAAGGCGCTGCGAAGGCGACAGGGTAGCTGAGAGCATCGAATACGGCGAACCAAGAACCTCGAATCGGGCATCTAATCGCCTCATTAGCATTCTTTCTCGACCTACTGGCCAGGTCAATTGCACTCACCAGCCACGTCTCTATTAGCATCCATCGAAATCGTAAACGCATCCGAGCCAGGCTTCACAGCATCGGTGCTGGGCGCCGCGCTAATCTGAATGGCCCTGCATTGTCTGCACACAAATCGTGGCGACAAGCTCGAGGCACGCAGGCCCCGTGCGGCGCCAATGATCTGCGCCTTGCTACGCATCATCTTCGGTCAAATGCGCTGTCAGATCGACGTTTCCACGCAATTGCCGACGTTTTCGGTGGGCGAATGCAAAAAATATCGCGACGTCTTAAAACAGGGTGAAGCTATCGTGGTTCCCGCCGGCGGAGACGTTTTGCCGGTCCGACGTCACTTCACGTGGGTGGTTGCCGTGCCGACTGGCCCATGCCACACAACCTCCAACGCCAAACGGTGCCAGCCGCGAACTAATACAACGGGCACACGATCTTGCAAACCAAAACGCTGGGGAAAAAGATACCATCTAGTAGAATTGCAATCTACAGAGATATTTACGGATAAATACAATCGGATGCATTAGATTTGAAGAAAAAGTTTTTTTTTGATTTTCTTTTGTTTTCTTGCTAGGCTCCTCGACTGCCTTGTTTACTAACCCACACAGCATCCATCATGTCTGTCCGCGTTGTCGCCAGAATCCGTCCGCTCCTGGAAAAAGAGCTGGACAAGGACATTATCGTCTGTGCTGACTCTGCGGAAGAAGGCAAGCCTCATACGATTGTCAAGATCCCGAGTCCGAAGAACGAGGCGGAGGAGTTCTCGTTTACGTTTAACAGCGTCTACGACCAGTCCACGTCGCAGGAGACACTATTTACATCCGAGGGTATGCATTGGTACCGCTCATTGGGGTTTTTTTTGTGGCTAACAATTACTTGTTGCAGTCCAACCGTACCTCAAGTCTCTGTTCAACGGCCTTGACGTGACGCTCTTCGCGTACGGCGTGACGGGCACAGGCAAGACGCACACGATGCGCGGCGGCCTCAAGCTGGCTGATCGCGGCGTGATCCCTCGCCTGCTCAGTGGCATCTTCCGTCGCGGGAAGAAGGTCGCTAAGGAGTCTGAAAACGACACCATGGTCGAGGTTGCCCTGTCCTACTACGAAATCTACAACGATAAAGTCTACGATCTCCTCGAGCCACCCGAGGCACGCACGCCGCTTGGCCTCCCGCTTCGTGCTGAAGCCAATGGCAAGACTGTCGTTGTTGGCCTGACGGAGCGCACGTGCGAGGATCTCAAGGACTTTGAGAAGCTGTACATTGAAGCCAACAACAACCGCGTGACTGCGGCGACTAAGCTCAATGCCCACAGCTCCCGATCGCACGCCATTCTCCGAGTCAAGATTACACAAACCACTGCTGATGGTCAGGTCCTCACTAGCACAGCATCCGCCATTGACCTTGCCGGATCCGAGGATAACCGTCGCACTGATAACAACCGCGAGCGCCTTGTCGAGTCTGCCGCCATCAACAAAAGCCTGTTCGTCCTGAGCCAGTGCATCGACGCCATTTCTCGAGGCGACAAGCGTATCCCTTACCGCGAGTCCAAGATGACGCGTATTCTCTCTCTCGGACAGAACAACGGCATCACCGTCATGATTCTCAACCTTGCTCCTCTCCGCAGCTACCACCTCGACACCCTGAGCAGCCTGACAGTCTCATCACGTGCTAAGCGCATCGAAGTCCGCGAGATTGAGAATGAGGTGGTCTTTAAGCAGATGCCTCGCACCCAGTCTTCTCTCTCTAGCCTCAAGGCCAACCGCCAGCCCCTCCGCCCACTGGCTAACGCTTTGAGCGCGCACAACGTCCACAGCGGCACCGTAGCAGCTCGCTCGACCGCGGATGCCAGCCGCCCCGTCAAGGCTTTCAGCGTCTACACCGACAAGCTGAAGCCAATTCCTACCTCTCGCCCATCCATTGGCGGTACTGGCAACCCTCTAATGACCCCTTCTCTGCGCCGCTGCAGCTCGCTCAAGCGCACCTCTGATATCCACGAAAACAACGGCATCCCACGTCCCTCTAAAATCGCCCGCCCATCCCTCCTGCCCATTTCTAACCTCGCGCCCATCCCATCCTCCCCGCGCGCCCCTCTCCCCAAGGAAGACTCTATTACAATGTCTGCGTCGCAGCTCGAAGCCATTGTCGAGAAGAAGGTTAGCGAGATCCTGGCTGCCCGTGCCGCCTCCGAGCAAACGGCCGCCATCAACTTCACCCCTGCAGCAGCACCCCCAGCAAGCGAAGCCATGCAGAGACGCCTAGAAGCTCTTGAGCGCCGCGTTGAAGGTGACGAGTGGCGCGACGATGCCAAGTCTGACGGACTGCGCTTCTTGCTGGCCGCTCGTCAGCACAAGGAGCGTGGCGACGAGGCTGCAGCTCTCAAGGCGTATGAGGCTGCGCTCCCATTCTTCCCCGGCCAGGCGAAGCTTCTTGGTAAAATCTCCCGCCTGCGGGCTCGTCTAGGCCTTGAGCCTGGAGAGGCTGTTCCCGAGCCTACCATGCGCATGGATGGTGGCAGACGCCGAACCATGGCTAGATTTACCGTTCATGATGATGAGACGAGGGATATGACGTACATGTTTGCTCCCACGACAGCGTTGATTCAGTGAATTCTTTTTTTTGTTCTTGCATTATCATATATCGTTTTTCTTTTGGGTATGACAGGGCTTTTTGACTTATACCCTGGCGTCTGGTGTTGAAGGATACCAACCTGATTTCGTTTGTTGGAATAAAAATACTCATAGAGTCGAGGCATTGCATACTCTGTATTAATAATGTTTACTCTTGATTACTCTACTTGTTGTTGACTGTTTTTTTGCGCTACGTGATTGGATACCGTTGGTCGAGCTGCCAGTGGGCGAGAGCCAGTCGTTCGTGCTGAGTAGTTCGTGATTAAAAACCAAGCGACTGGCCACCGGGTGTTGTTGCACTAAAAAATTATGGCTTAATTGGGACAGTCTGGTACAGTAGCATTCGCCTGTCGTTTAAGGGTTGGTCCCCTTTGTACCGGAGTATTGGGCGAGACATGTCGCGGCCCGTACCAAGACACGCGACCACTGCCACGGTAGCTGGACCCTGAAGTCAGTAACAAAGCACACAAAAGGCACACGATGCGATTTAAGTTTGAGGTCAAAGTAGCTGCCAGGGCAAAAAAAAAAGTTTATTGATCGTCGTCAAATAGAAGTAAGTAACAGGAAGAATAGTAAGGGCACAATCATGAAGCCCTCAAAGAAAAAGAGTCTAAACAGTAACTGGGCAAGGAAAATGGGTGAGCGATTGTAGTGCTGCTTGTCATAAACGAGTTGACATGTTTGGCAAACCGGAAGAGTTAAGAATATACCAGGCCGGAAGCAAACAGTCGAGAGGAGCTCTCAGAGCATGTAAGAAGGAAGTGAATGTGACGGTGTGTAGTAAAGATGTATTCCCACAAGACCAAAAAAACAAGTACCGAAGAAAACCAAAAAGTGCCAAAGAAAACCCACAGACAGGATAAGTCATGTACGCTCAAACGCCCTAGGGCTGTGTATGTGCAGGGTCTAATATCTATGACGCCTGCAGCACACAACAGCCCTGTTTTGTTTTGTTGTTGTGTGTGTCGTCGCTGGGGCCATTACCACTGGTAGGTGCTGGTTCGGCGAGACGCCTCTGGTCTCTCCTTGTTAAAGGCAGAGCCAAAGGACGGGATAGAGCTGAAGCGGTTGAGTCTCTTGCGCTCTGTTGGCGAGGGAGCCGAGGACGAAGGCGAGTAGGAGCCGTCCTCCATCATGGGGGCGAGGGTGGGGAGGTTTCTGTGGGAGTGGCTGAGGTTCATCTGCTCGCCGTGGAGGGCGTCGACGCGGACAGAGCTCGAGTCTGCCGAGGAGCCGGTGCTGTTGGGCGTCTGGTAGACGTATTCGCCGTCAACGTAGATCGCGTTGGAGACAAAGGTCGACCGGCGATTGCGGCGGCGGGTGTAGCGCTGTTCGAGGCGGAAGACCTCGAGCTTGGCTTGGATGCGTTCGAGAAGGTTGATGCCCATGGTTTCGGTAAAGGGCTTTTGTTATATGTACGCGGAGAGAGTCTTTTGAACAAAGGTTGTTGTTGTAGGTAGGTGAGCGTTTCTTTAGCAGCAAACAGAGCAGTAGAGAGCGTGTGGGTGGTGGGTGTGAGTGTTGTTGGTAAAGAGAGACTGGAGGTAAGAGCGTAAATACAAAGATGGTACAAGAGTCGAAAAAAGAGGAACAGAAGAAGAGAAGGAGGAAAGGAAAGTAGCGAGATCCGGGGAAGAGGAAAAAAGAGAAACCAAAAGACGCTTCGCTGGATTTGGGTTAGCAAGACAGGAAAAGAGGGCAGAGGAAGAAGAAGAAGAAGAAGCAGCAGCAAGGCCCAGCAGCCCAAAGAAGCAACCGGGGTAGTGATTGGCCCGGGGAAGACCACAGAGGCCGCAGCAGAGCCACATAGGTGGTGTGAGATTGCGTGCAGGCTTTTTTCTTCGACTTTTTGATGAGGACGCACGCTGCCCCTGGTTGATGGGCCCTGGGGGGCACTTTAATTGCAACCACACATGGTGTACTGCTGATCTGGTCTGGTTTTTTGTCGTCTCTTGTCTCGCTGTTTTCGGCCAATTTCCAATTTCTTACAAAAAATAATTTCTATAACTGCCGTTTTCTTTCCTTCTTGTCTCGCCTTTCTCTCTTTGCTGCAGAAACCGGCCGAGGACTGGGTTTGTTGTGCTGATCCCCTCTCCCGACTCGAGCAAAAGGGCCTGGCCTCTGCTTTCCCCTGAACGGGACCTGCAGCCACCAACGCAGTTCGCCCGCCCAACCCACCAACCACTGCCACAGCGACCATGGCCACCTAAAGCAAAGGCCCTCCACCTCCTTGGCACACTGAGCTCCGTAGGTGCTCGTTCTATAGTGGTTGATAAGCCTGTAAGCTGTATCTGTGGGGGACTGGTTCTTCTTTGTGTTCTGTTTTCTTTATGGCGTTCGCCATGCTCCACATGCCACGCTACAGACTTTACGAAGTGTAGACTTGTAGCACGCCATCTGCATGCACGCAGCCGAAGGGGAAGATGACCCGAAAGACAAAAAAGAAATACGAGGCAAGACAACCAACGTGCTTGTGTCTCAAAGGCAGCATGGCAAACATGCAGCACGCAAGCACAAGACGGCACGCAGCGGAACCCGTTGACGGACGCTAAAGAAGCTGAGCTTGGGAGAAACAGTAGCGTCCCCCCCCGGCGGTGCGTTCCTGGAAATAGTGGGCTTCTAGCGAGCAGGGGTGAGATGCTAGCGCCGTCCGGCAGGCGAATCAGCGCTGTTCTGGGTTGGGGTGTGTGTGGGCGGGGCCATTGTTTAGCGTGTTCTGATGCTACGGCAGCGGTTGCGTACTGTGCTGTCCCCTTTGTAATCTCAGCACGCTGCAAGACTGCTGTGTGTGTGTGTGTGTGTGGACGGACTGATATCGCGGGGCGGGATCTCAGACTACGTTAGATGACAGGCGTTGGACCAGAACCCAGTAAAAAGAGAAAAAAGAGGAAATAAACAGATGAAGAAGGGGCTGAAACAGATGCTGCTGTGGCAGTGGTATCTTTCTATTGCTGCGTATCGCCGGCCTTGGTGCTCTTTGTGCCGCCAGCCGTCTTTTCGACTTTTCGCTGCCTCGGGCATGCATCTCCTCGGGCGCTTCTGTTTCTGGCAGCACAAACAAAGAGCAACGGACACCAATACAAAACGCCCATCCAATCTTTTCATGCACGCAACACCCCCGCCTTTGCTGCAGGCTGTCGAAACAAAAACCAACGTTGCCCGCTTTCTCATGCAGGTAATGCTGGGAGGCGCTCTGTTGAAGAATTTCCGGCGGAGTCGAACGCCCACCAATGACCAATGGAAATGCACTACCCCGCGTTCTTGCAGGCAAACTAGTCTTTCTTCCCCACGAGCGAAGGAAGTAAAATAAGCGAGTTTGAGAATATGGATGCGCTACTAGTGGTTGTAAGTCGTATATACGATCAACTATATCACTCTATGTGCATCAATATCTACAGGGAATAACTCTCTGCTACGAATCCATCCTAAACTTCGAAAATCACCCGCATGATGGGTGCGGTTTCAGCAGCCGCCCCGGCTCTCTCAACTACCAAGCATGAGTGTAGACCTTAAGCCAGCTTGCTGAGAACAAATTTGGCACCCATATCCTGCATCTGTGCGTCACCAGGATACGCAAGATGCTCAGCGTTGACTCCCAGCCCGTGGGACTTATCACAGACTCCATCGCCCTACAGCACAGGTTAGCAACGATACGCACAATATTGGGGGCAGTTGTAGAAGAACTTACAAAGTTGCACACATCCATGGTTCTGCCAACATAAGAATCAGGAATAAACTGTTTCTTGTCATAGAGAAAGCCAACGGCGTCCCTGGTTGAGTCGCCGCCGTGCAAGTCCACATTGCACGCCAATCCGGGCTTGTGTCTCGGGTTTCCAATCACAAAGACGCCCTTGACGGCAGCAGATTGGTCGGCAGTAAACTCTTTCAAGGCACCGACCACAGCCATGGCACCCTGAGAGTAGCCTTCGAGGATCAGGCATTCACTGGGGTTCTTGGCCAGAGTCTCTTTGACAAATTTGAGAATCTATGCTCTGTTAGTTGAGGAACGAGTACTGGGCCGCTTCAGAATCTCACATCGGCAGTGCCAACCTCGGCCTTGAGGGTCCAGTCGGCAGGGTAAACGACATTATACTGTATCCCATGTTAGTGACTGTTTTCAAGTCGTAGTGTTTTGCGTGCTGCTACTACTGACAATCTTGCCGCCTCCGAGCGTGTCAAGGACCTTCTTGTTCATGGTCGTGAAGCCAACAGACTCGCCCTGGGGCTCAGTCGTGCCTCTTGCATTGATAATTGCTGTTCCTGTTAGACAGGGCTCTATTCAGAGTTCACATGTTTGATATACTCACTATAGCTGGGGCATGATGCTGGTCGCGCACAAGAGTCTGCTGCTGCTGGGACTGGGCTTGCCGAAACCGATAGAGCCAAAGCGGCCAGAGAAAGCAGATTTTGGTGAAGCATGATTAGGCGAATTGACTTAGTCTATTTAGAAACAGTTCTACTACTAGTTCATCCCAATTATGTTTCGTCTGTTTTATGATCCACTCCTAACTATTTAATGGTTATTTTACAGGCCGAGGCACTGCATCCCAATATGCGGGGAAGGTCACAATTTGGATGGAAACACGAGGCTAGCCTCTTGGCTTAACCTTTGGGCTTTGCTCAATTAGGCAGCTCACTTTAAGCGACAACACTATTATTTACTTGGCTTTCCGACAAAGCCGACCAGCGCTATAGCCGACATGCCCGGGTCTAGTGTTTAGTGTCTATTTTCTTTGGGAAACTTGGTATATTCATCATTGCAATCTATTCCTAAAAAGAACCCCTATCGCTTAAGCCCACTTGCCCAGTACGCTCATGGCCACCATACCACTCAGTAGGCCAAAGCCAGCCAAGCAGACAGTGAACAAGTCCGCATTGGCAAGTTCTGCCTTTTGACCATGGACACCTACCATCCAGTCGGCTGCCAACATTTCAACCAGTCCGACCCAGACCAAGATACCAGCAGACAGGGCATCGAGCGTACCAATAGCGAGGATCGTTGACCTGTCGTTTCCGTTGAACTTGGACAAAACTCCAATACCAATGGCCATGCCAAGTGGCGTCACAAAAGCAAATAGCGACGCGAGCCCGCACTTCTTGAGAAGCGACAGCGTGCGAACGGGGATCTGCTTGGGCACGGGATCGTTGGTGATAATCTGCTCCGATCCAGAGTGGCCCGTTCTTAGAGACTTGTCGGCATCTGTCTCATCCTCACTTGCCACATGAATGTATTCCTTGGTACCAATGGCAGCGATTCTTGTACCGAGAGCAATACCTTCGAAAATCTGGTGGAAAAGGATGACAACAAATAGGGTGATAAAGAAGCTGTCTCCAGCAACGACGAGCGTCAAGCCAATTACTGTCAATGTCAGCAAAGAAAGCGGAGGCAGGAAGTCTTAAACTTACGCAATGAGTGGAAAAGGATACCAATTTCCATGACCCAAATGCTAACAATTTCTGCGTGGAGGAAGGCAGCGCTTTGCTCTTCAGGACCGAGTTTGGCTGCAGCGTTTGTCTTGCTAAGGACGACGCGGTGGCCAATATACTCTACGACGAAAGAAATGAATATACCAGCCATGACAATGGCCGACGTTGTTCCCTCGTACCCAAGTTCACCCAAACATGGGTTGGTGAACATGAGCGAAGCATGCGTGTAGAGCTATGAGCAGTTAGCTTTCCCGCTTGATACTATGGGCTCGAAGAGCATGAACCTACATGGACAAAGGCCGTCGAAAGGATGATACCAGTACCAAATTGTTTGAGGACAGTCAAGATGACGTGCATTTGCTTTGGTAGCGCTCTCTGGAGGAAAATAGGGCTGAACACGCCCAACGCCGATGTGAAGAGAATAACAAAGAGGAGACCGACTCTCAGCGGGATGTTGTAGTTTCGCTCCTTAAGCTTGCAGCGTTCGCTTCCTGGTCCCCCGTGCTCTTCTTCTTCATCGCCACCAACACAGTGTCTGCGGATTTGTTAGAGTTTGAGAACAATCAACTCGTCTCGAGACGCGAAACAAGGACTTACTCGACACCAGCGTGGAAATGGCAGTGCTCATGCTCCTTTGCGGCGGTGTTGATGATTTCGACATCCTCACCAGCGGCATCGATACAGTACGTATCTTTACCATGGTTGTGGCAGTCGGTAAAACTGGCTGGATATTCGCTGGTAGCTGTTGGAAGGGGTGTCTTGACGAGAAATTCGGTTGTACCGCCCATACAGACCCTAACATGCGATGAGTATATGTTTGCAGATGCGCAGCGTTTTCTATATTGCAACCCAAGGACCAAATAAAGAAAGAAGAAAAAAAGCTTACAGGTCAGTTCCATGGGCATGGCAGTCCGTAATGGCTGTAACGGCAGTGTCATCAGCCCTCTTGACGGGAGGTGGCGTCGGTAGAGGTGCGATATTGCTGGCGGCGGTGAAGCCGAAGAGAGCAAGCGCGACGACGCCTGCGTACCTCATTTTTGCAGTTCAGGCGAGCTCTTCTTTGCAAAAAGGGTGCAGGATGAAAATGATACTGGAATCCGAAAGTGGTGCGGCCAGGACAATAAAATCCTTGCTCCTCGCAAAAAGCTTCGCGGATGACTCCCAAAAGGCTAACTCTATCCTTGGGCTCGTAGGATGTCTCACGCTGGCGAGCACGGCTCAAGTAAGCAGAAGATAGATGTCTAAAAATGGAAAGCACAACTGTTCTGGGCAAAACGCTACGGTGCCAGAGCGAAGCAGCGTTGCTTTATATCACGGGGGTTAACAGGCCGGGATGGTAGCCTGGCGTTCAAGCCAAGCATTTAGTGTTTCTTGGAACATGGGGTGTTTGGGTCCCTTTTCTTTTCGCTTGAACGACCCTGATGGCAGCGCAGCCCTTTGATGCTCGTGTGCACTGCATTTCTTCGCTGAAAGCCATGCGAACCAGCAACGTGGGCAAGTAACGGCTGCTGGCGAGGTGGATGCGGAGAGAACCCGGATGGGCGATTTAAAGCTTGGCTAGCTGCGGCCAAGACGACTTTCTTTTGATGCCAAGTAACGCCTTTTATCAGCTCCGACAAAGGAAGCAGGATTTTCACGGGCCTTTTGGGTGGCTTAGCAGCGCGGGAATTAGCAATGCGTTGATTTAGAGTGTTTATTAGGGTTGTTGGGTGCCGCTGTCATTGGCCTGAACTTGGGACGATGGGCCTATCATACCACTAATGGGAGTGGTTGATAGATAACGGCCAAGAGAAACTGTGGCTCCGGTCATGACTTGCACTGAGTCGGGGCTTGTGGCTAAATGACTATTGAAAAGCAAGTGATTTTTTTTGTCGGTGACCAGGACAAGAAGCGATCGCATCATGGCGTCCCCTCCCCGTCTTGGTTTGTGGTGGTGGTTGGTGTAAGTGGTAAGTTAAGTCCAATAGCAGTGGTGTGTACAGTAGAAGCCACCGACCAACACTGGTGCGTATTTCTTGCTGACAAAAAGTGCCGTACACAATACACAGTACAGGAATACATGCACCTCCTATAAAGAAACTGAAATCTTTAATTTATACTGCATTTTTCTTATGCAAGCCGTGCTTCCGTAGACATGCTGCTGCTGTACTCGGCCTGTTGGTGCACCCACCACTTGCAGCCTGTGGCTCAGCTGCTCGCGTGCCGCCACAGCGCACCCGCCACAGGCCTCTTAAAGTGCCCCCGCCAGAGAAAACGCGTCTCCCAGCACCAAAGGGCGACCTCTACGCGCCGCCAGCGATCACGCACCCATCTTCCCCATACAACTTTCAACCTTTCTGGGGAGTCTGTTGCCATTTTTTCCATCACAATTCATCCATCATGGCAGCTCGACCAGAGTTAAAAGTAAATACAATTCAATTGCCTTCAATTTCCGAATCAGCAGCACTAACAATTTCGCTTGCAGCTCGACGACGAGGGCGGCTTCATCCGCTTCTTCAAGTCTCTTCCCGACGTCGGCAGCGACACCGTTCGCATCTTCGATAGAGGTGATTGGTACACTGCCCACGGCGATGACTCTACATTTATTGCCAATACAGTTTGTTACATGGACTGCCACCCATCCTTACGCTTCTACTAACCAACTCCATAGGTATACAAGACAACCTCCGTTATCCGTCAGCTCGGCCGAAATGATCATACTGGATTGCCCTCGGTTACCATGACCGTCACAGTCTTCCGACAATTCCTTCGAGAAGCCCTCTTCAAGCTGGGAAAGCGAGTCGAGATTTGGGCATCGCCTTCTGGCCGCATGAACTGGAAGTGTGTCAAGCAGGCGTCTCCTGGTAACTTGCAAGATGTTGAGGATGAGCTTGGTGGCCAAATTGAGTCGGCGCCTATGATTATGGCAGTCAAGATCCTGGCAAAGGCAAGTGAAGCACGCAGTGTCGGTGTTTGCTTCGCCGATGCCAGTGTCCGAGAGCTTGGTGTCAGTGAGTTCCTTGACAACGACCTATACTCCAACTTCGAGGCCCTCCTCATTCAACTTGGCATCCGCGAGTGCATCGTACAACAAGATAAGGGAGAAAAGGACAAGGATCCCGAACTCGCAAAACTAAAGCAAATTATTGATAACTGTGGTGTTGCCATCGCCGAGAGACCGTCAAGCGACTTTGGCATCAAAGATATTGAGCAAGATCTTGCTCGTCTGCTCAAGGACGAAACGGCTGTCGCTCTGTTGCCTCAAACAGACCTCAAGCTCGCCATGGGATCTGCTGCATCCCTCATCAAGTATCTGACCATTCTGCAAGACTCGTCCAACTTTGGCCAGTACAATCTCTACCAGCACGATCTTGCTCAATACATGAAGCTTGATGCTGCTGCTCTCAAGGCTATCAACCTCATGCCTGGACCCCGCGACGGTTCAAAGACTATGAGTGTTTATGGTGTTCTCAACCACTGCAAGACCCCCACTGGTAGCCGTCTGCTAGCCCAATGGCTCAAGCAGCCGCTGATGAACAAGGACGAGATTGAGAGACGCCAGCAACTCGTTGAGGCATTCTACAGTGACACAGAATTACGCCAAACTATGCAAGAAGAGCATTTACGATCGGTACCCGACTTGTATCGTCTGTCTAAACGCTTCCAGCGTGGTAAAGCCAACCTGGAAGATGTAGTGCGCGCATACCAGGTTGTTATTCGTCTACCAGGCTTCATTGGCACTCTGGAGGGTGTCATGGATGAGGCGTACAGCAACCCTCTTGATCAGGCATATACCAGCAAGCTACGCGAGATGTCAGATGGTTTGGGCAAGCTGCAGGACATGGTCGAGCAGACAGTCGATCTCGATGCGCTCGATCGCCACGAATACATTATCAAGTCAGACTACGATGCTGGGCTGCGAATCATCCGCAAGAAGCTCGACCACCTCGATAAGAACATCCGCGATGAGTTCCACGAGGCGGCCCGAGACCTCAACCAGGAGGCTGAGAAGAAGATCTTCCTCGAGCAAAATCACAAGGTTCATGGTGTATGCATGCGTCTGACTCGACAAGAGGCAGGCTGCATCAGAAATAAGTCCAAGTACCAAGAATGCTCTACGCAGAAGAACGGTGTCTACTTCACTACCAAGCGCATGCAAGCGCTGCGCCGTGAACACGACCAGCTCTCTTCAAACTACAACCGCACACAGTCTGGCCTTGTTAACGAGGTGGTTCAAGTTGCATCTTCATACTGCCCTGTGCTCGAGCGCCTAGCTGGTGTTCTTGCTCATCTCGATGTCATTATTTCCCTTGCACACTGCTCGGTCAACGCACCAGAAGCCTACGTCCGCCCAAAGATCCACGCTCGTGGTACCGGCCAGACAAAGCTCATTGGTGCTCGTCACCCTTGCATGGAGCTTCAAGACGATGTCCAGTTCATCACCAACGACATCAGCCTTACGCGTGACTCGTCGTCTTTCCTAATCATCACCGGTCCCAACATGGGCGGTAAATCCACATATATTCGCCAGGCAGGCGTTATTGCCCTGATGGCACAAGTTGGCTGCTTTGTTCCTTGCAGTGAAGCTGAACTGACGATATTCGACTCCATCCTAGCCCGTGTAGGAGCCAGTGATTCACAGCTCAAGGGTGTATCAACATTCATGGCAGAGATGCTCGAAACAGCAAATATCCTGAAGTCTGCTACTTCGGAATCGCTCATCATTATCGACGAACTTGGACGTGGTACTTCAACGTATGATGGCTTTGGTCTCGCTTGGGCCATTTCCGAGCACATTGTCAAGGAGATTGGCTGCTTCGCCATGTTTGCAACCCACTTCCACGAGCTTACTGCTCTGGCAGACCAATATCCCCAAGTCGCTAACCTTCATGTGACTGCCCACATCTCCGACGGCGACAACGGAACGAAGCGGGAGGTTACACTTCTCTACAAGGTTGAGCCCGGTATTTGCGACCAAAGTTTCGGTATCCACGTTGCCGAGCTTGTTCGCTTCCCCGACAAGGTGGTACGCATGGCTAAGCGCAAGGCTGACGAGCTTGAGGACTTTACGTCCAAGCACGAGGACCTTGGCGGTTTGACATATAGCAAGGAAGACGTCGAGCAGGGCAGTGCCATGCTCAAGTCTGTTCTTGTGCAGTGGAAGGATCAGGTCAAGAATGGCAACATGAGCAAGGACGAGCAGGTTGCGAAGCTCAAGGAGCTTGTCGGCGGCAACGAGGCTCTGCTTGCAAACCCATTCTTCCAGTCTGTAAAGGCTCTATAAAGAGGATCAGGCATAATGTGTGTCTATCATTTCAATTGGGCTGGCGTTGTTGGATTAAAATAGCATAGTAATTCAAAATAATGAACAATCACTTCATGGACCACGAGAGAATTCCCAAACAGCATAGCCATTATATTTTTTATCTGGTTTCTAACGTAATAGTATGGGCTAGATCTTTACACTACGCAGATGCGACGCTGTGCCAAATGTTTGTCAGTAAAAGAATTCCCAAAAAGATAACTAAATGTCTGCGTGGCAGCAGACATGTAACGCTTTTGACATTGGGTTTGCTCAGAAATGTAGATAGAATGTAGATTTTTGGGGTGAGCTTTTAATCAGTGAAGGTCATAAACAGCCTCTGCTCGAAAATCATCATAGAAAACCCAATGTCGCGACGTACTTGTGTATGAAAAAGGAAAACAAGAGAAAATCGGACTAACCTTTGACTTTATGCGACATCTCCGTACACTGCAAATTGCAGCAGGGCTCGGCAATTGGGGAAAACTGTTCCCGTCCAGACGCATAGCCCAAGCATCTTGTGGCTCAGGTCATGCCGCAACGAGGAACACATGTCCAACAATAAGGAAATAGTTATGTACAATGGTTGTAGTAAAAAGCACCACCATTACCCTGGTAGTCGGGGGGAGAGGATTTGGCAAACAGGCTTTAAAAAGAACAAACACAAGCAGCAACAGCAGTCGATAAGCCTTTATTGGCTGCCCTCGACGGTTGTGCTGACAGGGCTAATCTCAATGCCGTACTTTTCGTTGAGGTGCTGGCGTCTGCGCTCCTCGAAGCCAGGGCCGCGAATGCCACGGCCCTCGCCAATCTCGGAGATGGTCTGCTCGATGGGAACACGCGTCGTTCTGCGCACAATTTCCTTGCGCTCAAACTCGTCGTCCTCCTTCTTCCAGCTATCCAGACGGCCGCCCATAAGCGAGAATGTGCCCTGGACACCACCGACGAGAGCGCCGAGGCCAAAGACGATGGGTGTGCGCTTGACTACAAGACAAAAACCACGTTAGTACATGCACGCCAATTTCAACAGCAAATACGTACAAGGCAAGCCGAGAACACCACCGGCCATGAAACCACCAAAGGCAGCAGCCCAAGGATCCTCCTTTTCACGCAAGTTCATCATCGTTCGGGAGAAGAATGTGTAGGCAGCGGGCGCGGCAGCTATTAAAAAACAATGTCAGCAGACAATTTCACGGGGCCGGAAGCAAGCGTGACGCTGCCAATGGGGATCAATGCGTACCGGCAATACCAATGACGGGGGCACCACGTGTGAAAACGCCCATGGCACCGACATTGCGGTGCGAGAGGGCGTTCTGGATGGCAGCAATGAAGAAACCACTGCCGAGACCGACGACGGCAGTTTTTGTCGTCTCGTCGAGGACGTCGTGCGCGACATAAGGCTTCTCCACCTGGCTGACGGCCGGCTGGCCGTGACCCTCCTCGTGATCCATGGCGTGAAGTCGGGGGGAGAAGATCTAGGAGGCGAATTGAGAAGCGTTGGTGGATGGACGAGGTGGGAAGAGGTGCTTGGGCGACTGGGGGAGGGAAATGGAGAGAGCTGTTTTGCGTTGCGGTTGAGCTGGTCACGTGATATATGTTCAATTGGGCAACGCGGATTGGCTGTGGCCCTTGGGGGCAGCACCAACCAAGGTACGTACCTTTTTTTTCCCTTCGATGCGCAGGTGGCCCACTATCAACCTCACTGTACTAGCTGTGGCCCTCGCTTTGGACTCTCTTTTTCGGGTTCAGCACCCTGTGCAAGCAGCGGCTTGGTTTTTAATTCCTGGAAATTCTCTCCTTTTTCCTTGGTTTTAGAGACAACCGTATTTTATGAGAGCAGCTGCACGAGTACCCTGGAACCTGGTGTATTTCTGCCCAACGAGCCCGTTATTGCCGGTGCGCAGGATTTTCTCTTATACGACTCATCGCTGCCTTGCTATATTGGACAATTGCCGCCAATTCCGCACAACATTTTATAAAATGGCTTCCGAAGCCCCCTCACAGCTGCCAGTGGAAGCTCCAGAGCCCAAGCTCCAGACACAAAGAACCACAGACCAAGTAACAGCCGACGGCGAGGTGAAGCCCATGTCTAAGAAGGCGCTCAAGCGCATGCGCAAGCAGGAGAAATGGGACAATGGAATCGAAGAGCGACGACAGAAGCGCCGTGACAAGCGCGTGGAGCGTCGAGCTCGCAACCGCGCGGACCGCGAAGCCCAGATCGCTGCTGGCGCTGACCCGGCATCCTTCGTTCTGCAACGTACACCCGCTACACTGGTCCCCGTCACACTGCTATTTGACTGCGACTTTGAAAAGTACATGACGGAGAAAGAAGGCATCTCGCTTTCCAGCCAAGTGACGCGGGCCTACTCGGACAACCGCAACGCCAAGTACCGCTCACACCTGTGGATTGCCGGCTTCAACGGCCGTCTCCAGCAGCGATTCGACGGCACGCTGCGCAGCGTCCAGAAGAACTGGAAAGGCGTCAACTTCCACGAGGGCAACTTCCTCGAGGCGGCCGTCAAGGCGCGGCAAGGCATGGTCGACAAGCCGGGCGAGATGATCCCATCACTACAGAAGAGTGTGGACGAGCCTGTGGCCTGGACAAAGGACCCCGTGGACCCGTTCCCGCTGGACGACCCGGAGCCACCATTGAACGAGGAGTACAAGGACGTGGTGTATTTGTCGTCGGACTCGCCGTACACGCTGGAGCGTCTAGAGCCTCACACGAGCTACGTGATTGGCGGACTGGTTGATAAGAACCGTGAAAAGGGCCTATGCTACCGCCGCGCGCGAGAACTGGGTATTCGTACGGCTAGGCTGCCAATTGGCGAGTTTATGGTGATGCAGAGCCGGACGGTGCTCGCGACGAACCATGTCGTGGACATTATGCTCAAGTGGCTTGAGTTTGAGGATTGGGGTAAGGCCTTTGTGGCTGTCATTCCTAAGCGCAAGGGTGGCCGCTTAAAGGGTGAGGAGGGCGAGGAAGAGGAGAACCACGACGAAGAAGAGGAAGAACAGCAGGAGAATGTTAATGAGGAGGATGAACCGCAAGCCGAAGCTGGCAAGCTCGTGGCTGGCGAATCAAAGACGCAATCATAGCATACAGCATATCATGTTAAAAAAAAGCATAGTAAATACCCAATTTCATATTCAAATTTCATTCTTGCTCAAAAATGGTTCCAAGGAAGCATCAAGTACGCCAGTTCAAAGCCCCCAAACGACATTAATATATACAATCCAGCCCTATCCTGCCCTGTTTAAAAGTCCATGCCGTCATCCTCTCGCTCACGCTTCACCTTGCCCGGCTCCTCATCACGGTTAAGCTTGGCAACAAATGTTCTGAAATACTCAATGTAGGGCTTGAGAGATGTCTTTTCCCAGTCAGCCACCGTCTTGCCATCTGCTTCGTCGCCCTTCCAAGAGTCAATTTCGCCCAAAAGCGCCTGTACGGTAGGAACGGTCATGGGGTCAAAGGCCTCGATGGTGTCGTAGCTTGAGGTGTCAATTGGCACACAGACACGGCCTGTACCGGGATGCACGACAAAGGGACTCTTGAGCAAATGGTTGAGCTTCTTGCTGACTTCGATATCAAGACGTGGGTATGTGTATTCAAGAACAATGTCTTGCTTGGCTTCCAGAAGCGCCTTTGCATCAAGGTTCTTGCTGGCACCCGTCTTAGCGAGGGCGTCAATGTCGAGCCACTTGGATGTTGAGCTGCGGCCAGGCGCGGCGTCCCACTTCTTGCGTAGCGATTCGTTCAACTTATGGTCCGGGAGGAGAGCAAGGAGTTTCTGGAAACGCTCCTCGCTGTCCCAGGGGTCCTGGACGGCCAGGACGTCTTCCTGGAAGTGTGTCTTGAGAATATCCAAGCTTCGTCTGTAGACCGCGTTAGAATCAGGATTGCTGAATTTTGTATATTTTACTTACGAAAGATGAGGGTGCAGAGGGCGCCACACGTTGACCTTCTTTCCACTTTGAGCACCGCCCTTGATGACCTCCAGATACCCAGCAATGGCCTTGCGCTTCTGGTCGTCCATGCTTCGAGCAGACTTGTCGCAGACCCAGGCGTGGGCACCACGACGACCAGAGTATACCCACATGATGTGCTTGAAGCCGAAATCGTCTCGTAGCGCAACATCAAGGACCTTGATCGCCATTGTCATAAACGTCCAGCACTTGTTGCAGATGTTTGCCTTGTCACAGCACGTTCTGATGTCGTCGTAATCTGTCAAATCGATATCGAAGCAGAGTTCCTTGGCTAGAGGCTTGAAACTGGGGCCAATAGTTTTTCTATCGCGAGGGTTTGCGCTGTATACGGGGCCGATTTCGAAACGGGAGGGCATGAGGCGGAGGACATCGGATCGGAGGCTGTAGTTGTTAGCTTGCAGTTTGGCACGATGCCCCGACTCGCCAGAGACCTACGTATCTGATGATTTGAAAGACTGGTAACGCAGATAGGCATCGTTGCTGAGTGTGAATGCAAACTCTCTGTTCATGTAGTCCTTGGAGGGCACGGGTCCATGGTTCAGCCACTGGAACAGCGGTCTCCAAGGGAACAGGCGCTGATAGAAACTGCGCATGACTTCAGGGTCGGAAGCTTTCATAGATGTGACATCGCTATTATTTATTAGCATTTGCCTCTCTGACCAAAGCAACAGGTCAAAGCTCACGTAGGAAGATCGGCCATTTTCATTGGACTCGATGGAGCAACTTTGATGGGCATAGAGCTCGGGAACTCCTCGTCGGACTCGTCGTCTGGGAACAGCGATGCGTCGAGTGTCAGATCTTCTTTAGGCGCCATACCGCTGGGGGGAGGGCTCTTGATCTCGAGCATGTCGATATCGTCGTCATCGTCATTGTCGGCTGCGTTGGTGGTAACGGTGTTGGGGATGCCCGCATCATCCATCGGTTCGTCCATAACGCCCGGCTGGGATGACGGCGGCTCAGCCTTGATTGAATGCGGCATTGTTGTGTGGATTAATTTTCCGTGATTTCCAATGGTCAAATGCTATTTTTTTATGGTACAGTGCTGGATTGGAAACAGGCTGCTTTGTCCAAATCGGTTTGGGGCTAAAGGTGAGGGTCGAGGACAATGGAAGGGAAGACGCGTCGAGGGGTGTGGGCACGCGTGGACCGCGTAAAGCGCCTTAGTGGCAAAAAAAAAAAAAAAAAGAGACCACCGAAATCAACACTGCTACAGTGGGTAAGCAAAAGTTACAGGTAAACTCGTTTTTGGTCAATCTTTTAATTATTCTTTGATATAAGTTATATTATAAAATTGCCATTTTTATCAATCTTTGTTGAATATCATGTATGGCATAAATACGTTATATGTATCGAGTTTTTAGATGATTGTTACATATAAAGTTTGTGTAAATATATATTTGGAATGAGTTTGTTGAAATATAGATTACTTGTAACTTTTGTTTACTCACTGTACGAGAATTATGAAAATGGTTTGTAGAGCGAACAAAGCCTAAAAGGAAAGAAAAGAGGTATCATCTAATGTTTTTGGTATTCAGAGGGGCCCTTAAAGGCCATGCTATACGTTAACTACCGCGAATAAAAATAGTAAGAGAAAAATACAAGTTGCGCCGCACGCCTTGTTCCAACCCAGCGTATATAAAAAGCATATTCTTTTCTTTTTGACCACACCCAGTGACTCGACTTGGAGTTCACATTCCCATTTTTGGTTTCCGACGTTCGCCGCAATGCAAATATACACCGATCCACGACAGAAATAGTCCCATCACAAATCGTCGCGCCTGCCACACCATTGTTCCAGCATACACGGAGATCTCTACTCTCCTTCGCCCAGGCCCTCCGCAAAAGAGCCGGCCCGGGGGGCCGTGCGTCTCTTGCGTGCCTAGAGTCGTCGCCGTTGGATCACGGTCTGATACTCGCTCCTCGAGGCTTGAATATTGCAACTGTTTTTAAAAGTTGCCGCCGCCTGGGTTTAGGCGCTGGCGCTTGCCGGGCGGGCTATCCGTAGAATTCAGGTCCATTTGGCCTTGGAAAGGTGGCGGGCCGGATGGCGCCATTCCGTATGGATGTCTACCGTTGGCCATGCCATACTGCCCATCTACATCGCCGGGTCCCATGTTGCTGGGGGACCATGTTGAGCCGCCATTTCCAGACGGCGTCACGGAGCCCTCCATCTTAATCGGGGTTCCGTCAGCGCTGAGAGCTTGTCCGGGGTTCAAGTAGGGCATGTTTCCAATCATGAAGGCTTGGTCAGGCTGAGGGGGCGGGTTCTTCAGTAGATGGACGAGATGGGTCTTGATCGACTTGAGCATGCCTTCTTTCGTAAACGGCTTGGCTAGGACACCATTCATGCCTACAAATATGTTAGTTGAGTGTTATAAGTATAATAGCTGTAATAATGTGGAAAGCATACCGTGTTCGAAGTAGCCGTTGACTTCGTCAGGGCGGATGTTCGAGGTCATGGCAACGACCGGTGTAGACGGCGAGTGTTGGCGGATGTACATTGTTGCCGAGACACCATCAAGCTTGGGCATAATAATATCCATAAAGATTAAATCAAAGTGATCTCGGCCGACAGATGTGACTCGAGTGTAGGCATCGGCACCGTTTTCCTGGAAACAGAGAAGTTAGCGTCAACATTCTTTTTACCAGGGTTGATATTGTACTTACAGCATGTTCCACCTCGCAACCCATAGATTTGAGAAACTTAATACCAATCTTAGCACAGGTAGGGTCATCCTCAACAAGGAACACCAATGGCTTCTTTGCACCCCAAAGAGCAGTAGACTTGTCTCGGGGAGGTGCAGCAGGCGCTGTGGCGCCAGGCAACGGTGCAGGTAGGCCGGCTTGTGATACGGCGGCTGCCTGAGCCTCAGTAAGACCGCTACCGTCTCCAGGCATGGCGTATGGGATCTTGTTGATGTGGTCAGAGTGGAACGGATCGATACCAACAGTCTGGCCAACTGGGTAAACAGGATAGCGGGCAATATCCGTGATAGGATCATGCAGCAGAGGCATGGTGACAGGTGTAACCATGGCAGCAGAATCGGTCAGAGGTCCGTAGACACCGTGAAGGCGCTCCAGTTCGCGGTCGGCAATGGCATCGGGGGCGACGCTAGACAGCAGCTCTCTAGCACGCTGCAGCTCGGGGACAGACTCGCTGCCGTCGCCGGCGCCGTTTGTAGGCATTCGTCTTTGCGCCATCATGGCGTTTGCGTTAGGCGCACCGTTGTAGACAGACAAGAAGTTGAGCATCTCGTGTTGCGCCTGCTTCTGAGCGTTGAGCATCTTTTGCATGGTCAAGACTTCGTTGACCAGCAGTCTGTTTGTCTGGGAAACCTCCGCAAACAGTTCTTGCAGCTGCTGAACCTGCTGTTGGGTGGCTGTGAGCTGTTCAGATATGACGCTAACATGCTGGCTCGTGGTGAAGTCCTCAGTAGGCTGCGTTTTGCGGGGAGCAGGGGCTTTGCGTCGAATGTTGTCCAAGTCGTCCTTGCTGTCTACGCGAAAGTATGGGTGCTTAAACTCGAGGATCTAGCGGAGCGTTAGGAAAATGGGCTCTTGTGCAAATGGGGTGTATCAGAAAACTTACGTTGCCACCAGGACATGAGCTCTCTGCGTCGCTGGAGGGCTTAACCTTGTGGAAGTCATACTTGTTGAGCTGCCGGATGAAACTAGACATGTTGCTGTGCTTGAAATGCTTGGGAAGGATAGATCTTGTGAATTTTTCACCCTGTGCAACCAAGAATTAGTCTTTGCTATTGGGCATCAAGAATTACATGATGATGAACGTACCTCGACGACAACGAATGTGTCTCCGTCCTTGCCCCATCGGGCAACGTCTTGATGTGACGGGTCTTCCAACATTCTGATTTAAAGGTTAGTACGTAATCTTTTGATCCTCTTGTAGCAGGTATATGCATACTTGAAAAGTTTTCTCACCTATTAGAAAGGGTTAGCTAATCTGGCGAGCCGTTCAGCGAGCAACAGTTTACACGTACAAATTCACTGGCATTATTGCCAGCTCCCTGGGCTGGGCCCAGATCTGCTCCGGACATTTTCTAGAATTACAGCGGAGCAGTAATAGAAAAGGCTAAATGGTGTTGCTTCTCGCAGAGCGATTATCAATTACGAAAGTTTGACGACCGGCGCACTCTACTCGCTAGGCAGTGCACAGATGCTGGTTTGCTGATGCTGCAATTCTAGAGCTCAGCAGTCGATATAAAAAACGTCGCAGATGTGGCTAGCAAGATCCAGCGTATCGTATCGGCTATCGCGTCGATCCCAAGCGTCTGATGTCAGGTTCGAAGAGCGGCTAGATGCAGTCGAAGATATCGCGGGTGTAGTAAGCCGGGTTACAACGCGCTGCGCGATTAGTGAGAGTTCGAGTTGAGGGGGCGGGTGATTAATATGCTGGCGTATTCGACGGCATGTGCGGCGAGGCTATGTACAAAGATGAAGCGACGGTGCGTATCGATGGTTATCGTTGAGCAAAGCTGGGGGTCCTGAGCAAGAAAGCGATTTTGCGCTCGGAGCAGCAAACAGGGCTTGGCTGGGCCGAGAGATGTGGTTTTCACGGCGGCCGGCGGCGACGAGCAGCAGCAGGCAGGCGAGGCAGACGACCGCTGGAAAATATCGAACGTCGATTAGCGGGAGTCGGATTGCAGCAATGAATTGATGCAAGGCGTGGGAAAACGAGGCCGGAGAGCGATGTGTGGTGTTCGCCGGGAGCGGTTTGCGAGGCAGAGAGGAAAAGAGAAGGACGGAAAATACAAGACACGGGCGCAGCGAGCGCTGGGAACAGAAACCGGGCCTTGAGACCTTGGCGGACGGCGGAGCGAGGGGGCAGTCGGTCGGCGAATGGTAGCGAACAGAGGGCGCTAAGCCAAAGCGGGAAGACGTGCTGCCGGTGCTCAACAGCAGGCAGGCTAGCAACAACAGTGGTCCGCTGTGGGAGGAGTGGTGGGGACCGCTACAGCGCCGCCTGTACGCAGTATGCTAACGTAAGGTCCCGTAGGCTGACGATGGTGGTGGTTCCAGTGGGTTGGTTGGGTGGATTTGCCCCGGCGGGAAAAAAGGTGAAAGATGATCCTGGCCGTGGTGATCCTCAGTGGATAAATTGCGTACGTACAAAGAAAGTGGCCGCCAAGGGTTGGTCTGCGCCGTGCGACGCTCTTTGGGGGTATTTTGTTTCTGGATTTAGAGAGCATGTGTCTCTGGTCTCTCTTGGGTATTATAGTGCAGTATCTGTTTTTCCTTTTACGTTGCTGTGTGGCTGTTTTGGTGTGTTGTTTCTTTTTCGTCTTTCATGCTACAAAGCAAGTTGGTGTGCTGTGCTGCTGGCTGCTATGCTGTCTGTTAGAGAGAGCACTTTGCGCTAAGTTGGGCCGTACTGCCTGCCTGCCTGCCCGTCTGCCTGGGTGCTGCACCACCACCACCACCGCTGCCAATCATGCCCACCCCATGCGCTTCCAGGGTCGTTCCCTGCACCGCAGCGCCACGGATGGGCGGCACCACGCACCCAATGATGCGAATCCTTTCCTTTCTGCGCGCTTGTTCCCCTCCGCTCGTCTGTTATTCCCTAATATGACACACACCACGCATGCAGAGTGGACTGTACGCATTGCAGCAGATGCACAAGCTTTTTTCTTTTCTCCTCTGCCTGCCAGCCAGCCACCCAGCTGCAATGGCAAGTGGGAACGATTCCCCGGCTGTACTGTGCTGCTGATGGACGGATGCGCTATGTGTGATGTGCTGCGTGTGATGTGCGTGCTGCCCAATCCCATCCCCGCTCACAACAACCAGAGTCAAGTCAAGTCAAGTCCAGCGCCAGTGTTGGCCATGAGAATGATGGCTAACAAAGAAACAATCAAAACACACTTCCAATGCAGGGGCGCACGCGTAGGGTCTATCGAGGTATGCTGCTACGCATATAGTTGCTTTTTTGGTTGTATTTTCCCGTTGTTCTGCGTAGTTCTGCAGCGCGCTACCACGGCAGGGATCACGTCACTTGGTTGGCATTGTTTCCTACTACGACCTCCTAGCTACTATCACGGGCTCAGCCAGCAGCAGGCACCAAAGCGGCATTAAGTCCTGCGGTGCATGCAGCGCAGCATACGGAAGAAAAGGAAAAATGAGAGAGAAAAAAAACTGCTAGTTCCCCGGTGGGACACACACCATCGCCCACCCACCCTCGGCGTCACTTTTCGATATGTGCTGTCATCCGCTCGCTGTTGGATCGGCCTGCAGGAAAAATGGCTGCGCTAGTGTTTTGGCGGTGGCCCTTGGAAAAAAGGTGACGCTGTGTCTGCTGTGGTGCAGTGCAGCGCCAGCAGCCTTGCCAGTAGCCTTGTAACAGCACCCACCACCACCACCAATACCAAAAAAAGCCCACTGATGGCTGGCGGCGGGCGGGGCCCCTGCTCAGCGCTGTTTCGTTTCGGTTGGGCCACCACCACCCACTTAGCCCTGGCCAGCGACGCAAAACTAGTCCTCATCCAGCTTCGCGCTGCTAATAGCCTGGGGCCAGTGCGCGCTGGCGCCGCCAATAACCTCATTCCAGTAGCGCCAATTTGTATTACTTTGCCCTGCGACTTAAGTTGCTAGCGCCTTTTTTCCATCCCTTTTGTATAGTTATCATTTGTCGCTTCGGCTGCTTCTTGAGGCGGTTTTACCCTTTACTTTTTAAGGGTCGCCGTCCTGGAGACGCTAAAGGAGTTTAGCATATCTCATCGCATTACTCGGCGCCTTATGTTTGCACGTGGCGGCCACTGGGCCGACATTGCTGGTTACTTTCTTTCTATTACTTTCTCGTAGTGTCTTTTGAGGGTTTACTTGCGAGGGGCCCCCTTGTATACCGGTTGGCGCTGGGCGTCCAATGGATGGTTGCCAGAGGTTGCATCGGACAGGCTCTTGAAATAGCACGCGAGTCGTCTCTTGCAGGTTACATTAATATTAAGAGTGAACCGGTTGCAAGCATTTATAGCCATGTCGCGCCATTTCCAGTACATGTGTACTCATACTAGACATGATTGGCTCAGCTACAGGCTAGCTGATCGAGTTGGGTGCGCAGTCTACTATATTCAAAGCCTCTAGTGCCAGCCTGTCAGCAATACATGACAAGTGTAAAAGCTGAGGGTAAATCAATACCAATATAAATTAAGATCAACCGAACCTGAAATTTAGCCCACAATTTTTTCCCCATACATAATTAATTCAGAGCATGTCTGGGTATCTGATCGAGAAGGTGTTTTGTCAATGCCGGGTAGCTGTGGTGCCTTCCAAGTGGCTGGTACCAAAACTGTACTCTACTCAATTTGGCTGGTGACGGCAATGGGAATTTCAGAAAGCCGAGCACATATGTATGGCCACGAAATAAAATGTATAGAAAATTTGAAAAAGATTAAAGAAACAACTATAAATCTTCCTTAATTTTTAAACTATTTTAGTATCCTACAATATATATTCGCCCATTCACTAGATCCTGCGCCAGTCGATGGGTGAGGGGCAGAATCGGCTCGGCCCACTTGAATTTTGAGTCACAACCTGTGCTTCACCTTTTTTCGAAAGCTCTGCTCGCATGCACCGCGCCCGATTCCTTCGCATCCTCCTCCAAACAGGCAACCGGCCATGTCTCACAAGGGAAAGAACAGTGCTGCGGCAAAGGGCAAGAAGCCTGCCAAAGCAGGCGCCGATGGTAAAGCCGAAGATGTTCTGCAGGCAGTGGTACGCCTGATATCTGCCCCGCGGTAGAGAACACCCGAAAAAGCTAATTGAAGCATCTACAGATCCTCGCCGATTCGTTCCAGGATAGATTCCACCCGTTTACGATTGATACGCCTAGAGTAAGCACCAAGCTTCCTCCACAAACGACTACCTATACTAATCAGCGCAGTGTCTGCTCCCCCTCGCCAACACCCCGCTCATCGAATACACCCTTGAATTCCTAGCCATGAACGGCGTGCAAGAAGTCTTTCTATACGCCGGTGCCAACACAGACAAAGTCGAAGAATACGTCAGTCAGTCCCGTTGGGCCCCGACATCGCGGTCTTCGCCCTTCTCGACGGTACAATTCATCCGCGTTGCCGACGCCCGCTCCATTGGCGATGTCCTGCGCGATCTAGACAAGCGCGCCGTGGTCGACGGCGACTTCATTCTAGTACACGGCGACCTCGTGTCCAACATTATGCTCGACGATATCCTAGCCGCACACCGTAAGCGCCGCGAGGACAGCGCCGCGAACATCATGACCATGGTCCTGCGCAGCGGCGGCCCTACCGAGCACCGCACCAAGGCGCATGGCATCACGCCCGTCTTTGTCGTCGACTCCAACAACCGCCGCTGCTTGCACTACGAGGAAATGAGCCCCCTCTCAGAAGACCACTATGCGCTCCTCGACCCCGCCATTGTCGACGAGCTCTCGACCGACTTTGAGATCCGCGCCGACCTCATCGACGCCCAGATCGACATCTGCACACCCGAAGTCCTGGCCCTCTGGTCCGAAAGCTTCGACTACGAGCTACCGCGCAAGAACTTCCTCCACGGCGTCCTCAAGGACTGGGAGCTCAACGGCAAGATGATCTACACCGACATCGTCACCAAGGGCTACGCCGCCCGCGCGCACAACCTGCAAATGTACGACGCCATCACACGCGACATTGTCGGCCGCTGGACATCGCCCTTCCTGCCCGAGAACAACCTTCTCCCCGGCCAATCCTACAAGCGCCATGCCGGCGCCACTGTCATCGACACCACGGCCTACCACGCCCCCGACGCCAAGCTGCTCAACTCCGTCATTGGAGCCCGCACAACCATTGGCGCCGGCAGCTCCATCACAAACTCCATCATCGGCAACAACTGCAAAATCGGCGCCAACGTGTCCCTCTCCAATGCCTACATCTGGAACGACGTCTGCATCGAGGACAATGCCGCCATTACACACGCCATCCTCGCCGACGGCGTGACCGTCGAACATTCTGCCGCCGTTGCCGACGGCTGCCTCCTCTCCTACGGCACCCGCGTCTCCGCAAGCAAGCCCATTTCCGCAGACACCATCCTCTCGACCAAAGACATCGGCGGCAAAGTCGTCTCTACCGACACATCGCTCCTCGGCCCCAGCGGCGCCGGCGCTCCCTTTGAGAACCCCGACCTGGAGGACCTCGATGAGCGCGACCCAACCCGCCTGCAAACATCGCTCATCTACTCCCTCGCCTCATACAACCTCTCGTCCTCCTCCATCTCCACGCTCGCCTCCGAAGTCTTTGATGAATCGGATGATGAAGAACCTGGCTTTGCTGCGTCGTCTGACCGCGAGCGCCTCGACTCCTTTGCTTCCGACGACTCGAGCGGCAAGATCGCCTTCCACAACGACGCAGTCAACGGCCTCGTCGACGCCCTGCGCGCCACATCCGGCGACTTTGACTCGGCCAAGCTCGAGTTCATGGGTCTGCGTCTAGCCACCAACGCCTCGGACGACATGATGCGCAAGGCCGTCGCCACCGCCTTTGCCCGCCGCGCCGCCGAGCTCACGCTGCCTGAAAACGGCTCGCTAGAGGCCAGCAAGGCCGCTGAGAATGCGCTTACAGCCCGCCCTGGTGCCACAAAGTTCATCTCGGAAGTTGGTGTCGGTGGCGGTGAGACGGAGCAGGTTGAGTTCATCCTCGCCGTGCAGCGTGCGCTGTCTTCGGTCCGCACCGTCGAGTCCGCCAAGGCCGGCACGCTTCTTGCCGCCCTGATGCAGCAGCTATATGCCCTGGATATCCTCGAGGAAGAAGGCATCCTAGAGTGGTGGGAGGACGAGCGTGCGTCTGGAAGTGAGGCCATGGAGGCACTCCGCGAAAAGGCAAAGGTCCTGGTCGAGTGGCTGGAGAATGCAGAGGAAGAGGAAGACAGCGATGACGACGACGATGAGGATAGTGATTAGACGTCCATATCACCCAAAAGTATTAATATAACCAAGAAATTTACAGTATAAGGCGCAAGGCCAAATGCAGTAGTTATCAAAATGTGATGTGTTATTTCTGATGAGAGTGATTCTAAATGTACAATCGATCGTTATCGTAAAAAACATGATGCTCCTAAAACGCCAGCAAATGACTCTTTTCTTTGTCTTGCTTCTTTCCTATTCCACAGAGCTCTGGAATCCATGCAGCACAAACATAGTTGCAATACAACACACTCGTATGCATATATGCACGTACAGACTAGTAATAGTCGCCAAGGTCTGCTGCTGCAGCTGCAGCTGGCCCTTTGGCCGTTCCCTTTCTCATCGCAGCAGGGCCAGGAGGCGGGTTATTCTGATCATACAAGACCTCAGCAGGCTTGACCTCGTCCAGCGACTTATAGTTGCTGTAGCCACCACGGCCGCGGTTTCGGCCACTACGTCCTTTCTTGCCTCCGCCACCACCTCCGCCGCCGCCACCACGAGCCCGTCCTGCGTTGCGAGGACCGGTAGGAATAACGGGGGCCACGAGCTGCTGCTCTTCCACCTTTCTCTTGGAAGCACCCTTGCCGGCATAGAGGTTTTCGTAGTCGCCCTGGCGAGGATCATCCTCCTCGATGCGGAGAATCATCTTCTCACCTACTCGGCTGTCGAAGACGAATCTCTGGTCAGGAGGGAGAGGAGCCCAGGTGTTAATCTTACCCGCATCCGCTGGGCGTGCACCCTTCTTCATGGCCAACACAACATGCGGGACCGCAGACTCGGTATGATATGATGTAGCTCCAGGAGCAGGGGCCAGGCAAGCTGCCCAGATGCTGTTGTGATAACAGGCCGTTCCGGTAACCTCCCAGCGCATTAGGCTGCCCATGCCACCGATCTTGTCCAGGATTTCCTTGGGGCAAGGCTTGGGGCAAATGATGACGTTGCTGCCGTGGATTTTGAGGGAGTTCTTGTTGATATCTGCGGGGATGTTGGCCAACGCAAGAAGTTTTGTCTTGTCTTCTTGGCCAATCATGTAGCTTGTGAAGAAAACCGTCTTTTTAATGGCAAGTTTTGCGGGTCGGAGATGTAGTGGCTGCTTGAGCAGCTCCTCGTTGTGCTGCTGAATCATTCGCTGCACTTCCGTGACTTCTGTTAGAGGATCCAAGGTTGTAGAATTGTTAGGCACCTGGATGACTTCTGTTCCAATGGTGCCTCGGGTAGGATTTGTGGACTGGCGGTAGTTGTAGTTTTCAAAGAATTCCTTGAACGCCTTGGTATGCTTTGGTCGGTCCTCGTAAATACGTAGCTCGCTGGCGCCCTTGTATACCTCAACGAGCTCTGTCAGAAATGCTTGTTTGAAGTGCATGGTGTTGTCAAACGTCTGGTTCGAAGGGCCGATGGGAGGCTTGAGAACGAGCATGTCAAAGTTGAGACCTTTGCTCTCTACCATGCGCCGGATAATGTCTGTAAACTTTCTGTCGCCGCGGCCCGTCAGCAGTACGCAGACGGCATCTGGCTGGCGAATGCTGAGCTGGACGAGCTGGACAATCTTTTCATTCCACCAACCCTCCCAGGCGCGAGGTTCTTCCTTGTGGATGCCGTCACCGACCGATGCGAGGATGTTGTTATCGTGCCACCAGCCGCCATTGATGAACTTGTCTTGCATGGCAAGAAGACCGATCGTCTGGTTGTTCCATAGTGCAGGATTCGGCAGCGGGGTCTTAAATACTGCATCAACTGTTAATGGTAGAGCTCTCTGGAACAGAATCTCGATGGGACGTACGGGTGTTATCGAAGTCGTAGACGTGGATGGCGCGAATCTTGGCTGGGTCTGGCGGTGGTCAGTAATTGCGCGGAACGCATCGAGGGAGACAAATGTACCAGGGGGGGACTTTTCGAGGCCAGACCAGCGGCCGAGCCCCGTCAGAGTGTATTTTGTTTGCTGTTGCTTGCCATTGGCGTGATAGGCGCTGTATGCAGACGCCATTGTGAGGGATGGGAGGCTTCGCGAGGCGGTTACGAGAGGTAGCGTAGGGCACTGGCGGACGACGAGATTTGTTGAGAGGTCATGGGGATGTCCTTTGCAGTGTGCGCGTACGGCGAGATGGATGAAGAGGCGGCGATGTCGAGGAGAAGCCGTTGGCGATGCAGTCAAGCGCGATGTCTCTGGAAAAAAGCTGGTGGTAGCGTTGAGGTGACCAGCGCGGCGAGTGGGTCTGGCAGCGGCTGAGCAGAGCACTGGAAGGCGAGGCGACGACCGCTGTAGACAGTGGCCAGTAACAGCAGGCTTCATTGTGCGCCCGGCGGGATGTCGGGGGAAGGGCACAAGAGGCTGCAATGTTGAAAAAGGAAGAAAGACGAGGATTGAAACAGATAAGAAAGCCAGAGATGATAATCAAAGACGGCAAAAACGGCAGACCGCTGGTGGCGTGACCTGTCGCTTGTTGTCTCGCAACGCCAACACAAGGTTTAGCTTGTGAAGCTAACCAAAAGCCCTGCTGCAGTAGTAGCGCCAACAAAAGCTTGTTACTGTATGCAGCCAGCAATCAGCAGCCAGTAACAACAGTTAGCTACCCCTCCTCTGCGTTGGTTGATTGGCCGTTATCGGAATATTTCTATCCTTTAGGCCGGTGTAGCGCCACAGAAAGACGGATGAAAGGGTCAGGTGCATGAAAAGGAAAAATAAAAATAAAAATAAAATAAAATCACCAATTCTTAAACACGGGATGAGCAACGCAAAGTAACGGAGAATACAGCGTCTAATCAGTGCGGATACGCTGCTTGGCTGGCTGGGCGGCGGGTGTCCCCTGGCTCCGCCGCAACGGACAAGGTTCGTATTCTACACTACAACCCGAGCATAGCCCTGTAAATCATATAGATCTCCTTCCCGTCTTGCATATCACATCTTACATTTCTCCATCATCACTACTCAACAATTACCAATGGAAACGCATCTTTCTCCCGCCGCGTGACTCACGTCGGCCAACAGCTTCCCCACTTCCCCAATCCCCAATTAATGCTGACGCTAGTGAGCTTGACGATGTCTATAAAGTCGACGACAATACATCGAAGCAGAGTCGATGCCAATTCAACTCCAGCAACATAAACAACCTCCAGCAACATAAACGACACCAGCTAAAACCATGAGCTTCAGCATCGTCCCCGTCACCGTCGACGATGTCACCGTCCTCGCCAAAATCTCCGGCTCCGCTATGGAAAAGGACCGCCAAACAGAAATGAAGGCCCTCGCCGAAGACCCATTCGACATGGAAGCATACACGCTCGAGTCCCTGCCGGGCCTGCTCCTCCACCCCCGCGTCGCTATTGTCAAGGCTGTCGATTACGAGACGGGCGAAGTCATGGGAATGTGCCAATGGGGTTTCCGTGGCTTCGCGCCCAACGAGATGCCTGTGCTAGAGGGCCAGCCGAAAAGGGTGGACGATGCAAAGAAGCCAGCCGAGGCGGATGCTCCAGAAGATGCTCCCAGGGAGGAAACCACCGCAGAAGCAGAAGAAAAGACTAAATCTGAGCCGGAACCCACAAAGCAGGGCAAAGATAAAGTCAAGGACCTCGTGGCACTCACCGACGCCGACCTGGACGCATGGATGGAGGAGCAAATGCCCGAAGGCACTCGCTGTCTCTACATCGTTGGTCTGACCGTCTCGCCCAAGTTCCAAGGCCGCGGCGTCGGTTCTGCGCTGCTCAAATGGGGTACATCCGTCTGCGACGCGAATGGCGTCTTTGCATGGGTACATTCGAGCATGGGCGCATGGCAGATGTACCAAAAGAGCGGCTTTGAGGTTGTGCGCACACTTGACGTGGACTTGGATGTGTATGCGCCGTGTCCGCCACCAGGAGAGGGCGAGGGGGCCAAGTGGGGAATATATACATTTTACTATATGAAGTATCTGCCCAAGAAGGTGGACTAGAATACGCTTTAAAGACAGTATATAGCGAGTGGTGTGTAAGATGAGAGGGCGTTGTATATAGCAACTACTAGGTCGCCTATGATGAGAATATCAAGCGGTTCAGTTTACGCATAATTTAATCTCTATGATAACTCTTTCTCTGTCCTGTTTTTCCTTTTTTGATTTTGTTGTTGGCCATTTTGCTCGACTAATATTTATTTGCTTGCCTTTTTACACACTTCAGCATCCAACTGTGGCGGTGCACTGCCCAAAACAGCAAGCCAACCCACACCCATTTTCCACCCCCGCTAGAGCGGCATATTCACTAAACCATAGCCCGCAAATTATCGTGGTGAATCTGGGGCAGCTCAGCTGTCTGGGAATTATAGCGCACGGGTTATTCCCAAACAACATCACCTCTAGTCCATCAACCACCGAATTGTCAACCACCACACAACTACATAGTTCTCCTCTACTCCAAACACCTACTTTTACCATGCAAAAAGTTAATATATACATATACATGCAGCCTTCCCCTTGAAACCCATCATCGGGCAGCTTCCTTCCATATCATTCCTACAGTAGCACACAACACGCGAGCAAAAAAAACCTACACCATATATGCAGCACCTACACCCAGCTATTACACTACACCACCCTTCTTTCACTGCCCAATTCTCCTCTGTCCTACTTTACTCTATACTCACTATTCTCTGTTAAAAGCGGCGATCCTCCATGCACCCCATCCCTCCGCCAAGACCACACTCCCCTCCTCATATCCCACCGTGGCTATGCTCTTGTTACCCCTGCACAAGGCCGCCTTAGACAGGAAAAAACAGAGACAACCCAGCCGATCGGACAACCCTACCTTGCAGCACCACGGCTATTTTTGCACTAAACCACCCACTGTGATCCATCCGCCCCTGACGCTAACACGCCGCGCCGGCCGCTATTCCTTCTCTATTACTTGTTCCAGTAGGAGAGCCTCATGCCAGTCCGCTGGAGGTCCACCAGCGCTATCTGCACTGCCACCTCCCGCGCATTCCCCCTGTACCCTTGCTTGCGATTTCCTGGTTTTGTACGCAAGACATTCCGGGGGCATCAACTGTCATATACAGAATACTTCACGCTCGGAAGCCCGGAAATGTTTGCCTACAAGGTATAACCAATTATAAACACTCCCCCTTGTTTAGCTCCCACTCAAGACACGCAGATTACGCCAAAGGGTCCGTCTTAGTGCAGATTCAATGTCTTTCTGTGTCATTATCTCTGCCTAGTTATCCAATTCCATAGTGCCTTAGGGCTATCCAGACTCCTGACCCAACATACAAAAAGCTAAAATACATTACAACCTCCCAATTATTACCACCACTGATCATCGGGTCAGCCAGCTCCAGTTTTGTTCGTCGTATACGCCCCCATTGCCCTAGTATGCAAAAACAAAAACTATACTCATTACATGCTACCCCAGCCAGGTTCATGGCGGCTGAGGGCTCGCTTCCCAAAGCGTTTTCCAATTTTCTGTACGTGATGCCGTACGTAATGTCCGTAAAATATAAAGGCCGACGGGGTGTTATATGGAGCACACCGCCGAATAAATGAAAAAAAAAAAGGCGAATAGAGTCGAGAATTGAACAAGGTTTAACGTGCATTGAGCTCACTGAGCTCTTGTTTGTGTGTGTTTTTCGATGTGTCGATTTAAAACGTGAGGCGGATGACAATGCTGCTGACGGCGTCATCGTCGACTTCCATAGAGGTCTCGTTTTTGATGCCGTTCGCTGTCGTCTTCTTGATCTCCATGCGCATGTCTTGGCCCTCCTTGAGCTCTTTTACAGCATCATCGTCGAGCTCCACCTCAAGGCCGTTTGGAAGGACTCGAATAGTGCGTTGAATCTTGGCCTGGTCGAGATTCCACTTGCTGGCAATCTGGCGGTTAAGCTCAGTCAATGTGCGCTGCATGAGGTAGACAGCACGGTGATACTCGCGCTTGGATGCGTCGCTGGCGTCGTCGCACAGAATGTAGACGCAGGCAATGGGTCGGGGGCTGCGTTCACGGGGCGGGCGGTATGAAGGGTCAACACCGAGCGCCTCGATCCAGCCACTCAATGTGCCACTATCGTCCGTCTTGTTCACAGCTGTGACATTATTGGAGTCAAAGTTCTGCCAGTGGCCAGAAGCTTGCGACGCCAAGGACAGGGAGCTAGGGGAAGGCGAAACAAGCGAGCTTCGCACAGAGCTCTGGCCGCTGCGGGCTTGCCATTGGCGACCCTCTCGTCCGAGGGACGGAAGTTCACCGGGCATGGAGACGGGGTTAAGATCGGCATCATCGCCGTTTTCGCCGCGGAGGAAGAGAATGCTAACAGGGCGGGTGCTCGTAAACATGTCCTGCATAGTCTGAAGGCGGAAGTGGAGATCCTCTTCGAGTGTCATTCTAGGCGCGTTGGATGCAGAGCTCGTCGAGGACATGGACCACGTTCTCTTGTGCTTGGGTGCCTTACCTGCCTTTTGCAAGTCAACACTGGCCTTGGAAGCAATGCTCTGGCGCTTTCTCTTGGTGTCCTTGAGACCGCTTTCCGCTTGGGCAATCTGCTGCTTTAGCTTATCAATCGACTTCTTAACGTGGGCGACATCGTTGGACAACTTTCGCTCGGCACCGTGGTCGCGGAAGAGCTTGACCTTGCAGAAGCAAATCTCAGGCATAGTGTCGTTGGAATCGACCGAAACGATGCTCGTCTTGGAGCATAGGCGGACAGGAATACCCTTGACGCCCTTGGAGTGGCTAAAGTCAGTAGACAAGAAGTTGAAGCGAACGTTGATGTTGACCTCGGGAGCACCGGTTGTGCCGGGCGTCCAAGTAACGCAAAATCCGTCAAAGGATGAGGACTCAACCTCGATGCGAGTGCGTTTGTTGTCGCCCTCTGGAGGTTGGTTGGCTTCGACATACTCCACAGCCTGGAGCTTGCCTCCGCGCTGGTGGGACTCGCTTGTGCCACGGCCTTCCTTCCAAAGTCCCCAGCAGACACCTGGCTTAGCACGCTGCTCTTCGTCCTCAAAGGAGACGCGGACAAAGGTGCGGTACTTGGTTCCTGGCAGAAGTGGCATTCTTGCACCAGTGTCGACAACGGAGAGAGCATAAGCCTGGCCCTTGTTAAGGTATGTGATGGGGATCTCATCGGCGTGCTTAATCATGGCGGTCGGGGCGTTGAGAGTCGAGTGGAAGCGGAACTTCTCTGCGGCGGAGGGAAGGGGAAGCGACTGCATGGTTGTGTTCATGCCGCTTCGGATGGCTGCCATGGACGGTATCTTGCCCTCGGTGGGGTCGGGTGTACCGTCCTGCTCCATGGTTTCGTAGCCTGTGTCCTGGTGCACAAATGCAGTCGGGGCAAAGGTCTGGGGTGCGCCAATCGCAGGAAACTGTTGAAACTGGTCAAGCATCTGAGGGGCTACGGGAGGGAACCCAGCCATGTCCATGGAGTTTCCGTGCAAGGCCTCGGCAGCAGCCGACATGCCAAACGGCGTAGTGAGCCCCTGCATCATGGCCATGGTAGGAGTATGCAAGTCACCAGCTTGGGAGTGGAGAGTTGTAGAAGGGCCGCTAATGTTGGGGGTGAAGAGGCCTGTGGCAGGGTTGATGAAGGAGTTGTAGGCGAACGAGTTGGGGTCGAGGAGCGACGGTGTAAATCGCCATTGCTCGTTGTTGGCTCGAGGGGTAGGATCCTGGTCATGGAAAGGAGCCGTAGGAGCCACTGCAGTTCTATAGAGAAATTATTAGCATTACGGTACTGGCCAAATTCTGCAGACTGTAAAAGTACATACTCGGAAGTTGGCGGAAGCGTTAGCGCTGCGGGGTCTGCTGTGCCATCTGCGCTGACGAGAACACCAGGAGCACCAGGCTCTTGGGTGGCTCTGATTTCAGGGAACTGCTGTCTGAAGTTGGCGAGCAATTCATCGCCGGGCTTCCGCGTGCTTGTTCTACAAGGAGTGTTAGTTTGTGTGTGCGAGCAAACGGTGGCAGTGGAGATTTGCTGGCGTACCTCTGGCTGAACATTGTGGGCGTAAGTGTGCGTGTTAAAAAGGTGACTGAGAAGTGCCGTTAGGCAAAGAGGGGCGTCCAAGGAGACAGAATATCGTTATATTTCCTAGGGCTAGGAAATAATGAAATATTGTAATGGGCGGTTAAAGGATGCCGTGTAGATTAGTAGCGGATGGAGCGAGCTGTGCCTTTGGTGCCAGACTTCATTTAGCCCAAAATGACTATTTGGAAGTTCTGCTGGAGGAGGGCAAAGTAAAACGATGGCGGATACCAGGGTTGAATGGGCTTATCCGTTGGGGTTGACCGCGGTCGTACGTTGCCGTAATATGTGGCGGATGAAGTGCGTCGACGTGTAAGCGTGTGCGTGTGAGAGAAAGCGAGAGACGATGGTGGGCGACGATGTAAGGTTGGCTGAGCTGGTGTTTGTAGGTTGGTGATGGTGCCGAAGATGGTATTCGTCAAGGAGACAAGAAACAGCCAGAGAGAAGCGATAATTAAGAGATACCGCCAAGCTGGAGTCTGTATGATGGCAAGGTCTTGGAGGAGAGGGAAGGGCAAGTGCAGGAGGTGGTGGGCAGAGGGCAAAGAATATATTCGGGGGCGCTGGGGGAGCGCTAAGCACTGCAGCTGGTAGCGTCTTTTTGGTGGGGGCCAAGCCTGGGTTGCGAGGAAAAACGCAGCGCGAGGACTTTGCAGCGCAGGGGACTGCGTTCTCGACCCGGGGGCAAGTGGGCCTTCGGATGTGGCTCGAACTCGGGGTGTGGCTTTACTTGATGCGCGCACGCCACGAGCGTAAAAGCGGCTTCAAGAAATGACGTAGGGGGAGTTGTTGGTTTTAGTCTTTGGTTTTGTGTTGAGCAAACAGCCGAGACGAAAGACGACGATAGGCGACAGACGACTTTGTTTCAATTCGAATGGTCTATGGCTGCTGCTTCATTTTTTTTAGGTCTACCTGTGGCGGTGTAAGGCCGCTGTATTTGTACTTTGCTAGCACCAGGTCATGGCCATCGTGAAAACCGCTGCGTCATCGGTTCTTTGTGAGAGGAGCACGCACGTCGACGGAGGCCTGCGCCACATGTGGCTGCAGCCAACAATGGAAAGCGAAGACAACAAAAAAAAAGCATTTGGCTATCATGATCAACGCCATCTTGTTCGCTAGTACATCATCAACTACGTGTGGGATGGGATGATCTGTGGGTGCTGTGTGCAGCAAAGTTCCACAGGAGAGAGATGGGGGGCTCGCGTGTCGATGGCTGTGCAGTCCAGCGTCAGAGGCGTCAGCAACAACACCATCGGAAGAGGAAAAAAAGAGAAAAAGAGTTAATGAAGCATGTGCGACAGACACCCAGTGCGCCACAGACTGTCTCTTGTGTATTTATGTCTATTCTAAAGTTTTAGAAACCCGTTCCAACTATACCGTCTCGATTCACTACAAAACGTAGCGCACACAGAGACACAAACACACACTTTTTTTTTTGGCCTGCCGTAGTAGAGTCCCCCTTCGATCGTCATAGACACAGCGCACAAGAGCGCATCGAGATCGCTACAACAAAAAGCGCACTAACCGATGACATGCTCAGCACCAGGGGCGCCCGCAGGACCCACTGGAGTCACCGCTACGCTACCGCTGGAACACCGCACTAAAAAAGACAAAAACGACGAATCAGCTCGGAAAAAGATGCCAGCAGCACTGGGCTTTACAGCGGATGCAAAGCCCACTGGACAGCGGATCCTTCGGTGCATGCCTGACGCGGTTGTCCACTGCATCCCACAGGCGGATGAGTCGTGCAGCTTATATTACTTTGTACAGCACTACTGTAATATTTCGGGGACGCTGCTTCGCGACTTGTGTGCTGACTGGTGCGTGCGTGCAGCAGAGACAACATCTATACGCATAAATTTGGCAACACAAGAATCAGTATAATGCAACAGGCATAAACACAGCACGCCATCACATCGTCATACTGGTGCACTAGAAGCCCAAGGAACCCGCGCTGGTGCGCCGTTGAAGCACCAGTCCACGAGTTCCACCAGGGTCTGCACCAACAGCAGCAGCCACCACTACTAGCGAGCACCAGATCCAATATTAAGCAATGGTGCTACACGGTCTTAGCCCTATCTAGAACCCTTTCTGCATTACCATCGATTTTTATCGAAATAGCAACGCCCTTTTCCCCAGCCAAGCAAGTCATGTTTTCTGATATTGCATACGGCACATGTCCGAACATGGATGACGTCAGGGCTGTTCTCCTTTTTTTCACTTTACGACCTCAACGGTTCACTATTGCTGCAAAAAAAGATGAAGCCTAAAAAGTAACATACCGGTAGAAACGGCAATGCATAAATACACCGCTCAGGCATCCATTCGCCCAAAAGCCAGCACCAGCAAAAACGTCGCAAAAGACGCGGCTGCCCATGAAATATCGGACAGGGCTTGGCGCAAACCCTTGCACCCCAACTCCACAAGACAGCCGTGTGGCTGTGCCAATTAGCCGATATAGCAGTCCGCTAACGCACCCACCAGACAACACTCTACAGCGCACTGTCGTCAGATTTTTCAGCGCACTACAGGCGACGACCGCCATATCCGAGCACCCCCGGTGCAACGTTTACCTGTCTACAGCAGGTGCGGGGCGCTAGGAGCCGCCTAGCTTTGCGCATTTCCGCCGCTATAGTGACCTAGCGCTAATAGCCTTCGGTTACAGGCTACAAGCAACACGCTAACACACCCACCACTTCGTTTCGCATTGATCCAATCCATTTCATTAGCCACAGCTGCTGTCGGGGACCCCGTGGCCATTCGCTCTGCCCTTTTCTTTTACGTCTTGTAAATGGTAGATCGCCACGCCGCAGGCAGACGAAAGGAATCGGTCGGCCGAGAGGTCAAGTCCGCCGGATGACTCCAGGCACAGCGATCACTAATACCGTTCGGCTGCGATTCCACGACACGGCACTCTGCGTTTGCTATTCACGGAGAAAGAATGAAATGGGCAAAAAAAGGGTATCGAACCCACTGCCGGATTCCGTCATCCTTTAGTCTACCTGAAAAAAAAAAATCCTTGAGAGCATATTGCCAACCCGTATCAAAGGGTTATAACAGCGGTCCGGAATTTAGTAATCCTGCGCGTGCAGGGGCGGCCCCGCACCGCCACAGCTACTGGTCGACGAGCCACCGCATACCCCACCCTCGCACTTGTGGCTTGACCATTTGTCTTGTAGACGACGTCATAGCTCGTCACTCGGCTCTATTTTGTTCTCTTTACGACGTTGCGCTTCGACGCACCAGGGGTGGTTCGCTTTTCAACATGGATTCCGAGTTTTTTTTATTCTTCTAGTGCATCGGCTGTATTTCCATCTTGAGACACGGCTGCGGACAACCAACGCCGGGGATTACTCTTTTTTGGCTGTAAGAAAGCAGAGCCGTCTCATGCCGTCCGTCGCGCATCCACACACAGCGCCTATAACAGCAAAGCACTAGCAGACCCAGCATATACACGCACTGCAGGAAAGCCAAGCCAGTCACCATTACTTTCTCAAACGGGGGGGGGGACACTCGCCACACCCCCCTGCCGCTTAGATTGTCCCTTGCTGCCGATCAATTGTTCTAGAGTCGCTCTTACAGTGTCAGACTCGTGGCCGAATACTGGGGCTCTCCGGAGACTACATGGAAATTCCAGCGTATGTCTACGTTCGGGACATCTTGTAGCGGGTTGCAGCGCTTGCGTTGACCGGGCACACCTCAGCACTATCATAGCAGCAGAATGTATGGAGGACGAGCAAGCGCCACGACAAGAGTTCATCTAACTCTGCCTAAATGAAATGGCTTAGAAGAAACAACAAACAACGCACCGGGTAGTCTAAAAAAACAGACAACCCTTGCGACGCTAATGCACCACCAAGAAAGCTTGAAAAGGGAAAAAGTGTGTGCTATAACGCACCAGCCACAGCGGATATCACCCACCCACCCCGCAAGTCAAGCCACAGACGCAACGACTTGGTCGACTTAGACGGCCATCTGCGGCTATGATTGGCCTTGTGTCGTGTCTGGGTGAAACTGATCTGCGGCGCCTCTGCATGGCTCTCTCTTTTAGCTCCGGTCGTTAAGCATTAGCGCTGCGTGCTATAATGGAGCCCGCACCACTACCGCTACTACCAACCCCGGCGAACCACGCACGCAAGGAATAAACGGCTGCCCGTTGTGACCAAGACGAGGCGCTGGGTAGTGAGTGGTCCCGTAGCGCCTGGACGCCTCAAATCCCCCGTTTTCACGGCACGGCCGATGGGCTCTGAAAGGGCAAAAGAGCGACTGTTGATCAGTATAAGGCGCGAGACTACGCTGCTATAGTATAAACGCTGCAAATCCGGCAGGGATTCAGCCGTGTAGCCCAACACAGACGCAGTGTCTATGACGCTGGATAAACGGTCCCGCACCAAACGTGGCCGTAACGTGCCCATGCAGGACAACGTGCCCACAGTCGGAGATGGCTTACTATTCTGGAAAATCGAGTCTTTTCTGGTGATGTCAAGGCTGCACCGCCACATGCTCGTGGCCGTCGCTTGCCGTGGCGCAGGCTGCCTCTTGTTTGTTTCTTCCAAACCAAGCTTTTTAGCCCCATTGGCGATCGCTAGTGTGGCTAGTGAGTCCGTTTAATTGTGGATGAGGTTTGATGATGCCGTCTAACGGCCCATTAGCCAAGGAAGCTTGTCGATTTTGTTGGGTTCGGTAAAGAAGTTGTAATCCACAGGGACGGCCTCCTGCCCGGGGCGGCGGGCTGAGGGTATATCAAGGAATTGGGAAATGGAACGAGTCTAGACTTTTGTTAGTTGTAGAGAGAGGCAGCCTGTTTGATTTTGTTGTTAGTGAGAGTTTACGTAGCCATTGAGGGAGTACCTACTCATGAGGAAATGTATGACGACAAGCATGCCAGCAAAGTAGTCCATCGAGATGCCGAGAATCCGGACTCCAAAAGGGCTGCCGCTCCTTAGCCGAGGAATAGTTCCATGTTCACTGCAGCCGAACGGCACTGTCTCAGACGGGAGCCGAATTTACGGCGCCCAAAGCGTGACGTGGCTCGGCTTTGACTCTCCGGGTTTTGCTTGTTGTCTTTACCCTAGAAGGCGAGACGTGAGACAAGGTGAGCAACAACGTCTCGGCAGATGACCAAGATGACGAAGTTTTTCTGCCATTTTGTTCTATGAGCGAAGATAAAACATGTGTGTTTTTGTTTCGAAGTTTTGACATTAACAAGCGCAGTTTTGAAAATGGTGTTTCTAGTCTGTTGTCCGTAAACATGGCTTCCGTCTACCGATGGTTTCTGACACTTGTTAACCAACTAATCAACCAAGAATGTTGTATAGTATTCTTCTTTAGTATTCTATGTATTCTATTTACAGAATGTACAAACGTAGACCTTTTAGAACCGCAACATAGCAACAACAAGAGCCACAGCCTTCCATTGCCACCACGGCTGCCGGCTCGCCATGTCAACAGTTGGACGCTGTCAGCACCGACAAAGACGAGTTACATGGATTAGCGAACCCTTTGCCGGGAATCTACGTATCCGCCGAGTCCCAGACGTAGTGTCATGTCATGGATGGCCGTTGCATGTCCCTGTCGAGTGCTGGTTTTAGTCACTGCGATGATACGCTGGCGTAGTGTAGGCTGGCCGCCCGTTATTTTGGTAGCACGGGCAATTAGCATAGAGCGCCCTAGAATTGGGACTTTTCTACGGAGCATGAAAAAATGGCACTACTGAAAAATTTATTGTAGTATTTTTTTTTTCTTGCTGATAGAGTCTATTCTTTTATTTCGCTGGCACTGCACTGTAAGTCGGGGGGTTCTCGCAACAACGGGCCACAGGCACCAAACAGCCTTAAGCCCAAAGAGGAAACCACGCGCATACCAAGGTGACGTCGCAGCCACTTAAAATTAACAACACCAAGACATGGCCCAGCAGCCGTTGCACTCTCACCCCTTGCTGGAAAAGAGAGTCGCAATCTCCGCTATACGGCCCTTACAAGGGCGCTGAAGAAGAAACGACGAACGAAAAAAAGCGATAAATGAATACGGGGTAATTTCACGGTGATGGGACGAACACCACCCACGAGAGATGGCGATGATAAATGGCGATGATGGCGATGATGCTCAATCAACAAAGTACGATGCCCGCCCCGGAGAATTCGCTTGGCTCTGGAATGCGTATTCCGTCGCCCCCCTCCACCGACCGATACACACCCTAGCATTCAACTCATCCTTCCTCCTCTACCCAAAGGAGACACACACTAAGAAACAGCGTCGCAAAGGGCAACCTGGGCCCCAAACCAAACCACCACACCACACAACCCCCCTTGTCACTAGCAATGCCGTTTGTCATTTCCCCTGGTGCTGGGCCTTGCGCCGACGCACGCGAGACAATGGCGCAAGCCAAGAGCTGCCAGCTTCTCCTCCTTTTGACTATTCTCTTCCCCTCCAACCCATCCCGCTGCTTCGCCAGCCTTTGCCTTCGCTTTGTTTCCTTTTATTGTGCATTCTATTTCCGTTGCTCGCCAATCCGCCAAGTTTTTCTTTGTGATAGCAAATAGCATAGCGCACCTAGTGTGAAGATGCGAATCGCCTATTTCTTTATAACACCTTGCTCGACCCTCTCCTTGCCGAGACGTATCTAGACTCAAAACGAAAGAAAGAACAATACCCGCTTGTGTTCAGTCTCACCTTTTTATCCAACAACTAATACTCGGTTTCCTTTCCTCGTTTCGTTGCCGTCGAAGAAAGAAATCTACTACACAGACACAGACGCTTCACGAGAATGCATCTCTTCCCCCGGCGCTCGTCGCCGCAGTCGACCCTCGTCGGGTCCCCGACATCGACAACCTCGACAAGCCCGCTCCGCGAAAAGACATCGTCCACTTTGACCCCCAAACCGTCACAGATGAACCTGGCCCGCCCGCCCGAGTTCGAAGTCATCTTCTCGCCCATGGACCGCGAGAACCCGAAAGAATGGCCCTTCTGGTACCGCATATGGTCGATCCTCACTGTCTCCTTCGCAGCATGGGTCGTGGTCCTCTACAGTACCAGCTACAGCGCCTCTATTCCGGGCATGATGGAGGAATTCGAGAGCACAAAGAGCGTAACATCGCTAGGTATGACGACATATCTTCTCGGCCTCGCTGTGGGTAGTTTCTTTGCTGCCCCTCTTAGCGAGCTGTTTGGCAGACGTCTTGTCTACTTGGTGTGTCTCATTATGTGGGCGCTTTGCATTATCCCGTGTGCCCTGGCCACTTCGTTTAGTGTCATCTTTACATTTCGCTTCATCGGCGCCCTCTTTGGCGCTGCCTTGATTTCCAACGGGCCCGGTACCGTTGTTGACCTTTCCAAGCCCGAGTATCTAGCCATGGGCATGTCGCTCTTCAGCATCGGCCCTTTCAACGGACCTGTCCTTGGCCCTCTTGTTGGCGGCTTCGTCTTTGAGCAGCATGGCTGGCGCTGGACCAACTGGGTTGTACTAATCCTTGCTGCTGTTTCGTTTGCCATGATTTTCTCGGTCCAGGAGACCTACGCACCAGAGATTCTTAAGCGCAGAGCCGCAAAGATGAGAAAGGAATCTGGTGACTCCCGCTGGTGGTGCCAGTACGACAAGACTATCGAACAGAGAGCATCCCAGTGGAAGAATATCCGTACCAACCTTGCCAGACCCGTGGTTCTCTTCTTTACGGAACCCATTGTTTGGTTCATTAACTTATGGTAAGCACAATCCCTTCCTTTCGTCAGCTGTCTTGCGCTAACCTCTGTTTAGGAACGCCCTCATCTACGGTATCCTCTATCTCTGCTTTGTTGCCTACCCCCTTGTCTTCTCTGTCGAGCGACAATGGAGCCCTGGCATGTCCGGCATGGCCTACATGGGCATTGGCGTTGGTATTATGATTGCCATTGCAGCCGAGCCTCTTATTCGCCGTTTTATTCAGTCCCAACCTCGCGACCCTCTTACTGGCCGCCCATACCCAGAAGCCGCTGCTATAGTTATGGCTCTGGGCTCGATTCTTACTCCTCTCGGACAAATGGGCTTTGCTTGGACATGCTTGCCTACCAATATCCACTGGATTGTCCCCATCAGCTTTGGCATCCCCTTTGGCATGGGCAACACGCTGAGCTTCATCTATTCGTCCAACTACCTAGCCGGGTCCTACGGCATCTACGCTGCCAGCGCTCTTGCTAGCAACGCCATTATCCGCAGCATCTTTGGCGCCACGCTCCCCGTAGCAGGCGCACAGCTATACAAGACCATGTCGCCACAGTGGGCTGGAACCCTGTGCGGCATGCTTGCCATTGCCATGATGCCTATCCCGTTTGTGTTTTGGCGATACGGCGCCAAGATCCGCGGCCGCAGCAAGGTTATCCGCCAGCTGCGCGAGGACGCGGCCCGTCTCGAGCAAAGAATGAACGAGGAGCGCGTAAAGGCTGCTGAATTTAGCAGCAGCGAAGGCCAGCTTACCATTTCATCGTCGCTCTCGAGCCGGTACCCGAGCAAGCCGCCCAGTATTGGACCCTTGCGACTGCCGAGCGAGACTGTATAATTTTTGATTATTTGACCTGTGTGATTACCAAAGACATTTACGCCAATATGGCGTCTAGGCGTTTAGGGAGCATGATATTTTTGCGGCATCCGTTGCGCCTGTTACGTATTAGGTAGCAATGTTGAAAGCCATGACAAACCGTGTAAATGAAGAGAATGCACAAGTGAATATTATGTAACTTGATGATTTTTTTGCGGAAGAATAAAAGATTAGACAATGTGAAACTGGATAGAAGGTATTTTTATATTTGGTAGGATAAATTTGCAAAAAAGACAAAAAAGAAATGCCAATCGATGAATGGATAGGAAAAGCCCAATGCGGGGGTCGAACCCGCAACCTTGAGATGTCGGAAACTTAAGAGTCTCACGCTCTACCGATTGAGCTAACCGGGCAGGTTCGCTTGAGTTGAAAGCAACTGCATTATTCTATTACAAGAGCCTTTATCCAACCCAACTCCACTAAACTTTCATCATTGTTCAACTTGCCGCCCCAATATAGCATAAAAAGTTTATGCAATCCCGAAACTGCGTCCACAACAATTTTGAACAATTATTTTGCAATCCAATTGGCCTTTTATAATGGCATCTTTCAAAGGAGAGCCTTGCTGACAGCCCAAGCCCCACGGCAGGAGGAGCCACTGTAGGGAGGCCAGACCAGGCCGTAAAACGCAGATTCAGCCCACCGGGAGATGCACCTTTATTTCCGCGAGATCGACAGTAAGCTGTATAAAATTGGTCTCTGTGTAGATGCCTGTATTTTAAAAGTCAATAAATTTAATACAGCACAGCCAATTCTTCATTCCTCTTATCAATGCGCTCTTATCAGCTGCAATTGATCTGCTGGCGCTTACGCATCAATAGCGGCAGATGCAACCTACAGAACCCAACCAGAGCCTGAAATTATTTCGATAGGCGCTATTTGGACCCCCTGCCAAATAACCCATGTGCCGGGCGTCCAAGCACCCACGGGCCCTGACAGGCGGGGGGAAATTAGTCTCCTTCAATATTTTGCTGGACGTTGCAGTGTTTTTGTCCCTTTCTTCATCACTACTTTTGTTTTTTCGGTCGCGTGCAAAATGGAAGAAGGCGCTCCTCATGGCGCCGTCTTTGCGCCAGGCGAATGCCAGTATGTCGGCGAGGGCAAGGCTGACTTTGCCGGTATCGGTGTATGTTTTTTGTCGCACCCGTGAATTGAAGGCCGCTAGCTAACTCGATGCTTGTCTACAGATCATGGTTGGTTTCATTGGCCAGGCCTTACTATCGCTAGGTGTGGCGACCTGGGCATTCTTCCTGTCGCGGCACGGAAACATGGACATTGTATATGAAGAGGGCACCGTTGAGCGCCGGGTCGAGAAGAAGAGGCTCGAGTTCATCTCGGACATGCTCATGATTGGCAACGATATCCAGGTCTCCCTGGGCCTGTCGTACATGATTACCGTGTTTGTTGGCAAGGACAACATGGACTTGTACCATTTACATCTTGCCTTTGATGTGGTTTCGTTTGTCGGGTACATATCATCTCCCCCCGAATTTACTAAACTATGTTTATACACCTGCTAACAACCATTGCAATTTATAGCATATCCAGCGCTGCCGCGCTAGTCTCTTGGACCTTTTGCGCCGCGAAGCTCGCGCAACCTACCCGCCCCGGTGCCAAAGCTCCGAAAACAACAGGATGGGGCCGCATGTCCTTCTTCAGCGCCCGACACCAGGCGACCTATGGCTTCGGCGTCATGTACCTTGCTTTGACGATTCTTCTTAACGTGCGTCTAGGTGAATGGGACCTCAACAAGGAGCCTGGGCTCTGCTACCACGCCTCGTACATCACTACGCGGTACGCAAGCCATCCCGTGGCCGACCAGGTATACGTTAGCATTTCTGCTGTGTGGATGCTGATGGTCGTTGGGGCTGCCTCGTTTCTTGGGCCAAACTGGCGCAAATGGATCCTGTGGACCTCGTTTCTCCAATTCCCTGTGCATCTATACATGGCTATTGCACTGCGCTCCGAGAACCAGGGCAAACTTTCTGGCGAGGAAACCGACGAGAATGACTGGGACTTTGGCCAGACGACGGCCGTGCTGCTCCTCGCCTCGGCGCTAGAAGAGCTTGTCCGAAAGGGCAGCGACTACCTTAAGTTTGAAAAGATGGTTCGCTCAGGCGCAGACATGGATGAAGATGGAGTGGCAGACGAGGAGCAGGGAACTGTGCTTAAAGACTTGGCGCCTGAGAGAAGCCACGAGGACCAGCGTATGGCGACGGCCAGAACACAGCCCTTTGAAGAACGACTGGGGACTGCCGACTCAGGTGGCCATGTATCGGCCGTGACGGCGCTTGAGACGCATGCCGACGACGCAAGTGAGCCGCCTAGAGGCCGAAGAAGCGGAGAACAGAGACTTTAAGAAATCTATCATTACTGTATTTAGAATCACATTACATAGCGAAGCGTGCTGTTTGGTGGAAAAAAGTTATATTATATGTTGATGGGTTAAGATTGGTGTTTCTAAGAATTGTCCATTGTCGTTTCTGAGAATGGAGAGCAATTCTTCCTTTTTTAAAAAAACTCAAAACTCGTCGTTTGTCCCGTATGATGTAAAATCTATGTTTTCCCATCTTCCATGCAATTCCCGCGCAGTCATAACAAAAAATATAGAAGAGAAACAAAAGTTCAAAGGTGATGCAAGTATCCAAATACAGTCCTGCATTCAGGTGATTGTTCGACTTTATGCTTCCGCGCCAAGACCCTGAAGCTCCTTAAGCACAGCCGACTTGGTCTGGATCTTCTTAAGCTGCGTGTCCTCCAGCTTCTCACCACCGGCATGACGCATTTCCAGATCTTCAATGGCGCGCACCTTCTTCTGAAGACTGCGGATCTTCTTGGCTTGGGGGTTGGCGTCGGCAGCAGCGGCGGCGGCACCACCAGCAGCTTGCTGAGCAGCACCAGGGGCGGGCGAGGCCCCTCCCTGGCGTCCACCCTGCTGGGTGTTGCTGCGGCTGCGACCGTCGCCATTGTTGCGGGAACGGCTACGGAAATCGCGGCCGTTAGCACCGTTGCCTCCAGCAGCGCCGCCGCGGCGTTCGGGGCTACGGCCGTCGCCATTGGCGTTGGGGGGAGCAAGACTGGCACCGCCGTTGGGGTCAGCATCGGCCTTGTCACCCTGGTTAGTCTTCTTGCTGCGCTTCTTCTTGTTCTTCTTGGCAGCACCATCCTCAATGGGCTCAGCGCCAGGGACAGTTCGGACGGCAGGGGCGGGCTCCGTGAACTCGGCGCCAGGGACACCACGACGAGGGCGGGCACCGAAGCCGTTGGGAGCAACGTTCTGAGTGCCGTTGCTGACGGTGTGCGCGGCACCGCCTTCATCCTCACGCTTAAAGTGCAGGGGCGTGGCAAGGCCACGAGCACCAGGAGGACGGTAAGCACCAGCAGGCTTGCTGGGTGTCTTGACGGTACCGAGGTAAGTGGCGGCAGAGGCGTGAGGAGGAGGGACGGTGGTGAGGGGGTCTCCAGGAGCACAAGCTTCAGGAGCTTGAGGTCTCCAAGTGACGTGGTACAACTCAACCATGTCCTCATTGTACATGAGACCACCGCCGACGTGCCACAGCTTAACACCGTTGTCAACACGGAGACGAGGAGACGTTGTGGCCGTCATCAGGTATCTGCTGTCGGGACTCCATTCACAGACACTGGGGTTGCCACTCTCGATGGTGCACACCTTGCGGTAGTCCTTCTCGAGGTCATAGATATCGACCTGACCAGCCAAGTTTCCAAAGCCAGCCACGTAGACGAATCGGCCAGTGGGGGAGAAGTTGATTGTGTTGCGGGGAGCGAGGGCGAAGGAGTGAGTAGGCATGGCACGGTCGTTGAAGATGGTAGCCTTGGCAGGCATGTAACCGTAGACAACGCCAAACTCGCGGGAGTTGGGAGACCACGAGACGTCATGAATGGGGCCTTCCTTATCAAGGGTGACACGGGCGTCAAAGGCGCCGTTGGTGCTCAACAGGTAGAGTGTGGTTTCACCATAGTAACTCTTGCCCGAACGGTCAACATCAGTTTGCGCCAGGACGAGCAAGCTGGAGCCGCGAGCGTTCCACTTCATCTGGACCTTGTCGCCCTTGAAGAATGTCTTTTGTGAGATGGGGGCGGTGAACTGGGGGATGTTGTAGACTCGGACGGAGGCAGGTTGGCCCTGTATCAAAGTTAGCAAAAATGGTTCTTTCAGGGGCACGAAGGGCGAGTCGAGCTTACCTTGCGCTCAGGCACAAAGACAGCCACGGCATGGTTCTTGGTTCCGGGGGCAAGAGAGTAGTTGGCAGCACCCTCGACGCGAAGCTTGTTCCAAACAGTCACGAGATCGTGGCTCTCATGGAACTGGACCTCGTTGGTGACGAGGCGGGCGCAGTACCTTTCATCGGCAGTGTACTGCAGATTCCAGCCACCCTGCTGCTTCTGAACAAAGCGGCCAATGGGCTGCTTCTCGGCGGCGGCAACATCCTCAATGGTGCGCCAGACCTTGAGGTTCTTGGTGGCATCACCGTTCTCGTCCTTAGCGGGCCTCTCCCAGGTAATGACAAAAGTACCTTGGGGCGAGAAGCCGAGCTCATAAACGTTGAGGATGGGGAGGACGAGGACGGGCGTGCCTACGGAGGCATCAACGACGGTGACGGCCTCAGGAGTAGACCAGCCGAAGAAGCGGCCGCAGGGCGAGTACGCGCAGCAACGGAGGTTTCCCTCAGGCTTAACGAACCCAGGGAGAGCGGTGTAAACCGGCGCAGCATCAAAGACGCCAATGGTCTTTTGCGTGCGGTACGCGAACTGTAGAGGAGACACCATGGCTAGTCAAAGGCACAGTATCTCGGTGTACAGCTGGTTTGTGTGGTTTCTTGTCCGTGGGAGGAGGTTCTTCTTGTGTGATTGAGGCTGTTTTCGACGCTTGTCTGGACAACGCAACAATCGTGTTGTATTAGGCCGCTCGATATCGATTCGTGAGAAACGGAGTTCGGTCGATCAACCTTGAATGTTTGCTTGTATTTTGGTCTTTTTTCGAAGCCGTGTATCGGAAGGAAATAGTCAAACTTCCTTTGGGGAGCGGGCGTAGTCAAAAAACGAAAAGGGCGGGGAGCGAGGAAGAGACTTTTGCGTGTCAATGCAAGAGGTACAATTCCAGTTAATCGCTTGAAAAGAAGAAGTCGCAGGATTATCGGACAAAACAACTCAAGGCAAAGAGGGAAACTTGTCGTGCGAAGGACGCAGGCGTTGCCGTTGATGCTCTCGTGGGCGGAGAGGGGGAGGGGATGGGGGGGAAAGAAAGAGGAAAGGAAGAAAAAGCGAAGCGCGGGAAAAAAAAGTGTGGGTTTTCGCAGCACCGCCAGCGCAGAGGAGAAAATAAAACTGGGGGCCTGGCCGTCACTGCTGCGCTGCGCTGTTGTTTTGGTTCCTCTGCCGCTGTGGAGGCCCGCTGTAGCCCACTGTAGCCCGCTGTAGGAGGCTCCGAAGCCAGCGCCTATGCCCACTGTCGATGCAACAGAGACAGTGCCCGGCGAGTCCGTGTCGACCAATCACAGCACCTGGAAAGCCGTCTTGGTACGCGCTTCAGGCTGTTTACGTGACGAGATCAGATGTCTGGTTGACTGGTCGTCTTTCAACTGTGCCCTGATGGCCCAATATCAGAAGCCCTCATTTACAACTACCAGGAGCAAAACTAAAAAAAGACACAGGTCATAAAATAGTTTGATTGTGCTATATACAAATAGAGTTTCCTGCATGGTAATTAATATCTCTCTCTTCCCAGTCTCATCGCCCCTTAATCTTGTCTTTCCACCCTCCCTTCTCAAACAACCATAGCGCCTCGGTGGCATAGGCCTGGCTTCCACGGTGACCACCGTCGATCGACGCTGCAGCACTCAGCGCCTCAATGACACGTCCTTCCTTAATAGCTGCCCAGACACCCATGGCAATCGGGTCGTCTTCGGATTTGCCCCATTCTCCTTTGCCCAATCGGTACATGATTCGCCCCAGAGTTTGAAAAGCCATGCATCGCTGTGCAGGAACGGCGCTGCGTGCAAGGATGGCTAGCTCGGCAACTGTGTATCCAGCAGCTTCCGGCGCCAGGCCATGGTGGTGTAGACCCTTGGAAGTCGGAATCTTGCGGCTTACTCGTGGAGAGAGGAAGCGACCCTTAAAGTCGAAGCGTAGCGCCGACACAGAAATTTCAGGATGGGGGTAGTATGCTGATTCACGATCTGCTGGGCTGTCCTCTGTAGGCACGGGGGCCATCCATGCTAGCTTGCTCGGATCAGCTGGCAGTTCTGGAAAGTATTTCTCATGTAGAGTCGCAAGGAAGTTGGGGTCTGAAGGGTCGAGGTCGGGAAGTGTTGGAGGAGCGGGGAAGTGAGTGGACTGGTTGCGCAAGTCGGACAGCGGAAACAGATCCTCGGGTATCTGGGCGGGTTCTTGGTCTTCATCATAATTATCAGCAATCTTTTTGCTCTGTGTTGGCTTTGAGGCTGGTACGGGCGCTGGCTTTGGCTCAGTTGGTTTGGCAACTTCATCCTTGTGCTCTACTGCCTCTTTGGTCGTATCTGTCACTTGAATCGTAGGCGACGGTTGGGTGGTAGGTTGGATTTCAGGCAACAGATCAAAAGGCGATGGCTCAAGTTGTTCGTCGATATTGGCTCTTGCAAGAAGCCTTTGAACCAATGCAGGATTCAAGCCGCTCAGCAACTCCTCTTGCGCCTTGGCGATCTCTTGCGGCGTCATGGAGTCAATCTTTTGCTTGTTTTCTCGATCGATGCGTTGCTTATCCAGATTCTCGAAGCTCTGTGGTGTAGATTCTGCAGCACTTTGATTGTTTGATTTGGAGGAAGGGTTCGGTATCGTTGAAGGGTCCAAGCCGGCGGCCTTTGCAGCCTGGCGCTGCTTGAACGCAGATTGTGTCCATCGCTTGCGATGTGCTGGTTGTCCCGTAGTGCTTGTAGAGGATGACGGCGGTTCCACCGGCTTCTTGGCAGAGCTGTCACGCTCTACAATATCTCCTATGAGAAGTGTCGGATCCATGATGGTGGTGCGAACAGAGGTTGTTGAAGGAGAAAGAAAACGGGTGGCGTGGGCTGGTCAAGCTGGGCAGTACGTAGCGCAGTGGTGGTGAAGATGGCGGGGCAATTTTTTTTTTGCTGTTCGCTGACTGAGCTACTACCAGTGCTAGTACAAACGAGACTCGAGGTCTATGAGTAGCCGTAGTATTGTGGAATAAAACCTGGTAGAAAAGCACGGGTGTAGAATACAATATTAAAATTCGCAGCTACTCTAGTGATTGAATATTTTCTTGAAATTTTTATCTGTCTTCCAGAAAGATAAATACTGGGGGTGTACGCACAGGGCTGAGCCACAGGGAGGTCTCAGTGTACAGTTCACCAGCCACAGGTGTGCTAGCGTCGATCTGCATCTGCGTTTGGGTGCGACAAGCTTCTTAATTAATTAATATTTTTTTGCCCTGACTGGTAAGGCGACCAGACCGAGAGAGGGCATGGTGGACAAAGCCGACTTCATGCACCACGTATGAAAATTCTTTACTTTAACTGTACTACCTGCAAAGTAGATGGATTAGAGAGTTGCGTTTTTATTTTATATAGTTTTTGTTCCATTTTGTTGTAGCTGGCAAGCCTTGCTGATGTCGGCTACTGTGAGTATGTCTTCTAAGGGGCATATTTGGTTAAGGGCACAGAGATGCGCTGTACAGTATAGAAATTCTTCTTAAAAATTCCGATATTTGTTTTCATAATGAGGTCTCTGTGTACTTATTTTATTTTATCTCTTTGTATTTTTATTTTTATTCATTGTTCCCCCGCGTGCTGCATGGTCAATCTGTGTCTCCCCACGGCCGGCACCTAGGACCCGCGCTTAGGTATTTTTAATTTTTTTTTAAGAGCTGCCACCCCCAGTCGCCTCGGCTTCCTCTTTCGGCCATTACCCTTATTCCGCCAGCCTGCCACCACCCACACCACTCCACCCGCGGCGCTGGCGGCGGGCTGCTGCACCTAAACGACAACCGCATATTAACACGCAGACCCAAATGCCCTTCTGTAAAAGTAATCCCCCGGCATGTCTGCTGCTTTGCGTTTGCTCGTGTTATTTGGCGGCTTAGCCTTTGAACGATGGCCAAGGGCCAAAAAGAGGCCCTAGCCACGCGTCACGAGCCCGGCTGGTACATGACTGACCATGCTGGTCTACTTGTTCCATGCCTTATACTGTGGCCTGATGGCATGTTACTTTCGATGGTTTGTCTTGTTCCCTTTCTTTGGTGAGCACATGCAGGCATGCTATCTCTCGCTCGTCTTTTTGTTTCCGGCGGCCTGTTTGTATTAGCTGCCTTGACAAATATCGTGCTCTCGCTCTATCTGTTCTGTTCATCCCCCCCATCCACATGTTGCATTGGCGCCCCTCCCTCCTCCCCCTTCTCTTGTCTTCCTCGCCTACAGCACGCCTGACTCTGACTCTTGCCCCCATAGGCCACCCCCCGCGTCCGTGTGTTGGGTTTGTTGTAGACGCTACCTCTTGGTGTTTTATGGAGTTTTCCCGTTTTACCCTTTTCCTTTTTTTTATTTGTCTCTTTTCTCTCATTTGCCCGACCCGGAAAATTGCAACTATCCCACCCTCCTTCCTTACCCCATCCTCTCGCCCCCCCTTCTTCTCGCACATGCTCTCTTTTCCCTCTCCCCTCCAAAACGTGCCCGTCTTTTTTCAACTTCAACATCACCAACTCGGCTCTCCGCGCCCATAACCTCCGATTTACATTTATCATTTTCGACCCTTGCGCCGGCCTTGTTCATCACCAAAGTTGCATCGCTTTGTGCATCCGTCATTTCTCCTTCATTTTCTCGTTTTCAAACGCTTCCAACTTGCACTGCCGCTTCCGTACTGCCGCTGCAAATCACCGCATTCCGCCCAATTGCCGCTCTGTTTTCGCGTCGTGCTGGCCTCCGCACCGTGAAGCTATTCGCAACTGTCGGCTGCCCCACTTCTCATCGGCCAGCCTGACCACTCACATCACGCGCTTTGAGCGGTCGCTTCTGCAAGGCACTCTTTTGCTTCATCCGATCGAGTCCCTATCTCTACGCTTTTGAGCGGCAGGAGGCTTGTATCATTTGGGCCACTTATCAACGACAAAAAACACTGACCATTTATTTTCGATTAATTTTTCCCCACCTTTCCTCTTTTTTTGTCGTCTTTGTTGGGATCTTAATGTATTACAACTAAGACGCCTGGCCCCCCTTTGCTCAATTACCCAATCTGTTGGACACTCAGCCGCTAAGTCGCGTTGCGCACACTCTATTCTCGCGCCCCACGACCACGTCGTTAATTCACCACCATTGTCAACCAACACGAATCAACACCAGCGCCAGCTGCCTGCCGTATTATTTACGACGTTGATGTTGTCGCAACAAAAGACGAAATAATAATTTAATACACACACAAAAATGGACGAGATTGTCGTCAGCAGCGAGCAGCGCCGGCCGCGACAAACAGCTTTCCAGCAATACAAGCCCCCAGGTGCTCCGGCCAAGCCAGAGACGACGACGACAACAACAGTAGTCACCACAAACGGCCCAAGAGGGCAGCAGGAGAAGCGCTATGAATTTATTGACGGCGAATGGGTCCAGCTGACTGCTGCTGGCTTGCCGAGGAAGAAGCCCGGCCGCAAACCCGGCACAATTATGAAGCCCAAGACCGACGCTGACCAGGCTCCCAAAACTCGAAGACCGAGGAAGTCGCGAGATGCAGAGGCCGTCACACCTGTTTCGCGTAAGCGCAAAGGTGCCCCGACTGATGAAGTCGACGTTGAGTCTGACGCCAACACAACACAAGTGTCCACGCCAGTCCAACGGCCAGCAGACCCTCCAGCCAAACCTGGGTTCCCGACGAACCCCCCCGTCGAACACCGTCCCTCACCGAAGATGGCAAAGCGTGATGGACTTCCAAGCTCAATGCAAAATCTTCTCAATGACGACCCACCACCTCAAGCATCGCCGTCCAGCTCCAACTCTATCCCTGTTCGCACTGGTGGTCAGAGTTACGATCCCATCCGCGGCAGCTACAGAGATTCGCCTTCCACCAATGCGGTATCCGTCACGGGGTCCCCGCGCGCTCCTGCACACAATTCACCCTCCATTGCTAGCTTAATTGAGCCCCAAGCTTCGCCGAGTAACAGCACATACCAGTCGAGGCTCGCTGTGCCCGAGTCCCCTTCGAAGGTTGTTGCAAAGCCCGAGGAAAAGCCTATTCAGAAGCCTGTTATTGATAAATCCAACTTTACTACCATCGCAAACGGACCGATCCACAAACCCTCACCGAACACCAAAGGAGTTACTGGTGTTTCGACACCCAGGACGGACTTGGAGGATCTTGGTGAGCTAGACGGTCGGTCTATTCTGGATTTTGGTAAAGCCAAGCCTGGCGAAGAACAGCAGTTCCCCGCTATTGTGCTCAGCATTCCTATTGTGGCTGGAGAAACGAACAAGTACGTCAACTTTATGCGTCTAGCCGAGGATCGTTTTGGATGGGATGCCTTGCACCCTCGACAGGCTGCCAACAGAGACCGCAAGGCCCGTATTGCCGCCGCCACTGCCTCCCTCGAGAAGGTAGAAGCCGGTCGGGAGTCTGGCGACGAAATGTCGCTGGATATGTCTGATGGTGAAGGCAGCAATGCTGAAAACGGAGGCACCAGCGGCATGGATGCGCAAGCTAAGCCGAAGAAGAAGCGAAACTTCAAAGAGGACCAGTATGATGTTGACGACGACTTTGTCGATGATTCCGAGCTTCTATGGGAGGCGCAGGCTGCTGCCAGTCGAGACGGCTTCTTTGTATATTCTGGCCCACTAGTCCCCGAGGTTGAGAAACCACCACCTGGGTATGTATTAAATCCTTCTACTCCATTCAGAGTATCTATGCTAACAAAGAAAAAAAATAGCTCCGAAGGACCACCTCGACGTGGCCGTGGTCGCGGCAGCAGAGGCGGACGAGGAACAACTCGCGGAACCCGTGGAGGCACCGGCTCTCGTGGTGGTGGCCCTGGATCTCGCGGTGGTCCTGGTTCTCGCGGCGGCCCTGGCTCTCGTGGCGGACAAATCACCCGTCGTCCTCGCATCACTAAGGCTGAGCGTCTCGCTAGAGACCAAGAGAGGGCCGAGAAGGCCGAGGGCACTGCCAAGGTTGAGCATGATTCAACCCCTGCTGCCAACTTTGTGACGCCAGCGCCAGTTCTCCAACTTGGTGTATAGTAGCAGCACGTGGTTGTGCATTTTCCCTTTTGTCTATTCTCATGTTTGTTTGGTTGCTTGACGAATTGGTGTACGGGGACAATTCGGTGACATATTCATGGACGGCGTTTACTTGTACTGTACGATACAAACTTTGTGTTTCTCTTTGCTTTTTATCTTCTGTCGGTGGCGTCGGGTAGAACTTCTTTTTTGTTTTTTCTTGTTTTGGGTGTAGACGAGGTCTAATTGTCTCTCTTGTTGTTCCTATCTTGCTCACTTTTTTCTGCGCTTCCGAGCGCAACGTCGACTCGGACTAAATAACACCAATCTAGAATATACCATATACTATTCTCATGTCCCCTCTACGCAATGCTAAACTCGGGAATCTCGCCCATTTCACTCTTTTGCTCCTCGCCCACCTTGTAGGCAGCTCGCCATCGGATCTTCACCGAACCAACCTTGGCAGACTTGTCTGTAGCTGAGAAGACTTGGACGCTCTGCGACACGCCGCGCGATTGCTTGGGTGTAAGAGAGCGGCCAGTCTGGGGCTGTAGTACCAACTCATAACCCTAAATATTTGTTAGATATTGATGTGCCTATCTATCAATGAAATCATTGCTAAACATACCTTTGTAACGGCGAGCTGGAAGTGTAGCTCAGAGATGGGCTGTGCCGTGTTATTCGTGAATTGGAAGAAGCACGCAATGGCAGCAGGAGTGGCGGGGTTGCGGTTAGCAAGGAATTCGGTGCGGAGAGATGTATCGTTGACGATCGCTCTATGCTCGCGGGGAAGATCCACATTCTCTACTGGCAGAGCAGAGCTAAAGTTCCATTCATCGTCGTCGGCCGCCTTGGGAGGTTGGGCGGGTTTGGAGGGCATCGCGGCGCCTAGCGCAGCAAATGGATCAGACGCAGGAGCGGGGGCGGGAGCAACGGCAGCTTGCGATGGCTGAGGAGTCGTTGACTGCGGTGGTGTAGAGAAGGAGGAAAAGCTGGAGAAGCCAGGGAGAGAAGGCTTGGCGGAGTTTTCTTGTGTGAGTGACGACAAAAGCGCAGGGCCAGGGATATCTAAGAGGCATGTTAGTAGAAGCATAGAGGGCGTTGCTTGTGTTGGACTTACTCTGGTTGGCGCCAAAGCCGAGAGTGAGGACACCGCCCTGTCCGTAGGTCGAGTTGTCGAGGTCGAGGCCGAGGAGATCGTTCTCCAGACCGCCAGCTGATTGGGAGGATGATGCTTGGGCACCTGGAGCTCCGTTCGAGTCGCCATCTAGGTCAATGAGGGAGAGCTCGCCAGCAGCGGAGGATGATGCCGCAGGACGAGGTGCTCCAGAGGCGACCTTGGCGGCGCCTTCCATATCGCCCTTCTTCATCAACTTGTAGCGCTCAACGGTGCGGTGTATACTGTCGTTGATGTCGAGGAGCTTGGCCACAGCCTCGTGGTCATCCGACTCCTCCTCGCACATCTTTTGGATTTTAGGTTGAGCGCTTTGAAGCGAAGAGGCAAGCTCGCTGAAGACGTCGCCGTCATGCATCTTGTCACCAGGCTGGAAGGCCTCCAGACGCTCCTCAAGCAGTCTGGCCTTTGCCTGGATTTTGGAAACCTCCTCGGCAGCTTTGGCTCGGTAGTCTGTCTTGGATCGGGTATCGTAACCTGCCATAACCTTCATGAGCAGATTGGCTTCACGAAGGTCGCCGGGTGTGCCGCGACGGATGAGCTCTTGGAGCTTGGCGGACTGTGCCTCACGTTCTTCCTCCTCCATTTCCTCGGCCGATTTGAGATTTTCGCTCGGGTTGAGGACAGCCGCATCCTCGCGTCGCACCTCGGGGAACATGTATCCTTTATAGCTGAGCAATCTATGCATATCGCGAATGAAGCCGAGATCATCCTTGTATCTGGAGGTTTCGCAAATAGTAAGGCGCCACTCCTCGATTAACTCCAAGATTCTAGCTTGGGTGCGGGTCGCTCGGATGGGCGGTCTTTCAGGGAACCGTCGGACAAGCTCGTTGAGAAACTCCTTGGTGCTGATTTGAAGGTGGAAGGCGTATCCGCAGTTCTTGACGCAAATATCGAGCAGCGTGAGAGCCAACATGGCAACATTCGGGTTGCGGTGGTTGATCAGGTTGACTATGGCAGTGGCAGCCTCGCGAGGAGCGCTGCCCTTCTTGTTATTGATGAGGTCGGAGATTTCAAGGTTCAGCGCAAGATTCGGTTCGTAATTGTCCGGACTGCATGCGGATTGAATGTATCGTTGGAGCTGTGAGGGGGTTCTTCCGCCAAACTCGCCCCAGCGGTCGCGGGCAGCGGCCGCTCGGGCCGAAGCAGCTTCCATTGCGAATACTCAAAGTATAGTGGGTGTAATATTGGCGAATGAGCTTTATTGGTTCGGGCTGTGGCTTATCGAGTCGTAGCACACAAGATACAGGCGGCGCCAACTTTGATTAGGACGCAAGGCTATGACGTTGGATAAACAGCTGGCGGGTGGCGAAGAGCAAGAAGCGTCGAGGGTACTTTTGGCGGGGTTCAATGCAAAATAATGTCCATGGCATACAAACACAACAACTCAAAGGGAGGAAGAAGACGCCGATATGCTTCGCCGACGATGCAGAGAAACGTGACGAATCGATGCTGTGGTTGGAGTTGGCATACGAGGTTCCCCCTCCAGAGGTCAGGTGTGGCTTTGCTCAGCGGGGGGGCGGTGGCCTAAAGTGGCGCAGCCTGAAGCACAGAATTCAGGATAATGAGGACAAAAGTTGATGTTAAAATCTTGGAGAAATACTTGAAATAGCATACGTTGTCTTATTATATGTTAATCGTATTTAATTATTTATGAACATATTTTCCTCTAGTCTGGCCCCCCAATACCAATATTGCATTTTTGTGCTTATCAGACGCAGTAGCTCTGCCGCCGCCGCCGGGTGATAGTGGGGTGGCCAACCGCCGCGGGGCAACATTTTTTCTAGATGCAATCTGGGCTAGGCTTCAACTTCAACAACCACGGACTCCCGAAAATCTCTATAAAATGCGTCACAAGAAGGATTTTGCCGGCAGAGGCAAGAAGTTCGGTGGCCGCGGCGGCGGTGTCGCCGCTCGCAACCACGCCAGACACGACGATGCCGAAGGCGGCTCTCGACCCCAGTTCAAAGCCGCATGCTGGGACCTTGGCCATTGCGATCCGAAACGATGCTCAGGAAAGAAGCTCATCCGTCTTGGTATGATGAGAGATCTTAAACTTGGTCAGCGCCATAACGGTGTTATCATCACACCCAATGGCAAGAAGACTGTGTCTCCGGCCGATCGAGAAATCATGGACCAGTACGGCGCTGCCGTAGTCGAGGCTTCTTGGGCCCGCATGGACGATATTCAATGGAACAAGGTCGGCGGCAAATGCGAAAGGCTGCTACCTTATCTGGTCGCTGCCAACACAGTCAACTATGGTAAGCCGTGGCGGCTAAACTGTGTCGAAGCGCTGGCAGCTGCTTTCTATATCTGCGGACACCCCGACTGGGCAGAACAAATATTGGAGCCCTTCTCGTACGGCCCGTCATTCTTGGAGATTAATTCCAGCCTGCTTAAGAAGTATGCTGCTTGCGAAGATGAGGCCGGAATCAAGCAGACTGAAGCGGAGTGGATGGAGAGATTAGAGAAGGAGTACGCCGAAAACAGAGAGGGTGGTGACATGTGGACAACGGGAAACACAAACCGCATGGCACCCGCGGACTCGGATGATGATGACGAGGACAACGATGAAGAAGGAGAAGGCGGTAGTGATGCGGATAGCATAGATGGTATCTACCTTGGTAAGAAACCAGTCAAGGCTACCGAAGAAGAGGAGGAAGAGGAGCGAGACCCATTTGCGATATCTGACGATTCCGAGGACGATGCTATGATGGAGGCCATTCGCCGCAAAACGTTGGCTTCAAAGACATTTGCACAATCCGAAGCCAATGAGTCAGGCGAAGGTAGCGAGTCGAAACCTTCCGCAGGACAGAAGCAACACCAAGGCAACCAGCGCCGCTTAAGCATCGACTTGGCAGCCCAGCCAGACTCCGATAATGATCGAGCCCAGCATGGTTCAGACAGCGAAGACGATGGCGAAGATAACGACGATTTCGACGACATCATTGACGCGACCCCTGTTACAGACAAGATTGGGCTAGCAAGACTGGAGAAGGAGAGAGCACAGGCTACTCGCACGACGAGATCGTTCTCGTCCAACTTTATATCCGCACCTGGCCGAGGTTAATCTACATGAACAGTCAATTTCCTACAGATTCTCACAAAAAGAACAACTAGTGATAAATGGCATTGCTGGTGTACATATTTTATTTCTTTTATGCCCTCTATATAATATAGTACAAATTCTCCTCCATTCTGGGAGAAAAACGGGGGATATAACACATAAATGAGAAGAGTAATAGTGTCGCATGTTACATATATCGTCGCTCCTTGTGCTCCTCGTAGGTCTGGAGCTGGTCGTCGACCTGCAGGTCCTGAAAGTCCTCGAGGCCAATACCGCACTCTGTGCCCTTGCCCATCTCCATAACGTCCTTCTTGACATGCTTGAGGGTGTCGATTTTGCCGTCGTAGATGACTTCACCCTTGCGCAGTACGCGGATACGTGAGCTTCGCTTAATCGAGCCGTTGCGCACCTTGCAGCCTGCAATGGTCTTGTACTCTCGCTTTCGCAGGTTGATGGCGAATGTCTGCAGAATGTCAGCCTCGCCCAACACACGCTGCGTGATGTTGAACGGAAGAAGCTCGGAAAGTGCAGCCTTGACGTCGTCGACGACATGGTAGATGACGGTGTGGTCTAGAATCTTAACGCCTGCATCCTCAGCACGGCGCTTGACTTGCGGCGGAATGGGGCTGTTGAAGTTGATAATGATACAGTTGGAGATGGCGGCGTGGTCAATGTCGTACTCAGTGATTTGGCCGGCAGATGATCGCAGAATCTTGGTGCCGACTTCTGCGTTGCCGAGCTCTTGGACTGTTGCGCAGACAGCCTCCACGGAGCCAGCGACGTCGCACTTGACAGTGAAGTTTTGGAACTTGATGCCGCCTTCTTCAGACTCCTCAGCGCCCTCGCCAGAGTCTTCTGCCTCGGCGGCAGCTTTGTCGCGCAAGCGCTGCTCCTGTTCAGCGAGCTGGGCGGAGCTCTGTTCGCGCTCAACCATTTCAAGTCGGTAGTCAATGGCGGTCTTGGCGCGACCTTCGTCAGTAGCCTGCAGCATCATCTCGCCAGCATCGGGAAGGACGTCTCGCCAGCCGTACACTTCTACGGGTGTACCAGGCGGTGCCTCGTCAACCTCAACACCGGCCTCGTTGAGCAGAAGACGAACACGAGCCCATGTCTTGCCCGCGACAACCACGTCGCCGGTTCTGAGTGTGCCGCGCTTGACTAGCACCGTGGCAGTCTTGCCAAATTGTTTCACGCTGGACTCGAGAATCCACCCTTCGGCGAGACCCTCGTGCTCTGCGCGGACATCAAGAACTTCGGAGAGGGTTACAATGTTTTCTTCAAGGTCAGCCATACCTTGACCGGTCTTGCCACTGACACAGACAACTTGGACGTCGCCGCCGTAGTCTTCAATTTCGACACCATGTCTGGATAGATCGGCCTTGACTTGATCGACGCGAGCATCTTCTTTGTCAATCTTGTTAATTGCAACAATGATCGGCACCTTGGCCGCCTGGGCATGCTTTAAGGCCTCCAGCGTCTGAGGCTTGACACTGTCATCGGCAGCAACAACGAGAATAACAATATCAGTGACGTTTGCACCGCGCTGTCGCATTGATAGGAAAGCAGCGTGACCAGGGGTATCCAAAAACGTCATGAGCTTGCCGGACTGCATTTTGACAACAAAAGCACCAATGTGCTGCGTGATGCCACCATGCTCTTGAGCCGCCACGGATGACTTGCGCAAGAAGTCGAGAAGGGTTGTCTTGCCATGGTCGACGTGGCCCATAATAGTAACAACTGGTGGTCTGGAAGGGAGGACAGAAGGATCTTCAGGTGCTGGTGCTGGTCGGAGGTCACGCTCTGTTCCTGTATCGACTGTCGGGTCGAATCCGTATTCCATTGCAATTAGAGCGGCCGTCTCTCCCGTCATGATCGTATCGCTTGTAACGTTTTCGAAGCCCATCTCTTCCATGTCATACATGAACTGTTCAACACCTTGCTTCAGCGACTGGGCAAGGTTGGCTGCGCTGATGAATTCAGGTAGAAAGATTGGGGTTGCAACAGTCTCAGCTTCCGCCTGCTTCGCAGCTTCACGGGCAGCCTTTTGACGTTGTTTTTGTTCGTGACGGTATAGTTGTTCGTCCTCCCAATCATCATCTCGGTCGTTTCGCTTGGCCTTCTTCTTGTTCTTCTTTGGTTTGTCCTGCGGCTCGAATCTCGATGGATGTTCGTCGATCTCGTTGGCTGTCTTGCCTTTTCCCCTCAATCGCTTTGGTAATGATTCGTCTTGGAAACTTTCGGCTCTTTGCTCTTTCAGTGTCGTTGTCCAGCCGTCAAGTTCTCCCCAAAAGTCTTCCTTCACCCCTCCGCTTCCTTCTGACTGTGTCTCTTTGCCGAGCTGGCTGTGGTCGTGACGATGCGTCACTGCACCCTTCTGTCTGGATTTTGTGATTTCTCCCCAAGCAGCTGTGTTGCCTGGATTCTTACTTGCCAGAGGTCCGGCTTTTGAGTCTGCTTTGCGTGCGCCGGCCGGTTGGCCTGCAGCTCGGCGAGGCTGTGGCTGTCCTTTATTACCTCCGAATCGGTTGCCAGGCTGTTCAGGCTCCTCAGGCTGACTACGTTTGGGTGGTGATGTCACCTTGGGAGCATCCTCCAGTCCAGCTATCCAAGCTTGTGGTGTAGGAGGCGTCGCTGGCTGCCTCGTCGACTTAAACACATCAGCAAGCACCGACCGTGAACGAGCAGGCTTCTCGCCTGTTGCCTGGGGCTTTTTGGGAGGCGCATCTCCTTTGCGTTTCTGGAAGTTGTTGTTGTTGGTTGGTTTATTTCGTTTCGAGTCTTGCCGGTGTTGATTAGGGGTCGGTGCCGGGTTCACAGGAGGAGGCGGGGTCATCTTCTGGCGAGCTGCAGCTTCGTGAGGGAGTAATGCATCTGTTTGAGGCTTCTTTGAGGCAAATGATCCAGCATTGGATCCAAATGAGCCAAATCCACCGCGAGCTAAAGCGCCAGGAAACGCATTCGGGCGCGGGCCATCTGCTTCACGCAGTGCGCGGGTGGTCGACAGCGTTCGGATTGCGCACCCTGGTTGATAAATATTCGAGCCGTTCTCTCGTTTATTATATAATGAATTGAACCGCGGGTGATTGAAGGCAGATCGGCTGCTATTGTTGACAGGTATCGAAAGCCTTAATGAATGTTGGCATACGGCGCAGAGCCGCCCACTGGCGCGCTCCTGAGAATTGTTAGCGGTTGAGACTTGGTGCAGGCTGAAGAGAGCCAAATTACCTTCCAGGTACTAGACCTGAGCATTGCGCTGGCCTTGATAGAATCAGCTCACTAGATGCTGATGTTGGCGTGGTAGGATCGTCTTTGGGGATGTTTGGGGTAGAGAGCGTCGGAAAAGTAGGGTCCTGATTCTGGCGAGCTTCGGCGCGGAGATAGTCCGCATCGACGTCAGCGCTTTCGAGGCCCTGTGAGTATGGACGCCAGCACAGTCTAATTATTATGTTTAAAATTTAAGCAAAAAAAAAACCAGATTTTCTCAATTTTTGTACTGCAATTGCAAAATTATTAATCAATGTCTTTTTCTAGTCAGATGCTTGGATAATCACCTGTGGCGAGGTCCCGCCGCGTCAGGCATCTCCAACAAGCTAGTCCCCCGTAGAACTCAACCTTTTCCCCATCACTCCATCTCCCTCTATCAATAGCTGCGCACCATCAGCAGCAATTGATACATTAGCAATCATGGCGCCAAACAAGCGATCTGGAAAGGGTAAAGCCCCTGCATCGAGCAAGCTATCACCGCCAGCCCCTTTCAAGGAAGTCCCGGATATCTACCTCGACTTTGTTGAAGATCTCGAGAAAGAGCATGTCTATATCACCCACATCGATTCCAAGCCTGCCGATTTCAAGCGCAAGATCTTCATGGTGCCAGTAGCAATGAATATTGCTGTCGTATGCGCCTTTGTTTGGCGCATGTGGCATATCCTCCCATACTACGGACAGCTTGCCTTGACATTTCTTGGCCACGTCAACGAAACATCTTTCCCTTTTGCGGATTCCACCTGGAGCGAATTCTGGTGGGAAGTCGGAACACGAGGCATTACCATGTTCATCGACTTTGTACTCTTCGTCTTCGTCTGGCCCTGGCCCGTAGAGTTTGTGGCCGCTCAGGCGCACGGGAACCCTACTGTCTGGCGCTGGAACGTGGGATTCCGCGACAAGGAGATTTATGTGCGTCGCAGCCGTGACTGGGATAAGGTCATGGGCGACATCTTTAAGGATGCGGACTCTAAGAAGATCTTTGTTGCCTATGTGCAGCAAGCAACTGCACCTATGCTCCAGGAACAAAAGACTGGTTACCTATTGATGAGCAGCCAATGGGATTTGGATTGGGACTCTATGATCTTGGCCCACGTAATGGTGGATAAGAAGGAGCTGGCTCTTGATGCCTTCAAAAACGTCGTACTCAAATATCACGATGAGTACGGGTGGATGACATACGACCTGAAGCAGAACGTGGCAGCAAGTGAAGAAGAGAAGCGGCGCCAAGTCTTTGCCTTTCGCGATGCGCTGGTCGCCATGGGCAAGGAGGACTTGTTCTACCGCTGGATCGAGGTTGTTCAGTACGAGGCTTCCCAACCTGGAGGTTTCGGACCAGAGCAACAGACAAAGGCGGCTGAGAAGATTCGGGAGCTATTTGAGAAGCAGAATGTCAACTTTGATGAACTGTGGAAGGAGACTGTTGGCACAGATGGAATCAGCTCGCTGTAGGAGCATCAGGGTAACTGGGTATCCAAAAAGTCTTGTTTTTCTAGAAGGGTAAAGGACGGCGTTGTTTAATTGGGGTATTTCAAGGTTTCTATGGCCTAATGATATCTACTTTTCAAAAATTGACCATCAGAGTGCTCGTTTCGATGTTTTAATTGTGAATGAGAAGTGGCACGTGAGGAGGCAACGCCGTATCAAACATGAAACGAGGCTGGCGACACGGTGCTGACTGGAGGTTGCCAGTAAGGAGAAATCAAGCGGGAATTACAAGAAAATGAAGCGGGTTTAATATTCTGTAATCTAGATACTCGTTCCCTTTCTATGCGAAAAAATTGTATCCAGCATAAACGCCTGGTCGTCATCTCGGCGGATCTCGGTTGCGCGTCGGGCGTTGGCGTCGTATGGTGTCCACTACATCATCACCGCACAGGACCCCCCGCCCACTGTAGCCGCCGTACTTGCAGGGCGTATTTTTCCCACTGGAGCGCCGCAGGTTTGGCGCGGTCCACCTTTTCGGGTGAGCCTTAAACATCCCTTGTCGAGTGCCTCGCATTCGCCATCTTCACCTTTCTTCCCCTGGCTACGAGCAATTCCCATTCTGCGGCCGGCTGCCTTTGGTGTTGCGTGCGAATTTTCCGTCATCACGACTACCACCGACCCGACTCGTGACAGCTTTTGCCCAACGCCACGATCTCGTACCGCCCCCGACTACACCGCGACTACGCATCGCTCCTTTTTTCTGGCCTCGTTGGCCCCCCGCCCAGATCGCAATCTCCGTCACGCACCGCAGCATAGCCTCCCCGGCTCGAATTCTACATACTCCGTGTTGCCTCAATTCCTGTTAGTCCTCAAGCATGTCCTCTGGACTCACCCGCCGTCGCGGTGGTGCCGCTCCTGGCGGTGCTGCCAACGAAGCCGAGGGCAGCAACAACACAGCTCCCAAGAAGGACACCGGCAACAGCGCCCCCGAGACGAGCTACGAGAACAGCGAAAATGGCCACAAGATTGCCTTCGATCCCCGTGATATGAGCGAGAGCGCCGAGCGCAGCAAACAGCCTAAGCTCACTCTGATGGAAGAGGTGCTGCTGTTGGGCCTGAAGGATAAGCAGGTGAGTTTTGGCATCGAACGATGCGACGCCCGCCCGGATAATTTCTAACACACAGGCTAGGGATACCTGTCTTTCTGGAACGATAACATTTCATATGCCTTACGAGGATGTATTGTGCTCGAATTAGCCTTCCGCGGCCGCATCAGCATGGAAAAGGACCCCTCGCGACGACGCTTCTCCCCCGCCGACCGCAACATTGAAGTCATAGATGACAGCCTCACTGGCGAGGTTCTTCTTGACGAGGCCCTCAAGATGATGAAGCAGAGCGAAAAGATGAGCGTCAGCTCGTGGATCGATCTTATGAGCGGTAAGATACACTTCTAAGCATCCCGCTGTGCGATCCATCCCCCACAGGACTAACGGCTTTTTTAATACGCAGGCGAAACATGGAACCTCATGAAGATTGGCTACCAGCTGAAGCAAGTCCGCGAGCGTCTTGCCAAGGGCCTCGTGGACAAGGGCATCCTGCGAACCGAGAAGCGAAACTTCCTGCTCTTCGACATGGCGACGCACCCCGTCGCCGACGGTGGTGCCAAGGAGGAGCTCCGCCGCCGCGTGCGCAACATACTTACACAACGCACCGTCGTAATCAACGGCAGCCAGTTCCTGCCCGAGAACCTCGACTTCCGCTACCTGCGCTCCGTGTGCATGGTGTGCGCCGCCTACGCCGCCAACGTCCTCGAGAACGCCCTGTCCACCATGGGCCACGAAGCACGAGAGCGCGCGTTTGCGCAAACAGACGAGCTGCTAGCAGACTACAGCCAGTGGCCATTTGGAAAGAAGGCCACAGGCAATGGCATTGGTGCCAACTTGCCCCAGGTTATTGCGGAGGTAAGATATGGCCATCCTCCCTCCTCAGTCCCTAACTAACATAGTTTCTCTTTAGGAAATCTCCAAGTCCAAGGATAAGGAACTGCAAATGGAAGTGGTGGTTGCTTGCTTGAGCGTCTTTACTCGCCTGGACTCACTACTGTAACGATCAAAACACAGAGGACCTGTTAATACTATTATACACGCTTTTTTTAATACTCCGCGGAACAAAAATCACTGGACAACTGAGCCGAATCGATCGATGAAGAAGTAGCGATGGTGCAGATAGACAGCAAAGGCTTGTCTGTCTATTATTTAAATTTTTCCCTTTGTTCTTTCGTGTATTGTTTTTTTCTAAGATGCGTTTACTGTGAATTTTGCCTAAATGTGGACGGCCACCTAAGGGACAGACAGTTGTGATAGAAAGAGAAAGCTTTTATTGTTTTGCAATTATCATTCTATGTACATTCGCCATGCTGTGCGAAACAATTCTACATGAAGCAATACCGTAAAAAACGAAGAAAATAGCATAAAAATGTCAACCTCCCAGCAAACAAGAGCTCCTATTTTTTGGTTCAAGCCGTAGTACAGCGTTTACTTCTTCTTGGAGCCGCCGACCCCAAAGCTTCCCTCGAAGCCAGGACGTCCACTCTTCTTCTTCTTAGGCGCGCTCGGCTTCTTCTTCTTGCCGCCGACCTTGCGGATCAACTTATCGTCACGGCGCTTCTTGAGGTTCTCCTCGCGCTTCTTCTGGCGCTCTCGTTGCGAGTGGTCCTGCGACTGGATACGCTCGGTCCACGCCTTCTCACTCTTGCGCTTGGCGACCTCCTTGCGCTTAATAGTCTTCTTGAGAATGTTCTCGTCGTCGCGGATCTTCTCGCCCTCGGCGCGGCGGCGGGCCGTCAGCCACGCGTCCTTGTCGGCAATGTCGTTGCGGGTGGCCTCGTCCATGGCGTTGAGGCGCTTCTTTTGGTTCTGCACCTTGATCAGGGCTGTCTTGGGATCCGAGGGACCCTTCTTCTTGCCCTGGTTCAGCACGTAGCTAAGGTCGTGCGACATCTGCGAGCCGTCGCCAAAAGCAACACGGCCAAATGAGAAGCTGGACTCGTCCATCTCAACGGCGGGCGACATGATTCCGGGGGAGTTTGTGGCGAGGGCCTCTTCGCGCTTGCGCTCTTGCTCGACCTTGGCGAGGCGGCGGACCTCCTGTTTGTGTTCTTTGCGCTGGGCTTGCTTTATGCGGCGCGACTCGATGAGTTCCTGGCGGGTGCGGATGGGCTTGCCATCGGGGCCGTCGGCTTTACGGGCTGCGCGGAGTGCTGCAATCTTAGCCTCGAGGCGAGCGCGGATCACGGATGTGTCGGCGGGGATCTTGATGTGTTTGGGCTTTTCGGAGGGAGGTACGGTGGAGGAGATGGAGGTTGTGGTGCTGGAAGGCTCAGCAGATGCCGAGTTTGTCTGTGTCTCGGCATCAAATGTAGGAGACTGGGGGGCAGATTGGTCGGGGGACTCGTCGTCGTCGTCGTCGTCACCATTGTCGAAGCCGTCGAGCACCATTTCGGCGTCCGCCTTGGCTTCTACAGCATCGCTGTCCTCGTCGACTTGTTTGCTGACTTCGGCCTTTTTCGTCTTGCTCTTCTTACTCGACTCAGGTACTGGCTTGGTGGTTGTGTTTGACTCGCCTCCATCTACCTTTTGTGCTTTCTTGGCAGCCTTCTTCTCTTGCTTGCGCTCCCGCTTGGCGATCTTCTTTTGGTCCTTTTTCGATAATGTAGAGATGTCGATTTCTTCTCCCTCGCTTTCCTCTTCTGGTACTTCGACTTCTTTCTTTTTCGGCTCGGGTTCGGATTCTGTCTTGCTCTTTAAACCCTGGCCGGGCAACTCAATCTCGACTCCGTCCATGGCTTCAAACGAAACGTCAGCATCGTCGTCCATGTCGGCGTCCTCCTCATTTTCCTCTTCCTCATCGTCGTCTTCCTCATCGTCATCTTCGTCTTCGTTCTCTGCTTCTCTCATTTGGCGCTTATGTCTCGCTCGCTCATCCATGACTTCTTTAGCATTGCGGTTCAATTCGCTGTCGGGATCGAGCTTGCCACGACGAGCGGCGGCAGCTTCCTTTTTCGTTTGCTTCTTCTTATTCCATTGGCCCTGTGATTGAGACAACAAAGTTAGATTCGTGTATAATAGTAGGTGCTGTGGCCTTTTGCATGGTGACGGTTATAGTGAAGCGCAACCTTGAGAGGCTGGGAAACGGCTTTCACACAGTAGAGCAGACAGGCGGCGGTAACGTACGCTGGTATCTTCTCCGTAATACATTTTAGCTGGAATGAGACTCAGCAGTCCATCAAAGGCCTTTGCATGGCCTCGCAGGCGGTCCTGTTTTGTTTCAATGGTTAGCAACATTTTTCGCTGGCAAGGCAAAAGATTTTAGCTAGGAATGTACCTGTAACGAGGAGTCCGCCATCACAACCTCCGGATGAGCCTAGTGGCTTCTGTACCGATAAATAAAATTGATTCCACTTGTATGGGTAAAGGGGACAAATAAAGTAGCCGCTACAGCACTGGCACGGTGTTGGTTGGCGAGTTTTGCTGGTCAAAAGCGTGCAGATGGTGAAGGCGGTCGAGGAATTTTTTGGTTTTTTCCTCTCCGGCGCTGCACTTTTTTCTGCCGTTGGCGGCTAGAGACCGATCCTCCAAGTGTGGGGTAACTTGGCTGTGCGCAGCGACTCGCAGCCTTGATGAGTAGAGCATGCGCATTGCAAGGAAAGAAATAATAAATTTATAAAGAAAATATGAAAAAGAAATTCAAACTTAAAAGATTCAAACTCTATATGACTTAAACTTTAGGGACACTTGTTGTGGCTAATCAGCAGTCATATAGCTACGCATCACGTCACACGGTGCTCAAGAATCGACATTGGGAGATGTGAACTTTGCTCAGTAGAGCTGTTTATTTCTTCTTAGATTTCTTAGGAGCGGCCGCCGCTGCTGCACGCAACTTGGCTTCACGGGCCTCAATCTCGGCGGCGCGGGCCTTATCCTGGGCGTCCTTCTCTTCCTTCTCAGCCTGCAAAGCATGATTAGTACATATTCCACAACACCAGTAAAAGCCATGGCCAGTTTCCCTGGTCCACAGGTAATATTCGATCTTTACTTACTTGACGTCTAGCAGACTCGGCCTCGCGCTGCTCGCGGATGAGCTTAAGACGGGCCAAATCAGCCTTGGCCTGATCGGTCTTGCCCTCACCCTGGAGCTTCAGGTATCTCTCCTTGGCAGCCTGTGCCTCCAGAGCCTCTCGCTCTTTGCGGTTACCAGGGGCCTTCATGTTTGCGACACCCGCAGTAATGGCGTCTACTCCGCCAGCCTTGCCAGCCTGGTTACGGGAAGCCTTGGAGTGGTTAGGGTTGGCGGGCATATCGTCATCGTCGCTATCCTCGTCGCTTGAGGGCAAGTCGCCGACCTCGACGGTCTTTGCTTTCGTCTTGGCAATGGCGGCTTCTTTGCGGGCCTTCTTCTGGGCCTTGCGGTCCTCACGGCTCGCTTCTGCCTTCTCCTCCTCATCAGAGTCCTCCTCAGAGTCCTCGTCCGAGTCCTCTTCTGAGTCTTCGTCGATGTTGTTGTTGGCGTCCTCGCTCCACATGCTTACTTTGTTGCCATCTTCGTCGGCCGGTTGAAGGTCGCGGGAGAAGCTTCTGCCACCTATTGCAAGAACGTCTTGGTTAGCGTCTAGGAAAATCTTTGACTATGCCCCTCGCGTGCGTTGCGGGCAGGGCGAAAAACAACACGTACCTCCTCTTGTATACTTCTTAAACTTGCCGCCGCGGCCGCGGGAGCTAGCACCAGGAGCGGATGAAGGCATTTTTGTGTTATAGGCGGGATAATGATGGGATGAAGGGAAGTGAAGGAGGCCAACTTTTCGCAGCCAGTTTTGCGTCTTGTTTAGTAGGCGGGGTACTGGTAGCGGGGTTCTGCAGGTGAGCGTCTCAGTGCTGGGCAGCCACGAGAAAACAGGATGCAGCAAAGCAAAAGAAGGTTATGGGATAGGGCTTTTTATGCGTGGTGGAAATAGCCGAGAATCCTTAATTTCAATTATGTACTCTAAATCACACCAGGATGCCTCCCCTCTTACTGGTTCAAACGGTGATCGTTTGCTGTATCGTGTGACTCAGGAAGCCATGAGTCAAAATACACACTGCAGAAGCCAGTGGCGGGGTATAAATAAGGCTCGAGGATTACGGGTTGGATGCAAGCGAAGGGACAGTTGCAAGGTGGAAAATAGATTGAGTCACAGCCATAAAAGAATTAGCAACCTGTAATTTCACTCAATTCATTCTTTCTGTGCCCGCCACAAGAAGTATAAACAATTCATCTACGTGTATCTGTAGATGACGCTAAGAAAACAGCGTCTTCATGTGCTGAAGCTGGCGCTGTCAGGCGGAGACCACAGTGGTTCAGCAGCCACTCACAGTGGCTTTAATTAGCAACGCTGACCCCTGCGTGGAAAAAGCGCCGGGCTAAACGTTATTCCGACCACCGTGAAAAAAAATCCAGTATAATACTCGCGGCATCCACCCGCTCTACTTTCCCTTTCTCTTTTTTCTTCTTCAACCTACTAGAAAATGATACTTCCTTCAAATTCACTCTGGCTTTCGACTCTTCCATGGCTGTAACCGGAGGGGAAACTGGAGGATAGAATATTGTTTCCGTCAGTTCTTACCATCTGTCCTACTGTTTTTCCGTTGGGCCAGATAAATTGTGTTTGGCGGCACATACCTTTCCACTCGAGACCGACTTTCGAACCACACTCATAGACACGACAAATCCAAACGAGATCTTGTTTTTAATAATGCGGGACGCTCTATGGACTATGTAAAATCGCTTAGGGCATCGGCTATGTTCCTCTTGCGCTTGCTAAAGGTGCTTGTCTTTGCCGTTGGCACAGGCTCTTCTTCACCGTTGACCTCGCCAGCCGTAGAGCTACCAGGTGCCTTTCTGTAGAATACCCAATGTCGTAGACCAGCGTCAATAATCTGCAATGGTGCCTTGCGCCATGGCGGCGGCGCTCTTCCAAGGAACAGCGAGGCCATTGGGATGGCTGGCAACACCAGTGGGCCAAACATGGGCTGCTCATCGCAGAACACATCGTTATAAGCAAACTCGTGGTTTCCACTGATTTGGCCCAGCATGGAATAGGTCCAAAAAGCAAACTTATCCACGCCCTGTCTGTCGTCTGATGAGGCAGGGCAGGCAGCAGCTCCAGCAAAACATTCAAACAGCATATCGGACATCCCCTTTGCAACCTTGTAGTTGTGCCCAATGACTTCCAGTAAACCTGGGGCTTTATCAAATGCAACCTTGCGGAGCGTCCATAAATCTCGTCGTTCTACCAATGCTTGGTCTCTTTTGCCCAAAGCTTTCCTATTAAGCCGCAGACTGCCCAGCGATGCGTGGTTCTCCACGGGTATTGTGCTCTGATGCCCCACGAAAGCGTGGTTGTTGATAAAGTGCCAGCCAAAGCTCTTTTCTTGCTGCGGTGATCGTTTCCAGTCGTACTTGTCTACAAATAGCTCTAGCCATCCCAGAGCCGGTAGCCTCGATAACGTTTCGAGAGCCATCGATGTGAGGTTTGGGTTGAGAGTTAATATGCGCAAGACGCGGAGCATCGGAAACGAATCGGGATTCTCGCACCATCCGCGTATAAGCCGGTCATTGATTTCCGGAAACCGAGTCTTGTCATCTGTCTGAATGAGCTGTAAAACCCCGACATTCTTTATGCTAGGCAGTAACATTAAGTCGCCTGTCGTGACCTGGCATTCGTCGGTGATGCAAAGATGTGTGATAAAGTCCACGTCAGGGCTTGTTAAGGGCTGTATATAAACGCTTAGGCGATCCGTAGGATTGTCTATTTCCTGGACAAAGCGGTAGGATGCTTCGCTTTGCTTCTCTCGACTCTCATGCTGTGTCGGTCCTAATAGCTGCCAAGCTTTGAATGATATGCCACTGCAACAAAACGTCAGCAATGTGCTCATACCCTGTCATCGACTAATCCATACCGTGACAGCGATGCCCTCCATATTCTATCCACCAGGTGACTGGGAAGATGTTCTATGTGCTCCTTTTCTAGATTTCCGGTATTATCGGCAATTACTTTCAAGACGAGGTCGGCAAAGCTCTGCACACCTGGCACACGTCGCTTGCTGGGCGCGTCTGGTAACCGGCTCGGCCAATTGTGCTGGCTTTGACGAACAGCCAGTGTCCATTGTCTAGAGGCCGGCCATAGTTTCTCATTTCTCATGATTTCATTCCGTCCTCAGCAAAATCCAGGTACCGCTTGCTGAATGTGTCCTGTAGATTCTGGGATGCACTTGTCGGCTGAAGGCTCCGAAGTAGAAACTTGACGACTGCTCCCCGCTTTAACATGGCTGCCTACGAGGTTCAGCCAACATCAACCTGTGTACACCTGGCACTTTCACAAGCCTCGGCAGTAAATTATTGTATACGCATATGTTAGGTGTATATGGTTTATCTGTCTTGAATTTAAATGATTTCAATAAAAAAACGCCTTGCTATGCTTCGCCACAGGATCGTCATCTTGTCATACACGGCCATGCAGTGGCAGAAGTCTTCCCAGTTTCTCTCCTCCACATAACCCATGATTGTTTCATTTTTAGTTTTAGATATTTTTATTTTTACAGCATAGGCTTCAAGTCATCGGCAACCTTGAAGGGAGCTTCAGTCTTGCTCTTGATCTCGTCAACAGTGACGCCGTCGGCGATCTCGATAAGGGTAAGACCCTTGGAGTGGTCGACATCGAAAACACCCTATTTATAGCATTAGCAAAGTGGTCGTAATCCGATTTCCTTTTCATGCAAATACTTACCAATTCTGTAATAATGCGAGAGACACAGGCGGGGCCAGTTAGAGGGAATGCGCACTGCTTGACAATCTTGGGGTTGCCTTTTTTGTCGGTGTGCTCCATGGTGACAACCACCTTGGTGCTACCAGGGTTGCTAACAAGATCCATGGCACCGCCAAAGCCCTTGACCTTACCAGGAAGCATCCAATTGGCAAGATCGCCAAGAGCGCTAACCTGCATAGCACCAAGGATAGTGAGGTTGATTCTGCCGCTGCGGATCATGCCGAAGCTTTCCTCGCTACCAAAGACGGCAGCGCCGGGCAGAAGCGTGACAGTCTCCTTGCCGGCGTTGATCAAGTCAGCGTCCTCAGAGCCCTTCTTGGGATAAGGGCCGAGACCGAGGATACCGTTCTCAGACTGAAGCTGGACTTCGACCTCGGGACCGACAAATCCAGGGGCCAGCATGGGCATACCAATACCAAGGTTGGCATACATACCGTTCTTGAATTCCTTGGCGGCTCTGCGAACAATGCGCTCGCGCTTAGCAGCGGTCTCGCCGCTTCCGAGAGCTGCCTTGGCCTCGGGGTCGTTCTCGTCCTTGGCGAATGTGTACTTTTCGATGCCCTTCTCGCTAGTGCTCTGGATGACACGCTTAACGTAGATGCCGGGGAGGTGGACAGCCTCAGGAGGAATCTCTCCAGGCTCGACGATGTGCTCGGCTTCGACAATGGTGACCTTGGCGTTGCGGCCCATGGCACCGTTGAAGTTGTTGGCAGTCAGACGGAACTGGCAGTTGCCGAGTCTGTCGGCCTTGTAGGCTTTGACGAAGGCGTAGTCGCCGTCAATGCTGTGTTCGAGAAGGTAGGGCTTGCCATTGAAGACTTTGACGTCCTTGGGGTATCCAAATTGGTCAGGGGTACCATCGGCCTTGTTGCGAACTGGGATGGCGCCAGTCTGGACAACAGTGCCATAGGCAGCGGGGGTGTAGAAAGCTGGGATACCCTTTCCGCCGGCGGCGCAGCGCTCAGCAAGAGTACCCTGTGGTGTCAGCTCAAGCTCGACCTCGCCGGTCAAGTACATGGTCTCGAAAGTCTTGTTCTCGCCGATGTAACTGGCAACCATCTTTTTGACCTGCTTAGTCTTTAGCAGCTTGCCGAGACCCGAGTTGTCGGTTCCGGCATTGTTGGAGACGGCGGTGATGCCCTTGATGTCAGGTCGCTTGAGGACTTCGTCAATCAGCGTGTCGGGAACGCCACAGAGGCCGAAGCCACCGCATAGAATGGTAGAGTTGGGCTTGATGTCCTTGATGGCCTCGGCGGCCGAAGGGAGAACCTTGTTGATCTCGGCGCGGCGGGCAGTAACGGAAAAGGCGCGGTTGAAGACGGCGGATGGCTAACGAGGTTTAAGTGATTAGTTTTCGAATTATATTTGCTAGGAAAGTTAACTACCGGGGTTTTACTCACTCTGCTAGCATGGCGAGCGAATGCGCCAGCTGTTCGCAGCTGCAGGGCGACGGAGGGCATTGTAAACAAGAGGGGAGCAACGGGAGCTTTCTGTCGCTGTGCAGAAGATGATGATGGAGGACAAAGTGAAATTGATGCCTAGAAAGAGGAAAAATAAGAAAATAAGATACAACAGAGTCGGCCCAAGAATGATGATGCGGGAGGAAACCACGCAGAGCTGCACTGCTGCTGTCACGAGGAAGGCCGACGACGCATCTTTAAAAGCAGGCAGCTAAGCCGAAGGGAATTGCCGCCAATACCCCCCGGAAACGCTGCCCTGTTCCGATTCCCCACAGCGTTGTTCGGAAGCCAGCTTCGGCAAAAGCCCAAAAAAGCACGGTGGAGGCATTCCGCACCCGCCAGCGCTCTGATTTTCTGGGGAAAAAACGCCTCTGTCGGGTTAAGCAAAACACCAGAAAACAAAGGCACGGGCGGATGCAACGGCAATAGCGGAAGCCGGGGGTTTCGTGTGAAAAGCTTCCCGGGGCGGAACCCCGACCCGGACCTGGAAGGTTTTAGATGCGCGGTATTTGGGCTGAGGGTGACTCTTATTTTAAACGGGTTGGCTATATTCTATTCTAAAATAATTAGATATCAACCCTGGCTAGCTTTCTGCGCTATCTGCTGCCAGTCTTTCCAGGCCGTCCCTTCTCGGTTCTGAACAAAGGAAATATTCTCTGGAAATCGCGGGTCAAGCCAAAGCTCAGTGTCTGGCTCCCATTCCCTTTCATCTGTATTCAATCCGACTTCTTTCAGGATCTTAGGCCGCAGAGCAGCTAGCCACTCGTACGTTTGTGAAATGTAGTCTCCAATGCTGATGAAGTCTCTACCCTCGCCAGCAGTGATGTCCAACCTTGGCGCTGAGCTCGGGTCATTCCGCTCTGGGCTCCATCGATCATCTACGCCATCACACTTCCACCCTTCAAGCCCATCCACTTGGTCAATAGTAATTTCCAAGTGTGGTCTTGGTGGCCGTGAAAATGGCAGCGATGCAATCTCATGGTAATTGCCACTTTCATCTTGGAACGGGCTTTCGGAAGAGTATGGGTCAAACACGTCCTTGAGCACAGTAATATTCTCGCTGACTGGGCCGTCACAAACTTTCCATCGAAGGCGGAGGAAAGCCAAGCTAGACCAAGCTCCAGCAAGCGCTGCGAATTCCTCGTCCGATTTGAGCGTCGCAGGATATACTGGGACGTATTCCTCGCGCTTGTCACTCCCATGGCGTATGCTTTCGGAGTACTGTTGCACCGACGTAAACACGGCTAACTCTTCCCATTCATCTTCCAGCTGGTGTTGCCTCGTGTTAAAAAAATTAATTTCATTGGCGCTTGTCGGATCTACCCAGAGTTCCGTATCGGGTGGCCATTCTACACCGTCGTCGAGGAGTCCGCGCTCTTTTAGAATCTTGGACCTCTGCGACACGAGCAGTTTGTTCACAGCCATGACGTAGTCTCCGATACTAACAAAGTCGCGACCTTCGCTGGCAGATACTCTGACCCTGGGCATTGAATCTCGATCTTGGCGCCTGGGGCTCCAGGACCCATCCTTTTCTTTCCAATCTTGCATGCCGTTGAGCCCTTGAATTGTTACTATAATCGCCTGGACTGGATTCACTGAAAAGGGCAGTGAAGAAATTTCATGAAGTCTGCCAGTTTCATTTTGGAAAGGCCTTTGTGTCGAATCTGCTTTGCATCCGTCTTCTAGAACACGAATATTTTCCCAGATCGGGCCGTCTCGAACCTGCCAACGTAGGCGATAGAACGTGGAATTCGTGTCTACCTGTGGGGAGCTGTATATCTCATCTGGATCCGAATTATATGTCTCGTCAGGTGGATCATCCCACTCCCATTCCGTGTCTGCCATTGGAAGATTGAGCGCCTCTGAATTATTGATTGTAATTAGGTGCTTGAGTCGAGAGTGGGGGATCTACGTAGAGGGGGTAGGTGGCGGTTCCTATGCTTTATACCTGTTAGGCTACAGTGCTATACAGTGGGTAAGCAAAAGTTACAGGGAGTCTATATTTCAACCAAAATACAGGTTCGCCGCAAATAGACCTCCATTTCTGGAGGTTCTGGAGGTTCTGGGAGCAAGTTTCAGAATACAAGATGCTACATTTAGATATCACTTTGCGCGGCGTCGGGGTATAGTAACATTTTGCCAACATCTGCCCTTGTCCGGGCTTAATTTAATTGCACAACACCAACATCTATTTATGCGGCAATGACTCTATCATTTTCTTGTCTAAATCCAGCTATACCAACTCTCTAAAATAGCTATCAAAAAAGTAGTACCCCGTTTACAACACGTCGACTCTTAACTACTTGCCGCTTTCGATTTTTAGCTAATAGATATACACTTACTAAATATAGAAGAAAGAGATAATATAATATAATTAAACTAATAAATATTCTCCCTCCGCCGCTCTACTCGAGCCGCACAGTCGCTGTCTCAGCCGTCTTTTTCATCTCCTTAATGTCCTTAACCTCGGAGTGGATCAGGCCAAATTGGTCGTCATACTGGCACTCTAGAACAGGAAGGGCCAAAGACTTCCACAGTGGAACCTTGCGGCTCCTTCGGTTCTGAATAATGGTGCAAATGGCAAACAAGATGGCAGCCACCTCAATCACGACCGGCCCAAGCATAAACGGCCAGTGGATAACGACGAAAGGTGTAGGTGTCAAAGTTTCGCCAAGTGCCAGCTTGGAATCTGGTCGTGATCGCAGGTAGGACGTCATGCTAGTTGCCATTTTCTGGAACCGGCCGGGAATGTCGACATCTCCGCTCAACGCGGCGCTGACTCCAAACCCGTGGTTCTCGAAATTCCCAGCAACCCACTGGCTCACAACAACATTGCTACTAAAAAAATTGGCCAAGGCTCCAAGATCTATGCTTGAAATTTCCATCGTTGGTGTATCCAGCGTCTGCGATGCATTAACTCGGAATGTCAGCGGTCCATCACTAACACCCCAGCTTCCAAGCTCAAAATCAATTTCCTCGACTTGGCCAAAGGAGAATTCATTGCCGTCCGCAGATGCATTTGTGTATCTGTACGCGGCAAGCGATAGCGAGCATTCTGTGACGTTGACATGAGACGAGTTGAAATTACTATCGACAGTCGCTCGATATATTGCTGTCTGAAGAATTCGCGGAAGGCCTTTTGGCGTGTCCCAGAGTGAGTCGTCGAACGTTGTATTCATGTAATACGTGGTGGCGGACTGGGTAAATATGAATCTGGTTGCGATATCAATGCCTCCAGGAGTCGTCATGTTGCAGTTGTTTGAGCTGGGCAGGTTAGGTTCCGAGCCACAGGACGCTGTATTTAAGGTTGCCTGTGTGACATTGTTGCAATCGGTTTTGAAGCCGAGAGAAACATACGAACCTTTCCAGCGACACGAGCCAGTGCAGCGGAAGATTTCTGGGACGGTAATATTGTATAGGCCCTGTAAGATGGCGGACTGCATTGCTGCATCTTGAGGCCGGCTAGCTGTCGACATAAAATATATTAGAATCTTGATCGTGCTCATGTAAACTCCATATTTGAGGGCATCTACTCACACAGACCACTATTCCCTATACCTTGCCCCACAAGGTTGCGGTTGTATACTGTGGTATATCCAAAAGAAATCTGGTCGTTCGAGGCTGTGACGTTCCGCTGCTCGATACCAACTACTTGTTGCGCGAGTGGTCCAAACGCAAGTCGAAGTATGGTGATAGCGGCACCGAGGGTAGCCAGATTCCACTTGACCGTGGTTAAAAACACGGCAGACCCCCACGGCCCTCGACTAGCTTCATCAAACTTTTCAAAATGGCTAAGCTTCTGAGGCTCCTGTTTAAATTGCAGCCACTTCAACTGGCCAATAAAGGCGCTGACCCCGTGCATCAGAGCAGCAGTGCAGGCCGTGGAAAGGATGGAGACGACCGTGTTGAGAGAGACGGGGCCGGGCCACGCCGACAGCGGCTTGCCATTCATGGACCAAAAAACGGCAGCCATTGCAATGAGAAGCAGCAAGCCCGCAAGGGAAGTGATGAGTTCTATCAACCATTCTGCAGGAGAAAAAAGATTGTAGCGCTGATATTCGTTCGGGGAACGATTCAACGGCTCGGCGGAGTCGACGTCGACATTGCCATGAGCAGGCTCATAGCCCTTGAGAGCGCGAAGTCTATACTCCATAGATATACTTTTGAAAGAAAAGAAGACAAGTAGGAAAAGAACTCGTGGCGCGGTGGAGGTGGGAGCGTCTAGAATGCTTCGCACACAACGGCGGTATAGCTAGATATATAAAGAATGAAGCCACAGCACCGAAACCTTTTCCTCCTGAATTATATATCACAACTGTAGCACTCTGCCTTTTATCCACCACATCGCATCTTTCCTATTTCAGCTACATGCAGGACCAGCTGAGGATCAAGGCGGCTATGTGCAGCCCCCAACTGATGCCCCCCTCCCCCCCCCCCGCAATAGAAAATTTAAGCGCGCCATACATTGAGCCCTCTTTTACAATGTTAACTGGGCTAGAACTTACCGCTAATGCGAAAGAGGCAAAGAAAGAAGCCTCACAATTGCTGCTAGGGGTCCAAAACTAGGGTCATCAGGCTCGGCAATGCGGGACAGTGCTACGAAAGAGCAGAAACTACCAGAGGACGGCAGATTCAACAGTTCGCGCTCATCGATTATTCAGCCGACTATATTTAGGACTGGCTGATATCCCAACCCTCCAATCGCACAACCGGGCTCCAGCCGCAGCGGGCCGTGATGGCCTTGCAAGCCGGCGAAATCTGCAGGCGTTTAGAAACATAGCCAATAACCTGCTGAAGATAGGGAGGCAGTGCATTTTGTAACACAAGAGGATGGCGATCGGTGTAAGCGCTGAGGCTTGCTGCTGTCACTATAGCAGCCCTTTCGTTCTCGCGGCAGTTGGGCTGGATGACTCACTCACTACGTTGATGGCAAGGCTGAAAACTTCTACTAAAAATAAATTGAGCATGTTCCGCTTGATTGATTTATTGATTATTTACGTCTATGGAGCGCTGAAACATAGGGCCTCGAGGTGCCTGTGTTCTATCCCCTTTCCCCCCTGTCAACCATGGTATCGCGTTCTCTTTCGGCTCCTTACTCGACGCAGGATCCAGAGAGCAACCAATATCTCAATTAACCGCCTATTGGTTTCTGGTTTAGATATGAGGACTAGTATACCCTATAGATGGTGGGTGTCTTTCGCAAGCAATTTTCTATCTAAGGTAGGGATGGCTAGTGGCCTTTAAAGGGAATCTATCTAAAGGAGGTAAGAACAAAGTGACGCTTTTATAGGTATCAATAGCGCAATAATTGTAAGTGTATAGTGTAGATAGAGGATCCATCTCTATGAATAGATATGCTTGAATGGTATTTCAATAATACAAAGAAACACCTTATACTACATATTAAGATCGCGCTTTCTTGGTGGATTTCTCGACGTGGGCCAGTGGATTGACGGCCAAATGTGCGCATTGGCTATGACCTTATTAATCTCTCACTGGAAAAGTGGGTTGTAATCTTTTACACTATTTATTTCCATTTGATACAATGTATATTGGTTTTTGTATTGTCAGCGTGCCGCTTTTTGACGACACCAACCTTCTGAAGTTGTCGTCGTTTTGACTGATAGTACTCTGGCGGTGTAAGTCGGCAGTTAATTGTTGCAGACATCTTATAGAATACTTTTGTAGCGATGACTTGCACAAGCGGCTCTGGGGAGAGGAAACAGGGTAGGAGGCTATCTTTGGTAGTGTCGGCGTAGGTATAGTAGGTAAACAAAAGTTACAAGTAAACTTGTTTATTACCAATCTTTCAAATAACGTTATTCTTTAATAAATATTATAAAATTATATTTTCTATTAAATCTTTTTATAGTATCATGTGTGGTGTAAATACTTTACATTTATCGAGTTTTTAGATGACCATTAATGTTAACGTAGTTTACATGCGAGCGCCTCACCTCGTCGTTTGCCAAATGTTGCCGTCCACATCGGTTCCTAGCCCCGCGACGAGTACGTTGCTTCCGAACCAAGTGACGGACAGCTTGGATCCGGGGCGCATCGCCATGTTGGGGCCCAAGCCGTAGGCCGCGTACCAAATGTCCTTATCAGTGGCCTTTCTTACGGCGTGAGGCCTGTAGCCCCTCTTGTCTGTAGCATAAATGTGCAACTTCGAATAGTCCCACAGCCAGCTTGCTGTTATCGGTGTTCCAGGAACCATGCCAGTCATGGTAGAAATACCAGCCCACGACGCCCAGTCGCTACCCTTGTCAACATATGTCCACATGACATCGCCGTTGATGTCTGAAACAAAGAGATCCAAGTGGTTTTCTTCTTTGTTCCAAATGGCCTCGACTGGAGCACTTGCAGCTGCCGCTGTCTCGAGTTGAACGGTAGCCCAGTATCGCCAAGCTGCATCTCCCACATTCCACCAGGTAGCCCATACTATGCCGTCGGGACTCGTAACAAAGACGTCTATATGCGCATAGTTACTGCGCCACAAGGCTGTGACTTTGGTTCCTGGGGCAAACTTGGGACAGAAGTAGTTTTTGTTGTCGCAGCCAATACTGTACCAACCGTTCCAACCTTTGTCGGATTCCCACCAATTGGTGACCACGTGGCCGTCACTGTTGACAATGAAAAGGTCGAGATGGTACTTGCGGGCCCAGAGAGCAGTCACTGCAGAACCGGTCTTTGCATTGCCTGGGCCGATGCTATACCGTGGGCGCCAGCCGATAATGGGAGGGCCGTTGTCAGGCGAGGTCCACACAATGGTTGTCCACTTGGAGTACCCGTAGCCAGTCCCGTAACTATAACCAGCTTTAACGCTGATGAGGTACTGAACGTTGGGTTCGAATGGGCCGACGGAATAAGACTGTGTGTAGCCGTTGTCAATGTCCCATTGCTGAGCTGGCTGGCCTCGACGCTGCAGACGGAAGAGAAGTTTACCGTAGTGGTTCGTGTTGGGGGCATAGTTGTTCGTCCACTGCACATTGATTCTGTGTTTTTCGGAACTGGAAACATGGAGATTCGATGGAGCTTGAGCATAGTCTGGATTGTTCTTCTTGGGCGGGAACTGCGCCGGCCGGTTTGGGTAGACGTGCACTGGTCGGAAGGAAGCTTCTTTTGATCAGTGTTCGGCCCGTCCCGGAAGAAGAGGACGCTCAGAACGAGGTCACAGTCGCAGTTGTCGAATTTCTGTAGATCGTCTTTGGAAATCAGAGCAGAGCCGTCGGCCTGACTAGAATATGGTATCTTAACCTGATTCAGTAGAATATAGGTTTTGTCCGGCGCATCGGCGTCTGTATAAGTATCAAGATCGACCGAGTAGTAGACCTTGAGTCCCTCTTTAACAACTTCGGTGCCGTCCAAGACAGGAGGCCAGTGGCTTTCTGCAGCCACTAGGCCAAGACAGAGTGCGATGAGGAAAAGGAGATGCATCGTTCCTTGAAAAACACAAACGCAAGATGCCAACCCAAGCTTTCAATTCGAGAGAAATGTGACTTCCACTCGTCCTTTATACACAACTTCTTTTTTCAACTCTGAGTCGCCATTACGACTTAAACCCACACGTTAGCGGCTCAGCTCGTTCTGGGGTCCGGACTCGACCCATCGCCATCTCCGAGGTTGCATCGGCTAGCAGTGTATAATAGGCTCCAGAACATGGATGAGGGAAGCACTGGTGACATGTCTCGACTGACCAATGATGAGAAATGTGCTTGCATGCAAGGACGTTGGAAGAAGAAGAAAAAGTAGAAGAGGGGTCTATACTAGCTACTACAGCTCAAGTACACTCACTATTAGTGACCCGCCCAGTTGACAGCTGGCTGAGGTCGCCTAAGGCGCATAGCGCGTTCCAGTGTAGTCAATATAGATAATTAAGCATAAGTTGCTCAGTTATAATTATTTTTACCCAGTCAATTAAGTTATTGTTGTTCAACTATGTATACGGTACTGCCTATACACTAGGCCGTCTATCTGTAAGCAACGGTCGCTCCCCAGAGGCGCCCCCCCCCCCCCCCCCCCCCCCCGCCTCCCCTTGATACGGAGGACAATTCAATTGCCATATATGGATATAATTTCTTTTTATTTGATTAGATATTTTCTGAGGCTTTTTGTTGTAATTTTGCTGTATTGCGGTTTTCCTGTCTACTCCGTCTCATGGGCAGCTGCCTTCTCCAAAGCTTATCTTATCGCCCCGCTAGAATTTTACCAACTTCAAAAAAATTCAAGACGCCAAAGGCACCAAAGCAGCACGCAGCCGCCAACGTCTTTGCTCCAAAACCCCTTCACCACCTTCTCCAAAATGGAGTCTGGAACAAAGCGACGCAAAACTGAGCACAATGGCTCTGGCATCCGCCACAAGGCCCTCATCGACTTCAAGTCCCGCGATGCCGCCCAAGTCACCACCGCCAGCCCGTTCATCCTCAAGACGGACGAGCTTCTCAAACAGACTCGAATCGACTACAAAAAGACTTTTCAGGGTGTAGATGAGCAGCTTCACAAGCTCAAGGGCATCATTGATACAATTGAGCCCCACGATGCGCTTCCCGTACGACCATTGTCCCCCGCCACTCGCTCCCAATACTCTCTTGCTAACAAGTCTTGATTAGATCGCCGAGGCCACTCTCAAGTTCGAAAAGAAGCATCGCATAACAATCCCTTACCCCCAGCCGAAACCCGATAAAGAGTCTCCGTACAAAATGGCCTTCTCGCCTCCTGCGCAGTGCAACGTCGTCGGCAGCTACGTCTCGCGAACCATGGTCTCGTCCCAGAAGCAGCTCGGCATCGACATGGTTGTCCAGATGCCCAAGAGTCTCTTCCAAGACAAGGATTACCAAAACATGCGTTACTTTTACCGAAGAGCATATTACATTGCGTACATTGCCGCCCACATTCACAAGGAGCTGACCGAGACCATGGAAATGCACTTTGAGAGTCTTCACGAGAACCCTCTGCTGCCTGTCCTAGTCTTGCACCCTCGAGCAAGCGCCGACGCCAAGTCAGAAAAGAAGTCCAAGAAGGCCGCTGATAGTGGCCCAGCCTACTCAATCAGAATCATCCCCTGCGCCACAGACGATCTCTTCCCGCACTCCAGGCTTACGGCTACCTCGTCCAACCTCCGCACTGACGACGCCGCCACCGACAAAAAGACCAACACGACAACTCCATTCTACAACTCCACGCTCAACGCCGAAAAAACATATATCCAGTATTTGAGAGTAATCACAAGCGTCAAGAAAGAGTGCGCTGCCTTCACTGATGCCTGTGCTCTCGGCAGGATCTGGCTCCAGCAGCGCGGCTTCGGTAGTGCTCTGTCCCAGGGCGGCTTCGGTAGCTTTGAGTGGGCAGCCATCACAGCACTGCTCCTCAAGTCCGGTGGTCGCAATGGCCAGGCTGCTCTGTCTACAGCTCTCAGCGGTACTGAATTGTTCAAGGCCGTCATCCAGTACCTGGCTTCCACTGATTTCACCAAAAAGGCCGTTGTTCTCGGATCCTCCACCGCCGACACCAACAACATGAAGGAGAGCGGCCCGGTTCTCTTTGACGGAGCCAGAGAGCTCAACATCCTGTACAAGATGAGCAACGCCTCTGCCGACTACTTGAAGCTCTACGCCAAGTCCATCTCCGACCTTCTCGCCGACGAATCCGCCGATCCCTTTGAGCCGTCCTTTATCGCCAAAGCCGATGTGCCTCTTCAAGCCTTTGACGCCGTCTTCACTGTCAAGCTTCCCACCAAGCTCGCCGCAAAGACGCCCGATTCCAAAGACCTGTTGGCCTTTTTCGCCTCCGAAGTCCACCGTATCCTGAAGAGAGCCTACGGAAACCGCGCCGTCCTCGTGCACACGCAGCTGCCTCCCAAGAAGCAATGGAAGCTCACAGCCAACGCCCCTAACCAAACCGGCAACATCACCGTCGGCGTCATCTTCGACCCGGCCAACATGTCTCGCCAGATGGAGTACGGTCCCTCTGCCGAAGACCAGAAAGAGGCCGCCAGGTTCCGTCAGTTCTGGGGAGAAAAGTCCGAACTGCGACGCTTCAAGAGCGGCAGCATCCTCGAATGCGTTGAATGGACCAACAAGCTCCCTCTGCAAATCTCCGAAGAGATTGCCGCATACGCCCTCGGCCGCCACCTCAAGGTCGACAAGGACGGCCTCGAGCTCTTTGGCGAGGGTCTCGTCAACATCCTCAACTTCAGCTACACCGACAAGGAAACCTTTGACTCGGTCCGCTCGTCCTTCCAAGACTTTGAGCGCGACATCCGCAACCTCGAAAACCTCCCCCTCCAGATCCGCCAGCTCTCGCCCATCTCCCCAGCCGGGCGCTACGCATCAATCGAAGCACCCGCCGTCGGCTTCCACGCCGAGGAAATCCAGCCCCTCGAGGTCAACCTGTACTTTGAGGCCTCGAACCGATGGCCCGAGAACCTCATCGCCATCCAAGAGGCCAAGATTGAGTTCCTGCTCGACCTGGACCGCCGCCTCTCTGCCGCCCACGACAACATCACCACCCACATTGGCCGTGAGAACCGCCCCGTCGGCGTCCAGAACCTCGCCTACCTCGACATCCTCTACGACACGGGCGCCGCGTACCGTCTGCGCATCAACACCGACCTCGAGGAGACCCTGCTGGAGCGCCAAGTCGCCAACAATGCCATTGAAGGCCATGTCCGTGAGACCGCCGATGCCGCGCTCAAGGAACTCCAGTGGCAGTTCAACATCCGCCCCCTCCACTCCCAGACCATTGCCACCTACTGCACGCGCTTCCCGGCGCTGTCGCCTACAATCCGCCTCGTCAAGCAGTGGTTCGCGAGCCACAAGCTCACCGGCCACTTTAGCGACGAGCTCATCGAGCTGATTGTTCTCTACGTCTTTGTCAAGCCGTACCCGTGGTCCACGCCGTCATCTGTGTCGACCGGCTTCCTGCGCACCATCCACTTCCTGTCCCGCTGGGACTGGCGCGACGAGCCCCTCATTGTCGATGCCGCCGAAGAGATAACTACCGAGCAGCGCGAGTCTGTCCAGGCCGTGCTTGACTCGCACCGCAAGCGCGATCCCACGATGAACCATGTCGTGCTCATCGCCGCCACCTCCTACGATCTCTCGGGCCTAGGCTACACCCGTAACTCGCCCACCAAGATCACCGCTAGCCGCATGACGCGCCTGGCCAAGGCGGCTGCTAAGCTCATCCGCGAGCAGGACAAGGATCTCGACGCCATGGAGCTCTTTGAGACGGCTATCCAGGACTACGACTTCCTGCTACGTCTGTCGCCGCCAGCACTTCGCTCTACGCTACTTGACGCTGGTGTGCAGCACGGCACAGCCAAGAAGTCGGCCTTTAAGAACCTCGACGCCGCAACGGCATCCACGCCCCTGCCTATCCGCGCACGTCCTGTTGATGTATTGGCCGACGAGTTGTCACGTCTGTATGAGGACACGATGATCTTGTTCCCTGGTGGAGCGGACGACGATAACATCATTGCTGGTCTCTGGAACCCTCGCCTGCAGAAGCAAAAGTTCCGCGCTGGCCTTCCTCACAACTTTAGCCGCGTGGAAGGCGAGGATGCAGACGTTGTTGATCTTAACCGTAAGGCAGTCCTGCTGGAGATTGCAAGACTCGGTGGCTCCCTGATCAAACAGATCCATGTCAATGAGGAGTAGGGGATGGAAATGGGTTTTTGACGTGTACAAACACTTTATATGAATGCATATACATACATACATAGCGGGCTAAATGTTTCTTCTTTGTTAGTTTTTAAAACAGTACATTTGGGATTTCTTCACTGGATAGTCAATGCTCATGGGGCATCAGTTTAAATTTCACGAAAAAAAAAACAGTGCAAAATATCTTTCTTCACACTTACGTGTCTCACTTTTCGTTTAACACAGAGCTCTAGTAGAAGTTCACATGTGTTACATTCTCAATTATAAAACGCCATTCCATGGTATAAAAATATAGTATATGTACAAAGATTTGGACCAAACTAGTCATTGTCCAAACAATCCATCCAAAGACCATGCGTTTAACAAAAACAACTCGCCAAAAAACAGTGCATTAATCTTCCTCACCATCTCGTTATGGACATTTACTTTCTATCTCTCTTGTCTGCTTGCTGCGTTGAGAACGAGCAGAACTTGTCCTTAATAGCCACAACCTCATACGTTCCTTCTTGAGAGGCCTTGACGACCTTGCTGTGCTCATAAGAAATGTCGTAGCGTGTCTCAAGAATAACACTCTTGTGTCCCTTCTTGGCGTTGGTGCTTCTCGTATACGTAAACTCGAAGGGTGGTGTACCCCAGAATTCAAAGAGAATGTCAACTTCGTTACCCTCGTGAATATCAACACGCTCCTGTCTTCCTCTACTAATCTGAACACTAGGGAGCGGGTGGATAGTCTTCTGGAGGTTAACAGCTGCACGGCACTCGCTAGCCTTGTCAGAGACGCTGGTAATGATAAAGTCACCGGGCTTCTCGGCGACACGGCGGAAGCTGGTTGTCTGCGACTTGGCATTCCATTTGCCGTTGAAGTCGTACGTGATATCAAAAGGTGGTGTGCCGGACAATGTGTAGGCAATGCGCTCACCAACACAGTAGTCTTCGCGCGACTCCAGGGGATAAATCGAGGGCGCATCATAGAGCTGAATGTGGACGGAGGGACCGTTCACTTCGTACTTCTGTTGGCAGCCTCTAGCATCCCGAACCTTTCGAATACGAAGCTGCTGTGATCCCAAGCGCAAATGCTTGCGAGGGATATGCATCTGGTAGGTATTGGTGTTGATGGATGGGACGTGGTAGGTTTCAGGAGCGGAGCCAGACTGGTGCTTGACCTCCACTTCGATATAGAACGGTGCCACGCCAGTCAAGGTAATCGGGATGGTGTCTTCTTGTTCTTGCTCTTCTGCACAGTACTTGAATGCAAGACCAGGCTTGGAAAATGCAGCGCTTGGCTTAGCATTGACTCGCTGGCGTACAATGACAGGGCTGAAACTCTTGTCAAGGGTGTACAACGAGTCAGCCAAGGCAGTGAACTTGTAAGTATACTGTCCAGCTTTGCCCGTTTCCATGCTAATGGAGGCCTTCGAAAATGCAGCATCAAAGTCTCGGTGTCTGCTCGATCTGGCGCCCTGAGGGTTCTGGTGTTGCACCTCATAGTTGACGTGGTAAGGGGGAGAGCCTTGCATGAATACTTCGAATCCATCAATGTCTCCTTCGCAAATCTCTTGCTTGACGTAGACGTTGTCAGAGCCACGAGTGACGCTGTCGGCGGCGACAAGTGACAGCTCTGGCAAAGGATACCAATCAACCTGGAAAGTCGATGCGCTTGGTTCAATAGAACCAGGGCATCTATCATCGCTAATATCAACTAGCTCATAAACACCAGCGGTCTTGACCATAATCGACCCATTGGGCGAATCAATCTTCTTCTTAATCACCTCTCCCGAGCCATTGAGGTTCTTGTATGAAACAGACCAAGGTCCTTCACCTTGGAGACGGAGTGGAATCTTCATAGGTGCATCCTTAACCGCCATTACGGTGTTTTTCTGTTCAATCAAGCCGAACGCTCCACGAGGGCGCTGGCGGACAGATATCTTCATCTGGTCCTTAAGGAAGTTGCGGCAGCCACGTTTATCCTGTACGCTGTTAAGCGCAAGAATGTAGTCGCCACCTTTCGTAAGTGATGCAGTCTTAATCTTGAACTTGTTCGATTCAAGGCCAGTCACCTTTTCTGCTTTACGTTTACCATCGTGTACCATTTCCCAGTCAAGTGCAAATGGAGGATCACCTGTAAAGGCAATATCAATCTCCACGGAAGAATCGAGACAAGTGATGATGGAGGGTTCAGGTTGGGCGATGATAGCAGATGCAGCGGGTCGGACATCCTGCGTAAAGACTTTGTCGTCGCCAGTCAGGACCAAACTTTTGTAGACCTTGTCGTCAATAGACTTGAATACATATTTATGCGGACCAGGGGCGTCGGGGATCAGATCAAGCTGAGAACGGAGGCCAGTAACCTCGTGTCTGCGCTGTTCAGTGCCATGATCGGTCACCACATCGTATCGAACCGTGAATGGTGGCGTGCCCACCAAGTCCAAGTCGACTCGAAGACCAATCGAGTTTCCGGCACACTTGTCGGGAATGTCTTCAGATCGGATCGAAAGGCGTGGTTCAAGAGGGTTGAGAAGCAGACAAGAAGAGGGTTCATCTACATCGCCTTCGCAAGATCCACTTGAGACAGACTTCAGAGTGTATAGACCGGGCGCGGTAACCTTGGGCTTGTCACTAGAGGATTTGGCATTGTAGCTACCAACAGAAACTTGATCACCATGGTCACCGCTGTTTGTCAGTGTATCAATTGGTGAGAATTCCCACTCAACATGGTACGAAGCGTCGGCGGCCAGGTTAGATGATCCAAAGAAAACAGGAAGGGTGGCTGCCTTTCCTTTAGCAGCATTGAGGGCTGTGCGGAGATCGCAGCCCTTCATCCGAACGTTGGGGCGCTCACGGACTTCGAAGTTGTAGGTCAGCGCCTGAGAATGGGCACTGTCGGGCTCCTCGCCAGGCTTTGCATATTTAACCACGTTTCCAAAGGCGTCGTGAACCTCATCCACGGAGTATTCCCACAATCCGGCTGAAGTCATGGATTCGTTCAAACCGACGGTGACTGTAGCAGGGCGGACCCAGGAAATATCGTCGTCAGGGAGGGCGGTAGAGCCAGCTGGGCCAACAAGGGGTGAGGTAAAGCCGTCGGGCTGCAGACTCTGCATGCGGAAATCACGGTTCTTGCCATTTGTAGTTCGGCTGTACACAATCTTGAGTGGAGGGGTTCCATGAACGTCGAGGGACAAGTCCGAGAGGTCACGAATGCAGCGCGTTGAGGATTCTGCGGTCTTGATCTTCGCCTGCGGGCAAGGTACCACATAAGTAGCCTTGGTGGAACGCTGGACTTCGAGCTTGTACTCGTCAAGAACCTTCTTGAGGCGGTAGACTCCAGGCTTCTTGACAACGTACTGCCATTGGTAACCAAGAGAGGTGGGCTGGTCTTTGATAGCCTTTGCGATTCTGTTGACATCGCGACCGGGTACTCGAATAGTTTCTTCCTTGTTGGTATCGAGGTCGATTCGCAGAAGCTCAATCTCGGCGGGGACGGTCGAATTGAAGTAAATTGGGAGCTGGGCACCAGTCTTGGATTTCGGGGACAGACAGAACGGAATGTGCTCTGGGTTGAGCACAGCCGAGCCTTCGGGGAGAATGTTGATGATTTGTTTGCCCATGATTAGGGAATGGTTGTTCAGGATGTGCGACACCTTGACGTTGTGTTCCGAAATCGACAGTTCACGATCGTAAAGGACTTTGGCGAAACCAAGCAACCACGCTTGCCACGGGAGCTATAAAAGAATTGTGTGTTAGTTGGAAGGCCTGCAAAAGAATACGTGATTGGCTGAACAAACAGGAATGTTGAACATGAGCATGTAATTGATGACGACGTGTGACGCGAAGACACTGGTGACAAGCAGCTGGGAGAGCTCGAGCCACGGTATTCTCATCTCAGGCAAGCCAAAGAGAAAAGCGAAATCGATGAAGATCCATTTGAGGAACAGCCACCAAGAGCTTTCGCCATCTTCAACAACCTGGAGCCAGTCGTACAGCTTCCATGCCCATAAAAGAACGTAAATAGCAAAGGCGTAGAATCTCTGTTGGGGGGCATCGAGCAGTGTCAGGGGAATGACGGGCTGGCCGCCATTTCGTTGCTGGGGAGCACTCTCTGGAGCAAGAGGGAGCTTTGGTGATTTTGTAGATTGTGACATGGACGAGGATGTCGAGCGGATAGAGGCTGAATTTCGAGAGGGCGTCTCTTGTGCGGCGGCGGCGGCGTGTCGTCGAGGAGCTAAGGTCGTTGGCGTAGCTGGGTAGCCAGACTGCATGCGCGGAGTTCCGTCCATCGCATTCCGAGGCAGTGCGTAAGATGCACGCACTGAAGCCAGTCGAGATGGGAAAGAGGGAGATGCAAGCGGATAATTGCCCACGCCAAAAGTCGGTGGTTGCAGTGTGCAGACGACGCTAGTGGCAGAGCAAGCTTGAATGGTCGTGACTTTTTTTCACGTCACGTCGGGAACGCGCCGCCACAACCCAAACATAGCTGTGCCAAAAGCTACAGGCGGTACAGGGGGGGCCGCTCAGGGCATCCGCTGATGCTATTGGTCAGTTGCGTCGACTTGGAATTTTTGTGGGTGCTAGCACCGCTATACTTTGGCAGAAAGCCCGCTGAAATGTTCGGAGCTTCATATGCTCGCAAAGGCGTTGGGTAGATGTTGTGCTGGTTTTATTAAATTATCAAATACAAAATACCTTTAATGTTTTTGGTTCTGTTTACAGTTTACTATTTTTGTGACGTTTTTTTTTTCGTAGCGCTTGCTATTTCTACATGTGCCGCGACGCCTCAAAGCTACCAACTCACACGTTGGTCATGCCGCGTCTACACCAAACACCTGGCAGCCAAGTGACAGATTATGACCTAAAGCTGTACATCTTTACTATACATCACGCCCCTTATTGACATTCATATCGAATTACATGTACCTATTAAACAATATCTGAATGACCAATTGGAAAAAGCTGTCGTTGAACCTGAAGAACCCTGACGCTGGGATGGCGACTCCTAGGCGGAACCCGAAGCGAAAGGCCAATTCTGATACAAATTACACGGCTGACATCGACCAAGATAGGCTCTTGGAAGAATCACTAAAACCTCTGACCGAAGAAGAGAGAGCTTCGTGGCCAGGATGGATCGAGCTAGAATCTGAGCCAGTAAGATTTGGTCGTCCAGTGTACTCTCCTTGCTAATTATGTAGTCGTTCTTCAATATTATGCTTCAGGACCTGGGTATCAAAGACGTCAAAACACACGAGCTATTCTCCTTGGATGATGAATCTCTGGCACTTCTCCCGTAAGTTGACACGAACATCGACGCATCAGCGCTAATCCTCGTGTCATACAGACAACCAATCTACGGGTTAATTTTCTTATTTCAATACAGTGCAAGCGACGATGTAGTAAGAGAAAAAGAAGAATCCAAAGATGTGTGGTTTGCCAATCAAGTAAGTACAATGCAGTCACCGATACGCTGAAACCCAGCTAACAAACAATAGACCAGTGTCAACGCTTGTGCGACGGTTGCCCTTCTCAACATTATCATGAATCACAAAACTCTGAATATTGGACCACAGCTTGATGCATTTTACAAAGAGACGTTACCTATCGAACCACCATTGAGAGGGTATAAACTTTCAGAGTACAGCTTTATACGAGCTATCCACAACAAGTTTGCGCGTCGGATGGATCACCTGCTCTCTGATGCCAGTCTGCAAGAGGAGTCAACAAAGCGAAAGGCCCCCAAGTTTCGACGTAAAACACCCTTACTCGGCATGAAGAGAAAAGGTTCTCGCAAGAAGACAAATATGCAATACGCGTACCATTTCGTGGCGTATGTTCCTGTTGGCGATGCTGTCTACGAGCTTGATGGGCTGAAGACGAGTCCTTTGAAGCTTGGTCAATTCACGCCTTCCGTCCCATGGACAAGTATTGCACGGCCACAGATTCAAGCTCGAATGCTGGAGCATGAAGAAAGCGAACATTCATTTAATCTGCTGTCACTGTGTTCAAATACATCCCTTGAAACACTACGTGCAAAAGTTTGTGAGACTCTAGCATCGGTATCTTTGGCAAGTGGATATATCAAGCAAAACGCCAAGGACATTGATCTTACAAATGAACCTGTTGAGCTCCACGATTTCGAAAAACTTGCAGACTTCAAATTAACCAAAGACGACATCGACATATCTGTACAGCAACTTTCAACAAAATCCAACGATTTAGAAGAAGCAACAACCCCTGACGACTCGTATATACATTGGCTTCATCTTGTGGAAAACTCTACAGCAGCAATGGCCTCCTATCGTCAAGAAGTGCTGGATGCAGTACAAGACCAGCATCGCGTTTCAAACAGGCAGAAAGACTATGGGTTCGCTCTTCACAAGTGGCTCTCTATTCTCGCCGACAAAGGGGTCTTGGAAGGTCTGGTTGAATCATCATCATAAATTCTGCTTGACGCTTTTAGGTCTATGTAATATCAATCATTCCAAACATAACAGTTACAAATTCGGGTATTCTTCCTGTAAATTTGACACGAATTCGCATGTGTCCTCGTTAAATCGCTTAAAAAACTTTCCTGCAGTGGGAAATCTGTCTTCGTCAATCGTCTCTGCGTCTGTTAAGATGCAAATATTTGCAGGAGCAACGACTGGTTGTTCTATTCCATCCATGCGTCTATGCAAACGTGTTAGTTGAATAGTTAGGAAGCGATTACAAGGAAAACTTACAGGCACTTGACATAAAATCTACCCTTCACTTCTTCGTCTGATGTCATTGCTGTCACTTCGCCCTCGGCGTCAAACTGTTCCCAGCTTGGAGGTTCAATAGCATAAAATCCCGTAATCGCACCAATCCAGTTAAACCTCTTGTGGCGAAAGACTTGACCAATCTTAAACGGCGCCACTCGGCTTGCTGGTAATGGATTCGCATAGACAGTGGGTGAGATAGAATCGGCCGTCATTACATCTTTATGAAACGCTTCAAGTTGTGCAAGGGCAGGTTGCAAGACATCAGTGGGAGGTAGCTGGCCGGCGTACTCACGGATAGCCCAGCTATCCTCCGGCCAATGTTGAATGGCAAAGCGAAGGAGATCTGAAACACGTTGATTCCAGAGCAACGTATAGGGTTGTGCAAACAGCGCTCGAGCCCATTTGACAGCATAAAGACAAGAATGGAGATTGACAATGTCGTTGCCTTTGATCAAGCGAGCGACATTTCGTGACGTGGACGTCCGCAAATTCCTCACACAGCACACCTCTATGTTGTTTGATGCTCTCTCTGTGACACCCCCAGGTGTTCCCGCTCCGATCAAATCTCCTATATTTAATCCAAAGCGAGATGTCAGCTCTTCCAGATGACGTAATGGCGCCTCTCCTTCAGAGCCCCAAGGGTCCAAAAACATGTAACTTTGAGTAGTGCCGGCTGTCCCATCCAAAGACTCGCCATCGGGTGGTGTGACTATAACATGAACCATCATTGGAGCTAGGAAGCATTGTGCATTTATTCCAACGCGTTCGGCAAGGGCGCAATAGATGGATGACGAGATATTTGGGTTGGATTCATGTTCTGGGTGTCGGAGTGCCTGGCCCAGCAGCGAGTTGCGAAGGTTGCTGAAATCGCCTACTGAGATTCCTGTAAGGTTGCGTTGCCGAAGCCAATTATTTAGCCGCAGTGCTTTATCTCTCGTAGTCATTGTCTGCCAGTTGAGTTGCCTCGATAAAAACTTGGCTGCTAATTCGTCCAGTAGTGTGGACATCTATCGTTGTCAGCAAAAGTTTCGAGGTATGTATTCCAATATTACCTACCTCATCAATATCTCCTACATCGTCATATAGCACAAACATGTCAAACGCGGTCAGCGAACGCTCCAGGAGTCGCGCGTTGCTGCCATTGTCTCGTTGGCGGTCTCTAACACGCTGCCACTCAGCAATAGCCACACTGCGATGAATGCTGCTAAGAGCATCCTGACTGAATTGTCGTCTTGCCAAAAAGTCGCATATTGTCTCGTCTGATTTAATTTGCGAAAGTAAATAGTCTTTGGCGTCGTAGCCGAATTTGCAAATCTGGCCAATGCGAGCTACCCTTGACTGTCTCGTTTGAATGATCCGTTCCAGCAACGCTGCAATCTTGTCGTTTTGTGTTTTCCTTTTTATAAAAAGAGCTCTCCAGTCTACCTCAGATGTTCTCAATTGAAGTTTGTCCTTTAGATAATGGCGTGGGTGCCAGTAGCGAAATGCTTTCAAACAATGACCCTTCCAAAGAAGTTGGTTGCCAGCCAAAGTGCGGAAGCGGTGCGACAGGAGTTGTAAGACGCTGAGATTCTCAGCCGGAGGAACAAAATATATGATTCTTATGAGAACATCATCAGGAAGCAGCTCCAAGGACGCTGCGTCCTGAGAAGTTGCCAATAGCATGATGCCGTGTGATGTGATACGGTGAGAGCCGGCTCTTAATACTAAGAATGTCGGGACCAGCTAGCGAAGCATGGCACTGCGAGGGTCCGTAAAGTGTGCTAATTATCGCCCGATGGATGATAAAAGCGAGTGCAGATAAGCGAATTCAAATTATCATCGTAAGGCTACCAAACCCCAATATTGAAATTCTCAGGATCTGAAAATGGCATCGGTCAATGCTTTTGAGATGTCCTTCTTGACCACCTTGTCGGCGGTGCTAGCCGGTGTGGGCCAGGCACAAGACGCTTGTTCTGCATGACTGATTATGTCATCATTTTTCTTCCCCAACTGTACCAGAAGAGCTCCAGCGGCCCTGGATGGCGCTAGTCCGAAAGTGGATAGCAAGTAAACAATACCAACGCGTACCATCGGGCCTTGGCTCTGCCCTGCACTTTGACGCAGCGGTAGTCTTGCATGTCGCGCGGGACCAAGGCTTTTTCTTGGGGCTTCATTTGATTGGTATTTGGATGCCCAAGCAGGTTTGTGAAGTCTGCATACACCAGGCCTCGACCGTTTTCCTCCTTGCACCACGCCAACCCTTTGTGTTTACGCTTCTGTTTTTGGTTCTCATGCTGGCCAGTATTGCTACATAACCACCATCGCCCTCATGATTATCACTAGACTACGCGACACGATCTAAAGAACGACTACCAACTCACGAACGCTACACAACTTGCACGCTGCACCAACCATTTTGCCGCGTCGCAGCAGCCCATTATGGTTCGACCGGGCTACGGCGGCGCCCTTGACACGCCTAGAACAAATATTGGCGATGCCACTTACCTCGATCGAGCGCCGGACTTTGGCGATATTTCACAAGAGCTGTCCTTCCAGTCTCCCTCAAAAGATGGCAATGTGCTGGACCAGCTACGAGATGGCAGAGGGGGCCAAATCCGAACACCACGACGGAATCCCCTAACTGATCGACAGAACCTTCCACCAAGCATCGGAGGAGCAGAGTTCACTCCCATGCTGAAGTCGGCAACCAGAAACAGTGTTCGACGCCGTGGGAAAGAGAACGGAAACAACATCTTCAACACACCAGGACTCGACCGAATCGACGAAAATGATATTACCGCACTACCTACGATTGACAACTCCATGTTTTCATCATCACGCCAGTCATATATGGATCATACCAGCCTTCCGGTAGCTGACAGCAGTAGTGTAGCTTCAACGCCGCTGGCACTTCCGCGCCGCAACGGTGCTGACCAAGGACCGTTACAAGATGGCAACCAGCTATCACTACGAGAGCAAGAGAATGTGATTGATCGTATAGAAAAGGAGAATTTCGGCCTCAAGCTCAAGATTCACTTTCTTGAAGAAGCTCTCCGCAAAGCCGGCCCTGGCTTCAGTGAAGCTGCCTTGAAGGAAAACACTGAACTTAAGGTGGACAAGGTCACAATGCAGAGAGAGATGCACCGTCAAAAGAAGCAACTGATAGTGACGGAGAGAGAAGTCGAAACTCTACGCAGCCAACTCGTAGAAATGCAAGAAAAGCTGGATCATCACGCCGCTGACTCACACCTACGAGACGAGGTTGACCAACTACGCCACGAGCTGGAAGAACGCGACGGTGATGTACAGGATTTGCGACAAAAGCTCAACGAAGAGCGAGATAACAACGACCAGCTGGCAGAGCTCCAAGATAATATTGAAGATTTACAAGCCGATGTCCGCGACAAAGATCGCCAGTTGACAGAGCGCGAGGATGAACTAGAAGCAATGAAGGAGAAGCTCGAGGAAGCGGAGGAGAGAATCAAGGACGCTGAACACAAAGCGGGCCAAGACAACGAGGAGGATAACGAAGAACTTGAAGAAGCCAAGGAAACAATCCAGGATCTAGAGCACACCATCCGTAGCCTGGAGACTGAGATCGACGAGCTAAAAGACAAAATGAAAGATGTAACAATGGACAAAGAGCGCGTGGAACAAAATCTTGAAGAGTTACAGGAGGAAATGGCCGACAAATCCGTTGTAACAAAGGGCCTGTCTCGCCAGATAGACGAAAAGGTGATTCGTTTACAAAGCGAGCTCGAGAAATCTGAGAAGGACTACGCTGCCCTCGAATCCGAACTTACCAACGCCAACACCGAAAACGAACAGCTGCGCGGTACCATCCATGACCTTGAGCAGGCCAAATCCAGTCACGACCAACAAGACGGAGCCGCAAACACAAGGATCCAAGAACTCGAGCTGGCTCTGGTTTCTCAGTCTGAGGAGAAGGAGGCCCTTCAAGCACGCAACGAAGCTCTTGATGCTGAGTCTGCAGGTCTCCAAGAAGATGTACAGCGGCTAGAGAAGGAAATCGAAGATTTGGAAGCAGCTGTAGAGAAGGAAAAAGCTTTCATGGCTGAAGCAGACAAGGATCTCCAACGTCAATATGCAGACGAATTGGCACGACTGAACGACGAAATTTCCGACCTCCAAGCGGACATACGCGAAAAGGACAACCTGTATGATAATGACAGTGAGAAATGGGAAAACGACAAGCAGAGGCTAGAGGCTGAACGTGATTTGGCGGAAGACCGGGCTGCAGGCTTGCAGCGCACTATTGATCGTCTTCGCCTGGCAGAGGGATCACTTTCAGATAAAGAGACGCAACTCCAACAGGCTATACAAAGCGAAAATGACCGCCACCGCTCCGAGGAAGGGTTACTCTCCAAGCAGATCGACGACCTCCAAGATGCTCTCGAAACCCGCCAGACTCTACTGACTAGTGTGCGCAACGAGCTCTCCGCTGTTCGAGATGAGCTTCGCCAGTCGCAGATCAATTATCAGACACAGGCTAACAAGGTATCGACTTTGGAAGATGCCCTTGAGACGGCCCGCTCTGCTCGTCCCTCCACCATGACACCTAGTCGCTCAGCCATGACGCCTAGCCGCTCAGATGCACGCGCTACGCAGGAGTGCGAGAGATTGCGTGAAGAGATCCGACTGCTTCGCTCTGCACACGATGCCTCTAATCTTCTCCGTGGTGATGGTGCATCATTCTTTAGCCAGAGAGGGGCCGCATCTCCCTCTAAGCTTAAGAACCAGCTCTCTGAAGCGAACACCAAGCTTGATAAAGTTACTGCTGAGAAGCGAAGTCTCCAAAATGAACTGGCAACTATTCGTGCCGAGCGCGATGAGCTCAACAGCGCTTTACGACGAGCTGGTGCAAAGGAGAGTGATGTTGCTGTGATTGATAAGGAACGGTTGGAATTACGAACATCTAAGCTCAAGCTAGACAACGAGATTCGCCGTTTGAAGGAAGAGAATGATGCCCTTGCTCGACAGAGGAAGACTGCGGAAACGGCACTGGAGGACGAGATTGAGAAGGCTGCTGAGGAAGAGGAGCGACTTAGCCAGGAAATTTTGCAGCTTCAGTCCAAACTGCGCCAGAATACTTCGACGGAGACAACTGACGGCGCCTCCACCAGGCGAACCATTCGTGAGTTGGAGCGTCGCATCGAAGACTACGAAACCCGATTGGCAGCTGTGAACACTGGCGATGTGGACGTCGAACTATCCTTTATTAGACGTGATCTTTCGGCCGCTAGGCAAAAGGAGCTCGACTTTATTCAGAAGGAGTCCGCTCACAGGGATATGGTTAAGAATCTTCGACAAGAAATTGCGCAACTCGAGAGCCGAATCCACAACGACCAAGTGGCCAAGATCTCTACTAAATCCCCAGCTCGCTCTCCAGCTAAGCCTGCACCGGCACACGCTGAGACAACGGAGCTTATTGAAGAGCTCCAGGAGCAGCTGAATGATGCAGAGGATCAAAAGATTGTTTTGGAAGAGATTTTGGAAGAAGCGCGGCAGCAAGCGGAAGAAATGGCTTCCGACTATGAGCGTGAAATTCAACGACTGCAGCACGAACTGAAAAAGATGTCACGAGAACGCGACGCCGTATTGGAGGCTGCTGCTGTGTCAGATTCGAGCAAAGACAAGAAATCACGGTCACTCCGCAAGTCGCAGGCTGAGATTGAAAACTTGGAACACGATGTCGTCCAGCAACAAGAGATGCTGCAGACCTTGGCCGAGGCGGAGAGTGCACTGCGCCGTAAACTTGAGCGTGTTCGCGCCGAGCGAGGAGCTTTCCGCATGAGCGCTGAGAAGCTGCAGCGCGACCTCCTCCGAAGCCAGTCTACTGCTGAGCACCAGCGACTGCTTACCGCTAATGGCGAGGCTGAAGCTGCACTAGAGAGCGTTGTGCGAGCGTCAGAAGGGGCTCGAGAGAAGCACCGCAAGGAAGTCAAGGGCATGGTTATGCAGATGGAATGGATGCAGGCTCGTTGGGTCCGAGAGGCTAGCTTGCGTGCTGATGCGGCGTTTGCAAAGGGCTTTGTGCAACTGCAGCTTGATGTTGCCAATGCTTGCAACAAGGCCCAGCTGCGGGAGCTGGAGCACATCCGCGTCAACTTGCTCGGTAACCGCCAGCAGCTGCGAACCAAGGTAAAGAGCGAAGAGGACCGCAAGCCAACCCTCAAAACATTCTTTGTCATGGCACGCTTTGTGGCGAGGATGAAGATTTCTGCTCGCCAGTGGGCTGGGCAGGAAGCCGTTCGTAAGCGAATCGTTGCGGTGACGGAGGAGGGTAAGAAGACTAGACGGTCAAGAAGACTGCGGGTTGTTGAAGTATAAGGAGAGAAATGATTAAGGGGGAGTTTTACATGTGGTTATTGTTCATTTGCATTCATTGGCGGGCAAGGTCTATACGAAATTTCATACCGGGCTCTCTTGGCTGGCGTTTTATGGGTTAGGATATCACGGAGCGCAGTATTTATTTCATTTGATTTGGAATCATAACATGTAGATTTTTCTGTTATATGAAGACTATTCCTAACCCTCCTTCTCGAAATAGCTTCTTTGTATGTGTACTGTTGTAAAAATGACGCTTGTATGCCAAAAAAGGGAAACGCATAAGAGAACACAGCCGTGAAATAAAAGGATGTGAATGTATGTATAAAGAATGAAATAACGTGGGCATAAGAATAAAAACACAAACAGTTACATGACGAATAAGAGGTTCGTGTCTGAAAAAAGAGATGTTAGTATTTTGTTGAGGGGTGAGGGTGAAGCGAGACAACATACTGAGGGGATGACTGCAGGAGAGCTGCGGCTTCTGGGTATACTTCTTCTCGAGCTCGTCGCGGATCGAGTTGAGCAGCTGGACGTAGCTCTGGTGCGGGTTCTTCTTGAGGGCCTGGACAAAGGCCCAGGACATGGCACCGGTGGCTTGCGAAGCAATGGTTGCGTCGGCACTGTAGAGGACACAGCATTAGCATGCGGATAAACACTGTAATGGAGGGGTGAAAGGTGACGTACGAAGTCTGATCGTCCTTGCTGCCAGACAACATGACGACATCGGCAGGCGAGGTCTTTGTAGCGAGAGAGCGCTCGTAGGCGTCGTCGCCCGAAGTAGCGCGCTTGAAGAGCTTGCCGAGGCTGGAAGCGACGCCGCCCAGATCGCCCTGGGAGTACGAGTTGATTGCGCCGAGCAGGCCCTGTCCCGCCTCCTTGGCCAGGTTGGGTTCCTTGAGGATACCCTGCGTGGAGTAGATGTAGGGCAAGTCGAGGGCGGTGCCGGAGTGGCAGGAGTCGAAGATGGCCGTGAGGCGGACGCCGGCCTGGAGAGGTTGGACCATGATGCGGTGCATTTCGTCGTCGGTGATGTGGCCGCGCTGACGGAAGTCGACGGGGTAGATGACCTCGTCGTAGCCGTCGGGCTCGTCACCGTCAAGGTCCTTGGTCTGGCCGCCGTGGCCGGAGTAGTGGAAGAAGAGGGAGTCGTTGGGCCGGGCGTCCTTGACGAGCCAGTGCATGGCGCGCAGGATGTTTTGCTTGGTGGGCTGCGACATGGGGTTCTGCTGGTCGTCTGTGAGAATGACCATGTCTTCGCGGCGGTAGCCAAAGTGCTCCGAGAGGTACGATGTCATGTTGCGCACGTCGTTGATGCAGCCGCGTAGCTGGCCGCGCTGGCCAAAGTAGTTAATGCCGATGAGCAGGGCCTTGCGGCGGCCGGTGCACTGCGAGTATTGGAACGAGTAGTCGGAGGGGGCGCCAGAGCCGAATTGCTGCGGGTTCTGGGGCGGCGGCTGGATGGGTCGCGCGGAGGAGGAGGCTATCAGGAGCAAACTGTTAGCAAAGAGGCCGTGGTTGAATTGGGTTGGGATGCTGTTTACATGGCCGGTAGCCTTGAGGCGGGCCTTGCTGGTAGGGCTGCGGCGAATGGTACTGCTGCTGTTGCTGCGGATGCGGCTGTTAAGAAGAAGTTAGGTTGTCTGTCCCGAGGTTGTTTGTATAGGAGTATAGGAGCTTCGAACCTGGTAGTACTGTTGCTGAGGCGGGGGCTGCTGGTATGGGTTGTAGCCAGGCTGCGGAGAACGGCCACCCTGCTGTGGGTAGTGTCCATGATACTGCTGCTGCTGAGGCGGTCTGCTGTACGGGTTAGACGATAATGAACGGGAGCGTATAGAGCGGATGGGTTCAATGGGTTTCAAGGGGATAAGGGGACGGAGCGGACGAAGAGGACGAATAGAATAAAGAGGGCGGGGAGCATAGCGAGGGCGGGAACGAGAACGGGAAAGTGGACGACGACGGTGCGAACGATACGGGCGGTCATACGGGGGATGGTTTCCATTGTACTGGGTTCGGGGGGAACCGCCATAGGACGAGTTCCGCCCGTGGCCCTGGTAGGTCGACATTGCAGTCTTTGGGGAGTTGTTTATAGGCTCAAGTCGCGCGTCGAGGGTGTAGTGATGCTATCGCCGAGGCTGGTTTTGCGCCCAAGGCGGCGAGCGAATCGACGGAAAAAGGGCGGTGGCCTGTGACTGGCAATGCAAAAAATAGTCTGTAAAAGACAGGCAGGATTGATTACCAAAAACAACGGGGAGCAGCCAGTAAAGAGGGAAACAAGAAAAAAAAAAGTGACGGTAGCGGCGGCGATGCGGTTGTTGTGTGTATGGACGAGGTTGGGGGACCGCAGGAAGAGCCTTTAGCGCAGCAGCGTCGCAGTGGCAGCAGCGAGAGGAGTAGCGCGCGGCGGGGGCGGGTGTGTGTGGCGGGGAAAGCCAGCGCCGAAAAAAGAACAAAGGCCGCCGAAGGGGAAGGATTTGGTGAGAAAATAAAACAAAAAGTGAGCTTTTTAGTGGAGGCTTGTAGGGCGTGGCGAGGGGTGTGGTGTGGTATTTTGGGGGGAGGGGGACGAGGGCAGGGCGCTGTAGACCGCTGTAAGCGTGGGTGCTAGTTTTGGCGCGAAAGCAGTCGTAACAGCAGAGATGTAGCAGTAGCAGCAGGTTAGGCGAAAAAGAAAAAAAGAAGAAGAAAAAGGAAAAGAAGGAAGAAGAGGTGGATAAAGACAAAATACGTTCAGCCTGATATTTAATACACCGCTCAGCGCCTGTATTTCGCTTTTTTAAAACATCATCTTCTACAATGCGCACACGGGGCTGCAGCACGAGTGGGCGGTTTGCCTCATCCGCCAGAGGTCTGCTGGCCTGCGCTGCACCACCGGACCAAGGTCAGTCACGAACTGGCCGGGCGCTGTAGGCGTTCTTGCGCTGTGCTCTGCGCTGAACCCTGGTGTTTGGTAGGGCTGCTGCCGATTGGTCACAGCACAGAGGGTGTTCCTGGTCCAGCTGCCCTCTGTAGTTAGAAAACGCCCCGAGTGGATGATTCCATTGTCTGGCGTTGAATTTACCAGCCAAGCAGAGGGAGATTGGACAACAGATTGTTTTCTTGGCAACATATTGAATGACGTATCCTCTGTTGTTTAATTAGTTTTTTGTTTCTTTTAGTATTATTGCAATGACACACCCCCAAAAGCCAAGCAGCATATGGCACGGCGTGCGGCGCCTCGAGTGGAATTTCCGGGACCACCGAGCCGTGGGTGGCTGTGCCTGGCCACTTTGGAGTAGACAGCATGCACTAGCAGCGGTTGATCTGAGCTGGTCTATCCAGTCTGCTGGGAACCGACTGATGGTGGCGACAAGAGATAAATTAGACGAACGAGCAGTCGGCTGCCAACTGGCAAAACGTGTGTGTGCAATCATCTATGAACAGGAACCAAATGCTCCGAATGCCGTCTTCACGAGCTTCAACCGCCACCATTACCGCCCGACAAACAGCAACGGCTACTGCAAAATAGGTTCGACATTACAAGCGCAAACCAGTTTGCAAAAGCCATGCTTCGAGGCAGATCCCCATGTCCATAAGGCTAATCGTTTCCCTGCTCCTCAAACCGGTGCCCACCGGTGGCCTGTCCAAGCCAGCTGAAACTGACTCGCTCCCAACGGCTGCTCCCCTGCTCACCTTCTCCACACACCACAATCTTGGCTGAAGCGATTTTGCTCTGTGCTCTACCACTGACCCAATCAAAGACCAGATCGTCCAATTCTTCAACGGGGTCCATCAAGCCTCCTCGGTTCGGTAGTTGCCCAACCGGTTCGCCGGTGCTCTCGGGGATGGCGGACCAGTTTCGGGTTCGGCATGGCTATCGGCTAGAAGATCTTTGGTCCTTTGGCATGTACTTTCTATGACGTGACTACTATCTTGTGTTTCATCTTGAGTAGAAGGTAAACGGCATTGGCAGCCTCCCAAATTGTCCGTGAGCCTCTGTGTCACTTGTGGCGTAATGTAGCTTACTACAAACGTGGATCGCGTGACCTGGCCACTACTACAACTACCACTACCGTTGCTGCTAATGCAGTATTGTGCATGGCCAAAGAGGATATAGTAGAGCTTCTTGAGGATGGACATACTGTGTCGTATACTATCATGAACAATCCTAGGCTCAGTACATGTCTTGCTCAGCCCGCGCTACAAACTGCGGGCTATTGGAACAGTGTATTGACACCACGAAGGATACAACTGGTGTATGAAATACAAAATAGTAACAATTGCGATTTCATTTCGGCACTATAGGAACCGCTGAAGAGTTAATATATCGATGTAGACAGCTGTATGTCACCTCAAGCACTGTCTTTATGAAGCCATATACGACATTTCGGTAGCATTTGGCGCTACAGTCGCTGGACTTTGCGCTAATGGCCACGACGCCCACCAAGTAGGTTAGATCCAGCGCCACATTTACAGCAATTGCAGAGGCCCGATACGGCAATCTTATATTCGTCGTGCATTTTCCACAAGCAACTGCATAAAGACAACCGTTATGACTCCCGTACACCGTAGAAAGTCAGTGGACGAGTTCAGTGCAAGACGAAAAGAGTCGTCGCGCGTAGCAAAAGACTCTGGAGCAATCGGCTCACGTGGCACTGTCCTCCACTTGGACCAGGCTAGGAAGGCCAGTCTACTGCACATTAGCGCCAACGCAACGTAGCGTACAACAAATTTAAAGAGAGGACAGAGAGCAGGCCTGGGCTTGCTGTTACTAATTGCTGCACTGTAGATGGATCTACCCGTCGGTTAATTTCATACAATGGCCCACGCGCGGTACAGCACTTAAACCAGGCGACGTCGCGCCGTCGGCCAACTGAACTGGAATCTTCATTCACTCCTTTACAAACTTAGGCACTGTGGTTCAGATGAAAAAGATGTATTCGTCACTCATCGCAGTCGTTGCCCTCGTCTCGCCGGCCATGGCCCTGTGGCCGCAGCCGCTGTCTGTTGAGACCGGTCAAGGCACCCTTGGGTCAAGCCAGATATCCAAGTTTCGTACAATTTGGGCACTGTATGCATTTGAACATCATCCCAGAGACCCTATTAGCTTGCTGACGCAATATTATTCCTTGATAGTACGACGACAACTGCCAATCGATCGTCAAAGGCGGTGTTGCCCGCGACTTGGATGCCATCTTCAAGGAGCCCATGTTCCCCTGGATGCTCTTTGACGTGGCCAGGTACAAAAGTACGAGCCATCTGCCTCCGACTCTCGCAACTACATCAGCCAGCTATCGATTGAACAGGAGACCCCTTCCGCCAACGCCACATTCCCGACTCTTGCCGACGAATCCTACACGCTGACCGTCACCGCGGATGGCTAGGCTAAGATTACCTCCAAGTCCTCCTTCGGTACTCTGCATGCCGTCAAGACCTTTGCTCAGCTTTTCTACGCGCATTCCTCCGACGCTTCGGGTGTTTACAACAAGCTGGCCCCCGTCAAGATTGCCGACAAGCCCAAGTTCAGCCACCGCGGCGTCAACCTCGATGTGGCCCGCAACTTCTTCCCTATCAAGGATCTGGAGTGCACCATTGATGCGCTGTCCATGAACAAGTTCAACGTCCTCCATCTGCACATGACTGACTCTCAGTCCTGGCCTATTGAGATTCCCGCCCTGCCACAGCTTGCGCAAAACGGCGCTTACGCCCCTAACCATATCTACTTCAGCAACGACATTCAGCACATTCAGCAGTACGGCCTCTCCCGCGGTGTTGCCGTGTACATAGGGTCTGTACGTGTACTGTACTGTAATAACCAATCAGGCACTAGCAGTATGTTCTGTTTTCGCTTCTTTTACCCTTGTTGCTTGTGTGTTTTGTGTAGAATCTTGCCTGGGCGATGTTGGCTGGAGGCAAGCAGATCAGTCTACAATATGCAATGCCAAACCACAACCAAAAAATTAAATGAAAAAAAATAAGATGGAAAGTCATTATTGCTATATTTATAAAACCGAACTCATGCCCTATTTATTTATTTTATCTACCTTGATTTGTATATTTTCTCACTTGATTCTCAGCTCAGCCTTGCGTCACATACAAACTCACTTGGTTACCCACCCACTAAGTTAACTCACTCAGCGGCTCTGTCAACATGCATGGCAAACGAACCCGTCTTCCGCCATAAACACCAACACTCAACACCACCAACATCACCATCACCACGGCCTATAAACCATGGAATCCATACCGATAAACCCAGCCATCACGCCACAGCAGGCCTCGGAGCCTATCCTGCCTACACAAGCAGTCTACGATAGCCTTGCTGGCTTCGTCATGAGCAACGGCGCCGCTAAAAAGCTTGGCTACATCCGATCTCAACTCTCGCCCCAAGACATCGACGCCAAGTGGCGATGCTGGAGATGCACAAAATGTAAATGAACCTACCCTGTAATTCGTCTAGCCTATCAAACTAACATCATCACCTACCCCGCAGCTCTTCCCACGCGCTACTGGAACCCCGAACGCCGCGAAGCACGCCTCAAAGGTGGGCCGCGCCGAAGCAAAGAGAAGAACGAGCTCATCACAACACAGCAACCTGCCAAGCCAGATCACAGAGACAAAGATAAAGACCAAACGTGCTCGTTCCATTCAGGGCGGATAGTGAACCGCGTAAGCAGCCGGCCTAGCCGCAACAAACACATCCCTGCCACTCCTACTAACACCCATCCAGACATGGACATGCTGCAAGGGCAACCACTTTGCCAAACCCTGCTCATTAGCAACTCACCACGAAGCACGCCGCTACGCGCCCGGCGAATTTGAGCACAACTGGCTCTACTACACAACCCCTCCCCGAGATGCTGCCACTAACAAGCGCGCAGCCATCGTGCTGGACTGCGAAATGGGTACCGCCTTCACCGGTGAATCCGAGCTCATCCGCCTGACTGTCATCGATTTCTTTACACGCGAGACCCTGCTCGACAGCCTTGTCTTCCCTAGCGTCCCCATGGCACACTACAACACACGCTTCTCTGGCGTGACGTACAAGGCCATGGACAACGCACGACGCAACCGCACTTGTCTGTTTGGTCGGGACGCTGCGCGTCAAGCCGTATGGGCCTTTGTTGATGCAGACACATTTGTTGTTGCGCACGGCGGTAATGGCGATATGACGTCCTTGCGCTGGATACACACCCGCATGATGGACACGCTGGATATTGAGACGAGGTTATGGAAAAAAGCCAAGGCAGCGCAGGAGGCTGCCCAGGAAAGGCTGGATGAGGAGATGGAGCAGCTGCATATACAAGAGACGCAACGGCGGGCAGAGGTCGCCGAACAGACTGGTGTGCCGGCAGAGCCAGTGGTGACGTTTCATAATGCCGAACGCCCGGAAATCAAGCTCGAGCATCCGGGACTCTCGCTGAAGACGCTGGCCAAGGCCCGTCTCGACAGGACTATTCAGAATACCAAGACGGGCCATGATAGTCTCGAAGATGCGCTTGCCACGAGAGATGTACTGGCGTGGCATGTCCTCTCCGACCTGCCACAGAAACCCGAATGATGTAATGACGTACAGATGTTGCAAGATGTGTTAGATGTATACCCTTAATGGTAATGAGATGTATGTTCAATAATAATTTTATTCCAAAAAATGGATGCGTGGTTTTTGTCTATCCTGTCCAATTCGCTGTGTATTCAAAATCAAAAGATATAAAAACTTTTCTATACTGCCCCTCCAGTAAAGGCAACGTCACCGGTATCGTGTCTCATCTGGTACGACATGATGGCAAAGATGTGCTTCATGGCCTCGATTCGGCCCTCTGTCTCAAACAGATCAAACCATCGACTACGATACGCCGACAGCTTGCCCCAGCTGCGCCACGAGGCATCTGGCTCTGGAGATCCCTCAAGGACCTCGAGCAATCGAATGGGCACACGTACACGCAGAAACGAGACGTGGTGGAATAGGCTGCTGACAAGGAAGATATCGTCGTAGTTAGTGCCGTATTGCTTGCCAATGAGCTCGTAGTTGGCACGGCGGTCCCATGCATGCGAGGCCGGCCGGACCATGCGGTACGTATCGTACATACTGAGCGTCTTGCGCGACTTCTTTGCTCGAGGAGGGCTCATCTCTTCGTCCTCGTCTCGCTTGCTAGGGGGGCTGTTGGGCATATCATCGGTGTCCTCCTTGCCAATTGGACCGCCCGAGCCACCTCCCCATCGGGGCTTGGTAGCCCACCATTTGCCCTCGCCGAAGCGGACCTCTGTCTTGCCTTGTCTAGCTCGGTGCTGTGCAGTTATAAGCGCGGCAAGGATTTCACGGGCTAAGTCGAGGCTCTGCGCTGTCTCTACGTCCGGCGTGGTAAAGTCCACCGTCTGTCGGTTGCTGATGGCGGCAATGGGACCTGTCACAGTCCCCAGACGCGCAGCCTCCCGGCTCTGAGGGCTTTGAAAGACAAACTGAAAATGACATGGGATATAGGATTTGCGCCTGTGCTCTGCCTTTTTCGGTGAGCTCATCTGCAGGCGCGGCTCGACGCGGCTGTGAGCAACGTTGCAGCCAAAGTCATAGGCGACAAGCTTCACCAGCGCTGCAATAAGGTTATTACGAAACTCTGGTGGCATAGAGCTGCCTGCTGCGATTCGAACTTCGGAATGGGGCCGGCTCGCAGCAGCCGGCTTAACTGGCAGCTTGACAGGCATTGGTGTCTCTGACATGGTCACGTCACCATCAGAGGCTGGGGCCGAGGCCAGCGTTTCAGATGGGAGGAGCTCGGGAGAGAGTGCGGGCGACGGAGGCCGGGTAGGATCATCCCAGTATTCTGTGAATAGCTCTAGGCAGCGAAAGAATTCGTACGAGTTGCCAAGACGTGCATTGGTTCGGCCCTTGGCGGGAGTCTGCCGACGGATAGACCGAAAGGCGTCCTCATTGCTGTGGGCCAGTTCGGTCAGGCGTTCTTGATATATAGCATGGCCAGGCGCAACTCTTCCCGTTCGAAGCTGCTGCTGACTAGAAGCTGCTGCCGCAGCTGCTGGATTCTCACCAGCAATGATGGGCTTGTCCCAGGCGGCAAAGTCCGGGATCCATTTCTCATCCGGGATCAGGGTGAAGAGATCAACATCTGACTCCAAGTCTAGGCCGAGAGCGTTCAAGCCTGTTGTGCTGAGAGCAAGTGACGCACGGCCAGTGGATTTTAGCAGGTTGGACAGTGAGAGTGACGGATCAATCGGTGTGTCATCCTGCGTGAAGGGCTGGAAGCGAGGTAGAGCAATGGGCGTTGGCGGTGGGATTTCACTTGAATCTATATACAGCGGTCTTGAAGAACCCGCTTTAACAGAGTTAGCTTTAGTTCATGGCGTGCCAGCTACAAGTTCAAAGAGCAAGACAAAAAGTAACATACCCACGTTGGCATATGCCCCAAACATGGCGACTCCAGTAAAGCGGCGTCTGCTATGGATAGCCCGGATAGGCCGCAGCAAAAGTTCGTGAGAGTCAGATGTGCATCGATCGCTTAGACCAGATCCAATAATACTCGGCACAAACGCACACTCCTCACAGACTCGAGCGCAGTGGTGGCGGAATGCAGGGAGGCCAGCAAGCACCAGCAAGCACGGTCAGCCAAGGGGAGGCTCGTGGGTTGGTTGGTAGGCGTGCACACAATCAATCGCTGGGCTTGCAAGCCACGAACTAGCTGGGATTCTAAAACGAGCGTACAAAGGTCGGGGTAATGCAAAGACCGTTGGGCTAATTGATACCGATACGTAAGCCCAGATGCAGCTCTAGTGTGGTTCTTGGAAGCTTTCTGTCGCCAAGGAGGCAGACCGACAGACAGGTGCGCCAGCTGCCAGTTCATGGTGGGGGCCCTTGTACGGTCTAGTGAGCCTACAGCAGGCGGTGCAGTTACTTTGCAGTGGGGGGAATCACTGTCTGTGCTTCCTTTGTCTTCATCATCAGCAGCCAACCAGAGAGGGGTGCATTGCAAATCACACAATAGCATCAGTTATTCGAAAGATTCAAAAAAAATCATCAAGTGCATCTTCGAGATAGTTCAACGACAAGATTTTTTTTTTCTTTCCACAGCCATCATCATCGAGTCCAACTTGTGTGCTTTCTTTTTTTTATCCACGGCGACATGTCGTTAACCGCCTTGCTCTCACCAGCGCCACGCCCGCTCTTCAACCGCCGGCGATGAGACTTTCAAACCGTCCCTGTTTCAAGTTGGGTGCTAGTGCCACCACGTGGTTTCATTCGCCTCAGCACCGGCGACACCCTGCGTCGAACCGCCGTACGAACCACTGCTGCGACACAGAAGAGACTGGTTTAGGTCACGACACTGGTTGCATGACTGTAGCAGCTGTGTTGCCGTCACAGGCTGTAGGAGAAGTTGAACGAGAAAAATACAGTAACAAATAAATAAAAACAGGCAAAATATGGCAAGAGGCAAGTGCGTACAGGAAGAAGAGAAAAAAAGAACACCACACATGCACATCGTCGCTCAGGCACATTTCGCACAGACTAAGCACCGCCGCCATGCCACCCACACCACCTGGCCTCGCCTCTATACCGCCTTGTACTGTCCCGCATAAAGGATTAGCCGCCTGCAGTTCAACGGCGCTATGTCCCTGGTAAGCCCCTAGCGAGGGCTCCCAAGTGCATCAGATTTGTTACAGAAGACCCCGGCCGAGGTCACCATGCGCTTCTTGTTATGCGCTGTACACAACACCCCTGCGTCGATCTGACTGGTGAAAAGAAAATACCGCCTGCCCCCGCTGCTGTCTTGTCATGTTCATCATTCACATACAGTGCCAACCCTATTCCAAGAGCTCCTCGCTCACATGGCATGTTTTGTGTTGACATCTCTGTGACGCTGGCGGAGTCACTGGTTCAACTTCTCTTACACCCCAAACGAGGTCAACTTGACTTTTCTTCTTACCACCGCCACTTCCCTCTGCTTGATTTCTTGCAACTGCATATTCATTGGGAGTGGCCAATAATAGTTACGACTCATAATCTTTAATTCATTCACAGCGGAACCGACACGACTACCATCGCATGCCGCATTCGACACATACCCAACCACGAAGCCGATAGGCAAACCTCCACCGCCGCCACCACCTCTAATCTTAATAACCATCTACAGCCTGGAGCTGAGTCACACGACATGAAGAAGGATATTTTGGTGGCCGGGGCGGAGCCGGGGCATAACCAAACCACAGTCACAAACAGCGCTGGCAGGATTCCAGCTGCGGTGAGTGTGGCAGAGGTCAACCCCAATGATAGCAAGGTGTTACCGCTTATTATAAAGACGGATCTTAGGTCGACTGCTCCAGTAGCGCCTCCATCTACTAGTCTAACCCCGAGTCTGACCCCGTCTGGCTCGGCGTCTCAATCACCAAGCTCTACGAGTCCGGCGACGGCGACACCGACAATCAACAACCCAGCTGCACCGATATTGCCATCGTCAAAGCCAGCTTCATCGCCCACGTCGTCCTCTCCCACATCGACGTCTCCGACGGCATCAACGCCTGTTGCTGAAAGTAAAGCTCCACCAAGCGCAACTCCTAGTGATTTGACTTCAGGAAAGATTCAACTGCAGGATGGGCAGAAACCAGGAGGTGATAAGCCTGCCTCACTCGAGGTAGCAAAAGGTACGCCGTCAGCAGTACCGCCAGGCTCAAAGCCTGCTACATCTGAGCCTGCTCCTACACAAACCGAGATTGTAAACCCACAGCTCTCAAGCCCAGTGGGAGCGAATCCCACTTCCATCACCTTGGACACTTCAAGTATTCCTGTCGCCAAGACATCAGCACCTGCGCCTACTACACCTACTGAGACGCCGACGCCGACCTCGCTATCTACATCTCTCACCACATCGATATCTTCAATTCCCAAGCCAACATCTTCTCTTCTCATTGCCGGCGGACCCGCGCCTGACCCTCAGCCGACCCCGGACACCATCTTTGCGGTATCTGGCACGAGCACTGCTGCGCTCCATGGCCCAGCCGGTACGAGCAGTGCCAATGGAGCCAGCTCTGCTGCAGCTGATATCGATGCAGGCCAGCAAAGCTCTGCACCACGCACAAGCGTTGTGGTTGGAGCCTCGGTTGGAAGTGTTGCTGCCATTGCATTGATTGCAGTGCTCTTCTGGATCTTCCGTCGCCGGCATATGAAGAAGATACAGTCGGAGCCAACCACCCCGACTGGCTTTGGTCCTTCGGCTGGACGCTACCGACATGAGAAGCAATCTAGCGTGGATGAATCAAGGATTCACGTCCCAGCTCTTGATCTTCCTAGCAGAGCCCGCGGCTCATACATGGGTGCTCCCAGAAGCCGCAGTGCCGAGAGACCAGGCGCCGGATTCAACGAGGCACGAGCATCGATGCACAACCGATCCACATCAGCACTTACAGGCTCCAGCGTCTCTGAGAATCCCTTTACAGATACCTATGCTGTGCCAAAGAGATCTCCTGGCCAGCCGCTGAAAGGCATAATGAAACCACCCCCACCTATCCCGTCCATCCCGCCCCGGTCTATGGCCCGATACACCAATAACACAGACATCCCTCCCGTGCCATCGTTGACGGTGCCGGATGAGTATGCTGTGACACCTAAACGACTAAACTTGCCGCGGGACAAGTTCCATTCCAATCCATTTGATCTGGAAGATAATATAGCGGCTCGCCCTCTTCCCCCGCACCGAACCAGCTCCATCTACCCCGACGAGGACATGATGGGCGGTGGTGGTGGTGATAGCGACTACGAGGACGTTATTCCCTTGGACTTGGACAAGGCCCGAGTCGCACGAGATAGCCCAACGTTACCTGTAGGCGGTGGCTGGACTGGCCGAGTTGGCAGCGCAGTGTAAACCGGTCTAGCTAGCTCAGCTCTATTGTATACATTTTACATAGCATTATCCTCTGTACAATTACAAAGCCTCAATACAATTACTTCTACATTAACTTCAACTCTCACTCTTACTAGTGCTACTAAACTACGTCTATAGCTGCCAGCACTCCTCCCATTTACAAATATGCCTATTGTCAGCCTCTCTGTAAGCATCAACACTAGGAGCAGGCCATAACAACACTACACCACAGATTACAAAGCCAACAGAACTCATGAAAATGGCTTTTTTGTACGAGATGAATCCTTAAAGGGGGTGTGTGTCGATCAGCCATCAAAGTTGAAAAAGGGCCGTCGCTTCTGAAGCCACACTCCCGGATCATCTAGCTCATCGTCTGACTCAAGGATTACATCATGTACATTTCTCGGGTCATGCTCGCTGTCTTCCAAAACATTATCAGTAGCCTCACGATAAAGCTTCCAAAAGTAATTTTGCTTCTTCTGCCAGTTGTGCCACACACGCAGACAATTTGCCCGCGTAATCCATTCCTCCTTGGGATGAGCGTAGTTGATGCATTGAACATCAATAACGAACGCCCTATTATCGTCTTCAGGCCAATAGTAGTGTACCAGATGTCTCACATAATAGTCTAGCCAGTACTTTGGTCTGTGCCCTGGCTTGAGCTGTCTCGCATCTTCTGACTCAATAATAACTGATCGGAGGGATGGGAAATAGTTTGTGATGACTGGAAACAGCTTGCATTCAGCCTCATCCCGTCCAAAGAAGAACCCCAGGGCATCTTCCACAGAGACAACTAGGTTCTGCATAGTCTGACGAACAGGGTAGCGCAAAAGCTGCTGTACAATGCCGGCTTCGCCACGGAGCACATCCAGCTTGGAACTAAACCATGCAGGAAGGCCATGTTTAAGGCTGGTCCATTTACCAACTCTTGGTATTAATGTAAATGATTCGCGGCAGGCTAGGAGTGGTTGGCTGATGACGGGGCGGTAGTCAAGAGTGCTCTCTTCCTCGACTCGGAACCTATCGTCTACATATTGGTCATAATCAAATTCATAGCCTTCATACTCCGGCTCGGGGGTGATTGACCAATTGACAATATATTTCAGACGCAGCCTCTCCAGTCTTAGGATCTCAGCAGGATCTTTTGGCACCGCCCTGAGGAATATCTCAATAGGATACGCAGCTTGCCACCAAATCGCGAGCCTTAGCTCTTTGGGCAACTTTGAAAAGAGGGGGAAGGTCTCCATAGAGGGTGCTTTCTGCCGCTAGTGCTAATTTGCGGTGTGATGATGCTGGATGGATGGAGCGTGCGTGTGTTGAGGAGCAGTAAGAGAAGTCTTGGTAGTATTTTCATAAAACAGATGACAACTTAGGGTCCAAAAAAACTCTGCAAAACTGGAGATGTCTTCAACAAGATCCTATTTTGGCGAAAGAGGCGTTGACGTTAGCGACCCCAAGATCCACCCTTAGCGTTTCCAATGATGGAGTCGCGTGTTCGGAAACATTGGATTAGGCAATCGCCCCGTAAGAGATTATAACATTGTAAAAACTTCATTTCCAATGGCCCTGTCTGACAACTCGAGATGCAGCGGGCATGGGCATGTGTAGATATTGTTCATATAGAGGCAAAATGCTTTATAATTGGAAAACAGGTTGGAAAAAGAGAAGTAGGCTGGATACTTGCTGTCGAGGACGGTGTGGTCGTTGTGCGAGGCAGCGCCCAGATGGTCTCTTGCCATCGTTTTCAAGATATTCTTTTCCAACCACATCCCTTCCCCTTCTTTCAAGCCATCCATTGTCTATTTCCCGCCTGGAACATACAAAGTCCGTGTGCCCAACGCCCAGATGATTACGAACCCTGTCTGTATACCTATTGTTAGGCAGGTAGATACTACATTATAGAGCTTATACTATGTATTCTACTAAACTAGATACCTTCTCTGGAAAAGTGCTTGTAGTTAGATCCACTTCGTGAAAGGCTTGTCACCATAGGCTGTTCTATGAATCAAGCACCCATCTACCGACTTATCTAATCGCGCTACTATTACTACCGCCCACGCCGACGCTGCCAAGTTTCCCCTCTTCCAATACGATGCCGTTTTAAAACAATTGAAATCAATTAAACCCTACGCCACCATGACCCGATTTTAAAAAACCCAAACGACAGGCCACTTTCTCCATCCTTCGTAAGGCGTAAGTGTTTGCATAAATCTGGCGGCGGTCACCCCACCGATTGAGCAACCAATCAGACACGTCTGACGCGCCAACCACGCGAGCCCCACGCGCTAAGACGCGCCTCGACGCGGTCCAGCGCGGTGCTCCGCCAGCTTGGTTAAAGAGCTTTTTCGCAAAAAACGACATGGATACAAGTCCGATTGGCGGATGCAGGCGAGCAAATTTAGAAATCTGAAGAGGGGAACACGCTGACAAGGATTGTCGGTAAGAAAAAAAAGTATAACGGGCGTCATCGATTTTGCGGGCGCACGGTCGAGTCAGCACACAATGTCACAGCTGAGCCAAGCCACAGCGAAGCAAAGAGGTAGGTATCTTGATATATAATAGGCGGTACACCAAAAGTTTGGTATTTCTTTACTGAGTTTCTAATTTACCTAAGTAACAGCAAGACAAAAAGTAGTAGTAATAACAGTAAAAAATGGTGCCGATCTGATGGAGGGTGAGAAAAAAATGTGTGACGATGTCCACAATCGTTCGGCCGTAGTCCGAGGCCAACAACAAGATCCAAACAAGCAAGTCAACAAACAAGTAAGAAATTAAAAGGACAAAACAATAACCGGTAAACAAAAAGATCATAGCATATCTCTCTTTCTAGGGGTCCAGCTTTTGTGCTAGCCCCAAAGAGTCCGTCCGTCCGTATCAAGGTTTCCAGAACCGAGGCCCGTTTGAAATATGTCGCAAGTAAGAATATAAAAAAGATGTCTTTCTTTCCCCCAATGGGGAAATTTTTGGTGTCGAAAAGGAGCGTCGATGAGAAGATGAAACAAAAGAGGGAGTAGACGTAAAGTGCATAGCTTCCAATTTTTGTACTGGAGTCTCGTGGTATCATGTACAAAGTAGTAGAAAATTGTGATTGTGAGGGCGTGGGGGTACGTGGGTGGTGTGAGGAATTTTTTCGAGGCGTCGACAAGCAGGATTACAATGAGAAAAAAATAAGTCGATGTGTGAAAGCGTAGGTAATGAATACTTGTAAAAAAGAAGGCCTTTTTCTTAGGCAATCGGCTCGTCAAACGTGAGGCGGCGGCGTGCTACGCTGAGGGGCGTGCGGGCTGACGATGTTGGGCCTGGTGTCTTCCATGGCTTCTGTGCAGGGCTTGGTGTGATGTTGACAAAGTCGGCAAAGTCGAAACCCTGGCCAGGCGTGTTGGGGAAGAGGTTGCCGCCGCCAGGAGTCATCATCATGGACGAGGGCAGATCCAGCTTGTTGGTCTTGGGAGGCGGTGTTGAGAGGCGCTCCATGCGGCCGCGGTTCGACTTGACAGCGGGCGACGGCGATGCCGCGAGATACAGAAGCAGGTCAGCGCCCTCTTCACCCGTCTTACCTCCTGCTCCTGCTGCAGCACCATCTGCTGGTGCTGTCTTGCCCGGTAGTGTGCGGCTGGGCATCTCAGGAGTGCGAGGCGGGGATGAGCGAAGCTTGGTGGTCGCAAAGGAGTGAGCGGGGAGCAGCTCCTCGTCGTCGTCAGAGACGGCAGCAAAGTTTGGCGAGGTGAACTCATTTGTCATTCTGCGCTGGCGGAAAAAGGACACATCAGGGCCGGCTGATGTGGTAAAGTGCTGCTGGCGGCGGGCCTTGATGGGTGACGACTGCGCCAGCTGGTGGCTGTCCTTCCAGTTGGAGAAGGACTTGTGAGCGGTTGGCGATCCTCGGAATCGCTTGGTAGGGCTTGCAGATGCGCGGTCAAAGGTTGCAAAGTATGTGCGCTTGCGGTGGCCGGTGCTGCCGTTGCTGGAGCCGATGGCATCGGAAAAGAGCGGTGCCTTGAGCGGCGAGCTCATGAGTGTGCGGTTGGGGTATGGCAGGTCGGATGCGCTCGACGACGAGTCGGACAGCACATCGCCCTCGTATAATTTCTTGCGTCGGATTTCTTCTTCGACTCGCGGCTCGAGAGTGTCAAAGGCAACGTCCTCCCAGCCGTGCTTGGTCTTGAACTGGGCCAGTGCTAGGCGGTTTTGCAGTCGGCGAGTAATCTAAATGACGAAACCTGGTCAGCAAGCCTGCGATTTTTCCCTCTACGTCAAGCTGGGCAGTTGTCTGCAAAAAAGAAAAACGATACTAAGGAAGCAGTTTGTATTTCCCAAGTAGATCCAACCATCTACTGCGCAGCAACATCCAAAGAGCACATGGTCACATACCTTGCCAACTTCTGCACGCTTGAGCACGCTGTCCACCACCTCCTCGGGTTGCTTCTTCCATGGCGACGACATGGTTTCGGCGGTTAAATATAGGATGTTGTTCTTCTTTGTGTTGTGTCGTCTTTTGTCTGCTTCTTTGGTATTTCGTTGTAGGCGGGCAGAACAAAGGACTATGGGTGGTGTGTAGAAAGAGAACAGAAGGACTCGAGGTTGAGAATAAAGGCGGGTGTGCGAAAGGCAGGGAGAAATGAAAAGCGAGGGAGGTCTTGGATGGAAGGGAGGGCGCTGGAACCAGGCTAGACACAGGTGGGTTAGTGGGTACACACAGCGGCGGCGGACGGCCCAAGCAAGCCTGGTTGGTGCTCGCTAGTGGGTGGTGCGCCAACTAAACCCAAGTACTACTCAAGTAAGGCTAGCGCTGTGTGGTAGGTGCCCGCCAGAGCAAGTGGGAAAAAATGCGAGACGGCAGGCCGAAGGATCGGGACGGGCGGTTAAAAGGGAGCCGCCAATGAAGAAATACAGCGCAGAAAAGAGAAGCCCGGCGTCTAAACTATAGCAGCATCCCCCTTTTATGTTTGGTTTGTTTAAACTTTTGCATCTATTGAGTAGAACTACAGTAGAAGCTGTCGGCGCAAAAACTCAATTCGCCCGCACGAACCTTACTGTAGCTTGGGGTGACGACCGATGGATCCCCTGGTCCGTACGGACATACATCCTTTCATCTCCAACCTCATCAGCACAGCAACCACATCGCCGGCCCAGCGCCCCCTTCACAAACCCATCACCATTGCTGTCACATTCAGCGCCACTTTTTTTTTTTTTTCCTTTCCTTGGTGCCTCCAAGCTCCATGCTCACGAATGCAAGTCCCAGCGTAGCGTCCTCCTCCATCAAGCTGTAGAATACCACCGATCTGCAAATTGCTCTCCATTCCTCTCCTGGCAAGGGATCCAACCCGTCTCTTGTGTCAGACAAGCCCGCCTGCCCGATTGTCTTTTTTTTTTGAGTAGTCTCCGCAAAACCAAAACCCACTGTCTGGCTGTCCAGGCGGCCGAGCATAAGAGCCGACGAATGCACTTGCAATCCAAGGCCTTGTCGCTACGGCGAATCGCACCACTGGCCAACCAGCCTGGTTCTTCCTAGATGGCTTGCTTGGCTGCTTGCCACCAAGTAGTATAGCTGCCAACGCATAGAAGCAATTGGCTGGCGAGACACAGGTCACTCCCCAGTCCAGCCCCCGTATCGATGATTTTATTGTGCATTGTGTCTACAGCAGCAGCAAGTATCCCATTCCTTCCTTCTATTGCCTTTTCCTTTTTTTTGTGCCTGAACTTCTCCTGTACTCTCTGTACCTGGGTCACCCACCTTGCAGCAAGCCCGGGCCGCCGCATATGCAAGGTGGTAAGCTCACACTTTGTGCCTGAGGGTAGGCTCTGGCATGCCTGTCTTCGCCACGCAGCTCCTGCATGCAAGCGAGACCTAGATGCTATTCTCCCTTTGCTACCCAATTTCTCCTATATTGTGTCTTTATTTTATTCTATTTTTTTTTTATTTTTCTTCACAATGTCGCAAATTACTCAACACTTGGTTCTTTGTTGCGTGTGCCGTTTTGCTTTTTCCTCATTCTCTCAGGCGCTAGCTCGGCCCTCGTTCGGGGCCTTTAGGCTCTGCTGATCCAGGCGCCAAAACGGAAGGAGAGCCGACCTAGCTGAAATGAAGTCGACTCGACTCGCCCTAGTGCGGCCGCTGGAACTCAGATGGCTGAATCGGCCTCATTAGCCAATCTGCATAAGCTGGCTGATGAGGCGGCGGCTACTGCAGCTTCACTAAGACTGTGTAATTAGCTGTCAAGTGCAATTTTTAAAGAGTATTAGCCGCCTGCAAAGGACCGAGATGTAACATGACAGCGGTGCATCGCAATGTTCCTCAACATACAACTCTAAAATTAGCTTTCGATCCCTTTGCCGCCAGATACAGCCCTGGCCAGGCATAACATGTCATCCAGATGGCGCAATTTAACTAGTCCAGTGTTTTGACAATGATGCCAAGGGGGAAAGGCTCATAATATTCAAATTACTGTATATTTTGTAACGCTAGACGGTTAAAGTACGTCAGTATTAACTGTATATTCCGTTTCAGTACCCTGCTCCAGTATCAGTTCGTCTCATTGGCCTGCACTGACACTGACTATCGTGGGCCAGCACAGTAGTGGGCTCAAACTGGGACAGATACACGGCCTCTCAAAGACATAGAGCTATCTAATCATGTCGAATGGCGCATTTGATTGACCGGGTTAAGCCTACAAAGTGATGGTCGTCTTCGATGTGGCGATAGCCGGGATAATTGACGGTATATGCGACTCTTCTACATCCCGGGTCCCTACGATTATGAGCACTGTAATATTCAGGTAAATGGGCCTGAGGGGACGTACCTGTAGAAAGCGCACACTTCGTCTTTGACTTGGAAGTCCAAGTCGCCCAAGTTGTGCCAATCAAGCTCGAGTTTGTCTAGATTGATTAGAGATGAACTTCCTTTTTTTTTATTCTCGGATTTCTTACGGCATTCGTCGTCTGTTCCGTCAAAGACGACGCACACATCAGCTGAAGCTCCACAGTCAGAACGAGGGCTACCAAGAACGTCTGACCCCAAGTTTCGAGCAGTGGCCATTTGCAGCATAGCAAGAGCTGCAGATGCGACCAGAATATAATATTGCATATTGTAAGAGTTTGTTTAGGAAAGTTGCCAGGTGAATCGTGGTATGAATGGAAATAAAACGACTAAAACAGTATGAGATGTAGGGGGCTGTGGATGGATTCTATTAAATAGTAGATACGTGTAGAAAGATCATCTGAAACTTAACCAAACTAAGCCAGTGGTAACAAATTTAGCTAAAGATGCAAGAAATATTGTTGATAGGTAGCTTTTGCGCATATAGATATCGTAAAGTATGGAATGGGACTTCTTACAGTAATTACGGGATCTCAGACCCAACCATCGGCCTCAACCCACACAACAGCCGTGGGTGTTTCATTTCCAGTTCCATTACCCTGCACCGCAACATTGCAAAAGTGATATGCAACAAATATTACAACTACACATTTAAGGTGGTTCTAGGTGGCGTCAAAAAAGACAAAGTGATTTCAATTGACGTGCTGTAACTTCCGCTCCTTTCTCTATAGGCAGCTAATTTCAAAAACTGTTCGTCAATTTGCGACACGGCATCAAAGGCTTGTATGACGGCTCAGCTCTCACAAGGCCTCTCTCCCCTCTGTCAACCATCAAATATTGCTTTTCTCCCCAATTCGTAAAAGGTCGCATTCCTTGCCTGTGTATTCAACCATTAGAAATAGAAATAAAATACATGTACCAACATACGTACCTCTTTACTCATCTAGTCAGGAAGCCTGACGGCGTAAAACCATCCTTCATCGGTGACATACCACCGGCAGTCTCCCATATGGTCAATGGTAAAACGGTTGCGCTGAGTCCAGTTTCCGTCAACCTCACGAACATAGTAATAGCGTGACGGGTCATCGTCCGCAGGCTTAAAGTCCTGTGGCTCAAACAGCTTGTTCGCATGCGCAAACTCTACTTGGCGTACAGTCTCCTCGCCTTGCGTCTTTCCCAGACCCGACACATCTGGGGGAGGAGGGCAACCATTACCTGCAATGACGGGGACTCCCGAGTTTCCATTCATGACGGGCATGCCTGGACCGCCACCCATAGCCATAGGAGGCCCTCCTGGAAACGCCTGGCCCATCATCATCGGAGCTTGGCCAATCATTGGCTGGGGTACCATTGCGGGCTGCTGAGCGACAACATAACCCGGCTGGCCTAGTTGAACGGCACCGAATGATGGCTGCTATAGACGAGTTAGTATATCTCTCCAAACAATATCAACAAGACAAGACTATCATGGGCTAGCTAGCAAAACAAACAAAAGCCATTGGCGGAATCCACTTGCATAGTAGGGGTATTCGTTGACATAAAACGTGCTTGGAACAAGGACGGTTGTGCATGTAGGGGCGGGCATGTAGGGAATCTGCAACGGTTGAGCCTGGACAGGTAGCGCGGGAGTCATTTGCATCTGCATCTGCATCATCTGCTGCTGCTGCGGTGATTGAATCATCATGGGGGAAATGGGGAGACCGACTGGAGCTGCTCCGGCATCAAAGCGAGGAACATGAACATGAGAGATTGTTCCAAACGTTGTATCAGGAACTGGTGGCTGGAAGTTCACACCCGATGGAGGTGGTGCACAATTCCGATAGTTCATTTGTCCAAACTGACAAGTGTCAAATTGAAAATAGAAAAAAAGAAGATAAAACACAGGAAAACGTGCAAAGGAAACAAAAGACGAAAAAGAGGGAAAAGGTAGGAAAATCGTACTTGGAAAAACGGCGGGGTGAACGCAGAGTAAGCAATGTTATTGACAAGATGCGAGGGTGGCGCATAAAACTGAGCAGCAGGTGAACCGTCTGCCAGCACTGGGCCGTGGACACCTGCCCATGGAGGCATTGCAGCTGCCATGCTAGGTTGGAACTGCTGGCCACCGTACATTTGGCCACCAGCTGGCCAGCCAAGACTCTGCGCCGGATTGGGAGCCATGAGCCATGGGCCGGCACCGGCATGAGTATGAGGAGGAGCACCAACAGCTGGGAATGCTGAAGGTTGAATATCCTTGGGCTTGTCTGTGGACGGCTGTTCAACAGTCTTGCCTTTCTCTGCGGCAGTCTTCATAGGTCGGTGGTGGACAACATTGTCGTCCTCGATCTCTTCGACGGTGGCTTGGTAATGACGTATACCGTTCGGTTGCGTCGACTTTGTAGGCTCGAAATGGACTTGTCGAGAGCCTTCGCCAACTGTCTTGGGTAGTGGCATCGGTGGTTTGGGAGGCGAATTCCCAGGAGGTCGTTTGTCAGGCATTAGTTCAAACCTGGGAGCCCTCCCGAGAAGGATTGTAGGAGAAGATTCGAAAGATTGAAAGAAAGAAGAAATTGCAATTGGAATAAATAGGATGTAGGTGACAAAAAAAGAGGAAGAAGTAGAAGTTAAAACATGCATTGTGCGCGACAACAACCACTCGGTTGCCTGGCCGCTGCTGGCGGACCGACGGGACTGTCAGTCGCAAGTGACTTGATGGTCAGGCACTTGAAGCACAGTGAAAAAGTGTACAAAACAAGAACGGAACGCACAGATACAATATTGATGTAGAAAACTCGAAACCACTTACAACTTGTTGCAAACTCCAGCCAGTGCCATCGTGAACCCAGACGCTATGTGGCGGCATTGACTCCAATGGATCTTCATATTGTGTCCATGTCCATGGAAAGCAAGGTAGACACATGCTTGTTGAGTTGTATAGCAAAGAAATGTTAAAAATGCGGTGCTTTAGGAGTTAAGAATAGTGACGCGATGCTGAGGGAGTGGTTTTGGAGAAGGGGTCCGGCTGTCCGTATTAATGAAAGGAACATTGGAAGCCATCTTAATGGCCAATCATCCAGCTCCATCTCCTTCTAGGATCTGGCGTAGCTCCGTGAGCCAATTGCCAGTCGCCAGCTGCCAGCTGGCAGTCTGATATACGATTGTACCCCTCTCACAACACAAATGCCACATGCTACATACATCATCACTTGGTCAACAAGGTGCAAATGATTCAACTTTTTGATTCATATAAAGCCAAAATAATAAAACAAGACCAGACGCCGATACAGATCCCGTTGTATGGTCTAAATGCTCGCTGTCTCCCTCGGTTCTGCCGCCTCCGTCGTAGTAATGTACAGTGTGTTTTGGTTCGAGTTTTGCAGCTCGCGCAAATAAAAAATAAAAAATAGTAACAAGGAGAGATGAGATCGTTGCTCCAAATCATATTCCAAATATCCGTCCGTCTCCTTTTTGTGGTGAGTTCATACAAGCAAGAAAGTAAATGTGCTGCTTCTGCCGCCGGGTTGTCGGCTTCTTCGCTCGAGTCGGGGTCAGGCCTGCATTAGAGTGTGGCATGGCAATCGCCGCTCAATATTACGCTCGCCTATCTTTTGAAATAATCTATTTTGAGTTCGTCATGTTTTGTTGTATTTATACAACCTCGGGGAGCTCCTGCAGGGCGCCAACAGGCTCGGGGATGGGGAAGAGGGATCGGCGGAGAACCTATTTACGTCTGTTAGCATCTCGTCATGAAAGATTTTGTCCATATATACTTACAGCCCAGACACTGGCCATGGAGGCGACAACACCACCAGAGATAAGCATGGGTCTCAAACCCTTGGTGCTCTTGAAGACCATGCCACTCAGGCCACCGGCGATAATGGTGTTGGCAGCGTCATGCTTGCCACGGAGGTTGCCGATCAAAGAGTTGACACAATTGTAGAGAATGGCAACGACACCAGCCGAGTTACCGAGGAAGGGACCGCGTCTGGTGACGGCGTTGAGGACAGCGTTGAGGCGCAACTTGGGGGCCTGGCCGGCCGAGCTGCGCAAACCCTCTTGCAGACCCCAAGCACCACCGAAAGACAGCGCAGAGAGATATGTGATACCGGTACCGTAGCAAAGATCATCGGTGAAGCCACGGGAGGGGATGACACCCTGGCCGCCGGGGAGTTCGGAGAGGGCAGAATCTTCGAGACTCAGGTATTCGAGAGTATCCTTGTTGAGGCCGGCGAGGGGGTGCAATTGCGACGCATCGGCAAAGGAAGAGCTCTGGAGAAAGGACTCGACACCCTGTCCCTGAGAAGGATCGAAAGCAGCGACAGAGGTCGAGGGGGTATCGTAGGACTGGCGTTGCTGCTGCTGCTGCTGCTGTTGCGCGGGCTTATTGCCACTGGTGAGTGCGTTCCAGAGAGAAGACATGATGGGTGGGATTAATAGGAATAAAGAAACTCAAATGTGATGAGTATGGAAAGAAGAAGTAAATAAAAGTAATACAGATTAAGAAGTCACCGCGGGCAATGGGATTCCCAGAAATTGCGCGATGCCGGCCGATGGAAAGGGATGGATTGATGCGGCAAGAAAGAAGAAAAAAAGCGCCGCAATAACTTTTGGCCAGGAGTCAGTCAGCCAGGCACTGACGGGCTGCCCGTCAGGGAAAATTCGGCTCTGGCTGGCCACCGTCCAGTGGGCCCGGCCATACATACAGGTACAAACCGCTCCGGCTACACTCCTGGTTTTTTTCTTAGGCGGCTCACGTGACAACGATCAATCGCCATAAATTTTCAACCAGCAATATTTCGACATGAACCGATGAAGGGCATTGCCTTAACCGTTTGAAGCAATTCGCAGTAAATGCGTTGGATTTACGGATGAAATTTATGATTCGTACATTCATTAGGAGCGCCTTCGACGACGATGATGGCAGAATGTGCAGACGTAGTGCGAGTGCAAACCAGGTGAACCTGACTGTCGACTATCCTCTATAATCCACCACATGTATACATTGTCGTCGTCAAATGCTCGGCAGATTATAGCCTGGCTTCTCGAAAGAAAGCCAGTCCAAGATTGAGAAAACTTCACATAGGCAAAGATGTGTCGGAACATGCCCACAGTCACGAGCTCTGTCGGAGCATTCGCGGCTGTTTTGGAAAGCATGTTTCTTCATTCTGGGAGGCCGGGAACGGAAGGAAACCCACAGAGAACATTGGTAACCCTCAGCAGCCGTGTTAACACGGAGCCACCGTGAATTATTTTACACTTGACGGTGTAGAATAACCCTGACTGATGATGAAGAGAAAAAGAAAAGACAAAATAAAACTGGCGGCCGAAAAGTTCGCTATTTATTCTCACAGTGGGCGCTGGTGGGGCGGCCCGCGCTAGTCCCTTTTGGGCGTGCCAGAGTTGTCGCCTCGACGCCTTGTAAAAGAGATGGCTAGATTGACAAGGGCTTGCAGCAAACTTTTTACTTGAAGTTGATTAAGGGCAAAGTGGACAAAGAATAAGTTGATGCATAAATGATTTTAATTGTGAGTTGAATATGCACCTCTTCGTTACATCTATGAAGAGTGCTGCTGTACTGTAGAGCTATAACATAAAAACGCCATCCCGTTTTCCAAGTACGTATCAATACAAAAGCTCTTCCTGCTCAATCTATGCTCCATGCGCAGGGGAATGGCCGCCAATTCTCCAAAGTAGAGTGGCATACATTTTTGGTAAAAGAAAAACAAATCATAAACTTTGTTGGTTCGTCACATTTTAAGCAGCATAGCTGCTAGAGTCGGCGCGCTGGAGCAGCGGCCTGGTGTCGCGGGAGCCGTTGGCATTGCCGTTCTGGTGATCATCTTCGTGGTTGGCGTCATGCTCCTCGTCAAAGAAGACGGCCTGCTGAGACTCAATGTTGGACTTGTACATAAAGTACTGGGAAAAGACGCCAAAGTCCATAAAGAGCGTGACCAAGCTACCAGCGAGCCAGCTGAGGTTGACGAGGATGTATCGGCCGTAGATGGCACTTCCTTCGCCATGCTTGCAGGACTTGCCGCCGCACTTGGGCTCATAGGCAAAAATCGAGAGCACATAGGTGATGTTTCCCAAGCAGGCGAAGAGGAAGAAGAGCATGCTAAGCCCGTCGGTCGTCTTGCGTCTGTAGTTGAGAATCAGCTGCGGCAGACGAGAGGCAATGTAAGCCACCGTGCACAAGTAGCCGAAGAATTGGCCAACGACATTGAATTCCAGCTTGTCGTTGCTGCCGTCCGACGGAGACTTTTGCTTGTGATCGCCCTTGGCTCGCTCGCCGAGATACCAGCCTAACACACCAGCCGCACAGACTATAATGACAATGGTGGCATTCCACAGAAGGGTCTGTAGTAGGGTAGGCTGTGTCTTGACTTTGATAGGTTCGTCGGGGATGTGAGGCACGGCTGGTGAGAAGCCGGCCCAGTCGGAGCCGCGGCGCTCCTGATTGTCGCCAAGAAGCGCTGTGCGCTCGGTCGGTTGGGTTGAAGCCGGTTTCTTAACGGGGGCGTCTCGCCATGTAAATCCGCGGTAGTAGAAGCACTGAGCTAGAAGTACGATGTCGGCAAGGGTATAGTAGATGGCGAGGATGATCTGGGTTGGGAGCCGGGTCAGCGGGACTGTCACGGACGTGGGATGGATGGTGGGAGGATGTTTACCATGGTGGGTAGTACGCCCTGCATGACGGCGCCGATAATATTAAAGACATCGCCAAGAAGCCAAACGATGATGAATTGTACGGACAGGGCGTCTGCGTTGCCTCGCTTGAAGTTTTGAATGATTTGCGGCGAGAAGACGACAACTGCGAAGGGAGAGGGTTAGCATCGTGAAAGGGGAGTACATCGTCTAGAGTTAGTTGGCACAGCACATACCCCAACAAGCAATAGATACAGATCTAAATATTCAGTTAGCCAATGCACTGGTTGAAAATAGTAAGGGAATCTTTTTGTTGTGAGCAACATACCCGCAGATTCCTGAGATGGCTTCCACGTCCAGGTGGAAGGTGGGCGTAGGAGGAGCCATGGTGATCATGACGATGATGCGTCAGCGACGAAGAAACAAGCTCTACCTAGTAGATGCCGATCATGGGAAGAAGCCGAATTCCTCCAATGAAGCCGGGAGACAAAAGAAAATACAAAGACAAAATAAAACCAGGGACAAGGGCGACAAGAAAGTGAATTCCGTCGCGTGTCCAAAAAGTAGCGTTACAGTGCAAAGATCAAAGGAGAAGTGCAGAGCCTCGGCGCCCGCCGTTGTAGTGCAGACTTTTTTTTTCGCTGCAATTTTTTTCAGGCTTGCATGCCTGGTGTTACTGCTGCTAGCGCTTGGTGCTGAAAAAAATGACGTATTTGCATGCAGCTTGGGGCGGGAGATGCGCTAGAGTTTCAGTGGACGCGCCGCCTGAAAGGTAAAAAAAAACTGGCTGAATGCGGGGGGAGGTGGCGCCCGAAAGAGGCAATTGGGCGAGTTGGGGTGACAGACTGGAGCGGATTGCCGAGAACGGGACACATGTGTTTGTAGTGTTGGTGAGGTGTGAGAGGCTTGTAGATCGGAGGTATGATTTGGAAAGGGCGTATAGACATTGTGATAACTAATACTTTGTGGACAAAGGAAATGAAGAGATGTTGGAGAAGTACAGACTAGTGGTCTTTAGCGCAGAGAGCCTTTATTAAAGCATGGAAATATATTACCAGCAATCTTTTGCCCTATATTCTGTGTATGAACCTACGAGTGCATATATCTACCGTAAATGTAAAATTACGAAAAGAAAATACGCAACAAATTGACCTACTTTCAAAGCAAACCCAGCCTTCCGTTATACCGGCCGGCGACATCGGAAGACAGCTTTCGAACAAACAGTATCTTGCTGACCAACACATCGGATTGGTCTACGCCACTGTTAGTGATGCCCAGCAGCCCAATCTACAAATCGAATATATATTGTCACTTGTTACAAAAATTTGAACTCACTCACTTACTCCCACGCAAACCACTTCCCCTAGAAACCAACCCTCATCCCACCCCAACGGGCCATCTACTAACCCGCTACCCCCACGGCCGGCCTTCCAGCACAAACTCCGTTCAAGTCGCCTACTTAGCAACTCCACCTACGATCTGCTTGCTTACAAAAGACAAGCTCCGACGGCGGCAACAAAAAGCACCAGCCCCTCCCGTACCCGGCCTCCCGCTCGTCATTTCTAAATACCCGGCTCTCCATGTCTAGCGATATTTCTATGCTTCCAGAGGTTGCGGCCCTGGTAAACGACGACTCCATGCTCACCCGCAAGTTCGGCAAAGAAGTAGTCAACTACTACGCCGGCTCCCGCATCAACCGATACTCTTTCCTTCGCGCCGACGCCGCATTCCTCCGCCGAGCCGCCGCAAACCCCAAGGCGACATTTCTAGCTCTCGAGAACCTTAATCCCGTCACCATCGACAAGAGACGCCTCGGATACCTCACGCTGCAGGATGTTGCGCCGCTAATTGGCGAGGACCCATTCAAGCTCTCCGAGAAGGAGGCCATTGCAGCCTACGACTCTAGTGTTGTAACGCCGATTGTTGTCTTCTTGGGCATGATTGAGGATGCGGAATCCTCTGAGATTAAGTCCTCAGAACATGGAAACATAAAGGGTTCGCCGGTCTTTGCTGTAGATATTACACCGAAGGGCTCGTATGAAGATGCGGCGAAGGCGTTGATGGAGAGTATCAAGGCAAAGGGATGGTCAGTGCAAGAGCGACCTAATGGCATGTCTCTGCTACCTGAAGCTGGTAAGTCGAAACATAAATCGGGACTATTTATAGATGGGCTATGATTTAACACGAGATATATAGCTGCTGCCTTTGCGCAAGCAAGATCCATGATTGACTGGAACGACCGCAACAAGTTCTGCGCCGCCTGCGGTAACCGAACTCTCTCCATCCAAGCCGGCTACAAGCGAGCATGCCCTCCGTCAGATCTCAAGGGCGGCTCTGCAACAGAGCGCGAAGACTGTCCGACACGCCACGGAATATCCAACTTGTGCTTCCCGCGAACCGACCCAACTATGATTGCCGCAGTCGTTTCGGCGGACGGTCAGCGTATCCTGCTTGGTCGCCAGGCAAGATGGCCACAGTACTGGTATAGCACGCTGGCAGGCTTCCTTGAGCCTGGAGAGGCCATGGAAGAAGCTGTGCGCAGAGAGGTCTGGGAAGAGGCTGGCGTCAAGGTTGGACGTGTAGTCATCCATTCCACGCAGCCATGGCCATATCCTGCTAATCTGATGATTGGCGCTATTGCACAGGCACTTCCTGGCGGCGAAGATATTACTCTCAACGACAAGGAGTTGGATGACGCCAAATGGTTCACCATGGACGAAGTGCGCACTGCAATCAATGTCGGCACAAGCTCTCTTGACGGTGCTGCTTCTTCCGAATACAAGGAGGGAGACTTGCGCATCCCGCCTCAGCAAGCTATTGCCAACCGCCTCATGTCGGCTGTGGTGGATGGGTACTTGACGGCCTTTCCTAAAATGTAAAAGAGATGAACACAAAGGGGACGAGTTGAATGACGAAACGAGAGATGAGAAATGAATGTAGACGTAAATACTATATTAAATGATATGCGTTAACTATACCGATATCTGTCTCATTGGTGCAAATGTAAAGCCATCCAGCTTGGGGGCTGGCACTGGGGCAATTTGTCCTCGTTGATACTCAGCGAGCCAGACGGCGTTTTTGTTAACCGTCTCCAAGGCTTCTCTGACCGACTCATTCTTGCCAATGACGTCTAGGAGCAGATCGAGGATTTGATCAAACATGTCGTCATCGATGCGAACAAATGAAACAATGCCTGTTAAAAGCTTTACTGTTGCCTCCCAGATCCTGGCGGGAGATGCGTACTGCCCAAGACTTCCTGAGCCGACGGAAGGCTCAGAAACGGCTTGTACGCCCTTGTTGACTGTTCTAATAGGAAGAGATATCGGGCCGGTCTGCGATCTCAAGCCCGTAATCTGAGGTGCTTTTGTAGAGCGGCCCTGGCCGCGCATCGCCTCCGCTTTATTACGTCGGCACCAGTCGCCCAAGCCATTGGACCATTCAGTCTTAAATCTTGTACTTAAAAAGTCACCAGCAGCTTCACATAGCCCGTTCAATGTGTAGCATGCTTCGATAGCAATATATGATTCCGGGTCATGTAGTCGAGCAATGACTACAGGCCATACAGAGTTTACCAAGGGCAAAAACGCATCTTCGTCAGCGGCCAGGACTTTCGAGGCGGTATTAAGCAATTCTAATAGTGATCTTCGCAGCTTGGGAGTTGGAGATGTGAGATAATATTGCGTAAGGCTGGCAACGCGGTTGAGGAGTTGATAGGTTGGCGAGTTCGGAGGCTTCTGGTCATTGTTGCTACCACCTTCAGCCGGGGTTTCTTCTTCTTCACCTGGAGCAGACTCTTTCTTGTCACCCCAAGGCTTTTGAGGATGTGAGTCGATGACTTGGTGAGTCTGCATTTCTCGCACCTCTCGTTCCTTGCGTTGGCTTCGGCGTTGGAAAAAGTCTGAGAGGGTTTGCAAGTTTTGCGTACCAGTGACGGTTTTCTTGTGACTCTTGCTGGCTCTTTCGCGGTCCTCCAGTTGCAATCTATCAGTGCGCGGCGCTTGGTCGACGATTTCCTTTAGCACAACAAATAGACTTTCCACAAAAGCTGGATATCCGTGATAATTCTCCAAAGCTGCAAAGACAGAGTCCACAACGTCATCTAGGAAAGGAATCACACGTGGCCCAGCAAGACGAACCATCATCGTCAATACTTGCGTAGATGCAGGGGAGATATCCAGTGTGTTTAGTCGTAGTGATACCGAGTTGACCATGTAGTCAACATTGTCCACTATTAGTTCGGACACGCTTCCATATTCACAAGCTGACGCGAGCTCGTTCAGGGTGATGACGGCATGTTGTTGCAGCAGGGTGCTTTCAGAACCCAGTAATGTTGCAACGGGGAATAAAATATCCATCAGCTCTGGACGATACGCTTTCCCTGCTTCATGAGCTGCAAACGTCACCATTTCCAGCGCAGTGGCCTCAAGGCGCCAGTCAACTTGGGTGGCATCCGAGTGATTATCCAGGATTTGTACTGAATAGTTGTAGAGTTCGTCGAATATTAGTTCAGCATCAAAGTTGTCTTGGACTGCCGAAAGGTTCAGGAATTCGTCCGACTCTGTCTTGGCGGCATATGCAGCCCTTATCATCTTATAGCACAGCCAAAATGATGCCACCTGGTTTACTGAAGTATCATCGCGTGCAGATTCAAGAATGGTGGAAATAGTTGATGTTTGTTGTGATGTGCTTCCCACGAATGATATCAGATCCATCATCTCCTTTTTCAGACCACGTTGGCTTTCATGGGACATGACAATCGGTGGGTACTGACTTGAGCCTCTGGAAGAGACGAGTGCATGACTGTCTTGCAGATCGATAGGCATTACATTAGCAGGCTGTGCTGACTTTTCTTTACTCATCAGTGCTGTCAATGTATCTCGTAAGGTATAGGGAAGCGTGTCCTCAATAGTGGAAGATTCGATTCGTAATTGTCGTAGCAGTTCCATGCCCTTGAGAAAATTGTGGATGGCTGTTCTCGGAACTGCCTCATCGGCTGATTGGGTTGATCCAGGAAGACTGCTCATCCAGTTGAAGACTGTTAACTTGACGGAGTTCTCTAGCTCAGGATAGATACTGACAAGAGAGCCCAAATTCGTTTCCAGAGAGAACTCAGTGTCTGCCCCAGGATCCAAAATGATAGCTGTTTCAATCAGGAAATATGAACAGTTGTTTAAAGAGCTGTGGCATTCATCGAGAAGCTTGATACAAAAACGGTTGAGCGCGGTGCGAACTGAAAGGGAATCGTGAGATCGTAGCTTCATCATAGGCGCAATAGCCATGCGTACTTGCGACGCCGTAGCCTCAAACCAAGATTTGCTCAAAACTTTGGCCTTGTCTTGGTTGGAGCCACTATTTGTTTCTCGTTTCATTGTCGTATTCATGTGGACATCTCCCAAGACTCTTGTCAGGATAATGCCAACTGCCTCGATGGCATGTGCTAGCACAATGCTCTTTTGCTTAGCTGGGGCAGATAACAGCTTGGCAAAAGCAGAGATTGTACCAGGGAGAAAGCTGGCAAGAGCTTCTCGGTCTCTTATAGTGTTGAAAAGTGAACGAATACACGCTATTGCTTCTGCTTGAATATCAGTGTTGTCACCGTCGATAATACCATCAAGTATGACGGTAACGCCGTGGCCCAAAGCCGGGATGAACTCCTGGTCTGCCAGTCCGGCCGCAGCCAGCGGAGAATTCCCGACAGTATCAAGAAGTGCATGTTGTGTTTTATATGCCCCCAGTATTGTTTCTTCTGGTCTTGCTTTTGGTTTTGATCCAGGGACGCCGTCGATTATGAAAGTTAGCAGGCTGAAGATTTGTTGCGCCAGCTTCAAGGATATCTTAGTCTTCCAGCCATGCACAATGAGAATTGTTAAACAGTCCAAGCATTTCTCGATGATCGTCATTGGATACTTGTTCAACTGACCAAAAATATGATACAGTGGAAAGAAGACATATTCCGCAAGCTTTTCATCGAGACCCGATGTGGCGAGCTCCGTGGCCGACTTGAGGGTGTTAAGGAGTTGGTCTATGAGGGATGAGAGTTCAGAGAAATCAATTTGAGTATTGGAATCTTGCAAAACCAACTGGCTTATTTGTATGCAGCATGGTTTAAGCTATAGATTAAGTTAGCAGGGTGCACCGGAGCCGTGGGTTTGCTTAGTTACCTTTTGAAAGAGAGCATTTCTCTCCTCTGTAGTTGCTGTCCTGTCCATGTTGAGAGAATATAAGCCAAACTAGTGGCAAATTTATATATTTATCATTTTCAGAGAAAAACGCATGGATTCTTCTGCGTTTGGTTGACGTTGCGCATGTATGAAGCCGTGTACGCGTTATGCGTCGAACATTCGATTTGAAGCTGCGGAGTGGGTGGGATGGCCGTGCTAAAAGCTTATAAACACTGTATTGACACTGTATGCCAGTTGTAGTGAAATTTCGGTTGTTTATAATTGGGGTAATGATTCCGATTCTGGAATGGCAATAATATTGGTTTATAAGTCTAATTGATGCAGTGCACTATAAAAATATATGCGGTATCGCTCTAAAGCAGCGATGCACGCACCCTAGATATATCTAGGCTGCCAAGACCAACGTCCTGTGGGCATCGCCTACAGGAAACTGTATATGCTTTTGCACAATGGTAACAGAACTGTGATCTGATTTTGACTAAGATCAGACCATATGATAACTACATTGTGAGCTTTGTTGACTGTAGATAGCTATTGAAAAGTCCCTTGCAGGCACTACAGTCACGTGTGCCTTGCATTGGCACTGTCTCGGAGGTTACCTTCGCCGTCTCGTCATGGTACTCTCATTAACAAAAGCACCTCAAGCAAAATATCACCAAGATGAGTTTTACGGACGCCCCATTTTCGCTTCTAGCGCATCCATACTCTTCACCTGTTGTAGGGGCAGTGGCGTATGAAATGGGCAACACCAACGCCAGGAACGCCGTCGTTTTTGTCGGCGGATTGACCGATGGCCCCCATTCTGTCCCTTATATTCGGACCGTCGCTAGAACATTAGAAGCCTGTGACGATTTGGACTATTCTCTATTTGAGATTAGAATACGAAGCTCCTTTATCGGATTCGGCACGTCGAGTCTGTTCAACGATGTCGAAGACATCTCGTCCCTTGTGACCTATTTACGCTCTATTAATAGAGAGAAAGTTGTCCTTTTTGGTCACTCAACCGGCTGTCAAGTAAGTATACATATGCAGCTCTTTACTTCCACAAAAGTTTAACCGATTTAGGACTGTATGGAATACACCAACTACAAAAGACACCCCAAGAATGCTCCAGTCGATGGTTTTGTTTTGCAAGCTCCAGTTTCTGACCGTGATGGAATTGATAAACTGTTCCCAACCTATCAGGAGAGTCTCGATCTGGCAGACAAGATGATTGCTTCCGGCCACTCGCAAGACTGCTTACCCCAGGAGAGAGCAGGACCTACCTTGGATGCTCCTGTTTCTGCGTACCGCTTTAAGTCATTGATTGGGAAACAGTAAGTTTGCACAACCTATTGCCGTCATATCACTGACTCACATGGTTACAGCGGCGACGATGACTACTTTTCGTCTGATCTCGACGACGAGACCGTCAAGCTGTTCTGGGGCCGATACAACGTACCGGTGCTAGTACTCCATTCCGAAAAGGATCAATATGTGCCAGCAGGAGTCAATCAGACAGCGTTAAACAAGAAGTATCAGGCAGCAAACCATTTCGTCAGCCCCTTGTCTTGTGTTGTGCCAGGGGCCAACCACGCGGTGGAAGAACCGGAAGCCCAAGCATTTTTGTCAAAGAGAGTAGTAGAATTCCTTAGAGGCTTAGAGAAGTAGGATGACTCGGCAGAGCTACAAGGATATGACGACCGCCGTGAAAGAAAACGTGATTATAAATCTGTCTTATTATACGATGTGAGCGAGGTGTGTGTACTGGCAAGTGGCGGACTTCCGCCGAGAAGACCCTGTATCCCGCCCGAGGCGCCACAATGTAGGGCGCTTCAGTGGGCTGGCACTTGGCGGACGCCTCTGTTAGAACAATGCACGCTGGGGGCTTGCACTTGGTGCCATCCACTAACAGCGCTGATAAAAACACTAACGTGGGGTGAATGTAACACCGTCACCGCTTGCAAGCTACCTTCTGACGTGTTAACGAAGTCTAAAATTGACAAAAAAAGAGGCACCAGAAGCAGAGACACAAGGTCAAACACAATTCAACAGCGTGCGCTTCCCCGCCAAATGCTGCGTCAGTGGAACATTGTTCGACAAACTGCTGTCTCGCCTGCCTGTCAGCCGCTGCAGTTTTAGCGCGCCAGTGCAGCGTGTTACAGCGTGACTCTTGCCGGAACCAAATTTTACAGTGGGGTGAGGTTGCACCCTGTAGCCTTCCCAAAGCGGACTAAATTTGCTTACAAACCTGCGTGAAGGAAGCAAAAGTTGCGCCAGATCCACACCCGTCCCGGACATATCGGCCGGTGGACCGCCGACCTCTGCCTTCTTTTTCTTTGCCTTTTGAGCTTCACGCTTTTGCTTTCTGCTGAGCACTCTGGTCACGTCTCTTCTCGCTGCGGCATCTGCCACGCACGACATTAAAACCACCACAGTGCCGCCGCTGTTTCTGTAATCTCGACATATCGGAGTCGGGCATACACCCACTGACGCAATCGAACCAGCTCTTCTCGCAGAACCTCCCGCTGTCGAGACGTCATCGGCTCGTCGCCCCCATTGACTCACATCGCACCCAACAGTAATTGAGCCAGCATCACAGCATAACCTTGCATCGCCGAATAGAGCTGTCTTATTTTTGAAAATGGTCAGCTTCAACGCGCAGCAGGTGCTGCTGCGTACCGGATCCTTCACTGGGTACCGACCGATGGAGGACCTCGGGAGTCACTACCTCGAGGCCACCTCCAAGCACAGCCAGCCTCTTTGTGGCAATGCTGAGGGTTGGGGTCCCCTGAGCCCTTCTCGCTTCGACTTCACGCCTTGCTTCATTGACGTGTGGGTTGCAAGTGTTGCTGCTCTCGGCCTCGTGCTTGGTCCCATCTCGCTCTTTTACCTTTTGAAGAAGAAGGAGGTCTTGATCCACCAGGCTAGAAACAGCCACTTTTGGATTAAACAGGTAAGTCTTAGATTGTTGATCAATGGTTATTGGAGCAAACTGGAATAACTGCTGACACTTTCGGCAGACCGTCTTCGCCGCCCTCATTGTCGATACCCTCATCCAGCTCGTCATTCAAATCATCAGCTACCCCAAGATCTGGACTGGCGATTTCCGAGTCTACACTACGGTTTTACTGCTTCTTTCCATGGGCGTCATCTTTACGCTCCAATGGGTTGAGCAGAGCAGACTTCGATTTGCCAACGGTGTCGCCCTCTTCTACTGGCTTCTTCTGCTCATCTCCTTCACGGTCAAGCTGCGCTCTCTCATCTCACAGCAGCTCTACTCCAAGAACCTTGCATACTTTGTCACCTTTTGCATTGGTCTTGGTCTTGCTGGTGTCGAGTTTTTTGTTGAGTGGTTGTGGCCTCGCAACACCTCCACCGACGGCTACGAAGCCATTGAAGAAGAGGAGGAATGCCCCGTTGAATATGCCGACGTCTTTTCTCGCCTGACTTTCTCCTGGATGACGCCCATGATGGCCCGTGGCTACAAGATCTTCTTGACGGAAACCGATCTCTGGGGTCTTGCCAAGATCGACCAGACCAAGAACACTGGCGAGGCCTTCGAGAGCGCTTGGCAATACGAGCTCAAGGCTCGCCCTAACAAGCCAAACTTGTGGATTGCCATGCTCCGTGCTTACGGTGGCCCATACGCTATTGCTGCCATTTACAAGATCTTTAACGATCTCATTCAATACGTCCAACCTCAGTTGCTTCGCTACATCATTCGATTCGTCGAATCCTACGATCCGAGGGTCTCCGATACTCCTGATCCTGTCGTCAAGGGTGCTGCCCTTACCTTGGCCATGTTTGCCTGTGGTGTCTTCCAGACAACCATGGTAGTAAGTATTCTTCCAAACTAAGACTCCTGCACAATTGCTAACTAAATCTTAGCATCAATATTTCCAACTTTCCTTCGAGACTGGTATGCGCATCAAGGGTGGCCTCGGTGCCAGCATTTACCGCAAGGCACTCCGACTCTCTAACGAAGGTCGATCGACAAAAAGTACTGGCGATATCGTCAATTACATGGCTGTCGACGCCCAGAGACTCCAGGATGTTACCCAGTTTGCTCAACAGGCCTGGTCTGCTCCCCTCCAAATCATCATCTGCATGATTTCTCTCTACAACTTGGTCGGATGGTCCATGATGGCTGGTATTGCTGTCATGATTATTACCATGCCCGTTCAGGGATACGTTTCGCGTTTGATGAGAAACTTGCAAAAGGATCAGATGAAGAACAAGGACGCCAGAAGCCGTTTAATCAACGAAATCGTCAACAACATGAAGAGCATCAAGCTCTACGCATGGGGTTCTGCTTTCATGAACAAGCTCAACTATGTCCGCAACGAGCAGGAGCTCAAGAACCTTCGCCGCATTGGTGCTACCCAGGCTGTTGCTAACTTCACCTGGACTACCGCCCCGTTCTTTGTCTCATGCTCTACCTTTGCCGTCTTCGTCTTCACTCAGGATCGCCCTCTGACTGTTGAAATCGTGGTCCCCGCCCTCGCACTCTTTAACCTGTTGACATTCCCTCTTGCCGTTCTTCCCATGGTTATTGCCGCTCTCGTCGAAGCGTCCGTTGCCGTTGACCGTATTACTGATTTCTTCAAGGCTGAAGAGCTGCAATCTGATGCCGTCATTGTTAAACCTGCCCCCCAGGAACTTGGTGAGGAGACGGTTGTTATCAAGGATGGTACCTTCTCCTGGAACCGTCATGAACCCAAGGTTGCCCTGAAGGACATCAACTTCACTGCCTACAAGGGTGAACTCTCGTGCATTGTTGGCCGTGTCGGAGCCGGAAAGTCTTCCTTCCTTCAGAGCATACTCGGTGATCTCTACAAGGCGAAGGGTATGACTGAGGTCTCTGGTACCGTCGCGTACGCGGCTCAGCAGACCTGGGTCTTGAACGCTACTGTCAAGGAAAATATCGTGTTCGGTTATCGCTTCGACCCTGAATTCTACGACAAGACTGTCAAGGCCTGCGCCCTGCTCGATGATTTTGCTCAGCTTCCTGATGGTGACGAGACTGTCGTCGGTGAGCGTGGTATTTCACTCTCTGGTGGCCAAAAAGCACGTGTCTCACTTGCCCGTGCCGTCTATGCTCGTGCCGATATTTACCTACTCGATGATGTTTTGTCTGCGGTTGACTCTCACGTCGGCCGTCATATTATCGACAATGTCCTCGGTCCCCGTGGTCTCCTCAACACCAAGACTCGTATCCTTGCCACCAACGCCATCTCCGTCCTCAGCCATGCCAGCTACATCACCATGCTGAAGGATGGTGAGATCAAGGAGCGCGGAACCTTTAGCGAACTCAAGAACAACAAGGGCCTCGTTGCTGAATTGCTCCGCACTTCTGGTCACGACGGCAACGGATCTAGCTCTGCCTCTGCCTCTGCTAGCGGCCGTAACAGCCCCGTCCGTAGCGAGACCTCTACTGTTGTTGGAAGCGAAGCTGCCCGCAACAAGGAAGAGCTTGCTGAAGCCGAAGAAAACGTCCCCGAACTCGTACCCATCAAGGCAGGTGCTACTGGCAACAAGCCGCGCACAAGCAGTATGGCTACTCTCCGTCGCGCCAGCACTGCCAGTTTCCGTGGTCCCCGTGGCAAGCTGACTGACGAGGAGGTCACCAGCAGCCGCACCAAGCAGAAGGGCGAATTTGTCGAGCAAGGAAAGGTCAAATGGTCTGTCTATGGTGAATACGCCAAGATGAACAACCTCTACGCCGTTGGTGTTTACTTTGCCTGCTTGCTCTTCTCTCAAACCGCTAGTGTTGGTAGCGCCGCATGGCTTACCCGATGGGCGTATGCCAACTCTGAAGTCGGCCTGAATGAGAATATTGGCTGGTACTTGGGCATCTACTTTGCTCTTGGCATTGGCGCATCCCTCTTGACCATGATCCAGACACTTGTTCTTTGGATCTTCTGCTCCATTGAAGCTTCTCGCAAGCTCCACGAGCGCATGGCCACTGCCATCTTCCGCTCCCCCATGTCCTTCTTCGATACCACCCCCACTGGCCGTATTCTCAACCGTTTCTCTAGTGACGTGTACAAACTTGACGAAATCCTCGCCCGCGTCTTCAACATGCTGTTCAACAATGTCGCCAGATCTGGATTCACCCTTGCTGTCATCTCGTACACCACTCCCCCTTTTATGGCCCTCATTATTCCTCTCGGCTTGACCTATTACTGGGTTCAGCGCTACTACCTGCGCACTTCTCGTGAGCTTAAGCGTCTCGACAGCGTCACTCGCAGTCCTGTCTACGCTCACTTCCAGGAGTCTCTTGGTGGTGTCAGCACTATCCGCGCGTACCGCCAGCAGGAGCGCTTCCGTCTTGAAAACGAGTGGCGTCTCGATGCCAACCTCAAGGCTTACTTCCCGTCTGTCAGCGCCAACCGCTGGCTTGCTGTCCGTCTCGAGTTTATTGGTTCGCTTGTCATCCTCGCCGCCGCCGGTTTCGCTGTTCTTGCTTGTGCCCAAGGCAAGCTGAGCTATCCTGGAGCCTCTGCCGCCGTTGGTTTGTCTCTCTCGTATGCCTTGACTGTCACGGGCTCGCTCAACTGGATTGTCCGCCAAACCGTCGAGGTCGAGACCAATATTGTGTCTGTCGAGCGTGTTCTTGAGTACGCCCGCCTCCCCAGCGAAGCCCCCGAGATCATCCCTAACAACCGCCCTGCTGTCTCGTGGCCAGCTCACGGTGCTGTTGAGTTCTCCGACTACAGCACGCGCTACCGCGAGGGTCTTGACCTTGTTCTCAAGAACATCAACGTTGCCATCAAGGCCCATGAGAAGATTGGTGTTGTTGGCCGAACCGGCGCCGGCAAGTCATCTTTGACGCTCGCTCTGTTCCGCCTCATCGAGCCGGCTGAAGGTCATATTGGCATTGATGATGTCAACACCTCTAACATTGGTCTCCTCGACTTGCGCCGCAGACTTGCCATCATCCCCCAAGATGCCGCCTTGTTCGAAGGCACTGTCCGCGATAACCTTGATCCTGGCCATGTCCACGATGACACTGAGCTCTGGAGTGTCCTTGGTAAGCCACCCTTCTGTCCGCTCCGTAAATCGACTTTATACTAACTGCTTTTGTAGAACACGCCCGTCTCAAGGACCACGTCGTCAGCATGGACGGCGGCCTCGAAGCCAAGATCAACGAGGGCGGCTCCAACCTGTCGCAGGGTCAGCGCCAGCTCATCTCGCTCGCTCGTGCCATGCTTACACCGTCCAACATCCTTGTTCTGGATGAGGCTACAGCCGCTGTAGACGTTGAGACAGACGCCATGCTTCAGACCACGCTGCGCTCTCCGCTCTTCTCCAACCGCACCATCATCACCGTCGCCCATCGCCTCAACACCATCCTTGACAGCGACAGAGTCATTGTTCTCGACAAGGGCGAGGTCATTGAGTTTGATACGCCTGCCAACTTGTTCAAGAAGGAGGGCGGCTCTTTCCAGTCCCTCATGAAGCAAGCTGGTCTGGAGATTGAAGACGAAGCTAAAGAGTAAAGAGAAGGATTTACAGAAAAAGGAAAAGTTGTCATAGCCTATTTGTATTTGGATCCAACTACATATATTGTTTTTGTTTAATTAAACATTGTTTTTGTCGTTTTATATAATGCCGAGTTATATAGCCGATGTACTGTTGTATTTCTTGACCAGCCTTTCTTCTCAGAGATAGCACGTATCTACACAGCATCGATAGCTGTAATATAAAACTTCTTACTTTCACTTTCACTTATATCTAAACCACTAGATTCTATTGGATATTTCCTATCGTAGAACGAAACGTATTACACTTTACAACCTAGTATATTTCATCTGAAGTCTATGCACGCATGCCGTCCCACGTGAAATGCATAGCAGATCTGTCATCAAATCGTATCCAGTCGCGAACATGCATCACCTGCCTTTGAGGCTTACTCCAAACGACGTAATTCTGCATACGTGTAAATTTCGAGGCTGTGCTACGCCAAGCCTGACAAAATAACCAAACTACCCCGTTCCCATCGGAGGCTTTACTCCTGCCTAAGCTGCAAACGCCCTGCAGAAATCATCCGACGTGCGCCGACCCAACAACCACGACGAAGCCGATAACCGAAACGGCATCACGAGCTGCACTGCCAAGCGAATGGTGGCTTGGAACCGAATGCCGGAACGGGCGACGGCTCGGTGACATTAGCTCAGCCGATTGGGATTCTACCGGCGCCTCCAAAGCACGAAAAAGAGGGAGATTGGCAAGGCCCGGGCCAGCGTGTTAGTCAGGCGGCCCATGGCAAAGGCGCTGGCTGTGTGCGTGGATACGGAGAGAATACGTGTCTATCAACAGGCACTGAAAACAAAAAAAGAGGAGAAATTTCTCTCCGGACTACGTGCTTATTGAACGGCGGCGGCGATACATCCCAGGCTGGTTAGCTCCAGCGCCATACCGCCCTTCATTTTGGCCGCCTTGCAACGGTTTATGGCGTCAAAATCAGCCGAGGCATGCAGATAGAACAACTGTGTACTGTTTGCTTGTCCTGGACCCTGTACATGTCAAGGGTCAGCGCCTCTGGTGGAGGAGAGTCACGAACCTACGGCAAGGCGTTCAATATAGGGCGCTTTTCGTGCGTAAGAGGGGGCGGAAAGCAACAAACGAGAGTGAAAAAGAAACACTGGCCCGTAGAAGAGTAGAAGAAAGTACTACAGTACTGGGTACTACCCGTTCCCATCATGAGCGGTAACTTACAGTTCCGTGACAACCGTTCTGGCAGGGGACCAAAACGCCAGAGACGCCATGATTCGCCGCCAGCGCATGCCTATTGGCTACTTGGGGATAGGGATCACCATATGAGTTCCCTTGAATGCTGGGCTGATGGTGTGAACGCCGGGGTAGAGCATGGTTGACAGTCGATGGCTTTTGCTTTTTTTCTTCCTTTTTGCTGGCACTCTTTTCCTTGTATCCTCTTGTCTGCGACAAAGACATGTGGCCGTCCGTATTGGGTTGCGCGCGGCATAGCTTCCCCCAGCTAATGGAACCCATGGCGATGAAGTATGCCGTCGCTCGCAGGGCTCCTCCACACCCTCTTTTTTTCGCCCCTTCCTTGGGCGCTCTCGGCAACGCACCGTGAGGAGGAAGCCATATGAGCACCGCCGTGTGAAGACTGTTCCAAATAGGCGGGCACTGCCGTACGGTAGACTTGGTGTGTGTGGGCGAAGGAGCCTGAGAACTCACCCGTCCCGAGCGTCGGGATAGAGATAAGGCTGCTAGACGCATCTGCGGCATGTTCCAAGACCTGGCTAAAAGCGCACCGGCCATCATTGCTGCTTCTGAGCGATCGACCAATCTCATCTGCGTCGGACAATTTTCATGACTGGCGTACGATGCCCACCAGCATGGCAGCATTGCAGCAGCACCAGCGGCATGACAGTTGTTGCACCGCATTGCTGGTCAGTTCGATGACGAGTAGCGGGGGGCAGCCCCATACCGGGGCTCTAACCGTCAACGTTGTAACTCTGTTCAGCTTTACAGGGAATAACGGTAGCGATCTACTGACTGCAACCGACTGAGATGTCCGGCCAGGGCGAGGAGCAGGCTGGCAGGCAGGAACCAGCGTCGCAATAATGACAAACAGGGGAAACTCGGTTAGAGCGGTCGCTTGCAGTCAGGTCAGTGCGTGCTCCCAGCTCTGGTTCTAGCATAGACGACAGAGAGAAGATAGGCCCGCTCGTCCCGCGGCAGGCGACATTTTCGGGATAGGTGGTGTGGGCTCTCCTCGGTCGCTTCGGGACTGCTTAGTTGCAATTTTAGTGCTCTCCCCGCCAACGGCGCAACAGCGTGCCCGGCTATTACCTGTAAAAGTATAAACGGCTGTAAACTAGACTCGGGTCGGGGATGGAAACTGGCTAATCGCTTGTCGATCCCGCTTATAAACAGCAGCTGTCACGATTGCGCGGATCCATAGCCAAGGTAGCGTGCTTTCCGTACTCCTGATGTTGGCCACTCTCTGCTACTCAGTTCGAATACCAGGTACTAGTCGTTAACCTAAAATTGATTGGATGCAACCCCTTGAGCTCTAGTACAACTGCGTAGTTGACCGGATTCGGAGGCTCTGCCTTATAATGAACGCCTTCTTTACGACATGTGTGCCCCATCTAGCGAGAGCCTGATCTCGTCAAGCTTCAGGTCCTTTTGTTTTTCGAGAAACATAAACTGCTGATTTCTTTCCCGCTTCCGTATTCTACCCGCATAACTAAACTGCAGAGCCTTGTTACAACCACATCAGGCTGTTTCGGTGACATTCCCCCTCGCTCTGGACCACACTGCTCTGGCATTCCCGCGATAAACCCGGAGCTAGAATGTAAACCATTTGCGCTGTAGTTTGGCTCTGTGTGCTATTGGTCCCATCGTTTGGAACTTGCTCAGTTGGCTCCACTGCGCTAAGGTAACTTTCGCCGAGTCGACACCAGGCTGTTTACGAAAGCGAAGCGGCTGAGCTGAGCTGTCGCGACTGCTCCCTGGCATTAGCCGGGATAGAATATTGGACGCATCAGCTAGCTTTAGTCAAGACATCTTTGGCAGCTTTGGTTGTAATATGGGAAGAAGGGAGACCAATGTGATGAGACGATAACGAGTAGATAAAATCCTCGTTTAATTCGGGTTGCCCAAGCAAAGGTAATGTAAGAAGCTCAATCCCAACTCTAGCAACACTGACGGCTAGGTTGCTCTAGCCGTAATCGACGTTGGGTATTCCCAAACTTAGACAAGTAGGAACCCTTGTTTACCGTCTTATTAACCAATGAAACAGATACTCAAAGGTACCCAGACTGCAAAGTTGCGGAGAGGGCCTGGAACTAACAGCACACCTGCATCTCACAGAGGGCGGCGAACGGCACAAAACGCCACTACCACCCACCAAGCCACTTTCTCAAACAGCTACAGGCTAGCTTGTGCAAAAAGGCGCACAAGAAGAAAACTCGCCCGCTAGTGTGGTTCCCGGATCTTCAGAATAGCGACCTTCATGGAGCTTAGCTGTTTGGTCTGCATGCATGTGAAGAGTGGTAGGCGTCAGCTGCAGGCCACAAGGTCGGGTCCGTTACTACCAGAGCGAGCCACATCAGCCACCGACGCCAAGACTAGAGTCATGCATACCGCGAGAAACATGTTTTCTGCGCTGAAGTAGTCTGATCCTTCGTCTCTCGTTAGTACCAAGACGCGGGATCGACGCCGTTACACCAACGCCGTTGCGTTTTAGACCAACCACCACAAGAACAAACAAGCGTTGGCGGAAGGGCGTAGCGCTGAACTGGCTGGACGCTAGAACAAGCCTGGTATGCAGGCTGGCTGCGACACACAAAACTTCTTAGCGTGGTCGCATTTCTACGACGCTTCATAGGGGCAGATCGCACCAAGCAGGGCGATTTGCAGAGGCATGCATTCGTGGCACGTTGCGGGGGTTTCGTCGCTTCTAGAGAGGAAAGCTGGCGTCATTCTCTCATTCACGTATACCGTATCTGCGTTCGAAGATGTTAGTCCTGTTCCCTTTTTGACCTTATTGTGACCTTGTCTGGTTAAAAGAACATTTGCGGGGTGGGTAAGGGCTTCCATTCCCAGTGGTGTACTGTTACTACCAAGCACGGTGGACGACGTTGCAACAGTCGTCGGGGAACTGTATGAGTGGCGGATTAGCATTCAGCGTAGTGATAAGGGTTTAGTTTACCGATACTAGTACCAATCCTTATCGACTTACGGATAGCTATGTTATCGACTGACTTTGGTTGCAGACGGATTAATTGCTCCCAGTTATTCGTTGAAAAGAAGGTGGGCTAGCGAATAGCACAGCGCTAACAGAAGCCGTGCCGCTTAGAAACGCACCCACTGTAACTGGAGCCGCTAACCAGACGCTCTTAGTTGAGGCGACTAAGATACTCTGAATCCATTCCGCCAACTATTCGCCACCGCAGTTTTTGTTGTTTGTTATTGTTGGTGTTTCCAGGCGGTAAGCCCAATTTGGATAACTAAGAGGAGGCTCCGTGGCATACATGATTTCAACTTTTGTGTAAATGTCATCTGAAGGTGGGTGTTTAGAAGACGTGCAAGACGACGAAGAAATATCACACGCCACGCCACACAAAGCGATGTGCGCCATGCAATAGCATCGCAACTATTTCCCAGCTTCTTGCTTTCAAGTTTAGCATCGGCAGTCGCATCATTTCTACCAGGCAGCCCGGCACTTGGGTGTTACAACCTAGTCATGAACACACCGCCAGAATAGCACAAAAGGAAGAATAGGAGATTCTGTTTAATAGGTTGCGACGAATCCATGCTGCACAATGCCTCAACCAAGCAAATGAGCGAGTGTCATGCGAGGGGCCGACATCGACGACCCTGTGGAAACTATTGCCTATAGAAGCCAAGTGCCACTCCTACCCGGTGGCAGATGTGACATCGCCGCATTCCAGGGCCCACGTCCCTCGGTTGTGCCCCAAACGTGATGTACGGAGCGTTCGCAAGACTTACCAAAACGCTATATGTGCTGTAAGCGGGCAGGTAGCGAGGCGCTGGTGGTCCAGTTTGTATATCAACATTTGCGCGCACTACGGGCAGTCTGGCTCTGTGAATGTTCCAAAACCGAAGCACAGTCAGGTTGACTAATAATTCAATGGCAATATTCCAAAAAGACCAAAGAAACAGGAGGTGAGCCGTATCCAGTAATTTAGTCCAGATGTGAAGGACCGAAGGATTTTGCCTAGCTCATTAGGGCTATGGGAAGCGAAGCGCTCCGTCGTTAGGCGCTCGGGGGAGCCGCTCGGGACGAAGGCGTTTGTATGTGAGATAATGTTGGCATGCTTTGCAGCCACGCCTCTTTGTCTGGATTGTTAGTGGGGAGAAGGAACTGATAAAGTCGTACGTAGAGATCGAACTAAACGTGTGGAATCAGTAACAAGACAAATTCCCCATGCTGTAGTATGGGAAAGTTGAAGATGTTAAACTAGTTATAATGTAACGTTTTGCTTTTGGTTAAGCGATCATCGTGTGTAAAACCAGGCTGTCGTTGCGAAGGATGCGTGTGCATCAGGTCGGCGACCTCAAGCGGCTACCGAGGCCCGCAGAGGGGCAGCCGCCATAAGACAAGACCAATTGCAGGTCTGAAACAGCGCGCGAGCCTCTCACAGGGTCGCGATCGCCCAGGGCCATATCTGTGGTCCAAACCATCCCGTTTTAGCGGCACTTCCCCATTCTGCAGCATTTTGCCCAGTGGCAATTGGACCACGGTGCGTTGGGCTAATAGTTTACTGCATTTGTTGCAGCGCCGAGCGGGGCAGTCAACATTGCGGGGCACGGGCTCCCATTAACCGTGTTAGTAGGGCCTTGCGAGTTATTTCCGGGTTTGCTCCCGTTGCAAGAACCCAATTATCGCTGCTGCATGTATGTTGATCATGATGGTCATGCCGTAAAGTGCAGCATGTGAGAGACGTGAGGGCTGGCGCCGAGGGTTTGGTGGTGGTAGCAGTTTGTGGCACGAGAGTTGCGGCGGATGGCCGGCAGAGATTAGGTTGGGATGAATCAAGGCGCCGCCTGCTTGATACATTAGGAGCGAAGGAAGGCCCCGCCCAAGGATGGCTTAGGGTGGGCTGTAATTTGCTTTGCTTTGTGCTAGGCGTCGAGAAAGGCGAAACTTTGCTTTTTTGGAGCCACGCCCACTTGCTGCCTGTGATAGGATCGATGAGCTCAACTAGACCAGCAAGGGCCAGGGCCTCCTGTAGCTTTCGTCACGTACCCACTGTTTGCCGCTCGACGCGATTCCCCGCTGGGACTACGACAACGAGGAGAAGTAGCAACATCAGCAGCAGGCGAGCTGTGAGTGAGTCTGGGAAGCTGACCAAACGAATCCGGGGTGCGACTGTGTGTGTGCGTGAGTGTGTGCCAGGGCGTTGCCTCCTCAATTTCAGTAACAGAGGAAGAAGCAGCAGTAATAGAAACCACTGACAAGTATTGCTCCACCCAGGACCCAAGATTAGTCTCAGCTGCTCATATAATTGCACCTTCTTTTTGTTCTGCCGGGACCTTGGTCACCCGTGGTGGAGCTGTCTGTGTTTTGGGCGAACAGGATACAGCCGACAGTGTATTTTTGCATTTTGGATTTACATTTGTCGTTCGTACTGGCGGGGGCGTTGTAGGAGATGGGGATGTTGTAAGGTTCGACCTTCGTTGGAAGCAGCCATTGACAGAACACCTGGTGCTGTTAGCAATCATTCGTTTTGCGTGCACACGACACCACTCGCCACTGTATGTATCAATTCATAAGTTACCACATGTTGGCTTCTAGAAGGCGTTGCCAACAGGCTGGGATGCATCTTCTTAGACCATTGTAGTAAGCTCTGCGTGCATAACGTGGCTTGCTTGCCTATGTGCTATTCGTGTGTCACTGTACCCGTCGGATCACCATCCAGAAAGTTGTGCGTGCGCTGGTAAATCCGGGGTAAATGGGCATCACTGCGGACCACATTCCGCAGTTATAGTGGGCGAGACAAAAACATTGGGAAGGTCTGTCAGGCCTTGTTTCTCTCGCCGTCGAGTCAGGGAGACTATGATGGCGCAGCAGAGGTGCGAGAGTGCTACCGGCGCTTTTCGGCCAATGTCATCTCGTTGAAACTGTCAGCATTGAAAATTTGCCCATCAGATCAATCGAATTCAATCTAGACCAGGCGGCTATGCCAGGTCAATCACGAACAAGCCAGTACATGAGCGGCCTCTCACATGATGGCAAACCTCAACTATTACGCATCAGCGGCGCTGTTCCACGGTGCTCTCGTTTGGTAAACGGGCGGGGTGGGGAAGGGTTTAGAAAGAAGACAGCGACAGCGACGGGCCCGCCCCCGCTGGGCTGAGCCAACGGCTATATGGTGGCATTGTGCATTTTCGCATGGCCCTCCATCACATTTCAGTGGTCCATGCGCTGTGTGTAGTGCACTACAGGGGCTACACCTGCCCGCTCCAGCGCCAGCAGGCGACGGTAGATCTTCCGGCACCGCTGGGCCTTCATCTGCATAGCGTTGCACCCGATGTGATGCTTGTCTGATCATTGCCCAGATGCTCCCGCTACCCCGGAGGTTTTCTCTGACTTGAGTGAGATTGCAGGGTCAAAGATATGCAGAGGAAAGTGCTATGCAACAAAAAAAAAATAAAAAAAAATAAACGGACGAGCCATCATTTGGAGTTACCCTCCCAAACTAGCTTGTTGACCAGCAGTCCTTTACCCTTTGACACTTGCTGAACAGTGTCGATACTGTATTTACCGGACGGGTGCAGGTATTGCAATGGGATGATTGTTTCGTAGACTGACTCTGCCGAGAATATCTGGTCCGGGGAAGCAGGAAGGTAAACCAGCATCTGGAAGCTAAACCTCTATAGCAATGCCTACGAGCGATCCAAGGGTTGGTCTGGCGGTATACTCCCCCTCCTTCGGCGGACTTTCAAACCCACCCGGCGCCCGTTGATCTGGATTCCAGTGGTTTCAAGCCGCATCGAACTCTAAACGCTGTCCCTACAGGCGGCGTCCAGTAATCATCAATGACTGTATCGGCTTCTTCCTCCCGCTTGCAACCCAGCCCGAGACGAGGCGGGTGGTAATTCACGATTTAATTCATAATTTTATTTTTCTCTTCTCCCGTCCTTTTTCAGTTGTTGCCTCTTCTCCTTGGTTTTGCACTGGGGGAATCCTTAAAAGCTCGCATGCGCTACATGCGGCGCCTCTATGACCAGCCATACCTCTCGTAGTTTAGTGCCATACGGTGCTGGGCGGCCAGTGGTGCCAAAGCCGATAGTGCTATAGTGCCACTGTGGAACCTGGGCCTGTAAAACAGGCGCTAGAACGAAGCGCTGGAGAGTGCCGCGGCAGCACGCACGTAATGGGATGAGGCGCTGGGAACAAGAAGGCCAAGCCGCTCAACCCCCTCTCTGGCCTCTCTGTCTTTCCGCTCCAGGCCGCTAGCTCCCCTCCTCCTTGTTCTCGCGAGCGCTGGAAAACCGTGCTTGGCCTGGCCATCCCTTCTGCAGGCGAGTTCTTCTGCCACCAGCTTCTCCACCCCCATCGCAACCCCCCCCTTAAACCCAATTTTCCCTGCCCAAAGGACCGACCTTCCCTATTCTCTCCGCCACACCCGCACACCCCTTCCAATGGGGACATGGTGCGGCTCGTCCCTCGGACAGGCTACTCCCAGAGCTTGTCGTGCCAGCGCCACGAGTCGTGGGAAGCAGATGGGTGCTGCCAGCAGACAGCTGCAAGCGTTGCTGCTGAGTTTTGGACCAGCCTGGGGGAACCGACGAGCATATCTACAGTACATGCAGCAGCCACCTGCGACATCAAGCGTAACAGGGTACTAGTTATTCTACCAACTCCTCGTCTTCCTTTCGGTCCCCCCAAGTCTGTCTCTCTTGCTCTAAAAACTCGGCCGATCCGTCGATGGCATGGCAAACCTAGCAATCGATCCAAAACGGCACCGCGGGACAGAGGATAGGCAGGACGGACCCCTGCTAGCCTGAGGTGTCTCACTAAGTTGGCGACCCGTGTGGCAGCAGCACTAGGTAGGCAAAAATAATAAAATGAAAAAGGTGAATTTAAAAAAAGGATTAAAAAAAGAGGATATTACCCTGGTTGCCACTAAACGCCCTCTGGGACGATGCAGACCAGGCTGCCGCTCCTCAGTGACCTGGGCGACCACCTCACGCCAACGTCGAGAGCCCACCACACCACCCGCCGCACACACGCCCCCGCCCGGCCCAGTGAACCACCCGCGCGCATTGGTTTTTTGGGCTTGGGAAAGGCTTGTGCTGGTTGTGCCGCCGGCTGGTACTATTGCTGGTACTAGTACTGCTGCTTCTTTCTCTCTTCTACTTATTCTTCCTCTCGTCTGCTTCCTCCTTTCAACACCTTTTCCCCAATTCTCCGTCCCTGCCCCCCGAGATTTCGGTCTTGTCCTGTCTGCTTTCGCCGACAGCCTCTACCAAGCTAGCTATTCGCCAGTCGTAGCATTCACTCGGACTTCCCCCCAATAAACAGCCACAAGCATAGGCACCACCAGGAACACACCACCAGCTCTATTATATATATGCTCCGTTGGGGACCGCATACTGTGAAATAAGGAGATCTCGCGACGAATACTTCAGTGGCATCTGCAACAATACCGATCTAGATTTGTCGACGTCAGCCTGGGACTTGCCTACCAAACACGCGCACACCCAACAAACGCTGAACCCCTCCTGGCCTCCGCTGCATACGAGCTGTCAACGCTCTCCATACACTCCGAGTATTATAGCAGCCACTTGCTCCAGCAACATAGATTGTTGAGATCCAGCTCCTGTTCGGTAATAACCACCACCCTCACGTCCCCCCATCTATTACAGGCCTGGCACGGCCCTGCCTATACACGGAAGCCAACGGCTTCTTCCCGAAGCACCACACGCCAAGGAAAGGCGTATGTCTTTTGTGTCCCCCCAACACTTATATTTGCTCATCGTGAATATAGTACATAAACTGACATATCTAGAATAGCATATCGGCTTTGTTTAACAATTCACACCCCATCGGCCAAGCCTCCGATTCGTGCTTTGCCCGCCACCCAGACCACCCTAAGGCTGTTGCTTTCACCGCCGGCTTGGATTCAAAACGCCATAAGTCCAAGTCTAACCTCTCCAACATATCATACCAAGTTCAAAGCATTACGCCCCTATTATACCACATTCTTCTTCGACCGTCTCACCATGGTCCGAGATTGGCCTAGGGATACATTTTCCCGTCAGCAAGCTTATCAAAACCATTGCTTTCCAACAGATCCCCATCAACGCGAGCAGTCTTTTTCTAACGAGAGATTTGGCCCCAGTACGCCGAGACAGCAGTTTTCTGCAGATCAATTTGTACTAGACTCTAACGGCACCCCAACAATGCCAACCCATGACGATGTACGTCGACGGACGACACTGATGGTAAGCTTCATGGCTCGGCGTTTCAAGTGAATAGGATGTTGGCTAACGAAATGCAATAGCAAATTGATGATGCTCTTCGGTTACACTGCGGCATTAATGCAAGCCGTGTCTTTGTAGCCAGTGTTGGAAATGACGGACGCATTTCCACCTTTAGCAGCCCTGGACAAAATTTTGGACCAGAAGTAGTAAGCCAATTTTTCGACTCGGAAAGATATCATAAGGTGATGAACCGCATTGAAGCAGGTGAGTGCATGAGATTCGATGTCCGATATGAGAGTATATACTAAGACTGTGTGTGCACAGGAGCGAGCCCGATGCTAGATACAGATGACCCTTCATTTGGCCGCCATTCTACGAACCGCAGTCAAGCGTCTGGAAGTCGCCGTGGTTCCGTTGCCTCTGGCTGGGAGAATTCTTCCAGATCAGGCGGCCGTAAGCGGCAGCGGCCCCGTCCCATTCCATCTGCGGATGATGATGAGCCGTCGATGGCTACCTCTAATCGTACACCGTTGATGATTGGAGATTCCGATGCTGTTTGGAACTTTTATGAGCAAAGATTTAAATCCTGTCAACAGACAGCTTGCAAACTCATTGCCAAAGCCTGGGTCAAAGCTGTTGAGCCTAAGAAGCAGTCAACACACCCGTACACAGGCAGCGATGAGAAGGCACCGGAGTGGTGGCCGAAGCCATGGGGCCCGACTAAAGACGACAAGGTTCGACACAAGGAGCCTGACCATCTGTACAAGAGGGAGCGAGTTCATTTGTTAGCCCATATTCTTCGATTGGTTGTGGAGCCGAATGACAAGCAGCACCCAGATATAAGAAAACTCAACCTCAACGTTGCGAAGCTGGAAGATGCTACTTGGGAGGCGCTTTCGACGTTTTTCATGGAGAACAAGGCGAATGCCTTGAAACGCCAACACCTCAATGAGATCTTCAAAGTCGCCACATCTGAACAGAAGCATCGAAATGATGAGATTGGTACGTATAAGGACACAAGAACTGACAGCGAGACGTGAATGGTAACTAACTCTGCTCGTTCTATGTAGATGGAACCACTCAAATACTTATCAAGGATGCTGACAGTGGTGGTGATGGCCTCTCTGATACTGAAGACTACGGTGGCGCTATGAAGGACGATGACGATGTCGACATGTCGCAACCTAAGATGGGCTCGGTGGGTGTCATTCCGAGCAACAACTCCTTTATTGACCCTTTGCCTGTGCGAAATCCGCCATTTAGCCCGGGTATGCTACCCGATCTAAACACGCAACACTTTCCTGACCCATCGGGAATGCATGTTCACGGCAACGGATCTGCTATGAATCTGGATATGGTTGGCAGCCCGCATGATCACCAACCTGGAAGCCGTCGACCATCTGTGATTCCCGGTTCATTCTCAAGTCCTGTACCGGCAATGTACACACCGACGTGGCCAGCGGCATCTGGACAGCAAAATCCGGCCATGTATTCGTACGCATCACAGCAAGACCTGGAGAACAGCGGATTTGTCTCTCCCAGTGTCCAGGAACAAAACTTTATGGCAGCACAGTTTGATCCCAACCACAGCGCCATGTTCCGACCAGGAGACATGAGCGGCGCAACAGGGCATGGCGATGGGTCCGGCTACGACAATTACCTAGCGACGGACTCAAGAGCCGCCATGGGCCAGCACATGTAAGACGAAGTGGTGCAACCTTGTGGAGACAACTTTTCTGCAGTCGGACATGTCGTCAACCGAGATGTCTCTCAGCCAAGTCGGGCCTGGGAGTCCTTGGACTTCCCCACTGCCGACCAGCAACTGTTAATAAATTACATGGAGTCTTTTTTCATTCTTCTTTACATTGGGAGGCACGCAGTCTAGCGTTATTGCTTGGTGGCCGTTTTCTGTTTTAGGAAGAAGAAGATTTTCCTTTTACGATATATGAATACGACAAGATGAAACGACATTTTTGATTATGTTTTGTCTCTTTTTTTTGGTCTTTTGTTTTGCTTCGGGAATTGAGATACCAGCACTCTTGATGATGTGCATAATTCGACATGCATATATACTACGCAAGCGGCATAAGGGGGGGAAGACGGTGGATGGAGCTCACGCAATCGTTCGGCTATTCAACAACGGCATGCGGTTTGTTGCGTTGCAGATTGTATTAGCAAGAGTAGGAGCAGCCACCAACAGCAACAACAATAGCTGCGACGATCGGTAATTGGATTGCTTCGGTCGTACGACGGCGAATGTCTTTGTTGGTGATATGGCTACTCGCCCTGCAACGACTGCCGGGCCATATCGGGGTGGGCAAAGGACGGGTCCAGGTTGATTTATAACGCATCCCATTTAGCAGGGGTAACAGGGCTAAATTCTACTTTATTCTTCTGCTGATCACTTTGCGCCTTTATGCTTGCCAGCTGGAGTTGACCGCCAAATGCCGTGAAACTATCAGCCTAATGCGATGCTGTCTTGCGCTTGAAGGTATGCGCTGTAAATTAGCTGTAGCTGTAGCTGCAGGTGCAGGTGTTGCTACCGCTAAACTGCTGTAGATCGCTGTGGCAGGGCCTGCAAACTTGGGTCGTTAGGCGGGATACTAAATTAGTGGGCGGGCCGGGCCGGCAGCGAGCCATTGCCGCTTCGGTTCACTAATTCGGTAGCAACAGCAGCAACAACAGGCGCAGGAAACGAACTAAAACTGCCTGTCCCGGGGGTGTGCGGCTCTCCTCATGGTTGCACGCTGTGTACATTAATACGTAGACTTGCAGATCCGGGCCTCGCAAACTAATCTTAATATAATTGGTACGTACAGTTGTTATTTTAAAATAAAAACAATAATAATCAATGCCCTATAGCGGTTAGGGCCGGCGGGCCATGCGTGAGATTTTGCTCTTCTGTCACTTTTGACAGATGTTACCGTCCACCGGAGAGGGGAGCCCTGGCCTGGCTGAGAGGCAACGCTCGCAACACCGCACGCAGGTGGGGGGGAGAAAGAGGGGTGGGTGTGTGAATGTGCAAGCTTCAAAAAATTGAAAATTAAAAAAAGAATACTGAATCAACCAATAACCGATGCAAACGAAAGCTTGACCCAAAAAATGGGCGCTGCTGCTGTTGGCTAATGCTGGCCGCATGTAGCCATGCGTGGAAAGCGTACTAATTAGCCTTAATAGCGTGTACCTGCACAGTACCTAGTTAGGATGCCCCCCTCCTTCCTCGCTGTATTAGCCGCTAATTGCCAGCTTCTCTCCCCTAATTTACAGCAGGGCTGCCGCCAGCACTATCTTCTCTTCTCTTCTCTTATCCAAGACAGACACCGGGCACAGCCTGGACCTGTTCAAAGACTTGCGCCATCAGGGGCCGGCGAAACTGTCGGACCTTCTCCCCATTCGTATCTCCACGAATTAGCCCCCTGGGTCTCCGGGTCGGCGACTACAAACAACCCAACGGGCAGCAGGCCAGCCACTAGTTTCTGCGTTCCCCCGAGACAAAGACCCAGCCAGGCAGTTTCAATTGTGGCGTGCGCCGGGGCGGCGGCGGGCGGGGGGTGGGGGAGAACAACGTTTGTGCCCACCATCAGCAGTATCAGAAGAAATCAGGAATCAGCAGCTGTGTTTTTTTGTGGAATTCGCGTGTTGTAGCAGGCCCGCCGGCCCGACGTAGTATTGCAGGGGATACACACCCCCAACAAGGAAATAACTTTGCAGGGGACGCTGAATCGCTGTAAGTTTGGGCCTGCAGCAGCCGCTGCACCTCGTGGCTTTGTGGCCCTGCTCTGCACTATCTATTTTGCTTTGATATGTCTCGGGCCTTTCTGTTCTGCTGGCTAACCATGCTTGGTTTATTATGATAGGGTTGATATATGTAGCTCCGAGCCGACGGATATAGTCCCTCTAGTGGTTCGACGAACATCCAACGGCTTACTTCGGCAGGATAGATCCATCCAAGTGGGGAGAGACGAAGCACAGTACGATGAACCATTGGTTAGAGTACAGCTAGGGCTTCGATTACCGTGACCTACCTACTGTAATGAGCAGCTGAAGAGCGCTGGAGCGGGCTAGAGAGTGATTGCCGCTGTTACCGATGGGTCTACAACAGATGCAGACGCCAGGTGAGAAAATCATGGAACTGCCAGATTGAGTAATTATTTTCCAGCCTAAGCTGATCGGTTACGAAGCGAATGCGCCGTGACATTTCGGCGGTGTGTGAGTCGCTAGGTCATGAATCATGGACAAAACGGCGCTGAACGTTTGACATATTACGTTTTTCTTGTCCTTGGCTCCGACCGAGCCGTCGCTACGATGTGATCCGAACGCCAATTACACGTCCTCGGCGAACCAGATCTTGGGTCGCCCATCTATCTGGGAGGGTGATGGGCAGCGTGCAGCTGGCCCCCCAGAGACATGGTCGTACGATGCTAGATGCACGTTCTTTTGTCAAAATCCCATTCTGTAGGCCAATTCTGCTGTGTCATGCCATGCCATGCCAAGTTTCCAGACACCGGGGTGTCAATGAACGACAAAGAAAACGATAGCGCGGGTGGGCTAGGCACATCTCCCGCTGCGCCGAGTCGTTCGGCTTGCCGAGCAAAATATTTTAGCGCCAACAGCGATGCCATGATGCAGGCATGCAGTCTACGTTATGCAGGGTCGTCCTCGTCCCGCTTCACAGACAATGGCACGGGAAGACGAGCAGAAAGTGACACAATGAATGGACCTTGGCATGGGGCACACAAGATACAGATGATGAAGAGCGGCGACTTGGCTTATTGGTTTGTATATTTGCGGGTCACAAACTACGAATGTGAACCGAAGAGAAAGTAGAGTAAAAAAAAAAAGAGACCCAATCATCATCGTCTGTTCCTCCAACGAACCATCTTCCCGAGAAACGCCGAAACGACCTGAACCGATAACAGAAAAAAAGAAAACACAAGGCAAACGATTAGTACGTGCAGCCGCATCGGCTGATCAGGCTGAGGCAGAGAGAGAAGCGGCATTCGAAAAAACCTAACGTTGCGCATGGACGCCACGCGGTGTGGTGATAGGGCGGAGGATCATGGACCACTCTAAGCGCCCGCCCGAGCTCACCCGTCGGCCCCATCATCCAGGCCATTCCCGGACGCAACGCCGACGGCCAACGGGCAGGGAATAGTAGAAAGAAGTGGCAGCGGTAATGGAACGATGCGTGCCATCCGTTGCGGTTTGGGAGGTTATCGTTGATGGATGGTCGTGCGTGCATCATCAGGTCGTCCGAGGTTCACCGATAGCTGCTGCTGTTGCTGCTGTTGCTCGTCCATACTCCTCGTCCTCCGACAAGGGCCAGACAATCTAGGCCGACGCACCGGTTTCGTCCTTGGGCTGCGGGGGCTCGAGACCAGCGTTCTGGGCGACTCGCTTCCATGTCTCGAGCTCGCGGTAGAGACGCTCGCACTCCTGCTTGAGCTTGTCGTTGGACTGGCTCAGCTCTGTTATGGCTTGCTCGGTCAGCAGCTTCTCAAGCGTCCACTTTTCAATGTTTTGCTGCTCGTTCTCCTTGAGCTGCGAGATGAAGCTGACGGCACGCTGCAAGATGGATCCCTTGTTCTTCTCGCAGCCAGGCACAATCTTGGACAGCTCGTTGATGCCCTCGTTGATGGTCTCGCGGCGACGGCGCTCGACTTCCTTGTGGTTGTCCTTGCGGATCTTGTGCCACTCATCAGAGCCAACGGGCGGCTTGGGGCCGCTCTGTGATGCCGATGATGTGGAGTAGCGGTGCTGCTGGGCCAGCCCATTTTGCGCCTGCTGCAGGTGTGTGTGGTCCAGGAGACCATCCTGCGTCACATCTGGGTTGAATGCATGCTCGTGGTGCTCGCCATCTGCGGCGGCCTGCGCGGCAAACTGCTCCTCTGTCGTAGGCGGGACATGCAGAGTAGGGTACATTCCCAACGCGGCCTGTGCAGTGCTCGTAGCATTGTCCGAGGCATCAGTGTGGTCCTGTGTCGCCTGCTGCAGAGCATTGAAGTCGGCAACGTTGACGCCGTTGTGTGCGGCGGCATTGGTTGCCTCAATGGCACTCTCAATAAAGGCGGCCGTGTCGGCAGACATGTCGGCGGCCATTCTCTTACGCTGCGAGCCGGGGCTCTCGAGCTCACGCTTGCGCTTTTGGTTGGGAGACCCGGTAAGAGCGCTGAGATCGGGGTGGTCCTCCAAAAGACTGTCGGACATTATGTGATGTGATGTACAAAAGCGGCGACTGTTGTCAATCGCTGTGATGAGTGTGAAGTTGTAAAACCTTGTTCACGATGATCTGGAGATGGCCAAATGTTAGATACAATGCTCGGAACAGGATACGTGATTAACTGTGTAGCAAGTGCCAACACAGAAAAATGTGATTGCCTTGTATGCAAATGGGAGTTTAGGGAAGGCGATGTCACGGTGATCTCAACTGCTGCTGGCTGCAATCACTTCTTGGACGGCGCAATCAAGATTTTTGCAGCAAAAAGCGGAGGTGGCAAATTTGCGCAATTTCTGAAAGCATCGCCAAAGGTCATCAAACTTGAGCGTCGCTTCATCACACAGAACGAGGATCTGCGATGATATGTCGGTTGGCTCTCATGTAAGACGGCGTGTAAGTGAAGCAGGGTGAGTGAGTGAGTGTAAGAGCGCTGGTGCTTCGTATCGCGACGACGCTCAACAACAGCAACAACGCGGGGATGCGATCGCAGGGAATCAAACGACGCGCCAGACTTTGCAGCATCGGGCGGCAGCGATAAAAAGATTTTTTTTATAACATCGCGGATTTGCCAGGCTCTTTGCAGACTGGCCAGCAGGGACAAGGAACGACCTGGACATACCTAGCAGATCATGTGTTTTGCTGGGGACAAATCACGAGTTTTGTCCTCACGTGTTTTCAGCGTGATCAGACTCGTGATATCGCGTCGCTGGGTCCGTCTAAGTGCGCGCGGCAGAAAAAGCGCAAAAAACGGAAAGCAAAAGGGCAAGCCGAGATGACGAAAATAAAATATGATTTTTCTGAAGCACTGCTGGTCTGGTGCACGATGCGATGATTATTGCGGCAAGGCAGGTGAAGAAGGGTGGAAAAGGGAGACGACAGACAAGGTTTGACAGTGCGAGGCCTGGGTCTTTGACGCGTTTGCGGCTGGCTCAGCGTGCAAGTTGGCTACCTATACGCACTGTGCCTGTTCACGGTGCTGTTCTACTGGGCGGCTGCCTTGCGCTCCTCCCCCAAGTTACGAGAACGGCGGCGCGGGTCACGGGACCAAGCAGGGAGGGGGACGTGTGCACGTGCAGTAGCCTAGCTGGAGCTGTGGACGATCGCAGTGGAGGGGGGCACGCCTTGAACGCCTGAGGCCAGCCAAGCAGCATCCCAGCTGGCCAATGAGATGGGCAGCATGCCCGACTCGCGTCTTCCATATTAATAGTAATAGTAATTAAAAAAAGAGATACGAAGGTAGATTAAAGTACCATATACAAATGCAAATCGGCTACTTTGGCAATTTTGTCCATCTCTACATAGGCTATCTCCCATAGCGTCCAACGGTAGACGGCCCGTCTTGCAACCATCTCACTTACACACACACGCGCCCATGCAACCATCACCGTTCTCCCTGCCCGTGGCTCTGTTTCCCCCTCGACTTTGTTATGCATGTTCCCGCCTGAATCGTTCTCTCTGGTAGTGCTAGACATGCATGACGCTAACTACGGAGTTTACCGTTTCAAGTACGGATGCCTTGCAGGTAGGCCGCAATCTGCAGTGTCCTATCGGTGGGAATAGCAAAGTTTCGTACAATTTGCCTAATTCTACCTCGTACCCCCCAATCACACTGAGTCCGAGTCTACCCCCTATTTTGATAGAGGTTTAGTCTAACTGTAGTTGCTACAGAACCTGTGCACTGTGATACTGTAGGCTTCCACAGCGAACTAGATCCATACCGGTTCCAGCAACCACTTCCACTATATTGTAAAGCTATGAAAATGTTGTCTAATTTTTTGTCCTCTTTTATACCATTATCCTTTTTGCTTTTATCTATTACAAAGTAAGGATTCCTTGATCCTTCCTTTTGGCCCGGCTTTCTCTAACCTGTCTCGTTACGCCATTTATAATCAACGCTTGGGGATGCCACCATGCCACGGTCTCCCACTTGTGCCGGTCCTCCTGAGTAAGCTGACGCCAGTCAAGTCTCCAAAGATTACCTTTGGGCCTCTCAAACCATAGCGCTTCAATAGTTGGTAGCCTAACACGCAACCAGGGCGAGAAGTCCACATTCTCACCGGCTGCGAGCCTCTCGTTACTCTGTCTATCCAAAACCCAGACCCAAGCATTGTTATATGTGGAAAACAAGGACCTAGAATGCTCGTTGTTCGTCTCATAGTGATGCAGAGGTGGGACCTCAGCCGGTAGTTTCTCGAGTGTTACAAGAGCTGTTTTATCGACAATTAAGCATTGGTGATAGCGCGCATTGCCGCGGGATGCTGCTAAATCTACATCTAGACTTGCAACCCACTCAGAGAAGGCAGCACCAACAGGGAAGAAATCTTCATCGCCTTCTGGTTCTGTTATAACAGTGTCGTCCGGCAGAGAGGCGGGGTCAAACTCAAATACTTGATTATACAGGCGTTCGGCTATTTGGTCAGTTGAGTCATTCGGCCCAGTAAAGTTATCACGGACGTTGTCGTCGCCGTAGCGGACAGCTCGCACTAGACAACGCAACCATAGATCAAACCGATCAAGTGCGCTCTGAAACCGCTCATCAGAGTCTCCATCGAAGCGTACTCGGTAGACAGTAAAGCCCCAGCCGTATGGAATATATGTATTGAAAGTGCTGTCGGCCAGAAGCGCCAACGATTTCCATGATATGCGGCGGTTTTCGTGTTGGTATCGCGCATCGTCGTCTGGGTATGCAGCGTAACAAGGATCAATAGGCAACGGGGAGAAGATTGGTAGTGGAGGAACCATGCTGGGTATTTATGAGATATCAGCGTAGAAGAGACAATAGAACAGTGAATGGTTCGTGTGAATAAGATAATATGGGATATTTATTCTGGAATTGAGAGTAGCTTTGGCGGTGACTGCTCGTGATTTTTTTATATTTGGTTTTTGTGGCTCTTGTTTGGCGGGCTTGCGTTAATAATTAGCAGGTACACAACACCTACATCGACATATATGCACATTATTTTTGCGTACTAGAAATAAAAAAAAATGTCTGGATGAAAAGAATCCCTTTGGAATAGCCAAGAGTACAGTTACGTGATTTGGGTTGTTACTGGCCAGCGCTATCACAGCAGCATGCGCTAAAGAGGTACCTAAACCTGCCCACTTACAGAGCTGGCCATCCCCCATGCGGGCACTTCTGTCCCCCCACGTTATCGATTATCGGCTCTAAGTCCCGATCCACCATCATCCGCAACCTCCAACCTCAACCATCACATCATCACCCTCGCCTTGCCGTGCACCAACGCCCCCAAGCACAGCGCAGCCATCATGGGGGACCACGAGTTTGCCACCCTGAAGCACAACGAGCATCTCCTGCTGGTACGAAGCCGCCCGGGATCCCCAACGATAGCTCGCCCGCCCGCTTTGCTAACTAACTGCCGCTACAGGACCAGCCTCTCCTCCGCCTCCCCAACGAGCTCCTCCGCAAAAACTTCCGCTCAGCCCACTTCACCATCGAAAAGGACACCTCCTCTCTAAAGACATTACTCAAAGAATCCGCCACAGCCGCCGTGTCTGGCCGCGCCTCGCAGGCCGATGTCCTCCGTAACCTTGATAGCATGATTGCTCGCATGCGCGGCGTCAAACGCAAGCTCACAGCCCACGCTGAAGAAGAGGCACGTCTCCACTCGCAAACAGCAGCTCGTATATCGCATCTCAACGATCTGTACTCTATGAGCAGCGTCGACGATGTCCGCTACGAGGCGTGGAGCAGGCAGCGTCTCGACCGCCTGCTGGCCGACTATCTCCTGCGCCACGGCTATAACGATACCGCTGCACAGCTGGCGGCCGAGAAGAAAATTGAGAATTTGGTCGATGTAGACACATTTGTGAATCTTAGCAGGATTCGCGAGTCTCTGCTTGACGGCACCGTCTCGGACGCCCTCACGTGGTGTGCGGAGAACAAGAAGGAGCTTCGCAAGATGGAGGTACGTTGACGAGCAGAAACACCCACTGCTTACAAATAGATGCTAACGTGCTACTTTTTTGCAGAGTAAACTGGAATTCATGCTCCGTATGCAGCAGTATATCGAGCTTATCCGCACAGAATCCGAAGCCAAGCTAATCGAGGCTCTCGCCCACGCCAAAAAGCACCTCATCCCGTACTGGAACACATACCCCGAAGACGTTCGCCAGGCATGCGGCCTCCTTGCCTTTCCTCCGTCATCGCCATCAGCCCCTTATGCCCACCTCTACGACCAGTCTCGCTGGGGCGACCTTGCCGACCTGTTCACCTCTGCGCATAACACGCTACTGGCACTTCCCTCTGTCCCTCTGCTACATGTGGCTCTCTCCTCGGGCCTGTCAGCCCTAAAGACACCAGCATGTCATCATGCCCCAAGTACAAATGGCAAGCCTGCCGCGGCGCCGTCGACGCTAGGACATGGAGTATGCCCCATCTGCTCCATCGAGCTCAACGATCTAGCCCGCAACGTGCCATATGCACACCATACAAAGAGTCATGTGGAAAGTGACCTCCTCCTCCTGCCCAATGGCCGCGTCTGCGGCGCTCAGCGCTTAGAAGAGACCTCTCGAAAGAGCGGCCTGCCTCCGGACAAGGTCAAGGATCCGCACTCGAGCGATGTCTATACAAGAGACGAGCTAATCAAGGTATACATCACATAAAGAGGATATTTTGGGATAGTGCCAGGACAAACAGAGACAGCATCAGACACATGTACATTTTAACTACTAGCGATTTTCATTTACAGCGACAGTTTATTTAGTCCATCATTTTCACAGAGTGCACAGCAGCGTAGCTTTTTATATAATACTTTGCATTGATAACAAGTTTCCACCAGTCCCCGGTACAAGAGACATGACAGAGTAAAAGCACAGGCATAACAACAAGCAAAACTAAGAACCAAAAAAGAACGCATCGTCCGTACATGCATACACGGGGCTTTTCTCCAACCCCCTTTCTCCCCTTCCTTTCCTTTCTCTTGTCTCCTGCTTTGCCAGACCGGTCAAGTAGTGACGAAAACTCCTTAAACAACAAGCCTACATCCCAAAAAACAAAAAAAGCAAAGCAGAACAAACAAGTCAAATGCCCATAGTATCAAAAAAGACATAAACAAAGGTACAGCTGTTCCTGTGCCTGGGTAGAGAGCAACAAGACAGACTGTTTTGATTACAGCGGGTTTTATAGGGTTAGGTGGATTGTGATATGAGGCGTGTGTGGTAAGTAGTAGTAGTCAAAGAGCAGCTTGCTAGCAGCGCAAGCCCAATAAGATAGAAGAATGCATCTACCTGTTGTTGCCGCCAAAGGCAAAGCTGCCAAAGACGCCGCCGCCGCCACCAGGCGTCATAGGGCCGCCCAAGTGGCCTGCGAGGCCGTTGGTGTTGTGGCTCTGCGCGGCCGGACTGGTGACGAGACCGACGGTGCCGGTGTTGGGCGTGCTGGGTGCGTTGCCGCAGTTGCTGTCCTGAGTGCTGTGGCCGATGAGCGAGGGGATGATGGCATTACCATCGGGCACGCCGAGGCCCCAGACCTTGCCAATGTGCTCCTCGGGGATATCGGAGTTGTAGATCTTGTCGCGCATCTGGAAGAAGACTTTACCGGTAAGCAGCGAGTCGGAGCCAGCTTGGTGGGCCGAGCCGATGCGCTTGACTTTCAGGGTTTCGGCAATGTTCTCGAGGCCCGACTTGTGCTCAAACTTGTGCAGGATGTCGGCGGTGTTGGGGTCCGTGGGGGTGAGGAGGCCCGAGTTGTGCAGCCGGATGGCGTGCTTCATGAGATGCTTGACGTCGTAGGTTGTCGGGAAGTAGAGCTTCATCTTGTCGTTGAAGTCGACCTCATCGTTGGGCAGGGGTGAGCAGATGAGCAGCTTGGTCAGGTAGCCAAAGTCGTAGCCGCCGTGGAACGAGATCCATTTGACTTCAGGGAAGCAGACGAGACCCGATGGGATAAGGAGCGCGGCAAACTCGTGAGGATCGATACCGTCGCGCTCGAGAGCGTTGAAGTCGATGCCAGCCTGCTGTAGCGACTCAATCGACTTTTCATTGTACATGTCCTCCTTGAGCGAGAACTTGAAGTTGAACTGCCATGAGTAGGGGAATGTGCCGGTCATGGAGCTCTTCTTGACGGCAGGGCCAAACTCGGGGCCGGGGCGCACAGGCGGCGTCTCGCCGTCCTCGTTGAAGAGCGTCAGGCCAATCTGGATGACCTTGAGCATGTCGACGTTGGTGCGGAGGCATTGGTAGTGATAATCACTCTTGCCGCGGAATGCACCCATCGGTCTAGATACAACACCAGGGAATTCCGTGTCCTGTGAAACACGTTAGCATATAGATCCATTTCCCAATACATAGTGCAAAAACTTACCATGGCAATGTAGGGATATCTCTCAACCAAGTCTCGTAGCACAGCCATCTCTTCTTGGAGGTTGTGCTTCCAGACCTCTCTTATACGACCTCTGTTGCTATTCGGTTGGCGCATCATGGGCTGGTCCATGAGCATGCTGTGCTGAAGTTGGCCGTGCTGCGGCTGCTGCAGGCCACCAGGGCCATGTCCAAAGCCCATGCGGGAGCCCTGGCTTCCAAAGCCGCCCTCAAATCCAGGAGCGCCATTCAGGCCAGCAGCAGCGTTGAAGTTGCTGTTTCCAGCACCGCCAAAGGGGTTAATCTGGGCACTGGCACCAAGATACTGGTTACCGCCTAGCGGGCCCTGAGGCTGGCCATGAGAAGGGAAGCCCGGTTGGTGAAACGGCCCGGTCACGCCGGGGCCACCGAAGCCTCTCAATTGAGGAGGCATCGAGGGTCGGTGGTGATGGGACGGGGTTACGCTTTGGGCCCTATACTGTGTCGATATATCGGGTGTCCAATGACGCGGCTGGTGCCTGCGAGTCCAAGGACGATGTTGGTGGTGGACGAGTGCAGTCGGAGTATGGGAGAGTGGTGACTGCGGCGCCGAGACGGAAGAAAACGCTGCGCCGTGGCTACGCGCGGGGGAGAAGTCGTGCTGGTAGTGATAGGTCTGTGGGGAGGAGAAGTAGCGGGCGTCGTGCTGCTGTGGCCTATTCGGTTTCTAACGATCGGAAGGGGGAGTATGCAAGGCGTGACCTGTTCGTTGGTGCATTTGCAAGAAAGCGTCCAAGGAAGCAAAGACTCGTCAATGCAAGCGTCGCAAGCTACCGTCCTAGCAAAAATATATACCCCTGCGGATTGGCGTGCTGGCAACTGCGTCGCAGGCTCGCGTGGTCGGTCGATGGAGGGATGGCGTTTTGCGGCGAAGAGGTGGTTAAAGCAGCGCTGCTTTCTCCAGTCAGAAGAAATTACAGAGTACGACAATCGCTTAGTCAAATAGTCGAGGCAGAAAGAAGCCGGCCGGGAGATGGTGCGAGGTAAGAAAAGAAGAAAAATGGTGGTGGTGGTTGAAGTAGTAGCTAAAATGCAAAGGTGGTTCTTCCTGAATCCAGCTGCCTCTGCTTTGTCTTTGCACGTTGCCCTCTGCGATCCGGACTTGGCCCGTGCGTGTTGTGTGCAGCTGCCCGCCCGCCGCCCGCAAGCACCGGCACCCAAAGAAAAGGACAAACCTTTTTCCGGTGGACCTGGCCAATAATCCAACGCCAAAGTAATCACAGCCAGCAGCATCTCGACATCCATCGACTCCGACCGCAGACCTGTTGTATCGCACAGGCCGGAATACAGGCCGCAATTCACACATCCAGACACAATGCTTCCCACAAGGTGCGCCAATTCCGTCCCTGCCCGCTGCTCGCCGCCCAATTCACTCGTCTTCGGTCGCGCGCAGCCAGCCTCAGCAGCAGCAGCACGCAAAACACAAAAGACCCTCGCCGAAGAGCCCAGCCAAGCTAACAATGTTTTCCCTTATGCAGAGTACTACGAGCCGCACGCGGCAAGGCCAACATCACCGGCTTCAACATGCGTCACTTCAAGGAGGCTGCCGGAGCTCCTCGCTACGACCCCTGGGAGAGAGCGTACGTCCTCTTTTTTCCCACGCATGCCGAACCTCGATTCGCCAATCGACAATATCTTGCGCTAATTACTAACTTCCTCCGTTCTTATAGTGATGCCTGGCGTTTCCAGGGCCCTTTCACACGCTTCAACCGCTTCAAGGGCTCGCTGCCCGGCCTCGGCACGGCTACTGTTCTCTTCGCTGGATACTGCGCCTACGAGCACTTCTTCATGGAGGATGAGCACCACGGCGAAGGCCACGGTGAGGGTCACCATTAAATTAAGAAATGCACCAAAATTTTGAAAAAGAAGCGAGGAGGAGATGTTGACGGATGCATGGATGGATAGAGAGAGCAAATAACAAGCGCATCATGGTTGAAAGTTCTGCGTCAACAGGAAAAGAGGGGAACATGCCAATTCTCGAGAGCATGGATAGAATGGGAAGCAAAATGGCGTTTTTATTCCAAGCCATCTTTTTCTTTTGTCTGTTACATTACCATTATTTTATAGCCCGCCATACGGGCCACCTGCGAGCCGATGCCGTAGACTACGGATGCGGTGTGGCGAATACACAATATTACTCAACATAACACATCGTGCAGGAACAAACATTTAAAAATATCAAAATATGATTCAATCTATTGGTATCATTATTCAATCGTCTCTACAAAACCAAAATATGCACGACCCCAAAATCGGACCTCGTGCAAAAGATGGGTAGCTATGTAATGTTGCTTGTGATGCTAGATGCGTGTTCTATAGTCCAACGCCGTTAACAATATCCAGGGCCCCCTCGAGTGCGGATTCCAGCTCCGTCACTCGATCTTTGAGTCCTCTATTTTCATCCTTCATGAGATTGGCCGTATCCCACGCCATGCTTGCGTCTTGTCCACGGCACTTGCCACACTCCTGTAGAATCTGCACTTCTGTTTCGCCAGCAATATTCTTAAACAATCTCTGTAGCGCATTCTGGCCAACAGGGTTCGACTGGCGAACCAGATGTGCCGGTGGTGTGAGATCAGGATACACAGGGCGGTGTGGTGCAAGATCCCCGGGACTGACATCGGAAAGGCTGGGCGTGAAGGCAGGGCTTCTGCAGCGAGAAAAGACGCTCGACTCGGCAACACTATCGTTGTCGGTATCCGAGCTGTGGTCCGTCTTGTATGCCTCGATGCTACGACGCCATGTCTTGGTTTGCTGGTCATACTCGGCAGAAAGATCCTCAGTGCTAGGGTCTAGTGGTGCTGGTTGGCCGTTACGGTTGATGGCCTGGGCCTGCCGGCGCATCTTCTTCTCACGGTTTAGTTCATCCATGAGCTGTCTCATAAATGATTCCGTCTCAGCTGCTTTGCGTGACATATCCTCCAGTTGCATCTTGAGGTGCTGCGTTCGCATTTCCATTTCGCTCTTTTCGTCGTCCACCGCTACCTTGTCAGCCTGGAGCTGCTTGCATTCAGCAGTACGACTCTGGTATGCGGTTTGGTACTTTTGCAGCAAGCCAGTAGCCGTCTGCTGCAGGTTCTTAAAGGCAGCAGGTGAGAAGGCTTCACCGTCTGTAGGTGCTCCTTGAGGAAACAAGGCAGCTTCAATGTCCATGCTTGTAAGCTCATCGTCGTAGGGCGATGCGGCTGGCGAAGCCAGGGCCTTGAGGGCAGCCATCCTGGATGTGATGAAGGAGAAGCGGGAAGAGTTCGGAGTCGTGACTGGGCTCGCGGCCGATTTGGGGGGCGACGAAGGAAACTCGGCAGCACGCGACACTGATGATCTCCGTGTTGGTGAGGTCGACGAAGCAATACGGCCGCGTAGGTTGGAAAAGAGAGTGTCTCCGGTGGCAGCGTCCTCAGAGGGCGGAGGTAGATTGGGTGCTCTCCCCTTCCGGGCAGGTCGAGCTGTGAAAACGGTAGCCGGTCTTGCCTTGGGAGTATCGCCCTCGGTGGCAGAGGAGTCGTATGGAGAGTCGGGAGCTTCGGCGTGTTGGAGCGGATGTTGGGGCGTGTGAGGGCCGGAAGAAGGCTCGACTGACATGATGTAGTCGGCAGCAGAGTAAGGGGAGGAACGGTAGAGCTGTGGCTGCATGGTCATTGCGTCGGCATCGTGTGCTTGCTGCAACGGAGATGAAGGAAGATCCCTGTGCTGGAGGCGCGGCCTGGGCGTGGGTGTTGCGGTTGCCATTGTTCGCGGCAATGGCCAGTCTTCAGCGTGTGCACTGGCGCTCATTGCTTTGACGCGAGAGCAGCGCAAAGCTGAGCAGGCAAGTAGGGGCGTGGATCCTCCTTAATCTCTGTGCGTCCCCAGTGTTTATTTCCAGACCAGGCTTTTGTTAGCCAATCGAGCTAATGGGCCTTGGACAGTGGGGATGTGGTGAATGGTAGCGGTTTGACGTCTCTTTGACAGCCTGGGTTGTTTGTGTGTAGCGTGTAGAGTGAAAATTCGGCGTGTTTTTGGGAGATGAGCTCGATTATGCGCAGTCTATAGACTTGTGTTGTTGTTTTTATGCAAGATGATGCTGCTCTATGCAAGAAGAAGAGGAGTTGCTGCAGACGAGGACAAGCCTTGGAGGTGTTTGTGTTGCTGGGGCAAGGCGGCGCGTGGCTGTGCGTTGGCGGCGTTCTTTTCAAGGGCGGAGCGTGCGCTGCAGATATACTTGGCTTGTCGGCAACAAGCTTTTGAGGAAATGCTCTTTTAAAAATAGCGAGGAGGTTAGAAGCTGGAGCTGATGCTGCAGAACAAAAGGGAAAAGGCTAAATCCCAAAAATGACAAGCAGAAAAAAAAGGTGAAGAAAGAAAAATATGCAAGAATGCAAAGGGGTACAGCCCGGAGAAGAGGAGAAGAAGCGTGGCGTGACCTTCTCCTTGGAGCTTTCTCCAGCGGCCTCCCCGGCCCGTGGCGGCCGCTAATCCAGGAGCTGCATCCACTATAGAAAAGGGTTCCAAGGCACTGTACGTTCTATAAGTTGTCCCCTGCTATACTGGACAGTGCTGGGATTAGCGTTGCAGCAGGGCTATTTACAGCGACTCTGCGTTCTGATTCGGGCGCTGTGTGTCTCAGGCCACCGAGGCCACTCACTGGCATGCGCTGAGGAATGCAACCTTCACCATCTTTGGCCGCCACCACGAGCTCCAGGCCCATCTTGACGGCGACGCTGTGTGGTTTGTGCTCGTTACATTGTCTATATGTTGCAGTGATCGTCTATATGGCTGCTCGATTATCTGGCCTCCTTCTGGCGAAATACTTGATGCATAACTCACTGCTTACAGTTCGGATAACAGCTTACCTCCAACAAGAATAGGCACACACGCACCATCCATCCATCCGTCAAACCATTTGTCTCGATACTGTCTCGATATCGTTTCTTTTTCTTTGTTAGTCCGCCACCACCACTGTATTCCGCCCTCCAACTCGCCATGTCAGCCCCTCGCACAGCTGCCCTTCCCTCCCTCGCCGCCCTTTGTTCAGCTCCAACAGCCATCCATTCACCACTGCCCATTCACCGAATGTCTCGCACAGCGCCGACTAGTGGCGTAGCATCAGGGTTCGCTCTTAACGCTAATTCGTCACCTGTCTTTGACGCTAGCGTAAGGGTCACAGTGTCAGCTGGGCCAAGTGTACAAGACGACAGGGCAGAACTCGGTATGTATACCACATCCACGCACTGGTTGCCTGCGTAGCAAAAAAAGTAAAAGGGAAAGAAAACGATCTGATTTTCTCTCCTGGGTTTTACAAGTAGATTTTTACGATATCATCTGTACCTGAATGGTAAAAAGTAACAAACTTACTGCAAGGTATGGTGCCATACTGTTCGTTCCCCTCGTGGGCAGCCGTCACCAAAGCCTATGATTACCACAAGGTTATGGTTCAACGCCAACCATGCTAGTACCCAAGTATAAATAAACCGTGTTGTGTAGAAACAGTAATAGACTTTCAGTTTAACCGATAAAATCCTAAATCAGTAATAATGGTGGTGGTATCAACATTCGTCTACCACTGACGTATCACCATCTCACCGCCCACACTTTGTATACTGATGACCAGCTCACAATCCATGCCCATTTAGAAAATTAGTCGTAAAATCGATATCATCACACTCAATTCAATAAGGTTACAATAATTATACCCAACGCTAATATTTTCTCTTCTAGATGAACGTGTGTTCTAACTCTTCGTGTACATCACGCCATGTAGGGTAGTGCCATAGCCATGACTGCGATTGCCAGTTCTGGACGTCGTTTCCCAACCAGCTTATTCTGAATTCGACAAAAGAAAGTACAGAGTCTAGAACCGTCCATTGAAACTTGCGCTTTTCAATCTGCTATGATTCCTGCCAATTATGGCCTGAGCTTCCTTCACCACTCTGTTGCTACTTGCCTGGCAACCCTGCCGAGAAAGCATCATCAGATTGGAAGGCAGCAATGGCGCTTTCCATGGTTAGTCGCCATTCGATATTTAAGCACAAATCCTCCCCAAAGCGCCCTCTGTCTCCCTTCTTCTTCCTCCAACTGCTTTACCATATATCATTCTCCCCAAATCATCAAGTAGCTTCAGACGCAGCCGGCTGATCTTCGATCGCTTCTCTTTGACGTTCTTTCTGTACACCATTACAATCTTCATTCACTTGATTCATCGGCCTATCTTTTATGTTCTCTTCTACCAAAAAGATGGCTCCAACTCCAGTTACTGCTGAGAAGTACGCTTCCCACCGCCCTACCAAGGTGACACTTGTTACATGCACCGCTCTCTACAGCGTGGCTCATTTGATCCTCTTCTTCATGTCTGCGGTTGCTTGGTCCAGTGCCAAGGCCAGAGCTAACGAGACACCCTTTTCGGTCGGCGGTATCGACACTACTTTGAATCGCTGGGGACTCTACCCATTCATGACGTTTGGGGCCCTCGTCTGCTTTGTTACATCTGCAGTGATGACGATTAGATCGTCTTGCCGCATCAAGGGCTCTCCTATTGATGCCAAGTTCATTTTCCGCGGAATCTTTTACACCCTGATCATCATTCTCCCCATTGTAATTGCTGGCTGGACCAACCCTCTTCTTGGTGCCATCAATCCTTCCCCGGCCATGACAATGGCCTGCACCGAGGGGCCGTCTGGTGAATCAGTCTGTACGCCTGTCACTCAACAGGATAACCTTTCAAGTGGCAGCATGCCTCACATTGGCAGCGTTTGTGGCACGTTTGTCATGGAAACTTTTGATGCTGGCTACCCTGGCCCCAAGCCCGCCATGACCATGATTCACTTCAATCTGTAGGTGAAAGAAGAAGGCGAAAATTACGAATATTTACTAACGATGGTTATAGTGGCCTTGGAGTTTTGATTGCTGGTCTGGCTTCTGCTTTGGCCCCTGCCCACTCAAAGCGTCTGACTCACGAAGTCGGCAAAGTGTAGGCATGATACACTGGATATACACTGGGTTTGACAAGAGTTGGGAGGTGTGGGATGGCATATGTTGTAAAAGGGCGAACAAAAGGACACGAGTCTGGACGGTATTCTTAGCAATATTATTACTGAATGGTATATTATGACTTGAAGTGTTTGCTCCTAATAGACTTGCACTGTGTGCTGTGTGCCCAAAATGCTAAACGCCGGCTGGATACAAAGCATGACGCTAAAGGAAGAAAGCTATATCCAAAAAAGTACAATAAGAAATGTACGCAGTACACATCCTACATTAGGCGAGTTCTGTCGAAGGAAAGTATCGAGGTCCAACGAATCCCTTGGCGATGACCGACTGAATATCCACATTGCTTCCTTCTTCTTCGTGGCGTGAGGACCACATCTTGAGAAGAATAAAGCGACTTGATATGGGTGGGTCAAATGTAATCTTGCACTGCGACTTGTAGTGCTGAATGAAGAACTTGGCATGCGGAACCATCAGAGGAGGATTCGCAGGCGGAGCTCCCGCAGCTGTGGCATGAGCTATGGTGGACAGGATAGCAGCACGGGTTGTTGGTGAGGCAGCATGCTGAGAGTAGGGCAGTGGCAGGGCGTTTGCGCCAGTAGCGTGATGGTCGTCCTCGTCGTCGCCTTCCTCTTCAGAATCTGACCAGATGGGATGGTGCTGCGCGGACCAGCGAGAAGACTGCTCAAAGGGAAGCGATCCGATGTGCGGCGGCTGGTCGCCCGAATTCCACCGTCGGCTGGCAGCGGCAACATTGTTGAAGCTTGCCATGGAAACGTAGTACGGGTTTGGTTCCTGGTGGCCCGACGACTCCGTTGTGACGTTGAGATCCGGCACGTTATCTGTAAACTCGCTGGGGAGATTAGGCATGGCAAAATCACGCTCGTTGGAGCCGCTGCGTCCCAAGGATGTTCTGGCTCGCGTTGTCGTGGAACCGTCTGTGTGATGGCGGACGGAAATGGACCATTCTGGGCGAGGTGTATGAACGGCACGAACGGAGTGAGGGAGGGGCAGAACTGGCGGTGGCGAATGTGGGATTTGGAAGCGCGCTGTGCGGGTGAATATGTCATCGTCCTCCATGGAGAGAAAGACCATGCCTTCTCGGACGCTGCGATTGTCGTTAGCGGTGTATGGAGATATATTTGGCCATACTACGTACGGATGAGAGTAGTTCATGGACGCTGGTGCTTTGATTGTGAGCTCGGTGAGTGTGAATATGGTAGAGTCGCGGTGGCGGAGGACAATGTTGCAGCGGTTGCCCTTGGTGCAGTAAACGGTGTTGTCGTCGCGGAGGATGTTATCTGCTACATAAGACATTTCGTTGGAGAACATGCCGCCGTCGCAGCTGGCGATTTCGAGGTCGAGATTGCAAGGGTCAACTTGACCGTAATGGCTATATCGGCGTTGGTTGGAGATGGAGGATGGCCCGCTGTCGTTTTTTGAGTCGACCTTGCGTCGCTTGCCTTGTCGTTGGTGGTCATCTTGTATATTACGGGACCGTGAGGATGACAGTGAGCTGTCAAATGATGCGAATGCCGATGCTGAAGCAAGAGCAGAGTGAGCAGTCATGTCTAGGAGGGCACGCAGATGAGAGTTTGCCTCATCCAGAGAGCGATCTAGGCGGCCGAGATGGTCAATATTTGATGTATATGACAGTGATGTCTGCGTTGTGTCTTGTCGGGATATATCGGCACCTTGTGTCGGGATTGGCGAGGGAGCGAAGCCCGGGGTTGGGCCAGGAAGTCGCATACCGCTTATTCTGCTGTGATTTGCACGACGCCGTCTGTCAGTTTCGGCGATTTGCTCGCGGAAAGCATCATGAAGAAGAGGATCGAAGGTTGGCGTTTCGGTACGCAGCGGAGGAATGACATAGTTGGCGAGGTCCTCGTAAGGGTCCCGCTCGAGGGCCGCGCCTGGTTGCGGCATGGCTCTATCCAGCGAGCGCTATGATTATAGTTATATATAAAAGAGTACACCGCAAGCGCCGGTGATTTGACAGATCTTCTGGTAGGAAGTTAGAATCTGCGGGATCTCGACTGTGGCGATGCGCCGGCAGCGCTGCAGCTTGACGCTGTGGAACGACCAACACTATATAAGTGCGACGCTGTTGGATGGAGGGGCTTACGGGGAAATGACACAGGGCCAGCAGGATGCAGCAGCTCACAAGCTGGTTCTGTTGCCGAAAAAAGTGTGTGCTGAATACGTGGGCTAAAGAAACGTCTTTATTCGCTTGCCAAGGGTGCTGTCTCGCCAGGGTGCATAATAATAACCAACCAACAGCAGCGTGGGGAGTTGAGGGTGCGTAGGTGGGCGAATTGGTCTGCTTTCCGATGTGTCTGGTAGTGCAGTTTGGCGCGGGATGCGTGCACTAAGAGAATGTTCCGTCTTACGTCAACCTAGGTGAGTTGTCGCACATGCGCATAGGAGACAGGCGAGGTAAAACAATAAGAGACCAGAAGAAGACGAAAAAGAAAGGCGTTGCCAGTAGGAGCACCGAAGAATTTGTTTGTCGAGCAGAGAGCTGCGGAGACTGGCCAACGAGATGAGGAGTAAAAGGCTGGCGGTAAACTAAACGAGAAACAGAGCCTGTTGCCGGCCACAGCTGGGGCTCGTCGTTTAGCGGACGAGTGTGAGCGGGTTGCTTGAAGCTGGGGTAGCCTTTTTCGCCAAAAAGGGCACTGCCGACAACACCCAGGGAGAGCGGTGGAGCAGGCCCAGGGCAAGATTGGCGAGTAAGCCGAACGGAAGGGCGGCGGCGGGCAGACAGCAGGAGGGCCGGTGCAGCCGGTGTGTTGGACGGTCGAATGAATGGTGGAAGACGCTTGTGAATGTTGGTGAAGGAGGAGAGGACGAGGACGACGAGGGACGGGAGAGGACGAGTAAAAGGCGGAGAATGGCGCCAAAAGGCAAAATTGGTGGTACAAGACTGAAGTGCGAGCGTCGCGATGGGCCAGACAGCTGCCCGCCAGCTGCACCAGGTGCGTGGTGCCAGGTGCCAGTTCTGGCGGGGAAGAGCGCAATCATGTGGCTTTGCTGTTTCTGGCGGCGGCGCACTGTAAGTCCCAGTACGGAAGCTCTGCGCGACCAAATCGTTCGCTGTGGCCGCGGCAGGCAGCCGAGTGGTGTGGCTGTTGCCGTTGCAGCGGGGGTAGGGAACTACTGACCAACCCACTGGGCTAGGGTAGCGTGGTTTCACTTTTGTGCCGTTGTGCATGCTGCTGTCGTGGCCTGCTGGTGCTGCTTCTGTTGGTGCGCTCGCATTCGCTCTACAGTGGTTGGCCAGTGGGGGGTGGGGTTACAGTGGCCGATCCACTGGCTGCCCCAGTGCGGTATAGCACAGCGCAGCAATTCACCACCACCAGACTAGCAAATCGCATACCGCTGGATACGCCCAAACTTTAAACACAGTGACGACATGGGTAATTAGCACGCCATTCCAGAACACCGCCGGTTCTCGCTTGGCTTGCCTCTGGATGGCTTCATGGCTTCCGGGCTGGTTGAGTCAGTTTATCCGCACCACTCCCAGCTTTGATAGCAACACTTTGGCGCAAACATGGCTCACCTGGCTGGAATAAGCCGGCGCGGCCACTGTAAAACAGGGCACTGTACTGTAGTCAGGCCACTGAGAGACCACTGCAAAGCACAGTACTGGCTGCATGCCCTCTAAAAAAAACCCCCATCGCAGCCACTATAAACGCACTCGGCGCCCTGTAACGCACCAGCAAACCCCACCCGGGCGTTTCTACAGCCTCCTATTGGTCCAACTCCGACAACGCCAAACAACGTCACTCTTGCAATCATCACCAACACTTCACCAGCACGTCAAATCATCTTTCCTATTGGTGCCATTCCCTCACCCAGTCTCGTGCACGGTACGAAAGACACGAACGCTACACCCCATCCACCACTCAACTCCACGCAAACATCACTTACCAAAAACCCCAATTGCAATCACCAACCTATCTTTACGAACCTCGTCTTCTGCCCTCGTGCACCCAACACCTTCACAATGGCAGCACCATCCATCCCCGACACAGCCATGTCAGACGCCCCCGTATCAACCGACACTACAAACACACCCTCAATTCTCCCCCCCGACGGCGAAATCCCCATCATCGACCCCGTTACGGCCGCCACCATCCCCCAAACCCTCCCCTTCATCATCAACCCCGCGGCCGCACCGCCAACATCCAACGGCACTACCGCGCCAGCCACCGTCTCCGCCGACGAAATCGCCCTGTATGATCGCCAAATCCGCCTCTGGGGCATGGACGCCCAAGCCAAGATCCAAAGCGCCAACATCCTGCTTATTACCATGCGCGCGCTCGCCAACGAGACCGCCAAGAACCTCGTCCTCGCCGGCATCTCCTCCATTACCCTCCTCGACAGCGCGCCCGTCACCGAAGCGGACCTCGGCGCCCAGTTTCTTCTTTCATCGTCGTCAGACGCTTCGCCTGTTGGCCGCAACCGCGCAGAAGCCGCCGCCGATAACCTGCGCAAGCTGAACCCGCGCGTCACCGTGCACGTCGACCCCGAGGGCGTCAAGGCCAAGAGTCCCGCGTACTTTGCCAACTATGATATTGTTGTCGCAACAGACCTCGACTCCGACTCGTTCAATCTCATCAATACGGCCACACGCATCAACAATAAGGCCTTCTACGCTGCCGGCACGCACGGCATGTATGGCTTCATCTTCTCGGACCTCATTGAGCACGAGTACGTGATCCGCCGAGACGCTGGCAACGTTGCGACGGCAGCCAACACGCAAGAATCCCGCACGCGGTCCATCACGGCCGTCACTACGAAGAAGGAAGGGCCCAAGGTCGTCGAGTCCGTGTCGAAGCGCGAGCTCTACTCGACGTGGTTCCTTGCGTCTGATGTGGCCACGCTCCCGCAAGAGTACATCTCCTCAAAGCGCCGCCTGCGTGCGGTCAGCCCGACGCTCTCGTGCCTACGTGCACTTTGGGAGTTCACAACGCTCCAGGGCGGCCGCTTACCATCTAACCGCGAAGATCTGAAGCTCTTCACGCAGCTGGCAACGCAGAAGCATAAGGCGCTGAGCTTGCCAAGTGAGACACTGCGCCCCGAGTTTCTGCGTAGCTTTTTACAAAACCTGGGAAGCGAGATTGCCCCTGTCACCGCCATTCTTGGCGGCCAGCTTGCGCAGGATGTCATCAACGTTCTTGGCCAGACGCAGCAGCCTATCCAGAACACGGTTGTGTTTGACGGCACCACCATGGAGGCGCAGATGTATGCTTTGCATCCTCCTGGTGAGGCCCTTGGTCGCGGGTTGCTTGCATCGGCGGCTCCTGTGGTTGTAGATGGAGTGCTGCCGGCTGTTATGAGCGGTGCACTGCCTGTTGATGGAGCAGTACCGATTGTGTAAAGCACGAGGCACACGAACATAGATGAGAGTTGAAACAATAAAGAAGGATCATGTACATTATGACAAAACGGAACTAGGTTAAAAAAGGAATTGGAAGCTCGGCCATGTTAGGCAAGAAAGAGCTTTAAAAGTAAGAGCCAATTTCATCTACATCATTAAACATCAATACATTATCACAGGAACAAGACACAAAAGATAGTTTTTAACACGTGTATTCATCCCCCGCTGCTGATCTAACCGTCTATCATCTACCCAAGAGTCTTCCACCGCCGTCATGCTTGATTAAAAGGATTGGCTGGTAAAACATCAGGAATGGCAGGTCATGTAAATGTACAAAATGCAACTCAATCAACAACGACAAAGGAAAAAAAAAACGTGGTCAAAATGACCCGATGCCAGCTTCATGATTTGACCCCCGACGCCAGACTCAACAGTTTTATAAGCAAGTCCTTTTTTGGAGTCCAAAGCAAACGCGTAAACAAGAGAAGGAAATAAAGAACAAAAGCACGTCGGACAACGCTTGCAGAGTGAAAAAGACAGACACATGCGTATGTCCTGGTATATGGCGAAAGCAGGCAAGATTAATTTGCAGACCAATGGATATGTTGGTACAAGATGTACAGCTTCAGTGTCGACGCGATGATCGACGAGGCTGTTTAATAGGTGGAAGCTGGCCAGCGGAGCTACTATCAATGGACCCTTGACACTTTTGACTGTTAGGCATGATAGTAGGATTTGTTGCAGTGTGAGCGTATGGTGGAGGCGCATCGACAACGTCCACCTGGTCAAGTTTGCTCTTCAAAAGTATCCGCGGCCGAAGGATTGGCGGTTTTGGGCTACTTGCGCGAGTGATTGGCCCATTTGGCCGTATAGATTGGTAGGGTGATTGGTATGTGGTGTTGGTTGGTGTGCTCAACTGTGTTGTCTGTGAAGAGTCACCTAGATTCTATCTAGATTCGTCGTTTGTTGAGTCTTGGCGCTCCTTTTCGACCTTGCTGCGCTTACGAGGTTGGTTAACATTCCACCCTCGAATTTGTGTTGGTCCAGAGTTGGGCAGCGCTGCACCGGATCCGTTATCCTTGTGGTCGTAGGGGATTGTCTTGAGCTCAGGCTTGTTAGGCCACGATCGATGAGCAGGCACTGGCGCAGGCTGCAGTTTGCGGTACTTGGCAGAACCAGCATCAGACGAGCCAGATGGTGTTGAGCGGTGGCGTTGCGCGGAGCCTTGGTGTCCCGACGGAGTACCAGGAGGGCTCTGGATTGCTGGACCGGGAGCTCCATGATGGTTTGAAAACGTAGGTGACAGAACCTGCCCGTTGTAGCTAGGTGGAGGAGGAGATCCCATGTATGAGGAACTCGGCTGCTGAGGCGTGGGGAGCATGCGGTCACCACCCAAACCGTGCAGAGGTGCGCTCTGAACAGGCTCTGGGTACCCGCGGTGGTATGACCTCGAAGGACCAGGAGGGTAATAGATGTTCGATCTCATGGAATCCATGCCAGGGTCCTCAGGGATTGAGCTGCGGTTGCGTGGAGGTCGCAGCGGCGGCAAGTCGCCACTTGCACTCTGTCCATAACTTCCCATACGTCCTGCAGGAGGTGGAGGAGGGGGAGCCAACGAAGATTGACTATAATGAGAAGGGGGAGCAACTGGACCACCAGCAACGGGAGGAGGAGGAGGAGGAGCGCTTGGCTGAGACCAGTATGGCCGAGGGTACGATGGAGGAGGCGGAGGGGGGGCATCAGAGCCATACCCGCTGACACGCCGAGGGTTGTAGCCAACATCTAATGGGCGACCTGTGGACATGTGGCTGTCGCGCATGTCACCGGCTGGATAGCCATTGTGTGAATACGGGTACCCATGGTCGTGGTGAGGAGGGGGAACCAACGGCGACGTCTTGTAGTCGTTGGCGGGAGGCGGTGCATGTCTGCTAGAGTATGCATCGGACACGACGCTAGAACCTGGAGGCTGAGGGAAAGCTCGGTCGCTTCGGCTAACATGAGAGAAGGACGAGGTAGACTCAGGCTCGCGGCCAGGTGGTGCAAGTCCGTAGGTGTTGCTAGACGGCTCTTCCTTTTTGATAGTACTGCGAATATCAGATCCGTCAATGCCACCAGGCAAGCGGGCCTCAACATTGCAAAGTTCAGCAAGGAAGTTGAGCTCAAGGGACTTTCTTTCCACTGGCGCGGGGGCAGCAGCAGGTTTGGAATCAGTAAAGACGTCACGAATAGCGTCGTAACGCGCAGGCTTGACTGGTGCCGAAGGCTTGCCAATGTCAGACGCCTCAACAAATGCGGAAGCATAAGTGAGAACAGACATGGCAGAAATGGCAGCATCAACGTCATCTTCCTTGATATCATCCATATCGCCCTCGTCGTCAGAACCAGTACCCTTCTCACGAGGTCGGAGTTTGAGCTCCTTGCTAGCTGTACGAAGAGCCTTCTTGTGCATTTGGTCCTCAGTACGAACATAGTCCGTTGTCGAGATTTCTTCGGCCTCGACTTCTGCAAGCTTGCAGAAGCGGCTCAGAGAAGCGCGCAACTTGGTTCGCAGAGGTGCTTCTTCGGCACGACGGTGGTTAATAGTCGATGTGAAGGAGCGTGAGGCGTGTGAAATTCGGCCAGAGGGGTTTGCAATGTACACTACTGGCTTGCCAGGCATATAGTATGGCTGGTGCTCTTCCACGTCGTTTTTGCTGTCGGCAAGGAAGATACCATATAGCGGGTGAACATTGTGGCGTCGGACAACTTCTTCATCAAAGTCTTCAGGTTCGGTGATTCCAAAGTCATATCCGTTGCACCAGTGGTCAAAGTGCATGCCGGTGGTATTGGGCTTGTCAAGATACTTGCCTCGCTTTGCTCTAGTGTGTCCCTTGCTGGAGTCGTTTGAAGTGTCACGGAAGCCAATCTCCCAGTCCTCGAAATCAAAGATGCGAGGAGCAAACAGACGGCTGCTGGCACCAGAAGCGCGAGTAGACGAGCGTTGGTTGTAGAGGCGGAAGCCGTATTCGTCGGCATCTCCAATGTTCTTGGGAAGAGCAGGACTCTTTTCTCGCTGGATTGTGCTTGCATCTTTGCCTTGCGAGGCCCCAGCGGAAGCACCTGTCGGTTCCGGAGATGCTGGCACAGAGTCTTCTTCCTCCACACCATCAGGATGCGCCTCAGCCTCGGCGGCAGACGCCAACAGGCCCTTAGCGGGGGCGTGGCCGACGGCATCTTCTATGATGGCGTCCTCATCCAAACCACGAGCCGACTTTTTGGGTGTAGGCTGACCGTCGGGTTGATCTTGAGCACGGCGTTTGTTCAAAACACGGGCGCGGGCACGGTTAGCTTTGGGTGCTGCTGTAGCAGCAGCAGCGAGGGCGGCATCCGCATCGCGGGCTCTTCGCCACATCTCTGTGCCCTTGACACGAGAAGGATATGGAACAAGGACACCCTTTTTATAGCATTCGTAGATGCCGAAATCCTTGTCCAGATTTCTATCCGAGATGACCTTGTATTCATATTGCTCATCACGAACCTTTGGAGCAGCGGTTAGCATGGCGCAGGTTACTAACGGGGTCAACCCTCTTCAAAGAGAACAAGCAACTTACGTCTACCGGCAGACCTCTGGCAACGAGAGCAGCCAGGATGCGGGTGCGATTCTCTTGACTCTCGAAGAATTGCTCTTCAATGTCGTCAATGGCATTCTGTGGGGTACACGTGTTAGCATAAAGGACCGACACGATAAAATCATGCGTAATGTGTGTCGTACTTGGAATTCGCGTTCAGCAACAAAATTGTTTGCGTTGAACGTTCCTTTGGCAAGAGCAAGATCCTTGGATAGACGGCTGTCGAACTCGTCCATCTTGTTTTGAAAATTGCGATGCAGCCCGAGTATAAGGGGGCGATATTCAGGAACGAGCTTGTAGCTCTCTTGATTTTTGATGGCATCTTCAATAGCACGATCAGCAAGCTCTTGAAGAGCAGGCTTGATGGCGTGTGCGACGGCTTGGTAGGTGGCCTTCAGATCTCGTTGGCGCTCATATGCAGCCTGTACGCGAGAATCTGTAAAGGTCTTTGCGCGGCCTCTGCGGGTTCCGCCACGACCGGAAAGCTTTGCAGAAGATAATTTGAGGGAAGTAGATGTGGTAGAACCACCTCGTCCACCGCCTCTGCCGCGACCACCACGATTGCCTCGCCCGCCTCTTCCGCGGCCACGAGATGATGTGTCGCGAGCGGGCGACTCACTCTCAGCGGCCATGGCTAGGAATGAGCGCGATCATGTATACAATGCAAGCAGCAATAAAAAGAAGAAGAGGGGAGGATGCGGGAGATGGCAGCGCAGATGAGCTGTGATGGGATGGGGGAAGAGTGGTGATGAGGATGGGAGAAGGAGTATAAAACAAAGGTTGGCTTTGGGTGTGTGAGGCAAAAGTCCAAGGCCACGCCCCCCGGTAAAGTCAGCCTGGGACTGGCTGGCGTGTGCGCAAAAGGCAAAGGGGAACAAGAGGCGCGCGTCTGCAGGCACAGCAACCGCAACGCAGCAGTGTAATTTTTTCAGAACAAAGAAAAAATTTACACGGGCACCTGGCAGACAGGAATTAGGCCGAGATGCAAATTGATGAAATGAAAATCAAAGTCTTCAATTCTAACAAACGGCGACAGAAGGCTGTTGTTGTTGGACGGAAGCGTAAAAAACAGGATGGGTAAAAATGGGAACAACAAAAAGGACACTGTAGGTTTGGCGTAGCAGAGCGTCAAGACAGACAGTGCGAATAGCCGTGCGGCAGGGTAAAAAAAAAAGGGTGGCAGCGGAAAAAAGTGGTGAGGTGGTGTGTTATAAGGGAAAAGGGTGCAATTAGCACGTCTGGGCGCAACTCGGCACGGGGCGATGGAAAAAAACGGCACTTGGAAATATAATCAGCAAAAGAAGCTCAATATATTTCCGCGTGACGCAAATGGCCAACAGGCGTGGAGGATGCGTGCGATGAGGAGGGAAAAGACGCTTTGTCCGTGGTGTAATCGTCAGAGTGAGAAAAAGAAGCGTGAGGCCAGGTGCTGTATGGCGCAGGCTGGGCCGGGCTGCGAAGGAGAGCGACCAGCGTAGCACCTTGCCGCACCTGCCGTCTGATGAACCACCGCCGCCAGAAGTACCGGTACATGCTGCCCATTCCCAATATGGCACGCGAGACCAAAGCGGTGCCCCACCGAGACACTCATCCGTATGATGTGATTCGCTGTAGCACCTACCAGCGCACCCCCGCTAAACTAAACTGGTAATCACTGGCCCGCGGCGCCTGGCGCTGATTGGCCCGGAAAAGAGGATACTCCGTCCACCGCAGCGTAGATTGCGCTGCGATCTTGGCCGACACTGGCCATGTACCTGGTACAAGAGGGCTGCCTCCGTGCAACTATTGTCGGTTGGGTGAATTTTATGTGGAAATGGCTGGAGCAACGTGAGGGCTTGTGGTGGAAGACGAGGAGAGGGGTTGTTGATGAGGCAGTGCTGTGATGGATGAGGAAGTATACAAAATGGATAGCAAAGTCTATAATGTGATGTGTCTGTCTACTGTACGATGATGTCGCCGAGACCAATGCGACGAGCGATGTGTGTCAGATGGCCCTCTATATCTGACATACCCGGGCCTGACCAGTTGCGTCGCTGATTGTCGTGACATGTATATAGCCTATGAATACATGGCTAAATTGATTCAGAGTATAATGAACATTTAATTACGATGTCTGGTGTGCGGTATTGGTACGTGCTGTGGAAAAAAATCTTCGATGCGTTATGCAGACCAAAAAGTATAACATTATCCCTATGCGAGCAAACACCGCGCGATGACTACTCGCTGGGAATTGTCTCTGTAAACAATTTTTATTCCAAAAACCACTAAAGTATATATCGCTTGACCTGCCCGTCTATTGATTAGCCCTCCGCTACGCTTCGTTGCGTTTCTTTATCCTCTTCTCCCCACGACACGTTGGCACTCGTGACAGCCGGCAGCCCCAGCCACCAGTTGCCGGCTTTTAGCACCTGGCCTGCGGTAAACTTTGATTAATTAAATTGATGTGATTTAGTTTTCTGTTATATATTCTTTATAGTAAATGTTATTTTTATATCAAGTTACACAGCACTGACCTGCATATCTCTTTCGTTCGCCTTTGCCACTGTGCCCTGGGTCGTCGCAGAACAGCCTAATGCGGCATTTCACCCCGAGCTTGTCTCTTAGCGACCGTTTTCTAGGCTGCTCCTCCTCACTCCCCATACTGTACTGTAGTATGTGCAGATTTATCAACAATTGAGTAAATCTCCCGCTTGGATTTCTAATTAGAAAAATGGTCAAGTTATAAGTAAGTCTCTTTAGCTGTTCCTGCTCGAAATAACCAGCTCGCGTCTGCGCCCAAGTAATTCCCTGCCTGTCCGAAACAACAAAGAAAGCAAAAATGCCACACAGTGCACTCTACACCCTGACACTGCAACAGCGCTGTACAGCACTTGTACCTTAATTAGACTGTAGTGGGTCACGGCAACTAAAATTGTTTCTCTTGTCGCCCTTCCCGTCCCCAGCGGGCAGCCTTGCAACGCCTCCCTTCTACTGCTTTTTTCAGCGCTGCTGTCATTGGCCCAACCCGGCGCCAGCAATTTTTAAAGCGCCGGAGCTCTACCGACGTCACTGGTACAGTAGTGAGTGGCAGGCATATTTTTTTTATGTAGGCCGACTTACACATAACTTTGCATCCCATTCAACAACACCTCCAATTGTTTGTAATTCCAAGCTAAAATACTGTCATCATGGGCAAAAAGCGCAGAAATTTCGGCCACCACGATAAGCCAGCCAAGAAGCCAAACCACCAGCAACGGGCACCTCCACCACCCAAGAAGCCTCTGAATAAGAACCAGAAGAAGCAGCAGGCCTTCCAGCAGCAGCAGCTAGAGCAGAACCCAATCATTCCATTCGATCGGGATGAGCGCATCCTACTCGTTGGCGAGGGCGACCTCAGCTTCGCGGCCTCGCTAATCAAGCACCACCGTTGCACAAACGTCACAGCCACCGTCCTGGACGCCAACCACAACGAGCTCGTCGACAGATATCCCGATGTAGATAGAAATATTGCCATAATCAACAATGAGCCCGAACCAGAACCCGTCAAGGCTGATAATGACAGCGATGATGATGTCGAGGACGAGGACAATGAGGATGACGAGAACAAGACAGATACCAAGGCAAAGGAAGACTCCAACTCCAAACCACAGTCTGAAGAATACACCGTCCCTGAAGACGAGGACGAATACGACATGCAAGGCAACCTTGTCCGCGCCGCGCGCCCTTTCCTCCCTCCCAATAACCGCCTTCTCTACAACATCAACGTCCTCAAGCCTCTCCCATCGAGCATGAAGTCCACCAAGGCCAAGACCTACCACCGCATCTTCTTCAACTTCCCCCACGTCGGCGGCAAAACCACCGACCAGTCCCGCCAAGTCCGCCACAACCAAGACCTCCTCGTAAACTTCTTCAACCGCCTTGCCACGCTGCTCTCCGTCTCCCCCACCGCACACAACGACAACCCGTACTCGTCAGAGCCGCCAGCACCTACACCCACCATGATCGTCACGCTCTTCGAAGGCGAGCCCTACACACAATGGAACATCCGCCAGCTCGCCTCGAGTGCGGGACTCGTCCTCGATCACTCTTTTAAGTTCTTCGCCAAGGCGTACCCAGGCTACGCGCACGCCAGGACCCTCGGCGTCGTGAAGAACCGCAAGGGCGATGTGGGCGGCGGCTGGAAGGGCGAGAACCGGCCGGCACGTACATATCTGTTCAGAAGAAAGGATGACCCTGCGCTGCCGCAGATGTCGCAGACAAAGAAGCGCAAGCGAGAGGCACAGGAATCCGATGATGATTCAGATTAGCAAGCAAGACGACTACGTGTTATGTGTACATATATATAGACCTCGAAGATAACGACTTATGTTGACTATTTATTATTTATTATTTTTTGCAAGTCTGTTTGCCAGCTTACAAGTCCAAAATAAATAAGTAAAAAAGCACCTATAGTAGCATATATCCCACACAAATCACTCCTCTGTGCAAGGGATCGTTTTGAAAAAAAAATGACAAAATAGTAAAGAACTCCAACCTAGTCTCCCGCGTTATACATGCTCGCAAATGCAACTGGCTAACAAGCAAATCTGCCGCCCATCCCATGTGAACCTTCCATCTTCAGTGGCTTAAAACCTCCTGTTTACGATTTTGATCGCCATCGACCGCCTTGGCAGCATCCTCTATGCGCAGTGCCTCTTCGTTCTCCCGCATAAGCTCGTCTTCTTGCTGTCGCATGGCCTCAGACTCTTCCAGTCTTCCAGAATCGGGGGGTGGAGGAGGAGGCGGCGGCGGACTTGGCTCTGGGCCGTCGTCTTCCTTTATACGCTTGACGTCGGGCCCGTCTGATGGCGTTGCTGTAGCCGTCTCTGGACCCTCTGTGTCGCGCTTACGCTTGCGGCTTTCACCGGCGTCGTCTTCGACATCGCTGTCGCCAAGGTCGATCTGCTCGGCTTCGTCCTCTTTATCATCACTGGGCTTCGGTTTCTGCTGGCTGCCAAACTTGTGGACAGCTCGGTCCAAGAAGTCCTTCACATATGTCTTGATCTTCTTGTTCTGTTTATCGGAGAGCTTGGCGGTGGGGTCTTCGACGCGGTTGTTCTTGTAGTCTGACGATACTAGCTTCTTGGCAATTTCCTTGCCGAGTCTCTTCAGCTCGTCCTTGGGGAGCTTGTGCTTGAACTTGTCAAGAACAAACTTGACGGGAGGAAAGACCTGATTCGTCCTGGTTAGCATATATCATCCTTACAAAGGGTAAGTCAGGGTCAACGTACGGTATTTTCGTAAATCTTCATCTGCTTGTCAACTGGTAGAGCACGCCACTTGTCCTTTTTAGACTCCTTTGCTGGGGTTTCAACGGGAGTGACTTGTAGCGTCGATTGCTTAGGGGTGCCTTCCTTTGTAACACGATCGATAATGCTCTGAATGGCCAGCTGCTCCTGGACAGCTTTTGACGGCTGCTTCTGAGTATCGGCGGGTTGTGTAGGTCGTTCCCATGTCGTAGTGCCCTGCTTATTATAATAGTACATCTTTCCCGTCGCATCTCTAGCGGAAAACCAGCCCTGCGGCAACGGACCACCAAACCCGGGCCGCCTTTGCCGCGGTGTATTGTTGGAAAAGGGCATGTTTCGTTGCTGAGTCGAGTTCTTGGGTCCTTTTGGTGCATCAAACGGCTTCGGTGAGGGCTTACTTTGTGTGGATAGCGTAGATTCCTCTTTAGCCTGTCCTCGCCTATCCTCGTAAATGTTTTGTGTTGGTGCGTTAGGGTCGACCTTGCGCCTGCGAATGCGGTATGCAATCTCCAGCTTACTCCAGTCCTCAAGCAACTTCTTGGCCTTTGCTGCTACTTCCTCATTGTCAGAATCTGTCAAGCTCTGGATAGCAACTTCAACATTCGAATCCTGAATCTTGTTTCGGGTCAATCGTGGGAAGCTATCGAGGATGGATAGAATCTGGAGGACAACGTTGGAATCCTCAATAAACGTATTCAAGACAGTCTTCAAGATCTGGTAAGCATGCATTCTCATAACGCAAGCAATCACCTTTTCTTCATGACAGCGCTGGATACGCTCTAGCAGCTTAACAGCAATCCACTTCTCTTTGCACTGCATAAGCGTAGCCATAACCGTTCTCGCATCGTCCTCATCCAGAGCACGAGATTGCAGACTGCTGATGTACTCTTCATCGTCTTCGTCAGCTCTCTTCTTGCGGGCCTTCTTCGCAGTCGAAGTGTCCCAGCCGTCTCCAAGGTCAATACCCAGGGCATCAACCGTGGCCGTTGGAAGCTTGGTCGCGCGCTCAGTCTGAGTTTTGCCACCAATAAATCCAACACAGTTGGGTTCTCCGCAGTAGCAGGGCTGGGGATCCGCGCCGTAGCGATCAACGTTGTAATTGAACACAAGCTCCTCGCCAGACTTGATGGCACGAAGGGCAAAGATACCCATGCGCAGCTTATCGCCAACCACCCATTTGTCAACATAGCAGTTGGGATTACACGAGTGATTGCAGAATCTGCCCAAGTTTCCCTTCCTTGTAGCATCGACAAACTCGCTTTTCGAAAGCGACATGAAGTAAAAGTGCTTGATGCCCTCCTCATCATACTTCAACATCCGTCTTCGAAAAGCCGGTTCGTTGATGACTTCGCCAATGTATTCGAATATAAAATCGTTTGCGCCCAAGTCGGCATCAGCGCGCAGACCATAGCCCTTCTTCTCTGTCTTGATAACCGAAACGCTGGCAAACTGTTTCCGTTGGAATCGCTGGTTCATACAGCCACCACCGCAGTTATCCGAAGTAGCGCTGCATTCTACCTTTGTCGCGCGGTTAATACAATCCGAGTCTTCGCCGCAAGCCTTATTTTCGCCGTTTTCTGTTACCTCTGGATTAGCACGAGTTAATCAAGACCTGGCGCCATTCGCCACTTACCCATCTCTTCTCGGCAATCGCAGTCGAAAGCGTCGTTATCTGTGGCGCCCATGTTCTTCGACCCGTACAAGCAGTCTGTGATGACTTGGAAGTTCTCACAGGACTCCTTGGTCATGTCGGGCAGGTTATCAAACAGCAGAGCTTGTTGCGCCGGCATTCGCTGCGATCCCTTGCGCGGCGCCTTTGGTTGCGTCTCTCCGCCGGATACAGAGGCACTCCGCGACCCATTTTCTTGTTTAACGTCGACTTCCATGGCTTCGGGTGTCGGTTTATCCATCGTAGTGGTAGCGCTGGCGTCTTCGAGCTTTATTCTTTCCACCCCATGAATTGCATTCCCATCATCCTTCATGCCTGCATTGAGAGAGGGGCTGTGGCGTTGCAAATTGTCGACGATAGCAGGTTCGTAGGGTATCGATATGTAATGCTAGTAGTATTCGAACCTAAACGGCAAAGCAATGTGTCGGGCGATGGTCGTGGAAGAGAGTTCGAGGGCGTACGGGGTTGTGGTGTAGCGCTTGTCTTGACAGTCGCGACCACTTAGTGAATTGGGAGTCTCTTCGTATGATTTGTACCAGTATAATTAGGGCCAGACTATTTGGTTAGAAACAAGTGCATATAACGCACAACAACCGCAGCAAAAGGATTGGATATTGTTCAAAGACAAGGGAACAGCGCCGCTGACTTGCAGTTGAAGTTACGGTGCCGCGCTTGACAACCGCGTCGCGGATTTTCTTATGGCCGGCGCGCCGAAACTGGCGCCGGAGCAGCACCTATGTATGCATTGGGTGGACTGCCCAATACAGAACCGGAACATTCACACATGTAAAAAGAAATGATTCGACTCTATATATTCATATTTAGATAAGGGAAATTCGCGTCATAATTTCCAATTACGCATTGCTAGACTCTGTGTCTCTTCAATGGCTTATGAATTGCCACTGTGCTGCGACTCACCACTAGTTGAAATCATGCCACTGTAGGATATAATCGGGTCATATTGGGCGCCGCAGTATAATTCGATGCCAATTATGCATTTACCTATTGTCACTTGATATCAGAGATCTTTTGCATTAATTTTGATACAGACAAAATGAGATCCAATCTGGTTCAGGCACCGAAGCAACGTAGAACTGTACACCGCCCCAGTGTGAATTACAAATGAACTTAGGCTGTAAGTCGAACCAGCTTCTATTCACTTCACAATGGACCAGAAATTCCGCCTAGCTTGTCCGATCGTCATGTAATGCAATTGATATAGCATCACTTTAAACTCATTACATTATTTACCGGAATCCAAGTGGCTATATAGACACGTCGTTCAACATCACCAACATCCGAAGTTGGGCACAAACCTCTTTTCTGCAGGGGACCTAACGCACGCACAGGGCACTCAGTGGGTCTTGGTTCAACGATTGCCAGCTCATTGTGCATACAAGCGAACGATTTGACAGCAAAGCTTATCCCTCATTTGCGAGACACATAAAAGCCACTTCGTTCCCGCGTTTGCGTATAGTGGTTCTCGATATGCGCAAAAGGACACCGTCGAGAATGTCTCGCCCTTCCCGTTCGACATATGCACATCATACAATGGCACCCCGCAAAAGATGGCGCCTCCTATCCGCTGCCATGCGGGAGGTGGATTCTTGCAGGCTGGTCCCACGGCAGCGCAGGTGTCATTCACGAACCAGAAGAACCCCGCCAGCAGCTACTGTAGCTACCACATGAGCACCCCTCCAGCAGCAGGCGACCGCTGGTGAGGTACTGTACATACCAAACGACTAGTATTGGAAGCGACCTCAATACCCACCTCAGGAGCCTTGGAGACCAACAATGCATCAGAGCTGTGCGCATTTCAGGGTCAGCGCAAGCGATGAAGCGAGTCATTCAATGTCGCGAACCGACAAGGATTGGACGGTGAGAAACAAACACTGGTCCGCCGTTGGCTGCACTAAGGAAAAACGGGCTCCCGGAACAGACGAGACGAGCCGACGATAATCACATCATCGTCTGGGAGGCATCCGACTGCCCGAATCTCCTCGCACCCTCTCAGCGAAGCCGACTGGCGCCGTGCTAAAGAAATAGGTCGAGCCTGTCATGCAAGTGTGGGAGGTGAGACAGTCAGGCGATCACTAGCTTCCCAAAGATTGGCTGGCTATAATGCAAGCGGAGCTTTTTGCAGCTCTAATGCACACACACTCACGCAACCCCCCCTCCTACTGCGCAGTGACACAAAAGCATCGAACATCGAGGCCATCGAGCCTTTAGCGGCGATACCCGCTCACCCAGCAAATCAAAAAAAAAACGCCGACTCGCTTCCTGGCGTTGCGTCCTGTCGTGCCGACCCGCTCGGTTTTGTGTACGCGTGAGCTAGTCGTGCGCGCAAAGTAGCTGCAGCTCGTCCTGCGAGCAATGCCCAAACGAACGGCCGCCGTTTTGCTTGCTGCTTTTGGTGGAGTTATGCAAGCAACGCTACACCCGTTTGTACAAGGCTTTCCTTTGTTGCAGAGGTTGCATTGGGGGATGTTGACCCGCTGAGCTAGCAGCCACACCTTGACTAGTCGCTATACCCCCACAACGCCAGTGACGGTCAGAACAAGCCCCAGGCGGAACGGGAGTTGCCTTTAGGTGGGCTGGCGCTGGGCTAGGGGAGGGAGGAGCCATTGCGCGGCCACGCGCTCCTTTGAACCTTCGTCGTTTTGGAATACCTCTACTGCGAGTGGTCACTTGGTACAACATCTCCATAGGAGGGGACAACTGAATCGCTTCACCGTAGCGCAATCCTTGCCGCGGGGCGGGTCAGCCTGAGCTAGAGGGAGCGCTAAGAAAAGCGTCGTCATGCCTGTTGCTTCTACCGTTCAACTTTTGAAACGCCGGACATGCAACCAGTGATTGGGCGCTGTGGTGGGAGGGCATCGCTTCCTTGCTTCTTAGTCCCAATTATGGGGCGGCGGCACCCATCCGTGCCTTGCATCGAGACGGGTAGCGCGCATGTCGCGAGCTCGAACTAAATGGATTATTCCGTCTTTGTCTTGCTGCACGATACGAGGAAGGGGGGCAGCGAGGTGGAGGGGTTCGCACGCACCCTCAGAGAGGACTTGTTCAGCTGGTCTGGTGATACGCCTAGGGACAGACGCCTTGGTTCACGATTCGCCACACCACACCATGGCACCCCAACGGTGCTGATGGCTCCCGGTGGGACAACGATTAGTTTGCTGCTGGACATGCTGTTGCCCCTCCTTGCACTATCCGCACCCTTGCAAAGAGGCTGTTCCCGCGCCGTCAGTGCCAACCCTGGCTTAGATTTTCCACCGCATCGTGGCTGCAGGCTGCCGTCATGTCCATCATGTGCGGGCGTCGTTTGTTACCTCCCGGTCGTTCTATACTTGGCTTTGATGGGGCAAAGACGAGACCCATGCACCACCATCTTCTTCTTTGTACCATGCCGATGCTTGGTGACTCCTACCCACCGACCAGATCCGCTCCTTGTTGCTTGGTAAATTGGTTAGAGGGAGCGTCGGCGAAGCGTGTGGTCTCGCCTTGATCCGCCCAGTTGCATATTCACTGGCAAAGCAAAACTGGCGGTCCCTTGTTTCTGTTGGGTCTCGCCTTGCTGACTGGCCTTGCCCTCCATGTATTAGCGTGTATTGCCGATTAGTTTTTTTGTTTCTACCATTAGATCTGTTTCAGTATTCGGTACCCTTGCTCGTTTTAGACAAGTAGTGGCCCAAGGTCGACAGGCGCTGTGGATTCATTCGGCCGGACTATGGGGGGGGGCATCTCGCGTACATATAACGCGGCCACTCTTACAGGCCGCTCCGTTTTCGACAAGGCGTTCGGTTCCGCTGGTACGTTTTTCGGTCTGTTAATCCCTCCCTCATTTCTGTTATTGGCTTCGGCAGAAAGCCATTTTCCCAACAGTGACCGCTTCTTCGACGATTGCCTGCATCTCGCCCATCTCTTGTCAGTCCGGGTCTCTTTCCCAAGCCGCGCGCCAACCAAACGCACATAGACGCTTCGCCTGCAGGCGTCAGAGAACAGGGTACTCTGCGTCTTGTGCACCTTGCACTCTGCAGCTCATTCTCAAAGCGGGTTGTCCAAGTGTTGCAACTCCAAGTGATCAAGCCAGACGACTCTTTCCCCACAACATCAAAAGCATCTTCTCCTTCTACACGCTCGCCATCGCCACTGTGTTTCTGTGCGACGATACCTGTCTGCTCCCTACCGATCGACACCAGTTCTCGTCTTTACTGGTGTTGTTACCGTCAAGTTTGGAGACGCTGCCGGTCCAGCTCCTTCCACACCCTGGCACTCTGACAGCTGCCAGACAGTGCGTGCCAGGTGATCGAACCGGCACTTGCAAGTTGCGAGGCAGCCGCCATTAGCCAAGGCGTTCTGCTTTTAACCATCCTTCAGACGATACACTTCTAGCTTTGGCTGATCTTGATATTATTTTTGCTTCCGATCTGAAGCTGGTCATCTTCACCAAGCCTTGTTCCACTCGAGTATGTTTGACTGAAGCAGCCCGCTCTCCTTTTACCATTTATACCAGCAGCGCACGTCCTTCTCATTTGCGCAGTAACGAAAAACTTCTTGATCCCATCTTCTTTCTAGCCCTTCATGTATATCCAAGAACCTATCGAACATACGCACTTGACATATATCTACAACTCTGGGAAAGGCAAAACTACGAGCATCTGGTGGAGACCTGGGGAGAACCGAAATGGACTCGTCGTTTACTGTGAACGAGCAGGTAAGAGTACCACTCGGCACCGTGATTTCCACTATACTAATCTCTTTTAGCGCTTTGTTTTGGCTGAGATGATAAAGTCCAGTCATATCGATGTCGCTGTTCTCGCCGACTTTGTGCGACACCACGCCATTAGCCCTGACTGGATGGAGATGCAGCTCCCACGAGGTACGATACTAAGCGCGTCATCTTCCATATTTTCATTATTCTCACACCTTTCTCAGGTCGTAACATGCACCAGTGTGTGCGAGTAGCCGAATGCTTCAATCTCCCGACAGGGCGGATGAGCCGATCACCGCCAAACCTACTTCTGACGCAGACACACACGCCTCCACGTCAACCACAACAATATATTAGCCCTTGGCCACAAAAAGACACTGGTCTGGAGGCACAAGCAAACTCGTCGTCTAGCGGTCATGTATACATACGCCCGCGCCCAGGCAGCGAACCGCCCCAACCGCGGCCCAAACCTGCTACACGGCCTCGATCACAAGAAGGCAAGCGAGGTCGACCATCTAAGAGCGATCTAGCCAAGCGAGACCTGAATATACAGCTGCCCGCTCACTTTGCGCCGAGACCTCTGCGGCCAAATTCTGCGCGTCTCGCTCCGCCGCTTACATCGCCGGTCACGGCAAACACGACGTTGCCGTCGATACGGCACTCACCAAACAACGCATATACATTAATGTCTAGTTTATCTGCACCGTCTTCGTCAGCCTCAGCGGAAGATGATACACGGCCAAGAAAACGAAAGCGGCTGATCGAGGACGAGTTGCCTACGCTGCCTCCGCTGGAGACCATCACGGAACAGTCCCACTCAGACTATAGTCTTGCAGGCGCAACAACAAAAGGCTAAGTTGTTTGCTACTGTCGGCCTAGACCGCTGAGAATGAGTACATTATTGTGGTTTTGGATAATGATCTATTTTAAGCGACGACACGTTTTACGGTTCCAGGCTCCGAGTTTAGCATGGTAACCATCCTAGCATTTTGTATCGGCGTGGCATCTCGTTTCGGAATCTATTGTTTTGGAGGAAATACCACGGTTTTAGCGAAGAACCATCTTGGTTTTATGATTGGGCTTCTAATTTTATATAGAATACTTGAATAATTAAATATAGACTGTTTGCGTGACATGTAGAGCCCAATAAGTTGGTAGAGATCTAAATATCATACTGAGGCACGTTAGAACCAAGTGAGATGGATTGCTATTTTAACAGGTATTCACTGGGTCAAGGTCAGACATACATAATGTGAAACTCGTCTAGAGAATATTTATATTACAGACCTGCAGGCTCAGACTTATTTCTAGTGACGATAGTTCAGACATGCGGCGTCCCATTGGCGAATCACATTGCAGGGTAGTCGCAGGTGAGACGGCCGCTCTCCAGAGACCTTAGCGGTCTAGATGCTATGGGGATGATGTAGAATGAGGTGCGATGGAGAAGCATGATTGTTTTAGATTATATTTAGTGGTTTAACATCATAAATTACGGCCTAGTGTTGCGACCAATTTTTATTTTAACGCGTTACTGTAGAATGGATTTTGATATAGCATGTTCCGCTTCACCCGGCCCGTTTACAGGTCCTTGGCAGTCTTCTCGAGAGCCTCGACGAGGATGTCGCAGTGGTGCTCCTGGAGAGTCAACATGGGACGGAGACGGACGGCGCTGGCGCCGCTGCCGCCAATGTTGATACCGTTGGTCTTGGCCTTGACGAGGAACTGGTCGCGTTTGGGGCTGTCAAAGGCAATGAAGGTGCCCTGGCCCTTGCCACGGAGGTTCTGGAAGTGTTCGGGGTACTTTGCGGCGAGGGCCTCAAGCTTGGCATAGAGGTAGTCACCGACGCGGGCGGTGTGGTTGACGAGGTCGAGACGCTCAATCTCCTCAATGATTGCGCGGAAGACGAGGCAGCGGGCGGGGTCACCGAGCCAGGTGTTGAACTGACGGTAGGGCTTGTTGGGGCGGAGAGCGTCGGTGTAGTAGTAACCGGCAGTCTGGGCCTTCTTGGAGAAGGTGACCATGTCAGGAGGGTCCTGGAGGTCCCAGTGCTCGTGAGCCCAGAACTTGCCGGTGGCACCAATACCGGTCTGAACCTCGTCGACAATGAGGAGGACGTTGTGCTTCTTAGTGACGGCGCGGAGCTTGCGGAAGAAGTCGGCGCTGGCGTGGTTGTCACCGCCCTCGGACTGGATAGGCTCGACCATGACGGCGCAGACAGGAGAGTGCCACGACTTGATCAGCTGCTCAACCTCGTCGATGGAGGCCTGCTCGGCAGCAGCGTTCTCAGCAGCGTGCTGGTCAAGAGGGTACTTGAGCTGGGGGAAGGAAGCCTGGGGCCAGTCGAAGGCGGGGAAGTCGAGCTTGTGGATGGGCTTGGAGCGGGTGGTGGAGAGGGAGCCAAAGAGACGGCCGTGGAAAGCGCTCTTGAAGGAGAGAATGGCGAGCTGGGGGGCACCAGGGGTCTGGTTCTTCATGGCAGAGTCCATCTCCTCCTGGGTGAAGTCCACATCAGGGCCACCACGGTCCTGCATGCGGCGGTACATGAAGGCGGCCTTGTAGGCAAGCTCGTTGGCATCGGAGCCAGAGAGGGCAGTGAAGACGTTGTTGAGGCCCTTGGGGGCGACCTTGAGGACACCAGTGGCGAGGATCTCGGCCCAATCGTTGGAGGGGAAGTTACCAGTGGCAGGACGGTTGATAAGGGCGTTGACCATCTGGGGAGTGGCGGCAGCCTTGGCGAGGGTCTCGTTGTTGTAGCCGACGGGGATGGAGGCAATCTGAGCGTAGCTGAATGCCAGGTAAAGCATGTGTTAGCAGCAATTGTCAATGGAAATGAATCCCTAAGAGAGACAGGGAGATAGAAACAGGGACCAATGGGTGGTAGGGACACTTACACATCGAGCAGGGTGTTGCCGTCGACATCGACAATGTAGTTGCCAACACTCTTGGGGTAATCACCCATGATGTTGACGGCGCGGGTATCCCATACCTTAGCGAGCTCCTGGGTAGCCTTGACAGTCTCGGGTCCGGGGAACTGAGACTTGACTGCGGGCTGAGCAGGCTCGTTGGCGAAGAAGGCCTTTGTGGAGGCGGAGCGGGCACCAGCCATTGTGAAGGAGCGGGTGAATGATCTGAAGGCAAGGGCAGTGCGGACAGACATGAGAAAAGCAAGAGACAGAAAGTTGCGACGAGGTAACTTTCAGGACTCTTGGGGGAAAGACGGGAAGATGTAGATGCAAGAAGAAGAGGGTCACGAAAGTGGAGGACCAGGAGGGGCAGCGGCCCAGGTCCTTTTCAAGCTTTTTTTTTGTTGGCGCTGTTTGCTCGCTCTGGGCCCCAGCTTTCCCCACGTCGCTACGCGGGGCGCTTGTCCCCTGACCTGCCGAAGGGCGCTACTCAGCCCGGCGCTCGAGAGCCGTTGGAATCCGGTGGCCGGCCGCTAATAAGCAGCGCTGAAGGTTCAAGAAAAAAAAGAGTACAGCAAAGTGCAGCGCAGCGCAGTGCAGATGCATGTAGTAACTGTAGGGCGTGCAGTGTGCCCCCCACGCCGCATCTTACTGGGCGGTCTTGTTTGATGTAAGTAGTTGGAGACATGACACATTATTCCCGATCAGTGACTGTATTTTGCCTTGGGAAAATAATTGCATTCTCACTCTCGACTACTCTCTACTCCATCGTATCTTTCTATTTTGTCTTTATTTTATTTGTATTTCCTCTTTTTATTTGATCTGCCTTCACAGCCCACCATCTGGAAAAAGACACATACCCCAACTGGGCAGCGCCCCCCCCTCCATTCCCCCCTCCCCTCTTCCTAGTGACCCCGCTATGGCTGCTGGTGCTGCTGCAAGCACCCCCACAATCATGGCCGACGGCGTGCGGCACCCGGCCTGCTGTACCGATTCCCCATCGCCCACTGTACTGTGTTTCTACGGGCTAAGCTTGCCGTAGCGCGGCGCCCATGCAACCATTTTCTCGGCTCTGGCCCGCCACTGGGTTGGGGTATCCGAATTTTTTGGTGTTGTCTCATGCATGTACTGCTGTCCGCCTTTTCACACCTCACGTGGTGCAGCAGCTGTTTGCCAGGATGGAATGCATACAGCGCAATTCCCTGTAAACTGCATCTGCCAATTTGTCTCTTTGCTCCTGATTCTCCCGATCTCGGTCCCATGGCTTGCCACCTTTGTCTCCAACGCATGCGCACTAGTATCCATAACGATCCCGCCTTCCTTTTGGGGCCCACTCGCTCCAATCTGACGCCGGCCGGCAGTGTGGTGCGGACATCTCGCCTAGCCAATATCTTGCTTGTGTTTCTGCCTATAAACAAGGAAATGTATTTATTCAATTATAGTGCATCTGAAACCTTTATTTTCTCTTATTGCACATTGACTCGCTCAACAGCCACCCAGATGCGCCATGCCGAAACAATGCCCGTTCGGCCGCTCTTGCGGTGTCCGTGGGCTCCGGCCCCATAATTTCGCCCCGTCTCGCCCACCACCATCTTCAACTTGCGGACGCCATTGCATCAGCCTCGCTCCCGATATCTCCCATGATATATACAATGTGTATTGAAAACAAGAGATGAGTCATTTGTAAGAGATGCAATTCAAATTGTATTCAGGTGCCTCCCATGTCGGCTCTGCTCGCCTTGAGGTGTTATTAATGCTACATCCGCCATGTCTCCCCCAGAATATCAACAGTCCCAAAATAGCATAAACGCCCGTTCAAGCGATGATTTGCCCATGTTGAAAGTGAAAAAAAGATACAGAAAAAAAAGGAAACTCCGATGCAAATGCAAACAGCTCATCTTCAATGAGAACCATGTTCTTCTTCTTCCAATTCTCGCATGTACTTTACAAATGTCTTCTTGTGTACCATACCTGCGAAGCGGCCTTCCTTCGTTGCGCAAACGTAGCGTAGTCCAAGCTTCACAAAGCACTCATACACCAAATCCATAGGCGAGCGAATGTCCAGTGCTACAGGAGCTGGATCAATATAAGGTGTAAAATCTGTGGGGTCGACAAGGTCATCATCGTCGTCGTCGATGCTGGGCACACGGTCCATGAGACACAGGCTTGTTGACTCGTCGGGGAGCTGGTCCAGTGCAAACTCGAGATCTGGTGCAGGGATAAGGCCGACGAGCACGTCATTTCGAACGATAGGCAAGCCACCATCAATCTCTCCAGCACGGTGAAGCACCTCAAGTTTGGTACGCAAGCTAGTGGCAATAACGAGTGGAGAGTTGGTGATGTCGATGACGCGTTCACGACGAACACGATGCACAATGTCTGCCAGGTCGCCGGTAAAGATGGGCTTTTGTTTGTTGTCCAAAAAGGGATACGAGTTCATGTTTGTGAGAAGATCCTATGATTCGGGTAAGCGATGGAGAAGACAGCAACGCGCAACACAGTACTTACGTAGATGCTGGCAGGCTCTATAGCGTCAGCCGTCCACTTGGCAACCAAGATGGTTAGCGAGAAGGGCAAAACGTAGTCAAGACTACCGGTTAGCTCAAACAGGATAACCGCGAGTGTTACGGAAAGTCGAGTAACGCCGCACATGGTTGCACCGGCCGCAATCAGACCATACACGCCTGGTTGGATACATGTGCCGTCGGCAGCTGTCGCGCAGTTGCCCCAGACCCCCCAATTCGGTGTAATTAAGACGAGCCATTGTACCAGATGGCCGACCATACGGCCCATCAAACCTCCAACAACCATCGAGGGGATATAGATACCGGCAGGAACTTTCTGTTCGAGTAGTTAGTTTTGTTTGAGATGCAGAATGGCCGATCACTAATGCTTACAATGCCGAAGGTAATGACAGTGAGAAATCCTTTAATAAGGAATGCAGCCAAAAGAGTGATAAGAATGCCTGGGATGTCATCCACTGAATTGGGGCACAGGCCCAGCTGGTCTCTATCCTCGTCGGTAGAGTCATCGCAGGGTGAAGCCAAATTCAAGAGTAGCTTAGCAACAGGGAGTTTTGTTAGAGCATTCCAGTAACTCATCAAACCTGTAATGAGTGCTACCAGGAAGACTTCGAAAAGAGGGTACGACTTGATGACACTCAAGCGACGGAAGCTTTGAGCCCAGTACTTAGAAGCCTTGATAAATAGAGCTCCAAGAGCTCCACCCAATACGCCGACAATGATAAAGCTGCCAAGTTCAAAAAACTCCCAATCAATGAGGTATCGAACCTGGAACATGACAATCTTGTGGGTTCCATATGGGTTCAAAAATTTGAGGGATAGCGCAGCCACAATGCAGCAAAAGAACGTGCGGAAGAGCGTCTTGGCTGGGAAAAAGTAAGCGACTTCTTCCAAACCAAACAATACACCACCCAAAGGAGCACCAAAGGCGACAGTGACACCGGCAGCAGCAGCAGCAGAGAGCACTTCTCTGCGCTTTGCGTCATTGCGGTCATACTTGGAAAAGAGACGGCAAGCAATATTGCCAACGCAGGTAGCGATGTGCACATATGGGCCTTCTTTTCCTAAACTCAGTCCAGATGAAACACTGAGAATTAGAGCAAGCATTTTGATGATGAGCGTCTTGAGACCGAGGAAGCCGTGGAGCACAAAGCCACTCAGAATCACACGAACTTCGGCAACTCCACTGCCAGCAGCAGAGTAGTACACCATTGGCGGGTTTGCGACAGGAAAAGCAGGTTGTTGAGGAGGGGTACCGCTGTCGTCAGTGAGAACATCGTCAGCAAGGTGAGGAATGCGCTCGGCGGCCAGATTTTCATCCAGAGTCGACAATCGATACGCAGACGGGACGACCGTCTTTGTCCAGAGTGCAATCCAGCATGAGGTAAGGGACAATACAAGTACGCAAATAAGATAGACGCTAAAGTCGGTGACGACGGGTCCAAATGGTGTAAAATGCAGAATGTCGCCCCAGCTTTTCCAGTCGTCACACGACATGCCGCCACAGCATCTCTGCCATTCCTTAGTAAATGACTCATAACCCTTCGAATAATCGTGCTTACCCTTTCGTCTAGATACCAGGCTCTGGAACAGTAACCATCCTTGAAATCGAAAACAGTAGACTCAGCAACGTTCACGGTATACGCAATTAGGGCAATAATGAAACCACAAAGAGCACTGAGGAACCAGCCCTGTGCGCCGTCAAGCGTCACGAGGATGCGGCCCCAGAAATCCTTGCGGCTTCTAAGAGCCTTGACTCGATGTGAATCGGCAATTGCATCGTGAACCCAGTCAGTGCTGGTAAATTGATCGTACCAGACGCGTTCGTCAGGGAAGAGGGAGCCTTTGGAGTCCGACAATGTGCTTCGGCCGTCGGCGAGGGCGCTCATTAATCGTTGGCCCCAAGAGGGATGTCGGCTATGGTGTCGAGTACTTCGAACGCTTCCTAAAATTAGGTATGTCAGTTTCAAGAAGGCTGTTAGTGTTCCTTTGTGAAGGAGCCGTACCTTGGTAGCTCTGGTTACGAATCAGACCAGGGATCTTGGGCGAGCTGGCGCCGCTTTGGATGCGTATTCGTGAACGTCCTGTTGTTAAAAGCGGCGATAGCTCGTCAGGCCCAAAGGTAGAGTGGTGTCGGCGAGAAAATGGACGCCGAGGGGCACGGGGCGAGCTTGGCTGAGAAGTACCGTAATTGATGTGCAGGCTGTTGTTCTCAGCGTCGTCCTGCTCTGAGTCGGCCATAGCTGCAGAGTTTCCGAAAGAGCTCAAGCAGAGGAGAATCGGTGTTTAAATGGTAAGAGGGGCGCAGGTAACAGCAAAAAGCTGTGAGACTCTGAGGTGGTATTCTAGGAGACTCTAGGGATCAACATTAGGTAGCAGCTGTGTCCAGATAACGAAACGGGGTGTCCCAGAGGCGATAAACAAGCAGCAAGCGAGAGCCCAAGCTAGCCGAGTTGATGCTGCGTAACGTAGGACAGATCGAGATGATAAATAAAAGCAAAGAATCACGGACAAAGGCACCGCCCAGATGCAAGGTGCCCAAAGGGAGTGCAGGTGGTCGCGGGTTGGGCCGGTGATGGTGGTGGTGTAGGTGGAGGGTGGAGGGCAGGACCGCTTCGTATCAAGGTGCGGAGGCGGAGGGCTGCTGGGCAGATGATGTTGTAGGCCTGCACGTGGATAGGTAGAGGCTGGGCCCGTGTCTCAACTAAGGTGGTCTCTGCCTGTCACTTGCACAGCCTGGCGCTGCGGGGGGCGTTTTTAAGTGGTAGCTAAAAAATAGAAACAAGTCCGGGTATACATATGACTAAATTCTGCCGAGACCTTCTCTGATCGAAAGCTTCAAGCTCATGTCCACAATACAGTTTGCAGATGGCGGATGACGACGTTTGGCTCCAGCTTTTAGCACCGCGGAGCCACCCAGATGCCGCCAGTCGTGCGCTAACGCGCCTCTTGCAGTAGCGCTAACTCGCTATAATCGGCGAATTTGGGCTCTGCCTGTTGGCGGCTGATGGCTGCGTTTTGAGATTGGTAGCCTCGATTACCCACGACCTACCTGGTTCTGTTCTCTAAGAGAGACGTCCATTTCGGGAATTTAGAGCGAATATTGTTGTATTTCCGGCTTGAACAGTGGATTGATGCTATTGTGATGTAAAACCTATTTTTAACAGCCCGCTAATAGCTCGGGCTTTAGATCACTGGCGATTTGCCTGCAGAACGGAAGCTACAGTGACAATCGAGGCTACCTACAGCGGAAACACAGCGGAGGACATGGCGGCCCACTTTCCTGGTACCGCCCGCCTTTCGACGCTTATCTTATCAGCACCAGGAAATTTTCATAGGCGGCAGAAAAAAAATATCCATTGAAAGCTACGCAAATCATTTCTACGAACTGTCACCAGTCGCCCAATTCTGCTCTACGGCTTCCGCTACCGGCTCTACTGCAATAGCGATTTAATATAGCACATCTTAATATGGCGAAAAGAAGAAAGGGCTCTGGCCCTGCCCAAGCCAAGGGACCCAAAGAGCTGGATTCGAAAGACGCCCGCCTCGGCCCTATTACTACCTACAAAGATGTCGCCGATTCGGAAGACGAATACTTCATCAACCAAGATACAATTATGCTCGAAGATGAGCCCAAGTCGAAACGGCAACGACAAGATGAAGACTTCGAACTCTCTGACGAAGAGATTCTTGGATACGACGATGATGACTCTGACGAAGCCGACGATGTTGAGGAAGAGGACGAGGATGAGATGCAAACAATAAAGTCGAAATCCAAGTCTAAATCAAAATCCGATGACGTAGATGAAGATGAAGAAGGCGATCAAGGCTGGTGGGGATCATCAAAGAAAGAATACTATAACGCCGATAATATTGAGACCGAGGCCGACGCCCAGGAAGAAGAGAAGGAAGCCAAGAAGTTGCAAAAGAAGAAGCTCGCCAAGATGGCTGAAGAAGATTTCATGTTCGATGGCGATGAATGGCTAGCTGCTGATGCTGATGAGGAAGAAGAGCAGGACACGGTAACGGAGGTTCTGAAGGAAATTGAGATTACAGACGACATGGGCACCGAGGAGCGCAACAAATTGCTGGCTGCTCGCTATCCCGAACTCGAACACCTCGCCACCGAATTCCAAGAACTACAGCCGAGGTTGGCCGAACTTGCGAGTGAAGCCAAGCTCGCTGGTGAAAAGTCTCTAGAAACTGTCAAGTACTGGCTTCTCAGCTGCTATATTGCCTCCATCACCAGCTACTTCGCCATCCTCACAGCCCCCGCACGCGATGCTGGAAACGTATCGAAAGCAACTGACCCGGCCGAACTCCGCGACCATGAAGTCATGAGCACGCTGATGAACTGCCGTGAAGCATGGCAAAAAGTCAAGGATCTTCGATCTGCATCTCAACAAATTGCAGCCGAAATGGAAGAATCTGAGGATATGGATATTGACGAGCTTGCCGTTAAACCCTCCACGAAGAGAAACAGAACAGAGGAGAAGGCTGCTGCTCTCAAGAAGGCTAAGAAGCTGGCCCGCGACAATGAAATCGAGGCCAGCGTTGCTGACCTCTACAACCTCCCCATCGGGAGGACGAAATCCAAGAAGCAGGTTAAGGCTGCTCCCGTTGATGACGACGATAACTCCGATTTTGGCGAAGAAGATGCTCTGGACGCCCGTACAGCTGCCGATAAGGCTGCGAGAAAGAAGAGTCTCAAATTCTACACCTCACAAATCGTCCAAAAGGCCAACAAGCGTGCTGGAGCTGGTCGCGACGCTGGCGGTGATACTGATCTTCCATACCGCGAGCGCTTGCGAGACCGTCAAGCTCGCCTCATGGCCGAAGCACAGAAGCGCGGTCAGCGTGATTCGAAACACGGTGCTGACCTTGGCGACGATAGCGATGACAATGACGATACCCAGGCTAATGCAATCCGCGGTGAAGAGGATGACTACTACGACATGGTTGCCAACGCTGCCAAGGGCAAGCGCGAAGAAAAGGCCGCTCGTGCTGCCGCTTATGCCGCCGCTAGCAAGGCCGACAGAGTTGTGCAAGTGGAAGAGATTGGAGAAGATGGCAAGAGAAAGATTAACTACACTATTGAGAAGAACAAGGGTCTGGCACCCAAGAGAAGCAAGGATGCTAGAAACCCTCGTGTGAAGAAGAGAAAACAGTACGAGGCCAAACAGAAGAAGCTCCGCAGCATGAAGCCAATCTGGCAAGGCGGAGAGCCAAAGGGCGGATACAAGGGAGAATTGGCTGGTGTCAATGTTGGTGTCGTCAAGAGTGTCAAGCTGTAAATATTTACGTATGTTCAAAAAGAAGCATTTGCATTTTACATGGTCAATTTTGCTCTTGTCAATAAATGTGGCTCTATTGCGTCCATATTGCTGGATGAACTTGTATTATATTAATCTTCAAATTTTATGTATTTTTTCCGCGCCGTAAATACCGTTAGCGATGGCCATATGGTCTAACAAACTGAGCTTGAAGTTGCACGCACGCACTCAATACGACAACCCCACCATCGAGCAAGCTCCACGTCCCGCGAAGTTGGACCTCTACAACATACACTCACCTCCCCCCCGACCGATGCGCTCGCTTGCAAACAAAGCAGAAAAATCGGTCATTGATGACTCAAATCAGCACATGACAGTATCCATTGCAATCTAAACGCACGCCAACCGGTAGCAGCCGATACAATGGCGACCCCCGAGGTTGACGTGTCCAGCCTGACAACGTCGGCAAACATCTTCTCTGGCACAAACACCCTGCCGCAAATCCGAACGATAAATAATATCATACGATCGCACATCGATGAAATTTCCAGTCGCTTGCGGACTCAGGTCGGCAGCTCGTACCGTGAGCTGCTGGGTACGGCCGATGCGATTGTCCAGATGCAGGAGGACAACGACAATGTACAGCAGCTGTTAGCCAGAATGGGCGGCAAATGCGGTCGTACGATCGTGACGAATAAGTCGGAGAGTTTGAAACATTTCAAGAAGCAGCAGTCTCGACCAGAAATGTCCGTGGTTGCGCGGACAAAACTCTTGAATGATTGCGTCTCTGCGGCGGACACTACTCTTCAAGGCTGTGGTGGCCTGGGCAAGAAAAGCGTCGGCGACCGTCTTTTGCTTTCTTCCAAGCTTTTGACACTCGGTCGACTTCTAACTGCAAGCTTACAAGATGGTGTATCCGACAAGCGAGTAGCGCAGACCACAGATGCGGCGAAGAATACCATTGAGCGACTGCGCTGGAAGCTACGCCGTGGCATTGACAAGGTACTGGAGTATCCCAGCGAAGATTCTGACAGAGACGATATTCTCAAAGCATTATGCGCTAGAAGCGTTGCATCAAGTTCCGGCGCCAAGGATGCGTTGCGTTATCTTCTAGATGTGCGAGGCAAATCCATCAAAGCCGCTTTTGACACTGAAGAAGGCGAGCGAACACAAACACCAGAAAACACTTTACTAGCGCTGAAGCTCTATATCCGAACAATTTTGGATGTACAGGCGCTTCTTCCAACGACTCTTCCACAGGCCCTTGTGGCATTGAAGCAGAACCGTCTCCTCGCCGACACAACATTAAAGCAACTCAACACTCTCCGTCTGGACTTGTACGAATCATGGTGCAGTGAAGAGATTCAATTCTACACGCCGTTTATTCGACATGACGATCTAGATGGCAAAACAGCTCGAGAAGCACTTTTGAAATGGGCGGAGGCTGCTTCGCAAGATTTCATCAACGGTCTCAAGGAGACAACTGACAGCATCTCGGATTTTACAGCTATCATAAAACTCCGAGGAGATGTCTTGCAACTCTGGATTCGAAACGGCAGCAAGGCAAAAGGCTTTGATCCTCAAGAACTCCTTGACGAAATTCGCGAGACTTTGAACGGCAGGATGCTACATATGCTCGAAGCCAAAGCATCCAAACTGCACCTGGTTGGGTCAGAAATTCACTCAACACTTGAACATTGGCAGATTGGTATCACAGGGAAACAGGCTGGCCTCTGGACTCGTGACGGCTACGAGCAAGCACTCGAACAAGGAGCAACAACTTTCTTGGAAGAAGTCATCTCAAGGTTATATGGGCGTAATGACTCTGTCTCGAAAGCGTTCCACAGTTATCTTGCTTGGTTCAATGCCGTTCAGGAGGTTAAAACTGAGTTGGAAGGTTTAACAAAGCAGCGTTGGGATAACGACTTTGACGAGGTCGAAGACGAGGATACCTTAGAGAGCCGGCAACAGACCTTGAGCAAAGACGACCCTAAACTTCTACAAGACAGGATGGATAAAACACTCGAAAGTTCTTACAAAGCGCTTGCAACGCAGCTTAGCGAAGTTTGGGCGTGCAAAGAGAATGATAAAGATGCCAGTGCCGTGGCTGCCTATCTACTCCGCGTCATTCGCGATATAGGGACAAAGTTACCAGAGCGACCCGTCATCTCGAACTTTTGTGACGATATTGTGGCGCCGCTGCAGGCATCAGTAGCCTCCGCCGTTATATCGTCAGGTACCAAGGACTTTTTGGAAAGTGGCCTACCGAATAGAACCGTGGAATGTCGCAGTCTCTGGGACGGCGAGCCAGCGCTACCAATGCAGCCTTCGCCTGATACCTTCAACTTGCTTCACAGCATGTCGATGAAGATGTCTGATACTGGTATTGACCTCTGGACTCCATCTGCTACCAAGATCCTCAAGTCCCAGCTTATTAGCAAGCTTGTTACCGCGTGGGAATCAGAATTGACCAAGATTGAAGATTCAGACACCGGTAGTACCGACGATGCATCCCCAACTTCCGACAGCACCAAGCCCGCGGCATCCGTCAACGTCCCCGAGCTTTGCACACAGTGGCTCTTCGATGCCAGTCTGTTACAGGAAAGCCTGGGATCTTCGGACGAATTCGACAAGCTTGTTAGCAGCATTTACAAACGAACACAACTTGACGACGAGGCGCAGAAGAAGCGCATTACCAAAGCAACAAGCGCATACTGGCAGCGCATCAGCATGCTCTTTGGCCTATTTACAGACGCATGAACTATAGAAAAATCGATAGATCAAAAGCATATAAAACTAGTTTAACGTGATTAATGATGAAAGTATCAAAACTACCTATTTACAGCTTATGTCTCTTCTCACCCGTAGCCAGCTTGCGGAACTCCTCTTGGGGAATACCCTTCAGGAAACGCTGTAGGCCAGCAAAGACCTCCTTAACATTCTGGTTATCGATGATTTCTCTTTCCGGTCCGCGAATGAGCTTCTTAATGCCCGTCAAGCTGTCACCGTTCAAGTGATCGCCCAGTCTATCATCGACCTCCTTGAGCACTCTAGCATTGAACTTGACGTCGTCGCCCTCGTCAAAGATGGCATTAACGTAACCAGCACGCTCCAGCTCCGGCGCATAGATGCGTTTGCTCATGACCAGAGCCTCCATGGATTTCGCAGGTCCCAGACGCTGCACAAGCGCCCGCGAGGCACCGCCCTCGGTAACAAGACCAATAGAGGAGAATGGAGTGAGCAAGAAGGCGTGAGGTGCCGCATAGATGAAATCACCAAACGACACAAGCGCGGCAGACAGGCCCACCACGGGGCCGTTGAGGCCGATAACAAGAATCTTGGAGTGCTTAGAGAAGGCGTCGGTGACGTTGAGGTTATTGGCGACAAAGTTGGACAGCCAGAAGCGGTATGTGGTGTTCTCGTCGGCGTCTGCCGGTGCTGCACGGCTGATGCTTACATCGGCGCCACTGTTGTGTTACATGGTTAGCCATGCGCCAGCAGAAGCATAGTAGATTGATGTGTCACTTACGCAGAGAAGAAGCGGCCCTTGGCTAGAATGACAGTCACAAAGACTTCATCGTGGGTGTCGATTTGGCGCAGGGCCTGAGACAGCTCAAAGTAGTCGGCGGCGCCCATGGCGTTGAGCTTGGCCGGGTTATCGATGGTGATGACGGCATAGCGCCCCTTGTACTCGACGCTGATGATGGAGTGGTCCTGACTGCTGGCCATTGCTGCGGTTCTTAAGTTGTATACGGGTACGGTGATGGAATTGGAAAGGATACAGGAAACCAAAGAAGCTACCCCAGGTTTGTCCTCAGGATCGGGGTTTATGCTGTAGCCGGCTCCATCCCCACAAAACGCCGGTTGATAGCCTCGGCCCTGCGCGGGGCATGTTTGGCCGCCGGCCGGGAGGGAGCGCAGCGCCTAATTGGATGAGAAGAGCGCATGTTGGTGGCGTCTTGTATAAAATCCGGAGACGGACTATTACTCTGCAAGCCACTCTGTTTCCCATGTATGCGTTTGCATAATAGTGGTGGTTGGTGTGTTGCGTTGTTGCTACGGCTGTGGGTGGTGGATTAGTCGGCTATCTACATATACATCACGGAACGAGACAGTGGTTTGTTAGGGATTCATAAAAAAAAAGCCATATGGATTTTCATTATCCTAAAACGCCAAGTAGCTTGCCCTGTTTTTCAGGTCGCTCAAATGCCAAAACAAAAATACGAATAAATAGCGCCATATGTCCCCTGTGGCTAGTACAACTCTCTACATAAAATCAGCGCTGCTGCTGGACAGCCTGCATTTTATCTGCGCGGCGCAAGGTGTCTCTGCTTAGGGAAGTCCAGCGGCAGGATGAGCTTCGCAACGTGCGTCATCTTGCCTTGGGCCTTATTAGAGACAGGCTTCACCCGGGCGCCAATCTCGTGGAAGTACTGGTTCATCTGGGACTGCTGAAGCTGGAGATCGTCACGGAGGTTGGCCGTGTCGACTTCGAAGTTGTCGACAATACAGGCAAACGCGCAGCAGTGCGTGATGAGCAGGTCGATGTGGAACTTGCGCATGATGCCGTTCTCGGAGAATTTGCGGCGAATGTTCTCAATGACAGCTTCCGGTGCGCCGGCAAGGAATTCTTTGAGCTTGTCGCGTGGTGGGATGCGGCGTGTGCCGTGGGCGGCAGTCTTAGACATGATGAAGAAGGTGATAACAAATCCAAGATATCTGAGAACGCGCAGGCGCAGCACAGCAGTGTCGTTGGAAGCAATTGCTGTGACGCGGAAAGCAACGAATCGAGAGCCAGAGTTGACAGGCTCATTGTGCGAAACCAGCTCTTGCCACTCGCGAATGGGGATCATGTTGAAAATTTCGCTGCCAATGAGAACCTCGGGGTCGTAGACGTCCTGGATCTCGTCGGCCTCGAGGTTGGCGTAAGGAACGGGCTTAGCCTCGTCGACAGCAGCCTGGAGCTGGTCGCGAGTAGCCATGGTGCTCGCCACATCACCAACATTGGACAAGATAGCACGGCCAGCATCGTCGATCTTTGTAGGGGCTTCTCCCGGCTTCTTTTGCGGCGAGATGGCGTTGAGAACACGCTCGTGGAGGACCTTCTTGGCCTTTTTCGTACCGAAGGTCTCGCCGAGGTCGGTTCTGGCTTCGAGAATGGACTGGAGAATGTGTTAGTTTTCCATGATTGCCTTGATCTCCTAACATATTACTCACCTGCTTGGTATCCTTCTCCTCCAGAGCAGAAGCGTCAGCTTGCTTAGCGCGAGAGACACCGCGAATCGTCATCTTCTTGGCATGGACAACCTGCGTCTTGCCGGTAGCCGGGTCGTGAATAGCAATGAAGTGGTTAACCAATGGTTTAGATCCAGGGCCAGAATGGTCTGCCGTGGCGGTATAGTCCATGGCCTGGTGGGAATTGGAGTATAGAATAAGATCGCGGTCGACAGCGGACTTCTTGCTGGATTTCGACGCAGCCTGGCTCCGGGATTCGTATGAGTTGTATGTGACACTATCAGGGATTTGGATGCCAGGGGCAATCGCTAAGACAAAGTTAGCCTGATCATTTGTTCTCTCTTATGATTGATCGGCTATGTGATGTAGCGTACCAACAACGGGCGGATAGGCCTGAGCTTCAACCAGCTTGCTAATAACGGTCGCAGCGACCTTTTTGGACTTTGAGGAGCCCTCAGCGGCCCTCTTGCGCTTCTTGACTGACGTAGGATCCGACATTTTAGCTACTGGTGGTTTATAACGTAGGTAGCAATTGTGAGGTTTGCCGTGTCGTGATGTCGTAGGTGGGATGAACTTTTGCTCAAAAAATTTTGGAATCTGCCAGGTCCACTGGCGCCGGGCCCTGCCGCCTTTTAACCGACCGGGCGGTGAACAGCGCCTGGCGCCACTAAAGCTGCCGATTCTACAGCGGGTCTCGGCGCCATCGTTAGCGCCGGTAAGCTAAAAAGGTTGTACTTTAAGCTTTTAATGCGATGACTTACAATTCTCGTCAAACTAACTACAAAGTAGTATCTCTCATACTAGAGAAAATAAATACCACAAACAATATAACTGAGTCATATGGGTATTAAATATGAATTACATAGCTGCACATATCAGCATCGAGAAACGCCGTATCCCCTCGACCGAAACCCGACTTGCCTGCTAAAACGCTAATGAAATATCCAAAACTGCCAATAACCAGCACATAACCCGACTTTGCAAATGTTTACACGGGCGGCTTGACCTCCTCTGAACTGTGGTCTGTCATGCCCTCTTTTTTGAGCTCATAAGGTGGCGCCGACTCCCACTCAGGGTGGTGGAAGGTCTCTGGCGATGTCTGAGACCTCACGGTGGAGCATACCGACTGTAAGTCAACATCGCGCGCCCCTGACCGGCGGCCGCGATTCCACGGCGTAAAGTAGTTGTTTGAGGAGGACGCGGGTAATGTGTTGTCATCGTCCTCTTGCCTGCCGAATCTTGAAATTCGGTACCTCCAGTAGCCCGCAAAAGCCAACACGGCAACAACAGGTAACGCCACTAATGCCCAAAGGCCATTTAGGTTGACACTCTTCTTGTCTTCTTTAGGCTGGCAAACAGACGGTGCTGTGCTTCCTGGAACCCAAGTCGATATGGTAAGGCTGCAGTCGGTGGCGAGGGGTGGTGGTTGCGGAGACAGTGATGCGACATCAGCCTGCTTCCAGGCAATAGTGTAGGCATCGTGCCAGGTTTCGGTCATTGTGCTGCTAACGATAGGTCCATCTTGTGTGCAGAATGCTTTGGGTGATGAATATACAAGAGTATAGTTTCTAATGCGCAGAAAGCAGAGCTGTTAGTAAAATAAGGCGTGGCTGAAGGAGTCCCTTCTGTCAGTAGCGTACCTTGCACAACAGTACGCCGTCGTCTCCTGCGCAGACGCCGGTACACCAGCGGTGTTTGCCAAAGCCATATTATAAGCTGTCCATTGCGATGGGCAAACCGCCGGGCTGAAGGAAAGCGGCGCGTTTGGATTATCGAGGCTCTGCCATTGTGTCGGTTGGCAAGAAGCGAATGCTGGTGCCGTGACCGGACCCCAGGTGTTGATGACAACCGTTGTACCTGTAAATACGCTGGTGGTGTAGGGCGCGATCACGTTTGCACAGCTGCTCGGTTGAACAAATGGCGTTTGGAGCGCAAAAGCTGCTGTCGAAGTCATCTTTTCTTCGCTTGCTCCGAATGTGTTTTTGGAGAGTGAAGATGCCAACTACTGCTAGGAGCGCGACGGTATGCGGCTCGTATTAATCTCAGCTAGCGAGCCGCCGTTTGATTGAATACAGTGCGCAAGACTATCCGCACCCGGGCTACTACCACTACGCACGCAGAATGCACAGTGTTGCACAGTTTGGGAAATGTAGCTATCCGTCGTACACTTCATAGGACAAATAAAAAACTCAAAAGAAATACCATGTTACGGTGTAATATAGCCTGAATATTTACAAACAAGTTTCGCAAGACTACATCAAAAGAGGCAAGGCGGAGTGAGTCGATCAACCGTTGCCGTGTGGCATCGCTTTTTAACCTAACTAGGAAATGGCGTACAAACTTGAAGTAAGTCCGTCGGACCAACCGTCGCATGTTCATGTCATGACTGTTTAAAAGTCATCCGTTAGCTAATTCGAATCTCATCGGAATCAATAGGAAAGGACTCAAGTATAATGTAAGTCCTCGTTTAATCGTTTGGTGGGGCAGGCCAGCACATAACAGAGCATCGATAAATTTACCAGGTCAAAAGCTGTAATCAAAAAGAATATCGGCCCGAAGAACAGAGGATGCTCGTTGTAAACAAATTATAGTCTACGTATTAAAGGCAGTAATGCGAATGGTTACATGTCACAGGAGACTCAAAGAACCATTTATGAATGCGTAATGCTTTCAATTTTAACTGTCGACCCAACGCCAGACTTGAAACCTGACCGCGGTTTTACTGAATAACTCATCCCGTCATGGCCCCATGGCCGAAACAACACCAAAAACACTAAGCATTCGTGCTATTCACCTTGAAATGGCCGGTCTCGATACAAGTTCCATTCGTCGTCGTCCAGATTAATGGTCACGCGAGCGTCTCTCGATCAATTGCAAGCCGGTCGATAGCTGCCGCATTTGTCCAATTCCTTGGCATGGCATCGTTCTTCCTCGTGGCATATCGTATCTCATGAAAGATGTGTCTGATCAGGCAGAAGTGCGAGACGTTTATTTGCTGGACAAGATGTTAACGATGCTGTTTGCGGCGGTGCATTCGAAATGCCAACATGTGTCAAACTTACGATCTAGCTCTCATCTTTCTTCTCTTGCGCTTGAGGCGTCTAACTCTCTTCTTTCTCCACTTGGCTCTCATCGTGAACGAGAATTCTGCAAGGCAAGTTAGTTTACAGACCTTTGACAATACTTGCAAATGGATAAAGATGGCAGCTTGCTACGAACAAATGCCAGCTAGACGGATCTAATTGAGCATCTTGTACGAGTTTCACTGCCACCTTTAGAGGGCGGCGCATACTAACCTGTTCTTGGATGAGAATCTGTTTGGGATGACGAAAGGAAGCTTCTCAGCGGAGGGGCGAAATTCAAGCGATAAAGCACTATGACGGTAGGGTTCGTAACCCCCAGCGATCACGTGTTGGTGTCGAGGCATCATGGGGCCCACCTTGACAGGCCGATCGGTGATGTGATTGGCTGTTGGTGGCACACCCAGTGCGAATGGCTTGGCACTGTTGAAGCTTACTGTGCAAGCTTGAAGAGCTACCCTACTTTGGCAGTTTTTAAAGTTTCGGACGACTGGCAGTTCTTGCAACTGGCAACTTGTCGTTAAATCTTCTGAGCATATTGTCTTGAGATTGTTTCCGTTTCCTGCGAGCTTTTGTATGAATCATCTAGTATATGAAAATTCTGCACTGTGAAAAAATGACGATGAATCTCGTACAACCCGGCCTCTCAGCGGCTTTCCCGCTTCGCCGGTCTGCCGACGCCACGCTAGCGGGAAAGCTATTCTACAACGACAAACGTTTCGATACTAGCTGGCAACGTGCGAAAAGTGAACAACACCACTATAGAGCAATCTAACCATCCAATAGAAGAAGGAGTAGATCTCTTTGAGAATGACATATTCAAGATCGGACGTGATCCCCAAAGGTATAGCACCAATCATTATAAATGACGGGCTCCTTGTTTGACAATCAGTTCCAGCGAGTTCAGTATTGATACCGACACCGAAAACTATGTCTCTCGAAATCATTGTGAAATTTACACCGTGATATACTCGGCTCGTCAACATTATGTCTATGTGCGAGACCGCAGATCCTTCAACGGAACATATGTAAATGGCAGGCTAATTGGCAGCCTTGAAAACTCGTCCCCCGGATATCTCTTAAACGATGGTGATGTTATAGAGATCAAACCATACTGGCAATTCACATTTCGTCAAATGTTTCAACCGCCCGAGACACCATTGACGCAGCTACAAGCCCGAGAGTGCCAATTTTTCAAGTCACAATATCGTGTTACTCCACGCAGCGTGGGGCAAGGATCCGAAGCTGTTGCGCACCTAGCAGAGGACGTCCTCCGAGGCAAACAAATAGTATGCAAGCTTCTGACTCTCAATGCGCTACCGGGGGGCTGTCAGCACCAGGAAAGAATCCGTAGAGCTCTGCAGGAAGCAGATACACTGCGACAATTGAGCCATGTAAGTGTCCATAGTGAGTGTGGTGCCTAACTAACAAGATAAGCCAAATATTCTCGGCTTTATTGATGCAATGTGCTCTCCACACACCGTGTAAGCACCACCAGTAAAACATCCCAAGAGTATTCTGACCATGAAGGTACACATTTATGGAACTCGCCTCTGGCGGAGATTTGTGGTCCTTCATAATCCGCCATGAAGAGGTTAAGGAATTTGATGCGAGGATCATTTTGCGACAAGTGACGAGAGGACTCCGCTTCCTACATGATAAGGGTATAATCCACCGCGATTTGAAACCAGAAAATATTCTTCTTGCCAATTCACCTAGGCTTGCTTACATGCGCGTAATGCTCTCTGACTTTGGCGCGTGCTTGGTTCCAAATCGCCATCGAATGACTTCGCAAGTTGGTACGGCTTTATATCAAGCTCCGTAAGTACAGTCACGCTACTAGTAGACAGACCTGACAAGTAGGAAGGGAAATTGTGAGAAAGGTCCTTCAAACTCCAGCTGTTGATATCTGGTCTCTTGGCATAATTGCAATGGTAATTTTGCTTGGAGCGGTTGATTATGTGAACGACATGCCGCAAATTGAACAGGGTTCTCTTACAAAGTTTGTTCTGGAGACTCTAAAACGATCCCAGAGATCAATTTCAAACAAGGGACAGGAATTTATTGTTCGATGTATACAGATTAACCCGGCAAGTCGCCAAACATCGGAAGAAGCGGACCGAGACGTTTGGTTCTGCACGCCAGAGAAGCACCTCCCATTTTTTCACAAGCTTGACAGGCGGATGGCTCTTGAATTTAAACGGAACACCAAAATCCGACCTATGCCGATGGATATCCCAGACTTTCTCCCGGAAATAACGGGTCAAATGAAACTAGGGGCAGCGCCTCAATTATTAAAGCCAAAGAGGGCTGCCTCCGGCACTGTATTCACCACACCGGTTACGATTCCTACTCAAGTCGCCCAGATGGCATCGAAGCTTGCTATCACTGGAGTACGAGACGATAACCCGGAGGATAGAGCGCGAGCTTCTGTCAATGAGACTAAGGCAATGGAAATAGAATATCACGAGGACATCTCATTTGATATTGACTTTCGGTCCCAGATTATACAAGACTTGGAAGCTTTCCAGCGATCGAGCAAAGCCGATCAAATTTTGCAACTTACGGATTCTATCTGATTCATTGACTATAGAATCTATTATTGCACCTAGTTTACGATTCCATCCAGTTGCCTAGAGAATCGAGAGACCGTAGCGCAGGAAGATCATCAGTACTAGCACTACCATCAATCAATGGCTTCAATAATTCCCGAATCTGTGTGAGCTGCTCCGCCGTGTCTTCGTGAGTGCTCAACCTTTGAATATCATCCAGTGCTGTCTGCATCTCTTCCTTGTTGAGTGGTCGTCGTCTTTCTCTTTCCAACTTTACTTCGACACTATCTAATCCATAAGCAATGAGATTACCGCGACGAACAACCATGGCATGCATGGAGGTCTTGTGCTCATCCAAAAACTTCGCAGCATGTAGCAAGCCAGCGTATGAGTCGTTGTGGACCTTGACTGGCGTCAGTCGAACAGGGAGACCTCGCGACTGGCCCTCAGGCTTCTTCTCATAAAAACGCGTAAGAATGCCAATTCTGGACAATGGCTCGGGGACAGCAAGAACAAAGACCCAGATGAAGTACCCTGCCTCGCGGAAGATTTCGGCCAATTCGCAAAAGTCGTCAGGATGTCTACACGCACTCTCCAGGAGGACGTTTCTCTTTCTATTGACTGCTTCCTTGGCAGCCATGGCCAGCCATTTTCTGGCATCGTAACCCGTGGCTGGAGATGCTAGGTTAGGGCTGGTAAGCATCAGTTTCGTGTACTCTGGGTGGTAGGTCTTGTAGGTGTCGGCGATGAAGTGGGCAGGCTGCCTGGAAGCAATTTGTTTCAGGATGGTCGGTGCCAGAAGAGTCTTTCCAGCACCAGTTTGACCAACGACCAGCACAGCCACAGGATGATCTGCAGCTGGAGGGTTGACGTCGGCGGGGAACTCGACGGGGAGGATTTCAGTCTCGAAGATGCGGGCTGCTTCTGCCTCCGGAAGACGGTATCCCGAAACATCTGGAGGAGGAGGCATTGTAATTATGTGAGTAATTCGCACGTGATGGAAATATGAGAAGCAATGGATGGATGGATGTGTTGATGAAGACGATGAGCGATGAGCTGCGCGATGTGATGCCGTCACTGGGCGATGTGGGGTAGCCGAATCGGGAACGCCTCCCTTTGCTTGCCTACGACACAGGGTGTAAGTGAGTCTCATGAGGGATGAAATTTAAATTGATTTATGCTAACAGCTAACAACTATTGTAGTTGACCATTATTTATCGATGCCGCAGATACAGAGTGATGGAAGAAGATGTCGCCAGTGCGCCAACTTACACGACTTGGCCCAGCTTGCGGCAGCTAGCTCTCAAGCTCTCTGAGTTAACAACTTTGCTCACACAACCGTCTCCAAATGTCATTATTTTATCAGTTTGCGCGTTTGGCCAGCCAATTCTTGGTAGACCTCCAGCTGGATCCTTGATGAACGCTAACCACGCATCCTGCATGTACCGGCTAACGTTGTCCTCGAACCGGGTGGTTTTAGCTTCCGACCCCAACGTGCCAAAGACAAGCGGAAGCTCTGCAGTGTGATAGGCACCTAGCCATGGGCGTGGAGAAATATCGCTAAAGTTTCCCGAGTAGAGGTATTGCCATGTTGGCGCTTCGCTCTCGGTACGTAGCCGAACTTCATGAATCGTGGAACATTGCAAGTTGTTACCAAATCCGTCCGCAATAGGTTGCAGATCAGCCGGGAGACTAGTTGATGTCTCGCTATTCGGGAAATTGTACGGGACGACTGCGTTCCCTTCATCAGTGTTCGTGCCAATCAGCAGCGGAACAGTCGAGGCGTACTGCCCGCGCACTGTTCTGTCGGTGTAATTGGAGAAGATTGTGACGTTGTCAACGACTGTTCCAAAGGAGAGATCATCATCGGAAGCACCCTTTGTACCAACTGGTGCTTGCAAATACTCTTGCAGTTTTCTTTCATCCACTTGTCTCATGCAAGCCAACTCCGCTGTTGGGTCGTTGTTCTCGCAGCCGAACCGCTTTGCAATTCGACTGAATTGGGTAGTGTTTACGGTGGGCGAGGTAACGGTATCGATTAGAAGCGCGTTTCCGGAATCTGCAATGACGCCGGCGACAATGGGATCATCCTGGAAAGCATAGAGGTAGCCATCAACAGCATAGGCACCAGCACTTTCGCCCCAAAGGGTGATGCGACTGGGATCGCCGCCAAATGAGGCGGCATTGTTGCGCACCCATTCAACCGCCATTCGTTGATCAAGTAGAGCAAAATTTAAGTTCTTCCCATCTTTTTCTAGTCCCGCCGCATTAGGAAGACCGAAGAGGTTGAGGCGGTACTGGACTTGAACGACAATGTGTCGCTGCGATCGCTGCACCCAGTTGGGAGCAAGTTGGTAGGGAACGTTGGTTCCTCCAAAGACGTATCCCCCGCCATGAATCCAAATAACCACCGGGAGTTTCTTGGTAGACGGTTTTGGAGCAAAGACGGACAGGTGGAGGCAGTCTTCGGTGGTGTTGGCATTGTCGCCACGCTGGAACAGTGCGGCTCGGTTTCCTGCTTCGGTTGCGACCGTGCCCGACAAGTGCGCAGGAAGATACTGAATGCAACCGAGTGGTAACTCTGTTCTCAAACGAATGGAATCATTGACTGGGGTTCTTGCGGCGACGGGTGGTGCGAATCGCAAATCGCCAACCGGCGGCTCGGCATAGGGGATGTCCAGATACGACAAGACTCCTGGTTGAGAAGATGAAATGAATGGTGCAAAGCGACCTGAGGTTGTAACGATGGTTCCTAATGGGCTAGAGACAGCCACGGTAGCGAAAAGAAGAGCCGAGAACTTCATTTTGTGTTGGTTGCTAGCACTCCAATTCGTCACAGCACCATCCACCCGCTTCTCTTTATACGCAACATCGGATACATTTCGAACTAGAATTTGTTGGAAACTAACAAATCTTTCCTACGTAAACTAATTGTTAAGCAGAATTCTTATTTACTCCGCGCTTAGAAATATCATTAGCGTTAAGTCCGCCGGACATACCGGACCTAGACCATTTACCCAAAACGGTAATGGCGAGTCGGCCCAGTCCGTCCACTTACACGCTTCACAGGTCACGCTCAACACGCTTCAAAACAATTATCAATTTGTCCCATTTCGGTCTATATTCCCTCTCTATGTCATATATTTATCTTATCATTGACGTGACATTCCAGTCTATTCCCTCTCTATATCATGCAATTATGTTATCAGTGACGTGATGTTACCAGCACATTCACCTGTCCAGTCTCATCCAACCCTCATACCACAGGGGCATTGGCGGCAGAGTTTGTTGTACCTGGGCGGCGCGGGCTTCAACACATGGAATCCCAACCCGTTCGCACCTTCGGCACTCCAGATCATCTCCCAAACCCACAGCTAGGCCTTCTTTGTGCCGGACGCCAAATGTTCGGGAGCAGCGCAGCCCTACATCCAAGCAGCGCTGGCATGCGCGCAGCCCGGTGCCTTGCTCCTGGTGTAGGTGGGGGGAGAAACGCGGCGGAAAATCAACAAGAATCTGTCGAGCTGGGAAACCCTCAATATATCTGGGGCTGTTCTCGACAACCTCATCCTGGTTGTCTCTCCAGAGGCGGTCGACGGACCTCTGCAGGTTGAACAACCGCTGTTCGGCCTCGTCCTCTGTCTCATCGGCGCGGCGGTCAAGAAGACCTGTGCGAGGATCTGTGGCAGCGCGTACAAGCTTGTCGATTTTATCATAGAGCTCGTCATTGGACAGACTCTTTGTAAGGCGCTTGATTTCACGTGCGCGATGATAAGCAGCACGCTCCGCCTCGCCGTGGACGCGGTGGATGATGGCCATGGCGTCCTTGTGCAGTTGTTCCTCGCTTGACCGAAGAGCGGCTGCATTCTCTCTAATCCATTTTCGTCGTTTTGCATAAGCATAAGAATCTCGACTGAGCTGTTTTGGATCTGGTGACAGCGGCCGCGTGGTTTCGTCGGTGTTGCCAGATGTCGGTTGAGGCTCTCTTGCGGTCTCGTCAGAGTCCTTCCCGGGAAGAATGTTAGCATAGACGGTTGACTCTGTTTCGAATACCCCACCTTTGGCAGAGTCGTACTCCGCTGTATTCCTCCGGACTGAGCTTCGTTGTCTAGCAGAGGCATACGGATTTCGAACGAGACGCCTCGAACCTAGAGAGGGCGGCTGCGTGATGTCTTCAAGTTCGGTGTATGTCGTTGCATTCTCGGTTGCAGTCTTGATAACTGCTGCTCCTTGTCCAATGTCAGTATAGACTGTTGGCTCCATCTCCGATATCTCACCACTCAAAAATAGGATTTCTGCTGCGTTCTTCCGGTTCGGGATTCGGCGTCGAGCTGAGGTATACGGATTTTGAAGGGGCTGTCTCGAGTCTAGAGATGGCTGTTGCGGGGCGTCCTCAACTTTGGTGTATACCGTTCCAATGTCGATTGTGGTCTCGTCGGATTCTTCCTCAGGAGGAATGTTGGTGTAGAAGCTTGGCCCTATTCCGAACATTCCGCCCTTGGTATAATCGTATGCAGCCATATTGATCGGGGCTGGTCTTGGGCGACTAACATAAACATCCGAATTTTGAATGGTATGTCTCAAGTCTGGATACGGCAGCTGCGTAGCGTCTTCAATTTCGGTGTATGTCGTTCTAATCTTGCCTGGGATCCTGAGATATGGGTCGCCATGGGCGATGTCATCACAGATGGTTGGCTCTATCTCCGGTATCTCACCTCCCAAAAACAGGATTTTTGCTGGACTTGTCATTTTGTTTCTTCGTTTCTTCCTTTGTCGTTTGTTGTCTCTCCTCCACAGTCTCATCTTCACCTGGACATCTCACGGGTATTTATATTTTGTGACTTGCTATGATTGAACATTGTAATTATTCTGTTCTTTATACAGAAGCTTACAGTTCTACTATGGAAGGATTTGTTTTTGTTTCTGAGAGGAACGCTCTCTTTACATGCAACAAAGGCGGTACAGATGAATCGTTGGCGAACACTAACGGCACAAGGCAGGACAGCGCTGCAGAACACACCGGGCAGAACAGAATACAGTACAAAGGGAACACTGCGGCGCTCTGAAAGAGCAAAGAGATTTTCTGTTCCTAAAAGAGCTTCGCCTTCCTGAAAGGATTATTTCGGGCCCCATTTCCGAGCTGCATCCTCTACGGGGTCGATGTGGAATCATCATCATCACATTATTAATGTGACCCATACGCGTGAGGTTGAAGGAATGGTTTATATGGTGGCCACAGCCTCGTCAGCCGCACCACCAGCATATTGACTCACCAACTCACCAACTCACCAACTACACAAATCCAATGGACGCTTCTCTGCATTTTCAAGAATTCGGCCAAGGCCTTCCTGTGCTGCTCATCCACGGATGGGAGCTCAGCAGTGTCTCTGAGCAGTCCGATTTTGAGCCGGTGCTCAGCAAAATCCGCGGCTTGCGCAGAATATATGTCGATCTTCCTGGTATGGGCAAGTCGCCAGCCAACAATGCGCAGAATCTAGACGACATGTACAACCGCTTGGTCGCTTTTATAGACACACATATCGGCAAAGAGCGCTTCCTCATCAGCGGCTCCTCTGCTGGTGGTCACATTGCACGCGGCATAGCGCAAAAGTACAAGGATCAAGCGGATGGCTTGCTGTTACGCGTGCCCGCTGTCGAAACAGACAATAGCAAACGGGATCTCGATCCATTTGAGCCGCTCATCACAGACACCCAGGCCACGGAGAGTCTATCACCGGCCGACAACACCCTCCTAGGAGGCATTGCCATACAGACTGCAGCTTATATCAAACTATTCAAGCAAAAGGTTGAGCAAGTCTATCACCCTGCCGAGTCAACCGCCGACATGGCCACGCTCAACACCATCCGCTCAGACCCCAGCAAATACACGCTTTCTTTTTCAACAGACACCATCTTTCCTGCACCGACCCTGATTCTGTCCGGCAAGCAAGATGTCGTGACGGGCTACAGAGATCCGTACCGCGTGCTCAAGTACTATCCACGAGCTACATTCGCGGCACTGGACCGAGCAACGCACGATCTTCCCGTCGATGAGGCCGAGAATGCCCTCTTTGCAGCACTAGTCAAGGACTGGATATTCCGTGTTGAAGAGTGGCGAGCAGCCCATAAGCAAGCCTAGTTCTTTGTACCAACCATTTTACATAAGCTATAAATTATAATGCAATAACGTCTGGCAAACATAATGCTCTCATCCGTTCTTTCACCCACAATATTCAATGCACCTCACCAGGTAGTCCCTATATCTTCCTCTGCAACATACACAACAAAGCCAACGCCCTAAACTCCCCCGCAAACTGCAACATCCTCACCCACTCCTTCGGAACAGCCTCCTCGCCGTCCCTCGCACCCAACAACCCACCCGCCACCGCCGCATTCGTATCAGTATCCTTACCCACGCGGACCACATCCACAAGCACATCCTTGAGCGGCCGCTCATCCAGCAACGCCGCCACCGCAACCGCCAACGTCTCTGTCACCATCCCGCTACACTTGCCCCGCAGCATATCCTCTGGGGGCCCGTTCGCCGCCAACCGCGGCAGATCCAGCCTCTTACCAATCAAGATGGCCTCGCGCACCTCGCCGCGTTTACCCCACGAGACCGGCCTCTCGCCCTTATGCTTCGTATCCAGCTCCGCCTGGTCGGCTTCCAACTCGTCCGCAAGCTCCAGACCTGCCTTGACGGCATCGCGCGGCGAAATACCATTCACAAGCTTGGATACCATCTGGTTATACACCGCGCACGAGATGGTGCAGCGTGGGTCGCGGTGCGTGATGCGGCTGATCCGCTTACTCTCCTTGATAATGTCCCTTGTGTTGCTAGCAAACAGACCCGTGGGGAGACACCGCATCAGACTGCCATTGCCGATTCTGCCGCGGTCAGTTCCTGACGTCTCGTAGTCGTGCGTCTTTGCGTAGTGATGTAGACCCTCGGCCGTGGCGCCGCCAATATCAATAGGTGTAGAGCCCAGCTTACGGCCGGGCCAGTTGCCCTGTAGCCAATCGAGGCAGTTGTTTCCAGCAAGTTCAGCAACGTCTGTCGACTGCGTCACCTGGCTATAAGCAAGCAGGACAGCGCGGCACAGGTCCGTGTCGTCGGTAGCATGGCCGGGTGTCCAGTTGAAGTGGCCGCCGCCAATGATCTTGTCAAGGCCCTTGGGGTACTTAGTAGCCACTTCGCGGTGGGACATGAACTCGCAGGTTGCGCCGAGGGAGTCGCCCGCATGCAGGGCAAGCAGGGCGCCAATGATGCGGGATTCCTTTGTGATGGACGAGACATGCTTGGCTTGATTCACTGGCACGTTTTTGCGAATGTCGACGCCTGTGAGATCCTTACAGAGCAGGACGGCTTCATCTTTAGCTTCCCACTCGGTCATATTCTGGCGGACAGTCTCCCAGGTGATCTGGGTGATGGTGGCTGAAGGCGAGCCTCCACGGACTTTGAGGGTGAAGTGCTCAGCGAGCTCAAAGCTGCGGCCTATGTGGATGTACGTGTCGCCGTAGTGGTCTGGCTGATCCGTCTCGATGAACCACTTGTCATCCTGGTCGCGGGGCTTGAAGCCCTTCAGAAGCTTGTTGTAGTCTGAGGTGAAGATGGGCAGGGTCCAGCCAGCAGATGCCGGTCGTGTAATGGGCTTGATGCCCTTCATAAAGCTCGACCTCGCAGACATGATCTAGAGGAGACGGGTCAAGAGGAAGACCATCCTAGTTGAGAATAAAGGGAGGGCGAGTCCTGCTCTTTTTATCTTTTTGTTTTGTGAGCCGCGTGGGGTAGAAGTGGGAGGTTGAACTACAGCTCAGCTCAGCCTGGTCAGAACGCCAGTCGATAAGCCTTGTGTGGCCTTTGTATGCAGGCTTGCATGCCTATAAGCACAGCCACACTCAAAAAGGAATGTCTCCGTTCGAGTAAAATAAAGAAAGAAATTCTAGAAATTGTTTTTTGGTATCCCAAGTAATGGTTCAATTAAATGGCGGATCATATCCATCCTAACAAATCAATCTACGTCTTGCCATCAAGACTGTATCCCAAACTAGTCCTATATGCCAGATAGCCACACACCGTTCCGTGTCATGCTTATACCCAAACGCCTAGAAAATGTAGAACATCTCAAACAAAAATAAGGCCGAGCGTGGAAACGCATCAGAAACAAAATACCGACAGGAAATAAAACAGTTGGAAGAAGAAGAAAGAGAAAAAGAATAGGTGCCGCCGTCATTCCCAATGCAAAGTGTTGAGTCCGGCTCAATCAACGCCCCTGGCATGTAGAAGTAGTAAAAGTAGTAAAATCACACAAAATGTTCTAACTAGGCCGTGTGCCTAGTGGCTCAATCGCTTGCCTTCTATGTAGACAGGCATCTTTGTTTTTGTTTTGGAGGGGAAGGGGGAATCGTGAGTTGTCTAAGTCTTTAGGTGGACGAAGGGACGCTTCGCGGGGTCACATCGCCGCTCATACGGCGTTCCCGTGCTTGCGTCTTGTTGGCCTCGGCAATCATCTGCTGCTTTTTGCGTACAGTGGCCAGCCGGCCAGTAATCATTTTGATCATCTTTCGAACGTGCGCCTCCTCGTCGCTATCGAGATCGTTGTTGCTCTCCTTGATATCTCTCATGCGCTCCTTGCCCGACGAAAGGCGTCGGTTGGATGGCGCGTCGTCGTTGTCGAGGACTGCCTCGAGCATGCGGATAGCCGTCATGTATGAAATCTCGCAGCCGGGCAGGTTCTCGTTGGTCACCTCGTCAATGGCAGCTGCGCGGCTCATCTCCACAGCTCGGTCGTACATGAGCTTCTCAGCGCTGATACCAGGAGTCAGGAACACTTGCTTGTGGCTGGCTGTAGAAGACGCCATCGAGTCTGTCCCCTGGTTAGATGGGTGGCTCGGGTGGTCCTCTGGCAGCAGCTTTTGCGCTTCAATCAACTTGAGGCGAACAATTTCCGACTTTTCCAGCACCTCGTTGAACCGCTGTCGCACCCACTGCACCACAGCATTAATGCGCTGAACAATGGACTGTGCTGCAGTGGCGCTAAGACCGGTGGCTGTCTCTGCACGGCTCTTGGTGGACCACCAAACACTAGCGATATCCATGGCGCGGGCAAGAAGAGTGAGAGACTTGACGTACAAAACAAGAGCCTCTTCCGACAGAGCCACAATAGCCTCCAGGGTCAAGCCGTCCTCATCGTTGGACATTTGGTCGACACCGACGCCACCAAGCCCAAAGTCCATGGACGGAGCCATGGGCACGAGCTGCTTATACTTGACTTCAGCAAATCCGTAGACGCAATCGCTTCGGGTGGCAAAATCCTCAATAGTCTGCGCAGCTTGTACATCTTCATCAGTGGATGGGTTGGATCGGCCATCTCCAAGCATGCCACCCGTCGAGGGTGTTGGGTAGGCGGGGAAGGGGTGGTACATAGGCGGAGAGTGGCCCTTGGATCGAATGGGGTTGACCTTGTATCCGAACAAGCGCAAGCTAGCATCTTGAATTGCCTTGGAGATGGTGCTAGACGTAGAATTGGGGCTGACGGAGAGTCCCTTTTCGTAGGAAGCACGTCGATCATGTCCGTGGCCTTGGGCAATGAGAGCTGTTCGAGAGGTTGGGGTTGGGATGGCTCCAGTTGTGGATGTAGGTGCTCCCTGCTGGGTGTTTCGACGGGCCATTGCCGCTGAGCGGGGAGGCGTAGTCTGCGCAGCTAATCTCTCGTTGGCAGCGAGCTCGTCTGCCAGAGCATTTACCTCGACATGCCTGCGCTCGACGACGACATAGTCTCGTTCAAACATGACATCTTGAGCAGCACGCTCCGAGTCGGTCAAGTCCTTGCCACCGGCATCAACACTGGCACGTGGGCTTTTCGACAAAGTAGTATCAGGTGCTGCTGTTCTACCGGTTGAGCGAATGTGTGTCGGCAGCGAAGATGCATACTGAGGCGAGCCACGTTGGATGCCAAGACCATCTGTGTCTCTTGGAGATCCAGACCCGCGAGGGTCTGATGGTCGTCTTCCAGCGATATCCCTTGGGCTGCCTTGGTTTGGGCGGAGAGCGCCTTCTCTGGGAGATCTCGGGGATCTTCCCATTTCGTGGCTAATGTTTCGCATAGAGGATGGACGGGGAGAGGGCGGGAGTTCCTCACCCTGATGGATAGTCTCGAGCTCGCGCTTAACAGGTGGCCTGGGGAGATCGTCCTCGACCAGACCGGGGATATCACCAGTAATGATGTTGTTGAGGAAGAGGTTTTCGAAGCTGAGGCGCTCGACGGGACTTCTCTTGAGCAAGCTGCGAATAAGAGCCTTCATTTCGGCCGAGACCTGCACTTCTCGTGGGAACTTGATGACATCTTCGGCAGCCTCGATCTTGCGGAGCAGCTCCACATGGTTTCTCGCGCGGAATGGGGGTCGCCCTGTAACCATTTCGTAGAGAACAGTGCCGACAGACCAAAGATCGGCTTTGGCGTCGTACTTTTCGTAACGAAGAATCTCTGGCGCCATGTAGAGAGGAGAACCGCAGAGGGTCTCGGCCAACGACGTCGCAGGCAAGACTCTCGCAAATCCAAAATCGGCAAGCTTGAGCATAGGCAATGATGCCAGCCCAGACATGGGGATCAGCGAGTCCTGGCTGGCTTCCATGATGGGCAGTGCTCGCTGATCACGGAATGCTTGTGCTGGCAAGAGCAGCAAGTTTTGGGGCTTGACATCTCTGTGGATGTAATTTTTGCTGCGAAGAAACTCTAGCGCGCTCGAGAGCTGTTTAAGGAAATGGCGGATGACTACCTCGTTGAGACCCGAGTTGGGAGCGCTGGGATATTTACGGGCCATGTCGTGGGTGGCAGGGTGTGTGATGAGCTTGTCGCGCTTCTTGATGAAGAGGGACAAGTCACCGAGCTCGCAGTACTCCATGATGAGGTTGATGTGTTTTGATGATTCGAGGCAGTCATGCAAGGCTACAATATGCGGGTGGCGGAGGGTTTTGAGGATGGTGATTTCCGAGTAGAGGTTCTCCTTCAGTTTCTTATTTAATCGTTCGAGGTCGACAGATTTGACAGCAACGGCAGCTTTGGTTTCCTGGAGAACGTTAGCGGTGCACGCCAAGGACGGATAAGCAAACTCACCTTGTGCCATCCCATGTAGACCTGGGCAAAGGAGCCCTTGCCGATTTCCCTGTCGATGACAAACTGGCCTATGTTTTGGGTGCCAGACCTACGAGAGCCATGGCCCGAGGACTCTTGTCGACTCGCCATGGCTGCGGCAGTATATGTGGATGGGGTTTCGATGCAGACGGGACGTGGTGCTGTCCAGTCCAGCTAGAGAGAGGAGGGTGAGGGGAAGTATTACCCCGTAGACCTATAAGGTTAGGCGGCAGTCGTGTGTGATGTGCGTCGTCATGTAAACTGTCGCTGGAAGAGGGAGGGGGGAGACAAAGGCTCGGTGGCGAAGCTTAGTAGACGGATGGATGGGTCGAGAATCGCGGTCTGGCTAGTGCCGATGCAGCAAGATCGGAGAAAGGCGATAACGACGAAACACCAGCAGGACAGGCGGTGGGGTTGTTCTGTTGCTGCCTTGGGGTCGGATAGGCGACGATGGGGCTAGTGAGTGCAGTGACTACAGTCGGCGGCGAGAAAGCTGAAACCAGACGACAAGGGATATGCAGCAGTAGCGTAGTCGTTGCCTGGGGAAGAGATGATGCAAGAGCGAAGAAGGAGAATTAGGCGCCAGGCAGAGAGAACGGGATGACTCTTCCGAGGGAGCGATGCGGGGGTTGCTGCAGCGGTAGTTTGGATTTTTTGTGAATCGGGAAGGGAAAGATGAGAAATGACTGTGCTGACTCAAGAGCCGAAAGCCTAGGGGGGAGGGAGGGAAATGTTTATCGACGCAGCCTAGATGGCCCTACTGTGCACAGTTGCGTGCTAGTTGCTGGTGGTTGGGTGTTGCAAGGCGTCGGCGGAAGATCGGAGGGGGGTCGTAGGCGTACCAGTAGGCGTAGGCTAGGCGCTTGTGACTGGACTTTGACGGGGGGCGAGGAGTCAACGGGTGTGGGTTTAGCTTAGGCGCTGGCTGACTGGACAGGCTGACAAAGAGGGCGGTGTTAGTAAAGAAGCTGAAAGAAAAAGAATGATGCGACAGAAAACCAAAAGAAAAAAAAAACAAAGGGATATGAGAGATTTAATAAAAAAGGCAGCAGATAGAACAGCAGCAGAAAGAACCAGCGTGATGGTCGCCAGCCGGCAGATGGGCGTGTTGGGGAACCAAAGAGACCAGCGAATCGGCTGCGCATGCTCCCCTAGGCTCTGCTGGGCTGGGGGTGGTGGGCGCCACTGCCAGCATGGGCGTGGGGAACAACAGCGACAGCAGCACTGGCGTGTGGTACACTGCACTGGAAAGGCACCGTAGCGCTGCCACAGCCAACCAGACGACGCTGGGGGAAGAAGCCGATATGCAAAGGAACGGGCTTGCTGCACGCTTGCTGCATCTGCATCTGCGTCTGGATTCGCCTGTGGCTGCTGCTGCGCTACCAAAGGCCGGTCTTCTGTGCGTGCATATCGAGTGATGCTTGCGTGCGTGGTGATGCTGGACCCTGCCCATGTGTGTGTGTGCGAACCAGACATGCATCCCAGCCGATGTGTTTCTGCTTCTGCTGCTCGTGTATCGAGGACAAACGAACCCAAGTCCTGCTTCGTCGGCTGCCTCTGCTTGGTTGCTTGCTGTCTGTATTCTCCGAGACGGCTTCGGCACTGACCATTTGCGGCTCTCGCACAGCAGGCAACGACAGCAACGACAGCCACGACACTACGACTTGTTGTATCGTTCGCTTGCCTTCTTTCGCTGCCCATCTGCCTGTTCCAGATCGTATTTTCTCTCTCTCAGGGTCCTCCTCCAACATGGTCGCTGGCCCATACACCGTGTTGTCGCAGCAGATCTTACCTTGATGGTGGCAATAGCCTGGTGGCGGCGCGTGTGTAAATGGTCAAGAGGTAAGGGACAAAGCCTAGTAAAAGGAAGCCCCCTTGTGTTGTCAGTAAAACGAATGCGTCCGGTGTTTATTGGTATTGTTGTTGTTAGGTTGGAAGAAAAAAACTAAAAGGAGAAACTCTACGAAGCAAGTAGCATTAATCACGAAAGCGCCCCCCAAAACGTTTCGTTTACGGTGACGACACTCCCGCAGCGCTTGCACCATCCCCCCAAAGCACGCACTGTGGTCTGCTGAGCCCGCTAGCTCGCTCGCCCCCCTTCCTGCGTCTCCCTTCTCTTTCTCGTACAGTGCGCCAAAAGTGACTTGCAACGGGTAAACAATAGTTACAGGTAGACTCGTTTTCCGTCAATTTTTCAAATATTCTGTTTATATTTTTTTGGTAGAATGTTAGGCATAATATGAATACATCATAGATATCGAGCTTTTAGAGGAATATTATACATAATGTTTTGTGTAAATGTATATTCAGAATGTTTTTCGTTGCCAGATGAGACTATTTGTAACTTTTCCTTATCCACTGTACAGCAGTGACATGCATCCATCACAATGGGGGTGGATAAGACGCGCTCCTAAAAAAAAAAAAGGTTAAAAAGCACACGCTACGCACGCGGCGAGCAAAGGGCGTGCGTGCGTGCCACCACCGCGCACTGTACTGTACCTACCTTTAATACCAACTAAGTACCTCTTTTGGTACTGCACAGCGCAGCGGCGGGCGGGATGGCGGAGAGCGCGTGCGATAAGGCGTCACCTGGTCACTTGGATGCCAATAGAGCCCGATGATGAGGACGTGCGCCGCCCCCTTTCACTCAGGTTACTCAGTCACTACGGAATGTACTCATAAATACAGCGCAGGTCACAAACAACCTCGCGTCGTTTTTTGTTTAAAACTGTCTCCTGTATCATGTCATGTCCCTGCTTCTTCATGCGTCCCTCTGCACACTGTGCTTCCTTTCCGCGTCCCGGCTGCCGCGCCTTTGTCCGCTTTAGGCAGCGAGCGCCCTATTAATGCCCACCGTATCTACAGTGAGCCTGCGCTCCCCCGCACTGCCCCCCAGTCCAGCGCCGCACGCCCCCCAGTCCGTCACTTTCTTCAGCCCGCAGTCATAACGTCATTCTTTCAACGCCCATTAGCGGTAGCACCGTCTTGGCTGGGCTGCTCGCTGCTAATAATGTTCTAATACTAGTGCGCGATGGCCCATCTCCGTAATCGTCCATCTTTCCCTTTTCGTACCCTCCGCACAGTGCCACTGGCTGCTGCTGGCAAATACCACCACGGTTCTAATCATGGGATCCCAACGCCGCCTGGCTTCCCCGCGCAAGGGCCTACCTACTACGACACTTGTCTGCCTGCTAAAATGAGGCGCCCCCCAAAACAGCAGCAGCCCAACTAACTGTGAGGCGTGAGACAACGCCTCCGGAACTAATAACCACCAAAAAAGGCGTCGTTCTGCAGGGACAGCAACTGCTGCGCTCGGCGGTAAACGAAATGGAAAACGGACAAGACGCCATAGTGCGTTCTCGATGCTGACTGGCTGGGCGGCTCGCTGTCCGTAATATCGAGTGTCAATATACTGGCCAACAACGCACCAGCAACAGCACCAGCATGATACCTTAGCGTGACATCATCACCCTCAAAGAATGTGTCCCTTGTGCGGAGAACTACTCCCACGTGTAAACTTTTAGTCTCTCTGTTATGTTGTACTTTTACCTGGGAACTCGTCTGTAATAAACAACATGCTGATAAGAAACCAGCACGCGTGCTCCCGATCCTTTGCCTATCGCGATACGTGCTACTCGTCCTGCGCGACGTGCCGTCAGCGCCGTCCATATCGTATCTCTGCCTCCAACCTAGCCTACCCCGGAAAAGGCAAAGAAAAAGAGAAGCCCCCCAACTGTCGCGCCAGCTATCATATATCGGAAATCCCCCATCCCACACCTCGCCAAATGCCCATCCTGGAATCCCTTGTAGAACGTGTGCCCGCTTGATTGGTTCCGAGAACCCTTTGCCATCGCTTGTAGATCCAGCGCCACTAGTCACCTAGGCCCTGAAACAGGCTGACTGTCCTGCATGTCTTCGTTTTCGTCTGGTGCTGTTGGTGCACTGTATGCACAGTACTAATACAAGATGCGTTGCCAGTTCAACTCGAGTCACACGTTGGCTCTTCTTGTCCGACGTCGGCAGTCAGCTATTGTCCAAGCACCGATTTCTTCATCACTGTATATGACTCGCAGCAGTAGAGCAAAAATAAAACTTTGTTTAGTTTCCTTTTCTGTCTAACACTATATAGTTATTTCTTTTTCAGCAGCTCTTTTCCTCTTCCTAGCCTCCTTTTTGTTCGTCCGTATCGGGTCGGTTCGTTCGCTACTGCTGCTGTCGCGCGTGGCGGTGCGGTCATGGCTATCCTGCGGGTATCTCAAAGAAACGACGTTATAACACCTGAAGCCCAGTCATAAAAAACGTAAATAAAACAAAGATAAAAAAGGCAACGCAAAAAAGACAATGATGATGCAGTGGTTTGTTCTTGTCGTTCAAATGCCCTCAAGAGCTCGCGCTCTCTTCTATGCGGCCGGATCAGCAGATGCGGCTTTCACTCCGTGCTAAGGTCGGCTAAAGGATTTAGTGAGCAGCAGCCTTCTCGACGTTGGGAAGCTCCTTGATAGCTTCAGCAATGACAGCAAGACCCTGGCGGAGCTGCTCCTCGGTGATGACCATGGGGGGAGCGAAGCGGATGATGTCGCCGTGGGTAGGCTTGGCCAGGAGACCCTTGCTCTTGAGGAGCAGGCAGAGGTCCCAGGCAGTGCGGCCGTTGGCAGCAGCCTCGTCAATGACGACGGCGTTGAGGAGACCGCGGCCGCGGACAACCTTGACGATGGGAGAGTTGAGGGCCGCGACGCCCTGGCGGAAGATCTCACCAAGACGCTGGGCGTTGGCAATCATGTTCTCCTCCTCAATGAGCTCAAGGGCACGGATGGAGACGGCGCAGCCGAGAGGGTTGCCACCGTAGGTAGAGCCGTGGGTGCCAGGCTCGACAACGGTCATGATCTCCTTGCTGGTGATGACGGCAGAGACGGGGTACATGCCGCCGGAAATGGCCTTGCCGAGGGTGACCATGTCGGGCTTGATGTTGGACCACTCAGAGCAGAGCATCTTACCAGTACGGCCAATACCAGTCTGGATCTCGTCACAGATGAGGATGACGTTGTGCTTCTTGCAGAGCTCCTGGACCTTGAAGAGGTAGTCGTCGGCGGGGACAACGACACCAGCCTCACCCTGGATGGGCTCAACAATGAAGGCAGCAGTGTCCTTGCCGTGGACCTCGAAGATAGCAGCAAGATCCTCAACATTGCCGTAACGGATGGCCTTGCCGGAGGTAGGGCAGGTAGCGCTGATGTTGGGGAGGTAAGGACCGTAGTTGTCCTTGGACTCGGGGTCGGTGGAGAGGGTGACGGCAGCCATCTGTAAAAGTTGGCGGTTAGCTCCTGGTTCCATTCTTAAAGTTTGACTATAACAGTACTTACGGTACGGCCATGGAAGTTGTCCTGGGCACAGAAGACGAGGGCCTGGTCCTTCTCAACGCCCTTGACCTTGTAAGCCCACTTGCGGGCAATCTTGATGGCAGTCTCAACGGCCTCGGCACCGGTGTTCATGGGGAGAACCATGTCGTAACCGAAAACCTGGCGGACCTTCTCGGCCCATTTGGGGAAGACATCGTTGTGGAAAGCGCGGGAAGAGAGGGTGAGGCGGCCGGCCTGTTCGCAGAGAGTCTTGACGAGCTCGGGGTGGCAGTGGCCCTGGTTGACAGCAGAGTAGGCAGAGAGGAAATCCATGTACTGCTTGCCCTCGGGGTCCCAGACATTGATACCCTGTGCCTTGGCGAAGACAACAGGAAGAGGGTGGTAGTTGTGAGCGGCGAACTCGTTCTCGGCGGCAATGGCCGAATCGGTAGAGGTGGCGTGGAAGCGAGACATGATGGCGGTGTTTCTTTGAGTGAGCGTTAGTAATTGCTAGAGCGAAGCAAAAACAAGAAAAGAAAAGACAGAATGGTGTGGTGTGGTTTGGAAGGTTTAAAAAAAACGTTGAAGGATTTTCGTAAAGGTGGCCGAGTCCGGCAGAGGCCGAATTGGGGGGCACGGGGGGTCACCAGCCGTAGCTGCAGGAGGAGCTAATGGTGGGGGAGGGGCAAACAAGGCCGTCCAGGTGGTCAGGTAAAGTCAGCGTGGCGGGGGAGAGGGCGCCATTGACCAGTACAAGAGGAAACGGGTTGGAGGAATTAGAATGTAAATGTGAATAGCAGGAGGCAAAATGGGAATTTTAAAAATAAAATTGAAATATTGCTGTTCCACTTACTATGTGGTTTGTGGGAAAGACGTAAAGTATAGAAAGAAGGATATGCTAATGATGACGATGTTGAAGCAGCGAGAAGCTGTTGGAGAAAATAGCAAAATTGGGGAGAATGAGATGAACGCAAAAAAAAGAAGCCAGCCACTGAACAGAGGAGCGAAACGTGCACTTCTTATCCAGCAAAGGATGGAAAAAGTCTTTGGGTCACGGTGACGACGTCCTGCGCCGCCTCAGTTAGACGCTATACCCCTAAGTGCAAGTGAAGCGCGATAATGTGGGTTCGGCGGATGGATAAGTTTTTTTTTCTTGTCGTAGCCCGGTCGTGGCGAGGTGTGAGGGGGTGTGCATGAAGAATTGCGTCTGCCTAGGAATGAAGGTGAACAAAAAGGAAAAGAGAAGAAAGAAAAGATGCAGATTAGGGAACTTGAGACGGGCTACATCATAGGCTATCTTTTGAAGATCGTGGAAATAAGGCCAAATCTGCCTTTGTTTTCCCCACGGCGGCCCAAGGCCAGCAGCTGCCCTGTAGGGAAAGGCCTACAGCAGTACGTACACGCTACTGTAGTGGGTGGTAGTGTAGGCAGAAGGAAAAAAAACAGATCCCGCTACCGGCAATCTCGCGTTTTGCCCCTCTTCTTTTTTTTCCTTTCCCTTCTTTTTGTTCTTCCGTCCCTTGTTTTCCCCAAAAGTGCATACAACGGTTATATCGTAATCGACATTATCTAAAGATAGTTTATCTTATTGTCTATTTTGTTGTACAATAATAACAGATCCAACACTGTTTCCAAGTCTGACAGCCAACACAAAAGTAGATCAACACCGAGCCTGGTGCACCCCCAAACACCACTTCATGCCAAGCCCAAGCGTCCGCGGATGCCGGTCAATAAAAAAAAACTAAGGCAATCAAAATTCCACCCAATAAATATCCCCAACCAGCACCACAAGCCAACCACCAGACCACCCCCCACAGCACATGGGAAGCCGAAGCCAACCGGCCCACGCACGCCGCTGGATCCCCGGGACACCCGCTGTTGGGCCACCGACACGCTGCCCCGGGCACGGAGGCGGCCGGCCTGTTACGGCGAACAAAGAGGCGAGAGGGTCATGTGGTTGGACAGCCAATCAAGCGTGCAGTATTACTCTCGCTGCTTATTGGTGAAAAAGTGGACTTGCACCAGAACAGTTCAGCCATGGGTGCGTGCATTGCATGCTGTGTGTCTGAGCGGCGGATGGGTGGGTGTTCGTATGGGCTGCGTTGCCGGGAGCTGAAGTCAACTGTAATGAAGGCGTTGTGTCGTACAAAGCCGTTGGGACCTTAGCCGATTGGATAGGTTTGATTGTCTGGGGGGTTTGTCGGCAAGCAACCAAGACCTGGATCCTGGACCTGTTAGGTAATGTTAGACAAAGACAACTAGGTCTGCGACTGGTCAAACAAGGCTATGGAAGAGGTAAAACTTCCTACTAGCTGTAGTTGTGATGCTTATACCGCTTCAGCGATTCAATGCATATTACTAACCTTCAAAATCATCCAGTTGTCTCTGATGGTATATACGGGCTCTCGAACAACGATTTTCGAAACAATTTTCTACAGCGTCTTTTCGATATTTATAACCACCCAAACCTTCAGATATAACTTCGGAGAATTAAAATATGCAAACGGAAATAACAGAGACTATTCAGGGTGCCCTCCTGCATTGTGTCCGAACGGCTGTGGCTTCGCGTCTGCCCAATGTAACGGTAGCAGTGCGCCACCACGCTTCTGAAATGGAACCACAACAGCACGGTACCAAAACCAACTAAAGCTGCCAATGCAAACGAGAAAAGAAGAGTGAAAATAAATGAAAATCAAGCCATCAAATTTAGCTTCAGCTATGATCAAAACGAGAAATACCTGCTCACCATCCGTGTAAGTCAGATCTTTGCATCCGCATCAAGAAACACTACTAACTGTTGTCTAACACTTAGGTGTACGGCCACACATGGCGTTCAAAATGATTATTTAATTAAAGCTCAGAGCTACGAAGGGAATTATATATATACACCAAACGCTTACTCCTGGGCGCAGCGGATGGAGTCAGTGGTGGCCCAGTTGACAAGGTCGGGCTGGTTGATATCGTAGTCACCACGGACCTCACCGCAGTCCTTGCCGCTAAATGAATGTCAGCATGTTCGATGGTATTGAGACCGGTTTACTTACTAGAAGAAAGCGCAGTGGGCGCCGTTGAAGAGCTGGATCGAGCGGATAGCGTTCTTCCTACACAAGAGGTTAGAGTCATGATGATGACTATACAAAACACATCGCCAACACGTACAGAGGAGGAGAGAGGTTAATGCACTCGCAGTCGAAGATGGTCTTGGAGTAGCCGAAGTAGTCGGGGTTCTGGTAGATGATGGCCTATACAAGACCATGTTAGTCAACATTTCCTCAGCCAGACGGGGCGGTCGGGTAGGCAGGACGAACAAGAGCATCGGGACCGCCGCCAGTGGGAGAGCCAGCAGCGAGGGTGAGGAGGGAAAGAGGGGCAAGAAGAGTAGTGAACTGCATTTTGAAGGAATCGGTAGATGGATTGATAGATTGATGGATTGATTGATGTTGTCTGGTCTGGACATTCGCATCCAAGAGGGAAGAAGACTGCTATTTATACTTGGACGGCCTACACTCGTCCTGCCAGCTCTCTCGAGGTCTACTATTCGCGGGAATTTCACAGCTGCATACACGCAAACCTACACCTCTACGAGACAATGCACGGTAGATCCCCTGGCAACAAGTATCTCGACCTCGCCCACCTTCCTGCCACCTACCAACCACAGGCCGCCCCGTCTGCCCTCCGCTCGGTAAGGTAAGCCGCATCCGCCCCGGTGGCGGGTGGCAGGTCTAGATTATGCATGGCCGCCGTAGCGTACCAGATGGGTTGCAATGCATTGCTAGGCAGCTGAGCCGACTCCGATCGTAACAGCTGGGATATGTGACAGCAAACAGGTACGATTACCAGGGCGGTGGTGGTGGGAACTTTTGCTCCTGAGCATGGCCTGTCGTCGTATTAGCGGCAGCGTTGTCGGGGCGGGAAAAACGCCGGAAGTACTAGTGAGGTCAATCTTATTCGTCTGAAAAGCAAACAGGGCCGCACGGATCACAGCGCGGTCTTCTTACTCGCCAGACCCTGGGCAAGTTGTTTGCTAGCTCCAGCGCAGGAGCTAGCCGGCGATGCAATGCAACATCATCGTGCCGTGTCACTGAGCCAAAAGTTTGACGTTCGGACAGTTGGAATTCCCCGGCGCGGGATTTCATGTGCATATCAGATTTTGTACTTGTACTTGGCTGGGCGTAAGGGAGGGTTCAAGCTGGCGGTCGCGTATCTCAAAGCTGAGTCGCTCTCGCTACCATCCCAAAACGGGAGACGAAGCTGCTGGCTTTGTGAACCAATTGTAACCATACTTCTTGGGACTTGGCTAGAACCATTTGCGGGGTTTCTCTGGATTTACACTGCCCCTTTAGCCTTGCAACTGAGTGAATGGCCGCGATGTCACTGGCCATAGAGGTGTTTTTGGTGTGTTCAACAATCAATTGGCCGACTGCCCCAATATGGGCAATACCGAGATCCTAATTAGAGGAAGATCTCACAGCAGCTACACTCTATCCAGAGTTGTTTACTACGGATCTTAGGCAACCAATGGTAAGCCATAAGCCGCATGGATGGAGGGTATAGCTTCCCTGCTAACCGACGCAACGGCACCAGCAACACCTACATGTGGGTGTGCAGGATGCATGCGTGGTGCGCACGGAAGCCAACAAGGTAAGGAAGTACCTGGTTTTCACTTCTAAAGCCTCAGGAGAATTAGGAAAGACATTCGGATTCAACGGAAGAATTTGCTTTAATTATTCCATAATACGGGCCGTGCAGACAAACTCAGGCTAGACACGTCTCACTCGACAAACAAACTAAATCTTGATACCCAGCTCAGAAGCAATAATCGTCGCCGCCTTCTCTCCCACCACCAAGGCAGTATTGTTGGTATTAGCCCCGACATTCTCCGGAACAATACTCAAGTCCACACACTTGAGCCCCTGCGTGCCAAACACATTCAAGTTGCCATCCACCACTCCTCCCTTGTCTAGCGGCTTCATGGGGCACGTTCCCAGCGAGTGCCACGTCGTGTTGACATTCTCTCTCAAAAACGCATCAATCACCTTATCGTCCTCGGCTGAATACTCCACGTCCTGTTTATCAGCCGTGCTCTTATAGTCCTCATCGGTCCGCACCGCCTTAGACCCCTGCTTAAACACGGGATGGCCAACCGCAAGCTCGCCTGTAGAATACGGCAGCCGCAGCGCAACCTCACGCGCGACCTTGTAGCTCCAGATCTGCGAAGTCACGTCTGACTCGTCGCTAAAGAAGCCGTTGTCAAAGGTGTAGTCGTTGATAGCGTCAGCCGAGTTGTTGTGGATGCTGCCGCGGGACCACGGGTATGCCGTGTAGCAGCCCAAAGTGAAGTACTGGCCGGGCTCGACAGTGGTTGGGTCGCCAAGGAACGCGCTAACTTTGCCAATAAGCATAAGCGGCTTGCTCTTTTCATGGGCAAAGTCGCGATGCCATAGCTTCTGGAAAGCCTCTGGCTGGGCGGCCACTTCCTCGGGGGTCATTTGGATCTTGGACGAAATGTCTAGAAAGCGGGTTAGTCAATCAGACAATGATTGTCTTGAAGCTAGTTTGATTATGCTTACCAATGCCATTCCAGCCGACAATTGGATGTTTGTCCTTGATCAGCTGCGTGGCGTCCAAGCGGCCGCTGAGGACGCTATCAAGGGTCTCGTCGGGGTGCAACGATGTCTTGAACGGGAAGAGGGTGAGATGGTGGTCCTGGTAGTCCTCGCCCACGCCCGGTACAGCCGAGACCACGGGGATGTTTAACTTGTTCAGTAGCTCCGGGTTGCCAACACCCGATCGTTCAAGAATCAGCGGTGTACCAAGGGCACCAGCCGAAACAACAACAAGCTTGGTTGCTTTGACAGCTGTTCGGGCAGGATTGACACTATCCGCCTCCGCAGATGCGATATACTCAACACCAGAGGCACGGGTGCCATCAAATAGAACACGGACAACCTGCGAATTAGGTTGAATAAACAAGTTGGGGTGTTGTCCGCCTTGGACGAGCGGGTACAAGTAGGTAAAGGCTGCGTCTTGTCGCTTGCCATCTTTGCTGACGTATCGCTGCCAACGCTGTTTACTTCGTTAGCACGAGTGATTTAGAGGTATTATGACGGTTAACCTACCGCAAAGCCACCAGTCTCTCCGAAACTCTCCATGTCGACAATCTCTTCCTTGCCCATCTTCTTAATCGTGGCGATGTAATCGTGCTCGCACTTGGATCGGAAGCCACCATCAGATACCTGAATGGGTCCATCATGACCATGCTTGCTCTGGTCAATTGCTGGATCGTCGTTGAGATAGGTCTCAATCTTGTTAGCAAGAGGTACGAGGTCGTCACCCGACCAGCCGGGCGTATTCCAGCTGTCAAAGTCTACTTTCTGAGCGCGCGTGTACATCATGAAGTTGATGGCTGAGCCACCACCCAAAGTACCGCCCGTTGGCACGACGGCTTCACGGCCATTGAGGTATTTGGAAGCTTGAGATTTCCAAAACTAACAGATTGAATAATTAGCATGATCAATAACCCCACGACCATTTTGTGGTTGATGGTCGGGAGACTTACAATGGCATTCTTGCTAGTTGGCAAGAGATTGGTCAGATACAAGAACGGATTGCGCACCGACGGATCCTCAAAGCTTGTGCCGCCGCGCTCAATCAGAAGGATTTTCAAATCCGGATTATACTTTGCAATGCGGCCAGCAGCCACGCAGGCAGCAGTACCTCCGCCCGCAAAGATGATGTCGACGTCGCCGTGCACAGAAGCGTTGTATTCAGCCATGGTTACAGGTTGGTCTTGACAGCAATTATGGAGCGTGGATTAATCGCAACTTTATATCAAACACCAAAATGCACAGATGCCCAAGGCAGGCGTGCCTCTATATTTAATCTATTGCGGCCCAGCCTCACCGAGCGTGCCTCCATTGCCCCGGCAGTGACCCCGCATACGCTGTGCCATGCAACTGCGCTGTCATTGATGTAGTACGTATATGGCGGCGGTTAGTCTATGCCGGTCACATTTGGGGACATGTAGAAAAATAGAGATAAAACGGCAGCGCCACGGAGCGGGGTAGGCGTCGGTGTTTGCCCATCGTCGGTATAACATGGCGGGAGTTACGTAGGCTTTTGTCGATCAGGGTTCCTTGAACGAGCAAGCCATCTCGTTCATGCCTAGGCTGGCTGGTAAGGCTGGCGGCGTATATAGCCTGATTCAGCCTAGATTTAAAGTCGCCGTGATAGGATATCTAACTAGGTATTTCTAATCAAGACGTGTATGATTACGTAGACTTGGTTGAACGAAAATAGAATGTTCACATTTGAGATTACACATTTCCGGGTTGGACTAGGGCTGTACGTGGCGTTGACATCTGCCTACCGTCATGGAAGTTGTACCAGCGAACAATAAATAGCGCCCTAATTTGGAATAATCATAGTGTGCGATTACAAATGAAAAAAACAATTTACTTGTTATAAAATCATTATTTACAAGTTACACACGCGCAGTTTGCAAAAAATACCGATCCTCTAGGGTGGGTTGAGTAATTGCCTGTTTAGGAAATCGAGGTTCGATGGCTAAATTGAGCAACCCCTATCAATCGGTCGATATTTCACCTAATAGTGGGTAAAACATCTAACAAGAGAAACAAACATTACCCTATCTATAAAGACTGCTCCACTGTTGCGGATCATATTCAAAGGCGACACGTCCGTTTTACAAGGACGGCATCTCGGCCGGTCTATCGCCGCAGCAGTGAAAAGAAGCATCAAGCGAGCTGCCTCTTAGAATCAAGTTTACCTTTCCCAGTAATTTTATAGAGTAATAGCGTGTTTTTAGGCCTAAGGTTATGCATGTCATCCATGTATACCGCTGTCTGTTCATTTCGGCCGGCATTTCCTGCTTTTATGCATGCATATGCCGACGGCAACTATGACAGACAGAGTCACCGCTGCAAAAAGAGCGAATAGTATGGGGAAAGCTACTCGGGATACTACTCGGAATAGTAATATTCGTTTAATCAGGCTATTTAGAAACCAAGTTTCTGGTTCAATGCGCTACTAGGATACCGTATGCAGATATATGTCCCATACCTGCTAAGTTAGTGCACCAAGTACCGAGTAACGAAACTGCCGGGCGATCACTGAAGATCACACTAGTAGGCAACACAGAGATTGATTATATAAATACCAATTCAACTCTTCCCTTGGCATGAATTGTCTCCAGGCGTTCATCACTACCAAGGAAAAAAAAACAAAAGCTGCTTCTCTTCATTCACTATGATGTTCACCAACACCATTGTCGCCATCTCCGCTGTATGCAGCGTCGCGATGGCCTCTCCCATGGCCACTGTCGACAAAGCCGCGGATAGCCCTACGTTCTACCTCATCCGCCACGCGGAGAAGAATAGCGATGGAACTATTTCCTCGCGCGGCATGCAGCGTGAGCAGTGCCTAGTCAAGCTCTTTGGCAAGGACAGCAAGTACAACATCCAGCACATCATGGTGCAGACACCCCACTCTGGTGGTAAGTCGATTCCTGCCCCAATTTCAGGTAAAAGAAAAATAAAATGCGATTAGCGTCTAACGTTGCCGTTTGGCTACTACTTGCAGATGCTCGCACCCAGCGCCCCTACAACACCACGCTGCCCCTGGCCCAGTCTCTCGGTATCACCATTGACCACCCCTGCGAATACACGGACCCATCCTGCGCCGGCAAGCGTGCCAGAGAGTACACTGGTCCTGGAAACGTCCTGATTGCCTGGGAGCACGTGTATCTCCCCAAGGTTGCTGCAGCCATTGGCGGAGCCAAGAATGTCCCCGAGAACCCAAGTAAGTCACCATGCTATTGGCCGTGCCAAAACAAATGGAAGAACAAATCCGAACTGACAAATATTTCCCACTAGGCTCTCACTTTGACTACATTTACAACCTGCCCTCACCTTACACCAAGGTCACTATCACCTCTGAGAGCTGCCCTGGTCTAGACAACTAAGCGTCCGATGTGGATGTGAGAGATGGCGCCATATTTCCTCCTCCCCTGCTGCGAGCACGCCGGTCCGACTCTCGGCTAGTGGGAGGAATGGATGTCATTCTACCAAAAGCACAGAGGAACCCGTATATAGAGTAGATACACATTGCACATAGTCCAATCCACGCAATTGCTGCTTTAATTTCTTGGTGCAGTACGGAGATGCAGTTTTGCTGTTGTATCCGTCGAGTGATCGCGTTTACTAAACAGTAAACCCATCACAATGGTCCCGATGTTGCCCGTGCTTGGCAATTGCCGATGCGATTGCTAAGATTGCAGAACTTGAGGGTGAACCCAACCGCCACTGACCAAGATTACTGCAATTATTACCACCGCTCGTCCTTGATCCAACATGGGACGCCTAATACCAGGCATCAGGGGGGCGCCCACCGTTCGACGCACATGGGATTCGCAAATCCTTGACTGCCGTGATGGATGTCAGACGTTTTGGGTAATTATTTGCCGAACGTATAGGCTAGCGCGTTGGGGTAGCGGAGCCGCTAGGGAACGCCAGAAAAGTTGTTTAGCGCTTTGAGTCACGGCCTTGTTCTGGAAGGTGAGCACGCGGCGCCCATGTGCTAGTGTACCAGTTTGTCTTTCTCACTGCGTTAAGAGGCTACAGTGGTTTGGCCTACCCGAAGAGGGGGGGGGTGGTTAGTTAGTGAGTAGTCAGTCAGTCTGTCGGTTGATTAGTTAGTTAGTTAGTTACCTGTCGTATAGGATCAGCGACACATCCTGACCCTCACACCTCAGGCGGCCACCGGAGAAGCCCTCCGTCAACTGAACTGGGAACAGACGTAAAGGGTGTGGTGTGCGATCGGCACGAATCTGGATGCATGTACCTGTGTGGCCTGGTCACGGCGGCGTGCCGAGACGATATCTAGTTTTGAGGGGGACGTGCTTTTCCTTCATACTGCCATCTATCGGTAGTGATTCCAAAGGTCACCTCCGTGTGTCGATCTGAGAAGCGGACTGACTCAGTTGTCAGGACTCGTCTTAGGTTGAATCAAACCCATCCACGCCAGCCCGCAGATAGGTTTCTATATCGGGTGGAAGGGGGCTTTAGGCTCTGCATACAGGCAGCAGGGATCTCGTCGTTTGATGTCCCTTTTAATTATCAATCGAAACTCCAATCGGTTGGCTTGTGCTACTATAGGCAAGGAAGAATCGCTGTGGTGTGCATCTACCGAGATTGGTGTAGCGGGGGAAAAAGGTGAGCCCGTTTGTAACGCTGGCACAGGACGCTAACAAGAAAAAGTTACAGCCTACGCTAGGCCTATCAGCCATCCACTGTTCCGCACCGGGGGCAACATTTGGGGCCGCTGGGGGAGGGGGGAAAGCCCTGCAAAACTGTCGTGTCTGCACCTGTACACGCATTTCTCACGCCATCGCTACCGATATAACGGTGCTTCTTTAGCTTTGTTTTTTTAATATTTAGCTTTGTATTTCCTTTTTTAGGGGATAGCTCCCGCCTAGTAAGCTACGCTTTAGCCGAATGCCGGCTTGGCCTGCTCATCAGACTGCCCGCCGTTTTTAGCGCACTGCACTCACCTGCGCTAAGCCGTCTAGGGCCCTGTTCGCCATCGTCTAGAACAAACCCAGTGTACTTTGTCACTGGCCCCCCCACACGCCTCTCAACAACACCTGGCTTTCCTCCTCCTCTTCCATCTTGATCCCTTTTTCTCTTCTTGCAATTCTTTCTTTCCAATCATTACCTGTCTCTTAACTTCTTCGTCCTCTTCTCTTCTTCGCCTCTAATCGACAGTCATGCTCTGCTGGCCAAAGCATACTCACCAATCTGTGTAAACACTAGTAGTGAAATCTAGCAAAATAGCCCGTCGACTTGACCATGTCTACCATTTCTCAAACATTCTCACAATTCCAATTCGACAATCGCTACCAATACCACCTTGGTCACACTATCTCGCAGCCATTATCATACTTGCAGCAGCAGCAGCAGCAGCAGCGCCACCACCACCACCACCACCACTCTGAAGAAGAAGACGGCCCTGCACCGTACGGCTCCAATCGACGACGCCTCTCCTCGATTGACAAACTCTGTCCCATCCCATCCATCCTCCAGCACGACGATATTGTTGCTCCACACTCTATCCAATCAATTCCTCTATCACCATCCCCCTCTGACTTTACTGCTGACGACAAAGACAACGACGAAACAATGAGCATTGCTCAGCCTGCTTGGACCAAGCTCAAGACCAAGGCAGGCAAAGATCGTAAAAGACTACCTCTGGCATGTACAAACTGTCGTCACAGAAAGATTCGTTGTTCAGGAGAGCAGCCAACCTGCAGTACCTGTACAGATTCGGGTCGGCCGTGCACCTATCGAGTCACAAGCCAAAAGAGCGTCTTTCGACATGACCCTCGAGCCCAGCAATTGTCCAAAAGCCGGACAGAGGCTTTAAACAACCTAAATCACAAGAAGGGTGTATCAAGAGGTAGATCCAACAGCTCCTCAAGTAGCCGCAGCTCGGTGCTTGCCCCTAGGACCAAGACCAGCGCCAAGGCAGCTCTGGACGACATATCTAAAGAGCTGCAGGAGCATCTGTTTGACGTCTTCTTTGAGCATATCCACGGCCACCCATGCTATCTTTTACATCGACCAAGTTGCATGGACAAACTAAGGTACGCACCTGCTCATTTAACCACCCTCAACCATTGTCCAGTCTAACAGGTAACAGGAACAATGATCTCCCCACCATTCTAATCCTATCCATTTGTGCGGCAGCAGCGCGACATTCTAAAGACAGGAGATTAATTTCGTCTTCTGATCGCGCAGCAAAAGGCGAAAAGTGGGCAGAGAGCGCCCGGCAGCTCTGCAAAGACAAGCAAGACGAACCACATATTACAACGCTCACTTGTATACTCTTGCTTTGTATGAACGACTTACATGAGGGTAACCACGAAAGAAGTTGGTCTCTCAGTGGTCAGGCTATTCGCATGGCCTACGCTTTGGGACTACATGAGGATTCCAATGGCGATCTCCAAACGCAAAGCACAAACCGTAGCCTCGGTTTCCGGGAACGTGAAATCAGAAGGCGAGTAATGTGGACATGTATTCTGGTGGACCGTATCACCTCAATATTTCTGAATCGTCCAGTCTTCATTGCCGCTGATACGGTCCACGTGCCGCCGCCGGTCGGCGAAATGTTCTTTGAGCTCGATGGTTCCATACCTATAGACCTCTTGGAAAGCAGCGAAAAGTCCCAGTGGGATTTATTTTCTGACTTGGCCGCCTCTAGACGGCGAGAAGACTTGGGAGTTACAGCACTGATGATTAGGTCTCTCGATATTTGGCATCAAGTGGTGACGCTCACAAGCGGCCTTGGGTCACACCACGATTCGACTTCCTTGGAGAGAGCCATGTCGCAGCTCAACCTCCTTGGCGTTGCCAGTGATGCTCTGCTAGGCGGCCTCCCCAAGCAACTGGAGTGGTCCAAGGAGAATGCTCGCAAACAGCTTGCCGCTGCTGCACTTAGCCACTACATGCTGCTTCACTTGTCCTTGGCCATGTCCAACATTTTCTTTTGCCAGGCATCCATCGTCATTGCGAGCTTGAGATCAAAGATTGTACTATTTGACCAGGCCCAATCCAATATTGTGGCTCAGATGCTCATTGCCGCGAGACTTATATCCGCAGTGCTCTCGCAATGCGACTTGGACTCAGCCTCCATGTCACCATTTGCTGGCTACTGTGCGCTGCTGTCCACCCGAATCCAGTCGCTCCACGTTTCATCGCCAAACGCGCAAATACAGAGAGAGTCAAAAGACAACAGCGATGCAGGACAGCAGTACCTGCATGATCTTGCACAAATTTGGCGCCCGTTTGAAGCCATCCTCGAATACAGCCATGATGATGCAGGATCTAGGAACAACGCACCAAGCTCTAAAGATGCCAAGACATCAAGCCTCATCAACCGCTATGCCAGCGTAATCCTCAATATGGAGCTTGCTGGTCCTGGTCCTGGCTGTGACTGGGACGACCTAGGCCGTTTCATTCTTGAGCAGGGCTCTTCACTGTGCTCCAACAGAAAGGTCCTCTCTGAGTCATCTGCAACAACACAAGTCTATCACAGCGGTAAATTGGGCTCAGTCCCGCATACTGGGCAACAGCCTGTGGGTATCGGAAGTGGCGCTGCCACGGAACATACCACTACTCATCCGCTTCCTCCTGCTGCTGCTCAGATGATACAGCAGCATGAAGGGACTTCTCAATCGCCATCAGAACCACCTTATGCCGCCATCTCTCCCCTTACCCCACAATACCAATCCGTCAGGGTGGCAAGCATGAGCTCAGAGAACATGCCTATGGCTCTGGCGAGGACCAGTGCGCCAGGCCAGGCAATGGTGGGTATGGAGTCATGTCACCTGGACGTAGACAATGGTGGTTGGTACAACATGCCGGGGAACAACATGTTCAATGACGCAGCCTATCTATCGTCGTGGTTTCTTCCGTACATTGACCAGGGCGGTCAACAGGTGGCCATGCCAACTGGCGATTCGTCGAACATCACCAATGCGAGTCTACCAACAGGACCAACAGGAGCAGCTGGAGGAGGATCTGTTGGTACAGGTTCTGGTACTAGCGAAAAACCGTTTCCCGTAGGCGAAGGGTGGTGTTTGTAGATTTATTTATGAAGCGCGTTTTGCTGTTATTTCTTTCGCAGCTCCACGGTCAAGCTAACGGGCCCTTTCAATATACGATCGAATTTGATTTATATACTAGTATTATGTGTCTTATTATACTGTGCCATGATTATTATCCAACCCTCACCTTGTCGCAAATCTCTATATATATCTATGTACTTTTATCCCCTCTCTTCGATGCCATACAATACAAGTGTGACACTTAATTATCCAAAACTAGCGCCTCTCTCTCCGGGCTCAAACCCAGCAGCTTCAGCTGCACCCCCTCCGGCGCATGCTTCGGTCCATTAATGCCCGTCATCCAAGCCCACGTATCCATAACAGTATCCTCAATCGGGCGACACCGCAACCCCGCGCTCTTCGCCTTGGCCGTATCCCATCCGTACACCGTAGCATAGTCATTGGTCTTGTGCTCCAGCCACAGCGGCAGCTCGACAAACGGCTTAATCCCCGCCTCAATAATCTCCTCCTGTGTCTTCCATACCAACTGCGCCTTGTTCCCCGTAATCTCACGACACAGCTCGAGCACCTGGCCCAGCGCCGCAGACCCCGGCGGACTCAGCAAGTTATACGGCCCCTCGAGCTTACGCTCCGCCGCTCTAACCAGAAACTCTGCAACATCACGCACATCAATAATCTGGACGGGCATGTGCGCAGGGCCCGGCGCCAGTGTGCGCCCGCCGCGGCGCATACGGTCCAACCACCACGGTAAACGACTGCGCTCAATCAGCGAGGCCTCGTACGGGCCGGCCATGACGCCGCATCGGGCAAACAGGCACGGCGTACCCTGGAGGATTTTCTCGGCGGCGGCCTCGAAGCCGCGCCGGCGCAGGGATGTCGGCGATGTGGTGGCGTTGGGGCCGACGATTTCGCAGACGGGTGTGGTTTCGTCGTTTAGGCGGTCGCCGTCGCCAAGCTTCGTCTTGTCGTACACGCTGACTGTGGACATGATTGTGTAGTGGCCGACGCGGCCTTGTAGCTTCTGCATGGCTTCAATGGCAGCGGGGGGCTCGGCGGCCCATGTGTCGATGACGGCGTCAAAGGTGAGCCCGTCTAGGGCGTCGAGGCCATTGGGTGTAAGGCGGTCGCCGACGAGCGAGGTGGCGCCATCGGGAGCGGGCTTTGTGCCGCGGTTGAGGACGGTGATTGTGTGGTTGCGGTTGCGGGCTTGCTCGACGAGGGCGCGGCCGAGGAACGACGTGCCGCCGAGGATGAGGAGATGCATCTCCTTTAGTCGCGTGACGGTGGTGGTTGAGGGCAAATCGAGCTGGTGTTTGCTGCGAGTGCGGGGTATTAGCAAAGCCAATGGTCGTGGTTGTGCTAGCGACGTTTATGGTACATTTAGCTGCGTCTATGCATGGTTATAATATTGGGTTGCAGGATGTGTTGTGTCGTTTTTGTGTGTAGGTTGAACTGTGTGTGGTGTTGAGGCTGTGATGGAAAGTTTCAGGGTGTTTGCGCTAGCCAATCGCTGGAGCACTGTGCCGGCGCCCCTCCTCCAACCCAACGTGGGGTAGCCCGAAGTCTAGTGCTACGATTTGGGGGTAGCCATATCACGTGTGCGCCGATTTCCGGGGTTTGTATCCAGGCCAATCGAGATGTGATTGTTTTGATGGAAACGGGTTTCCGATGGGGAAAATGCACACTCCAATCTGTGAGAAGCTGTTCATTACGTACAGAGTTGTGCATTGTGTTTTGTGCAAATAAAAGTTGTGCTCATGCACTGCATAAAACCAGTGTTACACGGTTGGGGAAGCGATGGGCCGACCCGCCTAATCTGGTAATCCACTGCCGCCTGGTACGATTTGCCGCGTTGAGCTGGCCTAATTGGGCATTTGTGTCCCGGGCGTGCGTCGAACGCTCACCGTAGACGCTTCAACAACACCACGCTGCGCCGTGAGCCGAGAACTTTTGTTTGTACGGCCTTACTGAACAAGATAAAATATCGCAAAATGTATACGCGCACCTGCAGTTTTCGGGTTCTTCTCTTCAGAATCAAGTAACGCAACGAGGCGCAGCACCATGTAATTTCGTCACTTGTCCCTTTGCTGTGCCGGATATCCTTTTTCTGTGTTATACAACGCTATCAACTACTCGTGAGTACCATAGCAGTAGTCCACAGCCTCATATATATAGGTGTGCCGTAAACTCGTACTTTTTATAATCTTCTGATTTATTCTCTGGACGATTTCGTATAAACATTACACTGCAAATGCAACTGTCAATTTCTCTTGCCTTGGCTGCCGCCGCCACTACTGGCATGGTCTCTGCTCTGCGAAACTCACCAGACCACGCCAGCCGCTACACATTTGCCGCGCCCTACGACCAATCCTTCGGTGAAGGGTACTCTGTCCTGAAACATATCGGCAGTCTGGGACCCTACACCAACCATGTCTCATATGGTGTAGGTCGTGACCCTCCTGACGGATGCCGTGTCGATCAAGTCATTATGCTGCGCCGCCACGGCGAACGATACCCACAGTCTTCCGATCGCAAGCCCATCAATGCCGTACTCGATCGCCTCTACAGCTTCAACGTTACCCAATGGCGTGATGACCTGCAGTTTCTGAATACTTGGAAGTGGCAGGTCCCGGACAGCATCTACGCCCTCGAGACGGCGTCTGGACCCTACAATGGCCTGTTGACGACATACAAGCATGGTAGCGAGTACCGTGTCCGCTATGGACACCTGTTTGACCCAAATTCAAGCAAAAAGGTGCCCATGTGGTCGGCCAAATACGAACGAGTGACGGAAACAGCACGAAAGTTTGGTGAAGGCTTTTTTGGCTGGAACTACACCACCTCTGCCGCCCTCAACCTCATCCCCGAGACGTACAGCCAGGGAGCCAATAGTTTGACACCAAGATGCCCGGCAGACAAGGACTATGGAAAGAAGTGTCAGGATATTCCAAACTATCGCCCCGAGTTTGATGTTGCAGCTGCCCGCTTGAACAGTCAGAACCCAGGCCTAAAGCTTAATGGTTCTGACATTTACGAGCTCATGTGTAAGTCAATGGCATTTTCGAGTATCTGAACTTATTACTAACATATCTCTTTTTGTAGATTTGTCGGTCTATGAGTTGACTTATCAGGGATATTCCGATTGGACCAACGTCTTTACACTTGACGAATGGGTCAACTTTGGCTACGTCGAAGATCTTGGCTTCTACTATTGTGTAGGGTGCGTAAAATAAGATCAGCATCAAAGCTCGCAAATGCTAACCGTCACCAGGCCTGGTAACAGTAAATACACTCTCGCCCGCGGGTCCGTGTTTGCCAATGCTTCTGTGACTCTGTTAAATGAGGGCCCCGAGAAGAATGGTGGCCTGTTCTTCAACTTGTAAATCTCTCGTCCTCTGGTCATCAAGATGCACATACTAACAAGGACAATAGTGCCCACGACTCCAACATCACACCCGTCCTGTACGCCCTGGGCATCCGCGTTCCCGATAGAGACTTGCCCATGGACCACATCCCATTTCCGAACCCGTACAAGATTGCCGACATCATGCCCATGGGCGGCCACTTGGTTCTGGAGCGCATGCAGTGCAATGCCACCGCACACAGCGCCAAGGACATCTACGTGCGCGTGGTGCTCAACGAGGCCGTGATCCCCTACACATCCTGCCAGGATGGCCCTGGATTCTCGTGCTCGTTGAAGAACTTCACAGCAATGTTTGACAAGAGGCGTGGAGACTACTTGCATGACTGCAAGGTGAATTCGAGCGTGCCTCAGCACTTGTCGTTTTGGTGGGAGTACAACACCACAAGCGAGAACAATTACCCCACGACGCCGATCCCGTACCAAGGCCTTACGTAAATGGAATACATAGTGTGTAAACCCGGAGTAAGCTCTTTATTAAATATTGAAATACTGTATGATTTAGTTTCCATTAAATTCCTGTTTTCGCTCCGTGTCGGTAGTTGGTGGCGCTGAGGCGTTTACTACCCCATGCCTGCCTTGCCTTACCCTGCATTGGTCTTAACGGCTACGCCGGCGGCAATGGCTGTAAGTGCCTGGGGAATGTTCTATAGCAATCCCGTCTTGGTCTCGACTGTAATGGTTGAAAAAAAAGTTCCTTCAATGCCAGGGTACCGATGTCGACGGCTTGTAATACAGCAACCAATGAGTAATAAGCCAACATTCGGGGTTTGTGTTGGTAGAAGTAAACACAACAACACTTTAATACGAATACAAGATGGCAAAAGGGGGAATTTGGAAATATCAATGGTGATATGCTACACTATATACATCAATTGTATTGCATGGATTACAAAACTTTACCAGTCATATCGTGCCTGGGCCCCCAAAGCCAAGAGATCTGGGGAGGGAGGACAGCCCGTTGGCGCACGCTGCCAAGACATGCTATACATACGCCATCGAAATACCTAAAAAGGAAACGAAACAAATACCGTCTGATTATTATTCCAAATTTCCGTTTTCAACCCCCCAAACCTCTATGCAAGGGCACACTCAATGGGGAAGCGATACGGGCGTCTGGCTATCATTACCGCTTTAGGCAAGCAACTGCCGCCCACGAGTGGCGGCACTGGCATCACCGGCAAGAAAGTAGGCTAAGAGAAAGGCTAACTTGATAAATTCACTTCACAAGGCAGTTTGAATGTAACACAGTAATTGTCAACCTGGAGAGAGTCTAAATCATGTCATCTTTGCTTCAAGGGGCAAGCTGGAGCTTCAATTGACTATAAAAGACGCCGGAACCTTCTCCTACCAGCAGCTTCATCCAGCACGCAATCAACCTTCTTCATCCGTGTACATAAATCCTCACGAACAAACATCCTCAGCATCACCATCATCATGAAGACCGCAGCTTTCCTCACTCTTGTTGCGCTCTCTTCCACCACGCCTCTCGCCAAGGTGCCCATTGCCAGCAATGACGCCGCCTTGCGCGACGCCGAGGGCAGAGTACGTTTCTTTAAGCTCATCCTCCACATCACATGCTAACATTCTCTCTTATCATAGCTCGACTACAGCCGTGTCCTCCGCATGATCCAGGAGATCGAGGACAAGTACGCCGCCGAGACCGTCTACGGCGAGCCTCTTCCCGTCAAGCGTGCCGCCGGCGGCAGCAGCGAGCCCATGAAGGCCTACAGCGAGGACGGCTACAACGACGACGACTACTACGGCAACGGTCTCGTTGGCAAGAACAGCCCACAGACCTTCACCGTCAAGTTTGACACGGGCTCCTCGACCTTCTTCGTCCCCGGCCCCAAGTGCCCATCATCTACCTGCCTCGGTCCCACACGCTACAACGAGGGCGGCACTGACGAGCACAACACCACCACGGTCAACTACGCCAAGGGCAAGCGTGTTGGCGAGAACTTCTTGGACACTGTCAGCGTCGCCGGTGTCTCTGTCGACAACACCCAGGTTGTCTCGCTGTCCCAGCGCGAGGGCCCTACCCACGTTGCCCCCGACAGCTTGATGGGTCTTGGCTTCGGCAAGCTCAAGGGCAAGCCCAACACCTTCTTCGAGGACGCCATGGAGCAGGGCAAGGTCTCGGTCAACGAGTTCTCCTTCTACCTTGGCCGTACTGCCAAGGGCACTGCCGACAAGTCCGAGATTACCATTGGTGGCCGCGACTCGTCCAAGTTCACTGGCACTCCCGTCTTGTTGCCTCTTGTCAACACAGACCACTGGAACGTCCCCCTTGACGGCGTCACTGTTGGCGGTAAGGCGGTCACGGGCCTGGCCAAGATTGCCACCATTGACACTGGTACTTCCATCATTGCTGCGCCTGCTACGGCCGTGGAGAGCTTCTACTCCAACATTCCTGGCTCGGCCAAGCACGACAGCCACTTCTACAGTGTCCCTTGCGACGCTACCATCCCCCCTGTTGTCTTCAAGTTTGGCGGCCATGACTTCCCTCTTGACAGCTTCGATGTCATCTACGACAAGAAGAAGAACGTCTGCCTCGGATCCTTCTACTCCCTGAGCTACCCCTCGCTCTTGGTTGGTGACTCGTTCCTCAAGAGCTGGTACAGCATCTACTCCTACGATGCTGCTGGTGGCAAGCCTGCTGTGCTGCTCGCCAAAGCTGTTTAGAGCTGCTCTACCGCAGACACCAGAAAGTATTCGGACCACTGGGAGCTAGTCGACGGCTTCCTTGCTGTCGGAATATGGATGTTTGAGAGTCGTCACTTTCAGAAGTTGAAAAATCAGAGATCTAAGCGTCAGTTACAGTAATGCTCAATGAAAAGACTGTACTGTATCAAGTATGTCTGCTATATTAAGAATGTAACGAAAATCAAGTGATGGCAAATTCGCCCATGCTATTACGGCAATGGCCTTAGTTACAACGACCACCGACATCGCGTCATTTCCGCTTCTAAGAGCACAATCAAAACCATATTCTTGGAACATTACTTTGTGACCTAGTTTAGCTTCCAAGGATACGTATAAACTCTCCCATCGTGTGCCGTTGTATCTCTTCGACCATACCTTGTTGTCGCAATTGAGCCAGGATTGCCCTCGACTCCGATACAGCCTCTCCGTCCGACCCAATAGAATATACGCCTGTCCCAAACTCCCCAGTTGTCCCTATTGCAACATCATCCCCGCCCTGCACTCTCACTGTCACAGTGTCTTGGACCAGCGACGGATACCGTTTACTGGTTGCCAAATATAAGTGTCGCTCTCCACACTCGTCAAGCGGCATAGCGAGGCTCGGGTCAAACGGTATAGTTTCCATGTCGCGATAGAGCCCCGTCAGTACTGTTCCAGGATAATTATGTATAAAACTAATTTTTGGTGCTGTTTTCTGGATGGCCTCTATTCCAAGTGTTATGAGCGTGGAAAGATGTCCCCGAATCATGTCGGGCGTCACTCGCAAGCCAGGCAAATCGGTAGCATCAAGCAGTCCTTCCATACCGCCTCCTCCCACATTGACAATGCGCCGCGGAGAGGTTGCATTTTGGATAAGTGTAGCTAGATTAGCCATGAATCGTATGCGAGAGTAGTAGTTCAATGCCGCCAATAAGTGAACATGCTCTGACGTCTCTAAATCATCTGTGAGTATTCGACTCCGCATTTACTGGCTAACAGTTTCTCGAGGCTTACTGGTTTTATCCAAGCTCATAACTCCTTGACTTAAAAACAACAAGTCCAAAGTTGCTTCCTTGGCTTTAATCTCATCGCACACCTGATCGACCACCTTGATCAAACTTACATCTGCTTGTAAAAAGATGTACCTGCCACTCGGATTAAGTGCTTTGCATTCTGCCACTATCCGATTTGCTGCAATTTGTGACCGTCCAACAAAGTAAACTATTGGGCTCTTACTGTATCGCGCAAATGCCTTCAAGGTTGCCTCCCCGATGCCACTAGTGGCGCCGACGAACAAAGCAACAAGATTGGCGGGGAGATTGGTTGCGATCAAGGCATTCGAAGCGCGTACTACAGATAGGGATACCATATTACCAACTCTTGCCAAGGATGAGGTACCGTGCTCTGGATGCTGGGAAATCCATGGCTTTAAAGTACCTACTAATGATGATCAACAGCATTAAAACGCAGGCTCCGTAGTCCGCCCAACTCCGCCTGCAGAAAAGCGGATGACCGTGGACTTCAACATCTGCGGGCCTACGCTTTAAAAGAGCGCGGAGTTCAACGATGGACATTCAGCCAGGCTAGCGAGATACCTTATTCCTCGGGCCTGTCCTGTGCGCCCGTTGTGTCTCCAGAGGTGCTAGTTACCAGAGTGTGATCCGAGATGTTGTCGCCATCCACAATGGTCCGTACTTGGAACAACTATTACTCTATTCTTTGATCATTTCTTTCTTCTACCTACACAATAACAGCAAGTACAGTGAATAAACAAAGGTTACAAGTAGGCTCGTTTTTCGTCGATCTTTTAAGTATTCTGTTAAGTTATAAATATTAAAATTATCCTATTTATCAATCCTTGTAGAATATTGTGTATAGTACAGGGACATTATATGTATCGAGTTTTTAGATGAATATTATATATAAAATTTGTGTAAATATATATTTAGAATGCGTTTGTACGAAGGCCTATAGCGAGGATGGTCAACGACGACGAGATTGGGCTTCATTTTGGGCTCCACTACTATGTCTTTATCCATCGCAAAATCGCTAGGTTAACACTACTTGTTTCTAAAGTACATTTATGATAGCGCTGCTATACGAGGACGCTGTTGGAGACGCTGCTGCTTGCGGCACACCGAATTGACAACAAAAGCGAGCAGCTTACCACCAAGACCGTATACATAGAGAACGAGGAAGATGACCATTGCCAGCAGCACATTTCGGAGACCGTTGTAAATGTGGATGCATTAGGAGTACATACTCGTCGTATTACGTTGGGTTGTCTAAGCTATGTTTTCCTGCTATCAATTCTGCCCACACAACCCAGTCCATACTGGTTCTGTGCGAGGTATCCAGCGTTCATGTCATTGTAGGTTCTATTGTCCCGCGGGGCATAGTTGTACGCATTAAATCTGCCTCCACAGCCTCTCATGTTAGAGTTACGAGGTATGCAGCTCTCACCCGTCTCCATACAGCACAAGCCGGAGATCGCTCGGCGTAATTCCAGGGATGACATCAGGACCAATGATTTAACCTATTAGTCGACGTATAGTATAAGGGCGTTATATATATCCAACTTTTAGATGAATATCATATATAAAGTTTGTGTAAACATACATTCAGAGTGTTTTGTTGTAACAAAGACTACTCGTAACTTTTGCTTCCCCAGCGTACGCACTGAAGTGACATGTTTCGGCTCCGCGTCCGGCCCCACAGGCGACCCTGACTGCCTGCCGCCCGCCCGCCACGCCCGCCTACGCCACGCCAAAAACAGGGCCCCTTTTCTACCAAGAATGACAACACGTCATTTGCCTTGCTGCAGAAAACACAACCCTGCTGTCCATGCACATCAATCGACGTCACTCTTTCTCATAGAAAAACCACAACTCATACCAATCCATCACCACTACAGTTTCTTTAATTCATCTCTTTCCAATCTACTGCTTACCTCTCTGTTGCTGGCTCAATCATCACCAACGATGCGCTAGCTTCCAGCTAAACACCATCGCGCGCATCACCAACCAAACACATGCCACCAGCTGCGACTGCAGCAACTACACCACCATCATGTCACGCCAGGGCACTCTCCGCTTCAAACACATCTTCCTCATCCGCCTTGTCAACGCCCTCACGCTATCTACCTTCTTTCAGCCCGATGAATACTTCCAGGCCCTCGAGCCCGCGTACCAAATCGCCTTTGGCAAAGGCGCCAATGTCTGGATGACCTGGGTACATTTCCACCCCTCTTCTATAGACACACATCATACACTAACCATACTCTCTCCTAGGAATGGCAACACCAACTGCGATCATCACTACACCCAATGCTCTTCGCCATCCCCTACATCATCACCGACGCCCTGTGCTCCGCAGCTCGCATCCCACTCTCCATCCGCTCGCATATGCTCCTCGCCGCGCCGTACATCTTACAAGCATACATTGCTGCCATTGGCGACTGGTACACATGGAAGCTTGCCGAGCGTGTCTACGGCACCGATACACCCGCTTCGACATTCACCGTACGTCAATTCCTCTACACTTGTCCATCACTTCTCGTCTAACGCGCAGCCTGCAGATCCTCCTCCAACTCACGAACCCATGGCAATTCTACATATCGCCGCGACCCTTCTCCAACTCTCTCGAAACAACCCTCACAGTGGCTGCCCTCGCTCACTGGCCATGGCAATGGCATGCGCCCACCACGGTCAAAGAAAACACAAAGACGGCACCCATCAACCTCACCAACCTACGCATCGCGCTCCTCCTCGCCGCCACTGCCGTGCTTCTCCGCCCAACCAACATCTTTATCTGGCTCACCGTCAGTCTGTCCGTTATATCCACGCTCCGTTTCACCAATATTGCCGTCTTGGCGCGAGAGGCTCTCCTCTGCGGATCCGTCGCCCTGGCTGTCTCCATCCTCGCTGACAGATACTACTTTGGCTTCTGGACCTTCCCGCCCTACAACTGGCTCTACTTTAACGTGAGCAAGTCGCTTGCTGTCTTTTACGGCCGCCACCCATGGCACTACTATCTCGTCCAGGGCATCCCGCTGCTCTGCACAACGTCACTTCCATTTGTCGTCCCAGCCTTGTACCGGCCGCGCTCGCCGTCGTCCGACTCGCCCTCCAAGACACTCATCCTGCGCACCCTGGCGTCCACCGTCTTCGTCACCGTCGCCACGCTCTCGCTCATTGCGCACAAGGAAGTCCGCTTTATATACCCGCTGCTGCCGATCCTCTCGATCCTCGGTGCCCCGCATGCCGCATCCTTCTTCACGGCCCGCGCATCTAGCACGTCACAGTCTTCCCGTCCGCAGCGCGTACTTCGTCACAAGGCCCATCTTGCTGCTGGTCTCACCATTAACATCTTCCTCGCGGGCTATCTGTCCTATTTCCACCAACGTGCGCCTCTTAAAGTCCTCAACTTTCTGCGCGACGACTACGAGCAGCGCCTTGTTACCTCGTCCCCTCCGGCATCCGACGAGCTCTTTGCCCTGTTCCTCATGCCATGCCACTCTACGCCATGGCGTTCACATCTTATCCATCCTTCACTTAATGCATATGCGCTCTCATGCGACCCTCCGCTACACACGCAGCCCAATACGCCTGAGCGCATCAACTACATGGACGAGGCGGACCGTTTCTACGCACAGCCAGAACATTTTCTGTCTCAAGAAATCTTCAACAGCACAGCAGCAGCGAGAATACCGCGCTACATTGTGGGCTTTGAAGGTATCGAGCCCACTCTACACAGCTTCTTCACGTCCAAAGCAGGCTCTAAATTCAAAATCACACCGCGGCCCGCGTGGTCCAGCAACAATGGGCTCTTTTCTGAAGACTGGCGCCGGGCTGGCAAAGTAATCGTATGGGCAACAGGACACTACGACAAACCCTCATAAAAGTATAACATGGACAATATCGATAGAAATCATAATCATAATAATAGAAGCATTCAAATAAGAAAAGAAAGAGTTTCTTTATTCAAGTTATCCACAAGTATAAGTTGTGCATGCGAATCTCGACAATACAACGGGTATAATACCAAAAAAAACAACACAGAGAATGCTTCACCACCTGTTAAACAGCTAACCAACCAGTAAGCGAACCAAGTGTACACGTAGAGTCTGTACGTTAGCCAGCAACCGTGTATGCAGCAGTATACTGCATCTTGGGGAACAGAAAGAAGAGAGGCATGAATCAAGGAGTATAAACAAAAAAAGGAATTGAGAATAATAACAAAACGACCAAAAACAACATATCCACAAATAAAAAGAGTTCTCCATCTACCCTTCCTAAAAAAAAACCAATCATCCATCTCATCTCGTTGATTAAATAAAAAAAAAACCCCAGCATAAAAAGACAAAACCAGACCATCGTCCACGTGCAAAATCGATGCAGGGCGTTTTGTGAAACAAAATAGACAAAAGAGGTATCCGCCATTAAAAAACAAAAGATGAAAACAGTAAAAATATCCCACGGGGGCGCTATCAACATGCCAGCCAGCCTCGCCCCGTCTGCCAGCTCCTTCTCGTTACGTCACATCCCAATCGCATCGCTTTTCTGTGTACATGTTTTTAGGCGCTGGTAGCAGCTTCAGTCGTTGTTGTTTCTGTGGCCGCTGGTGTTGCGTCGGTGGTAGGTGCAGCGATAACAGCGGGAGCTTCTACGACTGCTTTCTCGTCGGTAGTAGAGGCAGCTTCTGTCGTCTCGGTGGCCTTTTCTACAGGAGCAACAGGCTCTGCGGCGGGTGCAACAACAGCTGGTGCGGCAATCGGTTCCGTGGGCTTGACTTCAGGCGCGGCTGTGACTGGGACGGCAACGGGTGTTTCGGTGGTCTCGGTAGGCTTGACTTCGGGGACAGGTGCAACTGCAGCCTTGGCGTCTGCAGCAGCTACCTCTGGGGCGACACCACTAGCAGCGGCAGCAACAGGCACGGGTTCATCGCGCTTAATATCGATGCTCTTACCACGGCCAAAAAGTGAGGCGCCGTTTTCGCCATGCGGTGACTTGGAGCGCTTGTTGTCAGAGTTCTCCTTGGCGTCACGGATCTTGTTCTTGATCCAGCTGATGGGGCCCTTGTCACCTTTGCCAGTCTCCGATTCGTCGACTTCAGCAATGGCGCGTTCTGAGCCATCGGCCTGATAGCTCTTGCGAGGCTTGTGTGTTGAGCTTGCAAAGGATGTCGTGCTGGCATCAGCGTTCTCGTTGGTGCCAATGTGGCCGCTGTGGTCCTCGCGCTTCGTGGACCGCGACAGACGCCACAGCTTCTTCTTTTCTTTCGTAGCGGTCGGGGTGGCGCTAGCATCCTCTACGTCAGATGTTATGGGGAGTTCGGCTTCAGGAGCTACAGCCAGCTTCTGTTCATGCTGAATGGTCGCCGGTTCGGTTGTTGCTGCTGCTTCAGTTGCCGCTGCGGGCTCGTCAGACTTAGCGACTATCGGCAGCGCAGACTCGAGAGGGTTTGGCGCCTCAACACTGGGAGAAGCGGCGTTATGGTGCGGCAGAGACGCAGTCGAACTGTGGGCGCTGTCGTTCAATGTTCCACCGAGGTTCTTCTTACGTAGTTTGTTGGGTTGGCGCTTCTCGGGGTTACTTGAGTCGGATCGGTTGAAGATGCCAGAAACAACGCGGTCCTTGGGCGGCACATCTTTCTCAGGAGGCGGAAGAGGCACAGCACTTGGTGAGCTTTCCAAGTTCTCGTGCACCTTGCTTACCGTCTCCTCAGCATTTGCCTCTACGTCTTTGGCTTCTTCTACAGTCGGCACCGAAGGCTCGGCGCGAACTGGGGTAAGAGGCTCTGGGAGGGGAGATGCTTGTCCATCCAACTTCTTCAGCTTACCACCTGCGATAGCAGGGGACTTTTTCGAAGGCAACGTGTTGCTACGGGCGAGACCACTGGTTGGCGTCGAAACGATACCGGGGCTGTTGGGCGTGGCCGCACCATCTTGTCTCGAGTGCTTAGACGACACAGACTGGTTGCGTCGCAACTGGCCCTCTTTCCGTACACTATCGGCGCCAGCGCTGGCGTTGGAGGCAGAACGGTTCACGCCGCTCGATCGTTTCTCGGGGGTGCTTGGTAGCTTAGGTGTACCAGATTGGACCTCCTTCACAGTGTTCTCGTCGGCAGCGGTTCCTTGCATGCCAATAAGGAAATGATCCTGGTTTTCGATGAGGAAGATGATGACGCATTGGTTTAGACGGTACTCCTCGGGGGCCATGGCGTGATTCGGGTGAGAGAGCATGCCGGGCTGGAAAATGGCGGCCAAGTTCTGTGATGTCATGCGGTTCTCATCCGACTTGGCCGCAAACACGGCAAGAAGATCGAGAATGTACAGAAGGAGCTGTCTGTTCAGTGGGGGAAGCTCCGTAATGAGTGTCTGGTATTTTTCAATGGCGCCTTTTTCGTCAAAGTCTTCAACAAACTGAGGGCCCTCGCCATCAGCGCCGCCTTGCTTGGTAGCCCCGCGAAGAGGGTCGCGGAACCTCTCGTACAAGTCGAGCGGCACAACAGGCTCGGGCAGATCGTTAAGGTATCGTCGCAGGACGGTAGCCGCATCGTGGACTGTGTATCCATCCCACACGAGACCCTTGCCGTAACGGCTGGGCGAATCGAATGTGGTCTTGAGCTCCTTGATGCGCTTCTCGGAGCCGCTCAATCGGAAGATGCCTTCTACGCCAGTGGCTATAAAATTTGTTAGCTTGGAATAACTAGATAGACCATGTTCTTCGCTTTACCTTTTTCCTTAAGGAAGACGCCGCACTTTGCGACGACGATGGGCACGTAGCCATAGATGTAGCTCTGGCCATTATCATCGACTAACGAGATGGCCACATTGGCGTATGTAATGCTCTGTCTCAGTGGCACACCAAAGATGCCGGGTGCTTTGGTAGCTGGCAACGGGTTAGCAATAATGTTCGAGGGCGGCTTCCGCTGCTTCGCGTCCTTTTTCCCAAACAGCGCTACAATGCGACGTTCTTTTGATTCTGCAAATTGTCTACCGTGTCTACAGCATCGCCCAACACCAAGCGTCGCAACGACGGAGTACCCGACCACTGAGCGCGTCGCCCAAAACTTGTTGGGTGGCAGTGGAGCTTGCCAGTGGTGACCCAAAAAGTATGACGCACTGTCCCGCTGCGACCGCCAAAGTCGATGCAACAGAGTGGTGGTGCGGCCATGTGTTCAAATGCGCGCAGATGCAAGCAAAACAAAGACGCATCGAACAGAAAAATCAAAACAAGAAAAGAAAGGACTATACAAAGTCATGTGTAAAACGTACCAGGGGGCTCCTGTGGTTTGGACTGGAGCTTGAAACCTTTCCACCACGATTTCAGATCGCGCTTGTTTGGCGGCGACGCAGCTTGCATGGTGGCTGAGCTGGAGGTATATGTCGATGGAGCTGCAAATATATCTGCTGAATAACTATGCAAGATGTAAAAGCCGGATCGCTTGCTTGCGTCGTCGTCGAAAGTCTACGTCTCGATCGTTCCGTGTAGAATCGCGGGTTGGTTCGAGTGAAGAATCTCGACAGAGAAGCAGCGAGCTGTGTCGAGCACGCAGCTGTCGAGCGAAGCCGGTGGAGAGTACGAATAGCAGCGTATCTATCGTATGTAAAACGTATTTCTATGCAGTGTCGAGCTTGCAAACGATTGATTCGGGCGATGATGCGACCACGGGAGGGACGTGCGAGCCAAGAGAGCTGTCTCGGGAGTCGCGTGGCTGAAGAGACGCCGGTCGCACTAGAAGATCTATCGAGGATCGAATGCAGCTGTTCCCGGGCTGTATGATGCGAAAATAACGAGCGAAAGCAAGGTAACGATGGCCTTGGAGGTGGTGGTGAGGAGAGGAAGCGATCGAAAGATTGGCGGCGGAAAGCGGTGGTGCAGGTGTGAAGGTTGTTGAAGGTTGGCGGCGCTTGCTTGCGTGCGTGGTTTGGGTTTGCAGCAGTGGGCGAGGGAGAGGCGGCGCTCCCTAGAGCAGACCACGCAGGCGAGGGCGAGCAAGTGTACGCAGCCAGACAGGCGTCTTACAGTGGGCGGGGGGTGCCTGTGGGTTAGCGCTGTCAGGGCGTGGGCCAGCGAGGCTACGGTGGGCTGTGCACCAAATGGTTGCGGCCGGCAGAGGGCAGGTCTGTGTGGTGGGCAGCTTGGTTGGGCCTGCCTGCATTTGGTTCTGGAGACGCTTTTGCACAAAATTATGAAAAGAAAAGAAGCTTTGGAAAGACAATTTGGGTTCACGCTAGATTGCACTATTTTGGAAATATTTATTTAATACTAATTTCTTTCACTGTACGGGCCCTTTTTCGTTACAACAGAACCAACTACCGCCTGCGATCTGTCCTTGCCATCCAGCGCAACAGCAGGCGAGTGCTACGAAAACAGGCGAATGGGCGGCAAAGGCCACGCTAGGACGAGGCCAGTGGGCCGCCCAGAACAGAGGCTCCAGAAGGGGCCAGGCTTCCAAGGCAGGCGGCGGAGACCCTGAAAAGCAAGGCAGCCAAGCAATCGAATTATGCGAGGGCGGTGGGTAGTAAATGCAATGCCTAACGTTATTTCCGACTGTACGAGCTTGTCAAAAAATACGCATTTCATCGATGACATTCTTTTGGCTCTCTCTCCATTTTTTACGGATTTAAACCGCCCAAATTTAAGCATAGGTAAATTACCCGCTGCCTTTTTAACCTCTTCCCACGGTTGGCTGGCAGGGACCTCGAAGCACACGCTTGTTGCTGTTTTTAGTAACTGCCTTACAGAGCGCCACACTGATATAGCCCAGCGCCTAGCCCATCTGCAGGGAAGAATAGAAAACTGGTAGTGGGTGGCTGCTGGTGCCCGATGGCTGCCGGTTCAGCGGTTCGCTCTAGGCCTGAGACTTCCTGCTCCCGGTGGGAAAGGGTGCCCTGAACTTGTGGTTCTGGCCCGCTTAGCGCATCACTTGGAGCCCGCCGTCGTTTGCAGATACGAGAAAGCTAAGTCCACTAAAACCGGAGCATGCAAGGAGAGGTGTACCGCAGAGTTTTCTAAGTATTGCTGTAGAGGCAAATATCGTGTTTAATTCGTACTAAATTTAGCAGTGAAAGAACTTTTTTTCCGTAAGCTAGAAATTTTTCAAGGGGGCAAGCCACAGGTCGGCCGCCCGCTGCCTGCACTGTTAATGGTACAGTACAAAGTGGCCACAAAGACAGGCCACTAAAGACGACGGGCGACAGCCGCTGTGTGTGCGACGTCGGTTCAGCGCCAGGAAATTACAGGTGCTCAGTGCAGGAAAGGATCGGCACCAGCTACAAAAAAAGGCTGCATATGCAGATGGCAAGGCAATGGGCTAGAACAGCAGTATATAAACTTGGGAAAACACAACAAAACTTGATATAATACAAAATACACAAAATACAAATCTTCCTAAAAAAAAAAAACCTCACAAGTTTGTCGTCAATTTGATAGTATTAAACATCCCTCTTGAATGCGCCGCCGAAATTCTGGGCATGCAGCATTCCCAATCCGGCACGTCTCATCACGCCGCTTTAGCTAACCCTACGATGGCTCAGGCGATAGCAACAGCAGAATGCCCCGCCAAGACGTACAGGCCCTGCTTGGCACTCGTCACTGCACAGTAAAAGCGGCACCCCTTGAATGGTACGTATCCCTGTGCTGTTTAATTGCAGCCCAACAACGATTCCCAGGTCTTCCCTTTGATCAAATTAAACTAAATCCAACCGTTGTCTTATTTCGGCTAAGCCTATACTAACAGAGACGAAGCCCCAACCATGTGAAATATTGATTTATTGCAGCAAAAAGCCTGGCAGGTGATTTCCCAGACAGGTCTGCCAGCTGCGCCAGGTGCCCATCATGTGACTGGCCAACTGCCTGTCGCTTCATCGACGCGGGCCGATGCAAATCAGTTTCATACAGGTTTCGCCAGTTCATGCAAGTTTTCCTGTTAACCCACTCGCTGCATTCGACCATGCACTATGCAATGCAGTTAGCGTGGCGATCCTCAGCATCCAGGGTGTGTCGCTCCAACGCTCCAGAACGTGGCCGCCATACGACACAGTGACACACGGTGGTATTAGAGCTCAGCCACTCACTAGCGACGCTCAAGCTTGGTATCCGCAGCGTAACCGGCAAGGAAGATCATTGGTGACATTATAGTTCCTCACCGCATCGTACGTTTGACTACATGGATTGAATGGGTAATGTATAGACTTGTAACGCATTTTCTATGTACAGTGTTTGGCCTATGGCTTATCATATACAACTCCGCCTTATCTCCGCCTACCAAAACGCCACGCTACTTCTCACAACCCAGCAATACAAAGAAAGGTCGCTTTTCTGTTTTCGTTGAATTCATCAGTGCTTGTGCTCACCACGAGCGGTGCAGCAGTCGCCGTCCATGGCAAGTCTAGCAAGCTTAGCCTTGCTCAAGGCACGGACTGGTGGCAGCAAGTCGCGGCCAGTAAGGTCGATGTCCTCGACTTGTTCACTGCGCTTGGCAACCTTGGTGCTGTAAATCAGGTTGAGCCAGTTGGCGAGTCTGTAACCTCCCTTGGCAATCTGAAGCTCGACCGTGTCGATAACCGAGTTGTAGTAGTCAGGGTACAGATCACCTTGCTGGAGAGCCTCAAAGCCGTTGGGCATGACGACGGAGCAAACGAAGGTGTTGGCATCAGATGCCCAGCGAGTAGCGGTGCTGATGACGGAGCCAGTAGCAACGGTGTCGCCGCTGATCCAGCCCGCAGCCTGCGACTTGTAGATACCGTTGTTGATCTGGCTCACAATGTCGTTGGCCCAGGTGCTCGCATAGGTCAGCGAGCCACCGCCAGTCTTCTGCTGAGGGATGTAGGTATCCCAGTCAGCGTGCAGGTTATCGCTGTATCCGTTGAAAGTGACCTTAACGTCGTTGGCACCACGCTCAGCGGCCTCGTCGTGCAGAGGTTGGGTAATGTCACCAAGGAAGTGGACGAGGAACTTGAGAGCCTCGGCCTTGTGGGCAGCGCTCATTCTACCGTCACCAAGGCGCTGGGTGTAGTTGGCAATGGCAGAGACAGAGCATCCTGCGCTTCCGCAGTCGCGGTTGTAGTCGACACTGCAGGACGAAGGAGGGTTGTCTTCGGCATCGATAAAGTGCAGAGGCGCAGACCACTTGCCAGCGGCTGTGCTGCGGTAGTTGTCAGCCCACGAAGCGACGTTGGCCAAGTATGAGGTGGATGTATCGCCGAGGAGACCTTGGGCCCTACAAAATATTAGCAAACCTCAGCCAGCATTGTGTACACCTTCACAAAACTTACCAAGTGGCTACGTCCTTGGAGACATAGGCCTGGGCAATGTACGCAACGGTCGCATGGCCGAGGACGCCCCAAGCGGCGGCGCCTTGAGCGGCAGCAAGACCAAGCAAAGCAGTCTTGGTAAGCATGGTTATTCACAAAATACAAAAGTCAAAAGTCAAGAGGTATCCCAAAAAGGCAACTATCGATGCGGGCGCTCGATCTTAGTCCGTCTTGGCGAGATTGACAAGACCTTGATGGGTAGCGCCATCCTCCACTACATATTTATATATCGTCGGCCTGCCCACTGCTCTCACAAGCTTCTTCTCTGCTATTACTGCTTTATCCAAGCTATTCATTTATCCCCCCGCATCGGTCCTTTTATCAGTCTATCAAATGGCTCTTTGCGCGCGCACCATTTCCTAAAACAGCAGGTCCCCCGGCACTGGCGGCACAGGCCATCTGGGGTCTAGACACACGTAAGGAATATATCTACAGTAGTTTTGGGCTAACATGTGGCGCTACGGCCGATCATGATAGGCCATGGCATCAAGTCGAGCTAAAGAGCGACGGAAAGAAAAAAAGGTTTGATTTCCTATTCGGGCCTTCGGTGTCGTGATGCTAACATGGTGTCATGTTCAGCTGGACTTTAGCCGTTACAGAACCAAGGCGATAAACTCTTTTAGAGAACAATTGCCTTGTTTGCGTGTGCGTGTGAGCAGTTGGCATTTGGGCGATTTTTACTTTACAAGTGCCGTGCTAAGCGGGGGAGTGTCACGCTGGGCACAAGTAAGCGCTACCCAAACCTTGCCTTCAGCTGCGCCGCTTCCGCCGGCGACAGGATCTTTTGGATCGTTCGAAACATGGCGTCCTTCGTTTTCAGCGCCATTTACAAATTCTGGTCCAAAGTTGTGCCTACTGGCATTTAATTGGTGGCGATCGGTGCCGATCAATCGTACGTAATGCCGACGACCGGCGAGCTCCGATTCTACGGTGTAAAGAGGAACAGAAATCACTTGTTGGGGGCTTCACAGACATGTTGAAGCATATGTTTTGGATTCTTTGTTCAAAATAAGAAATATATACAGGCCTATTATCGGTCGTCTTTCACATAAAAGCAGCGTCCTCCGTCTTTTTTCCCTTTAATAGCCAGGCATCTTTGGGGGAATTACACAGTTAGACGTGCCAACCGACATCAAATCACCATTGACGCCGCCAACACAAAACTCAAAGTTCCATGTGCCTGGGAAGAGGAAAGCTACGCCGTGGCTGGTGGTCATCTCCGTTCCGTTGTCCTTTGTAAACTCGGGGCCGTTATGGATGTTGCGCATGTAGATCTGGTACGCAGCTGCGTTGGACGGGGCCCATGAAAGCTCAACTGTGGTCGCATCTTTGTTAACAACACGCAGGTCAGTAGGTGCCGAAGGAACTTGTGTTCCAACCCGGCCTGGCCGAGCTTCACCTGGGAGACCACCACCAAGGCTATTCCAGCACGCAACCCAAACAGCATAAACGTGACCTGCGTTGAGGCCGCTGATGCTCATATGTGTGTCGCGAGTTCCGCGGCTGTCTATGAACGCCCCGGGCGTATCCTTGTCCCAAATAATGACCTCGTATTCGTCTACTCCAGCTACTGAGCTCCAGTTGATATCAAGACCAAAGCTGATAGGAGTGACTTTAATGGTTTCTGGTGCTGGAGCAGTGTCTCGTCTTGCCACTGCTGATACGGTGCCTGACCACTGGCCCTTTGCGTTATCGCCAGCGCTTGTGCGAATTTGGTACTCCCAGGTAACACCAGCAAATGTGAGAGTCGTATCAAAGCGGTTTGTTGAAGATCGGGATTCTGTCCAGTCAGCAGCACCCTGCACACGCGATCTCACATCATAGCCCTTGGCACCAAGGATAGGATCCCAAGTTACGGCAACACCAGTAGCAACGCCCTCGGCCTTGATGTGAGCCGGAACGTCTACACTCTGCACTGGGAATGATTGTGGCATATCCAAACCACCAGAGCCAATACCAAACTTTGTGTGTAGTGTCTCAGCAAAAGCCTGTGCAATCTGGTACTCTCCAATGATGTTGGGGTGGAGTCCATCGTATCCTGAGGGGCATCCTGAAGGCTGACAGTCATAGTGACCAGCAAAGTCGACATGTTCAATTTGCGACTCTGGTGTGCTCCATTGACGCAGGGCAGGCTTCAGCGCCGCATTGTACCTGGTAGTCTTGTCGACCAGGTCTTGTCGGCCACCGATGAAGGAACGCTGGGGGACGTTTGCAATGGCAAACTTGATGTCAGGCTTAGCTGCACGCGCCTGATCAATCATACTCTTCATGCTTTCCAGGGTACCAACGTCATCGCTATAGAACCAGCCCATGTCGTTGAAGCCAAGAGCGATGAGCAGCATCTCTGGTTGGTACTTTTTCACCTGGTCAAAGATTTCGCTCTTATCCTGGGCAGCAGCTCGGCCCCAAACGGCAAAATGGTCGTGGTCAAAGGCCGGATCAACGGCAGTAGCGTAGGGTCCGTTGTTCACTTCGTGCTTGGGCTCTGGCTCACCCACAATCCTTGGTGGCTGAGGAGGGAGAGCTGGAGGAGGGTTCTGAGTTCCAGTGTAGGGCCCGACAAAGTCCAGCGGGATGTCCGCCGCCTTGGCCTTGAACCACTGCCACAGACGGTATCTCCAGGTATAGTCGCCGGCGTAGCCATGGGTAATGCTGTCGCCAACAAACATGTACTTGGACGGCTTTGCCATGGGTGGTTCGCCGCCGCCGCCGTTGGGGGGTGGGGGAGGATCGGCAGGGTGCTGGCCTCTGATGGGAAAGGCACATCTGCAGCCCTGTTCACCCTTGATACCGTGGGACATGCTGCTGCATGTACAGTGGTTGTTATTGATGGAGTAGAGGCCATCAGCGTACTTGAAGCGGAAGTACGGGTCACCCAAATCCCAACTAATGTCTGTGACAGTGAGCACATACGGCAAGAAGCTGTCTTCAATGACGTAGGGCTTGCCGCATTCATTGCCAGAGGGTGCGTAAACACCACGAGGGACACAATAGTTGTCATAGATGACGAAGAACTTGGACCCTACGAGGCCGGCAAGGGGGTTCTCGGTGCTAAAGTCCGGCAGAACTGTCACGCCAACATCCATGGAAAACGTCCAATCGCCCTCGCCCTGTGGAATACAGAGCTGTTTGCGCGTCTCTGGCTTCGTGGGCGCCGTCTTCATAGCATTGGCGAGGTTGCATGCTGCAGCAGAACCCGCAAGGGCTGCCAAGCTAGCAGCAATTGGGACGAGCATGGTGATGAGTTGTCTCAGATGTCTACACTACAACTTCCATGTACGCGCATACTGCGGTGACCACGGCCTCCTTATACTATCCAATCTTAACTGGCTGCCTAATCACTACCATGTCGTCGAATTTCAACGTGCTTGTTTAATATGTAAGCGATTGGGTAGACCAATAAGTCTCCGCCCCCCCTGGTCGCTCAAGCTGACCGAATTACAAGGCGTGGTTCTCCATTCAGCATGCGAGGCTATTACAATGTCCGCCAAGATAGCCATGATGTAAGCACTAGAACCACAAGTAAACCCAGTTTTTTGCATTTTATTGTTGGAGCCTAGCTTGACCACTTATACCCGTGATTTCTACTACCGTAGCAGAAGATATCTCATTTTCTTGACCCCTCAAATACGACCAAAATACATTCTACACTCTTCAAAGCGTATCTGTGTGTTTAGATACGTTTTGTGCTATATAAAAAGCGTATAATCTTCTAGAGTGCGTGTGATTATCTCGAACCTTCTATTATATAGAAACGTTTTTTGCCTATACAAACAAACGTCTTTTTATCTTTAAACGTCCAGAAAATCAGCATCTTTCCGCTAAGGTACAGACTATTACCTTACTACTATTCGAGTATCGATGGAATTTTCGAGTAAGAGTTACGCCACTTACGCAGTCTTGTCCAAGGCGGAAGCAATCTCCATCTAAGTCGACCTTGATCACGTACGAGTATGAATAAAAGGAATTTACTAGAGTCTAATGTGTAGCTATGAAAAATGATGAACTTTTTTTTATTACTTTAATGTTTTTATATTTGAGAATCCCATAAAGCCAGTCGGTCAGTTTATATGACATGTGCAATCCCGTCCATTTCCTCCACGCCCATGGCGTCAAACACTCACAAACATCACATCGCGTTAATTGGCAATAGCATTTTATTCTGTACGCTTTTGGAGAAGAAACTGGTTACTATAGATTTGCGCGGAGACAATGGTGTGGTGCATCCATCAACGTGGCTGCAGGTGTCCCATTAAAGCCGCCCTCGCTGATATAATTAGGTACTAGTATTCTATCAAGTCCTATATCTTTACTTTGCCCGACATTTAAAGGCTTTTCTCATTAGAACCTTTACTAATCGCTCGACTCAGGCCGGCTGAACATGTGAGAAGACTTCTTGGCGCTTAGCTAGCAACAAATAGGTTTCTGTCCTTGTTGTAAGCAGTTGCATCGTCGGCGACTTGAATATACATACCTGCGACTAGCCAACGGCTCTGGAGGCGCTCTAGGCCATGTTTCAGAAGGTCTATGTTGTCAGAAACATGCATGCTGTCGGGAGGGTTCTGGTTCAGCGACAACAAAATTGACAGTGATCTGTACATCATATGAAGAAGAAAGGGTGAAAGATGCTCCAGGTTAATCCTGGACGTTTCCAGCGTCATGATTTCAATTCCATGCTGAATCGCAGAGATGGTTTCGGGAGACACGACCTCGGCAGCGACCGGTTGCTTCTTGGTCGCCTTGGTCCGCAGCTGCATTACAGCATTATCGAGTGTGAATACTGCCAGATAGCTTACTGCATTTAGCGTGCATAGCAAAATCCTGTCCTCCATTCCCTCTACGTCGCCCAGGTGGATCAACGAGAGAATGGTGCGTCGTAGCTGTGCAGTATTCTCCTGGTCTTCGCCAGATCTAGAAATAGCTTGACTAAGCAAAGGCACCGAGTGAGCAAATCTGGCAAATCTGCCAAGGTGGACCTGGGACGATAATCGAAGCTGAACTGCTTCGTCGGATGGAGAAACCTGCGGCACAAGTTGTCAGTCATGAGAGGTAGGCAGGTAAGAGCTTCAGGAGAGGCGCACTCCATTGTCATAGTCATCGTCATCGGCTGGTAGATAGCTCTCTGGGTCTGGATCTTGAGTGACCAGAGATGGATTGGGGTGTGAAAGGTTTATAAATCTAGCGGTGTGTTTAAATTAGACTAGGTACCAGGTGACCTAGAAGGAACACTTACCGATCCAGTATCACAATGGCCCACCAGAGCCGGCGACGTTCTTCCACGTCGATCCATGACATGCCCTCCAAGAGCCCGGTGTTTGTGAGATGCTTTTGCACGCCCAAAAGCGTACCATGGCGCGCGCAGCTGGCGACTGAGATTATGGCTGCAGGATATATCCCATGACCAAGCTCGTAAAGCGCAATGAGAAGAGCGGCCTGAAGCGACTGCACTGAGAGCCTGCCTGCAGATTCTACGTCAAAGTAGAGCTGCTTTACGGTTCGGTAGAGCATGGATTTGGCAACGCTGGCCCGTGATACTAGTAGGTTCATGGCCAGCACAAGCAAGAACAGATCGACTCTTTGGAGGGCAAGCCTCTGGAGCAAGTGCCGGTGAAATTGGACCTTGGAGACTATAGGCATCCAAGTATGTGCAGATTCGAAAAAGATTCGTGCCCTGTTTTGGATATCGCCGATACTGCCGACCAGGTCTGCAACATGTTTGGTAATGACCACATTGGGCTTTTCGGTCTCCAGCTGCGCTCGGATGAAGTCATCAGGGTCAAGGAAGCTGGCAGCTAGCAGATTTAGCCCGCCAAGCTCTGACAACTGCTGGTGCGCATTGTCCTTTTTTGATTTACTTCGTAGATGATCTGGTTGGCTCGCACTTGTCGCACAACTCTGCGGCGACGTGGTGCTACTGAGGGTTGGAGACGAAGCCGACAAGAACGATGAAGGAGAAGAAAGATCCTGTGAGCTACTCTTTGCGCTGCGTCCAACCCTTTCCTTCCTTTGGTGGGGATAATCGCATGGGGCTTGTTTTCTGTAAGCGCAAGGCTAGATGTAAGCCGACATTGCATACATGGAGACGACGTAGCTTACCGTTGGCAGAGTCCGCAACGTGGGTATTGACGGTCACATCGTCTCTTTAGCCGTCGACACGAATGGCAGGAAAGTGGTGATGTAGAAGAGTGTGCCGGGCTGCTGCCATGTTGAGGTTGCCAGGCAGCGGACTCGCGGGGCGGCATCTTGTGAGTGGAAATTGAGTCTCAAGTTTGATTGGTGGTGCCAAGCAAAAACCCGGAGCTAGCCCAGGTTGATGGAAAAACGGATGCGTGCGTCGACTATCGCGATGCAACAAGTAGTAAACGGTCTAAGTGCGTGGTGCGGAATGTGTGAGTGCGGATGTTGCGCTTTTCAGCGGTCTGTCCGCCGTGGAAAAGCCCGCTTTTGAAGTGTCCGCCGCCACTGAGAATTGTCCGCTCCAAGAATTGTCCGCTCGTCTCCACCACCAATCCCAATTGGCCAGCCCTTGTACGTGGATAAACTCTAGCGTGTCTAACCTACCGTGGCCAATTACAAAGCGAACATGGCGCTGCAGATGGCCTAAACAGGATCCTGCAATGACAAGACTTTCGCGCCAGCCTGATGAGAAATCAACGAAACTGACGCCATAAGCGCGTATTTCTAAGCCAGACACTTATCCGTACAGGGAAACGATGCGGCGAGATGGTCTTGCGATACAGCGGACTTACTGAACGGGATAACACGCGCGCTGCGTAGACGGCAGATTGCGTGACATGGTGGACATATATATATACAACTATATATATATTGGCCTCAGTTGCTGCCCATGTTGAATTCACCTTGCATTATCCCCAATCCAGTCTACAAAGAACCCCCAAACAAGTGCAGCACTCGTCTCTCTCTCTAAGCTCAGGCTCCTCACTTTTGACAAAACAGAATGGAAAAGGAACCGGACAACTCAGTTCCACCTAGCAATGTCGACCTTGCTAGCGGATTCAACAACACCGATAGCGAAAGCAACAGTCCAGCCAATGTTGGTCAGAAAGTCCATCCAAGAGCCGACTTGGCATCTTGGAAATGGATCCTCACATGTGTCGTACTCTACCTAGGTGCCCTGCTTTACGGTAACTACATCCCTTATTTCCGACTCTCAAGACGAATACTATACTAATATTCCAAGGCCTCGACACCACCATCGCCGCCGATGTGCAAGCTCAAGTATACGAATCACTGGGCCACATTGAGGACCTCCCTTGGTTTGGACTAGGTTTCCCCATGGCGTCCGCTGCCACAATTCTCCCCATCGGCCGAGCATACGGCCTCTTTAATGTCAAGACGCTCATCATTGCAAGCCTCTGCGTGTTTGAGATTGGCAGCGCCATTTGCGGAGCGGCCCCTACGGCGGATGCTCTGATTGTCGGAAGAGTCATTGCAGGCATTGGCGGCGCCGGCATGTACTTGGGGTGAGTGCACTGCACACTGCAGCCAGCGCGAACAACACCACTTATGAAAACCTTTTAGAGCTCTTACCTACATGACATCCTTTACCACACCAACAGAAGCTCCCCTCTACAATGCCTTGACTGGCCTGAGCTGGGGCGTGGGCTGCATTCTCGGACCTGTTATTGGCGGTGCTTTTTCTGTCAGCAGTGCCACTTGGCGTTGGGTACGGTTTGCATTTCTCTTGGCAAGGATATGATAACTAATCGTTGTGCGTATAGGCCTTCTACATCAATCTTCCCCTTGCCGGCTTTCTCCTACCGGTTTACATCTTCTTTGTTCCAAGCAGAAACCCCCGACCCCATCTCGGCCTTGGACAAAAGCTCAAGGAGATTGATTGGATTGGGGCAAGCCTGTACGCTGCCACGATTGTCCTGTTCATGCTTGTTCTCACGTTTGGCGGGTCGACCTTTGCCTGGAATTCCCCTGGATCCATTGTTCTTTGGGTAGTTTTCGGCATCTGCTTGATTTCGTTCATCCTCCAGCAGGGGCTGAAGCTGTTTACGTCAGAGGAGCATCGAATCTTTCCAGTCCACTTTCTTAGATCACGGACCATGGTCCTCCTCTACATTGCGACAGGCGCAGCTGGAGCTTCTCAGGGTGTAGTGCTGTACTACACGCCCCTTTTCTTCCAGTTCACCAAAGGAGATACCGCGTTGCAGGCCGCTGTGCGGCTCCTGCCCTTTATCTGCGTCTTCATCTTCTTCGTCATGCTCGCAGGCGGCTCGCTCCCTCGTGTTGGCCGCTACAACTTGTACTATTTTATCGGTGGCTGTCTGATCGTCACTGGCGGTGCGCTGCTTTGTACCATTGACGAAACAACATCCGCTGCTCATATTTATGGCTATGAAGCTCTTACCGCCAGTGGAATCGGCCTCCTCTTCCAAATCGCCTACGCTGTCGCTGTCGCCAAGGTCGATTCTAACGATGCACCCAAGGCCATTGCCTTCATCAACGTTGCCCAGATCGGTACCGTTGCCATTGGCTTAGCCATTGCAGGTTCTCTGTTCCAAAATGTCGGAGTGCACGAGCTGGATAAAGCATTTGCCGGCCGCGGGTTCCCAGAGGCCTTCATTCGGTCGGCTCTCGCGGGGAGTATATCGCCCGTGTTTTCTTCTCACGACGATGCAATTGTTCAAATTGCTGTAACTGCTGTTGCTATAACCATTCGCAAAATCTTCAGCACAGTCGCAGCGGCGGGAGCGCTGTTGCTCGTTTGCTCCGTGCTCATGCGGTTTGAGAAGCTGGAGTTGGGCCTTGTCGCGGGCGGTTGAGCTTTCTACGACATAATATCCATCGTACAACTATAGATAACATGATACTTTAGAGGATAAATACATCTATATAAATCCCACTGTACACAACGACAACTATAGCGTACAAACATCCACTTGCCTCCAGTCACTCTGCATTTGCCATCTCGTTCACCCACGCTGCTCTCGCTCTATACTCACCTCGTTGTGCCGAGGAGAGCTCTTCTAGCCTTGGTAGTATATCTATAAACTCTATGTCTGGGTATTGCTTGTCACGAAATAGTAGCTGCGTTGAAGACAATGAGGGACCCCTGCCCTAGAGATAGGACAAGGCTGCGACTTGGATCGCCCAAAACCACATGTCCGTGCCGCCGTGTGGTGCGTGTGACCAGAGGCTAGGCTGCATAGTGGCGCGCGCGCTTGAGTTTATTTGATGTTGGTAGCGTCCGTGGTGGTTGGCGCGTTCGTCCATATTCCCCTCTTCTATCCTTAAACACACTTAGGTATCCCTGTAGGTCATCTCGACATTCGCTTGTTATTCATCCATCCTCTGCCCTCCCCCAGCTGAAATGAACTCGATTGCCAAAACCACGGCTGTGTCCGCTACTGCATCATCGAGCGCCATCACCCAATTTTCACAGCTTGCGTCGTGCACGGAGCTGTTTAAACTAATGACCATCATCAGCACGACAGATATGCCCCAGAGGGAAGTATACACAAGCGACACGTCGAACCAGCTCTTCTCCCGCTGCCAGCCATCGGGACGGGAGCAAGCAAACTTTACCTTTACGCCCGGTGTCTGTCCCAGCAACTGGGCGTATTGGAGTATTGCAGCCAGCAGTACGACTACTCCCTCTTCCAACATATATACAACTGCATTCTGCTGTGCAAAGTAAGTGCGATCGGGTACTCGGTCGGTTATACCTATTAACATAGAGTATCAGAAACTTTAGGCTCGATTATGGCTATGGCCTTTTGTCTACAAAGAAAGTATGCGTATCATGGCAAACGACAAGTGCTGGGACGGCTACCTCGACGAACTTGATCCACCAACCTTGGCTAGTCAAGTGGCAAGCTTCCGATACCAGCAAGTTCCCCTTTTCTGTCCCCACGATCCAAAGCGACGCGTATATTGAATACTGGGTTCCCAACCAGACGGCAACATATATTGACTTCCACCCCACCCACCCTGCTGACGGCCCTCCATTGCAGGGTTTCTTTATTGTATTGGGTGTAGGTGTAGCTATCGGAGCTATTATATTGGCCCTTGTAACATGTTGTATGGTATCATATTGCATCAAGAAAAGGCGAGCTAGGAAGGCTGCTGCGCAAACATCGCCAGTTGATTCTGGCCCTAGAGCTGGTGATGCTGCAACACCCAACCCAGCCCTAGTCGAGGGATCGACTGAAGTAAAGGCACAAAAGTAGCCTCCAATATCATCTTGGATAACATGTTACGCGAAGATATAAAGATCACTTATCGCCAACCTCATCATCATACATTCACAGACACGCAATAGGGTTCGCCATGTAGTATTAATAACTCAGTTTGGTTGTATGTGCGTTTCTATTTTGCTAGAACAATTTATATACACAAATTTGCATCGCTTAAGCATCGTGACACTTGTCGGGGCCGAACTCGTCACGGAGATCCTTGAGGGTCTGGACAACATCGCCAGCCTCCTTCTTGACCTCGTCCTGGAGGCTAGAGGGGACCTTCTTGACGACAGCGTCGACGAGGGCCTGGGAGTCGGTAGCGCCAGTGGCGAGGAAATCGTGGGTAGTAGCACACTGCTTGGCCTTCTCGATATCGGCCTTGCGGTCACGGAGCTGCTGAGCGAGAGCCTTGCCCTGGGCGCCGACGTCCTTGGCGGGCTGGATGAGGCCGAGGCAGTCAAAGGTGGAGAGGGGAGTCATGTTGTTGATCTTGGTGGTGTCGGCCTCGACGGTGGAGATGAGCGAAGAAGCAGCCTTCTTGAGATCGGTAGGGTCGCCCTTGAAGGCGGAAGCGGCAGTCTGAAGGTTGTTGAGGCCGGTCTTGACATCGTTGAGGACAGCCTTGGCCGTGGCGAGATCGCGGACGGCGAGAGGGGTGGCGACGGCAGTGGCGGCCAGGGCAAGGGTAAAAGAGAACTTCATGATGTTTCTGTGGTGTGTGTGGTGTAAGAAAGAAGAACAAGAAGATGTGATTGATGATGATGATGATCCAAAACTGACCAGAACCAGGGAGGATCTTTAGATATTTATACTTGGCCTTTCTCGTCTCTCAGCTGCTTTTTCTAATCCAGAGCAATGCCGAACTCCTCCTCCTCGCTCCAGCTAAACCCAGCTCGTCCTTGCATCGCCGACAATGCCGCCGTGTAGCGTGCCATCGTGGCTGTTAGGCCCTGAGATCTGTGCCAGCCCAGCTCTTCAACCCGTTCCCTTGTGTGTTGCTGTCCCCCGCATGCAGCGTCGCAACGGCCGCAGGACGACGCATATATCAGCGTCCTGTTATGCCATTGGCCCTCATCCCCAGCTGACCATGCGAAGCTTTACTACGTCCACACTTAACCTGCGACGCAAATTAGTAACTCGCCATGCCACGATTCCTCCATCGGTGAGAAAATCCAGACAAAAAAGACCACTTTGCAAAGCGCTGCTCGCCAATTGTCCAGATGGGGAACCAAGACTCGGATCTGCAGGGCCGCGCTACGCCTGGTAACCAACCCCAACAAGCTAAAACTAAGCTGACTTTTAGAACTGCAACGGTAACGGGATGATGCCCTCTGCCCTCCCCGCTCATCAGAATGAAAACAAGAAGATGTGGCTCGGTACCCCTGCATCCCATCTTTTCCTCTTCTAGAGAACCATCTGTCGACGCATTGCCGAGCCCTTTTACGATGTCGATATAGGTCATCTCCGACAGTTCATGCATCGTCCCAATGCTACTATAAGCGGAGTATAGCAATGCTGGCCCTGCACGTCTGTACGTGACTTAGAGCGCTAAGCTGATGCGGTCTGACGTTTTGCTTTGGCTGCTCGGCGACTGCCCGGCCCCTCGCAGCAAACGCAGAGTGTGCAGATCCCCCATTGTTTTACTTTTAATTCATTCCCCCGCAGTAAGCGTTGCACCCAACCCAGCCTCCATGTAACGCTCCCGCCAAAACTTATCCATTGCGTGTGTGTGTTTGTGAAGGCGTCCAGGGGTTTGTTGTCGTGGGGAAACAGCAGACGTCACTTATTTCCAGTAAAATCACTGATATTTCTCTGAATGGTGGAAAAACGCAGCCGCGACAGGCGAGGAATGCCTTGTAGCGACATCTACACCGCATTGTCAGCAGCACCTAGTGTTAGCGCCGAGCGCTGAGTGTCGCTGGCGGGTCCATTCATCGTGAAACGAGACTAAGATTTAGTTCTTTTACGTCTGCGGTTCGCCTGGCCTGCACAACGGTGGCATCACGCGGGCGGGCCTGCTAGTTCATCCTGTTGGCATGGTCTAGCGTCGAGTCGGCATTCGCATGTTGTTGAGAATGGTGTTGGTCCGAGGCTACGAAGACCGTTGGCTTGTGATGGGATAGGGTTGAGCGGTCGGGGCTGTCGGGGAGGAGTACCGAGATGCGGCTGGGGTTTATTAGGGGGGGATGCTATATTTAGAGATGGTTTGGGAGGGGAGTGAGGTTGTGATGGCTCATGTTGGTTTTGGTACTGAGGCATGTGGTGATGTTGGGAGTTTAGGGTAGGGGAGGTCAAGTGCGTGAAGGGCAAATTATAGCTCAAACTGCGTGATGCTGCGTTTGTAGTATTTTCTGCGACCGTTTTCTAATAAATAAAAATGTAACTGGCAATGTAAGATGCACAAGACGTGGCCTTCTGTGCATTGAATTTTTGCAAGCTGTAAGCGTAAAGAGAGAACCGAGGCAGAAAGCACTCAACTCTTACAGGCATTGGAAGACAAGGTAGCAGAGTGTACAGCACATCGTGATATAAATCAATCGTAATTGCACAATTATTCCCAGTAAATTAATATATAATTGGAATGAAGTGTACAAATATTACCAGATCAAGAGTTGCACTTCTGTGCTTAGCACCATGTCCACTGCCGGACTACTATACCAAAATACTACCAACGTTTACACACCAAATCACTTATCGCTGAAAAATAAAATATAGATAATAATTCTATAAATACACCCAAGTTACTGCATGTCGTTAATAATAAACTTGAAAATAATGAGCCCTTCCATGGTGCCCCAGACACACACACTGCCACCTCGACACCCACCTCTCCTGCCTAAACACCAACCCATTCAGCCTCAACATCTACATCAACATCCCCCTCACCTCACCTCACCACCATCCTCACTACTCATCTCTCAATCAATAACCTGCCAGTCGTCCCCTCTCCACCCCACACACCCGCCCAACCAATCCCCTCCCGCGGATTACAGCACCACGCCAGTCTCCCGCATCCCCAGTTCATCAAGGTAGTCAGTCACTTCACTCCTCCACCCATCAAGCTCCCCGCGCCGAACCGGCCGCTGCCTACCTACCTACCAACCATGACGCTGCCCACGGCCGGGCTTACACGCAATAACAATGGCCCAATCGAAAAGGCCCCTACGAGTCCTTCTTCTCTGGCAACAGCACCAGTAGCAGCAGCAAATCCCAATCCCTCACATTCACACTCTGGGCCATCACTTACACCATCACTTACACACGACTCCTCCCCATCCACCACGATGCCGCCCAAACCCAAGGCCATGCGCGCCGCCGTCCGCGACGCCCGCGCCAAAGCCGCCAAAGCACACGTCAACATCACCATCCCCGCGCTCCTCAAGGCCAATCCGCGTGCCAAAGCAGGCGTCCTCGCCGCCGAGCGCATCTCCTCACCCCCCTCCGTCTCGTCCTCATCCTCCGTCCCGCCAGCCATCAAAGTCCTCGTCACAGACACCCTCACAGCCGCCTCGCTCCTGTCCGCTGAGCCTTCCCCCGCGCGCATCGCTATCCTTAACATGGCCTCGCCGCTCCGCCCTGGCGGCGGTCTACTCACCGGTGCAACATCCCAAGAGGAATTCCTCTGCGCACGCACCACGCTCTACCCGTCCCTCTCGGAGACACACTACCGCCTGCCAGACCTCGGGGGCATCTACACGCCGGATGTGCTTGTTGCTCGGGACGCCAGCACGCGCGCCGAAATGCTCCCCGCACGGGACCGGTTCTATGTAGATGTTCTGAGCGCTGCAATGCTCCGATTACCGGATGTAGACGAGTCGGATGGCGAGACGACGTATGCAGAAGATAAAGACCGCGAGGCGGTGCGGAACAAGATGCGCGCTGTGATGCGCATCTTGCGAAGCAAAGGCGTGGATAGGGTCGTCTTGGGCGCTTGGGGGTGCGGCGCGTACGGGAATCCCGTGGGAGAGGTCGCGAGAGCATGGAAGACGGTTCTGTGCGGTGGTGGGAGAGCAGCGAGAAAGGCTGGCCGTGCGAGCGGCGGGAGTGAGGGCTGGGAAAGGCTGCAGGTTGTCTTTGCGATTGCGGATGTGAGAATGGCGAGGGTGTTTGCTGAGACCTTGGGTGTTGAAATGGATGAGGATGATGAGGATGATGAGGAAGAAGATGATGATGATGAGGATGTAGAGAGCGAGAGTGAGACGGAAGAGTCTGATGAGTATCCTTGAGCAGCGCCGGCTGGATAAAGGGTTTCTTTGCTTGCATATATCTACGGAGTTTTGGAAACATCTTGTACTTGACACTGAGTTGGGACTTTATAGATAATCTGGTTACCTGTATGAATCACTACTACTCAATACATGGAACAATATATCATTATTCATACCATCCACGGAACGAACGTGGTGACTTTGTGCGGTACAATTAGGCAACCATTTCGCGTAGAGGGACAAGACACAGGTACGAAAAGAAAAAAGATGGCTCGTCATTCTTTCCAAGCTACGTAAGATAAAAACTAGATCCAACATGTACAGTGCTTTCCCGTACGCCAAAACAAGCCATCTATGTACAGTTACCAGCAAGTAGAAACAACAGTGTCTCAGCCAACCTTGGTATATATTTACAGCACGCCACCAGGTAACAAATACTGGCCCAGCTCGCCGTCGGGCCCCAACTTGCGCAGCATAAACATCGGTTTGTGGCCCGTCCGCTCAATTGTCTTAAACACATTGAGCGGCTTCTCGTCCGGCAGCAGAGCGCGCTCGGCGTCACCATACATGATCACCAGCGCATAATCTGACCAGGGGCCGCCAATATGGTACTTAGCCAGTGCCGAGGGCAGAATGTCGGCACACGTATCTGTCGCGCCAACCCGGAAAGACTTGAATATCTCAACACCGCTGCCACCCGTCTTGGCTGCTTCTCCTCCTGCAACGGCAGCAGCAGCAGCAGCAGCGGCTCCTTCAAGGTCGGACGAAGGGCCAGCACCTGCATTCCCTGCAGAGCTAGATCCTCCAGCGGTTGTTGACGGCGATGGCGCTGGGTATCTGTATCCTACGCGGGCGATTGCCACTTCGCCATTGCCGGTACCGTTGCTAGTTCCGGTGCCGCTACCATTCTGCATACCGTTGTGCGCAGGGTTCGGCGACGTGGGAGACTTGCCGTCCATGTGCTTGCTAGAGTCACCGTTATTTCGCCCATCCCATTCTACCGTATTGGATCGCTCGCGAGTCTCCCGTTCTCGCCTCTCCCTTTCACGGCCTTCATTGGGTCTACGTAGTCGTGATACAGGAATCAGAGGAGGGGCGTTGTGGTGGGTATTTTGCGGTGACGTTGGCGAGGCGGCGGCAGACGATCCGTAGTTGGTGACGGGACCATGGAGGCCGCTGGGGGTGCCTGCGGCCGAGGCAGATATAGCGTTGTTAAGCATGGAGAGGTGCGATGAGGACTGAACGGCGCGCTCGGCAGCGTTGGCTGGATCTAAAGCGTGCTCGAGGATTGTTCTATCGTGAGTCGTGTGGGTAGGAGAGGCACCTTGCGGCGTGGCATTGCGGAGAATCTTGCGCTGGGAGTATTGGCGCTTGACACCAGGGCCGCCTGGAGGCGTAGGGCCGGTGGGCGATGGGCCAGGTACGTCCTTTTGAAGCGACTGTTTCTGCTGTTGCTGTTGTTGTTGCTGTAATTGTTGCTGTTGCTGTTGCTGAAGTTGTTGTTGTTGTTGCTGTAATTGTTGCTGCTGCTGTTGCTGTTGTGGCACCATGGTCGCAACTTGCGGAAGTGGCTGCTGGGCATCCTTTGCCATTCGCAGCGCGGGCAGAAGATCCTCTCGCAAGCGGCGGAAGTCGTCGTGCATCTTGCGAAGCTGGTACTCCATGGCAATCATGCGCTCATCACGCACGCGAATCTGCTCGACCAGGTGTTTCATATCTTCGACGGTGGCACTGGGGCTTTCGGTCTCGGGATTCCAGCCTATTTAGTCATTGGTTAGCAAGTCAACAGACATACACAGATATCGATGTCATCATACTCAGTGGTTTATAATGGTCGTCCTCGATGGGGATGTCCTGGGCAACCTTGACATCGTGAATGCTCTTCAAGATGAGCAACCGATGGCCAATGCTGTTGACATCTATGTTCTTCAAATCCTCATGTACCAAGGCGATGACCGCCTCGCCATTAATATCGTTATCTGCAATCAAAGAGTTAGCCGGGACACGCATACCAACAGCAAAAGCAACTACAACATACCAACAAAGGCATCGGCGTATTGGCTAAGCCCAATGGTGCTAATGAAATCGGCGCAGTCTTCCGCTGTCCAGTCGGTTATGACAAGCTGGGGCAGCCTTGTAAGGTCAGGATTTCTATATATCGTGGGGGTATGTTGATCCGAGTATATATCGTCCTCGTCCTCAATGGCCGACGACGAAGCCCCCTCATCGTACCCATCAATGGGAGACTCCTCCTCATAACCTCTAGACGGCGAGACATCTACAGGCCCATGACTATCGTACTCGTCGTCGGCGTCTGATTCCGTATACGCGGTGCCGGACTCGAAGTTGCCCACGCTGGTAGCCGGGGACGCAGGGCTCGGCCGAGGCCGCACTGGCAGCTGTAAGTGAATCGGCTTCGCAGTGAAGTCGCCGGCGCGTCTGTTATGATTAAACGTTGCCGACTGCGGTTGCGGGGGCAGATCTTGCTGTTGGGTGGCGTAGGGCAGGGGTTGGGCGTATTGCGTCGAGTGGTAAGGGCGGGCAGCAGGAGGATACTGTTGTGATTGCGAGGAGGAGGAGGATGCCGCTTTAGTTATCGTCTGCTGCAAGGGCGGTAACGGCTGCAGAGGTTGTAGCTGCGGCGCCTGCTGCTGGTACTCCTTGCCCGAGGCCATGTTGTAGGATCGCGGCGTCGAGGAACCGGCGGTGGCAGCCGACGTTGGAGGCGGCGGCTCGTTGTTTGTTCGTCGGCCTCCCGGCTTAGGCGACTCTGGCAGAGAGCGGCTCGCGCCCGGGGTAAGAAGCGCGTAATCCAGCTTGACGAGCACTCTCTGGGCGATGAGAGAAGCCGATGACGAGAAGGGCGAGTTGAGTTGGTTGGGTTGGAGGAGTTGTTGTTCGCGGCGCACGTAACCCTTTGGGGGGGATATTGGTTGGGCGCTTAGCCGCCTTACGGTCCGGGTTTGGGGGGAGAAGAGACAAGAGAGAGAGGCGGAGGCAGTTGTTGTAAGGGGATAAGAGATAAAGATTGGCGAATTGCCTGCTTGTCGAGGTGCTGGAGTCGCTGTTTAATAGCCGCAGTAAAAGAAAACAAAGACAGATGCTAGAACCAAGTCCCAGAGAAGAGGGAATCGTGGCTGGTTGGATGGTCTGGTTGGATTTCTGGTTGCGCGGCCAAGTGCGGTCGGTCGCAGGTGAGGGTGGAGTTGTTGCAGCAGCAGGGGGGGCAAAGAAGGGACTGGGCTTGTTTGAGGTGGTATTTTCCCTCCTGACTGGGCCTGTGGTTGTGGTTGGTGTGTGTATGGGGCGTTCGATCAAGTGCCAAATCAAAAGTGCCCTTTTGGGGGAAGGATGGCCGATGATGCAAAACACGGGGATGGAGTTTGGAAGATGGTTTCTGTTTATGAAAGAGAAGAGAAGAGTTTGGTGTTTGCTTGCACAAGAAAAAAAAAAACAGCAGCACATGCAGCCAGCCAGCAGCTAATGCATGCACAAGCGAATACACCAGGCCGCCAGGTGGTCAGTCTGCTGCTGTACCTGCCACTAAGCGCACTGCATCGTAACCTTATAGTCACTGTGCTTGTATTACTCGCTGTGGGGATGCCCGTATTAGCAGTTAAAGCAGGTCCCCGAGAAGCGCAGCCAATGGCGTTCGCCAGACAGATGTGCACTTCTTACAATCAATGCACCATTACAAAGTAATTTACTGGGCATGACTGGACTGGCTACCTGCCTGCACAAACACTGTACTGCACAGAACAGTACAAAAAAAAATAAACCCACAGACACCTCAACGGGGCGCCGATGCAGATGTCCTCGATGACTGGTGTTGGAGTGAGCCCAGCGATGTGCCAGCGCCAGCGTCAGCGCCTGTGCCAGCGCCAGACCAAAAAAGATGCGGCGGCACAAGCACAGCTTGGCTGTCTGTGCCGCACACCACTACTGCAGTAACATGTCCAGTCAGTCAAGACTGTACATTGCAAAGTTATGCCCTTATGAATTATACTCAATCGTAATACTACCCCTCCAGACACATTTCACAATTTCTTCTTCTCTCTCTTTCTCTTTATCTGCATAAAACCCACGACCGGCCCATCAGAAAAAAAACACCACTGTTTCACCATTACCGCACCTATACCCCCCCCTCTCCTCCTCTTTTCCAGCGGCCTCGCTCTGATTGGTCCGCCCGCCTAGCGCCCAGCCAGTCAGGGCAGACAGGCACCCGCCCATCACTAGTGGCTGCGGCGCTTTAGCGGCTCTACTCTTCTCTACTGGTACGTGTACCTGTGCTGTACCACACAGTTCAACAATACGCCTCGAACAAAAAAAAAAAGCCCGTCCTCTTCTACTCGGCACTTGCATCTATTTTCCCGGACTCTATTGAAAACATGAACCAAAAAAAGAGACGAACAGGTACCCACGAGTCACGTCAATGTAAACGTGGTCCGCATCTTCGGCTCCGACACAGCCTCATTGGTTTGGACGACTGTCCCCCGCAGATAGAGTATGCCCTCGAAAATTACACAGGAACCTTGGCGGGTTCAGTTAATGGGCAAATACAAGAGTTTCTTTCAGCCAGTTAGTTCTGTTGTAATTGGCGCGCGCATAGACGTAGCGGGCTCACCTCTAAACGAGCCGCCGGTGAAGTGAGATGGGAGACACACACATCGCTACGGAACTCGCTTGTCCCGTCTCAACGATTCGAAGAATGACTCGGGCAGGCAGGTTACCCATCCATCGTGACCGCATAATATTCCGTCCGGTGGCACGCCCCAGCCTCGTCTGTCCTGACACGCCGTGGTCGGTGCGTCCATGCATGCAGACATACAGACCAGATAGTTGATTGGTCGTACTGCAGTGAACCTTCGTAGTACACTTTACGTGATTCACGCGTGACAAAAGAGAGATTGAGTAAATGATGAATGCACTGCTGTAATACTTGCACGATTCACGCACAACACAAGATAAATTTCAGTAAATGATGAATGTATTGCTGTAATACTTCTATAAACATGTCAACATTCAACCATTCCATTTCCAATCCCATCATCCGTCGTCTAAACTAAAACAAAGTGGTGTTTCTTGCTACTATTAATAAACAGGTAACAATAGAAGGAAGAAAAAGTAAAAAGAGAATAAAAAGCCGTCAGATATACCGCAGTGTTAAAATGCGTGAGCTTGCGTGTGCGTCTTTGTATGAGATACGCCCGCGCCTGCCAAAAAGTGTATACTTTCAACAAGGAATTAAAATAAACATTAGACATGGAAACAAGAATCAAACGCCAATGGTGTATGCTGCCGCCCGGATTATGTGTTTTTTTGTGTTTCTTTGGCATGCTGCCAAACTGCCCGCTCTGCTTTATCGCAGAGGCTTCTTGGCATCCTCGACACCAGTCGAGACAATCTCAGCGACGCTCCATCGAGGAGGCTCAATGGGAATGTTGTTGGCAGCGCGCCATTCGGCCTCCTTCTTGGGGTCCACGTTGGAGGGCAATGGTTTCAGACCACCAGCAACACCCGTCGAGAACTTGAGCTGCAAAAGGTCCGAAACTTCGTCGCAAGCTTGGATTAGGCGGTCCATGTCGTCCTTGTTGTGCGCAGCCGACACGCAGAAGCGAGCACGGGAGCTAATAAGAGGCGTGGCGGGGTAACCGACAACCACGACGGAAATCTTACGCTTCAACATTTCGTGGCTGAAAGCAGGCATCTTGCCGGGGTTGTAGAGCATAATGGGGATAATGGGCGAGTCGTCATGACCATAAACGATGCAGCCAAGACGCTTAAGTCCCAGGCGGAGGTAACGAGAGTTAAAGGCAATACGGCGGAGACGCTCCTCACCCTGGCCAGGGCAGACCTCACCAGTGATGAGCTTGAGCGACGACAGAATCTGCATGAGAACGCAAGGCGCCGGAGACTCGCCAAGATGGGCAGAGGCGTTGGTGGCACGGAGCTTGTCAATAATGGGCTTGTCCGCCGCAATATAACCACCGTTGGCACCAAAGGACTTGGTCAGGGTACCCATCAAAATGTCGACGCGAGCGGGATCAATACCAAAGTAGTCGCAGACACCACGGCCCTTGGGACCAAGAGCACCAACAGAGTGAGCCTCATCAACAAACAGGTAAAACTTGTACTTGTCCTTGAGCGCAAGAATGCCGGGCAAATCGCACATGGTGCCCTCCATGGAGTAGAGACCCTCAACAACAACCATAATCTTCTTCCAGGGGCGGTGAGTGCGGGGCTGGCCTTGAGAAATGGCCTCACGGAGGACGCGTTCGAGATCGTACATGTCATTGTGCTTGAAGGACTGGATAACGGCGCCAGACAGACGGGCACCGATACGGATGGAGGCGTGGTTCAGTTCGTCGGAAATAATAAGCGAGCCCTTGGTAACGAGAGCAGGAAAGGTACTGGCGTTGGTGACGTAGCCCATGGAGAAGACCATGGCCTCGGGCTTGCCAACAAAGGCAGCAATTTCTCTCTCGACCTCGACAGCAAGATCGGAAGTGCCGGCATCGTTGCGAGGGCTGCAAAAGCTCACACCATAGCTCTTGACACACTCCTCGACGGCATCGGCACAGGGGCCTTCCGACTGGGCAAAGCCAAGGTAGTTGTAGGAACTCATGTTGAGCGTCTCGGTAAAGGTGCCAGTGTACTTGTAGCTGAGGTTGAAATCATCCGACTTGCGATCAATGAGGGTGATGTAGCGGCCAGGGACGCCCACGGTAGGACGAGCAAAGCAGTCATCCAGACGGGTCTTGAGACGGCGGGTATAAAAGTTGTCGAAATCGTCGGTCAGAGGGGCATAGCCGTTTTGCACCTTGAGCGTGCTGTAGTATTTCTTGTTACCGAAGCGCTTGCCGAAAAAGTCGCGAATGTGGCCGAGGAGGATCAGAAGCAGGTAGCTAATGTAGGTGGTCAAGAAGAAGTAATAAGGGGGCTCGTCCTCGATGGGAGCAGCGAGGGGCTCGCCGTGAGACTTGCTGGTGTAGAGATGGCTCGAGTGGACCAGAGGACCAAACTGGGCATCGGCGCGTCTTCTCACCTCCATCTCCTGGTCGGACTGGGGCTTGAAGAGCGTCGTGGTGGCGGTATCTCTAGCATTCTGGTCGCCGGCCTGGGCGGTGGAGAGGGAGATGGTGGGCAAGGGGGCTGAAGAGGGCGCGATGCCGTTGACAGCCTTGGCCTGAGCCGGCGACGGGGAGGACGGTGTTTGCTGTTGCTGCTGTTGTTGGGTAGCAGACGGCAGCTGCTGGGAGCCACTGCTGGGCGAGGGAGAAGACTGCTGCATGGCTAGGAGCGCCTGCTGGGCAGTGGTATGCTTCTCAGCCTTAGGGCTGCTGGAGAAGAGCTGCGAGAGTCGGTTGGTCTTGGAGGAGGTGGTGGATGAGGACGAACGTCGGAGGCTGCCAGTCTTCTTGTCAGAGGACGGCGACATGGACGGAAGCGTGGCAAAGGGATTGGCGATTCGGCGGGGCATGTCTCTGCTTTCCGACCTGTTCCTGCTTTGTCGAGCGCTGTTCTAGGTGGTAGTCGTCCTTTGTCGGAGGAGGGGAGGCTGGCGAGCGAAGCAAGAGCCAACGACGACGACGGAAGAGACGGCTTTCTCGGGCGGTATGAAATTCGCTGTAGTGATAACGGTAGTTGGTGATGATGATGGAGAAGCTGAGTAGTGGACTGGTCCAAATTGGGGGGAGGAGTAAAAAGGGCGGCGGTGGTGGTGGTGGTGGTGTTTTCGATTGACGCGAAAAGCCGCGCGGGCTGCAGGAGAACGCTCAGGGGAGAAGAAGGAGGCGGAGGAGGTGCCAGAAAAAAACGGCCACAGCAGCCAGCCACAATATAGATAGATGTCGAGTGGTATCAATTGCAGGTGAAAAATTAAAAAAAGAAGAAAAGAAAAGAAGAATAGAAGATTGTAGATCTCTCTCTGTCTGTTTAGTCTTTCTTTAGACAAATCCCTTCCATGCCAATTAGGAGGAAAGACAGTGGGAAAAAAGGAAGAAATGGAGGCGGACCAGGCGGCAAAGGGAGAAAAAGGGAGCACCGGGAGCGGTAGCAGCGAGGAAACCGATGACGGCAGCGGTCTTTTGAGGTGCGGCCACAGCGACGGGAAAGCCTAAAACGACCACTGTAGTCTTGCTGTAGAACCCGCCCCCCCCGCCCCCACTGTATTTTTTAGAGTGGTGCCGTTGCTGGTCACAACTCAGACGACAGCTGTTTGTTAGCAGGCATTTACAGTGGGTTGGAGGACGACCCCTGGCCACTGTAACCCTCGGGCTGAAGGCGACTTACCCCTGGCTCGGGGCAACGCCTACCAGAAAAAAAAGGAAAGAAAAAAAAGGAGCTTGCTAATAATCACTACGAGAGTATTACTGTCTGTGTGTTTGTTTCCAAGACAACTCTTGACAGACTCTGTACGCGGACAATCGGCCATTACGCGGGGAACAGACACACCAGTCTCAGGGCACTGGTATGTGCTGACGAACACGCTATAACTAACCGCTATACTGTAAGTGTACACTTTGCTACAGGCTGTAAGGCTAGGCGATTGAACACAGTTACATACCAGCCGTGTCCGTCACAGTATAGCTTACTGGTGTTACAGCACTATATGCAGTAAATCTTTTCTCTCGTTATCTCTCTTTTTTTTTTTCGTTTCCCTCGGCATCATCCAGTAAAATTCAACTCTTTTCTTGGCATACGCTTAGCGGACTGCCCGCCTCTGATTGGCCCATCGGAACCGGCAAATCGGGACGCGAGGAAAAACTTCTGAGCGAGCGCCGGAAACAGCGGAACCCTCGTCTCCTTTCATTTCCCGGACCCCGTATTGGCCCTTTTTATACTACGCCCGCGGTAAGAATTTAGTATTGCTTAAAATAGACAAAAGGTATTTTGTTTTGGACGTAACAACTGGTCTTGTCAAATGGCGGCGTAGTTTCCATCGGGATCGCGTGCCAACAATGGAGGGGAGGGAGGGCGTCGAAGCAGACATCCCTATTACCGGCCGATACCGTCATTGTTTCCTACGGGCCCTCCGAACAACAACGCGAGCAAGCACTCTAACAAGAACATATGTGCATGCTAACCTTTTGTTCAAAGGAGTGTGTTGTTCGTAGATGGAATAACTATGCAGTCATTAGGAAAATATTCTTCATATTTTTGTTCGGTACAAGGTGGTTCATGGACGAGTCATCTGGGCCAACCTCTGTCGGCGTTTGGTGTGTAAAATTACATGTAACATAGCCAAATAATGGTTGAGAAAAGAAATTTAAAAAAAATAAAAATAAAAATAAAAATAAAATAAAAGGAGAGAAGAGAAAAAAGGAAGAAGTAGTAGGCTAATATAAGTTATCTAAATAAATAGCTTTCACTTCGTTTTTGCATATTCTGGAATTATAACCTATTTTGCCGCATTTTCCACAGCATTTGACAACCTATTTCCTCTTACGGTTCGGATCTATACGATCAAAAGCGGGGCTTGGGCTACGACGCAACTTAATCGACCGTTTAGCCAATATCCAAGAGGATTCGTATTGAACAATTACAATTCCCATGATTCCAGGTGCACTGTGCCAAGGTGGTCAACACACAGTCCAGTCCAGTCCAGTCATGTGAGCTGCAAGCAACCATCCTTAAATTTTACTAAACCCCAACAAAGGCCTATGTACCGAACCCATGGCACGAGGATCTTACTTATATCGGCATAATTCGATTAAAAATAACTACGTTGCATGCACGGCTCAACAGATAAGATGGACCATTGTAATTCCGATTTGCATCGTCACTATTTTTAATGCCCGACGTTTTGCTTTTGCCAATCGTTTGTAAGACATCGGCTCGCCGCAGTAGCTCGGAAAGCTCCCGGGTCGCCGCATGCTTTAATGCCTGGCTCTACATCATGTCGGCGGCAAAGGTCCCGCCCTTTCCCCTAACTTACTCTTTTCCCTCTTTGTTCCTCTTCATCCTCTCTTTTCTCATCCTTATCCCCATCTCCAAATCTACAAACATTGACGACTCCATCAACGCCGTCCCACATCAGTCCCACCCCTACACACCTCATGATTGCGTTACGAAGCTTAGCCCACCATCGCCATGGCCCGTCAAGTCAGTGTCAATGATATCCAGGTGGCGATTTTCTTGGCTCTTCAAGTAGAGGTGAATGCTATGGATAGGATGCTGGACGAAAGAGTCACAATCAACCCAAACCAAGACATTCTCTCACCCTGGGCGAGGGCACATATATCGAACAAGTGTATACCTGGACGGATCGGCGATATCTATGTTGTGCTTGTCCCATTACCTAGGATGGGGACAGAGCCGGCTGCCTCCGCCGCAACGACCTGCCGCCATATTTTCCCTCGTGTCGAGCTCGCCTTGGTAGTAGGTGTCTGCGGCGCTGTTCCATCCTACCGAGGACGAGATGGTACAAATAGAGCAATTGGACTTGGCGATGTTGTCATCAGCGAAGGCTTTGAACAGTACAACCTGGGGAGTTCTACTCCCGAGGGATTCCAAAGAAAAGGCGGCCCATTATACGGGCTGCCACAGCCGAACCAAGAGCTTCGCTCGTTCATCGCCAAGCTGAGAACGCCACGGGAGGTCGCCGAGGTGCAAGAGCAGATAGCGGATGGGCGCACTATTTGCAGATATAAGAAAGGGCGCTTCGCTGGAGACAGCACGACAGCGACAGCGACAACAGCAAAGATTCCGTGGCACCAGTTCATCGGTCGGAGCTTTGCACATGTGCAGTCCGGATATCGATCCGCAGAGGCCGCCATTCATTTCGGACTCGTTGCGTCCGGCAACACCGTTATCAAGCACGCAGGGTATCGCGACAATTTGGCTAAAGAGATCGGAGCTATCGCTTTTGAGATGGAGGGTGCCGGAGTCTGCACGGTGTTCGAAGGCACCACCCTCATTATCAAGGCTGTCTGCGATTACGCTGACGCCCACAAGGCGAAAGAGTGGCAGCCACGCGCAGCACTCACTGCAGCGATTTGTGTCAAGTCCATATTAACAAGCCACTGGTCGCCTACGAGGTTGATCCCAAGACGTGGCTTGAAGGCATATTGTACAGCGAGCAATGCTTCAGAATATGCGGGTATTATTGGTTACTTGGAGGACACTACGGATCCCACTTTCAAAAAGGTGAGTTTTCCTGACTTGTACAATCCAAGCCATTGTTGAGCGTAACCACTATGCTTCCGTTAAACGCATTGGATAGCGGGTACAGCAGCCGCGCCTCGGCAATGTACAGATTCGAATCGGCTGTAGTAGAGGAGCTCTATCCAGTGAGCTGCTGAGAGGACTGGAGAATGGTCTGGGGAAATCTAAAAAGATTGTCGTACCTGCGTATTTCCATTGTAAGCCAATGCGATGGGCTTTTTGCAAAGTTGGAGCAATCAAGGGCCTGGATTGTATAGAGAGACATGGGAATGGGGTGATTTACTTACGGCTCAATACAAGCAGGGATGAGAATGCCAGGAGAGGTCAAGGGAACGTCTGTAAAACCATCCTTTTGAGGAAATCGAAGAACCAGCTGCTCGATTGTGACATGCAGTGGACACGCTCTTTTGCTCAAATCCGCTGTAGTGGCTATTGGGTAGTGCGTAAAGGGCCCTCCTAGACTAGCAGCATCATACCCGCCGAGGACCAAGGTTCCAGAGCGAGGATTTGCAACCGACTGGCTGCCAGCATTGAGGCCGAAGCCCTTTACTAGGATAATTCCGGCGTCCAGAGCAGCGTTAAGAAAGTCTAACGTATTGGCTAGCCCGAAATGGCCGATATTTTGATGATTTCCACTAGTAATAATACCCAGGGGGTATTGTAGGAGCTGCTCATCTTTGCCAGCGGCGCCTGGGGGCAACTTTAGCTATGTAGATCCTGCAAAGATGGGATCTGGCGAGATCTCCGACCACACAGGCTTGCGAGCCAGCAGGTCGCTTGGGGACAACGGCGTGTAGGATTTCCCAGCAGCGCTGATATTGAAGGTGTTTCCAGACAGCGAAAGGCACTGGGCGGTGGATAGATTGCCTCGAGTCTTGCAAAAGTCGGAGCCAATCACAAAAGTACTGTTGACGACGGTTGACGGGGCCAGACAAAGATACTGCGAGGGGTCTGCGACAGTGTACCTGATGCCCCAGGGATGAGTCAAGAAAGTGCAGTTGGTGAGGTGCAGGAGGAGTGGCGGCGGGCAAGCTGACAGCGCTATCGGTGCATAGAGGAGGATTATAAGTGCGATTGCGGAGAACATAGTGCATCTAATTTATCGCATCAATGCGGGCGGATTTGCGCCACTACAGAGGATTTGCGGCGATGAGATCTCGTAGGATTTGCCTGAAAGCAGCCTGAGGTATTTTGCCATTGTTGGATGCCGCAGAGTAGCGGCCACCATCTCAGTTTTTAAGGGTTTGCTTTTTTGTTGACGCTGCTGCATTGTCAGTTGACCATGGTTTGCCCGATGGGGGCGAGGTCGACCATAACGCTGGAAGCATTTGAAAGAGTTGGCGCGAGTCCATTGGTTCAGCACGCTCGTGGTGTGTGGTCCGTGTCGTTCAGGGGTGGTGTTTTTAGGGGACTGTGGCTTCGGTGAGACTTACCACTAAGGCAGGAATATGTTGGGGCGCATAGCTCAACTGAGACAGCGGGCGATGAGTTGAGAAGCAGCACATCTAGGCAGCAGCAAGGCAGACTTGTTCGGATAACTTGAAGAACTGAGCATTTATTCAGTCAATTGAAAAAGGACACAACGTAGCCGACTCGCTCGTGAACCACGTTATATGCAATATGTACCGCATCGCCTATACAACTATGTACATTGTTGACCCGTATATCTCATATACCACTATCCCAAACTCTACTGGACGTAGGTGCAAGAGACATCATCTCCGTTAATGCTGCAGTCCGTCTTCGGGTTGCCTTCTCTGTCCTTGATCTCGATGAGGTCGCCGCCCGCAGGGGTGAACTTGTTGCCGCTAGCGTCCGAGGCAGAATTGTCGGTAAACGTGACGGTGCCAAAGTCAGCCAAGTTGCCCAAGAAGTCCTCCATGATCCACTCGGCATCTGTCTCGCACAGAGCAGAGGGAGTCTTATCCTTGGTGAAGGTGTGGGAGACGGTAACGCCCGTGTCCAAGTTGGTGAGCTTAGCGATGCCTTCCTTGGGGGACGAAGCATCAACCTCCATGGCGATTCGCTGGCCAGTCTTGAGGGGGAAGGGCTGGTCAAAGTACATGGTGTTGTCGGGAATCCATTCCCACCAGGCATCAAAGGTGCCGTCGACGTAGAAGTCAATGCCGGTCTGCAGGATAGCGCGCTGGCAGCTGTCGCCGTCGATGCCTACCCATGAAGAGCCGCCGGACTGGCTGGGGCCGCCAGTGACATTGGGAACAGCAGATGTTCCGGCCACGCGAGTGATGTTCTTGCTGTGCTTAATGGCACCGGCCCAGTTGTCAGAGTAGCGGATGGCTGCGCCGTTGCTTTGGTCGCCGACAGCGGGCCTTCTGGTAGAGTGTCTGGTTCGCGAGCCGAGGGCAATGCGCTCGGCCGGGGTGCGCTGGTGTAGCTCGAGGCCAGAGGTTTGGACAATGGTGCTACGGGGGGCAGCGGCAGCAAGGCCGAGCAGGGTAGTGAGAGCAGCAGCGTACTTCATGGTGAACAAGATGGATGGGCGGATGCGTGCTTGCTTGTTTGCTATGCGCCGGGGTCCGGACTAGTCGGCCCCTTTATACATAATCTGCAGTGGTATATCCATCTAGACACTCAGGGCCGGATTCTTGCGGATGGCGTAATCAACACAGCATGCTCGTCGTGAAATTCGCCTAGAATCGAAGGTAGTATCGCGGCTGAAGTGGTTGGATGAACATACAAATTCGTAGCAGGCAGGAGGGGCAGATGTTCGGTGGTAACTAGGAACAGGCGGATTTGCCGTTTAATCCGGGGGTAACAACACCGACCTTCCCCATTGGCACCAGTTTAGAGGATTCACATGCAGCGACCTATCGGGCCTATCAGGTTTTGTGAGATAAGTAGCCTGTTTTGCATGGTCGATACGACTCTAGACAAGCAAAAGTCTGCTATCACTCTCTTAGATCACCTCGGAGGATAGTGTCTCGTCCATCTAGGAAACGGTGCCTGATTATCACGCTACAGTACTCTTCCGATCTACAAACAGCAACAAATCTTCTTGGCGATGTGCCGCTGTCGAAACTGCCGTAAAAATGCTTCCCCGCAGATGCAACGACGATCGTCATCATCCGGCCGTAGGCACCCAAAAGGGCAGGTGGTTACATGAGGTCACATTGACATAAAGATGCACACCATCACGGTAGAAACTCCTTTCTTCTTTTTTCTATTCTTCGGGTTTTGTGTGGATTTATCGAACGGTATATATCGGCCCTCCAAATTACATGGACAAATGTTGGTGCTGTAGGCTTTAGAGTTGTTGTCACTGTAAGCTCAAGCAGTATGTAAGCGCTACCAAGCACACAATGTATATATTGAGAAAAAAAAGGATATTATCCACCACCAAATACAATGATTTGTCAGAATTTGTTTTAATGCTAATCTAGTAATGCATGAATGAAAATAAGTTTAACCTGGGGCCTCATACACAGAGCGAGCATTGTAGTGGTTGGTGTAAGTTCTGCCGGTGGCGCTGGTGCCTTATACTCATAAGGCGGCGCGGGTGCCGACATACGCGGCGAAGGAGGACGATAGTACCCATTGTCCTTTTGCTCTTTTGCTTTTTGTCGGCCTCGGCCAAGCATAAACGCCGCGAGTCCTATAACACCAGCTACCAACGGGATTCCCAGTCCAAGTCCAACGCCTAAAGCGATATACTTGGTAGAGTCATTGGTGTTGGTGTTTGGAGCTGGGATATCTGATGTGGGTATAGCGACATGTGTCGATGAGGATGAAGGTACAGATTTTGAGGCTGTAGCAATGCTGGATGAAGAGCCTGAAGGCGTAGCTGTACTCGATGCAGAGCCCGTAGATGATGTAGAGGGTGGTGAGGATGCGTGGCTTGCTGGTGAGCTAGGCAGCGGAGTCAATGCATCAGATGCAATCGTCTTGATGGGCTTCAAGTCACCGGAGAGCGAGAAGACACCATTTCGATTTTGACAATTGCAGCTCTCGATGGGGTCGCTTTCACAACAGTAGCCACCATTGCCACAGTTCAAAACACCAGCGTCAGAAAGTGAATTCCACAGCCCAGCCGTTTTGTTATCTTTTTTTATCTGTTAGTAATACATACATAAAACCTAGCGAATAAAAAACATACCATAAGTGCAGTACTGTGGGCAACCAGATGACTTCCGGGATTTGTCGGTACAAGAGCCACGGATGAAGCCTCCTACAGCACTCGCCAGGGCATTGAAACAAAGGCCATTGCCGAGACAGGTCGATCCATCCTGGCAACACACTGATACCGAGTCGCTAGTGCAAGCCGTGTCGTTTACCGCCTGCTCCCCGTTGGGAAAGTAGCACAGGCGTGAGTTGATGGTCTGTGTAGCATGGGCCAAACACGCAGCAGCCAGGAGAAAGACTGGTAGAACAACCATAATGATGTTGCAAGGCCCAAGCCAATCTAGACTCAGCTAGAATATGATAGGCAGGGCAATGTTACATTCTACACATCCATACAGCCCTGTGGGATGAGGGAACAATAGGGTTATATAGCGAGGCATCGTCAGGCACCAACCCTTCGACACGTATTTTTCATTGTTTGCCAATAAATACTAATAGCCTCGTGTAAGCGCCGAGGCTAATTTAGCTTGTCCAGTTTGATTAAATTATGTCTCTTGTGCTTAAGCGCCGAGGGTGAGTTTTTCCACTTTCAAAAAACAAGAGTTAAGCGCCGAGGGTTGCACCCCGCCAGCCAAGCATCATCCACCACGTTCAGCGAGCCCCCCGCTCTGCAATCGCCCAGCCATAGCCGCCAGCCCGCCAGCCCGTGATCGAGACCTTGCGGCCGCTAAACCCAACCGGTGCTTTGACCACCACGACCACCACAAATCGTCGTTGGAGCAGGCGTCGTTGGAGCAGGCGCGTATGGTGTCTTCGAGCATCTGTATAACTACAGCGCGCTAGAACCTTCTCTACCAGTCCGAATCGCCAACCTCAAGCCAGATACATCGACCACCCTCCATTAGACCTCCCATCAATCACAGACAGCGCGCGCGCCACAGACACTCTGTCGGCCCAGCACAATCATGAACACCTACCCGCCCCGACGTCTGCGATACATTGTGCTGGCACTTGTGAGCGTCGTGGTCATCTTCTCTCTCCTCCCGACATATAACAAACAGACAGCTGGGCAAAGTCCGAACGTGCAGAGCCCGTCAACGGGGCGCATACAACACCTCTTTAACAAGGAAAGCGACGCCGACAAGCGCATCCGAACCGACCGCCAAAAACAAGTGCGCGAGGCATTCCAACACGCCTGGAAGGGTTACAGAGACAATGCATGGATGCACGATGAGCTCATGCCGCTCTCGGGCGGCCATAAAGACCCCTTTGTGGGTTGGGCAGCCACACTGGTAGACGGCCTCGATGCGCTTTACATAATGGGACTCACCGACGAGTTCGAGAATGCCGTCAAGGCTGTGGAGTCAATTAACTTTTCGCGACCAAATTCCGAACGTGTCCCTGTCTTCGAAGTCACCATTCGCTATCTAGGCGGACTCCTCGGCGCGTATGATATTAGCGGCGGAAAGCACCCGCTGCTTCTCAAAAAGGCTGATGAGCTTGGCGAACTCCTATACAAATCCTTTAATACGCCAACGGGCATCCCTGTTCCCTACTACTGGTGGGACAAGCCCAATGATAACCTTCAAGGCGAGAACGGTGTGCTCGTTGCGCAGATTGGGTCTCTGTCGTTGGAGTTTACGCGGCTGGCCCAGCTGACGGGCAAGAAGAAGTACTTTGACGCCATCTCCAAGATTACTGGCTACTTGGGAGAAGGGCAAAGCAAAACACAAATTCCAGGACTGTGGCCTTCGCAGGTAGACACGACGGGTCCGTCTTTTGATGGTTCAGCATTTACTCTCGGCGCGTGGGCGGATTCGCTATATGAATACTTGCCAAAGGTACTTTTACTGTTTGTCTGTTTGGTTTTAGCTTTGTATACTAACGTTTCGCAATAGCAACATCTTCTGCTCGACGGCAAGACGGACACCTACTTGAAAATGTACCATAGTGCCTACGAGAGCATGGTCAAGTACCACTTCTTCCGACCAAAGGCCCCAGGAAACCCAGACATCCTCTTCCCCGGCTCGCTAATTGCACGAGGCAGAGGCAATACCCCCTCGCTCAATGACGAAGTACAGCACCTGGGCTGTTTTGTCGGTGGCATGGTCGGCTTAGGCTCGCGCATCAACAACTCGGCCAAGGAGCTGGAAGTCGCCATCCAACTCACTGATGGCTGTGTGTGGGCGTACCAAAATACAGCTAGCGGCATCATGCCTGAGATTTTCCACATCGCAGCCTGTCCTGCCAGTGGCAAATGCGAGTGGACAGATACAGGGCACACCGCGCCAGGACACCAGTACGGCTTCACAGAGCTTTCTGACACAAGCTACCAGCTGCGTCCAGAGGCCATTGAATCTGTTTTCATCATGTACCGTCTGACGGGAGATCGAGAGTGGCAGAATAAGGGCTGGAAGATGTTCCAGTCGATTATAAAGCATACGACGACGAAGCTGGCCAACGCGCGCATTAGCGATGTTACAAGCTCGTCACCAAAGCAAGACGATTCCATGGAGAGCTTCTGGCTCGCTGAGACACTGAAGTATTTCTACTTGCTTTTTAGCGAACCCGATGTTGTTAGTCTGGATGACTATGTGTTGTAAGTGTCTGCGTTGTATGTGATGTGTTGAGACGGTAACTAATTTATGATTTTTAGGAATACGGAGGCCCACCCTCTGCGACAACGAGATCACTTACTAGGCTAAGATATAATAATGCTTGATATGTATATATATAGATAAAAAGGTCAGTCCAGGGTCTGTGCTGTGTAGAGCAAGCTCGAGGTTGTTAGACGTTGGTGGGCCATTTTGGTCATTGCCAGAACAGGCGCGGCACGCTAACAATGTAGATTATTGTCTCTTTTGGATAAATTCATTACCAACCAAACTTTCAAACAACAAACCATTTTTAATAGCCACTGGAAACAATGGAATGCTGTTTACAGGTGCAAACTGGTAAGCTCACCACACTCGTAGGGTAGCACAGCCATACCAGAATCCCCCAGTTGGCTGGCACCTGGCAAGCCCGCCAGCAGCACAGAGACTACCTTGCGTACCTGCATAACCACTTTAATCCAATAGCCAATCACGTCTCTCTAGTAATTACGCTCCTACAAATAAAAAGAAAGTAGCAACAATCTCTTCTAAGAAATTCAAAACGCAACTGTTATACCACCGACTCAGTCCAACGTCATCCTACAAATGCACTCTCACTAAAGCCGATCCCCGTTCCGCCCCGAAACACGCCCAAAGCCGAGGGCTACTTCGGCTCACCGCGGGCCAGGCACGCCAAAAACCTTTACGGCATCCCCAACAAACTCGCAGCGCTGCCAGTGCGTGCCAATTACTCGGGACAAAAAGGAAATTCTACGAAAATCATCCTCATCCGAATCCATTAGCCTTCATCGTCTTCACTCTCATCCACCTTTGGCTTCTCTCCCTCACCACCGCCCCTCCGTCCAACGCCGTGTCCTCCGGTATCTTCCCCAGACTTCAGCCCGCGTGCTGCCCCGCCAAACCCCTCCATCCCTCCAAAAAGAAGCACGCCACCCTTCCTATCCTGCCACCGCTTCTTTTCTTTTCTTCCTCACCCAACCTAGGCAACGAATACTCACAATACAATGGCCCAACCTGAAGCGCAACAGAACGGCGCTACCTCTCCCGCCGAGGAGCTCTGGAGACATGCTGACCCGGCGTCCACGCCCATGTGGCGCTTCATCCAGCAGGTCAACAAGAACCAGGGCCTCAAGCTAGCCAGCTACCAGGACCTGTATAAGTGGTCTGTTGAGGACATTGCCCAGTTCTGGCACGAGACATGGCAATTCGTCGGTATCAAGGCCTCCAAGTCCTACGATGAGGTAAGAACTGAAGAACTCTCTTCTAGATCCTCACTCTGACAATCTTTTGCAACAGGTCCTCCCCGCCAACGCGCCCATGTTCCCTCGACCCGACTTCTTCGGTGCCGCTCGCCTCAACTTTGCTGAGAACTTGCTCTTCCCTCCCACCGAGACCCCCATTGATGCCGCCTCGACTGCCGTCATCACCACGACCGAACTGCCCGGCGACCTGCGCAACACGACATGGGCTGACCTGCGCGAGTCTGTCCGCCGCTGTGCCAATGCTCTGCGTGCCAGTGGCCTGAAGCCCAACGACATTGTTGCCGGCTACGTCTCCAACCACGTCGAGGCTCTAATTGCTATGCTTGCTGCCGCATCCATTGGCGCCATCTGGACCGGCATCAGCCCGGACAATGGTGTCTCGGCCGTCCTCGACCGTCTCAGCCAGATTGCGCCCAAGGTGCTCTTTGCAGACAACGGAACCGTGTACAACGGCAAGGAGTGGTCCAGCACCGCCAAGACCCAGGAAATCGTCGCCGCGCTGTCCAAGACTGGCCTGCAGACTGTCGTCGTGATCAATAACGTCAAGGGCGAGCTCGGCCTCGACGACCTCAAGACGCTCGGTGTCACTGCCGTCGAGTACGCCTCGCTGCTCGAGTCCTCTTCCGCCGATGCCCTTCAATTCGAGCAGTTGTCTCCCTCCCACCCTCTCTACATCCTCTACTCGAGCGGCACCACTGGCCTGCCCAAGGCCATTGTACACACTGCGCTTGGCACGCTGCTCCAGCACAAGAAGGAGCACATTATCCACGGCTCGCTCACCCCATCCTCCCGCATGCTCTACTACACCACGACCTCGTGGATGATGTGGCACTGGAGCATTGGCGCCCTCGCCGCCGGCAGCACCATCATTCTCTACTCGGGCTCACCCTTCCGCCCCAACTCGTACATGTCGCTGCCCAAGGTTCTCTCCGACCTCAAGGTCACCCACTTTGGCACATCTGCCGCCTATCTGACTGCGCTCGAAGCCAACAACGTCCGCCCCGTCGAAGACCCATCGCTCGACCTCTCCAGCCTCGAAGCCATCTACTCGACTGCCTCGCCACTGCCCCCTTCGACCTTCAAGTTTGTGTACGAGGCGTTCCCCAAGACGGTCAACCTGGCCTCCATCACCGGCGGCACCGACATCATCTCGCTCTTTGGCGCTCCTTGCCCGCTGCTCCCCGTGCGTGTTGGCGAGATCCAGTGCGCAGGTCTCGGCATGGCCATCCGCTCCGTGGACTCTGTGACCGGTGAGGACCTTGCCCCCGGCGAAGCGGGCGACCTTGTGTGCGTGAAGCCCTTCCCGTGCCAGCCTCTGACCTTCTTTGGCGCCAACGGCGATGCCAAGTACCAGGCTGCGTACTTTGAGCGCTTCTCGGACATTTGTGGCACCACCGGACCTGTCTGGCACCACGGCGACTTTGTCAAGATCCCCGATGCCGGCACGGGCAGTCTTCTGATGCTCGGCCGCTCCGACGGCGTGCTCAAGCCTGCTGGTGTGCGATTCGGCTCGGCGGAAATCTATAACATTCTCACCCGCTTCTTTGCCAGCGAGGTCGAGGATGCCGTGTGCATTGGCCGCCGCCGCGAGTCCGACAAGGACGAGACTGTGTGCCTGTTTGTCGTTATGGCGCCAGGCAAGACGTTTAGCGATGACCTGCGAACCCGCATCAAGGGCAAGATTAAGGCCGAGCTGAGCCCCCGCCACGTTCCCGGCGTTGTTGAAGAGGGTCTCGGCGGAATTCCCAAGACTGGCAACGGCAAGAAGTAAGTTTCTCTCTCCCCTTCAGCTTATTCACTCATCTCCTAACACGAATTTCTCCTCTAGGATCGAAGTTGCCGTCAAGCAAATCCTCTCGGGCATGACCGTCAAGACCAATGCCAGCGTTGCCAACCCCGAAGCTCTCGACTGGTTCCGCGACTGGGCTTTCAAGAACTAATACGACAACCTTCCACGATCCATTATCCCCAACCCCCGTACATATATAAAGTCATGTTTACGCAAGTAATTACCATTTAAAAAGTTACGATATAGATTAGTTAATGATATTTGCTTTTTATTCCTTCACCCATTCTTATCAGACGGCTAATTTCGTGAACTTGCCTTTCTTCATCATCTCGCACAGCGCGGCTGGGTAAGCAGATCGGAAATCCGCCCCCCTCTACGGACCCATATGAATAGATTAAATCCAGAACGTTGAGGCTGCCTCTAATACTCCTGCCAATCTACGCCTCATAAGTAATCCCCTTTTTGAAGAGCGGATCGTATTTCGGCCCCTGCAGCCAGCCAGCCTCGACAACGAAATTACAACCTGTTCGTTCTCCCGCCACATCCCGACCTTCTTGCGCCGTTTCAAAACCAACAACGGGCATGATGGAGGCCTGCATGTTTCCGTCCGTCTATTTGGCGCGGGGAAGTTGGCCTGTGCTGCTTGCTGGGCTTTGATGACGGGGGATTGCAGGCGTATTCCGTATCACATCACTGTTCTGTTTGTCAGAAATGCCAAGACTGGTGATTTTCAATACAGCAGGCCCATGTACAGGAAGGCAAGCCAAAACCGAATATGTTATCATTTTACTTGGCATGCGTTGCTTGCTGCATGTAAGCGCGCACCGTACCGCACCCTTGGTTGGGTTCGGACACGCACGACTCGAAGCTAACTAACTGCAGACATGCCAGACCGACCATCGTCGTCCCGGGGTAAAAAAGAAGGAAGCCTTGCCTGCGGCTTTAATCTTGTTGTTGCATGCCAAGAAGGCGTTTGCCCGTTTTTGGGGCTTTCCTGGGGGGGCAAGCAAAGGCGAGCGTTAGGAATCTCGCGTCTCCGGCCTCGTCAATCCCACTAGCAGAGTTTCGTTTTGCTGTATGTTCTGCAGCCGTACATTTTGATTCGCAGCAGCAGTACGCTGTACGCCGCATGCACCTGGCATGTTCTAGACGAAGCATGGAAGACAACCCCTCAAGCTTCGTTTACGTGAAAGCGGGCCATTGTGCAGGATTCCATCAAGACCGAAGAGCAGCTAGTCTGCCAGCTAGCAGGGGGGGAGGGGGTTGAGCCACGGGTGGAGAGTAGATGGGGGAAGAAACAAAAAGTGAACGGTGCGAGAGTGGCACTTTGCTGGCCAGATGCTGGCTTGTGCCTGTGACAGCCACCACCACGGCTTCCTTTCTTTCTTTTTAGCCAGTGGCCTCTCTTCGTTGGCAGATTTGTAAAGCAAATGATTTGCTGCCTTGTTTTCTTGCCTGTTCATCATCTGCTGCAGTGCAGCCCTGCGGGCAAGACAAAAATGCCCGTGCTGGCCCCGTCCTTCCCCCCGTTCTGTACTGTTTGCTGGTGAAATTACATTGCCCCCCAACTGCTCTGTTAGTGCTGCCAGTGGGCGGCCCGCTTGCGAACAGGTACCCGTTGGAACTAGCGATGTATAGGCGGAGCACTGCAACTTTTCAGTGGGCTCGTCGGCGATCCGTCTGTACCGCGGGAGCCCAACGCGCGCAGCCGGCCACAAACAATTGCCCGTTGCCGTTGCAGTGCGAGATTTCTTTTCTTGTGCCGCTGCTTTTCTCTCTTCCAGTGTTCTTTTCGCTAGCTCGGGAGTGGGCTTGGTATGGTGTGCATCACCTGCATGTGAACCAGGCTAGAGGCGCCGATCTGGACGGGCTGTCCCCTACAATTCTCTTTTTTTTTATTTGCTTGTTGCCATTCGCTAGCCGGATGGATAAATTGACTACCACCATTTTGTCTCTTTTTCTTTTCGTTTTTGTTGGGCCGTTTATTTATAGCACACGTATGCCGTATTAAACACGGAAAAGGTAAGAGAAAACAGTCCATCACACGGCCGAGAGACAGAACCAAACGTCTGGTCTCACTCACCTGGGCGGCGGTGGCGGCATACCACCACCACCGAAAAAGTGTGGGCTTAGCAGCGAGGGCCACCACCCACTAAACTTGCTCCCCTGTGGTGTGCTAACCACTGTTAAGGCTATTTATGGGGGGGGATTGGCTTTCTAGATGCGGTTCCGTCAACGCCACCACCGTCCCATGCATGAAGCAACGCAAGAAAGAGAAGGGGACCCAGCCTGTCTACCTGCTTTTGTACTGTACAGTACAGTTATTGGATGGGTGGTGGTGCGTGCATGCAAGCCAGGGAAAGGGAAGAAGGGGGCGCAGAGCTATCCGCTAGGCTAACGCTTAGTGCGCAACGGGCGCTGTGGTGCTTAGTAGCTAGTTAGTGGTATTTCCTTTTTCGTAGGCCATTGAGCCGTCTGATTCGTCTTGTTCAGCTGCCGTCGTGCAGCAAAAGCATCTTGTCCTTCCTTGCTTTCTTTCTACATTCTGCCTCCTTACCAAAAACCTGTCCTCCTCTCTGTCCCAACTTGCTAGCTTCGGGGTCTAGTTTCTTCGGGTGGCGGCCATTGGGGCCAATTACTCTCCACCCGCCCACCTTTTACAGGTAAGAAAGGCCCTCCATGAACACTACCGTACATTTTTGGACCTCCAAGAACACCCCAAAAGGGACTGCCCCCCCGGGGAATCCACAATAATCTCCAGGTAGCTTTCCGCCCAGTCGGTGCCGCAACGGGTACTTTGCTTGCTGCTGTGCTACAGCACCACCAACAGCACCAGCAAGAAAAGCGCACGGCAGCCAATAGCAGGCCGCAGCGCCGCTTGTCTTGGAGGCCATCCCCCTGAATCACCTTGTCCTGTCAGGGACAGCCGAACCGTTTGACGACGCGATTGCTGCTGCTGCACTTTAGGAAATTCCTCAGAGACACGCATGCCGTTGGGAAAATATAGCAAAATTGGGATGGGCTAGCAAGGCCGCCACGGTTTCACACAAAAATATCCTCACCCGCCGCTGGATTTTCCACGGATTTATTTTTGGTTCACGAATCCAAGACAGCTTGTCTGGCATCCCCGCGGCAGGCTACCGGCAGCTCCCTATCCGTGTCTTACGGGGGAGGGTGGGGGAGCAGCACCAAGAGGCTGCTCAGAGAAGCGAGCAGCAGCAATTGCCGCAGCTAAGCTGTTAAAAAGATGGAGAGAGGACGATGCCGTTACTTAAAATTGGCTTGCTTAATTGTTCAAAAAATCATATCCATTGCATCAGCTATTTTTTTTTCTGTCGACCGTTGCCCGCTTGTTAGAATATCGCTGGGTACCCGCCGCTGCCCACGGACTTGCACTAATCCACCGCCCGCTGGTGCGTGCTGCTGTACTCTTACTGCGGCTGCTTGCTGTTGGGCGAGGCGGGCGAATCATTCCACAGCTACGGGTGCCCACCCACAGCTGACCCAGCCTGGGCTGCCGCTATTACCTGCTGCTGCTTTGCTAGTGCTACTGGCTTGCCTCTGCTGCACCGCACGCGCAGCCAACTCCTTTCTCACCCTGCCTGCCCTCTCCACTCTGCAACTTGTTGCCAGCCTCCATCCTGTCCGAACCATCACCAAACCACCGCCTTTGACGACCTCCTCCGCAAAACCACTCCTTCGCCCTCCCTGCGATCGAGCCGTCTTCTTTTTGCTCCTCGTCTTCTGCGCCTCTCTCTGCTCGCTCTTCTAATTTTTCCCCTTCTTGTTCCGCCAGCCGTCCGCCGTTCTCCTCACCGCCGCCCGCTCCTTTCGTCTCCTTCTCCTCACCCACAATGGCCTCGTCCAGCCACCACGCAATGCCTGCGTCGAATCAGACAGACGTCTCCCCCGAGGCAATGCAGTCGCGCATCCAGCAGGCGCGCCGCGAAGCCGAGACCCTCAAGGATAGAATTAAGAGAAAGAAGGATGAGCTCGCCGACACTACTCGTACGTCTTTGAATCGCTCGCCCGCTCGCTACTATTGACGCTGCTACCTCTCCGTCCCCCCTCTCGTGTTTTGATGGCCTCGCGAGCTTCATTCTGTGCTGCTCTTGATGAAAATTATATCGCTAACATGTGCCATCTTTTTTCCCAATGTATAGTCCGTGCTGTCGCCCAACAAGCACACGAGCCAATCCCCCGAAACCAGCTTATGAAGGCCAAGCGAACCCTTAAGGGCCACTTAGCCAAGATTTACGCCATGCACTGGTCCACCGATAGAAGACATCTCGTTTCCGCCTCCCAGGATGGCAAGCTCATCATCTGGGATGCCTACACCACCAACAAAGTCCACGCCATTCCCCTCCGCTCCTCGTGGGTCATGACCTGCGCTTACGCCCCCAGCGGAAACTACGTCGCCTGCGGTGGTCTCGATAACATTTGCTCCATTTATAACCTCAACCAGCAGCACAACGGGCCTACTCGTGTCGCCCGTGAACTGTCTGGCCACGCTGGATACCTCTCGTGCTGCCGTTTCATCAACGACCGCAGCATCCTTACCTCGTCTGGTGACATGACCTGTATCAAGTGGGACATTGAGACTGGCCAGCGCGTTACCGAGTTTGCCGACCACCTTGGCGACGTCATGAGCATCAGCTTGAACCCTACCAACCAAAACACCTTCATCTCTGGTGCCTGCGACGCTTTCGCCAAGCTCTGGGATATTCGCGCAGGCAAGGCTGTCCAGACCTTTGCTGGCCACGAGTCCGATATCAACGCCATCCAGTTCTTCCCTGACGGCCACTCCTTTGTGACTGGTTCAGACGATGCCTCGTGCCGACTCTTCGATATCCGCGCCGATCGCGAGCTCAACCTCTACGGCTCCGAGACCATCCTCTGCGGTATCACCTCCGTTGCCACCTCCGTGTCTGGCCGCTTGCTGTTTGCCGGTTACGACGACTTTGAATGCAGAGTTTGGGACGTTACCCGTGGCGAAAAGGTTGGCTCTCTCGTCGGCCACGACAACCGTGTCAGCTGTCTCGGCGTCAGCAACGACGGCATCAGCCTGTGCACAGGTTCCTGGGACTCGTTCCTCAAGGTCTGGGCCTACTAATCGAATAGCTACCGCTACTGATACTGTTGCGTGCATGTTGATATTCCATCTACGACGGACGCCAACTCGACTTCGAACCCACCCTATCGAACTTATCCCACCATACCAACGACCATTTACATCGCCATCGATGCTAAATACAGCCGCCAGCGATGACAACGTCTCTTCTCTTTATTTTATCCTTTACCTTTTTGCTCTTTTTTTTTGCCGAGCGCATCCCCGGCGTATATTGGATGACGAGACAAGGCAGGGTGATGGTGAATGGAATTGCCGCCAAAACTTCGGGCTTTTTCTTTTGGCCAGGGCGTTTCTCTCTGGTTCATGACGATGTGCCTTGTCTCATTTGCTGATTTCATCTGTTTTCGTTGTTTCCTTTCCGCCATCGACCTTTTCTTTTTCTTTTTCCTGTGTTTTTGTTTGTTGTTTGATGTTATGCATCTCGCTTTTTTCTTGTTGCTGTTGTTGTGGTTGAAGGGGAAATTCCTCGCTCCTCTTCACCTTACACATAACTTTTTTCGAATGACGGCCTTTTCTGCGCCTCTTACTTTGCCCAGGCTTCCGACGCGACGTGCTCGTCTCCCAACAAAACAGACGTTTACTATGAGGGGCATTGGGCTGCACCACGGGCGAGTTGTATTACTTGGACGATTTCTCTGTCTTTGAAAATAACAAAACATCTCTTTGTTCGAAGTAGGGGTGGAAGGAAGATAAAGAGGGGGACCATTGTGATAAAAATATGACGATTGGAGGTGGGGAAGATTAAAAGGTCCTCTGAAGGAGAAAGGGCTTTGTTCGGCATGCACCCGGCGATGGCGGTACTGATTTGTAGTTGCAATTGGGCTGGGGTTGAGTGTGTTGGGAACGAGGAAGCCGAGGAAGCTTGGGTAGAATGCGAGGGGAACGGACAGGGAGCAGTGGGCTTGCCTGTCGAGGGGAGTAGTTATACCAAAGACGATGTGAGGGCGTTTCTATTATTTATTTGAACCCTGTTTTACCAAGATAATGCAAGATATTATCAAGTCAAGCTGTCGACCATGCCGTGACGTGTGCTTGCCTGCCAATGATAGGAGTCTGATGCAAAGACACCGGAGTTCATATATTAGGCTATTAAACTTCTAGCAGAAGCAATTGGTGTAGGTTTTGATAGCCTTTAACGGATGGACTGGCGCATGAAGCATGGTATTCTGTAGACACATCGACTAGCAAAAGTACTTATAGGAAGACTTCATTTAAATATGTAGTGAGGTGTACCCTATGTACGTGTAGTTACAATGCTGTCATTCTTACGAAGCTATGTCACTGACAAACCTACCTCTCGCATTAATATCGTTGGAGACCTTCTCTGGACCACATACTCCCAGGTGCTTCGACAACATGAACTGTTCTCATCATTCTTAATACGACTAATCAATCCCCAGACAATCGAGTTTTGACTCTTGCAAGACCATCACTGCGACAGAAGTCATCTCCCAAAAGCCTTCGATATTATCCTTCCGTGGTATTAACAAACAGCGTCGGCCACTGCACCCGAAGTATCGTCATCCTCTTTGCGGTGTCTATTGAGCCACATTCCGCAGTGATCCAATATCTACAAAGTCACCAATAGTCGTCGACAGTCTAATGTTTTGTCCTGGCTTATGTCGCGGATCTCATTTAGCTAGTCATACTACGCAACTGCGTCGGTGGCTATCGCTAGGACGAACTCGTGTTTGTCTTTATCCGCCACTGGCAGCAGGCCTATGTGAGACAACATAGATGTCAACGACTTCATAACTTCTCACATCAAGGTCATTTCACACTCACGCAGCAAAAGTTAAATACCGGCGTAGTTGTCTACAAGGTTGGGTGTGTAGCCACAGTATTTAGAGGTGCGGTGGAAGGCCTCAGCCGCGTCAAGTGTCAAGTCATCAGGGTCGATGTCAACATCTAACGGCTTCTCTTCGCTCAAGTAGCGCCAGAGTACGTGTATATACGGAAGGATGTGGGAGCTAGTCTTGACTGTAGTTGGTGAGATGGCTCTCTGTCTGTATTCGCCCAGCAAGTTGGCGACACTCTTCAAGCCGGATGCATGGAAGATATATATGTATATGCGAACTTGGCGATATCAGGTGCATTCAGTGTAGGTGCGCCATTCGAATTGACTGTCACGGAGTGTTGGTGCGGGCAGTAACCGCACCCTAGATGAAATGGCGAGAAGGACAACCCCGGCAATGAAGAACGTGTTTTTCTAGAAAACACATTGTCTCTTTCTCAGTTACATGCTCCTTAGAGCACAAACGTGTCTGCATGACGGCATGTCGTCCGAGTTTCCTCACCCGCAGAGCAACCAACTACACTGCGCATGTTCGGCCAAGGCGAGAAGCCCCGTGTTTCATGATCCTGGATGTTTCAAAAAATCTTCGGCGAGATGGCGCTAGCACTACAAACCTGCACCCCCTCCCCTTGTTAGCGTTCTCCCATCTAGGTTAGCTTAACCTCCTTATTTTTATTACCCTTGCCCGCTTTAACCTCATTAGCTTTCGATCCCCCTCTTACGGCAGCAGCGCGCACGCGAGAACGCCGCGCTTCGTGCCCTATGAAAGCGCCATTCATTTGGTTATTAGTGGCGGCGGCGGCGGTGGGAAGCTGTGGAAACAAGACTGAAACGGAGCCTGCAAATCTCCCTGGGTTAGGACGCCGCACTGGGAGCAGATCACGGCAATACCAGCTTCCGTGGCCGATTGAGATCGTCGGCGCCTCTTTCTACCCGTCGCTTTTGCCAGGAGGCTCTTGGTCGGCGACTTCCTAGGCGGTCAACTCGCCTTGTCCAACGATTTTGACATACATCCGTGATTGTCGAGCGAAGCTTTTAATAACTGAGACATGAGGGGGCTCGCCAGCGCAAACGAACCATCACTACTAATCCCCATTGGTCCAATGTGGTTTATGCCGCTAGAATCACACGAGCAGCGAGAGACAAAATGCAATGCGTGTCACTGTACTAAAATATCATCCATGCCGAGTCAGCCACGGATGGGCCGTCCTGCAAGCCTTGGGACGGAGCTCAATTTGCCCCAACGTATGCAAGCTTGCTCGGCGTGGGCAAACAGTATGTACAGAGAACAGTATTTCAGGATCTCAGGGCCCTGACCAACGCCGCCGCTTATGGAGACTTTGCCGATCGACAACGGGGCTGTCTGCTCAGCTGTCAGTGCCGTCTGTTGGTCGAGGGCGCGGCCTATTCATGTCCTCGCATGCCGTCTTGTGTTGCTCCAAGGACCCCGCGGACTTGTGTTTTTGGAGTTTGGAATCTCGATGCTTCTAGATTGCGCTACTCTGTAGCTAATACTATCAAGCGACCGAGATCAATGCAAATAACGGCATCGCCATTATTGCCTGCATTATCATTAAACTTGTGCTGCGCTATCGATTTCGATTTGGCACCTGCTTTGCCTCATACAGAGCCAGAGTGCAGCTGGGCTGTTGTTTGCGCCCACCGCAGACGGCGCCATGCTTGATTGACAAGGGGTATTCACAGGGGGGCGTAGGCTAGCGTTGCGAGCCAAAGAGAGTTTTTGGCCGCCGCCGGCTGCTCCACTGCCGTAAAACGTGGAAGTCTGCAACGCCACAACGTGCCCAATGATGCATCTCCGTTGTTATTTTCAAGCCTAATGCGCTGGAAAGCAAGTCTTAGCCGGGGAGCAATCAAAAGCAGCTGATTCGACAACAATATGCAAGACATGAGAGATGTAACGCCAGAAGGAGGAAGGGAGGGCAACGTTGACACCATCGTTGTCTAGTCTTAGCTGCCAAGCTGGTGCGTGCATGTGTGTGTGTATGTCTATGTGTGTCTCTGGGGCGGGCCACATCGTATGTTTGCTTTAGCCGGGTACCATCTCCAAAAGCGGACGAATGATATGTCAGTTGATCCCGCCCTGCCCGCAATTGTGAGTGCTGGTGAAGAAGCCTATACTAAGGAACGACGTTGGTATTGGGGGTTTGAGCTTTGCCTTGCTCAAGCCTGAATTACTCTCGGGGAGCAGCCCGTTGAGTCCGTTCGGTAGTTCAACCTTTGCAGGACATGGTTCGGTAGTCGTGTTTGTGTCGATGATTGCTATAAATATGGAAAAGAGAGAACTAAAATGAAGGTTTACAAGGGGAGGCCCCCCTGCAGGCTGCGAAAGAAAGCCAAGATTTTCGCCTCGCAGCCCAATTTTCCGGCGGCTGTTCCAGCTGTGCCAAGTGCCAGCAGCACACATGCCACTGTCAGGCCACTGCCATGGCAGTGCCGCGCTGGCCATTGTTCCTGCAGCTGGCGCCATCTCGTGGCCCCCCACCACACACAGCCCGCAAACACCTCGCTGGGCTTCTCCCGCACCTTTTGCCCTCCTCAACGCAAATCCGCGTCCCATTCCCAGCTTTATTCTGCGCCGGCTGCTTGCTCACCCTCCCCCTTTCGGCTTTGACATCGGCGCCTCTGCCTCTTCTTGATCAAACCCCATCCCTGCCCGCACGCTTTAGATCCATCCAAATCTGCCCACACGCCCTTGACACGACCGCTGACGACTCGACTTTCTCCTTGTTGATACACACCCCTCGTTCGCCATATTACCCTCCCTACGCCCTCCCTTCGTCTCTACTCCCGATCTTCTCTTCTTTCCTTCTTCTTCTACAATGGCATCGTCGGCAGCACAGGAAGAGTTCAACAATTTGGTTGCAAACAACAGCGCCACTCCCACGACATCCCACCCAGAAGATCGCCAGGCCCACGACAACGGCGCAAACTCTGACATATCCGAAGAAGAGGCTTTCCGCAACCTCAAAATCGACGAAGCCATGCGCATGCCTACTGCCTCCGGCGAGCTTAAGCTCCCCCCCGCATCCTTCGACAGTGGCAGGACCACTGGCGTCAAGGGCGTCATTGCCGACGCACGCAGCTACGAGTCTGCCCGCAAGCTCAAGTGGATGGACCGCGCCAGAAATGCCAGAAACAGCATCCTTGGCTTCGCTGGTGCCAACGTGAGAACCAACAACAACACCATCACATCTAACAAGAGCGAGAGCGAAACGGACGAAGAAAAGAGCGATAACCCAGACGAGGAGACCTTCCTCCAGCAGTGGCGCGAGAGCAGACGGCGAGAGCTCGAGAGCGAAGCCAACAGAGCCATCCGCAACCGTAAGACTAGCCCCAGTGTCCGATGCTACGGCCGATTCGACGAGGTTGACGCTATGGGCTACCTTGACGCTATTGAGAAAGTTGGTCGCGACACCAAGGTCATCGTCTTTGTATACGACAGCGAAGTAAGTCTTCCCCTTTCTGAAGCCTGGCCTATGGCCTCAAAGGGAACAACAAAGAGCTAACCTGAGACTGTAGTGCGAGGTTTCTGCAACAATCGAGCGCGCACTGGTGCCGCTGGTCAAGGAGCACGTCAACATGCATTTCGTCAAGGTTCACTACGACGAGATCGAGTTTGACAACGCCGCTGTCCCTGCCTTACTGGCCTATCGCAACCAGGGTGACTTGTTTGCCAACCTGACAGGCATTATCGAGATGATGCCTGACGACGACAGCTTCGACTCAGACTCCCTAACTCGCATCTTCATTCAGCACGGCGTGCTATGATTGTCCTCCCCCTATTTCCTTACCTTGGACAGCCTGTACTCTGTCCGCTTACGATGCTCCCGGTTATGATCTCCTCTACATCCTCACCATTCTCTTCTCTCTGACTCGCGAAAACTCACCTCTTTTGCGAGCAACCACTCCGTTTTGGCAAGCAGGCATGGTCCTAACGATCACGTCTAGTACTGCCAACCACGACATAATCCGTCGCCTCTCTCATTTTCTTTGTACACTTTTCATCGACCGGCGCTGGCGAAATTGGAGAACCAAAACGTATTGCACCATGTAATGTCTCATCAGTCTTGTTGAACCAGGCACAACCAAGCCGCGCTTGTGTACCGCTGTCGTTGAAGCGATGGCTCCAGTCTATATCTGACAGCCGTCAGCGATCGCGACCAGATTTCACTTCTTGTCACTCCTGTATCTCTTTTCTTTCTCGGTTTGGAGCATGGATATTGTTCTTTTCTGCTTTTGTTTTCTTGGGACAAGGAAGTTGCCCTGATGATTGTTGTTTTCTTACCAAATTGCCGAGCATGCTGCGTGTTGACCACTTTTTTTTATATAAACCCTTTGTATAATGAGCTCGAATATATCAAACAAAACAGATCAAAATAAACCAAAGTGTCTTGTAATCGTGATAGAGTGATTTGATATGAAAGATGACGGTTGATGTCGGGGCGGACAATTCCGGCAGTGATGGCATTGTCGATATGGTGGCCCACTCCTCGTCGATACAGCGTCACCTCCATTAACTATGGCGTTGAGCCAAGGGTGGCAAACATGCTAGCGAAGCGCTATTTTGAGATATAGGAGGGGTAAAGACAGAGGAGACATCTCCTATTTATTCTATGGACCATGAAGGCGAATGAACCTACACAGTCAACCACATTGGCGAAATAAACATGCAAAGTCCATATCCATCACATAAAGAACCAGTAGATGTTAATGTCCCATACGACACCGCATGCAAAATTACGCCATGCCTATTCCACCTGCATTTAATCTGTATTACGCTACGTGCTTCGGTAACTCACTCTAGGCTGGCTTAACACTGTTCTCATGACCTCCCGCCGTGCACGGCTGCGGGGTGGTTTCACCCCTCCATCACCTGTACCCGTCTCCAAAAGCCACCACCACCTCATCCTCTCCTCCTTCTTATCATCGTTTCTTAACTTGGATTTTGAAGACACAAAATCCCAAGCCGCTACAAAGATACACTAGAGCTCCCCCTGAAATCAATATACGATTTGCGTGGCCCGCACTACACTACTTGGTCCTAACGTCAAAGTGCGGCGGCCTGTACCATCTTCTTCACACTGTGAAACGCCATCTGCTAACCCAGCAACTCGGACGAACCAGCGAAATAACTGGCCAGTCCTGGTTTATTCACTCTTGCTGCTGTTACCCACCGACGACTGAAATCTGCCAGCTGTCAGAAAAAATCACGCGTCTGAACTATTTGTTGCTTTGGCTCTGTTAAACGAACGGCTTCGTCAAATTAACACCAACGTGAATGTCACTTGGTTGCGAAGTCGCCGCTCGCCCCAGCACTCTTGCAACCCCTCCTCCTCTGACCAACTGTGAAATTATTCGCCTTCTTTATGCTGGTGAGTGATATTCTATCTTATTTTGCTTCCGTTATTTTCCCGGTTCCAACCACACTCTTCCACTGAGCCCAGAGTGACAGCGTGTTTGCCTCATAACGGTGCGGCTGGTGGTGACCCTCCTGGTGTCTGCCTGCCAACCTTGTCGGGCTCTAACATGCATGCACTGTTCTTTTACGTTTTACCTCCTTCCTTTTGGACTTTGGCTCTTTTCACATCGAAGAGAGCATCTGCATGACAAAATCATAATTGCAAACACATAAATCTTACTGGGACTGACTTTGATGATGGAACAGAACGCAACGACCACGAGTCCTTTGCACCGTGAAAAGCGACCTCGCCGTACCCCGACCTCTGCAACTTCGACACCGCCTCGAACACTATCATACACTTCGATTGCTGGTCTGGCATCGTCTGAGCCAACGCTTCGGTTTCCACGACCCACTGGGAACAAGCATCTTGCCCACTGGATCTCCAACAGTGATCCCGACATCATGCATCCCACAACAGATCGTTCGGTCGATGAGCTCTCCGGAATCATGGAGTCTGCTTATGATATCGTTGGAGCAGATTTGGAATCCACTGATGAAGGCAACTTCACAGAGTCGATGAGTGCATCCATCAGTTCACTGGACTATCACAAGATGGATGATGTTGTAAGCCTGACGGGCACTGAAGCCACGTACGAGGAAGACGAGGTAGATGATACCACTGCCTCTCAGTTTATTGAGCATATCCAAGCAAACATGATATACTCCACCGAAACGGCTATCAAGGATCGATCGGACTCGGATGAAGAAGACATTGACGAAGGTGGGGACGCTTCGCAAGCATCGCTGGACTATGCAGACAGCAGTTTGAAAACACCATCAATCAATACTCCAGAAGGGAGCAAGATATTCGTCAGGCAGACGATTCTACAGACATGGGTAGAAGGGACAAGAAAATTTGTCAATAGTGCATGGAGGGAGCAAGAGAGATTCCGTGGTGTTTTTGTTGACACTCTTTGCTCTGCTCTTCCAGGCGTCATCTGCGCCAGTCTCTGTGGTATACTCATCCATATCTTCTTCACACCTCTGGAATACCCAGCAAGTCCTCTCATTTTCACGTCACTATCTACATTGACGTCTACAACCACTATAAATCTGGCCCCGCCTGCCTCCACGACAACGACGACCGTGACGACTGCAGCCGCCATGACGCTTGCCACCGGCGTCGCTCTCATACCCCTCTCAAACCCAACAGAGTCTCTATTCACATCTCGCAGAACCACGGTTTCGTTTACCTCTCAGGGAAAGGACTCTGTGCTTGTACATGTAGGCGAGGATGCAAAGACCGCCTGGGCTCGTCGAAGCTGCCTCTCCATCACTGCTAGCCGGGAGGGACAACCAGCAGAGATCTCAACAACATCGGTTAATGAGGGAATACTCGTGCAGTTTCCCAGACGCGAGGTGCATGGTATGATCACCATGTCGGTCAAGGCTACATGCCGACCCAAAATCACCAAAGAAGTTAAAGTCTACTTTGGAAAGGGCATCATGGTCGAAGCTTTCGAGAAGGGCAAACAGCTAGCACAGGAAGTTAGTGTTGCGGCTCAAGAAGCTGAGCGCCGGTTCAATGATGTGAAGGAGTCCGTTGTCAACTCGTTTGATGGATCATGGTCGCGAGCCCTACGCTACCAAAGCCTCTTTGCTCGGGAGCATCTGCAAAAGTCAGAGCAAACCCTCCGCCAACAAATCTTTACTGCCTCGCAACAAGCTGCCTCGCTGACTCATGACGCTGTCAAGAACTTGAACACCCAATTCATGTTCACAGTTCAAGCGGTACAGGTTGATTTATTGGAGGCCCAAATCAAGTCTAAGCTGTGGTGGCTTAAGCTCACTGGAGAGTCAGAGAAATACAAGAGCTACGAGCAGAAAGCCCTGTCTTTCCTCACAGAGAAGCAGTCGCAGCTGCTTATGGCAAAGAAGACAGAAACAAAGCAGACCAGCACGTTGCTTTCTGGGTGGGAATGGCTCCAAAGTCAACAAGATAACTTTTGCAACGGGCAGTTTGGGAAGTGGAATCCTTGGCCCCGTCAATGCTAACGGTGTACGTAGACACTATTGCATACGGCCTTTTATGAAGGCTTTAGTTGCGGCTGTAGTTGCAGCCGCCTCTTATTCGTTGTTCGCTGCTGCTTTTATGGGAGTGTACTTAGGCAAGTCATTTGGAATATGCGATGTATTGCTGTCGTTGGTGGTAGAGTGTGATTTATTACGGGGTTATTGTTCTTCTTTGAGGGTTTATTACAGTATATACCGAATACATGCTAAACAACAAAGTTTATATGTCTTGCCGTTGTTACTGTAGCTGAGCATGCTGTCGTTGCTATAGCGTAGAACTGTGGTTCCTGACAGGTACCTTTTTGGTGACGCATGCGCATCACGGTACTTTTTAATGAGGTGCGGGGCACCCCTGAGGTTCGCTGGCGGAACCCAATCACGGGCACCAGCTTGGAGGGGCAAAAATGGCCCCTGTTTTTTTTGCAGGCTCCCGCCACAAAGTCGAAAACAAACCTGCCTAAGCTCGCGCCTAGAAACTACATCTTTGTTTTCAACAGCACGAGCGTTGCATATTCAAGTAAGCTTTTTTCTTCTCCCGGACGACGCATCATGAGTTCTGCCCCGTCGACCCCCTCGGTGATCTGCCTCGCCGCCACAAAATCGGATTTTGTGTGCGCTTTGGGCCAGTGAGGGGGCGGGGAGGGCAGAAAGCTGTCGAAGTTGCGGTGGGCAAAGCTAACCGCGCTATCTAGATTCACTTCCGTTGACATTTTACACGATTAACAGGACGAAACCGTCGAATTTCAATATCACAGCATATCCAACAGCCTTTATAATACAATATGTCTGCCGCTGACGCCACTGAGCCCAAGGTCGAGGAGACCAAGGCCCCCGTTGCCGCTGAGGAGAAGCCCACCTCTTCTGCCGTCTTCTCCATGTTTGGCGGTGGTGCTAAGAAGGAGAAGAAGGACGATGAGGACCGTGGTGACGTCTCTGGCAGCGCTAAGGCTCAGCGTGAGGCTGCCGATGCCGCCAAGGGTGATGATGAGGTTAGTGTACATGTGCCCCTCGATGCATATGACGACGTGCATCAGGGAGGGGTAAAACGACCGACCAGGGACAATGCACCGCTAACATGGCCAACAGGATGAGGCCCCCGAGTCTGAGGATGTCCACTTCGAGCCCGTCATTAAGCTGACCGAGAAGGTCGAGACCGTCACCAACGAGGAGGCTGAGGAGCAGCTCTTCAAGATGCGTGCCAAGCTCTTCCGCTTCATCTCTGAGAGCAGTGAGTGGAAGGAGCGCGGTACTGGTGATGTCCGTTTCCTTCGCCACAAGGAGAACAAGCGCACTCGTCTTGTCATGCGCCGTGACAAGACCCTCAAGGTCTGCGCCAACCACTACATTGTTCCTGAGATGAAGCTCTCTCCCAACGTCGGCTCTGACCGCTCTTGGGTCTGGAACGCCGCTGCCGATGTCAGCGAGGGTGAGCCCGAGGCTGTTACTCTCGCTATCCGCTTCGGCAGCATTGACAGTATGTTCCGCTTTTATATCAATAGTTTCATGTATAGCCGCTAACCTTTTGCCCATAGACGCCCAGCTCTTCAAGGAGGCTTTCCTCAGCGCCCAGAAGGAGAACGAGCAGCTCTTCGCTGCCGCCGCTACCAAGGAGGATGAGAAGGAGGAGAAGGAAGACGAGAAGAAGGAAGAGTAAACCAAGTCTCTTTGTTTTCCTTTTTACGAACATGAAGGAGCTGGCTCGCCTTGGCTGGATGAAACATTAGATCATTCCGCAGCTCGATAGTTCCCCTTAACGACTCACGCCACATCACCGACATGATATATTCGCACGCACCTCGGGCAGCTTTTTATTCAGCACATGGTTGGTTGGCTCAAAAAGCTGTCCGTCCACCACTGCATTCATGCCCTCCCATCATCATATTCCCCCTTTTCCCCAACGGTTCTTACGTCTGGCTGCTACTGCCACTGCTGCTGCTCTTCTCTTACGAGGCTGGGCTTGGCTTCTTGGGTTGACTTTGTTTTTAGTTTGTTTTACTATACTGGAGGGGGAAAAAATCTTTGCGATTATTCTTTTTTTAAAAGGAGAAAGAGGAAGGAAACAGGACCTCAAAATAAAGCATAAGCAAGGAACACAAGACCAGCAATGCAAATCAAGAGACAGGAGAGAGCAAGCATAGAAGCAACGCGTATTAGACACCAACGTCACAGCACACAGACTCCCTCCTACCCACTACCCACACACCAACTTCATAGTTTTATTTAATAAAAAACTTAGCACGTTAACAAAAAAAAAGTATAACTGGCCTATTAATAATTAACAGTGACATAGGGGGCACCATATTCCATTACTTTAAACGTAATCCATCATTGATACTGCTACCTCTTTGGTGCAGCCAATTGAATTAAGACGTTGAGAGAGAGAGAGGCATGGGCGGACGCGGCCTGATGTGAGACAGACACATGGCACGGCTGCTGCCATTGCCCTATTCTGCAATGTTAGCCATGATGAAACCCCATCTGCTTGATTCAGTACAGACGCGTCGTCTCTTCACCGTCGTCTTTAATCTGGTGGGGTGAAAACCCAGCCCCAGCCCAGCGGCTACTTGTGTGGTGGTGCTGCGGTATTACCGAAAAGCGGTGCGGTGCGGTGCGGTGCCATGTGCTGCTGCTACCAAAAACTACTGCTATGAGAGGGAGCGGGCGTCGCGGATGACGGGATACAGCGGGGAGCTGGTGCCCGCTGTGCTGAAGTAGGGCATGGGAGTTAAATACATGTGTAGTGCAAAAACAGCCAGTGAATTCTTTCATCTAAATATTTTTCAAAGAAAATAACGAATATTGCCACCCTGAATATCTATATCCATATACGTATCCTTCCTGTGCGGTGCTTGCGGCGGCTGTTGGCGCTGCACAAGGCAACAGCCACCAAAAATGGAAGCGCGGGAGTTTGCGTTGGCCCCCTCTCCTCTCTTCGCCTCTCTCCCTCCCTGTTTGTATGGTCGGGTCGCGCACGGAAAAAAAGCTTACACCACGGCCTTCCACCCCTTCTTCCCTCCCCTCCCTCTCGCTGTCCCAAAGTATTGCTTTCCAATAAATCAAGAAGACGAAATATACGGCTCTTCGTTCTTCTCTTCTTCTCTGTTTAGCTTCAATAATCGGGATTCCTCTTTTTTCGTCCCCTCTCGCTTCTAATCGTCTTTGCTGGGCGGTCTTGTCTGGGTCGGGTTCATTTTTTCCCTTTACCATTACACACAACTACTCTGTAGTTTGAATTGCTTTCATCATGTTGGTCGACGTAAGTATCATCTTTCATCTCGTCTTTAGATTCTTGCCTTGTATTTTTTATACTCGTCTGTCTCGCCGGATGCCGGTGGCCCGATGAATAAGAGCGCGACGGTTCTCATGCCTCTTGCTCGTTTACTCATCGCCGACATACCCGGCGCAAGGGTTTCATGCCTAAATCGTTCATCTTTGGATGATTCTATGATGGAATGGCCGTTTGCAATGGTTTTTTGATGCGTCACTGATGTTGGTGGCGAGCCTGTCGCGCTGGCTGTTGGGTGAAAGCTGTGCTTGCGAGCGCGATTACATGGCCTCACTCAGTCACTCATGCCTGGCAGCTGCCAGTCGCTGGGTTTGCCAGGTGGCCAGCACCAGCTCAGATTGATGTCAATTGCACGCAGCAGTTTCACGACGCATATTTGGTACTTCAATTGTGCCCTTCCCTTGCTTTTCTTTTCCACTGTCAATTTTGTCGTTGCCGCCGCTGCCCACGCGTTTCTTGAGTGAGTCCAAGCACAGTCCACTCGGATACAATGCCTGCTCGCACGAGACGGAAGACATCTGCTGGCGTTGCGCAAGTAGTACCAAATTTGAGAGAGCGAAGTGCGAAGCTGGAGGCGCGCAGTAGTCTCTCTGCATCCTTCTTTGTTGGCGATGATGAACCGACTTCAGAATTCGAAACTAACATTGCAATCAAGCGTACCATCAAGGTTATCACCGAGCAGCATGTCATGTAAGTATTTATCACGGTCCAATGCAGATTTGCGTCATCTCTTGACGAGTGTGCATCTCGATTTGGCCATTTGCTTTACCTTGCGACGAACCTGACGCTAACAAGGGCACAGCGACAAGCCGTCTCCGGTTGAGGAGTTCCCCATGAGAGAATGGAGCATCCGCGTCGCAATGGTCGACTCAGAGGGCAACGAGAGACCGGCTGATGTCTTTACCAAGGTTGTGTATAACTTGCACCCTACCTTTGAAAACCCTACTCAGTGTAAGTCACGCTTGCGAATCTGCAATGGGCTTCGACTGACAGATACCAGCCTTCAACGAACCCCCCTTCATCTGCAAAAACGAAGGTTGGGGAGAGTTTGAAATCTCCATTGATTGCTACACAACAGAAAAGACCAAGCTCGCCCCCATTATCCATGATCTCAACTTCTCGCAAGAGCGCTACGAGGTCACTCACCCCGTCGTCTTCAAGAACCCCTCGCAAGCTCTTCAGGAGCGTCTCTCAGAGTTGGGCCCCATGCCCAACGAGGATGATCGCCACAAGAAGCGCGCACAAGGACGCAAGAGCGGCGCTCAGAAGTTTGACTTTGAGAAGATTGCCGAAGCCCTCGAGAAGCTTGACGAGGAAGACTTGCTGCGCGTCATCCAGATGATCAACGAGAACAAGGGTCCCGACACGTACATTAGAAGTGATGTCGAAGGTAAGTCATTCTCCCTGCTCAACCCACGATGGGCTACTTATGCTAATAGACAATAATCTCCTTGCAGCCGGCGAGTTTTCGATAGATCTGTACACAATGCCTGATCTCCTCACAAACAAGCTGTGGGACCACCTTGTAAGTCGCATTGATCGGCGCCGCGCGCGCCTAACACTAGCGAATGAATCGGCGGTTGCTAACTCTGTCTCAGTCTAAGAAGGGCTTGGTAGCAAATTGAATGTAAAAAAAAATTGTTAAGGAGTTTGAGCCTATAGAAACCGCTGCTTGGAGGTAAAACCACGTCACAGCCAGGGCTCTGTGGCTCCAGGCAGACGAAAAGGGCAACTGGATACTGGAAAGCTGCGGCATACCAGTCCAGGTACATGGGGGCGGACGTCGACGGGATGAGGCAAGGACTGTTGGTTTACCCGTTTTTCTGTCACTCTATTACGTTGAAAAAGATACACACTGGCGCATGGAGCCCGGTTGTCTAATTTGAGAGCTTGTTGTTACCGTTACCCGAACCTGTCAATCGTGCTTGTCCGATCTGTCACCCATAAATGCCGGGAGGCGTGCGCGAACCGGCGGAATGACATGCGTGTGTGTGCTTGCGATGTCATTTAATTGCTGCTGCTGACATGCGAAGGCTCAAATTTGTAATCATGTCAACGGCAACTGACTGCCTTTGGGCTACCATGTCATCCATTCATAGTGAGGAGGCTGCGTGCGTAGTGGCAAGAGGACAATGGTTCTGCCTGGGGACCTTTTCTTCCGTCGCAGCCGGCGCCGCGTGTTCGTACTGGCGTCATCATTCGTCTTTTTTTCTACCTGGTCCATAGTCTGCTGCACGCCTGACGCAATCACGTACGAGCGAGATACGGCGGGTTTGGTTTTGCAGCCTCTACGAAAAAACTGACCGCCCGATATAGGAGCACGAACAGTGCGCATTAGCAATAGCAATGGCGCCTCGCAACCCCGGATTTCGACCTAGTGTGTTTTCAGCGTCTAGTGTAAATTGGGGAGGTGGTACCACTCGACAGACAGCTTGGACCATCCGTTGAAGTGGGAAATTTGATCTACAGAGCACGAGAACGCCAAAGGCGGAAGATTCAGGCAGGGTCCGGTTCGTCGGTCGTGAACAAGGCTGATCTATACAACATGGAGTGAGTTACTCGGTAGAGGAAAGCGCTTTCCCTTGATGGGCTGGCTTGGACCCCTTGATGGGCTAAGTAAGGTCCTGTAAAATGAAGAACACAGTGCGTGTAATGGATCACTTAACGTGCCAATACAGTATTACAAGAAACACGTCGTTCCGGACAAGTGGTGCATGCGCTGCGCAAAGGCCTCTCACGTAGCCGCTGAAGCGAGCCAGTGAGCTACAGAGCCACAGTGGGTTGGAGGATTGCGGATCGTGGGCCCTGATGGCGTATTGAGTGTGCGTGCGGTACGGGTTATACAGTGATTACAGTGGGTGGCTGGCACTGTGAACAAAGAGTTACAGTATGTACTTACTAGCCAGGGGTGGATTCTGTTGGTTGTCTCTTTTTTTGGTCTAGGCAGGGATTGACATCCAGCGCATCGTGGGCTTGATGGGTGGTTGTTAGGCTCAGTTTACATGCTGCATGGAACAGAGAGGGTGGGAGGAAGTGCTCCGAGTGGCCACGGCAAACAGAGTTGACGTTGTTGAAACAGAGACATGCAGAGGGAGTCCCAAGTGCCGACTTATACAATAAGGTGGTGCGTGTGCATGGCAAGATCTGCCCATCGAGGTGCACGCGCAGGGAGGGGGTTGACGAGGGGGTAATTTACGTGTATGTACTGTACGTACCTGAGATCGTGTGAATCTGAACCATAGAGACTTTTTTCGCTGTTAGCCGCTGGCCAGCCCAAGGACAGGCTCCGTGCTTTGATGAAGTGGAAAATTCTCGTTAGTGGACTGACACGCTTCGCCCTGGCTGCGGGCACGGGAAGGCAACCCGACAGGGGGGTCAGGTAGATGCCCCGTTTGGGAGATTTTCAGGCGAACTTTTGGAGATTTACATTGGACAGGTGGGCATTATTGTTTTTGTTCTTCATACCAAGTAAGTATACTCTGCGGCTGGGTTTGTAGTTGCTGCTATGCTGTAGTACCCCTCTATAAAAGTGCGAGAGGGCCAATAGGGTGTCATCTGATATAGACACCGGTCAAGCAAGCAGTGCAACGCCAGAAATGCATAACGATATATAACAGATAATAAACCTGTTGCAGAAAGTAGCGGGCACTAATACTCGCTAGGTTCCCACCGTAGCCAAGCCCAGTGAAGAAAACGCCATCCATGTACACTGGAGAGGGGGTGGCGGGCGTTTTTGCGTGCGCCGTGTGTTCCAGAACAATGTTTCCCTCTACGGGCTAAAAGTGAGTGTTTCCGTATATCTAGATTGATGATTGATCAAAGTTCCGTTCCCTTACCGCTTCATCAAGGGTCTTTGCTGGCAAATTAGCCATCGACATGCTAGCGTCGTGAGCGGCAGTTGATCCAATGTGACAGTATCTATTTCTTCCCCAAGAAAATTTAAGGCGTCATGAGTCGTCTTGGTCTGGCACCTTTTGGCTCCTTCCTGTTCCAGTGAGCGGCGCGGCGCGTACCTACCTACCTACATTACGAGGGGACTGAAAAAAAAAAATCGATGGGCTAGGTAATACAGTGTGTTTATGGTGGTGGTGTGCACTGTACGGCGTTAGGTCCTCCGGGTGTAAGTCTACTGAATCATGTAAAAGGATCTGTCCTGGGCATTGGAGCGGCACAGCCTAATGTGTATGAAATTGATGGCGTCAATTGCAATGTACGGGTAGTGGTCTATGGCATAGTATTTTTCTTTTCTGTTGTTTCGGCGATTTTGTTTGGGATGCCAGGGGGGCAAAAGACGAAACCTGCTCAGCCAGCTTTTTCCCTTTGCTGGGCGTCGTCGGTCTCGCAGCGCAGGTTCAGTTCAGTGCCTGGTATGTGGGAAAAAGCCATCATGTCAACGTGACCATGCAAAAGGACGGGGACCCACGCGCTGGCGAGGGCCTGGATTTGGGGCTGGCGGCATGGGCCACATGAGTGGGTGTCCACCATGGGAGAGGGGATGAGGAAACGTCAACCCTTCCCAAGGTTAGGTAGGCCCAGTGTATTTTTGCTGTGGTTGCTGGTGGTGTTGGCGTATTTAATTGGAGAAAGGCTGTGAACGAAGAAGAGAATTAAGAAAATTATATCTTTCTTTGTCTGGTGCGTGGGCGGTTAGCATTGACCGTGGCCCAGCTATGCTCGGTACATTACAAAGTATACAATTATGCAGCAACGGCGCTGCTGCTTACAGAACCCATGGCCCATCGGCGATGTATCATTCGTATGCTGTAATAGGCGCTGTAATAGTAGTAATAGTAATTCAGCCAGCAACCATCGTGTAAGCCAGGGACTGGACAGACCACCCGCCCCGTCGGAAAACAGGCACATCCAGATTAGCCTTTTTTTCCTTGTCTGTCTAATACAACGCCCGCTTCCAGATCCAATTGATCCATCTCCGCTTAGCCAAGACGAATGGTAGAGTACAGACACAGAGTCCATACCCTTCAGGCCCGCAGGGGTCGTCGTAGCCCCGTCCCCGCACCACGACGCACTGCCGCGTCCCGAAAGTTATAGTGGACTGGGGCGCTGAAGAAAGACCACAAGCAACAGCCCCAGCCCACATTGGCGGGGCCCACTAGCTAGTAAATCTAGCAGCCTTTCCAAGTCAGTGGGCAGTGCTGTGGGAAAAGAGCCCCTAGGTATGTACGGACAGTAACTGTTGTACCTGGTTTAGGAAGTGTGCCGCTGTAGGAGTGACTTGGTGCCCAGTGGCCTGCAGCACGTTCGGGCATGTACCGTATGGGAACCCCCAACACAGTGCGCCTCGTGGGCGTGCTGGCTGGGCTGCGTGGCTGCGACTTTGCCTGCTAAAATCCAGCGCTGAGCACGCCAGAGGGCACCCCCAAAAAATTATCGTGAAAAAAAAAATAACAAAGGCGCCAGCTTTTGCGAGGAGGTGACTGACTCTAATAATCAGCCTGCCCTCCCCTCACCACCCCCGACGTCGGGTTTTCTCTTCCTGTTCCCCTCACCTCCTCTTTCCTTTCTTCTTCTTTCTCTAAACCCGTCGTTTTCCTTCTCTTTCCTTGATTTCCCCGAATCTTGGATCTCATCCCCATCTCACTTTAGACGACATTCCAATCTGGGGTACTGAGGAACCATCAACCGCTGCTGCCACCACCACCCAGCACCGCCGCCGCAGCCCCAACTATTTTTTTTAGCGACTTGCTGCTGGTGCTTCGCCGCTACTTCCGACCCCCAAAAAGCAAGACCCAGTACCAGCAGCCTGCTGGGGAACGACTGCCTGCGCGCCCCCATTCTTTTTTTTTTTCTGCTTCGCCAAAAGGGCAGATCTCCAATTCTTCATACCTCTTTGGTCGTGCCTCACCCGCGTCGGCTTTTGCAGTTTGCCTTGGTTTTGTAACCCTCCAGCTATCGCAGACCCATCGGACCGTATGCAACCCTTGCTTTCATGATCTGTTATCGAGGAACTCGTCGACCAGACCAGCCGCCATCTCTAATTAGACGCCGTCGTTCATCTCTTCGTCGCATCTCCGCATTCACGACGCCAGCAACAAAACATACACGGCATCCTTATTCACCACGACTGCCTCTAAGCACCAGCCCTTATAGACTACACCAGAAAGAGTTCTTACAGCGCATCATATTCACTATCTCATTCAAGTCAACGCCCGCAACAAGCTGCAGCCTCAACAGACGCTACCTCGCACGGCTTGGCAGAACCACACAGCAAGGTCCCAGAGGAGATCTTGCCTACACCAGTCACAGCGCTTCCCACCCACACCAGCCCACGCCAGGGTTCCTCTTCCACAGTAGTGTGGTTCAAAACGGTCAGCCACAGCTGCCCATCAACCAGTGACGTCTTGCTTCTTGGCCGACTGGACATTGCTTTCCATTTTTTTTCTTGTCCCCCCAAAAAGCAGATAGAGCGTCGTCTCCCCGCCTTATATACCTTCCCTGACCTGCCCTTCCCCTCTGTTGCGCTTCACTTCGGTTTAACGCACCTTTGCCGCCTCTCCCGATCCCCGATCTTCCTTGACTTCTTCTCCCATTGGTTTTTATTTTTTACATTACCGTCTTTTTCCTCTTCTACCCTCTTCTTTTTTTCCTTTTTCCCCAATCGGTATTTTTGTGACCGCGCTTGTTAGCGGCTTTCCGTACTCTTGAGACTCTTTGCCCGCTCTCTTGCTTTGCCATTCTGCCTTCTGCTGCCGCACACCTTTTTCTAAAGCCGAACGACATACACCACACAACCTGTTGTCGTCATGGCCGCGACCTACTCTAGTGCCGCGGTCAGCCCGGCTGTTGTTCCTACCAAGCAATTGCGTCAGGAACAGCACAACCAGCAAATTAAGGACCAGCAGCAGAACGACCACAGACAGCAGCAGCAGCAGCAGCAGCAACAACCGCCTCGTCAGCCCGAATCGGCTAACGATACTCCGGCCACCACATCCTCCAACGGTCCTCAAGGCGATGCCCAAGCGCTCGCTGACGGCCAAGGAGGTGCTGGTGCGCAGCACAAGCGTGTCTACCAGGCATGCATCCCTTGTCGCCGCCGAAAGGTGCGATGTGATCTTGGCAGTGTCGATAACCCGCACGATCCCCCGTGCGTGAGATGCCGCCGAGAGAGCAAGGAGTGCTTCTTCTCTGCCACCCGCCGCAAGAGAAAGACGGAAGACGATGGCTCTGACCTCGAAGAGTACGTGATCCGCAACGGCCGTCGCAAGCTGCAAGCTGGCGGCACCGATAGCCCTCGCCACCCCTCCGACCGACGTTTCGACGGGTCCATGACGCCTGGCTCCTCCAACTGGAGAAGCCAACCGCTGCGTCGCCCCGACGGCTCTGCTCGCAAGAGGCACAACGAGTTTGGCGAAGGGGATGCCACTCAGACGCTTGAGAATCTGGAAGCCCAGAGTGTCATGCGTCAGCAAATGTATGGGCCACACGACGCTCTTGATCTGCTCTACAAGGCCGCAACCGACAGGTATGTGGTCTCAGGTCTCGTGCCAAAACTTTCTTTCACCGTGTCCCCAAAGAACCCTGCTTTGCTAACATGTTCCAGTCCTGTTGCTCATCAGCGCCACGATAGCATCGCCTCTGCCAACGGCGCCGCCGCCTCAGCAGCAACCGACGCTCAAAACACCCCGCAAGTCATTCCCAAGTCGGTTCCTCACGGCGAACAAGCCATCGACCCTGGCCTGGCTCCTCTTGCTGCCAACAACTACAATGCTGGCCATGCCGAGGCCCTCAAGGCTTGGTCCCGCTTCCGCTTTGTTCGTGCTGGCTGGTTTACCGCACAAGAGGCCATCGACTACATTGACTAGTATGTTTCCCCCCGGTCGTTGTGTGCCTGTCCACTTTTTATCCTTCTAATCACTAACTGTTTTTTTCTTCTTGCAGCTACTACAAATTCCTCTCTCCATTAACGCCCATTTCTCCTCCGACCTTTAGCAGCCCCGCCTCTCACATTACTCTCTTAACCGAGGAGCCCATTCTCACAGTCACCCTCCTCACCATCTCATCACGATACCGTCAGATCCCTGGCGCAGGTGGCCACTGCCGCTCGCACGCAATTCCCGAGCAGCTGTGGACCTACTTGCGTGGCATGATTGAGAGATGCCTATGGGGTCAAGAGGCTTTTGGAGGTGGCTTCTGTGGATCCGGTGGTTCCGCTGCGACGGCCATGCTTAGCGAGGAGGCCAACGGCAGCAGCACTGCTCCCTGGAGAGGTCTCCGAAAGGGTAGTTTGCGCACGCTTGGTACGATTGAGTCTCTGCTCATCTTGACCGAGTGGCACCCTCGCGCACTTCACTTCCCTCCTGCTGAGGCCACTGATGAGCTTGTGATTCCCCTTGCTGAGTCGTCACCGCTCATGGCCACCGAGGACGAGATGTCCAACAATGTCGGCACTGCCCTCGGCGGCAAGCGCATCGACTCTTGGCTTGAGCCTGCCTGGCGAAGTGACCGCATGTGCTGGATGCTGCTGAGCACAGCCATGGGTCTGGGTTATGAGTTGGGTGTCTTTGACGATGTTGATGAGCTGCTCAAGGACGATGCTATTACTCGCCCCGAGTACGCCGATGAGGGGTACCGCACCCGTGCCAACCGCATCAGACGCCTGCTGCTCATCTACACCTCGCAGCTTGCTGGACGTCTCGGCTGGACCAGCATGGCCCCCGAACATCTCCGCAAGACGGACCCGGCCGTCTCCAAGCGTCGCCCCACCACCACCGACGGCAACACGCCCGCCACCATCTCCTCGGCTGCCAACAACTTCAACTACGTTCCGGACTTGGAGTTGGACGATCAGGTGATTCACTGCTGGGCGGGCATCAGCAACGTTATGCACATTGGTAACGAGAAGTTGTTCAAGTCTCGCAAGCACACTACCGACATTATTCAGTCTGGCCGATACGTCACCCTTTTGGCTGAGTTTACTCCTCTGCTCCGAGACTGGTACCGCGAGTTTGAGCTCTTCCCTCTGCCGCAGTACATGCGTCACATCTTGACCATTGAGTACCAATATGTGCGCATCTACGTCAACTCGCTCTCGCTGCAGGCTGTTGTGGAGCGTTGCACCAACCACCCCAATGGTCAGCCTACAACCACGACACTATCGCCACAGACACTCATCAACTATGGCAAACTTCCCCTCGGTCAACTGGGTGGTTTCACTGTCCAAGATCAAGAGTACGTCCGCGAGGTTGTCGAGGGTAGCCGCTGCCTCCTGCGCACCGTCGTCGAGGGTCTTTTGCCAAGCGGCTACCTCAAGCACGCCCCCGTGCGAACATACTTCCGCATCATCAGCGGTGCCATGTTCCTTCTCAAGACGTTTGCTCTTGGTGCCCCGCGCTCAGACGTCCGTATCAGCATCGAGCTGATGGATGCCACGGTCGAGGCTCTCCGCTACTGCGTTGTGGATGATGTGCACTTGGGTATTCGCTTTGCTGACTTGCTCGAGACCCTGACCAGCCGCCTTCGCAACCGCTTCATCCAGGCCCCCACGGCTGCTGCTGCCTCTGGTGGCACCTCGACTCCCTCGGGTGTCGATGGCACGGCCGCTGTACCCGTTGACGGCGCCTGGGTTGGTGGTCACGCCCAACGTCTCCGCGACGGCCTCAACGGCCAAGCGGGTGACGCTACCGTCGAAGGTACCATCTCGGCTACGCCGTTTGACCTATCGACCGGCACGTTCCCTTATAACGTCGCCCCATCCCTTCCCCCCTCGACGCCTGCTGCTATGGAGAATGGCCACCCTGGTGGCATGGATGTGACGCTCTTTGAGGAGTGGAACAACCCGGGCAACGAGATGTGGTATCTGCCTGCCGGCCCTGCCTTTTTCCAAAACGCCGAGAACCACAACGTGTCGATGACAGCCGAAGGCGTCAATGTTGGTGGCCTCGACCTTCTCGAGTACATGGCCATGGACCCTGTCCAGTTCCCGCCTAGCAATGCGGGAGACGAGCCCTCTGGCGCCCCTTCTGCGCCTGCGTCCGCGACGGGCGCAGCGCCATCCAACACGACAACTGCGCTGTAAGGAGCGGCAGGTCTGGATGTTGACGATGACGTTATGAAGGCGTATACTATACTTTAATTGACTTTTTGAGCGATGTTTTAATAACTGACATGAGCTTTTTGTCGTGTCTGGAAACGGGAAGGAAAAAAGAGATCCCTGTAGGTGTTACACTGCTGGGATCCAAACGTTTATGGTGTTTTTGTGTTTTTTTGTTTTGTTTTTTGTCTAGCGTTTCTCGACTCCCCGTTCGGTTCTGGGAGCGATGCTGCGGCGTCTTGAAAAGGAAAATAACGTCTTTTCATTGTTTTTATATACTCTTGTGGGTAAAAAAAGCTTTTTATATACACTTATTTCAAGGACTGGATCGGCGTTTCTGTCTTTTGATGCGAGACGGGTGTACGACCAACGAGGGTTATACGGCCAGCCAGCGAGCCAGCTGGTGAAGCGTTGCTGCTGCTGCTGCCGTTGTTTGATATACATGTTGTTTTTGGACTGGTTTGTTTTTGGAGTTTTGTACTTTTACTGATGATACCCGCCTCTTTGGTGCCTGCGACGGACGAGGAGAGCAATGAAGGCGTCTTGGAACGTCGGGATGATTTGAGGGGGGCCTGTTTCTGTCTGTCTCTCCCTGGTTGGGTGTTTGACGGACTGACTGTCCCCCCTGGCCCTGCCACTATCTTGTTCCTCTTTCTTTTCTGCGTGAATGTGTCTTTCTTTTTTGCCCTTTCAGACGAGTTAATACACTTGAACCTTGCGGTGTCGTGCCTTTGTTATCCAGCCCAGTGTCTATCTTTCCATGTAGACATAACGAGCCCAGCACGTTAATTACAACATTAATTCAAAGCCAAACAAGCATGTAGTTAAACGAATTCATGTCCATCTATGCACTTCCATCTATTCTAGTCTATTTGTTGACGACGTCTTCTCGACTACTCCTTCGCACCCCCCAACAACTTAACACCCTCCTCCAAACTCACAACCTTACCCGTCATCTCAATCGCCGCAAGTGCCGCATCGCCCATCTCCTGCTTCGGATCCCAGCACGCCTCCTTCACCACACTCACTACAAACCCCAAATCAGCAGCCTCGCGCGCCGTGCTCATCACCGCGCCACTCGTCGAGATGCCCGCCAACACGACACTCTTGACGCCCTTGTCCGCAAGCCACGACAGGAACTTGACATCCTTGAGTGCGGAAATCACACCGGGCCGCTTCCCGCTCACAAACTCGTCGCTGCTAGAGGGCTTAAGGTCCCCGACTTCCTCAATCGCAGTGGGGTTCCTGTCCCGCAGGGGCTTGAACTCGGTCTCCCAGCGCTGCGCGTAGACAGATGTTTCGCGGGGCGCGGTGGAAAAGTCGAGAAGAGAGTGGCCGATGGGCGAGGGGGACTGGCGAGCTGTGTCGAGGAGGTGTTTGGCAGATGGGATGAGGGAGGAATCGGGCGGTGCGCGGCTGGCGAGGAGGGTGTGGAAGTCGAGAAGGAGGAGGGCGGTTTGGGAGGGGGGGTAGGTGGATGCTTGGTTGGCGAGCATGGCTGACATGATTCAGATTAAATCAAAAGGATGGAGGTTGTAAAAGGCACCATTAGGAGATTGGTGGAAGAGATGTGTGGCTGATGTAGAGTTGGGAGTGGTTGTCGTCCCATCTTATATGAATAGTTGGGACGACGCACGTTTCGGCGCCGAGTCGGCAGGGCGGGGCACAGAGCGTTTTAACTCCGGCCAACGACCTCCCATCAATCAGGCTGTGTAGAAATCAAGATTCTCAAAAAAGACGGATATAATTATGTATAGCTCCGGTACTTTGAATGGATTTAACGGGATTTAGAGGAGCTGAGAGAGGCTGCGGTACAAAACACAAGGCGAAAGAAACGGACAATTAGATTTTCAACGACAGCGCAAATGATATATCTAGTAACGCTACAATCTGTCCAATAAAATAAGAGTAGAAGAAGAAAGCACAAAATAAAGTAAAACGTGCAAGGGATATGCTGTGTGGTATATGCAAACAAAAGGCGGCTAATAAAAAAACGGCGTGAGAGAGTGTGAGGGTATGAATGAATATGCGGGTTGTAATGTGTGTGCTGTGCGTCTATTGGCCAAACGCGGCGGCGTGCTTGCCGTGGGCTTCTTGCAGAGCTGTAAAACAAAAAGTAGTCAGTATAAATGTCGAGAGAAAGAAAAAAAGAAAGAAAAAACGTACTGGAAAGAACCTCCATCTGGCCGTGGCGGTCCTCGCAGGCAAGCTGCAGACTAGTGCCCTCGACAAAGTCCACCACCACGCTATTAGGCAGCTCCTGCATCTCGACTTCGGGAATGTACGGCGCGCGGAACTCGCTCATGTGGAAACGCTTAGTTCCCTGAGCGGCCCGGCTGCTCTGTGACGGCAGCGCGCTCATCACCAGGAAGCCCTGCGCGTCCAGGCACAGGTTACGTCGCTTCCACAGCAGACTGTCGGGGAACTGCACGTTCACGTCGCCCAGGTACGACACAATCTGCTGCTGCTGTCCCGAAGCAGCACCCTCTTCCATGGCAGGGGCCAGTGGCGTCGAGGTTGTGCTGCCGCTCGTCGGCTTGGTGCGCGAGACGCCGCCGGACAGAGTCGATAAGCGCTTCATGAAGCGGCCTGCGCGCGACATCTTGCCGTCGGGAGACTTGTCGTCGCCAGCATTGATGTTCTCCGAGCTAGGCGAGCGAGCGCTGAATGAGCTGTTGGTGCTCATGACCGGGCGCTGCTGGCTTGGCGAGCTGGGGGCCTGGAACTCCTCCGAGCCAGACGTCGGCGACTTCTTGTCCTTCATGAGCCCTCGTACAATCGAGAGCGATGTGCGTCGGCTACGGTTCTCCTTGAGCGAGTCCTGTGAACCCGACTGTTCCAGCGGTGTTTCAGGAGGCGACGTCTTGTCCTGTGTTGCCTTTTGGTGGCTCACCATCAGCGGCGACTGCTTCAGGTCCAGCGGGTTAAAAGCAGAGGGATCGCTCAAAGTGTCTGTCGATGGCATCGGGTCGCGAACAATCTTGGCCGTGACGGAAATCGTCTCCTTTCCAGGCGATACGGGGTCCATGAATGGCTGGAAGACAGACAGACGGTTCGACATGTTGCTGCGGTCAAGAAGAGGTCGCGTCGTTTCGGGGGAGTCGCCGGGCGAGGGTGTCGTGGCGCGCAGTGAGTTCGCGCGCTCAAGCACTGACGGAGCCTTGAGCTCCTTCTTCTTGACTGAGAAGAAGGCTGTTTGTGGGCGTTCGCGGCTGACGGGGCGAACATCGCCATCAGGCACAGACGAAAGCTTCTCGAGAGCCTTGATGCGCTGAGAGATGCTCGAACCCACGTTGGACTTGAGCGACAGGTTGTTGTTCTGCTGCTGCTGTGTGATCTTGTGAAGGTATGCGGCGCCCGTTGTCAGTGAGCGCGCAGAGGACTTGGCGACGTCATTATCCGAAACGAATTTGCCGCGTACGGGATCCGAGACTGTTCTAACGGTATATGGTGTTGCTTCGGCGCCTTCTGCGCGCGTAGTCGGCGGCTCAGTCGGGGATGAGGACTTGACGTCGGCAGCAGGCGCGAGCGCTGTAACGGGTGCGGTCTGAATAGGTTCGACGACAGCAGCTCGCTTCTGCTGCTCTGTGGGCGCAACCGTCTCCGCATCGCTCTTGGTTTCCTTGTCCTTGGGCTGGGTCGATTCGGTAGTAGCCGGCGTTTCGGTATCGACAACGGCCTCCTGAGCTTCCACAGCAGGCTTGGGCGCGTCAGCTGGTTGTTGGGGAGCTTCGGTGGTGGACTCAGTTGCCGCAACGGCCTTGACATCGGCTTCAGGGGCGGTCTTGGGCTCGGTAATCTCACTGCTCAGCATGAGAGGGCTCTTGGCGAGCTCAACCGTAGGTGTGCTAACCACGGGCTCAGCAGCAGCCATGGTTGCTGCTCTAATCGCCTCTGGAGAAGCAACAAGCGCCGCGGGCTGTTCTTGCTCAGGAACCTCAGCAACCTCAGCGGTAGGCTCGGGCGCGGCTTCAGGTTCCGTTGAGCTAATGCTGGAGGAAAATTTGGAGAGGGGGATCGCGATGGGCTCTTGTTCCTCAGCCTTGCCCTGGTCACTAGCCTCCTTTGGTGCCTCAGGCTTTTTCTCCGCGTCGACAACGGCTTCAGCATCCCTGTCCTGTTCCTCGGCAAGCTCGTCCTTGGCGCGTGCAGTTTCATCAGTAGACTCGGACACAGATGACGCGTTGGTCGATTGGTCTGGCTCAGAGGCGACTTCGGAAGCCTCAGTATGTGTGGATGAGGACATGGCATCGGCGACATGGATGGAATCGGTCGTAGTAGTTGGGCTCTCCACCTCGTCTGCGACAGTCTCGGTCTCGGTTTCGACTTCAGTCTCTGCGATGCCATCTGCCTCGGCTTCTTCTGTTTCTGCCTCACCTTCAGCAGTGGTGGCGGCAGCAGCAGCGGCAGCGGCGGCCTTCTTCTTCTCACGAAGCTTCATGGCCTTCATGAGGCGGGCTTTTTCGGGGCTAATCTTCTTGGTTGTGCCTTCGGGTCCGACGGTGCTGGAGCTCGAGACTGGTCTCTCCGTCTCGTCAGTTGGACTAGGTGCAAATTCAGCCACCTCTTCTTGGGGAGAAATGGTCGTGTTGGAGTCCTTGCTCTTGGTGCGGCGACCCTTGCCAAACAGCTTATAGCCAGCAGGAATGGCAGAGACGGGTCGAAAGTTGCCGGCAGTCTGGGGACGGGTAGCTCCCTCCACAGACGGGCGAGGCGCAAGCTTGACCTTGGGTTTGCTAAATGCGTATCCCGTATAACCAAAGTCCTGTGTGGCAGCGGCATCTGCGGCCGAGTAAGATTCCGCCGTGTCGGGGCGGCTATCGGAAGCGCCAACAAAGGTAGGGACTTCAGACGTAGAAGGAGCAGCAAATTTACTCTGCTCCGGCGAAGCAGCAAGCTCCGCGTTGAGCGTAACTGGCTCAGCAGTCCACTTGGGCGACTTGGGCGTCTGCGGCTCGGCCACGACAGACTTTCGCTTGGTAGGCGGGACCTCATCCTCGTCCTCCTCGGCAATCTCGACGAGCCGCTTCTTTGGGGAGCTTCCCACGGACGAGACAGAGCCAGACGCAGTATGCAACGAACAGGCAGCCGAGAGCTTATAATCGGTAAGTGTTTCGGCGGATTCAATCTCAAGAATGGTGTCGTAGGGGGAGAACTGTTCGCAGACGGCATTGAAGTGGACAGCGACGCGAGCTACAAGCAAGTCAGCCAAATACGCGCCAAAGAAGCTGCTTTTTTTCTTCTGCTTACCTTGAATCAACCGCGAGCAGTCTTCGGGCAGATACTTGATCACGACATTTCTGCGTCTGTACTTGAGGACACCATATAGCGGGCTCTCCTCGTCGTAGGCCTCGATGCTCGAGCGCACCTCTGGCAGGCCACCAGTGCCCTTGTTCAAGAGTTCGACCTCATCACGACTGATATACTTGAGCAGGAACCTATACACGCCAATCAGTCAGCAAAACAAAACCCCGTCTCGCTCAGTCTCGTTGTTCCACGTACCAGCCCCCAGCCTCGGCGAGAGCAGCTTCATATGCCTCTGCGACCTTGGGGTCGTCCAATCCGTTCAGTGACATTTTCCCTCTGTATATAGCTTGCACCTGGCAGCGCAAGCCCAACTCGTCGATTCGTGGCGGGTGTGGTCGAGAGAAGCGGATTTCGAAAGCGAAAAAAAAGCCGTTGGATGCAGAGAAGCTCTGGCTTTACCCCTGGGCTGCTGCAGCACGAACGCCTCCTCCAGAGGGTCCTTGAGTCGTTATTAAAAATAAAAATAAAAACAGGAACACAAATATTAAACAAGGCCGCTGATTTGGCTCTCTCTTTTCTCTCTCGAGAATAGAAAAACAAAGAATAAAACGAATAAAAAAGGCACCTGTCCCCTACCAGCCAGAAAAGTGACGAGTGTAGAAAATGGAAACCGTGTTGTTCGGCCGGGCTGACGCAAGAAATGGTTAAAGAGGTTGCAGCCAGATGCACGGTTCCCCTTCTTCCCCTCCTTTTTTTTTGCCTTTTCCTTCTGTAGCGTGTGTTGTAGCGGACAACCTTCCAGTGGACGTGCCGTACGCTTACTAGTGCGTGTTTGCTGTACCGAACAGGAAAAAGCAAAATGGCTGCTGAAGAAGGCCAAGGAGGATATAAAGAAAAGAAAAGAAACAAAAAAGCAAAAGAAGCTGCCAAGGTGAGAAACAAACACTCCCCTACAAGCGACAAAGTATAAAAAGAAACCAAAACAAAGGCGTCTCTTCTTCTTCTTCGCTTCCTTCTTGGAATGGGTGCATTCGTCTCACTTCTCCTTCACAGCCGACAGGTATCTTACAGCGCTCCTCCATCCACTGTACAGCCCACTGTAAATCCCCCCCCTCCCCTGCCTTTACCGCGCCGTTGAAACCCCTCCCCTCTCCCCCCAAACGTGGCGCCCGCTAGAAAAATAGAAATAGGGGACGCGGCGGTACGTGCGCCGCGCCACCACCACGAATACCAGGTCTCAGTTGGCCTAAGAAAAGCATCACCACCACGTAAAAAGTAAATACAGAGAGCACCTCGTCGCAAGACGGGACACTCTAATTTTCTTGGTTCGTTTGATTACAATCTACTCTCTTTATTCAGTGGAGATTGCAAAATGAGCCATTCCGCGCAGGAACGGAAAAGCATACACACGCGATCGGCGTACCAGGGGGCCGGCCATATGGTAACCCGCATGGAATGAAAAAGGGTCTCCCTTGTTTCTTTGACGATTTTTTAACTAGGAAGCGCCATGCGGCTACTTACCCTGTGGGAATAAAACGAACTGCCGTGATTTGATCCGCAGGATACACTGTACTGTACTGTAGTGCACAAAAGTAGTTAAAGCATGGGCATGATACGCCTCGAACAAACCCCCCCAAGAAATGAGAACGGACCTCCTCCGAAGCAAGCCTGTCTGCGCTAGTAGACAAAACAGATAACCCACCACTATACGCGGATGGATGCAACGTCCACCGTTAATAGTTTGTCCGCCCGAGGTCCATTCCTCTGGCGGCAAATGCGACGCTGCTCTGCTCCGCTCTTCGGCCTGGCTTTGGTGCCAGCAGCAAACAATAAATAAACACTTATTCTATTGTTCGTCATACCACACAGCCCATTACACAATAAGGCTCTCCTCCATCTATCCGCTACGGGCTACGTTGACAGATATTCAAGGCATGTGGGCATGTCACACTAGTAATTACGGATGGAGTCGCATGGAACAATACTAATAATTCATGAAATGCTTGTCTCGCCTAGTCGATATATTTCGCACACTCGCACATCCTCAGCGCTATGCAAGTCGAGGGTGACCGAGTCTCACAATTAGGCCTTGGCCTCGTCAGTGACAACAACTTCCTCTTCCAACACGAGCTCGTCGTCGTCCTTCTTGGCCTGCTGGCTGTCGTCATCCGTCTCCCAGTCTTCTTCTGGGATGAATTCGGGCTCGTAGCCGCGGCCGCCGTTCGTGGCAGACACGCCAATGGGCGCCACAGTGCCGTTGGCAATACGCTGCCGCGTGTCGTTGAGGATCTTGTCCACCTCGCTAATCTTGCGAACTCCAGGAACCGGCTCCTTGTCCTCGGTGGCACTCTGCGCCGTGGCGTTCTTGTCGAATCGGACAATCATACATGACAGGTTGTCGGTACTAAAACGGCCCATGGCGTGGTCCACGAGCTTCTTGGATGCAAGCGTAGGGTCCTGGACGCCGCGAACCAGATCAACTGCAGTTTGGTCACTACATACGTCCCAAATCTGTATAAATTGTTAGCATGGGATCCCATGTGATACTTTGTTCGAGTGCGAGTGCACCGCCATGTAGGAGTACTTACGCCATCGCAAGCGATAATGACAAACTCATCCAGCTCGGGCTGGATGGCTGTTTCTGTAGTGTAGGGATGCCCAGTCACGAGATCCTTCATGTACGAGTCGCCAAGCGCTCTGGTAACAGCAAGCACGCCGTTAACGCGGTTGTTCAAGATCAGACCACCGGCGGCAGTGATACGCTTGCCTTCATTCTCGTCGCTACCCTTGTGGTCGTACGACAGCCGCAGCGCCTTGCCGTTTCTACACAGCACAATGCGGGCATCGCCGACATTGGCAGTGTAGAGCATGCGCTGTCGAACAGCGCCAGGGTCGACCTCGGGGGCGTCCGTACTTGATGCATCAACAGCAGCCGATGCTGCCTTTTCTGAGTCAGAGGGCGCGGCAACCCTTTCCTTGGGCTTGGGCGTAAGTGACGAATTGGACGAGCTTCGACTCTTGGCGGGCTTCTTCTCCCAGCGCAAGACAGCGACGGCTGCAGTGCAACCGCTGTTCTTGACCGGAAGCGACTCGAGCTGCTTGTCTGCAGCCGTGAAGCTGAGATCCAAGAGCTCAGGGATCGACTTAGTGGGGTTCTTCTTGATGAGATCTTCCAAGATGATGTGCAGCTTCTTGCCGCACCAATCGGCAGCAAACGTGCCGGCGTGTCCGTCAAAGATGGAAAAGTAGCCATTGTCGGACTGGGCGACGCCGTCATGGTCGAGATCAGCAGCAATATCGTCCGGTTTTGAGCCGGCAACAGGCGTCTCGAGAAAGTTGTACAGGAAAGCATGGGTGTCTTCCATGGTACGGCGGCATTTCTTGTTCTTGTCTTCCCAGACACCAACCTTGAAGGTGGATTTCGGGGTGGGGAGAGAGTCTCCAGCAGAGTTGTTATGCTTGCCCTGTGGCACGACGAGAGCGGCATCCTTCTTGCCCAACTTTTGAAGGGGCGTGGTTGCTACCATCTCGACGCTACCGCGGCTGCTGGGCGAGAAGCTCAAGCTATTCTTGGCCGACGTGAGAAAGCCGCTAGCCTTGCTGCTGAGGCTACTACTTCTTCTCTTCTTCTCCGTAGTAATCTCTGCTGGACTGGGAGGGCTGCCATTGCCGCTACCTTTGCTGCCGCTGGTGGTGCTGCTGCCGTTCAAGGCTTGTTCCGTGAGCGTGATGGCAGGGGGACTTGATTTCGTTTTCAAGGTTGGGGACGTGTCTTTGCTGTCCGTCTTGGAGTCGCTGTCTTGTTTCGCGCCGGGTAAGCTCGAGTTGGAACCTCCAAACATTCTAGTCAGCAGGCTTCCTCCTTGTGAGGAGACGCTGCGTCGCTTGTTGCCTGCCAGCTTGTGAGAATGCAGAGGAACTAGCGCAAAGCGAGGTCGGGAGGACAGAGTCGTCGTCGTGGTTGTTGTCGTCGTCGAAGAATAAACTTCACGACCGTGAATATGATTTGTTGGGTCGGGGTCGACGGGTGTGCGAGCGCGTGCAATCCTAGGGTCAATAAATCGGTATGCGGGCTACCGATACTGTCAAAAGAGTTAGTGCGACTACTTTTAGGAGCAATCTTGACATGTCTCGGCGGCAAACAAGGATGTGTGATTGGGGCTGCTTGGGGAAGGGCCAGGAAATGCGCCCCAGCGTCGGCTGTCCGGGATACGGCTGCCGTGCGGTCTGGGGGATTGAAAGTGCCAAACTGGAATTTACAAATTCAAAAATGGCTTTGAATCAATCACTTCAGACGATGTAGCATCGCTCCGGATGGCCTTGGGACGTGGTTGGCGGCTGTCGGATGGCACGGAGAGGGTATCGACATGGGCATGGAAGCAGCGGAAGCGAGCATACCTGGGACTTCGCAACGGGCTGCTGGCTGTTGTTCGTGACAGGCAGTGAATTAATAAATATAACAGCCGACCGTGTATCGTACAGCGTCGAACGAGCCGAGAAATAAAAGGTGAGCCGGGAAGAAGGAAATAGGAGAAGCGTGGCCAAGGGCAAAAGTAGCCGATGGAATTGCGACGATGATGGAGGAGAGGGGAACGACGCTTTGGGGGGAAGCGCAGAAATGGCGGGGGAATTGCATAGGGACACTAGAAACAGCGATTAGACTTCTGGAGGAGGGGCCACCACCACCATTAAGCGTCCACCAGAAAAAGTGCGGGCGCTAACAGCTGGCCAGCCTATGGTGCACCACGCTCTGCTAGCGCGGCAAGGCGGGCTTTTCTCTTTTTGGGGGGATAGGCGTTTCACACGCTTAGTGGCTTAGCGTGCATTCGTCAGTCTGTCAGCCAACCAGAGGACAGGCTACAGCGGGCGTCGGAACACTCCTGCTGCAAATAACTTGACCGTAGGTGTCGTTTGTTTTCTATTACTGGATTTCCTTCTTTCCATTCCCTGCTTTTTTCTTTGTTAGCAAACACTAACAGTGTACCGCAATTAAGACAGGCATCATACAGCATTACTAACAGCGGCCCCATTGGCCCTCTCAACTTCTAGAACCTAGAAACCCGCTATAAGCCAACTCCGCTTCCACTCCACTAGCCTGGCTCTCCGCACCGAGGCCACGTTCTTCCCCAATTGCCCATGTTCAAGTGAATGGATTTCTAGCGGGCCCATACTATGAGTTGGGGTATTGGCGAGATTAATGGCGGTTGAAGTTTGTTGGATTTGATAAGTAATAGTTTGTTCGTTTAGGTTGATGATACTGTTCAAGCCGACGCCAATGCTCGCCTATTCGTACGTGTCGCGTTGGTAATTGTGGCGCTCCGGACCATTGACTATGGCACGGTCATCACGGTGCAGCGACGGATTCCGAAGGAGTTCCGGCAGTGTTTGATGGTCAGTCTTACTTTGGATTTGTTAGAAGTTCTTTCAATAAAAATAAGAAAGATGTTTTCCAAAATAAAAAGACAAAGAGCGGAAATCGCCTCCACTGCCCTTGGGACTCGCCAGCTGGCGGTAGGCGGTTACACAGCAGGCCTCGTCTGCCACACCAAATCCAGACCCCAACATCCTCAAAATGGTAAACGCATAATGCCTATCAAAATGAACCAGCTGGAATGGTTTGAACCATATTTCATTAAGGGGCCGTGCATTCTGCGGCCCATGCTCACGCCTACCCCTTCTCCTGCATCCTTGCATGTTACGTTAGGCGCTATCGTCCTACGGCGGCTAAACGAATCAGTTTTGTAGTAGAAGAATCATGTAATCGTTGTTGAACATAATACTAACACATTATACTCTATATACATCGATACAGATGACGTGCTGTCAACATCTCCCAGGCTGGCTGGTCCCCTTCCACCGGCGTAATAAACGACCGCAAACCGTCATCCATAATGTCAAACCACAACTCCGTCAGATTCTTGAGCACCACATAAAACCAAGGGCTCGTTTGCACAGTATCTATCCTCCATAGCGTAACAGCCTTGCAATTGATCGCTAACCTATCATACCAAAACACGGTATCCGCCTGATCCGCCTCGGGGAGCTTCATGATGGAATTGATGGCGTCCTGATCAATAATCAGGGCGATACAATACCGTGAATTCTTCGAGCCTTTGCCTCCGTTTGCTTCTACCCAGGCGTTAAACAGACCATACACATCATCGACTGAAGCATTCTCCAGTGCGTGCTTATTCTCAAAAACGTCGTTCATATTTCGCCTCAGCAGCTCCTCCGTGACGCGTTGTGACTGCCGCTTCTCTTCTGGCGTTGCCAAATGGTCCGTCTCATCTATCTCGACGAGCCGAGAAATTGTTAAGCGCATGTATCCCTGTATCCGCTGGACTACAAGCGGGAACAATGCATCAGAGGCACTGGAGTAGACGGTGCGGTATATCGTCACGCCCCAGGTATGCTTGTGATGGCCGGTGTTGGTGTGCTGTGCAAGAGCCCGCAAGTAGCGGTAATTCGTCCCGAGTATGGGCTGTGTCGGAGCGGACAATAGATCCTGTGGTATTTGTTCCATCATGGTTGATGAATGTCGAAGAAATTGAGGATTGTATGATGCCACGTGAGGTTGATGATGGGGCCAACTGACTGAGATAGGGCAGGAGGCGGCCATAGTGACGCCAAGCACTGGTGGGCAGTCACGATGTCTCGACTACCACACTGCGCAAACACTATTACGGCCAAGGGTAGAAAAGTCTGGAAATATGCTTCAAAAATCGTCATAAGGTGTGCTAAATTACAAAAGCTTGCTGCAAAACAAAACAAATGCACGGCAGCGCCGTCGCATGACCTCTCCAAAGACCAGCCAACCGTGAGGCGCCACGCCTGGAAACCATCCAATTGTCTATTTGCGTAAACTGTCCAATCGAGCTTGTAAATCATCGTCGACAGGGTCGGCACCGCCTCCGCCGCCTACAGCCTGTGCAATTCTGCCTTCTGCCACGGGGGCATTACCGAGCGCTGTTGGTGTTTCGCCGAGCTGTTGAATTTGTTAGCATAGAAGTCAAGGAATCCTGTACCAAGTTCAATACATACCGCCTGGTTGAAATCAACACCAATCTCTTCCAAGACTTGCTCGACAACCTCATCGCCTTCCTCCTCAACACCAACGTCCATGGCGTCGTCGACCGCATCGTCCATCATCTCCTGCCTTTGCTCCATGATGTCGTTTTCTCGCTCAAACTCCATGGCGATTCGCTGCAACTGTGGGAGATTCATCGACTTGTTCATGCTTCCTAGCGCCATGGTGGCACCCTTCATGGCCTGCATCATTTGCTCGTTCGTTCGGTATGTCTGCAGAACCACTGGTTAGTGGTGATTCGTACTGGGAATCCCTTACGAGTGTGTTGTCACGTACCTGGAGTCGTAGGGAAATCTTTTGCAGCTGGCTGCGCATGGCGTAAAACTTCTCAACATATCTCCTTGTGCGGACCAAATCCTTTGCTTGAATCTTGCAGGCGCCCATCTGGCCGTTCTTGGCGCTCGTCTTGATCTGCTGGATGAGTGTCTTTTCCTGCTTCTCTAGCTTAACGCGGGTCTGGTCGAGCTCTCGGATCGCCTTGTCGAGCATTCGCTGGTTCTTGCGCAGCCGCTCAGCCGGCGTGATGCGCTTTCCGAATGCCCATTCGAGCATCTGCGTTGATGGGCGGTGGTTAGCTACAAGTAGTCTGGTCTCGCAGGGACGCTGCTGTGACGTACATTCATCTTGGACAAAGTACTGAGTCCGTCTGCTGTGTGCTAGAATAATTCACTGTCGTGGTGTCTTGCGTGGTTAAAGAGCGCTGTGCCGATTCGCCGTTGCCTATGCCAAGTTGTTGATGTCGTAACCAGGCACTGACGGTCTCCACGGGCTGGCCGGTCCCACGTCCACGCGGCTACGCTACGCAGCAGTGGGTGAGCGGGCAGTGAGGGGGGGACAGGCCGGCCCGCCCACTACCAGCAAGCACCGTTCAGTGGCAGATTGCCCGCCTGGAGCGGAGTGTCGGGGGGGCACTCTGGAGCGCTGTAAGGGTTCATTTTACAGCGCACTTTCCACGTGCCGAACATTCGCCGCCACTGTGCAGTCCACCAATCATCAGGCGTGGCGCGCCCACTCTAGCCGTCATTTACAGGCCCTGGCAAGGAACAGTACTCCGCTGTAATGCGCCGTACCTCAGTGTACCTGTGTACTATAACACAGTAACAGCGCTGGGTCTGCTACTGTAAGTGGTGTGATTTTTGCCCCCCGAAAAAAATAACAACCTCATGTCATCACCGCCCCCCGATTTAACCAACATCACCATCTCCTCCGCTCTTACACCGCGTTTCCTGCACCCCTCTAGCCCCTGGATTTCCTCGGATCCGATGTTGGTGCAAGCAGAAAGCTCAATATAATGAGCCAAGAATATTTCCCCAGCAAAGGCAAGGGCCCTGCTGTGCCCGGCAACGACGACCAAGACGCGCCGCAGCACCATGATGCGCCCCAAAACGGCAGACCAGGATTCATGACTGTCGGCAGCGGCACCACCTCCGAACACGCCTCGCGATTGCAACACCTCATCGATGTCGACTCTGGCTACGGCGGCAGCAGCATCGCCGACGACGACCTACTCTCCATGCCAGCCGCTGGCTCCTGGGACGTTCCCCACGCAAAGGCTCGTCGCCACTCGGGAGCTCTTCATCAAATGTGGTACAACAAGCAGCGCGCTGCTCTCGGACGATCGATCAACTCGGTGCTAGAGCTTCTCGCTGATCTCCAGAATATGAACACATCGTGGCCTGCCCACTACCCATCCGTCCAGAGAGTCGAAAAGTCCGCCGCGGCGGTACGACCGGCCCTTTCGCACTCCGCGTCCACCGAGGACCTACCGTCGCCATCTATTGCTGAAAATGTGCCTCTCTTGCGCAGAGCAATGACGAGTGCATCCGAAGCCGAGGCTGCCGAGTCGAGCCGCGTTGGAGAAGCCCGTTCCGTCCCGGAGCCTCGACTAGTTACGCCGCAGATTGCCCAAGAGTTTTCCATCTTGAAGCTAGACCTGAAGCTTGGTGCCCTGCACCAGGCTGAGCTTGTGCATTCTTTGGAGAAGAACTCCATTGCTGCGCTGCTCGATGGCAAGATCAGCTCGAGCATCAAGCACCTGCTCGCTCTGCGAAGCCGTATCGAAGACACAGCCAGCAAGGTCCTCATTACTGGCGATTTGAACGCCGGCAAGTCGACATTTTGCAATGCTCTCCTGAGAAGAAAGGTTCTTCCCGAAGACCAACAGCCTTGCACCGCCATCTTCTGCGAAGTTTTGGACGCCCGGGAGAATGGAGGCGTCGAAGAAGTACACGCCGTGCACAAGGAGGCCACCTACAACAGAAATGATGAATCAAGCTACGACGTCTACAGCTTAAAACAACTCGAAGAAATCGTTGTTGACAACGAAAAGTATACACAATGCAAGGTCTACGTCAAGGACGAAAGAGCCATTGACGAGTCTCTGCTCAACAACGGAGTTGTTGATATTGCCCTCATTGATGCCCCAGGCCTAAACTCGGACACTACCAAGACGACGGCCATCTTCGCTCGACAAGAAGAGATTGATGTTGTCGTTTTTGTCGTGTCTGCTGCAAACCACTTCACTCAGTCCGCCAAAGAGTTCATCTGGGCTGCCGCGGCCGAAAAGGCCTACATCTTCATGGTGGTCAACGGATTCGACACCATCCGCGACAAGCAGCGTTGCCAGAAGATGGTTCTCGATCAGATCTCGAACCTCAGCCCCCGCACATCAAAGGAGTCTGCAGAGCTCGTCCACTTTGTGTCCAGTAACGCTATCCCTGTCGCTGGACCCAGTGGCAACCCTGGCGATGACGACGGCGATGACGGAGAAGGCAAGGGCAAGGGCAAGGATGAAGATAAAATCCGCGACTTTGAGGCTCTTGAGCAGAGTCTGCGCCGATTCGTGCTGGAGAAGCGCGCTCGATCAAAGCTGACACCCGCCAGAACTTATCTTCTTAACATCCTCAACGATGTAGGCACCCTCGCCACTGTCAACCAAGACGTTGCCAAGACAGAACTTGAGCGAGTCTCAAGGGAACTTGAGGTGATTGAACCGCAGCTGGAGTCGAGCAAGAAGGCTCGCTCAGAAGTAGATGAGGAGGTGGTACAGAAGATCGAAACCACCTGCAAGCAAGTATACGACGAGACCCGAAGCAAGCTGTCTGCTGCCATCACGGAAGCCGGCAGCGCCGACTACGATGTGCCGTACCCCGGCCTCTTTGGTGCCTTTACTTTTGCCGAAGACCTCAAGGACGCCATCCTCTCGCAAATTTCTGATGCCGTATCACGCTGCGAGCAGAACGCCCGGGAGAAGACGTTGGGTGGCGTCAACGCCATCAAGCAGCTTGGTCTGTTGCATGTTGGAGACGAATTCCAGAACCTCCAGTTCCGCCCTGATGTCATGTTCAAGCGCAAGCGCGATGCTCTCGCCCGCGACGTCCACGTATCTACCGAGCTTCTCGACTTTGTCGACTTGTCCACGCTGCTCCAGAAGCAAGAGAAGATGGCTGGCACCGGCATGGCCCTGACATTGGCTACGGCGCTTGTCCCCCGCATGGTGGGCATGAACAACTGGGTCGACAAGGCCATGACGGCGTCTCGCGTGTTGAGCAGCGAAAACATGCGCTCGCTTATCCTACCTGGCCTCGTGCTCGCCGCCGTCGCCGCCTCCGCCTACGTCCTACAGCAGATCCCCAATTCGCTGCCCCCTCGCCTGGCCAGCAAGATATCTGCACAGCTTGCCGAGATGGACTATGTACACGCAAACTCTACCCGCATCTCGTCAGCCGTCCGCAAGGTCCTCCGCTTCCCCGCGGACAACCTGCGCGTCCGCCTTGAGGAAAGCGTCAAGGATCTAGGTACGCGCCGCGACGAGACCATCAAGACTATGGGCGAGAGCCAACGCGCATCCGACTTCTTCAAGGGCCTCGTTGACCGCAGCGAGGCCCAGCGCCGCGTCGTCACCGCTGTCGACTTGGAAGCACCACCCCCTGGTCTGATATAGATGTGATGGACAGCGATGTATGGATGGCTTTCTTTTGTTATTTCTTCTTTTTCGCCCCAGGACTACTGTTGCCATGTATCTTGGAATGACCTATCCCCCTCTTCTTATTTTTTGATTCCCCCCTATAACATCTTTTAAACCTCCCCTATTATTACACTTTTCTGGCATGCATGTGAAGGAGGGACGAAGGAAACGCAACTGTCGGTTTGGACTTGACTCCGAGATTGCACTGTACGATACAAAAACAGCCCCAATAGCATAGCAAGCTTGCATGAATTTACAATACACGACCCTAAATCTACATGGACCAACATGTGCTAGTTACCATTATACGTGATGTGTGTGACATCTCGTGGGCACTTGGATATTGTAGTCACAACCTTCCGTCACCTAAAAGTCACATCTTAATATACCCCAAAGTATAATCACACACAAGCTCAGACAGAACACACAAAGTCATAAGAACCCAAATCTAATATAATAAACAGCCGTAGCATGATATAAAAAAGTACACGTAAATTCAGGTCCTCCCTCGGAGCTGAGATGGCCGCCGAAAAAAAATAATACACCAAGTGATGGAGAAAAAAAGACGCAATACAAGACACATCGTGTCCTATTCCATTTTTCTTTCTCTTCTTGTACAACCTTCCCCCCTCCCTTTTTTGTCATAACGCAGCTGAGGCTTTTAAATAATTCGTCCCGTTGTATGCTATCCGCCCACGTTGGAGAGTTAATGCTACACGGCCTGCGCGGGGGCAGCCCAAAATTTTTGGAGATTTTTCTTTTCCATCTGTTTTTCTTGTCTTCGTTTGAACAGTTTACAGAGAAGCCTCAGTCTTCTGCTCGCCAATGGCGGCGCCGACGCGCTCAGCAGTGCTCTGCTCAGCGCCGGCAGTCAAGAGGTCGCCACCGGCCTGGCGCATGTTGTACTCCTGCTCCATGGCGGCGAGCTGCTGCTCCTCGACAAAGGAGAGGGCAAAGGGGACGCCGAAGAAGAGGGCCGATGTCGTGATGACCCAGGCGCCCTTGCCGCTGAAGGAGAGCACGCTCCAGGCGCTGCTGGAGATGGCGTTGACCTTGTTGGAGATCCAGCCTCGTGTTGTGGGGGGGACAATGTCGCGCAGCGCGTACAGACGCTCGGCTAGTGTCTCCTCGCTGGGATCGTAGTCGGAGTCGTTGGAGATTTCAGAGTCTGTGATGCAGGGTTAGCAATGCATCCGGACCAGGCGGTCGCAGCCGCGGCATCAGCTAATACATACCAGTATCCGAGTAGTCCTCGTCGTCCTCAAACTCGGCAGCAGGGTTCTGCTGGAAGTGCTCGTCCTCGACTTCGGTGAGAACAACCATGGTGGCGGTTGATTATTATATAGGATGGATTGGAAAGGGAGTGAGAGAGCGAGCCCCTGATGGGAATTGCGGCGGCAAGTAGCTGGAATACGGTGGCGCAATTCGTTGGATTCGAGTGTAGAGCAATTGCCGATGCTGAATTAATCGACAAGCCGTGCGTTGGTGATGAAAGGGGACGGGTGGGAAAAAGGGAATGCAGGGTGGTGAAGTCAAAGGCGCATCAAAAAATTTGGCCTCGACGTTAGCTTGGCCGGCTGCCCCTGGTTCTGCCGGGAAAGGAGGGGGTCACGTGCTGCAGCTCGTGGCGTGGCTTGACATCATGGGAAGGAACTTGGTGATCTTTTTTCGCAAATGCAAAAGTGTGGGTGAGCTTACGAAATTAAAATAATTAAAATTTGTAAAAGGCTTAATAGTGTAAATAAAAGTAAGGTTGTTGGTTTAGGGCATGAAAAAAAAACTTTGATTGTTGTCGTGTGTACACTTTGGCAGTCTGATGATGGTTGAAATACACTCTGTTTTGGTGCACAAAAGTGTAGAATCAAGGTTATTTCGAGCCAATTTTCACTATGCCGTAGTAATAAGTATATATGCAAATCAAGGTGCCCGCACCATCTTCTTCTCTTCGCCACGATTGTTCCCATCATTCCCATCATTTCGTCGTGCATTGATTGCCCAACATGACCACCGGCTTCGGAGGTTTCAAGCCTTCCTCAGCACCACCCGGATGTTGGTTTAAATATCCCGACCACGATTTGGACTTCGACCCTCTTCGGGTCATGAGCTCATTCTTTATGCACCAGACTAAAGTCATGGACTGCGACTGTCGAGACATTGGCCTCTGTCCTGCTGGCCCCCCTCCTCATCCTCCCATCACCGAATTTCTCACGGATGAACAACGTGCCTACCTGGGAGACTCGCTCCCAGAACCAACTGAACGAGTTGTGGAAGATTGGAATACAAGGACCGGCTTTGGCGCCGACAAAAATGAGAGACGCAGAGACTTGCCACCGCCTGCACAGCGGTTCATGTCAGCTACTGGCACCAAGGTTGTGGCACGGGACTGGAAAGATGATCTGCCTCACTGCGATGAAGTCCCTTTTGCACTTGTTGCGGCTGATGGTACGCCAGCGCCTTTTGATCCTTCTCGATGCAAGAGCTATACCCCGAAGAAGCCTCAGTCAGAGTTGCAAATCCCCAAGGGCGTCAATATGGTTCGCTACTGCGCTGCCCGCGCACGCGAGCTGGCTTTGACCAAGCTTGCAGCTGATGGCATCGATACCACTACCATCCCAGACGAAGAATACCGAGAGATGGTAGAAATGCTAGAAAAGCTTCCAATTCGGCCTCGCGACGTGCCAACAGGCTGCAACCCGACTGTGGAGCTCGACACATGTTCCTATGACGGGCTTTGTGATAGTTTGATCAACCGCACTGTTGCTGTTACGGAAGATAGCCCCAGCGCAAAGGCTCAGGCAGACAAGTTTCTACTTCGCCTGGGTTCCGCCGGTTGGAGCTATCTGAAAGGAACGACTCATAAGAATGCAACAGAGGCACCAAAAGTCTCTGATAAGAGAGACAATCTCCAGCATGGGCCGCGCGATCCCAACGGCATGAGCATGAACGAAATAGACGACATTATCCGCGATTTGAAGCAAAACGTCGGATCCGAGGCAGCTGATGCCGACCGAATGAGATTTCGCCACGGCCCTGTCATCAATAAGAACGTCAGTGCAGGAGAATATGGCATGTGGAATACCTCAGCACGCGCCATTGGCAACTTCTCAGCCTTGCCTGGCCACATTGGGCATCCCGGCTCTGTCAATTGGGACGGTGAGAAGGCAAAACACGCTTTCGGAGCTGCTTACGGCCATATTTGCATGGCTCTGTACTTGCTAGCCACCGCGGCCAAGGCTCCAGACTCCTTTGGGCTCGTCAACTAGGCGGGCTGCGTATAAGTCATAGGTCAGGTGTCAGTCCTTGAGTAATATGGTGTTGGTTAAGGACTTCTGAGCGAAGATGGGCGTTTGTGTTAAAGTTTCGCAGGTAGTGTTGTGTATAGACAGTAATAAAAATCGTTTAAGTCAACCCTAGATCTTAAATCGTCATGAGACTTGTTTCTTAGCCTTGAAGCTTACCTGGGGTGCATACGGCTGATGGTCACCCGGTCTTACACACCACCTTTACCCCAACAATTAGGAGGTAGAGAGAGAGGTCCGTGAAGCTTACGACGGCCAGACGTACAACTTTGCACTATTCGTTTACCCCATGCCTCTGAAACGGAGACAAGAATCGCAGTGGGCTGTCGCTATGCGCCACCCCAAGCCAAGCATGCCGAGCGCCGGGCCATGAAAGCTCACCACTCGGTGCGTTTCCTTCTTGTCTCAGTTCCGAATTAAACTTGATGGCCTCGTGACAGGTCTTTTCCGTTCATATTATTTCTTTTTAACAATACAATTTAAAAAAGAAAATATTGAAATTCCCATTCGCCGGGGAAGCTTCCCAGGGTCCAGGGGCCAGCGCAGCACAGGGCTGTAGTCGGGATCCAAGCACCTGGAAACAAGATGAGCTTATTTACCCCGAATTTGGAAGCGACAGTGTGGAACATGGGTATAGAAGTTCCAGAACAGCCCACGGAGGCACCACACCACCACCGCCCGTATACCCGGCAGACAGCGCAATGCAGCATTTACGTGGGCGGGTATCGAATCGATGTTCCGCGTGCGCTGTCTGTCGGGCGAAGCAGCAACAAGTGTGATGCCATCCAAGGAAGAGTCTGCCTGGCTGCATTGCATACCGCCTAAACAGAACCGGTGAGCGTTTTGACGGAAGCCGTATTGTGACATTCCGTCGTTAAAGAGCTAGCAGTGCAGTGCAGTGTTGCAGCGTGGCAGGCACTGAGTCGTTGTCAACAGGGGTTGCAGTACAGCGCAGAGTCATGGTCTGTTGGCGGCTGTCGTTGCCCAGTGTTAGAACTCAATACGGTGGTGGTGTTGGTGAACTACGGGACTGGGCTCTTGTCCTCTCCCAACCTCAGCCTAAACAAGCAATGAACTGATCAGGTACAAACAAAAGGCCAATTGACCTGATGGTACCTCCAAGTATACAGTAGTAAAAAAGAAAAGAAATAATAAGCCATTATTAACAAGGTACTTGAGGTTCCTTCTTACCAGTAAGCCGTTACTTAGTCAAAAATAAGGGCCAATATTTAATTCGATCCCATTTTTTATTTCTTTCATTTTCTTTTATTTTTCTGCCGTCCTCGTGATGGTAATAAACGCTAGGTTGTTGGGGCTGTCCCTCCTGTAAAGCGGGGATTAGTGCCCACGATGTGCTGCTGTGGAGAGCCAGTGGACCTGCCGCTGGAGCACGCAAGCTTTGAGGCTGGCACTGTACGGAGCGGCCAATTTGCAGAGGGAGACGAAGGAGGGATCGTGTTTGAGGGAGCTGTGTTTTCCGATCCCGCTTGTTTTCAATGTATTAGAGGGGCATGCAGGGGATCAGTGTCCGTAAGAAGCCTGACACTCGCCCCTTTCTGATGCCACTGTAATGAGCCCATGGATGGCCATGACCAGTGACCCTGTTGGCCGCTGTTGCTGCAGCCCGGTCTTTGCTTGCATCAGACAAATACTGCTGCGGACAGAGACCGTTCTGGAAACGATGAGTCTTTGCTAAATTGGGTATTCATAGCGCAGATGCTGGGGCGGTTGGAGAAAACTGGAGATGATGGTGCGTAATCCGCCACATAGCAAGTCACGGCAGGTCTTGGGCGTGCCTTGGTGGGCCGTCTCCAAACACTACCCAGCAGTACAGTGCTTGCGATGATCGGTTAGACTGGCTGTGGGTTAGGTTGTGGTTGGTTCGGGTGTTGTGGCGGGCTTGTATAGACCTCACGGGTAGCTGACGAGGTTGCTCAGTCGATTGATGGGAGCAAGGTGGTAAAACGATATTAGCTGAGGCATGATGGGGATGATACGATGATGGCGTATAGACATCAAACATTGATGTCATGTGAAACGTAAATAATCGATGGGAAATTCTACCAGCTGTTGTATTGCTTAAAGCAGTGGCGTCTTCTTACAGACGTCTGTCGTGACATACTTGAGAACTAGGTGTGAACATCGATCGTTCAGGCAACTTGTGGCTATCCATCAGACTGGAGACGCTGTAGCCTTTAATGAATGCAAGGTATGTTCTGGAATCTATTGAAATATTTTCAATAATTATTTTATCTCAAAATGACCGCTAGTGACGAGCGAAAACCACGCGGTTTCAAGACGTGATGTCCACAACGAGACGGCGCTTAGTTGTACCTGACAACCTTTTGTTAGTGGGGTATGATTGGCTCTAACCGCTGTTCAACTAGCTGCCCGCTCAGGAACAGCGAAGACAGCGCCTACTCTTTGAGATGGCCTGCTGTATAATTTCTGTGTGAACGTTAGCATACAGCACTCCCATCCCACAGTTTTGTGAAGAGATGTTCCAGTACGCCTAAACAGGTGCTGTGTGTCCAAAAGAGCTTGTCTCCTGTGACAAGAGGTCGATCGGTTTATCAGATCAAGGGGCCATCGACCCAGTGCAGGCGTACCACCTCCACAGCGCCTTGTCTACCCCTCGTTACTCACAAGAGTGTCTATTCACCAACCATACTGTATGTAAAGTACCACAAGTAGGCTCGTATCCTTTGGATCGGAGGTATCCCATTGACTAGCACAGTCTTCACCGCGATGCCAACTCACAGTGCCTTCGTAGTAGTGCTCCACCGTGGCTTGCGGCTAAAAGTCGAGGGTTGGGTAACGATCCTAAACTCGAGTTTTGGTTTGGCTGGCTCAGCCTAGTTTCACCAGGCCTAAGCGGGCTTGCATCCGAAGGCGTGCGTGCACGGTTACGCGGTTGACATATCGTATTGCGTCTCGCTTGCTGCACCAAAACTGAGAGTCTTAAAAATCCTTCCCAGTCTGCTGATGGCCTGCAGGAAGCAAGCCATCGGCGGTGAACTGTATACGGTAGAGAAGTGTGCAGAAAAAAAGGCGATCGGAACTATAATTTTTGGTGGGGCGGCGGGACGTTGGTGGTATGTTTAGCCCAACATGCATGCATGAGCGTGCCACCGCGTTTTTCGGGGCATAAAGGTGCGGCAATTGACTTTTGCTTGAGAAAAGATGAAAATAGAATGCATCAGGGGTTGTTGCGAAACGGAACGGAGTTTAGTAAGAGTGGTGGTCAGCAGCAAGAGCTTAGCTTCTTGCCAGCTGGCGACGGCCCAGGTACCTGGCATGTCCCAGAGGGAGTGTCGGTGTAAGTGTAAGTGGCAAGCCCAGCCAAAGCAAACGGTAAAGTGAGCGGTGGCGTTTCTTCAACAGGATATAGATATTTTTAGTCATGAATTTGTCCCCTGTAACTCCAGTTGTTATGAACTGTTTAACAATTCCATTTTTAACTAAGTATACCAAGGAAGTTGTGCATCAGTGTCAGTCGTCTGCATACTTGGCCTCTATGGCGCCATTGTGCGGTGTCTCTTTCAGGCCAGGAACCAGAAGCGCCGGCTGTACGCGGGCTAGCAACACAAAGAAAAAACGCAATAGGCTCGCCATTGTCCAATATTCGCGACACAATTGACCGCCATTGCGTCTTGCAATTGAGTGCAAGCTTCTATCCAATAGCACTTCTTTTAACAAAGGACCCCAAAATGAATGCGTTATTTGTTCCAATTGATCATCAGCCCGGAATGTGCTGACCTCCCATTCCGGACTACTACCTCAACCCAGCCCAGCCCAGCCGGCCGGTACCCGCGCAGTCCAGACAAAAAAGGAGGCTCGGCAAATCATCCGAAACAATAGCAAACTGTGCATTGGCAAATCCCAGCAAGAAAAATTCAGTTGGTGTCTCCGCCAACGCATCGGATCAGCCTACAGAGCAGCACGCACACAGTCCGCCCTACACTGTGTCGTGGCCACCAGGCCCCAGCCTTTTTTGCCCTCGCCTGCAGCCCCAAATCCACCATAGGCCCACTGAGGGACCGCTGGAAAACTCATAATGGCCCTGTGATCTATGCAGTGCTAGTCCTTCGCGAGCACGTTTGGCCACTAGTTGGGGTAAGAAGACACTGTGGCTTACGACTGTGTCTGTCTGGAAAGAATTTTCCTGGGGCGTTCTACGCCGCGTTGGTACGCTGCGTGGTACCTTTTGTTTTAGCCCAGACGTTGTTGCATAGAACACAAGAATGGAGTCGTCATGGAAGAGTCGAGCAATACTACAAGTAATATGTCTCCTTTTTTTTTAATGTTTCTTTTTTAGAATTGGCAAATTGTGTTGTTATGTTGCTTTGTGTTCTTTTGCTGTTTGCCCGCGGAACTTTCTGCTTTTACCGAAAACAGCAGTTAGGCTGTCTCACCCGCAAGCAACGCCATGCTGAACCTTCCTAAAGGGACGCTGATCGGGGGGCCGCTCCAGGGCTGGACTTGCGCTGGGCTGCGCTCAAAGCCTTTTTACATGGCCTAACGCCTCCAGGGTGGCACAGTACAGTATTAACGTAGCCCTGCGCAGCGCCTCGCGTGGACAAAGACAAAAGGGCTTCTGGCTTTCATTGCAGACATGGGGTGTAGTTTGATTCGATTCATAATACTGTGTGGTTGTATTTGGGATTCCTTCTATTGTGATTATCTTATTATTACTCAATCATTTCCCCGGATTCAGCGGCCGGTTTTGCCGCCCTTGCCCCTGGCTGGTTCAGCAAACAGCAGCGCTGGGTTTGTTGCCGTGGCGCGATTTTACAGCGGTCATGCGCTGAAGGGTCAGCGTCCGGGGGAAAAATTTTAGGTGTCCATCGTGACCTGTTCGCAGCCCGTAATATCCGGGGTTTGGGGCTCCAAGCGTTCCAGCGGGCCCAGCGCCGCCAGTGCACTGGAGCTGGGGCCTGGCCGGACCTGGCCCACGGCGATTCCAGCGCTTTCCATCCTTTTACCCCAATTCTGATTCGCAAAGGGGAATGCTTGCTTGGCTCACTGACACCGATGCGTACGGTACAAAGACGTGGTCAGTTGGAGAAAGGGCTTACCTTGTTGCTTGGCTGAAGAAATTAGAGACTTTCTTTTATTTCTTTTGTATTATTGTTCGTTTTTCTAATTATCCGTCTTCCTTGTAACTCGTAATTCCCCTTTTTTGGTTTTGAATTTCCCTCGTCCTGTCCTCGCACCCTACCCGTCCAACACGTTGGGGTTTCTATTTTTTGCCTGTTCCCATGACGGGCGGCTGTGCAACGAGACTTCGTAACTTTGGGGAAACAGACTCCACTGTGGAAAAGGCCCAGGCAAGTCTTTACTGGCACTGGAAGAGTTTTTCTCATTTTATTTCTTTATTTTATTTTATTCTTGCGCCATCGACTTTTTTTTTTCTTAGGCGGCTCTCAGCGCTGAACGGTCTGTAATACATCCCCCAGCAACCCCTCAAGAAAAAACGGGTTGCATTTTGAAATAAAAATACCATTCCCAAACAAGTCCCTGCAGGTGACTACCGTAAAATACAGTGCTCAGCTCAACTGAAGCAGCGGGAATGGAGGAGGCTGGAATACAGTGCATAGTCGGCCCTCCCGACTCATCCGCCGCCCACGACTTATATCCAGTTCCCCAGATTTTCCAACGACGGTGAAGTGTGTTTGTGAGCTGTACCGCCCATAACGATTGTTTATATTCATGTTCTTTTTCAATTCACTTGCTCGGCTGTTTTATAACACATTTACCCCAAATCCCTCTCACTTTTTTAACCCCGTCACCCCTTAATGGCTCTCAATGACCTCTCCCAACCGCAGACGGTACCAACGAGTACCCCGCGCTGTGGGTCGACAATTCCTTCACTCCAAGTATTGCCCAATCCGGACTAACCCGCCTTTGTTCTCTCGTTTTTTTCTGCACTCAGGGCGCCCCACCACCGCTGCATTCTAAGCAAAAGGTGTACAGCCGCGACGAAGCGAGGGGTACCTGCCTTGCCCAGCTTCTTCAAAGGTCTGCTTCCGTTTACAGGTCACCTGGCCAATTCCGACTCAACTTTTTCCTTTTATACGCTCAAGCCCGTTCCTCTTTTTCCTCACGATCTTTCCTTTCATCCCGCATCTCCTTCTCAATTCCCCATCTTCTTCCCCCTCCCTCCCATTTCACAATGTCCGCCGTGAACAACGTCAAGGGCGAGGCTGTCCTCCGTCCCTCGTCAGTACCTACGTCTGGCACCACCACCCCCAACCATGGCCACCGTGCCTCGAGGTCAGCCCTCGTTGGCTATGTTGCCCCCGAGTTCAGCGGCAAGGCTGAGCAGAAGAAAGCAGGTAAGCTCAAATCGTGCCCGCGCGCAAGCTCCAAGTTTGCCAATTCGGCCCCGCAAGCGGCATACTAACAAGACCAAACAGTCAAGGCTCTCATTCTCGAGTCTAATTGGGTCCCCGAGTCGCTAGTCGACGAGCAGATCCACTGGTTTTACGACCTCCTTGGCATTGACGATGTCTACTTCAAGATTGAGAAGCCCGAGGTCATTGCCAGACAGATCATGTCTCTGTACGCCGCCAAGATCGCCGCCTTCTCCCGCGAGGACAAGCGCGAGGAGATCCGCCTCGAGATGGAGGCTGACGACCACGCCATCTACATTGACACCAGTGAGCCTGGTCAGTCCAACGTCGACGGACCCCGCTACGAAGGTCGCCTCGAGGCCAAATACATGGACCACGACGACAACACCCAGTACCGCGTCGAGACTTTCCGTTCTCCCGCCGTCATTGGCGCTAGCCCCAACTCCAAGGCTTCCGTCCGTTGCTACTTCGTGTACCAGTGCCAGTTCCCTCAGAGGGCTGAGGCGATTGACCCCAAGGAGACCAACATGGAGCTCATCTCCGATGTTGGCTTCTGGCAAAAGGCCACCGACAACACCAAACAGATCTACCAGGAGATCATTGAGCTTGCTGTCAACCGTACCGGCCCCGTCATTGAGGTATTTGACATTGACGACTCCGTTGAGAAGCGTCTCGTCATTGCCTTCCGCACTCGCACTGCCCGCGGCATGTTCTCTTCCCTCTCCGATCTGTACCATTACTACGGAGTTACCTCCTCCAGAAAGTACGTTGAGCAGTTCGCCAACGGCATCACTGTCATGTCCATCTACCTCCGCCCTGCTGCTCCCGAGGACGGCTACTTCCCCCCCATGGAGGAGTCCATTGTCCAGATCACCAAGGAAATCTCTCTTCTGTACTGCTTGCCCCAGAACAGATTTGCCAACGCTTTCGCTTATGGTGAGCTGAGCCTCCAGGAGGCCGTTTACGCCCACTCCGCCTGGGTGTTCGTCCAGCACTTCCTCAACCGTCTCGGTCCCGAGTACGTCTCCCTCTCTCAGATCCTCGACATCAACGAGAGTGGCCAGGCTACCCTCCTCTCCAAGCTCAAGCGCCGTCTCCGCACTGAGACCTTCACCCCCGACTACATCCTCGAGATCATCAAGTCCTACCCCGCCCTCGTCCGCTCTCTCTACGCTTCTTTCGCCAATGTCCACCTGGGCATCCCCGCCGACGATGTCGTCTCTCCTACCCCCAAGGTTGAGGTCCTCTCTGACGAGAAGCTTGGTGAGACCATTGCCAAGACTGTTGCCAACGAGCACGAGGAGATGGTCATGACTGCTTTCCGTGTCTTCAACAAGGCTATCCTCAAGACCAACTACTTCACCCCCACCAAGGTTGCCCTGAGCTTCCGATTGGACCCCTCTTTCCTCCCCGAGGCCGAGTACCCCCGACCCTTGTATGGCATGTTCTTGGTCATTGGTGCCGAATCTCGCGGTTTCCACCTCCGCTTCAAGGATATTGCCCGTGGTGGTATCCGTATCGTCAAGTCTCGCAGCAAGGAGGCTTACGGCATCAACGCCCGCAACCTCTTCGACGAGAACTACGGTCTTGCCAGCACTCAGCAGCGCAAGAATAAGGATATCCCCGAAGGTGGTTCCAAGGGTGTTATCCTTCTCGACCCTGGACAACAGGACAAGGCCACTGAGGCCTTCGAGAAGTACATCGACTCCATTCTCGATCTCCTCCTCCCCGCTGAGACCCCCGGTATCAAGAATCCCGTTGTGGATCTCTACGGCAAGGAGGAAATCCTCTTCATGGGTCCCGATGAGAACACCGCCGACCTTGTCGACTGGGCTACCGAGCACGCCCGCATCCGTGGTGCTCCCTGGTGGAAGTCCTTCTTCACTGGCAAGTCTCCCAAGCTTGGTGGTATCCCCCACGACAAGTACGGTATGACCACCCTCTCCGTCCGCGAGTACGTCAAGGGTATCTACCGCAAGCTTGACCTCGACCCCTCCAAGGTCCGCAAGATGCAGACTGGTGGCCCCGATGGTGACTTGGGCAGCAACGAAATCCTTCTCGGTAACGAGACCTGGACCGCCATTGTTGACGGCTCTGGTGTCCTCGCTGACCCCAACGGTCTTGACCGTGAGGAGCTTCTCCGCCTGGCCAAGAAGCGTGCCATGATTAGCGAGTACGACATGAGCAAGATCTCCAAGGACGGCTACAGAGTCCTTTGCGAAGACAACAACGTCACTCTCCCTAACGGCGAGTCTGTCGCCAACGGTACTTCGTTCCGCAACACCTACCACTTGCGCGACACTGGCATGACCGACTGCTTCGTCCCTTGTGGTGGCCGTCCCGAGTCTATTGACTTGATCTCGGTTAACCGCCTGATCAAGGATGGCAAGACCACCATCCCCTACATTGTGGAGGGTGCCAACTTGTTCATCACCCAGGACGCCAAGCTCCGCCTCGAGGCCGCTGGCTGTATTCTCTACAAGGATGCCTCTGCCAACAAGGGTGGTGTTACCTCCTCTTCCCTCGAAGTCCTTGCTTCTCTTGCCTTTGACGACGAGAACTTCCTCACTCACATGTGTGTTAACTCCAAGGGTGAGGCTCCTCAGTTCTACCAGGACTACGTCCGCGAGGTCCAGGCCAAGATTTGCGACAACGCCCGTCTTGAGTTTGAGGCCATCTGGCGCGAGCATGAGAGAACCGGTGAGCCCCGCTCCATCCTCTCTGACAAGCTCTCCGTTGCCATTACCGAGCTTGACGAGAAGCTCCAGCAGTCCGACCTCTGGACCAACGAGACTATCCGCTACGGTATCCTCAAGGATGCTCTTCCCCAGCTCCTCCTCAAGGAGATTGGCCTCAAGACCATGGTTGAGCGCATCCCCGAGAGCTACCTCCGCTCCATCTTTGGTAGCTACCTGGCCTCCCGATTCGTCTACGAGTACGGTGCCGAGCCCAGCCAGTTCGCCTTCTTCGACTTGTAAGTTTTTATTCTTCTGATGTGTTGTATTGTGTACACAAGCTAATCTTGGTTGTCTTTTAGCATGTCTCAGCGCATGGCTGCCATCACTGGCTCCACGGACGGTACCGAGCGTCTTCGACGCGCTTCTGTCAGCGGCCGCAACTAAGCCAATGACAGACAGCAATAATAAGTCCCTGCGAAGAACATGTCGACCGCAAGACGACGGCAAGGTTGGGTTGTGGTGATTGTGGGCAGCGCAGCTGTAAAAATTTATATTGATGAACAAAAACGACGGCACAGCATGGACATCAAGGTGTCCCGCTTGCCATTATTTAATGGGAAACGGCAAGAAAGACGATGGCGAGAAACAGCACTCGAAAAGCCAAAGAAAAAAGTAACTGCGTTTTATTTCTTTTGATTTTGACATGATTTTGACATTGTTGTTACGTTGCTACATGAGATGCACTTTTGATTTGGGGAAAGCAAAAAGCAAAATTTAGCGGCATCGTCGAGAAGACGACCAGCATTATATACAAACTTAATACCTGGCATTTTAGAAATGCGAAAAATACTATATTTTACTTGTCATATTTATTCTCATATAATTGTATTCCGTTTTTACTGGTTGACGGAAGAGTGATAATTGTGTTTAAGAGCTAATACCGGGTAGAGGAGGCGGAGTGATGGACGGACTACGATGACTACAAAAGCATGTCTGGCAGGATAGCTGTTGACCGTTCAAAAATGTAAATTGCTATTTTGAGACTTGGACGCTTGCGCACGAGGTAGCATGGTAGGCTCATTGGAAGCGTAGCGTAGTTGGGTAGTATGGATAGGCGTGTGTGATGGGTTGATGTAATGGCATTGGCTCAAGAGACGAAATGAGGGCGGCTAACGTGACGGCTAACGTGAGTGAGAGGCTGGAGGTAAGATGATGGCGTTTCAGCTGATTAGTTTGGCGCCTTTTACAGCCGGTATTCCTTTACTCTGGGGACCGGATGATCTATTTGCATGGGTCAAGGATGACATTTGGAAAGAAGCCGGTCTGGACAGAATGCGTGATGATGGCGATCATGCCAACAAGGACACCGGCAGTGGGGGAGGGTAGCTAGGTTAGGGATGGCTGTCCATTTTCGTGGCGCAGAACCTGAATGTTGCTAGATGAAAGAGATAACAATACTGAATACTGATTCTATTTGTGATTCGCCCGGAATTTTCAATTTTTTTTTCTAGAAGATTTATAGCACGGAGCATCCAACGCCTTTGGCTGCGGATATATGCTGATGCTTACCGTATAGGTGACCGCGATGCCGATCCAAATAGGAACCAGCCAACGGCGAAATACAGTGGCTGCATAGCGTGCCTGGTGCCTGAGAAGAATTAATGAACAATGGCCCGGCTACAGTACGGCTGTGTGTGTGGTGTGGTGTGGTGGAGAAGGGCGACTTTCTGGCTGACGGGAGAGACGAGGGCATGCACGTCATCCAGGATGATTAGTCGGGCAGCCCGAGGCATTGAAGATGACGATGCCGAGAGCGAAGGCATAGGATAAACTGTGTGAGATTTGGGAGAAACACAGAGAGATTCAAGAGCGGTGCAGATAGAGACAAGAGGCGGTGGCTGATGCGGAATGCGTTGCGTGATGATTTCGGTAGAGAGTTCTGTATATGCGGCGGCGTCGGCAGCCAGCACGGACCATCTCTGCGTCCCTTTGCACTGTTGCTAACCCTCCCGTCTACAGTGATGAAATGCCTTTGTGCTTGCTGATGGCAGATAATTTAGTTTACTGCTGGCTGCAGGCAAGCCAGTCTATCCATTCGGTAGGTGGACCGTGCTGAAGGAGCGCTAACCACAAAAACATTACTGTGGCCAAGTTTCACACAACCGCTTAGTTCAGGGGTGGTGACAAGCTAGCGAGAGACAGGCCAAAAGGGGGCAACCAGTTAAAAGGGACTGATTCTAGTCAAACAGAACCAAAAGAGAGACGTCTTGCTAATTGGTCCCTGACAAGCAATCAAGGTGAGAGGAGAAAACAAGCGGTGGCTTGGGTTTTGTCTCTCGATCCTCCAATACCCCCGGGCGATGTCTCTGAAACCAACACTGGCTGCGTGCGCTTTGTTCCGGTTTGATATAATTCCTTTTTTTTTTCATGTTTCTTTTCCCAACTCTTGCAGTTGTAGCAGCATTAGTAGCAGATCACTCACACCGGTAAGCTTAGCTAACAGCAAACAGTAAATAAACAATGCCCGTTTATGCCATGGCTTTCTTTTCTTCGATAGTTGCCCGCCGCCGCCCCCTCCTCTCTAGAATCCAGGGGCTGGGCGTGCCTGATTTACAGACTTTCTGCATTGAACCACGGCACTGTGCCCACTAAACGCTGCCCTTCTCTCTCTCCAAAACCCATCCTCTCTCTTTTTTTCTTCCTACTACTCATCGCTGCGTCGTTTTTTCTATCAACCCCTTTGGAACCGAGAAAAGAGAAGGAAAGGAAAGAAAATCCACTCCCTGTTTCTGGGGCCCTTGTTCCTCGTCTCCTTTTTCTTCCTTCCTCCTTTTTTCCCTGGGCCCAGGTGCCATTTGTCTTTTTTTTCCTTGGTCCCTGTAAAACGCAACGCCCCCGGATTTCTCTTGCGTAGCAGCCGGTGGCCCGTCATGACAAGGCCAACCATCATCCGCGCCGGTAAGCACAGCTTTTCTCTCAGCTAATTTATTTCGCTTTTTTGTTTTATGGCTTTGCCTTGGCCCGTGTTTTTTTGTTCCTCTTTGCCTTCTCTGCATGCAATCGCTGCTCACGGGCTCCGTTGGCCGATCTTCCCTCCTCCCACGTCCCCCTGGTACTGCTACTGGCTGCTGGCAGTGCTCGCTGTCCAAGCGCTGAGCTGCGTGCGGCTACGTCCAACGCCCAACCACCCACCCCTGGGAATCCTTGGCCTTGTCCCTGGTCGCATTTCCATAACCGTTCTTCCTTTTCTTCTTCTTTTCCTGTTACTGCCAATTTTGGTCCTTTTCCCCCTGCCTCTTAATTTTGCTTTCCATTTGGTGCGTTTTCTTCCCAAACTCGTGATATCCTCTCGGCCGGGCTCCTTCTTGTGTCTTGCATGCTTCCCCTCGTTTCACGTACGCTGCAGCAGCCAGAATAGGCGTAGCCGCTCGTGCACCCGCATTCCAACCAACCTCTTGCCTTGCTTTGGAGCCCGAGAATTCCTACTGGCGCGTCGCGGAGATCGATATCTTTTCGGACAAAAAAGGAAATCGGACACTGGTTCTCGTCTTTTTTTTTATTCTCCGGCCGTGTCGCAATCTGCATCATCATCATCACCATCGCTCGTTTGCTAACCGTTGGCTCCCTTTTGCCGCAAAAGACACCCTCGATCTGCGAGACAAGGACACTCATCACCCGACCGACACAAAGCAACAGTTCGCCAACTCTTCATCATCCGATCCTAGCCATCCTGATTCGACAGACCTCGCCCATCAGAAACCACACATTGGCGCTCACCAGGCCGAAACCCTCCGCGAGATTGCGCACGAGACGGCCCAGGAAGAGTTGCGCAGCCCCCGTCTTGCCCAGTTTGGCGGCGACTCTGATCAGTTCTACCACGACGAGCCCGAGCTGCATCCTGCCGAAATCGCCGCCAACAAGATGGACGCGTATCGACGACACGAGGAAGAGGCCTTGACGGCCTCCCAACAGGCCGCCCAGCAAGCTGCCGCTGCCCATGGCTCCGACTCGGAAGACGAGCACATGGAGGATGGCGACATTGACATTGAGGACGACATGATGGACAAAATCTCCAGCTCTCCTTCCATCGAAGATGGTACGTATCACTCCGCCGCCGCCACCACTGGCATCAGCAATGCTCCTGCGGCTGCTTTCTGGCCCAGGCGCGTGTCCTCTCTCCCATACAGCCCTAGGGATCACCCTCAGTTCCGGCGACAGCGATTTGCAAGCGCAATTTCTCAGCATCCATTGTTTTCCACATTGAATACCGCTCGTTCAGTGACGAGCCTAACTGTTGCGCGGTCCTGCAGTGACCCAACCTCACAGCCTAGTCATCTTCTTCAATCTCTTCGCGGTGAGTATGGCCATCGGGCCCCGATTCGACTTGCCTTGGACGCCAGGCCACAACAGGTGTACACGCCCCCGAGGCTCTCCGAAACGGTTTAGGAACCCAGACCGGACGAGCCGCCAGATGTAGCATCCATTGCCCACGAAACAGAAGTAGCAGCATCACCAGACGAAGGTGTAACCGCCGACGTTGAGTCAAACTACTCGGACTCTCAGAGCGATGATGACCACAGCATTCTTGAAGTTACGGAAATTATCAGACAAATTGAAGAGACTGTCGAAGATGACGCTAGTGACCCCGAATCACACGACGCACTTGACATGGACTTTACCAGCGACGAAAGCTTACCAGACTCAGAGGACATTGACTTCGACTTCGTATACGCCCTGCATACCTTTGTCGCCACAGTTGAGGGCCAGGCCAACGCAACAAAGGGTGACACCATGGTTCTCCTGGACGATAGCAACAGCTACTGGTGGCTGGTGCGTGTCGTCAAGGACAGCAGTATTGGTTACCTTCCCGCAGAGCACATCGAGACCCCTACCGAGCGTTTGGCCAGATTAAACAAGCACAGAAATATTGACGTAAGCTGACCTTCCATGCACACTCTGTAACATGACAAAACTAACGGAAGCAGTTGTCCGCCACCATGCTTGGAGACCAGGCTACCAAGCCCAAAAAAGCCTTTATGGGCATGAGCAAGAAGCGAAAGACGGTCGTCTTCTCTGAGCCTACATATGTAGACTACTCAGACTTTGACTACTCTACAGACGAGGAAGATATGGAGGAGCTGCTGGGTGCCCAAGAAGGACAGGTCCAAGAAAAAACTGCCGAGTCCGCCGAAGGCCAAACAGACTCGGGACCCAACGTCGAGGTTATACAAAACGGACACAAGGAAGATGAAGCTGTCGTTGCTGGCGACGAAAAGGCTGCCGTTGCCAAGAAGACGGAGCCCACGATTAAGGAAGTCCAGCAGGATTCTGATGACGAGCTTATCGAAAGCACCGTCGAGGGCCCCAGCCGCTCGAGGAACGGCACGGTTAGAAACACGGACTCGTTCTTCAAGGACAGCTCAGAGACCAAGAAGATGACTCTCACGCCTAACCTACTGCGCGACGATAACGTCTCGTCACCGCCAGATGCTGAGCGTGATAGACAGGCGGTCATGGACAAGTTTGAACGGGAGCTTGCTACCCCTGACAAGGAGAAGAGAAAGAGCAAGGACAAGAAGCCTAGCGCAATCCGCAACTTTTTCTCTAGAAAAGAAAAGAAGCGGGCGCAGGACGACGACGACGAGTCGTTTGGCAAGCGGTCCATGGATATCATGTCAGAGCCTCGCGACAGCGACGACCGCTATGACGAGGCCAGCCCCGAGAAGAACAGCCGCAGGCTTCAAAAGCCTCAGCCTCGCTCGGAGCCCACATCGGGCACCCGCAAGGTGTCTGTTGGTGCAGCCCAGAAGCAGACAGTCGAGCTTTCGTCGTACCTCTCAGAGACCAGAACCAACGACGTGTCGTCGGTGCCGCCAGCATCGATGCGCATTACCGACCCCTACACACAAGAGACGCGCGAAGTCCCCTCCAACCAGCAGACAGCGGCGTCAAGAGAAATCTCACAAGCCAGCCCGGAGCCTACGCCAGTGGCATCGCCCAGCAGCGGTGGTGCCATGTCTGCACTGTCCAAGATTGTGCCGAGGAGAAGCCCGTCGTCAGGCTCCGACGTCAAGCCTCAAAAGACAATCAAGGCCAAGACACGTATGGAGCTGGAGATTTCATCCGAGTCCGAGGCCGAGCACGAGGCAGACGTCGTGGTACACTCGCCGCCGTCCAGCATCGACGAGGAGGCCGCTGCCATCATCCCCACCAAGGAGGCTGTCACGCACCACCCGTCGCCCAGCGTGGGATCCAACCCGCCTGCCCTGGTGGCAGACACATCGTCCACAGAAGCCCGAACGCCCGAGGCCACGCCGTCGCCTGAGCCCACGCTGTCCAAGGAGGGCAGCACCAAGGCTCCCACATGGGACGACGGCAAGCTGCGGTCCTTCTTTGACGACGGCGAGCACGTCCGCGACCTGCTTGCCGTTGTCTATGACAAGAACGACCTTGGCCCTGTGGGTATGGACCACCCTATTGCCGGCGGCCTGTTCCGCGAGCAAAACGCCAAGCTGGCCGAAATCACAACGCAGCTGGACAATCTCCTCGGCGACTGGCTGTCCCGCAAGCAGCGCACGCGCGGCAGCGTATAAGTCCTCTGAGTGAGCTTTTATCCTGTCTGGTGTACCTACCTGCTTTCTTCTCTTGTATCATTGCATCCCCCCCTGTTGCTGTGGCCTCACACGACGCATATATAGAATCTTCTTGCTTTTTTTTTCTTTCGCCTCTGGTTTTGGGCGGAGATGTCTTATGACTTTATGGATGGAGGTGCAGAGTGATCTCTGACTTCTGTGGTGGTGAATGGTGATGGGAGTGGTTTGTTTATACCCGTGCTGATATCACCTTTTTCTTACACTCGTTTGTTTTTATATTTTTTACCTGTATAGCGTGTTTTTTGTTTCTAGAGTTAGGATCGGTGGGCTGTGCATAGGCTTTTCACAGTAGTTTTCATTCGCTGGAAGGTTTCCTTGTTTTTTTTATGTTCTGTATAGAGTAGGGATTACATGTATTATGTCTGTCTGACTAGTATGTCAAAGAATTCAAATGCATCTAAAGAAAAGTGTCTGCTGTTGTTGAGAGTTGCCGTGCTAGATGTCGAGAAGTGGAAATGATTCGGGTTGTACTGGTGGGAGGGGGTATAATGAAAATTGGTGTGTAAATGATGTGACTTAAGGCTACAAAATAGTAGCTCTGTGCGGGTTGTTGGGGAGTAAGTCTGGACGTTATAGTATGTCTAGCCATTGGAAATAGCTCGCAAGACTTACAGATGATATATGTATTGCCTTTGAAATTGGATTGGAAGCACCTGAAGATGAACAGCTGTGGTAGGTGGTAGGTGTTATAAGACGAACTCTTCGGGCCTCCGCGGGTTGATGGATGCTATGCTGTCTTGTAATCCAAGAGATCTATGACAATGCATGTCAAATCTACAAATAGAGAGTCATCTCGGTGAGCAGGGCAGCAAGTTGGCTGCTAGCCGCACATATATACACGACAACACATCGATAAGAGACTGAAGATTAGGGGAACTTTGTTTATTTTATCGTTAGACACATCATATGCCTCAACCTCTACCAAACGAAAACCAGCAAAGAAGAAACAAAGTACATCAAACAGACAGACCGCCATACAAAAAGTACGACGAGCCTCGCCCTCTCAAGCCGCGTGACCTCGGACAACATGCGAAACAAAAAACAACGTTCCCCGTTGGTCCTTTTCACTCCCCATCTCCTCGTACAATCAACGCGGCCCAAAAACAAGACAAGACAAACCCCTCTTTACAGAGGAGTCTCTATCCCTCCGAATATACCAAAGCCTCCTCCCCCCGTCGAGACAGGGAACACATAAAGCTTCCGTTCATCTACCAAAAGAAGAGTGCACCCATGCACTCTCCCTTTATCCATTTCGTTGCGCCATGGGAAAGTTCATTTCCGACTCCCAAACAATAGCGTTTTGATTTTTTTTGTTGCTCCATGCAAAGGAAAAAGAAAGATTTGAGCAAGTACAAAAGATTTCCGTTAAGCCGCGCCGCCCCTCGCTGCGGCGAATAAGATGTAGGGATTGGGTGCCGAGGAGGGGGTATTTCGTAAAGAGATGTCGGGGCAGGCTTAAACCTCGGTGGTAACCTTGGCCTTGGAGTTGGTGACCTTGACGCCGAGCTGCTTGGCGCGGGCAATGATGTCGATGCGCTTGCGGGAAGAGACGGCAGAGGCAATCTCAGCGGCGTAGGTGCGGTTGTGCATGAGGAGGAGGTCGAGGTCCTTGACGTTGTTGACGAGGAAGGACTTGTGGCCAGAGGGCATCATGAAACGGGTCTTCTTGTTGGTACGGTAGCCGATCTTGGGCATGGGGATCATGCCGCGGAAGCGACGACGGACACCACCGTCAATACCCTTGGGCTTTCTCCATGAGGCATCGACGCGGTGGAAGCGGTCGGACTGGTGGCGGAAGAAGCGAGCAGTGCCTGCGAGGGGGGATTAGTATTTCGTCCTTCTCTGTGTCGCCCAAGGTTCCTCGAAACGGTTTCTCGCTGCCCATCAATCGTCTAGTTTCATAATTTCGTCTTGCGTAATTTGTCGTTTACTTCGTCCGGGCAGCGAGAATAATAAAACCGTTTGGGCTGGGTAGAGAGTGTGGGAAATAAACGTACGCTTCTTAACAATAGGAACGTGCTTCTTGGCGGAAACCATCTGGACGGGTGTTAGTATACTTTTTGTTGTACAATGAAAAATTATAAACAAGCAGATGAATTATAGCATCATTCGCAAGTTCATTCGAGACGGCGGGCGAGCGTACCTTGACTGTCGTGGATGGCTGTTGGATATGACCTTCTTACCTTGCAAACTCTCGATGGAAATTTTGCGGCGGGTTGGGATACACACTATTCGCTTGGGGCACCAGCAGGTTCCCCGTTCCAAAGGGTTTAGGGCTTCGAGGGTCACGTGCGGGTGCTGTTTTGCATGCAAAAAAAACAGCACTGCGTACGGCGTTGTATGTTGCAGCAGATGGAAGGGGCGCCCCGCTATTTTCTGTCCGCCCACAAAAACCAGTAGTACGAAGTAAGTCTACCTTGTGCTGGTGTTCCCAAAACGGACTAGCGTCGCTTAAAGGGCACAAACCCTCAAAAAAAATCCGCGCCAGCCAAACAGTAGTGCCTCTCGACCGCCCAGCCGAACCGTATCGTCCAGCCCGTGAACGACAAAGGAAGACTCATCCCCCTCACAACTAATCCTCCAGCAGCAATCATGTCTTCGTCACAGATGGTGCAGTGCTTCGGCAAGAAGAAGACGGCCACCGCCGTCGCCCAGTGCAAGGTTCGTAATACCTGCCGTCGCCCCTACGAATTTATCGAATTATCGTCGTCGTTGTCGACCACCACTTCCGAAAGCTCTTTTCTCTCCTCCGACCCGTTGTTGTGATGTTGGAAAACGGACACGTTGGCAAAGCCATGAGACGTGGGACAAATTACTGAAACGGCTGCGCAAAACAAACCCTCGACAAACTCGTCCACGGACGCGACGGAGGGGAGACTGAGCTTTTGAGAAGGACGACTGCTTCCGATATTCGATCACCACCACATCGTAACGAGACCTTAATTGCTAACTGTTCTTGTGTTCTATAGGCTGGCCAGGGCCTCATCAAGGTCAACGGTCGCCCTCTCTCTCTCGTCCAGCCTGAGGTCCTCCGCTTCAAGGTCTACGAGCCCATCCTCGTTGTCGGTCTCGACAAGTTCGCCAACGTCGACATCCGCGTCCGCGTCACCGGTGGTGGTCACACCTCCCAGGTCTACGCCATCCGCCAAGCCATCGCCAAGTCCCTCATTGCCTACTACCAGAAGTTCGTCGACGAGCACTCCAAGAACCTCCTCAAGCAGGCTCTCGTCCAGTTCGACCGTACCCTCCTCGTTGCCGACAACCGCCGCTGCGAGCCCAAGAAGTTCGGTGGTCCCGGTGCCCGTGCCCGCTACCAGAAGTCTTACCGTTAAATGCGAAACCGTTCCGTCACTGGATTCTGTTTTGCGTGCGGTTTTTCAGACGTGCTGTATGTGGCTTTGGTCTGCCAACCTAGCTTCATACCACACTATATCTGAGGACGGCGTTGAAAGGGATAGGATTTTCATTGCATAGGGAAGAGATATATGGGATATGTTTTTGTTGGCGGCACGAGCCACAAGAGGACGAAAAGAAAAGTCTCTTTGGTCGTGGCCGTCTGTATGAACGGAAAAAGGGTAGAGCAGCGGATGAATCTTTTTTTTGTCATGCAATCCAAAAGGAGGGGCTTTCTTGGTCCAGCCAGGATGTCCCCTTGGGCTCTAGGAGGGCAGAGAAGAATAATGTTCTCTTAGAGGGCGTTTTTATTTGCGCTGCGTTGCCTACGTGCAAATGAATATTAAAAAAGAAATTTCATAAAAACTACTGGTCTCTGTCCCTCTGTGCAGGTTTCGTAAATTCATAAAGCTACATAACATATAACATTACATGTCGTTAGTTTGTCTCGTCCTTTATTCGGACCACGAGACAAGATCCTTCTGGCGGCCTTCACCATCCAGCTCAACAATCTCTGGGGCATATTCCCCTCGCTCATCCTCTGCAGCAAGCTCCTCCATTTCCACCTCGACCTCCTCGCCATCCTCCATAATCACTTTACCCGTGCGTAGATACTGTGCCTTGATATCCCACCCAAGTGCCGCCGCCGCACCCTCCACCCTCACCAATGCCGTAGCGACAGCAAGTACATCCGGCACAGGATCTTCAGCTACAATCTCATCCAGCCTTCTCTGGTAAACCACCAGGGCCAATCGCAGATCCTTGCTCTGCGAGTCTCCCGTGGCCTGCAGAATCGACGAGTCCAGCCAATCCTGGTCATACGCAATCTGCGCCGCGAGTGTCCTCAGCAGCGCCGCAACCAACAGCGGCTTGCGCACTATCAGTCCATACGCCTTCAGAATGAGCTTCAGCAGCATATGCCACCACTGCTGAATACACGACTCATTCCCCAGATGCACACCTGTCATGTACGCAAACTGCATCTCGCCCACCACATCTGCATCCGAGAGCCCTGCCTCCTCCATCACAGCCAGAATATACGCCGTAGCATCCTTTGCCTCCTCTGATCTCTCCGCGCCAAACCTCGCCGCAGAGTACGTCTTGCCACGCTGATCAAAGCTAAAACCAAGCTCTCGCCCAGCGCCCGCCGAGAAGCGCCTCTCGAGCTCCATCTCGCCAGCAAGCAGCACCGCACCGCGCGCTTTATCTCCCGTATGTACCAGGACTGTGCCGTCTGCACCGCCAATCCGTCGGAGCACACTCGCTCCTATACTCCCCGTGAGTTGGCGCCAGATATCAATGTTGGCCGCCGTCTTGACCTCTCCGCTCGCGGACGGGTCTTCGTAGGATATAAGCTTCTGGTGGAACTTGGCGAGGTTATCGCGCTGGATCCGGGCTTCGGCAAATCCTGCTTCTGCTAAAACTTCATTGAAGCTGTCCCACTGCAGGACGTGGACTTTGTGTGAGGAGGTGCTCTCGATCCAGAAGCCACAGCGCGCAGACATGCCGCTTGGATGAGAAACCCAGAAGAGGTGCGGGCCGGACGGAACGTCTCGTACGCCGCCAAAGTGCTTTGCTGTGAATGATACGGCATCGTAGCCGACAGTGAAGACTTCAGGGAGATCCAGGACGAGCACGACGTCGCCCCCGCCAAGCTCATGGCTCATATGAATGGTGCCTTCTAGGCCCGGCATCTCGTCCTCACCCTCTTCCATCAACGGCGGCGGTCCATCGTCTGTCGGTGTTTCTACCTTATGCACCTGTAGTGATCCCAGAGGATGTACTCCAAGCACCGGAACCGAGTCTACTGAGGCGCGACTGGCCGTGGACTCTGTTGTGAGCAGGCGGACAGGAAGAGGTCGGTTGTCTGGCGCGGCCATGGCCGTCCTTTGCGATAGCCGCAGGAGATAGATGCTAAGCGCGCGTTAACTAGTCTTGTTTGAAAACTGGAAGAATAAAACGGCTGATAAAAAATTAGGCGAAATGATAGTAATACAAGGAAAGGTGGTAGATAGTGGCGGGTGTCAGACCTATGCAGAAACCAAAATCTCTGCCCCACCAAGAACAACTACGTCACGCAGCCAAGCTGGCCGCCACTTATACGCCAAAACTCGTATATAACACAACTCTCACTGTATAGAGATAATCAAATGCTACGGATAAATATGTATATACATGCCCACTGTGTTGTCAGGCTCTTCCTACATCAGCCCGAGCGGCTTCCAAACGCCACCCAACTCTGGCTTTTCGCCGCATTGGGCGTATCAAAGAATTCAAGGACCCGTAGGTCATAAACAAAGTAAAACAAAGGCTCAAAAAAGTCAAAACATATCTCAGAGACAAATGAAAACGTAGAGAAAGGGCGTCTGCCGCCATCAAGTGACGGGCTTACACACTGGGCTGCCCTATACCCCCACATGGGAGGCATCAGGCAAGCCATAGAGAAAAAAGGAAAAAGAAGCAAAAGTAGTCGCAGGGCCGAGTCTCTCAAATGCCGGTGCGTGAAGGTAATACATGTACAGGAATCAAAGAATGGATGGGGTATCGCTTTAGTAGCCGTAGATGCCTCTGTCACGACGGTTGAGCTTGTTAGTTCTCCAGCCCTCGTACCACTGCTCCTTGCTGGCTTGGCGCAGCTCGGGTCGCCACTCAGAAAAGACAGACTCCTTGAGGCGCTCAAAGTCGCAGTGCTGCTCATTGTAGGGATCAGCAACGCCCCAAGCGAATTCGCGGCCGACGACACTGGGATCGTAGGGATCGGGGCTGATGATGGAGAGGGGAAGGAATGGGACTTCCTCCGACTCTTCCTGAGAGGCCTTGTACTTAAGAACCGACTGGGTCGAGAGTCTTCTGTTGGGTGTGTTTGTGGGAGATTCCTTGGGCGACGCTTGAGGTGTGACTTGAGGGCCTTGAGAGAGGGTGTCCGAGTCCCTTCTAGGGGTAGAAAACTGGGTGACCATTTCAGTACCGGTAGGTGTCGACACTTCCTCCTCCATACCCAATGCCTCCAAGGGGTCGAGATTGGCAGCCTTGATGGCGGTCCAAACAGAGCGCTTCAGTACACGCATGTGCTTGGTGGTGATGGTGTCGGCCTTGGCAATGACGGGGACAACGGTTGTCTTTTGGTGGAGCGTTCTCATCACCTGCAGCTCAATGTCCTCATCCAGTGCTCCGGCACCAGTATTCTTTAGAGGAAGGTGGAATCCGCTCTGGCGGCCGCTGGCAGACATCTTGCGAGCCTTGTCAAGGTTGCGATCGAGGCGGATGGGATCCAGAAGGAGGAAGACGGTGTGAATGTGGGTGTCCTGCACTCCTGGGGATCGAACCACCTTGCGCTCCTCGCTAAATGTATCCTCAAACTTGCTCTCGATAAAGGCTTCCATCTCGCGAAGCTGGAGATCAATCATGTTCTTGTCCAAGCCCTCCGAGTCCCAAATGGTCAGGCCCACTCGCTCATTGTCGATTTCGGTCTCGAGATAGTTGGGGACAAAGTTGCCAGAAGCGGGTACCGGGATGCGGAATTCGTCTTCCGCGCTCTTGTTGGCTCTCTTTCGTGCAGGGAGAGCAAGGGCAGTCTTGAGAAATTCGATAAAAGATGTCTTTCCAGCACCGGCGGTGCCAATAACAAGAATGCTGCAGCCCGTGTTAGTATACACTGATCTCTGAAAGCATCACCACGATAACAAGGTAAACTTACTTGAAGGGAGTGGGATCTTTGCGTCTTCGAACCCTTCTAGGGCTATTCAACGTGCTGACGGCACTGCTTGCATAGCTATATCGGCCGCGATGGGCCATGCTCTCGGAGCGAGCAAAGGGATCAAAGGCAGGCGGCTGCCTGACCTGGGAGAAGACGGAGTTGCTGGTAAGAGATCGGTTGAGTTCGCCGTTGGCCGAGGCCATCTGGTAGTTTTCGCTGTAGTGGTACTGGGGGTTGTCGAGCTGGAGAGTGGTGCTGAAGGACTTTGCGAGCTTCTCTGCGTCGAGATCGGGCAGGCGAGGCGGCATCATGGACTTTTGGCGCTCAAGCTCCGCTTCACGGGCCTCTTGCGCCTGCTTTCTGAGGTTTGCGCCGCTGAGGGTGCGCTTGAGGAGCCCTCCAAAGGAAGGACGGCGGGTTGGTGCCTCCATCTCGCTCGCTTCTGGTTGTTTGGTGTTTCGTTTGTCTGGTGGGGGAAACAGCAACGGGCAATGCGATATACTTTTTTCTTTGGCAAACGGTGTTTCCTGCTAGCAAACCGGTTTTAATTTTTTCAAACTTTTTTTCCTCAGTCTGTTTCAAAAAAGAAGAAACCAAACGATCAGTGCAGATCCAATCCAAAACGCTGCCTTTTTTTTTTTAAGCGGTTCGATCGCAGCGCCGATGACGAGTCAAGGCACGCAGCTGAAGGATTACCGGTTTTGACTGCAGACTACGCAATGTAGATGCGAAAAAGAAAGGAAAAGAAACAGGGAAACAGGGACTGGAGACAGTGTGTAAAAGACGTCGTCTAATGATCGAGGCAATGTTTCTTTGTCGCGGCAAAAAAAAGAAGAGGATGTGAAACACGGCGACTATTCTGGGCGTGGGCGAGGTGCAAGTGAGACTCGGGGCGTAGAGAAGAAAGTAATGGTCTTGCGGGATGTCTTGTATGTGTAGAAGGTGAGTTGAAGAAGTGAGACGAATCGACAGCAGCGCCGGTGAAGACAACGCGAGAAAATGGAAGAAGAGAGGGAAAAAGCAAAGATGGGCAGAGGAAAGGAAACGAAGCCAATCCCGGGGGCCGTGTGGAAATGGAGGTGGTGCCGTTGGTGGTGGTGGTGGTGGTGGTGCCGTCAAAGTGGTGGTACGAGGGAACACGGGAGACGCCAAAGCGCGACAGTGCGCTGTAGCGGAAGAGGATAGCCACTAAAAAAACAAAACCTAGAGAGCTGTATGCCAGCTGAAGCACCAGCCAGTGGTTCTACAGTACGCCAGTTTACACGCTGCGGCGGCGGTTGGAAAACCCCCCCGCGGCCAAATACCGCATTCGGCACTGCACGAGGAGCCCGTTACAGGTACAGTAGCAGTGCATGTCGTTAGCGCCTACAAGGGGGGGCCAGGGCTGCCCAGGTACCCAGCCAGTAAACGACAGAGAAGTCCTGTAGAGCGACTACTGTACAGAGTAACTAACTACAGGGGAGACCGCCACCCCAGCGCCAAAACGTGCCGCATGGTACAAGTGGAGCTGCGGGCGATTTGCTGCAGAATCCTTGTACCTTTTTTCGACTGCGTGCCACATCGCTTCGGTTCCTGCTGTGCTTTTTTTTTCCCATCCGATTACAGTACTTACCCAACCTGGTCGGTCCCGGTCCCTTGGGCACGCTTACAGTACTTTACTTTGTACCTTTTCTCTTTTTACCCTACTGGATTACTTCTACAGCGCTCAACAAGCCCCTGGAATCCCTCTCGTGTCCCAGCCCGCGTCCAGTGGTAGTGGAGGCTTAGGTTTTGCGCGATTCACACCGTGTAAGCCGCTCTCTCACCTAAATAGCCTTTTTATGCTATCCGTCTTAGTCGTCTCTCTCTTCAGCTCTTTTTGATTCAGCTGTTTCTTACACGAGATTTTAGTACTAAACTCTATTCATGGCCTTACGCCGCACAGCCATCCCATCCCCTTGTATTTCCTCATTGCTCTTATGCCATTTTCACAATTCTTCCATCCAGCATGTCCCCTATGCCCCCTTCTCCACCCACTAAAGAATCCTTAGCGCCTCCATGTCCCCTGAATCGGCCCACTTCAGTGGCCGCTGCGCTGGAGCAGTCGGTCCAATCCCACCGCGCCGTCTTTCGCTACTCTACAGTCTACCACCAGTCACTCACAGCAGTCGCTAGAAAGAAACCCCCGCGTGCAAATCCCACTTTGCCCCTAAAACAAATAGTCCCAACTGCTTCTGCTTGCTTCGTAGCCAGTCAAACAAGTCAAAAAAGAAAACGACGATCCAACCGCCCCATCTCTCTCTCACGCCCCCTTTTTTTCTTTGCTGTTTCTCGTCTGATGCATGCCCAAGCGTGCACATCGCAGCAACCAACCCAATGTACACGTACCGTAACCAAGATACCCACGAAACGCATGGTAAGCCCGCGCTGTCAGTGCATTGACGTTTCGCCCATGTGGTGCGTGCAGCATTGTTCCTCTTCCTTTTGTCTTCCCTTTTGCTTGGCCCAGTAAAATCCTCGTCTCCACCGCCACGCCGCCACCGGCTGGGCTCTCTGCCTTTCGGCGTCGCCTGGGTACTGTTAACAGTACCGCTTTCATGCATTGCGCCAGACGATGGGCGTCAGGGGTACAGGAACGAAATCCAGCAGGCAGGGCCTGCTAAGCTAGAAAGGACCAAAAAAAAGAGGGCCGTTGCAGAAAACAGAGCACTTCGCAGACAAAGTCTTCAGCAGCAGCGCACCAGCAAGGGTGGATATGGGACCGTGAAGAAATCAATAGCGTAGGTCTTGCTGCTAGATCCCTGGGACTTCCGCGATCCCCGGAGGCATGTGTGATGCTGCAAGTCCGGTCACAGCAAAGCACGTATTACGTCTGCTGAACCATGTATATTCTCCCGTGGTGCAACGCTACACACTAGGGTATTCCCGTTCCCGTGCCTGTCTCGGACTTGCTAAGAAAGAAACCAAAAAGGCAAGTTGCGGGCAAAATAGAGTCAAGAATGCTTGTATTGTTTTCATATCGTACAATGGCCCTGTCCGTCTGTCTTGCCACGTCTAACTACTCTACTACCCTCGTATTTCTATGACGCAGAAGAAGAAGAAGAAATAAAATAAAATAGAGTAGAGTACAATGTTTGTCCGATGCCCAACTAGTTGTGTCTAGCCGTCAAACACCTCGTGCTGCAGCTCAATGCCCATGTCCTGCGCCATGTCCTTCATCTTCTGCTCCATCTCGTCCTCCATGCCGCCGCCCAGACCGAGCCACTGGCGCGCCTTGTAAAAGTAGAATGCGACATCGCTGGCCGTAATCACCATCTTAAACACCAAGTGCTGGTACATGTTGGTGACTCTCTTGTGCCACGGCAGGTCCTTGGCCTCAAACAGCGCGCGGCTCGCCCAGTTGCCCATAATCTTGATGCGGTTGACCGGCGACCCCAGGTACTGGTTGTTGCCCTGCACAATGCGCATGTTGCGCCCGATAAAGATGAGCTCCTTGGGCCACTTGTCCTCGTCGGCCAGCAGATCCCGCACGCCCTTCTTCATGCGCTGCTCCATCTCGTAGTGCCGCTCCGCCCGCGTCTTCTTGCTCATCACCTCGTTGATGCCCTTGCGCGTACGCCCGTCCCCGCCGTCATATGGACGCATCAGCGTTGCGCTGGCCATCAGGTCCGGCGCCTTGATGCCCCACTGCTCCGTGATGGCCGCCACCGTCTTGTTGTCAAACGTCATCAGGGCCTTCCAGAACGCGCCGTACTCTTGTCGGAACTTGGATGACATGTACACGTACAGGCCGTGGTCGATGAGCACAAGCTCGGCTTTGCCGTTAGGCAGGCGGCGCACAAAGATGTTCCCGGGGTGAGGATCGCAGTGTACGACGCCCCATTTGAAGATTTGCGCTGAAAACAGGTCAATCATGATTGTCATGACTTCCTTGGTCGATAGGCCTAGGCCGCCGCGGCCGCGGGGACCCTTCCACTCTTGACGCTCGGGCTTGTAGAATTCTTGGTACGGGTTGACGCGGATGCCGTGACGGATGGCGTCCATGTCGGCAGCTGGCAGAGGGCTTCTGGCGCCAGGTGTTCCCTTGCCATAGCCGCCGACCCAGCGCGATGTAAGTGCCTTCTTGTCCCATAGACGCACGCCTTCGATCCATTCAGCCGTGAGGATGCGCTTCGAGGAGAGGTCTGAATATACTTCGGGGACGTAGACGCGGCCCTTCATGCTTCGCTCCGAGTTGATGAGGTCGCGCATCGTTCGCGAGTTCTTCGCCTCGTTGACAAAGTCGGTCTCGAGCTCGAGTCGTTCGGCGACATAGGGAACCATGCTGTAGAATGGCAAGTCGAACCACTTGGAATAGATCCACGTTACGGTCCTGTTGAATTGTTAGCACCCAGCACAATGAGCCCCGCCATGCAATGTCCAATACTTACTTGAACGCCCACAGATCCCACGAGATTTGCTTGGCAATCTCCCGCTTCTGTACTTTGATAGCTACCTCTCTGCCATCCGGTAGTCTCGCCCAGTGTACTTGGGCAACGCTGGCACTAGCTCTCGCCTTCTTCTCCATGACGCCGTATCCAGCCTTACCCGTAAAGCTGACGCCAAACACCTCCTCTACGCTCTTGCCAAAGTCCTCTCTGATAACGGCTTCGACATCGCGCCAGTCGTTTTGCGGCGCATCGTCAAACATACGCGAAAACATCTTTTGAAACTCGGGCGGCAGCACTGCGCTCTGCATGGCCACAGCCTGACCAATCTTGAGATACAGGCCGCCATTGTCACGCAACAGGTTGAACAAGCGTTCAGCATTGCGACGGTGCACATCCTGAATAGAGTTGCCGATCCACGGCTCCGGTCGGAAGTTCATCTTGTAATCCAGAGCCACGAGGAGCGTCGTCGCAAAGGTTCGGGCGGACCGGGTAAGCCCGGCGGCGTACACGTAGTTGTCGACAGCGTAGACGGTGCCGCCAATGACCACGAGCCAGACAAGGCGCCGCGTCCACTTGCGGCCCTTTTTGTATTGCTTGGCCGCCTTGGGTGCGCCAAGCTCGGCGGGTGATGGTGGTCTCATCGGTTGGAACGGCCCTCCGGACTGGTACCGGCGGGCGAGGAGGTTAGCGGCCGGGGAGGGCACGCGACAGCTCCGGCTGGGACGGGCGGATGCCCTGGCCGCGGCAAAAACGCCGCGCTGTATCGATCGTGATATCATCGTTTGTTGTGTGTTGCCATTTGTGTCTTTCGTGGGAAGAGCGGGCGGCGCGGATGGTTTTGATACTCGCCGCTGGCGACCTTGGGGGAAAAAGTTGGCCTGGCAAGGCCGACGTGCTTCCGTCACCTTTCGGCGATAGCAGATAAGCGGGGATTAGAGCCTCGGGGAATTGACTACACCGCGACGGGCAATTGAGAGTGCGGACATATCAGGAAAATTCTCCCATTTTATTTTTTAGTTGGTTTGGGGGCTGGTTTTGTATATTAAGGTTGTGGTTTCTTGTAAGAGAGACCTTGTAACATCTTCACTCCATGAAGTACGCCATAATCTGTACTGATCCTCGGATATCGCTGAGGATTGACGTCAGTGCCACATACAATATCAACCAAACTGTTCCAATCGGCTCGGAAAATCCCACAACAGACAATTAGCGCTTCTAAATATATTGTATCCAGCCTTAACTAAATGAATTTATATAAACTATACATCCAACTAAGAAAATGGTCAAAAAGGTGTCGGCATAAAACGTGTAGGGTAGCTCGACGCGTCTCCACCCAATCACGTCGCCGCATCGCAAGACATCGTGACGCACCAAAAGAGACAAAGGCAGCAGCTGAAACTTGCATACAAAGCGCTTCTTTTTTCGGCTGCTGCTGCAGACAGCAGCATCTGCGTGTTCGACAACGCCGTGTCTCTCATGCAACCTATATCACCCCAGCAATGACGTAGAAGATGCGGCGCATGTATCTTGTCAATGCCCCCAATGTGCGCCAGATCAAACCCCCATGCTAGTCTGCTCGTCATTATCAAACTCTACCAGGATTCGCCGCAATTTTACCACGGCATATCAAACTGTCACGCATTGAACCAGGTGCCATTGCTCAATCCATGCGCCTAATATATTGGGTGGCAGTGTGGATATTGGCGCAAGCAGCACCCGCGCCAGCCTTGCGGCATTCCGTAATTACAGCGTTTTGCGTCTTTGCCCTTTGCTATCTCTGATTATAAAGATGGGCTTTTATTATCAATGGACACCGAGTGCCATTCTTCGTCTCAAGCGATACCCACATTTATGCCTAGCCAAGTGTACAATAAGGCGTCGGTGGTGCAGAACGCCTATACTGGACCGCGTTTACGTACAAGCTTCCTGTTGAGGTGTCAACGGGGCTCGGCGGGATGGAAGAAATAAAAAAACAATGCAAGGTTTTATCGGTACACTGTGCAAGCAAACAAAGGACCTCCTAGAACGGGAGAAAACTGGGTTTAAAGACTGCAGCGCAAGCCACATGTCGAGCCAAGCAGGCTTTGGGAGGCGTTTATGGCGTTTTTCCTTCTGTAGGTAGGTGAGGGGGAACACAAGGATGGGGGCAGCAAAATAGAATACGTCTGTGTGCAATTCGGGAATCTTGCAGTGGAATACGGATACGTCAATTGGATAGCGAGTGGCCCAGAATAGGACCAGGGAGGTATTTGAGCTGATTCGGAATGTGATGAATGAGAAACATCACCGGTCATGGGCTTGCCGTTCCACGTTCCAGCGGGCAGCCTGTAGACGTTGGCTGGCCGCCCACGCTGCAAGCCACTTTTTTTTTTGGGCTTGTCCGAGTGGGAGGCAGGTTTTCTCTGATTTTTGTAGCTTCGTGACAACTCTGTAAAAATGTATGGAAAATATGTCTTTCGTAGCAAGTATATGGAAAGTCACCTACTATTTTTTACTTTGCCAAATAATCGCGTCACCAAACTGTACGCATTCTCCACAGCGTCATAATTACAAGCTTCCGTCCCAAAGCCCACCCCCACCATTTTAGCACTCTTAGCGGCCCAGACCTTTCCCCTTCAGGCCCTCGCAAACCCCAAAAGTACGTGGTGTCAATAGCGCCTGCAGCCCCCCCCAAACGAACAGTTGCCCAGGGCTCCACAGGGCTCCTCTTTACCCCTGGCCCGCTGTGTAGCTGCTGCTGCTGCCCGCTCCTGCTCCCCCATCCCAAGGCGGACGGGATGTACTTCGCTTACACGCAACGTCTCTAAGTAAAACCAGGTACCCGGCCTTGGCCCTGGCCGCCCGTTTTTCTCCATCCACCCAACGCAATTCCCCTTCGCCATTTCTGGATGCTACACAGCACTGCCTGTGTTTGCTTGCACCGTGAACTTTTTTGGCTCGCGAGCGCAGCATCTTGGTTTTTGCTCGACTCTTTTCTTTTCCTTGTCGCTGGAAAGGAACATCGCGCCGCGCCGCTCTACAACCCCCAGATTTCCTACGTTGGCCCGCGGCAAATCACCCAACCCGCTCGTTTGATTGCGCACAAACTAGAGCGACGCAAAGAAAGTAACCTTTGGTTGCGTTGGATCACGGCGCGTTGCGACGACAAAAACAAACACCATCCAGACGAACTGTACAGCTGCTGGCAATAGCGAAAGCAAAGAAAAAACCAAGCCAGAGTGTTTTGCCCTCGACGATCCTGCGATCCTTGCTTCATTTCGAAACACCCACTCGACTTACCGCCCATGCACCCAGTTATGCGCTACATTGATTATCAGGTCGCTACAATTTTTCAATAACCAGCACTTCCACCTCCATTGCAAATAAAAAACACGCTTGAATTGCCCGCCTGCAACTGCAGAATCTCGCCAAGATGATGCGCCCAGCGACACCACTGACTGTGGTGCTGTTGGCCGCGTTTGTCCTGCTGCTCATATCGGTTCTCTCGGTTCCAATCACAAAGTCCATCGCTCTCGCTAAAGCCGACGACGTATCTTTTGGTGTATTTGGCCACTGTAAGGCAGATGGTTTCTGCAGCCAGATTGGTATCGGCTATGACCCAGGTTTGTAGTACTTCACTTCGCGGCACTTCGACAATAGCTAACAGTTTGCAGCCTCTGCTCTTAGCGCTGACACAAACAAGTCTTTCACCATGTCAAACTCTGTGAGAAAGACTCTTAGTGCTATTCTTATCCTCCACCCTGTTGCTGCTCTTCTTACTCTTATCATGTTGATTCTCGGTGGTGCTTCGCACATGCACTCAGCATCGCACTCCGCTCGCTACCTCCTCGGTGTCCTCATCTTCACCTTTATTACCTTCTTGATCTCTCTCGCCTCCTTCATCATCGATATTCTCCTCTTTATGCCTCACATGGCCTACGGCACATACCTCGTTTTGGCCGCTACCATTCTGCTGGCTGCTGCCGTCGTCATTCTCTTTGCCATGCGCCGCACAGTCGTTGGCCGAAAGGCTCGCCAACGCAGAATTGCTGAGAATGCTGAAATGAGCGGCGAAAACTTTTACAATAGAGAGAACCAGATCCAGCCGAACCCGATCCCTCCACCAATCCCCATGTCTAGCGGAGCCAACAACGCTGGCGATGGCTTGCCTGCTTTTGCTACCTTTGAAAACAAGCCCAAGGAAGATACTGTAAGCGACGAGCGCATGCCTCTCACCAGCTCCGCCACCGATAGATCACCTAGCGCACATCCCAGTGAGATTAGCCGCTCTACCTCGAGGGACCGCTACGGAAACCCGATTAACCAGCCCAGCGATGCCTACAGCATGCAGAATGGCCCGGGCTACAACCAGCGTGGCAGAGGCGGTATGGGCCCTCCTCGCGGTAGAGGCGGACCTCGCGGCGGTTATGGATCTCGCGGCCGTGGTGATGGCCCCGGAGGCTATGGTGGCCGTGGCGGATACGGATCCCCACGAGGACGAGGTGGATATGGTTCCCAGCGTGGCGGATATGCTGCTGGAGCGATGGGCATGGCTGGTCGTGGTGGCATGGGTCCCCAGTCCAGTCGTGGACCTAGCGAGTACGGCGACGATGGTTATAGCCAGCCCTCTGATAGATCACAGCACGGCTACTCCAACAACGGTGATTCTCAGTACGGCAGTGAACTCGCTCGCGCCGAATCTCCTCCCCCTCTACCGACTGAGCAAGGACCGCACAACGGTGCAGTTGAGATGGACAGCGGAGCTGGCGGCCACCCTGGCGGCTACGGTTATGGTCACGATAATGCGATGCCACCCCCAGGTCGTCCTGGTTACATGAGCGATGGCAGCAAATACAGCACCGATCAGTACGTTCCGCCTCGTGCGGCTTGGAACCAAGATGGTGGCTCGGGACGTAACAGCCCACGCGGTCAATCACCAGTCCAAGCACCCAGATCACCCATCGACCAGCGTGGTCCTGGACCCCAACAACCCCAACAGGGCCAATACTACGACGATGTTGCGCCTCGCTTCGAAGGAGCGCCTCCTCAGCCCCGCAGCCCTGTGCACCACTTACACCCACAGTACTCGCAGTACCCTCCTCAGCACGGTGACCAGCCCTACGAAGATGTCCATGCTACTGTTGGGGGCGCCCGATCACCCGCTGAATCTGACCACTCCAACTTCACCTCCATCTCTCAACGGGGCGTCAACCCTCGCTGGAACGGACAGGGCGGAGGCCACCCAGCCATGCCTAGACACGGTAGTGCCCATCGTGCTGCCCAGCAGCGCCAGGACATGATCCTCGACAACGCTGACTTCCAAGTCCCTGGATCATCACGACCCAAGCGCGGCCCAGGCGGCGGGGGTATGGTTCCCGGCAGCTCGTACCCCAACCAGCTGAGATAATTGCAAACATCACTCTTTCTTACAACATAAAACCACTTTCTCTCTACAACTTTTCTTTTTCCCCACCCTGTGTTGGTATACTTTTAAGTTTTTCTTTCGGTCAAGCTGGAGACTTGCCAAAGCGCATTTTTACCTCGAATATATACGGTTCTGCTGAGCTTTCGAATGGGGCTCTTTCCCCCCTCTTAACTTTTTTCTTTTTATCTGCATTTTGACCTCGATGGAAGGATGGATTATACGGATGTTTGGACTATGTCTTTTTGTTTTATGCGAGCGGGAGATATGAGCCGTATGGACTGTATGCAATTTGTTATGACAACTGGTCTTTACTTACCGGAAAACTCTTTTACATAGCAAATACGGACAATATTGATTTACCATCAACATGCTACTCCTGTGCAAATGTGAAGCCGCAGAGGTGGACACGGTTACTGGGCAGCAGCTTGGGCGGTCCGGCGCCAGCTGGCAGACAGTCAATTGCCAGTTGTCAGCTGTGCAATGCGCGTCTTCTTCTTCCCACTCTACCTCTCCAATTAAGACCAAGCCGAGCTTTAATAAACCGTTTTCTTTTCACTCGTTGACACATTACGCCCAGTGTCGTGAAAGTTGACGAGTCTCTTGCCATTGGACAGCTATTGAGATGATTTTGATGCTTGTTGGTGATTATTGACCATACTTCCAAGGCATTGTTGCGTGAATTTTGGACATTTTTTTCTTTTTTAAATTATACAATATTTCTTCTTTGAAGATCTTCTTTCTTGGATTGTATTGGTAAGTTTGCTTGAAAGCCGTCTCAGATGATGTTTGGGCTTCAAAGAAAGCCAATGAAAACAACTACAAAAAGCTTTCAAGCTTAGAAACCTTGTCTCATTTGTTATGCTTTATAATTATCATTGATCTGACACCTGCTTTCTTAGACCTAGTTGCTTCCCTCTCGCCAGACAGCAAAATAATTAATTGGAGAGAAGGAATTATTGAATCGATGGAGAAAGAACGAACACCGAGCCGGCCTGCATCAGCAAGCGGCCAGCAAGTTTCATCGCAGCCACAACCGACTTACACTACTGCTGGAACAATATACAATCCTAGTGCTTCGCAGCCATTACAGCCACCTACCAGACGCAGCCGATCTTTCAAGTGGACTGCTGGGAATGCCCATTCCGACTTGGCTCTTTTGCCTAGATCATTTTTGCATGCCCTGAGTGGTAGATATGGGACTGGCCAACCCTCTGTTCCCCAATACGCTCCTTTACAGCAAAATTACGATCGAGCTGCTAGTCCCCTCAAGACATCGGCCTTAAACGACACTATGACGCTGGTGCAGATACCCGAAGATGGCTTGAACATCCAGCTAACACCACAAAGCGAACAGACCATCCCTGATACTGAGGCAGAAATAAACGATGATGGAGATGATGAGGAAAGAATCAAAACTCTCACACTAACTATGACTACCAAATCATTGCAGAATCTGGCATCCTATCCTAATCCCAGCCAACGGTCCGCTCAGAAGGCTCTTAAAGTTGCACATGCTGCCAGGCTTCGTGCGAATCTACAATACGTACCCACTGGTGTTGATTTGGATTCTCTATCTATTGAAAAGTTGTCTTCCTATCCTACGGATGCCGGACTGTCAAGTGGTATACTTCGACACACACAGTCTGAACCGGCGCCGTTACGGCTTCACTCACAGAGGGCCGAAGCCAACGTGCAAGCCTCCTGCAGTCCAGATGCAGTGCCAGCTCAGCTTGGCAACAGGTCTCCAGTTGTGGCACACCTCAGCCCGTTGACGTATAGTGAGGCCGCAGGTGGCGGCCGGCCTTCGTCCGATATTTTGGTCGCGGGGCCAGGTGTTCCGCGCCCACTTACAGCTGGCCCGCCCGGACAACGCCAATACCGGCCGTCTACATTTGACTTGACTTTTGGTACTATGGCTTCCGCCACTGGCCGTTCGAAGACGGAGACTGACGGATACAACGAGCTGCGGGGATCGGCAGTGGCTGTCGGTCGACCAGCTAGCGCTGTACTGCACACCAAGTTGGACGGTGCATTAGCGAGAGGCGTGGTGGCCGTTGAACCGTCTAAGATGGATGAATTGGGATACACAGGCTATGGTGGGACATCAGCGCTGTCTGCGCTGGATCCATCAAACTCTATACAGTGGCGACGGGCAATCACACCACAGGATGGGGTGGTTAATAGACCACAGTGCAAGAACCGAACTGGGCGAGGTGATGCCACACGCTGGAGAGATCATCTTGACAATATATGGTTTTCTGGGATACGCGCTCTAGAAGACACATTGGCTCGTATTGACGGAGAGATGCAGCGAGCTATACCGGACGGACATGAGCAGCAGTCTGGCATTGCGAGCAGTGAACCAGTCTTGGCTTTGGCGCTAGCAAGTCTGACCTTGGCGGTGGAGGAACAGTCCTACCAGCCTGGCGGAAACTACCAATGCTACAGCGATGTCGAACTCAAGGCTCGACTACCAGGTCGCCAAGCTACGCGCATGTCCAGCCGGAGCGGATCCGAGTCTGGCATGTCGTTGCTCTACAGTCACTGGCAGACGGGAGAGGTTGGAGACGTGCCGGCAGAACAACCTCGCCTGCTGACAGGAGAATAGTTTTACAACATGAATAGCCTTTTTTTTTCTATTTTCATCAATCCGAACGCTGCAAGGCTTGAACGGGGATGTTTTTTTCGGAGTTTAACACGTGAGATTATCCGCCATGGGGTTTGGGACCAACTATGTATAGCTACGGCGAGGTGGAGAGGTTCGATTGGATGGTAATGTTGGGGGCTACTACGACGACTACATGGGATGCCGTGTTTTCCGAGCCTGATTATTTGGAGAGTGGCTATAGAGAACTTTGCTTAGCAAAATGGAACAAGTGCTTTCTTTAGCTGCAGCTTCAGGTGACGATGAGTGAGCGACAACCTGCATGCAAAGTTTAGCGAAGACGCTACCGGGGCGGGTACCAAGGGATTGGAAATGGCGCTAACTTAGGGAGGGCTACCACGATGTGGTTAGTTTAGGTGCTCCGCCAGGTCAAGCCTCCCCCAGAAGAAGGTTTTTTGTGAGTAGACTTTAGCGGAAGTCACCGCATTGTTGGATTTACAAAGGCTTTGTAAGGCCAAGAAAGGTGAGGCTATAGGAGACGGGATCTGGCATCATCAACAATGTCGGTGTGCCAAATCTACCATGCCATGATGGGACGAATGCTAATCAGAGGCTTTCCTCTATCTAGCCGCCATTGAAAACGTTCTCCAAGTTCAGCGCACGAACAATGTACTCTTCCGACGAATTGCGGTATCGTTACTGGTTAATATCCGGTGGTGGAGTGCCCTACAATGCGCATGGGCTTTTTGATTTTGCGACCCTTACTTTGATGACGCCTTTCATTTAGACCGCGATTTGTGATTATTGCACGGCTTTCTTCATTTATGAGGACGCATGAGTTACGGGTCTGCCATGGCGCTAGATGAGCACTAGCTAGCCTGACCTGACTTTTGTTGTTATTGCTAGTCAGAGCTGCCCCCCCTCGCGCTGAAGAGAGCCCGAGACTCCGCTAAAGAAGAAATATGCAGTGCGTTGATTTTGGTAGAGCTTCCGAGCATGACGTCTTTTTGGTGGGTGGGTTGGAAGTACACGAGGGCGTTGGTGGGCGCTAACGTGGTGGATGGGTGCTACGCTACTTTCTGTCGTTGCGATGTTCCGCCGTCTTTCCGCCAGGACGTGGCGCTGGCATTCGGCATGGGGAGAGCCATTGATGCGACGCTGGGGATGCTCATTGTAATTTCCTCGATGTGTTTTTGACTTCTGCGGTGACACAGGTGAGGAGACAAGAGGGATACCGATGGTGGAAATTGGCCGCTGGGCATCACTGACCGGCACGATATTACGATGGACACCTAGACCTGGTTCGTGCGAGGTGGAGAGTTCCGATTCCGTGTTGGTGGGCTTCAGCCTTCTTTGGCGTCGAAGGCCTGGGCCAAGTCAAACCTTTGAAACTAGGAGGAAATTGTTGGAACCTGACGCAGGAGACAAGAAGAGAGCCCCTACAGACAAGCTGGCCGGTCTACGCTGGCGGCGTTGCTTTTGTAGTGGCTTTCTGCCGGGCCAAAGTCTCAGAATAGGGCTCGGCAGGTCTAGACACAAAGGATCATGGCCGATCTACTGCTATTGTGCTTTATTTTTAATGTAGGGGAAAGGGATGGCGCGGGGCCGGGCGATAGTCATTTCCATTTTGGGCGACGCCATCTTTTGCTTCTTGGTGCGGCTGTAGCAAGCCCCGTCCGCATGGGGAGAAATACGGACTGCTACGGTACGCTGGCCGTCCTTTTACGTACATGGCGCGCAATTCGCAAAGCTGGATGGTAACAGTGGCGGCTGCAAGACCCGAGCAGGGAGCGGAAGCACGGTGCCGGGCATGGTGGAACAGAGTCGCATTGCCGAGCATGACCAGTTTGGGATGCGCCTTGTTCAGGAGAGGCTGAACAGGACCTCTTTCTCGGGCTACTGAACGATGCAAGCGCCGCCAACGATGGGTCTCGAGGGCAATGACCGAGTTTTGATGGGCCGGGGGGGCCTTGTGGGTGCTAACGATGTGGTGGAGGTGGGTATTGGTGGATAGATATAGATGCGATGACCCGGCCCTGCTGTCCGACTGGGTTTTGTATTTTGAACGTGGACGAAAAAGCCGTTGAGATCTACAACTTTACCTGTTGCTAAAGGGAGCAACAATTGGACTGTGGCAGACGACCTTCCCATCACCACTTACAACTCTTCGATTCCCTACACAGTCTACACGATACCAGCCTTGCACGGGCCACCATTTCACCATGGTCAAGGTGCAAGCTCTTACTCTCCTCCTGGGGGCGATATCACATACTTCGGCCCTAAAACTGATGCCCCCTCGTCCACCTAAGTTGGGTGGTAAAGACCACTACGGTGAGGACCCCAACGCTGTGGCACTGCAAGCCGCTGCTCCAATTGGTCGCGAGTTGGACCGCAGTGGATGGCGTGTTACTTGTGACAGCTACGAAACAGGAAATGAATGCGAAAAGGCCATTGACGGCGATAACAACAGCTTCTGGCATACCAACTACGATGTCAATGGCGGTCCGCAGCCGCCGCACACCATCACTGTGGACATGGGCCAGACCTTCAACATTAACGGTGTGTCTGTGAAGCCGAGACAAGATGGAAACAACCATGGGCTCATTGCTAGACATGAATTATATGTCAGCACTGACAAAAATAACTGGGAAAAGGTCGCCTACGGAGCCTGGCACGCCGATCCTACGGACAAGTTTGCCAACTTTGAGGCGAAGTCTGCCAGATACTTCAAGCTAGTTGCACTGACTGAAATCAACGGAAACCCATGGACCAGCATTGCAGAGCTCCAGGCCTTCCAGAGTCAAAACGGCCCTGCACAGTACGCTGGTACGGGCCGCTGGGGACCAACGATCAACTTTCCCACCGTTCCTGTGGCTGGAGTGGTGAACCCTCTGAGCGGTGTTGTCACCATCTGGTCCGCCTACGCTTACGACAATTACCTCGGATCGACCTTTGATCGTGTCTTTACGTCCTCGTGGAACATGGCGACCAATGTAGTCGAGCCCAAACTCGTGGACAACACTGACCACGACATGTTCTGCCCAGGCATCTCCATCACTGGCAACGGACAAATGATTGTTACTGGCGGAAACTCTGCCAAGAAATCGACACTCTTCGACTTCAACTCGGGCAGCTGGAACATCGGTCCCGAGATGAACATTCCCCGCGGCTACCAATCGTCTGCAACCACCTCGGACGGCAAGGTCTTTACCATTGGCGGCAGCTGGAGTGGTGGCAATGGCGGCAAGAATGGCGAAATCTACGATCCCCGGGCCCGTTCATGGAAGAATTTGCCCGGCGCCGACGTGACACCGATGCTTACCAACGACAAGGACGGCGTGTACCGTGCCGACAACCACGCATGGCTGTTTGGCTGGAAGAGTGGCACCGTCTTTCAGGCCGGCCCCAGCAAGGCCATGAACTGGTACTACACTTCGGGCAGCGGCTCTTACAAGGGAGCCGGCACAAGACGCTCGTACCGTGGCGACGATGAAGACTCCATGACAGGCAATGCTGTCATGTTTGATGCTGTAAAGGGCAAGATTCTGGCCTTTGGCGGCTCGCCGTCCTACCAGGACACCAATGCCAACGCGCACGCACATCTCATCACACTTAAGAACCCCGGGGACCAAGTCGACGTGACCTTTGCCAGCAACGGCCTTTGGTATCCACGAGCCTTTCATACGTCTGTCGTCCTGCCCAATGGCCAAGTCTTCATCACGGGTGGCCAGACGTACGCTGTACCCTTTAATGACGACAACTCCGACTTGACGCCCGAGATGTACAACCCGGACCAGGACAACTTTATCAAGATGGCCCCCAACTCTATTATCCGTGTATACCACAGCATCGCTCTGCTGCTTCCCGACGGCACGGTGTTTAGCGCTGGCGGCGGCCTCTGCGGCGACTGCAATACAAACCATTTCGACGGACAGGTATTCACGCCGCCGTACCTGCTTAACAGCAATGGATCACCCGCTACCCGACCTGTCATTCAGCGCGCTAGCACGGACAAGCGCACCGTGACGTTTACCACAGACAGCGCGGTGTCCAGCGCAAGCTTGGTGCGCTTTGGAACGGCGACACATACGGTCAACACGGATCAGAGAAGAGTGCCGCTGACTATTACGTCGACGGGAAAGAACTCGTATCGTGCGGATTTACCGACGGATAGCGGCGTGTTGCTGCCGGGCTATTATATGTTGTTTGTGATGAACGATAAGGGCGTGCCTAGTGTGTCCAAGACGTTGGATTTGACCAACTGAGCGCTAAAATAGCGGAGGATGTAATATGATACCTAGGGATTGCTTTTAGGATGTGTATATGTTTTTGATACCTTGGAGTTTGGACATACTGGGTGGGTATAAGGGTAAATAATGACAATGTGTTATCAATAAAGCCGTGTCTATAAGTATGTAAAGTGGAGTTATTCTGCCTAACAATAACGACAAGTGTCTATCTGTATCTGTATGGAAGGTGCTCTGTTGGTTCTTTTATGTACTAACTCAGTGCTTATGTTTGTCTCTTTATTGTGTATGCATCGGACGAGCTTAAGAGGCAGGACTTACAAAATCTATCTAGATCATACTAATACTTCCTCCACACTTTCCAACATCTTCTTTACGAGCTTTGTAGAGTGTATCAAATTAATTCCACTCACCTCTGGGGCTGACACATCCGACAGCAAATATTGCACGAGCATAGGCAATGCGCGCGCTCCCTTCTCGTTGGAATCTTCACTCCAATCAGCAATTCTGGTACCCAAATCACTGTGCAGCCAACAGAGCAGCTGCCAACACATCATGTGCATTTCAAAGTAGTCAAATGTGATGAGCGACGTCTCCGCATTCAAGACGGCGAAGAGACCAAACAGCACCTCTTCTATCCGGAGCTCTTGACTGCTTAAACGGTTATTCAACACCTTGCCCGCCGCTGCCTTTCTCATCACTTCTACGACATGGCCCGGCTCTAGACCCGTTCGTTCGTCGTTATCGCAGTACCTTGCTTTGAACAACCAGGTTAATAGTGCGACACGCTGAAGTTTTCTGGGTTGTTTGACCCGTATATCCGATCCAGGTCTGCGACCCCTAGCGTACACGCTTGGAGACAGGCCCAATGCCAATAATAAATTCTTGCCGCTTTCCTTGAGAACGGGCAGATTGCCAACAAATAAATCTTTGCTGTGGATGGCTAGGATATGCTCCATGTTTGTCCATTCACTGTCAAGGAGCCCAACTTGCTTTTGTGCATTGTATAGGTGTGCAACGGCGAGTATTGACAAAAACGAGTTAGCGCGGCAGAAGGAACCTTCTTGAGCGATCATTCGAAAATTGTAGAGCAAGAGACCGCACCAAATAGGATCGCGACGCAGTAGATAAAAGTCCTCAATGTGTTGGTCTGCATCTGGGTCGGCTTGCATCTCCTTTCTCAGCCTACCAACGTGATCGTTTATAGTAAATCGATCCATAACCTCGAGGACCTCTCCCAGGGGTTTATCGGTGGGATCGGTTATTGGTGTGCCGTTTGTTTCCCTTTCAAAGTCAAGCACCTTTTTGATACTATGTCTGATTGACGAAGCTCCACGACAGAGATCTTCAAAACCTCGAGTGATGTCTCTTTGGAGGACTTTTCGAACATCTATGAAGATCTGGACAGCGAATGCCAGCCAGAATAGCGGCCGGTCTTGCTCCATTTGCCCTCTTAGTCCCGCAATAAGACCGTGTTCTGCTTGGACTTTCGAAGTTTTCTGCAACAAAACACAATACTCAGGAATTAGTCCAAAGGCAAGGCCGACATCATCATCCATCGTTTTAGTGTTGACCTTTGCGGTAGAGAAGAGTCCCACATGGTTGGGATGAACGGTTGGCACAAACTCTTTGGGATCGTTCTTGAAATCCTTTGTCCATAGTAAGATTATGAGCCAGCCGGACATAACACACGGTACCTCCAGGTCGGTTCCGCTGTAATCCTCCCCTTCCATCTGGTCCCGGAGCATAGCACACGCCAAACAGATTTTCCGCTCAAAGTTCACGTCGGCACTTGACGAGCGCTGAAAATCCTCGTGTAAGCCTCGCACGAAATCAATTGCTGTATTAGTGGTAATTGCCGCAGCAGATAGATCGCACGCGCCAGCCTTATATATCTGCCAGATGTTGCGGACGCGCATGCGGATGCGGTGGATGTCGAGCCAGAACAATGCTTGCACCGTGAATTCTTCGAGCAAATCTGAAGCAGGATTCGCGACCACTTCTACACGCCTGGGAGCAGAAGGGACATCGTCAGCGGCTCTGCCCATCGACTCATCAGGCGTGTCCTCGACTTGGAGCTGGGAGAACATGTTTTCGAGTCCAGGACAGTCAAGGTGGATATCTAGATCTTCGTTGTTGCTTTCTTTCTCGAAGCTGACGCCTGGCTCTAAGTTGGACATGAGGATATCTCGAACAGACTGCAATACGCTGATGAAATGTCCGTGGCCATCGTTAGTATTTTCTTCCGCTTTCTCATAGTATTTCTGAAACCGCTTTCGATCCGCGATCGCGTGCTGCAGGTGATAAGCGAATGTCGCGGGGACCAAAATACGCGGTTTCCTGCAATTCGCGATCCACCGAGCCAGTGGAATGAAAGCATCCATGTAGAGTAAATAAGGATGGGACAGGTTTTCTGGCGTAGCGGTTTTGTGCTCTCGTGCCATCTTTCGCGCCTTGCCCTTGAGTCGGGTCGACTTTGTGCTAGTCGTAGCCTTCTCAGACGTAGGTAGTTGATATCCGCATTTTTCGGCCGTGGTGACGAGCCACGAAGCCACAGCTTGTGTGTCGGCCTTGTACCGCTTGTAGCGAGAGTTTAGGCCCTCCGGAAGCATCGCGGAGGATAGTTGATGGGGAAACCTTGCTATTGTACTGAAGTTTTGGAGAGGCGTAGATGGTAGCAGCTGTGCATGCAGAAGCGGGGGTGGCTAATATTCTCTGATCTCTTCCCTTTTCACCGGCATGTTCAAGTGTTTTATACAAAAGTTTAGGTTTTGCGTCTACGATAGCGTATAAAGTGATTACTAGGTGGGATGGAGAAGGCCATAGACCTTTATTGAGGTTACGGATAGGATCGTTTTGCTATTTATTGCACTTGCAACATATCCGTGTGTGTATGTGAATATTCTGATGTGTATGACCACAGTGCGATCTGAAATGTCACCAGCCACAGTGATCCGTGCTTAGAACAAATACAACTGTATCTTTGATCATTCCTTTCTAAACAGGACGTTGTGTTACAGGTTGGCCCGTGCGTTCGCTTAACTTTAGCGTTTGTCTAAACCAACTTTGTTTTCTATCCACAGTTAAGGATTCTGTAAAGCGAATTACATAGTACATCGTTGGATAATTTGATTTTTTTATGAATATACCAGCTTGTGTCATGTCATGATAAACCGTCGAGAATCCACTCCTCCTCGACATCATTCCAAAAGTCGCGAAACTCGGATACATACAGCGGCGTTACATACACGCTGTCAAGAAAACACGTCTTTACCGTATCCCAATCGCCATATCCCTGACTCTTGCAGAACCTGCTGAAGAGCTGCACGTACTGCTGCCTCTCGGGCCGCTCGTATGAAACTATCCCGCCAATCGCAAGCACCCAGCACAACATCAACGGGTACTTTCTACTGACTGCTTCCAAGTCGACGCCATCGAGGAGCTGTAGTAGTGACGAAATAAACGGTGCAAACATGCCTGCTTGGATGGGGATTTCGCGGAGTGCGATATTGCTGTACATGATGATGGCGACGCAGGATGCCAGATAGAGCGGTGTATATAACGATGGCGGCTCGTTGGGAGAAGGAGAGGATGCGTTTTTAAAGGCTCTTGAGTAAAAATCATATGCCTTCCATTCGCAGTCGTAAAAGTAGTCGCTTAGTGCCAGATTGTCTGTTGGGTTTTCGGAGCGGTTTATAAGACTAATAGCGTATGATAAACACTGGAGATGGTCAAATATTTGGCTGGTTTCCACTGGATTCCGTGTTTCGTTTGCTAATCGTCGGGCTTCGTTGCATAGATCGCTATTGGACATATCTATTGGTGAGATGTTTGGGTACCATGGCGTAGGCTCGTGTTTAAATCGGGGAGGGATTTGCTGGGCTATAGCACTGCTTAAATCGGCCCTAAAAACTGTTAGTTTTCTTTATCATGTATAAAGAACTGCAACTAAATGATTTACCATAATACTTTTCGTTTAATCATTCCTTTGAGGCCTAGTGAGTCGACACCGCCTCGCCGGGCAGTAAGGTGTTCTAGGGCTTTAACATGGGGTTCGGCTTTGAGTGGTGACGCGTTGAGGATCTTAAAAAAATCGAGTTAGCGTTTAAAGAAAACAAGGATTAGAGTTGGCTGGATATAGGGCGGCTAGTTACCTCCATGAGTGTTAAGCACGCGACGGTTAAGATGGTAGCGTCTGTCTGGCTCTTGGTGGGGTCATTGAACCGATTGCTTAGGATTTTCGTGATATGGCTATAGTGGCGGAGTGCATCGGGGGATATCTTTTTTTTCAAAAGAAGGCCTATGTGCAGGGCGGATACGATGAGCGTGGCGTGCAGCACGGCGTCGTCCATGGCAGCGACGGTGAGCCAGTCTCCTTTTGGCCATACGGGGATATTGGAGTGGTTGAATACCTGACCGTCTTTTTTAGGTGCCTGTTAGTATGCTTGTGCTTATGATAGATGAGAAGATTGGACGTACAGTGGTGCAGAAGCATCTCGTCGCGCCGAGACAGGTGGAACGGGAACTGGACTAGATCAAAGACGCCCGGGTTGGGAATTCCAAAGAGATGCGGTCGAATCACAGTGTTGTTCCAGCCAAACAGATGGAACTGCTGCTGCAGCAGGTCGGTAGGGATAATATGGCCAGGCTCAAAGTTGCGAGAGACGGGCGAGGCGCTGCTGCTCAGGCTACGGCTAGCAGGCGTAGAACCAGCACGCGTCGCAGCAGGGACATGTAGCCGATCAGCAGTATTCTAGAGTACATGTTAGTTCTGTTCCAAAAATTGATTTTGTTTGATTTTTCAGGCTGCTGCCGTACCAGAGCGTTACGGTGTTTGCGGTGATACTGGTTCATGATATGGGCACGGGCCTTTTTCCTATTAGACGCCTTGGAGTCTTCAGAGGCGTTGCTAACATCGAGGAAGAGTAGGGCATCTTTAGCTTTCCCTTTCCCTTTCCCTTTGCCTGGGGGACCCTTTTCTGAAGCCATAGTAATGAATTTTCTGATGATGATAGACTGAATCTCAGCCAGATTGATATTTGTTGGTGATAGCCCGAGGTTGTATGGGGAGAGAGTGGGGAAGACGTGTATAATGGGTTAGTTTAGGTCGGGAAGAGTAGTATTGAGCTCGGCATTGTAAAAGCGAATTCAGCGCCACCGCACGCCCTGGGGCTGGATAAAAGAAGAAAAGAAAAAATATGTTGTTAGTACAGTGTTTCTGTTGGGCCAATCACTGGAATAGAGGCGAACGCGAGGGAGAGGAGGAGGGCAGTCTGAAAAGCCCGGCGGATATTATAGCATACTTTCAGCAGCGCCAGCGCCAGCACCTACAGCACCAGCAGCACCAAACAGTAGCGCTATTTGCATTGCGGCCAGCCCGTGGGGAGGCGTCTTAGACACCGCAAAAGACCGAAAGTGGCGGCCCGCGTGTATTTACAAGAAATCCAAAAGCCCGCTTTCGTTCCAACCGCCAGCTGCTAAGTGGGGGAACGCCACTGCAACCAAAACTTTGGGCTGTGCCGATCCGATAATCACCCGCTGGGCTGTACAGGGCGTTGCAGGGGACGGAGAACCAGTAAAAGTTGTGTGCTTGTTGTGTCTTTTTTATTTGTCAAGGGGGCGAGTCGGAGGGTTTCTTGGCGAGAGGACATGTTGTCTTTTTTCTTCTTCTTTTTATAATACTAGCCAGCTGGATCCGTGTGTCCCTATAGATCGATCCTGAACCGCTCACGCCATTGCTCGCCATACTTACGATACAGGATAGCCATTGCCCCCAGCCCCAGCGATATAAACGCCAGCACAGAATTGCCCCAGCCGTACCCGAGCCTGTCGTACAGTGGAATGGCGGTTAGAGGCAGCAGGGACGCCGTCATGCTTCGCAGAATGTTCCCAGCCGCAATCGCGCTAGCAGCATACTCCATGTATGCATCAATCATATATACGTTAAAGGGTATCTTGTCATAAAAGGTTAGAAGAGAGTGTATGTGTTTTTGACCACGTACTGGTACTCACAAAGGTAAACATTACACCAAATCCAATAATGGCTGTAGAAAAAATAGGCACTGCACTGTGGACACGCGCCTCCGTTGTCCAGCCATACATGAACAATCCCACTGGAATTGCGATTGCTCCGTATATCAGGGGTTCCAAGCGGTACCTGTTGACATTATTAGCAGAAGAAATCATTTCCAGGGACACGGAAAAGGGATGTTGGTGTTCTACATACTCTGGCTTTCCTACCCCGTGCTTCTTTGCTAGACGTGCATAGCTCTTGTCGTTGGTTATGCTGGCAAAGATTAACGAAAATAAGAAACCTAGAGTAAGGCCAATGTAGGTGAGACCAAGATTCGACTGGTTATAATGGTACTGGGTCTGAAACACGTCTGAAAAGGTCGATAAAAGCAGATATGTAGTGCCGTAGACAACAGCATTGTATACAGCCAAGCCGGTCACCACTGGGCAAAAGAATAATATTTTAAAGGGTCGGCTGGTGGCACGTTTGAAGAGAGCCGCTGGAGACAGTTTACGCTGCCCCTTGGCGTATAATGCGGGATTGCCGGTTGATTTACGCAGCTTCTTAGCCTTTCGTTCAAGAAGGACGGGTCCATAGGTCTCGCCATAGGTGACAGCACAAATGATCCCTAGAGTTCCGCTCTGCCAAAAGAATAGGTTAGTTTACATGCTTTACGTTGTACATGGACCTGAATTTCATAATGGTGGTGGGTGGCGTACCAAAATGGAGAGCAGCCAGAATACCCATCGCCACCCCGCTGCTGCAGATAGGTAGCTGCCGACAAGAGGGCCAATCACCGGGCTGAGCATGAAACCAGCGGAATACATAGACATGGCAAAACCGCGGTGGCGAGTTGATACAAGGTCAGCTATAGTGCCACCTGCATTGTTGAGGTTACAGGAGGCAGCGCACCCTTGGAGGAACCGTAGCACAATCAGGCCCGGTAGATTGGGTGCGAGAGCGCAGCCAATGGTGAAGCCACAAAAGGCCAAATTTGCACAGTTATAAGTGGCACGACGGCCGAATAGCTCGGACATTGGGGCCATGAAGACGGGGCCGACGCCGGTGCCTAGGAGCTAAACCGGGGTTAGTAGGATTCTTGGGGTCACAATCATGAAGAGACAAACCTCAATGGTAACTGCCAAGATACCCAGTTCCTGATTTTTCGAGCCAAACTCGGCCATCACGAGGGGTATCGCAGGGGCAATGGCTACTGCAGCGATATTCCTACATGCCAAGAAAAGGATCGATTAGCGCCAGGCTAACTAACACAGTGATCGATGGGGCGTTGCTCACGTTGAGAACACCACAGCGGTGATCAGCCCAACAACCATAGCTCGTCGCCAGACTGGCCAATTGCGTGGATTGTGAGGATCATCGGGCCCGTCCCAGTCTACTTCATTGGGGTCCGGAGCTTCTGTACCGTCTGTAGAAGAGCGTACATTTTGTTGGCCACTAGTTGCAGTGGTCTTGGCCAGTTCCCCAGTGGCATCGTCGGTGGGCTGTGGTGGTAACGAGGCAACCTGGGGCTTAGCATCATTGCTTAAACGAGACATTATATTAAAGATATCAATACATACATTGGGAAATGTCGGATGCCCGCTATTCTCTTCTGTTTCTTTTTCGCCGCCCATTGTGTCTTGTGGTGTTGGTGTCAATGACTGGAATGGAACCAACCAAACGCTGCCCGCATTTAGGCGTCGGTTTTAGCGCATTAGACTGCCCCTACATCGCTATAATGTACGTACTCCACCACTCACTCAGCTACAGCCTCGTCCGCGTACAGCATCGCCTACAGTATGTGTCATGGAATCCTCCAACCTGCAAGTCATTTTTCTTCGATTGTGGCGGTGGCACAGAGACAAACAAAGCCTGACGTGGCGGGCGCCGGGAACAAAATATGCAACTAAGCGGCAGCTGCTGGCTGACACGGTCTGGAACACGGTCGCCAGTGCAGGTCCGTCTCTCGAGCTGCATCCCCCCCCAAAAGAAGGACCAAATCGCGTAATTACACTAAACTTGCAGATTTCTCTCTCTCTAAGACGCTAAGCGAAGAGCAGTGGCGTAAATAGCTTGATGGACAAATTGCCGGCAGCAAAACCAGCACTGAAAAGCAAACTTTTCAACTGTATCCGCGTAATGAGCAAACATTCTTGCTGAGTGGCGGACCAATATTCGGGCACGCCATTTAACAGTGGCAAACGAAGCTAATTGAGATTAGAAAACCCACCGAATCGGAACACTAGACATTGACGATGATCGAAGCTGCCGCCCTCTCTGATAGAGAATCGTAGAATGAACAAAACAATCTCGACAACATGTATACGGGCTATCTACATATCATTGGCTTTTATCCTGGCTTCTAGCTATCGTGAAAACACACAAACAACCAAGCAAACTGTCCAGTGATCCATATATCAACTGCTTTCTTTCATTGTGTCTCAATAGGAGCTCCATAGAGCTTTCCAACACGAATCCGATGAAGCTCCAAGCCCGTCAAATCATCAAAGACCTTTGGCCTCTCCGCCGTGACAAATTGCTTCATAGGCCCAACATTTACATGTCGATGGGGCTTGAGGAAACAAGCAATCGACTGACGCTCGGGCAAGGTGCCGTTCGCCACGTCCTGCATCCCAATCGGCGTCGCCACCTGGTGCAGCCCAGCTTTGAGGTACCCGTTGGTTAGGTGTTCAAGACTGTTGCTCACATACACAAGCATCTCGGTAGGATGCTCATGAGGGAGTGGGATGAATGTGTCCGGCTTGGAGCTGTAGCGGTCCTCTACTTCCAAGCCGCCCGCGTCGTCTTGGAAGAGCAATGTAATCATGCCAAAGTCCGTGTGTGGCCAGGCACGGCGATACTTGCCTGTGTTGAGCTTCTGCGTGGAGATGGGCGCGTAGTAGTTCATGCGAAGCTCGTCAATGACGGGCGTAGTGCAGCAGCGGCTGACGAGGTCTCCTGGAGCGAGACCAAGACCCTGCTCCAGGTTGGCCATGACCTCGCGGCCCACGACGTGGCATCGCTGCAGAAAGTCTTCCATGTAGTCCCGGAACCCTGGGATGCTGGATTCAGCCGGCCACTTGCTAGGGAACTCTGTGTCTGCTGCAGAGCTGTGGTCAAAGTGTTCCTACAACAGGACAACATGTTAAAAAGCCATGATTCATAAACGACTAGGGGATAGCGAGGGTGTAAAACGTACCTTTTCATCTTCGAGGCCCTCGTTTTCCACCATGTCAAGCTTCGAAGTGTTCTCTGATCCAACATAACTCCATCCTCGCTGAGGATTGGCGTTGCGTTCATTCGGGATAGCCTCCTTTTCCGCTGCAGGAAGCTGAGTAAAGAACTTTTTGCCCTACATGCAACGCAATAAAGTGTTAGTTATGCGTGTCGATGCTTGAGGAGTTGCACTGGAGCGTCTTACCCATTCGAAGCCTTCGGCAATCTTCTCTGACGGAATCCTTGTGTTGATCAGGCGCATGGCTCCATGTTTACGGAGCTCAGAGGCAATGGTTGAGGCTAACTGGGCCTTTTCTGGCTCACTACCATTGTAGTAAACTGAGAAGTCGATGACAGGAAGAGAAGGCATTTTTACCACGTAACAGGAGTATGATATATCAAAATGAGGTTCTAGTAGGTCGTATTTTGCAACTTTAAGCACGCTCACAGATGCAAGCAGAAGCAGCGTAGCATTCTCTCCCGAAACTAGCAGCTTTATATGTAAGCATCGAGCTAGCAGTACGAGAGTTCTAGCAAAGTCAAAAGCGATTATATCACCCAGCCACAACTCAAGCTCAAACAGCTCGTTCTACATGTACGCCTTGCTTGAGGGTGTATATGACAACAGGAATTACGCATCGACAAGCGAATAAAGGAAGCAATGCGAAGTACTCTACGATATCCCAATGTGGAATACTGCCGAGAGGCCTCTCTGAGCTCAGACCTTGATATTAACGTACTAGTCATTACCTCCATCCGCATAAACGAGTGCTGCAACTCGGCACTTACATGAGAGCATCTAAGCCAATACTTTGCTTTTCAGCCACAGAACGGCATTTACTTGGCCTATAGATGCCGTTGTTCGCAGCATGGAGACAGAGCGGATCAACAAAAAGACAAAGCACTAATTAACACTAGCATCCTACTAACATTTTATCCATCCTCCTAGTCGTCGCGTGCGCCACCACGCAACTACATAGCTGAACCCGAAAACATGCGGAGCGTCGTCTCAGTTGCCACATCGAGTATGGCTTCGGGTATAGCCGCCTGGGGGCCAACATCCTTCGCTTATTATTCCCTGCTTCCCCGGGATTTAACTTGCCATGCGAATCCATATAAGGTTTTTGGCGCCATGTGTCGCAGGCTGACGTGTCATGCATATTCGGCATATACCCCATGCGACAGTTTGTCGACGGCAGAATAACCTGCATAAAAGAGCAGAGGCTACAATACTGAGCGACCCCGAGTTAGAGGATTGTAGACTGACGTGTCACCCGCTCTACTGCATTTAGTTCTCAGCCTCGCTGAACTAGTAAAGTAAACCTGCCAAAATTGGGTTAAGTTTTGCTGTACACTGCAATGTAACATCGCTAGTGGAGCGCCTCTGCGTACAGTGACAATGCATACAGTAACTGCATCAAAAACGGTTTCTATGGTCATGGCAGAAATGCGATTCCGGTATCCAACGAGTCCCCGAATCAGAACTTCTCGGGTTTTGCCAATTGGGTCCGGAAGTATGATGAAGTGTCTGGTGAATTACGCCCGGAGTTTGTTCTTGCACTGCTTGACTTTAGGAGACCTTTCTCAACCCAATTGGTATTCTAAGCATATACATCAAGCATCTTTCTACTGTTTCTTGTTTACTCTACGATGAGAATGTCGTCTTCGGTGGCTTTTTCACTGCCTGGCTGCACCGCATTTGATCAATTCTGCTCAACCAACAAGGTTTCTCGAGCGGCTGTGATAAAGCTTGCCTTTGCGGTGGTGCTTTATCAGTATTTTGATGTTGCTAGCTTTACATGCTCTGAGACTCTTGCTCAAGGCAATAATGATGTTGTGTGTGGCTCAATAGCCCACACTCGCCGGATTCGGTACATCTCTGAGCTGGCATCTACCACCACTCTCCAAGCTGCGCTGAGTCTTGGAGATCGAAATGATGCATCGTCACTTATTGCTGAGCAACAAACTACCGCAGTAGTGAATGGTGACAAGAAGCTAGCCAGCGGAATTGAAGCATGCCTCGTTTACGTACAAACAGCTGCTGCTACTCCTAATGCTTCTGCCCATGACAACGACGTATACCTCGTTGTGGCTACCGCAGATGATGCATCACTATCAGCAACCCTGATGTACAGGACGGATACCGTGTCCGAGTTTGTAGCAACGGGCTTCACGGACGCTTTTGCGGCGGCAATTGAATTCATTTCCTCAGCCCCAATCAGCATCACCATTGCAAACTTGGATATCTGCGGAAAGTCCAGTCAGGCGGCTATTGCCAAATGGAACCAACATTCCACAAGTATCCCCAACCAACTATTGCACAAGTTGGTAGGAGAAGGCTTCGTCCACAAGCCAGATGCAATAGCAATTGTATCCTGGGATGGGCAAATGTCCTATTCGGAGTTGGATCAGAAATCCTCCAACCTCGCCGCTTACCTGATGGACACCTACGACCTAGGGCCCGGTAAGAAAGTCGCGCTATGCTTTGAAAAGTGCACATGGGCGGTCGTTTCGATGCTTGCAGTCCTCAAAGCCGGTGCGGCCTATTGTTGTCTTGACCCGAGCCACCCACGAGCCCGCCACGACTTCATCATCAAACAACTCGACGCAGCGCTGGTCCTTGCCTCTACGCAGTACAAGGACCGGCTTGATGGGCACAAGGTTTTGGTTCCGACTCTGGAGCTTGCTCGTCAGCAGCGCGTCTATCAACCACCAAACGTCCAGCCGAACGATCCTTGTATGGTAGCCTTTACTTCTGGCAGCACCGGAAACCCCAAAGGCATCGTCCATACGCACGATTCTCTTGTCACCGGGATTATATCCAATGCTCCACGCCAATACCTCGATAAAGAGGGTGTTTCCACATACCAATGGTCGAGTTTCACATTTGACGTGAGCATGACAGAGATCTATGCGCCGCTCATCTATGGTGGTCGCATATGCATTCCGTCCGATGAGGAACGCCTGAACAGGGTGGAGGAAAGCATGAATCGAATGGAAGTTAACTGGGCGTACTTTACGCCTTCTTTTGCACGCTTCTTCGCGCCATACAACGTGCCTAGCTTGCAGACTTTGCTGATGGGGGGCGAGGTCGTTACGTGCGACGATATCAACGCCTGGATAGACCGCGTCAAGGTCATTCATTCATATGGCCCAGCTGAGTCTGCGACGTTCTTCTTGGCCGACTTTGACGGTCCTTGTCCAAAGACTGTTCCGATTGGACATGCCCCGAACACGTATGCGTGGATAGTCAACCCAGAGAACCCAGAGCTACTTTCACCATTGGGCGCAATCGGCGAGATGCTGTATGAGAGTCCTGGTCTTTTGAAGGAATATCTTGGAGATGCTGCCAAGACGGAGGCAACCTTGATCGACGCGCCGTTGTGGCGGCGGAATCTGGACTGTCCTGCTCCGACGTCTAAACTATATAAGAGTGGTGATCTTGTACGATATCTGCCCGACAGTACAATGACGTACATTGGCAGGAAGGATACCATGGCTAAAGTACGTGGACAGAGACTCGAGGTGGAAGAGGTCGAGGCAGTCCTACGAAAAAGCCTTGGTGGCACTAATCAGGTTGCTGTGGATGTTATCACACCTTCTGGAAAGGACCAAGAAGCTGTTTTGGTTGCCTTTTTGTGCCTAACAGGCGACGGGGCGATTGATACCAATGATATTGCCAAGCTGAAAGCATATCTTGAGACCAAGCTGGCTGAGTCTCTTCCGGAGTACATGATCCCGCGTGTATTCCTGCCAATGGACAGTTTCCCATACAATGCGTCTCGGAAACTGGACCGTAAGGAACTGCGGCAGCATGGCTCGTCGCTCACTCTCGAGCAGCTTATCCAGCCGTCTTTGCCCAGTGACGCTGACCAAGAATCGCAGCAAGAAGAGCTTCTCCACCCATCATCTGCTTCGGAAGGGAGTGTCTGTCGAGAATCTGTGAACCAGTTCCTCACTGCTACCACTACCCCAGATGAGGGATCTAATGTTTCTCTACTTCGTGGTCCATGGGCCAAGATACTCTCCGTCAACGCCAATGAGATCAGCGATGATGACAACTTTTTCCAACACGGAGGCAATTCACTAAAAGCAATGGCGCTTGTTGCTGCAGCGAGATCACTAAGCTTGTCTATTACAGTTGCAAAAGTGTTCCAAAACCCAACCTTTGCAGCTCTTGCATCGGCAGGGGCGCTCCTCCCCAATAATAAACAAGAAATCTTCCCACCATTTTCGCTCTTGGGCGACGATAAGAAACGACTTTCAATTCTCTCAGATGCCACAGCTCAGTGTAGAGTTGATACTAGTGTCATACAAGACATTTTACCTGCGACGCCATTACAGTCAGGTTTCATCGCGGGGTCCCAAGAAAAGACAGGAGCGTACATGGCCCAGTACAGCTTAAAGATACCCCCTCAGACGTCACCTGAGTTCTTCAAAGAGATATGGGACAGAATAGTAGAGGCGTATAGTATTCTGCGAACGCGGCTGATCTACTCAGATCTGTATGGCGTCTTCCAAGTTATACTCAAGACAAAGCCTGTGTGGGATACATCTGAGGATCAAGCCGGATATTTGATCGAGGATCGTAACAAAGAGATGCGGTATGGCGATGCGCTATGTAGACTGGCCATTATTCAGTCTAAAACGATAGGCGGAAGTGCCTCTAGCATCGTCATAACGATGCACCACGCGCTCTATGACAGACACACTCTGGATAAACTTCTCAGTGCCGCGAATTCGCTTCTGCACGGTCGAACGATAACTCCAGCGGCTCCTCTTGCTCCGTTTCTCAAGTATCTTTCTACACAAGATGAATCGGCACCTAAGGAATACTGGGAGAAGTACTTGCGTGATGTTTCGACAGTGCAGTTTCCTTGGCTCCCATCCGCAAAGTACCTCCCCAAGGCAGACTCGACGTTTCAGATTAGCATCCGTGTGAAACAAACTCCGTCTGCTGCAATTACACAAGCAACTATTGTCCGGGCTGCATGGGCATTGCTTATCAGCCTCTATACTGGCTCTGAGGATGTGGTGCATGGTCTGACTCTCTCTGGGCGTGGTGCTCCAGTAGAGTCGATTCTTGACATCGTCGAGCCTACCATCACCACCGTACCAGTCCGCATCAAAGTATCGCGAGAAGAGCAGATAGCAGACTGGTTACGAAGATTGCAAAAGGAGTGGTCGGAGATGATGGACTATGAACAAGCTGGTCTCAGCAAGATTAAGTCATATGGAGAAGCATGCCGCGATGCTTGCAGCTTCCAAAACCTTCTAGTTATACAGAGCTCTGAAGAATCCCCGAAAAACAAGGATGAAGTACGCTTCGACGAGGTGGCAGATGATTTGAAGTACTTTAACGAGTATGCCCTCATGGTTGTCTTGACAATTCAGGCGTCAACGGCCCATGCCACCTTTAGCTTTGACTCAAATGTGGTGGATAGTGAACAAGTCGCAAGGTATGCCCACCATCTAGAATATCTGATGGATGGAATTGGTGCTGCCTCAGATGCAGTCGGCACCAAGACGATTAAAGAGATATACCCGGCCAGTCTCAGGGATATCGTGGATCTTGTTTCATGGAGCGGGAGCGTTCCAAAGCAAGCAAATGTTCTGCTCCACGATCTTATTAAAGACGGCTTTGCGATAAGCCCTCACAAAAAGGCCATCGAAGCCTGGGATGGGGACCTGACGTTTGAAGAACTAGATCAAAAGTCTACGCAGCTTGCTCAGAGACTGGTGTCGATGGGAGCCGGGCGTGGTGTGGTTGTCGCGCTTCTCTTTGAAAAGTCCCTCTGGGGTATTGTTGCGATTCTGGCCGTTTTACAATCTGGTTCAGCCCTGTTGTTTCTTGATCCCGTACACCCGGTGCGACGCCAACAGTCTATTCTGGAAACAGCCGATGCGAAGCTATGTCTTGTAAGTCCAGCATATCTTGACCATGCACAGCAATTCCAGTTACGCCACGTCCTTAGTGTTGAGCCGAGTCTTTTTGATAATTTTGAATCGTCGCTAGTAGAAAGCGACATACGTGCGGATGTTCAGCCAGATGATCTGGCTTATCTTGTCACCACGTCTGGGACAACTGGCGAGCCCAAAGTTATCCAGCACACACATGCCTCTCTCGCGTCTGGTCTTTCGAACCATTCGACTCCTATGGGCGTTACATCGTCGACTCGTGCTCTTCAAGTATCGACGTACACCTTTGACCTAGCAATCTATGAGATTCTGGCGACGCTGATGAAAGGCGGCTGCGTGTGCGTGCCGCATGACGACGAACGTCTCAACGACCTTGCCGCCTGTATCCGGCGCTATGAGGCAAATTGGGCGCTCATCACAGCGTCCTTTGCGCGAATGCTGCGAGGACAGAGTATCCCCACCCTGAAAACGTTGAATCTGTGTGGCGAATATGTTCCGCTTGAAGACGAGGAGTATTGGGCGTCTAGATTGCACGCTATGAACTGGTACGGAGCCACCGAAACGCAGGGGTTCACGATGGGTGATCTCTCCAACGGTAGTCAGCGGCCGGGTCAGACGGGACGACAATGCGGAAGCGCCTATTGGATTGTGCATAGTGAGACAGCCGAGCTTTTGCCTATTGGTGCGAGAGGCGAGATTGCATTATCAGGGCCGGGCCTGGCGTGCGGATATGCAAAGGATACTGCTAAGACGGCGCGTGCTTTCCGGCCTGCTCCAGAGTGGCTGCCGACGGCGTTTGGCGACCGCAGGATCTATATGACTGGTGATGCAGGGCATATTAACTCGAACGGCACGCTGACGGTGCTGGGGCGTCTCGATACGCAAATCAAGCTCAACGGAAAGCGGATAGAAGTGGGGGAGATTGAAGCAAACATCAAAGTAGCAGGGCTGGGGCCTGCTGAAGATGTTGCAGTCGACCTAGTTGATATGCAGAGTACTGTCAGTCCCACGCTAGTGGCATTTCTTGCATGTGGCACAGCCATTGATTATGTTAATGGCACAAGCTCAATTGCGTCTTCGTTTGAGACAGTGGATGACAGGATGAGTATGCTGGTGGAAAAGATCCGCTCCTCTCTGGTTCAGATGTTACCCGGATATATGATTCCGCGTGTCTACATATCGCTGGATACACTTCCCATCACGTCCAATGGGAAGCTTGATAGAGCAAGACTTAAGGAGTATGCTCGAAGTATTTCCACAGATGAGCTATTCAAGTATACCTCTGGTGGAAAGAAGAGCAGAGTGCTTGCATCACCACCGCCGCCATCTGCTACGGCGTCTCTCTTGCGTGGTCCTTGGGCCAAGGTTCTGGGTCTTGATGCTGACGCCGTGAGTGACGATGACGACTTTTTCGAGCATGGTGGCGACTCGCTGAAGGCAATTGCACTTGTTACTCGGGCACGAATGGCAGGCTTGTCTATTACGCTTGCCAAGGTGTTGCGCAATCGAACCTTTGGAGCGCTCGCGTCTGCCGGAATTGTGATTTCGAATGGTCATTAAACCACTATTCAATTTTTGAGTTTACCAGTCTATGCTGTGGTGTATCTCTAAGAGGGATAGTAAGTAAGGAGATACGTAAGTAGAGTTTGTGTTGTGGGGTTGGTAAGTTGGAGATGGAGAGTTGGAAGAGGATCAATTGGGTTTGGCATTGGTGGAGAGAAACATGTGGGTAGTTGGCAGCCGGCAGCTGGCAACTGGCAGAGATGATGGGTTTGGAGTCGTAGTCAGCAGCAGTACGTACCGCAGTCAGACTCTGCAGCCAGAAATATACAAAAAGGAAAGGAAACTTAAAAATCCGGAGAGACACGGAAGCTGGAAGACTTAGTGGAATATTTTGTGAACTGGGTGCGCATAAGCGTTGTTAGCGGTGGTCGGTCCACAGGCGGGGCTAGTATTAGAGCACCACAGTGGCTACAGTTTGGCGGCAGGCGGGCGGCGGCTCTCGCTGGCCCACGACTCTATATATAAACGAATTGCCAATAAGGATATATACAATTTCACCTCTTCGGCGCTACTTGTGTCAAGGGCATGTTACATTTTAAGTGGTGCTGCTGACGTTTTCCATCTTGCCGTGCGGTGCCTCTCCCCTATCTCGATGCTGATGCTGATGGACTCTTCCACCAATGGGACGCGCCGAATTGGGCGGGATCTGTCACCAATGCACAGGTCCAACACACACCTACAGCTTGTTTTTTTTTGGGGGCCCAACTCACCAGCCCACGGCCTTGGGTTAGGTACTGCACTGTATTGTACTAGCACCGCAACAGCACCCACCACTGCCCTGCACCACCCTCACACACCACGATAGAGCACCACACAGCACGCGCTAAAGCTAGTCTGGCATGGGGTAGGCCAGGCCCAAGACAGTCAGCCAGTCCCGTCCCACCGTCCCAAGGTACCTAAACGGAGGGAGGGGGTGGGCGGACTGTTGCGGTGGAATCCATGGAGGGGATCCAACCAACCAACCAAATCACGTACAGGAATAATTATATATACGCATCGCATCTCGCCTCCTCTATTTTCACAACATCTCATCCAACCCACTCCATCAGATTCCCATCTCTCCCTTCCTCTCCTCTTTTCTCCATCCTCCATCATGAACCCTATCCCCATGGCTAGCGGATCTGCTACACCACTACTCGCAAAGCGCTTTAGCCCTACCGAGTACGCCGCATTATACATGGACGACACATCACCCAGAGACACTACGGGATATTCACCACCTCCCACCAGTCTCCCATCCTCTGTCGACCCCTCCAGTCCCCAAACACCAGAATTCACCATGATGACGCCCCAGGAAGAAAAGCCACAGCTGTACTGGGACACCACCTCGCAAACTACGGCGGCGCGCCACCACCAAATGGAAATGACAGCGGCCAAGCTCAAGGCCCTTGCGCTGGCTGGCCAAAGACGGGTTAGCGCGCTGGAGCAGGAAAACAAGCACCTCAAGGCCGCGCTGGCAGGCGGCATCTTTCGCGGCTGCATGCAGTCCTATCAGAAGCGATTTCCGCAGGACCAGCAGCAAGGTCCACCAGACTTTTCACAAATGGTCTTATCCGTTACCGTCATGGTGAATAATCAAAGCGTGGACCCTACTAGCGGCAGTGGCATGGCGCAAGATTGGCAACAGCAACAGCAGCAGGGGGCCATGTTAACAGCAAGCCATTTTAAAACAACAATGAGCGAGATTCAGCAATGCATGAACCCGACAGACTTGGAAATGATTGCTAGCATGGGAGCTACCACCCAAGAACAGCCGTCGATACCGCAAGACGGGTATTTCAGCGACGATGGGGGCCAGCAACAGCAGCAGGCTACGTTACAGGCTGACTTTCAATTATAATTAAAACAACAGATTGCATAGTACGGATGGGGAGCAGAGTTTATTAGATTTTCTTTTTCATTTGCAGGCATATATACGTTGGTTGGCGTTTTACTTCTTTTTTTCATATACAATATCAAGAATAATTTTAAAACACGCTCTATTTTCAACATTTGCTGTGAATCAATCACAAGGAGGGGTAGCTATTGTAGGTAGCTAAGAGCACTGTTAGCTAAACTGTAGCTGTTCACTCCTAACAACAACAAGTAGTAGTAGTATACACCACCACCACTTTACGGATAGCCTCTTCTAGAACACGTCAGGACACCCTTGCTTTTGCAAAGGGTCCATCCACGTTGTGTTGACATCCCGAACCCATCGTCCTGTTGGTCAACTCTATCCCAAATATCGGGCGTGCCGATGATAGACCGGCACAAGCGGCAAGCCACCGTGGGACGATGATCATGCAAGCACTACTAGCAACAGCAGCATCCTCCTATCAAAGCGGTACGAAAGCTGTGGCATGGCGTTGGAATCAAAAGTTGCTATGCCCTGCGGGGATCGGATGCATGCAAGGTCGGCGAAGCAAACCCGGATCCATCCATGCAATTGGCATCGCCAGCGCTTCTGTATGGAATGAACAATTGAAATTGAAACACCCAAGTGCCGATCTCAACCCGCACTAACCGTTTCTGGTAAATAGCCAAATGGGGTATATTACGGGGCCCGCCAGCCAACTCCAACGACCCTTGTATGCTCTCAGTACTGTAAGAGACTAACGTTATTTTAGCGGTGATGAGCCGAAATCTGCGTTTGAATTTTTTTTCTTTTTGCTTTCAGCCGCATCTCAATCGCCGGAATCCAGTGGTCTGGCACCGCCGCCCGCGTGCATCGCTGATCCTACGCTACGCTTGGCCTGACAGCCCCGTTACCACTCAGAGTTGCAGGCAGGCTAGATTAGGGGTCCTTTAGCTTTTAACTTTTCGGGTGTCCATTACCGAGCTCTCTTTCTTTTTTGTTAGTGACAGAGTGCAGCCGCCGCAAGCGGTAGACACGACACTTCCAATGCCCACGCTTTACACACAGAAGACAGCAACTATATATGCACGTGTTGTTGATTATTGTAACCGAACCAAACCCCCCACACATAAACTGCCGTTTTTCTTGGTTTTTTATTTGCTGGTGCCTATTTGTACCCCGAGCCCCTCAAGGTATTCTGTCGTTGGTGGCGTTCTAGACGCAAATCTTGGTAACCGTAGATGGATCTGCAGGCGCACTTACTTCCTGATTCTGATGGGCCTTTTTGTGTAATTCTTCCTGCCCGGATATATTAATTCCCAATAGTTACTTCATCGACTGGTGCCAGTGGACCAACCAGCCACGCTCTCAACAAAATCCACAGTTTAGCTTACTCGCGTCTGCCGGCCAGCCGCTTACCGGGACTTCAAACCGTCGCGCTGCAATCCCCTTCTAGAAGCTTTCTCGTTTTCTTTCGCGGTGCCCGAGCTCGACATCTCCACTGTGCCGCATGCTGCTTACATCTCTTTTTCTGCGTTTCGTCTCAGCGCACCGACCACCACCCACCGGCTGTCGCAACGTAGCTTGGCACAGCACACAGCTACAGCTAGCTTAATCTACCGTTTGTTACCTCCAATCTATTTGGTAACTCGTCTGGAAGCAACCCACCGAGATCGGGCCGTTCCTTCAGAGCTCCCATTTTACCTACATGGTTCTTGATCCACTAGAAAACGGTGAGGCCAACGGACGCTTGGCGATGATGTCTCTTTTTTTGGTGTTGCTCGGAAAATCTGCAGCGAGCGCATACCAAACCCACGCATTATAGAGCAGAACATACATTCCTTGGTTTGTTACTGCAAAGTAGTTGGGCAGAAACACCAGTTCTGTAGGATTAAACCTTGCTAGTGTATATCGTGCTGCTCGTCTATTCGCCGATAACTCTGCCCATGCATTTCACCGAATGGCGCCTTCAGGTGAGCAGCACAGACCAATTCCATAAAAGAATCTCGATCAGATGTATCTCCTTTTTTTTGGAGTACTTTGTATTCAATTTACCGCACACGCGATAGATTGATTACCAAGTGTTAGATGCACGCTAGGGCTTGGTCACCACACTGGCGGCGAATAAGCCGGTGCAACGCCGCCGAAGGAATATATCCGCGATGCTAGCGAGAGGCGGAGTTCCTCCACCAACCACAGGCCAGGGATCTCTGTTTGCACGCCGCACGCCGTAAGCGCGTTACCGTCTGGGAACGAGGTTGGTCCAGCCTTACCATGCATCGTTGTTTCAAGTCTTGTCCCGTTTGGTTATTTTACCTTTTTCGGCACCCATCAGCGAGCAGGGCCCAGGGTTTAATGCTTGCGGCTCAAACATCGCGCTGTCCGTACCGCCCACACACTACGCTCGCGCTAGCTTAGCACGATATGCGGTGCCACGCTGCCGGGATACCCGTACATGGGGCGTGTGCGCTTTAATCTGCCGTCTTCGATTTTTCCTTCCATGGGGGTCATAGTAGTAATGGTGGTAGTGGTAGTTTACAGACACACACACGCTAATATAAGCTAGTGACAATCCACCATGTAACAAACCATGAGATCAAGACATTCAGATAAAGCCAGACTCCATTCCAATCTACAGTCACTTTTACATATATTTCATTATAAACTCATACATTGTCTTGAATTCGTTACCCATTTTGCATACATACATTCATACACAAACACACACAGCAAAGAGTCACCTCAAAGCACAAAGTGAGATACATCACCATATAGCTTTTTTTCCCTTTACTGTACTAGTAGTATTGACCACAGTCCAGTCTCCCTCTCAGCAAAGTCACATATTTGACCATTTGCACCACCATACTACACCAACAGTATCGGCACCGCACACAATGGCGCTGACCACCGTTGAAGCATACAATCTCGCGTGCAAAGCCAAAGCAAAACTCTCCCGGGAAGCAGCCCATCCCAACAACAGACTCCGTCACCTCGTCAGCCATGCCAACATGCTTGATTCGCTCATTCTTGTGCTTGAGGCCGCCGCACAGCGCAACGCCCAGTGGGAAGATCCGGTTGACGACGACAGCGAGGACGACAGCGTCTCCGATATGTCGTCGGACGCAGACTCCACGTGTAGCTGCGAATCCCTCTCTGACGAGGACTTGCTGGGCGAAGACGAGTCCTTTGCCAAGCCAAAGCCATTCTGCACAGAAGGGGCAATCCCAGAGGTGGCAGATACCGAGTTCAAGGCGCATACTACAAAAGCCACTGGCCATTTCTCGCCGCAGAATCCGTTTAGCTTTACCCCGGCGAGAGAGCGTGGGCAGCAGCACCTTGCGGAGCTTAGAGAGAGTCTCAAGTTCCAGTCCTCCAGCATATTCAAGTTATTATCCCGTGTTACTAGCAAGCGAGTTAAATCATAAATTATTATTACAGCATAAATTTTGTGGTGTTGATGGCGAAATTTTGTGAATTGTTTATCGCAAATATAGAGCCCGCTAATGATCGACCGAGCTTAAACTCTACAGAGAACTCCATGCCTCGACCAAAGCTTTCGTCCAACGGGGCTGGTAGCGTCGCTTGTATTGGCCATCCAGCGCCGGGTTTACTACCCATTTGATTGAAATAAGTGATGAGATAGCTATGAAGGAGTGAAATTGACTACTTACGCACTGCAAATGCTTTGTTAGTAGGGGATTTTCATATTTAGGTGTACATGGGGAGGCGGCGGACTTACTTCCTGTTTGAATCAACATTGTGTCGTTTGCTTGTTAGTATATCGAAGATACTCACGCACTATAGGATAATGCAGTTAGTTATTATTTTCATATTTTCTACGCAGTGTGGGCTTTGTACTTACGTTCTGTATGTTAAGCGTTGGGTAAGTATGTTGCACATGGCCTGTTCATATAGCATGGTACTTACGCACTAGACAACCAGAACAGTTAGTTACCTAGCCATTTGTAAAGAAAAAAAGATATACGTACGCACTAATAGAGTTAACTCGTTTTCTTATCAATATCTTATTATCAAAGAAAGGATAACTTACTCCGCCGTGCTTTCAAATTGGTTAATTTGGCGTTCCACAAAGGGAGCCTCGATACTTACTCTCGGCTAGGCACAATTAATAGACTGGCATAAATTGGAGCTCTTAGACACTTACATCCTTTAATTCAACGCAATTAGTCTTAACAACACCAAGAAGGGAGTATTTCACTTACACACTAGAATTCTGCATCAGCCGGCATGTATATTGCGCACACGCACAACCATCACATTTTAAACTTACTGGCTATATCACACATGGCGGTTAGCACCATCACCTACAACTCTTAGATACTCAAAATGACAACTTACACACTATACAAGCACATTCGCTTTCATTAGCAGGACTCATGAACAAGGAAGTGCAGTACTAACGCTCTTCACACATGTGTTAGCCGTTATTCTCGTTTCATATACTTTGTTGTAGTAGTACTCACTCGTTTATCCCAGCGGACAAGGTTGTCAGGATCGGCAAACGGGTTGGCAGCAGCGAAGCCAACAATGGCGGCTAAAATAACAACGGCAAACTTCATGACGATGAATAGTCGATAACTCGGGTTCGGAATCGCTACATCCTCTGTCAATTTGGGACGTATATCTAGACCAGGTTAGGCTCACGTTAGGGTCGGCTTGGTACGATGGAGAGGTAGTATTGTTGGTCTCGGCATAGATCCAACTCACGATTTATACGATCCAAGACGCGGGCAAACCTGGCAATAGTCACATTGGAACCTTTGAAAAACTCCGGGTACTTTCTCTTCAGCTCGGATAGCTATCCAATCACCCATGTGGTGATGTTGCACCCGACTGCATACAACCCACCAGAGCTTGCATCGGCAATAACCCACCTACAAAATGCTGTCATAGGAATTGCCTCAACTCCTAATAATTCATTAGGTAGTGTTCCAGAACGGTTGAACTATACCCCCGCCCTTTTGGGAAAGTCTATACACTCTCAATTAGGCAGAATGGTTAGAGATTCTGAACCCCGGTTCGCAAAACACGGGAGATGGGACGGACGGCGCATTAACTGAACAGTGACATATTATACAACTAGTTATTTGTCAAATTACATCGTTGGTAGTATGGTTATATACAAGATATGAACTCTTTTACCCCACAGCCAACATCCCCAAAATGGGATTCCTTGTTTTAGAAACCAACGGTATCTGTTTGGTCCATCGGCATCTCCATGGGCGTTGCCTGGCCGGGATTAGGGTTATCCTCGAGCGTGGCTGAATTCTTGCCCTTCTTAGCATTCGTCATGGCCCTGCTCTGCGCCGAGTTGCGTCCCGTGTCAAAGAACGAATCACCCTTACATGACTTGCCCCAGAGCTCAACAATAAGAATCCAAGCCACAAGGCCAAGCGTGATGGAGATGAGTTCGACACTGTGCAGCTTCTGGGCAAGCGGCAAGAAGAACATGATGAGACAGACGGCAACACGGTTGGCCAGGCGGTACTTTTTGGCAATGCGCATGCGAGGCGGCGTATGGTGAGCGTGGCTCAGCGAAATCAGGCCCATGGCCAGCAGAGCAATCGCGAGGCCGTGGCAGTAGAAATAGCGCACACCTGCCGAGAAGTGCTCCTCAGAGCGGGGGCGATCGGCTTCAGCAAGCTGTTCAATCTCCGTACCTGGGCCATCAGTAACCAAAACGAGCGTCGCGAGTCCGGATGTGGCGACAATGTAGGCCATGATGAAAGGAAGATGGGCGAATTGCCAGAGGATAGCTGCCATCATTGTTAGTGTCTAGATACGTACTGGGAGAAAGAAGTGCTTACCTCCGTTGGCAGAATGTCGGATAGCATGTGCCTTGATAGTGCTTGCGTCGACGTCAAAGTAAAGCCAGTTGAACAGGAAGGCCTGCACGAGGCCCAGGACAGCCTTGCCTAGGAATGCGTTGATGTTGTAGCCGCCGTTGCTCTGGAACAAGATGGCGACGACGGAGTAGCCAAAGACGAGGGAAACAAAGGCATTCATGCGCTCGACCTTGTGCTCAATGTTCATGGCGGGGAAGAATTCAAACCAGCTGCTGAAGTATTTGCCAATGGCGGTGCGGTCGCCGACAGAGCGGGCGTATCGGAACAAGCCGACAAACACACCGGAGCCGTACATGTCGATGATGAGGGCCGGCCAGATGAGACCCAGACGGTCTGGCATTTCGACGTAAATGCTGCCGATCCAGAGCGCGGTGCCGATGATGATGGGGATGGCTGAGGAGATCATGGCGCCGCGGATCATGGGGACCGCTGTAGCCACGACGACGTAGTAGACTGCGAAGAGGAGGCGGGCGGCGAGGTAAAAGGATACGAGAGGTACGTAGGTGTTGTGTTCATGTTCGTCGTTGAAGCAGTTGGTCATGTTGGTAGTGAATCTGGGACTACTGTTAGCATGATGTTGACCTCCAGTGGAGGAGGGGGAGAATGGTGGGAGTGTACGGACCCTAGCAAGCAGGCGATTTCAAAGAGAATTTCGAGGCGGGTCAGAATATCGTCCGTCTCAAACCAGCTGACGGCCATGGTGATGTCGGTCCAGATCTTCCAGGACATGATGAATGTGACGGCAAATCGGAGTAGCTCGGCGCCAGTGGGCACTTCAGACATGTGTTCGCCATTGCTGTGAATGATACCAACTATAAAAGAACATGTCAGCAAATGAGATCAATAGATACTCAAAGAATAGTGGTGTACTTACCGTAAACCAAGTCGAAAAACAGCTCAATAGCCATGATTTCCGTCTGTTCAGACGCGCGCCACAGCGTTCCGCGGTGGAACCACTGCTTGACGGTAGGGATCTTTGCCAACTTGATTGTGAATTCCTGCTTCTCGCTCTCGCACTTTGGCCCGCTATGTTCGCCGCCAGCGCCGTCCTCCAGTTGATTCGCCTCTTCATCATCGTACGTCTTGACGCCCTCGTCGTAGCCGAACTTGCCGTAGTTGTGATGCAGACCCGAGTTTGTGCGCGAGAGCTGCGCAAGCTGCATCGAGACGGAATTGAGCTGGTTGTGCACGTCCTCCCACTCGTGGTAGACGTCGCCATGACGCTCCTTGAGCTCGGCGCGGCGGCCTTCGTGATGCTGGTGGGCTTCCTGGAGGAAGGCTCTGTGCTCAGAGGAGCCGCGGACGACGAGCTCGGGAGCGTTGTCAATGTTGGAGTATTGTCTGCGCAGCGGGGCGACGCTATCGGCCGAGGCAACGAGGACTTTACGGCCGTCGGGGAGGGAGAATTCCTGGTTGGGCTGGAAGCGCCCTGTTGCGGTGACCATGGTGAAGCTGGGGTGAGAGCTAGCTGGTTGGGGATTTTTTATCGTGTATGCATCGGGCGATCAAGCTCTACTAAGTCGATCACCACGATATGGGACAGATGGCAATGTCGGGGAGATTGTTGGTGATGCTGGTGAAAAGAGGGGTCTCGACGGCAATTGACGACGCTGCAACCAGTAGCAGCTTTGTTTACTGGCCATCGAACCATTTTCAAATAATTTTAAAGTTGGCCTTGTCCAGATCGGGATAGGCTTCGTTTTAGCTTACCTGCTGGGGCTGGCCTGCACCGTAGCTAGACTGTACTCCACTGTACTGGCTTGCACTGTACCACAAGCTAAGCTACTGTAAAGCTAAGCTACGGCTGGACTTACTTACTTCCACTATAAACCCGCTGTTTGTTAGCGGCCGGGGCGGGCAAGGCGCTGGCATGTGGCGCGCTCCTCTCCCCTTTTTTTCTCGCTGGCCCTCGGAGCCACGGCGCGTCTTGTGACGGAGGCCCGCGTCATTAATTAAAAAAAAAAGTCGCTAGCAAGAAACCGGGATCACAAGGGGACAGACCGCCAGCTAACTCTTCTTCCCCACGACCACAAACGTCTTTTTTGTTTCTGAGCTGTTTCCCCAGCTTTTACGAGCACGTGTCTGCTTCTCGTCTTTTCTGTTTCTCCCTTTTCGCATCGCATCGCATCTGCTTCTCGACATCTACACGACAACACTACCCACCGCAGCCATGGTCTACGTTCGCCAGAGCAAGCTGCCCGCACTCAAAGAGTACAAGTACTCGTCGGTCGACCGGTCGCTCACGTCCAAATACATCCTCAAGCCCTTCTACACAAATGTCGTCATCAAGCTGTTCCCCATGTGGATGGCGCCCAACCTCATCACCCTGACGGGCTTCCTCTTCGTCATTGCAAACTTCCTCACCATGCTCTGGTACAACCCGACGCTTGACCAGGACTGCCCGACCTGGGTCTACTACTCGTGGGCTGTCGGCCTGTTCCTCTACCAGACCTTTGATGCGGTCGACGGCTCCCAGGCGCGCCGAACCGGCCAGTCAGGACCCCTCGGCGAGCTGTTTGACCACGGTGTCGATGCCCTCAACACCAGCTTGGAGGTGCTCATCTTTGCGGCTTCGCAGAACATGGGTATGGGATGGAAGACGGTCGCCGTCCTGTTTGCTTGTAAGTTTTCGCAGAAACATGCGCACCAACAAAAAAAACTAACGTAGCACGCCTACAGCCCTCTTGACCTTTTACGTGCAGACCTGGGACGAATACCACACCAAGACGCTCACCCTCGGCATTGTCAACGGTCCTGTTGAGGGCGTCCTCATGATGGTCGCCGTCTACGCTTTGACTGGATACCTCGGCGGCGCGCACGTCTGGGAGCAGAGCTTGTTTGCAGTCGTTGGTGTGCCCACCAACATTGGCATCCCTAGCTACATCTACAACTTGTCCATTACCGAGTGGTACCTGGTGCAGGGCTCCATTGTGCTGGTTCTCAACACGCTCGAGTCGTCGGCTAATGTGATTCGCGCGCGCCGCGCTCGTGGCGACAAGTCCCGCGGCGCCCTTCTCGGCCTTTTGCCCTTCTTTGGCGTCTGGGCCTTTGTCATTGCGTACCTCAAGATCAACCCCAACATCTTGCACAACCACCTGGTCCCCTTTACGCTCTTTGCCGGCCTCGTCAACGCCTACAGCGTCGGTCAGATGATCACGGCCCACCTTGTCAAGATGCGCTTCCCATACTTCAACGTGCTCGGCCTCCTGCTCGTCTTTGGCGTGGGTGACTCGCTCGGCCCCATCCTCCAGGCCCAGTTCGGTCTCGGCTGGCCTAGCGCCCTCGGCGACGGCCAGTACCAGGTTGCTTACGTCTTCTTGATGCTTGGCGTCGCCATTGGTGTCTACGGCAGCTTTGTCGTCGACGTCATTGTCACCATCTGCGACTACCTCGACATCTGGTGCCTTACCATCAAGCACCCCAAGATTCCTGGTGAAGAGAAGAAGTCGCAATAAGACGTTTGTTCTTCAAGACGTACACGTTTTCGCCACGACACTTGCTCTCTCGACGAACCGAGACGATAAACATACTAATATTTAATGCTTTGGATGTTGCATGCACACTGCGGCTGGCTAGCTGGTTACTTACTGCACATATATATGATTTACCACACGTAACGGCTGAAGGAATAGCCCCGTCCCCGGGGAAGGGGAGGAGCTCTTATTTTAATGTCCTTGGACCACGGGCTGCTTCTGCCACGGTCCCTAGAAATGATATCCTTACTCTTTTTTTTTTAATTTACAATCCTGACTCTCATCTCGTTCATGTCCCCACGTCCACGAATCTTTCCGCTTACACTCCAACCCAATCGGCAGCATCTCGGAGACATTGTCTCCATCTCATTGCCTACAGAACCCCTGGCCTCTCTCGTAAGGCGGACAGGGCTTCCATCTTGGCTTCGTTTTTTACTTTCGGCCGTGATGATCGAGCCACTCTCTCGGGACTGCTACCGCCCATCTCCGCGCGCGGCCCGTGCAGCGAACACTAAGCTTACACGGAGAGTTCTCCCGGTCACGCCACGGTAAATTCCCTGCAGATCACTATCATGTATAGGATCATCTAATTTTCTCTTGTAGTTTTTTTTTGGCACATTTGTAATCCGGCGATGGCTGAGATCGCGCCACCGCCTATTAATAAAGACGCGGAGAGCCCGCCCCTCCCCACCACCATTTTGACAAGCTGACATTCCGCCGCCGGCCGGCACCCATCTTCCCCTCTTCAACCGCCAACGGTCGATAGCCTGCGTCTGTCACAGCGCCAATTTTTTTTATCGCGAACCCTCTCTTTCCAGCATCTTCCCTCTCATCTCCTCACCGTTGCTCACGCCACTGGGGTACACACACGCAAGCCCACCCCCGCCGCACGCACATACGAAACACCATCCGAACAATGGACTTTACCGACCAATATCCCTTCCCGCAGCAGGCGTTCAACGCAGGTGTCATGAACATCCCGCCCCTGACGCCTTCCCATTCACAGTCCGCGCCATCCGAAGACTTCACCTCGCCTCCTGTACGCTCTAGCAACCCCTCCTCACGACCCCGCCCCGTTCGCAGAACTAACTCGGTGCAGGACAACACATTCACGCAGCTCGGCGCCGACTTTACAAATTTCGACTACACCCAGGGCCTCGGGGCCAGCGCCTTTCCTGGCCCTCCTACGCCGCCTAACGCCTACTCGCAAAAGAACGGCGGCCCTGCGATGAATGCGTCCCCCGAGGACAGCGGCGCCCGTGGCGGCAGCGAAGAAGACGACTTGACGCCCGCCCAGTCGCGGCGTAAAGCACAGAACCGAGCCGCGTGCGTCCATTTTCCCTTATCGCTCTAGTCATCCTTACTAACTCGATATCCTTTTATAGCCAACGAGCCTTCCGCGAACGCAAGGAGCGCCACGTCAAAGACCTCGAAGCCAAGCTCGCCTCCATGGAGGCCGCGCAGCAGGAAACAAGCCTCGAGAACGAGCGTCTGAAGCGCGACCTGCAGAAGATGTCGACGGAGAACGAGATCCTGCGTGCCACGTCCGGTGCGTCGCCGCAGATCCTCTCGCGCCCGGAGCCGGCCACCACGGGGCCCATGTCCTACAAGCCCACAGACTTTTACTCGGACGTGCTCAAGGGCCACGAGAACCAGACGCCGTCGCACCGCATCGTGGTCTCCTCGACAGGGGAGCGTCTGTATGCCGCGGGCGCTACGTGGGACTTTATCATCGGACATGACCTGTATAAGAGGGGTCTTGTGAATGTTGGCGATGTGAGTGAGCGTCTCAAGGCGTTTGCGACGTGCGATGGACAGGGTCCTGTGTTTCCGGAGCGTGCGATTGTGAGCGCTATTGAGCAGAGCGTGGCGAGCGGCTCAGACGATTTGCTCTAAGTGAGAGTGTGTTTTACTGCTGTTTTTTGTTTTGGATTCTGGTGGTGACTATATTTGGGATTCACGAGGTTGGGTTTAAAGCAGGTGTTTATGGCGCAGACAGAATGCATATACGGCGTGCTCTTGATAGCCTTTTTGTTCAATTGACATGAATGACACAATTACATTCTTCTTTTTTTCTACTGGTTGTTCTTTGCAGTGGCTTTTGTCATAAAATAATTTGTATTTCTCTTTTATGCTACATAAAATAAAAAAGAGGTATGGAATGAAATAATATGTTTTTTTTCTCTTTTGTTTCTGTGCCTCTGCGCATTTATGGAGTAAGACGCTTAGGCGTGCGAGGGTAGTAGCTAGCAAGATGGACAGAGGGCAGGTTGAGGTACCAAGCAACAACACGGTCGAGACCAATACCACCGCCGCCGTGGGGAGGGCAGCCAGCAGAGCGGAAGACATCGACGTACTCCCTGATACCAGGGCTGGCGGGGTCGACATCCTTCTTGCGGATACGGGCCTCAAGGGTCGTGGGGTCGTGGATACGCTGGCCACCAGAGAGGACCTCCTGGCCACGCATGAAGAAGTCAAAGGCGTTGGTGACCTTGGGGTTCTCGGGGTCCTCAATGGCGTAGAAGGGGCGGGCACCCTCGGGGAACTTGTCGAGGATGTAGAAGTCGGTCTTGTACTTAGCGCGGATGAGCGCACCAAGAGCCTTTTCTTGGGCTGTCGACATGTCCTCGTCGTCAGAGACATTGCGGTACTCCTCAGGACCCTCAGCGCGGAGCAGGGCCTGGCCGGCAGCAAAGGTGAGGCGGACCTCTTGGCCCGGCTCGGGCAGCAGGAACTCCTCAGAGGGGTAGATGGTGCGGATCAGCGCAATCTGCTCGGCGCAGCGCGTAGCAATGCCGCGGAAGATGTAGAGCAGGACATTCTCGAGCATGAGCATGACCTCGTGGTACGACTCCTCAATCTCCATTTCCAAATCGAGACCAGTGAACTCGGTCATATGGCGCGGGGTGTTGGAGTTTTCGGCACGGAACACAGGGCCAATGCAGTACACACGCTTGCGGCCACCAGCAATCTCCATTTGCTTGTAGAACTGCGGCGACTGGGCAAGGAACGCCTGCTTGTCAAAGTACGGCATGCCAAAGACGTTGGAGCCGCCCTCGGAGGCAGCACCAATCAGGCAGGGTGGCTCAAACTGGTTGAAGCCCTGGTTGTCGAGGTACTCGGCAAACAGCTTGCGCACGGCGACACGGACATCAGCAATGGCCTGCTGGACGGGGGCACGCTTGTGCATGGCAATGTTGGACAGATGGGTGTTCATGGACGCGCTGGGGATGGCGGCGCCGTCAATGGCAGCAGCCTCGACAGCCTCGCGGGCCTCCTTAACAGCAGGGTCCTCGGCCTCTTCGGCAGCATCGTCAAAGTTGGCAACGGGGCGGTTGGCGACAGCCAGACCCATGCCCAGGACCTCGGGGCCGCGGGCGACAACGTACAGCTTGGTGATGTGCAGCTCGTAGTTGGACACGCGGACCGACTTGACGGGCTCGAGGGGCTTCTGGATGGTACCCTCGACGAGGACAAAGGACTCAATGTTGACGGTGCCAATCCACTTGACCATTTGCTTGCTGACGGGCTTGCCTTCGGGGTTGGCGGCCACGACACCCTGGATGGCCCAGTCACGCTCCTCACGAAGCTCGACAAAGGCCATCTTGGCGCCCTGCATGCGTGAGTTCTGAATCCAGGCACGGAGCTTGACGGGCTTGCCAATCAGCGAGTCGTCGACAGAGCGCAGGTTGACTCGCTCGGCGTCGACCTTGGTCTGGGGGGTGGCATCGCCGTAGTTGTCCTTGGCGAGATCCTCGGTGTTTCCGGCAGCGGCCTGAGCAGCAGCCTGGTTGGCAGCGTGTTCGGCAGCACGCTTAGCCTTTGCTTCGGCCTTTTCCTTTTCCTTTTGTAGCTTCTTGAGAGCCTTCTTGGAGGGGCCAGCTTCGCCTTCGGGGGCGGCCGCATCGCCAGCAACAGCAGCGGGAGCAGCAGCAGCAGGGGCGGCGGGCGGCTGCTCAGTTGGTGTTGTTGTGTTTTCGGCCATGATGAAGTTGAATTGTAAATCGATCGCGGAGTCGATCTGGTCTTTTATGTGGTGATGTCCAAAGAGCAAAGGAGTCACGCCGTCCCGATGGCGGGGTTTTTGGTGTGCCCCTCCAAAGAATTATTCGGGTGGGGCGGTCTCTGTTTTTGGTGTGGCAGGGCAAAACGACGTCACTGAAAGTGCAGTAGTGAAAATAAATAATGCAAGAATTCTGTGAAAAAATATATCGTGATCTAAAGTTACGGAAGTAGTTGATATAAATATATGTATTAAGTTAATGCTAACAAATAATAGGTGCTTCTGTGTAAAATTTACACAATGCCGAATCGCAGCCGAAGCCGCTTGCTACGTGACTAACACCATCACCATATATGAGTATTACGGCGAGCCTTCACACCACAATATATCTTGAAAGCTTACAAATCACGGCTCAATTGTATAAAATATATGAAGCACGGTTTTTTGATATTTAAGAGATTTTTCCTATACCACCGACGGCATATATCACATGCCCGTATACAGCAAGGCGCACCAACTTCGCCGTGAACCATTGCGTTGCTCCCAAAAGTGATCCTCGACTGTATAAAATACTTTACTACAAACGAATGGGACTCAAATTGGATTGCTGCACCACGGACACGCACAATCCTTTATTGCGTCTCAAACTCGGCTGCAGCTGAACACTACCAGCCCCATGATAGGCGTTAGTGTTAATCTCCACCAGAGCGAAGATCTATGGTTATCCATCGTAGGAAATATTCATAAAATCCAGAAAATCCATAAAAGTTCATCGGATGTACTATGGATACTCTTTAGGGCCTAAGATGCTTCAACATCATACAATTGTACAAGTGCTCGGTACAGCTGTTCGTCGAAATCTTGGGGACGCAGCTCGTGGGTTTAAACGCCACGCATATTTACCCCCTCTATGAAAAGTTCGTGGCGCAAGCGAAAAGGGTATGTGCCGAAACTAGCTCCCAGCTCCTAACCTATCACAGGAACTTTTACATCAGAGAACTGCAAGTCAGGCTAAGCGAATGTAAACGAGAATCCTTGTGGCTGAAGCTAACGATGATGGGTAATTGTACACTATATCATATAAACTCCCTGTAGACGGCAGCTCCAGCTTGTCAAAGTTCATAGCAGACAATTATAGACTACCATTTGCACAACGTCACCATGACGCCGAGCAACTTTCCCAACGATGGCATCTTCCACCAGATGGCGCAGCTCTCTGCCCATATTCAACACCCCATCATCATTGATCCCAGTGCCCACGTAGAGGCCACTTACAACCAGCTGTTCCACGACGTGGCGCTTCTGCGCGAGGATATTGTTCAAAGCCTACCGGCTGATACCATTGACGAAAATGGCAGCATTCGGAGCGATTGTGACAACTTCATATGCGTGCTGTGCCCGGGCGACTACGAGTTTATAGTGGCTTTTGTCGCTATTCTATCAGTAGGCGGCGCCGTAACCCCGTTGGGTAATAGCAGCTACTCCCCTACACCCTCACCATTCCCAGACTAACTGATTCCCCATGATATAGGCGACACCTTGGAACCTGACAATGCGGCCGCTTTCTTTGACGAAGTAAACTCAAGCTTACTCATTGTATCCTCTTACTACGCTACGCGTGCTATAGCCATACAGGCCAAGATGCAAGCCACAGGACGAAACTTATCAGTGGTATCTCTTAATCAAGGGAAAGAGAACCACCCAGCTTGCGCCAAACCTGGAGAGCCAGCTTTCCGAATCAACGAAGCAATCCAAATCTCCCCCGAGCGACCAGCAGCGGCTATTTTCACTTCAGGCACAACCGGTCGGCCCAAGGCAGCCTTGATTCCACGACGGAGGATCTTTCCTCTTTGGCCCGTAGAAACCGTCATCAAAATGGCCCAGGATTCAGTCGCAGTTTCTTACCGGCCGCCTCAGTGGATTGGCGGCGTTCGCGGCCTTACTCGCTGTGTGCTCGAAGGGGTCGCTACGCTACTCACGCCACCACGAGCTGATGCCGCCGTTCTATGGTCTTATATCCGGGATTATGCCCCTACTGACATGGACTTTGTACCATTTACTCTCAAGAAGATGCAGGCCTACTACGAAGCCCATATTTCCACCCTTCCACCAGAAGAAGTCGCCAAGTATGCTGCAAATGTATCCAAAATGAGCTTTATATGCTACGGGGCCATGATTGAACAGAGGACACGCGACTTTTGGACGGGCTTAGCTGGAAGGAACATCCTTCGCAACATGTACGCGGCCACGGAATCCAGCATTATGTCGATTTCCAGCGTAGATGCAGACGTCAAGGTGCGTGAGATTCGCAGATGGCAAAAACGAGAAACTAATACTTGGTTGGTAGTCCATTGGGAGCCTTTTTCCCGGCGTAACGATGGAGCTCTCAGAGGGGGATTACGGTGAAGCACGAGTCAAGAGCCCGCATATGTTTCTTGGGTATGTAAGCCAAACACTTTACTGACAGACGTACCAAATTGATCGGTTCTGCACAGGTACCTGAACAGTCCAGAGGCGAACAAGGAGACCTTTGACGATGAGGGATGGTTCAAGACGGGCGATGTCCTGCGTAAAGTAGGCGATGAATATTTTTTTGAAGGCCGTGTTGAAAGCGACTGCAAGTAACTTCCTTATACGCTTCTCCAGAGGGATGTTGTGCTAACTGAACCTGCTCTGCAGTCATTGGCTACCACGCCTACAAGGTCTCGATTTTAGAAGTAGAGAACTCCCTTGCTGACCTGCCCTATATCGCGGAAGCCCATATTGTCAGTATACCCGACTACGATGCCAAGGAGCTCGTGGGTGCCATAGTGCGCATCAGGGACCCTGCGATAAACCACAATGACGCCGCCAGCTACAGATACCTCGACCGAATCCGTACCGACTTATCCCACAAGCTTGCTCCGTACAAGCTGCCCGTGCTGGTCCGGTATCTTGCCGAGGACGAACAAGTCCCACGCACACACTCCGATAAAGTAATCAAGAGGGGCCTCGCGGCGACCTTTTTTGGTATACAGGAGCTGATTACACCAGACTACGTGTGGCCGCAGACAGAGTATCTGCCCAGTAAGGGTGTAGATGCTGCGGGTGAATTGCAGCCGTGGGACTGGTCTGGCAAGGTTAGGGGCTCTGAGTAAAGCTTTGGTCGTAGTGTTGCGTTGCTGCGTGACGGTGCGTGAAAGTCGTTGTACACGAACGCGCCTAGACATGCAATAATATTCTATGGTTTACAAACGCTGCTTTTACACATGCTAAACTCATCACTATAAATGTCACACATATACACCCTTATACACAAATATTTCCATGCCAAGTAAGTCCACTGCATGCGTCTTCCCGCGCCATGTGTAATACCTCGCATCCATCTCATTCAGCCACCACCACCATCACTACGCCAAAAGAATAGAATCATGCACGGGTCGTCCCATCATACTGCGCAGCAGCTGATTTCCATGCGCCAAAATCTGCAGCTCAATCTACCCATCTGCTCAGTAAGCGCTTGGGGTGCGGTTAGCTGCAGATACCGGCCGCCTTTCCCAGGCATGCAATACAGCCATCTCATTAATACAGCCTTATTTCGCCATGCTCTTCAACATTACACATCAATTGCCAAGCCTTAAACACCAGACATTGCCGGAAGCGGGACATCGGCCGTGTGGCTGGCTGTGTAAGCGACCAACATCATCATTCTCATATAGCACAAGCGCTGCATGTTAGCCAATTGAACTTTGTCCAGCTCACACCTCGTCCTTTCTCACCGAGCCAAGATAGTTTCTCTGATGCATGAACGGAAATCCATCCAACGACGTCATGGCACGGCACGGCAGCAGTTACCTCTGCACCACGAGACCGATCGCAGGAACCTGTACGTAACAGTATCACAGCCCAAGTTAATTGTCCAGCGGACTTCAGTATTCCATGTGCCAATGACCCTTCAAAGATTTTGTATAAATACGGCCTCCTGTTCTCGCATCTATCAACTCACTTCCCTTCCTCATCAGCTCCCACACAACAGCCCATCAAACACTCACCCACCATGCAATTCAAGCTTCTTGCCCTTGCCTCCTCAGCGGCCGCCGCCGCCCTCTCCGGCCAATGGACCGGCTTCGAGTCTCTCCCCGACGGCGCCTACAGCGGCATTGTCCACGCCAACGGTTCCACGACCGTCACCAGCGTCGACACGGGGGCCGAGCACTTCTTTGGGCTGGAGTCCGGCTCTGCCGCCCAGAAGCGCAGCATCAGTAAGCGCGATGTCTATTGCAACGGCAACTACCTCAACCACGGCGATGTCGACGCGACCTACCAAAGCCTCCAGAACTGGGCTGGTGCCGGCCAGACGCTTAGCTGTAGCAGCGGCCGCACCCGCTTCCACGGCTATGTCAGGGGCGGCGCTGTCTCGTACGCTTGCTGCAACAAGGGTGATACTTCGTACGTCTTCACTGCCGACTTTGTCCGCTATGCGTTTGGCGCCATGGACGGCAACCGCGGCGAGCGAGGCTGCCCTGCCCATATGGCGAGCTTCTATGCCGAGCCCGGCTCCGACAAACTTGTTGGCAAGGATGCCGCTGGTGCCAGCTTCTGCGCTGGTCATTGAGTAGACTGTCCTCTAGTTCAGTGCCGTAGTGTCTCTTCTGCAGGAGAGGCACTATAGCCTCGAAACAGCTCAGTAGTCGCTTCTCTCAGGGGGGGATTATGCACTTCGCACAAGTTAGCAGTACATATAGTTCACAGTAGATAGTTCAAACATTCAATAATAAAAACGGAATTGCAATTCATGCTTCCTATCCAGGATTACAGTATTATTCAATACCAAAAAAAAGAGAGAAAGACAAAAACAACAAAATAGCAAGTGGGAATATCAACGCTGACATGAAGGAATACAACAAGACAATAAACAAATATCCTTCAGGAGAATAAGATACAGTGAAGAGAAGGTCAAAAAAAGACATCACCATACGTCAGCAAAGGGAAACAGCGCGCTGGCTCGCTAGCCCAGCAGCGACTCCGTCTTCTCGCAGGTAAACAGGTTGATGTGGTTGTCGTCGCGTGCGGCGCACGCAAGAATAGGGTGGTGAGGATGGAAGGATGTCGCCGCGATGGCTGAGCCGCGGTTCTGCTGCAGGAAGCTCGAATACGGCTCGACGCGCGACAGCTCCTGGCCCTCGAGGTTGAACACCTTGACTGTGTGCGCTGATGTGCCTACTGCGAACACGGGCAGATGTTCGTGGGTGCTTGCTGTGCGCAGCGTGTCCCGGGTCGTCTGGATCGAGTGAAGGGCCTTGTCCATGCGAATGTCCCAGAGCTTGACCTTGCCGTTGCGGCTTGCACTCAGCAGCTCTCGCTGGCCACCTCGCTGCATGTGAACAGACTTGATCCATTGCCGGTCCGTCTCGTCCTTCCACTTGCGCACCATGCTATCTTGGGGACGCAGGCGCGTGTCAAAGACGCGGACAGCGCCGTCACCAAAGCCGGCAACAAAGACGTCGCCCGTCATCTGGTCCGAAGTCAACGATGTTACGCACGAGCCTGATCGAGCTGGGATGTCCATGACACACGTCTCCGTGGCGGCGTACCAGACTCGAATCACGCGAACATCGCCTGCTACCAGAACACGGCCCTTGACTTGCTGCCAGTCAAACACCATGCCCGAGTTGACGTTGCTGGGCACCATGTGCGTGAGCGCGCGCCAAGCAGACGCCAGCTCAATGTCCCGGTCAGACTCGTAGTTGCGGTAGACGCGAAGCACGCCGTCCGAGGAGCCCGTCAGCAAAAAGGCCTGGTCGTCCTCGTTGATAAACTTCATGTCGCTAATCTTGGACCCTTCGGGGTTGCCGTTGGAGAACTTGCTCATACGGCCCTGGCGCTTCCAGTCCCAGACTTGCACCGTGTTGCCATCGTCGGACACGGCCAAGTGGTCCTCGTACTGATGGAACGTCATCTTGGCAGGCTGGCAGCCGTTGTTGATGATGCCAAGCTGGTTGTTCCACTTGTGTGTGCCTGCCAGCTGCTTAAGTGGCTGCGTCTCACGAAGAATCGTCTCGTTGCGCGTTCGTCGCCAGAGTCGCTCATTGTAGTCGGTACTGCCGGGCTCATCGGCCTCGTTGTTCTTCATCTGGGGTTGGCGGAAGTATTCTATCGACCACCCGAGGAACGAACTCGGCAACGGCAGTGTTGGCGTCTTGGTTAGGTTTCTCTCTTGATATTCGCCAGACAGCGGCTCGCGGGCAGCGTGATAGGATGACAGCGGAGCCGTCTGGTCGTTTTGCTCAGGAGGTGCAGATACTTGATCGGGTGGCACAGACGACGGCGATCTGGGCAGAGAAGGGGCACTACCTTGTCCAGTTGGCGTGCTGGGTCTGGGGCGTTCGTCGGCTCCAATAAAAGACTGGAAGAGTAGACTGGCGGTACGGCGCAGCAAGCCTGGAGATGGTGGTGCCTGTGCTGACTGGCCGACAATGAGACTTCGGCGCTGGTTCGCGGTGCCGTTTCGGTAGGCCGCTCTGTTAGTGTAGCGGCGAATGTCGGACATGAGCGACTGCGCAGAGGGTCCAATGGATGAGTTGATGAGAGCATTGTGAAGGTAGTCAACCACAATGGTGGCCTCCTTTTGTACTTCGGGGTGAGGGTCAACGCTGAGGATTAGAGCATGCTTCCAGCATGCCATGTAGACAGTGTTGTGCGACAGCCCATGGCTCGTTGGCTTAATCGTGCCGTCCTTTTGACGGTTAGCCTGGCGGGCGTAGTGTAGACCCATCTTGTGGTCTTGCCCGTCATTCTGGGGAGGGAACAGCAGATACTCCTTTTCTTCCAGGAGCTGCTCGTATGCGGCGACGAGGAACTTGTTCTCGAATCGCACGATAAAGTGTGACAGGAACACAATGAATTCCTTGCGCACCAGAGGACTGCCGTCAGTTCCCATATCCAAAACGGTCCAGGCAATAGATTCCTCGATGCGGGCAACCTCTTCGGTGATATCGGGGATGCCCAAAAACGTGGTCATGGCGTGGACCATGGCGGCGCGGACCTCGCAGCACGGATCCTTGGCAAGCGCCGACAGGGTCACATATGCATTCTCGCGAATGCCTCTCCACTTGGCCTCGGGGAGATCTTGCCAAAGCTGGCTAATGCACAGGCAAGCCCATTGGCGTAGGAGGTGGTTCTTTTGGTTCTGCACGTGGACCAAGCAGTACGACATAATGTCAGTCTGGTTGCAAACCATCTGGCCGTTGCGGTAGCCCTTGCACAGCATGGCGAGAATAAAGGCGCACATGGCCTTGTGCTCCTCACCGTCAACAATGGGCAGGCTCTCGGACGGCTTGAGAATCTGAGCAAAGTAGCTGTAGCCGCTGTCCTTGATGAGATCTTGCTGGCAAGAAATATCGACGGCAATCAGTCTGGTCCAGATAAAGACCATGACGGGCTTCAGTTCTGCCGCTGCTGACTGGAGGAGCTTCAGCACATAGGGGAAGATGCCGATGCTAAGAGCAAGCTGCACAGACCATGGGCCCAAATCCAAAAATCGACCTAGCAAAATAAGCGCTCGCACTCGGTGTTGTTGGCTCAGCAAGACTTGAAGCACTACGGGTAGCTGGTCTGGTGGTTTCTGGGCTAAAGCGTCGCCTCTTGCCAGATACACCTCAAAGGCTGTGAGCTGCTCGGTGAAAAAGGTCGAGTTTTGATACTCGTACTCGACGCTTTCGTGCTCCTTCTTCTCGAGCATGGGAAGCTGTGCTAGGGCCATGTCGACGGCAAGATCCCATGTTGCCCAGAGCGGGTGCTGATGAGTGTCGGGCAGCGCGGGATACGACTGAGGGTGGCAGCCGTAGACGGTCATGACACGCTGAGCGAGGAGGAAGTTTCGGAACAAGGCTGCCACCATGAGGTCCTGGCGGAAGAACTTGCGGAAGAGGTCTCGGGGGAGGGTGGTCCAGGCGATGCTGTCGGTAATGGCGGTAAAGATCCAATTGAGCTCACCAAGCGGCGTGCGACGTTCTTGAAGTCGGCCCGGTAGCTTCTTGGCTCTCTCTGGTGTAAGATTCGTCTTGAGCGGGTTTTGTAGAACAAAGAACCATAGCGCCATCTCGATAGGTGTGGTCAAGCAGGCAGTAAAGAGATCGGCCGGGAGAAGTGGGTTGGATGGGAGGTTCTCTTTGATGGCGCAAGCAGCAAGATGAATATATGGTCGGAAGGTCATCTTCTCATGATGAGGATCGCGCTTCGACGCCTCGGCTTCCTCCTCCTCATGTTTCTCGACGAATCGGTGGTAGTTGGTAAGGATGTTTCCGGCTTCGGAGCAGTCCCAGACAAAAATGGTGGGAGCCTGGAGCCACTGCTGCAGTTCCGAGATGGAGACGGGGATGTATTGTGTATAATTCTTGTTGAAGACCCAAATCTCGCCAGACGCTGTGGGCTTGGGCACGCCGTGGCCGTTGTAGTGGAAAAGGACTCGCTCGTCCTTTGCGTTTCGCCTCAGCGAGAGACAGAACTTTTTGGTCTCTTCGACAGACGGATCGAGATACTGTTTGTATCGTGCCCTAATCGCAAGAGTTTCGTATTGAGCTTGAAGAGCCTTGCCGATATTTTCGAGGGCCTTCTGGACGGGAGGGATGGTGGGATCGGTCCAGGCCTCGAGCTTGGCACCAGGCGTGGTCTTGAGCTGGTCGGGAGGCTCGACGCCAATATTGAGGCAGACGGCGAGCGCTGCAGAGACTGTTTTAAGTCTGTCGCGCTGGCGCCAGTCGTGCAGCTCAATCTGTATGCGTTTGGGTTTGCCTGTGGTCTCGTGACGCTTGTCGGTAAAGTACATACACCAGTTGGTGGCGAGCTGGGTAATGATGTGCTCTGATTGGTAGTGGTCTTCGAAGCCGTGTCTGGCTCCCCAGACTTGCATCTCGTCGTCGGAGTCGTCTATGTCGTCGTGCCGTTGATTCGGTGCATAGTCGCTCTTGGACCGTTGCAGCAAGGGCTTGGTTGGGCGAGTCGGCCGTTGCTCGCGCTGTGGCTGGTGGTTGGTGTCGTCTTTTGTCTCGGTGGGCAGGATGCCGTTCTTGAGGCCCATGGCGGTCGATGGCCTGCTATCATATGAGTCTTGGTCGAGGCTGCGGTCTACACTAGCCTTGAATCTCGACGTCTCGCCATTTGTGGCGGACGCTGCAGACGTGCCGTTTGTATCTGTTAGTACGGCCATGGCGGCGCTGCCATAAACAATACTGTGTAGCTATGCGGGTATATGAGTTATCGCTTTCGCGTGCGCAAAAGCACGAGTCTCGGGGATGGCAAGGGCGTCAGTGCCCAGCCAGTATCGAGATGAGGCGAGGCTGGTGTTTGGTTCGCCGTGCGCGGTAGAGATGCGGAGGCGTCGGGGGAGAGGTGAGCGGTTGTTGATTGGGGCGAGTGTAAGCGAGAGGCGTTAAATCATGTATGCGTGCGGGGAGGGGGAGCAACTGCGGCGAAGAAAATACAGATGCGCCCGCTAATTAAAACGAACGAGGGAAAAAAGGGAAGAGGCGGTCCCAGCAGCGATGTCGTTCTCCCCCGGGGTTGTGCGTGATGCTGCGGGATGGCGATGCAACTGGCGGGTTTTTGGAGATGACGAGCACGAGGAAAGCTAAAAGGCTGCCTTGGCTTTTTGGCTGGTGCTGCTACTGGTTAGTGCAGTGCTGAAAGTTACAGACCGGATGTACCTAAAAGGCAACTGTAGTTCCACTGTGTTTCTGCCTGCTAGGTTGGGCTGAAGCTGGGGGCGGGCAGCTGCGGCCAGCGCGATACGGGCAAAACAGGCGAACCAATTGCGGCGACTGGGCTGCCTGCTGACACACGCCGCCCGCCTGCCCAGCTTTGGTAGGTTGGTCGGTCCAGCTGGGCGATAGCGCTTGCGGGGAGGGTTCACACCGTAACCCATCTGTAGTAGTGGCCTCAGGCGCAGCTTTTGTCGTCGGCTACAGTACTCTGTACATGGTTCACAAGCAAACAGCAGTTCCTCTTCGCTAGGCCGCACACCGCATTGGTCCGATTGTGCTCTCTCGCCCACCACCACTGCCACTTGCGACCACCTGAACAACTTTATTACAGCGGGGACCTTCCGTAGCCTTTTGGCAGGGTTCTTTGACTGGACAAGGGTTATCTCTGATTAATAAAAAAAATGCCTCTAGTGAGAACGAGCTGAGGCTTCTAGAATTGTTCCACGGTGCGATGGGCACGGCGCCGCAGTCCTTCCACTTTGTTGAGATATCTACGACCAGCAGGATACTACGTTTGGGCAAAGAAGACGATGCGATTATTCAAAATATTGCCAGATTTGTACATGTATCGTCGCAAAATTCTCTTCCTTTTTTCCGCCTTGTCAGGTCTATCTGCGGCCAGAGAGTACGCCGACATCAACTTGACCATTAATAATGGTTCACTTGCAATATATTGTTCCGCCACCGATACACTTGCACAACCAACGCTAAGACTCAATATCACACTAGTGAATATCAATTGAGACACCAGAACGGCGAATACTTCCGAAACAGGTAAACTATTCACGTCATGGCACCGCTGGAGCGGACACAAACCCAATAAAGAACACTGTGCCGGGTAGCCAGCCAGCTGTCGCAAAGCAAGGCTGAGGAATATAAAACAACGACAGTGCCTCTCAGACACGCTATAATATATGCCGACTCTTGGGACCAAAAAAATCACAGGCTGCAGAAATTAAAGGCACCAAGCACACGACACGGTGTGTTTCAAGCCCGCAGCCTGCAACAGGCGCGCCGCATCTGACAACGCAGGCGGTGGCGATATGAGAGGCCCCGTGCAGCGCAGCAGCTGCACAGAGTAGGCTGGCGTAGGCGCAGAGCGCATGCGCATCAAAGGGCCCCATAACTTGTATGCACAGAATACAGATCGACCTGCCACGCGGATAAAAAGGGGCGGGCCAAGCAAGCAATCAAGCAAGCTGGAGCAGCAAGCAAGCAGACTGGGGTGCGTCCTATACTATACAGTACAAAGTGCCTCTGCACAGTATGCGGCTGTGGGCTCGACGTACAGGGCCGCCTGTACAAGTGCTGACAGTGAAAGGCTCCTGTCAGCGTGCACTGTAAAGGGCTACACTTTGCGCTCGGTACCAGTATATCGCGAGCCTGCCAAACTATCACCACACACAACACCACCACAGTAGAGACAGAATCAGATAATAGAAACACCATATTTAGTGTGCAGAGTGCCGCATTTGCTACAAACAGCGTATCTGGCCACAGATCTGGTGGCTGCACCTAACCTAAAGAGCGCCAAAAACAAAAACAAAAAACAAAAAGACAAAAGACCTAAAAAAGCAAAGACGATCACGCTCTGCATGCGCCAGTGCGTGTGCTCAGCGTAGCCTGTACCGTGTACAAGATGCCCTGTGCACACCGTGCTTTGCTCACTATGCCCGCTACAAGGCCCACTGAAGCCCGCATCCCCTTGGAAGCAGCGCCCCCCCCCCCGTCCAGCCCCTTGATTTCCTCCACCGCACCGCGACCCGCGCCCGCTGTCGCAACGACGCCAGAAAAGTAAAAGCAAATACCGGCCCGAGACTGTGTCTCTGCCACCAATTTCCTCACGCAGACCAGCAACATACAGCGTAGTAATACATGCATACTGTGCTAAAACAGCATCTTGTCCCACTTGTCTGCTTTGTTATGTTTACCCGTTTCTTTTTTGGGATGTAAAAAGCTTAATGTAGGCATTAAGTCACCATCTTTTCTATTCCCCCCACAGCCTCTTCGGTACGTCTACAATACTTGGATAGGACACTAGCCACAGCGGTCCCAGCGCTAGCGAGTGCTGGCGTTCCCCCTATAACCCCCCCGGAACGTCCTATTGGCCATGTGGGAATGGGGCTTGCCCCGCTAGACAGGAGCACAGTGCCGCGGGATTGTTCCTCCTGGAGAAAAGTAGAGAAGCAAAGAAGGTCAAAGAGGCGATTTGACAAGCAGAGGGGACAAGGTAGCGTGGGCACGGGGCCCTCCTATGACGCTGGCCCCCTTTGTAGCGTCAGTGTGTTAGCGCGGTATGGACGTGCACTGTGCGGTGAAGCTTGTAACTAGTGCCACTGTAGGTAGGTACTTGCTAGGAAGAAAAAGGGATATATAGATTTTCTGTCTAAACAACCCCCCAAGCAGAGACAGCGGCGAATAATGGGAATAACAAATATATGCCGTGTTCCCCGACCATCTCGTCTCCCATACAAAACATTAAATCACCGTATTAGTCACACCTGGTTAACCCCGATATATGCTCGCTGTTTGTATTTTCCTTGGTGCGACACCATCTCACAGCGCACTGGATCCCACGACGCAGGGCGGGGACTGGTCCTCTTTTTTTTTTTAAGGGCGTTTGCACCCAGAGGACAGAACACCTTGCACAGTGCGCGCAGCAGCTCCCCTCCTCCCAACCCCTCTGTGACCAACACAACCCGGGCATTCCTCTCGTCCACGCACCCCCCAGCGCCCAGACGGAAGCACTGCGAACAAGGGAAACGAACAAAATTCCCCAACGGCCAAAAGCCAAACTTGCATCTTTCGCTCTCTTCCTGCGCATACCCAGCCATCTTCAAGCTCGAAACCCACGCAACGAGTTCGTCCCGCTCATCGCCTGCCACCCCCCCCTGGTTGCTTGCTTGGGACTACGCCATCCGACTTTTTTCTTCCTTTTCCTTTTTGTCCTTTCTTTCTTTTCCTTTCCTTCCTCCGAACCAACCCCTGCATCCTCTCTTCCTTCAAGGCAAGGCAACGCCGTGATATCCAACACCACCATCGACGCAATAGCAACAGCACAACGCCGCCTTACATGACAACCGCTTAGCGCTCGGAATCCGAATCGGCACACTCTCGAGTTTACGTCCCGCCGCATCGCGGGCTCCCCCGTCACAATGGCTTTCCTCTTCAAATCCAAAAAGAACCAGGACCGCGCCCTCTCCAGCCGGGATGGCAATGCTCCTCCTCAGGGGCCAATGGGCGCCGGCGCTGGTCGCATGACTAGAGACGAAAAGAATATGATGCAGCACAGAGCCACCCCGACTGGCAGTGTAAATTCCATCGAAAACGATCGCAGCGGCATCACAAGCCCCGAGTTTGGCCACAGCCGTCGAGGCGGAAGTGTGGACCAGGCGACATCGCCAACCAACGACCTGGCTGTACGTATCCCCCGTTGTTGTGGTCGTGCGCCTGTCTTGCGCAGCCGGAACTATATTGCGATAGGTTACTGACTTTTTTTTTCTGCAGCTTCGAAATGGCCCTGCCTCACAAAACCCCAACGCCTCGCTCTACCCTTGGTCGCAACGCAGGCTCACATACACCACATCCCAGCCCAGCCCGTTTCCCCGATATGGCGCTGCCGTCAATGCGGCATCCTCCAAGGAGGGCGACATCTACATGATGGGTGGTCTCATCAACAGCTCGACGGTAAAGGGCGATCTCTGGATGATTGAGGCCGGCGGCAACATGGCCTGCTACCCTCTCGCCACCACAGCTGAAGGCCCAGGTCCTAGAGTTGGCCACGCTAGTTTGCTGGTCGGCAACGCCTTCATCGTCTACGGCGGCGATACCAAGATTGATGACTCCGACGTTCTAGATGAAACCCTCTACCTCCTCAACACATGTACGTTGAACCCCCGCCACCTAAACATTTTTTTCGGTGCCGTTTACTAATATGTTTGTGCAGCTACCAGACACTGGTCTCGCGCCTTGCCCACGGGCCCCAGGCCTTCAGGCCGATACGGCCACACTCTTAACATCCTAGGCTCTAAAATCTTCATCTTCGGAGGCCAAGTCGAAGGCTACTTTATGAATGACCTTGCTGCCTTTGACCTGAACCAGCTGCAGATGGCTAACAACCGATGGGAGATCCTCATCAAGTCCGAGGCGTCGCCCCAGATTCCCGCGGCCAGAACTAACCACACCATTGTCACCTACAACGACAAGATGTATCTCTTTGGTGGTACCAACGGATTCCAGTGGTTCAACGATGTTTGGTGCTACGACCCCGCCATCAACAAGTGGGAGCAGCTTGACTGCATCGGATATATCCCTGCACCGCGCGAGGGCCACGCCGCTGCCATTGTCGACGATGTCATGTACATCTTTGGCGGCCGCACTGAAGAGGGCACTGACCTTGGCGATCTCGCCGCGTTTAGAATCTCACTGCGCAGATGGTACACCTTCCAGAACATGGGCCCATCGCCATCACCTCGATCTGGTCACAGCATGACTACGGTGGGCAAGTCTATCGTTGTTCTTGGAGGCGAGCCAAGCTCCACCACCAACACCACCAACGACCTCGGCATCCTCTATGTTCTCGACACCACCAAGATTAGATATCCTGTCGACGGACAGCAGACAGCAGCTCGCAACCCCCAGGGCGCGCGCCCTAGCCTGGAAGGCGTCAAGACACAGAGCCCCAACGAGAGCCCCAATGCAGTCAACGAGCCTAGAAGACTCATGTCCAGCCCTACGCCGACTGGAAACCCGGCTTCCAACTTGTCTCCCAGCAGCCTGCGCCAGGCTTCCGACAGCAACATGACCAACATTGCTGCCGTCAATGGTCTCCGCGGCCCTGCCGGCCCTCCCCCGCAAGGCCCCACGCCAGCCAAGCCTACCGACGCTCCTTCTATGGCCAACATGATGAGCAGCCCCGCGGCATCGCCCCAGATTGGTTCCAACCAGTCTCCTGTTCTTCAGCAGGGTGTTGCAGACCCCGAAGAAGCCGCCATTGTGGCTGCTAGCGCCGCCGTGAACGGTGTTCGCAGCCCTCCTCAGGCATCGGCTCCCGCGAAGATGGATGGTATTACCAAGCACGCCCGCGTTGCATCTGGTGAAATTCAAGACGCCACTCGATCCGCCCCTCCAGCCGCCGCTGTCCCTGCTCGACCCGCCTCCCCACCTGCTCCTACGCGCCAGCTCAGCAACTCTATGAACCGACGCTCCTCTGGCCGCAACTCTCAGACCGTTGCACTCCTGAAGGAGCTGGACAATGCCCGCAACAAGAATGCCTGGTATGCCTCGGAGCTCGAGCTTGCTCGCAAGTCCGGATACTCGCCCCCAGCCGGTTCCAGCCCTGCCCTCGACGCCAAGTCTGCGCAGACCTTTGACGATGAGGACCGCCCGCTGATCGAGGCACTGCTTACCATGCGCACTGAGCTTGCCAATGTCCAGAGTGCTGTTGATAAGCAGGCAGTCGTGGCTGCGCGCCAGATTGCCGAAGCCGAAAAGCAGCGCGATGCTGCCATCCAGGAAGCGCTCTACGCCAAGGCCAAGTACGCCGCTCATACTGGTGGCAGCGCCTCTAGCACACCCAACCTCGACGCTGACCGCGATGACCTTGGAGGACGATCCGACGAAGTCAACAAGAAGCTTGCTTCTGCTCTACACCTTCAAAAGGATCTCCAGGCTCGCTTGGAGACCATGAAGTCGGAGCTTGCCGCTGAGAAGAGGGCTCGTCAGCTCGCCGATGAGACGTCCGCTGCTGCTGAAAAGCGCATGACTGACTTGGAAAGCTACAAGCAAACGACTTCTGCCGAGTTGGCTGGCCTCAAGTCTGAACTGCACCTCTCGCAGCGCGAAGCCCGCGACCACTCATCGAGATCGGCTGAAGCTGTCGCTGCGCTTGCTCTGCTCAAGGTTGAGAAGGATGACTTGCACACCAAGTACCACGATGCCACAGGCGGAGCCGAGGAGCACAAGAGCGCCTTTGAGACTCTTCACCTGGCGCTCAAGTCGTCCGACGAAGCCAAGTTGCATCTTGAAGGAAAGCTGTCTGAGGAGCGCGCTGCTAGAGAGGCTGCTGAGGCCAACCTTGCCAAGCTCAAGGTTGAGCACGAAGCCCGCGGTGCCGAGCTGACTACCTCTGCCCAGCGTGCTAAAGACGCTGAGGAGTTGGCCCAGAAGCACGCCGAGGAGGCCCGCACTCACCGTCTAGCCGTGCTTTCTGGTCTTGACAAGATCAACTCGCGCGATGTCTCACGATCTGGCGGTGCCGACGCCAAGCGCGTTATTGCTCTGCAAGCTCAAGTGACTGCCGCTAACGCCTTGGCCAAGAAGTACCAAACGGAGCTCGATGGTGCAGCAGATAAGCTTCGCAGCGCTGAGGAGCGTATCGCTGGCCTTGAGCAGTACCAGGAGCAATCAAGCCGCGAGGGTGTTTCTATCCGCCGTCAGCTGCAGGCTGCTCTGCGCGAGACACAGGGTCTCCAGGCTGCGCACTCGGAAGTCAAGAACCAGCTGGCTGCTCAGCAGCTCGAGACCAACGCCATGACGGTGCAGCACACAGCGCTCAAGGATATTCTTGCCGAGCGCGGCATCAGCCCTACTGGTGCCCGATCACGAGGCCTTTCCGGTAGCCCCAGAACCGCATCTCCCGAGCAGGCCCGCATGAAGGACCTCGAAAGCCAGCTCGCCAATGCACACGCCGCACACGAGGAGACCAAGAAGAGCTTCTCTTCGCAGGCCCAAGAGTCCGAGTCGGCGTACCGTGAGAAGCTAACGCAGCTTGAGAGCGACTACCAGTCGGCAGTGCACTACGTCAAGGGTACCGAGAAGATGCTGAAGCAGCTCAAGGAGCAGCTGACGCGATACAAGAACGACAATGCGCGTCTCAAGATCGAGGTTGATGACCTCGAGAAGGCCAACGGTCAGGGTCTTGCTGCCAACACCCAGCAGTGGGAGACGGAGCGCTCTGCTCTGCAGACCAAAGTAGACACGCTGCAGTCCGAGCTCAAGACATCTGGCGCCGCGCTCGAGAAGAAGCTCGAGAGCCTCCAGAGCGAACTGACAGAGAGCCATCGCCAGCGCGAAGCTGCTGTTAAGGAGCACGCTACAACATCGACCAAGCTGCAGACACAGGGCAAGGACTTGGAGCACCTGCGCTCCGAGAACGCACTCCTTGAGCAGCGCGCAGCCGACGCTGAGCAAAAGGTAGCACTCCTGCTCGACCAAGTTGAGAACTCTGTCGACAACTACCGCCGCCGCAGCCGCATTGTTCCCGGCGACTTTGACGTCGCAGCCAACGGCGGCAGCGGCCACTCGCGCAAGAAGAGCGTAGACGCTGAGAGCTTCGGCAGCAACGGCATCGACAACCGCAACAGCATGGCTCTCGACAGCCTGGCCAACGAGCTCGAGACGCTCCGCAGCCACTGGGAGGCGACCAACAAGAACTACCGCCTCAGCACCAACTTTGATCTCGACGGCGACGGCAAGAAGGACGGCGGCGTAGCAACCTCTGGTCTGAGCGAGAGCCTCGCCGACTGGCGCAAGAAGCTGGACGCCGAGGAGCACGCCGACAAGAAGTAACTTGCGTGTCTTTAACGAACGATGATGACGATTTGACATTTTTTTGTTTTGTTTTAGCGGGTCTGCCTTGCCAAAAAAGTCTCTTTGTTGAACACCAATCTGGATAATGCCGCCTACGAAGACTATCTATCTATCACTCTGGAGGAACACACACACACACACACACCTATATACCCCGCTGCTGAGTGATGAGGAGGAGGAAAGGGGATTGGACGACTTTCTATATCGTTATGCCCGCATCTGTGCTGCTGGTTCTTTACTGTATATTTGGACCGTGGACAGCGAGGTTGCTTGAATACCTTGAGCAGGGCTCTTGGGGGGAAAGGAGGGAAGGAAAGACGAGGAAATGCATTGATTGGGTTTTCTTTATCCTTTTTTCTTCTTTTTTCTGTGTAATATTTCGTCTGCGGGAGGGGTTCGTTGATTATCATGTTTTTTTGTCTCTGTTTGCAACTCTGCTTTCCACTTTGTTTACTTTGTTGGGATGACTTCTATGAGGATATTGTTTTGTTTTTATTTTTTATATCTATTATCTAACTGTGTTCCCTGGTACTCTCTGTTCCTTGATCTCACCATGTGCTTATCTCTACCATATGTCTACTAACTACTAACTTAGACGCTCAGCCTATCTAGGCATCGACAGGCGGAGGCGTAGGCGGACGAGGCGGCGCACCCACCGCAGGCTTAGGATCTCCCTTCTTCCAGTACACCTTTGTCTCCGTCTTAGGATCATACTTGGGATCACCAATCTTCTTCTGGTCGACCCAGACAATCTTGTCGACCTTGCCCGAGGCAATCAGCTCCGGAAGCTCAACTCTATAAAAGATGCCCGAGGCGGGGGTCTGATCGTGCGGAAACACCAAGTACGCCGTGCCACTTGTATGGCGGGCATAGTAGCGCGAAAAGGCCTCCTGGTACTTGGTGAAGGTGGCCTTGTCGATGGAGGCGTCGTACTGGCCCTTTTCATGGAAGCACGGGTTCTTCCAGATCTTGCGGACGGCAGTGAGGCCGTGCGTGGGCGCCCAGTTGACAATCTTTTTGATGTTGGGTTGCGTCTGGCCCGTGAAGTAGACGGCGGTGTTGGCGCCGGGGGCGTTGGCGACGGCAAACTTGGAGAAGTCGTCGTTGTGCGTGGATTCAATGAGTTTGAGCAGTGTGGCTTTGTCGGGGATGGTGGTTGGGCCTTTGGGGCCGCGGGATGCGAGGCAGTGGTCCCCGGAGGAAGAGGAGGGGACTGCGAGGGCGGCGGCGTGGGAGAAGAGGAGGAGGAGGAGAGAGATGAGGAAGCCGAGGCCTCCTCGGGGAGGGGATCCGAGTTGCATGTTTAGACAAGAGATGTAGGTTCAAGGTATAACTGCAAGATTCTCGGTTTCTAGGGAGCGAAGACAAAAGGATTGTGTGAGTGGGATGGGAGTTAGAGGAGAATATTGTAGAATGATGTAAGATTTGATGATATCAAGAGTGGTCAGGTTGGTTACTTTTTATACATATTGCGAGGACATGTCTATGGCAGTCTGTGTTGAATGATTTGAAACGTATGAGACAAACATCATACAGGCTATTGGCGAAATAACGGCCACTTACAACGAGCACAAATATAAATAGTTGCAGGAGGAAAGCGAGCACGCGACATTGAGCGCCGCATACGGCCTGTATTCTTTGCGTCATGGCTGAAACCACCACCAAACATGCGATGGAGCGACTTCGGCGACAAAACATCGGCCGATTTCTGTATTCGTGATTGGCACGTCTCAGAGATCTTAATTCGGCATGAGCCGAAGCCGTTACACTAGGGCTGTGCTGATGGCTCGGGCCTCGCGCGGGTCGTCGCAGCCTTGCCAACCTGACACTTGACAACATAAAACACCAGAAATTAAACCACCGAAGCGACACGTAGCGTCATTCAACAAACAGAAAGTTATTGATTAACGACAAAGTTAAATCTGTTGTCGCCGTCGTGAGCTTTGTCTCGTTCTCATCATCGTCGCCTTCGCAACTGAACATCTTCACAATCACCGCAACAATGGACACATCGCACCCCGACCTGTTTGACGAGAACAGTCACCTCCCATCGAGACTGGTAGCGCAAATCCAGCAGGGAAATCTATCTGCCGTCCAGGAATCATATGCCTCATCACGGTCCACCTCCCTCCTCACCCGCATCGCCGAGCAGGCTACCCGGCACAACCAGCCCGACATTCTCTCGTGGGCATTTACCCAGGGCCTCGTCGTGGCAGTGGCCTCTACATACACGGAGAATATCATGGATAGCAGGATCTACTCCTTTGCATGCTTGGCTCGCTCTCTGCCGATATGGAAGATGCTCGTCGCGCATGGAATGCCCATCGCGCAGCACCACGACGAGAGCCTGGGCGATATAATCAGCACATCAGTGTACGACCAGGACATTGATATTATGCAGTTTGCCCTGGAAAATGGATGTAAACCAGACGAAGCTTTTGGTTACGACAGTATCAGCCCCGGAGCCACGGCTGTTAAGAGTGGCAATGCGGCCATTCTACGACTTCTGCTACAGTACGGCTGGACGCCGGCTGCGTTTGATGGCGCCCATATTGCGGCAGCAGAGATGGGCAAGATGGAACTTTTAAGGATTCTAGTGGAAGAAGGCAAGGCTAATCTGGAAGAGGCCGTCATGTGGTGGGCTGGCGGCGAGGAGGATGAGATTGGCACGGCGTTGTATCGCGCAGCACGCAAGGGACAGGCAGACGTTGTAGAGTATCTACTGGGACGTGGAGCTAATGTCGAGTATAAAGATGGTTCAGGGAGAGGAGTAGACTGGGCAGCAAAGGAGAGCGGGAAGGAGCAAGTAATCCAGTTGGTAGCAGATAGTTTGGCCATGTAACGAATGAAGTGTATAAACTAAGTTCACTTCCTGGATAATTTCTTCAGACGGTGTCTGTATAAGGTATAACGCAGTCGAATGGCTTTTCGCTAAAGTTGTATTTCCACGATACGCGAAAAGCTAACATTGCAAAACTCAACGTCCCTCATGCTACATTTATACTTCCAACACCAAAGTCAAGGTTTTACCCAACTACACTTTTCGCTTAAAGACAGTTTCTTTCCAACATATTTTTCCAGTAACCACGACGAAGATAGACAACTGCAACACTCCAGGAAATCTATAAATGGTCGACTCTTCCCATCCAGACACTACTTTTCCCATCACAACCACTTCTACTCCTCACTTACAAAACCTTCTTCTTCTCACTTACAAACCCTCTACCTCTCACTTACAAAAACATTATCATCATCAAGATGCCTTACCCCTACACCTACGCAACCTTCCCCCCCAACCGCAAGAACAAAGGATGCCCACCCTCCGCTAGCTCCCAAAGCCTGGCCCTGACAGCCCCCATCTCCAAGGCAGAGCGAGCTTACACCCCCAAGTCCTACACCCAGCCATCAGCCATCCCCCCCAACCCCGCCAAAGCCCGCCAAGTCGCCGCATGGCTCATGATGCAGCAGGCAGGTCCCTCCCCTGCTACCTCTGCCATCCCCTCCTCCCTAGTCCCCGAGCGCAGCGATGCCCATCCCTCCACCATCCAGTCAAACTCCGTGAGGGGCCTGACAACCAGGTACTACTCCTACGGCAGCTCTGCCCCCTCTGAGCCCAAGTCCCAGCCCACGGGGACCACGGAGAGAAGAGGCGCGGACCGCCCCTACGATTACCATCAGAAGCACCGGGTCATGGGGTGGATGGATAAGCAGCCAGACACGTTCTCCGTGTCCAACGGCATGCCGCCATCTATGCTTGGCGCCTGCGACAAGCAGTCTCCCCATTGCCCTGAGCATCAGGACGGGCATTTCTGGAACGCATATGTTCTCCGCCGCAATAGCCGTAGTCGCTTCTTGTTGAGCGTCTTGGGCGTCTTGGGTCTCATGATCGTTATAGCTATCATCGTCGTCGTGGTAAGTTTCTTCCCAATCTAACAGACTAGAGTTTGTGGGCTAACAATGCAATAGGTCGTGGTGACGCGCCAGAAGAAGGCTTAAATCTTCGAAGCGTTCGCTATCTAAAGATGGAAAGATGATGGTTTATCTTTGCTGTTTACACTAGCAGCATGCTAGTTGGCAGTACATGTCACTCGCTTATCAACAGGTTTCTTTTGTCAGTTCAAGTCAAGTGTATAAGTCATTAGTTGTGTTTTTAGATACCCTTAATAGAACGCACTAGTTATAACCCAAAACCTATCTTGCAGTCAACAAGTTCTTTTGAATCCCGATACAGCGTCCAAAGTCCAGCTTGCGGCCCTCTGTAGGCATGTACTCGCCACTGGCAATGCACAGTACACGCATCTTTGGATCATACCGTAGACCTGTGAGCAACTTGGGAGTGATGAGGAAGTATTGGCTCGTGTGCTCGCGGCACGCAATCTCTACCATGCGCTCGTGCACCATGCGCTCGTTGCGCGGGTCCATGCCCTGGTTAATTTCGTCTACCACGCGGAACGGCGACTGCGCCATGGACTGCAGCGCCATCAGGAAGAAGATGGTGGACACGGCACGCTCGCCACCCGATTGGCGATGTGCTGTAAGCTTTTGCAGCGTTTCGTTTTCACTATGAGCACGTGTTAGCTTCTATACTACTCGAAAAAGGTAAAACATACCGGAAGCGAACCATGATATCCAACGCCCAGTTGTCAAAGTTGTCCGCCTTGTCTACGCGCACCTCGCCCGCACAGCTAATCTGCTCAAAGTTGTACGCAAATGCATCATTAATCTGCGCCACCAGCTCGTCTAGCTTGGGCTCCCACTTGCCCATCAGCGACTGCAGCTTAACATTGAGCTCGCTCATCTCCCCACCGGCCTTTTCCATCTTGGCCTTGATCTTGGCAATCTCTTCTGCTCGCTTGTTAAAGTCCCGCATCACGTTGGGGTTGGCTGCGTGGATGAGCTCCAGCTGTGCCTTCTCTGCATCAATCAGGTTGCGCATCTCCTCTGGCGACTTGCCCTCACACAGCTCTGAATACATGTCCTGCTTGTCAGGTGCCCGCAGTAGAACCTCCTTGAGCTCGTCGGAGATGAGTCGACCGGCGTCTCGAGACTCGGTGGCTTCCCGTGATGCGATATCAAGCTTCTCACGCTCCTTCTCGAGTTGTTCTACGAGAGCAGCATTGAGCTCCTTGAGCCCGGCAACATCAGAGTTGGCTTCCACCAGACACAGGCGATACTCAATCAGTGTCTGGTGAGCGGCCCGGACACGCTCAATGGACCGCTTGTGTCGCAGGGCCAGTTTTACTCGCTTCAGCGTCTCGGAATCCCATTCGTACTGGATTTCCGTCAACGTCGCGCGTGCTTCGCGCATAGCCTCTTCGCTCGCTGCCTTTTGTCGCTCTTCGTTTTCAATCTTTTGTGGCAGCGATTGCCAGCGTTGGGACTCCTTTTGTAGAGCGCTCTTTTCAGCCTTTAGAGACTCAATCTTTTCATTGATTGCATCTTTTTCATGCTCAATATCCGCTTTCTTCTCCTTTAGCTTCTCGTGCTCGGCCTTGAGCGGCTCTTTTCGTCGCTGCAAGTCGACAATCTCGTTTTGGATGCGTGTCTTTTCCTGCACATCCACAGGTTGCGAGGTCCAGAATTTGCCAGCCATGATGCTCTTTGTAACCGTTGTCATGGCCTTGGGGCCATATTCTTTTCGTCGCCGTACCGTGTAGAGCTGACGACCAGCTGCCCACTGGCTGATTCGCTCGCTGTTGACTAGCCTCTCATACTGTTCTTCAGAATGGTCCATCATGGAGATACCCGAAAGGTGCAGTCGCTTCTCGGCACACAGCATAGCGAGCACAGGCTCCGGGCCGTCCAAAAAGTCTACGGCAAAGCCGTCTAGCCCGATGTCGGCAAGCTGCGCTTGGGTTGCTGGGGGCTTGAAGGAGCTCAACGGTACGCTGCATGTGCGGATATTCACCGACAAACTCATGACACGGTAGATTTGGTCAGAGAGCTTCTTGTAGTCGGCCTTTGTTTGCGCTGTAAAACACAAATAGTCGTCCACCTGCAGCATAGCTTGAATGGCGTCTGCGTATCGGTCATTCTTTACAGAGCAGCAAATCATTGGCGGACCAAACACTTCCTTTTCAAACTCTCCTTTGTTGTCCTGAATCCATTCCCACGCTTTCGCGACATCCGGAAAATTCCTCTTCATCAGGTTGAGCTGCTGCCCTTGCTGTGTATCTAGAGCCTGCATGTCGGCCATGAGCTGCTGCGTCTTGTGTTTGATCTCAGACCCTTGGGCCACGATAGCTTGGAAGCTACTGTTGACCTCTCGTGCACTTTCTTCAAGTTCTCGAAGCGTGTGTTCTTCCGAGCGCTGCCTTGGTGTTAGTTGAAAAACTTCTTTACAAAAGCTCTACCTGAGCTTACAATTTTCTGATTCCAATCGGCAGCGTTAAATGGTTCTGGCCGGTTCTTCAAATCGCCTTGTAGCTGTGTGATTTTCGATCTTGACGCTGCAAAATCACGTCGTTTCGCTTCAAAGCCCTTGCGCTCAGCGTCCAATCTGTTACCGAATTCTTTTATTCTTTCGCCTTGGGCTAGTGCCTCTCGGTACGCAGCCCTCGTCTTGACATGACACTGCTCAAGCACGGTCTCCTGCGCCTTGATAGCCTTGGAGATCTTTGCCGAGTACTCCTGTTTGTCGTTCACTGCATTAAGGGAGGGGCCACTATCCTGCTCCAACTTTTTCAGTGATCGTTCAGCGTCCTTCTTCTTCTGCTTCGCCGCAGCGTGCTTATCTCGAGCTTCCTGATACCGTGAAAGCACCAGCGCCGCCTTCAAGTCCTCTACCTTGTCCTGGATCTGCTGGCGTTCAAGCAATCTATCCACGTCCGCTTGCAATCCTTGCTGGCGAGTCTCGAGGTTCTCCAGCTGCTCGGCGTCTGAACGAGTGCCCTCGACAATCTCCTTTTTGGCCTTGTGCAGTTCCTGAAGCTGGCTCTGCCACATCAGCATTTCCTCGGGGGCTGCTGCTCTCAGCGTTTCATGCAGAAGATCGACTGGCGTACACGCAGCAAACTCAACAACTCGGTCTTGCGGCAAGAACTGACACAGGTTATCGACCTGGATCTTTAACGTCCTCATCAACTCCTGTATAGCCTTGTGTGTCGTCTCTTTCCCGTTAAGCCACCATTTTTGACTGTTTTGTTCTCGTCGAATTTGAACCTTGACAATATAGTTGCGTCGATCGCTAGGCCGCTTTTGTAGTTCGATTTCGATGGTCGCGTTGTCCTTTCCGTGCTTGACAAACTCCTTGACCGAGCCAGCACGCCCGAGATGCTTTGGACTGTAACCCAGTCCAAGGCAAATCGCGCACACCAGTGAACTCTTTCCAGTACCATTGGGGCCAATCACCATGTTGAGATATGGGCCTGGGAAGAACTCAGCCTTTTCGTACGTGACAAAGTTCTCCACCGTCACTCTCACAATCGCACCAGCATGAAATGCATTCATATCAATCTGTCCAGTTGTGCCATTCGTTCCATTCGTCCTCGAAGCACCTGCTCGGCTTGGTGTGTCACCGTTGGGAGCATTGCCATCGTTTCTGCGACGCCGTTTGGATGTATCGGACGCTGGCGACACGAGCTCGCTGACATCTTCGGCTGATTCTGAGCGCCTACGGCGCCTAGATGAGCTTTGGGCCATTGTAGGCGAATATAAGCGCTATCTACGCATCAAGTGCGGCGCAAGTTTGTCGATATCACTGGTGGCAGTTGGTTAAGTTCACGGTCGACGCGGTAGCGCGTCACCGTTAATTGACCCCACCTGATGGCCCAAATTCACCATAGAGAATCAGGCACGAAAGTAAAAATACAGGAGAAATAAAACCTTAAATTATAGCGCGTAAATAACAATACAAACTGTACGCTGTTCTGTTAAAGAATAGTTCGACGTAATTGACATGAACAAAAAGGAGATTGCCTGCGGGATAGAATTGCTATTCGCGGCAAAAAATGCGTGATCTGGGAATCGAACCCAGGGCTCCCCGACGTTGCGGATGGCAACGGAGAATTTTACCACTAAACCAATCACGCTGTGGATTTCCTGTATGACGGTGCTCGCTTTATTTTATAATATATTCTTATAATTGTGCTACAAGGAAGGAGTCTACTGCAAAGACCTCATCGAAGCTAAAATTATAATTCATCAGTAATTTTGATATGTAATAATATTCGATGGCATCACAAATTTGTCAATTATGATCAGTTGTTGTTGTTGATTGCCAAAATATAAACACTCCGGCCAGACTCTAAACTACACCAGGCAGACTGCTTCAAAACGTTTCAAACAAAGCTGACCTCCATCTAGTCTGGGCTGTTATTACAAGCACTAGAATCTAAAAATACTCAATTGCATACCTCGCCCTATTGTCATCTTCTTGGTAAGGCGCGCTAGACGGTCCATTGGCGGGCTGTGCAAAAGGCAATACCATAACAACAATACCGCCTTAGCTGGATAGTGTTTATTCCATCGCTCCAGCGGGGAGTGTCTATGGATGGGCCGAGAAAGTGAATCATAGCCCGAACCTCAAAGAACCTTTGCCACCCAAACCTCGGAAACGAAGCTGGAGATGGGAGGGGGACGAGCTTGTCTCAAAGGGCATAGTGGGCGGGAACACGGACGACAAGACTGCCTGATTGGCTGATTTTCGGCCATCCCGTGACGGTGGTGAAGAGATCATTTGCGACATGGTCTTAGAAGACTTCTTTAGTGACGTGCGCCCAAAGATGGTGGGCTCTCCGAGTCACTCCCTTGCGTTGAGACGCGCCTAGCCCTTGCGACATGGCAATGCTGAAGAATATGCCCGATGGTCCTTCAATCATCCCCGTGTTTCTGGTCGAGACCAAAAAAGAAACACAGCTGTAAACAATGATTTTCTCTATGTCAACAATCGAGTTTCCACGACGACTTTTTTTCGTTTACGGCTGAGTCGTTGGTAGTAATAGCAGCTGGTTACGAAGGATGTAGAGTATATGATTAAGTGACAGCGAGACAAAAAAAGGGACCATATTGAAAGGGCACTCGTATTCCCACCATGCTTATTGCATTGGTAGCGCCTAGTTAGCCGATAGTATTGGCAGGCAATATGTACTATTAATTAAACAGCAGAATGAACAATTGGATGGGTAAAGTAACAATGGCTTACCTTGTCACCCGGTGTAGTAGTAGTGCCTCACCACCATGCATCCATCATGATAGACGCCTTTCTTGTTTATGAGATTAGTCTCGCGGAGACAATGTCGTGTACCTGAATGCCAATTAGACAGTAGATCTCTATTTTGCAACTTTTTCTTTTCTTCTCTCGTCGCCGTCCCAGCTCGACACTCACCGTTGCGGCAAAATAGACTCGACGCGGCGTGGGTGGCATGATTCACTTGGCTGCACAACTGGAATGTGGTGATGCACCCTCGGTAGCGTAATCCACCAGCAGCCGGAGGGAAAATGAAAAGTTACAGGAGCCCGAATCAAGGCTGCTCTTCGTTCCTGCTGTACTGCATGGTGGGTTGTAAATTCCAGTCGGTCGCGGGCGCGTCTCCCGCCAAAACTGCCCTCTGTACTTTGGCACTCTCCCTTGCCAGGTGTCTGGCAGCCGGCAGACCAGCGCAAGGAAAAAAAAAAAACACACGCACAGAAAGCACACACGTCCACGCTCTGTAAACATTGCATTCCGATTGCCCATGGCACCTTGTTCCGCTGTAGACATTCGCCTCGCTTCCCTTTTTGGCGCCTTTCTTCTCTCACTTTAGCCTTGCCCACACGCCGACTTGGCTTCCATGCGTGTCTAGCTTCTTGTACAGCTAGCTGCCCTGGCTCAGACACTGCCGTTTTCTCTAGTTTGCCGCCGCTTTTTCTTCTCTTTTCCCTTGTCATCGCGCTTCTTCTTTTCTTTTCCCTTTCTTCATCCTTCTTTTTCGTCACCAGCTTTGTTCGCAAGCTTCTCTGTCCGGTTCATACGTTGTTGTTGGAGCTGCCAGTCAGCTTGCTCTGATCCTTTTTGTTTAGCATCAGACTCGAATATTCTTGTAACAGCATCTAACGCGACTTTTGTTACAAATCAGACGTGCTTGTCGCATCAAGCAGTGTTATAGAATATCGAGAACCAGCAAGTCTCTCTTACACGCCAACACATTGTTTCAACTCTTCAATACACGACGGAGCAACTCGCCAACACGACATTCGAAAATCTTTCTAAACCTTGTTTAAATTATAATATGAACTAACCCTGACGGCCATCTGATACGAGACATACATCATGGCTGACGCTTACGCTGCTGCCGCTGCTGCAACCCGCTCCCCTCTGGCGGAAGCAACCCACCGAATCAACTCTCCAGCTACCTATGGAGATACACAGGCTGCTCACAAGCCAAGATACGAGAATGTTGACCCAGCTCATTATCCTCATGACCCTTCCGTTCCTCGTTACGGAGGACGACCCCCAGCGCCCCCGCCAGCTCATCCTAGCCCACAACCACGTCCTCGCACTGCCAGGCAAGACACAGACGATGACAAGCGATTTTCGCAAGCTTCCTATGCCTCAACATCAAGTAGTCGAAGCAAAAAGAGCTACAAAACACATATCGGGCCATGGCAACTTGGAAGGACCCTGGGCCAGGGATCTTCAGCGCAAGTTCGCCTCTGCCGCCACAACATCACGAATCAGCTCGCGGCTGTCAAGATTGTCAACCGCCGTAAAGCCTATCTCGTCCACGACAGCAGTTTGGCGGCATTGAGTAAATGGGATAGCGCTCTTCCCAGCCAAGTGGATGGTCAAATGCGAGTGCCAATGGCTATTGAGCGGGAGGTTGCTATCCTCAAGCTTATTGAGCACCCGAATATCATGAAGCTCTACGACATTTGGGAGAACCGTTCCGAAATGTAAGTCTCCTGTTCCGTTTACAACAGTTCAACTACTAACTTGTGTAGCTACCTTATTCTTGAATACATTGACCAGGGCGACTTGTTTACGTTTATCAACAGCAAAGGTCGCCTCTCTGAAGAAGTTTCTATTTATTTTTTCCGACAAATGATCTCGGCTATTGCTTACTGCCACTCCTTCAATGTTTGTCACAGAGACCTGAAGCCTGAGAACATCCTTATTACTGCCGACTTGAAGCTCAAAATTGCGGACTTTGGCATGGCGGCCCTGCATCAAACAGCTACCCATCAGTTGGCGACAGCATGTGGAAGTCCTCACTATGCGGCTCCCGAACTGCTCAAGAACCGCGAATACCGCGGTGATAGAGCCGATATTTGGAGCATGGGTGTAATCCTGTATGCTATGCTCTCCGCCACACTACCCTTTGATGACCCTGATCTGCGCGTCATGATGAACAAGACAAAGAAGGGACAGTACGAGATGCCTCGATTCTTGAGCCCCGAAGCCGAGGATCTTATTCGTCGCATGCTGCAGGTGAACCCCGACCGTCGCATTACTCTCACCGAGATTTGGAGACACCCTCTGGTACAAAGGTACAGCTACCTGGACGACTTTGGTGACCTGACTGGCCAGCTCCCCGAGACCCGAAAGGGCTTCCGCTACAATCCTATTCCTAGACACGAAATCGATCCCCAACTGTTGCGACAGCTTCGATCCATGTGGCACATGTTTAGCGATCAAGAGCTTACGGCCAAGTTGTGCTCTGATGAGAAGAACGATCAGAAGGCCTTTTATTGGCTGCTTTACAACTATCGGGCAAAGCAGCTTGAAGACTTCAAGCCGGAACTGGCGCACTCAATGAGTGATTACCATCACCTTAAGCCCTCTATTTGGAAGAAGCGTGTCTCGACTTGCGAGTTTACTCAGCCTCGTGCCAATGGCCATGGCCGCTCAATCTCTCGATTCACAGTCATTTCCAACGCTGGAGAAGACGATAATGAAACTGTGTTGAGCTACGACCCGTACCGTGCTAGCGGCAAACTTCAGTCTTTGGATTCCCAAGTCAGCCATGCAAAGGTCACTATTCACCGCGACGAAATCACACCTGATGCTTCCGCATCCCGTACAAGACTTCGCAGTGGCTCCAACGCAAGACAGCAGCGAGCCGGCTCGGCCACCCGCACGCCCAAGCCAGCTTCTGTCCGTGGTTCAGTTACATCTCTAAACAGCCTAAGGCAAGGCACTCCCGGTCGCCAGGCACCAAGCCTTCGCCATAAGAGAGCTGTTGACTTTAGCCACATCCGCAAACGATCCAACTCTATGAACAAGATGCCTCGTCCGTCACCAAGAAGTGGCCCTGCAAATGCTGCAAACGCTGCGAAGCCCGCGTCCCCTAGCAAGCTTCAACAGGTCAGAGCCATGACACCAGAGATGCCCACCGCATCAGAAGGCGCCAGGCCCAAGGCTCTTGGCGGTCCCATTGCGAAGAACACTTCTGCCTTGTTCCGCGAAGATATTCGACATTTTAGTCTGGACATTGCCAAGAATTGCGATGAAGCATTTAAGAGCACCTTCAAGAGCAACTTGACTGCCGACGAGTCCGTATTAACAGAGACGGATAAGAAGAACCGCGAGTCTACACCCGTTTCTTTCACGGCCGAGAGTCCCTCAGTATCCACAGATGCCACAGAATTCTCCAACAAGTCTTGGCTTCAGCGTCCTCTCCCACCTTTGCCTCCAAGTGGTGAGCTAGAGACTAGCGACACTGCGACCACCAAATCGCGCCCCGTATCTGCTGAGACGGAGCTGGACTATGTGATTGAGGGTGTTACACGCGTACCCATGGTACATGCTCGCCAGATTGATCGTCGCATTGTGTCTGCGCCTGTGATTCATGAGCCGGTAAAGAAGACATCGACTCTGCCGTCTATTAGCGAGAACATTGCCGCAGTCGCCGTGACATCAGCCATTGCCAGCGACAAGGCTCGCATTGTATCTGCACCAGCCCAGACAGGAGCTCAGCCGTCTATCGAGGACAAGGGAGATATGGAGTACCTTAGCAAGGTGGAAAACACCATCCGCGTTGTCAGCTCTACACAGAGTGGCGCTCTTGACCCTCCCCCTCTGAGCATCCGCAAGAAGCCAACCAAGGAAGAGGTCGGCAAGCACCTGACCGTCAACACTGCCTACGACGCAACAAAAGATAATGCTCGCCTGTCCGTTTCCAGCGAGGCACACAGCGCGCACAGCGGTAGCCTAAAGAAGCGCTCATGGTTCCGCCGTACGTCACGAGCTGATACCGAAGCCGGTGGCAGCGAGACCTCTGCGCAATCCCCCGCAACATCGGATAGCCAAGAGCCTAGCTCTGCTACTACTGACGGCTCCAAGAAGCGATCCTTTAGTCTTCCATTCTGGAAGGGTAACAAGAACAGAGACAGCCGAATGGAGGTGGAGGAAGAGGTGGCACCTGATGCGACGACGCAGGTAGCTAAGGTAGACAAGAAGGCCAGCCTGGAACTCCAAGAGTCACACTCTGGTAACCAAAGAAATATTGAAGTGAAGCAGAATTGGCTGACACGCCTGTTCCGGGTGAAGCCTGCAACAAGTTACATCTGCATGACGCTGCCTCGTAGAAGAGCGCGCCAAGAGGTTGCTATCTTGCTGCGGGAGTGGCGCCGATACGGTATCCGAGACATCCAAGTCGACAAGCTACGCAACATCATCTTCGCTCGAGTGGCAGATAAGAACTACCTGAACATCAAGGAGGTGTGCATTGCGGCTGAAGTGATGACGGTGATTGAGCACGGCAAGAAGGGGCCACTGAGCATTGTGCGCTTTACACAAGAGCGCGGTGCAGCAAGCAGCTTCCACCGTGTGGTCGATACGATGCGCCTGGTATTTGACAGCCGTGGCTTGTTGGTGGCGGATCGTCGCAAGCAAAAGATGATGATCAAGACGCTTACGGCCGTGGCGTAAGGAGCCGCCATGGATGAAGCCGATGAGCAAGATAACGCGGGGATGAAGTGCCTGTGACGTTGGATAGGGGCACATCTATGACGGGACAATAGAACTATGAGAAGAGAGAGGCCAAGTATATTTTATATTACACTTTTGATTTTGCATTTTGGCGTATGAAGGAGAAGTAAGGACGGACAGGCCCTCGGCAGATGATATATTGGAACGAGGGTCTGGAGTTTGGACTGTTACTCTTGGTATTATTTTTTCATTTGTTTTATTGCAAGGACGGCGCCACGCAATTTTCTTTCATACAAGTCTATACACATGCTTTACAAAAAAAGAATACACTGGATTGACTCTACCTTGATATGAAGCTGTGCTGTTGTACCGTGGGCGATTGGTTGATTGATTGAGAGGGGCTACCAACATATACTGCACATAACATACTGAAATAGATGGTTCCTCAGCAGTTGGTATCCCCAGCCTATATTCCCCTTTAAATATTACTGCTAGACCGTTTTTCCGCCTCTTACTATAGATATGACTAAAAATAATCCAGCCATTTTCCAATCAGGAAGCTCCCGCGCCCGCGCACACACACATCCCCGCACTTGGGTCCCCGCACCAGAAAACCAGGCTGGCAGCAAGCTGTTGGATGGACAAACACGCCACCAACAAAAACCTCCAGGACCAACACCCAACTTCGTCCGACGAAATACTAAAAGTACCTCAATTCATCCCTTCTGTCTCTCTTCTCTCTTCTTCATCTGTTGCTCTATTGCACCCTTTTATCTATTCACAGCTTTTCATTGTCTTACTGCCCCACCCCCGCTGCGGATCATCGTCACTACCATGTCTACCCCCTCCAAGAAATACGACGTCCTCATCATCGGTGGCGGCACGGCTGGCTTAGCCACGGCGCTCGCTGTTGCGCGAACCATCCGTACTGTGTGCCTCTTTGACGGCGGCTCCTATGGAAACAGCGCCTCCTCGCACATGCACAATGTCCTGACTTGGGACCACAAGAGCCCCGTGGATTTTCGACGTGCTGCGCGAGCGGATATCGCGCGCTACGAGACGGTCGACTTTAAGGATGTCAAGGTGACTAAAGTGTGGAAGCACGACGACGATAACTTTGAGGTCACGGATGAGCAGGGCAATGTGACTACTGGTCGCCGATTGGTGCTGGCTACGGGCACGCGGGACATCTTTCCCAATGTGACTGGCTTTGGGGACTGCTGGTCCAAGAGCATGTACGTTTCTTCCATTTTCTTTTCCTTCTTTTCTTTTCTTTTTCTTTGCTGTTGTGTTTTATTCTTGGCACTTATATGAGGGGGTGAACCTTGTGCTGCTTGTGAGAAGCTCAAAACTAACATGGATGGGATGTCGTGTAGCTTCAACTGCCTCTACTGCGAGGGCTACGAGCACCGCGGCGCCGCCAACGTATCCGTGCTGGCCACCGAGAACGTTGCTGCTGCCAACGTGATTGAGCACCATGCCCTGATGGCGCGCCAGCTAGGCAAGCACGTCACCGTGTACACGCACGGCAGCGAGGAGTTTGTGGAGCAGTACAAGACGAGATTTGGCGCCGATGCCGACTGGGTGTCGATTGAGACGCGCAAGATTGAGCGTCTGCACCAGACGGACGGCCAGGCGCTGATTGTCGAGCTCGAGGGCGGCGAGAAGCAGGAGCAGACGTTCATGGTGCATGTGCCCAAGCCCGACCCTACACTGCAGTTTGAGCACAACTTGGACTTGAAGCTGAGCGACAACGGCAAGGAGTATAAGACGGACGAGCTACTGGCCAAGAGTGTGTCGGAGAAGCATGTCTGGTTGCCTGGCGATGCGTCGTCGCTCTACAGAGCTGTTGGCTGGTCCATGTCGCGCGGTGCGACGTGTGCTGAGGGTGTCGTCATGAGCATTATGCATTAAGATGTGAGACGTGTAGGTCTGTCGTTGTGTACGTTGATGATCGGCGGTACTGTTGTAGTATAGAGGTCGCGAGGAAAAGGCGGATGAGACTTGGTTAGTTAGAGAGCTGGTTGTATTAAGAACAGAATGCATCTATCTAGCATCGCGTTTCCGTCGCACATTCCTCCTTTCCGTTGTCTGGAAGAAGTTAGTCAGGGTATAGTACCTGGACTGGACTCGACCATTGGATCTGAAGGCCGTGTTGTTTTGCAAATGCCAAGTTTGCATTGCGCTTGGAGATGTCTCCTCCCCCGCCAGCCGATGTCGCTGCTTGGCTATGACGCAACAGCCCAAGCCATGAGAATCTCCTGTTGCGCTGCAGTTCTAGACCTGCCCGCTCTCCAAACCCCGAAACGCAGCGTCGCATCGCAGCGGCTGCTCGGCATGTGCCTGCCATTGCGCTTCGCCAGAGAAACAGGCATCGGGAGAGATCGGGGGACAGAACTGAGAACGAGCGTGGGGGCCTCGGCTTGTTTTTCTGAGAGGTCCCCACGGCCGAGAGCTGGTAGTGGTCGCTGGAAGAAGCGCTGTAGCGCCCCCCCTGTAGACAAGGTGTGCCCACCAAGACCGCCTGTGGACCGAATAGGGCCCAGCATGTAGTAATACTGCGTGCGGCTCTGTCGATTCTGCGCGTAAGAAGCTGGGGAAAGCGAGTCTGGGCAGGGACGGTAGGGCTAGTGTTAGTAATTTAGCGAGTTACGATGCGAGATTGACAGGAGGAGATCTGCTAAATCTATCATCAGTATAAAAAAAGGGAGCGAGATGAAGATGATTATAAAGCTGTCGATAGCGGCTGCTACAGCGAGTGTCTGTCCACTGTAGACGCCGCTGTAGCACAGCCCTGGGAGACAAGACAAGGCTCGGACAGGAGTCGGTGCACCGCTCGGAAGTACGACTCTGGGCCGGGCTGCAGAGCCGGGGTATATGCCCAAAGTCCGTATGTAAATCCACTCTGCTGCTGCTGCTGCTGCGCATTGGTTTTATTAATACATTTTTTCTTTTCTGGCTGCTGGCAGTGGAGAAATGCCGCCAGCAAGTGCTGCGTGGTGCTCGCCGGTCGCCGGTGACGCCTCCAAAACGGCAAAACGTGGGGTAAAAGTACATGCTGATCCTCGAGCCGCTAACACGCCACCCGCATAATTTGCGTGGGCGTCAGATGCCAGCTTAGGCCGGTACAAGTCCCCTGGCCTGAGCCGGCGCAAGGCCGATGACGCGCTCGAGGGCGGCTCCATCCACCCGAGCTTGGCCGATGGGGGCCGACCAGGAAACATCGTAGAGAAAGTCGACGAGGCAAAAGAGGGCGTAGACTCGAATTGGAGGGTGAAGTGAGGGGGAAGAAGAAAGACGAAGCGTAGATACTTAAGTAGGACGAACGGCGCACATCTCGTCCGTGACGAGGGCATAACATCATCATTTGATACCAATTGAAGCTGCCCTTCTTACTCACGGTATGTATTGTATAGCACACACATATACACTCACAAGCCAAACAAACAACCCTTTTGTCTGCCCCCCTTCGTCTATCTGGTCCTCGCTTCTGACTGTGACTCCCCCCTAGTAGCAGCAGCAACAGCACGAATACCGTTTCCGGCCGGAACCCGCATCTATAGCACGCGCATTTCACAAGCTAGCCACCGCCAACTGCTCGTTCTGTTTCTTCGAATACAAACTTGCAAAGAATTAAAATTCAACAAATACTACAAAAAGAAGGCCTACACTTTTTTTCTGCAGCAACTACGCCACAAAAAGACGCCTGTGAGTCAAAATCCCGGATTCCAGTCCTGGTCATGAACAGTTGCGGCTAGCGCCCTCTGCCCCCCGGAACCAGGCGCTGTGGTGCTACCGCCCATCCCACCCGCTGCGCCGGCCAAAACTGACACGTGAAAAGGTATTAAATACGTCAAAGCAACCACTGCCCGCCAGCTGCCAGCTGCCAACACATTTCTCTCTTCCTCTCCTCCTCCTTATCTTCTATTCTTCATCTTCATCACCTCTTTTTGTCTGATTCTCCCCAACAGACTCTTTCAAACTCACACACACCTTACTGTATCTCTGCTCTCCTAACGCCGCCCATCATGTCTGACGCTATCCTCCAAGGCGTCACTGTCCTCGGCAGAGTCGAGCCTCAGCACAAGAAGATCCTCACTCCCCAGGCTCTCACATTCCTCGCTCTTCTGCACCGCTCCTTCAACGCCACTCGCAAGTCGCTGCTCCAGCGCCGTGAGATCCGCCAGGCCGAGCTTGACCGCGGCGTCCTGCCCGACTTCCTCCCCGAGACAAAGCACATCCGCGACAATGCCACCTGGAAGGGTGCTCCTCCTGCCCCGGGCCTGGTTGATAGACGCGTTGAGATTACCGGACCTACTGATCGCAAGATGGTTGTCAATGCGCTGAACGCCGATGTCTGGACCTACATGGCCGATTTCGAGGGTGAGTTTCCTTTTTCCTGTTCTTATGCCCCCAACTGTACTTTACAGTTCGGCAATTATGTTTTGCTGCTTTTCTTGAATTTCTGCATATTTTCCTCTTGTTCTTTGACGCGCATTGCTGCTCAATGGCTGGGTTTCGGCGATTCTCGGCTATCCTGCGGCACTCCCCCAACCCACACGGCGCCAGCTCCCCCAAGCCCCTCGGTAGCCCGAGTGGACGGCCAAACACGGGCAGAGGCACTACTGGGCATCAATGCCCAGAACTGTAGAGCAAAAGAGACGAAAAAGCTTTTGGATTCTTCGTCCTGTCCGTCTTGCTGCCGTCTTACACGCTCCCTGTCGCTGTCCGGCCGGGTGGAGGTGGGGCCGTGTCAGCACCGGCTCGGCCGCCATCACCAACGGGCCCAGCTCAGCAGCATGTATGCCTCAGTCCGAGTCTTACACTTTTGAGTGAAAGATGTGCAGAATACCTCTTGAAAATGCATTGCGTTTCGTCAATTGGCAGTTTAAAGATCCTCCGCTAACAAACACACAGACTCGTCCGCCCCCACATGGGACAACATGATCAACGGCCAGGTCAACCTCTACGACGCCAACCGCCGCCAGGTCGACTTCAAGCAGGGTGCCAAGGAGTACAAGCTGCGCACCGACAAGCCTCTTCCCACACTGATTGTCCGCCCTCGCGGCTGGCACCTCGAGGAGAAGCACGTCACTGTCGACGGCGAGCCCATGTCCGGCTCTCTCTTTGACTTTGGTCTGTACTTTTTCCACAACGCTCGCGAGACACAGGCCCTCGGTTTTGGCCCATACTTTTACCTGCCCAAGATGGAGAGCCACTTGGAGGCTCGTCTGTGGAACGACGTCTTCAACCTGGCCCAGGACTACATTGGCATGCCCCGCGGCACGATCCGCGGCACTGTCCTCATCGAGACCATCCTGGCTGCGTTTGAGATGGACGAGATCATCTACGAGCTCCGTGACCACTCTTCCGGCCTCAACTGCGGTCGCTGGGACTACATCTTCTCTGTTATGAAGAAGTTCCGCCACAACCCCAACTTTATTCTGCCCGACCGCTCCAATGTCACCATGACAGTCCCCTTCATGGACGCCTACGTTAAGTTGTTGATCCAGACGTGCCACAAGCGCGGCGTCCACGGCATGGGCGGCATGGCGGCCCAGATCCCCATCAAGGACGACAAGGCCGCCAACGAAAAGGCCATGGCCAACGTCCGCGCCGACAAGCTGCGCGAAGTCACTGCCGGCCACGACGGCACCTGGGTTGCCCACCCTGCTCTCGCGTCCATTGCCGTCGACATCTTCAACAAGCACATGCCCACGCCTAACCAGCACTTTGTGCGCCGTGAGGACGTCAAGATTACCGCCAACGACCTGCTCAACATGAACGTCCCTGGTGCCGTTACTGAAGATGGTATCCGCAAGAACCTGTACATTGGTCTTGGTTACATGGAGGCGTGGATCCGCGGTGTCGGCTGCGTTCCCATCAACTACCTCATGTGAGTTTTTCTCTTCTTTGCTTCTTTTTAGCTTCAGCTTCAACTAACACACTGGACTCTAGGGAGGACGCCGCCACCGCCGAAGTCTCCCGCTCGCAGCTCTGGCAATGGACTCGCCACGGCGTCACCACCGCCGAGGGCAAGCGCGTCGACAAGGCCTATGCGCTCAAGCTCCTCAAGGAGGTCACTGACGACTTGTCCGCCAAGGGCCCCAAGGGCCACAAGTTCCATCTTGCCGCGCAGTACTTTGCCGGCCAGGTCACTGGCGAAGACTACGCCGACTTCCTTACCTCGTAAGTCCATTTGTCCTGTCAAAAGCAAAGCAAACAGTTCTGCTTTTTTAAAACGAAACGGCTCTACTCTGCTCTGCTCTGTACATCCTGATGTAGATATGACAAACTAACACCCATCTTTACAGACTGTTGTACAACGAAATCACAAACCCCGGATCCCCTAGCCCCGCGTCCAAGTTGTAAGCGGGCTCTTTTTTCTTTACCGTCTGTCAAGTTTACCCTCATCGCCGCCGTCGCTGGCGCCCTCCCCTGCTCTATCTACACGGGGGAGAAACGTGTTTTTGGTTTTAGTTTAGCTTTCTGCTGTTTTGCAAACGCCGTCATGGGAATGATTGATTGATTGAATATACTTTGTCATTATACTTACTTACTTACTAACTTGGTACTGCTGCTCTGCTATGGTGTGGAGGGATTGATTGTATGAGGGCTGTCGAATCAGATTTCTGCGACTTGTCGTCTAGCTGGCTAGATAGATAGCATGGTCTCAGGATAGTGATGGTCTAGGGAGGAGGCATGGACATGTACTGTACGATATTATGTTTGGGGTTTGGAGTTTTGGGGCCTGGTAGACGAAACAAAATGGATTGGTCACGAAACGCATCTGTCTGTAAAGGCTTTGGTTTGGTTGACTGTTGTTGAGCTTTATCTTTTGGTCTTGCTGAGCCGTGTGTATTCTGTCCTCTGGTTACTGTTACTCGTAGTGCTTTGCCTTGTCCTTTTATGCCGTGTGTATTCCATCGCTACTGTTGTAGTTGTCGTACGGAGATCTTGTCTGGTAGTTGTTGTCCCTTAATCTTGTCTTGAAGTTACTATACTGACATCTTACTGTATCTTCATGCTTCTAATTATATCAATTTCCATCAACTTGTCCCATCAATCATCTACTTTCACTGTCCATACCAGACATCCATTTGCTCCCTCAACCAGACAATGTCACCTTCCAGTCGGTGTTTGCTTCGTCGGTTAAACGTAGACGCACGTCCAATACGCTCTTTCAGCTCTCATCATCCTGCTCGCCTACACTGACTGACTGACACATCCCCTCAACCCAGTCTGTCAGTCAGCGCTGTATTCCTCATCTTCTCCCAAATTTACACCACATCCCGTCCTGTCGTCAGCTTTCTTCCTTCGGTGCCCTCTTTCAGCATCACCGTTACATTCTCTGTCATCCTCCGTATTCTTCCTCCCAGATTTACCCCGTGTCCCTGTCCGTCCGCTTACACACAGACGCACACCTTGGCAAAATACAAAAATCACCGTCGCCTTTCCCGCTTACACCATCATCATCGCCACGGCAAGTTCCTATCTACACACACACGTTTTCGGTTGCACGCCAGCCCATCACCCGCCCGCACGCCCATTCCTCACCCGGCTGTCGCCCAACTACCGAACACGCCCCCCTATTTTCTTCTTTCTTTTCAGTTCACATTCAATCACCCGGGTGCAGCACCCTTCAGCCCTCCACAGTAAACGCTTCTAGCCGCCGACAAGGCCGCCCACTGCAACCCTGTGGCAACAGGGCTTCAGCTGCCCACGCCACCGAGGCGTCGTCGTTCCCCCTCCCAGCACGCCCTCCAGCAATCGCATCTCATCTCTGGCTGCCACCACCGCCAATGATAGACTTTGTATTTTTTTTATTCTCCTTTTTGTCCGCTCGCCCGCTGGCGTGCTTTTTGTCTTTTTTGCCTTCACCCACACCATAACGCCGGGACTCGCCAAGCCGCATTTTGGCCACGAAACGCAGTAAGTACGTTTAAATGCGCCAATCTCGCACAGGCATTGCACGGCAGTCGCTGGGCCTTGTCTCGCCGACATTGCGCGGCAACCTCCGTAGCCCAGCACAGCGCAGCCCAGTCCAGACCAAAGTAAATACTGCCTTTTTTCGTTTTTTTTTAAACAAATCTTCATTTACATGGAGACAAGTACAACAGCTTTTTATTTTATTTTGCTCTCTCTGCCCCCATTTGCCGGGCTGAGACAGGGGTTATTGGTATTTTGACGCAAACCGCTGGCATTTTACCGCCATAGAGCACGCCCCCCCTCTCTTCTCCAGTGAACAAAAAGAAGTATATCACGATCCAAATAGAAAGAAAGTCTCGCTGCCTTGCATGGCTGTTCTGTTTGCTGCGGGCTGCCTGCAGATGGACAAGAGGTTGACTCGTTCTAGACACACCCAACGTACTTTCTGCCGCTGCGCAGGAGCAGATTATCCCTCCCGAAGAGGACATCTCCAAGGAGGCTTGCGAATCACACACGCACGTCCACATCTAGAACGGATCGTCGGCTGTTGAGGCAGTTGGGCCTGTGATGCGACGCTACATCTGGAAAGCCAGGGCCTAGAGCTCGCACGCACTGCCAGCCAGCCCAAGCTTTTTTGCCATATGAAGCCACCCCTGGTCCTTGGCTGTGATTCCTATTCGACGTAGCCTTTTAGCCAGCCTGGGCCCTAATACTGCTGGGGGTTTGATAGTGGTGGTGGTGGTGAGTGATGCCAGCGTATGCCCCCCCATGTCTTCATCGACTTCCGCGGAAACGTCATCACTCAATCTCGCAGCTGGTCGCGTCGCTGCCCAAAAAGCGTGTGACGCTGGCCTCGTTCACTTAATTTCGCACAACCTTCGGATTTCCATGGTGCATGGAGGTTGCCTCCTTCAGCGTACGTGCGCGCGGCACACACACACAAGTCGTCAACGACTCACCCACCATCCCCCTTGTAAAGCGTAGCCTGTCTGTCTATCGGCCTACTACGTTAGTATTGCCCTCCCTGTCTGTTGTCACCCCGTTTATCACCGCGTATCTCGCAATGCAACTTTGTCTGTCACACTTGGTGTTTGTTTGCATTTTGCACCTTCGGCTCATGGATGGCGGGCGCTCCGTGCTTTGCCGATCTAGAGCTTCTCCCAGAGCGCATGCCACCGCCTTGGCAGCGCAGATGCTAGCTGCTAGCTGTTTTATAGCTGCTTCTAGCGAGTGTGCTTGTAACGGGCTCGCATCACAGAGTCGTAGTGGCGTCCGCGCCCCCAGGTAAAGCTCTGGTAGTTAAGTTGTTCGCCTACTCTTGGGCCCCGGGGGCGCCCACCGCCTGGCGCCCCCCTTCAACGGCCGCCAACGCTATTTTGACGAGCTGTTAGCGTTCTGACAGGACCACCCACCCCGTTTGTTCAACTGAAGCTGAGGGGCAAGCCTCATCTCGCTCGTCAACAAGTGGCGTCTGCCCGCCTCCAGTTCTTCTCACGTGGCGGGAGCTACGGCCATTCCGGCTGTTGGGCTTTCTGCGGTCTAGCCTCTCTAAATTGCATACGAAGCACCAAGCTCAGAGACCGGCACCACTTAATAAAGATCTGGTGGTGATTCACTCGTGTGGTCATTAAATGACCCGGACAAGGGGTTTTCACCCAGGCATTCATGTGCCCATCAACGTGGCCGCCACAGCAATGAGCAACAGGCGATCCAGCAATCATGGCGTCTGTCACTTGCAAGACCGGTGGTCGCTTGGCCGAACGAGGCCACCATCACCATCACCATCATTTAGCTTCTTGATGCTGCAAGGAGACATTTAGCCCACAATCATGAGGCAAGGAAAAAAAACTGTCCGGACTAATCGTCGGCCAACGTCCGAGCGCAACTTCATTTGACAAGTCATGGAACGGCTCTCGCGATCGACACTGCTAAACTGGGCTCCTGTCTTAATATTACCAAACCAAGAGGTCGTCTGGGCCCGAAATTTCGTGGACACCGCTATAAGCGCTCCATCAAGATGTTCCAAGGGGTGTGCGTGTCTGTGCTGTGTGTGTGCCCCTAGCCGGGATGTGTCGTCAACCGGTAAATAACGCCAAGCGTGACTTGACTTGGGCGGAAGAACTGTAGGTGCGTGCTCACTGGGCTCCTTGTGCTAGCGCTATCACAGGCCCCCTAGAAGCCCCCCTGCAGGCAACGCCATCATCTGTTTCCTCCGCAAAAACAGCATTGTCCGCTAGCATGCCTAAGCTTCCCCTGCCTCCCCGCAACGCACTGTCGCTTTTTGCGTGCGGCCCTCGCTGCCTCATCACGATGCGGGCGACGCCCATTCCTTTGAGACAGGCGCTAGTGCACGTGCGGGAGCCCGCTAAAGGCTTGCTGTAGTCCACTGCCCTAGCTGCTACAGGTGCACTGGCACTACAGATAATTCGTCCGTTCTTCCAGCGCTTTTACTGGCCCGCTCGCTCTTCAAGACCCCTCCCCCCCAAAACCGCACCTGCGACCGCCGAGCGACAGCCAGAGTTGCATTCGCCTTGTATTGTTTCGTTCAGCTGATGGAGCCCACGCAGGACTTAGACATTGGCCGGGATAATAGCAGGATCCATGATAATGCTGCTGCTGGTGCTGCTGCAGATGTTTCTTGCAGATAGGCCGATGCAAACAATTGTATTTCATTTTAATGAATACAAATCTTATTTTTGGCTGCGGCTTCCGGACCACCACACCCATGTCTCAGAGAAGCATTTCAGTTTCCCTGTAATGTTAGAATGAAAGGGAAAGTCGTCGCGTGCTCTGCTCTATTCTGCTTCTGCCCTCATACCAACAGCTTGTTTGCTTGCTCTATCATAAAATCTCAATAGGAGCATCACTTCCTGCTTCATTGAGCAATGACCAGCGCCCTTTCGGTCCCGAGACACTCAGTGACATGCCCGATACTCCACTCATTTACCAACTGAAGGGTTCACGGCGCTGCGAGTTATTATCGTTCCGGTGGGTTTCCCTTGTAGTGCAACCAATCTAGTGGCCAGTAGTAGCTGTAGTGCTGCGCTGCGACACGCCCAGAGCACCAACCCAGACTGGCTCTTAGTGGTTGTTTTGTGCAGCTTGGCCGCCCACCCCACCATGCTGAACGAAGTTTACGTGGCGAACTGGTGCCCCGATCCGGTTAGCGTGCCTTGGCTACCGCTCCACTATTGGCCTCGCCTCACCATCTCAGCACAACGCCGGGGCACTAGAACACAGCACCTTGTCAGTGAGCCTATGTTCGGTTCAGCGACAAAAAGGGTACTATATGAGTCTGTTAGAGAGCACGGGCAGCGCGATACATTAAAATTCAATAAACCCAACAAACTCGGGCCAGGCGAAGACAATATTTGTGCCACGGTAGCTGATGAAGACCGAGTCAGCAGCGCAGACTCCGAGAATATGATTTCCGAGCAGCAGAATGTCACTTACAGTAGTAGTGGTTGCAGCCAGTAAGAACACGCGTAAAGGAGAAAGGAATACTCCGAAGCAGGCTGGCCGCTGGTCATCTTTCTAGAAAGCCGCCTGCAGAGCTAACTGCTGCTGCTGCTGCTGCTACTACTGCACTGGCGACGCGATACTGCGGAGATTTGCGATGAGGGCAAAAAAGCTCAGGCCAGTTCTAGTGCCAATGGAACGCTCCCCAGCTTTCTCAACGATCTACTCAAAAGTACTGACAGCATGTGGTGGCGTCGTCTTGCGCCATCCCGGCCTATGCAGTTCATATGGGAGGAGGCTTGCGCCAGACATGGGAACGCTCCGAAGCCAACCAGCGGCGTTCAATCTCATCTCGACGCCGCCCCAGCCTTCTCGCAAGCACCACCGCCGCCGTCGGCCACCGCTAACGGTAGCGCTCAGGCACTAGAACAAGCACTACCAGCACCCCATCCACCCACAGCCTGACCTTCCTGGTCTGGTCTGTTAACCGATATAGCGCTGTGGAGGAGGCTCTACAGTGGATAGTGCTCCTCTGTGGCGGGCCCTTCATCGCTAAAACTGCTGCTTATGGTGCTGCTGCTGGCGCCACCCGCAACTTCGGACCCTCTACAGAAGCGCATTGCCTATTGTAGTCCCAACGGCGGACAGTGTATAAAAAGATAAAACGCCTGTGACATGATGGTCGGTGATGATCAAGAGACGGCGTCCAAAAGACCAATACCATATCACATATACACGTTCTTCTCTTGCATGCGCCACCCACTGAGTGTTCTCAATCTTTGAGATAATCCGAAGGCGTATCCCACGACCCGACGACCGATATTGCCACGCGGTAGCCCTGTCCTTCCACCATCGATATCACAAACGGCCGAGATACAGAGTCCCGCGAATTCCACCTAAATTCAAAGTATTCCAACGGAGCCTTGCGATTGGGTCTCCGTCTTTTGCGCAGGCTATTTCCTGAATGGGAAAGTCAGTGCTCCAAATAAAGTGATGGAGGGGATGCCTTACTCGTAGAAGGCTCCGTGGAATATATCCCAGACTTCTAGTGCAACAGAGCCCTGTGCAAGACAATGAACGCCCCGACACCCCTTGCTTGAGCGACATCCGGAATAAACCTTGTCATCCTCGTCTAGCATTTCCCAACATGGCAATGGGCTCCGCCAC